CATCAGAACTGGCGATGGCGACAGCAGTCACCAAACCTTGAGAGTGACCAGTAGCACCGACCAAGGCGTCTCTGAATTCGCCAGGCGTGATACCCAAAGTTTTGCATGTCACAGCATAGTGGCACAACTGGATCACACAGATCAATGGGCACGAAACAGGTACACTCAACAAGTACTCCTGGTCGGGTGTCTGGTCGGGCAGCTTCAACCATTTCAAGATGTCAAAGCCCTGGGTGTAGATTTTGTCGACGTTAGAGGTGGACTTGACCAACAGAGTCAACTTGGAGGCGAATTTCTGGAGCAATTCGGCGAGAAGCCCGTGGTACATGTAATTGAGCTCTCTCAACTCCTCAAAGTAGTCGTCTGTGTTACCCTGACCACCGAAAATGGCGACTGTCTTAGCCAAGCGGCGGGCCGAGCTTTGCACCAAGTCAGACAGCTGTCTTGGAATGGTGGTGTTTGAAGAAAGGACCGCATCGAAGTAGTGCTTAATAACTTCCTTGGTTTTGGCAGCTGTGGTGGGGTAGGTCTCGTCAGCAAGCAACTGGGCGGCAAAGCTGTGGATATCGGAATTAGGGAAAAATCTGGACTGGAATTCCAGCAAGACTGCTGTCAAAATCTCGTTGAACTCACCTTCGACAGTAGGGTCCACCAACGAGGCGGTGAAGCCGACAAATTTGGCAAAAAGCTCGGCTGGAGAAGCGGGTTCTTCATCAGAAGCAAAACCCTCTGTTGGAACGGGCAAAGTCTTCACAAACTGCTCCTTCAACTGGGAGTACTTGAAGAAGAGCTCTGTGGGTACCAAGATGGTGTGTTCTATGGACCCGTGGGATAGGGCTAGCTGGCGGTGTGTTGTGCTCATTCTAGCTTATGGATGGCTCTTTTTTTCTTTGAAAGTGGGATATATATTCTCGGTGGTACGCGAGATGATATGAAGAAAAGAGGATCCGTTTTGTTTAAGAATGGCTTCAGAGACTAAATTTTGGGTCCCTTGGTTTTTGCAACTCTCAACAATGTCTGTGCAGAACCCGCATATAGTTGGTTAGTTTGTTGGGAGTCTTACCGAGCGAACTTGCAGAGGTGGTGTGGCTGTGTGCAGGTTGGTTTCATGAAAAGGGTCGACTTCTTGCAGCCAACGGGCTGGAAGGCAGAGGTAAGCTGATGGAGACGCGTGAATCTGCTGGAATTTCTGTTCCTTGGGGTGCTGTACGTGATAGACGGGCAGAAAGAGGAAACACCCGTACACCACTGACATTGGGCTGCAGCTAGCTCCGAGCGCCGAAACGACTACCCAGGATTTGGCTGGGGCCGGCGAGGCCAATTAAGCAGATCTCAAGCGGAAACTTTTTTGGAAAGTTGTGCCAACCATATATTTAGATTTTTCGGCGAGTGGAGCTTTTTGGCGTGGTCTAGTCCGGGGTCTCGGAGGCAATCTTGCAGGTCCGACTCCGAAAGTTCTCCCAATGCAACAACGTGGTCGCTAGCTACAAGGTCAAAAGAGGGTGATCCATACATGTCATTGAAAGTCAAAGTTACAATTTCTCCAGAAAATAGGGGGCAGGAGCCCGTGGGTGGTAATGTGGAAGAAATGGGTCTTTGCAGGCTGCAGGAATTTGCACCCAAGCCGAGCAGACCAACCCCCAGAATTCAAGAAACCGGGATCATCTGCCACCAAGTCTGACGCTATTATTAGAATCTTTACGGCAGAACATCTTGATGTTTTTAAAAAGATGACTCTTTCTTTAAAACGTCCAAATCAGATATGGGTCCATCTGTGCATCGTGCAGTCTTTGGGAAGATCGTTGGATCTGACGTGAAGACACAAAATCGTTTATGTGAATCCCCCTATTGTTTTTTCTGAAATTCCCAGAATTGTTCCTCGCAACATACCTTCAAATTACCACGCCCGCCGAAACGCCAACCATTTCCAGCTTTTTCCTCTTTGTTGGCTCACAGCCTCTGGAAATTGGCGCGTTTGGGCGAGGCCGTTCCGCACCCAAAAAGCCATCGGGGCGAACAAAGGCGGGCCTCAGTCTTATCTTGCAGCTCATTGTTGCGATTTTCTTTGTTCTTTGTTTTCCATCTGAAACCGATCTGAAGGCGATTTTAGACCGATCCGAAGGAGATTCTGGAAAATTAAGAAATTTAGATAAAAGCTATTTTCGTATTTTTGGGGTGGTTTGGGTTTTGTGGGGTTGACTGTTCTAGGCTCGTGGTGGCTGCAAACTAGGGACCTCATGGCTATGCACTAAGGGGAATCTCTAGGAGTTAAAATAAGTAAGGGGTGCCTTTTGTCCGGTGGCCTTGTCGTCATTTTGCGTTTACGGTAGGATCTTATCGTAGTTTTTGATGGGGTGTGAAAGTGGACTAGTCTGATTTGAGTGGTTCTTCATTTATGCAATTATAGGCACTTGCAACGATAAGCTCTCTTCAGTACCTTTGAGGAAATAGACTACACATGATGGACTTAGCCTTCACGAGAAAATCATCAAACTATCGGTTTGGGCATATCTTATCTATGTACTGGAATAGCCCATCTCGGCTGTGATGCATATTTAGGCTCAGACCAAATCACTCAAATCAGAACCATTGATTCGATTTGGCCAAGACTCTACCTCTTCTTTGGCAATTTACCACCCGGCTTACTTACCGGGCAATCCCAACACATTGTTCACCTGCTTGGGAAACTCCCTCACCACAATCTCACACTTGACCTCCTTGCAAAGATCCTTCTTATTATAGTAAGGCACTCTCTGCAACAACTCGAGACCCGTGCTCCGCTCGAGCGCCTCCACAGGCACCTGGAACGCCGTCAAGGGCTGCTCATTATCGATGGGCTCGTTCGGCAATACAAACGCACCCACAGAAATCTTATCACTGCCATTGGCTTCTCCTACCACGAGCTTAAAGAAATGAGTGGGAACGGCGATGTTTGGTGGCGAGCCAATCACCTCATACGTCACTCTGAACTTGTCATCGCTGCACTTCTTGGGCAAGTACAATGGCCCCGTCATGACACGGACGTTATCGTAGCGGCCCGTGAGTCTCCTGACGAAATCTTCAAAATGCGCCCAGTAGTCACGGTTGAAGCCCTCTCCAACCTGAGGACTCATGTTGGTGAGCAAGAAGGTCTCGTCCATAGCCTGCTGCAGAAACTTAGCATCAGCCGCTGGCGCCTGGTGACCTCTGTCGTAGCCTGAACGGAAGTAGTCTCGGAGACGAGCACGGAACTTGAGCGGTATGCTCTCGTCCTCCTTGAAAACCAGCTTCTTTCTGTCGACTCCGTCTGCTCTGCTGATCGACTCTTTGGTGATGTGCTCCAAGATCCAGTAGGGGTTTCTCGTCAGTCTGTCGTAGCACGAAATGAACTCGCTGTTTTTCTGAAGATCGTGGATCGGGCCTGGGAAGCCGTATTTGTAGAAACCATCAGGTTGCACAGACACCGGAGAAAGAGCTGGAGATCCAACAGGAGCTGGCAAATTGGGGCTGGTTTTGGAGGGTGGGTCCTGGGTCGTAGGCGTAGGCTGGCTCAGGCGGCCCAGAAGAAAGAGGCCACGCCCACAGTGCCGAGACCTAGAGTGTGAGGAAGAAACTTGGACATGATGAGGAAGAAGTTCGCGAATGAGCAGAGGTGTATTTGTGGAGGTGGGAGTGAGCTGCGAGTTACGATTTGATGGTGTTTTGAAGTTGATGATCGGAATTGTTGAATGGAGGTTTTTGACTGCTGGATTATTTGATTGGCATTTCGTGGATTTTGTGTGGATTCTGGTGGACTCTTGGTGGTGAAGAATGGCTGCAAACGCGGTAGCGCATGGTGGTCCAGGTGGTGACGAGGAAGATGAAATGCGGTATATGAGGATGTGAAATTTAAGGTGGAGCCAATTGAAGTTTGAAAATTTCTTGTCCAAGTTAGGATTTAGTTGAAACGAGCTGTTTTTACGTTTTTGCTGGGTTTGCTTGAACGCCTATGTCTTGATGTGGGTAGACACCGCATTTGTCAGAAGCTTGTCAAACGTTCAAACATCAGGAATGAAATCTTAAAACCCAAAACACCCCATTTTCCCAACTTGCGTCTATAAGAAAACTTTTATCGCTTAATAGCGCCTCGCTTCGTCAAGGCGACGTTCTCAGCTTATGCCTAGGTTCTGAACTGATATGTGATACTATCTATAATCAGACCAGCCTTGATAATAGCCATATTCACTTTTTAAAGCATTGTTCCTAAGTGGAGACGCCGCTTTACCCTGTAAAGCCCCTGCCCTTCCTCAATTGAGACTTTTCATCATTGCAACCCTGACGATCCCACACCAGTTGACCTACACCACCTACATCAACCACCCAAGTCCTACTTAACAAAATAACTTACAAAATCACTTCATGCACTAAATCACCCCTCCGCCAATCACATCCTTGGAATTCGCTTCGTTCCAGGCCTGGCCAACACCCTTTTGCAGCCGTTTGTGGGGATTCCACCTCAATGGGACCCATAACCCACCAAATACGTCCTTGTCCTCATCCTCACTCACCCTCACCAATTCCGTCGCGAAAGTTGCCGTGACCTCGAAACCTCCAGACACGATATCCCCTACCGCCCCACTCGGCCCCACATCAATTCTCGAGCCGAGCCTCGAGGCTCAAAGGGACAATCAGAAATAATGAAAAAAACTTTCAAAACTTCTGCTCAATTGCCCTAAATCTAAGCAGATGCTTCCTCTACCCTGGCTTCAATGTCGCTGTCTCGCACGACAAAATGGCTGCAACATCGCCATGTCTCCCCTCCACCTACTAATCAAAACTTCAAATTTTCCTAGACCCTGAAAATCTCCATCCCCACAAAATCCCAGTTATGCCTCCTTGATCCCCTTAACCCTGGAAAGTGGGGGCGATCTTGGCGGCTTATCGCACAATGCCTGGCACAATGCTGCGATAACGATAGCGAAAGTGCCGCCGTGCCTCGGGGTATATAAAACACGCCGTGCCGCCTCTAAACTTTCACAAACATGACCTGGCACGATTTGGCCAAAAGAGCCACCGACATATATGACAATTCTTTGAAAAAGACCTTGGAGTTGTTCCCTCTTGACGATGAGGCACTCAAGGAGTTTGAACTGCTTCCCTCAGCTAGAGGGAAAACCGTTGAGGACTACGGTTCACCCGCCAAGGTGCCCATTGACGTTTTCAGAGAGAAAATGCCAGAAAAGTCTCTCGCAATCACGGAAAAGGATCCCTGCGAGCTTCTTCAGGACCTCAAGCTGGGTAAGGTTACCTGTGTTCAGGTGTTGACCGCCTACTTCCATGCTGCTATTTTCGCCTCGAAACTTGTCAATTGCATCTACGAGTTCTTGCCCGAGGAGGCTATGGCGTTGGCTAAAATGCTCGATCTGGGTGACAAAAACTTACCCTTGTACGGTCTTCCACTCTCGCTCAAGGAGATGATTCCTTTCAAAGGAAGAGCAGTCACCCACGGCTCTCTCTGCTACTTGGACAGAGTGGTGGACTACAATGCAGATATTGTGAATATTTTGGTCAGCGCCGGTGCTGTGCCGTTCGTTCGTACCACCAATCCACAGTCTTTGATGATGCTCGAGTGTGAATCTTGGACTCACGGCAGAACGGTCAATCCGTACAACTCGCTGTTGACCTGTGGAGGCAGTACAGGTGGAGAAGGTGCTCTTCACGGTATTGGAGCTTCAGCTTTTGGTTTGGGTTCTGACATTGGCGGTAGTATCCGTTGTCCTAGTGCTTTTAACGGTATCTACGGTCTCAGATCCACAGTGGGCAGGCTTCCCAGCAGCGATTACTTTTCATGTCAGCTTGGCCTGGAGTCAATTCTTTCTGTGACCGGTCCCATGACCCGTTCTTTGGCGCTTTTGGACCTTGTCATGAAGACCATCACAGATCTGTCTCCTTGGCTTGTGGACCCATCGTTGTACCCTCTCCCATGGAAAGCACCAAAGAAGGAGAAACTCAAAATTGGAATTTTGTATGACGACGGCTTGGTAGCTCCACAGCCTCCCGTGGCCCGTGCTTTGAAGATGGTAGCAGAACAGCTCTCCAAAATGAGCAATGTTGAGGTTGTTCCATTCAAGCCGTACAAACACGACAAGGCCTGGGAAATCATCACATCGCTTTACTTTGAAGACGGCGGTGCCGACACAAGATCCACTATGGAGCGTTCTGGTGAACCCATGCTTCCTCAAACAGAGTGGATCCTCACTGGCAAGCACGTCAAGCCTTTGGAACCCAAGGGTATCTGGCTGTGGAACATTGAAAAAGTGAAATACCGTAAGGAGTACCTTGCCCACTGGTTGAGCCAAGGAGCCCCAGATGCGGTGATTGCTCCTGTGTTCCCTGGTCCAGCCTGTAAGCCTAGGACATCGAGATATTGGGGTTACACGGCCCAATGGAACCTTCTCGACTATCCTGGCATGGCCTTCCCTGTGACTACTGTTGATCCTGATCTTGATGCTCCTGTCAAGGACTACAAGCCCAGGAACGAGATGGATGAGTTTGTGTGGAAGCAGTACGATTCTGCTGAGAGCTTTGCCAATGCTCCTGTAGCACTTTGTGCTGTGGGGCTTCGTAACAGCGATGAAACTGTTGTTGAGGTGGCCAAGATTTTGGAAAAGAAGTAGGTGTGTAGGGTGGTGCCATTTTGAAAAGGATGCTTTGATCTATTAGTGTAGCGCTAAAAGGTGGTAAGTCAAGGGTTCGCCTCGGCTGATTTTTGATTCTTGGAATCACGGTTGTTCTTCGTTTATGAGATATGAATATCATGAATACTAATATTCCACATTGGCTGTATCATTTCGAGTTCTAGTATACCTCATTGGCTTTGATGGTGCTTATTCAGAGGTGAGAAGTGCTGACATGTAGTTTCAACATCGCAACCTCGCCAGTCATAATACATAGATTACTTCGATTCCATCAAAATGTACTCTTTTAAATTTCTCCTTTTCATTTCTCCTTGGCGGCCCAGGCTGGAATGTCTCAGACTGGCGATCTTCCGTCATTGGGGCTGTGCAACAAAAAAGCATACCCAAAGCAAAGCAAACCCTCTCCAAATAACTCAATCTATAGCACACAACCACCAAAACAACCTCCCCAAAATCAAATCAAATAAATCTCTCGTCGTGTCTCGGTCTATTGTATTCGATGTTATTACCCGATCGGGGTGGATATCTCTCGCACGAAAAATCTGGGGAAGTATCAAAACCAACAACTACCGTTTTCTTCCACCATGGCCCCGGAGTATATCGAGCTCCAGCAGCTCCCAACGAAGAAGCAAAACCGCAGTTTACAACCAGCCTCACGCAAGACGAGGTGGCCACCATTTTGCTGCGTTTGGGTCTACCGTCTATCTTCGACTCTTTTGAAGAATTACCCCCACTGGCTCGTTTCATGATAGAGAAAATCGAAAATTTGGCTATTGAAGACGCTGTTGTGATTTTAAGAGATGTCTTGGCAGAACACAGGGGCGATGTGAACTTCCCTCTGGCCGATTACCACTTGATAGAGCGTCTTTTGAGTCAACTACCGTCAGACCAGCGGGACCTGGTGGACAAGAAAAGCAGAGATAGCGACTCGGACCAGGAAACGAAGACGGACCAATGGGCGCTAGAAGTGAGACTTGAAGCGGGGTTGGTGGCCTTCCACTCGCCGTATCCTGAAGTCAGAGCTGTGGTGGATCCATTGGATGATCCGTCTATTCCAGTCGAGACGCTACGAGTGTACGTGATTGGCTTGTCGTGGACGCTTATGGGTTCTTTGATCAACAACTTTTTTGTCCACAGACTTCCCAGTATCGTTCTTTCGACAAGCACTGTGCAGCTTCTACTTCTACCTAGCGGCAAACTCTGGGAAAAAGCGTTTGGGATGAATAAAAAGGTAAACATTTTTGGGAAAGAGATAAATCTCAACCCTGGGCCGTGGAACTACAAGGAGATGATGCTTGCAACTATCATCTACTCGTGTTCAGCAGGAACACCGTATGCCATTTACAACTTCTTCGTCATGAAGCTTGACCGCTTCTACGGACTCGACTGGGTCACCTGGGAATACCAAATCATGTTTGCGTTGTCAACCCAATTTCTTGGCTTCGCCTTCGCTTTCCTTATGCTCAAGGTCTGTGTGTACCCTAAGAAAGCCATGTGGCCCACGCTTTTGCCCACAATAGCTTTAAACAGAGCTCTTATGAAGGATGATCCCAAAACCAACATCAACGGATGGACGATATCCCGGTACTCGTTTTTCTTTGTTGCATTTATCGCCAGTTTCTGCTACAACTGGCTTCCCTCTTATTTATTCAAGGCACTCTCCACATTCAATTGGCCTACGTGGTTTCTGCCAGACCTGATCCACCTTATCAATGTCACCGGAACAAATCAAGGATTGGGCCTCAATCCACTTCCCACACTTGACTGGAATATCATAGACATGGCGGGGTGCTTGACCATTCCTTTCTACACCTACGCCAACCAGTATCTTGGTTTGAGTCTTGGATTCCTCACAATTCTTTTGGTTTACTACACCAACAACAAGTGGACATCGTACTTCCCAATCAACTCAAATCGTTTGTTCAGCAACACAGGTGAGGTATACGATGTCAAGAAGATTCTTGACGAAAACAAGGCCTTCAATCACGACAAATATATGGAGTACGGTCCGCCATACTTTTCAGCCGCCAACTTGGTCCTTTATGGTGCCTACTTTTGCATGTACCCCTTCGCTATCTTGTATCATGCCGTTACCGAATGGACGTCCATGAAACAGAGTTTTGCCAACATTTGGTTCACTGTCAAGGACTCATTCAATAAGGACCTGGATTCAAACTACCACCGCTTTGCTGATGACCCACACTGCCTGATGATGTCTCACTACAAGGAGGTGCCCAGCTGGTGGTTTTTGACCATTTTGATTGTGAGTGTCACGTTTGCATTGATCTGTGTTATATTCTATCCCGTCGAGACGCCTGTGTGGGGAATCTTTTTCACCATTGGCATCAACTTTATATTCCTTATTCCAATCACTGCCATAGCCTCGGTGACTGGTTTCGCCTTCGGCTTGAACGTGTTGGTTGAGCTCATTGTTGGTTATGCGATTCCCAATTCTGGTATTGCCCTTATTACCCTCAAGGCGTATGGTTACAATATCGACTCACAAGCGTCTAATTACATCACAGACCAGAAGTTAGCACACTACACTAAAGTGCCACCTAGAGCGATCTTCCGTGGCCAGATTATTCTGACATTCCTCAGTGTGTTTGTTGCGTTAACCATTGCCAATTGGCAAATGAGCAATATCCCTGACATTTGTGAATTGCACCAGAAGAACAAGCTTAGGTGCCCGGGTGCGAATACCTACTTCTTCTCCAGCATCCAGTACGGAGAAATCGGCCCGGCAAAGGTCTTTGGCGGTATATACCCTATTTTGAAGTGGTGCTTTTTGCTAGGAGCGGTGATGGTCGTTCCTATGGCGCTCTTCAAGAAGCACGGGCCTTCCAGAATCACCAGATCGTTCCAGCCAACGATCATCTTGGGAGGGTTCTTGAGTTACGCCCCATACAACATGCTGTATTTCACCGGCGGGCTCTACATGTCGTACCTCTTCATGAACCGCATCAAGCGGAACTATACCCTTTGGTGGGAGAAGTACAATTACATCTTGACCAGTGCGCTCTCAGCAGGTGTGGCATTCAGTGCTTTGCTCATTTTCTTCACCGTTCAGTACGACAAGGATGATCTCAACTGGTGGGGCAACAATGTGAGCAACATGGGCATTGAAGGGTCCAACAAGCACCATGCCTGGCTCAAGGCCTCAGACGCTCCCGAAGGGTACATCGGTTTGAGAAAGGGCCAGTTCCCTTAACCACCGGCACAAACCTCTTTCTAGAATATGACTTTCGCCGTCAGTATCACATATAGAATCGTTACAATAGATACCATAGCCACGGCAATAAGCGCCGAGACGCTCGACATTGGATAGTAGCCCTCAGTTAGCATATTTTCAGCGTAGTAGAACCGAACAAAGCCTGTGATGAGGGTGATGATTCCAAGTACAATGCAAACCACAGCAAACGGCTTACCTAAGCTCAAGGTACTGCTGTTTCCATATTCTATAATCACAGTGTATGAGCCAATGTCCACCTGACACTCCTGTTCAGTGAATCGTAGAAGTTGTGCCAATGCAATGCCTATAGATACACATACAATGGATGTGCGTAGCCACGCCAAAAACGTTCTTTCGTTTGCGAGCTGGTGTTAGTAGAGGTAGTGTTAAAGCATTGATCAACATACATTATCTCTGGCGACAGTCTTGACGTTTTTTAGTCTCTTAGATCGAAGAGAATACCCACTCATGAGTATGGGGTAGTAGATGCGCGGGCCTGCAGTAGGTACCAAGCAGGGGAGTCGTATAAATCGGCCATTTCAGCAAGTGAAATTTCGAGTATTTATTCAATGAGTATGGCAACAGAGGATTGGCGACATAGGCAATCCATCAAATATACGAAACCCACTCAACTCACTAAAACCTATGTCAGTTGGTGGGTGGCTGCACCTCGCTGCAGCATGTGGCTGCAAAACGCTACACTCCATCACACTGCTCGTCAATTCATAGCTAACTACAAAATCAAAGCGGCACCAGCCACCAAGGCAGCAGCACCCATGGCCATGGGCTTGGCACCGGCATTCTCCTCAGGAATGTCAAAACTCTTGGTGATGTTGGCACAAGCAATTCTGGTGGTGTTGTGCAAGTGAACAACCACCGACAAGTCAGCAAAGAAGGCCTCGTTGTCCTCGTTCAACGAGAGGTATGGGTCAATGTAGGATGTCTGGAAAGACTGGGCCTCGATCTCGCCGTGTCTGCCAGAAAGGTCACCAACCTCCAATTCGGCAGGAGTATCAGCCTTCTCGTGACCGTTGTATGGGTTAAAGTGGGCCTTAGTGCCAGTGCAGTTGCCGTCGGCAGGAACAGGCAACTCGTGGATGTGGTACATGAAAGGACCACCGTAGTCGGGCAAACCGGAAATGTCGACATCCACAAGGACAGAGCCGTTCTTGGAGGAAAACTTGACGTAACCATCCACACCCTCTTCAAAAGCGGCTCTGTAGGAAGCTCCAACAGGAGAGTCGTGGGACTCAGGAGCCGGGTCGGCAGCGACAACAGAGAGCAAAGCAGCAGCACAAGCGAGTGGTTTCCACATTACGGATAAAGACGATAGAGAAGAAGCAGGGGAAAGCAAGGGTATTTATACGTGACAGCCTTGACGTTTCTTAGCTGCAGAATGACAGGGGCCGGAACAAGATCGGTTTTGGAAGTTATTGGAGTGTCCCAGAGGGGCAGGCCTGGTGCATACGGCAAGAATGTGCACTACAATCGGTGCCGGGCGTTCATGACCTTGGGTTGAAAGAAAGTACCAAAAAGCGGTGGTATCCTTTTCACTCCCCAATGGTCCATTTCTTCTCCTGGCATCTGTTGATGGTGTAGGTGCCTCGTTCCCACCGTTTGGGCGGTTTCGGTGGCATAATTTGCTCGGGGCACAAGCACAAGATCTGGGTGCGAAAACAAGCCTCCTCCTCCAGCCAATCGCCTCCACACCGTACAATAGCCATAAAGGCTTTGGAGCAAGCGAACCAAACAGGAATCCAAGAGGGGCCTAAAAGGGAGAGGATCTGCTTCTTTTTTCTTGTACACTGGCTGCGCCATGGGGGTCGAGGTGGGTGAGTGTTCCACTGATCTTTCTGATATTTGCACCCAGTGCGGCCCAGCATGTGCTAGGATGGAAGAATAAGCGGGAACGGCTGCCATTGGTTGAGGCCTTCAAAGCCGTGGTTTCTGCGCCAATGGCAGCCGGCTTGGTCCAAGCCTCGGGTTGCCCGCTGGATATCCGATTATCGCTCAAATCTCCGTGCTTCAGCTATTTATAGTGGAAGGTCGGTTTAGAATGTAGCGGACCAGGGGAGCTTGGAAGGGCTCACTGGGGGAGTTGAGTGGCTTGTATTTTGGGATGTCTATTAGGATGGAAAACTCCCCAATGGGGTTGGGTGTGGTCTCGATTGGTCAATGGTTTTCAGGTGCACGTAAGGTGATTGTTGGTTACGGTTTTGTGTCATTTTGTTGTCGTCTCTTTTACGACGTTTTGTCGGCGAACCGGCAGCATCCTCTATTGAGAACTGTAGCTGTATATTTGAGAAGATCCAAATGGTGCTGCGGCCTAACTATTTTCGATTTCTCCAGATTTGTTCACTAAACGAACCCTCAATAACCACATATTGCTGTCCATGTTTCACTAAATTATTTGTTTGGCATTATCGGGACTACAAGGCCCTAATTTCCAGCCTCAACGATTCTAGAGCTTGATTCTGCCAGTAGATGTGATAATCAGAGTTGGCACCTCTACGACAAAGCTGTCAATCCCATCAGCTGACTTACCGACAAAGTACACTTTACGAATGTTGAATCTCGATTTTTCTCCATCAAAATAATAGTACCACCTCTGCCTATGCGCATCTACCCCAGATTGCTGGTATACATGGCACAGGCGGTTATGCGTTAGACTCGCATACCTAAGATCCAGCGTCTCACAATAGGTAGATTGCTTGCTTAACTAAAAAGCTTGCCAAGGCCCAGAAAGCCGAAGCAACCGTCGTCAAACCTGTCGTAACGTAAACTAGCTATTCTTGGGCTACACTTCTGTCTCACCCCACGTGAAAAGTACCAAAATCGTTACAACCAGCATTTAATACTTGGATAAATTCCTGAAACTTGAAACTCTTTGATTCTTGTCTTCCACAACTTGTCTTCCACAACCCCAAAATCTCCTATTGCCCAGTCCACCTAGTATCATCAACATTTTGCAGCCATTCCTCGGTTCGCACGTTTTCGTCATACAGCCAGCCGTGCTACTACATCACCTTCTTCTTCAATAACCACCCAAAATGCATATTCCCTTGTTGGGCAGACTTTCCCTTGTGGAGTGGCCCTTGTGGTCATCTCCTTGCTACTCTCGTGGCTTGAGTACATCTCAACACTCATTACACGCTTGCTTCCTTCCACGGTGATCAACATCATCACCTACTCCCTTCAGGTCGTCTACAGCTTCACGGCGTCCCCTATTCGGTTCATCTCTTCTGGAGGCGAGATCCTGAAGGAGGACGGTATGCCAGATATCAAATACAGATACTTGTCTGGCGGAGAGGGCGTCATTGATAAGAAGAAGTACGATAGAATGACCGTGCTCCTCAACGCCAAGGACATCCTGGAGATGTGCTCGGTGTTTGGGTACGAGGTAGAGCTGAGAATGATTAGAACTAAAGATGACTATTTGCTCACAGTTCAGAGAATCCTGAGACCTAATGCTGGTCCTAGAAACGGAAAGGTCGTCTACATGCACCATGGCCTCCTCATGTGCTCTGAGATCTGGGTGACCATGCTTGATAAAGATGCCAACTTGCCATATGTGCTTTACGAGCTTGGTTACGATGTCTGGTTGGGCAACAACCGTGGTAACAAGTACTCGCACAAGCACTTGAGCCATAGACTCAACCTGGAGAAGTTCTGGGATTTCGCCTTGGACGAGTTTGCGTTCTACGACATTCCAGACACCATCAACTATATTCTTGCTGCTACAAAGAAGGAGAGTTTGATCTACGTGGGCTTTTCTCAGGGCACCGCTCAGGCTTTCGCTAGTGTTTCTGTTAATCCAGACTTGAACGAAAAGATTGAGCGCATTATTGCCATCTCGCCTGCCACGACCCCACATGGCCTTTACTCCAGATTCCTCGATATATTGCTCAAGTCCAGCCCGTCTTCGTGTACCTTCTCTTCTCCAGAAGAGTTCTCATGCCAAGCGTTCAGTTATGGAACAGAATCATGTATCCACCCTTCTTTGACACCTCCATTGATGTCGCTAATTACACCTTGTTCAACTGGAAGGCGCTCAATATCGACAAGGTGCAGAAACTCAGCTCCTACGCTCACTTGTACTCCACCACCTCTGTCAAGACGGTGGTGCATTGGTTCCAGATTATTTCCGCCAAGAAGTTTCAGATGTACCACGACGAGTCCAACTTTTCTTCTCTTAACCCAATCGAATACCCATTGAAGAACATCGAGGTCCCAATTCATTTAATCTACGGTGATTCGGACCTGTTGGTTGACATCGAAGTGATGGAGAACCAGTTGCCAAAGAAATACACCACCTCACACCCTGTTGCGGGCCATGAGCACTTAGATAACTTATGGGGAAGAGATGCTGCCAGAATTGTTTTCCCATTGGTTTTGCAGTCTCTTGGTGAAGAAGTTGCCAATGGTAAGAAGTAGAGTCCTCGGACAATATTCGCATTTATTTAGTAGTAATAGCTAAACAGCACGATTATGGAAACTTTGATGCGACTCAAAAAAATCAGAAACGACATAGACTATGAACTTAACTACTCGTAATACAAAACTTGGCATCAGCTCTATTCCAATTGGGCCAGAATTGGCTGTTTCTCCTTTGGGCTCTTTTGCTGGCCTAGGAAATGGCTGCAAAACGGTCGTGCGACTGTGAAACATCGGCAACAAAAGGATTTAGCAACAAATTAACAAAATGTAATTTGATGATGCTTAGCATTCTAGTTTAAGGCAATTTTACAGAATACCTTTCAAAAGTCAATTGGTACTGGGGTTGTAGTCTGTACCAACATATGACCGTTCCTACATATTAGCATTTGCAACTAGATACCCTGCAATTCTCAACTGGCAGCCAAACCGTCTAATTTTGCACCTTTCCATCAGCACCATAGCCCAGCATTTTGCCTAAAAAGCTTGCTTTAAGCATCACAGTTTTCCAGGGAATCAACCGCCTGGCGATTTAATAGCTCGCTTGCCTATTTTCTGGCCTTAATTAATTACCACATAATGGCTGCGGCAGCACATCCTTCAGAAGTAAGTACTCCCCAAGAAACTTCCAAAATTTGATACTAACAAATGAAGAGTCCTCGTCGCTCACCAGAAAAGGTCAAGCAAGAAAGTATGTTTTTCAATTAACTTTTTATTGAACTCTACTAACATCAGTGCTCTCACACAAACTAAGTGAAAGCGTTCCAAGAACCATGCATGAAGGCAACAGCCCCAGCTAGATAGTAAGACTAGCAACATAGACAAGAATAGTCAGAAAGTTCCCCACGCTGATACCGAAGATGCTGAATATACCGATATTGTGTGGACCAAAAGCTTAAGTATTCACGAATGCTCACAGGAGATCTCAAAGAGCTTGGATGTGCTTCTTCGAGGCAAGCCAGCCGATACAGAGAAGGAAAATTATGAAGGTTTACTAGAGAGTGCCACAAAGGCTGTTCCGGAGCCCCTGAAGGCTTTGACACAGTGTTATCCTCAGAATTACCTATCAGAGATCCTCATAACGAATTACGCCGACCTTGTCAAATTCTGCCTGCTGTACTTAAACTTGACGCTCTCGCTGAAAGTGACCAAGTTTGTGGTAAATCTTTTTTACAGTTTGGAATGTTGGGAGATATACCATCTACTACAGATGATACCCAACCTAGACTACTTCCTCAGGCTTGTGGATATCGAGGTCACAGATACGCCGTTTGGGCATGTTGTGTCACCCCCAGATAATTATATGGGATTTAATCTAAGACAGGGCTTCCAATACCCATTTCCGTTCCCCTTTTACAACTTCTCCTACCACACCATGAACCCAGACGTGACGAATCAGAAGTACCAGCGGCTCCGCATTGATAATTACATCGACATTCGTTTGAACAAGGCGCAACCGAAAAAGAAGAAGAAGACGAGGGCACCTAAAAAGAGCTCAGTATCACAGGAGGCGTCTCCTCAGCGTCTCTTAAGGCAAGATTCCGCCATCTCTGAAAACTCGCAAGAGTTCACATTTCAAAAGGTCACACACAGAGATATCGCTTTTGATATCCAGACCGTTGGTGAATTGGAGGATGACGATGATGGATACACGACAGATGAGGCCGAGAGGATTTTGCAAGATGAGAACAGAGCAGTGCCCATGGGACAACAAGGCTTGGTTTTCGTGCCATCCATATTTCAACACTTGGTTCTGCCAGGCGGCCTCACATCAGGGCCTGTCACTAGACTCTCAAGTTTGCACGAATTTCAGGAGCCTCCATTGGCAAGTGTTCAAAGACCAGATCTACCGGCACTTCCACCACATCAAAATCCTCAACTGGTCATCAGGTCGCCTCGGGAGGAAATCAAAAAGGAGGGATCCAGTTTGGCCCAGCCACCCTCTTTCATTTCCCAGGCACCAATACCGGCATCTTTGCAGTACCCTCCACAGTACAAGGATCCTTCAAGACTGCCATACTACGGTACATCCTCCAGGATGGGTTCTCATCCACTGCCTCAATTCCCTGCCTATGCTTCTGCCTTACCCCCACCAGCAACGCTCGTATCTCCACAGCTCAAAACAAGAGAGGAAGGCCACCAGGATAATTCCCCACAGCTACAACGATACGGATACCAAGGCTATCCCGCATTTCAGCCTTATGGTCAGCCCTTTTATGGCGACCGAAGACTCTTTATGCAAATGCCTATGCAGGGATATGTTCCCATGGGGGTACCTCCCAAAAGCTTCCAGGCCAGGGAATCCCTCAAAATATGCATAGTCCACAGTATCAGCAGCAGTTTATAGGCTCCATGCCCATGCCCCCACTTGGGTACCAGTATCCCGTTGCAGATGCTGCACAGCCACATGGGTCGCCGCCGATGCACGCCATCCAATCAAATCCCACTCCTCCGCCTCCGGGATCCATTCATCTGCCTCATTTGAGAGACGAGGACAAGTCCAAGAAAAAGTGAAAAGGTAGCGCTTGAGAAATGGTTGCAAAAAATCGGGGTGCGCTTCCTGCAGAACTAACGCCAGACAGGTCAGAAATGCACCTTGAATAGAGAGAATGGCTGCAAAAACGTCGTGCGAAAGCCCAATGTCGGATCACCCGGCCTTCTCCAAATAATTACCGAACAAATCTTCAAAATGCATAACGGAAAACGGCATTAGAATATTCTATAGCTCTTTCGTAAATTCGTAATAATATTTTCCTAAAGCGGCGGTGCCCGGCTCTGTTGATGGTCGTGCGCACTACACAAACCTACCTGCTGTTAACCGCAAATCCTTATTTTGCAGTCACTCGAACCACTATCTTTGGACTCGAAGTTGCCATATTTTTCCCGGTCAATCTAGTGCTTTCAGCTTGAATTACATTGGGAGGCTACCCCATTTGGCAAAAAGGCAATACACAACCAGCTTGCTTCATCGGTATAATCCAGTGACTCCACACCATCAGGTCATAGACTAATTACCATTGCACGGAGGAGATTCACAAAAAATCCTTACCGAAGAGGGCAATATCCGGCTGTCAAAATCATCAATAGGCACACAGAATGAGTGAAGTGCTACGGAGTCCTTCAGACATCGCCAGCTACGAGTCCTCCTTCACTTACCCTCCATCGGAAGAGCACAACACAATGACTTCTACGCTTGACTCGGGCGTCAATGAAAAGGGGAATTTGATGCATGAACAAATATCCCCTCAGGAAATATCCGATGCTTCGCCACGTCGAATGCAGCCGATCATTCCCTCATCACAACCTGAGGCAAACCAGTCCCCCACTGCTACAAGTGCTATTTCCCCATCGAATGATACTCCTGCAGTTGCAAAACGACCCTGGGAAATGACCAGCGTCAGTATCGCAATCCCAAATGTGAAAGAAGCATTATCTGCAAAAGCGACATCATACACAGCTGCCCTTACAGAACTGGGCAGTGCTAGCATGTCAGAGATGGTCCAGGCCCTTTGTCAGATTGAGCCCCAAAGCACTTCTGAGTACGCCGAGCTTATGTGTAAAATTGCATACTTGGTACACGAGGGTGTTCTCGAGGAGACGTACATCCAGGCACTAGAAAAGAGACTTTACGCTTTGGAGGAACTATTGTCGGGCTACATCGCCGAGGACCCTGCTCTGTCAGAACTATACATAATTGTGGAATGCTGTTTCGACATATTCTTGAAAATTGCCATGGATAGCACCAGGGATGGCCTCTCCGCAAACATCATCCGCTTCCTTTCCAGCATCTTGGTCAACCTAAACTATTGGGAAGTATACAACCTCATACGGCTTAATCCTGCTGTCTACCTGTTTTTGACGCTCATAAAGTTTGATTTAAATGCATGCTACACGAGGTTTGTTCAGAGCTATTCCAATTTTCGCTACAAACAGACCCAGCTTTCACCTGCTACAATCGAAAAGTTCACCGCCTTGCGGGAGAAGCAGAAAAGAGAGCGCGATGAACGCTTTGCAGAGGCTAGCAGTAACGATGATGAATATTTCAACAAGGATCTGACCGAGGAGCATGACAAGTTCATCTCTGATAGACTAGCTTCTGAAGGCAAGGGTAAGGATAAAAAGAAGGCCAAGGCCGATTCAAAACTCTCAGCGCATAGGGTGATAAAGAAGCCGGAGATCAAGCCCGGTAGTGCTCGTCTGCTGAACTACGACCCTGATGTGATTCATGAATGTCAATTACCTTCGGCAGAGGAACCTGGAAAGATGTGTCTCAGAAGATTCTCCCGAAAGTACGAGCTCATAAGGCACCAGGACACTGTTCATCTGAAAAAGAAGAAATTGTTCAAGTGTTTTGTTTGCGTCAAACAGGACCCTGTTATGGGGCCTAGGATATTTACTCGTCATGACACATTGGCGAAACACATCAGAGTGAATCACCGCATATCAGGCAAGGAAGCCAAGGCAGAAGTCGCATATTCCAAAAAGCATGCAGAAATTGTGGATGAAGGGGATATTACTGTCCATGTGGGGCGCCGGAAGACCAAGGTTGATTTCGAGCTTCGGGCTCATATGAATAAGGGAGGTCGTGAAGCCCCAGATGGCAGTATTATCTTTGATGACGATGAAATGCTTTCTGGCGAAGAAGGCGAGCCAATGATTGACGTTGTGTAATATGGGAAAAAGCAAATAGATCAGAATTCTTTGATTCCTTTGATTATGGTACATAAAATAATTTTACAGCTAGGCGGGCTACAACCTTGCAGCAGCTCTTTCGTATGCCTGTTGTTCGAGAATGGCTTTCTTGATCTCCTCGTCCTCGATGTCGTCGAAAATCTCCTTGGGAATGGACGCAAGACCGGTTACCTTGCGGCGAATATCTGGGTTGTAGAACGCAAGCGAGCTCTTAAAGTCACCATTCGAGCTCAACTTCTTGTACACAGCTCTCTTGGGCTGACTTCCCTCAGGGTAGAAGTTGAAACCACTGTATGGGTCTTTAATACCTCTTAGCCAGACCTGGTTTCTCTGTTCCGTCAAGGTAGAGTTGAAATCTAGTGTTTGTTTGCACACCTGGTACATCCATGTGGGGTCAGCCTGATAATTGATCAAAGCCGAGCCTGTAATTTGGTTTTGGTAGTTTTCAGCGCCGTAACTTGCGGCTCTATTAGAAGTGTTGGCCTCCTCAGGGTCGGCATATTCGCCAGACACATCGCCTCGGTCGATAGCTTGTTGCTCCCAGAAATCGTCAATGACCTTCTTACCGCCAACAACCATTCTAGCGCCAAACTCCCTGTAGATAGAACGGGCCGTGACGAGGTTGACAGATCTACCCTTGTAGGAGGTGGGGATCAAGTGACGGTCAATCAAGTCCATCTTCTCCTCGTGTGTGCAGACTTTCTTGAACAACGACAAGTGGGTTTTGAACAACAAGTAGGAGTCTCTAAAACCGACAAGACGAGCTGGCTCAGTGGAGACCATGTAAAGACGTTCTCCCTTACCTAATAGAGTGAATGTCTTGACTCTGTACTTTCTGTCACCCTGCAAGCGGCCCAAGTCATCAACTTTCTCGCATCCCTTGGGGTCTTCATCGTCAAGAACAATCTCATCATTCTGAACATTGATTTCGTTACCCTTGTCGTCGTAAATGATATCATCTGGTCTGGGGATCTTGGGCTTTCTACCCCTCTTCTTACCCTTCTTCTTTGGAGGCTCGCCTTCAGCAGGAGTTTCCTCAGGTTTCTTTTCACCTTCTTCTTCAGCCTTGACTTCCTTCTCGCCGTCCTCGTTGTCCAATTCGTCACTAGCAGACTTTCTCTTTCTACCTCTGGGACGGCCGGGCTTGACAACCTCATCATCTTCATCATCAACGTCAATATCATCGTCATCGTTGATCTCAGCATCTTCGTCGTCATCTTTGACCCCGGATTCATCGTACTCTGCATTTTCATCACCTTCCTTGTATTCCTCGTCATCAGCCTCAGGCATGAGGTCTAGTCCAGCCAAATTGACACGCTCCTTTCTCAGCTGTCTAGGGGATCTGGCCGTACCATTTTCGTCATCCAGCGGAGAGGCAGACATATTAATTAGGAATGGCTGATTTTGACAGGATAATGGACCGTGTTGAGAGGTTTTGTTTCTCAAATTTCGGCACGTGACCAAAAATGCGTCTTTGGCTGCAAATGCTTTTGGCTACTCTATCGCATTCTTCTATTCGATTTGATTATATACAAGTGGTGCAATTACTTCTCGTCATCCTTCTTTTCCTCTGGTGGCTGCTCATTCTGGTAGGCGGGCTTGCCATCGAGGTATTTGTCGAAGGCGTCGTTATTTTCAGGGAACGGTCTCTTGCCTAAGAGACGGATCATGTCCTCTCTAGTGATGAACTCTTTCTTGAGCAATTCCTGTGCCACTAGTTCGACGGCATCACTCTTTTCAGACAACAACTGCTTACAGCGGCTGTAGCAATCCTGAACGATTCTTCTGATCTCTTGATCGATGACATCATTGGTCTCGTCACTGAATGGCTTGGTCAAGTTGTCCTGACTTTGGGTGTCAGCGTAATTAACCATACCGACCTTGCCAGACATACCGAACCTCAACACCATAGACTGGGCAATCTGAGTGACCTTCTTAAAGTCATCGTGAGCGCCGCTGGTGACCGATGCAAAATTGAGTTCTTCCGAGACTCTTCCACCCAAGGTCATTATCATTCTGTCGTAAAGTTGAAGGGTAGACATGAGATGCTGGTCGGGAGGCAAGTATTGTGCGTAACCCAATGCACCTTGGCCTCTAGGGATGATAGAGACCTTAAGCAAGGGGTGGGCGTATTTCAAGAACCAGCCACACACAGCATGTCCGGCTTCATGGTATGCCACAATGCGCTTTTCATTAGGATCCAAGAGCTTGCTCTTCTTCTCAACACCTCCAATGACTCTCTCAATAGCCAACTCAAAGTGTCTCAAGGTGACAGCCTTAGCGTTATATCTGGCGGCAATCAAAGCTGCCTCGTTACAGACGTTTGCAATATCAGCACCAGAGAAACCAGGAGTCAAAGCAGCAAGACGGCCAGAGAGATGCTTGTCGATGTTCTCAACAACCTTGATTTTTTGCAAATGCACATCGAAGATTTCGATTCTGCCTTGCAATTCAGGGTTGTCAATAGTAATGTGTCTGTCGAATCTTCCTGGTCTCATCAAAGCCTTATCCAAAATGTCAGGTCTGTTGGTACCGGCAAGAACAACCACATGACTGGAGCTGTCGAAACCGTCCATTTCCACCAACAACTGGTTCAAAGTACTTTCACGCTCGTCATTGGCGCCACTGGCGTTACCCTTAGATCTGTTCTTACCAATAGCATCGATTTCATCGACGAACACAATGGAAGGAGCATTCTCACGAGCGGTCTTGAACAAGTCACGCACACGGGAGGCACCGACACCAACGAACATTTCAACGAACTCAGAACCGGACACAGAGTAGAAGGGAACACCAGCCTCACCAGCGGTAGCACGAGCAATCAAAGTCTTACCAGTACCTGGAGGACCGGAGAGAATGGCACCTCTGGGAATCTTGGCACCCAATTTCTCATACTTGGTAGGGTTTTGCAAAAACTTGACGAACTCCATGACTTCTTGCTTGGCCTCGCTCATACCCGCGACATCCTTGAATCTGATTTTGATATCCTTCTCCTGGTTGAATTTCTTGGCCTGGGACTTGCCGAAGCTCAAAGGTCCACCAGCACCGAGGTTCGCCTTCTTTGTCATGTAATAGATAGCACCAAGGAATAAAAGCGTGGGGAGGAAGTTGACTAAGATCTTAGCGATGCTACCCTCGGTGGAGTAGACCACGGGCACCCTCAATGAATCAGGAATCTTGTATTCATCCTGGACAGACTTCAACTGGCGCTCGAAAGACTCGACAGAGCCAATGTTGAAGTAGAAATCGCCACCATGGCCTCCACGGAGCTGTTTACCATTATCATTAAGTTCAACAACGGCAGTCTTGTTGTTGACAACATGGATCTTGGACACAAGGTTCTTTCTCAAGAACTCACCGCAGAACTCTTGGAAGGAAATTTCGCCCTCGTTGGCGCCATCGGAAAGGTAGAAGTAGGCAAAGATACCGACCATAAGAATCAATGAAAGCAGGTAGCTCACTTGTCCAAGCGTCTGCTTCATCTTGTCATCCATAACCGAGTCCTTGTCCTTGCTCTTCTTGTTTTCAGGTTGAGTATCCCAAGATTCAGACGATTCGCTCTGGGCGTCTTTCTTGAGCCAGCTAGACTCCGAGGCTGGTGGGTCGTAGTTCATAGTAGGGCTGACGAGAGGGAACAAAAATGGTTTGTCATCACAGGGAATAGATGCCCAGAAAGAGAAGGTCTGGAACCAGTTCAATGCAGAGTTGGCGGGCACATTCCATTTTTTCATAGCATCCTCAATAACGGCGGGGTCGTTCGTGGAAAGATCAAGCTCTAGAAAGCTTTTGAAGATCTTGGAAATCTCTTCGTCCGTGAACGTCAACTCCTCCATGAAGACCCTCTTGTTAGCGAGTCTGAAGTAGAACGTAAGGGCAGACTCGATCTCCTCTTTGGTGAATCTGGGCAGCTGGAAAGGCAAGTCCAACGCTTTAATTCTGTTCTCATATCCATGCATAATCAGCTTACCCTCACGAAGCTGGATGGCAAGAGAGGCCGATAAGGCAAAAGCTGTGTGGAAAAGCATTCTATATCTCTCAGACATCGACTCCGACAGAGCCTCAGGAAGAAGCACAATGTCTTTCTTGGAAGGGTCTCTCTTCCGTTCAGCATCTAGCTGGTCTAGCCACTTGGCAGCCAAGTCATCGAGTTCCTTGATTCTGGGCTTCTCCTGCTCCTCTCTTAACTTCGAGAGCATGCTATCTGGAGAAAAAGGCAAACCAAAGAAACTTAGCTGTCTGCTGCTCAGGACTGATATTGATTTTACAGCCGTCTGCAACGCAGGCCTTTTTAGTATAGGCCATGCCGCACGAGCAAGAAACATGTTGTGGATGGTTTGGAAAAGACAGTGATAAGTGAGTTTGTAAGGCCGGTATGATCTAGTTTTCGAAGGCGGTAGACTGCCCAATGCGGAAGGCAGTGCGACTTGCCGCTGAGTCCCATACAAGGAGCGAACACTTCAGTTACATGGTTTATGAAAAGAAAATTTGAAAAGAGATTAAAACGTAATCTTACTTCTTTTATGCTTAAGAGAGCTTCGATATTGACCTCTACGCCTCCTGGTATCAGCGCACTACTTAGAGTGCTACTCCCCATCAGGCGCGTTATCTTCGTATACTGTAATAAATAGTTCTGAGTGGCTTAAGTACTAAGAAGCTGTTTGTTTGTGCTGAAAGAAATGCCTTCATTCTTGCTCAGTAGTCAAACTGATCGGACCAAACGTCAAGATCTTTGATGCTTCTGTAATTGTCGCCAAGTACATACTGTTTCCTTGTGACGACAAAATGATAAAGTCTCTCGTCAAATTCACAGAGGGGGCCAAACCTTGCTCTGTAATACACAACATAGTCTCGCCATATGCTGTACTCAAAGAGCCAAAACTTGTAATGCACGCACATACACAGATAGATGTACAATAGCCTTAGCGCAAAGGGCTCCTGTGAGCGAACGTATTTAACGTAATCGTGGTTAATCAAAAAGAGCCATCTGAATAGCATGACTGGATAGTTGAATTTGAATGCAAGGCCACAGACCTTCTCCAACGTCTGTACACATTCTCTGTATGTATTGATCATGTGGCTTCTTTCCAGGTCAATTTCAAAGAAACTGAAATCCAGGAGGTATTCGTTGAGCTGCTTCTTGATATCCTCGACTATTTTGATCTTGGTTCTGGGAGAAAGAGCGAGCTCGTCGTTGTGAAATAGCTCTCCAATGTCTGAAGCTTGAAGGGGGCCAATGTAGGCTAGGACCATGCTTTTGAGACCAGAGGCCACATCAAGCAAATCGGCTTTACGCTCGCCATCCTCTGGGAAATGCACCAATGGCACCAACTTCCAGGGGTGGAGGCCCAAAAAGCCAAAAAGAAATGAATTTCCGATCGTGGCGCCGATGATATACGGAAGCTTCTCCAATTGTGTCAACCCTGGTGATTGGAGTTTTAGCATCGCTTGCTGAATGTCATTCATGGACTCAGAAAGAAGCTCAGAGGCCTTCCTGAATAAATTGACCTCACCGCCTTCTAATAAGTTCTCGTCAGCGAACAACTGCTGGACATCGAACTGGTCACAAACTTGTTCTAGCTCCATCAGCACCTCTTCCTCCGTCATTCCATCACGAATGACTCGCTGGAAGCCCATTGTGGGCATAAGGCTTAGACAGCCCGTTGCAAGTATAGCCAGCTTTATCAGAAGACAGTCGTTGAAGTACTGTGGCACGACATTTTCCCAGACAGACGCCTGTCTTTTATTGACATTGTAGGTGAAATGCGGTAGGCATATATCGTTGAAGAATCGTAGTATTCGTAGTTCGAAACGCAGAAGATGTAGCTGGTTTGCCGCCGAACTTAGAAGGATCTGAAATGTGAAATGCCTGGATTCAGAGAACGCGTCGTCCTCGAATGGAGTGTTCATTGCAGACGATACTGCCAGAGGCAGGGAGTAGTAATCGGATACATCGTTAGAAAGTGGTCCTTTGGATACTTGGAAGATGTCAGGATACACACAACGTCTTCCCGTATGGGAGCAATATTCACACGTCGGTAGGGCTTCATTGCACTGGAGTTAGCGTTGATTAGATAAGCATTGCAAAGAACATACTTTTATCTTGAGCTTTTTGCAGCTGAGACAGCCGTTTCGTGATAGACCCTTTTTGGGTCTTGTAGTTGGCATGAAGGATGGTTAACTCCACTGTGAAGTCCATGAAGGCTTCGATGGCGGCGATGTACAGGGCTTCAAGTACGGAGACGGATTTGCCAAATTAGGGTTTGTGGGGGTAGATTAAGGAAGTTTATGGAAAATATGGAGTTTTGGAAGATGATCAGGACTTGTTAGAGGTGCGTAAGGGTGCATTTGATATCTGCAGAGGCGGGACTTGGACTATTGAGATGGACCCTTAAAATGCACGTCCACCGTTGGCAATTCACCCATTGAACGATATAGAGAAAATTAGAATAAGGGGGTCAGTCAATGGGATTGAAAACGGCCTGATCGGTTAAAGGGTACTATAGTATGAGGGAGGAATCTGAGGGACTTTTTGACTGAGTGGTTGCCGCAGACGGACCAACCAAAAAGAAGTTTGTGTTCTCTTATTGAAAAAGTTAGATATTAATTGTAGATATTTCAGTTTCAAGTTTAAGCTTCATAAGCATGATACTCTAGAGGCACAATGGGTTCCAGACTTGGCCTCACATCCAGTGCCATACCCAAACTTGCCCCCACGAGTAAAACCGTTGATACTTTTGAAACGGGATGTCGAGACAACGGTATATCAAAGTAATGAAGATAGATAAACAATTTCCAACGCCGAAGCGAATCAGCTTTTTAAAGACGTACGCATCCAGATCGACAGGTTGCAGCCATATAGCAGCTATGCAGAAAGTTGATGTTCATTGCAGCCGTTATCCATCAAAAAGGCGGCATTTCCTCCAATCAGCTGCGACTTCGTTTCCTCCAAAATCCACTTTTCACTGTTTCAGATACCTACTGGATTCGGTATTGATCCGCTGACTGGTTCCCCTCCTCAGGCACATGCATACCGTCTAGGAAGAAAGAACCCTTTTCTCCGACCATCGAACATGCCAAGCCGATCTGGAAAGTATAAAGAGAGGGTGGAATCCCCAGGGGAGGGATTCGCTAAAATTTCGAAATCCTTTTCATCCATGTCGATCCCCCGCTGGGGTGCATTCAAAGCGTCATGAAATCCACAGATGAACCATAGACCCCCAGGAAGCAACTCAGAGACGAAACGACAACCATAATGCACTAACCACTTTTTTTTTTCTTCAAAATAAATCCATCCTCAATAGCATGGTGCCCGTTTTGAACCTCCTGGATCTCACCCCACTCCACCGTTAGATCTGCTGCATTGTTACATAATTGTCCGACAAAGCCGATGCCCAACCGATGAGCATCCAGTAACATTCACCAATTACCAATTTCAAACAAAATCCCTCCTTTCTGCATATTCATTCAGAGTAAGGCAAACCCACGTCATCCATATCGGGCCTGTTTGCGCAGCTGGATCATGCAAAGTTGTGGCATCGGTATCTAGATACCGATAGGCGAAAAGTTTCAGACTCCACCACGAGATCCCACAATTTGCCACGGAAACCCACGGAAAGCCACAACCAGCACCTTCCCATCCCAAATATCCAATAAATCATAAAAAATCTGACCTACCCCCCCTGTATTCCCATCTCATCGGCCCCTCGGTTGCGGAGCAACTCGGCTATGCGTTCCGGCCTGAACCGCACCGACCAGGTTAGTTCCGACGGAGAAGCTCATATATAAATACAAAATCAGGCGTTTCGTGGTCTTGGTACGCCCCCGCATCACCGCTCCTTTTTTCAAGAAATCTGACATTGCCCCTCAACGACTTTTCTGGGGTTGGCTGCGAAATAACCTCGGCTGCGCATCAAGCAATTCACGTCAATCAACTACACCTTCTTATGCAAAAACCCGAGCGCAAGGTCTTATCGCTTGACGACCACTCGCCAGATCCCGAGGTGCTCTCTCCGGATGAGGATCTGGACATTGACGAGTATGTTCCAGAAACGGGTCACAACATTTCCAGACGGTATACCCACGAGGACGCAACCTCCTTAGTGGGAGGCCAGTCGGTGGAGGGCGAGGAGGCCGATAAGGCGTACCTGGGCCAGGCCAAGGTTTTCTCCTTCTCGCTTCCCTTTGGCGGTGGAATCTCGTCGTTGACGTCCAGCATTAAGCTTCCTTTTGGCACTACCAAGGAAGCAGACCGCGAGATCGAGCACATCAGGCTCCGGTTGAAGCGCCACGAGTCGGTGCTGACCGCGGACGAGGCCAAGTTCTTTTCACACCACAAGGGAACAGACGATGTGCGTTTTCGTGCCGTCAAGGCCTCGATCAAGGAGAACATCTCGGAGTTCTTGCCGGACTTCATCCACGCCAAACAGAAGAAGGAGAAGCCGTATGACGCCGTTTTCAACACCATTGACGGTCCGATCGTGATCATGGGCGGCTACCGAGGCCTGATCTTGCGTGACGCCAAGACCCATAAGCGTGTTTGGATCCCCTTGAAAGCTGGCTTCAATCTCCGGAAAATCGACCTTCTTTTGGGTCCGCTGCTTCAGGATGAGCTCAAGGCGACCGACTTGATCTTTCCCGATGGCGTGCTCAAAAATGTCGGCCCCATTGACATTTGCAAGCGCTTGATCAAGCGTTTGGACAGTAACCCCAAGACGGTGGTCAGGGAGTTCGGCTACGACTGGCGTCTTGATCTCAACCAAACTAGTGACCAGCTTGTGGATTTCTTGAAGAAGCTCAGACGCGAGACGGGCAAGCCCTCGATCGTCATTGCCCACTCAATGGGTGGTCTTGTTACCCACGGAGCATTGAACAAGAACCCCGAGTTGTTCCGAGGCATTATAGATGTGGGTGTGCCGAGCGAGTGTCTCAACATTTTGGGTCCGATCCGTTACGGTGACCTGATTCTCCTCTCGGACAAAATCTTGACCTTCGAGACCAACTTCATGATGCGTTCTTCGTTTGTCTTCTTGCCATTGTCTGGTCGCGTGTTCGCCAACAAGGACACTGGCGAATGGTACGATTTGGACTACTTTGATCCCGAGACTTGGGTGAAGTTCAACTTGAACCCATTGGTTTCGGAATCCAGGAGAATCCAGGAGCAGGAAGGCACCAAGTCACAAGCCTCCATTGACACATTGGTCCAGAGTCCCATTGGATCGCCTAAACTGGGCAACACGCTACGACCACCATCAGAGAGCGACTCTTCGTCGTCGCTCAGTTTCGGCAAAATCAAGCTTGCAAGACCCAGAAGCATCAATCGCAAAAACAAGCCACCCACACTTACCAATACGCAAATGCAGCGTAAGCATAAATCGTCGCCAGCCAGCCCAGCATCGCCCACGCCTTCCAACGAGGACATTTTCCATGACTTCCATTTTTCCTTCACTTTTACTGAAGCATATGATTACTTGAAGAGGGTGCTCAAATCCGCTAAGGAGTACGTCTTGAGCCTTGACTACAGAGAAGAGTACAAAAACCGCTATCCACCAATGGCGGTGGTTTACGGTAACACGATCCCGTCGTTGCGTGGATCGCATGTCAGAAGTCTTCAGGACATCAAGGACGGTAACTACTACGACTTCTTCTACGGTCGTGGAGACGGTGTGGTGCACCAGCGTTGGTTGATGCCCGAGGACAAGGGTTTCAAGTTCTGGAATCCCGAAACGAAGGAGGGCCACATTGTTGGAAAATTCGAATCCGATGCTGGGCATGTCAATTTGATGGCAGACCATAAGGCCATGGGTCTCGCTCTTGATGCTATCTTGAGAGCAGAGGAGAACTGGCAGCGTGACTGGTCCCACGACCAAGCCGTGATGTAGGTGTGACGCTGGCGATCCACCAAACATGCATTTGATGCAACTACACTTTAGAGAGTCGTGTATGGCGTTGTCTATATGCGGAATGGCCACGGCAGTATCTATCTGTGCTGTCTTGCCATGGATCCATTGATGCTGTGTTGTTTCGTTATCATTGATTCTGTCAGGTCTTGGAGTGTCAATCATCCTGTGGGGCCTCCAGGGCTTCCTCGTCCGAGGCTTCCTCGTACACAACGGTGATCCACAAACTGCACGATGCACACGAAACCATGATCTGAAAGCCTCCCATCCCATCGGGAGTGCCATTTTCCAAGTCCTCCTCAGAAAGTTGCATGGCACCTTCAGAGGTGCACCGAGGACAAGCTCTAGACCACAATAGACCCTCTGCTGTCTCCAGCTCGTCGAACAGCTCCAATGTATATACATCAAGCCCTGCACCAGTTATAGAAAATCCCTGTTTCTTGTAGCTCTCCTGGAGCTCCTCCCAGTATGCTTTGGCTCGTTCAGGTACACTGAGCACCTCATATGCTTTTTTGATAAGGTCGATGGAAACCACTCCTTCGCCGCCTTTGTCCGGATGGCTTTCTAGTAGCCTTTTTCTATAGGCCGCCTTGACATCCTCCACAGAAGCGTCTGGAGACACATTCAACACCTCATAGTAGGATTTCATCAAAGTGTGCGATGTGCGATGAGATGCGAAAAAGATCACCATCTACTACTACCATGGGCAAGTCGGACAAATCCACCGATTTGAAAGTCACGTCGGTGGCCACAGACCCAAGTCTAGTTGTGGGTGCTTTTTTCAACGGTTTGGAAATCCCCACGGATACCTCCTTCGATCTTTACAAACACCCGGTTGAAGACGACTACCTTCTCCATGGAGAAAACAGCACCTTGGAGTACAACGGACTCACGCTGGACAACCAGGACAATAACGACTACGTGGTTGCACTTTACGACGCCAAGCTGAAGCTGGTGGAGCTTTACAAGGCTCCTCTTGTACAAACCAGAGTCACATCGCTAGACAGCAGGGTGCACAAGGGACCCAAGATCAAGAGCAGAGGATCCAAGTATGTGGACCAGAGATTGGCGTTGGGCCAGGAGTTCGGTACCAAGAAAGCCAAGGCTGCTATTGCGTCGTTGGCCAGAAACAGAATCGACTTGGAGAAGTTGCAGGATCTGGAGATGGACATTGTGGATACCGTGAAAGAACTGACAGCAGACTTGCCTCTGGTGCAGCTGATCCAGGCGGCTCCCGAAAACTCCGTGGTGCCTCCGGTCAACGCCGATGCCACCAACGTGGAGGACATTTACGCTTTGGACGGCATTGTACCTCCTCTGGAGCTTTCTTCCATCAGAGTGTCTGCCTTTTTGGAAGAGTCCGACCCCGCTGCTCGTTTGGAGCTCATGCCTTACAAATCCGCCTTTGTTGCCAGACACTTGGACAAGCTTGTGCTGTCGCTGAACGAAAGAAAGTTGCAAATGTTGTACTATGTTTCGTTGCTCATGGGTGTGTACCAGAACAGAAGAAAGAGAGACAAGGCATCGCTCATGGAGGCGTTGGGCAACAAGCCCCTGGAGCTTCTAGTGGACGGTGTGTTGAAGCGTTTCACCGCTCACAGAAGAGGCGATCTCGGCAAGGCCAAGGACCGTTCTTTCATTTTCGACACTCACAACGAGGACAAGTTGTTCTGCTACATGCTTGCGCTCATGTTCCACATCGAGGGCTTCTTCCTCGAGTTGACTCCATTGTCCAAGGACCTCAACCTAAAACCCTCCAAGCTTGCCCTTTTGTTCAAGGCTTTGGGTGCCAGAATCCGTCCTGCTACTGTTGGCATGGCCGAGGCTCTTGGTATTCCAAAGAAGGAGGCTTCCACATACAAGATCGCCGAATTGAAGGTGCCCTTCACCCCGCCAGAGATGGTCTCTCACCGCAGAAGGTGATAAATAGCATGTTATACACACTGAAAGGTAGAATTTGCAGCGTATAAGTTTTGTGGGATGCCACGTGACAGGTCACGTGCGCGAACTTTCGCTAGGTCTTTATCTCTGTTGATCTTTGAATCCCATCCATCAATCATTATGGCAGACTTAGCAGATGCTCTCACGAAGCTAGCCGACAATGAACAGGCTATGGGCGATGCTGAAAAAGACGTGGAAATCTTCAGAATCCAGCGCATGCAAAGCATATACAAAAAACGGGCAGACATCACCAAGACCATACCCCAGTTCTGGTACATCGTTTTAGCCCAAAATGACGACTTTGGTGAGTACATCAGACCCGAAGACTTAAAGTACCTTGAAACCATCACAGACATTTATGTGGATCACCCAATTGCCGATGCAAAACACTACAGAGATTTCACCATCACTTTTTCATTTGGTGAGGGCAGTGTTCCAAAGCAAGATGTAACCAAAAAGTTCACGACTGTGGACGAGGATGGTGAAGCTAAGATTTACTCAGAGCCAGCCGAAGTCCAATGGCCAGAGGAGCTCAAAGACATTTCTCCAGCGCTAATCAGAAAGAACAAGGAGAGCGAAAACTACACCTCTGACGAGAAGAAGAGATACAGACAAGGCATGAAATCGCTTTTTGCGTGGTTCGAGTGGACAGGCAAAAAGCCTAGTAAGGAGTTCAGAAGCGGAGAAGATTTGGCCCGTTTGATCGTGGACGACTTGGTTCCCAATGCCGTGCATTACTACTCTGAGGCCATGAACAACGATGGAGAGTCTGAAGTGGATGATAGTTCCGAAGGTGAGGAGCTAGATCTCAGTGACGACGAGCCCGAGAAGAAGAAGCAGAAGAAGGAGTAGAGGTGGCGTTGATAGGATAGTCAATAAAGCATGGATCTGGTGGGGAATTATGGTTCTGAGGCATTGTGAGAGTCATGATTGGTGAGGGTATAAGAAAGGGCCGATGTATGTTTGGACCGGGGTCAGGGCCACTAAACTCCGTCTCATCAAAAGAATTAACAATCTTGAAGAACGTCAACGATATAAAGAAGTCTATCTGGTAAGTTGATATCTTGAATGGTACGCTAGATTGTATGATTGATCAGTAGTTAGATGGCAGCAAATATCAGAATTATAGTGAAGTCAAAGGAACACTTCATTTGAATTTAGCCTGAGTCCAAATTTATCAATGTTGATTTTCCTCATTTCTGTCATTTCCCTCATCCCTTCGTTCAATCATCGCTTCATGCGCTTAAAGCAACTCTAGATAATACTCACCTTCTTACCTAGTGCGTATGAGCATTTTGCAGCCACCTCAAGGGAACCCAAAATTCCACTATAAACTGCAATTTTCACAATCCACCATCTCCTTCCGTTCAATCAAATATTTGACCCTCCCCAAAAACCGATAGCCACATTCACCTTCTCCTGGTCCGACTCGTACCACTTCCACCAGAATGGCGCGGTTTTTCAACACCAACTACTATGCTTCGGCTAATTCGTGGTCTAGCCACCGCTGCCAAACCAAAACTTCAAGACATCGTCATTGTGGGAGGCGGACCAGCGGGTCTTTCGCTTCTCCTGGCTTTGAAAAATACCCCGTCAACCAGCCACCTCGGATGTACCCTAGTAGAGGGTCTGAGTCTAGACGGGGTAAGAAAGTTTGCCCAAGATCCTCCAGAAAACTACACCAACAGGGTGGTTTCCCTTACGCCCAAGTCTGTTGACTTCATGAACAACAACCTGGGCAGCTGGGACTACATTCAGACCGACAGAGTCAAATTCTACGACAACATGATTGTGTACGATAGCCAGGACTCAGAAGCTCGCATCGAGTTCGATACCTCGGTGGTTCCCGGAGCCGGTGCCATTGCCGCCATGACCGAGGTTGTGAATATCCAGGGTTCGTTGTTGGAGAAGATCGAGGCATTGAACGAGGAATTGGAGCCTGAGCATAGAGCCAATATCGTGGAAAAGGCTCGTGTGGTCGACATCAAGCAGGGAGAAGGTGACTTGGACTGGCCTGTGGTGACGTTAGATAATGGTGAAAGCTACCAAACTCGTCTTTTAGTTGGTGCCGATGGTCAAAACTCGCCAGTTAGAAAGTACGCTCGTATTGAGTCTCGTGGATGGCCTTATAACCGTTTCGGTGTTGTGGGTACCTTAAAATTGCAGTATGAGGACTGGAGATCAGTGGCGTGGCAGAGGTTTTTGACAACCGGGCCATTGGCCATTCTTCCATTGACCGACGATAACGCTACGTTCGTGTGGTCCAGTACTCCCGAATTGGCAGACACCTTGTTGAAGGTGGACGAGACCATTTTCCCCCACTTGATCAACGCCGCTTTGGTGCTCGAAGAGGTCGATCTCAATTACATCTACAAAGCCTTGAAGGCCAATCCTAACGACCAGCTGATGATCGAGGAGATTCAGTGGAGGCTCTCGAGAATCCCTGAGGAGGAGCTCGAGGAAAAGTACCCAGTGCCAATTGCCGAGATCGTTTCGGGTTCTCGGGCTAAATTCCCCTTGAAGCTTCTCCATGCTGATACATACACTGCTCCAAGAGTGGCATTGGTTGGAGACGCTGCTCATACTGTACACCCATTGGCAGGACAGGGTCTCAATATGGGCCAGACAGACGTGGCCGCTTTGGTCGAAACAATCGAAACCGGCATTGCTCGTGGCCAAGATATCGGTTCCACTCTCACCTTGGACTACTATACTGCCAAGGCGTGGCCCTCAAATCACGTTTTGATGGGTGTCTGTGACAAGCTTCACAAGATATTTTCCACGGACTTCACGCCTATTGTTATGTTGAGAGGATTTGGTTTCAAGCTGATCAACATGTTTGGGTCTATCAAGGACATGATGATAAAAGCCGTTAGTGGCAATCCATGAGATGAGGAACGGATTTAACGGATGAAAAAAGAAATGCATTTACGAAACAACGAGGTCTTTCATGACGTTGCGGGCTTCTTTGAAATTTGTCGAAGTTATTAGCTCATGCATGAGATATGGAAGCATCTCGCAAAGTCCTGTCAAAAGGGCATCTAATGTATATACCTGCAGCTGGATCATGTAGAAGTCGAATTTTACGTAGAGCTTTATTTCTGGAGTTAGACGTTTTTTTTTTTTTTTTTAAAAAAAAAAGAGGATTTTGTTATTCGAAGCTGTGCTACTTATTTTTATCTCGCTTTCGTTAATGAAATCGCCTTATCAAGTGAAGAAATGCACTTATATATATATATATATATGTATCTATTTATGCAAACAATTCTAACTTCGACAAACATCTTTGTCGTTTAATAATCACCTCCCAAAGCTCTATCAGGATCTTATCACACGACAGTAGACGTTAAGTATTGGTGTACGGGTGCAACATATCACCTTGATCGCTTCTCCAGGTTTCAGCAACCATATAGTACCATGTTCAGGCAGCCATTGAGGGCAGGGGCAGGCCTCTTGTTTATACACCCTCTCCCATACGTTAGCAGCATCAAAAATCTTTGGAACAATAAGTCCGAAGATGACAAAATAGATGCTAACGACAAATATGATATCAAACTCATCAAAGGTAAGTTCAGCAAGCTTCGAGACCATTACGGCGTACCCAAGCACCCCATAGTTTTGTGTCACGGGCTCCTGGGCTTCGACACGCTAAACTTGTTTGAGCTTCCCCAGTTTGCCGACACCGATCTCGAGATGATAGCTGAAAGTGTCCAAGGAAGCGGTATTCTGGTGAATTATTGGCATGGAATCGAGGATGCGCTTACCAAGGCTGGAGCACTGGTTATCACGGCCCGAGTCCCACCTTTTGGAACTATAGATCAGCGAGCCGAGCGTTTGGATGCTTTGTTAAGGGAGAAATGTGAGGATCATGAAGAAAAGACACACGGAGAAAGACTCAAGATCAACATCGTGGGACACTCCATGGGTGGCCTTGACGCCAGGTACCTTATTCTGAAACTCCAAACCGACAAGTCTCCCTATGAAGTTGTCAGTTTGACCACAATTGGTACACCTCATCATGGATCCGAATGTGCCGATTTCGTCATGGATATCGTAAACGCAGACAAAACTCTCCAGAAAATCTGTCCCCGAGCCATACCACAGTTGACAACGCTGTTCTTGAAGGAGTTCAACAAAGAGGTCACCAATAACAGCAATGTGTCATACTTCTCTTACGGCGCTCTGATGCCACCCCATGGAGTCTGCGTCTTTCGTGCCACATATGAGATTATCAAGCACGAAATTCAAAAACGTGGTGGAACTCATTGGGAAAACGATGGCATGGTCAGCGTTGAGCTGTCCAAATGGGGAGAGTACTTGGGCACATTGTCAGATGTTGACCACCTAGACCTTATCAATTGGACTAACCGCATCAAGTCAACAGTCGATCAACTCGTCTTTGACAAATCACCCTCGTTCAACCCCATTGCATTATACTTAGAAATTGCAGAAAATCTCAGCAAACGTGGGTTCTGATCATGGGTTGGCTGTGATGACCTTCTCGAAGCTAAATTCGTCAAGCCCCCACTTATTGTTGAATCTGCCAAAACCACTCTGGCCAACTCCTCCATGGGGAACTGTCGCTTCATCGTGCACAGTTGATCCATTTACGTGAACGGCGCCAGTGTCGATTTTCTTGGCCACTGCAATTGCATTCAACACATCTTTAGACCAAATGGATGTCTTGAGGCCGAATCTCAAGTCATTCACTGCATTCACAACACCGTCTATCGTGTCGTACTTTATGACGGAGAAGACAGGACCGAAGGTTTCTTCCACATAAATGTTCATAGATTTATCCACATCAGTCAAAATCAAAGGCAGAACAAAAGCGTCAGACAGCTGCTTGGGGTCACCAAAAGCAACTTTAGCACCCTTTTCAAGCGCCTGACTCACTAATCCACGGACTTTATCCGCACCTTCAACATCTCTAAGTGGAGTTTTCTCAGCAGACTGTTGCTGGGCTTTTTTCACCAAAATTTTCAAAAAGTCGTCATAGACCGAGCTGTGTACGAAACAGTTATCAAGACACATGCAAATTTGGCCATTATGAAGCCATGCACTGAATAGCAGGGATTCTGCAGCTTTTTCAAGATCGGCATCTGGAGTGATGATCAGCACATTCTTTCCTCCAAGCTCCAACAACATAGGTTTCAAAGCGCTTCCTGCGATTTGGGAGAGTTGGGATCCAAGCGCCGAGGATCCGGTAAATGTGATTTTCTTGATTTTGCTGTGCTCAATGAGTCTCTTTGTCGCTTCAGGCTGGTCCTTTGGTGCAAATTGAGCCACTTGCAAAGCTTCCTTGTCAACGCCAGCCTTATGGAAATCCCTAGCAAAAAGGTAAGATGTGATCGGAGCCTTTTCCAGCGCTTTGGCAACCACAGAACATCCAGCGGCCAATGGTGCAGCTATAGCCCGAGCCCAAAGCACAGTAGGAGCATTCCATGGAGCAATTGAAAGCACGGGTCCCACTGGGCTCTTTATAGACATGGCCAATTGACTCATTTTGCTTTTCAAAACCTCGCCGTCCGGTCGAGAAATAGGCAGAGCATGTTCCACAATGTTCTGGTAGGCCATCTGTGTGATGATTTCAGCAAACGGCCTCGCAGCTCCGATAGCCATGTGAGCCTCGACATACTGTTCCTTGTTCTTTTGAACTAGACTAGCAGCTGCTCTAAGAATTTCACATCTTTCGTCGAATGGTCGGCTCGACCACTTTGAGTAACCTTTATAAGCGTCCTCGCAGATGTCGTCTATAACGTCTAGATTATCGATGGTCTCGTAGTTACATACGAGTTCTTTTGTGGGTGAAAGCGAAGGTATGCTTTTGAAGGAGGCTCTTGTGGAGCTTATTAGCGAAGGGATGGTCGGGAACTTCGGCATTTAATGAAAGTAGTATGTGCGATGAGCTGCGAAATGTGGAGTCAACCTCTGGTGATGGCTGAGTAGGTAAGACAGGTTCGGGCAGTGGCTAAAAAAGAGTCACTTTTTGAAATTTTATTTAGATCAAGATTTTTTAGCCTCTTAAGAAATCACGAAGCTGAAAACTTTTTTGAAGTTGATGTATTGAAGGTGATTCCCAAGCCGGAGTTTTTCGGAGATTTTGCAACCACGAGGACCCCATTGTTGCATAATGAGCAGGGGAGAACAGTTTACGACTATAGAAGTGATTTTTGTCAAAAAGCTTTGGAGAAAATACCAGGAATTATGGACTGCCAGTATTAAATGCTTCGATAGTTTGGTCGTGGTCAAGTGCGGTCAATGGCTGCAAAATGAGACAGATTGTTACGGCGCCAAGACAGCAATAGAATACAAAATACGACCGAAAGGAGGATGTCAGGGGTGACGATTTGGAGAGGCTTTCTCCTATAGTAAAAGAGCTTTCCATATTTGTAAAGTCTACTGGACATTTTTAGGTGAGTCTTTTTTGCCCGGTCCTTACCGCATTAGTGCAATAACTGTTAGTGATCATCAGTCGAGAATGCAGAGGATAATGAAATATAACTCTTTTGGTAACTTACTGGACTGCTGGTTATGATATGATGGGTTCAGGACTCAGTCGACTACGAATCCAAAGAATCTTGAACTGAGAAGTAACCCAGTAACCTGTCTCTGTTCTTGCCCGTGTAGAATTTTTCAAGGTCCAAAATCCTCGTCAAGGTTCGTCCATGAAGTCACCAAAACGGCCTTCTTTGATCGGACTAACCGGCAATTCACTCCACTTTCCAGTCTACCTTGAATCACACTGACCCACATACAAACTACAATACCAACTCTTCGTTATGATGTATTAGCGCTAATACATATAGAATCTATACATACAATAGCGAGATTTCAATCGTACAAACGACCAATATTTCCCCGTTGCAGCACCTCTGCCCTAAGCAGAAGCACCACTGCAAAACACTTAGTAGCCGAAAGAAGCCAACTTCTTGGCAACCTCGGTCTCAGAGGCCTGGGCCTGGGCAGCAGCCAACTTCTTGGAAGCAGCAACCTTTCTGGCGTGGTACTCAGCGGATCTCACCTTTCTCTTCTCCTCCAACTTGTCAACAACGGACTCGTACTTCCAGCCGACAGCAGTGGAAAGCTTACCGACGGTGGTGTACTTTCTGCCCTGCTTCAATCTGAGGACTCTCAAAGCCTGAGGAACGACAACTCTCTTCTTCTTGTCGTATGGAGGAGGAATACCATCGAAGACCTTCAATCTCTCCAAGGCAGCCTTACCTCTGGCGGTCTTGTGAGGAATCATACCTCTGATGGCCTTGTACAACACTCTGGATGGGGCTCTGAAGTGGAAAGGACCCTTGGTCTTGTTGTATCTGGTAGCCTTTCTCAAGTAGTCGTGGAACTTCAACTTGTTTCTGAAGAACTCACCGGAGATGTTGAGGGCCTCACATCTGACCACAACGACCTTCTGACCGTTCAACAACTGCTTGGCGACAATGGAGGCCAAACGACCCAACAAGTGACCCTTACCGTCAATGACAACAACTGGCTGGAAATCGGACATTGGTATATACTTTTCCTGGTTATGGGAGGATGGAAGAAGAGGTTTTTTTTTTGGTGAGGGTATGAAAATTTTACTCGCTGCAAGGCTCCTGCAGGCTTCCCCAGCTAGTGCGACAGTATGTACTGGGCCCAGGCGTGGTGTGTGCAGACAGAAGGAGCATGGTGAGTGTATTATACAGTCACGTGGGCTAGGGCTCAGCCCTAAGCACCCCAAGCATTCACCACGTTTTCGTCAGTGAAACATCAAGGGAACCCACAGTTCATGAAAACTTTAATTTGATAGCTCATTGCACTGTTGTGTACACTCCACGTGTCTTCATTGGTCTTTGTAAGTGATAGTTGCACGGTATGCTTGAGGTCCAATGGCTGCGAAAAAGGCAGGCTGGGAAGTAACACAAGATAATGGATTCAACGGATGATGTGGAGGTGAGTGATTTTCTATTGAAGACTTACTCGAAGTTAGGCTGAGGCTTAAAGTCAGATCAATGAAAGTCGATTCATCTAGCTTCAAGTTCAAGAGGTTCAATGTTTGGGACGACAAAAGAGTATGAGTTATCGGTGTAAGAGGCAGAGCCTACTGATCATTGGAACCCCTCCCGTGTTCTTAATTTATGATAGATTTTTTTGGTTCATGCTTGTGATTATTTCAGAAAGAACCGTCAAGGGCAGAAGGCAATATCCAACTCACATCTCACTACGACGCCACATCTTGCTCTCATCAGTTTTAATTGCACATTGCATTTTAGATCAACTAAATACTATTTTACACCTTAAGCTCACCGGCTCTGATCAAGTGGTTAAGGATGGCGACAATGGCCTTCAAAGAAGACTCACTAACGTCCGAGTCAATACCGCAACCCCATCTGGTGGTCTGCTTACCAGCAGAGTTGATAAAGGAAAGCTCAATGTAGGTGGCGGCCTTGACGGAAGAACCGGCACCAAGGGAGTGCTCTGTGTAGTTCTTCACCTCGAAGAAAGTGCCGAACTGCTTGGCAACAGCATCAACAAATGCAGAAATAGGACCGTTGCCCTCACCAGAAATAGTAACAGACTTACCGTTGATAACCAAGTCAGCCTTGATCTCACGGGTGTTGTTCTCGCCCTTACCTCTGGTGGTCTCGTAGTCGTCAAGCTTGATGAAGGACTCACCAGTGTAGATGTAGTGTTTCTTGAAGAGGTCGTTGATTTCTTCAATCTTCAACTCTCTGCCGCCCTTGTCGGCCTCGTTCTGCACCACAGTAGAGAACTCGACCTGTAAGGTTCTTGGCAAGTCCAAGCCCATGGATCTCAAGATCACCCAGGCAGCACCACCCTTACCAGACTGCGAGTTGACTCTGATAACAGCCTCGTAAGTTCTGCCAATGTCCTGTGGGTCCAATGGCAAGTAAGGAATCTTCCACATTGGGTCGTCTGGGTTCTTCTCGGCTCTCTGGAAGCCCTTCTTGATGGCATCCTGGTGGGAACCAGAGAAAGCACAAACGACAAGGGAACCAGAGTATGGGGCTCTTGGGTGGATAGGGATCTTGTTGCACTTCTCGGAGATGGCAATCAATTCCTCAATGTCAGAAAAGTCCAATTCGGGAGAAACACCGTTGGTGTACAAGTTCAAAGCGAGAGTAACCAAATCAACGTTACCGGTTCTCTCACCGTTACCGAACATACAACCTTCGATTCTGTCAGCACCAGCCTGAACACCCAACTCGGCAGCGGCAACACCGCAACCTCTGTCGTTGTGAGGATGGACGGAAACACAGACCTTCTCACGTTCACTGATGTTTCTGCAGAAGTACTCGATCTGGTCAGCGTAAATGTTAGGGGAAGCAACTTCGACGGTGGCGGGCAAGTTGAAAATCAATGGGTTCTCGGTGGTAGGTTCCCAGACGGCCTTGACAGCCTCACAGATCTCCAAGGCAAACTCGGTTGGAGTGTCAGAGAAGCACTCTGGCGAGAATTCAAGGGTCCACTCGGTGTCCTGTCTCAGAGGGTCATCTTTAGTCAAGGATCTCACCAACTTGGCGGTCTCCACGGCCTTCTCAACAGCCTGCTCTTTGCTCATGTTGAACACAATGTCTCTGAAGACGTCAGAGGTGGCCAAGTAGATGTGAATGATGGCCTTTTTGGCACCAACAACAGACTCGACGGTTCTGCGGACAAGGTGCTCTCTGGATTGGGTCAAGACCTGGATAGCAACGTCATCTGGGGCGTTTTCCACCGCGTACCTGGTGAAGTCAAAGTCAGTCTGGGAAGCAGAAGGGAAGGAAACCTCGATTTCCTTGAAACCAACCTCGATCAACTTCTGGAAGTACTCCTTCTTTTCAGGAATCGACATGGGGTCGGGAAGGGACTGGTTACCGTCTCTCAAGTCTGTGGAAAGCCATCTTGGAGCCTTGGTGATTTGCTTGTCTGGCCAGGTTCTGTCAGTAAGCTTGACGCCTTTGAACATGGTGTATTTCAGGGAGGGATCCCTCAACATATTCTTGTAAGGCATGATGTTGTAAGTCGGTTTCTGTAGTAACACCCTGGACTGTTTGAACATGGTGAAGAAAAAAAACTGGCGATGATGTAGAAGCGACTATATATGCTTTGGGTGCAAAGTAAAAATTCGTCAGGCTTTTCGCGCAACCGGCCCGGTCTGGGGTAATTGTTAGGGGACTTTCGGATCAGGGGAGGAGAATTCCAAAGAAAAGAAGGAACTTTCTGGATGCTGTTTTTTGTGATGCTGATGGCTGGTTTCTTATAAACTGGCCAGTTTGACGTTTTTATGTGACTCATGGCCCCACCTTGCAGAGGGGTAGGTCTGACTCAGAGGTTGCGAAATACAGGAGCTGGAACTAACCATGGAATGGGTTCAACGTGGCCCCATTTCGGAGGAAAAAAAAAACTACATAAGGGGGACGTTTTCCCCTAGAATTTTAATAAAACCGCCATTTTTGTTGTACTTTGAACCCCTCTGCTCCTCAGGCTCAGAGGGCATTCTAGCCAGTCAATGTGGGCCGATTTGGCATTTCGCAGCTTCCCCATACTTACGGCCCGGTTCCGCACCGCTAATACCCTGCAAGCAAGTTTCCACAGTAGACGCTTTCCTTCCGCCTGGTTATTCTCGGCTGATGGATTTTAGCATTCGTGCGTGGCTGTGATCTGCAGTTTCAGGGTTCAGGTGGTTTTTGGTTTTGTGTGCTGTGATGTAGATTCGGCTGTTGTGTTGTGGGGTTCTGTAGCGTGAAAAATTATGCTGTTTGGAGCGAGGGACAGGCGATGGAAGTGCCGTGGGTCGGGTACTTTTTAAGAGACGTTTTCAGACCAAAAGCAGTTAGCTTTTTAAATAAGAAGTCCCTTCTCTGTCAGAAGTTTTTGTCCGATTAATGAAGTATGGGCTATGTTACTGATTCTGTTGTCGTCTCCGGTTGGAGGGAATGTGATCATAACAGGGCTCTGAACACGGCAAGGGTTTGAAACACTTTTCGTCGTATCGACATGGAAAGAGTTTTTGAATCTCCAGATTTAATCTTGAGCCGGGTTTCTATGTAGCACTCATGCCATCTTTCATTACTCCTGTTAACGATAATCAAAACCTGCGATATCGTAAAACATTACGCAAACAACAAAAGAGTCAGATTCACGCAGCGCTGGTAGCAACGGTTCTCTAGAGTCGAGTACTTAAATCCCCTTGACACTTTGTTGCAATCCTACCTCTGATTGTCGTGTACCACAGTACTCCACATTATTCTGATACCAGCCAATCTGGGGCGCTACATTCTACTACTAAATTACAATCAGTCAATTAAATCCCCCTTTACTACTGCTTTCATACCTGATTTTCTTCCTCGGGTCCCTCCGATAGAGCATCCCCTATAATCCTTAATGTCGTGAGACTGGAGCAATGGTTGCAAATGAGCCGCACCATCTTCAACCCGCATGCTCTGGAATTTCAGAAAAATAAATCAAACATGTCTTTCAAAGTCCATCGCTTCATCATTCCAGATCAAATAAATAAAAAAATCACCCTTTTTGCTTCCTCTCTGTGTACTTTTAGTCTACCCCGGGTCGATGAGCAGCGCCAGTGTGCAGCACCTCATCAGCGAAAAAAGCACCCTGCTTGAGAATTTCTCTTCTCATCTCCACCACATTTTTTACAACAATGGCTAAATCTTCTACCAAGGCCGCTAAGGTCACCAAGGCCACGAAAAAGCAGGAATCCTCCAGCGAGTCCTCCTCTTCCTCGAGTGACTCTTCCTCCTCCAGCTCCTCCGAGTCCGATTCTTCCTCGGACTCCTCAGACTCTGAATCTGAGGATGAGAAGCCTGTTGCCAAGAAGGAGTCCTCCCTGAGCAGCTCCAGCTCCTCTGAGTCCAGCTCTTCTGAGTCCGACTCTGATTCTTCCAGCTCCGACTCGGACTCTGATTCTGATTCTGACGATGAGGAAGAGAAGCCTGAGCCCAAGAAGGAGGCCAAGAAGGAGACCAAGAAGGAGGAGAAGAAGGAAGAGAAGAAGGAAGAGAAGAAGGAGTCCAGCTCCTCTGATTCCGATTCCGACTCTGATTCTTCTTCCTCCTCCTCATCCTCCTCCTCATCCTCCTCCTCCTCGTCTGATTCTGATTCCGATTCCGACTCAAGCTCTTCTTCCTCGTCCAGCGATTCCGACTCCGACTCGGATTCTGATTCTGAGACCGAGGACCAGGAGGAGCCCGTCAAGAGAAAGGCCGAGGAGTCCGAAGAGTCCGAAGAGGCCCCAGCCAAGAAGCAGAAGACCGAGTCTACTCCAGATGCCGAGCCTGCTACCCTTTTCGTGGGCAGATTGTCGTGGAACGTTGACGACGAGTGGCTCAAGAGAGAGTTTGAGCCAATTGGCGGTGTCACCGGTGCTAGAGTCATGTGGGAGAGAGCCACTGGTAAGTCCAGAGGTTACGGTTACGTTGACTTTGAGACCAAGGCCGCCGCCGAGAAGGCTTTGGCTGAGTACCAGGGCAGAGAAATTGACGGCAGACCAGTCAACTTGGACATGTCTTCCGGTAAGCCCCAGACCCCAAGAAACCAGGACAGAGCCAAGAAGTTTGGCGACGTTCCCTCCGCTCCTTCTGACACCTTGTTCATCGGTAACTTGTCCTTCAACGCCTCCAGAGACCAGTTGTTTGAGGTTTTCGGTGAGCACGGTAGCGTGATCTCGTGCCGTGTTCCAACCCACCCAGACACCCAGCAGCCAAAGGGATTCGGATACGTCCAGTTCTCCTCTGTTGAGGAGGCCCAGGGTGCTTTGAACGCCTTGAACGGTGAGTACATCGAGGGCCGTCCATGCAGATTGGACTTTTCCACGCCTAAGGAGCCATCTGCTAGACCAGGTTCCGGCAGAGGTGGTCGTGGTGGATTTGGAGGCCGTGGTGGCTTCGGTGGACGTGAGAGATCGGCCACCCCCACGAGATCTGGCCCCAACAACGCTCAGTTCCAGGGTAAAAAGAAGACTTTCGATTAAACGGATTGCATTGACAAACGGGTCAGCCGGTGACGTTCACCATGTACATTAGCACGAATATAAGCTTGAAGAAGAGGGGTGTAGAAGAGGGTGTAGTTTGCCGTATTAAAGCGTAATCAAGTCCCACCTAGTTCGGGTTCTGCTCCAAGACCGAAATGGAGAAGCAGAACCTTCAAAAACGTTCCATTGGTTGGCTTGAAACATAATCAAAGAATCAAGATAACAATCTACACGTCCCAATTCCCTGCCTTGACCTGATATCGCAAACCTCAATGGGCGAATGAAAAACCGAATATTTAACAATTGGCACAGCACATCCCCTAGGCACCTAATTTTTCTCTACTTCCGATCATGACTTGGAAACCTATGTGAATAAAGAATTCAAAAGTAGAGAGATCAGCTTCATGAATATTGAGCCACTCTACTTCAATAATTATGAAGCAATCGAAGCTTATCCTGATGATATGGATATGTGGAAACCAATGGTACAATCCACTTCAAGTAATACATGGTGATCTTGCTGGTGCAAATACAACCCATGGGAAGAATAGTGAACAGTTCTTCGTGATGGTGGTTGATAGATTTACTAGGAAACACTACGTTCGTCTTATAAAAATGAAACGAGTCAAGGAGAGCAATATTGTCAATATATACAGCTGGCTCTGGGAATATACCGTTAGGGTGTAAATTTGGGTAGTTAGAGATGGGTCCACCGATATCTATTTGTCTTACACGATATCTGTACAGCCATATCTTTACTACCATATTTGTTACCATATCTGTAGTAACATATTTGTTACCGTATCTGTACTACCATATTTGTTACCATATCTGTACTACCATATTTCTTACCATATCTGTACTGCCATATCTGTATAGTGCCGTCCCCCGCCGGGGGACCCCCACGTCATAGGCAAATAAGGTTGTAAGAGAAATCCGGAGATACGTAACAACAGGGTTTTTAGTCCATCAAACTCTATCTTGACCGGAGTCCGGCTCCGGTTTTTGCCGTGCTGATGCACGGCCGCCTACTCTACCTTTGAAACACAAGACACCACAAGAGGGGTAGAACGGCGGATCCAATCAGAACCAAGAATTGCCGAATTTCACCTACAATGCGCCCGAAGCTGTCAAGATTGACATGCATTTGGAAACACTGGCTGTCACATCTGGTGCGCCTGAAGCAAACAGAGTTTCAGGCCTCAAAACAATCGAACCGCTGAATCACCGTCGTGGATCGATTGCCGCAGATCGTGAAATACACAAAGCCGGTGACCAGCTTATCACGCCATACTTGACGAAGTCCGGCGCCAAGAGCTACTACATCGACGCCGCAGGAATATTTCAAGATGGAGGGTAGGATTTCAGAGCCAACCAGGCCGGCCCAGGCCGGCCAACCAGGCCGTTTGAATTGCAGTCCGGGATAACCAAGGTTCGGCGGTGCAGATGAAACTCCTGGTTCAGGTTCTTGTGCATGCGTTGAGATGGTCAAGTTGCTTACTGCTGGGATGTAGCAGCAAAGACCAGGCCATGGAGCGCCATAGAGAATTGACGGCAATCGAAGTGGACGCTACGTAATTGGCCTTGAGAGGCCTTTAAATGTTTTTCAAATTACTTTTTATGAAAATTTCACAATGAAAAGGCGAATGTGGATCGCCGATGGGAAAGATAAAGGCAGGCAAGGAAGCGAGACGCAAAAGGCATTTTTATTTGCTCGCGAAGAACCTCCACTACAGCCTAGAGTGCCGTGGCAGAACCCCACCGAATGCGTGGACCACAATACAGAAATTGCCAAGCGTCCCAAAGACGATCTAAGTGTTGCTTGCAAAAAACAAATCCTGGCCAAATCCTGGCCAAATCGCCAAATCCCGGTTGTTACTTTTCTGCTCAATCCTCGCAGCCATGTTACTTTTTCGGCGGTGGGAGCCCTGGCGGCGGCACAAGGGCGTTTTCGGTCATTTTCGTGCGCCCACAAGCACCTGTCATTCGCTGTCAAGCCGCATGTTCGCAGCATGGAAGCGGTGGATAGCCAACTAGGCGATTTGGGTGCCAAAGTTCAAGAGAAAATAAAAATGCATTTGCCAGACAACGCTCAAAATCCTATGGAGGCGCCGGCACAGCGTGGGTTTGCCCAGGGCTTCCGCTTTTAGGGCGGCCACGGGCCACTGGAAACAGACTACCACAACTGCCAAAAGAAAAAACCTCCAAAGCTGTCCAGCTGTCTCAGGTCTCCCGCGGAGAACAAAATGCCTCAGGCCACAATGCTCGGGCGTGTGCATGGAGCTGTCACTATTGTCAGGGTTTAGCCGGCCTCCCATGCCAGACCCATGCCAGGCGGCCCCTAGGCTGCCAGATGCCAGACGACCCTAGGCTGCCAGATGCCAGACGACCCTAGGCTGCCAGAATTTCACCATGAAACGGCGGCGGCAAGCCATGAGATGCAAAACGAAATTCATAAAACGTAAAGGCAATTCAGAAAAACAGGATCCACGAACTCCCTGCCGCCTGCCACCTGCCACCCGCTTAACATTTCAGGCGAGGCGCCGCCATTCACTCGCTCTCTCGCTTTGTCAGCCTGTGTCACCTCCAGTGCGCCTGGTGTGCTCCTCCACCCTCACGTTGCAAAAAAAAGTCCAATTTCGGCCCCACCACCACGAGCGGAAAAATCCCTCTCGGACCCAGCACCTCCGCTAATTGTCCTCGCTTTATCCATTAAGCTTCTAGCATAAGGCGCCCGGGATTCCTGGGCCAGCCGCTGCAGCATTACCTCTTTTTTTTTTTTTTTTTTTTTTTTTCTTCCTCTTTCTGTACCGTATGTGGCCCTGTCTCGAGCGACGTCTGTCTTCCTGTCTATATCTGCTCCGTTTACCTCCAACACCTCCACTCTTTTTTAACGGCCCCACCCACTGCTTTCTTCCCCATAAGCCCAGATCCTCCCTTCCACCCTTTGCTATCCCGCAATGAGAAGGGCCGTTTCCAAATTCATCCCCGGCAAGCTCCAACGACCCCCTGGCCTGGACCACCCCCGTCCTACAAAATCGACTCCTCCTCAGTCGACGACTTCTACATCGCCCTAGACCTGCCCACAAGCTGTGGCTCCCCGGCGAGGAGATCCTGGGCCAGGTCATCCTCATCTCCAAGAAGCATCTCGCCAACATCGCCATCGAGTTCTGTTTGTCCGGCTACATCAAAATCAACGCCCTGCCCCACTCCAAACTCAAAACCGTCAAGCGTACCCTCTTCAACCACAACATCCGCATCTATGGGCCCGACCCGGACAGACCCCGCCAGCCGGACGCCGACGAGTTCGTCAACGGCTTGTACAAGGGCGAGCACCGTTTCCCCTTTATTGTCAAACTCCCGAAAAAGCGCATATTCACCAGTATAGACTTTGGCAAGGGCGCCATCGAGTACGTCCTCAAGACCTCCTTGCGTTCTGCCGACGACCCGGTCTCCTCCTCCGGTTCCCCATCCGCCGAATCTCCCGGAGCTGGCTCCAACGATTTGTTCGCTCGCGCCCGCCAATTCACCAAAATGAACGGCGCCGCTTACTCCTCCGAAAAGATCATTTCGCTAGTAAACCCTATAGATGTGGCCGAACTACCGCCACCAAAGCCCAAGCGCCTCATCATCAACGATCCAAGACGCAACAAGCGCCTCCTGAGGGTCGAGAGCTCAACCTCCACCATCAACACCTTCAGCACCCTCTCCTCCAACAACCTGGACACAGAGCTGAATCTCAACATGACCCTCACGAACTCGGCCAACCCGGCCCACTCCCTGACGCCTGGCGCTCTGGGCAACACTCCCACTTCTTTGCATAACACCCACATAAGCCCGGGGAATTCCGCTCCTTCAAGTTTCTCCCCTTCGCTGAATGCTGACCACACTCGTCCAAACAACAACATCAGAGTGTCCATGGAGTTGCCGCAAAGCGGTTTCCTCCGTGGTGAGCTTATACCGATCAAGCTCAACATTCACCACCTTAAGAAGATCCAGGATACCAAAGGCATAATTGTCACCTTGGTGCGGGTATGTCGCCTTGATTACGGGCCTGATGGTCTCTACGAGTCGTTTCGTAAAGACTTGCTGCAGCTGATCATCCCATTGTTCGTGGACCCGGCCACTTTCCAGCTGGAAATCAACACCAGTTTGAGAGTGCCCCCTGACGCCTTTCCCACCATCTCAGGCTGTCCAATGGTCAGCTTCCAGTATTTCATCGAAGTAATGCTCAACCTTTCTGGAAAGTCGTTGAGCGTTGATGGCCCCAGCGAACACCCCAAATCAAACCTAGCGCCTTCGGATGACATGTTGTCGGCGGGTACCGGCATCTCACCTAGCAATCAAGGCAACTACACCTACCACGCATACCAAAACCGCTCAGAGTTCATCAACACAGACAAGTTCAAGCGTCTGAAGAAGTTCCTTCAGATCACCTCCGAGGTCGTTATTGGTACCCATAGACTGGATAGGCTGCCGCTTGCCGCTTCCCCAGATGGACAGCATGGCGTTGCCAATGGTACCAATCGTTCCTCTGCAACGTCATCTTCGAATTCGGCAAGCCCGTCTACTCAGGCTCACGCCCATATTCAAGCTCCATTGCTGCAAGCTCACGCTCCCGGCAATTTCACTCACCAAAGAACTGGCATAGCCAATATGATTGGCGCTATTCCAGAGACACTGCCAATGCACAACTTCACTCCTCCATACCGCAGAGAGTCACTGGGTGCTACTCCTCTGCATCCGTCGCCATTGGCTTCTGCTCCCACGTATGAAGACATCATTGCCGATGTTGCCATGCCACAGGAGCCTAATCTCACTGAGAAGGAGCGTATGAAACTCCACGAACAGAGTCTCTTACCTTCTGAACCTCAGTTTGATGCATCTTCCGACGCAGAAGACAGAGAGACTGTGAGTCCAATGGACCCTAGTCACGACATTTTGGAGGAGATGGTTCAAGGAAGCAACGCACTGAGCTCCAATTCTGGTCTTCACCAGTACAGGCCCAACTCTTTTGCTCCGCTCCACTCTGGTAGTAGTCCCCATGAATCCCAGGGTCACAATTCTCATGACCCAATGAGCATGTTGCCAGGCACCTTTGACCACGAGTCTCAGTTGTGGGACCAAAACGACTTGTACGAGTCACATGGACAGAGAGAGAATCACGACGGAATTGGCCCTGAGGGCCCTCTAGATTTTGTGCCAAACTACGACACGGCTGCCAACGACCGGTTGGTTGTGCAACAGTCCGAACAGGAACAAGGACATTAGATTTTCGTATAAGCAAACAAATACATAAAAAGAAAACTGTTTTGGGGGTAGTAATATCACATTGATTGAGCGAGGAACACCGGTTTCCGCTGCTGGTCGTCATTAGATTATTTTAGTCGTTAAGATGAGTTGGTGGCCAAATACAACTCCTTCTTCAACGAGGCAACAGTGTCGTTCAACTGCTCCTTCTCCTGTTTTAAAATGTACAAGTCGGCCTCCAAGTCTTTGAGCTTCATGGTGTAGTGGGCCTTGGTGAATCCACCTTCATCTTCCTCATCACCAGAAGCTGGCTCATGGTCATCCACAGCTGGAGATCCAGGAGCAGGCGAAGGACCGTTGGAGTCCATTGGCGACTTTGTGGAGGTTCTCTTGTTTGCCTTCTTGTACAACTTCAACTCATTGTTTTCCTTAACCAATCTCTCGATGGTCAATTTCTGGTTTCTCAATTCGTCGTGAGACAGTTGAAGGGCCTTACTGGTGTTGTTGACCGACTGCAAGGCGTCACGGTAGTTCTCTTCGAACGAACGCAAAGACTGCAACTTGTTGTTCAACTCTTCTTCCAAGGCCTTCACTTCGTCAGAGGAGCCCTGGTGCTGAGTCTTGGAGGTGACCATCAATTCGTCAATTTGCTTCTGCAACTTGGATATCGTGGCATTGTCTTCGCTGGTAATGGAGCGGGCGTCGGCGTCTTGACGCTTGGTAGCCTGCCACAAAGACGTCAAGTTAGCCAAGTGGGCGGAAAGCTTAGCGGAGGATCTTGGAAGACCAGCTGAGGATTCGTCAAGTTCACGGTCTTCAGCTTCATCGTCGTCGATACCAGTGTTGACAGCCTTGAAGTTCTCGTGCTCAATCTTCAACTCTTCGTACTTGTGCTTCCAGTCGGCGATCTCCTTGTGCAAAATCTCTTCCGAACGGATTTGGCTAGTCAACGTGGCGATCTTGTTCTCCTGGCCCTCAATGACCTTCTGCAACGAGCTCAACTCGCCAATCTGGTTCTCCATGAAGGGTTCGAAGCGTTCGAATCTGGCCTTGTACTCGGCATTTTCGTTCTCCAAGAACACCAATCTGTTTCTCAACTCCAAACGGTCTAATTTGTATTTGGTCAACTCGGTGAAGCCTCTTCTGGAAGTGGCCTGGCTGACATTGTCACCGTCGGCGCCTTCACTAATCTCCAAGTCAGCAGGGTCAATGGATCTCCTGAGCTCGTCAATCATATTGTCCTTCTCGGTGAGCGATCTTTCGTGAGTGTCCTTGAGTCTATTGTGTTCCTCTTCCAAAGATCTCAATCTCTCGGAGGTGGCAGCCTGCTCGTGCCTGTGAGATTGCTTCAACAGCGCAATCTCGTCGTTGAGCTCAGCAATAATCTGCTTTGTACGGGAATCGTCATGAGCAGAGGCCACTGGAGCAGCCACAGCTGGAGAAGCAACACCACGACCATTGGTTGGAGGAGTGTCAACACCACGGGTAGCAAGAGGAGCCTCTCCTTCATCGTCAATGCCGACCTCACGAGCAAAGTCCTTCGACAAGATTGGTGTCTCGTTGTGCTCAGTTCTCAATTGGTCGTATGGAGTAGTGTCGCTAACCACAGAGTCGTCAGCACCGTTCTTGGCAGGGCTTTCAATTTCAGCGAGGTACTTCTCTCTGGCAAACTCAGAACCATCCTCGTTCTGCGAAATGGCAGAAGATGGAATGTCCACATCGACAAAGTCACCACCAGCATTGGATGGCTGTCTCTGAGGAGTGAAAGTCTCATGCTCAAACTCGTTGGTCAGCTTGGGGTCAAGAGAACGAGGGATACGCTCCACAGAGGCGGTAGGAGTACGGAAGTCCTCGGGACCGGCACTGAAACTTCTGCGGTGACGGCCATCGTCGGGTCCTGGAGAAGTGGTTCTTCTGCCGTATCCGGTACCAATGGCCGAAGCAGCAACCTTCTTGGGGCCCACGCCGCCCTTCAAGTAGTGGTCGGCGATTCCAAGATCCAATTCGTAGATCATGGTGCCGGTTTCAGTGCCGTCAAGCTGCTCGTGGGTCTCATAAGTGTCTGGGTCAATGAAGTCGTTCTTGTCGCCGCCCATAATCACAAGCTTGTTGAGTTTAGGCAAGAAAGTGACGGAGTGGCCACAACGAGGACCAGGACCGTTGGCGCTGAACTCCTTGTTCAAGCGGCTCCACTTGAAGGTGTGCAAGTCAAGCGCATACAAAGAGTCGTAGATGATGCCTGCGAAATCGTTACCACCGTAAATGTACATGTGGTCGTTGGCAATCACCGCCAGGTGCTCGTTCACAGGCAAGGGTATAGAGCCTGTGGTGTCAACCTGCAGCCACTTGTTGATCAAGGTGTCGTAGCACCACAAGTCGTTGGACACCTTCTCGTTGTTGTAGACACCACCAAACACGTAAATCTTGGTCTTGTGGACGCACATGGAGTGGTTGGTCAACGGAGGAGGGCTAAAAGAGTTGAGAGGCTCCACAAGCTCCCAGCGGGCCTTGGGCAGCTTGAAGTCGGTCAACTCAAAGTAGTACAACTCGCTGAACACATCGTGCTCCAATTGACCGCCAAAAAGGTACAATCTGCTGGAGGTTGGCGACACGGAAACCACGCCCAACGAGTGGCCGTAGCGGCCCCGGGGCTTGTTCAAAATGTGCAGCGGGATGGTGTACTTCTGGTTGTTGATGTTGAACATGTAGAAGTTGTCGTCGGGGCAGCCGTGGTAATCCGTGTCGACGGTGTCACCACCGTAGATAATGTAGGCATTGCCACAGAGCACCGAGGCATGGCCCACTCTGGCAGGTGGGTTGTTCTTGTTCGCCACCTCAATGTGAGAAGCAGTGAACTGGCTGATAGTGGTGCCGGCAGCGTGGGGCACAATCTTCCAGGTATCGCCAAAAACAGAACCCTCTTTCAAGCCGCCCATAAGGAAGATTTCGTTCTTCTCCAGGGCCACCTGGGAAACCGAGTGTCTGTACCGAGGGAAAGGAGAGTCATACAACTTGTGTCTTTTCCAAGGCGTGCTGGCGTTGCCAGGAGCAGCACCTTGGGGCACCGGCTCGTAGTAGCTGTCGTCAACGTCGGGCATTGTGTTTTGTGGGGGCAGAATCGCCGATTTGGGCCGTTGGTAGGAGGGTTCGGAGGAGTGGGTGGTGGAAGCGAAGGAGGAGTCCGGGTTGTCGACGGGGTCAGAATGCTTTGATTTCCTCTTGCCGAAAGGAAAGCGGGCCATGATGGATTTATAAAAGGCGATCGGGCGTCAGTTATAAGTCGAAGGATGAGGCTGGCTCAGATAGGAAGTTGGACGGTGTATGGCCGGAGGAAGCGGCGCAGGTGGCTGTTTTAAGGAACTGGGGGATCGCTAGGGTGAAAAAAGGTGGAGTATGCGGCCCCCACCAGGACCCACCCAGGGAGCCGTGCACCCCCACAAGGCCGGGAGAAATTTACATTTTTGGAATCAGCGGAGCCAGGAGAGTCCAGTGGTGTGGTTTAAAATTTGGAAGCTCCAGTAGTTCGGCGTTTTGGCCCATGTCCTCCAGCCCAGGGCCCTGCGAGCGCTGCACAGAAGCCGGGCGCTCAGATGCCACTGCCTGTTTAGGCAGAAAATAGGCAGCACAGCGTCGAGACAGAATTCCCCAACTAGGCAAGAGGGGGAGAGGTCCTCCAAACACACAATCAGCAGTGGAATTGCGCCGTTACCAAGGGGCACATTGTTTGGTATTCTTTTTTGCTTTTACGGTTTTCAAATGATAATTGGCATTTTGGGGAGTGTGGTGTGCTGGTTAGCCCATTTGGGCACCAGGTGAGCATACCGTGAAAAAAAAGCCTGCCGTTTGGGATGTGTATGACGGACGTTCTGGCGCTCTTTTGTGTTTCTTTGCTTTGTGGCTGATTACAGAATGTCGTCCTATTTAGGACCAAACGGCAGCATGGATCCAGAATATTCCCGGTGCATCAATGGGCTTCGAAACGGGGCTCTGGCGGCGGCTATTCCTGCTGAATCTGTATTTTGGGCTGTGGTTGACGGTAGCGTGTTTCGGCGATTGCAAATCTCTGTGCATCTAAACCACCTTATCTGAAGGGTGGAGCTGCATGTCTCAGGCAGAAACCACGACCTTCTTACTTCTTTATCATGTTCAATGCTTTTTCTTAGTGGGATGGGGCCACCCCTTAAAGGAGGCTCCAGCTGCCCTTTACGTCATTGCAACTGTCTTGTTCCCGGATCAACTACAATAGATTCCTCCCACTTGGGCTACTTTGTCATGCGACGCTTGTCATAATATGTCCCACTTGGGCTACTTTGTCATGCGACGCTTGTCATAATATGTCCCACTTGGGTACCCGAGGATCGCCGAGGCTTCTCGCTTGGCTCCTTCTCGGCTATTATGTAGCTTTAGAAGGCACCTCTTGGCTCTATAGTAGGGGTGCAGCAATGGACTAGTGCTGATTTCGCAGCCATTGCACTTGAGCATCCACGATCCTCCAGCACCACGTACATAAGACGAGATTTCTGGGAAACAGCTTCCTCGACATTTCCCAATCGAGTTTTTCAATTCTCCAACAATGGTGTTTGTCTCGTAGTAGTCTGGTTGCGTTTTTTGTCCACTGTCTTTATGAGCATCGCACTACCGGATCACTATCATCACGGCGCATACTACAGCTATCGATAACATCACCATGGGATTCACCTACGACCCGCAGGTGCAGCTCGGCCAGCTATTTCCGTCGGAAGCCTCCTTGGAAAACATCGATGATGTTCTACTGTACATAGAAAAACACAAGCAGCAGCTGGCATTGGCTATCCAGAAGGAAACTGCCAACTATCGTCACCCTATCAATCCCAAGATGACATCCAAACGCTCACCACGACTTTTGGGGAAATCCGTGAAAAGTCCCAAGATACACAAGCCAAGATCTTGGCCATGACCTCCAGCATACAGCGATTGGACACGGTGAAGAAGAACTTGGTGCTTTCCATGAAAGTGCTCAAAAGGCTCCAAATGCTTGTCAATGCCTACAACAGCCTCAATGAGGTCGTCAACACCCGAGACTACAAACAAATCGCCACCTACTTGGGCGTTGTCAGAGAGTTGCTTGTGTTCTTCAAGCCGTACCGCTCGATTGATCAAATCGGCCTTTTGAACCAGCATATCCACAAGACCCAAAACAAGTTGGTCGACGACGTGTTCATAGACTTTGAGGATTCATTCACAAACAACTTCTCGAACGACAATCTCATATATGGCTGCGAAATCTTGCAGTTGATCGACGAGAAGTACAAGGACAAGCTTCTTCAATGGTTCTACAATCTTCAGCTCAAAGAGATCCGTTCCATTTTCTCCTCCACTGAGGAAGCCGGTAACCTCGATAACCTCAACAGGAGGTACATATTCTTCAAGAATGTGCTTTCTAACATCCAAACGAATTACCTACTGGTGTTTCCCAAACTGTGGAACGTGGACTATGAGCTTGCCAAGTTGTTCTGTGAGATGACCAGCTCTGACCTCAAGGCGCAACTCACGAGCGTTGCCTCTTCAGAAATCTTGCTTGATTCTCTCACAAAGACACTAGAATTGGAGAAGTTCCTCAACGAAACATTCAAGACCAACGATTTTGAGAAGGTTCTTCTGAATGTCTTCGAGCCATACCTCACCACCTGGGTCAATGAACAGGACGGAACCCTCAATGCTAAGTTTATGGAATTCTACTCGGCGCCCAAGATTCCCCAGGAGCTTATTGCTCCACAGACAAAGGAGGATATCCTCACAGTTCTTCGTGTCAATAATGTGCCCAATTTCGCTAACTCGTCGTCTGAGCTCTTCAAGCTCTTTCAGAAACTTCTTGTTCAAATTATCAAGCTATCCAATGGTAAAATCTTACTTGACCTTGCTCGCCTCGATCTCAAATACCTTCGAGAGTATAATTATAAGATGTTAGTTCCAATCTTACATCAATCCGAATCAAACCCCAAGGGCCTTGAGCCAATCAAGTATCTTACGATGATCCTCAACACTGCCGACTACGTGAACAATAACATCAATGATTTGCAAGACAAGTTTGTCAAACTCATAGATGAACAGTACAAGGAGAAAATTGATTTCGAGCCTGCCAAGAGTCTATTTTACGATGTGATTGGTAAGGCCATTCAAGGACTCGTGCTGAAGGTTTCCTACGATTTACAATTTTCTTGGAGACAATTTGAAAATAACGGTTGGGAAGCCATGGAATCTGTGTCCGATACTTCCACATACATGGAAGACTTGATCAATGCCATGAAAGAGGACAACCAAGTCATCCTTACGTTGATTATTAGGGACAGTTATGTTCGTTCTTACTGCGATAAGCTCATTGAGATGGTCGTTCATACATTTGTGAACAAGCTCAAACTTATCAAGCCTTTGAGCATTGTCAATGTGGAGCAGATTCTTGTCGATATCGCTGTTCTAAAGAAGTATATGGCAACATTGCCGCTATATTCCGACCCCAACTTCGATGATAGTAAGCTATCAGGCGAATCCAAGACCGCGCCAAAAGCCTACCTTCGTTTTCTCGACTCTCAGTTTGGCAAACTCACCACTTTGCTCAAACTCTTACTCACCCCAGTCCTTCCTGTTGACAACATGGTCGAGAATTACTTCAACCTCATTGGTGACAAGTCTTTGACTAATTTTACAAAATTCTTGAATCTCAAAAACATTGGAAAATCTGACCAACCAAAATATGTTGAGAATTTCAAGCTCCAGCTCACTATCCCTAACTCCTTGCAGGAGGAGTCCCACATTTTCACGATGGTCGAGGACGAGGTCGAGGAGGAACATCAAACGAAACACCCCGCGTCCCAAGGTAACCCTCAACAATTTGACATCAAGGAACTAATCTCGAGCAGGTCTCCAGAGCCTCATCTTCCTGACATCTTCAAGACCAACCCTACGAAGATCAAGATCAACAACCCATTGAAAGACTTCTCTATCAACGGTGAACAACATGTCAGCAAAATCAACGAGAACTTCCGTAATATCGGGAAGTTTTTCAGAAAAGATAATATCAATAATAACTGAAGCCGATAACGCTGGAGTGCATGGATATATATGGGTGCGACGTACATAGTGAAACCAATTATCAATATAATACACATCTAATGACAGAAAAACTTGTCAAAATCTGTGGCATTCGAAAACTTGAAGATGCTGAAGCGGCCATCAATTCTGGTGCTGATATTGTCGGTGTCATCATGGTCCCAAACAGGCAACGTTCCATAGATCACACAGATGCCTTGAAGATTTCCAAGGCTGTTCAGTCAGTCAGATCACAGAGAAATAGAGAACTCCAGACAGCTCAAGATCTCAACAATTACCTTTCGAAGCAGTCTTTTAAAAGTCATAAAGATTATCTCTTAGCATACCGTGACCAAATCTTGAAAAACGGCCCCTTCTTGACTGGTGTTTTCAGGAACCAGGACCCAAAGACTGTCTTTGAACTTGCTGACCAACTTCAACTCGACTTTATTCAACTTCACGGCAGCGAAGATCCATCGGAGTATTTGGCATTGAATACTGAGAGAAAATTCTGCATCATCAAGAGATTTGTTGTACCTGACCAAGCAGACTACATGACTAATTTCTTAACCAGCCTACATAACAACGAAAATAAGGGCTATGCTTTGCCACTTCTAGATTCAGAACTTGGAGGTGAGGGCAAAACCATCGATTGGTCTCTCATCAATGACTTAGATGGCTCATTCGTTTTGGCTGGAGGACTAAAGCCGGAAAATCTTCATACTACGAAAGCTTATCTAGACAACGTCATTGGTTTCGATGTGAGCGGTGGTGTCGAAAATGAAAGCGGGTTTAAGGACCATGAAAAGATAAAGCAGTTCATCACGGAAGGAAAAAAACTTTAGAGCAAATAGGTGGTATTAAAGGTCTATACACATTAAACGTTACACGTAAGCACTAGTCATCCTGATCCCAGTTTCCAGGTCTGCGCTGCTGAGGCACCTGTGGTCCACCTGCTCTCTTAGCCATGATGATTTGATCGATAGATAATATAGTGTTGGCAGCCTCAGTGGCGAATGTGATGGCCGATCTTTTCGTAGATAAAAGATCGTAGATGTTGTGCTCTTTGATGTCCAACAAGCCATCATCACTGTTGTTCTCGACGTCAATACCCTTCGTCAAGTTACCCTCAGACGAGTGAGCGGCATGCAAAGCACTCAACACTTCTGTGGAGTCCAAACCAGAGGTTTCGGCCAACACTCTTGGAACAACCTCAAAAGCCTTGGCAAAGTTTTTGATAGCTAGCTGCATCAAACCTGGAGTCTTTTCACCGTATTGAGTGATCAACTTCACGAGCTCAATTTCAACAGCACCGGCACCAGGCAAAAGAGCGTTGTCTTGAACCAAGCCCTTGATGGCGTTGACACCATCGTCGATAGCTCTCTCAAGGTCATCCAAGTTATTCTGAGTAGCACCTCTGAGAATGATTGTGGAAGTTCTGGAGATGGTGTCGTCGTTTTGTCTGAAGATCGTGACTCTGTCACCACCAATCTCCTTCGTCTCAATGACATCAATGGAACCCATCTCTTCTGGCATAGGGGCACCGAGTCTGGGCAATGGGGTAGCACCACAAACCTGACAAACACGACGGATGTCAAATTTAGATGGAACCTTCAAGACCAAGATCTCGTATTTGTTGAAGTAGTGGAGAGCCAACTCACCGATGGAGGAACCAGCGACAACAACACGGACACCAGAGTCGTAAATCTCCTTACACATCTGGTCCAATTGCTGTTCTTCGCCCTTAGAGAAGTCCAACATCTCCTGTGCATCGTGTAGCAACACGGTACCCTTAGTCTCGGTAGTAGAAATGTCGATAGGACAGGTTAATACGACAACCTTGGATTTGCTCTTCACGTTCTCGACGTGTCCCTCTGGTTCCCTGGGGAAGACCATTCCCTTGACGACCTCGGAGTTGGACAATGAGGAGCCCATGATCTTGACAACTCTGACATTATCAATGTTGAAAGCCTGTGGCTTCTTTGGGTTGATAATCATTCTGACAGCTTCCACAACAAGCTGGGAAATGGTGTCCTCGAGGCCAAACTGCTTGGCAGAAATAACTGGCTGAATAACCTTTAAAAGCTCCTTTGGCTCTGTGATGTTCTCAACGTGGTCAACCACAAGTTTCTCCAAGGTATCCTGCAAGAACTTGTTGGCCATGTTGTAGCCCTGTATGATTTCTGGAACACTGAGTCCAAGGCTGATCAACTTCTCGGCAATGTTAAGTAATTCGCCTCCCAACACGATCACCAAGTTGGTGTTGTCTCCCATTTCGAATTCCTGCTGCTTGGATGCCTGAATCAAGAGCTTCACAGCTGGGTGAACAATCTCCAACTCATTGATAATTGTCGCAGCATCGTTGGTAATGAATGTTTTATCGTGTTTATTGACGAGAATCTTGTTTCTACCAGATGGACCCATCGAGGTGAGCACGATGGAACTGATCTCCCTCACGGCCTCGATGGTTCTGATAATGGCACCATCGGAGGCTGAGTACAGCGAGTAGCCTTGTTTGAAAAGCCCTGCGTTTGGGGCAGAGGGCAATTTGAGGGACATTGGTGGATGCTTGGAAAGACTGATCTGAGGTCCAAGAATTCAAAAATTTGATGCTGAAGTCACGTGATCATGACACGAATCCTTAGCATGGAACGCCTTGGATTGATGTGTTTAAAAAATAAAAAGTGAATTTTGATTGAAGAGTATTATGGTGTAATTCTTCCGAATGAGACGTTTTTTCTAGAGGCTTGCTCGTGTTGTAAAGCAATGCATCGTGGAAAAAGTCAACGGTCCGCGTTGAGACATGCCTAGGCAACTACTATGAATAAAAAAATTATCTAAACTGGGAGCCACCTTGGCACCCAGCCTACATTCACAAAATTTCTCATGTCTGTCCTCTGTATCCTATTTGTTTCTAAAAATAAGGGATGCAAGACTGTATCTGTGCGTTGCTTTAGCAAATGTGCTTTTGCAGCTCCAATTTTATTGCATCCTCCCGGAAACAAGCGTTGCCGGGCGGGGCGCCGCTTGAATTCAAAGATCAATATCGTCGATAGGCTTCCCAACGAACCGGCGTAAGCTATCTATCGAGTTGCCTCTCTTGCTGAAATATTCACTCAATGTCTTGTTGTAAATGGCAAATAGCTTTTCATACTTCTTTATACGTGCTTTCTGCTTCCTCAGCTCATTCTCATACTTTGAGATGTTATTCTGAAGCTCTTGTTGGGCCTGTTTTTTGCGCTGGCGGCATTTAGACGCAGCAACCCTGTTTCTTTCCAACAACCGCTCCTTCTTCCACGCCGCAGTGCCCGGAATTGGGCCTCTGTCTGCCGAATAAATTACTTCATTATTGTAAAGAAGCTGGTGATTAGGGGGCGGGACACCGGCCACATCGTCGATTGCAGACTGCGGAGTAATTTCTCCCGGCAAAGATCCCTCGGTCGGAACTAAGCTATCTTGGCGTGGAGGGGCGCAGGGTGGGCCTGACTGAACAGGCCTGCTGGCTCTTGCCGTGGAAGAGGTACTGGGTGGCCTGGTAAGCTTCCTGGTGGTTGTGGAGGAGCCTGGATGTGATCTTTTTCCTCCAACTTCACTGGCTGTGGAGGTGGTCTGTGAACGAAATGAGGCTGCAGTAGCGGGTTCAGGTCGTAGCCTGGTAAACGGTTGTCTGGGAAGACAGGGTTGCCAATATTCGGGTTGTCTGAGCTCCGTCGTGAGTCGATTGAGCATATCTGAAAGGCTCATCATTCATCTCCTCGTAGGAGTCTTCATCGGCGTAGAAGGCCTCGTGGTTGATAATCTGGCCAATCTGACCGTTGGAAATGGATATTCTCCTCCTTCTTTGGACACCGGCTTCGTTGGTGTACGGTAGAAAGAATGTCGAGTCAATGATGGGAGGGTTGGTGATCGGGTAGGAGTTCACGTCGAACGGATTGTGGTTACCCCAAGCGCCCAGGCTCGAGCCTTTCATATCTGCCAGAGTCTGTACGTGGCTAGCCAGCAGCTCACCAGCGTTCTGGGGATGGGGCACTGGTTGTTGCTGCTGACCATGGTCGAGTAAAGGTCCCTTGACCTGAGAAGAGTCGGACGCCATCTTTTGCTAACACCCGGAATATAGATATTTCACCTCCTTGCAGGCGTTTTCAAGCAGTAGCTCCACTAGCTCAAATGTTGAAGATGCTTCGCAGAGTAGTTGGTGGGAGCTGCGTACAGGCGGGGCGATAAACGGAGGCTCACTGGGCGGGTAAAGGTGCGTACATCGCCTAGCCACCAGTGGGCTGATCTGTAAAGGTGGGCAAGGAGAATCTCCCAAAACAGGCATAGTGGAAAGTGGAGGATCGGTTTTGGCGGTAATTTTGGGCTCTTTTTTTGAAATTCTGCCGTGGAACCGTTGTCTTAGTGGACCCTTGTTTTAATCCACTGCCGAGAAGTTCGAGGGCGCCCAGGCGGGCCAAGCGAAAGCGACCAATAATTTTCACTTTTTTTTCAGTCTCCCCCTCCCCCCACATACAATGAGGCACCCTACCACACGCCTTCACACATTGCTCCGCTCGTCTCCACCGTAGTGCGTTCTTTCCTAAACACCGGTGCTTACTCATCAGCGTCGCCGTTGGGTTACTTCTGCAAGTTTACCGCTGTGTTTGCGTGGTGCCTTATAGAAACACTTTGCATCTCCGCGCTGAGACAGATCTTGCTTTAGGATGCATTGACGTTGACGTTGTGCGTTCGTATCTGGGTGCTGCAGCGGATAGTTTTTCGCAACCGAGCCCGAAATCTGATAACATGTTAGAAACCGTCGAGCACGCCTTGGTGGTGATTTTGATTTTTTCCGAACGGAGCCTGGCCTGACTGACTGCAGCTGGCTTCCATCGCCCAAGTGACATCACCTTAAACACCGTTGCCCTACGCGCACCTCTTCACCGATGAATCTGTTCGAGAAGCTTGCAGAGCACCTCAAACTGCACGGCTTCGATCCGCTGGGGATCGAGTCTGCTTTAGGCGAACATGAGTTTGACGAAATGGGCGAGTATGCCTTCCAGTTCATCGTGGAGAACCAGCGTGGCATGAAGTTCTTTGGTATACCCTGCTTCAACAGAAAGTCCCTAATACCGGTGATAGACCCGCCCCAGTACACACGCGTGGACGGCTCCAGGGTGACGCTTTCCGACGACCGCATCGAGAACTATCCCTTGCCAGACTTAGGCTGGCGTTGGTGGTGGGACCTGTGGTATGTGTTGATGCTCAACGATGTGGACGAGCAGGGCTGGCTGTATCTGAGTGTGATTTTCAGAAAAGGGCTGCATTGGCACGGGAAGTACAATTTTGGCAATTTCGTCCGTCGTCGTTTGTGGGTTCGGCTTCGAGTCCGGAAGACCGTGGACGACCTCCCTCATGAGCCTGTGGAGGATACGGGCGATTCTGACGAGGAGCTTGACCAGCAAGCTGAGCTCTCCGAGGTTCCTGTTCCAAAGGAAAAAATTCCTGTAGCGCTGGTTACGACGTGGGCATAGGCATTTATAGAAACACGACTGACCTGTTGGCAGGCTGACGGTCAGGCGACGCATACTCTTTGGAGGGTCCAAGAGACTTGGCTACTGTTGGAGCGGTGATGATAATAGATTTTGTGTGGGGTCATTGGGTCCACATGGCGACGAAATATGTAGTGATGGCCTCAGAGTGAAGGTTGTCGTCTGGGGTATTGACGGATTGTTTTAAATATTGAAAAGCATCTGTTTGGGAGAAATTTTTTTCAGGAAGAAGGTAGTCGGTTCTTGTAATGTCGTAGGAAACGACCTTTTCTCGTGAGTATTTAAGGTATCCAGGGTATGCTATGTGGTCCACTAGAACTTGACTCCTCGTAAATCTTTCGCTAACATCGCCTTATTAATACTATGACTATTCACACCAGAAAAACCAAAACTGTATTTACTTACTATTTGAATTTCTGTTGAGTTTTTAAAATTCTCGTTTATCCAAGGTATCCATGTACTTCCTAAGTTTTGACGCGCCATGCCATAAATTTGATAATATCAACAACACCCTCTTTATGTCAAATCTGGATATCACACTAGCTGCCTACGTAGTCAGGCTCCACCATCTAGGCAACTCAACATCAATTGATTGTATGACCCACCTTCAATAAATCCTCTACAAAACTAACTTTAGCTTGCATTGCAAAACTTGGGAGAACTTTGATTCCAGGTAAACGAGCTTCGAAAAAATACGGCTCAAAAACTGCCTCAAAGTTTGGAATAGAGATAGTTCCACACTTAAAAGTTCACAGAAAGCAGCAAGAGAAGGGTCTATCTAAAGTTGACGGAAACGATGTAAGAGGAATTATTTGCGTGATTCAAAACCAATGCAAGAACGCAATCACAGAGGAATCCATTGAAATAGCAAGTGAATGCCTGCTCGTCATCAGCAAAATAAAACTACACTGCCCATATCTGGTATACTCTGGATGGATTACGAGACTCGTCCAATGTGTTGTCTTAGCTTTCGGTTCGGAGTTTGATGCATCCGAGAATACGCTTCTGCTCGTAGATGTCGTTTTGGACACTTTACATGTCTTGCTTAAAAAAACAAAAGCCTTGTTTACAAGCCAATTGGTTTCCATGTTCATAGAGTTGGCTGCTGCATGGACGCCGCAGGAGAAGGCAACACTAGTCTTGCTGCTTCTTCGAACAATGTCAACTATCGACTTGGCCAAGACGTACATCAGGAGCAACTTTCTACTCCGGTCCTCGTGTGTTTGTCTCGAAGAAATTTTGAATCGGCTCCTCGACTTCATCCACATTTATGTCTCAACTTACGATGCCGCAAACCTCAAGTGTGTTCGCTCCACCTTACTAGCAGCTATTCTTTACTTCGGTCACCATGGCCTTCTTGATTATTTTAATTCACTTTGTTGGTGATTCTATATGCTAAATGTCCGAAACCCGGCAGATGCTTTATGCATAGTCTAGTGATGTCATGTATGTTACTGATGGCGGGACGCCTCGAGATATGCTGAACGGCTCAAGTTTGAGACACGTCTAGCGGCCAAGAAGCTTAGCTCCGTTCCGCCCCACAAGATAGCTCGCCCCGCTGCAAAACGTGGTAGCTGTCACAAGATACCCAAAGTATTCAAACACAAGGGCCAGTGTCTCATGCATACCAGTCATTTCGTCAAACCACGGGAGGAGCACCAAGCCCCCGATATAGAACATCTGTAATGCCGTGTTGACTTTACCCAAAAGGTTTGGATGTACTGTGTGGGTTGGGATCGACAAGTCGAGAAACCTTTTAAGGTTTTTAGGTGGGGGGAGCGATCTCCAACGAATGTAGAAGGATACGAAACTGAGCAAGACGTCTCTTCCGAGAATAAGGGTTGCGGCGTACCATGGCATGATATGCTGTACAGAAAGTGCCACAGTGCAAACCGTCATGAGGAATTTGTCCGCAAGTGGATCTAGAATGGATCCTAAGACCGACTTGAGATTATACTTGCGTGCAATGAAACCGTCCGCAAAATCGGTGATGCAAGAGTATACGAAAAGGCCGATGGCGGGCGTAGATTGGCCTGTTGCAAGGAAGTACCCTATAAAAGGTGTTGTGGCTATCCTAGTCATTGTCAACATGTTAGGAACCGTGTACACCTGAGAGGAAATCTCAGAGGGCTTTGGGATGGAGAAATTTTCCGAGGCGGCAACTTTCTTAAACTCAGGCTTCGAGGTGACTGGAGGGAGTTTCTTGTCTTCAACCTTCTTCTGGAATTGAGTTGCAGATATGCTGAAAGCTTGCCTGGGAGCTCGGAGTTGGTTTGAGCCTAATCTCGCGGCCCAGAACCTCAGGGATGGTCCCACAGATAGAGGTCTCAACGATCGGAGAGACCTCAAAGGGTAGAGGGAAAGCATGTTGTGGGGTGAAAATTGATAAGCGAAATTTTGATTTGCTACTACTCGCACGAGATTGTACAGTGTACATGAGATGCGTCTCGAGGTCAAGAAGACCCGCGTTATTAACTTCTATGTGATTTTCGATCTGATTATTTTGGCAAGCCCTGTTCGTTAACCAAGGCTTGGTTGGTTTCCTGTGGGCCAGGGCCGATCTTGGTCAAGATGATTCTGCTGACACCCTTGTAAGCCTCAGTGTCGAACTCAATGGTAGAGTCCTGGAAGTTGGCCTTCTTGTCGGCGACCTTGTCCCAGCCTGGAACTTGGTGGAAGTACTTGTGGATCAATCCAAGAACCTTGTTCTCGTTGTGCTCCTCGTAGTAGATCACGGCGTTTGGACCAGCATCAAAGGTGTAGGCGGCGATGATCTTACCTTCCTGTTCGTTCAACTTGTGAATTAACTTGATGATCTTCTTTGACGTGTCATTCAAGTAGAAGATAGGAGGAACAGAGTCCAAGCACACGGCATGGAAGGAGTTGGAGTCCCTCATGGTCAAATCACCAAACACCTCAAAGTCACGTTCCTGGATGGCCTTCTTCATTTCTTCGAATCTCTTTGGCACAACCTCCTTGATACGGTATTGGAACAAATCGGAAGTGGCCACAGTGCTTTGCATACCTGTCGTCAGGGGTGTGTCTTTCTTGTCGTCAGAAACCACCAAGATAGCGGCCTTCATCAGGGGCCAGTGGTCGACTGGAGCGACCTCCACGGCCTTGGAGTCCAGACCGTCCTGAGCGTCACCCATTTCCCATGCAACGTAGCCGCCAAACAAGGATCTGCAAGCAGAACCAGAACCTTTTCTAGCGATCTTGGAAATTTCAGACATCAGCTGCGGGAGCTTGTACAACTTTGCAATGGCCAGGACCAATGCAGCAAAGCCAGCAGCCGAGGAGGCCAAACCAGCAGCAGTTGGGAAGTTGTTCTCAGAAACAATGTGGACACCCCATTCGGAAAACTTGGGCAACGATGAGTCTGCGTCTTCCAACTCCTTCCTCAATCTCTTCAAGTCTTTTATACAAGCGATGGTTCTCTCACCCTTGATACCTTCTTCTTTACCATTCAACCATAAGTTGTCTTTTTGGAAGTCAGCTGAGGTGGCAGCGGAGGTCAAGGTTCTCAAATCTTGTTGGTCCAAGGTGACTGAGATGGATGAGTTTGTGGGAAGATTGAGCGTCTTGTCCCTTTTGCCCCAGTATTTCAAGGTCTAATGTTAGAAAGCAACGGAAGTTATACAATCAAAGACATACAGCAATATTGACTGGCGCAGTGGCCGAAGCAGTGTAAACTGACATGGTGATGAAGATTTGTTACGAAATCGCGGCCTCGTATACGCGCATATAAAGAACTCGACTTATATTCGACATACTAGTAGTTATACAAGGGTGGGTAAAAAAAGACGTTGTTGCACTTGGAAGGGCAACCAAAAAGGATTATGAATGGGTGAGGTCGTTATGGGCGCTTACTGTTTTTTCTTCCATCTCCACAATCTGGCCTTGCAGTCACCACTTCCCGTAGCGAACACACCCTCGGAGCCCAGCGAGTTGAATGAAACAGCGACAGAAATAACGGAGTTGCGGTGGCCTTGCAACATCAACAATGGATTGCCGGAGAACTGATCCCAGAAGATCACACCACGGTCTTTAGATCCAGACAAAATGTACTCACTGTCTGGGGTAGAGCATACACTCAAGACAAAGTCTTTGTGGCCAATGTAGGTAACCTCGCAGCTAGACTTCTTACCGATGGACTGGCCGCTGACGGCACCCTCAGCCTTGCCTTCAAGGTTCCACAACTTGACAGTTCTGTCCAAGGAGCCAGAGGCGATTTGGTTGCCGTTGGTGGAGAAAGCCACAGAGTAGACAGAGTCCTGGTGGCCGTTTCCGCTCTCGTTACCAGAATCCAATCTCTCGACGAGGAAACCAGTAGAGGAGTCCCAGACTCTGACGGTCTTGTCCAAGGAACCAGCAGCGATCAACTTACCGTTTGGCGAGACAGCCACGGTAGTGACCCCATCCTCAATGGACAAGGTCAAGGAGCACTGAGAGGATCTCAAGTCCCAGATTCTGACGGTGCGGTCGCCGGAACCAGAAACCAAACGGTCACCGTCTGGGAAGAAGTCCAACGAGTAAATGTCCTGTTCGTGGCCACGCAAGATCTTGATGATTCTCTTGGTGGACAAGTCCCAGATTCTGATCAACTTGTCTTCGGCACCGGTAGCTAAAAGCTTTCCGTCGGGAGAGAAACAGACAGATCTGATGTACAAGTCGCCATTGGCGTTGGCGGAGGCCTGGGAGTTGGCAGCACCGTCCTTGGAGTCACCGTCACCTTCGCCCTCGATAGCGTTGGAATTGGAGGAGTTGTCATCGATCAACTTGGCGATCAAAGCACCGGTCTTGACGTCAAACACCTGGGTGGTTTTGTTGCAGCCAGTGGCGATGAACTCACCGTTCTTGGAGAACTTCACGCAGCACACAACGGAGGAGTGGTCCAAGGACTGGACCAAGTCGACATCCAAGTCGCGCTTGAAAGCTGGGTTGTAGAGCACGTAGAACTCAGGGGTCTGCTTTTTGAAGTCGGGGTTAGCCTTGGCCACGTCCAAGTCGGAGAGGAAAGGAGGGATCTCCTTGACGTGCAAGTTCTTCTCTTGAGGGTTGACAATGTACTGGCTCTTGTCGACCACGGTCAAGGCGGAAGAAAACTCCAGGGGCTTGGGGGCGTCCTTGACGGGCTCGGACCTCGAAGCGTTGGGCAGCTTCTTGGCCTCGGTCTTGGGTTGTTTGATCAGAGAGGGCTGCAGAGGCTGGTGGGGAGGTTGAGGTTGTTGCGGAGGCTGGGGCTGCTGGGGTTGCTGCTGCTGGTAGGAGTAAGGATACTGAGGCGTAGGCTGGCCGTTGGGCTTGCCCAGGTGGGCCTGTCTGTCTCTGTTCTCCAACTCGGTCTTCAAACGCAAGATCTCCTCCTCGTAGGCCTCCTTGATTTTGCGGTGGGCCATCTCAAGCTCGTAGACGGTCTGGCGGATCTGCTGCATCTCGGCGGTCTGCTGGTTGCATTTGAGGTCGTAGTCCTCCTTGACCTTGGAGTAGTTGGAGGCCTCGTTGAAGGCGAAATCAAACTCCTGCTTGACGGCATCCAACAACTCATTGAGTCTCTGCTGGTGTCTCTTCTGCTGTTGCAGCTGGTTCTGCGAGGGCTGCAGCTGCGAGTTTGCGTACACCGACATGGCGATGGTGGTTGTTGTAGGTGAGTTGAGGGTGAGTGTTGAGAAAAATGATTTTCGAGGATCTCAGCCAAGCACAGAGGGAAAAAAAAAAAAGAGAAAGTAAGTGATTTGGCACTAACTTTTTGGTGGGCGGGAGCCCAGTGGAAATTTAATTTAGAGAAAGAAAGCTTTTTTTTACAAATTTCAATAATTTTTCTTTTTCGCCGGCACCCCTCCTGTTTTCTTCTCGACGTGGCAGGGTCTGCGTTGCTTCTTTATCGATGCGAAGAACCAGCAGCTGGGCGACAAATGTGCCGGCGCATTGGGCAACATGGGGTGCACCCCGGCAGTTGGCCTGAGGGCGTTTGACAGGAAAGAGCAACAACGAGCCCTCTGAGCGAGTGGCCCAAAGGGGCGAATCACGAAATTTTAATTTTTTGGTGACATTCAGCAAAAATTGATAATTGAAAAATATAGACTGTAAAATTTTAAATGCCAAAAAATCAAAATGTCCAGTGGGGGCTAAGACCGGTGGGTCAGACCCTGGGAGGTATGGGGGCCCGGTAATTCGCTGGGGTGGTTGCGAAAATCGGTGACGTTGGGCCACGGTTAGGAGAATCTGGTATCCGCAAACGATGCGGTTTTTGATTTGAAATGGAATTCACGGAATCTGGAGATTTCGAGCGGAACACTATTTTTAGCCGAATCGGTCGATGTCCATCGGCTTTCTGGTGGACCGACCCCCTCCTATTCTGGACCCACGAGCTGTGTGCAGTGACCAGCCACAAGGGTGGATCCATGGCTTTTGGTGAGCGGTAATGTGTAGGGGGTTATTTGAGTGAACCTTGTTTTTGCTTCAAGAGCGAGGGAGCATGGAGGTCTAAGAGTGTTTTCAGGGGTTTTTTGAAGGGGCCAATTGGCGATTGTATGGTTATGGAGTATTTGGAGCGTATTTGTAGCATTTTAGATGGCTCATGGTGTTTGCGACTCGGTAATGCCATATTGCGTAGCTTGTGTCGTACCGCAGTGGTCGGTCCATTTGGGCCGGTTCTGATTTGCACTTGAATCCGAGTTTTGGAGACAAAAGAACGATCACTATCAAGAGCTAGTTGGAGCTGAGCATCACGTAAATGGCTGCACTTCTAATTATCTAGTTGGGACAAACAGCTTATGTGTATTAGTCCTTTTGTTCTCGTCTTGAGTGGTGAGGCTCTAACCGGTTTCAGATGGGTGTCTACGTCATGATTCGCTGTAACACTAATTTTTGACAAAGTTATTGGTTGCAAATTCTGCCGATTTTCAACAAATGCCACTCCTGTTGTGACACTTCAAATTTCACCTTCCTCACCAGCTTTCTTGAGCCGGAACTTTCTGAGGCCGGAGCGGAATTTTTATCTATTGGGTCTTTCCATCACCACTTATGGAACGAAACTATCCAAAACAAGCTGTTTTCTCCCCACTTTCAATCTGTATCACCATTATCACCACCATGGTGGGGTGGTGCCATTCGCACATAATCATCGCACTGTAACCACTAGCTTATCTTCACCATGGTATACTTAGGAAACAAGGTCTTTCGAGGCAAGAAGGAGCAGGAGGCCTTCGACAAACTGTTTGCAGGCAGGTATCAGAAGCTCCTTAAGAAGAATCATTTCCTTTTCTTCGGTCTCCCCTTCATGTTGAGTATATTCGCTGGATCCATATATCTTCAGAAGTTCACTGCCGTGAAATGGGAGAAATACGATGAAAGACACAGACAGTTGAGTGAGGACGAGATGCTCGGATTGATTGACAAAAAGAGATCTTTCGATAAACGTGACGACTTCTATAGACTCCAGGGTCTTTTGAAGGATCACACTGACGACGTCAAGGACGACTACGAGATTGTCCGTGTTCAGAGAAAGAAGGAGGATGAGCCAGTCTGGTGAAAGTCTTGAGAGGAGGAGAGACTAGGAAGTCCTAATTGGACAGTTGAATTCCAGAAGGTGAGCTATGACTTACTGCTCGAGATACACTCGTGTCAAGTAGAAGGCTATTGCAAGAAGAGGTGCCGATAAACCAAAAGAGTTGGTCTTATTTCGTTTTCGAACCAATCTTCATGTCCTAGAAGTGACATCTACGATCACTCAGTACCATCAATACCCCATGATCGCTGATTGCAATACCAGCCAGACCACTCATACATGAAGTACACCACTGCAAGGCATAACCAGCATGCATCCCTTCAAGCTATACTTTTATTTCATTGTTTATAGTTTTACACCATTACGGCTCGTAGCCGTGTTGTTTCCCAATCTGGGTAGTTCTATAAGTAAACGCGAAAAAGCACAGAGCATCGCATCTCATCTCACACCAAAAATGGTTTCGTTCTCTTGTGAAGTCTGCAACGACACTGTCATTAAGAAGAAGTTGGATCAGCATCGCTCCAGATGCCCAGATGCATACTTTACTTGCATAGACTGTTCCACCACCTTCAACGGTACTGAGTACCGTACGCATACTCAGTGCATCTCCGAGGCAGAGAAGTACGAGAAGGGCTTGTACAAGGGCAAGAAGAACAGCAACCCCAAGCCGGTTCAAAAGGAGGAGCCAAAGCCTGCAAAGGCCAAGCCCGAGCCAAAACCTACTAAGGAGTCCAAGGAATCCAAGTCGAAGGTCAAGAAGCCCAAGAAGAGCCTGAAGAAACCTCTTGATTTGACCAAGTACAGCAAAGGCTCGTTGTACGACGCGATCAAGGGTCTCAGCAAGGACACAAAGGAAGACAAGAAGGACGTCATGAAAAGATTGCAATTAAGCTTGGTCGATGGAAAGTTTGTCCTCAGCGACAGCTAGCTCTTGGCGCTTTTATTGAGGGCACGATTCATCTTTGCATAGAACTGGCTGAGGGTATTATAGGGGAAAACAAGACTGTCTTGTAAATAGTCTGGGAGATTCTGCTTCAATCTCTTCTTCATGGACGAGGGGACTTGTTTCAAGAATGTAGGGACATAGTTAACATCAGCAGATTGTTCGAATTGTTTTTTGATCACAAGCTTGTACTCCACTGTGATGGTGCTTGGGTCGTCCTCGCCATTTGTGCTCGACTGCTTGACGTCAAAGTGGAATTTCTCTTTGTCTTCCTCGTAGTTCACGATTCTGACACCCGTCAAGAGCTCGAGCATGTCGAGGGTGACACCGATTGTTTTCATCTCCAGCGCTAGGTCCTCCAGGCTGATCATCAGAGTCGACGCAGAGCTAGTACGGATAGGCAGCTGGTATAACTCACCTCCCAGTCTCTTTTGCGGCGTAGCATGAGCGTCATGGGATACAGCTCCGTTATCCTGTAGTCGCAGAACCTGCTTTGTGAGCGTATCTATCAGATCCTGTTTCCTTTGGAGGTCCGCTTTCAATTGCCGTATAAGACTAGCATCGTTTTCCATCTGTAGCTGAGCCGTGCGTTTGTATTCGTTCAAGTGAGCGTCAGCTTCACTGCCCACGAGCGTATTGATGTAGCCTAGAAGGTCATTGCTATTGGTAGCCAGGACAATGTCTTTCTCTGTGAGTTTGCCTCGTGGAGCAGGAGTAGCAGAGGCGGATGATGGGTGATTCAAGGAAGGAACCCTAGACAACAGCTTTGGGAATTCCACAGGCTCTGGGGCGGTTTTCGCCGGCAGCACTGGCGGCAAGCCGTACTCGTCCTTCTTCTTCTTTGGTCCACGCTTCTTTGGAGGCGCCTTCTTGGTTTCTTTCTTCGCTGGTTTGGCGACCTTCTCCGTGGGATTCTTCCGTCTCGGCGATTTGCGCAAAGAGCTTCCTTCAGAAACAACTTCTAGCGAGTCGTCCGGATCCGGCTGACTTTTAGCTCTGGGCATTTTTAGCAATGGGTGGACGTGTTGGAGTTGATCTTGTTTGTTTACTCCAATGCGCACCGCGGTGGTCTATGTAGAGCGTAGTCGATGGGATGGAATTTGAGAACTTGAAGGTAAGAAGATGGGTGAATGGAGAAATTTTGGATGGGGGCTTGAGAATAATTTCTTTTGATATTTTTTGCACCCGTTTAAGGCGAAGGAGTCTTTTTGGTGAGGTTGGACCACAAACGGCTCTCTAGGAGGACGAGTGAAAGATGACCCTTGAAAATGGCAGTGCGAGGATAGTCTCTTATAGTGGATCATTCAAACTTCTGTTATGATATTTTGAATTACTAAGTGATATCTCTCATATTCCAGCAATCGTTCGTGTTAGGCTTGATTAATGAAAGTCTATTTGATCATTGGATATTATCAGCCGTATCGGTTAGTAGAAGAAGCCTGCGCTACTGCCAATTGGTCTCAATTATTCAAGAATATTTCACCACATTTTTGAGAGTCATTTATATGCGTGGCCATGGAGCCATCTTGACATCTCTTGAAACATTGACCAGCGTTATCGTTGAACAGCTCCCTATAAAGTGCATCCACAATCGAAGCGACAATCAGCTGATTTTTTTTCGATTTTCAGTGAATGGACCTCACTCTATCGTGTAGACTTCGTAATATGATATTCTTCCATTTTGAAAGACATGTTAGTCTCACCCATGGTGGCGACGCATTTGCACCCAAAGCATTTGAGGTTTGCCTGGCGAACAAAAACACGCACCATTCACTTTTAAAAAAACCACTATTTCAATCCAATAAGTGGAAACATTCCCTCTAAAAGCTCAATTCCGAATATCCATATCACTGTGGCGGGCAATTCTCCCCACTTGGTCGGCTACCCAGGGTCTGTACTGTACCTCGTGTGGGCTCTTCGCAGAATCTCCACCATCAGTTCAAACCTACTCATGTCCTTCTCGCCAGACGTCTTCAAAAAGAAGTTGGACCTGCTTCAGGAAACACAGGACCTGATTGTCCTGATTTCTCAGTGGGTGCTTTTCCATCACCGAAGAGTGAAGGAGTTGTGCCAGTTGTGGAGCGAGTATACCTTGCTGGACGACCCGAAACTAAACTCGAAAAAGAAGCTCTCGTTGCTTTACTTATGCAATGATGTTGTTCAACAGGCTCGTCACAAGAGGAAACCGGAGTTTCTGGCCGAGTTTGCAAAGTGCTTGCCCGAGGTGCTCCACAAAGTGTTCCCTAGCATGGACGACCCCATCAAGCCCAAGATAGAAAGATTGGTGGGCGTTTGGGAACAAAGAGGGATCTTTGGGGCTCAGATATCCGCAATATGAGAAGGGCAATAGACTCGCTGAAGTCAGGTAAGTCATTTGACGCTGAAGCTCCTGTCGCTAAGGTTCAGCCCGCTGGTCCTAAGCTCAACAGCGAATTGGTCCATTTGAATAACCTATATAACCATATGACGCAGCTTCTGGACGTGTGCAATCTGAACTTGACACAAATCGGATTCCAGTCCAAGCAGTACTTGCCAAACGACCATGGCTCCCAGGATGCCCTCCCACTGCCTAAAATCTACATTTCTAAACTTAATGTCCTCGAGAAGCTCTGCAGCGTCACCTCACAAAACTTGACAGATATAAAAGCCGCTAGAAAGGATGTCTTGTCGCTGTTACAGAATCTCCAGCGTCTTCTCGAGGACGGCTTGTCCACAGATGAATCGAAGGAGCAGATCATTGCACAGAGATTAGAAAAGCTCAACTCGACGCGGTCCTCATTGCAAGAGATGCTTGATGGTGAAGGTGCTGAAGATGAGGAGGCTTCTCCTGCTTTCGAAAAAGACTCACCTCCTCCAGTTGCAGCTCCTGCTCCTTCTAATGATGACGATGCTTTGCCAACTTACGATAATTCTGACAGCGATGATGACGATGATGACAGGGACGAGCCACCTGCCAAAAGAAGAAAAGCCTCGGATTCTTCAGTGTCTTCCAATGCCTCAGGAAAGAAGTCGGTCGCTTTTTCTGAAGACATACAAATCAACGAATACGACAGAGAAGAGCAGACTGATGTCATAAAAGTGGCAAAGAGCGACAACGAATCCGATGATGACACAAACTTTGAGCCCAGTCTTCCGGAAAATCTCGAGGAGTACGAGGCACACCACAAAGACGACTTGGAGCTCCACAAAATTCAGCAGGGTGGCAGCAATGGGACAGGCGGCGGAAGCAACGGTGGCGACAGCGATCAGAACGCTGGCTTACTCAATTTGCTTTCCAAACTCTCATGAGCTTCTACGAACTTCTGTTCAAAATCTGTATATTAATTTCTAACGACCTTTTCAGCGTCAGTAATGCGGAAGAAATAAACGGTGATAGATATGTACTTATGAGCTAATTGAGAAGGCGATAGACATCGCTGCATCTCCGTTGCCCTGTGTACGTACCATCCATGCTGGTGTTGTGTTTGTCTATCTTGTTGAGGCTCAACCTTAGGTGCTTCATGCTCTGTGGCGGGTAAACACAGAATTCGTCACAGGAAGTGCAATTGAGGCATTCGGGAAGTTGACGGGAACATTTCTTTTTGAATTTTCGACACCGTAAACAGCTTCCAGAAGCCTTACCTCGGTGGATCGGATCATTCACAGCGGCTGCAACATTGTCCCAGTAGTAATTGTTTGTCAGTTTTGTCGTCATACTATGAAGCTTTTTCTTTTTGAAGACCACAATATAATCTTTGAGATTGCGATGTCGTAGCGGACCATTTGATCTGAGTACCGTGTGAAGCCTGATCTGAAAAGTCCCTAGGAATCTCTCCATATCAGGATACTCATCTAGAGCCACCTGCAAATCGAAGTCCCTTTGGACTGTCATAAGTTATAGAAAATTGGGGAAACCACTTAAGAGCAGAGGTCTGCTAGAAAGAAGGTCTAGCATGAACAAATGCAACATGTCAGCACGCCATAATGATGCAAAGTCGGATTAATTACCGTGCTCGTAAATTCGCCTCCACGCGCAGTTATGTGATAAATTGAGTCAAAAAACCCGTCCGAGTCAATTGCGAAAAGGGCGAACCGACTGTGCGCCCTCGCTGCTGATTGCAAGATGTAACGTGCCATCTCAAAATCAGTGTTTGATTTTTCTTAGGATAGTTCGAGTGGACTCCGTAAACTTCTTCAATGGCAAGTTTTGATAACTGACAAAATGGTACAGACGCTGCTGTGTAAACATTTTATAGTACTCCCTTCCTCTGTTTAGTTTGTCTGAGGATGGTGGTGGGCGCTTCAAATCTACCAGTAACCCAGAAAGTATAGAAGCCCTGCGGTCGAACAATGGTCCTGGTTTGACTTGAAGATTCTGTATACCCGTGGCTAAAGTCTGTGAAGAATCGTCGAGTTGTGGGAGATTTGTGGTAAATAATTTCCGAGCTGTTTCTCCAATCTCTTCCACACCAATTGGTGTGCTTAAGTAAAGAAGATCTCTGGCTCTTGTGCACGCGACGTAAAGTAACCTTGCATGGCTGTTGCCTTCCTCCCCGTGGCACCGGAGAAGCGACTGCCAAGTATTTCCGAAGCCTCCCAGGATGAATACCACCGGAAACTCCAAACCCTTTGCAGAGTGAATCGTCAGAACCTGAACCAGATCCTCATTCCGAGGAGGGAGTTCTTGATCGTAGTTTTGAAGGAAGTATTCGATAAAGCTTCGATCCTGGAATTCCGTGTGAGACATGTAGGTTTCGAAGCAGTAATGCAAGGAGTCGTTAAAGGAGGTGAGTACTTCACGAGCAGGTAGTCTGTCAGGGCCCTCAACATATTCCTTAATTCCGTTAAGAGAAGAAAACCTATGTAGGCATTGAACAACAGCCTTTGGCGAATGGATCAAGTTTTCCTCGGTAATCGCATGAAATATCAGTCGTTCTTCTTGGACTTGGTTCATAAATGCAGCGATGTTTTTCAAGGAGTTATACAGTTTGGCAAACAAATTGTTGAAGTTTTTGCCGTTGGAAAGATTCTCAAAAATAAAGTCTTCAAAAAAGGTATGCTCAAAAGACTTCTCAGATGCAATGGCCTGGCTAAAGAGCTTTGAAGCTCTTTGTTTCGCTCCTTGAGATGTATCCAAGATCTTGAGGATGTTTAGAAGACAGAAACTAGCATCAGACTCCCCTGATACCACACTTAGAATGTCACGAAACAATCTAACCCTAGATTGGATCCATATATTTCCCAGTGAGATCTTGGAGCATTCGATTCTGTATTCTTTTCGTAGAAGTAATTGAATCTTGACAGCTTCAGCATTAGATTTGGTCAAAATTGCTATATCCCGGGGACGTATTAGGCCACCCAGACAGCAAATAAGCCGGACGATTTCATCCGCGATAGCGTAATGATCACCCTTCATGTTAGTGGATAGCAAAACAGGTTTTGACGAAAGCGTCAGATCTTTTTGTGATTTGAGGCCATCATCACCATCATTATCCCTATTGAAGCAGACACCCACCGAGGTATCTAAAATGTCTTGTGTACATCTAAACGAATCGTTCAATGACATCTCCACGTTCTTCATCTGTGGGAGTTGCGAACATAACAGATCCATTGACTTAGGACTTGAACCCAAGAATTCGTAAATGCTTTGATTTTGATCGCCTGCGATTATCAAGTTTTTGTTCGTGGTCCTGTCAAAATTGTAGGTTGGGTAGTCAGCCACGGCTTTTACAACAGAAAGAAGAAGTGGATACATGTCTTGAAACTCGTCAACAACCACCATTTTATAGGAGGCAATACGAGGTAGAAGTGCTTCCAGAGTGCCTGGTTTGAGCGACTGTTTAATCACATCAAGCGCAACGCCAACAAGATCGTTGTATCTCATCATTCCATGTTTTTTCATGTAATCGAAGATACCATCAAGGTAGTGAGACAGCACTTTGAACTTTTCTTGAGCTTGTTCGCTTGTCATGTTGCCATCTGCAATGTCATTAAGTAGTTTATCAAACTTTGCAACAGAAATGTTAGTCCCAATAGTATGTCCATTGAGCAGCACGTACTTTGAAAGGAAGAAATCGGCAACGTTTCGCCATCCTGTCAGGTCCAAAAGTCGCCTTCTGGGCGTGTCTGGGTTTATGATCTGAGCGTATTGGTCAACCAAAGATCCACAGAACGAATGGAAGGTAGATATTTCCACATTTGCCGCAATTTCTGGTCCTACGAGATGCTCCAAATGCTTCTGTAATGCACTGACTGAACGATTTGCCATAGAAAGCACGAGTATCTCGTGAGGCTGCAACTCTCCACCTAGCAATCTCGCAATTCTAGCCATGAGCGTGAATGTCTTTCCCAGTCCGGGGCCAGCCCTAACAGATAAGATCTCATTCATCTCGAAAGGCCGCTTGATAACCTCATATTGTGAATCAGACACATGCACTTCGATGTCGTCCCATTCAGGCTCCATAGGTATTGCTTCCTGATGCTCGAGGTCCAGCCCCAAGTCATCGATATGCAAACCACTGGTTTGCTTCATGATATCGGCAATCCCTTCACCAGGGCCCGGTTCTTTGTTTGTTGTTGCCATATACTGTGATCTATAGCACTGCTGCAACAATCATGTATGTTCGCGCTTCAGTATCAACACATAGCTTTTATCTACTACTACTCATTGAGCCATGAGTATTGCATACTTGGAAACGCTCTTGCCGCTCCACGAATCCGACCAGGATAGTAAGGCGGATGAGTCTTTACTAGAGGATCTTTCGGGCCACGACATTGGCCTTCTATCGGCCAAGTATGAGGAGTTCCTTGACTCCATGGCTCCTTACAAAGAGAAGCTTCAACCGATCGAGAAGTTTCTCGACTACTTCAACACTGAGGTATGCAAGCTTTCTGACTCCTTGTTGTCGCTTCAGCAGCAATCGTCTCAGCTTACGTCGAACCTAGGTCTGCAAAGAGAGTTGGTAGACCAGCTCAATCCAGTTATTCTTGACTTGGTGATCCCTCCACTGGTTTCCAAAAGCATTGTCGTCGACCCTGTCGATGAGCTGTGGATTGAAAACATACGTTTCATCGTGGAAAAGCAGCAACTCATCAAGAAGGTGAAAGGTGTCCAGCTGACCGATAAGGACCTGCTGTTCTTGGCGCCTTACAAAGACTCCAAAGCCTTTGAAGAGCTTCAGAAAGGTATCAAAATGTTGGAAGCCAAGGCAATTGAGCGTATAAGAGACCACGTCATCAATCAAATTCGACTTCTAAGGAAGTCTCTCAAGACCTCGTCACAGATCGTTCAAGAGGGTCTCTTGCAAATCAAAGAGGCTTTCTATTTCTTGAAAGAAAGACATCCCACACTTGCAAACCAGCTTCAACTTGCATATATCTTCACCATGAAGTGGTACTATACAACCCGGTTCGCCAAGTACCTTTACGCTATACAAAAACTCAAGATAAAACAGATAGACACGACTTACGTCTTAGGTGCCAATGAACACGGCGAGGCCAAAAGCGGCCTCCTTGGTGGTCTTTGGGAGTCGACATACGCCTATGCTTCATCACCAGCCTCCCCTAATCCTGGTGGTCCTAATGCATCTCAGGGCAGCTCCAGACCTTCGCTCAATGACTACTTCTCGTCAGTCAAGAAACGTCTCGAAATACTCTGCGAAGACAGCGGTGAGAGCCGCCGCTCTATTCCATCTCAAATTGCCGAGACTACACCTTTTGCGTACTGGTTAGAATTCATTTACAACCAATGGGCAAATGCCGTTCTCGACAATGTCATTGTTGAATATCTTTTCTTCATTGATTTCTTCCATGAGGGTGACGAGAAGGCAGTGCCTATCAACCAGCTTGATCCATCCATGAACATTCCTAGCGGCTCTGATCAGACATGGTCCCAGGTAGTGTTTGGAGAAGTGTACAAGATGGGTCAAGACTTTGCCCATTGGCTTTTGACAACCGCCCCTCAGAGACTGAGCTCTAGAATAGTGTCGGGAACAGGTGCAGCAGCAGCCTCTGTTGCAGGTTACTCGTATGGTGCCACCGGCGATGCTTACGCCATTCTTCTAATGATACGTTTGGTGCAAAACCATCAATACAACCTTCACAATCGTTTCCATGTTCCATCGATGGATGATTACCACAACCGCCTTCTTCTTCAGCTTTGGCCCCAGTTCACCAGAGTCATCGATTTGAATTGTGATGCACTCAAAAAAAATGTTCTAGGAACGGGGTCATATTCCTCAAAAAATGCCCACCAACAACAAGCGCCGCTTAATGTCACTCAGCAATTCTCACAATTCTTAGCTGGTCTTCTAAGGCTTGCGTTCGTTCACGACTCAGACCATGAGAAGCGGGGCTTCTTCCAAGGCGAGCCAATCTCGATGTCGATAACAAGAATAAGGAATGATTTCGAAGGTGCTCTTACCAAGACCAGTAACCATATGTTCGGATCTGGTCGCAGTAAGGCCACGCAAAAGGAGATATTCCTCTTCAACAACTACTTTTTGATCATGACTATTCTCCGAAACGAGTTTGACGACTCCGAAAACGAGTTCATAAAGGAGCAGGTGAAACACTTTGAAATGCTTTGTGATGCCTACAAGCAAAGACGTTAATATTTGTATTATAATCATGGCAATGCAGCTAATTTGGCGTACATACCGCACAATTGTAGATACGACAGCACGCCCTCCAAGACACGCATGTGTGTGAACCCGATCTCCTTGATGATGTCCAAGCGTTTCAGCTCATCAATTCCTGGTAACGTTTTGGCCACCTTGAAGCTCAGGGTGACAATGTCAATGGCAGAATACCCCTTCTTCCAAAGCGAATCGAGAAGATCGATAGCCTCGTCGATCGATTTCGAAACGCACGCGTTCAATATCTTCTTGATAACAAGAGGATGTGGCTGGTCCACAATCTTGAACACATTAACATCATCCACGAATCCGAAGCCGGCCACCGTACTTTGCATATTGTTGATAGCCTGACGCATATCACCCTCAGCTGTGAAGATCAAAGCCTTCAAACCCTCTGAGTTGTATTTAACATCCTCCATCTTGGCAATTTCCAATAGACGCGACAACACCTGGTCGTCGGCAAGCTTATTATATCTCAAGATAGCACATCTAGACTGTAATGGCTCGATGATCTTCAGCGACTGGTTACATGCAAAGGCGAATCTGGTGGTGTTCGAGTACAACTCCATTGTACGACGCAAGGCCTGCTGGGCACCAGCCGTCATCGAATCAGCCTCGTCCAATATAATGATCTTGTGTCTTCCTGGTGGTAACAGGATCTTGGTTTGAGCAAACTGCTTGATTTTGTTCCTCACCACATCGATACCTCTGTCGTCCGAAGCGTTAAGCTCCAAAGTAGCCAGCAGCACTAGCTCAGGTCCCAAAAGTTCGTAGGCAAGACAGTGCACGGAGGTGGTTTTACCAATACCTGGTAGACCTGATATGATCATATGGGGCATGTTGCCGTCCTCGGCGATGAGCTTCAAACGCTCAATTGTCTCTTCGTTTCCGACGATATCATCTAGTTTCTTTGGTCTGTATTTTTCAACCCACGGAAGCTCGAGGGAAAGTGCAAAGTTTTTAGACATGTCTTGAGGTTAAAGATGGTAGAAGTGTAAATTCGCACGCGTACGCGAACGCTTGAGATGCACCGTTAGTGAAAAGTTACAGTGACGGAACCTACTTATCTCGATTATTTGTCGATTGTATTGATTTTTTTCCCGAGTTACTACTGTAATTTGAAAATGAATTCGAATTGTTCCATTCATCGCATCATGCTTTTGAAGCTATGTAATGAAACTCCAAACATAGTCTCGCCTGTTACTTTAGGTCGAACTATTTTTGTTTCAGCCTCTTAGCATCGACGCCATTGTCCTCAGCTGTTCTTTTCTTGCCCGATTCTGGTTCACCCTTCTGCAGCTCTCTTTTGGCCTCTCTATCCTCCTTCTTCTTTTGCTGTCTTTCCTTCTTTCCAGGCCTCTTACCCACAGGTGCTTTGGTTTTGAGAAACCTTATCGCTGGCTCTTGGAACACCTCCAACTGTCCGTCGAATAGTCCCTGGAGCCAAGGAACATCTATGTCCACGATCTCTCTGTCAATCAACAGAAAGAGTTCCTTTCCACCAATCCACAGCTCTGAAATACCCAATATGCTAACATTTGGTGTGTGAAGTACATCCAGAAGCTTGTTCATGGATCCTTTCGGTAGCTCAATGAGCTTCACTCTGTCCTCAAGAGACTTCGATGCTGAATATGCTAGAAGGGGAAACATGCTGGTAAGAAGTGGTGTGGAGATGTCGTTTTTGGCCACAAAGACGTATTTCATGTAGCCGTCAATGGAAGTCTTGGGCTTTGGCTCTTTTTTAGCTCTAAAGACTTTTTGCCGGTTCGAAGACGCCTGGCCCTCTAAAGCTTGCACTGTAGAATTGAAACCTATTGTAATCTTCCCATGAAGTGGATGTGGCTCAATAGTCTTCTTGTCCTTGACACTTTGGTAATTTCCATAACTGGGTAGAAGCTGAAGAAGATAGTCCAAGATTGCTTTTGCAGTGTCCTTGGTAATCGCTGGAAACTCAGGACCTTGAGTATATGGATTGTCAAGGATCGGTTTATAAACCTCTCGGCTTTTGATATCGAGGAGTGAACCTTTACCTACTTCTGGCTTGGACATTAGTAGGTGATGATCATTGGCATGTACTGCACTTGCATTTGCACTCATTACTACAGTGCACAGTATTATCTACAAGTTTTTCAATTTCCTGTCTATTCTTAAATCCCGGAACATTCTATGATGACGGTTAATCTGATAATACAAGTGCCATGTTAAATACAAGTGGGCTTCAACCCAATCAGTCCTTCTTTTTATCCTCCTTCTTGCTTTCAGCGTACAGTGGGGAACCAGGTGAGTATGATGGAGAACCTGGGGAGTACTGAGGTGAAGTAGGCGAATATTGGGGTGAAGTTGGCGAATACTGTGGCGAAGTTGGCGAATACTGTGGCGACGTAGGCGAGTATTGCGGTGATGTAGGTGAGTACTGTGGCGACGTAGGCGAGTACTGAGGTGATGTGGGGGAGTAACTAGGCGAAGTTGGCGAGTAACTAGGCGACGTAGGTGAGTACGATGGCGAAGTTGGCGAGTAACTTGGCGAAGTTGGCGAGTATGATGGAGATGTTGGTGAATAACTTGGCGACGTAGGTGAGTACGAAGGCGAAGTTGGTGAGTAACTTGGTGAAGTTGGTGAATAACTTGGCGAAGTTGGTGAGTAACTAGGCGAAGTTGGCGAGTAACTAGGCGACGTAGGTGAGTACGAAGGCGAAGTTGGTGAGTAACTTGGCGAAGTTGGCGAGTAACTTGGCGAAGTTGGTGAATAAGATGGAGATGTTGGTGAGTAACTTGGCGATGTAGGTGAGTACGATGGCGAAGTTGGCGAGTAGGATGGCGATGTAGGCGAGTAGCTTGGTGACGTTGGCGAGTAACTTGGGGATGTTGGTGAGTAAGTTGGAGACGTACCACCATATCCAGGAGACGATGCACCATAGCCTGGCGAAGAGGCACCATAAGAGAATGGTGAGGTTGGTGACACAGATGGCTGTCCACCGTATGAGGTAAGCGAGCCAACGCCTTCGGACGTGTTCGCAGTGTGAATTGGCGAGAAACCTGCGCCTTCTTCAAACTGGATCTTGTCATCCTCCATATCGTATTCTCTGTAAGGAGTAGCACCACCATCATCAGCGTATGCTCCTGCCAGAGCAGCGACGGGAACACCTCCGTTTGGACCAGCCTGTTGCAACAACTTGTCGTCCACCATACAGTCAAACGCACCAGTACCCAATGGAGGCATCTGGCCCAAAATGACATTCTCAGAAATACCACGGCAATCGTCAAGTTCTGCTGCAGCACCAGCCTCCAACAAAATTTCCACCGTTTCTTCGAAAGAACAACGCATCAACGCACCAGTTTCAGCTCTGTTAATACCGTGACGTGTAATTGCCATCAAATGGCCACGAGACGTCATAACATCAACCAATAAAGCCATATGACGGTAGTTGACATAAGAACCATCGAACGCAATAACGTTAAGAATTTCCTTGTACAATGCAGAACGAGTGGCCTCAATACCCAACACAGAAAGAATCTCAATGAAATTGTTCGAGTAAGTACGGTGAGAATCAACACCTGGCACGGCCATTACCTCTGCTAAGTTGACACCATCGGTTTCCAAAACCCATTCTTGCTTTTGAACGAATTCACCACTCTCTTCTGGAACACTCATCTTGTGCTGCATCATAAACACTCTTGTGATACCTGGGATACCACGCAAAGAAATAGTTTCCAACATGTGAGCCTCGACACGCTTCAAGATTTGGTCTTCTTCGTGTTCACCTTCTTCCTCTAACTTAGGATCGCGGATGACACGACAACGGATGATCAACTTTTCAGCAGTATCGTCGGACCAGATAACGAACAAATCTTCACCAAAGTTCTGGGAAATCTTTTCAGCAACCTGCGCCATTGTCAATTGCTTGTCCAACATCTTAGCTCTGTCAAGTTCAAGACGGAGCAACCATGGAGATTGGTTATCGATGGTCTCCTCTACCTTCTCATCAGGAATGGCGAAGTAGGCCTCGACAGTGTCGTAATCCTCCTCAATCACAGTACTTCTGGGGTCTGGGTCGTAGAAAATCTCAGTTGCCGAAGTAACATTCTTCAAAGTGGTATGCTCAATAGCAGATTGAACAACCTTAGCCTTTTCGATATCAGCTGCCACATCTGGGTCCAAGTAGACTGTCAATGCTGGAGTCTTAATATTCTTGGCAACATTAAGAATCTCCTTAAGACGGGGAACACCCAATGTAACGTTTTTAGACGACACACCAGCGTAATGGAAAGTGTTCAAGGTCATCTGAGTAGCAGGTTCACCAATAGACTGTGCAGCAATAACACCAACCATCTCACCAGGATGGACAATGGACTTCTGGAACTGAGTTTCAATTTCACCCATGACCCATTCAAATGAAATTCTACTCAACTTAAACTCTTCAATCACACGACGAGCGGCTAATCTGGAACGCAACAAGCACTGGAAAAGTAAGGTGGCGTTCTCTTGAGCTTCTTCAGCCAACTTACCCTTACCACGTACAACGTGGACCTTAGTACAAAGATCACGAACGCCCTCGACAATCTCACTCAACTTCAAGTCAGACGCCTTCTGGCGGCCACTGTGGAAAATTTGCTGAGCGTTCTGGATGATACGACGCAAATTAACAGGCAAAGGCCAGTTGTAGTCACCGTTGGGGAAACAGACCTCTCTCAAGTACTTACGGTCCTTGAGCAACTGATCGTACTCCTGATCCAATACCTTTTGCAATTTGACGTCACCCTTGATGTCCTTACCAGACTCCAACAATGACTCAGAGATTGACGTGCTTGGATCCAAGAGGTCGATTCTGTAGCGCTTTTCGAACGAAGCGTCGGAACCAGGAATAGTGTCAATGGTCTGTTTCTCCACAGAAGTACCGTCCACACCATCTTCACCGTAAACGAACTGGATGACATCACCCAACGAGTTTCTGGTGGTACCGTCATAGTGAACCATGATATCCTCCAACGCCTTAACCAAACGACGCTGAATATAACCTGTCTCTGCGGTCTTCACAGCAGTATCAATAAGACCCTCTCTACCAGCCATAGCGTGGAAGAAAAACTCTTGCGGCGTCAAACCTCTCAAGTATGAGTTCTCCACGAAACCCTTGGATTCAGGCGAGTAATCGTCCTTTGAAAAATGAGGCAAGGTACGATCGGCAAAACCGAAAGGAATACGCTTACCTTCCACAATTTGTTGACCCACACAAGCAGACATTTGAGAAATGTTAATAAACGAACCCTTCGAACCAGATGTGACCATCTGCTTAACGTTGTTAAGATCCCTCAAATTCATCTCAGCAGAACGACCGGCGCTATCACGAGCTTGATTCAACACACGGGACACATTGTGTTCGAACGACTCTCTCAAGGTCATACCTGGTTCAGGCTCTAGTCTATTTTGTTGGGCATCGATAATGATCTCTTGCACCTTGAGCTTGGCATCCTCAATTGTCGTCGTGACGTTTCTCATGGTGTCCTTATCAGCAATTGTATCACCAATACCGATAGAGAATCCGTTATGCAACAACCAGTAGTTCACAATTTTTTGAATGGCGCTGAAAAGCTGGGCACATACCTGAGGGCCCTTTTCTCTGAAGACTGTGTGAATTAATCCACCAGCTGTAGCACCCACAGTCTTCTTGTCAACAACACCAAATATAATTTGGCCATCAACAATCAAAATGCCTGCGTCCTTCGGACTCATCAAGTTCTTTCCGTCATCAAATCTCTGCATGTGAATACCCTTTGGAATTGCCATAGACAATAACTGTTTACCAGTCCACAAGGGTTTAGGTTTCATGACTGCAGGAGGAGGAATAACTCCATCCCAATCAGGAATCCAGTATAACATATTCATCACCTGCTCGTAATCGATGAAGATGTCTCTCAAAGTCATCTTACGAATACCACAAAGAGTATCTTGCACGATACCCATCACTGGTTTATTCGATTGGGGCGAGACAATTTGCAATGGAACCGCACAAATTTCAGACATTTCAGCTCTGGTTTCAGGCGATTGTGGAACGTGCAAGTTCATTTCGTCACCATCGAAATCGGCATTATATGGCGAGGTGACTGACAAGTTCAATCTAAACGTGGAGTAAGGCATAACCTTAACTCTATGCGACATCATGGACATTTTGTGCAAGGATGGCTGACGGTTGAACAAAACTGGGTCATCATCCATCAAATGACGTTCGACCTTCCAACCATACTGCAAGGCAATGTCACCAGCCCTTTTGTTATATCTCAAATCAATACGGTCACCGGTATCACGAATGACGTACTTGGCACCTGGATGCTCATTTGGACCATTGCGCACGTACTCGGTCAAGCGATGGATATTGTAAGGAGTCACGATCTCTGGGTAAGTTAAAGTTCTCGCGATAGAGATGGGTACACCGACCTGGTCAAGGTCAAGGTTGGGGTCACCCGAAATGACAGTACGAGCAGAGAAGTCCACACGTTTACCCATCAAGTTACCTCTCAATCTGCCTTCTTTACCCTTCAATCTGGCTCTGATAGACTTGATTGGACGACCTGTCTTTTGAAGTGCCTGCGGTTGACCAGCGATATCGTTGTCCATGTATGTAGCAACGTGAAATTGTAAAAGAGCTTCGAACTCACTGATAACGTGCTGGGGAGAACCGTCCATTTCGAGTCGTTGAACGTTGATATTGGCCTTGATGATATCAGCCAACTTAAATGTCAAGTCATCCTCACCTCTAGCAGTATCGTTGAAAGCAATCGAGGGTCTCACAGGTGGGGTGGAACAGGTAGAACGGTGATCAACATCCACTCTGGTCTTGCGTAGTCTTCATTGAAACCCAACTTTTGACAGTCTTCTTCACTGATGTGTCTGAAAACACTCAAAATCTCAGATGGGGTCAACAAACGACGCTCGGGCTGTTCGTTTTCCTCAAACTGTTTGTTCTGTTTCCATGTTCCCCACAACTTCATACCGTCCCTACGAACAGTAGGTTGTGTGTGACCACAGCCGCCTCTTCCGGAGGTAACCTGGCCTTCATCGTTGACGACATCAGCTTCACAGACCATCTTTGTCTTACAGACGTTCCACACAGCATTAAATCTCTTCTTAGGGTCTCTTATCCTGATGGCCTGAGCCATCAAGGGATTAGCGTCATCGACTAGAAGCTTACCACAGTGCATACAGACACACTCACAGACTTTCTTAATTTTTGCAATGAAACCAATGTGGAACACGGGCTTGGCCAACTCGATATGGCCGAAATGACCCGGGCACTCAGCCATGTCTTCTCCGCATGTCTGACACTTGAAGTTTCTGTCGATGGAACCCAACCTAGGATCATTAAGACCGCCATCTCTCGGTCTTTTAGTCGACTGATCCATGGTCTCAGGGTACTCTATTTTTGCTACCGAGATAGCTCTCACTTCCTCTGGAGATAACAAACCAAATTGAACCTGTTGTTAGCATTATTATGATCTTTAAAGTTGAAACAAATGAAAAAAACTTACCTCTTTGACAGTACGAAGCGGGGCGCTCGAGTAAGGGAATTGACGACTCATGATGATAATGGGACTGTGCCAATTTTTTTGATTTTTTTATACTTTTTTGGGACCAATACAGGGTCTAGGGATAATGGATTCAATAAGTTGAAAGGATTAATGCAAACGTGCCGCTGTATGGATTTGTGGAAATGAAAGGGATAAACGTGAAAAATAAATGTTTATAGTCGTGAAACGAACTATTCGGGAACAACTGGTGAGTAAAAGGGATTACACACGGGAGCTGTTTAAAATGATACGCCGGAGCGAGATGGATGGAGCAACCAGGTAATGGGAAGATGAGCCCTTGAGTGAGGATGGGTGGAGCTTAACTGTTTTTTGACGATCAGTATAAAAATTTGTTGGAGGTGGCGAGCATGTGCTGAGAATTACTGTGGTCCGCCTTGTACTGTGTACGGCTATGGCAGGTATAGGCGTAAACAGCGTCACGTAGCCAGCATGAAAATTCTAGAAGAAAAGGGAAGGTTTGAAGAGACGTCATCAATCGTTGAAGATTTATCACGTTCTTGAGAGTTGCTATTTCTGGTTGTGCTTCCTTTTGGTGAGTTATCGGTTGCACTAGCGTAGCGCACCTTTCAAGTAGGATGCTCACTTCAGACCACATACTTCAGACCACATGCATTAAATTCTACCAGTTATCGATGAGGCTAACTTTGGGTGTATGAGCTTTGATCAATACGTATTAGGTAATTAGATCGGACCTGCTGTGACATATGGTCTTCTCTCCATGTCGGGCAGGTGTTACAGGTCAATTTTAATACTTGACTGTACATTCTATTCGATAAAACGCTAGCCTCATGTGAAATGAAACCAACTCAAATTTCTGACTTAAATTGATCAAACCAAGAATGTGGGTGACATTTTGAAGGTGGCTGCGAAATCCAATTTTGCGGTGTTTGAGCGCACAATTTACGAATCTCAAATAGTTTTTGCGTAACTACAGAAGATGCAAACATTTGAGCGACAATAAAAAATCCAATTCAAAGCCATATCCAACAAATCTCCACTCTCTTGCTGCATTACGCATAAAGAATGCTTTCGTTTTTACCAACACCCATTTGACGTCATTTTGGCCGAACACATTCTGATTTTGTTGGCCATTCCCCCACTCTTACGCACCCCGGAGAGCGGACTTTTCTTGATTTCGGAAAAACTCTCAAAAAAAGCCAATCCCTTATGCGGGGCCCCACCGGAACAACGCAATGACTCGCAAAGTCCTTGTCGGGTCTCGCGAATCCGGGGTAATCCCCTGCCAATCCCCCGCCCCACCCTGGCATATATAAGTGGACAGTTTCCCTGAAGTTTTTCAATCAACAATGACTGTTAACTACACCTGGTGGAAAGAAGCCTCAATTTACCAAATCTGGCCTGCTTCATACAAAGACTCCAACGGAGATGGCGTTGGTGATATCCCTGGTATCATCTCCAAGTTGGACTACGTCAAGAACTTGGGAGTCGACATCATTTGGTTGTCACCCATGTACGACTCTCCTCAGGATGACATGGGCTACGATATCTCTGATTACGAGAGCGTCTATCCCAAATACGGTACCATCGAGGACATGGATACTTTGATCTCCGAAGTTCACTCTCGTGGTATGAGGTTGGTGCTTGACTTGGTCATCAACCACACTTCTGACCAGCACAAGTGGTTCGAGGAGTCCAGATCCTCGAAGACCAACCCAAAGCGTGACTGGTACATTTGGAAGCCTCCTAGAATCGATGAACAGGGCAACAGGCACCCTCCTAACAACTGGGGTTCCTACTTCTCCGGCTCGGCTTGGAAGTACGATGAAAGGACTGACGAGTACTACTTGCACCTTTTCGCCGAATCCCAGCCTGACTTGAACTGGGAGACCGAGGAGACCAGAAATGCCATCTACGACTCTGCTCTCTCATTCTGGTTCAAGAAGGGTATCGACGGTTTCAGAATTGACACCGCTGGTATGTACTCCAAGGTCCAGCTGTTCCCAGATGCTCCAATCGTTTTCCCAGACTCGGAGTTCCAACCATGCAAGGCGTTCCACCAGTCTGGTCCTAGAATTCACGAATTCCACAAGGAGATGTTTGCCAAAGTCACCTCCAAGTACGACGCCATGACTGTGGGTGAAGTTGGTCACTCCACTCGTGAGGATGCTTTGAAGTACGTCAGTGCCAAGGAGAAGGAGATGAACATGATGTTCTTGTTCGATGTCGTCGAGACCGGTTCTGTCCCTGAAGACAGATTCCGCTACAAGGGCTTCACTCTCAAGGAGTTCAAGCAGACTGTGATCAACATGAGCTCTTTCCTCGAGGGTACTGATGCCTGGTCCACTGTTTTCACCGAGAACCACGATCAACCCAGATCTATCACTCGTTTTGGTGATGACTCTCCAAAGTACAGATTCAAGTCCGGAAAGATGTTGGCTGCTTTGCAGGCCACCTTGACAGGTACTTTGTTCATTTACCAGGGTCAGGAGTTTGGCATGACCAATATTCCTAGATCTTGGTCCATCGATGAGTACTTGGACATCAATTCGATCAACTACTACAACCAGTTCAAGAAGGCTCATCCAAATGACAAGGAGGCATTGGAGAAGCTTCTCGACACCATCAACTTGTTGGGTAGAGACAATGCCAGAACTCCAGTTCAATGGGATGATTCTGAGAACGCCGGCTTCTCTACTGGTAAGCCATGGATGAGAGTCAATGACAACTACAAGGAGGTCAATGCTGCATCTCAAGTCAACGATGATAACTCCTTGTTCAACTTCTGGAAGAAAGCCTTGACTGTGAGAAAAGAGCACAAGGACCTCTTGATCTACGGCAAGCTCAACGTCTTGGACATTGATAACGAGAAAACTTTCACCTACACGAAGACTCAAAACAAGGATACCGCCTATGTGGTATTGAACTTCACTTCCGAGGATGTGAAATTCGAGAAGTTGGTCGACGGCGACTTGTCGCTCATTCTCTCTAACGTCGAATCCGCTGACTCCGACATCTTGTCTCCATACGAAGCTAGAGTTTACCTTGTCGAGACATCCTAACCGGTTTAGGTAGATGTATATATGAATGCACTTTAAAAACCAAATCCAGTCGCTCCGGGCGATGGACTGCTTTTGTAGCCGTCATCAAGCTCTGCGATCTTGTCATCTAAGTAGAATCCCACAAGGACAACACCGTAAATCAAACACAAAATAACGCCCTTGAAGTAGTTGGACTTACCTTCAGCATAGACGTAAGTGAATAGATAGATCGAGATGAGTGTTGCCATGATGTCCCACCTGGGGAAGATCAAGGAAAATATGCTCTCGACATTTGCAAACTGTTTGATAATTGAGTAAATTACCAAACATGGGATTTGAATCAACACAACTTGCAATGCATAAGCACTACCAATCTCCATGGATAAAGCAACATTACCACCGACAGCAAACGAAATAGCATTCACGAATTCAGTGGTATTTGGCACCAAGGCAAAAACAGTGAGGCCCAAGAATTTAGGGTTAATTGGGTAGCTCTCAAGCACCTCATCGACATTATCCACCAAGATCTCAGCAATAATAGCATAAAGCAAGGTGGCTCCAAGCAAAATTATGGTAGACTTGTTTCTCGACCAGTTAGGCGCATCATGGCCACCAGACTCTTCTTCGTGATGATGTTCGTGGTGCTCCTCTCTTGCAGGTGGAGCGTCCTTCGTAAATTTCACCTTTTGGTTCAAATCGGGAGTGGTTGCCCCGCCTCCAGGTGCTTTCGAGGCTTCAGCCAAGCGAGTTTTATTCAAGTTTTGAGCTTGATCCAAGCTGACAATACTTGGAGATCTCACATTGTCTTCTTCCTTTCTGCCGGTGTGTGGCTCGTGGGAGTTCGTTGCCCAAATGAGAGAAGCGTGTGATTTCAATGTGAAATACAATCCACAAATGTAAGCAAGGAACAAAGCGCAGGCCACCAACACGGAGAATGGACGAAGCAACTCATAGTAAAGTTTGTCGAGAGCAAATGTTGGTTGAATGAAGCGGCATTTTGTGCAATCATCAGGAAGTGGAGCGGTAGTCTCAAAGTCACACTTCTTGCATTTGATCTCGTAAGAACCATACAATTGGTAGAAGAGGGATGGCGTGAACATCGTAAGCATGGCGTAAAGAAGCATGGTCGAGGATACACCAGCAGAACGAGGATTGTATCTTTGAGTCTTTCTCTTGATGGCACCTCCACACATAGATAAGCCGGGCAAAAGTAAGACACCAGCTAAAATTGATCCAATCATTGAGCCCTCAACCAATTTGCCCTTCAGCTGGTTCAATGCAACGCAGTATAAGAAAATCTCAACAATTGTCGAGAAGAATGCGTTGATAACAGCACCAACACCCATGGAAGACTGCGCGGAAATAGAAGCGACAGCTTGTCCGATGAAGTAGGCTAATGGAATGATGGAGAACAAACACATACTGAACAAAAATGAGGAGTTGGTGTACCACTTGTGCCAGCCCAAGCTTTCTTTAAGTAAGAAAAAGTCAACGATGACAAACACGACGACAGCCAACAAATTGATGAAGAAAATATTTGTACCATCGATGGTGTATTTGTAATAATGCAAACCACAACATCTGTAGGTACAAAGAATGATGGACTGATTCTTGTAAAACTTCTTCGTGTTCGGGTCGTTGATTTTCTTGTAGTACAGCTTCTCTCTCTCGTAATGCAAGGCCAATGGTCTTCTTCTCAAGTGATCGCACATGATGAGGGTAAGATTGGCGATTGGGATGGTGAAGACGAAGATCCACGACAAAAGGGAGATCAAGTATAAGATCGGCTGCATGATGAAATAGAAGAACACATAAAAGACAAATCTTCCGGAGGACCAAGCACCACGGCCAAAGAGACGTCTCTTGATGTCGGTTGGTTCGGAGTCACCGGAGTCAGTCTCCCCATTGTCGTCATTATCGTCGTTGTAATCTTCATCATCAACGGCGTTGTCTTGGGTTTCAGGGGCGTTCTGTGCATCACTTGAAGTTGCGCCATCACCCAAAGAAGAGTATGCAGCAGTCCAGGGTCTTCCCTTATGGTCCTTGAGCAAAGGCTTCGCCTCAGAGGTTGCACCGGTCATCCTTCTGGGAGGAGCGAAAAATAAACGGCCCTCTTCTTGAAGCCTCCACTTATGGAATTCAGAGATGGAGCGTCCGTCCAACTCATCTTCGTCCAAGTAGTTCTTGTCCTTGTTGAGCAACACAAACTTGCCAAAGGGATAGAGCCAGTAGTAGCCCAAGTTGACAAAACTCCGCACATAGGGACGGGACTTCTTATCCCATGCAAAACCGGAAAGCACAAAGACCATCAATGCACCAAATTGACAAAGCAAGAACAAGAATAAGCCAAAAGTGAGACTCCAGAGCAAGTTGGAGACGTGGACGCCCCAGTGGATCTTTCCAGTTGGTTTGCGGGGATCGAAGTCGTGAATATCCTCGTCAGCACGGGCCTCAACGGAACGGTTTTTTTTATAAATGGAAGGCTTCCAGATCTTGATACCGAACGGGTGCGTGGAATTGATGGCATCTTGTCTGTCCTTCAAGTTGAGGGATCCAACAGAAGAGCACGAGTGGACCGATGCACCGTCTTCAGCGTCCAATAAATCTTCATTGCCAACCTCCTCGTCCAGGCCTTCATCCTGTGATGTCACCGTAGCAGTCACTGGAGTAGCCACCGCCAGCAGAGACAGATTAGCGTGCTTTGGGAGCGTGACCGCCATCTCCGTGTCCTCATCAACCAATGACTTCTTCCTCGAGTACAACTTCTTGATAGCATCGTGGTAACCCTCGAGGTACTTCTTGTCCTGAGGCAGGATGTCCTCGGCATCGGCGTCAATTTCATCGTGGATATCGTCATCAACCGAAAACACCAACTTCTGATTGCTCGAAATCAGCTGGCCACGTCTAAATTGGGGTCTCAGCTTAGTCCTCTTGAGCTTTCCTCTTGCGTTCAACAGAGGAGAGGGCAATGACAAATTGCTCATCGACGCATGGTTCGGAGGTCTCTCAGCATCTTCGGTCGAACCTTGACGCCTTGTCTTCAGCGGAGTCCGTGAAGTCCTTTCAGACATGAAGTGAGGTTTTATAAAAGTGGTAGCTTATTTGACGATGCAGTTGTGCGAAACATTCCAGGAAACGGTAAAACGACGATGAGGTCTGCGGAAACAATTGAGGGGTAGAAGGAGGTCAGTGAGTTATTTTTTGTAAAATTGATTTAGTAGGGTATTTGATGAATGTTGTTTGGTGGGTCATTTTCGTTTGTGATATACATTGTTGTGGCTTTTCTCATAATGACGTCAGAGTCTAGATAGTGACGATCCATGCACTTACATAACTGTGCGATATGAAAAGTTCAATTTGAATTGTTGCTAGTGGATGCTGGAATAATATGCTTTTTGTACATGCAGCTTGATTGAATTCTGTAGCTTTGCATGCGCTTATCTTGCATCAGAGCAGCCTGTGTTATATTTGACAACGGTTAGGAGAACATGATTGGTCGAAAGATAACGGCGAAAAGAATTTCATGAAAGTTTGTGGAGTGAGGATTTTGCTTCATTTCTGGTATTCGTGATCACTCATAGAATCTTATCTTTTGACGTCGTCATGCACTTATAGTGTCAATATTATTTATGGTTGCTTGCTTAATTGACAGACGAAGGCCTCAGTTCAGAGTCAACACTTGCGCCTGTCCATTGGATAAATCGGCTTGTACAATGCTAGCACGGCTGACAATGTCATCTACATGTTGATCCGACCTCACAGGGCTCAATCAAACTCATACCATGTATCACTATATATTTTTGCAACGGACTCAAAAACCCTCCAGCAGCCAAACTACCACAGCTCAGCTCGTCTAATATTATGCTCTAAGAGCCGAGGCGGTGCCCACGGCCCTGGAAGGCATTGAATCCAGTGGTATGGGCCCTGCTTTCCTCGGGCCCGCTCATTGAGGTCACAACACGCCTCGTCTGCTTTTTGAACGCAGTAACACGTTCACTGGTGTCGTAAGGGTAACTGATAATTCTGTAGAGCCATTTCGGCGCCTTGAGGTATCCCAAGTCAAAGATGGCGTCTGGGAAGCTGCTTTCCTCGGCAGACTTCTCAAAGCCCACCTTGCGGCCTCTCTTGTGCAGTGGATCAAAAGCTCCGTAGATGCCAGGAACAAGGTTGTAGAATGGCAATGTGTCACTCTGAATGGATTGGTAAAAATACCCGGCAATAATGCCAATCAACTCACAAAGAAAGTATTCTTTGCCCGAAACCATGTGAATCATCAAAGACATCATGGGCACGTAGTAGGCCTTGAGCAAAAACAAGCCCTGGTACTGGATCTGCAAATCCTTGTATGATCTCAGCCAAAGGTAGGTGATGCAACCGTTGAGCATGGAGTGGTGAGACGAGAAAGCGATCAAACCAACTCTCTGGGAGATCAACGAAAGCAAATTGATGAAGAACCCGCAAACCAAAATGCACCAGACGTAGTCAGGGAAGTTTCCACGAAACTTGCCCAGCTTGGACTCCAAATGCTGTGAGAAGTTGTACAAGAAGTACATTTCTGCAAGGCACATGAAACCATTGCGGGTCAAGAACCCGAGGGGTATAAAAAATGACGTGAAGAGACGGTAGCTCTGGAGGAAAACAAAGCCCCAGGTTTGAACCTTGTTCCAAATAGACCCTGTCAGGTTCCACGCCTCGCTTAGAAGGGTGTGCACCAAGCCATAAGAAATGGCAAAATCATCCACAGCCAAAAGCTCCAATGAACACAAAAGGCACGTTAGAAATGTGCAAATAGACAAGAACCGTGTCACGGGCGGGATCGCCGCAATTCTATCGCCTAAGCCTGCCATGATACTAAGAAGGTAAAAACTGGGTTTAAGTCAGGCGTGGAAATATGCTGCGGTGCACGGGTGCCACTTACGCACCTCTTCAACTAAATGGTCTTTATCAGAAAGCACTTGTCTTGTTTAATATGAAATTGGTTCGATTTTTGATGAACTTGCCGCTGGCAACAAATCAGCCCGTGACGGTGGAACTCAAAAACGGTAATTCCGTTAACGGGCAGGTGCTCTCATGCAACCCTTCGATGAACATTACCATGAAGAACATCAAGCTTATACAACCCCATCAGGACCCACAACTCATGCCGTTCATGAATATCAGAGGCAACCAGATCAGACAAGTTTTGCTACCTGACGATCTAAATATTGACAGCTTGCTTGCGAAAAGCGTGGTCAAGCCAAAGGGGCCAGGAGCTGGACCAGGAAAGCAGACTACGAAGAAGCCTTTCAGAAGAGCAGGCGGCAAGCGTGCATTCTAGTGTAGATGAGACAAGATTGTCGATAATAAATAATGGAGGAATTGGATGTAGGGCTACGTCAAGTGGTTTACCAGGTTGAAGATCAACTCATCGGGCTGAGGGAGTAGTTCAGCGGTCTGGTGAAGTTTGCAAGAGTACTTCTCGTGAGTTTGTTGCTTGCTCAAGAAGAAAATGGTCTATTTGGTGGGGAGCACAAAACATCTTGTATGGTACACCTACGCCATGCAAGAATACTGTTTCTGATAATCAAATCCACGAACCAATATCCATCAATGTATTAGGCCACAACAAAACCATCACTTCCTTAATCTACAGCCGCTTCCATTGAAATTGTTCCTATGTACATGTCCCAAATATTATTAAAACCACGTTCTCTTGTTCTTCTCCCTCTTTGCAAGACGCTTTCTATACGTTGGTCTGGCCTCGAGAATGATATTGTCCATGTCCTCGATAGCCTTCTTCCTGGCCTCAAGCTTCTCAGGCAAAGTACGCTCCCATTTCTGGCCCTTCTGTCTCAAGATACCTCTCATCCAGTTCTTCTGGTTGTACTTGTCTTCGTAGAACTTCTTGTTAGGAAGAGGAGGAAGAAGATCCTGAATACCAAATTTTCTGGCCATCTTGATGAGGTCTGCTGATCTTCTCAAGGAGTACTTAGCTCCGTGCCAGCGACCAGTCTCTGGGTTCTTGTTAGGCAAGAATGGATTCATGGTTGGGTCTTTGATTGTGGATGGTTTTTCGGCATATTGCGCAAAAGGTCTAGGGGGAACTTTATGAAGAAATTATGAAGCTTCTGGGGAAGCTTTGAGAAAGCCTCCTTGGCAGTCAAGTTGGACATCTATGTGGTATTGAAGATGTGCTTGAACTCACATCCACGAAAAAATTTACTAGTGCGGTCACGTGAACAACTTTTCAACCAGAGTAATCAAGGGCCATCCCAGAACCACTTGAACTTTAAATTTAGGAGTCAATCAGAAGGGTAACATAATTTTAGCTCAGAATTTATATATGACCAACTTTGCAAAGTTTTCAGGTAGGTGTCGAACCACAATTGATCAATATCGCATTCTACAGACCTTGATCAACATTCAATTGAAGATCTGATTCAATATCTAATTGCCCTACAAGGTCGTTGTGAAGACTTAGTTTTATTTTGGATTGTCACAACTGTCTCCTGGAAGGCAAACAGCGGAACTTCCAAACATCATTCCTCACATGTGTCTACACGTAATTCTTCATTTCGTTTGTGTTTTTGTTATCTAGTCATGACCCAATTCCCATCATGCAACGCTGGCGTACCGGCGTGCTTATTTGGCAACATGCTGCAAAGCCTCGAGGACCTCCAACTCAATGTTGGCCTCGGCGACAACAACCTCGTCGGAGGAAGCAGCTCTCTTCTGGGCGTCAGCGATCAAGGACTTGATCTCGTTGACATCAAACTGCTCTGGCTTGAAAGCCTCAATGGCAGAGATGGTCAACTTGTTGCCAGGCTGAACAAGGGCAATACCGCCAGAGACAAAGTACTGCTCGGTCTCACCGCCCTTGGAGATGATCTCCAACAAGCCAGGTCTCAACTGCTCAACAATTGGAATGTGGTTAGCCAAGATACCCAAGTCACCGTTGACGGAGGGCAAGTTGACCTGCTGGACCTCAGACTCAGAGTACAAGGTCTGGTGTGGAAGAGCCAAGGACAACTTCAAGGCGTCGGAGGCGGAGGCCTCGGTAGCGTAAGTTCTTCTGACAACGTTGGTGGATTGTCTGGCAACCTGGCGCAAAGACTGTCTGAACATGATTGGTTTGTAGTGTTAGACGTTGGACAGCTGAGTATGAGGATTTGGTTTGGAAAAAGCCAGACCGAGCGTGGGTTTGGGTGCGTGCACGACGGGTGCGAGCGTTCTTCTCATTGGTCAGTGGAGTCAGTTAGGAATTGTGCCGCCAAAGCAACCGGAATAAAAAATTGAAAGAGAAGAAACGGAATCCGATTTCTGAAATGACAGTGCTGTGTATTTGTTATGGCCAGGTTGTCCTTGTTGCGGTGAGGTCCGAGAAATTCCGGTTTCGCAGAAACCTATGGCTGCGAAACTTACCAAAGAAGCCGGAAGGGGGACAGGCGGAGCAAGACAAATTATGGCAAAGATGAAATCAATCTAGGGAAAATGAAAATGGAAATGAATGACTAAAGGGTTGCGTTCTGGAGACTGTTCTGGGTTTCGAATCTGCAGAAAACGTGCACGAACGAGCCTCAGGCAATCCCTATTATATCAGAGCCAGGGGGTAGCCAATTGGAGCCAAAAGGATGGTATTGGGGATGGTGCTGGCCATGTAAAGTGTTCTTGTGGAGTGCTTTACCCGCGATTATTGGGTGATCGAGTCCGTAGGTAAACCTAGCGAAGTAATAGTCTTGCAGGGTACCATCCTGATCAGCAATCCCTCGAGATAATTTGAAAGAAATGAGGACAAAGAGCACCGTTGCGAGTGTCTCTAAATTAAGCATAGGTAGCGCCGGTGTGTGAGTCTCTTAGGCAGCTTGCAAATCTGAATGTAAGTGAGGACCATCCTGCAATCGATAGTACTTTGTGGGTTTGCTCTGAGACAGACATGATCGTGGATTCTCATAGACCCACTGCATCCTAAAATTTCTTGCTTAATCATTGCCAAACTGGTTCAAGAAGTTATCGACATCAAAATCCTCCTCCTGACCCATGCCAGAGCCTCCAAAGTCCTGGCCCAAAAGGTCCATGTTCAAATCGTCAAAGTCCTGGCCCTCGCCCAAAATGCTATTCAAGCCAAGATCGTTGTCCTTGCCATCAGCCTTGTCGCCGCCAGGGCCGTTGTAGCTGATGGATGATAGGATATCGGACGGGTTGGGGATTCCAGGCGCCCCTTTGTCCAAGTCCATATCGGAGTCGAAACCAGGATCCATGACGCCCAAGTTGTCCCTGCGTTCCTTCTCCTGTCTTTCCTGCTCCTCACGTTCTTGCCGTTCTTGTTCGGCCTGTCTCTCCTTCTCGAGTCGTTCCCTCTCCTGCCTGGCTTTTTCCTCCTGTTCCTGGGCCTCCTTCTTCTTGCGTTCCTCTTCTTCACGGCGCTTCACCTCTTCTTGCTCCTTACGCTGGCGCTCCTCTTCCTCTCTTCTCTTCTGTTCCTCCAAACGCTTCTTTCTCTCCACCTCCTCTTGCAAACGGAGCTCCTCCTGTTTTTGCTTGTTTTCCACAATCTGCTCGACACACCAGCGGGCATCGTTGAATTTGCTGACGGTGTCGTCCAAAATCAGGTCGAACTGGGCAATGCTGGCTGCTAGCTGTGCTGTGATGGGAGGCGGTATTAGCTGGTTGTTCGGCCCGGTGACAAGGTTGCTCTGGCGTTTGTTGTTGTTGATGATTTCAAAAATATACCCCGACGTTCGGAGCACATCGTTAAGCGTGCCGTTCAAGCGGGCTTCGAGGTTCATGCTGCTCTGATCCAGAGGTGCTCACTTCGCTTTGGTGCACCACTGCGGCACCCACAATGGGGAGGTCCAGGTGGAGAAGAAAGTTTGATATTTTTTGGGGGACCGGGTGTTTTGTGAAGGAACGAGGTGACTTGGTAATGAAGACAAGTTTTAAATTTGTGGATTGGTTTTCCGATTGCTAGTATTGCAGTGTAGCAGTACAGCTCTTTCGCAGCCATTGCGGTGGTCCAGTGTAGCGTATACGAAGCATAGGGTAGGTTCTGCAACTTTGAGGATTTGAGAAAATTTACATTCTACATCTTTTTAAGCTTTTTGATAAGCTTTTTGCCGAAAAAAGCACTGCTTTGGATTTATAGGTAATAGGTTGATGTGATACCTCGAGCCAAGCCTGAGACATCTGCATTCTACATTTCTAGCCAAGATTCTTCAGCTACCCGGTGCCTCAATTTTTCGATTGTCCGAGCCAATATAATGAAGCACAAGAGATGGGTAGTACAGTTGCAATGAGGGGAACTGCGGTGTTCAAGGAATAACCAAACCTTTAAAATCTCCATGATTTCAAGAAGAAGAGCCGTTGCTAATTTTCAAAACCTATCTTTTTGTGTGGTTAGTTGTGTCTAGTTTAAGAACCTCATTTCGCAGCCATTATGGCAGCCATTTATCTGTCTGCAAGGCTAACAGTCACTAACTTTCGAGACATGAACTACTTTTTAACTCACCACTCACCTAATTGAAACGAAAGCAACAAAACTCTCCAACATCTCTTCTCAAAACAAGTTCGGAGTCCTCCGCCTTTGGGAACCCTTCATGAGCTATCCAGCGCGACCTGCATAGACACCCCATCAGATACGCGTATGATACCATCAAAACATACTTCTTCAACTACACCTTCTTCATGACAGACTTGCTCACACGCCAGGGCCCCTTGGCTCAAGTGTGGTTGGCATCCAATTACGATAAGAAACTATCCAAGCAACAATTGCTCAAAACGAACCTTGTGCGCTCATCAGAATACATTGCTAAACAGCCGATCCAAACATCCTCCAAAGACTCGAGTCAGCCCATCACATTGCGTCTCTCCGGCCACTTGCTATTGGGAATTGTGAGAATCTACTCTCGTAAGACGAAGTACCTTTTGGATGACGTGAACGAGGTTTTGTACAAACTCAAGAACTCTTTCAAGTTCGCCAGTGGTGCTACTTTGGGCACCAGTGCTGCCACAGTGAACTTGCCCCCTCAACAAACGACACTCAGCAACATCAACAGAATCATGTTGCAGGATCAAGTCACCGACTTGAATTTACTCTACCAGGATGACTTGGATTTGGATGACCACCCAGCGGAGCTTCTAAACCAGTTGGGCCGTGCTGACGCCCACACAGACGATATGGACCTTGACCGTTCAATTGAGGTCGGCCGGGGTGTCGATGAAAACCAGGACTTTGACTTAGATTTTGATTTGAGCATGGATATGGACGCTTCTATTGAACAGGGAAGGGATGCTCAGGTCGCTATGGCTGATGCAGACCAGTCCTTGCTCGACATTGGCTCAAAAGCCGCTCCTGAGCAGCCATTGGACTTCGACTTGGGCGAACCATTAGAAACTGTGTCCGAGTTACAAGCAGCTCAGGACAGTAGACCCACCGAAAGCAGACAAAGACGCAGGCTCGTCGGCGTCAGCGAGGAAGGTGTTGTGAAAACCACTAAAAGAAAATTGATTGTTGACTCAGCGGAGGATCTCGAGCGTGGTCTTCCAACTGAGGTCTTGAGAAGTATACAACACCTTCAGACATTTGGACATTTCTCAGAGGAACATTTGACTATCAAGTTGACCCCAGCACAAAAATTGCAGCTCATCAAAGAACTTGCTGGACCAAGCGTTGCCAAACGCAGAAAGATCTGGAACATTGACGAGGAATTGGCTCAACGTGCTGATCAACTTTCTGCCGAGGAGCAGCGTCAGACCAACCAACAGAGTGAGGATTATGATCTAGATTTCGACTTATCGTTGCCAAGCCTTGAGTTTGATAACGATGAAAATAACGCCAATGACAATTTGTTAGAGGACGGTACGTTAAGCAACGTCAAGACCACAACGCAAGTGGCTCAACATCTTCGAAGCGCTTTTCTAGATGAGCCAACCGTGTCACTCGACAACATCATAAACAGAGATCTTGAGTTCAAGGACCCCGAGGAGGCCCCTCTTGGGATGGTGAACAAATCAGAAACTACCGTGGAAATCAGCAAGCGTAGGGAGGCAACCAAGTGCTTCTTCGAGACATTGGTGCTTGCTACCGAAAATTGCATTACGCTTGAACAAAAGCAAGCCGAGCCTACGAAGATCGGTGGAGACATTACCATCAGGCCTCTCGATAACCTTGCCGCCAAATTCTTGTAACATTACATACCTAGGTTAATAGAATCTAAATATTGCATGACACCTCCATCAATGTTTCTGTTTGTTCTCTGTTCGTTCACCGTATCGAGCTGTATTTGATCAATTGCCAAAACAGTTAACTGGCCTGTCTTGGACCCGATTGTTAAGCTTGATCCCTCGCTGTCAAATGCTACCAGTGCAACGACTCCAAAATCTGACAGAAGAGGCACTGAGCAGACAGGCGCCAGACAACGTACTTTGAGATCCCAATAATCAACTGATGATGATCCCTCAGGAGGAGTGAACGCATTGAGTGTGACGAATTGAAACTCGTGGCAGGGGCGCACCTGAATCTTGGTTGTAATCTTTCCAGTGGAAATGCTATGAAGCGGCGATTGAGATGAGTGATGCCATAGTTTGAGAGTCCAGTCCATATGAGATGAAAGCAAAATGGTGGATGTCGACTGATTGTGCTTCCATGAAGTCTCTGCTATGGACAAAGCAGCAGCAGTAGCAGCAGATGAATATGTCCGATCCACAAGCCGACCATCCTTACTATTTTTGAGTTTAATTATGTCGCCATTGACGGAGCCAACGTAGGTGTTGTTGAGGAATTTGAACTCTGGAGCGTGATGAGAGGTATCAGTAGACAGCATGTAATTTGAGGACATGAGGACGGAAGTCACGTCAACACCGGCGCCGGAAGATGGCTGGATGGTTTTCGACGGAAGTTTTGGAAATGCAAGAATGCTCAAGGACCATACATTAATGACACCATTTGCGCAGATAGTCACCATCGAAGGACTGGCTGTATTGACATCAGGCTGTTCTATCAGAATAATAGGGCTGGAATGATAAATGAAGCCCTTCTTTGATTTTTCGAAAAATGATGCAACTGTGGATGTCTGCAATGTTGGAAGCACAGAAAGTTGATCGCTCTTGACGTTGGTCAAATCCCAAAGCGCCAATCGTCCGTTTTCCATACCAGCAATGATCCTGAATGCATCGGACTTGTCGAACTCAATTGTCGTTATAATGCTGGTAGAATGTAGAAAAAACTCAGGGAAAATAGATTCCGTGGATGCGTTGAAGACAATAGCTAAACCCAAGGGGTTGGTGAGATCTGACTTCTTACTCTTAGGAGGACCATACGCGACAAGCAAGAGATCGGGAAACTGCAGAGTTGTCTTTATGTCTCTTATGGGCCGATCTAGAAAGTCGCTTAAGGGGTGACTCTGTGTGAATGGCGAGTCTCCCACAGATCGAAGCTCATGCTTATCCTTGATGCCGAGTCGTAGTTTCGAGAAAGGAAAGTGAAGCTGGCTTTCCAATTGGCTCTCAAGAGCTTCATTAACCACCTCTTCCTTCAGTGGTTCCACCTCCTGTGGTATATCATCCACCACCGGACTTTCAGCCTCTGTCTCTGGTTCAATCTCTTCCTCAAACACCTCAGGTTCAACCTGAATAGCCTTGTCAAAACGTATCACCAGACTTGGTTTAGCCACAACCTGAGGTCTTGAGATCTCCGTAGATTCTCCAACTTGCACAGCAAAATCTACCTTCTTGACTTTGACATCCTCTTCGGCCTGTTTGATCTGGGCCTTTTCTGCATCCTCCTTCTCCTTTTGCAATCTTCTCTGCTTGAGCTCATTGAGTCGTTGGCGTTTTTGCTCTAGTAGAGCCTGTCGATCGACCTCCATACAGTCTTGGATGGAATGGTGGTGCTGTTTACCTCCAGTATGAAGATTCCTGTAGGGCGCGTTGATATCAACACTTTTTAGTACGTCCCATAGAAACCACAATATGGAGATCGATGATATCTTAAGGGACTTTGAGACGTCCGCCAAGCCCCAGACCAAGTTTGAGCTGGAAAATATAGAAAGTGATCTAGTCCAGGCTATGATAAACGAACGCATGGCTCCAGAGCTTCTTCCATATAAGCACAGTCTCATGGAAACAGTGCTTCTGCGCATCCAAAGCCAACAACAGCATCTTTTAGATTCACATGAATATGGTGACTCTAATGCGGAGGCAGGCGTGGTTTCGTCTGATTTCAAGCTACGCCTCATGATCATCGAAACAGACATTGAGCGTATCAGTTATGTGGTTCGCCTTTACATCAGAACCAGACTCAGCAAGATTGAGAAGTTCAGCATATTTTACATTAATGAGACCGCAGAGGAGATGGATGCTTCTCGATCGAGGCTCTCAGCTCAGGAGAAGACATATATGCATAAGTTCTTCCAGATATTGACCCAGCTATACAACAACAGTTTCTTGAAAAGGCTACCTCGGGAGCTTGCGCTCTTGGACGATACTCAGGACTTTGAGTCTATGATTTCAGAGCCTGATTTGGAAGTCCCTGTTTTTGTGAAAGTGGTGACTTCATCCCCGATCGAGATAAGCTTGGGAGAGGAAGGTGACCTAGAATTGATCAAAGACGGCGTATACGTCGTGAAGTACCGCTTGATAAGAAGGTACTTGGAGATCGGTGACGTAATTCTCATTTGATACTTTTATTTATACACTTGCCTGTTCGCAGCCAGCAGGGCACTCATTGTGCTCGTCAACAAGGAACCACTCTTGCAAGCACCCAAAGTGTCCAGAATGACCGCATTTGAGGCCAACGACAACAGTGAGTCCCTTGCATGGCTCATTGCAGTAAACACAGTTTCGCTGCTTGCTCGAGCACTCGTCACAGTACCAAAAGCCGAACTTCTCTGTGTTTCCAGCGTACAAGTGCTTCGTCTTTTCATTAGTCAAGAGCTTCTTGCAGGAGTCACAGAAGAAACGCATATCAACCTCCTTGCTTGCATAAACACTGAGGTCTCCCTTGAGGCCGGAGGGAGCGCTTTTCACTATAGCTGTTGCCTCTGCGAATAACTCCTTTTGTCGAAGAGATTCCACATATAGACCAAGGCATTCCAAGCATGCCCTTTTATCCATTACCCGCTTCTCAAAAGCTTTGAGCTGTCCATAGAATAGCATGACCATAGTAGAACACATGATGAGGTCGCCTTGATCTCTAGCGTACTCAACTGCCTTGGAAAGAAGATTCGTTAAGCTCCACGGCTTGCTCAGCTCTTCGTTTCCTAGCAACTCCAGGGCCGCTGTAGAACTTTCTTGAATAGCCTTGGTCAAGCCAGATGTTAATTTATCGGTACTTTTCGTGCTGGACTCCTCAACCTTATCAAGTGAAGGGCTCTGTACAAGTTGAGAATTGATACCTCTGAATCCCTCTGCGCTTCTTGGCTTAAAACCATAGTGAGGATTGACTGGTGATGCTCTTGTCGAAGAAAATGATTGTCTTTGTCTTGAAAGCATTGTATGAGCACTGCTGCCGTATCTACCTTCCGAAGCCTGATAACCTGAGGAGCTGTATGAGTTGCTGAATAAGTGTAGCTTTTCATCATCCAAGTCTGGCCCTAATCCTGTAGGGCGAGGTGAGTTACCAGAGGAAAAGGCGCTGTAACTTGTCTTCCTGGTAAGCTCTTTGGACTTGGAAGTCGGGTTTAGCATTTCGGTTGATGCCAGCTTTTGATTTTGTAGCGATTGCTTCGCCTTGATGTCCATTGCAGGGAATTCCAGGGTTGGCTCAGGACTTTTTGGCATCTCCATGGTTTCCGCCTTGTCATGATCGTCTTGTAAAAATATGTCCTCTCTGGATGCGGTGTGAGACTTTCTTCCAGAGATTGTCTCACCGTTTCTGGTCGGAACTCTCGCAGACATAACTGATTGAGGCGACAAGGGGCCGAAATCTGAGTTACTTTCCTTAGATGAGCTTAGAATAGCCATATTATGCACTGCTGCCCCGCCTTCACTTCGCCTGTAATTGGTAGTCAGAGTTGAGTTCAGATCGTAGGAGCCACAAAGGTTACCAATATCGGAATTGATAGAGGCCCTTTCCTCTGTAATAGGCTGATCTTCATGATGTTGTGGCCCATCTTGTGTCTTAGAGCCGTTTTTAATGTCAAGAGGAGTCACGGATATCGAGGAAGTACTTTGCTCAATAGCGGTAGCCAACATCCGCCACACCTGACAGTCTCTAAAGCGCTGCACCGATGCAGCAGCCTCAGCATTCATTTGACATACGAATGACAAAGACATTCCGTCAGGAACAGTGTGGTAATATTCATATGCGAGATATTCGAACACCGACTCGTCGTTGAGAGGAATTGGAAGACAAACTGCGACGAAGTATGGTGAGGGAGCAGCAGTGATAGTACTGCTTTTCTTCTGATGAAGGGCGGAGACTCCAGACGACAGTGGTTGAAGCATGATTGACAGAGAGCCAGATCCTTGTGTTGACTGTGATGTGTTTCGGGTGAGCGGAGGCCTTGCTAGATGAGCTGAATGATTGGCATGGCCTGAGCCTGGAACTCCTCCAGGTTCAACAAGTGGACCAAGATGCGACAGCGGATTTGGTGAAGGCAGTTTGAGCGCAGCGCTTGAAGGATTATAGGTTGACAGACGCATGAGCAGGGGCCTGTCTTTTGGCGACTTTTGGTAGATGAAGCTCGAAGCTGTCATGGAGTTTGGCATTTTGTACTTGGAGTCGAGAGACAACGAAGAAGACTGGTGTTCGAGCTCTCTATCTATCAAGGCTTCCTCGCTTAGATCATCTGTAAAGGCAGCTGAAGCATCCAGAGTATCATATTCGTGCCCATATGAAGAGTCTGCAGGGTCCATATAGAACTCTGATTTCTGTTGGTTCGTGAACGAGAGATTTGTGTAACCGGGCTCCAGGCGGTAGCCACACTGGTGAGTTCCTCCAAAGGCCGAGATATGTTGAGGCCGTCATCTTGAATTCTTGAAAGATTATATGACACGAAGATGTTGGACTTGGTAATTGTCCATAATTTTCGTTCGTTCTGGAAGTTATGGGCCCAAATGAAGTTTTGAACAGGCTTTCCTGTGGAGGTAGTGATAACTTCCTTCGGGATGTACTTCCTGCGAAGATTAAAGACAGTGATGGTGGGGTCGTCGTTCAAATAAGAACATGCAAAATCGTAATTGTACAATGATTGAGGCGAGGCATAGTCGTCCGTGAAGTCGAGCAGGTTGTGTCTTGAGCTGATAGCAGAGCCGGCATCACTGGGGTCTCCATTGGGAATGTCGGACCACCTCACCTTCATAACTGGACCATATGCGTTCATAGTGACTTTAGGAGATACCGAATGGTGTGCAACAGAGTCTTCATAGTCCCAGAGACATATCTTGCGGTCTCTGCCTCCCGTAAGAACGTACTCACGTTCCGGATGTATATGTAGCGAAAGTGCTGGACCCGTATGAAATGTCCATTTCCGTTCAGGAAGGCCGCCTTTGTGGTGATTACCTCCAGGGTAACGGAAATCGAATTTGCACAACGATCCCGAATCGTGAACCGAGAGAACGGTCATTCGACCACGAGATCGTGAGAAAGGAGAATACTGACACGCCCTCACGGGATCAGAGTGCTGAGGTGCTCGTAGCTTTACCACCGGTTTCTGGTTGAACGTTCTTAGATCCCAGAGTTTGATCGTTCCGTCCTGCGAGCCCGAGAGAAGTATCTGGTCCAGCTCCACAAAATCCATTGAGTTAATCACACGTTTGTGGTCGCTGAACTTGTGTGCCAATTTGGCCTTTCCAGCAGCCGATACTTGAAATATGCTAACCGTGCCGTCTGTCAAGCCACAGGCCACCATGTCACCGTTACACTTTACAGTGTTGACATTGAACAATCGAGGAGAAGTATGGAACCGTTTCAGTGCCGAAGGATCGACTATGTTGATGTCTGCAATGACCTGGTTTTGGTCTGAGTTGAGTGCCAACAACTTGAGGTAGTTTTTCCCGCCAATAACGACATGATGAGAAGGAACCGGAGAAGAGGCGTCGTAGTATGACGTCTTGATGCGGCCAAGGGGTGCCGGAGCTGGGAAACACAGGTGATCTCTTTTTCACACGAGTAGGTGAATTTCTTCAGAGGACGCAGCCTCAGCAGATCTGGAGTTTTCTGGCGGGGCAGGTCTGCCTGACTCAAGGAGCCGTATATATTGAAGGCAAAGCGTGCCAAGCCCAGTTGGTTTGACATTGTGCTTTGGCTATCGAAAGAGCCTGCTGGGTGCTATCTGAGTGTATGTGCGTATAGATAAGATGGAGGTGCGAGAAGCTAAGGTGGGGCAGTAGGTCTGATGACCCTTTCGATGAGGAGGGTTGACGACAACAAGAATGTGATAATTTTGTTGCTTACAATTGAAGAATAGTGAGAAATGAGTGGAAGTAAGAATTATAGAACTCGGATCGTGTTGATATGATGGATAATTAGCATTCCATTTTGGCTGCGAAATCAGCACTTAATACTGTCCAGTTGGGTGAGTAAGGGAAGTATGTAAAAGTTGGTCAATTCAAAACGGAGGGCTGCCAGGCACCGAGAAAAATCTCAAAATTTAGCATGTTAGGCAATCAGCCTATGGCCCACTAGGAAACCATACTAGTATTGTAGCCTGACAGTTCAATTCGTCATGCCTATACCCAATTGGTTCGAGGAAATGTCGGAAGTCTGGAGAGATGAGGCTACGAATTTGTGAACTTTTGGACAATTGAGGAAGAAAGAAAGTTGAGCAAGCGAGAAGTTCAGATGGACCGTTCTGAGTGATTGACTATCGGTATTCACCTTGGCTGCGAAATCAGCACTACGCCTACTTAGCTGAGTATGAAAAGATGAAATATTAACAGAACGCCAATTCATAATACAAGGTCTAGCTGAGACAAAAAGAAAATCGTAGAGAAGAAAAATAATCAAGAAGATCCACGTCTGCACAATCGCTGCCTCTATGCTACTCTTGTGAGAATGGGCCTTACGAATACGAATGACCAAACCAATCTCCAATTGACCCGATCTCCTTAGTTTGAACACGAATTCAGCAAGAATCATTGAAGACATTGCATGTACGAGATATACATCACGAATCCAACATCCATAATCTATAAGAACAATCCACCTTATTTCGCAGCCATTCATAGCCAACCAGCTACCCACCAAAACGTATTTTCCTGGCAGCTTTTCATTTCAGAGTTGAGCTTTGCCTTTGAATATTGCTTTTAAAACCCCGGACACTTCAATTTCAGTCGATCCCCAACCATTACATACCCTTCTTCGCTACCTGCGATAAAGACCCTGCAGAGCATTGCCTTGCAGCCAATTGCATCCAAAAAACCATTGTGCCCCTTTAGCCAAATCGACAATAATTCCTAAAGCATTCTGAAATCATGCCACACCACACCATCGTCCACTGCTCTCTCCGGTCTACCCATGCACTTATCTTACCACAACCACCAAACTTCGCTTGCTGTCCACAGTCCAAATCACACCCAAACCTTAAAGCCAAATTGTATTTCCAAAACATGCCTTTGCCAAAACGCCGACTTAAGAAAATGCACTTTGTGTCACTTTCCCAAAAACAAACTCCGGTGATCACCTCTTCTTACCACCGCGCTCCTACATCTTTCATTCCACCTTCGTGTCCCACAAGGCGTCACATTCTCTCCCTATGGGCCCGCTTACAATCTTTCAAAAGCTCTTCTACCCAGTGAAAATGATAGCCTTGATCGGCATCTCCATTCTGGGCGCAGCTCTCATGGGACTCTACACATTCCAGAATCTGCTTATTTACCCTGCTTCCATGAACGATGGTCATGGCTATTGCGCTAGACCCGAGGAGTTTGGGATGCCTGATTACGAGGATTTGTACTTGGAGACGGAAGATGGGAGCAGTTGCATTGCTATTGCTTGAAACACAACAGAAAGCTGCCGGACTACACCAACAAGACGGTGCTTATCCTTTCTCCTAACGCCGGCAATATCGGCCACGCTTTGCCAATCGTGTCGATGTTCTACAAGAACTTCGGTTACAATGTCTTTATTTACTCTTACAGAGGCTACGGCAAGTCTACGGGAAGCCTTCTGAGACTGGCCTCAGATTAGACGCTCAGGCCATGATGAGCTACATTGCCAAGGACGAACAACTTCTGGAATCTTCCTTGGTTCTCTACGGCAGATCCCTTGGTGGAGCTGTTGCCATCTACATTTCATCGCTCATGGGCGCCAGCGTCCAGGGTCTCATTTTGGAGAACACCTTCCTCTCCATTCCAAAGACAGTGCCCCACATTTTCCCTTTCCTCAAATACTTTACCATGTTCGTGCACCAGAAGTGGGAGCTGGAGCGTTTGGTGCCACTCATACCCGCTAACATTCCTGTCTTGTTCCAAAGTGCCAGAAAAGACGAGATTGTTCCTCCCAGTCATATGGACAGAATCTACGAGCTCTCACAGTCGACCGACAAGACGTTTTACAAGTACACACACTCACAGCATAATGACACTGTCGTGCAACCAGAGTATTGGGAACGTGTGCATGATTTCATCAAGAACAAGGTGAATCCAGTTGGCTATTGAAATGACACCACTCATGATGCAATTGTGCGAGGCCGAGTCCCAAACAGGCTGCAGTAGATCTGTGTTCTGAAACACGCTGTCAGAATTGAGGCTTAATTGAAGACTCTGGAGGAGTTAGCAGATCCCACCCACTGAAAACGTGTTTACGATTGGCCACAGCATACAATTTGCAAGAGCCTGGATCAATCTGATTGATATAATAAGAATTGCACATCATCAGACCTGTCATTATCGCATTCAGTGGCACTAGCATACAAAAGACATTTGCAGCGATATCTAGAATTACATAAACATTCAAACTGTTCAATTAGCACACACACAAACCGAAAGGCTCAACTGAATGTCTTTTTAATAAATGCCGTTTCCAATGCATCGTACCTACCAATCTTCAACGGCGAAGCTAGCTTTGCTGTATAATGATTAATAGTTGATGGTACACCAGGAGCTCGAAACCGTGCAGAGACATGTCACATAGCTTTTTGAATGAGCATTTTCTCCCAAATAGACCCCTCTAAAGCTACAGCTTGGAAAATCAATCTGATCTCTTTCAACTTGTTTGAGTTTGCTAACCCGGTGAGTAGATCGAATGTTGAGTCGATCTAATCATACATTGATCAACATCAAGCTCTCTCAGATGGAGCATCAGTATCCATAGAGCAGAAATCGAATTAAATTATCTTTCTTTCGGATAACTATGCTGACTTTTTCGATTGGTAGAACTCGTGTGCGTACTTTGCAGCCATACCTGAAAACGGAAAGTACCCTTCCCAATACGCAAATTCAAGTCAGATTTGAAAAGTAGCAAGAACGTAACGAATTTAAAACTTCAATAAAGAAACACAATTCAAAGAATACGGACTTGGACGAAAAAACACAGCCCATACATCATTGGGTTGCCAGCTACTGGGAGCCACACTGCAGGACATATCCACAATCCACCACTTACCTGATCTACACTAAAAGATGCCAAATCCAGACACCGCCCACGTCGTAATCTTTTTACATTTTCTTATATTCCTGCCTCCGAACCTCATGCAGCTTGCGCCATTAACCTAGATGGAAATCTGGGCGTCACCTTTGGCGTTGAAGGTGTCGTGGGACATGAACTCCACCTTCTGGTCGTCAGGCAATCTCAACACCTTCTTGAATCTCTCACCAATGGTAACCAACTTGGACTCATCGCAGTCCTTGGTCCAGATACCAACACGGAAAGCCTGTTTTCTGACATTCAACACAATACCATTAACCTCGTTCTCGTCATCCTCAATAGTCTCGCCAATCACGGCCAAAAGACCACGCAACCACAAGTCGTTGATCACCTGCATGGCGTCACGCTTGTTGTTGAAGGAGTATTGCCATCTGCCACCCTTGGCGTTGGCCTCATCTTCCCACTCAGGCTTGATTCCTTCCTTGAACAAGTGGTAGTCCGACTTCAAGGGCAACTGCGAGGCCACGGGGATGGAATTGTGAATACCCAGAATTCCTCGACGGAGCCGAAGGTGATGACGGGCTTCAACAAGTCCTGCCAAGTCTCGGACTTGTTGGTCATGGGCTTCGTGTACCACAAAGTCCACTTGGAGTTCAAAGGGTGCTTGGCCGTGAATTCCTCCTTGCTGCTCAAGACGGTCTTTTCATTCTCGAGAGACAATTCTTCGGTCTTCTTGTTCAAATCCTCCGACATTGTGAACTATACTTAACGTAATGGGGAGAGTTCTCGTTAGGGCTTTTTTTTTGCGTTGGTGAGAAAATGATGGATGGAGGAAAAAAAAACGCGCGTATTTGCCAGTCCGCACCGCTAGGGAAAATGGGCCGTTTGGGCGTATTTCGCAGTACGCCACAAGCAAACCACTACAATATCAGTGGATTCTGAGAGAATTTTAGTGTATTTTGGAGAATCAATGAGAGGTAAACTAAGGGATGTTTTGGGCTGTGTAGATTGGGCTCTGTGAAGCTGTGGCTCTATGCAGCAGACCTTTTCAAGTGTGGTTGTGATAACTGAGTGGGTTGAATGAACCTAGCGATGCCCCAAGGACATTGAATTAAAAGCTGATTGGAAGTTGTCAACCGGCTGATGGATTGCTAGCAGCTTGCACCCGCTTTGGCCCACTTAACCGCATATACTTCCAGACTGATGGGTGCGTTCCTCGAAGTGCATGATTGACCAAATCGAAAAAGCGTTTTTGGCAAATGGCCGTAGCAGCTTGTTGCCCCCATGGTGCATCTGTCATCACTGGATTTGAAGGTTCAACCCACCGAGCCCTCCATCGCCTTCCATCAATGGAAACCGATAGCTCACAGCCTCTGAACACCTCCACCGGCGTAATCGGACCCCTGACCGTGCCTACCCCAATGTAGCACCACCTTGCATTTATATTTACTCAAGACGGCACCTCATTCATGCCATGCCATTATAACACTTCAAGTGTCCACCACGGCCATCTTCTAGACCCCAACCGAGGATGGTATTATACACTGTCCTTGGCGCGTTGCCGCTAACAGCTCGAGGCTACCTTAAAGAAGGAAGCCCAAGGCAATAGCGGCCCAGCCGATAAATCCAGCATAGGCGCCAGCCTGCCCGTTGTTACTTATCGTGGTCTGCTCGTAAGATCTAACGTTTCCAACCTCTCCAGTTTGCAGACCCATGCCAGCGCTTCCAGCAGGCACCGAGGCAGTCGTGTCCGAGTAAGTGGTCATGAATGATTGGGAGTAGGCGGTGGATGTGGTGATGACTTTACCGCCCGTGGTGAGGGTGACATACACGACGGTATTGGAAGTGGTAGTGTCTGCTCTTTTCAAAAAGTCTGGGAAGTCAAAGGCCAAAGCTAATGAAAGCAACGAAAGAAAGTATAGGAAATTCATGGTGTTTTGGTGCCCAAAAAGACGTGTTTTTGTTTCCACTAGTGAGAAAAAAAGGTGGTGTTGAGGAGCGTTTTTTCTCTATTGTGCCTTGCTACGGGTGCTGCTACATACGAACCCCAGGTTCCTGCAGAACAGCCGCCTCATGGCTGTGTCTGGTCCGCCATATGCCACTTTTAAGAAAAGAGGAGGCTTTGGGGTGATTATAAAAAGTTTTTTAATTTGCAGTGACTACGTGTTTTGACAAATGGCGATCATTTGGCCTTTTTTTTCGATGGAAATGGCCTAAGGTTAGTGGGTTCCCTGGACCGTAGCCAGGGTCCCATTTTCATAGACAGAGGCTATGAGGGAGGCTTATCTTCCTGGAGATCTTGAATTTTTACTCAATTTACATCACAACCAGTTTGCTTGTTTCCATCGTAAAAGTGTTCCTCGATCCCCTGGACGATTCGTGGTTTGACACCTCCACTTCCTGCGAGAATGCAGCGGCTATGCTTGCAGTGCGTTGGGGCAATGTAGGTACAATGTCTGGCCGAGGAATGTTGCTCAAGTGATTTATCCGTACAAATGAAAGTCTCAAGGAACAAAGGTTCAATAATCTCGAGGACTGAGAAATTTACCATTTTGGTCTTTTTGTGACTCAACCACCGGTTTGGTCTTTGGTTGGCTGCGAAAACCACCCTGCAATGCACCTCGTTCGATCTATCCGTAGCCCTGCCATTTGGGGATACCACAGAGAGCAGTTTTTGAATACTAGTCAATTTGACATTTGCAAAAAAGCTTCTTTTGAGTTTTTATCAAAATTTGTTCTCGATTCGGCCAGGCCCGGTATTTGACCCTGTGCTTCCGAACAAGTGAGGATGCTGTGAGAGGACAAAAGCAGGGTTTTACGAAAAGATGAAAATTCTGGCAACTAGCTTCTAAAATGCTTTTATTTGCTTCAGCCCCTGGCTCGATAATTTCTCAGTCGTCGGCATCAAGGAACCGGAAATAACCCTCAAACAGTATATAGCTTGACGATTTTTGGTAATCTGCCGATTCACTTCTAATAATTGTCCTTCTTGACTGTTCATTTCGTCAACTTTTAGCACCCCCTCTAAAGACACCCATCTTGAATCTGCGGACCAATTACCAACCGCCATCCACTTTAAACACCCTATTTCCCACGTAAATCATCTCCTATCTCCAATCATAAACTACCCCAAACACACCAAACATTGAACAAAGCAATAGCTGAACAATCAAGGCTTGCGGCAGAATACGCAGTGACACATAACGTCTTTGTTCTGCGAACCAATGCCATCCAGTGTCTGCCAATGTGGGTACCAGCAAGAAAAAACCGCAAGAATCAAGAAGACAAAACATTTGAAAAAATATCCTCCCGGTTTCCCTTTGCAGCTTCACCTGATGGCAAAGGTCACCCCTGGTGCCATACAACGGAATGGCGTCTTATCGTGTTCCTGTACCGAGGGCTTATCAGCGCTTCCACCGCAGCCTAATCAACACCACCTTCTTTTCCTTTGATGAGCAAACCCAGGGAAATCACAGGACGAAGGGACTCCATTGCTAAACTCACACGCTCACTGTTTAACTCCAGACAGAATTCGCCACGCTCATATTCCGCCTCGAATCTGTATCAAAGAAATACTACTTTTCTCAACCTGAACGGAACTCCTGTGCTGCTCTCTTCTGAGAATGTCTTAGAAGACTCCAGCAGCGACGGTCACGAGCCTGAACACAATGAACCGGACTTGGCTCTGGGTATGAAAGATCCCAAGGTTCTTGAAAACGTGGCTAAACACCTTAAGACTTCTGAAAGGGAGGGTCTCACCTCTGAAGGTGGTGACATAACCAGAGCCATATACAAACTAGGCAGCGAGAACAAGCCGGGCCTTAAGAGATCAAAGTCAGATACCCTGGTTGAAGCAAGGTCAAGAAGGGCCTCGTGTGCATCCAGTTTGAACGTTCCTGGAGGCTTTAGAAGACAATTCGTCATAGCCAACAGAAAGAGAACACCTAATCTCGTCACCAGAAACTTTGTTGAGTTTTTGAGTATCTACGGACACTTTGCAGGTGAGAATTTGGAGGACGACGATGACGTGGCCTGCCACTACGAGGCATACACGCCCTTTGGAGAAGACACGCCGTTACTTCCAGATGGCATCAATCCTAACGGAACAGCTTCCAACAAAAAGGCATACTTCTTGCTATTGAAGGCATTTGTTGGAACAGGCGTGTTATTTTTGCCAAAAGCATTCTCAAGCGGTGGCCTCGTATTTTCCGCTTTGACGTTGTTCTTCTTTGGTCTTCTTTCCTTCTGGTGTTACTACATTTTGGTACAATCCAAGGTGGCCACCAAGGTGACAGGGTTTGCAGAAATTGGCCTCAAGACGTATGGCGTCACTCTTCAACGGTTGATTCTTTTCCTGATTATCATTTCACAAGTTGGTTTCGTGGCAGCCTACATTGTGTTCACCGCAGAAAACCTTAGAGCATTCTGTGTCAACATTTCATCTTATAAAACTGAGGATCTTGACATTTTTTGGTTTGTCTCGTTGCAAGCTATAGTGTTGGCTCCTCTTTCCTTGATTAGAGACATCACTCGTCTCTCACTTTCAGCACTCGTGGCCAATGTCTTCATTTTTGCAGGCTTGGCCACCATCCTTTACTACACCATGAGACAGTTTATCCAGAACAACTTTGCTCCTGGAGAAGGCATCCACTTTCTCTTTAATAAGTCAGAGTCGTCCTTGTTTATTGGTGTGGCCATTTTTGCATTCGAGGGTATCGGGCTCATCATACCTATACAAGAGTCCATGATATACCCAAGAACTTTCCAAAAGTTTTATTTTCTGTGATTTTGACGATCTCCAGCATTTTCGTGTTCATTGGCTCCATTGGCTACCTCACGTATGGTAAGGATATTGATACCGTCATTCTCCTTAACCTCCCTCAAAAGTCGCCCACGGTGATCATGACCCAAGTGCTCTACGCATCTGCCATTCTCTTGTCGACACCAATTCAGATTTTCCCAGCAGTCCGTCTCATCGAGCTGAAGTGCTTTCTGCCCCATAAATCAGGGAGAACATCATCCAACATCAAATGGCAGAAAAACCTCCTCCGTGTTCTCTTTGTCTTCACGACAGCCACCATTGCATTGTACGGAGGGAAGAATCTCGACAAGTTCGTGTCGTTTGTCGGTTGCTTCGCCTGCATTCCGTTAGTCTACATGTACCCACCAATGTTGCACCTCAAGACCTGTTGTCAGCAAGAATGTGAAGACTGCTTCATCATCAAGCCTGACCCCGAGGCCACCAAAAAGAAGTGGTTGGCTCGCCTTGACTATACGCTCATCTTCCTTGGAGCATTGGCCGTGGTCTACACCACGTACGACATCTTGACCCACTAATCAAAAGCTTCTATATTCCTAAACTTCATTATCTACTCGTCGTCCTTCAAAAGGTCTGTCACATAGACCCTAGCGTCATGCACGTTTTTCTGCAAATCTAGCTTTGCCTGCTCACGGGCCACACGAAACTGCTCCGCCAATTCCCTTGCAGAGCGTGAAAGGTCCTGCTGTTGTTTGTATGCATCAGGATACTTCTCCTGTTCCCAACGGGAAACCTTATCTCTAACGGCCCCGTAAGCTTTGGGCATGGCAAGTCTGAAGGAGACAGCCGACACAGCCAATGGGAAAAAGATCCTCACTGGTGCTGATTTCTTGTTGACAACGATAGCACTGATCAACGTTGGAATTGTCACACCCAAGAAATATTCTTCCCTAGTGAAAGTAGCGACCTGATCCATATAATAGGTGAACTCGTTACGAAAAGCAGATATCTGAGTTCCAACTTCAGCGTTAGCAATGGAGAATTTGTCCTGAATGAAGGTTTTCGTCAGGTTCACTATGGACTCCAAGTAGGGCGTGCTTCTGATACCCATTCCTTCAACGAAGGAGATGTTGCCATGAAGAGACTCCTTTTCTTTAAGAGCCTCAGAAATCTCCCCCTTGTAGCCGGGCTTAGTATCAACGAATTCGTCGTCACCATAGAACGATCTACCCATTTTGGTGATGTTGGAGTTTATGGTTTGCGACTTAGCTAGTGCGGTGCGTTGATACTATTGGTTTATACAGAACAGGTGGGTACGTTGCGACGAATTGAGTAAATACAAAGGTTTTCATTATGATTCTAATATACAGAGAAAAGACGATCTTTCTTATTTGCCGAAAAGGCCTTTTTTCTTCTTGGGCTTTTCTGCCACATGCGTAGCCTGCTCCTTGGGGGCCTCCATCGGGGCACCTCAATACGAATGTCGTGAGACATGTCAGCGGAAGACGTCTTGGGCAGGTCGTTGGTGTTTGACGAAGTCATGGAGCCCAGATTCGACGCTCCCTGAGGAGGGCGAAGATGCTGTTGCTGACCTCTTCCAGCTTGACTCAACTGTCCCAGCAGCTGTTGGTGAGCTAAGGCTGGAGCCTGACCCAACTGAGGCCCTTGACCACCCTGAGCAAGTGGAGGCAGCAGCTGCGCTTGCATCATTTGCCCGGGCATCATCGAGCGGTGCTTGGATTTGGTGGGTGGGGCGCCGCTAGCTCCAGGCATAGGCATTCCTCCTCTTCCGCCGAAATCCATGTTGAACGTTCCACCTTCCATCTGAGGGAACGCAGACCGACGATTGGCCTTTCTCTGTCCGCCAGCCATAGGCACATTGTTCATACCCATCTGAGAGGGCGTTTGGCCCATGTGGGAATGCATTTGACCCATCTGACCTGGCATCTGACCTGGCATCATCTGACCCATGGGCATCTGCGGGTAACCCATCAGAAGGTTAGGATGAGAGCCCATGCGGTGTTTTGGAGGTGGCTGGGCAGGACCTGGACCGGGAACGGGGCCGTTCTGGTAGCGCTGTGGGTTACGCAACGTCGAAGGCAATGCACTTTGTGGGAAGCCATTCGAGGGCAATCCATGAGGGGGTCTCTGATCGACAAATCCCTCGTAAGACCCATTTGGTTGTTGTGATTTACTAAGCGAAGGGAATGACTGGGAAGTTCTTGCTGGTGGCGCAGTCTGGTGTCCCATGTACTGAGCAGGATAACCCTGTGGTTGACCTTGTCCTTGCGAAGGACCCTGAGGCTGGCCCAGGGGCTGCCCTTGGGGCTGGCCCTGAGGTTGACCTTGGAACGTTTGTGGGTGAGATGGATGACTAGAAGCATCATAGAAACCGTTGTTCTGGTTACGAGCGTAACCATTACTGTGATTGACAGCCTCCTGGCTATCTCTAGCGTCTTCAAATTCATTTTGAGCATAGGCATTACCATTACCGTTGCTGTGACCATTGTAATTAGTGTAGTTCGTGTAGTTGTTGTAGTTTTGCAATTCATCCAAAGGTTGGGACATGGAGCGAGTGTGGCCCTGAGGCTGCTGCTGACCTTGAGGCTGCTGGCCTTGGGTGGGATCTGGGAGAGTTGCTGTTCCCTTTCTTGAAGGGCCTGCTCTCTCTTTTGGAGTTCGAGTTCACGTTCGCCCAAGCGTTTCTGGGCATCTTGCTGCGCCTGTGGTACCTCACCGTTCAAAGCGGCACCGTACATGGCCACGTCGGCAAGATCAGACAAATCAGGACTGTCTTGATATCCAGTACTGCCGTTCATTTGGCGTTGAGCGGTCTGCTGAGCGGGCTGCTGAGCCTGTTGTTGAGGCTGCTTTTGAGGTGAGATCTGCTGCACTGAACGGCTCTGGGGTTGTTCCTGACGGGCCTGCTCGATGCGCTGAAGCAACAGCTGAAGCTCAGTTTCCTTCTCTTGCAATTGGGCGCTGACATCGGCCAACTGCTGCTGGTGAGACTGATGAGTGGAGGTGAGCTCCTTCGACTTGCTATCGTGATCTGACTGAAGCTGAGCTAACAATTGGTTCTTTTGAACGATTTGACTCTCGACGCTCTGCAACAGTTTTTGGCGCTCCTCGAAGTTGTTCTCAAACTGGTACTTCTCTAAGTTGAGCTGCTTCAAATTCTTGGTCATGGCTTCGAGCTCGTTTCTCTTGGAATCGTAGCCCTCCATTTTACGAGTGAAGAAAGCGGAACCGTCCTTGGAATTCATCTTGAGGAGCTGGCACAAGATCGAGTACAAGTTCTCCAAGTAAGGAGTCTTGACGCCGTAATCGTCACCGAGCAAGATTGGTTGCAATAGGAGCAAGTCGACCTCGACAGCACGCTGGTGGTAAAAGTCGTAGAACAAGGTGTTGGATTCGCAGTAGGGCGGGAGGTTCTGGTTGGCCTTCTCTGGCAAAGGGAAGTAGGCCAGCCAGTTCTTGATCAAGTTGGTCTCATTCTCAAAGCCCTTGACAAGCTTACATTCCATCTTTTTGATGATCTTGAACACCTCATTAACAAGACCGGTGATCAAAGGTTTAGCCAAGATCTGACGAGAGAGGTCTTGAGGGTAAGGCTCTTCAAAAATAACAGAAAGCGGGTTCAACACGAGTCTGGGCAAGGCCTGCTTCCACTGGTAAGTCATGAACTCTCTAGGGTTGGTGGATTTGAGCAAGCTGATCACGCCCTTGGAGTCCTCCTGGGCCAACTGCCACATTTTGTAGAATTTGGCAAAACTCTGGGATTCCTTGGCTGGGATGAGGTGCGTTGGAGCCGAAGACGACAGGCCCAAGTAGACACGGAGATCCAGGCTCAAGGTTCTGTGGAAGCAGACGTGGGAGTTGAGGCCCGGGGCCCTCTTGATATCGCTCTCGTTCATGATGGAGCACACCGAAAGGTCTTTGGCCTTGGGCAAGCTGGAGACGACAAAAGGCTCCAAATTGACATAGCCCGTGGATTCCACCACCACAAGGGCGTCACGGCGGAGCAAAGGCTGGATCTGGACACATGCGTCCTGGAACTGCTGCAAATTAGGCACGGATAAAATGACATAGTCGTAAGTGGCCAGTTTGGGCAAGTGGGCAACGGACAGAGCGAGCTGGTCTGGGGTGAAGGTGGATTCGCCAAACACGGAGGAGCGCCAGGCTATAGGGGAGTTCGGATCAACGGACGGGTCCACCACGGTGACGGAGCACAGGCGGGTCTGCTGGAGTCTCCACGCGTAGAAGAGCAAGTTCGGGTTCAGGCCGACTGGGGTGGTGTTAGTAGCAGGGAGGGATCTGAGAACGGGCCCGATTTGGCAAAAGCACACATACCTGTTAGGAGCTGGGACATCGCCGAGTCTTCGTAGCTTTGATCAAAAAAGGTGGGATTTTGCGGAGTGGTAGATTTGAAAGCGACGCAAAGACGTGGAACAAAGAAGACGGGTGGGTTGTAGGCGGATCGAAAAAGCGAGCGTGTTAGCCAAGCTACACGGGCCTTAAGCAGGAATGAGACAGAAAGCAGGGACAAACAGGACAAAAACGAGCCTTGTGCGGAACAGAGCAAAAAAAGTCCAGCACAGAAAAAAAAAAAAAAAAGAACCCGCTGCACCGCCCGCCTGCCTGTCACAAAGCCGCGGGACGCCTCCAGGCTGAGCCGGCCTACACTAGGGTTAGTGGGCAAAATAAGGGTGTTTTCAGGGGCAAAAGACCCGCTTTTGGCAGTGGGTTTCCACTGTTTTTCCATACAATGAAGCGTGGTGATGTTTGAGTGGAGTCTCCTGGAAGACTACGCGCCCAGCATTCGCGCAACGGCCCCAGGGGGACCCCAAGGCAGATTTCCACGAGATGCCCCAGAGTTTCAGAGTTTCGTGAAAATGTGTCATGGGGCGGCCGAGGCGAGGAGATTTGAAACATGTTTGCTGCGACGCTCGTGTTTTTTTCGTTTATTTCGCGTGTTTGGCCCACGAGCCGTTTTGGCATCTGTAGACGCTAGGCTGCACCGCTTAAGCGTGGTGCTCACTGCGTAGGTATCGGTTGCGCAGCACTCAACACAACTGGAGGCGGAGTGGCCGGGGACTTGAGAATGTGAGAGGGAAGGACGAGGAAGCAAACGAAGTATTTGGGTTGTGGCTTTTTTTTTTTTTTTTTTTTATTGTTTGGCAACGTGGGGTGTGGAGATCAAGGTCGAGCAACCGATGGCATAGCCTGGATTTTTCAAGGTGGGGAGGGCTGTCGTACTGATGGCCAGCGTTCACAATTTTCCTTCTTTTTGTGCACAGCTCCCTAAACGGGCCGTGGCCAGCCGGAATTGGTCCGTTCAAACAGGCGATTTCCATCGCCGTAACCTTTTCTCTCGCCTTATAAGCTCTCGTATATTCAGTTGCGTGGTTCCGCCACGGCTGCACCGGCGGTGATGCTGCCGATCGGCACGGAAGAACCGGACTGCCGTAAAAGGGCCTTTTCTCTGTCAAAATTTAAGAGTCGTAGTTCAGGGATCAATCGGTTGATCTGGTTTACTACAGCTGGCTATCCACGGAGATCTAGCCAGGCAGCTCCAGCAGGCAGCTCCAGACAGGCAGCTCCAGACAGGCAGCTCCAGACAGGCAGCTCCACGCAGGCAGCTCCAGGCAGGCAGCTCCACGCAGATTAGCCCAATTAGTTAGCTGACTCCCTTTCAATCACTTTCTAGGGCTTCTTCTTCATTCCTCGTCTTTATTTTCATTCTTTTTGACTCTTCCAAATTTCGTTCTTCTGACACTTCCCCAGGCCAGTAGTGCCTCTGCCCAGGCCGGTACATCACGGTTGCGAAAAATCTTCACCTGTTTCTTCTCCACCACCGTCCTCAGCGGCGTCGTCTCGTGCCCATGGCGAGGCTTGATGCTGCTGGCTCGCCGTTTTGGTCGTGTTCTATCGGCTAATTTCTGGCAGTCGTGGCGGTGGCAGAAGAATACCCCCGGTGTATCTCCGAGAGGTGAGCTCAGCTCTGAACCTTCCGGTCATGTTCCGGGGTACAAACAAAAAGGATCAAGCGTGAGTGGAATGAATAGCAAGGCCATTGAAACGATCGGTTGGCTTGGTGCTGATCAGGATGCTAGTGGCGGCTGTAGGTGTAGTGAGATGTAGATCCTGAAGGATGCCAGGCGAACTGCAATGGCACGGCACCAATTCTCTTCAAGAATCGTCTAACTGTCAACAGGATCGACAAGATCAAGATAGCCATATCTATCAGTCCCAGAAGTGTGGATGTATACTGTGAGCATAGGCAATCATCCATTTCCTCCAAGCACATAAATGGTGATTCAATTGAATTGTCTTATACCGGGCTTTTGAAGTCCCTTGAAAGATCAAGTTCATGACTATCCCTTTGAAATCACAGCATGACAGCCCCATCAGTAGATCAACCAAGTCAATTCTTCACCTGGCAACGTCACGCCTGCAAGATCGTCATTCCAAAACGATACCATTTCCTCGACAATTGCAATCCATTTTCTTGGATGCCTTACCCCCATTCATCCCTCACCCATCTGAACAATTCCTTCAACCCCACGAACGCGTCTTGTCTGGGTATGCCCTGTCTACAAGCGCGAGTATCTTCAAACTCCGATTTCTTAGTACCACTATGAGAGGCACCCTTATTCTCATTGAGGGCCTAGACCGCTCTGGAAAACTGACCCAGGCGGAGATTCTAGCGAAGAAGCTTGATGCTGATCTCGTCAAGTTCCCCGACAGACTGACGCCAATTGGTCAGATCATCAACAGATACCTCACCGACAAGACCTTCGACTTGCCAGATCAGTCGGCACATCTTCTCTTTTCGGCCAACAGATGGGAACTTGCCAAACTGCTTGAAGAGAAGCTTCTATCGGGAAAGAGTATCGTCATGGATAGATACATCTACTCCGGTATAGCGTACTCCTTAGCCAAGAAGGGTGCTGAAATGGACAGCTACGACTGGCTCTACGGCCCGGATAGAGGCCTTCCAAAGCCTGACCTCACATTCTTCCTCACGATAAGCTTGGAGGAGCTCAGCAGCAGAAAGGGTTATGGGAGGAACGTTACGAGCAGATCGAGTTCCAGAAGAAGGTCAAGGAGTGTTTCTTGAATATCTTGGATCTGACAGATCCTGCCATTGCTATCGTTGACGTTCAAGGACTTCAGATTGAGCCGGTAACAGCGAAGCTTTGGTCTGAGGTGGAAAGCCGGGCTCTTCACCAGCCAATCGATAGAGAAATTTCTCATTTTTCATGAGCCACAAAGCGGCTTTCATAATTTAGCATGTATGTCATAAACCAATGACTCAATTACTTAACCCGTCAAGGTAAGCAAGTCGTTGTAGGACCCGGGACTTCAGGATTTCTTGAAGCTCACCTCCGAGGTATATCTCGTCTAGCACCACATATAGCTTGTGGAAATTGAACACAAGATCAAGCTCGCAAACATTGTCATAGTAGGTATCAAGAATCTCGACGAAGAAGTGGACCGACTCCAAATACGTCAACTCGTTGTCGATATAGTCAATCAGCACGACAAAGTACAACCCGGCGTACCGCCTGTAGACAAGCTTGTTATTCTTGAATTCCACAAAGTTTGACTGATGCTTCAGATCACGCAGAGATATAAGTCTGTGGATCTCGTTGATGTGTTCCTGCTTTTCTTTTTCAGTGTATGCGTTGTCGAACCATTTGGCGACTCTCGTTTTTCCTTGCCTATTGAGCACTAGAAGGTAATGAATGGACATATCAGTATTCTTTGAATGTAGTACGAGGTTTTAAATCCGACTAGGAAATGTGTGGGATCTATCGAATGCCTGGTGCTTTGGATCAAGAGTAGTTGATTCTGAGGTCCACTGTGCAGAGCACTTCAAATGAGTATCCTAGGCCCGTGATTTCCGGTGAAGAAATACGACTGGATGTCTGGAGAAGCAAAAAGGGCTATATTGAAGATTCAGAGTAAATTGAAGGTTTTGCTATAGAGCTGTCTAGGTTGGGTGTCGTCGGGTTCAGGAATTGCAACCGACCTTTGAGATAGGGTGTCTTCAAAACTTCAAGTACAATGAAATATTCCACATACCGTCGATAACAATTATTGAACCCAATTTTAAACCATCTATTTCATATTTGTCAATTTCATCACATGCATGCCCTTTAAGCTAAAACCCAAGATCCGACTGCCTGTAGATATACGCACCTCTGAATAATATCACCAACCCAGAATGGCTGACGAGGAAGAATCCTACAAACAGTTTGAAATCAAAGAGGGTATCATATTCCTTGTGGAGCTCTCGCTGGCAATCCTTCGGCCAATCAACGACCTCGATGGAAAGTCTCAATTGCTAGAGATCCTCTCTTGTGTGAATGAGCTCATGTCAGATATGGTCATGACATATCCCAAGAACGGAGTCGGTATCTATTTCTACAATTGTCAGGAAACCAGCAAGAAGTTTCCCAAGAACTCTGGTCTCTCCAAGGTTTTCTCGCTCAATGACTTAAACAGCTCCAATATGAAGAAGCTAACAGAGATAGTGAGGGACGACATTGATGGGTTCAAGAGCCTCCAAGATCGCTTCAAGTACAATGAGGAGCCGCAGGATCGGCTCCATACCATATTGAAGACTATCCTTCGAGAATTCCAGGTGAAGACGCAATACAATGTGAAGAAGTTGTTCTGGCTAACCAACAACGATAAACCTTACATCAACAAGGAGCTCAAGGACAGCTTGAGAACCATGATCAGCGACTTTGAAGACAACAAGATCTGGGTGAATCCTATCTTCTTGGATTCCTTCGAGGATAGGGATCAGACTAAGCGCAAGAGCTTCGACATCTCGTTGTATCAGAATATCTTCTTGAATACGAACTTCTTGAGTGAAGTGAACAAAAACCACGATGAAGATGATCTGCCCTTGAAGAAAATAAAAGCCGAAGAGCTGGATACTCCAGTGTGGCTGGATACGCTTGTATCGTCGCATATCCGAAAGTCCATCTCCAGGTTGAAGGAGATCAGAAGGATTCAGTTTTCTTGTGACTTGATTATGAGTGATGGCGATGGTATTGGTGGCAGATTTGGATGCTCTATTAAAGGCTACACCTTGTTTAATCACGAGTCGGTCAAGCTGTTCAGGCAAGTGTACACCGGAGGAGACACATTGAAGCTTGTACAGATTGATAGCAAGGTTCAACGACAAGATTCCGCTCAGGAAGTCGACATAAATCAAGAGGAGAAACTTGAGGATCAGAAAGAGAATCTCACGGTAGTGAAGGGTATTCCAGTAAAGCGGACAAATGAGCCGGTTGATGGTCCAAACGAGAAGATCATATATGTCACCGAGGAGAACCTAGACTTCATGAGGACGTATGCCTTCGATAATGCTCCTGGGGATTCTGAGGAAAACGTGGAGGATGAAAAGGATTTGGTCTCCTTCAGCCGTGCACCATACCTCAAGCTTCTCTGCTTCAGACCCATCAGCTCCTACAAGCCTTACTTCAACTTAAAAGCACCCTTATTTGTGACTGCCGACCTTAATGACGGTCTAGGATCAACCAATCGTGAAGGAGGATACACCAATTCCCTCACTACTCTCAAACATCTTTACCAGGGATGTGTCAAGCTTGAGAGGTACGCAGTGGTATTTGGATGCATCAAGAAAAACTCGACACCAAACCTTTATGCCTTGTATCCGACAAACATCAAGGGCTCTTCCTCAAGCCTCAAGGACAGGGTCTTTCCTGAGGGCTTTTTGTTGATACAGTTGCCATGGCTCAATGAGGTGAGAAGTTTACCGGATTACATGTTCCAGGAAGGTGAGAAGTATTTCACGAAACCCGAGGACGACATAGTTCCTGAACCTTTCTTAGAGCTTTACAAGTCGTTGATTGAGCAGGTTGGTATTGAAGAGAGCTACGACCCCAGCGAGCATCCCAACCCGGTTCTCAACCATTTCTACAAGGTGATCAAGCAGGAGGCCCTACAAATCGATATCAAGAACGAGCTGACGGCGCTTGAAGACAACGACTGGTCAACCAGGAAGCTCATCGATTTGCGGAAGCAACTTGAAAAGAACAACGACACTGCTAGCCTTCTTCGGCTCATCAACTCAAGTCTCAACAAGGTTGGCAATGAAGATATCAAGAGAAAAGCCGCCGAAGACAACTTAAGCCCACAAAAGAAATCCAAGCCTGAAAAACTCACAGAGCAGGAAGTCATCTTGATGTGGAAAAACAACTCGTGGAAACATGCTACTGTCGCTCAGCTCAAAGATTTCATCAGCAGGTACGACAAAATCAAGAGTGCTACACGGAAAGCGGATATGGTGGATAACATCTCTCAGTTTCTAGAAGAGAGAAAATAATCACAAGCCTTTGTTTCCATGGTTGGCGGCCTTGAGGTTATCGGTGAGCTATTTTGGCGTAAGGCTTAGACAAGTCAAGTGGTCTTCGGCTTTGTGTCACCGGAACCCGCTCTGCCACACGGCCCGTCGCCCTTGATATTCTACTATTCTTGGGTTCTACAGACCACCAAGGCTCTTACCAAGACATTCACCTGAAACTCACTTTTTGTGTCACTATACCTCTGTGTGGCTGCAAACCTGTTGAGGTGGTCACAAGCTTGGTGAGGATAACGACGCGGCATGACGTTGCGATGCGCAATTTGACAGCCCTTGACAGTTAAGCCCTGAACATCGTGGGCACCAAAAAAGCGCTGATTATGAAGGTGAGCACATTGTCCCCGGCGATTTCGCAACCTTGATTCGCTTCCACTTCTGGTTTCGGTGGCAGCAGGCTGCAGCCTTGGCGCGGAGAACCAAGAAATTTCGGGATAAATGGCTGCAAATCCCGTTCCATAAAACACACCAAACTGAGACAATTTGCTGATTGTTAAAAAACTTCACATCAAAACTCGCCAGAGCAGCTATTCTGCAAATCCCAAATCAAAATACCGGCCGTTGCTGAGTCATTCTTGCTCTCGTGTGCAAGGGTCCTGCGCGGTAAGTCCGTGTGGATCGGTCGGTTCAGGATTGCGCGGCCCGAGCCCGAGAAAATCATTTGTCAGACATTTCTGAAAGCAGGAGTCAAAATGATGGATAGGGTTGAGTTTTTAAATCCCAACAAGCGCGTTTTTGCAAAACTCTAAACCTTTGTTTACGGAATTTCAACAAATTTAGGTTTAGGGGCATTTGTGTTGTGGAGTTAACGGAGGTGGGTTGCGGTGAGTGACGTTATGCTGCAAGCGCTCTGCGCAGCTATTTTGGTGTTGCCGCACCCCACCATCGCGCCTCTCTTGGCTTTATAAATGCCCAATGCCCGGGATCTTGGAGGGGAATAATAATTTAGACTTTTCGCTTTTTCCTTATTATTTGTCTGGTTTCTGTTTTGTTGGGATGCTCCCGCCTTCCTATTCAGAGTCTCAAAGGCCACAAGCCGTCTCGTCTACGGACTTACCCCCGTACGTTCAAGACAAAACACCAGGTTACTCGCCCTCGCTAGCATTCCATGGCGTTGCATTGCTCAAAAAGGAGTTTGACACGCCTTGGTCGAGCTCGTCCGGCCCGCTCCGAGCTGTTTGCCTCGAGTTGAACTCAAATCAACTCAACATTTACGACCTCAAGGATAAAAACTTGGCTGGAATAGTGGAGGCGCTTTTCCAGTTCCAGAATCACGACAATAGAACAGCCAAGCCCGCGTCCCAGAGATCCTCATCAGACTACCTCTTTGACGGCGACGCTTATGGTGACGATGCCATGGACAACGGCCCTACCGTTTTTGGCAAGCTCAAAAAGAAGTTGTCAACCCACAAGGCCGAGAAGAAGCTCGCCCAGTTGCCGTCATACCCCAGTTCTCCAATAACGGCGTGCTCTTAGAGCCCACCGACGACTGCGAAGCAGCTGCCCGCTTCTTCAAGACCAATAAAGGTGACATCTTGCATAGCTTCACTTTGCTGAACCTTCAGCTTGGTGAAGCACCTTCCACGAACTCCATCAACTACAAAGAGGATCTGACGTCGCCCACGAGCTCAGTGGCTCTCCTCAAATACCGGAACACTCTTCGGCTCCGTATTGAGTACTGCCAGCTTCTCCTACACTTTTGGTCATTCCACGGCATGATTCACTGGTATAGGAACTTGTGCATCGGACGTGATCTCTCGACGTCGCTTGACGCACGCTCTTTAACCCGTCTCAAGAGTATTCCTCGTGATTACTCAGCTTCCAACATCGCTCTTTTAAGTGCCGCTGCTCGCGAGGCTCTCAGTCCGTTTGAATCCGAGTCAAAACGTCTGGGCTCCTACTCGAGCTCTATTCGCTCTACGGACTCAGAAGAGGACAGCATAATGAGCAGATGCTCCCACGACACGGCTTGCACGACCGTGGCCGATTGCATAAGGAGTAAAGTAGAGATAAACGGCATGAAAGTGATTTGTTTCGAAGATCTCTACACGCCTGTGGAGAAGCAGTACATTTCTAACTGCATTCCGGTGCTCAACTCCTACGACAAGTGGGTGGGTTCCAGGGTTACCGTGCTGAACTTCGAGCATATGCTTCCCAAAAATGACGCCAACAACGTCAACGAAAACGGACGTGTTTTCATTCTGCCCATGTCCTTCTGTCTGTCTGTTAAGGCGTACCAAAAGCAGTTTCCGGGACTCTCAAAGTCTCGCAAGAAGTGTAAGGACTACTACGTCGATGATAAGGGGTTGGTGAGCATCGACTGTGCATGATATAATGATACAATGTATAATGACTAATGAATAATACAGGTTGAGACAAGGTCCCATGGTGGGCAGTAGCATAAGGTGTGGAGAATCTACCCGACCAATGATAGCAGCTTGCTGGTAGGGAACTCAGTAATTCTGAGGTTAGCTGGGCATGGATGTGGTGGTTATGGTGGTATTTTTCAAGATAGGTAGGGGAGTCATTTTTCATCTTGCGCAATTTAATCCTCTCCATCCTGGTCCATCATTCCAAAGAAGTGTTCCTGTTCTCTACCGAACCCACGCTCTCCACGGTCTCCACGGTATCCATCAACAACGTAACCTTCTGCTTCACAAGAAGGGCTCACCTGCATCTCACCAGGAGCTGGAGATGAGCGAACGCTGAGCGACATTGGAGTAGTGGGCATTTCCGACGGCTGGTGCTGGGAGAAATCGTAATCACTGAATGACACGTCCTCGAACCGAGTCACCATTTCGCCATTGACCACCATCTGGCGGAGCGAACCCCACGGCGTGATTTTGATGGTACCACCCTCGGGGTGGTTATAGATGGGCCATTCGTTGGAGGTGGTGACTGCCTCGAGGTCTCTTTCGGTGAGCTTGGCAACCTTTTTGCGGTCCTCTTCACCGTCAAAGGTTCTTTTACCCGCGGGGCTGAAAGCGTCCATTTTGTGAAACTAATACTTTTTTTCCTTTTGGTGAGTGCGTTTGACAGTATGTTTGTTCGTGTGACGTCTCTCACAGAGGGACAGTTACTGAACTATTCGAGGGAGCGAGTTGACGAGGCAACAATTGCTCAAAATGAGGGAAAATAAGGCGTTGAAGCTTTCGACCTCTGTCAATTAATTAAAAATTCTGCTTCCCGTTGACTAAGTAATTAAACAAGCCAATGGCAGTAGTGAGTGGCTGCAAACGACAGCAAAAAAATTCCGTCAAGTTCCGTTGCCGTGAAGTGGGAAAATTTTGGTGTTCACCGGATTTGTTTTTAGGGTTTCAAAAAGTATGGCTCAGCTTCTCCTCCAGCCTCGTGTCCGGGCGGGTTTTTCCAGGCGATGGCTCGCACTATATACTGCTCTCTGGGCACTGCAGGAGAAGGCTGGAGTAGATTTTTTTCTTTTGATGAGCCAGCCAGGGCCGGAGGCCGGAAGCTCAGCATGGAAAGCGCTTTTGTGCAGGCACACGCGCATTGACGTTCTGGCCCCAAAAGGCGCGGCAGGCAGGCGCGCGCGTGCGGAGACAAAAAAGTTCAGACTGTATGGCTCTGCCCAGGATCGAACTGGGGACTTTCTGCGTGTAAAGCAGACGCCATAACCAACTAGACCACAGAACCGTCTGTACGTAGGAAAATGGCGCGCACGCTATATGTCTGGTATTTTTATTACAACATGCAGGTGAGTTACCGAGTGATATGCAGGTTTAAGTTAAGTGATTTTGCAATTCAAGGCAAAATCGACGAATTTTGCTTAAGAAGTTCAGATAGTCGGTCCTGGATCTTTTCTTAAAGCCTCAAGGAGCTGATAGCGTGCTTTTCTCGATGCTTGCCGTTGAAGGGCCTTGGAAGAGGCCGCAGGGTTAATATTACCAGATGAAGAGTTCTGGCGGATTGTCTTCAAGCGTTTTTTGATAACTTATCAGATGATCTCTCTTTAAGGTTGATTTTCACCGTTATGGTCTCGAAGTTGAGGAAGGTGGTACTTCAGTGTCACTCCCCATTAGACTCGCACGATGCAATTTGAAGGACTTGAAAATCGATTTAGCTTTATCGCTGTAACTTTTAGTCTAATGGATGACACAGCTAATTGTACAGAAGAGCTCGTAGCTTAAATGATAGCAATGTTTGCTTCCGTTTCTCGCCTCGAAGATGCTATGACGCATCTAAGTCGCCAATGTGTTTCGGAATTATCTAGCAAATTTGTGTTGGTGACTGCAAAATACTCTTAACCTGATCAGATGCACTCAGCAATTGTTCTTGTTAAATGTTCTGGGCTCTATTTCTGAAGATCGGTCTCTCAAATCTAGGAGACTTTAGTCTGATTGATCAAGTAAACAGTTCCATTATTGTAACGAATAGGACATGAGAGCAAGATGCTTCCATCAAATTTGGCTCACTGTTGTGCTGAATTTCTTTTGCGAGGAAGATGTTTTCTCTTGTGTTCATTTTTTCCCGCTCCTTCTTCATGATCGAAGATTTTCCCGACACATACCTGGCTTGACATTGTGTCACCATGCTAGATATGCTCGTACAGCTTCAAAATGGGGATTTTTATTTGCTTTATTGGTTCAATCGAATATACCAGGTCATGTTTCTTGCAGCAATTCTCAAATCCACCTGGTACCCCTGACATTTCAAAACATACTCCATGGACATTCATTTAGTCTTGAACAGTCCGACTTCATCGAATGTTTAACAAACTCCCTCAGAAAGATTAGTAACAGGGGTAATGTTATGAAACGCTTCAATAGACGTAGCCTTCCACGATACTTATTATGATAACATTAAGACAAACTGATTTAAAAGTTATTATAGCAGCTTTACTGACACTATCTTTTGAATTTATAAATGAAACATCACTGTAAGTAGGAATTTCTATGTAATATGAATTCATTCCCCTGAAAGGAGCCAGCCCAACGCATCTTGGACCAAGTTAGACGGAGATAATAAAATACTGTTACCGTACTTTACTTGACCTCCTAAGTGTTATCATCACAACAAGCGACTTGAAAATAAACATTCACTCGCAGCAAAAGTCTAGCACGTTATTATCAACAGCATCCTCAGTGAAAGGAGTTATAGCAATAATCCGGTGAGGTGGGTTCCAAGGCGAAACCTTTCAAAACACCGGGCGGGTAGGCGGACTTTGTTCTAAGCATAAGCAGTACAAAGAAGCACAACTATAGCCTAATTCTATACAGCTTAAAGGCCCTTCTGCGGAACCGGGTAAGCAAACTTTCTTCGGGGCGTTTCTTCAGTAGTTCACTGGATTAATTACCCTGTCAAGATTTTGCAGCTGATGCACAACCTCATGCAAGAGGAACATGTTACCACGGCCAACATGAGCTTATACTGGGCTAAAACTTATTGTGAGAACTCAAAAATTTGACATAGTGCTCAGATTTGCACTCTACAAGTGGTTAAAATGCTCGTATACGGAACAAAAGCAGATGTTTTAGGGTGTTGAGCAACGCCGGATCGATCGCGAAAGAATGGACTCGGTCCGAAACCCATACAAACCGTCACTGGTATGCCACAAAGCACGCCTAAAGAGACAGCGTTCGACTTAAAGCCCGGTGATTTGCGATGCTGGCGAACTTAAAAAAATGAGATCAGGAGATGTGGATTAGGAGCAAGCTGTCCGGTTTGGTCTGGGCACTGGCCAGCCGGAACACACAAATGTCACTTTCGGCACGGAGTCTCAAACCGAAGTCTCAGTCAATTTTGCCATGGAGAGCGAAAACAGCAGCAATTAAAAAAAAAAGCCACTTTGGAGAGCACAAATCAAGCCGGACACAACCTGGCAAAGTCCTGTTGCGGATATTTAAGGTTGAACACCCAGGCCAGCCGCAGCCGTTCTGTAGGGATCAATAGCCTCGGGCGCTGGGCCGTTTGCGGCGTCGGTTAAAGCAAATGACGAATTGAGTGCATGAGAGTGCCGAATCTGAGGTGATCCGTACTTTTTTTTTTTTTTTTTTTTTTTTCAAGCTGTTGCCAGTCTTTTTACTTTTTTTTTTTTTTGTTCTAGCTAGCCGGCCTCTGCGTTATACTGCGAAAATACCGCAACCGCGCTGTCTCGGTTGATAACTCTGGGGTAATTAGTCAGGCAGTCCTACGTTTAGTCACGCCTTTCAAATAGCATTGTCGGCATGATCTACTTTTTGAGGAGTCCGGCCCACGTCAGCCGTTCTGGAACAAAACGGCATCGGGATTACAGTTTTTCGAACTCCCGTTAGGGCCTTAGTAATCCGACGGAAAATTCATAAGTCTCGGCAGCTGCAATATGCCTCCGAGCCGCCACGAATGCTATTCCGTTGACAACTCACGCAAATCAGGGATTATCGCCGATGGAAGCAGAAAGTAGAATGGAAGAAATCTCGGTCGTTTTGTTGTTTCCTCGGCGGTTGAACAATACTACCTTTTGCAGCGCCGACGCAGGGTATTGCTCCAAGCATCGGCTGGTATCCGGGAGTTCGCGATTCTTGCCGATGCTGCGCTATTTCTAGTCATGCTGCACCGGCAATTACAGCGGAAAAGGGAAAAACGGCTGGGCTCGCCCTTGCTAAGACAAGGCTCCGGCGGAATCTTCCCCCATGTCAACTTCCCCCAACAATACGAAAAAATTTCTCGGCGTGTTTGACGAGACACGATTTCGGGTATTTGGTGGTTCCGGCCGGTGAGAACATCTGTGATCGCTTTGACGTGCACCCGCAGGATTTGCAGCAGCGTTTACCGCTTTGCTTCGGACATTAGCCTAACCAGGACTACTGTACCGAAGCCCAGGCAAGAGTATATAACTGCAGCCGTTCCTCTGCGCCGCTTGTAGAAGTTATTTCAAAACCTCCAGGAAGCAACAGATCAAGACCCCAGCTACCCTGATATATGTTCCCCACTTGAACAGTGTTATGCCATGTCTTCACCAGACCACCACCACCGCAAGAAGCGAGCAGGCAAGGCCTGTGATTCGTGCCGTATAAAGAAAACGAAATGTGACGGCCGCAAGCCCTGCCTGCGGTGCATTGCCGACAACAGAATTTGTGCTTACAGTGATAAGCGCAAGAAAGAAAAGTCCCACCCCCCTGGATATGTGGAGCTTCTCGAAACCAGGGTCGAGCTTCTCACACGGCTGCTCGAACAGATTGTGCGTCTCCTGGAGCCCCACTTTCCCTGGCTCAGCCAGCTCATGGAGAAGGCCAAGCATGAAGAAATGGAGCATTCGGTGCCCATCAATGATGTGGTGAACCACTTGATTGCCGAGCATGGCATTCTCGAAAACATGCCCATGGAGTGGGACTTGGACCCGCACGAGGTCTTGAGTGCCGAAGAAGAAGATTTTGTCACTGGCCTCGACCACGACAACCCAGCCGCCTCGGGCCACAAAAGAGTCAGCCACTCCCGCCTGGCGCTGGACCGCTCAGGCCGATCTGTGAGTTCACGCCGTGGCTCCCATCTACAACAGCACCCTCCCTCCATCACCGAGCAGTTCAACATGGACGCTGTTTCGTTGGCTGGCTACAGTACCAACAGCAACAACACCCCGAGCCTTTTTCGGCAAGACACGAGCCCCATATTCTCGAGATCAGAGATGATGAATCGGCCCACCGGGCAAATGATCGCCTCGCACGAGGCCGCCAGCCTGCTGCTGCTGTTAGCGCTGTTGGCGGCTAGGCTCGAATCCCACGACATTGGGCCTACTTCTCCAGGCCTTCCTCTGCACGTTATGACCCCATCGACGCTGTTCCTGAACAGTAGCGACCCTACCATTCCCTTTGTGTCTTCGCAAGGTCTCCGTAGACACGCCTCTCTCAACAGTCACAATACCGCCAGTGGCAACATGGGCGCCAGTGACCCCAGAGCTCGTAACGAGATCAAAACACAGCATTTCCCCACTCGCCAGAATACATCCTCCGATGCGTCTCTCGTGATCTCCCCATACGCCGCTGGTCTTCATCTGCCCGAGGTGGATGAGTTCTCAGCCTTCCCCATGGACGACACGCCTTTCTCAGACCTTGACGATGCGTGGAGATTCGCCAGCTTGAAACCCGGCTCTGCGGGCGAACTGCTGGCTTGAACCGTGTGTGCCTACTGTTTTACATGGCTTGCCTAACTGTATATTATGCCCATGTATCTAACACTAAGTGAGGTTTGCTAGTGCGCGGTTCGCTCAGAGTTGCAAAAGCAAGCTGCAAAGCGCCTGCGCCGGCCGCTTCTACTGCAGCCACATATGGTAATTCTCACACACCCATCAGTATATTCATTACCCGAAACTAATAGACCTTTTCACAAATCTCTGCAAACGCCACGTGCCCTTCCTTGTAGCAAGCAAACATCACAGAAATACCATACATTTTCAGTTTACCGCCGGTGCAGCAACTACCCTGACTCCCCATGTTTAGTTCACCGTTGCTAAGCCCCGAACATTGCAGGGACCATCTTATGAGGCTCCTGAGGGCAAGGCTATCTTGCGGTTTTTAATTAATTTTTTTCAAAAACTCTGAGACAGAGAATAAATTGGCCGATGCTGACAGGGTGACTTGTCTGACGGGAGCTCGGCAGTTGACGCTGTATTTCGCTACCCCAAGAATGTCTCTTTTGCGATTCGATGCCCTGTTCCTGCTTCAGTTTCACACCGGGTCCTTGCATCACTTAGCGTTTTCGCAGTGGACCCTCAGATCAAAAATAGCAAACGGTACAGATTTATCTTCGGAGTCTCCCTACGAGTATGGTTGCTTGCGATCCTAACCCCCTGGCCTTCCATCCGGTGGACCATGCTGCCAAGGCCTACTTGCTACAACGAGTGCTCAAAGAATAGTATCCTTTCGTATGTAGACTACCGCCAGCACCAGCCTCTTATGTGATGATTTTGGTCAATCCTTCGGACTCCAACTTGGTGGCCTTCACCAACACTGGAATCATACCACCGGTGCCAATGGCAAAAGCACGGTGGCCCAAAACCAACAATTGAGTTCTGATCGAGCCCGAGTGGGACGTGACACTCACGAACAGATCCTTCTTCTTGTCTGTGTTGTCGAAAATGTAGTTGAACAGCCGGTTCATGCGCAACGCCTGCTCCCACACCTTCTCTCTATAGTCGTTCTTGAAATAAATATCTTCCTCGACGAAACCATCCTCAATGACAAAGCCTTTCTTGGCGTACTTCTCCTCAATCACGCTACGTGGTGATCTCTTGTCACAGATATGGATGCCTATCGTCTCTCTAAAGTCCTCCTTGATCAATGGCTTGACGTCCTCGAGAACCACGTGGTCTTGCCACGTACCAATGAGCGTGTCAACAGACCGGCTGAACGGAGAAGAAAAGAACTTGGTGGGCAATCTCATCTTGTCCTTGAGCTCAATGCCAACCTGGTTGCGGTTGTCCTTGGCCTGAGCAAGACCCAATTCCGTGAGCTCGGGATCAGGCGCCCACGTCATCTCATCGTCGCCACAGACACGCAGCCAGTGTCTATTCCACTCCTTCTCGCCATACTTCAAGTTGGCCAAGTTGTGGTAGCCTTGACCGTGACGGCCAAGGAAGAAGAGCTTATAGGCAGTGGAGTCGTCAGCCTTTTCATTGAGCTCATCAAGCTCCTCAAAGATCTTCTCCCATGATTTCATGCGCCCAAAATTTTCTTTGAAGTAGTCGAATGTGGTTTCGTCTGTCTCGGGCAACAGCTGCTTGAAGTACCCGTCCACAACTTCAAACGACCAGTGATTCCAATCACCTTTTTCAGCCAAGGCGTTCTTGTAGGAGTTTCTGTCCTCCTCCCTGATGGTGGAATTGTAAACATCGATTCCGTCTGGCACTGTCGACATTGTGAAGTAGTAGAAAAGATAGCTTAGAGGAAATAGCGAGAACCACAAGATCATGGAGTTGTTGCTCAAAATGGGTGCGAAATCCCGCCGCGCCGGCAAACACCTGGGCCACATTGTGCTCTGGGATTTGCAAATTTTCCGTGGTATTGTTGAGTTGTCTGCAAATTGGATTGATACTTTTGAAGACGAGAGATAAAGTTTGAGATTTTGTGTTTCTGTTGAATCGTGAATGTGGAATCGGCTGAAGGACTCTGATGGCCTCTGAAGCACATGGTACTATGCTGCTAAGCAGATCTTCAAAGAATGACTTAAGTTTTGGCAATTTGAACCCCAAATCTGATTTTCAATAGGTAGTCTGATGATGTCAAAGCTTGGATGTGGAAAAGAATGCGCAACACGTAGGTTTGTCTTATAACTTGTAGCTGTTCTCTAGGGCGGGCAATTCATCAAAGAACATCATGTACTTTTATCATTTTGATGAATAAGCTCAATGATCTTCGCCCTTAACGATTTTCGCCCTCAAAGTTCTGTCTCTTGATATAAAAATTTGATTTAATGCCGCCACTATTTTCGTAGAGGTTCCCGTATTCGTTGACGGGACATGAACAATGCGAAGTTTGCAACTTCCCCGTCAAATCGGGAACCCAAGGCCAAAATACAAATTCAACTTTTAAAAAGAACAGTTGACAAACTCCGTCATTTTCGAGCTAGCTTAATTACCTCTGACACCTACTACATTTTCCATTTGTTTTAAAACCCATTCCGCCTTTTTGTAGCCAATTGAACGTTCCTTCATTTGGACGGCACCTTGAGAGTTCGATGCTGTTCATTGTGGACTGCGAAAAAACGTCATTTGAAGTTTTAGCCTCACACCAAAGAACCGTCACTATTTAAGATTAAAACGAGTTCTTTCAGAATTTTTCTCTCTCATCTAGCTAAGTAATACCTTGAAACTGAATTATCAAGTCAATTTTACCCACTATGCCTTTGTGGCTTGGATTTCCAAGGGTCGTGTACAGCACCATATGCCGTCGACAACACCACATAAATCAACCGACCTCTCTATACTGACCAGTAAGTCTTGCACAACCACCACTGACCTTCATTTAACACAAACGCAAGTCTCTCTGAACAGAGTTCACATCACAGCCATTAGCATCTGCCGAATTGCCAAGTGTTATTTGTCCAACCCCCTAAACGAGACCCCATAGCCTTGCGAGAAACAGCCCAAACGCCCTCAAAATGGAGGAATTCAACGATGACTTTTATCCGTTAGCATTGCTAATGGACGAGTTGAAGCATGACGATGTCTCAAACCGTGTCGAGGCCATGCAAAAACTTGATCTGATCGCCATAGCATTGGGTCCCGAAAGAACCTTGCACGAGCTACTCCCATTCTTGAACGACGTTGCACAAGACGATGAAGAGGAAGTCTTTGCAGTGTTGGCTGAAAAGCTCGGTGATTTTGTCCCCCTTGTTGGTGGCCATCAGAACGCCGAACCATTGATTCATATCTTGGCTATTTTGGGCGCCATGGAAGAGCCAATCGTCAGAGACACTGCTGTTGAGTCATTGAACAAAATCGCTCCCGAATTGACGGATGATGAGCTCAACAGCCTCTTTTTGGAGTTGATTCGCTCCTTGTCGCAGGGCGACTGGTTTTCCAAGAAGGTGGCCTCGTGTGGTCTTTACAAATCTGTCATTGTCAGGGTCGACGCTCCATTGAGAAGAGAGTTGTTGATGCTCTACAACTCCTTGGTTAGTGATGACTCACCAATGGTCAGACGTTCTGCCGCAAAGCATTTGCCAGCAATCATCGACAAGCTCACGGAATACTCCAAAGAAAACCCGGCCTCGTCTAAGAAGGTTGACGACAATGACTTGGAGATTATCAGCAAGATGTTCCATCACTTAATTAACGATGCTCAGGATTCCGTGAAGTTGTTGAGTATTGATGTGTTGGTGGCCATCCTTGAGTATTTCTACTTCATCCAAGACACCTCACACAACTCTGACTGCTTGGTAAGCGCATTGAAATTGATCAAGGATGATAGTTGGAGAGTGCGTTATGCTGCCGCTGACAAGTTTTCGAACATCGCCAACAACTTCAAGGAGTCCGAGGCAGACTTGTTGCGCCTTATCGACCCATTCATTGGTTTGATGAAGGATAACGAGGGCGAAGTCAGAAAGGCTATCGCGAAACAACTACCAGACTTCTGTAAGTTACTCAGAGACCCAAGCATCATCGAGTCTAAGATCATTCCCGTCGTTGATGAGTTGTCTCAGGACCCACACGAGAACGTCAGAGCATCATTGGCATCTACTGTGACCGGCCTTTCTCCAATTTTGTCCAAGCAATCTACAACCGAGAAGTTACTCCCAATCTTCTTGGCTATGTTGAAGGACGAATTTCCTGACGTGAGACTCAACATCATTTCTAATTTGTCTGTGGTGAACGAGACCATTGGCATCCAATTGTTGTCTACTAATTTATTGCCTGCCATCACTGAATTGGCACAGGACGGAAAGTGGAGAGTTCGTTTGGCAATCATCGAATATATTCCCAAGTTGGCCACTCAACTTGGCGTCGAGTTCTTCAACAAGGAGTTGTTGACTCTTTGTACGTCCTGGTTGTGGGACCCAGTTTTCGCTGTCAGAGACGCTGCTGTGAACAATCTTAAAGACCTCACAACCATCTTTGGCTCACAGTGGGCGGAGGTGCTGATTATCACGCATCTTCTCAATATCAGAGACGAAAAGATTGGCGATGAAGATGTGGACAAAGAGCCAGTTAACTTTTCAAGCTTCATCATCAGAATCACCTGTCTTTTTGCCATCACCAAATTGACCCCCGAGCTCGAACCATCCGTCATCACGAAGAAGATCCTACCATTTATCCACCTGTTGATCGCCGACCCTGTGCCTAACCTCCGCTTCAATGTGGCCAAGTCCTACTTGGTTGCTGCTGAGGCTTTGGCAAAGAGCGACTATGCGGAGAAGAATAAGGTGATTGAGACAGAGATTGTTCCAAATGTCAATGTCCTTGTCAATGACTCCGACGTTGACGTCAGGTACTATGGCCAGAAGAGCCTTGATAGCATCAAGGAATTGACAGCTTGATGTGCACAGCACTCACAACTCAGTAACGATGAAATATAATGAAGACGTCACTCTACACGTAGTCACTGTATTTAAAGGACCCCCTATTTTGCTCTATGACCGATACGGAATGTAATGCAGAATATATACTTAGCCCTTGGCAGCATGCAATTTGTCGAAATCAAAGTCGAACGATGCTCCACATCCACAGGACGTAGAAGTGTACGGAGAGTCTGTCACTTTGAAAGAAGTGCCGATAAGTTCCGTCGTGAAGTCTATCCTTGAATCTTGTAAAATCTCCAATGACGATTCATCAAAGATTACCTTGGCTGCTTTGGCATCTTCTCTCTCAAATACCAAGAGATCACTCTCTTTCTCAAGTTCTTCGGAAAGATTAGTCAAGTCGAGGTTATATTGGAATCCATGACATCCGCCACTCTCCACCTTAATCCTTAATGCCGAATCTGGGTTGTTGTCATCCTTAGCAATCTGGACCAACTTATCCTTAGCACGATCAGTGATAGCTATTCTCAACCCACTTGTGCCTGAAATAAGTTTTGTCAACTTGAAATCCTCAAGTTCAGGAGGTGTATCCTTCGGTAGTGAGAATGTAGATGACTTGAGGCTTTTAGCAGGCTCAGTAGAATATAGCCTTGTTGTGTAGAGTGGAAGTCTTCTGGCGGGTAATCTGGTCAACTGCCTGGCCAGCGGTAGGACAGTTCTGATATATCTTGAAAACATGGTGTTGCACTTGCTGACTCTTACTATAGTAGGCTTATAAATGGCTAGTGAGAACGCTTTATTTATCTGCAGGACTCCGTTTGTATGGGGAATCCTAACTGTATGGATTTGTTGTATACAAGAGACATAGTTCGTTTGTCGTGCATGGTCATGAGGGTACTTAGACATAGTTGTCGTTAGCCACCTTCCAGGAGGGCAAAAGGTCCAAGTGCTTCCAGTTCTCCTTAGGGCCTTCCATACCGAATGCGATCCATCTGAAGTACCAGAAAGTACCAATGACCAATACGTACAAACCAATGTAGATACCGAGGTAAGCAGCACGGCCAGCGGGAGTCGAAGAACGCTTCAAAGGAGCAGTGAAAGCATCGATCTCATAGACAAAGACCAACATAGCGAAGTACAATGCAGGCAAGTAGTGATGGACGTATGTGACTCTGCCCATGATGACGAAAGGCATGTAGTGCAAACCCCAGCCGAACATTGGGTAAATACCACCCATCAAGAAGGTCTTGAGCTTGTGTGGGTCCTGGAAATCATTGATTTGTCTCTGCCATCTGATCAAGTGGTACAAGGTGACGAAGCAGAACAAAACGACAGCAAAAGTGGATGGCCAAGTAGTGGCAGGGGAGCCAATCAAGAAATACTTGACCTTATCAGAGGCCCAAGAGCACATTCTGATACCAGCGTGCAAGGTTGGCCATTGCCAGAACTTGGAGGCCAAGTCGTCCTGCTTGTCGCTGTCAGGAACCAAAGCATTGTTGGTTGCCATCATGGCCAAGTTGAGCTGAATAAAGTCCTTGAAAAAGTTTGTACGAGGCAACTTGAAGTCCTCTGGAGCGTTTGGCAAAATCTCGTTTCTGTTGTTCTCAATGTTCCACCAGGTTCTCTTGTCCTTACGGAATGGGTTCTTGAAACAGACAACTTCACCTTGTCTGAAACCCCACTGAGGCAAAGAGTTACCTGGAACACCCAAGTAGCAGCCCAAAGCAGCACTCTTCAATCTGAAGGAAGTAGTCAATGGGTGCAACTTCAAGGAGTCCTCCTTACCGAAGGACTCCATGATCTCAACAACCCAGTTGTCCTTGAGGTCACCAATAGTCAAGTTACCGTAACCGGCAACCTCGAACTCGGACTTACTGACAGGAGCAGCAATCTCGTGGGTGTGCAAGTTTCTACCAGTCATTGGGTGCATAAGTCTGACAGTCATACCGTCAATGACGTACTCAGGGTTCTTGTCGGTCTCAGGCTCGTAGTATGGAGCACCACGAGGTCTCTGGAAAATCCAGTTGTTGTTGGAGTCCTTGTGAGAGTAGGTAGTGACCTGCTGCTGCTTGGAACCCTCTGGGAAGGTCTGGACATGGGAGTGCAACAAACCACCGGTCAAGCCCTGGTTCTTGAGGGTCACATAGGAGTGGCCAATAGTAACATCTCTTGGACCGCCACCAACATCACTGTTCTTCAAGTTGGCTTGGAACAAGGAAGACATGTTAGCATCACCGGTACCAGACTTGTACAAGAGGTCAAAATGAACCTTGAAGGAGACCAAGAAGACGCAGAATGGCACAATGATCAAAGCCAAGATTCTGGCGAGCCAGTGGTAGAAGTACTTCTTCCAGGTAATAGTTCTGTCACCAAACTTGTTCCACAAGTCAACCACGGTGTAGATACCAACAAGGGTGGTGACAAACAAACCCACCATCTTGGTGGACATGGTGCAACCAATGCACACACCAGTGATCAAAAGCCACTTCCACCATTTTCTGGTGAACTCCTGAGGACGGTTATTGAAGTTGTTGAAGCGGGAGAAAGCCAAGACGGTAGCAGTGGTGAAGAACAAGAGAGGGGAGTCAAGCAAAATGAACTTACCCAAGGTAACGTAAGACAATTCAAAAGTGACCATGGTTGTGAAAAGCCAGGTCGACAAGATGGAAAAGCCGATCTCCTTACAGGTGAAGTAAGCCACAGGGGCACACAAGCCGGAGAACAACACCTGGAAGAGTCTCATTTTGGTGTAGTCAATGTAGTCTGGGTAAAGCTCACCAGATGGGAAATCCCAAGAGCCGTTGTAGCCGGCAATGTAGCCAGAAAGACCCACAAGCATCTTACCCAAGGGAGGGTGCACGTCGTGGTAGAACTCGTGTCTCAAGTAGTACGAGCCAAACTTACCGAAATGGGCCTCATCCCAAACGACGTGGTTGTTGACGGAGATTCTGTAAGCTCTCAAAAGGAAGGACAAAACGGTAAAGGTGAGAGGAGCCAACCACTTCTCCAATTTGAGCAAAGCGGAGGAGGTGGACTCTTCGTATTTGGCCTCAGCAGAGTCCACATCGTCGGTAGTCTCATTCTTTAAGGGCGACAGCGGCGACTTCTGTGATTTTCTCAACCGAGCTTTCGAGCTCAGGTCCACGTTGACACCCGAAGCAGACATCGTAGAACTAAAGTTGATACTTTCTCTGAAAATTCATACGTGTTAAAACACGCGGAGCGTGGATATGCAGGTGGCTCTAAACAGCCGATGGAGACATGGACGGGAGTGGGGGTAAAGCTGGCGGTGGAGAAGTCAAAAAGACGAATAAATTGGTCATTCATGTTGATCACTTAGATACAAGAAAGTCTCCTATAAAAAATTGATCTTCGATGGCGTTTTTGGTGACTTCTGTGGTGGCTGCGAAAAACGATATCGGCTTTGTGGTCCACCGCCAAGAGCCTCGAGATTCTCGAAGCACAGTAGCGAAAAGCAAAGCTACGAAGTTTTTGGATTTTGAAATGGGAAGAGGGGTGTACAATTTTGAAAACATTAGAACAATGCGGTCTTGACTGAAAATGTGGCTTCAGTGCTGAGGCCACTCCGTGCCCGCTTGTGTGTGCATGGCTGCGAAATCCACCTCGCTGATACCGGTACAGGTCATCGGATCGACCTGGCAGATGGTGTGAAAAGGTTGTTTGGCGATTTGAGTGATTGAATTGTTGAAATTACTTATCGTTTTACAAGATGAAAGAAGTGTAATGCTTCTTTTTGACCAATAAGGATGAGATTGGGGTCAGCCGTGTTAGTGTCCATACGTTACCTAGAACATGTAAGTGATTGAGCCAACCAGCTACAAAAGAGAGAGAGTGCTTTCAACTCAGTGTATGCGCATGAGGTGAGCCATTCGTATTTCGTTGACATAGGTGAAACAGTGAGAACAGCTTTCAAGAAAGCACGTTAGTGATGCAACGGCTATACTTCTTTTGTATCAATCCAACGTCGCCTACGTAACACATTCTTTACAGGCATCAATTGCCGTGCGGAATTCTTAGATCTGATGGCTTGTACCTCCCAAAGCGGGATCTCACAACAGCCAGTCCCTCCACCAAAGCTTCGATTCGATTACTGCAATGGAAGATCAATTCTCCAATTAGATCAAATATTCTACAGTTCTCGGGTACACGCATGCTGCGAGTTACACTCAACTTCAGTCGCCGTGCTAAAAACCGAGCAACGAAGCCCCAAACTCTAGCCCCCATTAGCACGGACTGACTTTCAGGTTGCTTATTGAAAGTAGAACAGAAGAGATCTACGGCGAAAAAAAGGGAGATACGGCAAAGAGAAGATATCTGCGGCAAAGAATCTCCGGCACTGCTTGCCCACCCCACAATTAATTACAAACCTTAAACTTCAGGCACCATGCGCTTGAAGCCCTAACCCTAAAGGTGTGAGAATCACCCTTCCCAAATTGCTCCGAACTTTCCCACACGCGTTCCTCACCAGACATCACAATTGCGTTTCTAAAACTCCAAACACCGGATTCCCCGGAAAGAGTCCCAAAACCACCGCAACCTCCACTGTGATTTCGCAGCCGCCCACGGTGTCTTAGAACCACGAGATTTGGAAAATTACGCCCGGTGCAGGCTCTGGCCCCACTTTTTTCACAAAGGTGTTTCGAAAGCATTCTGAGCCAGTCAATTCAAATCAAAATGACCCTTCTATTTGTAGGCCCCTAAACTACCTGCCATGCACCTAGCCGTCAGATCAGCAACCTGACTCTCACATGAGCATTGCTAGGGTCCGCGCCAACGACCTCGGCCGGTTCCGTGTACGGCCGGGCACCCACTCGTCCGGGTCTGGGGAAACTAGAACCCAAATGCCGGAGGCGTAGGCCCCAGAGTTTTGCAGCAAAACCAAAGCCAAATTTTCCAACATTCACCAGTCACCACTAGGGTGTTTGCTGGAGCAACGGTGCCCAGGCCCGTGCACCATATAGTTGCTTCGGCATCTGGCCAGTGGGAATTGCAGTGTCCAGGTGGTGGCAGGCCCCGGCACATTGTGCAGTACGCCTATGGAGCAGACTGCCCCGGCGGTGCGGGATATATAAGAGCATACGTTTTCCCACCCTGCGAGAATTCTTTGATTTTCACACCTCCACAAATTAACTTATTTGCACAATGGCTATCAACATCGGTATCAACGGTTTCGGCAGAATTGGTCGTCTCGTTTTGAGAGTCGCCCTCTCCAGAAAGGACATCAACGTCGTTGCTGTCAACGACCCTTTCATTGCTCCTGACTACGCTTCTTACATGTTCAAGTACGACTCCACCCACGGTCAGTACAACGGTGAGGTCAAGACCGACGGTGACAGCTTGGTCATTGACGGCCACAAGATCCAGGTTTTCGGTGAGAAGGACCCAGCTTCCATCCCATGGGGTAAGGCTGGTGTCGACTACGTCATTGAGTCCACTGGTGTCTTCACCAAGCTCGAGGGTGCCCAGAAGCACATTGACGGTGGTGCCAAGAAGGTCATCATCACTGCTCCTTCTGCTGACGCCCCAATGTTCGTTGTCGGTGTCAACGAGAACAAGTACAACGGTGAGAACATTGTTTCCAACGCCTCTTGTACCACCAACTGTTTGGCCCCATTGGCCAAGGTTGTCCACGACAACTTCGGTATTGAGGAGGGTTTGATGACCACCGTCCACTCTATCACCGCCACCCAGAAGACCGTTGACGGTCCATCCCACAAGGACTGGAGAGGTGGTAGAACCGCTTCCGGTAACATCATCCCATCCTCCACCGGTGCCGCTAAGGCCGTCGGTAAGGTCATCCCAGAGTTGAACGGTAAGTTGACCGGTATGTCCTTGAGAGTGCCAACCGTCGACGTTTCCGTCGTTGACTTGACCGTCAGATTGAAGAAATCTGCCACCTACGAGGAGATCTCCGCTGCCATCAAGAAGGCCTCCGAGGGTGAGTTGAAGGGTGTCTTGGGTTACACCGAGGACGCTGTCGTCTCCACCGACTTCTTGGGCTCCAACCTCTCCTCCATCTTCGACCAGAAGGCCGGTATCTTGTTGTCCCCAACTTTCGTCAAGTTGATCTCTTGGTACGACAACGAGTTCGGTTACTCCACCAGAGTCGTCGACTTGTTGGAGCACGTTGCTAAGAATTAGCTATCCACGAAGTTGTGAGGGACTCGATGCCCCTTGTAACTGGCCCTTGTGATAGTAAACAATGTGATTACTAGAATGAACGCAGTATTGCAAAGCAATGTAGTATCAAGAATGTGTAATTTTGGCATAAGCTTTTAAATCGACTGTCATGCTTATAAGCTCATTACCTCCGAAACCTCCCCTTTTGAATCGCCTCATACTGAAGGCAGACTTACATTATTCTGCCCCCTCGAATCATTGTCAGACATACCAATAAATATTTTTCGACATGCCACCATATTTGATATGAATAAATAACAACAATGACTCCCAAACTACTCATCAACTGAATAAAATTTATGTTGACGAATCTCACGATGACCTGCTCAACCCATCGCCTTTTATTCAAAGCCTCACATAAAGATGCGTTTAAGACATATTCTTACCACCACGATTCATACCACCACGGCAGACTATAGTACCAAATTAGCAACGTCCATCATGTAAATGCAAAGAATTCAACATTCTGTAAAATTAGCCCCTATAATTCACACAAACTTACCACTTTCCTCATTTTCTTGCTTAAGGTTATTGTGGACCGTATTATCTATCGCACTGGGCCACTTCTGCCGTCCTGCTTATTGCCGATTCAACCCAAACAGCCCATGTCCGTCATTCTATACTTCCAACAACACATTCTTTTGCTATGAGGTTTCTTCTTGATCAGAACTTCCACGTCTACAAGGCGCAACATGCTCCAAAATTTACACAACAACACCTCTCCACGATAAAAACCCTCTCGGCCAACTATGTCTACAACAAATACATCTCCACAACAGCAGACATAATACCCAAGTATGACAGCGTTGAAGATGTGGAAATCGGGGTCAACGCAGACAGTATCAGCCAAGGTGACCTTGAAGTGACCTACGTTACAATAAAACACGGTTCCTCGTCTCAGATGGCGTGTTTTGTTAGAGATAACGAGACTATTTTGGCATTGCTCAAGTCGGGGGCACCGGAGTTTTTGGTGAATCTACTTGAGTCCTTGGATTTCGATCAGCCTCTTCTGTTAAGGCCTCAGCCTGTGGGGAGCGGGGGAATCCTGGCATTGGTCGATGCCATGGCGCCTGTTTTGGCTGTAGATCTGGGGATCATGGGGAATATTGATATAACGTTTACGCCGAGAGAAAAGCTAAAGAAAGACTCGCTTAAAGAAATCTTGATTAATGTGCCGAGAAAGGACTCTTGCCGGCTATTGGAAGGGTCCGATAGACCAATGCATACTTTGTCGTTGTGGTTGACCAAAGCCACGAGCGTGAAGTTCAGAAATATGGAAACAAAAACATTCACGAGTGATCTCATTTGCATTTCCAAAAACGGAAGGATCCGCCTTATAGGCGATCACATACTAGACGATGACGCTGCTACACAGTTGGTGACTCAGGTTTGTCGTGCTTTGGCGTGAATTGAATCTATGTAAAAATCATGATGACGGTCCATAAGATGGACGCGGTCACCACAACGAAGCCAGTCCAAATGATACCCAGATGGGTCGCGGGCAGGTGACGGAGCCTTTGAAGATTAAGATTGATGCTGATCATGCTGAAGATAAGGGCAAAGAGGAATCCAAACACGAGCATAATGAAAACAAACATGTTATTGGCATCACTGAATTGAACCTCCTCCTGCTGAAGTCTGAGAATGCCAAATATAATGCCAAAATTAATGCCAGAAATGAAAAGCGATGTAAAACACAAGGTGAAGTAAATGAAGGATAGTATGGTGTCGTAGTCATGCACAAAACGGACTTGGTAATCGCTTTCGTTGTTCAAGTACAGTGGTTCCTCGTCAAGCGAATCGTATCTAAAGACGCTTCCATTCTCAGCGTCTAGAAGACCCTTCTCTTTGTGCGAATAGGAGAGTCTTCTAAAAACACGGAATGATCTGAGGAGTCTCATCTTCGACCTAATAAAAGACAAGATAACGTTATTAAGGAACGAATCATCCAAGTCACTGCTATATTGTAGGTACCAGTAGTAATTCTCGTCATCATCGTCCCCAATGTTTTCAAGTGCGCTTAAGTCGTTCATACGCTTGACATAGTCGGGATCAAACAGTTGATACAGTCTGACACTGCTAACGTTCTTATCAATCGAATTTCTTCGCTTGGGCAGAACGCTACCTCTAGCCTGAGGATCTAGCGTGTTCTGTAAAGAGGTACATGACTTCAGTCGGCTGAGAATGACTCGAGACTTGTCTTGAATGAGACCCTCGTCAAAGACATTCTGATTGTTAACGTATTCCACGTTCTCGTAATTCTTGAACAAATTGATATTCAAGATTTGCAGGTAGTGATTATTCTGCTCCTCAGGGATATAATTGAAGTAACACGATCTCATGTAGTCGTACAAGTTGAAGTCTTTGAAGGGATGAACCAAAGAGTTGAGCAAAAGGTTTTGCACCTTGACAGGCAACTTCTTGAGGGTGATTGATCTGTACTTGTTGACAAGCTGATTGCCCTCGATAGTTGTTTTAAGCGACTCCTGGAAATTGTACAAATTGGTGCCGTTGCTGTGAATGCTGAATTTGTTGAACGGGAAGGGATCCATGTGGCCTATGTCAAACAGGATACGAGAATCGATTTCATCCAGTGTGAAGATGTTTTCATCGAGGAGCATGTAGAAACTGTCTTCATAGTCTCTATTGTCAACGGTGGAGGTGGCATTAGAAGTTTCAGGAAGATACTCGCTTCCGGTGGTCAATGGTGAAACCGAAGCAGAGGCACCTTCGTGACCAGGCATGCCATTATGCTGACTAGCGTTTTTATGCAAAAAGAATCTCGTTCTGTCAAACACAAGCTTGAGAGACGGTCTCAAGTTATTCCAGACCAAAGCGTTAATGGTGAGCTTAGTCATAGCCGTTACCTCATGCGAAGAGAGATACTCAGTCAAGAGATTTTCAGCCTTGATTTGAGTAGCGTCATCTTCTGAAAGCATATACTGAAGGAGGGCCTCAGCAACAAGATTGGGGAGGCAGCAATAGGAGTACTTCCTCAAGCCACCGGTGTGGACAATGAGAACAGAAGACTTCTGGTGCTCGTGGGAGACAATGTACGAAGGGTTCTGGTCCTCTGAACCCTGGGTCAAGTACGTCACAGACATCTTGGAAGGGCCCTTGAGTTTCTGGAGGTTGAGAACCACATCAATGCAAAGGGCAAGATCATTTCTAGAAGTAGTGTCCTTTGGAAGCAAGGAGTGCAAAGCAAAGTTCTTCTTGAGATTGCTCACAAGGTCAAACTTGGCGAGTTGGTCAACATTGTAGTCGACATGAAGGTTTTCATACAACGAAGACTCTTCCGAAGCAGCTGAAGCAACATTGGTGCCCACGGAGGAGCACGAGGCCGACTTCTTGAGCTGGCCCTGAGGTGTGGCGTAAGTGTACTTGCGATGCATGGACAAATGGATGCTTCTTGACTCTCTCTCAATGTCCTCTAGAAGTGCTGCTAGCTGGGATGTGAGCGGAGACAAGTCAAAGTTGACAAAGGAACGTGGGTTGACATGGAGGTAGTGGGAAAGCGATGCAATGAACTTGGAGGACTTGGCCTGGTCCGGGTAGTGCTTGGCGAGTTTCTTGAATATCTTCTTCAAGGCGATCTTCTGCACCAAGATGTACTTTGTGAGTTTCTTGACGGTCACGGAGACGTCGTTGATGACATGGGAGTGGAAGGGCACAAGCTTGCGGTACTTGGCTGCAGCGTCGATATCAGCCTGGAGAACTAGCTCCAAGTCTGTCTTGTATAGCTGTAGCTTTCGCTGAAGCTCGCCCGTCTTGGTCGAGAGGAACAAGTTCACGTAGTCAAAGTTCTCGATGAACTTGCCGTGGAGATTCACGAGAGAGGCCGGCTCTTGCTTCTGCGTGATGCCGCGGATAGACGCTTTCAAGTCATTGTAGTCGATGTTGTAGACCTTCCACTCTGGTATTGATAGGCAAGCAAGGTTCTGGCCAAACTTCATGCAATGGAAGGAGCGGCTGGTGGCTGACTATGGAGGGGTAGGAGATGAGATTGATGATCCGTTCTTGAGGTATGATGGCCAGGGGGCAAAAGTGGGATCCGGAAATAGGAAAAATTGTACCGAAGGGTAGGAGGAAATGAAGACTTTATATACCGCCGCTGCACCAAAACGTACTGCTATCTCAATGACACAATCACTAAAGCTCAATGTACGTTTTGTGCCGCGCGCGATCATAGGATGATTGAGATTCTGCCGCACTGCACCACGTGGATGATAAGGTGGGAGGTTTAGAGAGGATGGAGGGGAAGAAAATCGTCCAGATTGATGGATTCTTCAGGTTTGACTATAAATACGGTGAATTCCCACTTTTCAGAGTGAAGGTTCAGGGTTTTTCTGTGGGGATTCGTGGCTACTGCTTGGCGGGCACACGAGTTTATGCTAAATTGGGTGCAAAAGAATTAGGCAGATTGCGCTTCGATCGCAGGAGCCACCAGCCACCACTAGTCAATCGAGCACGACACGGCGCTTCCTCAAGGGTCCTATTGTGCGTGGGGAGAAGCTTGCATTCGTTGAGTTCAAAGCGACTTTCTGCCTTCTTTTGACAGAACCTTGCAAATTTTCTTTTCCGACATCGCTCTCGTCACTCATTTAGCCTTTGTACTTATATCTACTAGGGCGCTCGTCGGTAATGTACTTGCTCGCCCACACCAGCCACAAGAGGTGTTTTTCACTTTCCTGATTTTCCAAAAAACACTGACGATTATTATTTACTTTCAACGCAGTCGCCGTAATCTTTTTGGTCTTGAACAATGGCCTTCGAGGTTGCTGGAGGTCCCCTCGTCTTATCTCTCTGTGCTGCGGCGAGCAGATCGCATTTTGCGCTTTTTTTTTTTTCAACAGCTCTGCGTCGTTTTGGTCTGCCTACGTCAGAGTCAGGAATCAATTTTATTCGATTGTCTACGTATTGGCACCGTCGAAAAATCAAAAAGAAAAAAAAAAACTTTTTGCTTTAAGCTTCCGAAACTGTAAAGCTTGTTCCGCGGGATGCAAACAATATAAAGCCTTGATCAGCAGCCAAGGCTTGTACTGATGCAATCCGCAGCGCCGACTAGCACCTACCCATGAACAAACTCAGGAGTTCCTGTGATCTTCATTCTGCTTGAAAAGGTTCTGGCTTGTCAGCGTATCTGTTTTGTGGAACTCTTGTCCTCTTCCATTGTTCGCAAGGTCTGGCTAAGCTGGATTGATCGACGAAAAGTCCGTAATTGTGAAGGACGATTATGGTCCTCGGAGGCTTGTTTAACCGCGCTGGCCAAAAACGGAGAACGGCCGGAGAACGGCCGGAGAACGGCCGGAGAACGGCCGGAATGAAAACAATTGCAGGTCTACTAGGATCGGCTAGTGGTGGCTATTTTCAGCCCGCACGGCTCACCTCCAGCTATTGTGGAACATTCCAGGGAGCTACCATAAGCAGGGCTTTTCTGAAGTGATTGCTGGACAATTCCTTTTGGAATATCAACACCTAGGCTTATAGCCGTTTGGGTTGCTGCTTTTGGAGTGACAGGCTTCTCTGGCCATTCAAGCCTCGCATTGGCCGTTACAATAGCTGCAACCCAGCACCCTGTAGATTATGGAGAAGGAGAGAATTACCCCAATATTCATCTTCGTTTTGTCTACGATTTGCAAAGAATGCTAATAAGAGTGACAGTGGTCGTGGTGAGTAGACAGAGGAAATGTAGGCTCGCGATAGCACTCTATTGGCCAGCCACCTGGAGGTACAAAATGGTGACTGGAATGTACTTTCAAAAAAAAGCTAAATTTAAGAGCTTTGAGTTTCCCGGTTTATGCGGATACCATCAACATGTCAGGCGCTTGTGAAGAAAATCACCCCACCATTTAAATTACTCCCAAAGGCCTCAGTCATAATGTGTCAATTCGCAGCAAAAGCATGCAAGCGAACCTGGAATCGATGTCGACGCACGTGACAAGACGACACCCCGCCAGTGATAAGGCCACGAAATGTCCTAAACATCAAGAAAATAATTTCAACTCTTTTGCCCAGTCAACTCTTCCGGCCAAACTGCTCAAGAAAAAATCAAAAACTAAAAAATCCCATCGCTGACATGCCCCTCGATCGTGGGGTAGATGGACCCCCAACCAATGGCCGCGGCTGCAAATCGCTTTACTGATTATTGGCGGTCACGTGAGATCACTCAATACGCTTTTTTTGCAACTGCTGCCCCATGTGCACCACCCATTTGAAGCCTTATATCTCTAGTGCACCCACAATAGTAGCTTTTCCATCTTTTGGCGAACTCATCAAGAATCATGAGTACGCAAACTGAGGCGATTGCCGCTGTGGTGGAGGTGACCAAGTCGGTCAACTTCCTGTCCCAGCAGGCCAAAGCCATTCCTTCCCCATATGCTGCCTTATTGGAAACTCACCAGCTTTTAGCTGGAAATGAGCCATTATTTCATGTTTCTGCTTTCCTTCAGCAACGTGCCGAACAGGAGGCTGCTGAGGAGAGAGAGGGCGAGGCTCCTGCTAAGCAGGCTGTTTCTGTCACTACAGACTCACAGACGCTTTTCCAGAACCTACCTCACTTATCCAACTCAGTGTACAAGTCCAACCCTACGGTTATTCACGTTGAAATCAACGACGCCGACTTTGGCATTGCTGCTGCCTTGACGGACTTGTCGTACCCTGTGTTTGTGTCCCACGGTGTTGCTCATGCTCATAATGTTGCACAGGCTGCCTATGCTGCCGCTTTTGCTGAGCAGAAGTTGGTTTTCCACTTGTATGTGCCTTCCACCGCTACCGAGAAGCTCAAGGGTAAGACCGAGATCGCCACCAACTTGTCCTCGGTTGCTGAGGCTGCCTCCTTCTACGAGGTTTCTCCATTCACCACCTTGAACAAGCTGTCGAAGGCCAAGGACGCCATCGTTGTTTTGGGCCTGCCTTCTGAAGAGTTCGTTGCTGCTGCTTCCAAGCAACAGGCTCTCATATACCGTGTGGACGTTTACCAGCCATTTGACTTGAAGGCGCTTCTTTCTTCCATCCCAGCTGGCGTTGAGACCCTTACATTGGTGGAACAGACCAACAGATCTGCTTCTTTCTCCGCCTTGCTTTTAGACTTCTTTAAAAACTATTCTGCCTTGCAGTCTTTGAAAAACTTCACCAAGGTTGTCGGTGCCAAGCTTGGCCAGTACACTGACGCTACCAAGATTGTCGGTGAGCTTTTGGACAACAGCAGATCTGAAGCTCCAAAGCAAAACGTTCTCTTCGGTTCTGTCTCATCCACCGAGGAGGTCTCTCCTCAGCTGGAGGAGGGTGCCAAGAAGGTCTACGCTTTGGAACAGGCCTACCTCAAGGTCTTGTCTCAAGTCAACGACAAGTCTCACATTTGGAACGATTTTTCCGCTCCATCTGTCGGTGGCTCCTCCAACCCAGAGTTCGGTTTTGGCTCTTTCTTGCATTACGAAGAGCAGCAAACTGCATTGATCAACATTGTCTCTACAGCCATTAAGAAGAACAGCTTCGCCTCTTTGGACAACGAGAAGCTTATCGAGCTTTTAACACTGTGGTTGGTGCTCGTCAAGTCTGGCAAGCCATTCGAGAGCACTCAGGAAGTTGTCAAGCTCTTGAACACCGATTCCTCCGGCGCTTCTCAGCAAATCCTCAACCTCAAGGACTTCTTCGAGGTTAGACCAAACTGGTTGGTTGGTTCCGATGCTTGGTCGTACGACTTGGGCTCTTCCGGTGTCCACAGCGTCATTGCTTCCGGTAAGAACGTCAACATGTTGGTGATTGACTCTGAGCCATACTCCAACAAGAAGTTGGATCTCGTGCGCAAGAAGGACATTGGTTTGTACGCCATGAACTACGGTAACACCTATGTTGCATCCATCGCTATTTATTCTTCCTACACCCAGGTGTTGCAAGCTTTCATTGAGGCCGAGAAGTTCGACGGTCCTTCTGTTGTCTTGGCTTACTTGCCTTACGAGTCTGAGAACAGTGACATCTTGAGCATTCTCAAGGAAACCAAGCTTGCTGTTGACGCTGGCTACTGGCCCTTGTACAGATACGATCCTTCTATCGAGAAGGATGACGACAGATTCAAGCTCGACTCTTCTTCTTTGAGAAAGCAGTTGAGAGACTTCTTGGACAGAGAGAACAAGTTGACTCTTTTGGCCAAGAAGAACCCAGAGCTCCTGAGAAACTTGACTGCCTCCGCTAACAGCGAGGCCAAGAGACAACAAACTCGCGTCGAAGACGAGTCTTTCAAGCAGTTGTTGCAGGGTTTGTCTGGTCCTCCATTGACTGTCGCTTTCGCTTCTGATGGTGGTAACGCCGAGGCCGTTTCCAAGAAGATCAACAGACAGGCTTTGGCCAGAGGCTTGAAGTCTACTGTCTTGTCTATGGATGATGTCTCTGTTGAGGACTTGGGTCTTGAGACCAACATTATTTTCGTCACATCCACTGCTGGTCAGGGTGAGTTCCCCAACAACGGTAAAGCCTTCTGGGATGGCTTGAAACAGGCACAGGACTTGGACTTGACTTCCGTCAAGTTCTCTGTGTTCGGTTTGGGTGACTCGAAGTACTGGCCAAGAAAGGAAGACAAGCACTACTACAACAAGCCAGGTCAGGACTTGTACCTGAAGTTGAAGCTTTACGGTGCCGAGGAGCTCGCTGAATTGGGTCTTGGTGATGACCAGGACCCTGATGGATTCAACACTGGTTACGAGGAGTGGTTGCCAAAGATCTGGAAGGCCTTGGGTGTTGATGGCGTTGAAGGTGTTGAAGAACCCAAGCCATTGACAAACGAGGACATGAAGATTGGCTCCGACTACTTGAGAGGTACCATCGCCGAGGGTCTTCGTGACGAAAGCACCGGTGCCATTTGTGCTGTCGACCAGCAGTTGACCAAGTTCCACGGTATTTACATGCAAGATGACCGTGATATCAGAGACGAAAGAAAGCTGCAGGGCTTGGAGCCAGCTTACTCCTTCATGGTTCGTCTTAGGTTGCCAGGTGGAGCTGCTGATCCTTCTCAGTACTTGAAGTTGGACGAGCTTGCTGACGAAAGAGGTAACGGTACCTTGAAGATCACCACCAGAGCTACTTTCCAGTTGCACGGTGTTGTCAAGCATGACTTGAAGCCTGCTATCAGAGGTATGAACTCTGCTCTCTTGGATACTTTGGCTGCTTGTGGTGACGTTAACAGAAACGTCATGGTGTCTGCTCTTCCAGGCAATGCCAAGGTCCACAGACAGGTTGCTCAGGCTGGTTCCGAGATTTCTGAGCATTTGTTGCCTTCCACTACTGCTTACCACGAGATCTGGTTGGAAGGTCCTGATGACGGCGACAAGCCAGGTTACCAGGAGGCTTGGGAGAACAAGAAGGGTGGTCCAAAGTTGAAGAAGACTATGGTTGCTGGTAACGCTTTGGTCGACCACGAGCCACTTTACGGACCAACCTACTTGCCTAGAAAGTTTAAGATTGTTATCACTGTTCCACCTTACAACGATGTTGATGTCTATGCTCACGATATTGGTTTGATTGCCATTGTTGAGAACGACGAGGTTATCGGTTTCAACCTTCTCGCTGGTGGTGGTATGGGTTCTACTCACAACAACGTCAAGACCTACCCAAGAACTGGTTCTTTGTTCGGTTTCGTTCCAAGAGACAAGATCAACCAGGCCTGTGAGAAGGTTATGTTGGTACAGAGAGATTTTGGTGACAGAACCAACAGAAAGCATGCCAGATTGAAGTACACCATTGACGACATGGGTGTTGAGGAGTTCAAGGCCAAGGTTGAGGAGTACTGGGGTGAGAAGTTTGAGGAAGCCAAGCCTTTTGAGATCAAGAGCAACATCGACTACTTCGGCTGGGTCAAGGACGAAGAGGGCTACAACCATTTCACCGCTTTCGTTGAGAACGGTAGAATCGAGGATACCCAGAGTTGCCTCAGAAGACTGGTTTGAAGACCATTGCCAAGTGGTTGCTCGACAACAAGAAGTCCGGTGAATTCAGATTGACTGGTAACCAGCATATCGTTCTTTCGAGAATTGCCGATGAGGACTTGCCCAAGATCAAGGAGTTGCTTGCCAAGTACAGCTTGGACAACACTGATTTCTCTGGTTTGAGATTGTCCTCCTCTTCATGTGTGGCTTTGCCAACCTGTGGTTTGGCAATGGCTGAGTCTGAACGTTACTTGCCAGAGCTCATTGGCAAATTGGAGACTGCTCTTGAGGACTATGGTTTGAGACATGACTCTGTCGTCATGAGAATGACTGGTTGTCCTAACGGATGTGCCAGACCTTGGTTGGCTGAGGTTGCCCTTGTGGGTAAGGCCATGGGTGCCTACAACTTGATGTTGGGAGGTGGCCACCACGGCCAGAGATTGAACAAGATCTACAGATACTCCATCAAGGAGGACGAGATCATGGACATTTTGTTGCCATTGTTCAAGAAGTGGTCTTTGGAGAGACTCGACAACGAGCCATTTGGTGACTACTGTATTAGAACGGGTGTTATTGCGGAGACTACCGAGGGTAAGTACTTCCACGAGAACATCCCTGAAGAAGCCTAAGCTTCATCGGTGCTCGCACCATACTTATAGCAGCATATTTATTAATCAACATATTCGGTTTCACATTCACGTAGTATTCTGTTCGGACTTGAGCTTTGGTATCGTTGGGGTTTCGTGACGCTCCATTTCAAGCACGTCGGCGATTTTTAGGGGTTGAGCTGTCATGCTAACTTTTCGTAGTCTTCGGAGGACTGACTTTTCACAGCTTTTGCTGACTTTATCTACCTCTTTGTTGAGATAGTCTATGTGATTTGTCTTAATAGCCTTCAAGCTTCGTAGTAGCTCCGCTTTCTCGGCTTTGTTGAGTTCCAAAGGCATGTAAAAAAGGTGTGGTATTGTTATCTTCAGATCATACGCGGTGATATCAACAGTTCACTGCACCACGGTATGCCTTGCCATATGACGACTTTTCATGACATGAAACATTAACAGAAACAAATGATAATGAGTAGAGTGAAGAGATATGAGTATATAAGCGAAATGTTCGAACTTTATTTGAAAGTCGTGCCATAGGGTATACACTGATTTGTGGTTTTCGCAGCCAATTGTTTGTCTGACACTCTTAGTGCCCAAAACCATAAAAGCGGCACTTACAATTGAACAAGTTTTTTTACTTTAATTGGTAGCCAGCAACATTCAATTGATATAGTCACTTAAATTTTTCACTGAAATTATGCTTCAGTCTATCCCGGATCACTTCTTTGTTACATTCAAGACCTTGCAACACTACCAAAGTTTAGAACGAAAATTGACGCCATTCATTATTCTGGATGATAGCCACCTAACCAAACATCAAAAAATTTTCCAATTATCCTCCACCATAATTGAAAATGTGGTACATCAGTTGAATACCACCTCCACTTCTTGACCCTCGCACGACTGTTGCCATCCATACTCAAGATCTCATACGTCTCTATCCACACCAATCAACCTAACAAAACACACACACATCAGTCCATAATGGTTCTCGAGGCCACAATGATCGCAATCGATAACTCCGAGTACATGCGTAACGGAGATTATCTCACAACTCGTTACGATGCTCAACTTACCGCCACAGAGTTCATCTTCCAGAACAAGCTCAATTCCAATCCGGAGAACACTGTGGGATTGCTCTCATACGGAGGCTCAGGTCCACAGGTATTGTCTACGCTAACTACAGATTTCGGTAAGATCTTGTCTGGAGCTCATGGTACTAAGATTGACGGAGAGAACCACTTCTCCAGCGGCATCCAGGTGGCTGCCTTAGCATTGAAGCATAGACAAAATAAGGTTCAGAGTCAACGAATCATTGTGTTCGTTGGCAGTCCTCTCAAAGAAACAGAGAAAGAGTTGGAGAAGTTAGCGAAGAAGATGAAGAAGAACAACGTTGCGATTGACGTGATCAATTTCGGTGAGGAAGCCATCAACACAGCAAAATTGGAACGTTTCCATGCTGCAGTTAACAATCATGATAACTCTCACTTGGTCACCGTGCCTGCGGGCTCCCGTCTCTTGTACGAGGTGATCGCATCCTCTCCAATTTTGGTGGAGGACGGCTTCGACATGGAAGGCGCATCCGGTGGCGAATTCTTTGGTGGTATGGACCCTAACATGGATCCTGACTTGGCATTGGCATTGCGTCTTTCGTTGGAAGAGGAGAAGCTGAGACAGGAGCGTGAGGCAGCAGAGAAGAACAAGCAGCTGAGTAACTTAGACATGATAGACGAAGACGCCGAGTTTGAAAAGAAAGACGATAAGAAAGGTGATGATAAGACTAGTGAAAACTAAGAAGCTGATGTCACACCCGCATTTGTTGGCTGTAAGGGTAATAATAGCTCTCGCAGGCACTGAGAGCTGTAAAAACCTGACGTGTCTACTTCAGCAATCGTACTTGACGTGTTTTGCTGACGGTTCTAGAGGAACGTGGCACACGAGGCATTATTAGATGCATTTACGGTTTCCCTATCGAGGTGTTGTCATGAGACCTTCCTCGTGCACTTGCGTTTTTGGTATTCTTGAGTCATAGCATAAACACGAAATGATGAGCACAAGAAGCTGTGGTCACTGTGTGGGTGGTTTTGTCTGGAATTGTCTCATTGTGCTCGAGGTATATAATCGCGGTCGACGGTTTACTCTTTCATCCTTTTTGTGAACCAGACCGAACAACAAATATAAATCATACTGCTAAGTAAGGAATACCGGTACCTTTGTCAACTGTCAAGCCCTCAAAAAGTAGGAGAAGGGAGAATCGAGAGGAGAGAAAGTCTGCAAATAATGATCAACAGTTGTTGATAGCACCTTATGAAGTGGCCTCCACGAAGCCAATCGACCTCACTGTGTCACAATTCTTGGACATGTACTCCAAGGTATGTATTGTTTGAAAATCATTTTAATCTATCTAACTGTTAGGGTAAGTGGAATTTGTCCAAGGTGCCATGTCCGCCATGTTTCAAGAACAAAGGGTTGATGGCAGCGCCAGAATGCTACTCTGAGAGAAACAGAACAGCTGAAGTCCAGTCATATCTTAGCCTCAAGCATTGGGATGACCATGATCTTTTCAAGCCCATATCATCAAGGCTCAGAAAGAAGCATCAAATGACTGGATTCACAATCTCGTTGATCCACAAGTCCAAGGTTTTATTCAAACATGAGACAAGGATGAATTATCGAGAAATGCCACGGAATGTATCATTGGATTCCCATAGTCTTCTTTCCAAAGACTATTTCTACTTGTTAGACGCTAGCAAGGACTGGAGAACTGCAAACAGTCCTCTAGTGGTGGGCAGGCCCAATATTCGGTTGTATTGTGGTGTCAGAATCATGAGCTCCAAGAACGAGCCTCTTGGAGTTATATCTGTGTTCGACATTAATGCTAGGAAACAATTCCTGGAGGACATGATTCGTGATCTTCATACTGCTGCCCGTGAAGTGATGAAGATTTTGAACACGCCGTACGATGATATCCTTGAGGAAAGGAAGCAGTCAATAGATTCAATCGCACCTCAAAAAGCAGCCAGCGATGTCGAAGAGGAGTTGAAGCAGCTCTCGATCAAGTTGGGTAGGGCCACGAGTACAAATTGTGCAATGTCCGTATTTGAAAGAGATGGCTCTGGAGCTCCATACTCGCAAAACCACCATTTTGCTCTGACCCTTGGCGACGACAACGAGGACATCATGCGGAGTTGTCTTGACAAAAAGCAGAGAAGAAGCTTGACTAGGATGCTCTACCGAGTGGGGTCTTTGACACTGGCCGCAGATATGCTTTGCGAGTCTTTGGCTGCCAATCTTAAGGCTGAATTTGTATTCATTGTGGAGATTAGATCAGCGGAATTGTACTCGGTATCTAGCGAGTACTTCCCAAGGGCCACACCAAGATTGACGCCGAGCTGTTCAAGTATGCTAACAAGCTTGTCAAGAGCAAGCGTATGATGGAGGAGACTGACCGAGTGCTGACAAGAGTTTTGGGAACATTCGGCAACGGCTACCTGACTAGTAAGTCCGATCATGACCTTTTCATCAAGGCATTTTCCAGTGATTTTGGTGTCCATTATCTCAATCCACGCCGCTCTACCAGATTTAATAGTGGCTGCGTGCTACCATTTTATCGGTACAATTCGAAGTTAGTGAAGAAGTCAAGCAAGAAGCCTGACTCACAGACAGTTGATTTGTACTTGCGGGCAGGAGGTTATTTGGTCGGCGTTATGAGCGAGTCGAGTGAGAAGGGACAAATGCTGCAGGCCACTGTCTCCAAAATCTTTGACCACGCCAGCGTTCTCCGAAAGTTGTATATCACTTGATAGGCTTCACATACCCATTTCACGCATAGCAGCAAGCTCTGCCTCGTAGTCATCTTCCATTTCCTCGTCGGGCGCAAATTCGTCGTCAAACAGATCTTTGGCCACCGAATCTTGGACTGGATTGGAGGGTCTCTCTGCGTCAAGGTCCTTATCGTTGTCACCAACAAAAAGCCCATTGGAATCTGAGTTATTGACGTTCATGAAGCCCCAGTCTCCATCATCTTCTTCCAAGTCCAGGTTGTTGTTTTCCGTGGGTGCTGGTGGCTCTGGTCCAGTGTATAAATCATCGTTGTCAAGCTCAGTAGGTGGCTCTGGCTCATCTTCCCCTTCGACGATAATGCCTTTCTCAATCTTGAGCTTGCGAAGCTCATTATCTAGTAGACTTCTTCTGTACTCCTTGATTCTGGCGGACTTGTATGCTCTTATCATACGAATGCAGTCATTGAAGTTGGCTCTGGGAAGAAACCATGGGCCCAGAACTGGTAAAACTGGATGACTGTACCAAGGTTCTCGCATTCAGCTTCAACTTTGGCTCTCTTCGCAGCCAGCTTGGATTTTTCAGTCTTGAGTTTCTCTTGAAGCTTCTTGTCGTTTCGTTTGATCGTGCGGGAGAGCTTCTTGTAGTTCTTGGTTATCATCGGAAGACCTCTGGTTGGATTGAACATGAGTTCATCTGTGATTTTTGGGATTTTGGACACCCTGCCCAATTTCATGGGCTTGTCGAGCCCAATGAGTCCTCTTGTGCTTCCATGAGAAGAGTAGTAGAAACGCGTAAACAGAGCGCGATCACCAGTAGTATCTAGTACACGCCATACGGACCCCCACAAAAACTTCCTATTGCAAAATGATACTACACTATCCATTTTTCTTATAAGAATAAAAAGAATAAGGCGATGATATAATCGAGCCAAATCGCTTATTGTTCATGGCTGGTATTGTAGAAAATGCCTCTAGCAATGGCTGCAAAATGTGAGGCTGAATCAGTTTCAAACAGAGGTACATCCAGCTATATTGGCTAACACATACTTCGAATCACTTCTGCGTGTTCGATCATAAGCTTTTTTCTAAGAACGACGTGGCTAAATATAGACATCACAGATCAAGGTGTACCAAGGGAACACCGTTGGCATGGCAACCAAAGAGCTCGTTTGACCATTGAACCCTAGCTATATACATCTCCTCGTTAATTCCTCACAGGATGAGTACCTAGAAGGTCTACCGCTGGGCCTTTCTGCAACAATCAATAATCTGCCAACATGCTCCATTTATCCGCCATTCTCCACCGGAACCAGGTAAATCCGTAGCCGAAACTAAAAATTCAAGCCTCTTTTCTCGGCACCAGATCGAGTAGAAGGTCCTTCCTAAGTAGTCTCGCTTTGAGACCATTTCGGAAAAATGCGAAAGAGCGCTGGCTTTGCAACCACTTTAGCGAGACAGGAAACGCATTCAAACGGCTCTAGACCATACCACGATGAAGCCGTGAAAATTAACGAAAAGTGCTTCGAAACTACACAGTTGTGATTGGTGAAAATGTAGCAGTATCAGCGTTTTTCAATTAAAAATTGTGTGCCATAGAAGTTGACTCGGCTCCTCGGCTGGGGAAGCCTCGGGACCGGCTCAGTAGAGTCCGGAGCAGCCGTATATATATTCCTGGTAAGCTTCCCAAAAATTATCCGGAGCTAGAACCGTTAGATCGCACCACATTCCGCTTTCTCCCGGCTGAAACAGCCGCCGAGCCGGCCACTAATAGTCTGAAACATGGCGTTGCTGAATCTGCACCAAAACGGGTGTTTCGCAGCCAAGGTTATACCACAATCGAAGCACAATATAATACAGTACAAATATAATACAGTACACGGCGCCGGTAGGCAACACGAAATTGATTGAGGGGCAAAAGAACGCCTTTTTAAAACACTGGGTCATCCGCTTGATACATCACTACATGCCCCAGTTAGCGTTTGGCCTAGTCATCTCCAGAGCTTGTTCTGCACAGTCGCACTTATATACCAAGCCAAGAGACCCCGTCTTTCGTTAGTACCACCTTTTCTTCATGCTCTCGCAGTTGGCGTGGCCTTTACTGGTGCTACACTTGTGGTTCCCACTCCTACTATCGGCAAAGGCGCTCAGCCGACCTGCCGAAAACATCCAGTTTTTGCTCCATTACTGGCTCTGGTACTTGGGGCTCACACACGTCCAGTTCTACCTCCAGCTTGCTCCGTTCCAGGGCTTGTTGACTTGGCCATTGCCGTTTTCAAGATATGGCTTTTCTACGGCCACGGTTGCATCTTACTATCGCGTTTCTACCTTCCAAAGGCGGCTTTTGCAACCACAAGTTGGTCCTCAGTGGTGGACATGGAGGCGGCATTTATAGACCCTACCGTCCTGGCTTTCGTGGTAAAGAACCCGTGTTCCAGAGTACCATGTCAGTGCTTGAGAGGAGCGGGATCGCCCGCTTTGCTCTGTCCTTGTTTGCATTCAACCACGAGCTTTGCCGCCTGGTCCTGTGGCCCAAGAGACCCCTGTGCCTCCACCTCGGTGTCGATTTCTTTTGCTACATGGACCTGCCACGCGAGCTAGCGCAGCGGTTACAGCTGCTAGAAAGGTTCATCTTTGGGATCCGTTCGGCAGTTTCTCCAGCCGTCTCACCTTCACAGAAAGTGTCTCGACTGACGTCCAAAGTCGACTACAACGACCGCAATGAGTTCTACTCTCCCAAGCGGGAGTTTTCTCCTCGAGAAGTACACTCTCCAAACCGCTTGCATACCCTTAGTCCCACATTCCCAGAGAATAACTCACCGCTAGTGAGGAAAACGAGACGGAAGCCCCCGGAGGAAAGAAGAGTCCGCAGTGCAAGCGTGGGCAGTATTGACGACCTGGCGTTGCCATACCCGCTTGAAACAGCTCCTGAACGGAGCGTCTCCGAGGTGATTTTCAACAAGCGATAGATGCCATCCCATATACCCGGCAGAACCGGCCATGACACCAGACCGAATTTCAAGCCAATTCGCCATTTGAGCTGATACGCCACATGGTTCTTGCCAGAATACATCCTTGACCCATAGTGTTATTTAGGTTGATTTATAGATATAGATTTCGCGTACAGACCTACACCTCTTTCGCAGCTATCGGATCTTCTTACTCCATGTCTCTCTGTGAGTACCTCCCAAGATTGGACTCGATCCTGGTAAAAATCCTGCTAGGTGATGATGTCGAGCCAACAATCACCGAAATTGCTTTCGTGAAAACCTCCCTTGTTGTGGTCACGAGAACAACGAAACACACAGTGAAGCTACCTGTGGAGAACAGGGATCATCTCAAGGATGCCAAAATCACCCAGATTCTAGCCAAGGGAAGCATCCTTCTGCTACGTGTATCGCTCAACAGATCACAGGATCCTGCTTCGTTCACGTCATTGTCGCTGTCGAAAACCCAAAAGTGGTCAGTCAGTGATCTCGTGAGAACCCCAAAGGACGCCAACAATATCAACACGTTTTTATTCCTTTGCGCCTACTGCAATGCCACAGTTGTCGATTCTCGTGACAACAAGTATGCTGATATGCCTCTGGAGTACTGGCATGAACTCATGGACTTTTGGCACTGCCATAAACCACACCAGAAGCATCATGAAAATCACCTGAAGAACTATGGAGCTATAGTGCCCAAGGACAACCACGTGTACATTGGTGCATCCTACCTATTTTTGAAGAGAAGCTCTAGTGGGTGTTTCAGCTGCAAGAGAAATCTTGGTGAATTGACCAATGATACCGCCAAGCTATATAAGTGGAACTTGAAGCTTCAGTATGGCGACATTACCGAGTCATTTCCGCCTTATGCCTACTCCTATTATGCAATTCTAGATAGGATCAACTCCGGAGCGCTTAGAAAACTACAAGTCCAATGCGATAACGGAGCAGTTCGCCTATGGATCCTTAGTGTTGGACTCTCAGTCAGCTACGACAGCTACGTTCTCGATAAGGCGCTCAAAATATTGTACACGGATAAAAAAGACCCAGAAACGGAGGTGCTTGACGTTCCGCTGGAAGTTTATGATAGTCTAATATTTGTTCTTAGGGAGTCTACGTCCTTGCTTCCCGAAAGTGAACAGACAGTGCAGATGGACGAAGCCTTCAAGGTGGGCTTTCTCGCTCCAGAGATGATACCTTCATGATCAGACTTTGTTCGATTCGAGGATCTCCTTCACGGCCGGCACAACTTGCTTCCTGGATGCCTTGATGTTGACCTGATTGAACACCTCGAAGTGACGTTGCTTATTGACATTATCGATCTCTTGGGTAACGGCATCGCCGCCATAGACATCGCCATTGAGCTCCAATGAGTCAGCGAACTTGGGTAAGCTCTGAAATTTACTCTGCTTGGTGCTAAAGGCGAACTCTCTGGTGTATTCGTCGTTCTCTTTCTTCGTGTACGACGTGGTAATGATAACAATGTCAAGCCCAAATTTACTCTCAATGTCATCCAATGTTTTGACAATTTCATCGGCTGTGTATTTGGTGGTGATCCACTTGATCGATTTGGCCAAGGAGCTGAAGCCCACATTGACAGATTCGCCGTGATTAGTGAAAGTAAACTGCTTATAATCCTTACGCAAAATGTCATAGAAGGAGTACCCATCCAAATCCTTCTTGGCTTTCTTGAGCTGCTTAAACAACGCGTCAATTGGAGAGTTAGCAGCATCAAAGGCCTGAATATCACCCAGAAGCAGCTTCTTGTACGCCGCAAACGCCTTCTCATCGTCACCTTCTACTTTATGAGACATATTGGTGGTATCAATAAGGAGGGGACCCAAAAGGAGCCTGACAGCCTCGTTCAGAACCAGCTCTGGCTGCTTCTCAGACCAGTAGTTAAACACCATCAGCGAGCAAGACCCATTTGAGTGAATGATCCTGGGATCAGCCTGATGGAAGGCATCCTCATCAGCGTGGTGATCAATGATGGCCTTGACGTCAATTCGTCCGGCTTTGTATAAGTGTATCAATTCCTCACCCTGCAAGTTGCAGTGGTCCACAAGAATGAGGTCGACCTTCTTCGAATTACCATCCAGGTACGCCTTGAGGTCCTCTAAGAAATACAAATGCTTGTCTTCAATACCATGAGAGTTAAGCAAAAGCTCAATATCACGTCTTAGCCTCAATTCGTCACGGGGAATGTTGACAAGAGGCAAGTATGGCTGGTGATCGGGATATTGCTTGTTGTAGAAGAAAGCATATACAATGGCACTAACCACAGAATCCATATCAGCCAGCTGATTACCGGTTACAAACCGGAGGATTTGGGAACGGCCCGCCAAGGGCTTTATTTGCTCAAGAAATGCTTTGATGGACATGTGGGTTTTAATAGTACTGTATGTCTACATGCGAGCACTCGATGACTATATGATGATTGTACTGCGCAAAAAGCGCCTACTTAGCGTAGTGGAACTTGATATCGAGCCACTGTCTCTTCTTGACTTCCTCAGCGGCCATGGCAAAGTGACCGTAGGTCATGGCTCTCATGTACCAAAGGAACCAAGCGGTGCCGATAACCACGGTAACAGTGGCACCAATGAGTCTGACCTTGTCGATGGCTGCTGGAGGCATGCCCTTCTTGTTGTGGGCGGTCTTGTTGGTACACAAGAACTCAACAGCACCACCAGTAAACAAGGCCGCAATAAGGTGGGCAGGAAGGTAGTGGTGCAAGAACTTTTGTCTACCCATCAAGTAAAATGGGAAGTAGTGAGCAGCCCAACCAATGAAGAGGAAACCCAATGTGTTGTAGAGTCTTGATCTGGCCTGAGGCGTGATGATCTCGTGGGCTCTTCTTTGCGTAACAAGGTCAGCGAGAACAAAACCAACGTAGACAGCGAGGAATCCAACCTGAATCCAGAAACCAATAACGTTACCGATGAAAAAGATCTGTTTTCTGTTCTCATTGTCATTCCAGAAAGACACACCGGAAACAGCAAGTGGCCAAGCGTCTGGCTGCGAGGCGAATGGATGCTCAGACGACAACTTGTTGTTGTGAACGAACATCAAGCCTTGGAGCTCCCACCATTTCTTCAAGAATGGCATTGTCTTCACCTTCTTGGGAGTAAAGTGATTTCTTGGGTCTTCTTCCTTCAAGTTGACAATGGTGTCGAAAGTCCAGGTGTTGTCCTTATCCTGAACCTTCTTGTTACCACTCACTTCTTGGTGCTCAAGAGCCCAGTCAGGCAACACTTCGTCATCGTGAGTCCACATAGCGACCACGGTGTCGACGTGCACCACTCTCAATGGAGTAGCCTTGGTCTTAACGAGAGCTCTCTTGTTCTTGTTGTTAGCCTCGGCGTAACGCAAACGGAACAAAGTCTCGTTGTATCTTGACTCGGCCACTTCGTTGTGAACAACCACGAACTCTTCGTTCGTAGAAAGCAAGGGAGAAGCAACGTCGTGGGTCAACAAGAATCCACCAGTACCAACATGTCTGAATCTAACCACATCGTTGGTGTAGACAGCTTGGTTGTTACCGACCTCCTTTGTTGGGATAATTTCCCACTGGGAGTTGGCGTCCTTGATCTCCTGTCCTTCTTGGTCGTAAACACAGGTCACTTGCTGCAAGTTCGAGGAGATTCTACCGTTCTCGTATCTCAATGGGTATGTGAGGTTGTGAGAGTGCAAGAAAGCCTCAGTTTCCTTGTGCTGAACAGTAAGAATGTCATGGTAATGAACAGCCTTAGAGTATTTTGCCAATGGGGATTCCTCCAAAGTCTCTTGGAAGTCGGAAGACATGAAAGCGTCACCTGGACCAGACTTGGTCAAAATGGCAAAATGCAAGTAGAACCAGAACAAGTAGATGGTGAATGGCAACACGATCAAGGAGAAGAAGCGGGCAAGGAAATGCTGAGCAAATTCCTCGAGCGACAAACCCTTTTTGATGTCAAGGAGGATCCACAACTCATGGACCACAGCGATACCAATCGTGAAGTATGTGAAGACACCGACGTACTTGGTGGAAATAACACAGGATAAAGCCACACCGGTTGAGAGCAACCAGATCCACCACCATTTAGTGAATGGCTGGCGACGGTATGTGGAAAACTTACAGTAGGTGAACATAGTAAGTGCAACACTGAGAATCAAGGTAGCGTCCAAAAGGATCAATCTCGAGTCAATGATGTGAGCATTGTCGAACAAAACAAGTGCAGAAGACAAGATACATGCGGAAACGGTGAATCCAAGAGTCTTCATGGTCAAGAAGATGACAGGCACGACCAAAGTACCTTGGACGGCCAGGAGTGATCTGTAGGCCAAATAAGGCACATTGTTCTCAACGTAGTTGTCACCAATGTTCTCAAACTTGAAGGCGCCATCATAACCCACTAACCAGCCAGCAAATGCAATAAGGAGCTTGGCGAATGGTGGATGCAAATCGAAAAAGTATGTTCTCTCGAGGTAGTAGGAAGCGAATTTTCCAAAGTGCACCTCGTCAAAAACCACTTTGGCTGGATGACTAAGAAGTGTGAATCTAACGGCAGCAGCGGCAACCGTCAAGACAGCCATGGCAATCCAGTAAACATTGTCAGACTCCTTTCTGGTGCTGATCAAAGTCGTTTTCTCATCATTCTCAATGGAAGCGGCAACAGTCTCTGCCTGTGTAGGAGTGACAGAGCCAGTCTTCTTCCCTCTCTTTTTCAAATTCAGAGACATTGTTGGGAACAAGCTTCAAGAAGTGTCTTAGGCAGTGCTGTTGGAAATTTTTGGACAGGTGTGAGATTCACAATAAAGCCTTGTCACGTGTAAACCACTGCCGTGTTGATGGTCGCGACGTGGACGAGTAGGCGCTCCATGCCGTACATTTGCAGCCATTCTGATAAAGTTGAGTTTCAACACTGAACGTTTTTCATCCAACTACATACGCTTGGACCGTTTTTGGTATCCACCACGACCCTTGATAATCGGGATTGACAGTGTTGTTGGCAGTCGGTAAATTGCCTGGGGTCTGGTGCTAGGCTGTGCAAGTTGAGCCGACGCTGAGGACCTCATCAGGCTGCCTGAACTTGATCTTGTTTCGAAGAAATCTTGCATGTTTCTGCTAGTTCGCTGATCTGGTGTGTCATATTCGAAATTTCTGTTCTGTCTCGAGGGCACAGGAATATTTCTCGGTTTGACAGGGCTCGATTCAGACTCTTGCATATCTCTCCCTCCGGGGATCTTGATGGGTTTCGAGGTTGAAAGTTGCACAATCATGTTGTTCTTTTCTTCGATGGAGGTGGCGTACTTCATGATCGTTGTGTTGAGCTCTTGTATCCTCCTCTCGTAATGTCTCACTTGCTCACGTACGGCCCCGCCTAGATCAAGCTTCAAGCTTGCAACTTGTTTTTCGTATCCTCGAACGGTGAGATCTAATTTTTCCTCGAGGTCACGAACCTCTCGTTGGATTGTGTGATTTTGCGATCGAGCCATCTCCAATTCGGTGCGGAGATTCTGTAGCTCTTCCTCATGTTCCGTTATGAAAGGACTAGACGTTTCTGGGTATGTGTGAATTCTCTGGTAATTGGAGGCGATACAGACTTGTTGGCATCAGCGGTTTGTTTGATCTTGAGACCTCGTAATTCTGCTTCAATCAGCTCAACAGATTGTTTGTATGTATCGTAGTCGTTCTGCAACACCTCGTTCTCATCACGAGATTGCGTCAACGCAAGTGTAACGGCTTCCAAACTCTTCTGTAGCTCCACTACTCTCTCGGAAAGCTTGGCTGTCTCAGCTTGACTGTGCATGAGAGCCGCTTTACTGGATGCTTGTAGTTCTTCCAATGACGAACGCAAGTTTTCAGTATTTTTCGTCTTCAGCTGCTCAGAAGGGCTCGAGGTAATAGCTTCAGCCAACTTTCTCGACAATTCGCTCATCTGAGTCTTCAATTTGATGTAATTGAGCTTGTTTAAGTATTTCATGTAAATCGTGAATTCAAGTTCATTCTTGCAGAGCAACAACTCTCTTTGGTAAAACTCAAGAGCTCCACCTTTTGAGGAAGACACTTCTTCATTATTTTTGCCCTTAAGCTGTTCGTTTAGAAGGGCAGATGCACTTTTTGATGTTGCTTGAAAGTTTCCTGTGGCAACCTGAGGATTTTGGAGATCCTGCTGAACTGAGTTCCTTCTAGTCGTTGACATCTTGTAAAGCTTTTCATGCGCCGAAAAGAGATCCAGAACACCACTATCAGTTTCGGAAGCAGTGGAACTATCGTTCTGCGAGGGTTTTGGAGATGCAGTTCCTGGACCAGACTTTGACAAACCATAGTCCACATTCTTAAATTTGATGCGAGGTTCATTAGGGGACTTTTCGGAGAGGAGGCTGGAAGGAACAAGTGATGAGCGTCTGGGGGTTGACATATCTTCCAGAGCAACATCAACCGAACCCCGTTTCGAAGACTTATTGGAACCGACATTTGCACTCCAGTGAGATCCACTGCGCGTATCTTTGGAAAACTGTGGACCAAAGTTTGAAGATGCTGCAGGTGATATGATCAGCAATTCTTGCAACTTCTCATGAAAATACTTGGGCAAAACAAACCTGTCTGGAAGCCATAACATGTATGTTGGATTAAGACGGAGACTTCGGAGCATGATGTCATCTTCACTGATATCAACCCCTCGTTATCTTTCAAGATCCATTTGAGCGGTGAATCTAGCTCTTCCTCTGCGGAAACTTGCTGTAGAAAATTGGGATGTAGGCTCATCTGTTCACAGAACTCTCTGGTTCGGCTGCTGATGATTTGCAAGATATCCGGATAATCATGATATCGCTTTTCACTGAGAAATTTGGGCCGATAATCTGTCCAGAATTGAAATGGGCTTCGACCAAACCTCATGAAGTTCATCGGGAAAAAGGCGTACAACAAAGTGGTGAAGTACAGAAGGTTAAATTCGTCATTGTGGTAGAGATGCGAGCTCATAGCAACCGTTTCCAGGTCAGGCTCAGCTATGACCCACTCCTCTTTTTCAGTTGATGCTTTAGGCGTTACCTCTCTCGAGATTCCATGCTTAGTTGGGCCCAGCCACAACAAAAGGCGAGTGTAAATCACGAGAAGATCGGGTAGATGGGTAGCAATCTTATCACAAAGCTTACCCATCAACATTACCATCAATGAAAGTGCAGAAGCTATTATGGTTTCGCTTTGATCATTCAGTAAACAGACGAGAATGCTTTTGAACAAAGGCGTTTTGATTATCGTTTTTGCGTGGAAAGTATTAGAGGCAACAAACGACGTTATCAAGCTGAGTGTCTTGAGTCGATTGTCAACCAGATGAAAGTAGGTATTAAGTAAAGTGAAGTAGTCTTCTGAATATCGCTGGCCGTATTCTCGTAGGGTAATAGCACAATTGGTTTCCATGAACCTGACTTTCTCGATGTTTTCGTGGGTGTCTTCGTCCTTTGAACTGGCATCTTTATACTTCAATCCTATGAGGCCGTAAGCCTCTTGGTCAGTTCCTAAGTAGATCCGCAAAATATATCCCAGAACCATCCGAGCTATTGAGGCTCTTCGGTTTCTTAATTGAGGATCATCTGTGGGGTATGTTTCAGCCAGAACCAGTCTGACAAATTCCCTTGCTTTACTGACGAAAGATTTGTCGAATCCAGTGCTTTCAATTGCTGGTAGTAGGTAGGTTGAAAGCCATACTTTGATCTCATCGGCGCTAAGCACTGGCAGTAGTCGAGTCAAGATATCTAGAAACAAGACCTCTTTGGAAATCTCCAGAGACTCATCGATATATTTGCGGTGAATGGATCGTAGCTCGTTGTTAAGCTGCGATGAAAGTGATGAAAGCAGATTGTGCTTTTCCTTGTATGCATAAATGGAATCGTTCAAATCCTTGATATCCTGGGAGGGCGCTTTATCCCAATTCTTGTTATTTGGCCAATTCTCAAAAACTGAGGCGATGTTTCGTAGAAGTGACCTGGATGACCCTGACATGGGTAACAGGACATATAGTGCTATAGATAAATAAGCTTCTTCCTATAGATAGCCGGGGCCTGATAGGTGCACGGGTGTAATTGTGATATCAGAGATAATTAGGGGAAAGGTAAGAAAGTGAAAGAGGTTGAAGCTTTAGGACTTCTAAGTATTGAGATAAATTATGATGTCTCGTAATATGTTCGGTATTTCATCAAAAAAATGGAATGGCCTTATCATCCAGACCAAAGAACCCGTGCACCACGCATATCAACTAGATATCAGCCTTCTCGACACCTACAACCTACATAGAACATGGATATCTACACTCCAGAGTACGAATGTGAGGATCTAGATCAGCTTCTAAGATCAATCCTGGAGCATCTTGATCGCAATGATGTTTTTATACCTAGCTCACCTTCAAAAACTGAATTCATGACTTATGCATCAGCTTTACCTGATCTTATATATGGGGTACTCTCCCCAATTGCCAGGAAACCAATCAATTGTCACAGATACTTATGGGTCAAGACTCTAGAGTTTGTTGTTGTGAGAGCAGGAGCATTGGTCAAGCTATATCGTGATATTCTGTTCCACTCCAGACCCGATAATGATATCAACCATGTGGTTCATGAATTGAAGGCCATTCTTAATAACTTAAGCTCATTCTTAAAGTCTTTCTTAGGGCAAGCCGAATCAGAGTTTCTTGAGATTGGATCATCTCACGGTGATGCAATTAGACAGAGTTTTGTTGCACTACTACGCGAAACGCTTGAGATGATAGTCAATGGCAAAGACATAGCTTACGACGAGGAGTGTATGGCTTCATTGGCTAGTACAATCACGAATATGGCGTCGTTTGTCGATCAGAAGAAGTATAAAGATTTTGAGCAGAAGCTTATAAGCCAACACGATATATTGCCCTTGATCGTGGACTTCTGTCGAGCATCATACACTATTGGGGCACCAGAGAAAGTCGAACCACTATTCGTCGGTGTGAGACCAATAATTTCCGAAAGGTTTCCTTTTAATCTCACCACACATCTTGATACTGATTTACCCTTGCTCATGGACTTCTACAAGTATGCTGGATTCTGTTTGGTGACCTTAGCCGTGCTGGACCCCTCAGCCTCCCATATCAAGTCAGAGTACGCCGATCTAGCGAACAACTTTTTGGTCCCTCTCCTAACACTACCAAACCTATCGCTAAGTAACTATACCACCAATGAACTTGCTGGTAACCCAGGTGCGATTGCCTCGTCACTTCGCAGCGGACAGTACATTCTGGATAAGGAGAGGGAGGAAATCTCCTTTTTTTACGTCTTGAGCTATCTATTGCGGCTAAGGAGGTTATCCACATTAGTAGAACCCGTGCCTAGATTCAAAGCCGAAGTTCGGTACTTTGCCTCGTCCTTTGGCAGACGCATCTCGTCTGATCTAGATATACTGGCCTCGAGTCATCAATCGTATTCCAATTCGACAATTTCAATGCTAAGCTTGGAGCAACGAGCATCTACTGTAGCTCCTGCCGCCAATGCCAATACAATGAGCTCGATACTTTACGAGGGAACATACAAAGAGAAATTACATCTAGTGAAGATATTCTTTGAAACGCTTTCCTCCCTCGGATTTCCACACCTGCCGGCTCTTTCCAAATTGATCCAGGTATTCAATTTCAAGTCCGTTCCTGAAGGTTCTTTGTTGACAAGCTCGATGAGAAACCAAGATTTTCATCATTTATTGACCAATGTGGACATTGTGACATACCCTGGAAAAAAGCTATATGTTGAAGCGATAGAAAAGATTATAAGACTAGTGCAGATACTAACGCTCAAACATCTTCACACCACGCTTGGTCTTGATACCCAGCCAAATGAGTTATTGACGCATCTTTTCAAAACCACGTATACGTTTGAGCAGATTTCCGAAGTCCAAGATCATTTGAGAGTTGATGGCAGTGGCAAAGTTTTTCGCTCGAAGAATCTACAAAAAATGGAAGAATCTGAAATTGCATCTCAGTTCGATATGATATTAGCCACAAGAGATCTTGAGCAGGTTATGAGGTGAGCACCGCGTTTCAGGACGAACCGTAAATTAGCTTCCATGATCGATCGGTCCAATTTCTCGCCGATATGCGTCCTGGCGGTATATACCGCATCCGGCCTGTGACTGTTTCAATTTAGAAATACAAGTACTTCGTCTTATGCAACCAACCGGTTTTCCACGGCTGGACCCTGGAGAGGTGGTTCCTGCAGGTTTTCCTACTACAAGGGCCGAGGGCCGACCTCTGTTGAGCGAAAATACCGCACTCTCGGCCCGTATTAAAACTCTCAATCCTGCACAACTCACCATAACAGGGAACACTACTTTTTGCACGGCTGGACATCTAGCATTGTTTCACGTCGGGAACTCGATCAAGATGCCTTTTTCTGGGCTTGCTTCACCGAATGAAATGGGCACATAACAAAGCAAATTGTAGGGCTGCCTAATCTCATCTAGGTGATCGAATCCGGGCGTCTCGGTTGGCCTCCATTTTTTATGTGAGGCACTTCATGACATGCAGATCGGCCCTGCTGCCACCGACCCGCTGAGTCGCCAGATTTGCAGCCGAGTTTCTGAACGGAGGGCAGTAATATTTAAGAATAACCTTTCTGCCTTAAAAAGATTTGTTATTTAATTTTCTATTAACGGTTGCATTATCGCATTATCATAAATGAGTCAAACGTCAGAAGATACTTACTCGAGAAATGAAGATGATCTCAAAGTCTACACACCTGAAGATGTTACCTCTAGGGAGGAAGATGTGATCAGAAGAATAGAAACCAACACTGGTGTGCAGCTGCTTGTTCACTCTGTTGGTAGTGGTATTGTTGAGTTAGGTCCTTTGGAAGAGCCCTATGATGTTCAGAGAGTCGAGACGCACCCGGATCCTAACACTACATACCACGAAGCTGATGAATGGAAGTACCCAATTGACAAAGAAACACAAATGAGAATTGTTCATTGGGTTGAAGGTGACAAACAAAATCCTAAGAATTTTGGTTCAGCAAGAAAATGGGTCATCACTTTGGTTTTGGGATTTATCTGTTTTATTGTTGCATTCGGCTCTGCAGTTGTCACTGGTGATATGGCGGGCCCATCGAAATACTTTGGTGTTTCAGAGGAGGTTTACATTTTGGCTGCTGTGACTGTTTTCGTCCTTGGTTTTGGATTTGGCCCACTTGTATTCGCTCCATTCTCCGAAGAATTGGGAAGACAACCTGTTTACCTTGTCACTTTGGGTGTTGCTCTTGTTTTCATCATTCCTTGTGCCGTCGCCAAGAACATCGGAACCATGATTGTTTGTCGTTTGATTGACGGTATTGCATTCTCTGCCCCAATGTGTCTTATTGGTGGCTCTTTGGCTGATATCTGGGACTCCCGTGAAAGAGGTAAAGCGATGGCAGTCTTCTCTGCCGCTCCATTCTTGGGTCCTGCCGTCGGTCCAGTATTCGGTGGCCTTATTGGTGATTACGGTTCCACATGGAGATGGATCTACTGGACTTTCTTGATCTGTGGTGGCTTTGGCTACATCATCTTGGCCATTTTTGTCCCAGAGACTCACCACCAGACTCTCCTCAGAAGAAGAGCTAAGAAGCTCAGAAAGTTAACTGGTGACGATTCTTACAGAGCTTTAAGTGAGCTCAAGATCAGAACCGTCAAGGAGAAGGTGAATGACTCTTTGCTCAGACCTTTCATTTTGCTTACCGAGCTTATTGTCTTCCTTGTCACCATGTACATGGCTGTCATCTACGGTTTGCTTTACATGTTCTTCTTTGCTTACCCTGTTGTCTACATGGAGGGTAAGGGTTGGTCTGCTTCCATGACTGGTGTGATGTTCCTTCCTATCGCTGGTGGCTGTGTCGTTGCTACCCTTTTTGCACCACTCATCAACAAGGACTACATCAGAAAAGCCCAGCCTTATGTTGACAGAGGAGAGCTTCCTCCTCCAGAGTTGAGATTGAGACCTATGCTCGTAGCTTGTTGGTTTGTTCCAGCGGGTTTATTCGCATTCGCATGGTCTTCCTACCCACACATCTCATGGGCTGGTCCTGCTTTCAGTGGTTTCGGATGTGGCATTGGTTTCTTGTCCTTGTACAACCCTGCTAACAATTATATCGTCGACTCATACCAGCATTACGCTGCCAGCGCATTGGCCGCCAAAACTTTCGTGAGATCCATTTGGGGTGCCTGCGTTCCTCTTTTTACAATGCAGATGTACCATAGATTGGGAGACCAGTGGGCCACGTCTTTGATGGCCTTCATTGCTTTGGCTTGTTGTCTCATTCCATACGCATTCTACATCTGGGGCGCCAAAGTCAGAGAGTTCTCCAGATACGCTTACACTGATCAGAAGTAAGCTCATATTTATCATTCAATACTTAAAGAAAAATGAAAAAGTATAATTGCGTGTAGTACCTATAAGCGGCTGACTGCTTGGAACAATGAGATCTCGGGAGTTGCGCCATTGTCTTCAAGCCAAGGCCTCTCCACATCAGTAGCATGGACCAAATTCTTGATCAATTGATACTTGTTATCTTCTGCGATCAATCCGAGGATCATACCACTCACATATATGGACCTTTCGACGCAACAAAGATTGCTTCTTACCAGTGATGCACTTGACATCAACATTTTTGGAGCCTACCCGGCTGATGTCTTCTCCGATCCCTCGACACAGGAGGCAAATAGTGGCTTATAGTAATCCATTAAGGCCCAAACGAGATATACTGTCTATCACAAGCTTCCAAAAGAGACAAGAAGTTCCACAAAGCACTACAGTTGAGATGCAAGACTATGATGCACATTTTGCAACTAGTACAGCTAGTGCAATTCCAGAGAATCTGCGTGACTCTAAGGTAGGGTCCAACATTGCCACACGAAGTGCTCAGTACTTTTTATTGTTCGTTGCCTTCGCCTTTCTAATATCAATGGGTGTGTTGAAATACAGAGCAGCGAATAGGTCCACTGAACCGGGAAAAACCGACCTCGAATTTATATTGATTCCTGCTGAGGAGTCAGATAGTAACGAGGAGGTTTATGTGGAAGATCGGCTTCTCAATGAGAGCGATTCGTCTATAGCGGATGATGATACATTTACGGTAAATTATCTGTCAGAAGCAGAAGATGAGGTTTCAGAAGATCGTGAAAATAGCGAGAATGAGGCATAATTGGGCAAAATATGCTAAAACATGTGTAGTCTAGCTTAGAAGTGTACTTGAGACGCTAGTTGCGTATATGCAGGATGTCTATCTAGAAGTATACTTAGCTTGCCTGCATTGAATTCTCACAGTTGGTTGCTTCACTAGCTCAGTAGGCAGAGCGTCAGTCTCATAATCTGAAGGTCGAGAGTTCGAACCTCCCGTGGAGCATCTACTTTTTTTGTCAATCCTTTTCACATCTTTAGTTATTTATTACAAGAAGGGACTCGGTCTACAAATTCGAAAGGAGACATCGTCTATTTCTTAGTCTTTTGCTTTTTGCTAGTGGTGTCAGCGTGATCTTCCGCTGGACGTTTAGCATTATCCTCTAAATCTTCAACACCCTCGCTCGGCTGTTGGTTGTCATTGGCGCTCTTGCTGTCACTGCCATTTCCTTCCGAGTCTTTCTCCACTTGTTCAGTCGTCTCCTCGTTCTGAGGTGTTGCGTTATCACCGCCAGCAGGACTATCTCTGTCTCCGTTTTCCGGCAACTCCTCCGTTGCCTCCAAAGCTTGATCTTCAATAACCTTTTGCTGCTTCTTACCCTCGTTATCAGAAGTATCGTCTTGGGTAGTTTGTGCCTGGAAAGATCTTTCAATCTCATCATCTACCGAGCTCTTCTTTATAATGCCGGCTCTGGGACCAGTACGTCCAGGCAGTGGCGCCGTGATGGTAGATGGCCTGGAAAACAAACTCTGTTCACCTGATGCTTGACTACCCTCGGCACCTTCCGGTGCTGGAGTGGCGTACCCTCCTTTGAGATCGCTGATCGTTGTGATTGTCGAAGAACTCATATCTCCCACTGAAGAAATGGTTGGTGGGGCTTGAGAAGTCACAGAACCTTTTTCCACATTATTCGAATTTTGTGAAGCCTGATTGTCTTGAGCAGCTTGTGAGTTTTGCGTGATTGGGCTAGCCTGTGTGGAATCCTGATCCAGTTGCAATTTTGGATCCGGGATTGTCGGAGCAGGCAACAAGGCTGGGGAACGATCTTCACCGATCTTGTTTAAAGTGGTGGGAGAGTTTTCAACTTCATGAGATTTCATCTTCTGTTTCCTTTCGCTGATGTAGTTTCTTATGAATTCATTGAATAAGTCAGGTTGATCCTTAAGTGCAGATTCAACATCTCGTTTCATAGTGTTAACAAGCCCAGTGATGTATGGGAAGAGATCTCTTCTAGCCAATCTCTTGACCTTGGTCGATTCTTTTGGTGTGGCGTTTGAATCTTTAGGCTTATCCTCCTTCTCACTCAACGCAAGCTTCTCGGTTAGGTCTTTGAACACCATCAAATATACCGAACACAACGTATCATCAATCAACGAAGTAGGACCGAAACCGTTGTTTAGTTTTCTCATGTCATTGATCACATGTAAGTAGCATATGTGCAGCTTCAAGCCGTCGGGAATACTTTTACCCTTCATCGCTTCGTTGAGCAGCTTTGCCTGGGTCACAAAACTCTGGTAGGGTTTCATAAAAAGAAACTTTTCTGTTGAGCCATCCTCAACCTTTGCAATAACTCTGATGAGCTTGCAAATGGAGGAACAGATATTTTCCCAAGCAAAGTAGAGCTTGATCATGGTCGAGTTTGCTCGTCTCAACTTCGGGAGCATGAGCACCAAAGATGCAAGGTCAAGCTCTCTGCGCAACAATTTGATGTAAAACTCGGTGTACTGATACATGTAAACAAAGTGTTTTCCAGGTCTTTCGTGTTCCGGTTTCCACATTTGTAGGTAAGTCTTGTTCGTCGCCTTCAAGGTAAAGAACCTTGACATGATTTTCCTGGCCTCTTTGAAATCATCGAACTCTTCATAGTATATCATGGCCATTCTGTAGCATTGCTTATGATACCAGCCTCTTTTGTCCAAGGAGTTGATGGTTTTGAAGCAGCCAATCAAAAGACGGTAGAGATCCTCAGGTTTCTCAAGCACAGTAGTAGACTTCACCTTCAAAAAGTGATCACGTTTCAAATAATCCAAAGCTTGTACCAAAGTAACTTTATCTGCCTTGAAAAATTTGTAGATCCAGGAACATAAGGCATACGATGGTTCTAAGAACGGGTCCGCTGCACTTCCTTGAGTCCATGCAATTCTGCTACTTTCCAGCATTGTGTCCAAAATCATAATTGGGGGTTTGGACAATTTACTTTGAAGCTTAGCCAAATAGTAGAATGAGCTCCATTCTTCGTCATTCGACCTGATCGCAAGGTGAAGACACTGCTGCATGAGCTTGAAGCAAAATGAGTTCGTGAGAGTTGCTTGGTCGGCAACCGGTTGCATCATTGTTGTATGACGCTTTCTCACAAACTTAGCATTATTTTGCGTCTTGAATGCTATCATATCCAATGGAGCTCGATTGGCGTTATAAAGCTCCTTGACGAACGAGTTCATGAGCACACTGATCACTGGCTTATACTGCTCAGAGTCAGTGAGACCTTTTTGAGTAAGGATATTAATCGCCATGATATAACTCAAGAGCGACTGTCTCTGAAGATTTGCAGTAATTACCTTTCTTTCAATGATGTTCAACTTATCCGAAGTCCAAATCAAGTCATCCTCCACAATGTAACCATAGGCTTGACCGAGAAGAATCCAAGACTCGACACGCTCACTACCACATATGAGATCATCCTTCAAGAGTCTGACAATTTTCTCGAGTTCGACTGTCCGGCTCTGTGCCGACTTTTTCCTTATCTTGTATGAGTTGAACATGAAAATTGCTTCCACAAAATACAACCCCATATTAGCAATGGTGTAATCTCGTACTGGATTTTCAAAATTCAAATCAACGAGACCGTAAAAGGCTCGCTTAATGAATCTCGAGTCTATGATTGTGTTTTGATAAAACATCTCAATCTTTGCATTGTTCTGAACAAGAGTTTTATCAGAATCGAGATCTAGCTCCTTCAAAACCTCGAAGATATCATCGGCAACTTGCTTCATATCATTTCTTGGAACTTTCAAAAGTGGGTTATGTCTGAAACATAATGGCAAAATAAACTTTGCGAGTTCGGTGGCACTTGCTTTTTCAAGAAGAGCATACCTTGTGGTCCCATGATCTGTGGGGAAAGTGTCCTTTATCTTGACCTTATAGTGGAATCTGCATGAGAGCAATTGTGAAAGTTCACGATCTGGTCTATCCTTGAGGACAACTAAAGTGTCTTCAGCAAGCTTGAGGAAGACTCCATTTGAGGAATCACAGAGACGTCTGATTCCCAATTGGTTGTGAACGAGGAGAAGAAGATCCACAAGAGCTTGCTCGTCGCAGTTCTCGCTCTTTAGTTGATTGATACCATAAACAAGGATAATCGTCACAGTCTCGATGCAAAAGTCTTTCAAACGCTGGAACGCTTTCTTGGATTTCAGCTCAACGGAGAACTTGGCGCCGGTAATAAGAGCAGCTTCTTCGTGCAAACTAAAGCAGTAGAAGAGCTCAAAGATTTGTGCGAGACTTTTGATAGTCTCCAATGAATTTTGAGTGTCATTGATAGGAAGACGCCAATCATTAACTGCCAAATGCTTGAGAAAGATGCGAAGATAACCACCAAAATAGTTGAGCGTGTTAAGTAAAATGGTGGAGCGATCGCCCTTGATTTCGCAATATTTACCCTTGAAATACGACAACATAAATTTGGCGTTTTGCTCAAAGCCTCTCTGAAAGCTGTCGAACAGTTTTGTGTCTTCGTAGTACAGGAAAAGAATGTTCCAAAGGCTCAACTTGAGGTCGATAGGACACACATCGAGGAACTCGCTGACACTTGAAAGGGATGACCTGTCTAAGTTTGCTCTGCCATGGATAACGGAGTTCACCAAACTGCCATCTGAGTCTCCTGATGTGCCATTGTTGGCGTCTCCTTTGTCGATAAGAATGTTTTCGAGTAGCACGATGGTTTCCTCGGCTCCACCAGTGGCTGATTTTTCACTCCAAAGAATTTTGGAGAATATAGATAAGATCGAGGACGTCGTGGAGCGTCTTTCGTAGCTTTCAGAATTAAGATCTCCAATAGATGTATAGTTTGGGTACGAAATGGATAAGTCAGGGAATTTCTTGAGAACTGGGTTGATGTGCTGAAGGTGAATGACCACAAACTTTTTCTCTTTCCAGGAGAAACTCTGAGATGCAAGTAAGTAATTCATCAGCCAGATATACCGGCAATATAGAACAGCATTTGCTTCCGATTCTGTCTCCCTTTGGTAGCCCTGAAGACGAGATGATTGAAGGATTTCACTCTGTGCTCGAAGGCGTTCTTCAAGATGCACTAAGTCCACAGATAGACCATTCAAATTCAGCTTTGCGGCCTTAGTCAAGCCTCCCTTGGTATCGCTCGCTAATACTTTGTCAATATGGCCCTTTACGAAAATGTATGCATCCACGAACATCTCAAATATGCTCAAGCAGACTCTAAGATCGTCTTCCGTCGAGTTGACGGAGGATAATTTTCGGAAGATTTCAGGTTCGAGCTGTATAACCCAGTCTTTCACATTATCGTATAGCGAAGATGACCATGAGTATGCAAGAATGCTTGGTTTCTCACCACCAAGTAGGTGGTAAAGAATATTTGTCCTTGCATGTTTCGGAACGACGTCATTTTCACTCTTCTGTAAGAAGTCTCTGATGTAATCGTAATCCTCAACATCATCTAGTAGCTCCGCAATTGTATCCGAGTTGGACGAGTTCAGATTACCGAAGTGGGTTAACACATCTAAAAGTTTGAGTTTATCAGCATCTGCCTCACTGTTGTTGACACCCGATTTCTTCGTTGAGAGAAGTAGCTCTGTGTGAATGTGGGGTTTCCACTCATTGAGTGTTTTCACGAAGTCGAGCACGAATGTCGGAGATGTTGATGTGAGATCAGCATCCACAATATGACAAACAACATCATGTAAAATATCATCGTCCGTGTGAAACGCCGATTGCAACAGTGAGTTGAGATGTTTGAAAAAGGCAACTGTCTCAAAATAGTGATGCCTTGTGAGTTGAACGTCATCTAGTTCGAACACGATGTTCTCTTCCTTGTTCAAACGTCTAGAAGAACGTTGGACGACTTTCTCAGGAGCATTTTCGGCCGTTGGCACTGGTGTCACTTCCTCTTCGACCTCCATAGGTTCCTCCTTAGGAGCCTCGTCTTCTTCCTTCACTTCTTCTATCTTGGGTTCAGGTGGGACCTCCGGAAGCGGGGTCGATTCTTTCTCCGGGACTGGAAACGAGTAGCTGGTAGAGTCCATCATCGACTCCGACGCCACATAGGGATCCACAAACTTGGACAGTGAGAATTTGAGGTAGTCCACTTGCTTATCCTTATCCTGGGCGTGCTTGATTGCCTGGTTGAAAGCCACTATCACATCCAGCCAAGAGGATTGTGGTTTGATAGTCACATTTAAGCTTTGTTTCTTTAAACGTTTCAGCACCAGTGATCTGAAGTCCTCGCGGATGGGAGCCAAGAATGACAACTTCTGTTCCAATTCTGGGGTAACTGACTCGTTGGAAAGACCACGTTTCTTGAATTCTTCCCAGACAGGTTTCACCCATTCGTTCATCGGAAGAACGCTGATGACGTCCTCACTTTCCTGGCCAAGCAGGAGTGTGTATTCTAGAGTGTACCTCGCTAGCTTCTTCAAGTCAAAGAACGTGAATAGATCGTACAAGAGCCGTAGAAGACTCTCGTCTACTTCCAGGTAGACAAAGCAATTGACAAAGTCGTCTATCATCAGGTAAAATAGTTCATTGGTGAGCTCCTTGTGTGTGATCTCTTGGGCATCTGGGAGCGATTGATCTTTTTGAAGCACCTCCTCGATCAACGAGTCGCCGCTTTGGAGAATATGAAAGTAAAGGAATCCCCTGTTTCTGAAGTATAGGTATCGTATGGTTTTGACGTTTTGAGACAAGTAGCTGAGCTCGTTTGGTCTGGTATTGAGACTGCCATTCTGCAAGCCCTTGACGAACTCTGTCTCTTCATAGTAATGATTGTAAATGACATCTTTCTTTTGAAGCTCCTTGTATTTGGCATATGCCTCGACGAATTGTTTCCTTTTCTGTAGCGTTATGGCTTCTTGAAATGTCTTGAACGCCGTTTCTATCTCAATCTCCCTCGTGTGGTTTTCCTCCAAGTCCTTCTTGGACGAGACGTCATCCACGAAGTTCAATGGGGAAAAAGCAGACTAATGTTAGTATGGGCATATATCGAATGATTCAAATTACCTTACCATTCTGGCTGGTTCGTAGTGTCCACTTGAGTCGCGCTGAGTGCACTAACGCCTTTTACTATGACTAGGCGAGCATTCTACTGCTATGTCTGAAAAATGTTATTTCGTTTCTCGTAATCTATAATTATCCTACACTTGCTTGTCGGGAGAATTCTCGGTGACTTCTTCAAAAGCGTCTTCGGAGTTCTCCGAACCAAAGCTCTCTTCTTTCTCGATGCACTTGTGGGCCTTTTCTTCCTTGATGATTTTCCGTCCCCCTGTTAGGTACCATCCAACTTGACTGAGGAAAATGCCGATTTCCATAGCCATGACGATAGCATATAACACCATCGACATGATGTCCATCGTGCCCACGACAATACTGATCAAGGAGAAGAGTGCACCAAAGGAGTCCATGGCAAGAAAGAAAAAGTTAATACCAACAACTCTACCCTTTCGTTTGGCAAGCTCGAAATACGGCGGCACCAAGCCCAACGCTAGAAGAACTGATGCAATTATGCCAATCACAAGCATTGGCCACTCTTTGCCACGACGGTAGAGTGGGCGTAGCCATAAAATGAGTCCCGTTTCTAAACCCACCGAAATGAGCACAAAGGCTCCAACAACAAAAAGCAGCTTTCTCCACGGGAGGGACACTGGTGGGTAATATAATGTCTGTGCCCAAGAGACAGTGCAACAGAATGTGAAAAGTTGTGGCTGAATCCGCAACGGTATCAGTCCATCGATGCCGAAAAAGTATATGCTAAAGGGCACGCCACTTGCAGCCCAAAGAAACATCATTAGGGGTGGGAGCCCTGTGCAATCTTTCTGGCGAAAGTTTCGAATAATTTGGGGTACTAGCTGAATACACCATAGAATTGTCCCTATCGTACCCAAAACGTTGACGGCCACTCCATCGCCCATTCTTCCGTTTTCTGTTTCGTCTGACTGACCCTTCTAGTGTGAATTTCAGTAAGACCCCTAGGAAGTATGGGTTCACGAGCACGTATACGGCGGATTCGGGTGATATTTGTATCGTGAGCGTGGAGAGAGATAACGGCTGGAGATTGCGCTTTTAGTGCCGCACATGCAGCACCATCTTGTGTAAAAACGCAAATCTATTTGGGGCATGCAACCTTGACAGCAGTGTCATAAAATCGTAAAATCTTGTCGAGACAGGGCACAGAATCCAAAATTTTATTCAGAATCACTGTATTCGAACCCCATTTCATCCTCCTCTTGCTGGATTTGTTCCTCTAGCTCCTCGTCCACGTCAGCTTCCTCGAATGAAGATGTTTTGTTATCAGTGCTCGATAGTCTGACAGCATTTAACGTCGTATTATCAGGATCAATTGCATTGCTCACTGCCCCCATGTCTGTCTCTAATTTTGGACTTCGTTCACCGAGGCTTTTACTATCATTAGTAGTGGTGCAGTTGATCGCTTCATTTTGCGCTTTGCTGCCGAGTGCCGTGTCTTCGTTTCCGTCATCACTAGGAGATTCAACATCTTTACTCTCCGGAATTACTGAGCTCGCTTCGAGACTCGAGACCGAGCTCGACCCTCTTTTTTGACACTGATATCATCCTCTTCTGAACTGTGGCTGTTGTCTTTCGTTGTAGCAGGAAAAAAGCCTCCATTCTCAAGAGGAGCACTGTGTGGACCTGCCTGTGAACCTGCCTGTGCACTTTCGAAACCCATGGAGTTTTCGGGTTCCTCAGGCATGAGAAATCCTCCTTCATCTTCACTCACCTCTTCCGCCTTCGGCTCCATTTTGACGCGATGCATTGTGGGTGGATCGTCCAACTCGGTGATAGTGGCGGATGGACTTTCCTCGTTTGGCAAGAAGCCTCCAAACTGATCATCCTCCATCTCGTCAATTGTAGCCTCCTCGCCCTCCTTTTTGTGATTCTTTCGCCTCGAGGTTGAGGTGCATTGTATTCATCACCTCCAGATTCGCTTTCACTTCCCACACTGTAGTAACCATCATCTTCGGAATTATCATCCTGATCAACCTCCCATGCTGCTTGTTGAGTCGATCCATGATCATCAACTTCTTGAGGAAGAAGCTCCAGCCTCTCAAGGCTGTGAGCTCGACCTTTCTTCTCTTTTCATCTTCCTCGAGATCAATTAAGCCCTCCAAAATAAGATCAATGGCCTCTTTGTACTGAGCATCCACTAAAACACCCCAACCCTTGCTGTAGGCGCCCTTTTGTTTTTTGAGTTTTTCTCTGTGAAATCAAAGGCAACAATTGCTCGTGCATGGTCGATCTTGAGAAATTCCCTCGCAGCCCTCTCAATCAACTTGATCGGGAGCCTCTCTGACACATGCACCAAATATCCGTTTTCAGGCATCATTGACGGAACAAAAATCTCGACATTGCCGTAAGCATTTTTCGGTATCTCACCATCAACAATTGGAGGGGCGTGATAAAGTTGTGTCTGGAACTCAGCATAAAGCCTGACGAGACCGTCCTCGTCTTCTTCCTCCATTTGAGCTAGTTGCTTTTCTTTAGTTTTGAGAGGTTGAGCTCCCATCTTGAGTACTCTTCCTCGGAGATACCAGGCTTTTGCAGTTCGAAGTCTAAAAACATGTGAGCGCTTGAAAATGGGTACCACGTTGTCTTTGTTCATTGGTCTGAACGTTCCACATTTACTGCTATCGTCGTTAGGGTAGATCACCTCATCCTTACGCAACTGTGATTCCAAAGCATAAAGAGGATGGTTCTTGAAATCTGTCATGTTGTTCGGAACACCTTCATACTGGTCTCTTAAAAGAAACTCATTCAGCTCTTTAATTTCTGGAAGTCCATAACTTTTGTGGCGGCGAACGGCTTTCACAACTTGTTCGAACCAGTGTTCATCCTTGTCAGAGAGATAGTCAATTCTCCTTTTCGCCGTCTTTGCATTGTAGTATTGCGTGTACCGCCTCGTCACATCTCTCACATCACCAGTCTTATCATAAGCAAAGACATACAATGTTTGATATGTCGGATCCAGAGCAGCTGACTCAAACTTGCCCTTTTTACGCATGGGCATAACTTCAACTGATTTGTTGACAATCGGGTCCACAGTGAGCCATTTCTTCAGATACGGATTCCACACCTCGACCCAAAACACTGGATATTGGGCTATTGGAAAATTGAATTTTTTCTTCGATCTCTCTCGACGCAGACTCTTTGTCTCAGCGCCCCGAACACCCAGCAAGAACTCCGCTTTAGCATCAGGAATAAACACTTCGTCAAACTCAGAGCCAGTTCTCTTTTTAAGAGCAGGTTTTTCTTCCTTCACTTCATCATCAGGAGTCTTTGCAGGCATGATCGACCGAAAATCTGGCGGTTGCAAGGAAAAGACTAGTCTCGCATTGAGTCCATATCCTCGTAGAAGACTCACGAATCCTTGTGCGCCAAGATCTCTAGAGCCTCTAAATGCACAGATTGTATTCCTGAAACGATCTTGATTCACATTATGCATCGTCAGCTCTTGCTTTATCAGAAGCTCTCCCCAATCTTTCCTCACTAGTCCCTGTGCCATTACCCTGAAACGCCAGAGTTTCACAAGCTTTTGGAGACCTTCCACAAAATGCCGTTGTTTCACAAAATCAATAAGCGAAGCGGGTGGATCAAAGTGGCTTTTGAGGCCCGAGGGAAGTTCTCCACAAGCAATTTTTGTAGTGTCTTGTCATTGCACCACGAATTCCTCGTAGCTCCGTGTGCAAGCATCGCCATAAGGTACAATTGATGCACTAGCTTTCGTCTGTGGCGTTCTTGCTTAGGCACCGTGACAACCTTCTTCTTCTTGCCCTTAGCTTCTTCATTTTTCTGCTCATTGATGGTGATAGTAATCGACTCTTCTGGCTTCAGCGGTTCATCCAACATAGCATCTATATCAACGTCTTCAAGGTCCTCGAAGTCATCGGAGCCTTCTTCCAGATCGGACCCGTCATTAGCAGTAATAGGGTTCGTAGGTGGTGGTGTCTCAGGAGCCTCTATGTCCACATCCTCGAATTCCATGGAGTCCGAGGAATTCTCTGCTTCAAACAATTCTTTAATGTCTTCATTATCCTTTGGTGGACTGACATGTCTCCTCCTCTTTTTCCTCTCCGGTTGTTGAGTACTGCTGCTAGATAAATTCTTCCTTAGAAGTGCCCTATGATTTGGATCTAGCGACATTGCCACAGCGCTTTGCTACCCCTCTTATAAGTGCTCGACTAATCGAAATGCCTGTTCGGTTGCTGGTGACTCACCTAGTGGCAAGTACTTGTGGGGTAGATTCGCAACCTCACAATGCGATGTTGATATCACCGTTTCTAGTGCGCATACTTTTTTCACTACTAGGCTTGATGGACCATGCTTAAGGCAGCACATACAATATGGCTACGCTGCCGACTACGATCCTTTGACTTACGAGGTATAAGGTTTTCATCAAGCTACCTGCGTTTGGCCGATAGAGCCCATCGGCACTTATACAACTCAATGCAGACCGAGATGAAGAGATACAGAAATGGGAAACCCATCAAATTGAAACCATACCTTCCCCATTTTTTCGTGTGGCTCCAGAAGGCGGAGAATGCTGAGCTGGTGGTACTCGGAAACGCCCATCTCCCGAATCCTTTCACCAGAGAAGCTGTGGTCGAAGTGGGTCTATTCCACCTACTAGTTGGTCTAAAAGGCAGTTCCGCCGAATCTTGGGACTGGGAAAACCAAAAGATTCATCTAGATGCACTTCAGAATCAGATCAGAAAAACCCTGGACTTTGAATCTTTGGATGATCCACTTTTGTCTCACACTGTGGATACCTTACTACGAGACTACCAGGTTGAAGGGATGCCACAAGTCCAAAAATCCTTGGTCACGCTGGCTGTCTCCATAATTGGATCCGCTGCTCCGGAAATCTACCAAGACTCACATTTGACAATCATTCCGTGGCTCAAATGTCTTTTTGCATCCTCAGTGTCTGAGTCTTATAGACTTATCGAACAAGCCAATTCCATCCCACCTTGCATTTATTCAGACATCTTACTACGAACGCCAATTTCAAGAAAAGAGCTTCATCTACAACTTAGTGTTTGGAACACCTTCACGACGGAAATAGGCCGCTACTACGACCTCAGAACATCCCATCTAACAACCATAATGTCCAACCTCAGCTACTACAGCGTGCATTACGACCACACATGTCTTTATGATCTCACCAAGCATAATCTACAGCATTTCACGGCGACTAATCCAAATCGAAAGTACGCTCTTTTCAAGCCATCGCAGGTCAACAAGCTTCTCTGGACTTTGACCTCCATCCTTATGCATACCTTCCTGCCATCTAGCCAGGCCTCAATGTCAGTTATCAGATCACAAGAACTTCTTGTGAAGCACATCACACATGCTAACTTATCTCAACTAGGTTTCATGGCTGTTGTAATATCACTTCGGCAAGTTGCCGAGGAAAAAGCGCAGAAGCTCCTCAAGCATGCCAAACATCAACACCCAGACCCTTCGGTAGAAGTATACTTGGCCAACATTTATCTATCCACGACTCCAGAGGAGCTCTTGCACAATTTTAACGTTGCCATGTCACGGTATGAGAAATCAGCCGCTCTATGGCTTGCATTCATTACGAAAATCAACGAGTTCAGTCTCCTCACAGAACACCGCTCACTCAAGGTTCTCGATCAGCTTCTTGAACGGTCTCAAAAGCTCATCATCTCGAAGCAAATTATTCTTCTTCTTCTTCAGCCAGTAAAGACGGTTCACGCCATGGAGGAATTCATCGGGAAGCTTCAGAACGCAAACATGTTGCTGCAATACTTGGGTATCGTTCACAGCAAGTACCTTCAGATATTGTATCAGAATAGCGAGGGAAAGTCACTACGGAAACCATATCTCAACCAGTTCAGCAGATCCTCGTCCAACATCGAATGTGCTCGTCTGTTGTACGCAAATATCGAGAGAAAGACCGTCTCCAATATAGGTGTGATGCTTGCAGGCGAAAGTTCCCATCAAGCAGAGAACCTTTACGATTTGTACAGACAGGAACTCAATGCCACATCTCCCGATGAGAACTGTTTGGTGGCGCTACTCAGAGCAGCATCCAAGAAGTACTCTGACGATCACCGTCTTTGGTGGAACAGCCATCATGCCAGTCAGATTGCCGTTTACGAGTTCAAAATCAATGTCAGTGACGCTTTTGATGATTCGAAGATAATGCCGTCCAATAAAACCTGGCAGCTCTACATCGGCCTCCTCAAAGACTGTGACTATACGTCAGAGCTCTCTGAGATCATGCGCTGGTGGGAACAATTGCATTTTGTTCCTGAAAGGGATACACTTATGAAGCTACTTCAAGCTTTACCTACGCCTTTCGCTCAACGTCATGTCAAGCACTGGCGTAGCGTTCCAGATTCTGCCTCCAGTCTCCAGGACTGGCCATGGCCCACAGAAGAAGAGCTACAAGATCAACTGTAAATAGAAAACTTATAGATGTAAGAACTGCATGCATTGAAAAGGTGTTGCAAAGTGTCGATAATCCGGTAGCTCGGTTGAGCGGGATTTCTGGGCTCTGCCCGAGCTCATGTTGCACGATGAAAAGTGTAAAAAATGTGGATAAAGTATGTGAAATAAGTTCATAATTAGCTAAATTGACCCTTTAATTATACAACTTTTACTTTTGAATTTCGAAAATCTTTTGGTATTCGTGAATTCCATGGGACCACTTCGATATAGGCTTTTCCGGTGCTCGGCATACACTACACAACACACAAAATTACACACCACACGAAAACAAAATTGAATTTCTCAATTGGCAAAATCTTCAAAGATACAACCTTTTACCCAATTTTCACCATTTTCAACCTTCAATAACGATCTTCGTGGAAGCACCCTGGGTGTCACAAGCCGACCAATGATTTCCGAGAGTGGCCGGGGAGGCCGTTATATAAAGTCGGTTTTCCCCAGGAAAAAAAATGGATCCGTGCCCACCTTCAGGCTCAGTCGAAAAGTCCCCAAAAAAAAGATAGCAAAATGTTGAGACTTGCCAAATCAACGAACCTCACACGTTCCTTCGCCACTTCCGCCAACCTCATGAAGGCCTCTACGAGAATCGAAACCGACGCCTTTGGCGAGATCGAGGTGGACTCTTCCAAATACTACGGTGCTCAGACCGCCAGATCTAAGAAAAACTTTGACATTGGTGGTGTTGCTGCCCGCATGCCTGAGCCTGTTGTCAGAGCTTTCGGTGTGTTGAAGAAGTCCGCTGCCATTGTCAACGAGTCCAACGGTACTTTGGACCCAAAGATTGCCAAGGCTATCCAGCAGGCTGCTACTGAGGTCGCCGAGGGTAAATTGGATGACCACTTCCCCTTGGTTGTATTCCAGACTGGTTCCGGTACTCAGTCCAACATGAACGCCAACGAGGTTATTTCTAACCGTGCCATTGAGATCTTGGGCGGTGAGTTGGGCTCCAAGAAGCCTGTTCACCCTAACGACCACTGTAACATGTCGCAGTCGTCCAACGACACCTTCCCAACTGTGATGCACATTGCTGCTGTCACCGAGATCTCCAAGCAATTGATCCCTGAGTTGACCCACTTGCGTGACTCCTTGCAGAAGAAGTCCGACGAGTTCAAGGACATCATCAAGATTGGTAGAACCCACTTGCAGGATGCCACCCCATTGACCTTGGGTCAGGAGTTTTCTGGCTACGCCCAGCAGCTCTCCAACGGTATCGAGAGAGTTGAGGCCACCATCCCAAGATTGTCTCTTTTGGCTCAGGGTGGTACCGCTGTCGGTACTGGTTTGAACACCAAGAAGGGCTGGGACTCCAGAATTGCTGAGGAGGTCACCAAGTTGACTGGCTTGCAGTTCAAGACCGCCCCTAACAAGTTCGAGGCTTTGGCTGCTCACGACGCCATTGTTGAGGCTTCCGGTGCTTTGAACACCGTCGCTGTGTCCTTGTACAAGATCGCCAACGACATCAGATACTTGGGTTCCGGCCCAAGATGTGGTTACGGTGAGTTGTCCTTGCCAGAGAACGAGCCAGGTTCGTCTATTATGCCTGGTAAGGTCAACCCTACCCAGAACGAGGCCTTGACCATGGTCGCTGCCCAGGTTATGGGTAACAACACTGCCATCACCTTTGCCGGTGCTTCTGGTCAGTTCGAGTTGAACGTTTTCAAGCCAGTCATGATCTCCAACTTGTTGAGCTCCATCAGATTGATCGCTGACGGCTGCAGATCTTTCAGAACCAACTGTGTGGATGGTATTTCCGCCAACACCGACAAGATCGAGAAGGTGTTGCACGAGTCCTTGATGTTGGTTACCGCCTTGAACCCTAAGATCGGTTACGACTCTGCTTCCAAGGTTGCCAAGAACGCTCACAAGAAGGGCTTGACCTTGAAGGAGTCATGTCTCGAGTTGGGCGTTTTGTCTTCCGAGGAGTTCGACCAGTGGGTCAGACCAGAGAAGATGATTGGTCCTAAGGACTAATTATAGATTGTACAAAGTATTATCCTGAAGATAGCAGCTTTCCATGTAGACCCAGCCAAGGTGGTAGGTGTGTGCGCATATGCGCTTACAGGACCCTGTGCTCGATGTACAACTTCTGAACTTCACCGCAAAACTCCGACTACTACTTTTCATCATGGTTGATTATTCCTTGTATTTTGTGACGGACCCCACCATGGTGCCTGAGGGCTCCACTTTTCTTGATCAGGTCAAGAAAGCCGTCGATAACGGTGCCACCATAGTGCAGCTTAGGGAAAAGAAGATCCTGACAGTTGACTTTGTCGAGAGAGCCAAGCAGGTTTTGGAAATCACCAGACCAAAAAACATTCCTTTGATTATCAATGATCGAATTGACGTGGCCTTGGCCGTTGACGCTGACGGTGTCCATGTGGGTCAAGACGATATGCCAGCTACGTTAGCGAGGAAACTTATCGGACCAGATAAGATCTTGGGTGTATCTTGTGGTAACGCTGAAGAAACAACCCAGGTCTGCGACGAAGGTGTGGTTGACTACGTTGGATTGGGAACCTTGTACCCTACAAACACCAAGGATGTGAAGAATGTCTGTGGACCAATTGGTATCCGCAAGTCGTTGAAGGTTCTTCGAGACCACTCCAACAAGAAAGTGAAGTGTGTTGCCATTGGCGGCATCAATTCGACAAATGCTAGGAAAGTCATGTTTCAATGCGCTATTCCAGGTCGCCGAATTGACGGTGTTGCTGTGGTTTCTTGTATCATGGCTGCTCCAGATGCTGCTGCTGCGACAAAGCACCTCCACAATGAACTCCAGTCACCTGTTCCTTGGTTGGATAATGTCGCTACATCCTATGTAAAGACCGAGGCACAAAGTGCTTGGAAACAGTTCAGCCAGACCAAACCTTTGGTGCACCACATCACCAATAACGTTGTCAAGAACTACAGCGCCAACGTTACTTTGGCCATTGGCGCATCCCCCATCATGTCCGAGCTTGGTGAAGAATTCCATGAGTTTACAAACTCGCCAGCTTCAGTGGGTCTCGTGGTGAATCTCGGTACCCCGAACGCTCAGCTCATGGAAGTGTTTCTTGAGGGTATTCGCCAGTACAACAAATACGGCAAGCCGGTACTCTTTGATCCTGTTGCGGCCGGCGCTACAGCAGCCCGCTTAGAAGCCTCTCGTGTTCTTCTCAATGCTGGACATTTTACTGTCATCAAGGGAAATGTCGGTGAGATTGGAGCCATGGCTAAATTGACCAGCTCATACAGCACAACTTCGACTGAGAAGACCATGCAAGGTGTTGACTCCATTGCCAACATGGAGGAGGCTGACATTGTTGATCTTGGTAAGCATGTGGCCAGAGAATTCCAGACAGTGGTGGTGATAACGGGCGCTGTGGACTACATTGTAGACGGTACTTTCTCGATGCTGAGGGAAGATGTACCTTGGGAAAAGGTCGAAGGTGGACACGAGCTTATGGGTTCAATCACAGGTACCGGTTGCTCTCTAGGAAGTGTTATTTGTGCATTCATCGCTGCTGGTGCTGATGGACAGAATGGAGAGAAATACAGCCCATTCTCTGCAGTGGTGAGTGCTGTAAAACTTTACAAGAAGTGTGGCTTGGAGGCTGGTGAAAACGTAGAAGGACCAGGCAGCTTCCTGTCCAGTTTCTTGAACCGGTTGTACCAGACAATGAAGTTCTGAGATGGTGGGTCTCTAGTTGCAGCCATTCGTATATAGAAATCAGACACCTTTTGAGCTGAGGTATAGAGTCATTTCTGCTAATTTGAAAAAAAAAAATTGAAATCTTAGAAATTTTCATAAGGTTGACTCCGTTCGGCATTCGGACCGTTTTCTGTCTTTCAGCGCACATGGCTTATCTAGTATCAAAGCGCGACCATGTGCCCCACAAACATCCTCATCTCATAATAAACATACCACACAACGACAAAATTACAACAGCTAACTTGAAACTTTTCCATAATGGTGGTTCAGGGTCGGACAAAAGCAAAGACTCAACCAAACAGGAAGTCTCCTGTCGCCAATATAACAAACATCAGCTCACTCAAACGGTTTCCTGATAAGGACTATGCACTTGATCTACTTCACCAGCTTGCAGTGGCGGTGGCTCCTATCGTCAACCACTACAAATTTAAAGTGGGGATGCTTTGTGAAATGTCGCCAAAGAGTCCAAATTTGCTCGGACTTAACGTGAACAAGGGCCAGAAAATATTGATCAGACTACGAACTCCATACAACGAGAAGCTGTTTTTCCCAATGTCGGATCTCATCGGAACGTTTCTCCATGAGCTCACACACAATGTTCATGGGCCACATGACAACAAATTTTATACTTTGCTTGATGAGCTACGAAACAAGTACGAGACTGGTGCGTTCTCCTCTGGTTCCTATGTCTGCGAGGAGAATAAACTTGGAGGAGCCTACGTGCCTCCTTGGCTGCTGAGTGTAACGGTCAGACAAAAACGACTCGATGCTGTCTCGAAGGTGAAGTACAAGTCCGAGTCAAGAAGACTTGGTGGACCGCTAAACGTACTGAGGCCTAAGGACTTGAAGGCTGCCATGGCTGATGCTGCGGAAAGACGGCTCAAAGACTCCAAATGGTGCGGTGGAGAAGTAAATGAAGAGGAATTGGGGCTTGCTGGTCAAGACTGTGATACACCGGCGGAGAAGCTAAAAGAGTATAAGGAAGTTATTGACTTGACCAACGAAGGAGCTGATATTGAGCCGGTCACTGAACCAGAAGTGATCGTGATTGATGCTTGTGAGACAAAGAGCCGGTCCTCCTCTCCTGCGCTTTCTCTGTCTGTTTCGGACACAAGCTTTGAGGTGAAGTTCTCACCAACCAAGAGCCCGTTCCCTTTTAATGGTGCTTTGCCATTCAGAAGAGTACTGTTTTCGCTGAGTCCACCTTCTCTGTCTCCGGGAAAGCTTTTCATTGGAGAGAATGGCATCTACCCTAGGCTCAAGCTTGTCGCTGATATCGACTTTGGCCGAATTATCGAATGGACTGAGGTCAGCGAGGAGCGAGTGAAAGACACGAAGAAAAAGAACAAAGTGAAAAAGGCAAAGCTGAAGCCAGCTCCTAAGAGAAAGAGGAAGGAGGTAAAGACGATCACATTTTCTGAGTTGCTAGCAGCTCAGACCAAGCCTCTGCCGCCTGCCACCCAAAAGTCTCTCTGACTGCCTCGATACTCAGAAAAGCTGTCTGCCCAACATTATCGGAAATTGATCACCAACTCAATTTAGCTCCCGAATATACTCAAATTTTGCCAGACTCGCAGAAGTGAGTAAGGTGCTGCAGCTCGTTTGCGTGTGCATCGTATATAGAGCCCTCGCGATTCATTCGCCTTGCCTATTTCGGCCCATACTTACGAACGACCTGAGATAGAGTTTAAGGGAAGGATTATTTACAATGGCAGGTCTAATAAGTCAATGGGCGTCACGTGGGACTTTGTCTTAGAAAGGCTCGGTCTCCCGAGGTGGGTATACAAAAGGAGGGGGCCGGGCGGTGAAGATCGCACACCAGAAAAAAACAGGTGAATCATATACTCATACCACCACCTACTCACCATGGCCAGCCCCTTACGCAAAGACTTGCATAAGGTTTCTCCCAGTGTCTCAGGCACTTCAACTCCTCCAAACATGCAGAAGACGGACTCTGTGGTCAATCTCACAAAGCCGTCGCTCTATGGCATTTACAACACTTCGTCACTGAGCTTGAATAAGGACAACGAAGAAGTGGAGGAGTACATCGAAGGTAGCAAGCTACACATCACTGCTAAAGAAGCCCACCCAGAGAGCTCCCAATTGCATCCTAAGCCTCATGTTACCAAGAAGACGCCGTTGCAGCTCGTGCTCTGGTTCGTCACACGCTTGGCCATCGTTGCATTTGCTGCATTTTTGTATAACCAGGTTACCCAGAAGATTCATCTTACACACGTTGACGGGACTGGCATTTTGATCAACCAGTATTTGGAGAAGTTTGTTGAGGCTTGGAAACTGTACCAGGCTTGGGTGCACAAGTACGATTTGGAGATTGTGGACCGCATTGTTGCTTGGTCGCTGGAAGGCTTCCTGTTGAGCATAGTTGTGCCTGTTCTTGACAAGGTGCTTCCTAGCTTCTCTAGGAGACTCCTCCTGTCCAACCCCAATCCATACCACAGAGGTAACTTGGTAAATGACTTGATTCGTTCACTGATTACCTTTTTGGGCATTACCTACGCTATAAGACACATTGAGTGGAGCTCACTGCTTCAAATGGCAATGACATGGTCGCTTGTCAACCCTGCATTGTGGCTTTTGCTCGACGGAACGATCAACGGGTTCCTTGCATCCGCCACGGTTGCCTTTGTTGCTTCCGCCATTATCTACTACCAGAATCAAGGTGTTGTTGTTTTGGATCAAAACAGTCTAATTACGATCTTCTTGTACGTGGGAAGCTTCTTTTTCTGCGGTGTCATCATCTTTGGCAAGTTAGGCCGCTTTTTGTTTGGACCAAGAGTCTAACGGACACTCTATAGCATATTCTCTGCTCAATTATAGCCCCAGCATTTAATAATCTTAATGGACATAATGATCTATTCAAAAGTTCCCTCCTACTGGATGGTTGTGTATGGCCTGCATGTATCGCGGAGCCAATGAAAACCTTGTGAATAAAATACCCTCATAATCAAACCTTCACTACATCATGGCTGGCGGTCCCGTTCCCGTGTGGAAAAAATACACATCCAGACCCGTGGGCATCTGGGAGAAGATCAGACAAATTTTGGTCCTCGTGCCAAACAGATCCTCCGGTAACCCACTTCCATCATTATACAGAGCTATTCCACCAGGCGCTAGAATCCAGGAAGCCAGAGATTACATAGAGCCAGTGACCATTCCTGCCGGCGACGTCATTAAAAACCCATACTTCAAGCGTGATTACAGAAGAAACTACCCTCAGGTGCTTGGTTTCGACCAGACCAAGGTTTCTGGCTTGTTGACTTTGGGTTCTGCTGAGAAGCCTAGAATTTCCATCGGTGACAAGGGCTCCAAGGAGTTGGCTGCGTTTGGGCTGGACCAGATTGTTAGCTTGTCTACTACATTGAACACCGTCAAGCCAGACGTTATCAAGGGCGAGCTTTTGGGTACTCAAGGTGAGCCTATGGTGGCTCCTTCCTTGAACAAGTTCCACTGGACTATCATGAAGGAGCAAGTCCACGGCATGTACAACGATGACACCGACGTGTACCCTTGTCGTTTGTTCACCGACTCCAAGACTGCTGAGAGAGCCTCTGCTGTCCACTAACTTTGCATATGTATTCTAGATCATCATGACGAATGAGAGATGTAGGCCGACTCGGGCACTCGTAGACTGAGAAGAGGGCTAATGTAGCCTAGATAGATGCCGAACCATGAAATGAGATAGTTTTCTGTCGTCTCCAGGTGCAAGGACTCCATGAGTTCTTTTGTCTCGCATTGGTGTAACAACAATAAGGTTCGTTGTAGCACGGGGTGTATCTCAGGAATGCACTCCTCAATGTCAACCTTGAGACTTGGATTGTTGTCTTTAAGGTGGTGTAATATTGGCTCGAGATAGAATCTGCTGTACGATATCACAAACTCGAGGAATGCACCATTCAAGGTAAGGGAAATGTAACTGCACCATCGACCATCATAGCTTTTTACGAAATTGGCACCAACATATACACCTTCTGGTGCCGTTATATGCTCCACTGCTAGCTTATGGAAATTGGGAAGCGCCTTGTTAAACTCTGCTTCGTCTATCATGTTTTAATTTGTAAGATATCGCACGAGCTGCGAAACATATGCTGAATTAAGTGAATCTACTCTGAAATTGTAAAATGACATCAATGACATCAAAATTATATCAAAAATGAACTGGACGATCAGTTTTCGTTGGAATTGAGTTTTGAGGTTCATGACATAGACAATCTGATCTTCGTCTTCTCTTCGTATCGGTGGCGACGATGAGTTCCGCTATCAGAACAACGTCGTCCAACTTGCTGCCATAACTATCATTTTATCTACAACATTTTCGTGTTAGTTCTTGACTATATACTGGCCTATCCTATAAAGCAACTGGAAATCAATCTCCAATCTGTGATAACGTGATGCTGTGAAATACCCCCCTGTCCCTACTGCTTCTTCTCATCCTCTGAAGTGCTCTCGCTGAGCAAGTTCAGCTTGCCATTAAACAAGAAATTTGAATTGGAGGCGCTGATGGAGTTACGGTTGTACATCTCCTTGACTTTCTCGGCGTTGGGATGGGCCATAGGCACGGCGCCAGCAACTCCTGACTTACTGCCTCCCATCTGTTTTTGCATGGCATAGTCACCGCTGTCAAAGTACTTCTTGTCCTGGAACTTCGATGACAATATCTGCTGTGTCGTGGGGAGCTTTCCGTACATCTTGTAAATTCGCAATTCTTGCGGCGACAACTTTGATAAGTCTAGTCCCTGAGTGTTCTTGGGTGGGTCCAAAGGACCTTCATCTGAAGACATGGCTATTGAACGTTTGAATGGGTGGTGAGTCCTGGTGGATCATGACTATGGCTGAGTGGGCTAGCCATGGAGTGGGACAGGCGGTGTGCAGGTCTCAGCACGTGCATCACTCAGCAAGTTCCGAATTCCGAGCTCCTAGGTTTCTAAAACGATAATTTTTAAAATTGTTAGGTTTGCTTCATTGTTTGTGTTTTTAGAATTCGATAGCTTTCAGCAATTTAGTGTGTGAATTGCGGATATTCCGTTGCTTCGGTCGCACCCATTTCAGGTATCCGTTGCGCACCGAAAGAGCTGGGGTAAGAGTAGCCTGGGTACCAGCATGGGGCGACTTAGGTGCACAATGATGCTGGTCATTTAGCTTCTAAAAAGGCTTTTTTTTTTTTTTTTTTTTTTTTTTTTTTTTTTTTTTTTTTTTTTTTTTCAACGAAAGTAGTGGAAGTCTAGATTGTTGCTGTAAGGATTGTCTTGATGAGGGTTGGGGGTTCTCAGTCGGATAATGTGATGAAAGAGCTGTACCCTGGATTGCCTGTAATGGTGAATATGGTGATCTACCTCCTCAGCTACAATCTCACCCAAGGCTTAACAAAAGAACATGTTGGCAAGCTCAAACTCACCGTTGGCACATGAAGAAGGATTTGCATCCTTTTTCGTTACCATAGTCAAATGCAGTGAGCTTTTGTGAAGCCCATGAAGTGTTCGAGGCCCATTAAGAGATATGGAAACGTACCAGCTAGTAGAATCAAGAGGTCCACAAGGTATATGATGAACTCATATAGCTCAATTGGTATAGGGATGGGTCCCGGAAGTTTTGAAATCACCAAATGAAAGTCGACCGTGTCTTCCTCAACTTCCTTCACCGCGTAAAAATCACCTTGTAAGTCTATTCTGATGTATATGTCGAATGTGTCGTTCTCAACCTCGTCAAACTCTGAAGCCTTGATATAAACCTGATCTAGACTGAAGTCGATTGGAAATGTAGCAGGCCAACATACCTTGACGTTGATTAGGTCATTAGAGTCGAAGGTGCTGTCTTCGTAATTGTTGAGCTTCACGAAAAGAGTTCGCTGTGGCTTATTAACAAAGTCGTAAGGAACAGAGACTAATGTTTCCTTCAAGCTGTAGTCTCGTATGCTTTGAATCGGATACTCGGTGAGTAGTAGCGTGGATGCATTAACCTCCCTCAATGAAGTAGGCAGGAAAGACCGCAGACAAGGGGGTACTTCATAAAATTTAGGAACCGTGAAGACGATTGTTTCGGTATTGGCTAAGGCCTGGCTGGCACATAGTAGAAGTAATGCTAGGAAGACTTGGTACATGTTGTGAGAAGATGCAAAATCCTGGATGCAGAGGTCGATGTATCGTGAATCATTTTCTATCTAAGTTGTCGTAACCGAGTTTAAAAGTGAGGTTCTCGACCCTCTGGATTTTGGAAACCTGTTCTGAAATCGTGTTTTCCGGGTCGAGTATTGTGGCATCAAAATGGAAACGTAGTGGTTTATGAAACCTACGCGAAACCAAAAGGTGCTTAATGTGGAAGAGATTAGCGGACCAACCGATGAGTGTAAGCGTTTCCAACTCGCTGAACGCGTCCAAGAGATTCTGTAGAACGTTCAGAAGAAGAATTCGTGGGTTGTCCGAGGAATTGGAGAAGGCAATCGTGAGAGACCGGAGTGAGGACGAATGGCCCGTGAGTGGCGTCTGTAGAAAGTCACGAAAGCGCTCAGAAAAGACGAACACATTGTCGTCTGAGAAGGACACACTAAGCTCGGTAAGCGTATCGTGAACATTGAACTTGGTGAGCGTAAAAGGCCATTTCCACGTGCAATTATGGAGATTCAAGCGGTACAACTTGGGTACGACAATTTCGTCCTCGCTGACAACAAAATGGTAGTCATCAAGAGTAAGCAGTCTGAGTGATGTAAAGTGCTGGACATGAGCGAGGTCAAATATCTTCCTGCTTTTGAGGAACACGTTGGTATACAACTCTAGATCTCTGATCTGGTCACATTTGTTGTAGCGTAGCCAATACGACGAGTTGGTGGAGTTGACTGCAACCCTGGTTAAGTTGGGATAGCGTTTGGTTGAAAGAAGCTCGCCAAATGTGTTTTCCTTGTACTCCTTCTGTGAGTCAGGCAGTATGACATTGATGCTCTTGATGCAGTGGTTATATTTGTGGAGCACACATTCCTGGGAATCCTCCAAAAGCTGGTGCCAAGTGACTCCAACATATTCGAATATATGTGGGATGAGTGCATCTCTATAATCTCTATTCAAAAGCAGAAGGCTTTTGAGATCCTCGGTGCTCACTGCACCCCATATCTGATAAAGCACACTGTCAGGAAGATCTAACAAGGATAGACTGGTGGATTCTAACTGGACTCGTTTCGAGCCTTCAGAGGCACTATCAAACGACCTCTTCATTTCAGATGCATTTCCTGATCATTCGCCTTAATGAAGTGCAAAAAAAAAAGAGTAGTGGTAACAATCCAGGCCCGAGTTCGCACAGTCATCGTAATCTAGCATCACATCCTCACTACATCTGATCAATGCTTGACCCACGCTTGAAAAACAGATTCAAGATCATAGCACTTATTTTGGCGTTAGTGTTTCTGATCTTATACGTCGTCTTCAAGCGTCAGGAGGACCTGCCTGATAATGATCTCGAGTTGCACTTCGCGTTTGAACCGGTGGAGCGCTTCTCTTTGGAGAACGTGAAGTACAGTTGGGTTTTGGCTGCTGTTGTTGTGGTTGCTTTAACCTTTGCTATAAGTTGATGCCATTGGTTGTTGATATCGCATAAGGGTAGAGTGTGTTCTGCTCCGTCTAATGCTCAATGTGCAAATCAGCATGACTACTTTCAGAGGCATTAGAGAGCGTCACAATCATCTTCAAGAGGCCTTCCCGCCTCGAGCAATTAGCCTTGAGAAAATGGGCTTTCAAATCGAGCTTCGAGTCGTTATGGGTAAATTGTTCGACAAATTCCGGCGCATTGGCTCAATAGAGAAAGCACAGGATTTTGCGATAGCTCACGATGGCTATCTAATTCGAGGAAAATAAAATTGCATGGCAGCCTCGAACTGTGCTATGGTAAGTTCAGGGACTTGTGGTGTTGTTGATTTTTTCCCCATATTCGGATGTCTGAGGTGTAACTGCCTACCAGGTTGAGTATATCGGCATTATGCATTCAATTGACTCTCGGAGTTCTTGTTACGCCGCCGAGCCATTACTCTCGTACCATTTAAATTGACGAGAAGCCACGAGCACAAAGCACCGAGGCTACTATTGCCGCCTTGCTACGAAGGCTCTACGTACTATAGCGCACCCCACTAAGATGCTCACTCATTAAAAAACATATTCGGGCTCCAAATGAAGACAATTTCTGTGACCGTCATCCGCCGTTCAGCATATCTCTATTGTTCTGACTGACGTGCTCTTTATTGGGGCTGTGATTGTAAGACATGCACGGCGCCTCAGGTGTCTCAAACATCTCTCCTCGGGAAGCAATCAATTCTCGGTCTTACCCGCTTCAGTCTCGAGGCAAATGCACCCCAAAAGGACCAAGGCACAAAAGTGTTCAATTTTAAAGTTTGTGGCATTTTGAGCAAAAATTATTGTAACGTTGTAATGGGTGGCTGGTCGGTACTACCCCTACCCTAGAGCGGCATGGCTTATACCAGCAGGAGTGATACGCGGCTAGCGATAAGAAAGAAAATCATCAAGTGTTCCTCATCGGTTGATTGACCGTCAAAAGCTTTTATCTGCTTTTAAAAGAAGTTTTATTCATTTTTGGAAGTCCTCTGAGGTTCACTTGCTATCTTTAGAAGGACCCTCTCGCGCATCCTCACCAGACCAAAAGCGTTCCTTCACCTTCGTGAATAACCTCCTACAAGAACCTCCATCCATTTTTTTCACACCACACACACACTGTACTTTTTAGCCTGTTTTTAGACCCATGCGCTCACTCATCAAGGGCCACCGGCGCTCAGACTCGTCTACTTCAGAACCCCAAGGTGGGTATTCTGATTTAAACCCCAAGTCTCACCGCTACAATAAGACGCCTCAGGCGTCACCCAAGGTCCCGTCCAATTCCCTGAATATGCCCCATTTGACGCCTCCTCAGTACCCATACCTGGGCTCGCAGCTGACTTTGTCGTCTCCCAAAAAGCTCTTGACTCCCATCAAAAAGATGTTCGGGCACCACTCCTCGAAGCATCAAGCTCCTCTGAGTGGAGATATTCTTCATTCTGCGCTAGCTTCAGAGGGTCCTCCTGCTTCAAAAAAGAGCCCAACCTTGCATTCTCCTAGATCCATGAGCAGTCTAAACGACCTCTCACCACGCCCGCACTGGGCTCTGCAACCCTCCTCACGATCTCATATATCCCACGTCAGGCACCTGTCAACTTCATACTTGGAGAATCTGGCACGCTTTGCTCCACCGAATGTACTGCTACCCAATGGTTCTTTCGGTCTAGGACGACCTTTCGAGAGTTCGTCCTCTCTTGAGCTGACAGTTGAAGAGAGGGAGAAGATGCCCATAATATCTGACAACAAATTGGCACCTGTGGCTGACTCAGTGCATCACGGCGATAGTGACTCCAATTTGTCCATTGCCAAGTCTATCAATTTCCTGGCGAAGCAGGCTTCGTCTCAGGAAAACTTGGCAGACGGCTCAAGTAAGGTGGCCACGGATGACTTCTATCAGGATGACTCCAGTGAAGAATCTGACAATTCGTCGCAGTTCTCTTTTGTCAAGGATATAAGAGGTGGCAGAAACACGTCGGTCAAGTACTACAAGACAAAGTCCTCGAAGAGGCAGCTCCCCGATGGAGTAAAACTGAATACATTTGACGTCGATGATTTCGGGTATGAGGATGACGGCTTGTCGGATTACGATTTTGAAAATAATGGCCTTGATGATGAAGAGGAGGATGATGAGTTTGAGAACAAGTACATGGAGTTCACTGAGCCTGAATTCGAGGGTGGAAATTTAAACAAGTATGAGGACATGTTGGATGAAAACGACATGCGCAGAGCTCTTCTGCCGCCGCCTCCAATTGTCCCAACGACATCATGTCTTCAAAACAGCAGCAGCTCCTTGTCCGAAGATATCGAGGTCGAGGATAGAAAGGCTGACATGAGTGACTTGTATATCACTGCCAATCTGTCTCACAACTTCATGACATCTCACCCTGAGGATCCTACTTATGGGGAAGATTTGTTGGAGTCTTATATGGAAAAGACAAAGCTGCCCAGTTCGGAGGTTCAGGCGACACCACACCAAAGGCAACTCTCATTCTCGCATATCCCGGCATTTTCTGGTTCTGAAATATCATCCCCGTTGATCAATGGAGTCACATTTGGTTTTGAGGGTCTAAAAGGTCGTCAAAATGTCGTGGCAGGAAGAACAATTCCTGAAGTCCCTAGGTCTCCCCTAATGAAAGAGATGACAGGAGTATGGGTCTTGGAATTGGGGCATCCGCCGAAGACGAGCCAGAAATTCCCAAGCGAAATCTGATTATGGACTTGTTAGGTGCTCTAGAAGGTGGTGACCTTCCTTCTGAGTCCAATCAAACACCTGCTCAAGCTCGCAATTCCATCCAGGATATCCAGCATCTTTTGGCCGATCTCGAATCCAGAAATGAGGAACAGCCGAAGGAAAAGGAGACCAGACGTGCACTGGTTGTAAACATGATGGATACCCTTGCCAATCTTGCGAAAACCCACGAAGCTGCACCCGCTGAAGAAAAGAAGGAATTTAGGAGATCGGTTGCTGAAATGATGAATACTCTAGCTGCACTTGACCTTCAAAATGGGATTTCTGCGACGAAGGAATGCGATGAAAGAGGATCGGAGCCTGTGGTTATGCCAACTCCAACCAAGGAAAAGAGGCATGATTCACCTCGCTCTAACAGTTATCTTGAGGATAACTCTACTGAAAGCGGGCACCAATATCATCTTGATGAGGATATGTTATACGAGTGCAATCAGCTTCCAGAAGACTACGATTTTGAGCACCATCAGAATCAACTTTATGCCGAGAGTGTTTCTGAGTTCTACCGGTCTAATTCTTATAACAAAAAGCCGAAGAAGATGGTGCAAGAGAATCTGCTCAGGTCGAACAAGATTGATACTCCGCAAAGAACTGTTACTTTCTACAGAAGCAACAGCTTGGGCAACTCCGATAACTCAAACTCAGGTAGTTTGAGTCGAACAGGCACGGTCTATTCCGCGACATCTTTCACGTCGGGTGAAGAAGATCCATCGCCTGAGATGGAGAGATTTCGGCAAAAATCACTCCCCTATGCATTAAACACCAACTTTCAGTTGAATGAGAAAAGCTCTGATTGTCTTAGTCACAAATCATTCAACCTCGAACCTATCACGGAGGGTGATAGCCCGCATGTGAAGTGACAGCTTCATCTACGTTAGACTAGCCTTGATTATCTATTCTTATGGAATGGTCTTCAGACTGATTATGATGCTGATTAAAGTCTTTGTTTCATGAATGACTCAAAGTCGTAATTTTCGGTGCCATTGTAGTCAAAGTAGTTGTTCCCTCTATTATAATTTCCGTTTGCAATGGGTTCACCACGGACACTGAGCTTTGGCGTCAGCTGAACTCTCTTGCTTTTAGACCTTCCTAACATGCTGTTGTTGCGGAATTGTTCAAGGTTTGGCATGGTCGCCTTTCTGACGTGACCGTCCCGCTTGCGAATAGCATCCTTCGGCTTAACCTGAAAGCCAGTTTCAGATTTTGCCCAGCTCTCTTCGCTTGCTTGCGAGACGGACAGTCTCGTCGAGTTTTTCCTGATTGGCTTCCTTTGTCTGTCCCAATCATTCATGTATCGTGAATAAATACTCAGCAAATCATCCCTATCCTCACGAGCTGGCATGGCCTTTGGTAGTTGTTCTTCATCCTCTTCGACCAAAACGACCTCGACGGGCCGACCATTTCTTTTCTCGATGATGGAGCGGTATGACATTGTCGAGTCATTTCTCTTTATCATGCAGACGTTATAGTCTTCTTTGGTTAAGTCAATTGTTATGCTATCAGTGTCAGTAGGAGCTGTGGATATCGTTTCACGAGCCGTTACCATAGAGTCTGAGAACTTCGACTGCGAACTTCCACTAATTTGCTGTGAATGTTCACTTGGAGGACGACCATCTCTCTCGGGCTCAGAGCTTCTCGCACTTCTGTTGTAATAGTCATTTTCAAAGTCGGTGTTGTAAAGGTTAGACTCCGGTTTTCTGCAAGATGAAGCATCTTTGAAATCAACCGCATATTGAATCTTCTTAGGTGGTTCTGCCACAACGATGTTGAGGCTTTGGTCGTTCTCTTCGTCGTGCTGACCTTCAGCGGCGGCTTCTGATAGAGCCTTGTCTGCCTCCTGCGGTGATGCTGAAGTCTGCTTGGGTGCTGGGAGCGGCTCCGAGATCGACTTGGATGCCTTGTGTTTGTTAGGTTGCTTGCCACTGCTTATGCTATTTTGAGGCGACGGTTCGTTGTAAATATCCGCAAAATCGAAATTGTACATCAGCCGGTGACGGGCATGACGGATGGGTGACTTTCTGCTAGCGATAGCACCAAGAGAGACACTATTCGGCATCAGCTTAGGCGGTGAGCTAAGTGGCTTGCTGGGCTTGAAGTTCGTCTTTTCAAAAGACGAATCCAGTTCGGAGGAAGACGTGTCTTTGTCTCCGTACATTTCACTGAAATGTTGCTTGGCAGCCAGGCTCGGGACCCCAAGTGGTTCAATGTCAGAGGCATCTGCTTTATCCAGACCATCTGCTTTCACTTGTTGAAGATCGTTGAAGCTCACGCCGTTGTGTCTGGTCTCCAGCAATTTATAGCTCAGAAGGCTTTCGAGATCGTCAAGGTTTGGAATTTCAATTTGCTTCGATGATCGATTAATGCGCTTTCTTGAGATGCTTGTGTTCATGATCCTCTGTTGTTCCAATCTCTTGCGGGCCTCCTCACTATTTGTGATGTTGGACATGTCGTTGGGGAAGCTGAAGCCTCTACCCACACCACTGTTACCATCGTCAAGCGAGCTTGTGTTGTTGTCTGTTTCCTCCTCTTCATTTTCCTCGCTTCCAGTCACTTCAGGGTCAGAAACGGTCTGCTGCTCATCTCTGATGGAGACTGACGTTGCAGTGCTTGGCTTCTTGGTGATGTTAAGCTCTCTGGGGATCTCAAAACGTTCCTCAAGACTGTCACCCTCCAACTCAAGCTCCTCAGGTGGAGGCGGTAGCTCTTTGCTGATTTTTCTCGTGGACTTGCTTGAAACAGACTTGCTGGATAAAGAGGACCGTTCTGATGCTGAAGTGGAGTCGCGAATGCTAAAGTCGACGCTCTTTTGAATTGAGTCCCAAGATGACAGACTCGAGGCAGACTTGGAAGATGTGATAGATGCTCCTCTGGTGGGGCCATTTGACTGGACCGTGAGATTGGCCAAAGGAGCGTTCATACTGCGAGGAATTGAACGTAAGGACTCGTGGTTGAGGTTGAGAGCATCGCCCACGGAGCTGAATGAAGAAACGGATGAGACTTTTGATTCGTCTGAGAAGCTTCTTTTGTAGATTTTGAGGTATGAGTCTTCACCGAGGTTGAGATTATGGTGGTATGCATGGCTGTGTGGAAGCGATTTGGGCTCCTCTTGTGAGGCTTCCTCAACTGGTGTTTGGGAAAACATCTCGACGTTCTCGGGCTTTTTGCTAGCTGCAAATGGATCAGGCGTGGTGGGGAAGACGTCAATTTCTCCACGAGACAAGCGAGCATCCGGATGCCTACGAGGCGCTTCCGTGACGACACGAGTTTCAAGTTTTCTTGGAGCATTGAAGCTTGAGTCGGCGGAAGATTCATCGAGTTTCCGAGGTGATAGAATGGGAGCCGAGGTCGAGGTCGGAAGCAGAATTGGAGGCGGAGGCGGTGGTACCAAGTCCAAGTGTGGCTTGGAAACAGACACAGGCATTGGCAGCTGCAAGTCTGGTGGAGGTTTGCGCAGAGTGTTTCTGATTTTCTGGGAAGTGGGCGAAGTGGGGGTGGGTGGTTCCTCAGCTGGCCTGATTTTTGGTTGATCCTCAGAACTTCTGATTTTAGGCAACGTGGGCAATCTCTTCAGGCGCGTACTAGACGCTCTGGAGCTACCAGCGTTCGAGGCCTCTTCAATCATGCTGAGCTGGTCCAGGGGCATGGATTTGTGTTTCTGGGCAAAACGAGCCACCTTCTTGCGATTGCCCATAGTTGCTGGTGGTTTCTGGGGGTAGCAGGTTTCAAAAAGGAGAGCTCCAGCTCAGACTCAGAAGACTCTGCTGGCTCGTAGCTTGAGCCCGTGAAAACAAGTCGTTTGGGGCTCCTCTGGGGCGAAGCAGGAAGGGCCTTTTCGGAAGGTTTCGTGCAAGGCGCCGACCTTCCCCTGGAAGGTTCTGGCGATGGAGGAGCCAGTCTGGTGCTGAGCTTGGGAGGCATCTGCAACTTGAACGGGATGGGCAAGGCGTAGTTGGCGCTGGATATGTGGAGCTTTTTGGCAATGGGCAGTCTGGACAAGCGTCTTATTTGGTCAGGCAGAAGCAGGCCATTGGAGATTTTGGATGCAATGTCATCGTGGAAGGGGGCCAGCCCGTACAAAGCACCAATGTCCAACTGTGAAATTGGGCGTTGTTTTGTAGGCGAAGCCAGCCTTGCTCTTCGTTCCGGATGCTGGGGACCAGGGTTCTGCAGCACATCGTCAGCAGACCACTGCTTGTGGAGCAAAGGCATGGTTGGTGGATGAGAAAAAAGACAGGCGCTAACAAGGTTTTTTTTTTACCCTTGCTTGATCATTGTGAATGTGGTTACCGTATGCGGCGACCTAGGGCGTGTTTACAATGGGGCCGAAAAGAGTAAGCACATTGAACGTCAGCTGGGAGTTTTTCCTGAGGCGCATCTAGGGTCTCGTTCTGGAAACGGCCTCCCATTGGCCGACTCGGGGTTATTTTATTAGCTTTACGAGGATTTATGTTTTACCTGGATGGGAACTTCACCCTGGGCTTATGGTTTTCTTGTCTCGTGAAAACTCTCCTCCCTCCTCCCGGTGATCTCCTTCTACGCCGCTGCCTCCTCTGCGAATCTGTCTCAGCACCGCAACCATTGTTCGGTGTTCCCCAGAAAGCCGCCGGCTTGGCCATGTAGCGAAGTTTTGTTATGGAATGGTTGACGGCGCAAGGCGGCTACATAACCGGTTGCTAGTGCTTCAGTGACCGCTGCACTCCTGCCTGGCGATCGTCACGATGAGGTGTGGCTGATGGAGGCATTGAGGAGAAGGAAGGGAGGTTGGACAAGAAGGGAGGTTGATCTGCCTGCCTTGGTTGTTCTTTCTCTTGCTTCTGATTCAAATACCTGCCTTCGTGGCTATGGACCAGCAGTGCTTCTCGATCTTCGGATCAATAGCGTAGTCCGTCGTCAGATCGGAGGCGTGCCTAATAACGCAGCCGGCTGTACCGTTCTGCAACTTTGCGAGGGCCTTATGTGGTTGAAGTGGTGGTACTCTAGCCCCTGGGGAGCTTACTCCGCCATTGGTCGGATACTTGCTCGAAAGAAGGCTTTGAAGACCGCTTGTACCATGTGGCCTAGCGCTTGCGCATTTTGTAGAGTTCTAGCCTCACGAGACGTCGGCTATGGCGGCCTCTGTTCGTCATATATATGGGGGCGTTTCAGCCGAAGAAGTAAAGATTGGGTTTCGGAAGTATACTTTTGTCTGTGCCATTACATTTTTCATCGAGGTGGATAGCTCCGCGTTGGGGTGTCTGGCTGACCACGGTACTGAGGTAGTAGCACAGGTTGAACCTCCATTCTGACCCTTTCCAACTAAAACCTACTTTTCACCACAACCTATGATTCATCCAGCCATCAGGCTGCTGTTACAGTTAAAGCGACGATGAAATAATTGTTCTCCCAGTCTCGTAGCATTCCTAGTGCACTGCTCCCCTGGTGCCTCTTGTGGTCTCGCATTTTGCAGCCATTCCTTGAAACCCTTCCTCTTCACAACCACCTACTTCACCAAACATGCCTGTTTTGTCCAGCCCAGTGAAAACAGAAAGCTCTCCACGGCCCTTCAGCCCCAGTAACAACCCGTTTCTTACTAAAAGCCCAGCTCCCTACTCGAGGCCCGTCAGCAAGAGACTCATTCCCAGACCTGACTTCGACGAGGTCTCTGCCAAGGTGGGATTGGTCTCTGCCAAGGTGGGATTGGCCTCTTTGCCTGTTCAGCATGAACGTATGTGCAACCGCAAAGGCGCAAAGTTCACGATGATATTGGCGGGTTGTAGCGGCACCGGTAAGTCTACATTCCTCAACACCCTCTTTGGTGTGCCCTTGGATGAACACAAAGAGGAAACGTCGTCGATCTTCTTCGACATCATGGAGCGCAAGTACGAGCTCACGGAGGGCAACTTTGACTTGCAACTCACTACGGTGGATGTTCCTGGCTTTGGCGCCAAAATGGATTACCAGTACTCCTGGATGCCCATTGTGAAGTACATCGACCACTACTTCAGGCGCTACATGCTCCAGGAAGAGCAACCAGACAGAAGCAAGCTCGAAGATAATAGAGTTCACGTGTGTCTCTACTTTATCCAGCCTTCGAACACCTCGCTTTCTGCCTTGGACTTGGAGTCCATGAAGGAGATCTCCAAGCGGGTCAACTTGATTCCCATCGTGGCCAGAAGCGACACCCTCAACAGAGACGAGCTCATGGAGTTCAAAAACACCATCAACAAGACCTTGGCGGCCTTCGACATTGGTGTGTGCAAGTTCATCTCTGACCAGGAGGTTATCGACAAGATCCACCTGGTTTCACCATATGCTGTTGTGGGTTCCAACGCCACTTTCGAGAACAGCGAAGGTAAGCTTGTCAGAGCTAGAAAATACCACTGGGGAATGGTCGAGATTGAAAATCCAGAGCACTGTGACTTTTTGGCTCTCAGAGAGATCCTCATTAGCGAGCATATGCTCGACTTGATTCAGTCCACAGAGGCACACTACAATGCCTACAGACGGTTGTGCTTGAGAGATCGTTTGGAGCGTGCTGCCGATAACGCATTTCGTCAACCTCCTTCCCTTGATGATGACGAAGACGGCTTGGCGTCTTATTTTCTCTACAAGAAGTCGCTGCCGTGGAGCACCATTATGTCCCAGGATGACGTGGACGCCGAGGATGCCCAATTGAGTAATGAAGTGAGGAAGAACTTGGAAGAGTATGTCAGAAAGACAGAGCTCGGTATCAAAGAGTGGAGACAGAGTCTTGTCAGGAAACAAGCCGAGTTCAATGAGGATTTGAAGAGCATCCACATTCGGATCAGCGAATTGCGGAATGAGTGTCACCGATTGAAAAACGGCTGTTCCAAAGAGTCGGATCACGATGCGGGAAGCCCACTCTTGAAAAATGAGTATTTGGGAGAGTAGCCCTAATAGCACTGTTTCGCAGCCACTGGTGTAGTAGTGTATGGAGTGTATTGAGGTGATGCTCTCGCTGGAAAATTTCTGATCTCTAGACATCTCTTTTTTTCAGGCTTTTCCCACAAGTTGGACATCCGCTTCTGGAGGATTGTTCAGGGATTCGTCTCAGAGGCTTGTCTCGACCAAAGGCATGGGCCAAAGCTAGCCCACCTGCCGTCCACTCTGCTGGCAGAGTGTAAACATGAGGTATGTTCATCTATTGGGCCACATCAGGATGAATCTTTTAATCAATGTATGTTTTTTCTGGCATCTCTAATGTTAGAGCTTCTGCTCAATGAATACAACCCTTGACAATTATCTGATGCCTTAGCAATGCTTTGGCGTGGCCTCCAACTTATTCTGGAGACAGCACTAACCAGCAGCGACTTCTTATGGCTCATAATTAATACACAACACAAATGAAAACCATGAATGTAGCAGTAAAATTGTAATTCTGTAGTCTTCCGGGCACGTTTGGCTCCATGAAATCATTGATCAACCTCTCAATGGTGTGCGCATAAAATTGTGAATCTTTGTTTCGTCTAACCCATGGATACCACCACACCCACCAATAACGGACCTGAGGAGGAGTTCAAGACGGTAGAAGCCCCTCAATCTAGTCCCCTCCTCCTCCTCCTGTAAGGGTGGTTAATCTCGTCCTAGACCACTTTGCATTCGTCAGAGGCATTGGTAACGTCAAAAGATGGTTCAACAAGGAGTACACTGACAGCATCCTAGAGGATAAGAGCGATACGAGGGTCATCCTCAACCTCTATATTCCCACCTACACTCTCCATGAATTCGAGTTTGCCAAGAAGGGAACTACCATCACCGCTTCCTACGCCAGAGATGCACTCAAGCTTATCGACCAGGTTCTTGATCAGGAGCAGTCCGTGCCTTCTTTTGGTCCAGAGGATGGAGAAGCTGCTCCTGAGGTACCCAAGTTCACATACAACTTGCTTCTTGAACAGCGTAATTCCAGCTATCCTTACTGGGACAAATGTCTCAAGTACCAGGTGCAACCGCCCAAGGTCAAGGACTTTCCATATCATAAAACGAAGCTTGCCAATACTGTCTTGGACGTCCTAAAGCACCAGATGCTGAAGAGGAGAAAAAGGAAGCGGAGGAGTTGGCGTCGGTGCCTCCTCGTTTGAAGCATTTGATCCGCTCCTGCGTTTACAAGAAGTACATTGACCCATTCCACCCGAGTTTGAGTACAACAATGGTGCTCAATGGAAGTTGGTTACTGAAGATGCCGTGACCAAGGTCTGGTTGACAAGCTTCGGTATTGACTGCTTGAACGTGAATGAGGCAGAACTTCTCATATTCAAGTCTGAGGATGTCACTGGGTTCAATCTTCAGGCACCAGGGGAGAACTTCAACTCGCAAAAAGACAGATATGACACTGTCGATCGGGGCATCTTGCATCAGTGGGTTGACACTACAAAATATGAATATCTGAGTGTTGGTGGTGATAGACGCAGAAAACCAAAAGATAAAAAGGCTAACGGCACCGAGAATGAAAGCAAAGCTCTTGGGCCCATTCATCCCGATGAGGTGAAGGAGGAGAAGTTCCACCAGATCAATTACGCTCCTCGCACCAGACCAGTTGGACGTAAGCTATACGTGCCAAAAAAGTGAGCCATACATGAGCATATAGGTAGGTACAATGGGACTACTCATGGTCTTTTGGCAAAGAAGCAACTATGCCCACCAAGATTCAAGTCTTGCTGCTTAATAGGGCCTTACGTTTGAGACAGCTCTCGAAGTCAAGTGGCCGGTTACTAAAGCTGTCGGTAAAGATGACAATGAACCTCTGTTGCATGTATCATTAATACAAGAAAGTTGTCCTGACTAACTAAATAAGTACTAAGAGTAAACATGGCATTTCTGGTAGGCATCGATTGTATTGAAGTAACCCATGTTGCTTGAGGGTAGAAAGGTCTTTCGCAGCCACTATTCTACAGTCTAAAGGTCGGTCCTCACCGGCTTGAAAAATACCGTTTTTCTTTGTTCTTAGCTTGTCCTTTGAGGTAATCCTTGGCAAAAAATTGACGTTTATGAATTTTTGTCATTTTTGGAAAATATATTTCGGTCCTTATCCAAGATATTTGAGTATTCTCTACACTAACTCCAATATGGTGCCAAAATGCGGAAATATTTAAGCACATGATTAAATAGTACGCAACAACGATTTTTTAGTGTTCATTTCTTGGAGACGATAGGGTACCGTGAAAATACGCCCCATGAAATCACTTTCCATTTTTCAAATCATATTTAGCATTTCTTTAGAAGTTCTACTTGTACTGGTTGGAAATCACCTGCACCCAGATGTCTTATCCAGCCTTGCCTCGCTTCACGAGCGGCGCACGACCAACAACAGAAAAAGTGAGGGTTGGTACAATACTAGTACTCGAGTTAAGCGTAACCGGTTATACTTCATCCATTGTTCCTCACCCCAGAATCTTGAAAAAGAGAGTTCTCAGGCTGAAGTATCATCGCCATGAACAGACAGCCTACTAGGGAGGAAATCCAGCGCTGCGTGCTGCGTTGGCACCAGCTAAAGAATCAGTATGGAGACCAGGCTCCGAATGTGCCTGAGTTCAACCAATTGCTGAAGATGATCCGGTTTTTCCAACAGCAGGCTATGCAGAGACACCAACAGCAGCAGCAACAACAACAGCAACAAAATGGCTTAAAGACCAACGCTCAGTTACAACAGGGCCAACTGCCTCATCAGAACCAGCTCAACTTCAACAATATGGGCCAGCCGGGCAGCATGGCCAACAACAGCAATGCCAACATGAACCAAATGAACATAAACCAGATGAGAGGAATGGCGAATGGTAATCCGATGTCTCAAAACATGCAAGGCGTCAACAACCAACCATACATGCAGATGCAAGGTATGGCACCAGGGTCCCGTGGCTCTGGCTCCGCGATGAACACGCCGGCAGTGGGCCACGCCAATGTACACCCCGGTGCTCAGATGTCAATGATGACTGGCCCTAATTCACACTCCCCTGCCACCCAGTCGCCTCACGCTGCTATGGCCAACACTCCTTCGATGGGCCAGCCTTCTGGACAAGGCATGGTGCAATCGGGAATTGGCGGTGCCTTACCGGGAAGTGCAGGTGGACCTGGCACCCAGGTTCAAGGTATGCCTGGCAACACCGGGCTCCCACTGGGCCCTGGCGGGAACTTGGGTCCTCAAATGGGCAATAATGCTGTACCTGCCACTTCTCCTGGCGAGGGTCCTTTCACACCACAGCAAATCCAGCTACTTAAACTGCAGCACCAGATGGTGAAGTTGTTATTTCGCCCATCAAACAACGGATTCCCACCCATTCCTCAAAACTTGGTTGACATGGCTAGCAACGAGAGACTCGCTTTCAATGGTGATCCATCTCAGCAGCAACAGCAGCAACAGCAGCAACAACAACAGCAGCCCCAGGTTCCAAATCAGCAGCAGCTTCACAATCAGCTCCGCAACCAACCCCCTATGAGCCATCCTCACCCAGCACAAAATAGACCTCAGCAGACCTCAGCACAACAACTGCCTGCGACAATTGGTGGTGCCGTTCCCGGCCTGGTGCCCTTCCACAGCCCCCAGCCTGGTATGCAGCAGCCTCCAACGCCTGGAAGCCGAAGAAGCACTCAGATACCTGCCCACAACCAGCCACCAACTCAGGTACCACTGGTGTCTAATACTCCCAAGCCAGGAAGTACACCACAAGATAAACTGGACCCTAGAAGAAAAGGAAAGAGATCTGGTGGTAGCACACCTCAAGTCTCACTGGCCCCACAACCCGCTGGCGCCGTTCCTATTCCACGCCAACCGGAGCCTCCCGTGCCTTTTGAAGAGCTTAATTCCAGCGAGGATCTTTCGAAGCAGCTCGTCGTGCCGATGAGCAAACCCAACCTTCAAGTGGATGCTTTCGAGATCACTGAAATTGCCGGGCACGCGAAAGACGACATTCCATTTAGCACGTTGTACACTGCTCAGAACAGAGTGAAATACCCATTTATAATGCCGAATGGAATCAACATGGATGAGATTGTTACGAATCGTGAATCTCACATAATGCTTCAAATCGACGCGCGTGCCACTCTGCTCCAAAAGAAGCTTGAGAACACCTCTGACGATATTGAGAAGCAAGACATATTGGTGGAATTGGGTGAGCTTGAACTTATACCTTACCAGAAGGAGATACGAGGAAAATTGCTTTCACAGCTTTGGTTCAGCAAGTCACTTCTTCCCAACTCTCACCCCAACTTCCTTGCCAAATTTGGCAGTTTGACTCTCGAAAATGTTGTTGCAACCGAGGAGTTGTATAAACAACAACTTAATTCATTGGTACAAGCTCAAAACAAAAAGCACCAGACACAGGTATCTAGAATTCTTGGATTTCATCAAAGCAACAGCGAGCGAATCGCCAACCGCAGAGAAAAGCTTGAGCGCCTTTCCATTAGAATCAATAGTTTGCATGCTCAAACCGCAAAGGAAGAGCAGAAGAAGGTCGAGAGGATGGCCAAGCAGCGTTTGCAAGCTTTGAAGCTGAACGATGAGGAGGCGTATTTGAAATTGTTGGATCACACCAAAGATACAAGAATTACCCACTTGTTGAACCAGACCAATCAATTTTTGGACAGTTTGGCCCAAGCAGTGCAGACGCAACAAAAGGCGACTCAAAAGCGGATAAAGCCCAGCGCCGAAGAGGAAGAAGCAGAGAAGGAGGATGGCGAAGAAGCCATGGAGGAAAAGAGAGAGAAGGTCGACTACTACCATGTTGCTCATCGCGTCAAGGAGGAGGTCAGTTCACAACCAAGCATTTTGGTGGGTGGTACTTTGAAGGAATACCAATTGAAGGGTTTGCAATGGATGGTGTCGTTGTACAATAATCACTTGAATGGTATTCTCGCCGATGAAATGGGTTTGGGTAAGACAATTCAAACAATTTCCTTGTTGACTTACTTGGTTGAGAAGAAGAATGTTCCTGGTCCATTCCTTGTCATTGTTCCACTTTCAACTTTGACCAACTGGAATCTCGAATTCGAAAAGTGGGCTCCAGCATTGAGAAAAATCACTTACAAGGGAACACCTGTGCAAAGAAAGGTATTGCAACATGATGTTAGACTGGGTAATTTCCAAGTTCTCTTGACGACATTTGAGTACATCATCAAAGACAAGAGTCTCTTATCCAAGACCAGATGGGTCCACATGATTATTGATGAAGGTCACAGAATGAAGAACGCAAACTCGAAGTTGTCCGAGACATTAACTCAAAATTACCACAGTGATTACAGATTGATTTTGACAGGAACTCCATTGCAGAATAATTTGCCAGAGCTTTGGGCCTTATTAAACTTTGTTCTTCCAAAGATCTTCAACTCTGTGAAATCTTTCGACGATTGGTTCAACACACCTTTTGCCAACACTGGTGGACAAGACAAGATCGAATTGAGCGAAGAAGAGACTCTTTTGGTCATCAGAAGATTGCATAAGGTATTGAGACCTTTCTTGTTGAGACGTCTTAAGAAGGATGTGGAGAAAGACTTGCCCAATAAGGTTGAAAAGGTTGTTAAGTGCAAGATGTCTTCCTTGCAATCCAAACTTTACAGAATGATGTTGAAGTACAATGCACTTTTTGCAGGTGAATCAGTCACTGGCCAGAGGCCCTCTACCATCAAGAACGCTAATAACCAACTCATGCAATTGAGAAAGATCTGCAACCATCCATTCGTTTATGAGGAGGTCGAGAATATCATCAATCCCAGATCGGAGACGAATGATATTATCTGGAGAGTAGCCGGAAAGTTTGAGCTTCTTGACAGAATCTTGCCCAAGTTCAAGCAAACAGGCCACAGAGTTTTGATATTCTTTCAGATGACTCAAATTATGGATATCATGGAGGATTTTTTGAGACTTCGAGAAATGAAGTATATGAGATTGGATGGTGCCACCAAGTCAGATGACAGAACTGAGTTGTTAAGATTGTTTAACGCCCCAAACTCCGAATATTTCTGTTTCTTGCTTTCCACAAGGGCTGGTGGTTTAGGTTTGAACTTGCAGAGTGCTGATACTGTTATCATTTTCGACTCTGATTGGAACCCTCACCAAGATTTACAAGCCCAAGACAGAGCTCATAGAATTGGTCAGAAGAACGAGGTGAGGATCTTGAGATTGGTTACCGAGGACTCTATTGAGGAAATGATATTGGAAAGGGCTGTTGCCAAGTTAGAAATCGACGGAAAGGTCATTCAAGCTGGTAAGTTCGATAACAAATCGACATCAGAGGAACAGGAGGCCTTGTTGCGTGCGCTTATGGAGAAGGAGGAAGAAAGACGACTGAAGGCAAACGAGGAAGACGACGACATGGATGACGATGAGATGAATCAGGTCATTGCAAGAAACGAAGAAGAACTTACTGTTTTTAGGGAGATTGATGAGCAAAGAGCTCTTGACTTGAAAAAATCTGGCTACCCAAGTCGCCTCTTCTCGGACCAAGAGCTTCCTGAGATCTACCAGAAAGATCCCGAGGTTTATTATAAGACCGACGAACAATTAATCGAGGAGTACGGAAGAGGAAACCGTGAGAGGAAATCGATGAGATATGACGATAACATGACCGAAGAAGAATGGCTCAAGAAAATCGATGGCTATGCATCTGACGAGTCTGATGATGACATCGTGCCTCGTAAAAAGGGCCGCCCAAGGAAGGATGATCGTAAAAGAGGTTTGGCTGATGGCGAGTCTGCTGCGAAGAGACCAAGATCATCGACACCTAGCAGCCGTACTAAAAAAGGAAAGATTGGCCGTCCTCGATTGAAGGGTGCTTCTAATAGAACAACACCTTCAATCGATCCTTTGGCGCCAGAGGATAGACAGACCTTGCAGACACGAATGGCAGACATATACTCTGCACTCATTGACCTCACTACAGACGACCGGAAGTTGAGTGACATGTTTTTGGTCAAGCCTTCCAAGAAGCTTTACCCAGACTACTACGTTTTGATTAAACACCCGCTCGCTCTCGATGCCGTCAAGAAGCGTATGAGCAATAAGACTTACACAGCCATCAGAGAGTTCCTCGAGGACATTCATTTGATCTTTAGCAACGCTAGGATCTACAATGAGGAGGGCTCGATTGTTTACCAAGACTCAGTTATGCTCGAGAATCTAGCAGTTGACAAGTTCAGGGAATTATTCTCCGATACTCCAGCAGAGGAGATCGAGAAGATCCTCGACTTCACAGAGTTTGATGAAACCAACAATCTCAAGCCGCTCGCCATCAGCGGTTCCGCTGTTAAGCAACCGATTAGTGCCAAGCCTGTCGAGAATCTTGAAGACATTGATTTGAAGCCCGAAACTCACGAGCCTCCTAAGATGGATCTGCCCACTAATATGTTTGATGATGCCCTCAAACCGGACGACCTTAATATCGATGACATCGGTGATCTTCTTCCGGCGAAGATAATGGTGATACCGATCGTTACTTCGATATACCCACTGACATGTAATATATTGGACATAATTCATAGATAAAAAGCGTCCCTGATAGTTCGTAATCATAGATCTGAGTACCTAGGCAACTCATCGTCAATGTGAGGATTGTTGATTGCATCGTTGATAGCGTCGTTAATTGCACTAGCGAAATCGTACATGCCACCGTCCTTGAAGGTAATCAGACCCTTGAAGTACTCGTTTTTGGGAAAACCGTCACATATACCATCTGGGGGCTGAAGAACATGAATTCCCAATAGTTTGCTCCGAAAAGAGCAGATTTAAGCGCATGTGTGAACTTCAATTTTGGAAGCTGATTGAAGTTGATGCAAAACGTCTCGATATCACCTCGAGAGGCGTTTCCGGCCGTCAAGTATATGAGTCTTTGGTTGGTCACATATACTTGTCCTTCGGAGGCGTTGATATTTATCTTCAATGGTGCCAGCTTTGCTTGCAGCGCCACCGCCAAGGCTTGTCGCCTAGCAGTAGTTTTGTATTTGATAATCTCTCCATCTTGAAGAACTGGTCCGTTTGTGGTGTGTTGAATTGTGTTCACTGACATTGTAGTAGTTGATAGTAAGTGCGATAAGACCTGCGTTGACCACAGTCCACTCGCCACTACGAGAATAAGGTGGAAACACCATAATAGTTAACAAATACCAATGAAAGCGATAATTGAGCTAGAAGTTGATCAAGTGTGTCATTTTGCATTTATTTGGTGAAATCTGGGGAAACCTCCTGCAAATAGTAGTGTAGTCTTAGTTCCCTCGATTTGCGATGAGGCACATCAGAGGATGTCAGTTCGTTCTTTCAACCCTGCATTGCAGGCACATTTTAAGGAATTTCCTCGTGCCCATTACCAGTATGGCTTTCGAAACGTCATTACACGTTCGGCTTGCCAACAGATCCTTGACAAACTCCGACTCAAGGAGAAGTACCCTAATTCAGAGGGCAGGCTAGATATCATAGACATATTCTCGGGTCATGGATTACTATCTACAATGATCAACTACGAATTGAAACCAAGGAATCATCTTGTGATTGACCACAGCAAGGAACCTTGCCAGGTTTGGCAGGATAGAATTGAGTATCTCAAGAAGCATACCCAGAACAGAGAGAACTTCATATTCTCACCACTTAGTGGCTATTTCTGGTCCACCTACGACAAGCTAATAACAGAGGATAAAATTGTCTCTCCATCATTCCAACCTAGATCAAAAATTCATGACGAGCTTTTAATAGTTGCAAACTTGACTTCATCGAAATATGGTGAACTGTTACTCGCTCAATGGCTCATGTGCGTTGGATTTCAAAATTGGCTTCAAAAGTATGGTCGAGTCAGGATGGTGATAACAGCGCCCGAAGAGACCGCCACGAAGTTTCTCGCAGGTCCACTGTACAAGAAGAGAAACAGGACAGCGATGAAAAGGGCGGTTCTCACCGATGCTCACTTGATTGCCGTGACCAAACCCCAAACAGTCAGATCTGCTGGATTTGGCTACGACCCTCGTTTGCTTATAAAAGATCAACCAGCCTTGCTACCCAGTTCCGCCGTTGCACCTTCTACGTCCCGCTTGGCGGTGTTGGAATTTGTACCCAAGGACATTGATTATATTGATACCCAAGAACTCTCGTATGTGACGCAAGCATTGGCCCTTAGGCTCAACACACTGGTCCTCGAAACCTTGTCGTTGATGGCCCCAGGGGCTGCGACTGATCTTGCACCACTTATACCGAGGGAAACACTTAAAAAAAATTTTAGGGAGATAACCGATGACGAAATTATGATAATATACAACGCGTATCATAATTGGGCCTTTAAACCGAAATTCGAAGAAACAATCGTGACAGAATTGGACGAACCCGAGCACTAAACCCATCAGTTGTCCTCCATAGACTCCTTGAACAAGGAACGGTTGTTCTTTGGCGTGTCGCTCATCTCAAAACTGCTGAAGTCAGTTGGAATACTTCTTCTGTCTTGGACTTTGGAGTCCTCAACATCATCAGGCTTCTCAGCAATTGCATTCTTTGGACCCAGTTCCTTTTTAGACAAACCAGATGCATTCGAGCCAGTTTGGCGCTCCAACTGGACTCCGTTAAAGTTGAACTCAGAACCATTCAGGGTTTGCTCAGAAGGGATGCTCGTGGAATTACCATAGTTCAGCTTGGTGCTTCTCAGATGTGTCAACGATCTGTACTTGATCAATGGTACGCTCTTCTCCAGGGCTTTCTCATCCGAACAACTGTATCTCAGCAGCAGTACATCTTGTGGAGAGCCCTTCACGATGTCCTCGTTTTTGGTTGGACTATCGCCTCCAGCATTTTCCGGCGTGTTCCTAGGCACTTCCCCATCGAGCTGTTCCGGTTGACCTGACGAAACCTCGTAACCTTGGTTATTCGAAATGGCAAATCTCCTTAATCTACCACCGCTGCTGAGCAGACTCTCCGATTTCTTTTCTCCAGATGAGGCAGAATTGATCATCTTGATTTCTGGTGCAAGCTTTGAGGCACTACCAAGAGTCAGATTACTGGCGGAGCGTTGAGGCGTCGCTTCATTTTGCATCTCTGTCGTTGAAAGCTTGGTGTGTAAGGTGTCTTGGTTACCCTCGCTCTGGTTATCCTTCTTTGGCTTCTTTTCTTTTCCCAAATCCCCGTAGCTGAATAAGAAAAGGATGGACGCCCCAATGATAAGTATATAGACAACAGTGGCAGCGGTGTTCGCAGCGAGAAGCAACAGCTTTGCAGTTGCATGAATGGAGATGCCAGAGAACATCATCGCTAAGTTCATGATGGCCATTAACGCAAGTGTTGTAGTGAATGCGATCCGTGTGATGTTGTTTTCCATCACAGCATGACACCCGAGTGCAACAATTGCCAAGGAGAAAGTGAGGATGAAGCCGAACCTGAAGCCTTTGTGTATAATCAACTTATCTGTCAAACTGTGCAGTGGATATCCTTTGTAGTCAAAGATATCGATGCCATCCCTCAAGAGAAGAGTCACATTTGCGTTTGACGGTTGATGATGAGAATACTCGACCAAGCTGTTGGCTTTCTTCAACTTCATCCCTCTTGTGGTTTGAAAGGTTGCTCCATCGACGCTTTCTAAAGATTTGGGATCTTCAGAAACTCCATGGCGGTAGGTGACCATGACTGAATTGTAGCCAACCTTGATCCTTGGCACGACAAAGACTAACCGAGAGTTTCCCTCCAAGTACTTGTCCAAGTGCTGGTAATAGATATCAGAAACAAGGTTGGTAAACTCATTCAGGGTGGAGTTGTTTTCTGAAATGCTGAGAAGATAACGGGGCACGTCAATAGGGCCAAACTCACAGTGGAGTAGAGGAAGACTGATAACGATACCAGCCATGATGGAGAGAATGGTGAGCATACAAACATGAGGCTGGAGCCAGCGAATTTTATCCTTGAAGTTGGATTTATCGAAATTGAACTTCATGGTGGAAAGAAGAGTGGTTGTTGTGATTCAGTTTTTGCAGCTACTCGCACGGTATTTATACGCGTCTGTTTCAGTGACCGAAAGACGTATATGAGAAACTTATAGAAAGCCAATCCGATCCTTAGTTGTCACCTGGAAGATCAGGTAGATTATTAAAAAGCTCAACCAACTTTGAGCTGTTGAAGATGTGCTCACCAGGGGGCCCGAAGTATCCAGCATTGGGCAACACCTGGAGAAGGCTATATATGGTGTTTCCGACAAAACCAAACTGGTTCTCTGGTTGGCCAACCTGAGAGCTGTTGATCTGTCCCTGGCCAACGATGGAGCTGTTACCGGCGCTACCAGACACAGATTCAGGTGAGTAGTTGTCCTCAGATGCGGACAACTTCCGACGCTTCCTTCCTTTGCGGGACTTTTTAGTTTGTTCCTCTTCCTCTTCGTCCTCAGAGTCCAGCTTCAACTCAGCACACAAATCGTACTTGGCAATGGCATCCAACGCGGACCCTCTGTAACGATCGATGAACAAACTCAACTCGTCATCATCAGGGAACAAGTGCAAGTAACGACTTTCAAGGGCGCAAACGGTATCAAGATCGAGATAGTTGTAAGCGAATCGTATATACCTTTTGATGATGCGCTTCATAGCCGTCTGGCTCTTTTTGAGCCTGACAGTTCGTTTCTTCTGATCTAGTATGTTGCCCTTCGTGAGCTGGATGGACTCCAGGTCCTCAGATATCTGCTGCTGTAGGTTCGTGAGAGCCATCTCAAAGACCACTTTGATACTTTCAATGGAGTTGGTGAGGATCAAGTAATCCAAGTAGGCATAGAGAAAGTCTCCATCCAGGCTAAAGTTTTTCATTGCCAAGTCAAACACTCTGTCAGCGATCTTTTTGTTATCGGAGTAGTACTCTGTCAAAGCATTCTCAACGTAGAACTCGTAGCCAAGGTCCTCGAAGTTCTTTCTTCGCTTGAACACAGCACGGACCTCCTTAATACCTTGTGTTCTTTTACTCAAGGCCATCAAATTTATATACGCTAAAGTGACGGATCTGCTCAGATCATCGAGTTTTGATTCGAGGTCGAGAATCTCGAGCGCCTCACTTTCAGAAAGCTTCACTTCAACATGACCGTTGTCAATCATATCATCATCACTATCATCCCCTTTTTGAGTTTGCTGACCATTCAACGCTCTCTCCTTGACTTTAGCGTTCAATGTATCAAGACTCTGTTTGAGCGTGTCGTGGTGCTTGGAGAGATGTGTGATGAGGTTGCTTAATACTTCGGCGGCTTTATCGTGAGAGCTGTCCTTTTCGAGAAGCTCACTGAGTTGGAAAGCGACAAGGAAGCTTCCAGGATTCAACTTGAAGCCTTCTGTCATCAACTCTATGCATCTTTGTCTGTTTGCTTCTTCGCTCTCAGATAACATGTACCTGTTGAAACGAAACCACACTTCAGGCACAAATGGAAGCGTGTAAGTAGCTTGCTTGAACACATATTCCACTCTTTGGCGTACCTCATGGTCTCTCAAGTTGAGATGGTTCTTCTTCTCCAATTCCAACCATCTGAACCAGAGATCTATCTGTGCGGCTAAGACGCCGTTGTTGTCGTCTTGTAGAGTCATCGGTATGGTTCTTCTTCTCAACAGGCCCTTGGTAGCATTTTTGTATTCTGTATTCCATGAACGTGCCTCCATATATGATGTAGAGAGATCAGCAATAAACTTACTGGCGCTGTTCGGCGTTGAAACGTCGTTTTCCCATTTTGTGTATTCGGCCCAGGTAGATTCAATCTTGGCGACAGGAATAACAAGGCATCTTTTGTACAAGCGACGGATGAGGTCGGTTTTTTGTTGTTGTTCCCACGATGAGGAAGGTGTCCACGATTTGAAGAAGTCGAGATAGTCCTTCCACAACTCAGCACTATCGACATCAATCCCGACCTTGTTGACAGCGAAGTCAAAGGCCGAAAGAACTGTGGTTCTTGCCTTTTCGCCACCTGTGATGACATCGTTGACTCGACGAACATATGAGACATATGTTCTACAAAGATCCACATCGTTGGTGATGGGAAGACACTTGGCAAAGATCTGTTCGACATTGTTGAATTGTCCCCTATTAAGCTCAAAATTAACGTAGTTATTCCATTGGCGAGCATCAAAACGGAATATCGTGAAGTACTTGTCAAAAGTGGCTCTCACCTGTTCTTCCTTGTCTTTAGACACAACCTGCTCTATCAACTGAGCCCACTTCTTATAATCTAGAGGGTTCTGTTCCACGGCATCTTCAAGGCTACCGATCACGTCCAACAGTAATCGCTCTTTTTTCCCAGACATACCTCGTTGATTTGTGGATGAGGTATGTGGTAGATGAGAATGCCCAGTAGTTTTTCGTGCGCATCAACATCAAGTACTAACAACCAGTGATGATATTAGAGCTCCATGTTTGGGGCGACAAGGAAATCTCAATCATAGAGCCCGAGTGTATTGCAGCGGCATGGCTACTAAGCATTCACTTGGTTCCTCAAAAGGTCCAATTCAAAATTGTGAAATCGAACAATACAAACCTAGCGGAGTCAGAGAGGTTGCCGCTTCTAATAGCACCATGGGCAAGCTCTTACCGTAAGGTCGAGGGATTCACTGATATTGCTGACTACATCTCAACTCAATATCCGCTTGATTCAACGAAGTTTGTGCCAGACGGGAAGCTCACTTCCAAGGACCAACTAGTCAACTCATGTCTCCAAAGCTACATCAAGAAATCATTGCACAACGTGCACCAGTACAACTTGTACGTGAACACGAAAAACTACGAAAACTATACCAGAAAGTTGTTTCTGCGCTATCTTCCATTCCCCATGATGTATAATCAACCGTTGAAGTTCCACCGGGACGCTTGCGAGCAGGTCAAGCTCATTGGGCTTGGAAACAACAAAACCAGCTTTTTCAGTTTCGGCGGTGGCGATGAAGATGATGTTGGCGACACCGAGTTGGTCAATGACGACGAAGAAGAGTCGACAGAGGTGCCGATCAGTGCGTTGCACGAGAAAGTGCTTCTCGCTAAATCCAAAGACAAGTCACTCATGAGAGAAGCTAGAAACTCTTTCAAATGCATTGCTCTTTTCCACAGCTACATAAAGCATACTATCAAGCTTTTCGAGGAATTGAATCCGTCGCTGCCTGTGGAATATGCCCACCTTTTCAAGGCTAAGAAAGTCTCATCATCTGAGCTTCTTCTATATGCCTACATCTATGCCATTACGTTCAGCGAATTACCTGATCAAAGCATTGCTGAACACATGAAAGCAGAGTTCCCAGCGTTTTCAACTTTTGCAACCACAATCACCACAGCCCTTCAAGGCAATATAAAGGCGGAGCACACCAGAGAAGCTAAGGGGAACGAAGTGCCATCTTTATGGAACGAAGTTGGGTCGTTCGTGGGTCTCATTCTGTACAAGGAGCCCAACTAATTTGGCGACAGCGTTTCAGAGAAATAAAGAGATGATGCAAGAGAAGCATATAGAGGGACTGCCAATCGGTCCGCCAAAAGACATCGGATAATCCAAGCAAGAGATTGCAGTTTCCACGTCGGAAGGAAAGCGCGGTTTTTCATTTCCCGGCCATGGTCAATTCAATACCTTGTCTGCTAATTGGGGTTACCCGAACCCGAGGCAGTTGCGAAAAAAAAAAAGCGAGGTCTGAAAATATCACGGAACAAATATTTTTACCCTGTAAATATACACATTCACAGAAACTTCTGTAGAGTCGGGCAACCTCAGCATAGTTTCGTGTTATCCAATCTATGGATAGAACGATGGAATTTATTTGCCCTAGAGAAATTTGGCCACACCGGCAGGGCATCAATGACTTTTTCATAGTCTGCGAGCTTTCCTGTCCTCCCGGGCGCCAAACAGTTTTTTTTTTTTTATGAATTGTAGTAGGCGTATCAACTTGTTGTTGGATCTTTATTTCTATGTTTCTCTTTTGGGACGGTCATGAATTCGTCTTCCTCTGAGTGATAGATCCTACGGTATACCCGGAGAAATCGCGCTCGAACAATAATACTACTCATCGGACTACTGTCATGAGAATCATCAAGTTAGCCGTCGCCTTATCAGTGGCTTGCTATACTCATGCTGCCGCTGTAAAGCATGTGGATGCTCAGATCACAGATGCTCCCGTTCTAGAAAAGAGAGCCAAGGATGTTATCATCAACAAGGACTACCAGAAGATGGAGTCTTTGAAGATGTATGGAGAGGCCTCCGAAGCGCCACCAAAGCCTTGGCTCAGGACTATCTACTCCACTCAAGTGGAAATCGTTACCCCTACAGTCATTGGCGGCGTGACATTCAGCGCAGAGCCTCCACTTGAAACCAACGGCTTGGAGCCTTGGATCTCGTTGGACAAGAACGGCCGTCCAAAGACAATTAAGCCTCAGATCAAGGGTGGTAACACTAAGAATCCACTGCCAACCTACGGAACGTATTTCGGGACTCCAGTGACCAAAACGTACAACAAGGAGGAGTTGAAGGCTCACAACATGGCAGAAGACGAGGTCTTTGAGCATGTCGTGTGGGAGAAGGAGGACACAACCTACCACGACTTAAATCCAATCATCAGATGTACCCCCAAACTCTATAAGAACAAGGGAGTGGCCAAGAACATTTCACCTGAGCCCTTCTGCTTCCCAAGAGACGATGCCGTCTGGCACGTTGACAAGACATACTTTGTGACATGGTACTACCCATTCTTTGACGAGGACGTGTCCAAGGTCAAGGTGCACTTGTCGTACGTGAAGGTGTCCGCCCGTCAAAAGGGTATGAAGAGAGGCCTTGAAATGCTTGAGAACGGCATAGAAAAGGTGAAGCGCAATTTCAAGAGATCTCAAGTCATCGAAAAGGGTGGCACTATTGCCCAGAAGTCGTTCTTCACTTCGGACTGGCTTGACAAGGATGTTGGTATCTTCCCAGTCACTGTCGACAAGGAGTGGCTCGGTGAAGAATGGAGCAGAAAGGCATTGATCTCTATCCAACCAGACAATGTGGGTGATGATGAATTCGATCACTTGGAGAACTCTATCGTGGTCGAACTTGCCTACGCAACCAAGGTCGGGAAGGGCCACAATCTCGATCTCAAGAAGCAACAGGAGAAGGACCGTTTGAAGGCACTTTACGGCGATGACTACGAAGTTGTGGAGGGTATTGATTACGAGAAGTACATTATTATCATTACCATCCCAACATGTGTGGTGATCGCTGTTCTAGGCATGTACCTTTTCATCTGGATCAACAAGAAGCACACGGATTTGTCCTTCCTCAAAAACGTCAAGTTCAAGAAGAAGAAGAGAAGCAGAATGCCCTTCGCTAAGAAGAACGAGAACAAGTACAGCGAGTTGCCCCAGTGGGAGGGTCCAAAGGCCGATTAGACGGCATCTCGTCGACCGGGGTTTTCGCAACTTTCCCACAGCATAAGCGATCAGCCCCCACGCATACTCATACGAATTTGGATAATATACGCTTTCTTTTGCTTTTGGCGGACAAGGCCTTGTCAGCCCGTCCTCCCCTCTTTTCTATCAATCTCGAGCCCTTTGTCTCATGTCCTTCTTCTATGTATTCCATCAGGTGGTTATCCTAGTGCAGGCATACCGCAGTGGTTACTGCCGCCACTTGAAGCCATACAACATTTCTTACTAGCATACCCCCTTTTTTCCTTTGCAACAGCACACTCAAACACGACCGTTGATGCTTGATTTTATGAAAAGCTTCAACCAGGGTTGGTATCTCACCACTCTCCTGTCGATTTTGTGTGCCCTGGGCACGTTTATCATTTTTCTTGATGATATATATGATTTATTGTTCCCCAGGTGGTTCACCAGACGTTTCCCCTTCCAGTTGAAGGAAAACTATCTGTTCATGAACGGGTCTCTAGCCTTCAGTTCTGGATGCTTGCTTTTCACCGCATTGTATAGGCTTTTGCCCGAGGCGATGGAGAACCTCATCCCAACGGATGACTCGAGTGATGTGTCGCAGAAAGAGATCAACACGGTCTTGATCACGTCATTTGTTGCTGGAATTGCTGCCTGCTACATTTTCAATCAAATACTACACCTCATCACTGCGGAATCGGTCGTTCATTGTTCCCACGATGGTGAGGACAAGATCGAGACGCTCCCATACTCCGAGCTCGTGTCACGCCGAGACAGCCATGATCACGGACACAGTCACGGTCATACCGACCTCGAGGAACAACATGATACCCATAGTCATAGTCATGGCCACCACGAGGTGAGCCAAGCAGATGTCTCTGAGTTGGGACCCGCTACCGCTGAAGAGTTAGAGAGCGCTCCACTTTTAGGCCACCGCAAGTCTCAGGGTCTTCTCCACTACTTTGCCCAGACAGAGCAAGACGATCAGTTGCTCGGAGAATGTAAGGGTTACACTTCGGCGGAGCTCTGTCTCCACGATCATGGAAAGACCAAGCCACACTTCTGCGAGATTCCTACAATCCGCAAGAACGAAGGAGAGGAGAGTCTGGCGCTGGCGCTGGGGCAATCTGAAGAGGACCACCATCATGATCAGCATGTCCACCACCATAACCATCACCATGACCACGAACACGAGCACAATCATAACCATAGCTTATCATTTGCAAGATCTGCGCTGGAGGTTCATTCCCAGCACGGTCGTTCCGAGCATCACCATCACCACGTCAATTCACCCCTTTCTCGTCTCATGCTCATTGGTGTCCAAACAATTCTCGCCATCACTTTGCATAAATTCCCTGAGGGATTTATCACTTACATCACCTCCGAAACAGACCCGGAGCTTGGTGTTTCCATTTTCCTCAGTCTTTTGATTCACAATTTCACCGAGGGCTTCTCGATGTGTTTGCCATTGTATTACTCATTTGCATCTGGCAAAGCTCGTTGGGCTAAGGTCAAGGCAGTCAGCATCAGTGCTATCTTGGGTGGTCTTTCGCAGCCACTCGGTGCACTTGGTGGTTTCATTTTTTTGAGGGCCAATCATGCTGGCAACTCTGAAATCGACATTGACAAGCTCAATTTCATTTTTGGCATTACAATGGCCATTACATCGGGTTTTCTTTCGGTGATCGCCTTATCTATGTATGGCTCGGCCGTGTCCTTCAGTGGGTCGCCCAACTTTGTGATGATTTGGTGCATAATAGGTATGTGTATAATAGGCGGTCTGTCGCTCATTTTGGCCAGCGACTAATCATAATTTACATAGACTACGTTGATATTCGTTATTTGTTCTACTTACCCAAATTGAAATGTATGCTGGTTGCGATAAGCCTGTCATAGGCCACTGGTGCGCGCACACATATCCAATTTCTTTTTCTTTCGGTCCCTCAGAAAAAAAAAAAAAACCACCTCCTAATCACTTTATTAACCCCGACTTTTTCGATTTTGCTAGTTTGAATGGGTCTCATTCTTTAGTATCTACAAGAAACACAACTTAGAATATGATGGCTCACGAAACACCGTTAGATCTACCTAAGGGCCACGCGGTCCCAAAGTCGTCCAAAGGAAAGAACGCTGGCTCAAGAAAGTTGCCCAACGGCGCCAAACCGGATTTTGGACCTGGAGGCGAAAAGAGCGAGAAGACTGGTCAGCAGAATAAGCAGAAGAAGGCGCCTTCACTTCCAAATGGAGAGAAACCTAACTTCCACAACGACAAACTGGAGAAGCAGAACAAGAACGCGAAGAAGAAGGACAAGAAGGAGCAGGCTAAGCCAGTTGAGAGCGATAAGAAAGCAAAGGCTAAGAAGAGCCAGAAAGAAGAAGGTTACGCTGGGTCGTCCTTCCACTCCTCTCCTGAAGCTTTGGCGTTGCCTAAACCTTCCTTCAAGACGTCTCCCAAATCTAGAGCCACTGATGCAACTCCCGTCCAGAATGCTCCACCTATGTCGAATGGCCAACAAAGTGGTCCATGTGCGCAGTATGGCCAGCCTATCCAGGGCCCCGTTCGTCAATCTCCTATGCAACAGATGCCTCAAAGACCAATGGCGATGAATGGTCAGTTTATTTACCAGGGTATGCCTCCTCAAGGACCTCCCCAGTTTCCGGTAGTTTCCCACCCTCAGGCTGCTCCTTCAGGACCTTATCAGCCTGGCTTTAACTACACAGTCAATCCTCAGGGCTTTATCAACTACCAGTACCCTCCAGGCGCTGTTCCACCTCAACACCTTGGTGTCAGCCCATTCAATTACCAACCTCAATATCAACCACAGCCTCAAATGGCCCCAGGCAACAACCCTAACGGCGGCCAACCCCAGGCGGGACACAAGATTACGTTTAATGAGTTGATGGGCTCCTCAAAGTAAGAGGCTGTCCGAATGTATCATTCTTGTTTGTTTTTGTGCTTGTTTTCATGATCATTACCGCTTTCATGTCGCTCTCTGTCACGAGGCCCCCGTTACGTTGTATCATACATGGCCTCCGGGAGCGGATCTAACGCTTACGACTTCAAGAGCACGTTTATGGGGTTGTGGGAGACCTCTTTTTTGTCTTCCTTTTTTCCCCTCTATTTTAGCTCTTCATTTTTTTTTTTTTTTTTTACTTTTTTTTTTGCCGTTACAATAAAGTTTGACGTGTATATGCTGACGAATGCAAGGGTAGCAACGCCGCATGGAATCTTCCATGACTCAGCTTTTTTTGCCTCTCCCAATCTAGCAAGAGCTAGTCTACACCCAGTACCTCGGCGTCCTGGCGAGCTCATCTCTAGTGTGACCAGAGCTCATACTTATGCCACCAATCATTACCAGTGCACTGATAACTCTCTCTAGCCGCATGTGCTTTGAAAGCTGTCAAATCTAAGCCATTTTGTAATAACATCTTTCTGACAAACGCGATCCCCGCTATGAAGGCCTCGCCTCATGCTGATTGTAGACTGAGTGCAATCCCTTTTGGCGAGAAAAGCATGTTTGTGTTCTCAATTTGGAAACAATGGCTCCCTGCTCCATCGCCAGAAGGAATGCGATTTCGCAATTTCTCATCTCCCTGCAACTCTTCTTCCTAATGCATGGCAAAGAGATCAGAATCATCGCCCTCTTGGTGTTGGACACCATTTTCCTTTTATTGGAGGCCGGTGTGGGCTACACCGTTAAATCTTTGGCCCTTGTGGCTGATGCGTTCCACATGCTTAACGATATCATCTCGCTTGCCGTGGCACTTTGGGCTGTCAAGGTGAAAAAGCTGAAGCCAGCCGACGGTTCTTACACTTATGGCTGGCAGCGTGCTGAGATCTTGGGTGCTTTGGTCAACGCTGTCTTTCTTTTGGCCTTGTGTTTCACTATTATCATTGAGGCTATCAACCGTTTCTTCGACCCTCCAGAGATCTCCTCACCAAAGCTTGTTTTGGCTGTTGGCTGTGCCGGTTTGATCAGTAACTTTGTTGGTTTGGTCTTGTTCCACGAGCACGGTCACTCCCACGGCGGTGGCGGTCACTCTCATGGTGGTGGTGGCCACTCCCACTCTCACGTTGATGACGAGGAAACCGTTGGTGCCGCTGGTGAAGATACCCCAACTTCGAACCTTTCTGACTTCTTCCCAGACAATGTGGTTGAGCGTTTCAATGAGCTGACTCCATTGGTGAAGAAGGACACCAAGCCTGCGAAGAAGAAGTCTATGAACATGGAAGGTGTGTTTTTGCATGTTTTGGGTGACGCATTGGGCAATGTCGGCGTGATCATCACTGCCTTGTTCATCTGGAAGACCGAATACTCGTGGCGTTTTTACTCGGACCCTGTGGTGTCTCTTGTCATTACCGCTATTATCTTCTCGTCTGCCTTGCCTCTTTGCAGAAAGTCGTGCAAGATTTTGTTGCAAGCTACTCCACCCAGCTTGGACCCCAACGTGATTGCTGAGGAGATTACTCTCTTGCCTACCATCAAGTCAATCCACGACTTCCACATCTGGAACTTGAACGAGGACTTTATGGTTGCCTCGTTGCACCTTGAGCTCAACGAGCTGCCAGAGACCGGTGTCCAGGACCAGAGGGGCGAAATCAACAAGAACGCCTTTGTTGAGACTGTCGCCCAGGTGAGACGCCTTTTGCACAAGTACGGCGTTGACTCCGTCACCATCCAGCCAGAGTTCCCCAAGCAGATCCAGAGACAGCTGAGCACACTCTACGGTACTACAAAGACCAGCGCCTCGTGCACGTAAAAGTCCAAAACATGCCTGATATTTAGATATGGTACAAACTATAAACGAAAAATTATTAAACCCGACCCAGAAGTAAGGCGGCCTATCTAGAGGCGACGCCGGCTCAAAGCTGACCGGCGAACAATCAGTCGATGTGCCGTGCCAACTCAATGCAAGAAGTGAATGTGTGCTTTTCAAAGAGTGCTTAACGAACAAAGTCCTTCATGTAGACCGTCCTGTAAGGCACCTTCTTGACATTGTACTTGTTCTTCTTCCTCTTCTGGTCGTCAAAAGACTCGTACCGCAGCTTGCTCTTGCTCTTGAAGAAAGAGAAGCCAGATGTCGTCAGGTCAGTGGAGTAGACAGACTCGTTGTCGTTGACAACAGGTCTAGAGTACACCAGGGCAGCGTAGCCCACAGGAGGCTGCTTGCTCTGTCTTCTGACATCCGAGGCAGACACACGGCTAGTGGTGTTGATGGTGGAAACCTCGTAAGCAGAGGAGCTCACCGAACTGCGTCTAGCGTCAAACTTAGGCTGGCTTGGCGTAGGCGCCTTGGTTGGCTTTCTGTTAGGAGCTACGTGCTTCACAGGAACAGGAGCCTCCTTGGTGATGCCCTTGGTGGATGGAGGAAGAGGTGCATGGATAGGTGCCAGGATCTTGGCTGGAGTAGGCTTTGGCTTCTGCTCCTTGGTGCCGAAGAACGATCCAAGCTTAGCACGGAATCCCCTCTTCTCCTTCTTCTCTGTCTTCTCCGTCTTGTTGGCAGCTGGAGCAGTCTTTGGAGCAACAGGTGCTTCCTTCTTGAATGGCTGAGCTGGTGGCTGCAAAGGCAAGGACGAGACACTGCGGGAAGATGTAAGTCTGGCCAAAGATGGTGGAGCAAGAGGCTCGCGGGTCTCGGGGTAGGCAGACTCAGTCAAAGACACATTCAGCAAAGAAACGTTCTCTGGGTGGTTGTAGCCCAAGTCCTCCATCTCCTTCTTGAGCACAAAGGAAGAGCGCATAAAGCCCAAAGAGGCCCTCTTGCCGGGAGTGTACATCGATCTGGCGGACAAGGAAGGAGTGGAGCCAAAGCTACGGTGCATCATGGGGAAGGCCGTGGAAGATGGAGCAGGCAACAGTTGCATGAAGCTAATGTCGCTCAGCTGAGACATCTTGGTGTTGTGGCTGCGGAAGCCGTAGCCCTTGGCCATATCTGGGGAGTAGCCCGAGCCAGACGAGATGGACGACTTGTAGTCCAGGTTGTGCAACGAGAGCGACGAGGTTCTCGAAGAGCCGTCCTTGTTGGAGCTGTCGTAGTCCGAGGTCTCCTCGTCAATCTCAGTCTCGGCAATTGGCGCAAGACCCTTGATGCCGAAGCTGTTGGAGTCAAACACCTGGTTCAGGCGCTTGTGAGAGTACTCCTCGTGAGGAGCCAAGTCGAACTCGTCCTCCACATCGGAAATGGGGCTCTCACACGAGCTTCCAGACCACAGACGCTGGGCCTCCTGCTCCATAGAAGCACCGAGGTCGGACAGGGTTCTGCGGTGGTGAGAAGAACGGCGTGGGTCGAAAGGCGCCGTCTTGTTCTTCACCTCAAAGTCGTCAGTGTCGAGACCAAGGCCAAGCTCTTGAAGCTGAGCGGCAGAATCTCTTCTGGACGACCTTGGAGTCAAAACCGGCTCCTCCTCTCTTCTCTTGGCTCTGGGGTCAAATGGAGCCTCTGGGGCCTTGACCTTAGGCTTCTGAGCCTGCCTAGTAGCCAGAGGGGCCTTAGAAGCAGGCTGCTTGACAAAAGTCGCTGGAACCTTCACCTGGACGGGGTCCTGAGGGCTCTCAGTGACAGAGCGGCGGAATCCACGGTACTTCTCATTCTGGAGGTTGATCTGGATGGTAGAGCCAGCCTTCTCCTCGAGACGAGGAAGTGGGCTGCTCTTGAAAGTTGGTGTTTCGGGCTCAGCAGCCTCCTGAGGCTGAGGAGACTCCACAGGCTGAGGAGACTCCACGGGCTTTGGGGTCTCTGGAGCAGCTCTGGAAGGAGCTCTGGCGGGCACCTTCAATGGAGCAGTCTCCTCAATCAGCTCAGTCTCAGAGGCAGAAGAGCGCTCAGCACCCTGGGAGATCAACAGCTCGACATCCAGCTCCTCGTTCTGCAAAATACAGTTGGCAATGTAAATGTACGTTTGCACCCACAAGGTCTCCAAGCCAGCGTGGAATTGTGGGCCAAGCGTCTGGCGCAAGTACTGGATCAAAACGGCACCCATGGGTTCCAAGTAACGGACGCCGCAGCGAACAATGTGGGGGTTTTCCCTGATGAACTCGTTCATACACTCGTCCAAAACGGTGATGTTGTGGAGGTACATCATGGTGAAGCCCATAATCTCAGCAAAGAGTGTTTCCTGCTGAGCTCTCACCTTCTTGTTCTCAAACAAGTCTCTGGCGTCCTCGCTCTGCTCAATAAGGGAAGAGAACATCTCGTGGATCACCTGCTCGGTTTTGTAGTCCTTGGCCGCCATGGCATCGCCCCACAGGGCTCTGACCTTGTTGCGGTCGGCGGTAGAAAGCTGTAGAGTAGCCATCGTGGTTGGGAGGTCGTTTCTGCTTTTGGCTGCGAAAACGGAGGGTATAAGACCAAAGGTTCGAAAAGAAAATAGGTGTTTTGGAAATCCCCTGGAGCAGAAATTGCCATTCTTTTATAACACAGGCGACGATAACGCCGCTTCTCCACAATGGATCGTTGGCGACTTACCAGATGGGGGCATAACGGGTGTGTGCTTTTTGCCCATCATGGAATCGCTCTCTGTGACAGGAGTGCGGTGGACTATTACTATTCCGCATCGGGAAGTTTGTGCTAAAGGCCTATGCACACCGCACCCTTCCACGCAGCACTCATTTCCTCTTGCGGTAACATAACTGCGGCTGGACCCTTCACCTTATGCTATACTGGGTAATCTCTGGGAGGTTATTTCCCAGCAAAAGGGCCAAATTTGCGTCCACTCACCGTGCCTTGCACTCCAGCCGAATAATGGCAAAGCTGTCTTTCAAAGACAGTCACGCTCTTTGTATTGATAAGACTACAATATGGGGATGTCGTAGCCAAGGCTGTCATGTCACTCCGCACGTCCCCTGCTATTACAAGACCTAGGTTGACAACACCCAAGTAGGAAATGTAGTGAGACCCCCTGATGCCGAGTCAGACTGGTGCGTGATTACGGGCACGGTGGGTCAAATTAATTACTCGAGTCAGCTAAAACCGGTATGGAGGCTATTATTCGGCGAGTGCACTAAACGACAACTAAACGCTACTATATTGCAGTTACCCAAATTGTCAGGAGCTCATAGGGGCTTATCACCTACCGCAGACCGTAACTAGATCTACGTTTGGAACTGGCGTGACTTTTCCATATTACTACATCCATAGAACCCAATATATATTACAAACCGTGGCCGGGTTGCCCGCGAGACCGGTGCTGCCCCAGGGCTATTGCTCCCCAGGCATGCTAGTGCTTCAAGTGCTCCGTCACGAGAGGAGTTTCTTCCTGCTTAATCTCCGGACCAGCCTTCTCGTTGTTGTACTGCTGCTGCTGCTGCTGTTCCTCTTCCTCTTCACCGTCAACCCAGCTCTCTGCCTTCTCTAGCTGGTTGTTGAACACCGTGGTGAGGCGTCCAATCATGTTGAGAGACTCCTTGGCAAAGGTCACAATCTTGTCGTTCGTCTGCAGCGAACTTGACGAGCTGTGTTGCACTTGGTTGGGCAAGTTGAGGATGATCTCACGGATGGTGGACTTGAGACGGAGGTCTTCGCTATCCTGGCCTTCGCCAACACCCTTGTCGGCAACTAGAGACGATGGACGGAAGTTCGATATGACATGAATAATTTTCTTCACAGTAGTGACAATCTCGGTCTGTGTTTCTTGGGGGTCAGCAAAATCCAGGCGAGCCAGCGACACTGCAGTCAACTCAGTATCCAGGCGAGACTCGGACAGCGGCTCCGAGCGTGTAAAAGTGTGGGTATCGTCGCCCTTCTCCTCCAGCTGAGGAGTGGAAAGCTGCTCTTGGTGGCGGTTGTCGGTAATTACCCTTTGCAAGCAGTTGACACGGTCATTAATCTGTCTGTTGGCAAGCTTCAAGATGTGCAAGCAGAACTTTAGCCTCTTCTTGGTTTCGGTCTTCTCTGTAGGCGTCACACGGCGCTTCTTATCCCGCCTTGCTTCATGGAGACGGGCCTGGTGCATGCTGTTGAGGTTCACTTCAATCTTGCTGAAGACGGGCATAGCAGCCTTTTCGACAATGCCAGCGGCATAGTTCAACGAGGCGTAGTTCTTCTTCAGGTCTTCGTAGTACTTGATGGCGTTGGTCACGATCGGATGCTTCGAGACGGCGCTCACCCCCAGAACGATAGGATGCTGTTGACGCTCCAAGTCCGCAAGGGACGTTGAAGACATAGGCAGGGCCACAGAAGACTCGCCTTCAGGGCCAGGCAGGTGTGCCAAGTTGGCCAAAACCTCAGCGGCTGAGACAGCGCTCTCGTCATTCTCGGAGTGGCCCATGTTGGGAGTTGTGGGAGAGTCCGCAACTGCCGCAACCTTGTTGGAAGGCCCCTGGTCGTAAGGAGGCGGGTCGGCGGGAAGCGAGTCCGACAACTTTCTCTTTCTGCCTTCAGTCATTATGTCACACTGGTGAGGAGTTTTAATGTGGGAGTAGCGAGTTGATATAGGTGAAATGCTGCGAGTGAGGCACATGTGAAAAAGCCGCGCAGAGGTGGGTGTGAGACTGGGGCATGTGAAAGCGAGGTGAGTCCTACGCCTGGCTGCTTAAACAGGGTGCTCTCTTTTCACACCAGCTGCCTGGCGTTTTTTGGCAAAGCGCCACTTTCATGTGAGACTTCTTCACACCCGTTATCTTTAATTTCTTCACAACCTCTTCCACTTCGTCCGACTCTGGCGTTTCGCAAGATCCCAATGCATGGAGGGGGGGTTTCCCCACCACCCTGCAACTCAAAAATCCAACACCTCACCAGGTCATTTAGCCTGTCAAAATAACCCCTGTTCGGACTTAATCTCATGATGTCCGCAATCCCCCGACACGACCCAAATTTTGCTTATCATGCTAACCGCTCAACAGCGAGATCGTGCCCCGCGGTGTTTGCAGCCATTCCCTGCCGCAGCTAGACATCTATTGTTACTGAGATCCTACTCCCAATTCAGCAGCATGCCCCACCAATATTATTCGGTGCGTGCTTTTACGAGAGCGTCGGGCCCGTAGAGCCTTTCTTCTTCTTCAAGCCGGCCCATCAGGATCCAGCCTCGGTTGGCGATGAACACCCTTCTGTATTTCTTTTTCGTGGCTGGATCGAGTCTGCACACTTCGGCGTACGTGAGTTTTGGGGCCTCTGATGAAATGGTGGACAAGTTTGGTCCTTCCGGCTTTTTCTTTCTCTCAATGTAATCCCGGAGAGCCTTTCTGCCTTCTTCGGAGGAAATGTCAAACGACGGTTTGGGAGATCCCAGGGTCAGCGCTGAGGCTGGTTTGGCCTCGGTATGTGCTGCAGCAGGGATAGTAAGCCTGGAGCCCGAAGGTGAGGCTGACTTCGGCACTTGAGGCCCGTTGGATGTGGTGATTGGGCCGAATCTGACAAATTTGGTGCTTTTCTTGCTGTCTGCCGGTGAGTCCGTTGAGGCGTTTTTTGCACCCATTTGCACAGAACCGTGGAATTCGTGAGCCGTGTGCAAAAGGTCGTCCGATGAAAGCCCCAGGCTGGATTCTACAAACCCGCTTGACCCAAAGGATTCCAATTCTTTAACTCTCCTTACCCGCTCTAACCCAACACTCAGCCCTCCCAGTAACTCGGCACTCTCAGCCAAGGCTACCGTTCGCGGCGGAACAATGGCAGCTTGGTTCCTAGAGTGATACTTATATCCCTGTGTCTGGAGCGAAATCGCCTTCAAAGTGGCCACTGCTGTTTGAAGCTGCTGTTGTTGTTCTGGAGAAAACACATCATGGACGTTTAACGCTGAATCCAGAGCACCGGTGTTGAGGGCACCGATGTCGAGAGCAAGGAGCTGGTCCAACACCTGGTAGCCTTTTTCAAGCCGATTGATCTCTTCATCCTTGTGGCGAACTTCAATGAGTCTCTTGCGAGAACGTTCCCATCCAGAGGCAAGAAGACATCCCACGACGAACGCAATGATTGTCCCACTTGTTGGAAATTGAGGCAGAGCTGATTCTGACCAGGGGAGAGTTGGATGATCTGGAGGCGAAAGGGTAGTCAAATTCACAGGTTCCTCGGCTTTGAACGTGTTCAAAACCCAACCCTGGGAGCCTATACCCTGAGCTGGCAGAAGGAGAGTAATGACCCTGTTTGTTGCAGATAGTGGATTCGATAAGGCGGTTGAATTGATGCCAACCCACGATAGAGGATTGAAGAGCATACCGGAGAAATAATATAAAGAAGATGTTGACTATCTGGGAAAAAGGTGTGATTGTGAGGTGCCGCCTTTTGCAGCCAGGTGCCGAAAGGGAATGGCTGATTCGCACCTCGTCAGGTAGGAGACCCTTTGCAGACTATAGTTCTGCTAAACTGTAAATTCAACGGAAGTGCAGTAATTTAAACTTACAGAATACTTCTCCCGTTGCATCGCCGAATTTCACACCAACATTTCAATTTCCGTGGCGTCGACTCAGCCAAGACGTTACCACACCAGTGCCCCACATGTCGAGCCTCGCTCATGCTTGATCTGATAACATCCATCGTCTCCACCTCCTTTTCAGCACAAGTCTGATATTATGTCCCAGGACAAAAACAACCCCCTACAGTCCCCAACGGCTACACTGCCCGCTTCGACGACAACTACAAGCACTGGTTTTTCGTGGACTTGAGCACGAAAAAGTCTCTGTGGGAGGCTCCCGAAGGCACCACTTGGTCCAAGGGAGACGACGTTGCTCCTCCTCCTTACAACCCTACCGGATCCGGTGGAGGAAGCAGTGATGCCAATCGCTCCCAGGCACCTCCTCCAAACCAACAAATGGCTCCACAGGGTGGAGCCGGTGGTTTCCAGCAACAGGGATATGGCGCTGGTCCCGGAGCTGGTCCTGGCCCAGGTTACGGCGGCTATCCACCCCAGGGCTACGGCTATCCTCCTCAGCCCGGTTACGGGGGCTACCCTCCACAAATGGGTTACGGTGGCTACCCACCTCAGCAGGGATACTACCAACAGATGCCTCCTCAACAACAGCAGCAGCAAAGACGTCAAGGTTTTGGTGCCGGAGGTATGGCTCTCGGTGCCGGTGCTGGTATGTTGGGTGGTATGATGATGGGAAACGCCATGGCCAGCAGTCAGGCCAACGCTTACGCCGACGGATACAACGACGGTAACATGAACGATGACTATGGCGGCGGTGGCGACTTTGACGGAGGCGACTTTTAGAGGCCGCTGAAAAGAATGCGAGGTAACATAAGATTTGTTCCTTCTGGATTTGAGCTTACGTGCTGGGCCATTGTTCCTGCCTCCACTGTTACATAGAACTACAAGAAAAGTCAAATAGACATTAGTTTCAATTTTTAGTTTGTAGCTGGGAAATAATTAGCTTTTGGAGGCTAATTGATGACTTGGTTGCAGAACAGACATTTGGAGTACTCTTTTCTTCAAGTGTCTTACATTCAAGCCACTCCCGGTATCCACATTGCCATTCGGCCGGCCGAGTTTCATGACAAAGTGACTTCTTAACTTTAGTGGTTGAGAGGAATAACCTTCATTCCAACTCCGAAGCTGTCGGCTTGACATACAATTCACTTCTGGCTTTTGCAACCGTTAACTACACGCGAACCTAGACCACATTAGCAAGGATTTCAAAGATTTAAGACTTCGAAAGCAGGAATTAACTATAAAGGTTAGTCCTATCCGTTATAGAAAACTATTTTCTGAAAAGAAAAAGTCTTATGTCTAGCATTGGTCCCATGGCTTCCGTAGGCCATCCTTCACACCCGTGCACCGCGACTCAACCAACCAAAAGACATTTTTTTCTATTACGCTTGAGCATCTTGAGCACTACAAACATGAAATTCACCAGAGTGTTAAGACAAGCCGAGGAGGTCCTCGTCAAGGCCGCCTCTGGCTACCCTACGGGTTTGGCTGGTTTGTACCAGCACCCCAACCCAAGACCAGCATTGATTTCCCTCTACAACTACACCTTGAGTTACCTTGGGAATAACTTCCCAGACCACTCCGTGTACAGACAGTCTGTGGAGGCTATGACTAAGAACAGATTGAAGATTGTCGAGGAGAACGAGATCAACGAAGTCATTGAGAACAAGATCGGTGGTGGTTTGATTGAAGAGATCGTGGTGCAGGCTAACGAAGAACTCCACTTGGCTAGAGAGTTGTCCAAGTTGAAGGTCTGGGAAGAGTTGGAGGAGAAGCCATTGGAGGACCAGTGGACATACTTTGGTAGAAAGATCAACCAATAGGTAGAGAGTATATACGACAGGGCTAATGTAAAATAAGTATCATTTATCCAACACGTACGCTATAAAGCAGAATTAGTGCCGGCTCCCAAAGTCATGATGGGGCAGGGCTAGTAGAATGAGCGGCCGCTCAACAGCAGTTGTTCTTCACGCTGTTGGTGGTCAGTGAGACGTTAATACCTGAGCTGCCCTGTTGAGGCTCCTCGTCGACGGTCTTCTCCTGGATAATGCCAGCCAACTCGTAGAAGATTGCCTCCACGTTCTCGTTGGTCTTGGCACTGGCCTCCAAGAAGGGAATCTTCAATTTGGAAGCCAACTCCTCACCCTGCTCTCTGGACACCTGTCTGTTTTCCTGGTCGTCACTCTTGTTACCAACCAAGAAGATCTGGGCGTTTTCATTGGCATGAGGAGTGACGGTGTTGAACCAGTTCTCGACGTTCTCGAAAGTCCTGGCGTCGGTGACATCGTAAATCAACACAATACCACGGGCGCCTCTATAGTAAGAGGTGGTGATGGTACGGAAACGCTCCTGGCCGGCGGTGTCCCAAACTTGCAACTTGATCTTCTTGCCTTTGCTCTCAATGGTTCTGATCTTGAAGTCAATGCCGATCGTAGTAATGAAGGAAGGGTTGAACTTGTCTTCAACGAAACGTAACAACAAACACGACTTTCCAACTCCGGAGTCGCCGATAAGCAACAACTTCATAATCATGTCATACGACCTAGATGGCGCTTTATCACTCATGATGGCTGGCTGTTTCTGTGGGTTCGATAGGGTTGAGCAACCTACGGCGGCGTGGTTGATGGGGATTGAGATTGAAAATTTGGGTTACCTCAGAAATCTGCGAAAGAAGGCTGCTGTAAAGTTACCTCCGATTTGAATGACTAGCACTGAAATGGCCCTTAGTGGTTGTCCCGGTTTGACTTCAATATGCGACAGGTGCACGGAGCCCGGTCGTGCCAGCGTAGTATATGTACTGCAGGAAGGAGCACAAGTGGACACCGGGTAGACAACATTAGACGGTGAATGGATCGGATAATTCAAATTTCTATGCAATTGCCGATCTTCTGATCTTGTAGATACTGACGACTTTTTGTGTGGGTTGGGTAAAACCAAAGGGATGATTCTTGCTGAACGTTGCTCGTATAGCATGGCTGCGACACAGCCAAATGACCACACCCAGCGACACATATAGCATACTACTAATTGGGCCAATCTGCAATTGCACTAGAGATGTATTTCGGATTATGCGGAACACGTCTTTTTTTGCAGAGGCGGTGCAAAAATCAATTCCTCTTGATGCCGATTTTTGACCTACTATATTCTCTACACGTACTCTCTATGACAGTATATCTTTATAACGGTCTAATTACAAGAAGACCTCGGCATTAATCTCGACCGACGAGGCGGCATATGGGATCTCAAAGTGGCCCAAAACTTCAGGATGCAACACACCAATGGCACCGATGTGTTGAGGCTCAGCTCCCTCGCTTACTCTGAAGAAGATCTTGGCACCTCTTCCTGGGAAGAAGGTAGGGTTGGAGTCGTCCTGCTCAATCCAGTAGCCTCTGGTCTTGTTCTCCTGTGGCTTTTCTATCCATGGGGTTCTCACTGTTTGCATGATCTTACCCAACAAACCCTGGACAAACTCGAAACCAGAGGTCTTGCCAGCGTAGATGGCGCTCCAGTTTCTTTGGTTGAGGGCTCTTCTCTCCAAGTTGTTGTCCTTCAAAACAATGTCACCACACTCGAAAACCTTGATAGGCAATGAGTGTTTTCTGTTCTCCTTGATAGTTTTAAGAATACCTGGAAGCAAGGTAGTTCTGACAACCTGGTATTCGAAAGTCTTGGGGTTCTCCAACTTGACCGCCGTCTGGCCGTCGTCTTGAAGTCTCAAGAATTTGAAGTTTTCATCATGCGAGCACAAAGTCAAGGGCAACACTTCCAAGTAGCCCGACTGGGAGGAGGCAAGTCTGAGAATGTCGGCAACCTTGTTGATTGGCAATGGAGCAGCGACCAAGGAATCACTCTGAGGCTTGGTCTTCTTCAAACTGTTGTAGCCGTAGCCAATTGCAGCATCTTCCATGATGTCACATTGATGCAAAATGTCACTTCTGGTGATTGGGATCTTGACGTCAAGAGTCGTGTCGTCAGCAGGCTTGGCCTGCAAGGACATCTTCTTCAACAACTTGGAGATCTCCTCGCCGGAGTAGTCCAAGCCCAAGCACGAGTTGATGTAGGGTACCTCGGCCTTGAAAGGTCTAGGAGTGATATTAGGGCTGACTCTGTCCTGCTTGTTGTGCGAGGAGTTGATTTGAACTGGCTCGATGACGAATGGCTTCTTGCAGTGACCAGAGAACATGGCGACCATCTGCTCAATGACAATGTCAGTCTTGGTCTTGTCAGTACCGGTGACCTCAATAAAGACGTTTTTCGTATTGAGGGAGATCTTGGAGTGGTTGGAGTTGATGATAGGTGGCAAGGAGCAGACATTTCTCTTGGAGTCATAAATGACTGGGTATACTGGCGAGTCTCTGATGATGTGCAAATACTTACCCAAGTTCTTGTCCTTGTCGTAGAATTCCATCAACTCTTCACCGTTCATAACCTTCTCCTGGTTCAAAGGAGCGAACTGAATGTCTTTAGGAGGCAAAGCCTGGTAGACGAATGGTGGGGTCAAAGTGTCCAAGTCGTGAGTTCCGATAGCGACCAAGGTTCTGTTACGGCACAAGTTTGTGTGCAATTTGTCCTGCAAAGCAATGAAAGAGGCGTACTTTCTCTCGTCGAACTCAACATCTCTCAAGACGGCAGCAGCGGCGTAAGGTCTGATCTGCTGGGTGGACTCCTCAATTGTCATGCTGATCTCAGGCTTGGAAGGCTCCAAAACGTAGTTGGGAGCTTCTTTTCTACCCAAAAACTCATTGAGAGCCTGAGCAATACCTTCAATACACAACATATCATATCTGTTGGCAGGAACCTCGATCTTCAACTGAGGTCTCTCACCTTCGGCACAATCATCTGTGGTGTCCTCGTCCAACTCGAGGCCGAAGTCGAAACACAACTCATCGAATTCCTCAGTAGTGTATTCTTTGCCTAGAAGCTCGTAAAGATCGGCTTTGTCACAAGGTATAGTAGGCATTCTGGTGAAATTCGGTGAAGCTCGGTGCACCTCTAAATTTTTTTGAACTCAGAGTGAGTAGTACAGGTCTGAAAATTACGCGCTAAATGAGTCAGGCTCCCACATTGGTCTATCAAATGCAATTCTGTAGCTATGTCTATGTTTCCTTATTCTCTTTGCTAAGTGGATTTGGGATCTTGGTTCTGAGATTTTGGAACATGTTTGTTGGTTCTTTCTCCAACTCCACATCCTCATTCATCTTCACCTCTCTCTGCGAAAGATCAACATCCTGACGGACTTTCTTGAGCTGCTCAGAGTCTTGTTCACCTAGCTTTTCGATATCGTTTATCTCTTCTGCCAAAGCATTGATGTCAAAGATGGGCTCAGCAGATTCCTGCTCCGTTTCTCCACGTCTAAGCGTACCGGTGGTTTGTCCGGCATTCTCATCGTACTCCTCAAATTCGTCAGCCTTCTTCTCTTCTTCCTGCTTGGCGGCTTCGTCATAAACTCCCCACCAGTTCTTCTGCTTCGGCTTGAACCAGCTCTTCCACGACTTCTGCTCCTTCTGAGCTTCCTCCATCTTCTCTTTCTCCATCTTCGCTCTGGCTTCGTCAAACTCAGTAATAAGCTGTCTTTGTCTTTCACCCTGCTCTGGATCAGGCTCTTCGATTTCAGCAAACTCGTCACTCAAAACTTCCCAATTCATCAAACGCAAGATTTTGGGAACTGCTTTTCTGTATGACATATGGCCCTCCACAAGTTCAGTACAATCAAAGTTCTCCACATCAGGAATGTTTTCAATTGGTGAAAGGCCTGCAACAGTCAGTAAACCTCCACCAGTTGCACGGAAGAGATAACCAAGGATCCAGTCGTTCTTGGAGTAACCGTTGACAAACTTACCACTGACAACAGAGCGAGCCAATGTGATTTGCTCATACTTCACCGCAACAGGGTTACCTAAAAGGATGACATTCTCGACAAGGCCATAACCTCCACGCTGTGCAAGCTCTATAAGACACAGGTAGATCAATCTGGAACCAAGCGAGAAACCAACCAAGGTTATGGGTCTCACACCCATGTTGCCCGACATCAACGTATCGGCCAAGATCTTTCCAGCTTTCCAAGCCCTATCAAGAGAAACATTCCATGGATTATCAAGCAAATAAGAAAGCTTTGAAAGGGCCATTGGAAGCTGAATGGCGGACATCAACGCCGAAAGGATTGTTGCACCAAGAATCTGTTGAATAGATGTACTCAAAGCTTCTGTAGCCAAAATACCAATTGTCTGACCCATGGATCTCAACATCTCTGGTTCCCAAAGCAAGGAGAACATATCACCCATGACAGGATCAACTGTGGAAAAGGGGAGACGAACATCATCTAGATCACCGTTCATCCAGCCACTGACTGTCACGATAAGATTGGTTCTCTTGTTGTTGTGTAGAGGTTTTAACTCAAATGTCTGGACATCGCCTGTTCTTCTTGCACCTGCTTTGGATCCCATCTTGGCGCCGGCAGCAACACCACCGGTGGTGATAATGGCACTACCACCAACACCAGCGAGAAATCCACTTGTACCTCCAATACCAACAGTGGTCAAACCAGCTGCTAAACCAGCTCCAATCAAAGGAGCCAATAGACCAGCAGATAAACCGATCGCAAGGGAGCCGCCAATAGTAGCCATACCAATGTAGGCCAATCTCTTTCTCTTGTTCTTCTGGATGTGCTTCTCGATAAACAGCCTGTCGCTCAATTTGTCATCTCTGTTTTCGATACTCTTCTGGCCTGTGTCCATCTCCAAACTCTCGATAAGTCTTCTCTCAAATTGGTATACTTCGATGTTTAGAATCCCCAAGTAATTGGCAAACGCAATGAACAACGTTCTGGATCTGCTGTCAAAATACCCGTCACTCAAGAGCAACAAGAATAAATCACAGACAAGCACCCAACGTAAGTCGAAATCTTTCGATAATTGGTTGACAATGGGTTTTTGGGTCTCAAGCATCAACAAGCTTTGCGAGAGGTCTTCAACTTGCACACCATGAGTGCTCAAATTGTCTATCATGCTCTTTTCTTGCTTCGTGATATCCAAATGATCCTCTAACTTGGACATAATGTATTTGGTCCAGTTTGCGAAGTTCTTTTGAGCGAGCCCCATAGGCTTCGACATCCTAAAAGTTGTTCTCTGATTGAGCTTCGCCAAAGCAGCCGCTTGGTCAACGGTGATAAGCTTCACCATACCAATGTATGCAAATTTCTGGGATTCAGTCAAAAGACCTCTTGTACCAGCAAGGGTCTCTTTAGAATCGATTCCATCATCCCCGTTATCGAATGTCTCATCGTCCGAATCCTCATCATTCTTGGGCTCATGCAGCCCCAGGAGCTCGAACAAGAAGTTTGTCTTGGCATCAAGCCTAGCGTATTTGTTAAGTTGTTCCTCGGTATCGATCTTGGTGTAACCTCTAGCATCTCTATGTTCAAGCAGCTCGAATTCGTTATCCTTTGTGAATTCAAGATTTCCCCGTTCATCGTAATAATCCTGTTTTGCTACTTTCTTCATTGATTTCCACCCGTCTGAATTGGAACTGAAGAAGTCTTCTTCTGGCTTTGGTTTCTCATCCTCGTCCTCCTTCTCGCTTAGTTCGGTGGTAGCATTCGACTTGGTATGGGCATGGCCTCTTGTAACGTCGTCACTGCTGACGATTTGCGGTTCAGGCAGTCCGCTACTGAGGTTGAATTCAACAAATGATTGAGGAGTCTTTGGGGGCCCGTAGGTAGCCAGCTCAGGAGGGTCATTCTTATCCTTACTGTCTAGGGCTGGAAGTGCCGGAAGCTCTCCAACGCCGATTCTGGAATTAAATTCACGAGAGTTGTTTTTCGAAAAGGTCCGGGGTAGCGAATAACGCTCTGATTCTTTCTCCTCACTCATAATACTGAAGAAGTAGCAAGGGTGGTTTAGGAGGGATAATGTATGTACTAATGTATGTGGTGTGCAGGGATTACAACAACCGAGCCGACAAGAAAATCAACCAGCCAAGTAAACAAACGCCATCGAGCGTTCCTTCATGGGTGATTTGAGCTTTGAAAAACCAATGAAAGCGTATTCTACTTGAAATGCCCAAGAGAAGTGGCGAAAACTCGATATCAGGCTCATCAGGGACAACCGATCTCCAACAGAAAGAAATCGGCAGAGGAAATCTCGCCCAACGCATAAGTTGTAAGTCCAGCTTTGCTCAAGACTCGAGACAAATTCTAAAATATAAAAAAGTGTTACGTATGTGTGCAACATGGTTTTACTCAGACGATCAGCAGCCAAATGGCCTCCGCAGAGTCCAGGAATATGTTGCCTGAAGCCATAGTGGCCGAGCTGCAACTACAAACATCATGCTAGGCACAACGCTTGCAGTGAGCTCAAGACCGGCCCCTCACTCTGCAACCTGTCGACGGAGCTACTCTGTTCAAAGGCTCAAAGAGCACTGGGCAACTATACCGACATTTCCCACTCACATCTAGCGCCTAGCCACAATCGCTCAACCCCTTTCGGAGGACCAATTGCAACTAAACACGTCAAAACAACATGAATGGCCAGGACGAGTCCTGGTGAAGAAATGTCGGAAGGGAGATGCCCATCAAACTTGCTTCTCGAGCGCCGATCTGCTAGAGGCGTCGCCACAGCAGTGAAAGAGCAACCTCTTGCGAGATTTAGCCCCAACACGGCGCTGGGCTTTTCCCCTAACACAGGTTGGTGTTGAGATAGAGAAAAAAAAAATCTAAGTGAGCGAGATGAGCGCTTTTTATAGTCGCGAGGCAGGACGGCCCATCCTCATCGCATTATTCAGTACTGAGCCCTAATTGCAACCATGAATAGAAGACGGGCCAATTACGCTGCCAAAGCGGAAGCCAAAGGTTCAAAATCGCCTGATTCAGAAAAACCATCTTCGAGTGCTAACCTTCCGTTCGCTTCTGATTTTGCATTACACCCTGCTAAAGTTCTAGATCTCTTTTTAGAGAACTTCAAATATGTCCTAGCTGCAGATGATCTTCAAGAAAATATTCAACGAGTCAAAAGTGACCTTTACAACCGTGACTACCTTGCTGCATTTGACTGTGATGATAAGAGGTTTGCCTATGTAGCCAGATGGTCGCCAGCTAGGGCTTTGGCATACGCATCCCTCTTCTCATCTCTCGAGCCCCTTCGAAATCTCCTTGCTGACCCAAACAAGGAAACTAAAGCATTATGTATTGGAGGAGGCGCCGCATCGGAATTGGTTGCTTTGGGGTCAGTGTTTGCCTGTTTAAAGCGGCCCAATGCCGATACGCCTTCCAACTTGCATCTAGACGTCATTGATATTGCCGACTGGTCAAGAGTGGTCAAGAACTTGACTACACACATGCAATCCCAATGGTTTTACAACCACGAGAAGCTTAGCAGCAACTTTGTCCACGGTGACGTTCTTACACAAGAGGCGGCATCTCTTCGCCTTCCTGAGTTGGACTTTGTCACACTTCTTTTCACCACCAACGAGCTCTTTTGTGAAAAGAAGACCGAAACCATCAAATTCTTGCATTCATTGAGCTCTAATTGTCATAAAGGTGCCTTGCTCCTCATTGCCGAGAGTGCGGGATCTTACTCACACATCACTGTGGGATCCAAAAAGTTTCCTGTTCAATTTCTTGTGGACACCATCTTAGCCGGCAGGCCTGGGCAGGATGATGGTGCCTGGGAAATTGTTGAGCAAAATGAAAGCTGCTGGTACAGAATCAACACGAGTGAGGTGGAGTATCCCATCAAGTTAGAGAATATGCGGTTCTTCTTCCGCTTATATAGAAAGAAGTAAACGCTCCGTTTAGAGTGACAATTTGCCCAATTTTTTCTCGACCGCCTCCGTATCAGCATCTTTGTCCGATTTGGTGACATCGGGCTTTGTAGCTTCTTCCTTCGCAATCTCCTCGGCGACTTCATGAGCCTTTTCTTCAGCTGTCTCGGGTGTCTTCTCAGAAACTTCAGACTTAGCTTTCTCGTGAAGTTCATCTAGTTCGTCCCTCCAACCTAAGAGGTCGGCAAGGAGTTCGGCTGCCGAGTCACAATCGTCCTGTAAGACTATGTCGTTCTTGCGCTTAGCGTACTTGAAGTCACCAACGACTTCTTTGTTAATTAAGGCACGCAATGTCTTTTTGCCACATTCGCTGGGCAAATTGGCGAATGGCATCACAGTCAATGAGGTACCGGCCACTATAGCCACCTCCACTTCATCAGCGTCGTCACGCCATGAATAGAAGAATCTTTCAGGAAGGCCTTCACCAAAGAACGTTATGTCTGGCTTGATGTATCCCTTGCACTTTTGGCAAAGTGGGATACCCTCATTCTTGGATTTATCAAAAATGAGCTTCTTCAATGTCTCACTTGACATCTCCTCTTTACAGTCGATGCAGTGGTTGCTTGCAAATGATCCGTGTGCCTCAACCATGAACTTATCCTCGATTCCAGCAATTCTCTCCAACGTATCAATGTTTTGAGTGTAAACTCTCTTCAAAAGCTGCTTATCTTGAAAGAGCCTCACAAGATAGTGAAACTTAGAGGGCACGAACTTACCTGGGTAAAGCTCATCGCACAAAGTATAGAATGCCTTTGGGCTTTCTCTAAAATAATCAATATCAAAAACTGCCTCGGGGTAAGGAAGATCTAGCTTCTGGAGATTCGAGTATAAGCCGGTCTTGGGGCTTCTAAAGTCGGGAATACCACATGAAGTCGAGATTCCAGCGCCCAAAAAGAATGTTACTTTCTTTTTCTTTTGCTGAATAGCCTCAATAAGCGGCGCTAGCTTCTTCTCGGGTGTAGGGGACGAGAAAAACATGGATAGTGGTATTTCCTCTTTCTCCGATAAGCCCAAGCTCTTATGTGTCTGCACAGGAATCAGCAAAGTCCGAAAGCATGGATAAGGACAACTAGAGTGGAAGGTTGACTAGCATCTTTTGATGCGTTGGAACTTGAATTGAATAATGACTTGATATTTATTTTCTTCCTGAAAAACCATATGGCAAGATCTAGAGATAGATCACCTGTAGCAGTGTTTTCATGCATACAATGTGTGGCCTTCGAAAGTCTTGCTGTGCTCCAAATTTCGTACTAGACTTGTCTTTCAGCAATGAAGGTATGTACAATTACTTTGAAACATGAATCTTAACTAACGTTTAGCAAAGAATCACATCATTGGATCTCCAGATCCTAACGGGTGAATTGCGAGAAACACTCTTGAACTACAGGTTGCAAAATATCTACAATGTAGCCAACTCGTCTAGACAGTACATCTTGAAGTTTGGTTTGCCTGATTCAAAGAGAAGTCTCGTTCTTGATTGTGGAAATAAGCTCCATTTGTCCGATTTTGAGAGACCAATTGCTCCAGCACCATCCAATTTCGTCACTAAGTTGAGAAAGCATTTGAAGAGTAGGAGGCTTTCGAACTTGAAGCAACTCAGGAATGACAGGGTGCTTGTCTTTGAGTTCTCTGATGGTCAATTCTATCTTGTGCTTGAGTTCTTCAGTGCTGGTAATATGTTGTTATTGGACCACGACATGAAGATCTTATCCCTTCAGAGACTTGTGACTAACACTGAGGCTGGCAACGATAAGTACGCTGTTAATGAAAGCTACAACATGTTCGACAGAAGCCTTTTTGACGACAAGCCTGCTGCATATGAGAAGACGACGTTTACTAGAGACAATGTCAAGGATTGGGCTGCTACCCATAAGGAGAAGCTTTTGAAAAATACCTCCGAGAAGAAGAAGAAGGTGTTTTCAATTCACAAGCTCGCATTTGTCAATGCCAGTCACCTTTCTAGTGATCTTATTTTAAAGGGTCTTGCCGAGGTCGAGGTTCCTGCTACTAAGAGCTGTCTTGATGTCGTTCAGGATGAAGAACAATTGAATTTGGTGGTAAAAGCCCTCAATCTTACTGAAGATCGATACGTTGATCTTCTCGGTAATATTGAAAATGAGAAAATTCGTGGTGTCATTGTGGAGAAGAAAAACCATTTGCATGACCCAAGCAACCCCGATTCTTTGGAATTTGTTTTCGAGGAGTTCCACCCATTTTTGCCCTTCAAAGCCAACGAAAGTCAGTTCAAGTTCCTGGAGGTTGAGGGATATAACAAGACTCTTGACAAGTTTTTCACTACCCTTGAGTCCACGAAGTATGCATTGAGAATCGAGCAGCAGAAGCAACATGCGCAGAAGAGACTCGATACTGCAAAGAATGAGAGGAATAGACAGATTGAGCTGTTACAATTACAGTCTGAGAGCAACGAGAAGAAGGGAAATACCATCATCTATCATGCCGACTTGGTGAAAGAATGTAAGCTGTCAATCCAGGAATTGCTCAACAAGCAGACTGATTGGGAGATTATTGAAAAACTTACCAAGATGGAGCAATCAAGAGGAAACAAGGCTGCTAATACTATCAAACTTCCTCTCAATCTCAAGGACGGTAAGATTAAGTTGGCGTTGCCTGATCCTGATAATATTCCTGAAAATGAATCAGAAGATTCCAACGAGGCCTCGGACTCCGATTCTGATGACAGTTCAGAAAGTGAAGCGGAGTCAAGCGATCTGGATTCTGATTCTGAGTCCGAATCTGAGTCCGATTCCGATTCAGATTCCGACTCTGAATTTGAGGAGTCACAGCCCTCGAGGAAGAAGAAAGTGCCAAAGGCAAAGTCCAAGCCAACAATTCCCACGATCAATGTTGACATTGATCTCAGTTTGTCAGCTTTCGCTAATGCCCGTATCTATTTCGACTCTAAGAAGACGGCCGACTCGAAGCAAACGAAGGTCGAACAAAACACCCAGATTGCGTTGAAGAACGCAGAGAAGAAAATCCAGAAGGATTTGGCCAAGAACCTCAAGAAAGAGACGGATGAACTTAAGGCCATTCGCCCAAAGTTTTGGTTCGAAAAGTTCTTTTGGTTTGTTACCAGTGAGGGTTACTTGTGTTTGGCTGGTAGAGATGATTTGCAGACCGACATGATCTACTATAGGCATTTTAGCGACAATGACATATATGTGTCCTCTGATGTCGAAGGGTCCCTCAAGGTCTTCATCAAGAACCCTTACAAGGGCAAGCCAATCTCGCCATCTGCATTGTTCCAAGCCGGTATCTTTGCATTGTCCACCTCTGCTGCTTGGAATGGTAAATCCAGCTCGTCCGCATGGTGGGTTTCTGGTGAGGGAATTTCTAAAAGAGATGTTGATGGTACATTGTTAGGCCCCGGTCGCCTTAACATAAAGGGCAAGAAAGACTACATGCCACCAGCCCAATTGGTTATGGGTTTCGGTCTTTATTGGCTTGTTGATGAGGAGACCAGTAAAAGATACACGACTGCCAGGGTGCTGAAGCAAGAAGAGCATGGCTTGCAGGCTGAAGTCAGCAACAAAAAGAAGGATCTCGAAAACTTGAATCTTGATGCAATTTTTGCCGAAAAGGAGAAGGAAGCTAAGACTGTTGAGGAGCCACGGGAAGAAGAGAATACTGAGGACAGAGGTGCCCCCTCTCCAAGCGAGCATTCTGTCACTCAATCCAGTGTTGACGACAACGACGTGGAATCTGCTAGACTTAATCTTCAAAAAACGAATGTGCGTGGTAAGAAGGGAAAGATGAAGAAGATTAATGCCAAGTATGCGGATCAAGACGAGGAGGAAAAGTTAATGAGAATGGAAGCACTTGGAACTCTCAAGCAGATCCAGCAACGGGAGAAGCAGCAAGAAGAGGAGGCAAAACGCAGAGAAGAAAATGAGAGGAACAAATATGCTGATAAGAGTGCTGAGCGCTCCAGGGCCAAAGAAGCCAGACAGCTTAAGAAGTATCTTTCGGACGACGAAGAGGGCGTCGATGGTAACTACCTCGAGCAGCTTGACTCTCTCTTGCCTAGACCAGCCAATAGTGATGAGATTGGAGCATATGTGCCTGTTTTTGCACCATGGTCTGCCCTTGCAAAGTTCAAATACAAGGTTAAGATCCAGCCTGGCTTCGGTAAGAAGGGTAAGTCTGTGACAGATGCCATTCTGTATTTCTCAAGCAGGAAGGTGGACTCTACAAAAGAAGACCCAGAGGTCGATTGGCCCGTGGAACACGAGTTGATCAGGGGTGCCAAGTCTAATGACATTCTGGGTGTGTTCACAGTGGGAAAGGTGAAACTCATGTTGCCTGGTAGCTCTGGTAATGAGAAGGGTGGAAAAGGAGGCAAAGCCAGCGGCAAGGGTGCATCGAAGAAAGGAGGAAAGAAGAAATAAATTGCATAAAGCTTGTTAATACCCTATATAAAGCGTACATATCATGGAATAAGCACCATTCTTCCACTAACATCACCCTTCTTAAGCTTTTCAATGCACTCGGGGAGCTCCTTCAATGGGAAGGAGGTGACCTTGGGGTGGATCTTACCCTGTTTTACCAAATCGTAGCACTCGGTAATGTCGTTGCTAGTACCCCAGAAGGATCCCAACACACGAATCTCCCGCAAAGCCAAATCTCCCAAGTCAAACGACAAATGGGTGGCACCCAAACCCACAGGAATGATAGTGCCGTGTGATTTTATATACTTTTGACAAATGTCAAACGTTTTTTGGACGGCCACGAAATCAAGACACACATCGTAAGTACCTTGTTCTATAGTCGCTGGAAGTTCAGTGAAAACCTCGTCAGCACCAAATTGTTTCGCCAATTCAAGAGCACTCTTCTTGGTGTCAAGCACGGTGACATGAGCACCAAACAATTTGGCGATTTGCACACCAGTCGAGCCCAAGCCACCAGCGCCAATGAAAAGTGCTTTTTTGGCTGGGTTCAAATTAGCCATTTTAATGGCGTGGTAGGGGGTCAACATGGCATCGGTGATAACAGCAGCAACAGCAGGATCAGACACTTCCTGAGGTACCTTGATCAAATTACGAGGGTGTTTTACCAACAAATACTGCTGGTATCCACCATCGTTACCAAGTCCGAGCCACTCGGTTTTAAGACAGTCGTTGTCGTAACCTTGGCGACACATTGAGCATACTCCACACGAATTGGGCCCAAAGGCAGCCACACGATCGCCTAATTCCAAGTGTTTGACATCTTCACCTTTTGAAGCCACCAGACCAAAGATCTCATGGCCCATGACGTAATTGTCGCCAGCGTCAAATCCGTCCAAAAGGTGTAAGTCAGTGTGACAGAGTCCAGCAGCCTCGATTTTAAGCAACACCTGGTTACTGGATGGCTGCTCAACGGGCAAGTTCTCAACCAAGCGAATGTTGTTGAGAGACTTGTCAAATTTAAATCCGTACTGTGTTTTTGGTATTGTCGCCATGGTTCTTGCTAGGATTCTTTTGGCTGACTGTTTGCAAATGTTCATAGTTGGCCCCAAGGCTGGCTGGATCTCTGAATATATAATGGCGTTCTCGCTGCCATGACACTATTGGCAATTGCCCCATGGGCCCCTCAATTCATATGGCCAGATCCGGTCAGCATTGCACCAGTCTGTTTTCAGCCATCATGCAAGAGCCTCCTACAACACATACAACAAAGGATGGCAGGGGGATTTCAGACGCATAATTGAACTACATGGCGCCACATGAATAGCCGAAAAGTTCAACTTAAATGCTTAACTGGGAACATATTCGTATTGGTGGATACGTTCCCCCACAGTTAGCCTCACTCGATACGGAGCCGCAGTATCACCTTACCCTAATCACTCCACACTACAGTCATTGAGAACGGAAATTTAGCCGATTCCGCCGGCCTCGGCATAGCGTCGGCACCAGCCTACATGCACCAGATGTCATACTTAAGATATAGATTATTACCGTAGCTTCGTATCGGGTCGTCGTGTGCAGCGCTTGCCTCGAGACTCATACGAGCAAGCCCTTTTTCTCTAGTCTCCACGCAACGCACGGATAACGGCTGGTCGCCTCATCATGTACTTTGTCCACTTGTACACCTCGGGGAACTCTACCTTAAGGTTGATGCCAATCCGGTCGACAACATTGTTCCATGGCACAAAGGACAAGTCTGCCACTGTAGCACGGTCGCCCACAAGCCAGACTGGGTAATCGAAATATCTCGACAGACTCAAAGGCGTAGTGCCCGCAGAGTATGCGGCAGCGTTTTCTCTATCCAAGTCCATGATAAGCGCCTCTCTTCTTTCTGCCAAGGCCATCTCAATGACTCCGTAAACTCTCCTCACCTCGTCGGTGTACCGTTCCACGGCAGAGGGCACCGGACAAGAGTGGAAGTATCTGAAGTGCAACGCCTGGCCGATCATGGGAGCATGGCCCGACGTCTGGAAAAACAACCACAGGGCAATCTGTGACTGTTCAATGAGATTGTCCGACCAGAGCAGACACTCGCCATTGTCCTTCAAGTATTTGGATACCAAGTAAAGAATGATGGCGCCCAGCTCCCAGATGGATGTATTTTCGTTGTTGTGGTCGATGAGAGCAGGCACACGGGCGTTGGGATTTATAGACACGAACTCGGGCGCTCTTTGCTCTCCCAGGTTGAAGTCCAAGAAGATCGTGTTGAAGGGCGAATTAAGCTCCAGTAATATTATGGCCACCTTGAAACCGTTTGGTGCTGATCTGTGGGAGAATAATGTGTAGCCTTCGGAGGGCTGGTTGGCGAAGAACTGGCTGATTCTCGACTGGGTCGCCTGGTTATTTGCAGCCTCGTTATGGAGCTGCTGCTGTAATAAATTGAGGTTTACAGCATTCTGCTGCTGGTCTGAGAGCGATACCAGCTTCAAGCCGGCGCTCAAGTGTGAAATGGTGCCGCCGTTACCGGCGCCTTGATTATGCTGCATTTCTTCCTGATTACCGTCCATGCCGGTTGTTGTGAGTTTACAAGTCAAAGGTAGAGCTCACTGGGATCTGTAGAAAACTCGAGTACCCGACGCTCCAGGGGTGTATAGCTTAACTGTTTGTATTGACTTGGGTTGTTCAACGTTAGGCTGGTGCACCAGAGGTGAGAAGGAAAACCGCGCTGGGCGGACTAACGATAAATGCTGGGGGTGAGATAGGGGGCCCTATTTTCAGTGTTGATTTTTCGAAATTGAATCAAGTATCCTTCTTCCAAATGGAACGAAGTTTTTGGTTTTCAGGTCTCGGAATCTGCAGAATCACCTTTGTTGTAGTGTGGCAGCCGTGAGACAGGGCTTCTGATTGAGACTCACACAGTACTCACAGGGCATGTTTTTTGTGTAAGCGACGCAATTCGTACCAGTTTTACTTCGAGAAGCTACGAGAGTATTTTGCAGCCTTTGTGTTATCCATTTGATGATGGGAACTAAACGAGCAAGCAATTCTTCTGACTCACAGCCGAACGGTGTGGCTGTGGCTTCTTAAGAAATCCACAGATTTGACCAATCGATCTCTAGATATTGCCAATTTGTTAAATGCTATGAATTGTAGCCTGCTCATGTCTGAAAAAAGCACAGATTTTCATCACTCGCTTATTTGTAGTTATGACGTAAGTCGGTGCAACCGCATTTCGCAGCCACTCCACACTATCAAGGATCATTTTTGAATGTGTTTCAAAAACCGCAGATAAAAAATCAAATTAAGGAATATTATACGAAACATCTGCAAAAATCTTTATTATCAGAAGACCAACACACATATTTCACAAGCTAAGAAGTCGCCATTGGCCCCACGAAACCCCCTGCCCCTGTTTTCCACTTATGCCATTGTCTGCATCGCTTTCGCAGCCATACTCTCGGAAATTGTATCATCGCACCCAACAAAACAGAAATCATCGGAAACAAATGATTTCAGAATTTCGTGAATTTGATTAAACTATTCTTGTAATCAATTTTGTTTGTGTCTTTTTTGACAAATTTCACCCTACCATTATTTTCTAGCATTCCTATGGTGTTGACGAAATATGAATCGTGGCCCTGCAGGACAAAAACAAAACATTTGCACTCCCGTATCACATCCCAAACGCACTATCCCAAGTGGTAACCGATCCTCGTCCCTAATCTAAGCACACACCTTAATTAATGGAACCGCACATTGCTGTGCTTGTGTTGGATACTCCAATCGAGTCCATCACGGACGAGTTTGGTGACTTTGGCGATAACGCGGTAGAGCTCCTCAAGGCATCTAAAGTTCCGCTCAAGAAGTACCAGATTGCCTATGACCTCGCCGACCCACTGCAACAAACCGTGACTGATCTGAACTTCTCCGACCTACTGGACGGCATTGACCAGGGCCTGATCAAGGGTTTAGTGTTATCTGGGTCACGCTCAGACTCCTTTAATAACGAGAACCCTTGGATTCAACTGACAGATAAGTTCCTTAAGTCGATCATCGCCAACCGCCCAGGGTTCCCTATGGTCGGCCTTTGCTTTGGCCACCAAATTTTGGCTAAAAACTTGGGCTGCAAGGTCAACAGAAACACGACTGAGAATGGCTGGGAGTGTGGCATCACCACCATCGCCTTGAACAAAAGCATTCTTTCTGTGGAAAAGTCGCCCTTTGCGGACACCTTGGAGACGGAAGATGGTAACGTGCTCGATCACATCAATTTGGTTGAGTTCCACAGAGATGTTGTTTACGGCTTGCCTCCCACTTCCACTTCAAACTCGTTGTTGTCCCAGACCAACTTTCAGTCGATTGGCAGCACGAACAAATGCTCCATCCAGGGTCTTGTGACGGAGTCAGGTCCGGTCAAGATTCTCACGTTTCAAGGTCACCCTGAGTTCTCCACTCCTGAAACTTTGAAACTCTTGCAGCTTACCCACGAAATTGGGAAGATTGACAAGGCGACCTTCGACCGCCTGAGCTATAAGACCAATAATTTGATCAATCACGGTACTGTTGTCGCCAATGTGATCCTCAAATTCTTGGAAACTCACAGCTGATTACGTTCCTTACCTACTTTATAGAAACCTACATGTGATTTATCCGTCGTTTGCCTCTATTTTCCAATAAAGACATCAATATTCATTCCGGTACATTCCAGTACGTCTATTCATCAAAGAGATTACGTTTTGGTGTAACGATTGACAATCCCTGTAATTTTCCCCCCTGGCCACTAGAGAACTTGTGACCATTAATTTCCTTCGTAGTCAGATCGCTTCTCTCGCGGCGACTCAACTTGTCGTTGATGAGACTAAGTTTTTCGAGCTTGAACTCAAGCGTTTTGATTTTATCGTTGGCAATTTTGAGTTCGACATTCTGTGATGAGGTAAGCTTCGTGATCATTTCCCTGAGTTCATCTCTTTGAGTCCTCAAAGACATGATTTCTGCTCTATCGGAGTCCTTGTCAAGAAGTGACTCACGACGGGTGCTGAGGTCTTCTGAGGAATACCAACTGGATGCCTGGTCCGCTTTGCTTTGGTTATTCAACTGCGATTGAAGCTCATGGTTCTTTCTCAACAACTCGTTGTAGTTTTCCAACAAGTTGTCGTCACCTCTCTCATTCTTACTTCTCTGCGCCTCGTCAAGCTTGTCTTGCAATTGATTCACGAGATCATTCTTAGCCAACAACTGCTTATAAAGCTCATTCTTCTCGTAGTCCAACTTCAATGCACTAGGTGTTTGCCCGTGCTCAGCTAAGATTGCATGCTCCTCACTGATGAAACGAAGTCTTCTTTCGCTGTTCAACTTTTCTTGCAAGAGGGCAATCTGCCTCGATTTCTCACGAGATTCATACTCCAAATCTTTATTCGTCAACTCATTATCGCGCTCTTGATCACCACCTCTCCATTTCAATTGATTTTCAAGAGCGAGCTCACGCTTTATCAGACCAGCAAGCTCACTGGCCACCAATTGCAACTCATTCTGCAAATCATTGTTACATGTCATGATGGCCAACTCCTCCTTTGTGAAGTGAAGTGGTCTCTTAGTAGGAGCCACATCTTTGATGGAGGAGATGGAAGACACGCTTCTGTGCTTCAGCATAGACTCATTGTCCACGGACTTCGAACCACTTCTTGACAATCTCTTGATGAAGTTCTTAGATTTGCTGGAAATGGAGGAGTTTCTTGATTTTCTCTTCTCCTTGATTTCGGAGTCTGCTGATGAAGGTACCCTGCGATCGTCCGCTAAGCCTGGTTGAGCATGCCTTTCCATGTGTATATCGGAACCAGACCTCGACAAAAATCCGGATGAACCTGAACGAGCGAGAACGTCTTCGCTTCTAGTGTCATTGGAAGAGACATAGTCTGAAGATTGAGCGTGGTAGCTTTCACCGCCAGACTGGTTCTCGAAAATCACATCGCTGCCGACTCTCGTTGGGGATGATGCTGGAGCTGAGTCTGTTGGCTTTGGCGGCACGGTAGGTTTCTCCTCATTGAGTGAGTTTTGATCAAATGTTGTTTCATCATCCAAGTGGGCACTTTTTGCGGTTTCCTCAGGTGAAAAACCCTTGTCAGCCTTGGAGTAGTCATGCGAATAAATAGATATTTTGCTGGAGTTGGGATAGTTCTTATCGTGGTGGTCGAAATCTGACGACTCCTTTGAGTTAGATTCCAGACTGAATGTGGCTTGAGAGTTGCTCGAAGGTGAGCGAAAGTTGTTGAAAGCAGTGTTGGCAACCAAGCTTTTCATCTTAATAACCTTGCGTTTCTGGGTGTTCGGCGTGACTGCCTCTGTAGTGACAGAATCGTTTGCAGCCTCTCTTTCGGCATTGTTAGTCGGGGAGATGGTTGAAGGATCTTCAACCTTTTCAGAATCCGTCTTACCAGCATTTTTCATTGGGGAGAACTCAGATGCAGTGGTGAAGACATCAGGCTCTGAAGCAGAGGAGCCCAAAGTCTGGAACTTTTGGGCGCTTTGCCTGTTGAAGTCCGACACCTCGTGGTCATCAAGGTCGAAGTTCAGCTTCTTTGAGGTACGGTCGCGTGCTGTGTCCATGTTAAACGATAGGGAGTCACGGTCCTCGAACACTGTCTCGGGCGATCCTTGAGTCTCTTTTTTGAACAAATCTAGCTTGCGAACACGCATGGAGTTGGACTTCTTCACGGTAGACTTTCTGGAAATCTGCGGGCTCGTAGCATCGTTCTCAAACTTATAGACAATATCTTCCTCGTCCTCCGGAAGTTTGTTGAGGTCGACTTCAGCCAGGCGGTGATCAAGCGATTGTGATGTCTCCAGTGCTTCTTCCTTTTCATCCTCTTCTTTGACAACGTTCATGAAAGACTCGTTAGACTGAGCAGCGTGTGGAGACATACCATTATAACGAGCGTTGGGTCCCATGGGGCGACCCATTGGTGGACCTTGTTGCATGCCATGGGGCGGACCCATTCCTTGAGGCATACCTTGGTACATGCCCTGAGGCATACCCTGGGGCATGGGGCCGTTGTGAGCATAGGGACCAGGTTGATAGTAACCGTTGGAACCGGGTCCACGAGGGGATGGGAAAGGTCTGCCACCCTGAGTTAGCGATTGTGAGCGAATGGCGTGTGGCAGCAAGCCCTGAGGAGCCAGGTTCAACATGACGTTGCTGTTGAGCGAGTTTGTCCGCATGTTTGGTGGCATCTGGCGGCCTGGAGGCGGCCTGGGACCGGGACCGGGACGCATCGACATGGCTCGAGGCCCCTGATTTGGGTACATGGGCCTGCCCATGGGTCCCTGAGCAGCACCCATAGACATGGTACGCGGATCGCTCATCATGCCCATGGACATGGCTCTGCCATCTGGGGTCATCAGGGTCATGGAGTTGTTGCCCGCTAGCGACATGGCGCGGGCGCCCTGGGCCATCTCCATTTTCTTCTTGTGGTTCATGTACTTTCTGTACTGGATGTTGTTTTGGGAGTCTTGTTTCCCACCGGCGTTTAACACCGGGATGATCGGAGTCAGGTCTACTGTGCGGGACAGAATGCTGTAGCGGGAGTTGTTGTCGCGTAGGTGTTTGATATCGTTGAAGGTGACGGTGTTTCCGGAGACGTCGCCTATGTCGTAACCAGCATCGTCGTCAAAGAAGGCCTCTTTCTTTTTGAAAAAACGGCCCATCAGCATCGACAGCGCCATCAGGCCCTTGCGGGACGCGTTGTCGAATTGGGCCCGCTGGTTCACCGGCGTGATAAGATCGTGGTTTGAAAGGCTCTGTTGGGGCTGGTAGTGGCCATAAGGGCCCTGTGTTGTAGGGAGGTGGGCAGGCATGTTTTGACCTTGCAGTCTTCCGGAGGCAGCGAACCCACTTAGCGTGTTGATGTCGTTTTCGCCCGCTAGGAGCTGCAGTCTGAGCTGACCCTTTTTTGTAGACGCCTCCATGGGTGTGGTTGTAGCAAGGAAGAGCGGCTGGGTGCAATTTTTATTTTGGCTTATTTCGCAGCAGGGTGTAGGACTAGAGACACAGGGCTACAGGTGGGTAGAGCTGGCCAGGAACCTGTTCCGGGTGGCCGACACAGCAGCCACAAATATTTGAAGCTCTACCAATTACTATCTCATTTTAATTGTCTTTTTGTTTTGACAATATTTTCTGGCTCCAGTTCATGTCAAGCTTCGTCGCCAAGAAGGGGCCTGGAATCGCCATTGTGTGGTGACAGCGCGAAGCCTAGCGGCGGTGGCCTGTGGAAGCCTTTGTTTGCGCCCAGCCGGCCCAGCTTGCACTGTCAACGGGGCGCCTCGAACGTCCACAAGGCCACATTCCTGGCTGCGAAAAACCAATGCAGCATAGAAAAGGGAAAAATTCGCCCGCACCCCCAGGAACCAGGAACACGCGGCGGTGGACAGGGCTGCCGGACCGCGCGGGTTTTCCCTGGCCGAGCTTCTCTGGCGCGAGAAACAGGGCTGGTACGATTCCTCGCATTTGCTGAGGCTCATTTGTTTCGCTCGCCTAGGGGGATTTGGCCTCTACTCTGGGCCCGCGCCTGTGTTCCTCGGACCTACCTGCGCCTCCGATCCGACCTTGACTCTGCCCCAGGCCCTGGATTTTCGGTGACTGGATAGGCACTATGACAGTAAGTTTTACACAAAGCCATTGCTGTAACTCCCGCTTGCAATATGCTTGCAATTAGCAAAATTGCTGTAACTTTCCGCTTGTGCTTGCAATCAGTAAAATTGCTGAAATCAGGCCGACTGGGGCAGATGCTGGCTGTCGAGGTACCACCCATACTTTAGCCGCGGTGGTCCAGCAACTAAACCAACTCACCTCAGGTCCTGGTCAACCACAATGCCAACAATCTTGTATCTCTTTTTGAAAAACTCGCCCCACTTGTCAACGACACCATTCTGCTTCTCGGTCAAATCGCCCGTGTACCACGTATTCTCGGGCTCATCCTTCAACATCTCGTTTGGACCAAGCTGGAGCTTGTTGGTGCCCAATTGGCGACTGGCGTCTCGGCCTACCAAGCGATTGTACGCTTTGCCTGGACCGTAGCTTTTTTGGTTGTGTGTTACGTCGAAGATCATGCCCCGAATCGCCACGTAGAGCTCTGGCTTGTCTACTCCGTTGTACTGCGAGAGCTGGCCCCTGCTGAACATAGGAAGTGTAAGAAAATCGACTGCAGCGTTGTATTTCTGGAATTCGTTGAGCTCGGGTTCCTGGGTCTGGTCCTGGGCCGAAGACATGGCTGGTTGGATCTGTGAAGGGTGAAGCTACTTGTTCTAAAAGTGTGCAGGGTTGAGGTCCGGAGCCATAGAGAGGCAAGAACAATGGGACGGTGAATGTTGGATCGGGATGGGGTGAGTTTGAAATTAGCTTTGATTTGAATGAAACTTAAAGGTCTACATATGTTCGATCTTCTTCGTGGTAAGAGGATATGGAAGGCTGGGTGGCTTGTGTGAAAATTTATCGCATGGACTTATCGGACTTACCATGCTTTTCTTTAATGTCCACATTTTGATCGTGTAGGTAGAGCTATCAGCTTTTTCACAGTCAATTCGAGAAGTTCATGCCAAAATGATGCCAAAATGATGCCAAAATGATGCCAAAATCACAAATCAATTCATTGTGTGATACAAGTGTGCCTAGGATGGACCTTTTCGCAGCCATCCCGGTGATACACTCATCAGTAAGCGTTTCCCTGAAAAACCAGGTAATTAAAAAAATTCCAAACTCACCATTCTCTCACTCAAGCACCACTTCCTTCAGACAAAGCTTTTGCCTTGATTTTATGAAAAGCGTTCCACTAACCTAGCCATCTGTCCTGCCTACTTCGCACATCTAACATCAAGCCGAGTCCATCACCATGCTGTTGCAAACAGACAGCGAGAGGTATCCCCGCAAAATCCAAAAGCTTTTCGCTCCTAGACTACCGTTTCCTTGGAAGAAGCCTATCGATCATCCGCCAGAAAAACGCAGGACTACACCCATCACGCCGATCTCACTGTGGAGAGACGAGATCGAGAAGTACAAGGCTGACCATCCACCTCAAGCGAAGGAGGAAGAGCCGAAGAAATCCAAAAAGCAACTTCATGACGAATCACAAAGAAGGCAGCTGGAAGCCTGGGAAGACACCGAGCTGTTCGAGCAGAATGAGTTCATCAAAGACCCTTACAGAACCGTCTTCATTGCACGCCTTCTATATTCCCTAACAGAGCTCGACATATCCAAGTTATTCAACAAGTTCGGCGGCATTGAGTCAATTCGTGTGATAAGAGATACAAACACTGGTCTTTCACGAGGCTACGGCTTTATAGTGTTTGAACGTGAGCAGGACGCCAAAAACTGTATTAAAGAGTTAGCTCCCACTGGACTACCCCTAGAAAAACAGCCATCCGAGGTCAAACCTCGAAAAATCTTGGTTGACATGGAACGTGGCCGGACTGTCAGAAACTGGCGTCCTCGGCGTCTTGGTGGTGGACTTGGTGGACGTCATTATTCACTGTTGACTGCCCTGCTGTCGAGAGATGCCTCGGCAGCAGCCTCTGGAAGAAGAACAAATCTTTCGTCCAATCCTTATCAACAATCGCAGTCTCTGAGCTACGGCAAATTCAACAAAAGGCCACCATCGGACCGTCTTGGTGGTCCAGCCAAAAGATTCGCTCCTTCATCAGGTGCCCCAGCACCAGCTTATGGCAGCATAGCATCCACTTCTGCTAGCAGAACTCCTCAGTCAATCAGGGACAAATACGCTAAATATCTGAAGCCCGGCGATGGTGCTTCTAGCAGAGACTCCGGCTCTGATTCGAGATCTATTCGTTCGATACGACGCGGATAAATTAATGATGCGTCTTATGTATATAATGCTAATTAAAGGCTGTGCCTTGTCTATTTCGTTAATGATCGTCTCTGTTTGTTTTCTTGATCCATTCATCCAACATCTGGAACATTTCTACCACTTTCTCACGAAGGTCCTTCTTGTCCAGGCTAAGTCTGACTTCGATGTCGCCAATAAGACCGTTCAAATTCTTCAACGTTTGCTGCATAGTATCCTTCATCTCATGAAGTTTTGAGGTGACATTGGCTTCCAGAGCCTTTATCTTGTTCATAAGTGATTTCTCAATGTAGCAACACTGTTGGAGAATGTAAGGGCTGAGTGTGATTTCGTCCAACGGGAATTCCAGAATGATTTGATCACACTGTTTGAAGTTGTTGCGGCCAATTTCATTACGGAGTCTTAAATTGAGGAGGATCATCTCACGTTGGTCTCCAAGCTCCTCATGGTTGACCGAGTCTAGGAGCCTTCCGGCCTCCTCAAACGCACCCTTGTTCATCAAGCGTCTCGCAAGGAAGATTTTATCGCTCGTGTTTAATTCTGGCTCAATGCGCTTCACAAACTGTTTAAGCTGTTCACGCGTAGGATTGCTCAAGGTTTCGTGGAGAATCTGAAGCCTGGGCTTGCACGAAGTCATACGCATTTGATTCAAACTGTCCAAGATGCCAATTCTGTAGTGGTGCTTCAGCTTTCTCAATGTGTTTTCGAGTAAATGGAAGTCAGGCTTCACGCCCTTGCGAAGAACATCTCTGAAGCCTTTGTTCACTCTGAAGGTGACTTGTTGCTTGTCTTTCGCTTTGAGTTTGTTCAACAAAGTGTGCTTGATGGAACTCCATTCCGGTGAGTCGTACTTTCTATCATTTTTCAAGTCATCTCTTTGAAGCGCATATGGAGTAATGTTGGACTCCACCTTAGCGATGCGACATGCCATTAAAATGCGTTTCTTGGTACCAAGATCTAGGGTATTCTCTGGCTTTTGAAGCCAAGCATGCAAACCATGATACATATCTGCGCCCAGATATGGGTATGCTCTGACGAATGCATCGAATAAGTACTTGACGTAGTGAGGCCTGAACTCTGTGGAGTTGGCGAGAGAGTTGCTCACTAATGAATAAAGGGGCATGAACTTTCTCTCTGAGATGTAATGTTGAATAATTACATCGTATGCAAATTTGGATGGCTCGATTCCATCCTTCTTCATCTCCTCAACCATGAAGTGAATCATGCTGGTATGGGCGTGCCTTGCGAGGAATGCAATAGTTGACTCGTAGTAGATAGACAACGCCGATCTGTTGTATGCGATAGAGTTCCTAATCAGAAGAATCTGTTTTATGTCTTCTTGATTCAACTGCTTCTTCTGGTCGGTGTTCCTGCTCTGGATTTCTGAGTGAGTCTTCACCATTGAGATAAGATAATGGTTGTTGTAGCCTAGCTTATTGATAACCTTTGATAAGCCATTAACCTCTTCATCCAGACCGAACTTAAGATAGTGCTTGAGCACTAGGGCAGTGGTGGTGACGTCAGGCGGCGAACAGTTTGAAGACTTGAGCCACAATTGAAAGAGTTGATCGATGTTCTCGAATACCGCTCCCACCTTGATGAGATTAGCCATTGTTGTAGAGAGAAGATGGCTTTCGAGAGGCTTGCCCATTTGAAGGATGCTCTGGAAGAGGGATTTTGCAAATTGGACATCATAGCTCACAACGAATGAATTTACAGCATAACTGAGCGTCATGCTGTTGTAAGCTGGCTTCCGCAAATAAGCATAGAGAAGCAGCTGAAGGGTGTCTGCATCATCCATGTGGTAACATAGCCAGATGCCATTTTCGAGGCTCTTCAGAGAACAATTGTGCGGATTCTTGTTCTTGATTGATTGAAATGCCTCATAGAACTTCGGTATCTGAGGATATACTTCACCAAACTGAGCAGCCGCTTTGAGGTTGTTTTTTCCAATATACCAAGGGGTCTCGATATCCGCCTTGTATATGGGGTCCTGGTCTTCACCAATACCATATGCATCTTTTCTGATCTTTTCCACCATATCGTCTAAGACGTCTGCCGGGAGTGTCAGGCCCTTCTTTCTGTACTCTTGTATTAGCACATTCATCTCCTTGAACATGCCTTTCTGGAACAAGCTGATCATCTTGAGCTTCATGCTTTCCTTCTCGTTTTCTTGCTGTTCCACCTCGTGCCTTTTCAGGACCCCGTAAGGTGTGTATAGCGCAGCTGGATGTAGCTTCGTTAGTCTTGTGGAGATCTGTTTGGTCTGATGGGACTTACAGGAAGCACCTGGTTCTGCCAAAGCACTGACAAGTCTTGAACCAAAATCCTTCGAAGTCTCTTTTAGCCAAAAAGTGCACAGTGCATTTTGGAGTTGGATATTCGTGCAAAATGGGTGTCTGGTAGCTCTGAAGGCGGGCCTTCGAGCCGGATGTCGGTAGTGACGCAAGTTCCAAACCAAGTTATGGAACGAGCGTACCAAAGGGAATTCTCTTTTCATTTAGGAAATTAAAAGAGCTCGCGTCTATGTACAAATCTATGTGGTTGGCTCAGTACATAGAAATTTTATGATGTGATTTCTTCAGGCAGGTCGAAAAAGTCGCGGGCCATTGGATAGATTTGGCTGCGACATTTGGTATCATCGATAGCACACATGATGTCACTTCGACTTTGTGGAAGAATATTGACGAATCGAATTGATTTAGGCTAGAGTCTTTAGGGAGTCATTCCCTTCCATCTCGGGCCTTTTGTGAGGGTTTAAAAAGTGAAAATAAGCACACTTCACTCGTTCTCCGAGATATCGAGAAAGCACGTACATTCAGTTTATTTCTGGTAAATCTCCTGCCTTACTCTTCTACTACCCCGAGTCTCATGCTAATTCCCCGCTATCGAATGAAGCATGGTCTACATAGGTTCGGACCCTGTCTCCTATAAGACATCTTATCCAATCAAGTGAAGCAGGCACTCGCAAAAGTAATATAAGGTGACATATCTTTAAGTTGAAAAACTAACGTTTTTTGAATCAAAGAATCGCTTCAATAAGCGGTTTTGGTATACTGTTCCCTGACAAGTACTATCTACGGACATACCATGTGCACTGGTTGCGAAAACTCTTTCACAAGCCGTATTAGTTCAGTCATGAACTCAAGATTCGAATGCATATGATGAAATCTACCCGCTCAAAATTCGGAAACAATTCAATTCTCTCACTTTTCTTATATCACTGAAATCACGGAAGCTCTTCCGAAATCCGCCCTAACTTCTCGCCTCCAGCTTGTACCCCCGCCTTTCCTCTGTGCACCACATAAACCTCGGCCCCAGATCTTTCAACTCACTACTCCTCTGTTGATGCCACCAAAAACAAGCTACAAGCAATACGTGGACTCGGGACTTGTGCTGCAGACGTATGACTCCGTTGGCAAAGGTCCTCTGGACTTGGACTATTTGATCCACACCCTCAGACACCCTACCCCAGATACCTCGGTGCAAAAGGTGTTGGGGTACATGTACCATTACTTGCCATTCGTGAAGCATGAACATAACTTGAGACTCGTGTTTTCCAGTTTTTTGAGTAATCAGGTCTGTTTCTCGGCTCAGCCGCCTCTGTTTGAGGAGAACTACTTGATCATTGAGGTTTTCAAGTTGATCACAGACAAGAAGCTCAAGATCTCCCAGCCTACGCTTCCGATCAAGACATTTTACGAGGTGATTGGAAAGGAACTCCAAAGCTTTGTGGCATTCAACCCGCCTCTGAATTCCTGGAAGGTGTTGCCCATCATCTCGGGTATACTCTTGTCGAACGAGGTGAGAGATCACTTATACACATCGGTCAACATGCTCCAGTATAAGTGGTTCTTTAACGAGTGGGACAACGACATGGACGCCTTGTTCAAGCGTGCTTTCGGCTACTCCATCTCGCCTGTAAACTCCCTTGATATCGTCAACTTATCCCTCCTAAGTCTCGCATTGAAGTACCATAGGCACGAGAGACTTGAGGACTACGTGGGACGTATTGATCCAGGACTACTTATAAATGGCTTGGTTGACCTTATATTCGCTAGAGGAACTCATTCCGCCTACATCTACACCAAGTTTGGTGAAATCGACCCAAAAGATCCTGGCTCTGAGCAGGTTATCGCTTCTTCCGTCAGCCAAAAGCCGGTCGTCAAGCATCTCAACAGACTTTCATTCCTTTTGGAGTCTCTTCTTGCTGACCTCCCGCACACACAGCCCGCTTTCGAACTTACCTTGACGGTCTCTGAGAAGATCAAGGTGTTCTACCGTGACTTAAATCACTTTGTTCAACGCAACCGCAAACTCAACCATGACCCTAGTATCACGGCGAATGAGAGCTTCTATCAGGCATTTTGGTTCTTGATGAAGGGTCTTTTGTTCGCAGAGGTGATCATTTTCCAAGGTATATTGACTAGGTTTTTGGCGGCAAAGAATCATAATGTCGGATTCTTCGCTCAGCTATTCAAATCGTCAAAGATCTTGGGTGACATCGAACGGGAGTACCATCAAATCTGCTTGCAGGTTACTCAATCCCTTTACTACACTAACTTCATCTTAATGTCTGTTGGTCAAGGCGGTTTTGATGGCTACAACTTCGTTTACTATTTATCAATTGAGATTCTCCTTCACAACGGCCGGCCTTTTGAACTCGAGAATATCACGAAGCACTTGATTGGCAACTATCAGGAAATCAATTTGCATCCTGATGCCCTCAATGCTGACTACGTTGCTAGATGCAAAGCACTCTATGTCTGTGGTCTTTGGGAGAACTACCTCCAACAACTGAGCAAGAAGAACCCTGAATTTGTGAATTTCATTTTTGAGGTGGCATTTTCAATTGTCAGGCAGCCCAATATCGAGGACCACGGCTTCATTGAGGCTGTCCACTCAGTACTCTTGGTGTACTTTTCGACAATGGAGAATACGGATAAGAACCTCGGCAAAGTGTTGCAGTACTTTGAGCTATTGGTGAACCAATTCCCACGAGTACTCTCCGCCAACCAATTGAGTGTTGCAGTCGAGACTTTGGGAAAGAAAATCTTGTCTAATCCCGTCAGATATGCCCGTGATGCTCAATACAAGAATTCCGCTGACGAGTTTTTGGAGTTTGTTTATCACAAATGTTCGCTGACTCGTCCAGGCCTTCCTGTCAGAAGACCCAATAACCAGACGTTCTCGTCGGCTCAACCTGTAACAGAGATTGATGCCTCTTCGACCTTATCTCAAATTGGCAAAGAAGACCGCGATAAAGAGGATCTTGTGAAAAGAAACAAGAGAAAAAAGCCAAAGGATCTCCCAAATCTTAAGCTTGGCTTGATGGCCCAAGGATCCTCTGGCCAGGAATACTTCGAGAATAGACTGGAGCCTGAAACCTCGCGAGAGGCCATTATCTTGGCGTTCCTCAACATCATTCCATACCTCCCAATCAGCCTTTTTGTACCATGGCTCGATCGCATTTGGGCGCTTATCAAGGCCAGTGGAAAGGAAGAAAGGCCATTCTTGACTGAGAGGCTCTGGAAGGTGATCAGCGAGAACCTTGACCTCAACAGGTGCGAGATCGCCTACGAATGGTGGTATGAGACCAGGGGCGCTGTGGAGCAAAATATCACGGTCAAGCTTTCACAAGTCAAACTTTAATTTAAATAGGTATTAGAAGTTTGTTGTATTTTGGCGTAGTAGAGATGGTGATGCTCGAGTGCATACATAAATGCGACATATAGAGAGATGAGGCCTCATCGCATCTCATACTAACCATGGCTAGAAAGAAGTCCGCTGCTAAAAAGGCCAGAGAGGCTGAAGCACTTCAAGCAGAAAAAACTCAAGCTTCGGAACAAAAAGAGATTGTCGAGAAGAAGCCAAAAGTCACAGAGCCTGAAGTTGATAGTGATGAAGATAACTCCTCTTCATCTGAAGAAGAAGACGAATATGGAGAATTGTTGACTGAGAACGTCGAGAGCTCCATTCAGAACGTTTTGAGTGCATTGAAGAGTGATCCTAAGAAGCTTTTGGATCCAGAGGCCAAATTCTTCCACGAGAACGACACTGCGGTCTCGAAGAAGTCCAAAGACAAACCCTTGTACTTGAAGGACTACCACCGTCAGACTTTGTTGCTGGGCGACTACAAGAATGATGATGAGGAAAATGAATTTGGAACTGTCGACGGTGAGAAGCCTTTTGTTATTACTGAAAGGGAAGAGAGAAACCAGCTTCTTGACGATATCAAGAATGCATTCGACGGAGAAGAGGAGAATGACGACGAGGACGATGGTTTCATGAAGAAGAAGGAGAAGCTGGATACCGCTAAAGATATTGTTTCTCTGCTACCTGACCCTAGCAAAAGTGCTCAGGAATTCTTGAGTGCTTTCCTCGATAGAAAGGCATGGGTGCCCACTGAGAATGACAAGGTCATTGACTTGGACAAGATCGACAACGAGGACGAACAAGACTTTGACGATGCTGTTGACGAGTTGGAGAGAGCTTACAACTTCCGTTATGAGGATCCAAACTCGGCAGAAATTGTCTCGTATGCTCGTAACCAGGCCACTGTGAGAAGAGCCAAGACGAATGCAAGAAAGAAGGAAAGAGAGAGAAAGCATGCTGAGAAGGAGAAGCAGAATGCTGAAGTTGAGAAAGCCTTGCAGAAGAAGAAGACAGAGAAGTTGAACAAGGTTGTTGACAGACTTAATAAGATCAAGGAGGCTGTTGGTGAGGACATCAGCAACGACGTCATCGAGAAGGTCTTTGGTGACTCGTTATTGAATGATGATTTTGACGATACGGACTGGGATGACAAAATGGCCCAGGTTTTCGATGCCCAGTATTATGACGCTGAGATCGCAAAGCCTGAGTGGGATGAGGACGACGAGATCATGGCAGAATTCCATGCCTCCAAATCTGCTGAAGGTGATGAAGAGGATGGTGAGGCCGAAGGCGAGGAAGCTGAAGTGGAGAAGCCTAGCAAAAAACTGAAGAAGGAGAAATTGAAAGAGAAAAAGGAAGCCAAGAAGCTGAAGCATAATATCAGAGAGGAGGCTGAAAAGATCGTCGAAGCCAACAAGCTTAGAATCAGGGATGAAGTTGAGGAAGAAAGAGGACGTTCCAAGGAAAACGAAGCTAACAAGTTCAGATATAGAGAGGTATCCCCTGAGGCTTTTGGTCTTTCAACGAGAGAAATTCTTTTAGCAGACGACCTGGCTTTGAACCAGTTTGTCAGTATCAAGAAGTTTGCGCCTTACAGGCCGAAGGAGCTCGCTTTGAAAGACAAGAGAAAGTTTGCAAAAAAGAAGCATCTACAACAATGGAGAAGAGATGTTTTCAAGAACAAGGAAGGACCTGCCAGGCAGCCTGGTGAGGAGGAAGGTGAAATCTGGATTCCTAATGAAGCCGAGGAGGAGCAAAGACCTCGCAAGAAGAGCAAGAAGTCAAGGAAGTGAACAACGTCAAATTTGCATCTATATAAAACCTTATACTACAACAAAAACCAAAATTCCCAACCAAATACTTACCTAAAGCAATAGAGTAATCACTTCTAATAGATTTTGAACGGACAGACTGAAATTCATTGGGCAAGAGATTTCGCAAGCTTCACCTAATCGTAACCTTTGGGGAAACTAATGATGGACTTGGCCGCATCTCTGGACCTAGACTTGATTTTCATACCCAACGATCTGATAGATCTCTTCTCGTCTTCTTGTTTTATGATAGATCTCTCACGAGACTTCAAGTAAAGTCTAACGAAACAAAGCAAGCAAACAACAACACTGAAAGAAATTGCAATAATACTGAAGAACCAAGCAAGTCCAGCAACTTCCTGTCCGGGCACCTCAACGTTCATACCGAAGGCAGAAAATACCGAGTTCATTGGCAAGATCAAGGTACCGAGCAAGGTGACACCTCCCAAAATTTCTGTGACCCTCAAGTTAGCGTTGAAAGATTCGACTTGTAATTGTGCCAAGTAGTTGGAGTGTGATCTGCTAAAAATCTTCTCATAAGCACCTAAGTTTTGGTACATTGTGAGAACGTGATCTTGAATGTCGCCCAAATATAATGCAATGTCAGCTCGTGGTTGTGCGACCTTTCCCCTTTGCTGATTGAAGTCAGATTGATTGGCAGATTCACTGCCTGACTTTGGAGGTGGGCTGAAGTCCTCGTATGCACGGGCGCCATAAGGATTCTCGTCCTGACATCTCTTGGCGAACATCTTGATAACATCTGCCTTATTCGAGAGAAGTCTCATCAATGTCATGACCTTTCTTCTTGCTTCACCAATTTTACGCAACATGGAGCTGAAGTTCATCTCACGGGCAGTCAAAACCGAGTCTTCAATAGCATCGGCTTCATACTCAATACCCATGATGACGGGCGCAAAACCATCGGTGATGTCATCGATCATAGCGTAACAAAGCCAATCAGCGTTCACGTCAACATATTCTCTCAACTGACGGACTCTTCTTCTAACATTGGCTGGATGAGGAACAGGAGCGAAATGGAAAGTCAAGACACCCTCTTTGAAAACAACGATGTAGAAATTGATAGGCTCCAAGTAGTCCTCAGACTCCTTGTCGGGCTCAAAAGTATGGAAACACACAAAGTAGTAGCTGCGGAACAATTCGACCTTCTCACGGGTCTCTTGCATTCTAATATCTTCCGCAGTCAAAGGATGAATGCCAAAGGCCTTAGCCAACGTCTTCACTTCAGCGTCAGTTGGACAGGTAACATCCAACCACCAAGTGCCATCTCCATTCTTGAACAAATCCTGAACAGTCTGTCCCGGCTCAACCAAGGACGGAATGTCAGGGGAGTGGACGGTTTCCTCGTTGTCAGAGTGAAAGAAAGAGAAACGCTCTGGCAAGGCGACGTCATCGTCCTCATTGATCTTGGCACCACCAAACTTGACAACGTAGGACTCGTCATCAGGGGTGTTCTTCTCGTAGAAAGCCGAGTCGGACGACTCCGAGCCATGCCTCCCCTTGTCAGTAGTGGTTCCTTGGATGGAGGGAGCCTTTTGGGAGATCAGGTCATTGTTTGTTCTGATCTTCGACAAGATGTGCTTGGGAGTGTACTTGGCTGCATTCTTGCTCAAGGGTCTACCGGAGAGTGCATTGCCCGTAGATCTTCCAGAGGACAGCGCGTCCCAGCCAGTGTTCAGGGCAATCATGTTGGCCTGTTGTCTGAGCTGTTCAGCATTTTCTCTCTCTTCTTTGATGAACTCCTCAATTTCATCAAAATCGATTCCATTCACACGAACATGCTCCCGCAACATAGGGAAACAAACGTCCTCTTCTGTCTCTTGAGAGGTTCTGGAAGCGTGGGAATCAGCATCGCTGTCCATCGAAACCTTGGAAGGTCTGCGGTCACGTCTCAGAAACTGAGGAGCGTTAGCGTCAGAGCCAAAGGTGTCGTTGGTGCGGTATCTAGCTAAAATATTCAATTGGTCCTGTCTCTCCAAGGAGCTGCGGGAATGTCTGCTGGACCGTCTCATCAAATATGCAGCATCCTCGGCAGAAAGAGCCTCGCTGACCGACTGGGAACGAGTGTTTCTGCGGACTCGAGGAATCTCGAAATTCCTCCTAGGCCTCGCAGCCTCGGGGCCTTCCTCATCAGGAGGAGGCAAGTTCTCCCGTTGTTGTCTGTGGTCGTTTAAGACATGGTCGGGGCGCTGGGGCACGGCCTGGTTGGCCGAGGTGGAGTTGTAGCTTTCAGAGTCGGACATGGCAAGAGCGCAGGGTTAACTTTGGATCACTTGCTTTTTTCTTCTAATTTAGCGCCAGTGGGCTGTGATCATGTCTGGGGAGGACAGGCGAGCAAAGAACGATGCGTGGTGGGTCTTCATAGATGGAAGTCCAATGGGTCTATCCTTCTTTGGGTGAAGAAGAAAAGAGAGAGAAAACGGTGGAGCACGATGCCCTTTTATTTCGCGCTGAGAAAAATCACTGCAGAGAAATTAAGACAACCATTTTCATCACACGCCATGCAAGGCTTTTGCTCCGACGACATGCTTGAAAAAAAAAAAAAAAAAAAAAATTAGACTTTTGCCGAAAATAAGCTTTTCACTATTCGACATTTACCTTTCCAGTCTCTGGAAGATTTCTTTTTTTCAGTACTTTTGTGTGATCAGGACGTCCGGTGACCACGTTGTGCCATGCCCTGGCACTCGCCTCATCACAAATTTATTGGCACAGGCCACTTGCTCGCACCACCTCGATTCACTCAACCGCCCTATCAGCACCTCAGCCCCCGGGCTGTTTTTGCGGGATTTTTATCCTGACAAAAGTAGCGGCTACATTTTTTGGCTGATTAAATGAAAATACTTTTTTTGTGTACTTAACCAATTAATTTTTGTCGCCCCCCTTCCCACGAGATACTCTTGCTTCTGCTGCCTTGGAACAATGCCAGTGCGCACTGGGAACAATCTTAGCGATGGCTCGCCAGGGCGATGTTCCGAGAAGATGAAAAATTTCTTGCCATTTTTTCGCTATCCCTTCTCAGTAGGCATTCTTTTTGAAAATCCCTCGCATACCACTGTGGCATCGCCTCGCCTTGTTCGGGTCCCACGCATTGCACGATTTTCCACACGGCTACCTATCACAAAATAAATTGAATATTTTTTTTTTTTCCGATTTCTGTCATTTTCTCCACTCATCCAAATCTCATACATCTACATCAATTTAAACTTCTCTTCACCGCAACCATCTATTCTACCTGCCTCACACCGTCTAAACAATGCGCAGCATGTACAATCTGGGTTAGCCCGCCCTGCGCACTCGCCGCTGCCCTGACTCATGCCCTATCTACCGGCCTAGCACCACTCGACTGGATTCTGCAAAACCTTCACCAAACGGGCCTCCTCGGTGCCTTCTTCTGGATGGTGGTCGTAGACCCAGCTGGCCGTTGCAGGCAACGACATCAAAATACTTTCGACTCGCGAGCCGGGCGTCTGCAAGCCAAACTGCGTGCCTCTGTCCAAGACCAAGTTGAATTCGACGTAGCGCCCGCGGCGGATCTGCTGCCACTTTTTCTGCTCGGCAGTGAAGTCTTGATGCATGCGTTTTTCAACAAGCGGCACGTAGGAGGGCAAAAAGGCGTCGAAGCACGATTCTACAATTCGTAAGATCTCGTCGGCGGGCTTGTCGTCAAAGTCGTCAAAGAAAATGCCGCCAACGCCTCTAGTCTCGTTTCTGTGCTTGATGTAGAAGTACTCGTCGCACCACTTCTTCCACTTGGGGTACAATGCCGTGTCGTACTTGTCCAATGCATCCTTGTGTGTCTGGTGGAAGTGCTTAGCGTCCTCGTCATACAAGTACGAAGGTGTGAGGTCGCATCCACCGCCAAACCACCATGTCATCACCTCGCCATTGTCGGGATCGGTGGTTTCAAAGTATCTGTAGTTGGCATGGGTGGTTGGAGCATGGGGGTTGTGGGGTGGATCACCATTGACAATCCACAGGCGAAAAAGTCCACCGATCCGTCAGCTGCACCCTTGAGGTTACGGTGGTCAGCACGCATTCGCTGGACAGCCTGAGGAGGCAATTTGCCGTGGACAATTGAGATGTTGACACCGCCCTTTTCAAAAGTGGTGCCGTCCTGGAGAACCATCGACTCTCCGCCTCCGCCGTTGTTTCCTCTCACCCAGGCATCCGTGTGGAACGTGGTGGTGTCCAAGGCGGCAAGCCCGTCGGTGATTTCCTTCTGCTTCAAGCGCACAAGCGCTTCCATTCTCTCTCTGATGGAGAGGCTGCTGTCGTGGATTTTGTCGGCCATACTTGATGAAAGAGACTCGCTCGTGCACTTATATATGGGTAGCCTGCACGCTTGAGCTAGTGGTGTGATAGTATACGAGTGTGTCCTTACGGAGCCAGCTGGCGAATGGGCTTTGGTGTATTAGTGAGGCGATTTGGGGAGGTCAGAAATAGCCTATTTTCACTTTTACGATTGGTTTTAGGGGCTGGGCACTGGGTGGTTAATAAGGTATCAGGTGCGCAACGGTTGCAAAATATGCTCTTACGGGGAGAGTAGTACGAAGCGGCACAATCAGCAGTAAGTCGATATGGTTTAAACCGTTTGTTCTTACTTTTAGTCTTCTCTCTTTATTCGCTTCGTGTAGTTTGGTGGAACCCGTGGGCCTCAATTGACACTAGACTGACATCAGGCGGACCACTCCGTTTCTCCTTTCTAGCGTTGTACGATTGACCGAAGCGAGAATACTTGACAGATACGTGTACGAAAAGGGCATGCTGGGCTAGTCGAGAAGTGAACATGGCCCCGTCAAGCAAATCGTGGAAATCTCCTAGTAAGAGCCAGTACGAAGAACTGCTAGGCACAATTGAGCCGCATCAATCCTCGAATGAAACTTCACATCCCTTAAGCATACTTAGTTGTCAATCTGAAGTTTATGTACAAAGAGCACCCAGAAATCCTCTATTTCTATGAAAGTGACGTGAGGGCGACAGAATCCCGCTACCATCGCACCGGAGTGCACCACCTCGCCATTGGCAACTCAATTGTCCATCAGCACAGTGGCATCGGCCTCCCTGGTATTCTCCATGACATACAAGGCGTTCTGCCAGTCGCTCCCGTCCGCCCTGGCTACGGCCTCCTCGTGATTCTTCGCTATGCCCGCAGCCAAGTGCCTCCGCACAATCCTCTCCCGCACCGTTTCTGGCGCAGTGCGGACCACCCAGAGCTCATCCACCAACTCCGCCAATTGCACCCACGGCTCGTCCTTCAAACCTACGTAGTTGCCCTCGATAAAAACAACCTGTGCCAGCGGCTCAATGCAAATGTCGTCTTCAACCGGATCCTTTTTAGCGTGGTCAAACAGCGGCGCCAACACTTTTTCGCCGTTGCGTACCCGCCTCACGGCATCCACAAAACGGGCCCCGTCAAACGTATAGGGTGCTCCGCGGCGGCGGAAGGCCTCCTCGGGGTCGTCGAAGCGCGCCAATTGCTCGCGGTAAAAGTGGTACCCGTCCTGCGGGAGCACTTTGCTCGACACTCCGCACGAGGCCAAAACAGCCACCATTCGTTCCACTAGCGTCGATTTGCCTGCGCCCGGGACGCCTGCCACAGCCACGACGACACGTTTTTTCTGCTCGAGAAGCCGCTTCACCCGCTCCTGCAATTGATCGAGTTGGCTGCTTTCGTAATGCATCAGTCAAAGAAGACCTTGTGTTCCGTGCCCGACCACTGGATAGTGGATGCTCGCTGCTTTATGTATGCCTTCCACCTCCACCCCGCGAATGCCTATCTGTGCTATCTAACGGACTTGGGGTCAGTGTGGGCCGAGACAGCCTCACGAGACGACGTTGCCGAGCGGGCTCGGGCGTTAGGCCTCCTGAGGGTGGACTCCGACACTTTGGGTGTTTTGGAACTGGAAATCCAGGCTGCTTTTGACGATAAGCTGGTTCATATAAAACAGCTGGGTGACCTCTACATCGTCTCGGTGGACCTACCGAACCTCACCTGGAAAATGCGGTTGCAAAAAATGGATCCGCCCCACGCAGCATCATTCCTAGCTTCTCTCAACATCTCTCAGTTTGCCAACCATAGTTATCTCGCATACAAGGTGTCCCAGCTTGAGAAAGCCTTGCGGGCCAAGGATAAGTACACCTTGTACTTGGAGGAGAACTATAAAACAGTCAATGGCACGGTACTCATGGACAAGTACAGGCGACAAAACGCTGATGATGCTCCATTTCTCCAGCCCTACTCCCGCGGTATCTTCGATGGAAGGGTACGAGAGCTGTACGGGCTGTTGGGCCGGAAGTTGGAAGCAGATCCCGGCTCTAGAGACTCGCTCATATGGAACTTGATTGACTCCGTAACGCAGGACGTGCAGACTTGGAAAGCTGGCCAATGGATACAGCTGTCGGACACGGCTGCTGTGAAAACAGAGCAGGATACCATGATTGGCGAACCCACAAAAGTCAAGACAGAGGAGAGACTGGTAGATCTCAAAAATGAAAGTCCCTCGCCAAAGGTCGAGTCCCCAAGTAAAAGGCGTCGTGTTGGTATTTTAGGACGTCAAAGAGCTACCAGCGAAGAGAAAGCCAGTCCCTCTCCTCAGTCGCCTGGGAAACGTAAGCGGGTTGGCATCATTAAACGCTGATCATTTGGACTTTCTGTGTGCCACTGCCATATCTGTCCACCTCTGCATGATTGTATTCATCTGTGTAATTTGCGGTCCTTCCAACTCCTTTTGAATCAAGGCCTCTAGGAACCCGCTCCAAAATGTGATGAAGTCGTCTAGCGTTTCCTTATCAGTTGGCTTGTAGCAGTATTCTAGTGAAGGGCTCCTCGAAGCGAATTGTGAGCGGTACGTCGTACTGCCGAAATATTGATTGAAGACCGTTCGCCAGAATCTGGAGATGATGTCGGCAACATCTACAAGGCTTGTCGCCTTGCTGATATCGTATCCTCTGACAAGATCAAGCTCTTCACCATAGCTCAGCTTCATGCAGTGATGTATCATAGACTTGGTCAATTGCAAGACCTCATTATAAATGACCTCTTCATAACGCTGAGTGGAATAGTCCGGTACTTCAATGCGTCTTTCTCGCACAACTTTATGTTCTTGGATCCTTCCGAAACGGTGAAAATTCTCATGCGAGATCATCAGAGCGATTTTTGCAGCCGTCATGCCATCTCTGTAGCTAACGGTAAGAAGCTCGTTCAGAAGTGCTTTTGTACAAAGATTTTTATCGTTCGTCAAAAGGACTTGAAGCGTTTTGGGATTCTCCCGCTGTATGTAAAGAGCACAGTCTAGAATCGCATCGTCCTTCACAGCCAAGCGGTTTATCCTTTGATCAACTGACTGACCGATCACAGCGGGGTCCTTCTTTGCAAAACAGTTGTAAATCCAGTCATTGGCCCATCTCGCCAATTGGCCGATTGAATTGAGTGTAACTGAGTTTCCCTTCTCTCTCCGCGTCTTGGAGTTCTTCAACCCATCCAATTCCTGTACTACGGTGGTTGGAATAACCATACGAAGCCTGTGTTCTTCAGCTAGGCTTCTCAATTCGTCTAGTACGTTCAAATGTGACAAGATGAAATTGGTGTCCACGATCAAATACGACATGTTCCCGCTCACTATGAAAGTTTCTTTATGCACAAGCTGTAAGGCGTCCATATCCATATCGTCGGGATTGAATGCACCTTGCAGTCGAGAATTCAGAACGTAGTCGGAGATTGCATTAGTTTCTTTCTTGCTGTCCATGGATATCATTCCAATCTCTTCCTTCATTTCTTCCTTTGCATTGTTTACTTTATCATTGATGCGTCTATAGATGTACTCAACTGGTTTTGGCTTTTTCGTTGGAGTTCCACTAGCCAAAACTTTCCTCCTGTCGGCTGTCAGAAGCCCCACGGAGGAGTACTTGGAAGGGATAGCCATATCCAACTATGGGGTTGATATTCAATTCCAATTTGGGGTACTTTCGCAGCACTGATCTGGAGTCCGGATCCGTACATCTTGTTTGCAGCCATAAAAACGTTTTTGCAAGAGACCGTCTACAAAGAATTAAAACACGTTAACTATTATGCTAAATGCAAAAGACCTGCTAATATAACCAGTATAGTAGCAAGCACTAGAAAAGCTGTAACATGAACTCAAATATGCTCACAGAAACGCTGATGACAATGATGATTATAATCATGGTAGTGATACGGCTGGTGTTGGACTCATTAATGCTGTCACTGATGATGTTCGAGAACTCCAAAAAGACCTTGCATCTGTCATTCAAAACCAGGACTCTTTGCTCGATCTCAAGATAATCACGCACAGCATTATAGAGAGGGTGCAAGGCAGGTTCAAGAGACCAGAAGAAATTTGGCGTATCCAAAATAGAGCTTGACAAGTTTACATCCACTCGCAACTTGAAAAGCTTACCAGATTTCTTCAAAAGCTGCTGCCTTTTGAGGCCTAGCTTTCCTGTCAAAGCAAGTTTCTTTGGAAGTTTCGATATCAGCTGCAAACTATACACCATTCGGCTCTCGAATAGACAAAGCTTTGTCAGTTGAGCGAGAGCATATGACATTGTAAGTTTGATGAGGTGGTCTGCAGAACGTAAGGTGATCATGTCATTATAGATTCTGGGTCTTTGCACCAGTGAGTCGTATTCGAAGTGGAATTCCTCGGTTTCAATCTCATGATCACTGATTGGATTTATTAGAATTGGGACCTCTGAGAAGGCGAGGTCAGCCAAAATGTTCTTCTCGTGAATTTCGGTGAAATTCCAGAAGACAATGATACCATATTCAAGCACGAACATCTCGGCGTGATGTTTACTTATCTCTTCTTGAACGTCGTCCTTGTTCATGCGGCTGAGACTGTCTGGTTTCAGTGAATCGCTATTAGCGTCCGACTTTTTAGAAGACGTTTCACCCTCGCTATTGCTGTCATCCTCGATGTCTTGAGGTGGAGCAAAAAACTGAGGCTCTGAAGGATCAAATGGGCCATAGTTCTCAGCATTACCATCTTCAGGATCCATTGAGTAGTTCATGGCGTCTTCGGGCGTTTCAACACCCGAATAGTACTCATACAAATGATCAGTCTCCTCCGACTTACGAATCATCTTCTCCATGTATCGTTTGCTTGGCAAAGATTTGGCGGTATCATTAGACTTGACTCTGAAACCGTCAGAGCCTGGTAGCAACGGCAATGCATATGGAACGTAAAGAGCTTCATCGTACAATCGAGGCTTAACCTCATGTGTGTTCTTGAGGAACTCCATGAGAGCAGTATTATCGAACTCTTCACAAATAAAATAAGCGGTGACTCTACTGAATTCTTGTGCCCTTGCTTCCTTAGGCATGAGTTCTGCCCTGCTTCTCTGAATCAGAGGGGGATCAGACCTATCCAGAGGAGGTGGTGACCCCATACGTTGTGGCAGTGAAGATCCAGGACTAGACTGGTGCTCATCAGGAATCAACACTAATTTCTGAGACGTCTTTGAAGTTCTCGCAGGTAGGTTCTGCGATAGTTTGGGTATGCTTCTGATGTTTCGTCTTCTCTGCTCGTGCAGCAATGCAGCGTCAATCGGTGGCAGGGAGGGTCTTGGGGAAGGAAAGCGTGCGCTCTGAGCAGAATTGGGGAATCTGCTTTGGCCAGAAGGAATATCACTGGAATTGCTCAACAATTTGTCAACAGAGATGTCGGTGTACTTGTTCGAGCGAGTATTGAATCGACGATGCAAGGAAGGGCTCAGCGGATGGCTTCTGTTATCTGAATAGTTCGATCCGCCCAGTTGTCCCAGTGACTGCTGCTGTTGTTGTTTTCTATAATTCTGCCCAGCAAATGGAGCCCTGGCGCCCTTCACATTACTGCTTCTAGCGTCGGTGACTAAAATCGACGGCGATCGTTTGGCCGTAGGTCGCAGGTTATTCTTATCCTGCGACTCTGTATTTCGCCCATTCGACATGACGGGTGGGTTGTGGGTTTTTGATAAACGGCCCTATGAGGGTACTACTTTTCGATGTCGGTAGGAGCGAGCTATCGCATCGGTACGGTCATGTGACGAATCAGGCTGAATTTATAGTGGACTAAGGGTCGTTTAAGGTTGAGTTTTGGATGGAGTTTCTTAAAGACTTGGTGATCTCTCTGAATTTGGGATAAAATTATTTTTTGTGGGATATTTTGTGTTTTGTGCTTTTGGGTGGATCTGGCAGCTTCCCCTGAAATATAGAAACCGCATGCACTACGAATGAGCCGAGATGGCTTAAATATGTGAAACATAAAACTACTTTAAAATCTGAAAGTGATAGAAATTCTCAAGCAAAAATACAACTGTCGAAACTGAGTGCTCAAGGGAAAAGAGCCAAATAGCGATTGCATTGAATTTCGTCCTTGAAGTACAGCTGAACAGGTTGCGTTGCGTAAGCGCAGACCTCGACTAACAATTGGGATTACTCCCGCAACAACAGTATTGAATACGAGTTCCTGGAAAATCAACAAGATTCAAAAACTTAGCTATATACTTCTCAATTTCTAAAGGTCTTCGTAAGCACACACTTGCAAGACTTCTAAGCGGTTCCTGATTCACGTGACCTCCATCAGAATTTTCCATAGACGTTCTCATTCAGTCATCTTGATCCTTACCAATGGCTACCCTTACTGTCGCTGCCAAGGCTCCATTTATAGCCTACTCCGCTATCATTGCTGCGGAGATCGTGAACTCTGACTCCGACAAAGCTGTCACTGTCGAATTTGTTGACGACAAGAACGTCGAGAAAGATGCCACTGTCAAGTACACTGACGGTGGAAACTTCGTCACTGGTGATGTTGAGGTCCTTTCCCAATTAACCTCTGCTGCCCCCACCTTGGTCAACCCTGAAGGCGCCAGTACTTGGGTTAGCTTTGCTTTTGAGAAATTGGCCAACAAGAACTTCAAGGCTTTGGCTACCGACTTGGAGAAGTTGGATGCTCACTTGAACTTCAGATCCTTCATTGTGGGCCACTCCCTTTCTAATGCCGATGTGGCCATCTGGGGTGTCTTGAGAGCCAACGCTGTCATGGGCTCCGTGCTCAAGAACGAGGTCTACGCCAATGTCTCTAGATGGTACAACTTCATCGGATCCGACTCCAGATTCGACTCTGTGGCTGAGAAGACTACCAAGTCTGTCAATGAGTTGAGAAAGGCCGTGAAGGCCGCTTCTGGTGCCAAGAAAGAGTCACACAAGGCTAACTTCGAGATTGACTTGCCTAACGCCAAGATCGGTGAGGTTGTGACCCGTTTCCCACCAGAGCCCTCTGGATACTTGCACATCGGACACGCCAAGGCTGCCATCTTGAACGAGTACTTTGCTCACGCCTACAAGGGTAAGTTGATTATCAGATTCGATGATACCAATCCTACCAAGGAGAGAGTTGAGTTCCAGGACTCCATCATTGAGGACTTGGCTTTGCTCGGTATCAAGGGTGACCAAATTACCTACTCTTCCGACTACTTCGACAAGATGTACGAGCTTGCGCTCACCTTGATCAAGGAAGGCAAGGCTTACTGTGATGACACTCCACAGGAGAAGATGAGAGAGGAGAGAATGGTTGGCGATGCCTCCGCTAGAAGAGAGAGAACTGTCGAGGAGAACTTGAAGATCTTCACCGAGGAAATGAAGAACGGTACCGAGGAGGGCTTGAAGAACTGTTTGAGAGCAAAGATCGACTACAAGGCCTTGAACAAGGCTTTGAGAGACCCTGTCATCTACAGATGTAACTTGACCCCGCACCACAGAACAGGCTCTCAGTGGAAGATCTACCCAACATACGACTTCTGCGTGCCTATTGTTGACTCCATTGAGGGTGTTACCCACGCTTTGAGAACCAACGAATACAGAGACAGAAACCCACAATACGAGTGGTTCTTGAAGGCTTTGAACTTGCGTCACGTCGACATTTGGGATTTCGGTAGAGTGAACTTCATCAGAACTCTTTTGTCGAAGAGAAAGTTGCAATGGTTTGTTGACAAGGGCTTTGTCGGTAACTGGGACGACCCAAGATTCCCAACTATTAGAGGTGTGAGAAGAAGAGGTATGACCGTCGAGGGATTGAGAAACTTTATTCTCTCCCAGGGTCCTTCCAAGAACATCATCAACATGGAGTGGTCTACTATTTGGGCCATGAACAAGAAAATCATCGACCCAGTTGTCCCAAGACACACTGCTGTGGATGCTAAGAATGCAGTCAAGGTGCAGCTTTCCAACGGTCCTGCTGAACCTTACACTGAAGACAAACCCAAGCACAAGAAAAACGCCGACATTGGCTTGAAGAAGGTCATTTTCTCCAAGAATTTGTTGGTGGACCAGGCTGATGCTGCTACCTTCGCTGAGGGTGAGGAGGTCACCTTTATGGACTGGGGTAATGTGATCATCAAGAAGATCAACAAGGAGGGCGATGTCGTTTCTTCCATTGACGCTGAGTTGCACTTGGAAGGTGACTTCCGTAAGACTGAGAAGAAGGTTACGTGGCTTGCTGATACTGATGACAAGATCGAGGTTGAGATCCACGACTTTGACCATTTGATCACTAAGGACAAGTTGGAGGAGAACGACAACTTCGAGGATTTCATCACTGAAAAGACCGAGTTTGTGTCTACGGTGTATGCTGACGTGAACGTCAGATCTCTTAAAAGAGACGACATCATCCAATTTGAGAGAAAGGGTTTCTTCAAGGTTGATGAGAGTCTTAAGGAAGGTAAGGTCGTGATGTTCACCATTCCTGACGGTAAGAAGAAATAGATCCTGGATTCATAATAATTGCACATTGATTCAAGAAGATAGAACACAGCACGGCAAATGTAGCACGATATCCGCAAAATTAGGTCCTTGATGATTGGACCGGATCAGTGGAGTTTTATTTAATTCTTGTTTCCTGTTTAGAAATCCAACGGTCTGAGAAAGCCTTTTGTAGCAATGGCGCCAAAAATAGGAGAAAGCAGGGTGGACTTTCCCATGCGATCCCCGATTGTTCGCGCTGGTATGTCTTAAGAAAATAGGAATGCCGAGTACATCGCTCTTCAATAGGGACAAGTTGAACCACATTCAAATCAGCGTATTGTCTTGACTTCGTTTGACTTCGTCAATTCGTGTTCGAGGCTCGAGAAGCCAGGAATTCTTGTGTGTAGTGGTGTTTCGTGTTGAACCTAAAGCCATAGATTGCGATCGCTAAGCCCGAAATAGACGAGCAAAAGCCACGATTTCAGATCCTCGGATTGCATTGGAATTGACACATGGACTACATGCAAATAAAAAACTTGCAATTACGACATTATCATAGGTTGTTTTTTAAGGTTTCGATAGATGGAACAGTCCATACCCCACATCCCACACAATGAATTCTCGAACAAGATATACGAATAGAAACGCAAATGTCTGCTCGTAGTGCTTTATTCATGAAGAAGACCCTAATGAGGAAGAATGGTGCCGAACACGCGAATATAACAATTGGAAATGACTTCCCTGTGATAGATGCCCTTGAGAAACAATGAGAACATGTACCCCTTTTAGGAAATTCGGGCAAACTCTCTCGCTGCCATATACGAATTAACCGAAATAATGGACAATGGACAGTGAGAGGCTTTCAAATGGAACTTTTATGTATGAATAGATTGTCGCCATGCAAGGCGCGCATCGAGACGCAGCTCAGATGCTACCCACTGCAACTCGCATACAGGGTTCTTCAGATGCTAATGTGGATGAGACTCGTATCCATTGGCCAGAGAGGACTAAAAAGGAAAGAACAGATCAGCCATTTTAAGTCGACACGGATCTTATGTGTAGAGACAAAGGCCTGCATCTGTCCGAAAAACGTCTTCAAGCCCAAGGTTCCTCTAGTGTACTTCAAATCATGAAAGACGTTTTCTCGTTTGGGTTTCTAAAACAGTTGACACCCGTAGTAGTAAATCAGAGCGGGAGTTTATGTGAATGAAGGAAAAATTCGTACGAGTTGAACCATTGATATCGATCACTTTCAAATATTGGGCTCAGTCTCCAACAACATGATTTTATTTGAATCGCCGTTTGAGACCTTTGGGGAAGTGTGGGGTGATAACACGATGTAACTAAGAAAAAAGTATCTTTCGTTAAATTTTGAGATTATTCGCATCGCCCACGTTCAGCGATCGAATACAGCCACAGGGTATTTTTAGTATGAATCATTTTCTGAAGTCCAGTCCAGCGAGTTGTACAGTTAGAATCCAGATTTACCTTTCGAAATTGCTTCGACTAACCCCGTCAAAGATAGAATCATTTCTTGTGATTGTAAATAATTCATGAGATTCGTGGTCAATGAAATTAGAAATTTCAAATTATAATGGGTCTTTGCCCCTCACGCTTGTTGTGGTTTCGAAAAAGCGTATGGTCGTCTCTTTGTGTGATCCATATTAGGTCTCAATTTAGTTCACACCTCTAGCAACTTCTGCTGAATTTCCCATCCGTAAGAGATTGATTCACGACTACGTTGTAGAGAATTTTAAGTTACGTGCTGTAGCGTTTTCTAGTGAATCTAAAATCCTTTCAATTTAGTATTTGCACTCTCTAAATTCCGAGGCAGACAAATTTTGCGAAGTACGAGATTCTATTCTCCTATTTACAGTGGCCATTGAAATAGGAAAACGGCAAACCGGTATGGGAATCTTTGTCTGCCTCTTCAGTTAGTAGGAATACCCGTTGAAGCAAAGGGAATCTGGGGTAGGATGCATCGATATTGGGCCATTGTGGTACTTCGAGGAATAGCACGTAAATTTTTTTACCTGGTTCAAGTCACATAACTATTGTACGAAAAGCTGAAACTTCTGGCTCAAACTCGACGAGTCCGAGCTAATGTTTCATGAATAAGATTATTCATAAAGCGAAATAATATCGCGAATATTCAAGCAGAATGGAGTCGGTGCCACACATCTCGAGGCACGCAAAAGAGGAGTCAAAGGCTTTTGAAATATGTTTCACCCACTATTACGGTCTGTGTCAATGGCCCTCGGTCCAGAATAATGAAAGTGCCGGGCCTAACAATAAAAATCGCCATTTTGGGAGCGCGTTGACCTCTCGTCTTTATTTGCCAAGGCTCCGTTTTAGAGCAACGAAACACTGAATCCATAATAATCCAAAGGACACCTTGCATACCTGGTCGCTGTCGTCGTAAAAGCATACCTTTTAACCTTTCCATGAACAGTAAACCAAGATATTTATACATCCTGTGAGGTGGGTGCACAATGACGCACAAGGGTCCAACTTGCATATACATACAGGCTCTCAAATGCGGTTGCAAAAAGTTATTCTGGTAGACGACGAGGTCTTCCGAGACCGACTTGTTCAACTTTTCATAACTATATAAGAAGCAAATTTTCTCAGAGTTCCTTTTCTTTTTTTCTTCTTCTTCCTCACACCAGTATCTTATATCCATGCTTCCACTCAATGTCTTGTTGGCGACTTTGGCCCTGGTGGCCTCTGTCAGCGCCAGGGTTATCTCCCAGCCAACTGAGTACTCTCAGAGCTGGGATTTCTCCTTGGGTCCACTCACTATCGAAGAAGGTGCCTACCTCAGAATCAACAACAACACCCTCACCACCATTGGAGGAAACCTCGACAACAGTGGTGGCTTCTTCATCTCTTCCAGCGACACGTTCCAGTCAGCTGTTGATATCACTTCTGGAAAAATTTCAAACTCAGGTGATCTTGCTTTTAAAGCAGAGAACCCAAACTTTGCCTCCAGATATATTCTCAACAGTGTCGCAAGCTTCGAGAACACCGGTAACATGTGGTTCCAGATATCCCAGGCAACAACCACTTCGCCTTTCACGGTGACGTCAATGGCCAGCTGGACTAACTCCGGCTTGATGTCCTTTAGCCAGGCTGATGGATCCCCATCTCGTGTGAGATTGAACCAGGCTGCTGGAAGCAGCGGCTTCAACGTTATCGAGAACACGGGTAACATCTGTCTTGAGGGCACTGAGTGGGTCCAATCTTCGAGCGTTCGTGGTGATGGTTGTGTCAACGCTCTCACCCGTGGTGAGATCAAGTTGCAAACTGCTGTTGGTGACACCATCTACAACTTTGCCAGCGAGCAGGCCATTTGGTTGGAGGACAACACTTCAAGATTGTCAGTGGTTGGTTTGTCTGCCGGTAACAACAATCACCGCAACAATGACAAGGGCAAGAGGAACAAGAACAAGCGCGGCAGTGGCGGCGCTAACCCTAACAATGTTCCAGTTATTGACGTTTACGGTTTTGGTAATGCCAACATCATCAGTGTGAACTTGGGCTTCACTGGATACAATTATGAATCTTCCACTGGTCTTTTGAGATTGTACTTCAACACTCACTTTGGTATTACCTTTGACATCGGACCTGGTTACACAACTTTCAACACCAACTCGAATGTTGGAACTGCAACTGAGATCTGGGCCAACTACCCACCACCAAATGGTAAACCAGACAGATGTAGCTGCAGAGAGATGCCAGAATTCCCCAACGGAGGTGGCGACTCGGAGGAGCCCTCAGAAAACTCCAGCGAGGTAACTGAGACATCTGAGACAAACCCTGGACCAACTGAGACCACCGAATCTGCTACTAGTACTACGGATTCCGAGACCGTGACTGAACCTAATGACACTGACACCGGTTCTTCCACTACCGAGGAGTCTTCTTCAAGCAGTGATGTTGCTTCATCAACTGGAGATGGCTCTCTGTCCGGTTCATCCTCAGCGTCGTCTAGCAGCGGTAGCAGCAGTTCTACCGATGAGCCATCCAAGCCAACTGAGGATTGCCCAGACGAAGATGAGGACGACAAGGATGACGAAGATGACAAAGACGATGACAAGCCACCAAAGGAGGACGACAAGGAAGATGACTGCCCCGAAGACGACGATGACAAGAAGCCACCTAAGGAGGACGACAAGGACGACAAAGAGGATGACTGCCCCGAGGACGACAAGCCAAAGCCACCTAAGGACGATGGTAAGAAACCTCCAAAGGATGAGGAAGATTGCCCTGAGGACGACAAGCCCAAGCCTCCAAAGGACGATGACAAGAAGCCACCCAAGGACGACGACAAGAAACCTCCAAAGGACGACGACAAGAAACCTCCAAAGGATGATGACAAGAAACCACCAAAGGACGACAAGCCCAAGCCTCCAAAGGACGACGATGAGAAACCACCAAAGGACGACGACAAGAAACCTCCAAAGGACGACGACGAGAAACCTCCAAAGGATGATGACAAGAAGCGTCCTACTAAGACTGCTCCTGATTCAACTGCTCCTAAGTCCACTGCACCCGAATCCACTGCACCAAAGTCCACTGGCCCTGTTCGTGTCACCCCTAGTACCACAGCTCCAGTCAGAACCACTCCTTTTACAACTGCTCCAAAGACTACAGCTCCTAAGCCAACTGAACCTACCGTTACTTCATACGAAGGTGCTGGTGTGAAGGCTTCTGTCGGTATTCCAACAGTCTTTGCTGTGGTTGCCGGTTTGCTCGCTTTGTAAGTCGGTTAACTTTAACAACATGACCCATTCCCTCGCTTTAGTCTTTCGCTTATTGCGGTCCGTTTAACCTTTCTTCGACTGTTCATTACTTTCGATACCCAACTCATAATTCTCATGGGTCTTTTTTAGCAGCAACTTTTCAATTCAATGTTCAATTCATTTTGATATCCTTGTGTATATCATTCTCATTGAGTGACCTGAATTCATTTGAGACAGAATGTAGTTCGAGTCTGATTTCAGTAAAAGCGACTCTCGAACTCTGACTGTTCAAAAAGTGATAGGTCTTCTCTTTCGAGTCCTTATTAAAGTCCATTCACAGTTTGTAGCCATTTCTTCGAGAAGCGGATCACCTCAGTATCATCAGCATCTTTGACGAGAGGATCAATGAATGATACGCATTTGTGCCGCTTTTCCAACGATTATATCCTAGATTATACTATAAGGGTAGTCAAATCTCGCCCTAATATTCTGAAAACCATTTTTTCGGAATCTTCAACAACAGTTTTATCAACTCCAAAAAAGCGCGTTAGTGTAGCGTGTCTAGGGCATATATAAACGCGAAAAACAGCCTTACTATAGCTTTATATGGCAACCAGGTCGCGCAAAATCACGTTACATATCGGAGGGTTGGCCGAGTGGTCTAAGGCGGAAGACTTAAGATCTTTTGGACGTTTGTCCGCGCGAGTTCGAACCTCGCACCCTTCATTATTTTTTTGTCCTCAATTGCTCTACTAACTACAGCCTGACCACTTGAGCCGCAGCCGCGCGCCATTCCGTCATTGCCATTTAACCCAAGCTTTGTACAGTATATCCTTAATGTCCGACCACACTTGCTAGCATACGCCCACCCCTCGATTGCTATAGTGGGGTATATATAAAGGGGTCTGGCCCCCATGTTTTCTGAACCACAATTCTGAACTATAATGTCTCCACAACCACACAAGATTTTCTACAAAGGCAATGAACATGATTTTGTCATCTTCACCGAGAACCCAGACTTGATCAAGAAGTACAAGGGCGGTGACACCACAATTCCTCTTGTGGACCTAGTTTCGGTTTGGCAGGTTTTCACCAACAGACAGGGTGGTGTTGACGGAATCTTGGACCAAGCTTCCAAGGCTGAATTGGAGAACGAGTTTGGTCCTAAGGCGAAAGTGGACGATGCCATCAAGAAGATTCTAGATGAGGGTGATGACAAGAAGGCCGTCGGTACCTTCGATGAACAAAAGCCCGTATAAATACATGAGTCATGAATAAAATTAAAGAACATCAAGACTTGCCACTGGAAAGTAGCGACCCTGAACCTGTAGATTGACTTGCTTCGAAACTAAGCAATTGAGAGACTCAATTGAATTGTTTGATACTTAAGCATAAGACTATAGGGATCAGCAGACTTAAACCTTTGAAAGATCAAGTTTTGCCTGATAACTAATGGAGAACGAAATGGCTGCAAATGTGCATTTGCTGCCACAGGGCAGTTAGTCCTCCAAGAAGTCGAACCAAACTCTTCCATCATCTCAGAATCATTAAATACAGAGTAGAGAGGTTTGTGACGCAATCAATGCCTTAGCCATAACTTCTTCCACGGAAGAATTGCAACTTGAAATGAAGGACTCTATCTTTCCTGTGTACATACTGCCTAGCTACTTTTGCAGGCGATTGCGAGCTAGTACTACTTCATCATGAGTTCCAGAGCACTCCGGAGGCTTGAGAGGCAGAGAGAATCGGCAACTCCAGAAGCCGAAAATGACTCCGACCATGAAGAAATAAAGAAACTAGCAGTAAACAGATTTGCCTTCTTGGGTGCTGAAAGTGACGATGATGCAGGCAATAATGACCTGGTAGATGAAGCTGAGCCTGAGCAGCCAGCTCCAGAAACACCCTCCATATCAAGAAAGAAGAATAAAAAGAAGAACAAGAAGAAGAAAAAGCAGCAGCAACAACAGCGGGATAATTCGGACAAGGAGGGGAAGACGATGAAGATCTAGACCAGTTCCTCGAGCAGATCAGACAACGTGATTTGGCTAATTCAAAGAGCGTTTCTGTTGAGGCAGAGGGACCAGGGGAATTGGTTGAGGATTTTGAAGAACAATTTGATAGCTCTGATCCTCCAATTGCTTATACGGCAGCCAACTTTCATTATTTCACTACCTCCAGGCTCAAGGAGTGCTTGCCACTCTTGTCCATAAAAGCTGTCAAGAACTTGGATTCAGATAATGAGCTCAAAAACCTTTTTGGTAATTTGAGTCTCGAAACAATCGATGATGCAAACAGCACGACTTCAATGTCGATTTCACCTGAGGTGTTAGCACAGTTCAGAAAGATAGCAAGACTCACACGAGGATGGGGAGGCAGAGACCGCAGAGGCGTTCCAGGAACATCGAGGAAACTTTTACTCACAACAATCAAGGATGATTACCTCCCTACGGCACAAAAGCAGCTAAATATGGAGGAGCTTACGACTGATGACGTTGTAGAGACCCTAAGATACAAAGAGGAGGAAGAAGGCTACGATTTCCTTAGCAATAAGGTCAAAGCCCAAGCAAAGCTCGGAATTCGTCATTTCAAATTTACGAAGGTGCCTTCTGTCTCGGATAGAGTGGCCAATTCTAAATTCTATGCGTCAGTGGTAATGACGCCTGACCCAGATGCATTGATTCAATTGATCCAGCAGCACCCATATCATGTTGAGACGCTTCTACAAGTATCCATGGTTTTCCTAAGACAGGGGAACAACAAGGCAATGAGCAATGCCTTGGTAGAGAAATGCCTCTTTGTCTTTGACCGCTCCTTTAACAAGAGATTCCATGAAATGCTTCAAGACGGTAAGTCTGAGCTCATAAGGCTTCCTTACGAGACATTCATGAACAGACAGTTCTATCTTTGCATCTTCCGTATCATCACTGGAATGGCAGAGCGCTCAACCTTCTTTACAGCGTTGAACTACTGTAAACTCCTTTGGGGATTCAGCCCTGCCGAAGATCCCATCGGAGCTCGTTACTTCATTGACCATTACGCCATATTATCTGAGGAATACGACTGGCTCGTGAAGGTCGCCAACAGCCCACTTATCACAACCTATGCTCAATGGTACACACCAGGTATTGCATTCTCAGAGGTTCTCGCATTGCTCCACTTAAATAAGACCGAGGAAGCCAGGCTGAGGTTGGAAGAGGCGTTCACCGCACATACATATTGCGCATACCACCTTTTAGAAACTATTGGCTTGTCCTCGAAACCACCTACCTCGTTGAAGGACATTTACCAGGACGACTATGTTGTGCTCGCAAGTGAGACATACCTTGTGAGAGCACCATTACTATGGAAGGATCAGCTGCATAGACAGTTCCTTCATGACGAGCTCACAAAATTGTTCTCGACGTTCAAGCTGCAAACGACTGGATCGTGGTTGGGCAAGTTCTTCTCGAAGGAGCCAAAACCAATTGCTCTTCCAATAAATCTCGTCCGGTTTGCAATTCTCTCCGGTGAAAACAAGGTGCTTGCCAAAGTCCCAGAATCTGTTTTCGACCGAGATGATGTTCTCGAATACGATGTGATGCCCCCAAGGATGCTTCTGCCGCCTATGACGTATTCACCGGAGTCGATAATACCACTGGTGTTACAGACGCATTACCCAATTACATTGACCACAACATCATTTCAGCAATTGTGCAAAACCGAACCGGCGCCGAGTTTGACGAGCTTTTGGATAGGTTGCAATTGCAAGAGGTGGAGGAGGGTCAAGTGCCCGCGGAAGAGTAGGTGCCAATGGCTATACGAGGAAAAGAGAGTGACGAGGACAAACTGATCCATAATTGGTCAAAATCAAAGAGCTTCAATCTCAATTGCCTCGACCTAGAAACCAGACATCGACTCATTCGCGTCGCCTTACCAATTTTATAGAAGCAGTTATGGTTATACAACTCGTGTGCGAGTGCGCATTAAAAACTCACCAGACGACTCCCGGTTCCACCAACCAGCCTACACAGCATGATCGCCATCGATCTTGATTTTGCTGAGGGCCAATGGCAATACCATATATCAACCACCTTCTTCGTTGGTGTAATCTTACCCCTTCTATACTACGTGTACGAGAAATACGTTACCCCCAGACCGAACAAGTACAATAAGCTCGAAGCACCAAAAAAGCTCGTGTACCCTATTGCAGATGAAGCGAAGCCTCATTGGAAGGGTAAGAGGCTCTACTCGCCTAATATCGGCTTACGCGTGCCTGGTGAACCCACAAAGATCCAAAGTTACTGTCCAGCTACGGCACAGTTCTTGGGCACATTTGAGTGCACCTCTCGTAAGGAGATGGACGAGCAGATAAGAAAAGCTGAAGCTGCTCAGAAAGAATGGGCTCAATCAAGCTTTGTGGTCAGAAAACAGCTTTTGCGGACTCTCAATCAGTTCATTTTGGATAACCAGCAAGACATCGCACGCGTCGCTTGTAGAGACAGTGGAAAGACGAAGTTGGACGCCTCAATGGGTGAGATCATGGTCACTTTGGAAAAGATCAATTGGATCATTGCCCACGGCGAGAAAGCATTGAGTCCCTCAACCAGGGCTGGACCTTCATCTCTCCTTATGGGTCTTATGAAGCATGCCGAGGTTCGCTACGAACCTTTGGGTGTTATCGCGGCCATTGTGTCTTGGAACTACCCGTTGCATAACCTTATTGGTCCTGTTTTGGCAGCTTTGTTCAGCGGTAATGCTATTATTGTTAAATGCTCGGAGCAAGTCGTGTGGTCTTCTACGTGGTTCGTGGGTATGATACACGCTGCCCTTCGCCTGCTTGGCCTTAATGAGGACATTGTTCAATTGTGTTACTGCTACCCTGAAGATGCCGAGTACTTCACATCCCACCCAGGCTTGAAGCACATTACATTCATCGGCTCCAAGCCTGTTGCGCAGAAGGTTCTTCAGAGTGCCTCTACTGAATTGACGCCATGTGTTATCGAGCTAGGCGGCAAAGATTCAGTCATTGTGTTGGATGATATGTCCGACTACAACCCATTGTCGTCGGTCCTCTTGAGAGGCACTTTCCAGAGCGCAGGCCAGAACTGTATCGGAATTGAGCGTGTAATTTGTCTTCCAAAAGCTTACGAAGAACTAGTGCCAATCTTAGAAGAAAGGCTCCGCGGGTTCCGTCTTGGTTCGGATATCGATCAACTCGACGAGATTGACATGGGCGCTATGATTTCAGACAACCGCTTTGCTGCCATCGAAGAACTCATTGAAGATGCTGTGTCTAAAGGTGCTCGTCTTTTAGCTGGTGGAAAGCCTTATCTGCATCCTAACTACCCACAAGGACACTACTTTGAGCCAACTCTTTTGGTCGATGTGGATACATCCATGAAGATCGCCAACACCGAGGTGTTCGGCCCTGTTCTCACCATGATGAAAGCCACTGACGTTGATGATGCGGTCAGAATCTCGAACAGTACCGAGTTCGGTCTCGGCAATTCTGTCTTTGGGTCGTCCTTCAAGCAATGTAACGAAATTGCTCAACGACTCGAGTCTGGAAATGTCGCGATCAATGACTTCGCTACATTCTACGTGTGCCAGCTTCCCTTCGGTGGAATAAAGAAGTCTGGATACGGTAAGTTTGGAGGTGAAGAGGGATTGACCGGTCTTTGCAATGCCAAGTCCGTGGTCATGGACAAGCCACTCTTGAGACTACTCGGAGTCAAGACCGCGATCCCACCACCAATTGATTATCCGATTGCTGACGACAAAAAAGCATGGGGCTTTGTCAGCGGGCTTAATACTGCAAGCTACGACTCCCGCTTCTGGAAGATTGTTAATGGTTTCAAAAAATTAGCCAAGGGCGGCGCCTGAGGCTCTACATTGCACATAGACTGGAACGTTTAATAAAATCGCCGTTTACCGGCTGGTAGAAATGAACTCTTTGTATTTAAGCGTTGGTGTGCATCGCTGGTGTAGGGTTGGTGGCAGCATCAATCAAAATCTTGGTGACATCCTTCTTCTTCGCCTGGTACTGCTTCTTAATGTCTTGCAACTCCTTCTCGACCTGAGCATCAGCGTCCTTCTCGATGGAGTCATTCAAACCAGCATGGTCCTCCTCGTACTTCTTCAATTCCTTCTCCTTTTGCTCCTTGTATTGGTCAATTTCCTTCTGAGCATCCTGCTTGGCGCTCTTCAACCTCGTAGTTCTGTATTTTCTAGCCTCATTGACAATCTCGGCGGCGTCTTTTTCGGTCTTCAACAATGACTGGATGCTGGATGACATTATATGGAAATTGTGATAACTATACAGTTGGAGCTATCTGAGGTGTTTTCAGATTAGTGAACAGCGATTTTGGGTCACATGACTGCACCTGCTTGTAGCTACCGGCTATTTTGCAGCCAAAGTATATTACAAGATTTCTATATATAATTATTTCATGCAATCATTCGGCATAGTGCCCTTCTGCAATATAACGCAACATGTACTCGTCAATGTGACCCACGCCTTCGTCGTAGTCTGCATCGTCCAAGTTACCTCCCTTAACACCACGAGGTCCCTTGGCTTTGGGATCCTCTTTATTTTCTTCATTGAAGTCCTCGTCATCAACGGCAACTTCCTTCATGGCTTCCTTGGCCGCATTACGGTCTGCTTCATCTTCGGCTTGCGCTAAAATATCAACGTTCGCACTGTCGCCAATTGGGTTGTCAGGCAACTCAGAAATGATGCTCGTGTCGTTCACTAAATCTCTAACGGAGAACTTGCCCAAGTAGTCAGTTGTGAATTCACCCTCTTGAATAACAACATTGTCCAATTGTCTCTTTTGATTGGCTTTCTTGAGAATGTTGGACTCGATGGTGTACTCAGACACGAAACGATAAATGTGCACATCTCTCAGTTGTCCGATTCTATGACAACGATCTTGACACTGCTTATCCATAGCGGGATTCCAGTCAGAGTCGTAGAAAATGACAGTGTCAGCACCAGTAAGATTGATACCAAGACCACCAGACCTTGTTGATAAGATAAAGACCGGGATTCTAGGATCTCTGTTGAATTTCTCCGTCAATAATTGACGATCTTCGATTTTAGTGGCACCATCCAAACGCATATATCTGTGTCCATGGATGTTGAGGAATTGCTCCAAGATATCCAAGACTTTCGTCATTTGGGTAAAAATCAACGCTCTGTGGCCCTTTGGAATCAAATCCTGCAATAACGCAGCGAGCTTTTGCAACTTACCACAATCGAACTGAAGAAGTTGCTTATCTGGGAATGCAATCGAGAGCTTGACCTGTGCTTGATGGAATGGATTTGTAATTGCTCGTTCCTCAACACCAGCACGAACAGCATATTGAGTCTCAACAGGAATCATCTGGTCCTTCATATCGAGAGCAACCACACTAGGCGTCACAACACCATACTTCTCTATTGTGTCCTTCATGATCTCGGCTCTCCTTGGGATATCGTAAATCATGGAGTCGAGGAGCTCACAGCGAGGCTGGACAAAGACACCCTTCAACCTGTCAAGAACGGACAGTCCGAAAAGTGGTTTGCGGGAACATCTTAAATTGTTGAGGTACAACCAATGCTTCAATCTGTCTCTGTGCTCAATTTGCTCTTGCAATTTCAAAAACTTGTTCAATTGCACGACGTCGGTGTAAGATGGATCCTGTGCTTCCTTACCTTTCGCAATGATATCATCCAAGAACTGAATTTCCTTCTCGATCTCTTTACTTGACTTCAAACGATCACGACCCTCAGCAGCAAACCAGTTAAGATCGTCACTTTGGGCTATGTCCAAATTCAATACGGAGAAGTTGATATCATTCCTTGGCAAGCCTGTCAAAAGCTTTTTAACAGTCAGATCCTGAACCTTAAACGTATTGGCTACGTTCTTCGGAATTGCATACGAAGTAACAATGGGACGAACTTCGAAAAGGTCAGGGTGATTGCACACCTTTCTCAATTGCATCAAACAATTGATAATAGAAAGAAAATTACCAGACACCAAAGTCTCTTTCGTTTTCGCTCGAGACATAAAATCGTCATACAAGTACCTTTGACGCTTCGACAAGCGACAGTAAACAATGTGCTCGTACTTTCCAGGCATTTGCTTTTCCACATCCTTTTTCAAACGTCTTAAGAGATATGGACGAAGAACTTGATGCAAGCGTGCTACCGTATTCTTTGTCTCCTCGTCCAAACGTCCAGTAACGTTCTCGTCCATAACATCGCCCGTGCCAGTCTTTTCAAGAATTTTATCCACTGGTTTACCAAACCATTGCTGAAAGTCCTCAAAGTTCGCAAAGCCATCAGGCATCATCTGGTCCACCTTGGAAGAAGGCATAAGGAAATATAACAAGGACCACAATTCCATTAAATTGTTCTGCAACGGTGTACCGGTAAGCAATAATCTGTTCTCGGTGTTGAAGTTGAGCAATGCCTTCCACCTGTTCGATCTGAAATTTTTGATGTTGTGGGCTTCATCCAAGATCATGTATCTCCACTTACGACGCTTAAAGGAGGAATGGTCATGAACCACAAGCTGATAAGACGTGATGCACACATGGAATGTGTCAATCTTATTCCAGCCCTTTCTTTTTCTTGCTCTTTCTTGTGGAGAGCCGTAGTATGTCAAAACTTTGAAGCCAGGAGCAAACCTTTTAAATTCCATCTCCCAATTGAGCATCACAGAGGTGGGCACGATGATTAAATGTGGCCCCCAAATGTGATGTTCGCAGGCCAAGTACGAAAGCAAAGCAATTGTTTGAATTGTTTTACCAAGACCCATCTCATCGGCTAAAATACCGTTTGTATCGTTGTTGTACAAGCTCGCAAGCCAATTGAGACCTTGTTTCTGATAAGGACGCAATGATCCCCTGAGAAGTGATGGAACAGGAACGTCCTTTACTTTGAGTCCATTGATCTCTTCAATCTTCTCATCAGAAGTTGGCGTCTTGGGTTCTTCATCCTCAACCGTTGAACTGTCGCTGTCTTCAACCTTGTGTTTAGACACTTTCTTGCTGTAAAGGTCAGCAAGCCCGCCTGCCTCTTCCAGTTCCTCACCTTCTGACATGCTCACATCGTCTTCCGACTCAGAAGAGCTCTCCTCAGTCATCAGATCGTCAGACTGCTCTGATTCCAGCAATTTTTCGTCCTTCTTTTCGGAAAGCTCAGCAATCAATTTCTTTTGATCTTCGGTATATTCTGTTGGAGTGGACGGTGTAAGTTCCTTGACATCTTTTCCGTATAATGCAGCAAGTCCACCTGACTCGTCGTCAGATTCGTCTTCATGTTCCTCTTCCGTCTCCATGCGTGACGACGGCTCAGCCGAGCTTTCCATATCGGCATATTTCTTCCTGAGCTCCTCAACGGTGCATTCACTGTCTGGTTTATCAATTGTATTAGAATCCAGCTCAGCTTCGGATTCAGATTCTGACGACGAGAAGTTCTCAGAGTCCTGCTCCTCTTCATCATCATCAGAATCAGCCTCGGCAGCTGTGTTATCTTCCAGTGATTTGTTGAGTTGTGCTTCGAGAAGCTGGGTAGAATGCTCAAGCATTTTACTCAAATGCTCCCTTCCTTCTCTTTGTTTGAGCTCCTCCTCCTTCGCATGCTGGATGTGACGGTAGACCTTGTGAGCTTGAGACCAACGCTTTTTAACCGATTGAATAGCAAGACGACTGATCTTCTTAAGCGTCTGCTCACGCTCTTTCTCCAATCTCTCCTTCTCACCCCTCTTTCTCCTGAAATGCTGATCGACCATTTGTGCGACCTTTCTTGCCCTCGCTTGATGCAGCCTCCTCATTTGCTGATGAACTTTCAGAAATGAGACACCTTGATCGACGAAGTGATCCTGAAATGTCTGGTCATTGGTAGCACCTTGGATTTTCGGTGCGATGCAGCCTGTTTCTCTGAAAGGATCAGAAGTGAGTCTTTGGTTTGTGATGTTTGGAAGCATGACCTTTCTTCGCTCAACCTTTTCTCCATTGAGTTCGAAACGTTCTTCAACAAGTATCTTTTCGTATAGGCGCTTGAGAAGATGACGCTGATTCTCTAGCACACTGTCAAACTCTTCAGGAGTATTGTTGTAGTCTGGATTGGCATCATCAACTATCGGAGCTTTAAATTTTTCTTTAAGGAATGTGGATATTTTGTCCTCGACTGTGGGGACATAAAACTCGTTGGCTTTGCTGGATATAATTTGAAGGGGTTCTGGATCGAAGAGGGTAATTTCTCTTTCACTATCACCACCTCGTATGTCATCATTGCCTTCCAGGGGGCGCCACAGAGGGATATGTGACGGATGCGTTATCTTGAGTGGGGGAACAGTGAAGCTAATCCTCTGTAGTTTATAGTTCGTATCGATATCATGATCGTAATCCTCTTCTGAGTCCACCTCGGCCTCTACCTCAGCTTCGGCCTCAGAGGATGAGACTTCCTCTTCAGACTCCTGTTTGGGAATTGTCTTGACTTTGGACTTAGAAGGTTTTCTCAGAATTTTACTGGGTCCAGGCTCCACCTTTCGTTTCGTGGAGAAATCAAGCAAGCGCAATTCCTTGTTGGCACTTGATGCAATGACAGATTCCATGAATGGATATTTCTTTCGAAGCATTTCTTCCCTCTCCGCTATCTTTTTCTTTTGAAGACGCAAAGGAAGATCGTTCATGTCTTCGAGCAGGGCTTCGTCCCAAATGAGCTTGTATCCGTTCTGATCTATGAAGTATTCGAGAATTTCGGGAATCTGCTCATTGATAGATGGAGAAAAATCTCGTGGATTCCATTCCACCAAGGAACCGTACTCTTTTAGCTGGAAAAGTTCATTCACTGTGAGGTTGAAATTTGTGATTGTTTCCACGAGACTATGCTCCAACTCCAGAGCTCCTGACTTCTTTTTCTCAAGTTTGGGCTTTTTGGCCGAAACTTCTCGTGTGTCGCCGTTCATTCCTCGTTTTGAAACTTTAAGTTGGTTTGAATAATCCACGGTGGCACCCCTTGTACTGCGCTTTGCGGAGCTCAGTTGGGGGCCATCTGGGATACCTTTCCCTCTACCTGGACCATTAAAGCCCATATTGTTGAATTCGAGGACGGGAAGGTGTATTACCAAATGGGTGCTGAGAAGGTGAAGCCAAAATGTTTATCATGAAAGAAGAGACGAGTATTACCACTATGCAGGAAAATATCAGGGTTCGGGCTCCGAATGAGCCAGTGGTCCCTCTAACGGAAGAGGGAGTTGTAAGATTGATTATTTGGTTGAATCACCTTGGATTTTCAATGAGAGGGTTTCTTTCAGGGAGTCCTTGGTTCCGAGTATTTTACAAAATTTGAGCAGTTTTGGCAATCTAAAGCTGCGAAAGTCCACTGCGAAGCTTCTTTATGTGATCTCCAGGATTGTGCATTAGTTTGAAAAGTAAAGGAATTTCACCATAATTCGAAGGTCAAACAGTTTGAGCTTAAGTTGGAATTTTGTGAGCAGGGAATGCTTTGTCGTTGAATCTCAGGGGTTAATATATACTGCTCATTCTGTTAGACCTTTATCGATTTCTCTACTTTGTTTGTGCACTAGGTTTGCTTCAGCCTACGGTGGACGATCTTATTTTCGTGTGATTAAATGCTATGGTTTATGATACAATCAGGCCTTGATGAACTCAGCGTTGGCGTCCTCGTATGCCGTTTGCTGGGCCTTCACGTCAGCGTCATCAGACAAGACACCAGCCTCATTGGCGGCCTCATCAGTCTTGACTTTGTAGAAGTAGTCGGTCTTCTCAGATCCAGAGCCCAAGTCTTTGGCCAAACCGTTGTATGGATACGATCTAGGCATAGCAGGCTTCTCTGGGTTGAGCTCAAGGAAGTAAATACCAGCAGCAATGGCAAGGATGGTGGAGAAGAAAATGGCGTTGTGCTTCAAAGCAGTCTTGTCAGACACAAACAGGAAGTGGTCTGGAGACCAGATATCGTACATGTCGTCGTTGAAGTTCAATTTGTCACCGAAGTTTCTTCTTAACTGTGGGAAGTCATACTTGGCATATGGGTCCTTGTTCTGTGCAAGCTCTGGCTCTGGGTTTGGGTAGTCAGCCATTTCTGGGTGTGCTGGGTCGGTTAACTTGATAACCTTACCAGTAGCATGGTCTGTGATGGTTGTTTCTGTAGTCAAGCATCTAACACCACCAAGAGAGACACGTGGGAGCCTAGCGGCAGTTCTAAGACCCAATCTAAACAACATTGTGGTTCTAAAGGGTCGTTTGTACTTGGTGTAGGTGAATGTATGAGGGTGTTTTTCTGCCCAATTAGAAGATGGTGAAAAACAATTGTTGCGCGCACGCCCAGTATATACTGATAGAGATAGAGATCTAAGACAGAAGTTTGAAGAAATTGGTAATAAGTTGTAAGAGTTTTCGTATCTTGCTGCCACAAGCGATGTTTGCTCATTAGCTCTCTTTTTGGCATGGCGATTACAGATGGATTAGGCGTCGTTATATTGACATGCTAAGTACTGTTCAGTATAAGTTATGCATTGTGGGTGTCCCCTCCTTCCTCTAGTGTTCTTCATCTCTACTTTCTCAACTGTGGTTCGCCAAACTTGATGTCCTTGATTGGAGACTTCTCGGACTCGGCGAAATCTAACAAGCCTTCGAAACCAGGAAGGTTTGAGCCAGTGTACTTGCCCAAGTAGCCGAAGCCAATGAAGATAGGGGCAAAAGCGAAAAGAATAAAAGAATTCCTTGCGTTCCAGTACAGGTGGATTGGTGGAGGGTTGGTGTTGAAGTTGTACTTGTTGTTGAAAGGAGCGGCCTTGACGGATTCAGAGGCATGGCTGGCATGCGACTGGAATCTCTTGGAAACACGGGCAGCAGCACGAAGACCGGCTGATCTGGAGAACATTGTGTAGTTTGTTTAGATGAAGCCTAGGTGAATTGAGTAATACGATTTTTGAGTTTTTTATTGGTGCACCAGACCTTGTGGTCAATATGCAGGCGATTCACTACAGTTCAATTCCACTTCTGAAGAATATCACTTGGAGGGTCGGGAGTGGACTCAAAAGAAGAAATTGATTGATTTCAAATGACGCTTCTGTTTATAGCCACACATGGTTCCCTTCAAGGTTCAAATAGATGGGAAGGTCGCTCTAGGTGATCAAGTCCTATACCTGATGACACCATTTTTTTCTTATCTTGATTATTCGAAGTTAGATGGTAAAAGAAAGCGGGTAATTTCATTGTATTGAAGTGTTTGAGTCCATCTTTTCTTTCAACTACTTAGTTGCCAGATGGTTAAGTAGCTTCTCAATGGCAATGGCTGCGAAATCAACGCAGATCCAAGAAACTCAAACATCGAGGCCAGAAAGTCCTAACTCTGATTGTCAAAGAAACAGTCTGTCTTTTCGCCTATCAAATTAAACTGGTGGGTTTGGATGAATTCGTCAATATTGGATTGCCTAGCAATGAAGTAGGTGCAGCTGACTCACTATACCCATATATCATCATCTCAATACCGAGAGATCTATCGCTCAGCACGATACATCACCATCAAGATTTAATAGGTGACATGATCTACGATTGAAAAGACCACATTATTTCAGCTCTGCCGCTTAAAGCCTTTTCAGCGTGGTATGTCTCTAAAATCTGTATTCTTCATATAGACCTGCGTGGGAACCTACTACAGACGCATCAAGTTCCATCGTTGTATCACTAATGTCCTACTATCCAGGCGGCAGACACGGTGCCGATCTGTACAGACCTCAGGATTCTCGTGGATATAACCAGAATGGAGGCGGAAACAGTTCTTCAAGAAGCCGCTTCCAACAGTACGAGAATCGTGGATCTCACTATAGACCAAACCAGGGAAGGGGTAGCTATCTGAGCTATCAAGGAGGCCAAGGCCGTCAAGGACGTTATCATCAGCCTCGACAGGGAGGAAGCCATCTGGTCTACTCGCAGGGTCAGCCTGATACGCAATTGTGGATGGGAGATTTGGATCCTTCGTGGACTGAAGATGCCATTATAGCGATGTGGAATCAGGTAGGCGAGTCCCCAACGAACGTGAAGATAATGAGAGACAAAACCGGCAAGCCACTGTACTGCTTCGTGACGTTTGCAAGCCCGAAGGAAGTAGCTAGTGCTATCCAGAAGAATATGATGCTGGTACCGGGAACTAACCGTCACTTCAAGCTCAATTACGCATCTGGAGGGGGACGTTCCGACCAGTACGGTTCACAGCAGCGTGCTGGACCAGGACAAAGGCACAATGTTTATGCTCAGAACGAGTGGTCCTTATTTGTCGGGGATTTGGCGAATGAGGTGACTGACCCAATGCTTTTCAACCACTTCAACAAGGAGTTCCCCGGAGCGGTACACCAGGTGAAGGTCATTACGGATTTTCAAACCAAAGCTAGTAAAGGATTTGGGTTCGTGAGGTTCAACAACGAAGAGAGCCAGCAAAAGGCATTGCAGTCTATGAATGGATCAATGTTGGCTGGCAGAGCTCTACGAGTAGGACAGGCCTCTAAAAACGACACTGGCGATTACAAAAAGACGGCTCAAGAGACTGGCGTGCCCGATGCTGTCAAGTTGAATCAATATCACCCACCTTTGGGACCATTTACAGACCCGAACAATACAGTGATTAAGATCAAGGGCATCACAACGGCAATCACCAGAGATGAGCTTCTCGGCCATTTCCTACCTTTTGGCAGTATAATTTTCTGCAAAGTAAACTACAGGGAAGGCATTGCACACATCAAGTACTTGAACAGGCGGGAAGCTGAAATGGCAATGCTATATATGTACGGCTTTATCATCAATAATTGCCGAGTTGCCCTTCGATGGGGTCGTGACGAGAGAGCTGAGACAGGAAGACTTAATTTCAAGCCAGGTGAAAAGACTGAGAAGTACACTGCTGCTAAAAAACCTCCAATGTATACTGGCGATTTCAACACAAATGTTGTGTTCGAGGATTTGAGCAAAGAGGAGCTCGATGCCTTGCAGTTGCATTCACTGGCTCAATATCCATCCCAGGCCGAGCTAGACGAAAGAGAAGCCCAGCGTAAGAAGGAGCGCGACGAATACTTGAGCCTGGCCTTTTAATTATAACGAGTGAGCTTCTTCATCGGGTCCTGGACAATTCGCAGCCATATCCTCAGAATCTGAGAACTGAATCAGACAATAGATGCAATAGAGGAAGTTACTTCGTGAAAAGTCAATGAGCTCAGCGAGCTGTTCTAAAGGTTGCTTCGCTTGGAAGGAGCTCAATTCCTCATCTGGCTCTTCATCAGGTTGACTGGTCTCCTGATCGATTAAAACACGTTTCCTGGGCAAGTCAGAGACGGATTGAAGAGCTAGAGAACGCCACAATATGTTGACTTTGGCAGCATCCTCTTTTTTCAAAACCGATTCGTCATCTCCCGAGGCAGTGAAACAGAATCGTTGAAGTTTCAACACCGTATTAGCAGCATTTTGTTGATGGAGCTGTTGCTTACGCTGACTGACTAATTGGTCAATGTCTTGCTTTTCCTCAGCCTCCGATTTTTCGACGATTGAAGTGGCTCCAATTCCTAACCGATTCTTCTTTTGGACTGCTTGTATGGGTTCTTTGATGCCCGTGTCCGAGCCACCTAGACTGTCGCCGATTTTGAAACCCATCTTTTGCATCATCGCAAGTCCCACAGACTTTGTCTCAAACAAGGAAGTATCTTGTGTTTGTGCTTTTGACAGAGGAGGTTTTCCATCGTCCTCTTCCACGGTGAAGCTCATATAGTCTTCGACAGGTTCCGTTTCCTCCAATTTCGGTGTGCTTTCTAACTTCAACTTCTTCACAGGCCTTTTAGGCATGTCATGATCGCTCTCGTCATCGTCATCACTTGAACCAAACACATTCTTCATCTCAGTTCATTGTTGGGTCTGTGGTTCATCTGATAGTACTTGGTGCGAACCGCACTCGCAGCGACAAAGTTAACTACTAGTTATCACCAAACCTACACGCTCGTTTATGCTACCTCATAAGAACAATCAGCCCACGAGTTCCTTACCGGTCTCACGTGTCGGACTGTCTGTCAAACTTAATCATCTTGCCGTTCCAGGCCTGAATAGTCGGCCCACGTCGAGACCGAACACTCCCAGTGCATATGTCACCTCGTCATTGAACCCAACGAAAAACATGCCGGTCATATCAACGTCGGTGAATTCTAAAATAAAAAATCAGGATGAAGCTCGGCAATTTGAAGAACTTGACATCATCAGCAGCATTAGAGAGTTTGAAAGTGAGCTTGTGGAACTCTCACTGAGCATATCCTCTTTTCGAGAGGAAAACATCCCCGAACATGTCAAAAGCCTAATCCAACTAGATAAAAAGATTTCTGCTGAGCAACAAAATCTTCGCCGGCATCAAGAATATGGTGCTGAGATCGAAACACTCCAGAAGGAAAATGATGAATTGAGCCAGGAGAGCAGTAGGCTTCTCAAGGAATTAATATCTTGTCGAGCAGATTTGAAGAAGCTTCCCAGACTACCGGCGGCAAGTTCGTCTACAAGAGAGTCGAGACTCAAGGAGATTGGAGTGCAAGAATTGCTTGACTACTCCATGACCCTAGCGAAGTTTTCCAAAGCCCCGACCACTGCCAACGGTCAATTGCCCCATCCCAATAATTTCATCTGGCCTGCCGAGGATGCTTTGAGAAGGGGTTTACTTGCATTAACATCGCTCAAGCCTGATGAAGTCATCAAGGCAGAGCTTGGTGAGACCGAACCAGCAGAAGAAGAAAAGGTGGAGGAAGACGATGTTGAGATGGAGGATGTGGCAGACATGGACGCACCTTCGACTAATATGAAGATGGGGCCTTCGGCACCAGCAAGGAAAGCAGAACCGGTAAAGGCGCCGGAGGCCCTCAACTTGGACCTCTTCGATGGTGATGATTCGGATGATTCAGATTAAATATATACATAACTCATTCACGGATAGTTCAGTGGGAACTAAACAACTCACTTGGGTGCTCAAAAGTGTCTGTAGTGTACTTTTTGCTCAACAACCAATCCAATTCAAGCTGGTTGGAGTATGGACGACCTGACTCGATATGCTCTTTGACCAAGTCAGCCAAGCCAGAGATGAACTCCTCGTCGTCATTGAAGGAAGAGGCACGTTTGATGATCTTGGGGTTTTTGGCGTCTTCCATAAGCTCAATGTCTAGTTCGTGCAAGGTCTCAATGTGGTCAGAGGTGAATGCAATTGGGACCAAAATGAGACCCTTGACGTCATCCTGGAGCTCCAACTTCTCCACAATGCTAGTAGTTTGGGCGCCCAACCAAGGCTTGGGGCCAACCTTGGACTGCCAGACCAATCTGTAGGGATTCTTGAATTTCAATCTCTCCATGACGGCGTAGACAGAGGCAGCAACTTCAGCAGGGTACGAATCACCACGGTTTACAATCTCCATGGGCAAAGAATGAGCAGAGAACAAAATCACAACCTTGTCTCTGTCCTCAGCAGGAAACTCCAGAAGCTTATCGTTGATGAATCTGGCGAATGGGCTCACCAAACATTCCGCCTTGGGCCATCTATCAATGAAGGACCACTTGACGGTCTTCTCTGGATCGTAGATTTTTCTCTGACGGAACAACTCATGCATGGAAGAGGCTGACGTTGAGCTGGACCACTGTGGGTACTGGGAGAAGGCAACGGCTCTAGTAACACCGTCCTCCTTCATCTTGGCCAACATATCTTCAGTCAATGGTTTTGCGTATCTGAAAGCAACATAAGGTTTATGAGGAGCCAGCTGGGGCAGGATCTCGTCCAACCTCTTGCACACTCTATCACACTGGTACTCTGACCAATATCTAATGGGAGATCCTCCACCAATCTCGTTGTACTTCTCTTCAATGCTCTTGGTTCTCAACCTAGCAATGACTTTGCCCATGATCCCTTGCAAAGGTCCAAGCGGAATCAAGTCCTTATCCGAAAACAAACGCATTAGAAAGTCATTCGTTTCATTGGCCTTGTTGGGTCCTCCCATATTCATGAATACCACTCCAGTGGCGGTGGAGGCTGGGGAAGTAGAGGAAGTAGAGTTCCATCTGAGGCGACCGATGGGTAATCTTGCAATTGATCTGAACATGTCAATCTTCAATGTGGCGAGCCTCGGGGAAAAAGGTATTTAAGTATTCTGGCAGAAATCAACTTCTAAAAGAGAACATCACAAGATGGCGCCGTTTGCTCTTGAAGCGCGAGGTTGCGGGCCTGCACGGCCCAGACTATTGCGTATTACACATGAGAAAGTTTGCAACCAGCCGGTGCGAGATTGTCAGCATTGAATGTCATCCTAATGACAGGGAATTATTCCGCCTTCTCCGTCTTCTCCTTCTTCTTCTCTAATGTCCGCTTCTGTTCCTCGATGATCTCTTCGATCTCGTTGGTAAAATTTCTATAGGCCTCTCTCAAGTCCCTGATGTCGTTCTCGTATCCTTTGCGGTCTTTAAACGACTCCCAGGCTAGTTGGATTTCACGAACATCCTCTTCAAGTTCCTCTTTGGTGAGCGATTCGAGCTCGTCAATCGAAGGAAGTCCAAGCAAAGGCATTTCATGAGAGGTTTCTCTCTGGAGAACCTTTCCAACCGTATGGTGAACCTGTTCAGTCTCCTCAGGAGAAAGTTTGTGCTCCTCTTTCTTCTTCTCAGCCAAGACATGGCTGGCTTGATAAGATTGAAGGAATTTGACGACGGGGACCTTGAAAGGACCTTTGAAGATGAAGAGCGTTAATGCTGTAATAACGATGACGTAAAAGTACACCGTACTCCAGCAATAAAGCGAGAGCGGCAAGTCCAAAATGACGAATGGCTGCACGATGAAGCCAAACGCAAGTTGTGTCACAAAGTATGAAACAATGTCATAATAGATTTTGGTACTCTTTGGCGTCTTGGCATCGGCTTCCAAAAAGATCGGACGGATGTTCTTACGGTAAATCTTGCCCAAAGTCTGCAACAAGGCACCCATGACAAATGTAAGGTAGTACCCGGGTCTAGTACCGTGCCATGCAGCACTGGTGGCGAATGTGCAAAGAGTGCTCTTGAAGCCGGGTTTCTTCCCAGGTCTTGCCAATCTGACATACACATAGTGTTTCAACCACTTGTTAGTATTCATGTTCCAGGCTTCTAGACAAGCATGCACGTTCTGGCCCGTTTCAAAGGCCAATGGGTCGATGTTCTGAACCCTGTCCCATCTAAACAGATCAGTATCTGGATCGTAACCGTTGTAGCCAATACCACACAAAATACACGCGCCCTCTGCGATCAGCCAGATAGTGTAGTACTTGAGTCTGTAGGTAAGTCCAAGAACCCACAAGTAGAAAATTCGGAAGACAAACGACTTATCTGTAACAAAGCTCTTGTCAAGAGCATAGTCTAAAGACACAAACTTAGGCATAGTGACAAAAAGCGCAGCCCAGAACAAACCCTGGAGGACCTTTGAAAATGCCTGCTTACCGGACTTAGGAATTCTTCTTCTTCTGCGCTTTCCTGGACGCCTTTCCTCTGGGACATCGTCAAACAAAGTAGAATGGATGAACCTGTCATAATCGATGTAGTCAAACGCAGGACCCGTCATAAGAGAGGGGTAGAAGAACACATATCCCAAGTATGGCAAAAGATTGGGGTGCTTCTTGATCACTCTTTCTCTGGTGTACAGAGTCAATTGCTCCTTAGGTACCGTGGCATCGTGCACATTCCAACCAAAGGCCGAGAGCTTCATCACCATCACCATCTGAGCACCAGTAATGTCAATCACCGTGGCATCGTAATCCTGGAAGAATTGCAAAAGAACATGAGTCGAGAGCAAGTGTCCCATCAAGAATAGGAAGTTGATCCATGGCATATAGCTTGTTCTTAAGTACCTGGTGATGAAGTACGTGCCCATGGAAGAGATCAACAATGACCGTAAACCGGAACCAAGCTCGCAGATCACAAATACATAGAAGGAGGAAACGGCAATGATGTACCAGTTCTTTGCTGAGTAGTTTTGATCGGGGAGTCTCTTGAAGATAATGCTGAATGGGAATGACAATGCTGTACAAACGAGAATCTTCACGTTTGCCTCATCGAGCCCACTCAGCTCCAGTAGAAAAGTAATGCCCTGGCGCACTAAGTTTATCAGCATTGTGCGTTGAGATGGGCTATGTTGCGGTGTTGATCTCACGAAGTGACTACTGAAGGATGATGTGGTAGCGCATACAGAGCAAAGGAGCGCGGTGCGGCTAACCTTCGGGAAATTACATAGTGACAGCTTCTTGCCTGATTTATACCTCTCTGGCTGACGCCATTTTGTACCCCGCTTCTAATGCCTGTGTGATGTTGTCGTTCTTGTAAGGGATCGTGGTGAGAACAAAGGCGATATCGTTCCACTGCTTCTCGGTCTCGGACTTCATCAAACGCACCAAAAGCTTCTCCGAGAGTTGCTTCTGGTGTTTCTCCTTGTCAATGTACAACACAAGGAACTTGATGATTCTCTTCATCGCGTCCTTGGACAATGTGTCATCATTGGAGAGACCACTGAAGATATCAATGAAAGCATTGTAGATAGCATTGTCCTTTGTAGCCAACTCAGTAAAGAACAAGCGGCACATATCACTGATGCCTTGGTCTGGGTTTTCAAGACATTTAGCCATTGATGAGAGTTGACCCTTAACCTTCACTTGGCCTGCCAAGATCAAGAAGGTAACAGTCATGAGACAAGTTCTTTGGACCATAAGATGGTCATCGGTGAGACGGCGATAGAGGAAGTCGGTATTCTCATCCACCAAATTGTTGAAGCAAACTGCCATGTCACCAAGACCAAGTACACAATTAGAACGGATCACCGGATCCTCAGATTTTTCCATGATTGTGATGAACAACGGCAAGTTTGCCTCACAGAATTTGGACGAAACGCACATCAACTTTGATAGACAAAGCACCGCTGATCTTTGAAGTATTCCATTGTTGTAGGCTTTTCTGTTCAGACAGATCTCGGTTACCAAAGAGCCAAATTTCGCCAACAAGGACTTCTCCCCAAAAAGGATCTCAGTCTCTCTGATGAAAACGACAACATCTGTGAAGTCGTCTTCAGACGTGCCACCAATCATTTCAAGCTCATTTTCAGCAGCATTCTCCTTCCTTTGATTGCTCTTTTCCGCTTCTAAATCATGCTTCATTTTCTTAAACTGGGCCTCAAGCTTCTCAAGGTGCTCAATAGTTTTGATTGCAACATGGCCCACAATGAAGAGAAGTTGTGCGAGTGAAGATGTTTTTGAATCCTCCTCTGCTTCGGTCACAAAAACGTCTCTTGTCTTCGACTTTATGATATCGTCACAAAGCACAATAGGATTTGTTATAATACGGAAGATTGCGTCAATCGCTTGTTCTGCCACGGGGAACCATTCCCTTTGGGGAGTGTAACATAACAAGATGGCCTTCAACCTGTCTGCAGCTTCGCTATCCTCTGCAAACATTCTCTCGGTCGTTCGTTTCTTCAGAGGTTGCACGATTTTTAATAAGGTTGCACACGAATGCTTGCAAAGAACCAAATCCAGCCTACCAATCGAGCCCAACCCAATCTCGAGCAAAGACTTCAAACCACATTGGACGATAGCTGGATTGGCCGAGGACACCATACCTAGAACAATGATAGCACCATGGATCTGAGCTTGCGAGTAACGCGAGTCACTAGATCCAGCCTTGCTGTAGATGTACCACAACAGCTCGATCATAGCCCAGTCTATTAATTTTCCTTCGTAGATCATGCACATGAGCTTTTCCAAGGATGCTAAGTCTGCAACTGTGGCATTGATGGTGATCTTGATCAAATTACGTGCTTTCATCTCGGCAGCCTGTTGAGCGGTGATGTCTGAAGGAGTGGTAAGAAATAGAAGTTTGTAGCACTCGACTAGCTGAGTAGCAATGGATTTACCTTCATCTGAAGATCCCTTCATCCAAACAAGATGGAGCATTTTCCTTATACCTTGACTTGCATTCTCAACTCCATAGGCGTCTGCGCAGACCAAAAAATCCATGGCCTCAAGTACCTCGTTTCTGTTCTTAGAAAACAAGAGAGAAGATGTGATCGCAACACCTCTTTCAAGCTTTTTGATGAGCGCTAAAGCACAGTTGTGGTATTCCCAAAGCTTCATCAAACTCTTGACCTTGTCAAAGTCTGCATCATTCTCCACTTCGGCATTTTCCTCTTCTAGGATATTCTCTCCTGTTTCTTTCTCTCTCTCGTTGTTTTCCCCGTCGACATCCATTGCGTCTCCTTCATTTTGCTCCGCAGGCGATTGTGGTGTCTCCTCCTCTGACTTATCAATGTCGTTCTGGTTCACGAACTTTTGGAAGTAGCGTTCCGGCACAACATGCTGACTGGCAGCCTTAAGGTCATCAAGTTTTCTCTCCCAACGACTGTACAGCATACGAAATGCTTCTTGGGACGTAAAAGGGTGTTCAATTAAGATCTTCGATAGGAGCTTGATTGCGTTTCTACGCACCAAAGTACTTCTGTCGTAGAGTCCAGTTACAGCCACGTTCATGACTTCTTGATACCATTCGTTGGCAGGTCCAACGTCAAGATCTTTCGAATCGGGGGTCTCCAAAGCCGCCACAACGTAGTCCTTCACGGGGGCGTTGTTGAAAACCTTCACCATAGCCTGAAGGGCTTTCGTTCTGGCAAATGGATTCTGATCGAGTGTTCTTTGCTTAAGCAATGAGAACAACTTACCGATCAGCTTCATACTGATCTCAGCGCGTTCATCTTCTGAAGAGCTTGTACTGCTGTGAAGTGTTTTGAACGCATCAACAACAATGTTACCGCATGTTTCAATAACCGAGCATCTAAGCGATTGGTTTGTGTTATCCAAAATTTGGCTAATGGAGGCCATTTGTCTCATGATTAATCTAGGACTGACCTCTGACACTTTGACCAAGAACTCAGAAACAGCCTTGGGTCCATTTGTATCGTTTGCATTGAATTCGAGTTGACTGATCTCTAGAAGTATATCTTCTGAGAGCTTGATATGATCGAATGACTTCTCTAAAGTATGAAGTAATTCGGCCATATACTGTGGTAGATGTGGGTAGTATGTCAAGGATTGGATGACGGAGTTTTGAACTGTTTCCTCGCTACCATGGCGTGTGACTGCAAAGGAAATGATACGAAACATATATATCCGAATGGTGTTGACCTTCATCCTCTCAGGGAGCTCCATGAGATGAAAAACGGGTCGAAGAAACAAATCTAGGAATTGATTTTTCTCGGGAGTGGTGACAAAGATTTTGGATAGATCCAATTGCAAGCAGTTCAGCACGGACGATAATGCATCGTCTACCTGCTGACAATTGTTCTTCCACAGCACGGAGGTTTGCTTTTGTCTTGCGGAAGTACTGGTGGGGAAATCTTCTCGTGATAGATAATTAAGGAGTACAAACATTAGGTAGCCATACTTTTCCAAGCACAGTTTGAGCACGTCTAGCATATCTACATAATCGCCTTCTTCTATCATAAGTGTGCATTGACGCGATGCATTCGTAAGCGATGATGATATTAGATAATTGACTTGCTTCTTGTGTTTGGGATCGAGCTGCTGAAATCCGTGGGCCATGTCTATGAGTTCTTCTAGAAGCTCGCTGTTGTGATGGATGGCTTCCCAGCTATGTGCTAAAGCGTGCGTTGCATGGGAAAGCTTATCATCGATATTGGAGTTATCAACCTCATAGTCTTTTTGAACGTCAAAGGCACTGTAAAAGGTGGATAGGCTGAACTCCATGATGGACGCTTTGTTTTGGTTTGATCTGATGAGCGCACTCCGCTAACGTCTAAAGTCGCACCCAGTGTTTTGTCACGTGAGCAAAATCAGATGCATAGAGCGCGTAATGGTTGCAAATCGCTTAGTCCTTCAACCTAGCATAACCTTTAATAACAGCTTTCGACGTCCCCACTCTTTCGTCCTCTAGCACACCAAGCAAGTCTTTCGTAGTCACCATGTTACCCGTGCGAATCTCCCTGTAACGCAAACCATTGTCGCCACGGGAAGAGAGGATCGAGCTTTGCTTCGCTCCTCCATCCTTAGCAGCACCCTGTTTGCTATCGTCTCCAGCACCACCGCCACCTCCGGACTTCATCCAGGAGTATTTTTTTCTTGACGAATTGCCTGTCATCATCGCAGCTGTGGCATTTGCAGCTCTATGAAGAGTTTCCTCGGCACCTGCTTTATTAGAGGTCTCTGGCGCGACCTCGTCCTTATTCTCGATACCAAGCACAAGACGCTTCTGAACTCTGGCTTCTTCCTGCTCTTTGTGACGTAAAGCAATGTTTCGTAATTCTTTTGAAACATCGGATCTTTGATTAGGCGAGATCTTCAGCTTTTGGCTGCCACGAGCCTGTGTTAAGGCAGGGATACCACGGCGTCTGTGTCTCGCTAATAGAATCGTTTTCGTAACAATGTTTGATAGCCATTCTTTGCATGAAGCAGAGACAAATTCGAGCATCTCTGGGTCAGCCATGAAATTCTGGTAGACACCGTTCTCTCTTGCTGCTCTGTTCATGAAGAGACCAACATGATATGGTTGGAGGAAGGCGTTGACCAGCCCGTATAGTTGCCTCTGGCGATTTGCGAGTTGCTGTTGTTGAATGCTAAGTGGCCCTCTGTTGTAATTGGCCGAAAGTAACTCCTCCTCTCGCAGGATATCAACTCCAGCTGCGTGGATGGCATCCTTGTATTGGTCAGGATCTTCTTTGCTCTGTTGTGATGCTGGTGCGGCTGTTGCGTTATACGACCCAGGAACACTACTGGTGGAGTAGGATGCACCCATGCCTGTGGGTGCTGGATACGTCCTTCTGGGTCAAAGCGGGGTGCCTGTTTATACGTACTCTGTCCGGGAGACAGGCGGTATTGATTTGGATATTGTGTGGCAGCACCCTTGCCGTAGGTCAGGTAAGGGTACTGGGACTGTGATTGGTACATTGGGGTTGCCGAAGGCGGGAGTGAAGAACTGCCCAGAGATGCACCAGCCCCAGGTTCGCTACTCTGGTCAGTCACCTGGGGTGTTTGTAGAGTGCTGGATGGACCCTTATTCAACAGCTCTGACGCTCTTGCTGGCCCGACTGAGCTGGGTCTTTGGGGCTCGGGCAGATTCAGGCCACGATTACTGTGAGCAGCTGTGACTGGTGCAGTATAAGCTTGTGCAACTGGACTGGCTGAAGCAGATGCCGAATTCCTGGGAACAGTTTGTTCGCCGGCATTCTCGGTCTTTCCTTCCTGAAGAAAGTCGGGTAGTTCGATGTCATCAACAGCCCCGGTCGCGTCGCCTGTTGGGCCTTCGTTGCCGTTTTGATTGAAGATTGGGTCGTCGAAGAGATCGTTGAATTGGTCGTCGTTTTGGGGAATTGGGTCTGCTGGTTCTGTTTTCACTCTTTTATTGTCACCGTCGTCTGAAGATCCAGTTTCCAACGGTCTTTTAGATGATTGGCTCATATCGTCCTCGTTTGGTGCAGACATGGCCGTGGTTTGTTATGTTATATAACTAAGTAGTTCGCTTGACCTTGAGAAACAGGTAGTGCGGTGCTCATAAATGTTGCCGCTGAGCCAGGACAGGGTGGACCAAAGTTGGAAGTGACAAATGTTTGATTTTGCCAAATTTGATCAAAACCCAAATTTGAATGTATGAATCTTCTTGTTGAACGAGCATTTGCTCGACTTAGCTGTTCACCATATTTCATGCTTCTCAGATGAGACCCACCTCGATGCTCATCGCACTGGAAAAATAGACCAATTACTCCTCGACTATCAACTATCCTTGATAATATGGCTGGAGTTATTGTTTTCGAAGGAGCCAGACATTTCCGTCTCCGCCTTGTCCTCTCCGTCTTGGCCGGCCAGCAAATCAAAATAACGAAAATCCGTTCAGATGACATGAACCCCGGTTTAAGAGACCATGAGGTATCCTTCCTCAGACTTCTAGAGGCTGTCACCAATGGATCCAATATCGAGATTTCATACACCGGTACGACGGTCTCTTTCAAGCCAGGCATGATCATTGGTGGCCAACTCACACACAACTGCACTGGAAAGAAGCCCATTGGCTACTTCTTGGAACCCATGCTCTACCTTGCCCCATTTTCAAAGAAGAAGTTCTCCATAATATTCAAGGGACTCACAAGCTCAGATACAACCCAAGACGCCGGCTTAGAGGCCATCAAATGGGGTCTCATTCCTGTCATGGAGAAGTTCGGTGTCAGGGAAGTCGAACTCCACATTCTCAAGAGAGGATCACCTCCGTTAGGTGGAGGAGAGGTCCACCTTCTTTGCAACTCCCTCATATTACAGCCTTTGACAGTGCATGCTTTGGAAACTCCAAAGATGTCTGCCATTAGAGGTGTCGCCTACTGTACCAGAGTGTCTCCATCTGTGGTGAACAGAATCATTGAAGCTGCCAGAAAGGTTTTGAAACCAACTGGTGTTGAGGTCAACATCACCGCCGATGTCTGGAGAGGAGAAAACTCAGGTAAATCTCCAGGGTTCGGTGTCACCTTGGTCGCTGAATCCAAGAGAGGCTGGAGAATATTTGCTGAAGGAACTGGTGTGGCTGGCTCTCTACCAGAAGACTTGGGTGAAAAAGTCGCTTACGAGCTTCTTGAAGAACTCACGAAAAGTGCTGTTTTGGGTAGAAACCAGCTTAAGTTGGCTTTGGCATTGATGGTGATTGGAAAAGAGGATGTGGGCAGATTGAAGATCCACAAGGCTCAGATTGACGAGCTGTTTGTGTGGTTCTTGAGAGATATCAAAAACATATTTGGCACCGAAGCTTTCTTGAAGGATGGCGCCGAAGAAGGAGAGGACAATTACATGACTGTTGCCATCAAGGGTAATGGCTTTACGAGTGCCTCCAAGAAGAGGGCCTAAACTTCCTATTCTTTGCATTATTATTTTCGTAGCATCAATAAATCACCAGAACGAACACCAACCAATGTAATGTTGACACAAGTTCTCGACGCTTGTAGCCTGTTGAATCAACTTGTCGACCTGGGTAGGGATGTCCAATCCCTTCAATCTCTTGATATCATTACCAGTCAACTTATCGGTGATTCTTTTCAACACAAGAGCCGCTCTGGCATTCCTGATTTCAAGAGCGTTTTGCTTGTTCAAACGAGTGGCTTCCTGGTCATCAATCTCGCCCTTCTTCAACATTTCCGCCGTGTTATACTGCTGCACCTTGATTCCCGTAGCTTCAGCAAGCGCCTTTGTTGGGAAGTCGAAACCCCAATTGATCAATGGATCGTAAGCAAATGCTTCCAAGATAGCCATAAGAGATTCCTTGTTGTCACGCAAGACCCTCATAACGTGCTCGCATGTAATCCTAAATGAACCCTCGATACCACTTACCTCCATAGCATAGTTAAGCATTCTAGTAAGTCTGAATGGTACCTTTTCTGGGTACTTCTCACGCAAAATTGCAGCCTCAAAACAGTCACCAAAGTCAATGTGGATCACCTTACCGGTGATTCTGTCAAGCATCAAGTTCGAAGGATGTCTATCACCTAATCCCAAGATGTAACCCACCATGGACATCACGGCTAAAGATCTCGTGTATGTAGTTCTTCTATCAAGCCAAGCTTCAGAAGACTTAGATTTAAGCCACAACACCTTGTACAAATCTTGACCTCTAGTATTGTCAAGAGCTCCCGTGAAAACCTCCACTTTCTGTAATAACGTCAAGCTGTCAAAGTCAGGAGCCATTTGCAACATGATACGGTGCTCGATGTTCAACAAAATCTTGCGTGATTCACGGTACTCTCTAATAAGGACGTGGAAAGTGTCACTGTTGGGCACCCAGCCTAACAAACCGACCTTAGGGGACAAAGGAATAGCAGGATATTGCTGAATGTCCAAATGCCTCTTGAAACACTCAGTGTCGTTGACCAAAAGCGTATTCACTAAGCCGAACAACTGCATAACCAAATTATCCTGTCTAATATCTTCATGGCCCTTTAGGACGTACTGGTAGTCCTTACCATCACTTCCCTTGCAAACAAGTTTTCTTGGTCTCTGTTTGGATGAGATCACGGTGAAGGTTGGATCAAACCTGACGATGAGGACGATTGGTTTTCCAGCCTCGTAAGTACCAGGCAAAGCCAATTCGAGGTTCTGAGCTTCCTCAAGCTTAGGCGAAACAAACAGCAATTCAAGACTCTGCAATTGTGGTAATTGTCTGCTTATACGACGGAAGACGTTGTAGTAAACATCCCAAGCCTGATTCAAATTCGTGATATCCTTTGTGCGGCGGTAGTTGAGAACCCATTCGTAAGCATCGGCCAACTCTCTTCCAAATGCATTGTTGAAAGACGCTTCTCTCATCGTCTCTGGGCCCTTCTGAAGCATCTTATGCAATGGCTCAAGAACTTCAAACATCTTTTCTGTATTGTGCTCGCCGAAGAACAACCTCGAGGCATCCTCCAAACCTTCATACCACTGTTCAAGCCACAAGACAGCGACTCTAATCAACTCGTGACTGACCAACTCGGATTGTTCAACCAAAGTTGGAGAGTGAATTCTCATTTTATCAATGATCGACAAAGCGGCCTTCTTTCTGTTAACGGAGTCAGATGTCACGGCAACAGCCAATGGATACACCAACGCTTGTGGATGAGCCTTACCAAGGTCGGTGAGAAGACCCAAAAGCGATCTGCTGACAATTTGGTTTGGTTGATGGATTCTCGAAATCAACTGAGGAATCACCTCTAACCAGTTATCGATCTTCACCATATTGAATCCATCTGTCATCGCTCTGGCAGTTTCGGGGATTCCGCCAAACTTGAACCACAACGTAAGCAATCTCAATGTGTCCTGAAGAGAACTCGAGTTCGACAAAGAGATGGAATGGAAGAATCCCTTGATGGATGGAATGACGTGTCTCTGAACAACCTCCATCGATATCATTTGCAGCTGTTGGGCCTGTTTCTCAACCGTGTCATTCTGCTCCATCACATTTGTCGTGAGGTTACCTCTGTTGTTCTGAGTGTAGAGTGAGATGACTTCAAAATTGGCGAGAGCCCAATTGTGCCATGCCTTGTACCACTTATCATCGAAGTGAGTGGCCAAAAGATAAGCACCCAAAATAATCTCTGAGGTTTCAGTTCTCCAGTTGTTATTGAGAACGATCTGCCATTCACCTTGCTTCAAGAAACATCTTGCCAAGAGTCTGGTGTACTCCTCGACGTGCTTCGGGATACCAGGACCATCGGAAGGAATTGGCTGAGTAATCAAATCGTTTGGATTTAAACCAAGATCCTGGGACATACGAGTGGTGAAATCCACCAAGTGACGCAATGCTTCTCTTCGCTGACCCTTCGCCCACATATACTTCAATTGGGCGTACACAACTTGAGGAGGCGCTCTTGAAGGATTTTCACTAGAGCCTCCTTCCAAAAGATTGTTCAACGACTGCTCTGCAAGATTGAAACGGCCGGACTTACGACAAAGATTTGCGAACTTAATCCACATATCCATGTCTTGCTTCGGCTTGATGACAAGCGCTCTGACTTTGAGCATTCTCTGCCAGATATCAACATTTCTTTGACAGCCCAAGAGACGAGTGTTCCAGGTTTTTCTAATGAGAGCACGTTTCTCAGATCCCTGAGGCAAGCATTTGTACCTGATAATTTCTTCAAGTTCGGCCAACATCTGGACTCTAACAACAACGCCATATGCTCTATTGTAACTCTCACTCACCAATGCGGTGATCTCTGTAACCAATAAATCACGGGCGTTGAGGATATGATTCGATGCCTCCTCAAAGTTATTGCGATGAAGACTCAAAATAGCGCTGAAAAAGGCCTTATCCGGTGATTCGTACTTCATGACCTTGATATAAGCATCCATTCTGTCCCATTGACCCAAACCCCAAGCAGCAGCGGCGGCTAATGGTGCCACGTTTCTCTTGATGTCGCCTGTGGAAGAATTCCACTTCGAACGCGCCAATTCGGAGAGCTGATCCCATTCTCCCAATGCATGCAAACATCTCATCTTACCCATAACAATCTCCATGTTGTCTGGTTCAAGTTTCTCTCTCTCATTGTAAGCTCGTAAAGCGTCATCCCAACGTTGCAACTTCTCGTGCCAAGTTTCCTTCAACTGAAGATCATGGTGCATCTGTGCGTGCTTCAAAATACCAACAGCAGCATCCGATTGTTGAAGCTGATTGTTGATCGAGATCAAGGCCTCGATAGTTGGCGTAGTTGGTTCCTCATAAAACTCGAGCTCCTTGTAGTGCAACGCCTTGGCGTATGCGTGACACCTTTGAGCGTACTGGCCGAGAGCTGTGATGGCGATAGGTAAAGATTTGTCATCGTGCTCCATAAACTCTGCCAAATTAAGAAGGATCTGATGAATTTCTGGGGGTTGTTAGGGGAAGACAACGCAATGCAGAAAGACTCAATGAGCTCCTCCTGATGCTGGGAATAAAGTTCACTCCAGCATGATGCAAAACTAGAATTGAATAAGTCTTTGGCCAATGGATGATAATCGGATGCTAAACCAGCGCACGCACGGATGGCATGAGAGGGACTTTGCTTAAGCAATTCCTTACTCAATCTTCCGATCCATTCCTGCCAATCTTCCTTGGTATTGTTTCGCTGAGATGACTCCCAAGCTGCTTTCAATGCAGCCTGATTTACAGGAAGCTTTTTGGAGGGCATATCGATATCTGGAAGATCAAAGTGAGACATGTGCAAGTCGTGGTCCTTGTACACATTGAAGTTGGTAGGTAGTGGGTCACCATTCAATATCTTTGCAACTAGTTGCTCAAACATCACCGAGTTGATCTTTCTCAGTATCAAGACTTTTTCTATGACGGGGAAAAACACAATGAATTCATTGCCCAAGCTTAGGATTAAACAGCAAAGCGTGTTCATACAAGCCTGAGAAAGCTCCTCATTGCCCTCTCCAAGTACTCGCAAAAGCGGATGAACAATTCTTGATGCCATGTCTGAAAGTGTGATGTTCCTTGACAATTTGCCAATTGTCTCGATGGCAGCTTTGCGCAAATTCGTAGGACCAACCTCAAACATCTTCACGATAGTTGGAACAACAATATGAACGTGCTCTTCAATATTGCTACCGAAGACAACGAAGCTTCTCAAGACGTGGATCGTGGGCTCTCGCTCCGTAGATTTGTCTTCCTCGATCAAATTCAACATGAGAGGTAAGATGTCTGGGAGATGAATCTTGAACTCTCCCTCCAATGCTTTCGAGATCGATTCGATCAAATGAATGATGATGACTCGGATATTAACATTTGTGATGCTGTTGAAGAACTCCTTGATTATGGCGAAAATATCACCCAAGAATGGTCGAATATGCTGCTTGACAATAAGAATGAGAGCGCCCAATTGCTGGAAATAAAACTTGAGCATGCTAGCTTGACATGTATGCATCACCTTGATAACACCAGGAATGATTTGCGGAAGAAATGAAACACATCGCAAACCCAAAGTCTGAAAGATGTACATAATTGCCTGTATCACCTTGTTGTGATGTGAACTTAAGGAGGGATCTTTCAAAATCTTCATGAGGTTATTGATGGCCACAGTAGGGTAGTATTCATCGTGCGATGGAGACATGCCTTGCATTAAGAGTGCGATATCAACAGGTGGGGCGTTCTGCTCAACAGGAATCTTTTGGGAGGTCTGCTCGACCTCTCTATGCTTGTAGGGATCTAACGCACCTAATATACCGAGAAGACGAACCGTTTCTCTCCTAATACGAGGTGACGTCTCCGATTTGAGAATGCTGACAAGAGTACCCAACAATTGTGGATAGTCTAGCAAAGGTTGGATGACATACCCAGATGAACTTGCCAATTGACCAAGAGCTTTGAGCGCAGCGTCACGTTTGTATGATGAGCTTTGATCCTGGAAAGTATCCAATATTAGCGGCATGAGCTCGGAGAGGAACGGTTTGATATCTTCTCCGGCCACCACAGAAGCCTCGCCAATGCAGCTAATAGCAGCTGCAGCAACAGATGAGCTGGGATCTTTTGTGCGTGGGAGTAAAGCTTCAACAATTGGTTTGATGTACGGTTTTGTAAGCTCTTTTGAATGAACAATTAAGACTGACAAAAGAGTAGCAGCTTCTTCCTTCTTTCGACTCGTATTGGCATAGTCCAATCTAGATAAGAGTTGAATCAAAGTTTTCCTGAGGGAGGGAACGATATAAGCAGGGTTGATGGCCGAGAGCCTTCCCAATATTTTGACAGCAACTTTCCGAACGCTGAAGACTTCATCGTTTAGAGCGACGAAAAGTTGTTTCACGTTGTATGCTTGAGATAATTGGGGATCGAAATTTCCTGCCCTGTCAAGACAAGTCAATCCCTCAATTCTTATTTCAGCTACCGGATCCGTGATGGACACACACAATAACTTTTCGACGATCTCATTCACAGCGTCAAGAGCATTCACACTCATCTGATGACATATTGGATCCTTATTGAATATCTTGCACGATGTTGATGTGGCTGTTTGACGAATCTTTGCGCTATCACTATCAAGGTAGGTGATGATGCAATACCTGACGAACTCGTTCAATTGGTAATCCTGAAATTCAAAGTGTGAGAGAATTTTCAATGCATGAACAACAAGCTCGCTGTCATGAGCACGGCAGGTCTCAGGATTGTTGAGAATATTGCTAACGCTCATTCCTGTGTCTCTGGATATCATTATCAACCTGAAGTCACGAGCCAATGATTCGTTTATCTTAGTGGAGCCGTAAGGCGAGCCTGGCGGTTGGAACGTCTTTCCAGAGAGCACCAAACTCAAGAGGTTGAGAAGCTTCTTTTCCACCGTAACTCTAAGCGAGGGAATGTTTGTGATAAGCGTCTGCAATACATTTTCCATGTGTCCTGATAAAGAACAGTTGCTGAACATCATATCCAAAATATCACGTTGTAAGTGTTTTGTAAGTGCTGGGCCAACTGCTATAGACAATTTGCCAATGCAATCGAAGATAGCGGGTTCAGTGTCTTTTCTAGAGGCCCGATACTTTGCTGATCCTGAAGTTGATGCGGAAACGGATGAGAGCGCTGCTCCAGAAGTTTCACCCTTAGTGACAACGTCTGACAATATCAGCTGGACACTAGAGTTTGCTGGATAGGAGAGACCATCTCTGATATTGTCCAAGATAGCATCTAAGTATGTAGCCATCTGGTTGCCAACTTCCAATGCAAGTAGACCAATGCTTTCCAAAATTGCAGATTTGTCACGGTTGCTAGCCTCATTATGCATATTTTTGTACTTTTTTAGTTGAGTGAGGTAGTAATACAATGTGCGATGCAAATATTTCTCCACGAATAACTCGGGGTTAACACGGCATAAAATGGGGTAGATTTTCGTGAGCTCTTGCCTGATGTACGATATTTTGTGTCCCTTGTAAAGTGAGACATTTTCGTAGATTGTCCCAAACATAGACTTGATATATGGATCATTGTGATATCTGAGTAGCTCTCTGTACACAAGCAAGGCTCCATGAATCGTCTCGTTGGATGGTGACAGTGCCGTTGTAATCAAGCTATAACCCGCTGCAAGTCCATTGCTATCGTGTGAACTCGATTTTTCCATTGCATCGGAGCGGCCCAAGATAGATGACGCCTGGTCAATTAAAAGATGGACCCAACGTCTTCTAACTTCGACTTCTCTCGAGTAAATGATTGAAATGCATCGTTGGAGTGTAATAGCCGCGTCATTCCGTATAATAAGCTTGTGGTCTCGAAGAGGCACCCAAATGTGTTCGAGAACCTGGTTGATGTATCCCTGGAGTAGTAGCGGGGCATTCTCAGATAATGCTGTAAGAATCAAGATGGCAGCATGCCGTCTATTTTCGTGTTGGCGGTTGTCGCTTTGAAGCCATTCGATAGCTCTCTTGGCCTCGAAATCAACAAAGTCTCCTGTCAACGTGCCACCCGGAGTCGCCAATTTACCCAACGTTTTTGTGGCCTCCTTCATGATTTTGAGATCGTTGGAAAGGATGAACGAACTAAGGTAGTTCAGAAAACGAGCAGTCTTGGTAGCGTTTTCTTCACCCACACCGCTATCAAAGTCTATCAACGCATTGAGCGCCGCAATTCCTCCTAAAGTTTGAGCAGCGTCTTTGCTTTGTAGTAGGTCAAAAATGGTTTTGTTGATTTCATTGTTGTATCTGTTGAACTGTTCTCCTGTAAGATCTCTCGCTATAGAGGCAAGGAAACTGCGTAGTTCTAAAGCACTTCTCGTGCGTTCTTCTTCTTTGGCCAGCTTAAGCCCATTGAATATTTGATTGAGTGCCACGCCGTCCACAACCTGGACCTGTGCGGACGAAGACATGGTTTTTATACGGGCTAGCTCAACTAAAACAGTAATGTAGCGAGCTTATCTGAATAGGAAGCTGGTAAACATCCGTACACCAAAAGTTGGAACCATGTCCCTGGTTCAATTTAAGCTTGTCTATTTCATGATCGTATTTATGGCACAGAGAACAAAGAGAAGTTACGGACAATACCTGGTCCGTATTCGTCATAGTCCTGTTTGGTGTAACAGTAACTCTTGAATTCGGCAGTCTGGGCCAACAAAGAACCACCGAACCACACAGCATTCCGCTGTCTCTTGTGTGAAATCACCTGGACGTCCACACCAGTACTCTTGACGCCGCTCAACTTTTCGCTCAATTCTATTCTCTCATTCACCAACAGCTTGATGTCTCTCTGCAACCTTCTGCCGTAATCCTTGAACATGGTGGAACCTCCACTCAACACAATGTTCTTGTAAAGCTTCTTACGAACATCGATTGGAGATGACTGAACGACCTGGTCCACGACGGTGGGTAATGGAGTCAAGTAGTCTGAAGAGCAGATCTCTGGGTTGAAGAAAATCTCTGGAGCCAAAAATCTTTCGTAGCCAACATCGACAGTGCTTTTACGCTGAGCAGTCTCAACAATGTACTGAGCAAACTTCTCCTGTGGGTACTGGTCGAACTTCTTGAACTCTTTGACGATGTCGGGACAGACGTAACAGAATTGCTGCTTGATCTTCTCGGCCGTCTGCAAAGACGTGTCGGCTTCACCTCTGTCTCTCAACAAGGACTGAATGAAAAGAGTGATGTCTCTTCCTGCCAATGGGATGTTCTTGATGGCACCGCCGATAACGTAACCTTCAGCAACAGGAATAACGTGGGTAACACCGTCACCGGAGTCAATGACTGTACCAGTCAAGGAACGATCAGTGACCTTGGCCGAAGTCCAAGAAGCTGCCAAAGCCAAAACAGCCTGGACGGCAATGTACAAACCAGCACAGTTGAACGATTCGAACATAATTTCAGCAGTGCTCTCTCTGTTCTCTGGAGGGTTCAAAGGAGGCTCGGTCATCAAAAAGTAGTGATCCTCGGGTTCACACCGAAGGTACTTGAAGATGGAGTTCTCCCAGAAGCGCTCCATGTGGTCCCAGTTCTCAATCTGTCCGTGTCTGATAGGATAAGACAAACTGTACTTTGGACCGGAAGCAGCACTTAAGGCCTCGTCACCGATGAAAAAATCCAAGTCCTCTAAGCCTCTCTTACCACTAAGAGCACTTCCACTGGAACCTTTGCTCAGTTTGGCGGCAGAAGTGGCTGTTGAAATGGCTGTTGGGAAGACAAAGGAAGGAGAGTCGTTACCAGCAAAACCCAACTTAGTTAAGCCGGTACCGTTGTCCATGACAACCGCAGGGGTACCCATAGACGCCATGGTGATGAATTGTCAGCTTTCTGGATCTTAAAGGTGTCAATTGGTGGAGACTTTTGGAATCCAAAGTAGCTTAGCTGTACGCTTTTTTGGTGCTCTCACACCTGTAGCTAGCCGAGGTCGGCGGGTGGAGATATGAGTTCCACACGACCATCTCTTGAAGTTCATTAATTTCCACCATGACATCACAAAAAAAAAAAAAAATTTTAAGTCGTTAAGCTTGTTTAAGTCTCTCTTAGCTTGCAAATCGACAATTCTTCTGCATTTCACTGTTTGCTGGTTTTGAAAGAAGTGAATAACTTCGAACTGTAGATACTCTCAACTATATAGATTCATTCCCCAAATTGCTAATTCTACAGATGAATCATCATTCCCGTATATATATGTACTATGTGCTTGTATAACGTGACCTCTTCGGCTCTATAGAACCCCCTAGTACTCGTCCTTCCCGCTGATGATCACATCGTTGATCTTCAAGATCATTCTAGTCAACTGTGTGGCCAACAACAACTGCTGCTTCTTCCCGATCAAGGGGTCAATCACGAAGAGCTCCTTCATATCATTAGTGCCCTTGCCCAAACAATCGACACCCAAGTGGGATGACTTCTCGAGGATCTGCTTGGACTTGAGGTTAGACAAGGTCTCGATTGGATCGAGACCAGAGTTTTCTGCAAGTGTAAGAGGGATCTGATCCAATGCAGTGGAAAAAGCTCTGAAAGCATACTGATCAATGCCCTTTTGCTGGTCAGCAGCTTCGCTGACAGCGATAGAACACGTCAATTCAGCAGCTCCACCACCGTAGATCACTCTGCTCTCTCTGATCAAGTTTCTCACAACACAAATGGAATCATGCAATGCTCTCAAACCTTCGGCGGCGATCATTTCATTGGAGCCTCTGATGAAACATGTGACTGCCTTGGTGTTGGAACAGTCTTCAACAACCAACATACGGTCTCTAGTGGTACCGAACTCGAGCTCCTTGATAGTACCAGCATGGCCCAACTTTTCAGCAGCCAAGTGCTCAAATCTTGGCACAATACGGCCGTTGGTGGCAATGGCAAGCAATTCCAATTCGGAACCACCAATCCATCTGATAGCGTTCAATTTGTTAGCCAACAACAAGTGGTTGGCCTCATCGTCGAAACCCCATTGACATGCAACAACATTAGCACCGGACTCCTTCACTCTGTCGATCATTTCGATAAACTTCTTCTGCTCGTATTCTTGCAAAGCCTTGAACTCCTCCACACTGGAGATATCCAACTTGTGCTTCGTCTTTGGCTTTGGTGGTTCGAATGGGCACGTCAAAATAGCGATCTTACAGTCCTTGATTTCCTTGGCCATTTGTGGGTGGGAGAACTCCTTGTCCAAAAGAACACCTTTGATGAGGGTGGAGTCTTCAATACCACCACCGACTTTGCTCTCCATCTTAATCAACTCGAAGTCGACGTCTCTTCTTTCCATGTCAGCAACCGACAAGACAGCATCCACGGCCATCTGTGCAAAGTGATCATGAGCCTTCGAGACAATCTTAGAGCCCAATGAGGTCTTAGCGGCCTTCAACAAGTTCGAGTCAGTTTTCTCAGCACTGATACTGATATTGTCTGCTACCTCGTCCAAATGCTGGCAAGCGATCTTGCACGCCTCGTCGAATCCATTGGCAATCTTAATGGGATGAATACCTTTTTCGATAAGCTCCAAAGCTTGGTCCAAAAGAGCACTAGCCAACACGACAACACCTGTAGTACCGTCACCGATCTCGTCATCCTGAGACTTGGCCAACTCTACCAAAAGCTTAGCGATTTCGTTATCCAAGTCCATTTGGGACAAGATGGTAGCACCATCGTTAGTGATTGTGATGTCACCATCCTGACTGACCAAGATCTTGTCCAACCCACGAGGTCCCAATGATGTTTTCACAATAGAGGCGACTGATCTGGCAGCCAAAATATGTGACTTGGTAGCCTCGACACCGTGTTTTCTCTCCTTTTTGCCTTGATCTCTGACAATGATGAATGGTCTTCCCATCTCATCCTGTGCTACGATGGCATTGGAGAGGTCTGGGATTCCTGGTTGTGCCATATTTGGTTTGTAGTTAAGACACGAGAATCGACTTTTTTTTCTACAGTGTGTGAAGGATTTTCGAGTAGTAGCTCGGCACCCGTACCTCATACATAACAACAACTAAATCAGAGGGCCAGAGAGGGTGTGCAAGGGATGAATGGGAAGCTGTTTTCTCAAATATGCATTTTTCCTTGGCTGGATTAGACTTTTGAATGATTCGAGGTAATGGTTGGTCGCAAAGGTGCAAACAGACGTTGAGTTGGCTAATCAGTGGACAGACACAAACAGCTGATAAAAAATAAGAGATCATGATTGGAGTTTCAATCTTCAGGATTTGATATTTATCAAATAGACTGGAGTTCATGATTGCCCTTCGCTTGAGACAGGGCTTTGGGTACTACAAGTTTGGCTGCGAAAAACATAACACCACATCAAAGCATGGTTTAGGCACAATAGATGTAGAAGTATATATGCACAAACCTCTCTTCTCGAAGCTTCGAACATTTCAATTCTCTCTGTTTTAAATTCCGTGCTCATTGCCAATTCTCAGCCAAGCAGGCTTTTTCTCCAAAACCAAAATGGGCTTTTCTAATGCAAACAGACAACCCTTAACCATTAGATTAGAAATGGGCATCCTATTCAAAGGGTCTCCTTGAAGTGGATTCTTCATCAATGGTTGGCTACCATCATAAAACGACCATGCGAGGTCCAGTTACTTTTGAGCTATTCGAGAAGATAAGAAAAGAATTCCATTGTTGAATCGTTAAAAAGCTCTCTTCCAATGTCCTAACTAGCGCTACACTTCGATCGAAAGGCTTCAAGGAAAATACCTAATGACATGCAACAGTCTGTCTTAACTATTCAGATTAACCTTCTTGCATTCGCAGGTAAACGGCTGGAAAGGTCAAAATCATCATATACTAAAGGACCAACTTTACAACGTGCTACTTGTGCCAAATTGACATCTTGACGAAGTGGTTTCAAAAATGCTCACTACATGCCTTTACCGTTCTGTCTAAGCCCCGCATTTCAGTTCATCGCCAACTCATCGCATCTCATCGGAGTAAACGGGTTAAACAGGCCTGTGACTATAGAACCTTACAAAATATGTCAACTCCGATTTCAACCCACTAACGGAATGATGAGTGTCTTTCAGCCGTCTCCGCTCATAACGTCTCCGTATTGGGTCTAGAGTGCCGCGATCAGATAATAAGAAAAATGCAGCCGCTGAGGTGAAAAAAAATTGAGAGCCTTATAAACGAGCATCGGACATCGAAAAAGTTCACTATCTAAAACATCAGCTTGCAACAAAAATGGCCGACATCGATGTGGACAACGCTTCTTTGGAGCAGTTGAGAGACGTTTTGTGCAACAAGTCTGGAGATGTTGTTCTTGCCAACCGTTTCAGAGCTCTTTTCAACTTGAAGAACATCGGTGCTGACTCTGAGGACAAGGAGACCGTTCACAAGGCCATCGACTACATTGCCGACTGTTTCAATGACGACTCTGAGTTGCTCAAGCACGAGGTTGCTTACGTCTTGGGCCAAATCAGAGACATCTACGCTAACAAGCACTTGAAGGCTGTGTTGGCTGACACCAACCAGCAGGTCATGGTCAGACACGAAGCTGCTGAGGCCATGGGTGCTATCGGTAACGAGGAGGTTTTGGAAATATTGGAGGACTATTACAAGAACGACCCCTCCGTGGAGATCAGAGAGACTTGTGAACTCGCCATTGACAGAATCAAGTGGGAGAACTCTGAGAAGGCCAAGGCAGAGAACCTTGAGAAGTCCGCCTTCACCTCGATCGACCCTGCACCTCCTTTGGCCACTGACCAGGAAGCCAAGGTTGAGAAGTTGCAGAAGCTCTTGAACGACCAGGACAAGTCTTTGTTCGAGAGATACAGAGCCATGTTCAGATTGAGAGACTTGGGTACGGACGATGCTGCTCTTGCCTTGGCTACCGGTTTCGACGACCCATCTGCCTTGTTTAGACACGAGATTGCCTACGTTTTCGGTCAGTTGTGCAACCCTGTCACTGTTCCTTCTTTGATCAAGGTGTTGAAGGACCTGAACGAGGCTGGTATGGTTAGACACGAGGCTGCCGAGGCTCTTGGCTCCATTGCCACTGACGAGTGTTTGCCTGTGCTCAAGTCTTTCCTCAACGACGAGGAGAAGGTTGTCAGAGACAGCGCTATTGTCGCTTTAGACATGTACGAGTATGAGAACTCCAACGAGTTGGAGTACACCACGGTCAAGGCGTAACTGGGAAGGAATCAACGTAATGTGTATTAAAAGATAAACTGTTAAATGTATGCCAGAAGTAAATATGCTAGTTGTTGGTCCTGAAACGGTAACCACAGTTGGTACAGGTGTAGAAGACAGTTGCACCCTCATCGGCAGAACGCAACTGGAGCGTGTGGTATTGCATCTCCTCGTGGCCACACTTGACACACTTCTCTTTGATAGTAGCACCTTCGTCGAGCTCCTCGCTGTTCAACGACGTCTTCACCACAGACTTCTTCATTCTGAGTGCGGATGGGAAAGCATCCTCAGACGACTTGGTCACCACCTTAAGGTTTGCAAACTTCTTCGAGGGTAGGATCTTTTACAGACACCGCAGTCCAAGGTAGGTGCTGCTGACACGGAGTCTAGCAAATTTCCACAGTCCACGCAGAATATAAGAGAGCCAACCACGGACATGGTGATGTATTCCAAATCTCATCGCAGCTTTTTTCATACCTCATCATTTTGCGCACACTGCACATCGAGCATACCTACCGATCCACATTATCTCTAGCGCACAACTACATCAGCTAAAATGAGACAGAAAAGGGCCAAGAGCTACAAGAAACAGATGAATGTGTATCTTCACACGTTCAAGTTCAGAGAACCCTTCCAGACTATCGTGGATGACGAGATCGTCTTGACCTGCGATAAGGCTTCCTTCGACTTGTCCAAGGGCCTCACCAGAACTATCCAGGCCGAGCTGAAGCCCATGATCACCCAGTGTTGCATGCAAGCGTTGTACTTGACGAACAACCAGCCCGCTATTGACTTGGCCAAGTCGTTTGAGAGAAGAAGGTGCAACCACTTTGGTGATCCAAGGCCTCCAGCCGAATGCATCGAGTCGATTGTCAACATCGACGGAGAGAATAAGCACAGATACGTTGTGGCTACGCAGAATACGAAATTGAGAAGAACTCTTCGAGGGGTGCCGGGTGTGCCACTTATTTTCATGAACCGTTCGGTGATGGTGATGGAGCCTGCTTCAGATGCCACCATGAGAGCTGCTACACTCAGTGAGAACGCTAAGCTCACAGCAGGTCTCAACGATACAAAGATCGGCTACATAAAGAAGGAGGAGGAAGCCGAGGTGGAGCAGCCACAGAAGAAGAAGAGAAAGGGACCTAAGGAGCCTAACCCACTCAGCATGAAGAAAAAGAAGAGCGGTCCAAAGGAGACAGTGGAAACAGGAAATGAAAAGCCCAAGAAGAAGAGAGCTAGACGTCATAAAAAAAGCACAGAGGAGTCCAATGGCGATGCCAAAGACTCTCCACAGGAAAATGGCAACGATGCCCAATAACCTTGTATATTAACCAAATGCATCTACATCGAATGAGACCCGGGCCGCTTATGTACTTTGTAGAATCTCGAAGGAATTATCTCCGTTCGAATCCTCGACCTTTGGGGTGGAGTGTCCTGGACTGCTAGAGCTGTTGTTCATGACGTTGTTGTTGTCTACCTTCAACACCTCTGTGATATCGTCATCAACCAAACACATCTTGCAGTCGAACGCTATGAGCTTCTCACGAAGCATGCTTTTGAAGGTTTTCAGTAACATGTACAAATTGTCTTCCTTCTCCTTATCCATCTCACGGAGCGAAGGAGAGAAGAAGACGAATGTAGATTCTTTCATACACTTGACGTCAAACTCCTCGTAACCTTTGTGGGCCAGCAAAATTTCACTGACCGCCTTTCTGACAGATGCCTCATTGACACCGAAAAATGTGTCTCTGATTAAAAGAGCGTTGCAAAGCTTTTCGTCTAGCTGTGTGAGTTTGAGCTCTTCAAGCTGGATCCTCTTGAGCTCTATTTCATGTTCCTTCTCTATGGTTTGATGGATCGTCATCTTAGGAACCTCTGTTCTCTCAGTGATGACAATGAAGACTGCCCTATTGGGTTCCTTATCTTGTGACTCTGTGTAAAGCTTGAACGTAGTTGCGAGCTCTTTAATGAAGTCTCTTTGGGGCTTCATCATTGGTTGGAAGTGATGAGTATTTTTTGTGGGTGCACCCGCTGCCTTCAAATCTTGATAGTCGCTTATAAAGTCTCTCATAACAGCTTCCATTTTCAGACACCAGTTCTTCTGTCTTTTGTAGACACTGATAATCAGCTCAGAGTATGGGTTTTCAAAGACTTGTGGCGAAACATTGAAGATCTGGCGCAATTCCTCCTCTCGCTTGGCATGAGCACAACCATCATTGCACTCTAATATGGTACCAATTCTGGTCTCCTTGGCTGATGAGGCTCCACATGGAACTTCCCTGGTTAATCTGCCGCACAAGCAGCTGACTTCAACAGGTTGATTGCAGACAAAGCTATCACAAGGGGAGGCCAAAGCGTAGTGGCATTTGCGAACACAAATATGAGGACATGTCTTTCTAACTCTACGGCAGAAAGATTTGCAAGATGCAACGTCGGCATGATTTCCCTCGGTGCAATCTTTTGAACAAGCTCTGTTGCAAGGATGCCCGCATTCCTTCTTGACAGTGCAGATTTTGCCGCATGAGACACCATTTATGGAACACATCACGTTCTTGATCTCCTTGTCACCACAGTTACATTTCTTAGTGACAAGCGTGGTGCACATTGGACATCTGTCATCATCGGTGTGGCACCAATGTGGTTCTTGTGGATGACCGCATGGCTTCTCACGAATACACTGTTCGTGGCATTCCAATTTCGTGCCACATCTGACTGGAGCAGGGATGACAGTCTTGCCGCAATGACACACTAAATCATCATTGGAAGATTCGTAGCATACGCCGCAGGGGCCACTATGGCACAAAGCTTCACAACGATGCTGCCCACATGACTTCAATTGGTTGCATGTTCTTGTACAGATGTGGGCTGGCTCCATGGTGAGAACTTGGTCCTCGAAGTTCGTTCTGGTCTTGTTTCTTATCTGCTTCTTCACTTCACGCTCTCTCTTGAGTGCAACTTGCTCAAAAGGACAACACCTCTCTCTGTGAACATGATGGCGGCAACTGAGAGGAGCTGAGCACTTTCTGAGACAGCGAGGCTTGAAGCCTTGCTGAAGAGCCTTGCAAGGCACAATAAACGAGTTGGCCTCACACTCGCATTTCGTCTCTATCAAATTAAAACACTCACAAGGGCCCTCATGGCACTGAGCAAGACAAGTACATCCACATTTGAGCTTCTTTCCACACACGTTCTCACAAGCAGGCATAGGGTCAGTACACTTTGTACGCTTCAAAGAGTCAAATGGAGTCTTGCCACAGTAGCAGCTGTTCACAACGTCTGTAGCAAACTTACAGTGTGGCTTCTCTTTGGCCAAAGGCTGACAGTCGAGCTCCTCAAAATGCTCGTCACAGTCGTAGTATTGAATCGTGACGTTATTGCACTTCGTTCCACCAATGAACTTTTCGTTATCCTTGAAGCTAATCTCAGGACGGAAGTCCTTGCACTGAATTAACTTCGTCTTCTGTCCACAGTAGCACGATACGTCAATCTTCGTCTTGCAAGGACCACAGAACCCTGAATGACAATTGCCCTTAGAACATGCATGTCCTAGCATACAAACCTTTGTTTCACAAGCATCCTCACATTGCCATCCCATTTTGTACGGTGTCACCAAGCAAGGAAGCTGCTGTTTATGCTTACCACACTTGCAATTCATTACTGGGCCCATGGCACCACACTCAGGATGCTTTCCTGGATGGCATACGGAGGAACAGGAATGGACACAGTGTGGATATTTCTTATTGCAAGGGTTCCCACAGCTAAAAGGAATCAAGCTGTCTGCTGTAGGATTCCTGACTCTTCCACACCAACATGTGAACGAGGACGGAAGCTTTTTCTGTTCAAAGCTGCACGCCGGGCATCTCCATGTCTTTTGTTCAGTTGTGGACGAGCCTCTTTGTGCCCAGTCACGGATACAGTCGAGATCGTATACTCTGTAGCAGTTTCGGCAGTTCCAGACTTTCAGATGTCTATCGATCTCACAAGTACAGACCAAGCAGACATAGGTGCCTTCGTCAATTTCCTGGACGATTGTCGAGGCCAAAGACTCATCATGCTGTTCGACTTCGTAATCTTCAGGATCTGACTCTGAATCCTCTTCGAGAGCTTCACTAGCAGAAAATCCATCGCTATCGCTCTGGTCATCGGACGCTTCCCCAGCTTTGAGTTCCAGGGTCGCTATCGACGACAGCGAGGTTCCTTGGCCTAATACGCTAGGTAGTGACGTTTCACTACTCGGCTTCTCTTTTTCTCGCTCTTTACTCGAACACATAGTGAAGAGGTGGAAGTGGAATCTCGGGCTTTTTCACTGTGCGGAAGCCCGATCTGTGAGTGATAATGAGTAATGTTGAGGGATGCATGTAACCTAAAACAGGAAGATGGGGCAAAAATATAAAGCAAGGAGCCATTTCAATATGCTTTGTTATTAATGGAAAATTCACATTTTTGAATTTAATACGTTCAGAAATTGTTTTTGCTAGTCATCGAAGTTCGCAAAATGGTTGCAAAATGGAGTGCGGTCTTCACATTGTTTTCTTTGCTGAACATCCACTAATATAGTAAACAACAGCAACAGTTTTTTTTTTTTTTTTTATTCGAAGTTATTTAGAGGTTATTTTGCTACCTCAAAACTTGTCTCTACATGATAGTTTAGAGGTTCACCGCTCAGGCTTAGATGTAAACGAGTCAGACAGCCTCGTTAAGTGAAGCATCAAACCGAAAAGTAGCATGATAAGACAGAAGCATAAAAGACTGTTGAAATACTAATTCATCGGAATCCCCAAAAAAGTTTTATATTCTACGGGCATACAGCTGCGGTAACATTATCATCAATTAAACATGCAATATAGTAGTAAAGGAGTGTGTTTAGTTGGCACGGATACTCTTCCTCTTGAAGAAGTTCATTACTTTGCGGGCTGCACTGGCTTCCTTGCCTCTAACATAGGTGCCGTTGGCGGGCCCGATGTTGATTTTCTTGAGTGGTTAGACCTTCCTGAAGAGCCAGATCCGACTCGCTTCTCTTTGGCGGCACTGGAGTGATTGGCAACGTTACCGTCGTTTAATGGCTCTAAAATTTTACGACCGTTGTTCGTGGGTGTGCTCGGCCTATTGTCGACCTGCGCCGAAGACTCATTAAATGAGCTGTAGAAGGATATTAAGCTGAATCTGTTCCTCTTTTTTGTATCTTTCAAAGCGGTGTTATCGTTTGTGTCTCCCCTTCTAGGAAAACCGCTGTTTTCTTTTGCGACGGAAGCGTTTTCGTCGTTGGTTACCTCACCATGTTGGTCCTTTTTGTTAACGTCTTCCAGTGTGATAGTGCTTTCTGTACCAGCAGCTTTCTCCGTCTCATCTCCAACAGCAACAGGCGAGTCAGTTTGCGAGTCAAATGTTGGCAGCTGATTAATTTGTGGTGTTTCATGCGACGGTTGAAGTTCCGTCTCTAGCTTGGGATCAGCGAGGACGAGAATTTATGAGCACTATCGGAGAAGTTTGATTTTGTTGGCAGCTCACTGAGTTCTAGTTGTTCCATTTTGTCTTCAAGGTAGCTCAAGACGGAATTTCGTTTGTTTTCGTGAGAGTTCAAATCTTTCGTGAGAACACCGTTGACATTAATAGCCGTGACGACAGAATCACGCCGACTATTGCGAGGTTTGATAGAATTATTCAGACCAGGACTGCTCTGGAATGATTCCACAGGCTCAGGAGATGGCTTGGGTGGCGAATTTGACAAGAACTGAGGCATTCCCATCTTCATATAGTCAAGTAGGTTGCCCGAAATATTTTGCCCAGACATGATTGACGAAGACATCAGCCCTGGGTGGTAAGAAGTAGGTCTTGGCTTCTTCTCAGAGTGTGGTAATCTGTGCATCATCTTAGCATCGTGATGCTTGTCGTTCTTGTGAGGGAATTCATTATTAGTCGGGCTCTCTGCGATTGTGGGTATAGCACCGCTGTAGGTCGAGCCTCTTGTTGGTGATGGGAATTCACTGTTGTTACTGATGATGCTCAGATCCGCGTCAATAGCCAAAGAAGCTCTCTTGGCCTCGCGCTCGTTGACCATAGCCTGAAGAGCAAGGCTTGCAGTTGGGTATGTACCAGAGACAGATGCAGATTTTGAATGACCTTTGTGGAATGCCACTTTAGTGGGGAAGTATCTCTTGTGGTACCGACGCTTCCTGAGCGATTTCTGGTCGTGGAAACTCCGCTTGAACCTGAGCCCGCATCATTAGGCGGCAATGCAACAATTGTAGCCAAGGACGAAGATGTAGTGGGTGGGGAGTATATGATGTTGGAGTTTGAAGTGTATGACCTTCCTTGGGCAGATTTGGCGGAGCCCAAGATCAAGGAGGAGGAGTTGGTATTCTCCGCGTACATAGTGTAACGCTTGCTTCTCCTTTGGATAGGATCAACGGTAATCTCCTTCTTCTCCGTGCTTAGCTTGTCCCATTCAGGTTGTCTGATGGAGAGTAAGCTTGCATATGGTGCCAACCAGGAATGCCGGCGAATTTCGTCCATGGTGATTCTCTTGTGTGGAGCAGGAACGATGGTTCTGCGGATCAAGTCTCTGGCCAATGGAGTGATATATTCGGGGAAAGTAAGGGGTGTTTTGTAGATGTAGTTGTATAGGCGGGTGATGTCAGTGCCGTCTTCATTTTCAGCATCGTCGTCATAGGGAGATAGCCTGCAAGCATAGCGTAAAGGATGATTCCCATGGACCAAATGTCTACTTTGCGGCCCTCGTAGGGAGCTTGAGACAAGACTAATTCAGGAGCAGCGTAGCAAGGCGAACCGCAGGATGTCTTCATGAAGTCGCCACGTCTCGAGCTGAAACAGTTGACGAAGCCAAAGTCGGAGATAATGATGTTCTTGTGCTTGTCGAGCAAGAGGTTCTCTAACTTAAGGTCACGATGAACGTAACCCTTCGAATGCATGTAGTCGACGCCACTGACAAGCTGGGCGAAGAGCTTTCTGGCAAAGTCCTCCTTGAGGTGTTTATGCTGCAAGATGTAGTCGAATAATTCGCCGCCAGGAGCGTATTCGAGCACGATACCGATGTATTTGCCTGACTTGACGACTTCGACAAGGTTGACGATATTGGGGTGTGTGAGTTGTCTTAAGGAGTTGATTTCTCTGTATACCTTGATCTCGGATTCGGAACCTTTCCGGAGGGAGTCTCTTCGAATGAGTTTCACAGCGACTTGGGAAGGATGCTGTCCGTTAGTTCTCCAGCCAAGCTTGACTTTTCCAAACTCGCCTTCGCCCAAAGTGGACCCTAGAACATAGGTACCCAAGCGCATTTCTCTGTAAACCTTCTTGCCTGGAGCAGCCAGCGGGAGGGCAGCCGAGGTTGAGACGGGCCGGACAGAGCTATCGACGGCCGCCATGATGAAGGAAAAAAGTGTTTGATAGTTTTTGGAACAAGAAGGAGGAGTAGGTGTTGATAAGGCGCAGACGTTCTGGTGTTGTTACAGCGCTATGTTATTGTGTTTAGCTTTGGCCTGAAAATGGAAGGATGTAAACAAACGGTGTGCAGAGCAGCGAACCTGACAGGCGGCTAAATGGGGCGACAGACGGGATGGAGATCAACCGATTTTAACGATGATTGAAAACAACTGAAAAAACAACAAGACAGAAAAAGTGGTCTTGAATTTTTTTTTTTCTCTTTTGGAATATGGCTAACTAAATTTGGTTTCGAACCGGCGGGAGGGGTGTGGAAGGTCCCTGGGCGCGAAGATGCTATTCTGGTATGAAACCTATTCTAAACGTGAAAAACACGATCTGAGGTTTCAGCAAGTAGTACAAGCAGCGAGCTCCAGACGGGTATTTGTTTCACAAGAGCAAAGTGGGAGCTTTGGCGAGGCTGCAGAAAAAACGACAAAGCTAAGCGATAAAGAAAAAAAGTTAAAGCGTGAGTTCGTTTTGATTTTTTCCTAAAGCAGCTCGTCTGTGGAATCTATTGTTAGCCGGTTCTGTGGGTGGAGACGGTGATTTTTCGGCACTCTACCTCGAGATTTCGCTGGAGGTGTGCTGCGGGAATGTTAGATCGGGTGCGATTTGGCGCCAGGCGGTAGATCAGAGGGAGTAAAAAAAAAAAACAAAATTTGGAGTCGTCTATCGCCACGTTTATACCGCTCGGCGCCGCACAACTAAGGAGCTCATTCCCGCCGTTGTCAGGTCGACTCCGCAAGACTAAGAACAGATGACTATTTCGCAGCCATTGATCAAGGTACCTCGGAGGTTCCGGCTTGGGAAAGTGCACAACAAGAAGACGCACCACACAATGCAACGAGTTGACGGTGAGTTGACGACGGCAGCGCCGGGAGGTGAATAAAATTGAATCTCAACGGGTTCATCGATGGATTTTGGGTGTTCAATTGAAGGGAACTCACCTTCCTGATCCATTACCTCATAATCTTCATCATATTAGCGCGGCCGCACTAGGGCCCTAAAAGGGACAATTTCTTGATCCCCTCCGCTCAGTGAGCTAAAATACCGAGTAGGGGTGCCGTGGATCAATTGTTCGTTAAACCTTATCTGATCGGTTTGGTCAGCCATTTACATCTTGTCTTTTTGGGCGAGTGGGCCAGCATGCCTTGAGCTTATCGCCACGGCTGAAACGGTGATTGGCTGCTAACGAATAAATGCCGATCAGCACCTGGCTTATCCAGTGGGCTTTGAATCTGGGGTATTCGTTCGGATGTGTGATCCGGGGCGTGCCTGGTAAAAGGTACATCGGAGCACGCGGTGGGTTTCTTAGGGGGTGCGACCCAACAAGGCATTCTGCCGCTCTTCAGTAGAAAAATGCGATCTTTAAGCTGATATCGGGCATTGTTGGTTTTCTTGACCTGGGACTTTTGATTTCGCAGCCAGTCAGCCTTCAGTCCAGCTGCACAAGCCGGAATGCAACCAAGCGCAAAATTGTAGCCTACACAATTTGCTCAAAACGATTGTAATTTCATTGACTATCCGCCATGCGCAAATTACATAGAAGCTGTTAATGTTTTATTGCAGCCGTTGTGCTTCACCTTGGACAGTGCTGTACTAAGGTTACCCTACTGCACGTCTAACTACTACGCACTGGTTCTGTTTACGCGTCGCATCAAGATCTTGTCTCCAGCAACTTCTTACCTACATGGTCACGAAAAAGCCTAAAACACCAAAGGGTGACATCTGGCTCAACGGCTTGATCCCACAGTCTCCAAACCCATCCCACCAAGGAGCTCATCAACCGTCTCCTGGCGTTGGCTGACCACCTTTCAGCTTTGGATCAGGCGTCTGTTAGTCCAGAAAAGTACGCTAACATAGCCAAGGACCTAGCCAACAAAAAGCTTCTAAATCACCAGAATGAAGCCGTGAAAGCCCATACGTGCTGCGCCATCGCTGACATCCTACGCATAAATGCTCCAGATGCTCCATACCTGGACGAGGAGCTCTCTAGAATCTTTAGATCGTTCTTTGCGCAGCTAGGCCATGCCTGGGACACAAATAATTCCTTTTATGCTCAGCAGTCGTATGTGTTGACCCGCTTGGTCGAGGTCAGATCAATCATCTTGGTAGTGGACTTGCCTGATGCCGCAGAGCTTATCACTCTATTGTTCGATACCATGTACGAACTAGCAGCAAAAGGGTTTCCGCAGAAGCTCGAGCAACTAGCTGCAGACATGCTTGCTGGTGTTGTTGCAGAAGCTGAAATCATACCTAAAAACGTCGTCTCCACAGTGTTCAAGAGCTTGACTTTTACAGGCACATCCCTCACAGGAAATGCCTCCAACATCTGCCACCCGGGCTTCGCCTTCTCTGTAGCAGTGTGCGAGGGCAACATTGACAAAATGTCGAGACAGGTGGCCAAATTATTTTCCGAAATGCTTGACGAAAGCGCCACGCCTACGGCCACCAAAACTACCAGCACCAATGCGTCGTTCAAAACACTAGACAAGATACATAGATGGTCAGTGCAAATTTGGAAGCATGTTCCTGAGATGCTTGGGTCAATCATAGGGCTCATTGGTGATGAGCTCACGTCCGATTCCGAGAAGATCCGTGTATTGGCTACCGAAACTATCGGTGAGATATTGGCCGTCTCAGAGAACAACACGTCTCACACCAATATCGACAGCAATTTGATTCATTTTTTCACCGCCCACAAAAGTACATGGTCGAGTTGGCTTAAGAAATCTGCAGACGTGTCCGCCTCTGTCCGCTGCGCCTGGGCTACACTGCTCCCTGCGATACTTGATTCACCATCCATAACAACAGAAATGGTTACCGACTTACGAGAAAACATCAAAAAGTGTCTATTGGACTCAAGTGAGAAGGTCAGATTGGCTTCATGTAAGGCAATCGAAAGCTTAGCATTTCCAATATTCACAAGTAAACTCGCAGACGAGGAACTTCTCCAAACTTTATTCTCTCTATTGAGAGAACGCGACGAAGAGATCAGGACTTTGGTTATAAGGTGTCTATGCTATGTTTATGATAACTTCATGAAACTGACGATGGAAGATGAAGTTGTCGATTTTGGCAGTCTAAGAGCTTCAGAGGTCAAGCGGGTTGAGCATATGTTGAGAAGTGAGTTTCCAAATAAGTTCATTCAGCTCAATTACATCAACCTCGTTTCGATCACAACTGTCGTCGATGTTGAGTTATTTGAGAATGTTATACCCTTCCTGAACAATGCCTCAACTCGATGTGCTCGTCTCTGTCATTTTTTCTCTACGCTAGACCAGAAGAGCAGAGAAGCATTTACTGCAGTGCTCTCACGACAGAAGAAGTACTCCAGTGCGTTGACTAGATTCATACAACTTTCCGACGAATACCATTCTAAAGAACTGGGAGATGATAACAAGGAGAATGCTGGTGATCGTGATGTGAACGAAAGCAAAAAAATTACTGATGAAGTACTTCGCAAGGCCGATAAGCTCTATCAGTGGTTATCAGTTATGATGCCAGAAAGCTTCAATTCTCGAGCGTGTCTCGAAAAACTTTTCGTTCTGAACAATTCTAGGCACTTGAAGCTTATACTGAATTGTATTTCCAGTCATCTGGATTATAAAACTATCAAGAATTCCATTAAAGAATTGATAGTAAGTTTGAATAATCAGAAGTCCAAGAAATCCCCCAGGGGTTCAGCCACCACAGCAGAAGTGATATCGACATTGAAGGTGCTTCTCTACAGAGCATCGCCAATCTTATTTAACAGAACCAATATCTCCGAGATCATGAAGATTTCAAAAGATTCCCAACATAAGTTTCACTCTGTGGCCAATGAACTTCTCGAATTGGTGGCAGCATCTAATCCCGAAGTTCTCCGAGACCAACTCCTGGTCATGGCAGATTTACTTGTGACTGATGATATTTATAATCCGAAAAATCCCCTCGATTCGATCTTACGATCAATTCACCATTATCTAAAAACCTCGCCCACGGATTTTCCTGACAGTTTGATTTTCACTGATAGATTGCTAAGATTGGCTCAAGAAGGATCGCCGGAACAAGCCAAATATTCTGTTAAGATCCTAGGCCATCACCAGCAAAAGGAGCACTTTCTTTCAGAAATCGTTTCCAACCTGCTTCCACTAGACCCAGAAAGTCCTCATTTCACAACCAAGCTTGCCTCCATTGCCGAAGTCAGTCTTATTGAACCTTTTGCTGTGGAAGACCACGTAGGGGACATCAACAATGTGATAACAGAACAAGTACTCAAGCAAAACCGTCGCCCGGAAAGTGATGCTCCGGGGGTTGAGTGGATCACAGACGATGACTTGAAGTTGAGTCATCAGTCATACGAGCTTCTCAATGAGAAGGTCCTTGCAATTCGCTACATTGTTAACAGGATCAGAGGCTTGTGCCGCTCGGAAACCAACATTTCTGATGCCGCCTTCGTGAAACAATTCGAAAAGCCTATAAGGCTTCTCTCTCTCATCATTGCGACAAGTGGCGAGATTGTGAAGCAAAATGACAAGCTGAATCCAACCCCAAGACTCTATCAACAGCGCTTGCGTTTAGTAGCTGGATTGGGAATATTAAAACTAGCAAAGATCCCTGTCTTAGATGTTTTGATCGATTGCAATATTCTTAGAAAAGCTGGTCGCTTGATGTATGATCTGTCAAAGCAGGTGAGAGAGAAATTCATGAGAACTTTGCATAGCTGTTTGTCTAGCTTCGAAATTCCGGAGAGATTTTTATATCTCGTTTTCATGATGGGCCACGAGCCGGACCCACAATTGCGTACTCGTGCGGACACCTGGGTGAAATCAACGTATCAAAAACTCGAGAAGAAAAATGATACAACGTTCGAGCGTACCCTTTCACGATTGATACATGGTATTGCACATGATGAAAAGTTTTTAAGCTATTCCGAAGGTAATGGAGGTGACAGCACTTCCAGTAATTTCCAAGCCCTTGAATACGCTCTGAAATATCTCAACATGTATCTTTTGAACATCTCAAAAGATTCAAATATCTCGCTTCTATACTATATTGCAAGTCGTGTGAAACAATACCGGGATGCCACACTCTCTCCTAAGGAATATGAAGTTGCAATGATACCTCCAGCAGCGATTAGATTGTACAGAGTTTCAGAGTTGTGTCAATTGATGATTAAAGAATACGCAGATTTGAAGAACTATACTTTGCAGACATGGCCTGGAAAGATGAAACTTCCAGCGGATCTTTTTTCACCTATGGAGAATTTTGAGGAGGCACTGAAGGTGCTTGAAAAACAATACATTGAGGATGACTTACAAATCCAGCTTCGTGGGAAAATGAAAGCAATCCTAGGTCGCTCCACGAGTAGAAGGCTCATTGGAGCACATCCTACTCCTGCCAAAAAGCGCAAGCCCAACTCCAAAACACCCAGGCAAACTAAGAAACCCAAAAAATTGAAAGAGTCTACTTCAAAGAAGGTGTCACCACGGAGAAGAAGCTCAAGAGCCACAAGGAAAGTTACCTACTCTTACGGTTCTGGAAGCGAACTAAGCGAGGAAGAGATAGTCAGTGAGGATGACTACGAAAGTGATTACGATTAGAAGGTTGATCATGCAAAGGTTCGTTATTAATGCTATGTATTGTTCATGCCTCCATAGATTTAATGGTGTTGAATTTCCCGCGCCAACACTCCTCAACAAGTAGCTGAAGTCTTGTAGCAGCAGGGAATGATTTTCGCTTTCCTTCGCCTGCAAGCCCTTTCTCGATAACATGAAATAGCTTGATAGCCTGTTTTTTGTATGTTTGGTAGAAGCTTTGAGCTGAGACCTCCCACCAGTTGCTTAGAATGACAAAATGAACGTTAGTTATGACAGACGAATCGGTGTTCAAAATACGGGCCACGGCCCTCCACTCTGCGCCTTGGTCAAAGTCTTCCAGGCCCGAGCCATGACTTTCTCTGCAAATAGCAGCCCATAGCGTCATTATTCCTCCAACTCTTTCTTCGTATTTGACTTCATCCTCCCATTTGTCGTCTGAACGTTTCCAGCCCATTCTTTTACGCCCCTCCTCTGTGTCGATGGAGCAGGAGTATCCAAGGATAAAGCAACACTTCTTCACGAAACGAGCTGTGAGAAAATATTTGAACTCTGGATAGCGCTTTAGAAAAACGTTCGTCAAAAGTGCTAAAGGTAAGGCTGCAGTAGGTTTAACGGTCACCTCTGCCTCAGCTTGGGAGATCAATGCTTTTGAAATGAAGTTTAAGATCCATTGATATGCCTGGGTGTCGCTTCGTGTCAGCTCAATCACCTCTAGTATCTCATTGCACACAGTTTGACACAGTCTGACGGAATTTGAAAGCTGACCAAACTTTACATTGACCCTTCTTTTTAAAGTGTTCAATGCTTTCTTTGACTCTTTGTTTTGATTAATTGGAGCAACAACCTTTTCTTTTATGTTGACAATTTCTGCTCTCCACTTCTCCACTTCTTTTGCAACGGAGGCCCAGTTGGTATTACCGCTCTTGCGTTTAGCTTCCTCATCGGCTAGTTTCTGCTTTCGAAGTTTTTCCTCCTGCTCTTTCTTTTCTTTGAGTCTAGCTTCTTCTTTCTTTTTCTTTAATTCCTCCTCACGCTTTAGTTCCTCTTGCCTTGCAAGTTCTCGTCTGCGTTCCTCCTCTTCTTTCCGTTTCTTCTCTTCCTGCTGCCTGCGTTCCTCTTCTTGCTTCCTCCTTAACTCCTCCTGCTTTCGCCTCAATTCTTCGGCTTCTCTGACCTTTCTTTCATGCTCAATGATCCTTTCTATCGTGTTGTCTTGGGTCAGTTGAGCTACCTTGAAGCTGGCTTCTAAAGCCTGTAGTAGCAGCTCAGTTTCAAATGCACTAGATTTATTATTGCTTTCAAAGTCTGCTATTTGAGATTTTCTATTTTCATCTCCTTTCTGCACTTCACTGTATTCTTCGTGTTCGTTAGATCTGGTGAAGTAGTTGGCATCGTCATTATGAAGATGTTCAACTTTTATTCTTCTGACAGCCGGCTGTTGGACAAATACTTCCTCCGACTCAATGGGGAGCCCGAACCTCATTTAAGCTGGTGGAAATTTCTATGTTGATTTAGTTTTGATGCGTTAGACTGAGCCAGCCGGTCGTAGCAGCCGAATTAGTATGAGGATGCACGGGTGTACACACATCGTAATAAACATTCACAGAAGTTTGCCTTGAATTCGTAAAAATGAGAGTTAATTTTCATCAAAAGCATCAAAGTCCTCTATTTTGAACTCAATAAGTTTTGTAGCTCCCTCCTCACTTCAAATGTTCCTTACTTCAGATATAGCGTTTTAGGTGTGTGCTCGCACTGCAAATAAATTTTTCAACCTGAGCTGAAAACCACCACAAGCGAGTTCCCCAAATGATGAAACTGTCGTGGGTCCGTGCTTTCTCTACATCTGGAAGCCTTCGAAAAGCAGGCTACTCACTGGTAGAGCCTGTGCACCACCTTGTGAAAGTCAACAAGGCTGCTTTGAGCCCCAAATACCAGGATGTCTTGATTCCCAAAGACGACGTCAGATCCCTTGGATTCAAGCCTGCCGAGTTTGAGCAGGACAGAGTCAAAGAACACTTCCACAATACGCTCGAAAGCGACTTGATGCTTGCGCTCTATGAACACGATGCCGAGACCATAGTTGGTGAGAAGAGAAGAAGGTGGGATCCTGACTCGCCGTATGCCCTCTATCGTCATCTCAGAAAAACAAGACACGTCAATAGACCACAGAGAGACATTCATCCTATAGGACCAGAGAATGTCCCACAACTTACCGGAATCTCCATCAACTTGTTCTCGAAAGAAGTGCTTAATGAACCATACCACAACATCGCTGCCAGATTGCAGCTTGCACAGCTCACGAATGTCAAGCCTCAGCAGACCAAGGTCAAGGTCAACTACCAGCAGTGGAAACTCAGAAGAGGTAAGAGATGTGGAGCTAAGGTCGAAATCAGCGGACAGGACATGTCTCAGTTCATGACCACCTTGACCGAGTTGGTCTTGCCAAGAATCAGAGACTTTTCAGGCATCAAGGAGTCCAGCGGTGACAATAATGGTAATATCTCTATCGGTTTGCGTCCAGAAGACGTCAAGTTCTTCCCTGAGATCGAGCACTTCCAGGACTTGTACCCCAAGCTTTTCGGATTCCACATTACGTTCAAGACCACCGCAAGAACTGATGAGGCCGCTAAGACTTTACTCAGTTCGCTCGGTTTCCCATTCCGCAAATAGATTTGTAAATAGCAATAGGTATAAAAGTGAAGAGCATGAAGTGGTAGTATCGCGAGAACGCGAATCGCATATATGGGGAAACATCTAAAGGTCTACCAGAGAAGACCATGTCGATGATCTCAGTGGTACACGACTATTCTGTCCTATATTCGAACCGGATACTTCAGAAAGACAAGAGATGGGCCGACGGGAGGCTACGATATTACGAGTTCAACAATAAGATGGAAGTGTACTCCGAGGAGCAGTTCCTACTAGCTTCTGATTTCTACCCGTCCAACAAGAAGCTGCCTATTCAAAGTGGAGCTTTCGAAGAGGGATCTGAATTTAAACTTCCCAGTGGAAAGTTTTTGATTTCAGTGCAAGAATACTTGGGTTGTTCAGAACGAGACGTGTCGAAGGTGTTCAAGAAGGCAGATCGAACTCCAGAAACGACAAGTTCGAAGTTTGTAAAAGCTGAACCATTCATTAAACTCGAAGAGCCGCCACAAATGTCAGAGATTCCACTTCCCGATCACCTTTCGTTTCTCAAGACGGAGCCCAAAGAGTCCATCACACCAACACCAAAACCCAGGCGGATCGGCCTCACGAGAAAGAAAGGAACCACCAAAAAGCAAAGTGATCTCAGTCTGTTCACTCGAGGCCCATCTGTTGAGGACAAACTTAGGAAGTATCTTGAAGGAAGACTGGTAAAAGTCACACGGATCCCACCTCGAAGTGCTAATTTGTATACCCGTCTTAACCAGGAAATATCCATGGGCGTGGAAGACCTCGACAGAAGCATCAAAGTCCCCCACACGGGGTTGACTCAAAGGAGAGAAGAAGATTAGCACGAATTAAGGCAACCCAGACCGCAGGCGGAATTGGTTGAGATGCTTAGGGAAGTTGTGGGGTATTTCGATAATTAATGTGTCCAGAAGCATATTGTTATTGGTAAAGAGAAATTGGCATTTTGCGTCTGTGCCATCTGTCACGTCAATTTGGAACAAAGAATTGCTAATTTCGTCAAATTGATACAATAGATAACGGCCAAACTAAGACGGGGAATGACCGGAATCTGATTGTTACTGTGGACCGCATCGATGCGGCAAAAGTGAAGTGAAACTCAATCTACGTAATGTTGCTGCTAATTCAGGGACACCCCTCAGGGCGAGAGCTTACCTTGAGGCAAATTCTCTTCCGATTTCGTTTCACTTTCGTGTTGCCGATCTGCATTAGGAAAATTGACCGATAACAGGACCACGTGGAGTGCCACAGAGTTAGTTATCACTGCCACTTCTACTGCCATGGCGCAAATTGGATATTGATTGCTTGATAGCTTGAGATCCGAGGACAGGAGCCACGACGTCTGATAAGGCACGAAGACGAAAAGTAAAAGAGAAAACATCATTTGAACGCGGTTGCACCGGTAACGATTAGCATCTTGACGTGCGAGGTTGCGAATGTTCACTGGCGCCAATCATCCGCAACATGCTGATCCCTATTAGCCGTGACACTTGATTAAGAAAGTTAGGCTGTTGGCAATACTTTGAGCTACTTTCTAAGACACGTTGCTGAATGGAGTTAATCTAGAGCACAACCACAGCGCAACAATAAAACTAATTAGAGCACGGAAGGTTTTCCAAGCAGGAAGACAGCGTCACGAAGTCTGGGGTAGGCAACGTGGTGTGGTGTGGTGTCGAAGATGGAATGACGGCTCCACCTGCTGTCGTGAAAGGTGGTTTCTTGTGGCGTTTGCATTATGCTAGGAAAACGTGGGTACTTATGTATTGCAACACGTGCGGTGGGGCGGTGTGTGTTGCAGCACAAGCGCTTTTTTTGTCGCTTTATCGCTGCAAAAGGGTGCCAAAGAGGGCCTCGTTTGCACACGCCCAGCGAAACTCTACTCTCTATGCACAGACAACATGCATAGAAGCCTTTTGCGGAATCGGAGCACCCTTTGAGAGGGATCGGTGGTGTTGTTGACGCCGCCAAGCTCCGTATAAGTTTGACGCCCGCCCCACATTTCTTGCAGAAACCTTTGATTTTGTCGATTTTGTTTACTTGCCAATTTTTAGGAGCTGTGAAAACTACAAGTGTCTCAGCTTTTGCCCAATCATCTTGCTATTAAAGTCAGACCATCAGGCCCCTTTCCACGAAACCTGACTTATATTTCTTGAGGTTGCCTCAACAGGCACAGGTTTGAATAAATCCGACGACTCGCTGCATTATAAATCGCACGCTGCGTGCACAACGGGTACTACTAGACCACCTTTCTTTTTTCTTGGTATCGGTGTGCACCATCACCAGTTTTTTTCACAACGTAACAAACCTTAACGGTTAAACCTGACCTACCGTCATCTACGAAAAGCGAACACGTCCCTCCATTCATCTGTCCCTGTCCTCACAAATTCACCGACTTGATGACTTCGATATAGCGGCTCAAATCACACCGACCTGACCAATGTCCACTACAACATCGACAAGGACAACGCCCTCCTTTGACCCAACAGGCTTGTCTCCTCGAATACGGCCATCCCCTCGGGCTCACGTACCTCGAGATGGCTATTCTCGACAAGGGTCCCAGGCGGGTTCCGTCACTGGGAGTCCCGATGGCCAGTACTCAAGGAAACGCAATCCAGCGCTGCCGAAAACGTTCACTAGAGAGATCGACCCGTTCCTAGCTCAATATCTCAAGCCTTCTGTTAATGATAGACACGTGCTGTACTTCAAAAACTTGGAGAAACACACGAAAGTTCGTGGCTATGACTTCTACAGTCAGTACTTTAACAAATCTACAATCCCGGAAAGCCCGAAGCAGATTCAGAATCTCCGGGGTATAATCAAAGAGCGCAATCGCGTGGTTTCACCTTTATGTCGTCAAGTACCATTTCCCTACCAGGAGTCACTGAGTGACGATGAGGATGAAGATTTTGTACGAGGTCAACGCCGGAGGATATCTGGCGGCGAACTGGTGTCGCCCGGACCAACGACTAAAAAACCACACGCGCAGGTGTTCACTACCCGGCTACCGCCCGATTTTATGAAATGTTCCATTGATGATCTCATCAACCTTATTTATCGCATGCTACAGCTGTTGATCAACCTTAACGACAAAAGCGTGCCTCTGGTGGTTTCCAATCCAGGCAGTGCGGATAGTAGTGAGCTTCCACCCGAAGAGAAGAAGAAGCTTCTTACGAGATTCCACTCGAGAACTCCGCCGGCGATCTCGATCCAAACATACCTTGCCAGATTGACCAAGTTCAACAACTTCACGCAAGCAACACTCCTCACAACAATCTACTATATTGACCTCTTGTCGCACAACTACCAGCCGTACTTCACGCTCAATTCCTGGACTGTGCATCGGTTTTTGCTTGTGGCAACGATGCTCGCGCAGAAGCTGCTCGAGGATTTTTTTTATACGAACGATCATTACGCAAAAGTGGGGGGTGTGGCTCTTACGGAACTCAACTGCCTAGAGCTTGATTTCCTAACACGGGTCAATTGGAAGTTGGTGCCGGCGAAGCACTTGGATAATAACACAACATCGATCCGGTATAGCAAGCAGGTGCTCGATCTCTACTATGAGCAACTCATCAGTCTCATGGGCAGCAATCTATCCGAGTGCAATAATGTCGTTTACAAGCTAGCTGTGGCGGAGCATATATAGGGTAATTCTTCGGAATTAGGACTCATGAGGAACATGAGAGGTTTTGGGTACTTAACAATACACAACAAAAGAACCATTACTAATGCGTAGTAAGCGACAAGATCTACCTACAGGTGCTTAGATTGTTTTGGTCGCATTTTAGTCAGTAGATGTAACGGAATTCTCAATCTGTCAAGCCATGCAGATGAGTCAATTTTTCACTTGGACCACCAGCCTTGCTCATTATCTCGTGCTTCGATACTGAGGTCACTGATTTTGTTTTATTTTTTTGCATTTCTCTTGAAATTTGCTCATCTGCGCTTAGAAACGGCTTTCTGATTCTCCACCACACCTCTTTCGGAATGCCCAGCCGCGACTCGCTTAACCGTTTGTGACAGCCGCAACCGAATAATCTCACAGCCATTGATAATCTGACGACTTCAAAGAAACCGGTCTATTGTGAAGATTTCTCCGAACAATATGTATTTGCCGAAGCACCTAAAATTCCAGGCCCTCCTTTGTATATTAGTAACGAATGCACATCGTTAAGCCGCAGCTGCACTGCTGCGCAGCTCGCATCTGTGTTCCTTGCCGTATTTCCAACTTATAAATACTGCTGGTTCCGCCAACAACCATTGCAGTTTTCATGTCGGATATCAAGCTCTACGGTCCAGTTCTGGGTAGCGCCGCTTTTAGCCTGGCATCTGCGTCTACCTCTCCGGATGAGGTTGGTACTTATCAACCCGATGAGGATACGGAAGTTCCGAACGATGAGACGGCGTTAAGGGAAGAGTCCTCAAGGGTGGACACTTTGCTGAGACAGGTCTCCCGCCTATCCTTCTACGAATCTGAGTTGACTGTCAATCCCGAAAACTTTGATTTGCGCAAGCTTCTCCACACTTACATGAAGCAAAGCCAGATGTCTGGCGTGAAGCTCAGAGACTTGGGCGTCTCGTTTGAGAATATGACCGTCACGGGTATAGATCAGCTGTACGCCTTTTTACCGACGGTTTCCGACGTTGTTGAGCTTCCGCTTACGATTTACCGTGGTCTCCGTTCATTGTCCGTTAAACCGCAGAGAGACATCTTGCGTGAGATGAACGGTTACGCCAGAAGCGGTGAGATGGTGCTTGTGTTAGGAAGACCAGGTTCTGGATGTTCTACTTTCCTAAAGGCCTTGTCTGGAACGGATGTTAACATGTATACTGGCATCACCGGCGACATTGAGTACGATGGGTTGCCCAGAAAGAGCATGCTTAAGCATTTCAAGCAGGACTTGATCTACTGTCCCGAATTGGACATTCATCTTCCTCATCTTACTGTTGAACAGACATTGGACTTTGCTATCAAGTGCAAGATGCCCGCCAAGCGTGCCAATGACATGTCGAAGAAGGAGTACGTGGTGTTCATGAGAGAGATGCTTGCAACCGTTTACGGTTTGCGTCACACATACAAGACCAAGGTCGGCAACGACTTCGTCCGTGGTATCTCTGGTGGTGAGAGAAAGAGAGTTTCGATTGCCGAGGCTTTGGCTTGTCAGGGTACCGTCTACTGCTGGGATAACGCCACCCGTGGTTTAGATGCATCCACAGCTCTTGAGTACGCGCAGGCTATCCGTGTTTCGACTGATATTACTAGATCCACTGCTTTTGTGACGATTTACCAAGCTTCGGAGAATATCTATGATACCTTTGACAAAGTGACCGTGTTATACAAGGGCCGTCAGGTCTACTTCGGTCCAACTCTGACCGCTAAAGCCTATTTCGAGAAGATGGGCTTCGAATGTGCTCCTAGACAATCGACGGCAGAGTTTTTGACCGCCGTCACAGACCCTAATGGTCGTACACCAAGAAAGGGATACGAGAACAAAGTTCCACGCAATGCGGATGACTTTGAGGCATACTGGTTGGCATCTGAGGAGTTCAAGACGCTCAAGCAGGAAATACAAGACTACAAGGCTGGGACGAATCTCGATGAGACAAAGCGTCGCTTGATCGAGTCGATCAAACAAGAAAAACAGCCTGGTCAAAGAGTTGGCTCTCATTATACCGTCAACTTTTTCAAACAATACAGTTTGAACTCTAGAAGAGCATTCCAGAATATCATGGGTGACAAGGCATACACGGTGACACAAATTATTGCTGCAATCCTGCAAAGTTTGATCGTCGGCTCCTTGTATTACAACACACCCGATGACGTTACTGGTGCATTTTCCAGGGGTGGTGTGGTATTCTTTTCGGTTTTGTATTTGTCTTTGATGGGACTTGCAGAAGTTTCTAACTCTTTTGCGCAGAGGCCGATCATGTTGAAGCACCATAACTACTCTTTATACCATCCAGCAGCATGTTCTGTCGCTGATGCGATTACTGCCATACCGATTACCCTTTTGATCAGTATTGTCTTTACAATTATCCTTTACTTCCTCGCTAATCTTAAGAGGGATGCCGGTGCTTATTTTACCTTCTTGTTGATATCCACCTTGGTTTCGTTGTGCATGAATGGTCTTTTTAAGGCTGTTTCGGCTTGGAATAAGACAATTTCGGCTGCTAACTCGTTTGCTGGTGTCTTAATTTTGGCCGCTTTGATGTACTCCTCTTTCATGATCCAAAGACAATCCATGAGAGTTTACTTCAAGTGGATTTCGTACATCAACCCTGTCCTTTATGGTTTCGAAGCTATGATTACTACGGAGTTCCATGGAAGAGAGATGCCCTGTGTATCATCCTATCTCGTTCCGAGCGGACCTGGTTATGATCCTTCTGATGCATCCTGTGCCTTTGCAGGCGCAGCCCCTGGCGACACGATCGTGAACGGCGATAGGTATGTTGAACAATCCTTCACATACAGTTTCAGCCATGTTTGGAGAAACTTCGGAATCTTGATTGGTTTTTATGTCTTCTTCTTAGTGGTCGCTGCAATTGGCTTCGAAGTAATTCGCCCAGTCTCTGGTGGAATTGATAGATTGTTTTTCTTGCGTGGAAAGAAGCCCAGCAATATCCTTACGGCCGATGAAAAGGCAAATGTTGGTGTGGAAGAGGGACCTGCAACGGATGCTGACTTGGAGAAAGTGAAGCGCCAAAGTTCATCTAGTGATGATAACTCCGCTTTGGCTGACTTGAAGTCGAAAGATCTTTTCTGCTGGAAGCAGGTCGACTATGTCATTCCCTATGATGGTGGTGAAAGAAAACTTTTGGATAGTGTTTCCGGATTCTGCGTACCGGGTAAGTTAACTGCATTGATGGGCGAGTCTGGTGCCGGAAAGACTACCTTATTAAACGTTTTGGCTCAAAGAGTTGATATGGGTGTTATTACTGGCGATATTTTGGTGAACGGTAAGCCGCTTGATGGCTCTTTCAGTCGTCGTACTGGTTACGTTCAACAGCAAGACATTCATTTATCCGAGGCAACGGTAAGAGAAGCACTTAGATTCTCTGCCCAAACCAGAAGGTCTAACGATGTTTCCGACGAAGAAAAATTCGACTACGTGGAGAAAATCATTGGGATCCTTGAGATGGAGGAATATTCTGATGCAATCGTTGGTAATCTTGGATCTGGTCTCAATGTCGAGCAACGTAAAAAGTTAACTATTGGAGTTGAATTGGTTGCTAAACCATCCTTATTGCTATTCCTTGATGAGCCCACCTCCGGTTTGGACTCTCAGTCTGCTTGGGCAATTGTGAAACTTTTGAGAGATCTCGCTTCAGCTGGTCAGTCAATTCTTTGCACTATCCATCAACCTTCGGCTACGTTGTTCGAAGAGTTTGATCGTTTATTGCTCTTGAGAAAGGGTGGTCAAACTGTTTATTTCGGTGATATTGGAGAGCGCTCGAGAGTTATCCTCGACTACTTCGAAAAGAATGGTGCCAGAAAATGTTCAGAAGCGGAAAATCCTGCTGAGTACATTTTAGAAGCAATTGGTGCTGGTGCCACTGCCACCACATCTCAGAATTGGTTTGATGTTTGGACTAGATCGCCAGAAAAGGTTGCCGCCGAGAAGGAGATCGATCGCCTTATAGACGAAGGCAAGCTGAAATCTAGTCTCTCTGAGAAGGAGCTCAAGGCCTTGCAGAACCCATATGCCACTTCAATCATGTACCAATACCTCCTTCTTATCAAGCGTATTGCGTTGGTCTATTGGAGAAAACCTCTGTACGTCATGGCGAAGTTGTCTTTGATGACCATGAGCGGTTTATTCATTGGATTCACTTTCTTCGGTTTGAAGTCCTCTCTTACAGGAATGCAAAATGGTATGTTCTGTGCTTTCTTGTCTGTGGTCGTCTCCGCTCCTGTCATCAACCAGATTCAGGAACAATGTATTGCGCTTCGTGAAGTGTTTGAAGGCAGAGAAAGACTTTCAAACAGTTATCGTTGGTGGTTACTTCCATTGGCTCAATTCGTCGTTGAGATTCCATACAACTTTTTCTGTGCCGCCGTGATGTTCGTCTCGCTTTACTTCCCAACAAGAGCAGATTTCTCTGCTCCTCACTCCGGTGTGTTTTATTTGACGCATGGAATCTTCTTGCAGCTATTTAACATTACCTTCGGTTTCATGCTTGTTTACATGGCTCCCGATGTTCAATCTGCCGCAGTGTTGGTTTCATTCTTCTACGCCTTCATCGTGTCGTTCTCTGGTATTGTGCAGCCAAAGGATTTAATGCCAGGTTTCTGGACTTTTATGAACAAGGTGAGTCCTTACACCTACATTATTCAGAACTTGGTTGCCTCTTTCCTCCATAAGAGAAAGGTCCATTGTGCCGACTCTGAACTCTCCAGAGGCGCTCCTCCTAATGGTCAGACTTGTGGTGAATATTTGGGTGACTTCATTGAGAGATCTGGTGGTTACTTGGTGGACCCTAGCAGTACTACTCAATGCGAGTACTGCCAGTACACCGACGCTGATCAATATCTTGCAACTATCCAGACCAGCTACTCCAACATTTGGCGTAATGTTGGCTTCTTTTGCGCCTACATTATTTTCAACCTCTTCGCCTGTCTTTTCTTGTACAAGGTGATAAGACTCACGAGGTGGACGCTTCCGTCCTTCAAGTTTAAGAAACACTGATTTATACGGTATCAATCAAACTATTTATAAAAAGTAAATATATAATCAAGCATATAAAAAGAAAGGAATCAAAGTCATCAGGAATCGTCAGGTACAAAAATCATGTCATCATAAAAACAGTGACAAAGTTATAAAGGTCTAACGATTCAAGATAATGGTGATTAAAAACGCAGTTTTCATTGAGGTTTGAGCAATTCAAAAGAGCAACACAATTTTTTGTCAACACTCATGACGGCACCGTAATTGTTGAACTCTCCACAATAATTGGGCGCCAGAAAGACTGTTACCAACTTCCTTCTGTTGAAAAACTCGTAGCCGTCTTCCACAACCATGTGGCCTCTGACGATCAAGTCCATGTTAAATTTGTTCAAGAAATGATCGACGTGTTTCTTGCCAAAGCAATAGGAAACACCACGATCATTCTTGGGCCAATGTGTCTCCGAGAAAGACTTCAACTTCGGGTCTGGATCAGACCACAACAAGTCTGCCAACAAACCTTTGTCGGGGATATCGGTGGGCCTCTGGATCTGTTCAATTTGTTTGAGATCACGTAACTCCGGTGACAAACCTCCATGAATTGTGAAAATCTTGTCATTAATGGAAGCTGCAATGGGTAAACTGTTGAACACATCTATAAAATTTTTCCACAACTTCAGGCTTCCTGAAATGAGGGGCAATCTTCTCTTACATTCATCGTAGAAACCATAAATCTTGGTGATATTGGCCGACTCGTGATTGCCTCGCAACATGAAAAAGTTCTCTGGATACTTAATCTTGTAGCACAACAAAAGCAAGATGGTTTCCAAAGATTTGTAGCCTCTGTCCACGTAGTCACCCAAGAACAAATAGTTCGTATCAGGAGGATGTCCACAAGAGTTGAAAATTCTGATAAGATCATGATACTGACCATGGATATCGCCAACGATTTTGACTGGAGGGGATAACTTCAACATGGTGGGTTGGTCCAAAAAGATAGATCTCGACTTGGCAGTGATGTGTTTGATCTCATCAGCTGTCAAAGGTAGCTTGTCACGAGAGGATCTAGACTTGAAAGCTGTGCTAGATCTTCTATGACCGACATTCAACAAACGTTCAATGATACTGTCCAAATCGAAGTCAACTCTTCTTGAGGTGGGGATCAAAGGAGGAGACGATGGAGCGGAAGATATAGAGGTCTTCGAAACCAATTTGCGGCCAAGTTCGCTGAACTTAGGGATGGCTTGTGAGTCGTTCGTCTTCACAGCTTTCCTAGCCTTGGCTGTATCAGTCGAGCTTGAAGAAATGCTCGAGGACAGACTAGACAGCTCCTGGATAGGATCTAAGTTATCTGGCGATTGCAAAAAGCCGCCCTTCACATTAACAGGCAGGTTGGAAGATACCAGAGAGATCAGGCTCTCATCTTTGGTCTCACCGCCGTTTGTGAACACAGACAAGGCGTTCAGGCTTTCCATGCTGGACGACGAGTTGAAGGACTGGTATGACGAGGGCGCCAACCATTCCTTAGGGGAGCGTGCACTAGAGTTCCCGTTGAGCGCTGTCGCCACGGAAATGTCGACCTCAATGTTTATATCATCACGAGGAGTCAAGGGCTTTCTGGAGCCCGACGTGAAAGATCCGTTGGAAGCACGAGGGATATTCTTTGGCCCAACTGAAGGAGTGACGTTGGAGTTGTTGTTGGGGTAAGGGGCGTTTTTAATCTGCTTATCTTGAAAAGAAAAACTCTTCAAACTTTGGTCTAAAAGTTCACTACCGTTTCCGGTAGGCCGTGATAGCGGGGGCACGGTGTCATCCTGGTCCAAGTCTTGAGCTTCGAAGGTAGGAGCACCGTTCAGTGTAGCTGGGCTATTCGGTAGGGGGTCATTTTTGGACGGGCTATTTCCCATAACTTGGATGGTTGGGTACTTGAAAAAAGTTGGTGGGCCCGCGGGGAAGTTTGTGTCTGGTTTTTAAAAAAGTGAAAGGTACGAAAGGGCAAGCCTTAAAGTGTAGGGGTAATTTGGTGTTTTGCGAGGTTGGGAAATTTTAGATGGAGGAGGGAGGAAATTAATGGGTTATTTAGAGGTGCGGGTCGTGCGCGCCGCCGTTTTCTTAGCACCGTGGCACAAAAAAATTTCTGGCTGTGGCAGGAATCCAGATTAAGTGGCACCGCGATAAGCCTGTCAAAAAGATCTGCCCACCGTCTGTCTGGGGCAACGTTTGAAATGAGAAAAAATATTAGAAAAATAGAATGCGCAAAAATGGCGCCTTCTTATACTTTGACGCGGTCAGGGGGCGTCGTGATCTCGTTTCTTTTGTCCACGTTCCTCTAATCGGATCTCGTTTTCTGTCCATGTGACGTGAGACCTTTTGCGCTGTCGGTCCCGATTCCAGATGCAGCCAGCCCTGTGCAACAACCCGTTAACATGAAGGTTGCCATGAAAAGTGGCGCCGGTTTGTCAACGAGCTTGACCAGCATGGCGGAAAGTTGCTCAGGAATTGTAAGATTTTACGGTACTTAAAAAAAAAAATTGTTTTGTTTTCAGTTCTTGACACATTTAGTGTGGGGACGTGGCTGTATAGGGATTTCGCAACCTTTCTGCCTTCCAGCCCTTTTGTACGAATAGGGGTCCCAAAATTAGAACAATCTGTTGCACTAACTACCAAATTATGAGCCTCCTAAGGTAAATTTATAGCACACGGGTAAGCTTCTGAAACTCTGCCCGGCCTCTACAATCAACACAACCAGTTTAATCTCTACCCTCACAGCTTACACAACGTCATCACCGTAAAGTCCCTCGATTTCCCCTAAATCGGTAACACTGGAATTCATTAAGCTTGCTAGCAGAGCCGAGCCTAGTCTCCATACCTTGGGGTCAACATGACCATCCGACCTTCCATGACGGCAATCGGGCTGGTTACCAGAACACCATTGTTTTGATTTATTCTCTCGTTTTGTTCGATTTCGTGACCATTCCTTTCCCAACAACCCTTTTGTTTACTTGGCTCTCTCGAAGTTTGCCTATACATAGCCCGCCAAGGCTATGTCGAGCCCTTGAACAAACTATCTGAAGAACGCGAGGAATGATGAAAGCAATTGCAGAGAAGGAGGATGCTGGTAAAAATATTAAGGTAACGCTATATCTGGTGAAATTCTAAAGAACTTGTTAGAGATGTGGGACGTGTATCGCTTGCCTAGAGTACAGTATATGCCATGTATGCATAGGCGGGGCATCCTTGGCGAGGAACTGTGAGCCAAACAAAAGAACCCATTCCTGAGGGCACGTATTTTGTTTCTCCGTATCTTAGTGGGGAATACCTGATGCACTCTGAATCATTCAGCATATCATCGACCGAGGCATCTAACTTTAAAAGGAATCACCACAGAAAGCTACATTACTTGCAACCGCATGATTGCATGATGAATATGCATATTTACGCTATCCAGACTTTCCGTAAATGTACTAGTAGAGCAAGCACCATTGAGGTCCCCAATGCCCCACTTGAATCGCGTCATTTCTATTTTGCAGCCAAACTCTCAGCCAGCACAAAATGCCGTTTTGCAGTTCCAATGAAAATTCTCAAATCATAAATTCATTTCCCAAAAACTCACCAATTGAGGTCTCTCGCTTTTAATTGCTTTTTTGTGGAACCTCTGGTAGTAGTGATCGTCGTAGTATCGCGAATTCTGATACTCCATGTTCCGCAACCTTACCAGAATGGCATCCTCAATCAAGTCGGCTGGCTGCCTCATCATCGGGGACGAGGTACTCAATGGTAAGATCCTAGACACAAACTCCTTTGAGTTTGCCAAATTCTGCTTCAAAGAGTTGTCAATTCCAGTGAAGAAGACCATTGTCTGTGGAGACGACCAGGACGATATCATCCGCTCCTTGAAGACTCTCACGGATGAAAACTGCGACTTTATTGTCACTTCTGGAGGCATTGGATCTACTCATGACGACATTACGTATGATGCTTTAGCTGCTGCCTTCAGGGTACCATGCACATTGGACAAAGAGACCGTCCAAAGGATGCAATCTATACGAGGTCTGTATTTGGCTGGATTGAAAGAAGATGAGTTGAATGCTTTTTACAGAATGGCAACGTTGCCTCAACCCTCCGGCGACACGAAAGTGCTGAAGCTCTTCATCGACGACTCCCTATGGGTACCTATAGTCGGTCTCAATGATAAGGTGTTCGTGTTGCCCGGTGTTCCACAACTATTTAAGCGTTTGCTTATAGGACTAGGCGATTCAGTGAAGCCTCGTTGTGTTTCGCAAGAGTACACCCGCTTCTTTGTCAAAACTAGAAGAGGAGAGCTGAGCATTGCACCCTTCTTAGGTGAAATGCAGAAAAGATGTGACGCTTCCTTCAACAAGAAGGTGAAAATCGGTTCGTATCCTCACTTTGACTGGAAAATCGTTACTGTGAGTATAATTGGCGACAAATCTGTTCCTGAGCTGGACTTACGGAAGGTCGTCGACGAGGTCAGGAAGAACGTGGAAGGTGAAGAAATCACTGCAGCAGAGGAAGACCACCTCACCACATGTTCACCGCCTCATGTCTAGTTTCCTCAATAAGTAGATACTATTAGATATATACCCGTCATGCTTGGAAGCACGATCCCATCTATGCCAACTTCTCCGTAAGTGCCTTCTTGACAGCCTCAACAGCCTCCTCAACACCTTCTGGCTTGTCACCCATACCTTGCACAATGTTGCCTCTGCCACCAGCCTTACCACCAATGTGGGCAATGGCAACCTTGGCCACCTCATTGGCATCAACACCCTTGCTGATAGCCTCGTCGGAGATGTAACAACCATGTGCAACCTTGTCGTCCGTACCAGTGATGAGGTAGAGAGACTTGTCCTTGTTCTCCTTCTTTATAAGGTTGAATGCCTCGGTAATGGCCTTGGCATTAGCGCTAATTGGAACATGGGCCACGAGGAAAGCAGCTTTCAGCTTCTCCTCATCCTTCAACCAATCTTTGACAACAGCCAAAGTCTTCTTGGATTCCTCCTTCTGCTTGGCCTTCAAGTTGTCCTTGATAGATTTGTCCAACTTGGTGAACTTCTCGTTAAGCTTCAGCTTGTCGACAACTGAGATCGACAACTTCTTCAAGGCAACACCGAGTTCCTTGGCCTTCTGCTCCTTGTCTGGACCAAATGGCAAGTTTGCGGCAGCATCCAACTCAGCACCAAAATCTCTGGCGATCTGCTGAACACGATGGGCATCATGGCCAGTGACAGCGACGATTCTTCTAGTACCCTTAGCGATACCGGACTCCTCAATGATCACCAAATCCTTGATTTCAGAGGTCTTGGCAACATGGGTACCACCGCAAAGCTCGATGGAGTATTTGTGCCATTCCTTGTTCTCTGGCTCGCTGACCAATGTAGAAACGGGAACACCGATGGAAACGACTCTGACTGGGTCTGGGTAGACTTCACCGAAAACAGCTCTAAGACCGTTGATCAGCTTAGCAACGGTCAAGCTCACGTCCTCAGCAAAGACCTCCATGTTAGCCTTGATGTTCTCATTGGAAATTCTTTCGACCTCCTCGACTTCCTTAAGGGTCAATGCCTGCTTGTTGCTGAAGTCGAATCTCAACTTCTCAGCAGCTACCAAGGAGCCCTTCTGGTCAACGCTGTCACCCAAGACCTCTCTCAAAGCGAAGTTCAACACGTGAGTACCTGTGTGGTTGTTTCTGATGGGCCATCTTCTCAATTCGTCGTAGGTGGCGATGACCTTGTCACCGACTTTAAGAGTACCTTCACTCAAGGTACCGGTGTGCAAAACGTAACCGGCGTAGGATTGAACGTTGTCGACGTGGAATTCGGCACTGCCATCAATGACCAAGGAACCAGTGTCGAACTCCTGGCCACCTTGCTCAGCATAGAATGGGGTCTTGTCCAAAAGGATACCGAACTGCTGGCCAGTTTTGTCGATGGAGTCGACAAAAGAAGAGCCGTCGTAGAAAGCGAGAATCTTGGACTTGGTGTTTTCCAAACCAAACTTGTAGTGGTCGTCAGTTTTAGGGACAGCATCGTTGCCATCCAACTCAGACAATGCATGGACATCCAACTTGATCAAATCAGCGCCGGTCTTGGAACCAGAAGCCTTGGAAGCCTCTCTGGATTCCTCCTTGGCCTTCTCGAAAGCTTCCTCGTCAATCTTCAAGCCAGCCTCCTCAGCCATCAATCTGGTCAAATCAACTGGGAAACCATAGGTGTCGTACAATCTCCATACATCCTTACCAGACAATGTCTGCTCTGGAGTCTTAGAGGCAATGATAGCGTACTGTTCAAACAACTTCTCACCTCTGTCCAAGGTCTTGGCGAAGGACAACTCCTCCTCAACCAAGATCTCCTTAAGTTCGTCCTTATGAGAAGCAATTTCTGGGAAAATCTGAGAGTTCTCCTCGATGACGACATCAACAAGCTGCTCGAAAAAGTGGCCAATTGGGTAGTTCATGTACTTTCTAACGTAACGAGAGCCTCTTCTCAAGATTCTTCTCAAGACGTAACCTCTACCCTCATTGTTAGGAACACCACCATCGGTGATAGCGAAGGTTAGCGTTCTCACGTGGTCAGCAATGACTCTGTAAGCGGTATCAATACCATCAACGTCATCGGAACCAAACTTACCAGTGTATGGTCTGACACCAGTGATACCACGGATCTTCTCGAATAGAGGGCTGAAGACATCAGTATCGTAGTTAGAGAACTTGGACTGCAAGATGGAGACCAATCTCTCGAAACCCATACCGGTGTCAATGTGCTTGTTAGGCAATGGCCTAAGAGACGAGTCGGCCTCTCTGTTGTACTGAATGAACACGACGTTCCAGACCTCCAACACATTGGGGTCGTCCATGTTCACCAAGTGAGCGGCGTTTCTTCCACCAATTCTGTCGTAGTGGATCTCAGAACATGGACCACATGGACCTTGGTCACCCATTTCCCAGAAGTTGTCAGAAGCGTCACCTGGCAAGATGTGGTCCTCGGCCACACCGACATCCAACCAGAACTGCTTGGCTTCTAGGTCTGGCTGCAAGCCGTTTTTCTCGTCACCCTCAAAGTAAGTCACGTACAAACGGTCTTTTTCCAACTTGAAGACCTCAGTCAACAATTCCCAAGACCACTCGATAGCCTCCTTCTTGAAGTAGTCACCAAAAGACCAGTTACCCAACATCTCGAAAAAGGTGTGGTGATAAGAGTCCTTTCCGACGTCATCCAAGTCATTGTGCTTACCACCGGCTCTAATACACTTTTGGGAGTTAGCAGCTCTCTTCAAGCTGCCAAAATCAGACGAGGTGTCGACAGTTCCAAGGAAAATTGGCTTGTACTGGTTCATACCAGCGTTGGCGAACAACAAGGAAGGATCATTGTGAGGAACGACAGATGAGGAAGGCACGAAAGTGTGCTGCTTGCCTTTGAAAAAATCCAAAAAGGTCTGTCTAACTGTGCTAGCGGGCCAGGTTGTCATGGTGAGCTTGCGAGTTAGGGTCTTTAGCATGGAGATCTGGCGTATTGAAGAAATTTCTCATGTGTAATTTGGTGTACGGGTGTATGGGATGCAAGGCTGAAATACCCAATGGGTTCAGGGGTTCGTGAAAGGGTAAATCAAATGAAGTGGTGGAAACGCCGAAGGACACGATTTCACCACTCCCGATCGACGAAGTTTGGCTTTGTTATAGCGTAGTGAATCATTGCATGCGATGGCTGCGAAAAAGTTACTGATAGACGATCAAGGTTTGGAGCCTGTGTTTATCTGAAATTATCGAAGTCATTATCTTTTGTTGTTCCTAGTTGTCGAATTCTCCAAGTTCGATTGTTGACAATTTCAGAAATGCTATGAACCTTAAGTTCTTGTTTGTGACTCAGACCGCGTAGCATAGACCAAAGATCTCATGTCAATCCTACTATTAAAACCCGAGCGGAGAAAGATAGCAAATTCTACGCTTTCTCATTATCCAAAATGAAGGTTAGTGTAAGTCTATTGGACTCATGGGTGAACTAGCCGATGATCAAAAGTATGCAGCTGCGAATACATTCACTTGCAGTGTTCGAAGCATAGTGGGTGGGGAAGGTTCACCTTCGCTACATTCCTCTTATCATTTTGAGCACTCAGATATCTCAATCAGTCACATGTATTTTGACGAATCGTCTTCAACATGATAACAGCATTGCCCCATCGAATTAGCCGCAGCGCTTATGAATCAATTGTGATACTTTAATGAGAGCAAAAAGCTAAATCTGCATTTGCGATACATTCTACGATTCTAAAACGTCTCGCTTATGATGCCACACTTGAAATAGCAAGCTTACTCTAAATCATAAACGACAGCATTGTTAAATATCAATATTTTGGAACTCCTTCTTTGTTCCTCATCGGCAATTCCTTTGCATTTAGTCGATAACGGTTTCTGGAGAAGCGCTTGTTCGAGAGCCACCTGCATACGGTTGGATGCCTTTACCGTTTTGGGCGATCAAATTGCTCGTACTATGGTTCTAATCTCTCATCTTTAACCTGGCCCTGGGATCTTCATATCATGGTCTAGCTTCTTTTCCACTCCAGCATCCAACATGATTCTAATAAACGAAGTCAAGTACGCTTGCATGGAGTGTATCAGAGGACATCGTTCCTCGATGTGCCGGCATCATCAAAGGCCGCTACTACAGGTTAGGCTGAAGGGGAGACCAAATGTGGGACATGGCAACAAAAACCATAGAATCGCTGTCTTCGCTGAAGAAATTGCATCTCTGCCCGAGCCAGAGGATGGCGACAGCTGCAGAGATTTCCCCGTTGTGATTTTAAAAGCTTCCGACAAACAAGTAATTGATCTTCTGAACGGTCAGATTCTAGGGCCTTACAGTGAGGCCGCCAAGGACATGTACAATACGAAACCTGTAATTCGCTCCGACAGCTTTATCAACTCATCGTCGTGCTGTTCTAAGGGTGCCTCCAAAGTGAGTAAACAGTGTTCCTGCAACAAATCTAATGTTTCCAAGACAAAGATTCTCAAATCTTACTTCGACAAACATAAGAGCAAGGATGTTCTGGTCAAGAAGGAGCCACATGTAATTCCAGCAAAGCTGAGCTGTTGCAGCTCGAAAAAGCAGGCCAATGGAAATGCCCAGAACGAGAACGGTTACTCGGCGAACCTCTTTGCAAACCCGTATTACGCGGGACAATGGAATAATGCAACACAACCACAGCAAAGCTATAACATGTCGTTTCCACAGATGCCTCAAGGGTATCCTCCACTACAAAACAAGCTCCCTCAAACGCAAGTGTACCCAGATACATTCCAAGCACAACCTCAATCTCAGCAAGACATGTTCCACAATTTCGCTGCAAGCAACACAGGAGAAATATTCGAGGTGGTCAATGTACCCTCTTGCTCTATTCTGGGAACTTGTCGGTGTACAGCAGATTGCAAGTGTCCAGGCTGTGTTGAACACAACAATGCCCCAAGCCACAGTCTGAAATACAGCTTGAATCCCTTAGAAACGATGCTCAGTACGGCTCAAACTTGATTCTTACGCTGAAGGAGCAGAAAACCACCGAACAAAGACAAACACAGCCTACGTTACCGCCAGTATCGTTTCCTAAAGACTTCGATACCTACGCTAATTTCCTTCGTCAAATTATCGGCGAATCACAAGATGTCCAAGAGGTTCAGAATGGAAATGAGCCTGAGCAAGTGCCTAACGAGGAGCAGGCGTGTGAATGTCCTGACGAGGCATGCTTCTGTACTAATTGTGAAGCACACGGCATAATTGATGGCTACAGACTAGACGACATTTTCAATTCCCGCACAGTTGATCAAACAACCAAGACAGAGCCATTAGACCGAACGTCGTTTGAATCAAAGAGATCATCGATTGAACCCAGCACTTCCGTGCTGTCTCTCAGCTCAAACACATCGACGTTAGGCAAGAGAACCTAAAACTTCCCCTTGTACATAAAAGGGCCTTGAGGGCTCGCTAATGTTAATGCAATTTCATGAGAATAACGTAACTTTTCTACAATTCTACAGGCTGAAGCACTCCACTTATTACCAGCATGCGTCGAACTTCGGAGTGTGCAAAACTCGGGGTTTTGCGTGCATCAACATCTGAGACAGCTACAACCCAAAAATGGCGTGACCTGCACATGCCGCGATGGGGAGCAATGCTCATGGAACCTTCTAGCAATTCCATCATCTTCCATAGATAAATGTACCTTAGGTCGCTTCACGCAGGGTTGACTTATCAGAAATAAATATACAGCGTCACGTCCGGACAAGCTTCCAAAGTCTTCCACAGCACAGTCCACGCACCAAGAGTCTGCAATTGCTAGCCTACTATGGCATCCTACAATTCTGAGGAGTCAGGCCTGACAAGAGATAACGACATACAGGTCATCAACAGAGATGAACCTTACCAGCCTACAGGTGATGAGTATCACGAGAATGTCGTGTCTCCTTCGTTCCCATCTTTAGACCTCCCCACCCCCAATGGCACTCATAATCACCTCTTCGATGACCTCGACAATAATCAGACCAAAGAAGACGGTAACTTTCCACCTTCCCTTTCACCATTGACGGAATTCGTAAATACTCACGGAGATCATATCATCAATGGAGAGAACGAAGACCGTAACGGTAATGCCGGGATCTTGACCAGGTTGAACACAAGCAATAACTACATACCACCAATGCCGGCCCTTTCGGAATCGGTTTTGCCAGCTGCCCAGCCCAGCTCTCAGCTCCCACGAGCTACATGCCTAATAATTATGCTAATACCAATCGCAACCAGTTGATGATCACGGGGAAGAAGAAGAAGGAGGCCTCTGGCCCAAAGGTCAAACCAGCCTTCGTCATGAAAGTTTGGTCAATGGTCAATGACCCAGAAAATCAAGAATATATCCGGTGGAACGATGACGGTTTGACGTTTCAAGTGTACCATCGCGAGGAGTTCATGAAGAGTATTCTCCCCAAGTACTTCAAGCATAATAATTTTGCATCGTTCGTCCGCCAGCTTAACATGTACGGCTGGCATAAGGTTCAAGACATCAGCAGTGGCCTGATGGCCAAGGAAGCCAAAAATGCCGAGGAGGTGTGGCAGTTCAAGAATCCATACTTCGTCAGAGGTAGAGAGGATCTTCTCGATAATATTGTGCGTAATAAGTCTGGTACGCAAGAAGAAGTTTCGGAACCTAATATTAATCTCCAGCTTCTTGTCACTGAGCTTGACCAAATCAAAATGAATCAGTTGGCTATAATCGAGGATATGAGGCGAATCCGGAAAGACAATCAAACCTTATGGACCGAAAGTTTCGCTACCAGAGAGAAGCATCAGAAGCAATCGCACACCATCGATAAGATCATGAAGTTTCTTGCTGCAGTTTACGGTAACTCTGCTGGAAAGATCTTTGAGGTTGAAAATGGTAATTTTGATTCTAACTACGGTGTGCCCGCGCTCTATCAGGGAAATCAGCCTGCTCGACCATCCTACAACAACACCGCTCCAATCCTGAAATCTCGTTTGATGTTGATGGATCAAGAGCATTCGGCAACTCCCTCCACCGATGCTAGCTCGACGGCTGGACCCTCTAAGAGACCGTCGGTGGCTGGAAGCAAAGATGGGTCTATCGAGGAGATTGTGAGAAACGACCATATTACGCCTCACGATCCCTCTGCCAATGTCAACAAAATATACCAGCAAATCATGAATCAAGAACCAGGCCTGAATTCACCAAGACAATACTTCCCGAACTTCAAAGCCCAAACATAGGGCCTAGTACGCCATCTCAGCAGTTTTCAAAGTTGAATTCTGGTGAACCTAATGGTGACATGTTGCTGGGTCTTGAACAAAACATCTTCAAACAGGGCCAAGCTTTGCTGCAAGTCCAGGACTGGATCCAGGCTTTGGCAAACAGGCAACAGCAACAACAGCACCAATTGCAACAGCAGAAGAGCAACAACCTGCTGCCTGTTGCTAATCCTGATCTCGATGACTTTGATGTCAACGAGTTCCTCAACAGCTCCAACTCCGTTCCTCCGTCGCAAGATCAGCCCGATCCGGCACTTGATGTTGGGGAGGATAACGACAAGAAGCGTCATATCGAGGAGGTTGTTGACAATGAGCCACGTTCCAAACGCACCAGAACACGCAGCAAGCGTTAATCTACTTCAATTACATAGCTATGGGTATAACGGATTTATATAGAGTACGATTCCTTTTAAATAAAATCGTCATACACGTTGGGTATTTATTTTCTAGTAAATGCAAATGCAACATCTCCATCATCGTCGCTCTCATCGTCAGGTCTCAATGTAAGTGTGGTTGGTTCCCTCGATGTAGTCAGGAATGAAAATGGCATATCTTCCCCATCATCTGACTCCTCTCCGACGAATAGTTGAGACTCTTGAGGCTGATAGCCCTTGACCTCTTTCATTTCTCGCTCGAACTCACTTGCAAGACGCCCTTCACTTCAATATTCCTCTGAGGAGCGTAGTCCTCAAAATGTATGCTATTATCGTGGTCTTCCAAGGGAATGAAAGTTCTCGTGACGTTTTTGGGAACAGATCCTGCTTTTTTGAAGTTCTTAAAGTTCTTGCGACCTTTATAGTCGGGTCTTGCCTCAATTCTGTCTTTTTTCTTTCGAACAACGAGATCCACTTCTTCAACAATGACTAACTTATCTAGCTTTTCATTCACATTCTCATCAAACTCATCAAGCCCAAGCTCCTTCTTCACCACATCATCAGCTTGCTTCTTCGTCGAAAGAACCGCATCCGCAAGAGATACTCTAGGAACGACTTTCTCTCGCAGCTTGGCAGGTTCTGCTTTCTGTTTCTTTGCTTCTTGCTCGATGATGGAGTCCAGAGGTCGCTTGTTAAGCTCCCCAGAGGCTTCAATGCTTTGTGTGGCGGATTCGGTGTCTTCTTCGTCAATTCTCACCTCTCCGTCAGACTTGGAAGGCACTGTAGTCTTCGGAGGCTCTGAAGTTGATACTTTTTCCAACTTGCTATTCGCGTGGTCATCATTGACTAATTGACTTTGCTGAGCCAGTGGAGCAGGATTAACTTCAACATGATCCGAAACCTCTGGCTCGGAAGCAGGCGTTGACTGCTTTTGGCTGAACAGGAAGAAGTCAGTGTCGCCAACCTTCTCAAGTTTCCGTCTTTTCTTACGTTGAGACAACCGTAGGTCACCCACTTGGGATTCACGTTTGACATTAGGAGTGAATGGCCGGAGATGTGATGTGGACTTAGTCACCACAGCATTCCAAAGAACATCAGTGTTGTTCAGGCGTTCCATTAAGAAGTCCACCTTTTCATCATTCTCAACGTGAAAAACAAAGGGGCAATTGCATTTCTCAAAGTTGCTTCAACGGTCTCCTGAGTATCGGCGCCTAGCATGGTAGGCTCGCATCCTAGACACCTGATCCACTCTTGTAACCTGCCTACTTGCTTGGTGACAGGGCCATGGCATATGAAGCAATTTATACCAGATAGCAAGCTCCTTCTGTTTGTATCAGGGAAGACAAAATTTCTTTCAGATTTGGAGTAGATATACTCGTCCTTGATATCCAACAACCAGTCTTCCACCTTCTGTGGCTCTTCTCTGATAGCCTCTACCCAATTTTCAGAAACAACAGGTAGTGCCCTCAGCAAGGCGATTCTTAGGTTGAAGTCGTTCAAGTCAATCAAGGTCAAGTAGTGTGATGCCAGAAGCGGATCTGAAACCAATCTCACATCGTTGCCACTGTCGTATAGACTCCTAATGTTGCCAGGTAGAGGTGATTCCATCAACTCGCCATCATAGGACATTTTCTTCGAGAAAGCCACCACATTCACATCACGCCATTGAAGACGAAGCTGTATGCGATCAGACTTGTTGGCATTGACTCTGAGTAGAAGGTCATCTTCAGTAAACTGCTCTGTGATGGGTTCAGCTTCTTTGGAAGGAATCTTGTAGACCGTTCCGTTAACTGTAGTCGTGCAAATGGATTCAAAGGTAATCGAAAGCGGTGTTTGTGAGGTACTGTTGAGTTCCTGGCTTCCTATGTGAATCGTGATGTACTTCTTGGGTACCTTAAGATCACCGATGTGGAGACAGTCTTCCAGAGACTTGTACTCGTTGGCCCTGCCAATCTTTGTGGACAGATCTCGTCGAAGAGGTTTTGAAAAGACTATTGTTAGTAATTCATAGGGACATTTTGATCATGTACATACCCTCTCCGTTGTATATTAGACTGAGTACCCACATAGTGGTAGTTGACTACATGATGCGCGAACATGGTGATAAAGTACTATTCTATGATACACAGTTATGCCTTGGACCTCGCAAGCTTGCCCATTCTGTTTTCTTTGAGAGCGGTGTTGACAGCGTCTTCGTCGGCCAACTCGAGCAAAGCAGTAGCGAAAGCATCCTCGCTGACCTCGGCCTCGGCTTCCTCAGGAGCCAGCTCGAGAACATCGTCTTCGTTATATATTTTATCGGTGTAAAAGAGGGGCAACACAGGAGACTTGTCGGTCTTGATTCCCACAGTCACCAACTCGTCTTGCTCAAACTCTTTGAGAATGGCGTGCAAGTTCTCGAGCAACTCCTCTTGGGTGAAATGCTTATTGAGGGCACCGAGCTTGAAGTGAGCGGTGGTACCCATTGGAGGTAAGTATGGTGCAGATTGCAAAACCTTTTCGATCTGACTCTGAAGCTTTTTGATCGAGAGTTCCTTTGGCAGGTTTGATTCGTACGGTCTGATTTGAACTGGGAATTTGGTCTTCTGGTTATCGTACATGATCTTACCCAAAACGTTGGGAAGCGATGACAAGATAGCATCGTCAGTGACGAACAAGTCGTACTCCTTGTACAACTCACGACGCTTTTCGTATGGGTGGTAGATTGTCTTGAGCTGCTTCAACGTGAGAATCTTGCTCAAGGTTGGGATGTTGGCAGCCTCAACCTTCTCCAAGTCTTCATTAGTCTGGATGAATGTGTCTCTGACAAGAAAGCATGTCTTGATGTCGTTCTTGACGTTCAAATATGGCTTTGGGATGGAGATGAGCTTCGCCTTGAAAGCAGGCTTCTTGCTGAAATATTTCTTTTTCTGCACCTCCAAGTAGACATTCTTGTCCTCATCATCTTCATCGTCATCAAACAATTGCGACTTCTCTGAGATTTCCTTCTGACGATCTAAGAACTTAGAGAGTTCAGTGAGTGCTGCGGTTGCCTGCTTCTTGGAGACATAGCCGTACTCTTTCACCTCATCTTTCAGTTGGCTTTTGGTGGCTTTCTTAGGACTTTGAGCAACCTTTTGCTTTTTAGCAGCAGGCTCGCCGCCCTGCTTTTTTGATCTTGTTTTGGCCATTGGTGGTGATGAGATCGTAGTCTTCTCATCTCTAAAAAAAATCGCTCTATGCGATGCCTCTGCAGGACAGGAGTGGTCCCAACCCCATACTCCACCATAAAACACCTAATATCTTGACCATCCAGAGATATGAATGTGGCCAAATTAAATTGATTTAATTCATTGGTGGCATTGCAGTTTTAGGAAGTGGCGGCGTCCGCTTGGATTTCTGATTACGCACAGAGTCAACCACAATGGCAGGTACGCCGTTATCGATATTTTCAAAAAGCACTTCTGGCTGCTGCTTGATGTCAAGGAGTTCGCCCTCTTCTTCATCACTTTCGTCCTCTTGGTAGCGTCTCACATGCGAGCTGTCGAAGCCGCCAAATCGGTCCCAAAGCAAATGCGAAAGTTCATCTGGCGAATAGATTGCCTTTTCATTTGGACCTTCTTCCACTTTGTTATAATCATCCCACTCACTCTGTGGAGAGAGGGAGGCAGAATAAGGAACCTCCGACTGCCTTCTTCCAGCGGAAGCTCTAGGAACTGGGTATCTTCAGCCTTGAGAGTCCAGTTCTCGTCCTCAAGAAGCCGCAGATGATTGTCCTTTAGACTGAAGCTTATGTTAAGCCCCTTCTCTATATTCGACGAAAGGTAGTCTCTCACATAAATCGCAAGAGCCATGGTGCCACAGATGATGATGTACCTCTCGAACTTGGGGAGCGAGATAAGCTCAACCTGGAGACTTTGAGCGGCGAGCAAGTCCACAAGCGGCTGGGGATTATTCTTTAAAGATTCAGGAAGCCTTGAGACTATAAGAGTGTTTGTCGGCTTGCGTGGCATGAAGAATATGTGAATAGATTAGTGAGCCAAGTTCGTCTTTGATATTGGACTGCATGATTTGTGGGCGCTAGCATAGCCCTACTGAGTTTGGAGCATGGAAGGGGGACTTAGATGTGGAGGCTATGATATTGGGGCGAAGTTTTGAGATCTTTTCTTTTTTTAAAAAAAAAGCATTTGTCTTGATCTCAAATAGTTTTGTTAGTGATGGTGATCTATGGGATTTTGCAGCCAAACACCGAGGAAGCGTAGATTGATGAATGTTAAGGAAGTATAAATCAATTGTATCAATTTGATCATTGATTTTTCCTAGAAACACGAAAAAGTGAGCTTTTAGATGATTTGAGTTTATTGATATACCATGTCCTCGAATGTGCTTCATCAAGCGTGTGACTGATCCTCCAAGTATACACTTCTCGAATCTATAACCCACCGATGACGATTCATAACTTACAGAAGTATCGAACAAATGAATGTACTATTTACTTTTAAGTCTTAGCTTCCTCGAGCCCTTCCACCACTCACATGATGCCAAATGGAAGGTGATCGTGCATCCGTAAGCCACAGAGACCGATTTTTCTGAAGTATGTGTTATGCGCCTCGTAGTAGTTTCTGAAGATGATACTGCCGGTGTTGGGCCTGCCAAAGTCGTCAGTAATGCAGTGTGGATTGGTCCCGGAGAAGCAATTGACCACCTCGCTATTTGACGGATGTGTTTCGCTTCCAGTAACATTCACATAGATCTGATTTTGGAATTGCGTAAACTCGTCAAGAAAGTTGGAGCTAGTTGAAGGTACTTGCGTAACTAGATCGCCCTTGTGGATCACCCTGAGAAACTTGCGATCATACGAACCGTGATTCACTGGTAGGTAGCTTCCGAGGACATAGTCGGCCCAGGTAGTAAAATCACTATTTCCAACAAGAGGTTGGCCCATGGTCACTAAGGAAAGCTTATCGAACCCGAGATCGAGGAAATGAAGGGCTAATAGAAGGGCCACAGAGCCTCCCATTGAGTGTCCCACAATAACGAGCTCGTAGTCTTCCGTCGAGGCAGAAGTAAGCTCTTTCTTGAGCTTTTTGTGGATAGCTTGAAGGGTATTCTCGTAATAAGCAGCAAACCCCTCGTGGATCTTGCACTTCTCACCGCAATACGGTAGGTGTTTGTGGAGGTTGCGATAGGGCACCATGTCCACTCTTATATCAGCAAGGACGTCATTAAGCGATCTTGTTCCCCTCAAGGATACCACGATGGTCTTCTTTCTGTTCAGAGAAATGGATGGTTTCTCGTAGTTAAAGATGTCTGAATATGTGGTTGCGATGTATCCGCATACAGCGTCATCGAAGTACCACTGATGGACCAAGGTCATATTGGGGAAGCGTTTGGAGCAGTCGAGTGCACAATCAAACGGATCATCGATCTTATGGAACTTGTCTATGCAATAGGATATGTCAATAAGATGTGCATAAGTGAACATGTTGCGGTGGATAATTGGATCTATGGGCTGAGGTGTGTTGACATCGGAAGTATCCGGCGTTAATGCCGGAGGAAATAGCACTGGGATCCAGCTCCAGGGTATTCTCATAGTGTTGACATGTAGGTGGTTTAGATTCGAGAAGTCCGAAATGTGGGGTCTAACGGTGATGACCTTCGCGGTTTTTTGGGTTTGATATTGTTTAGAGTACCTTCCATAAGAAACGGAATGCGAGAGCGAGGAGCACACCGATTAAGACAGACTCACAGAATTCAATCAATTTTTTGAAAGGCAGCCTTTTCGAGAGTATTGAGTATGTTGTGAGGCTTATCACAGATAGCGATATCATGGTAGGCCACGGCCACCGTAGAAAGGTAAGAGGGCCAAAGATACTTGACGATTTGAATTCCACAATCAAGGAATTGATCTGGCCATGGAGATCTGAGAAATGACCTTCAAGTTGCAGCTTCAGTGAAACCATGAGACCATCGAATTCCTCGATATTCTGCTCTAGCGCAAGATGTCTATCTTCGATCTGAGATATGGAGTACTCAAAATGGGAATTCAAATTGTTTATTGCCTCGTCGATCATCAGCAGCAATCTTGTACCCTGCAATTCGAAATACTGCTCAAAGTCAAATTCAATGCCCCTGATGCGATGGTGGAATTCGGTGGATAGTTGTAAGTTGGAATCAAGTAAGCCATGAAGACCCAGTTCTTTAGATTCCATATCACTTATCAGATCCTTAAGACTTCTGATAGTGGAAACAATACTGTACATGTCATTGAAAACCGTTGTTTGTAAATCGACCCACCGCATCGAAACTTCTGCAAACATTTCGGCTTCTCGGTCATGTTGGGCTTGAGCCACTTCGAGCAGAGACGAAGCTTTCTCCGACATTAAATGGAGTTTTGCGTGCGTGCCATTGGCCGTTGTCTCCGCGTGTTGTTGTATTTCATCAAACATGTTGAGCATTCTTTCTCTGAATATCGCTGCATCGGTCTCCCATTCCTTTCTTTCTCGACTAGCTCTCGCAATCATCAGCTTAAATTCTTCAAACAAGATGGAAAAATAAGAATGAACTTCCTTTTGGTGCTCCTCGACATCGCGAGATCTCTCATAAGATGCTTCATAAAACGCTGCATAATCCCTCGTGATATTGTTGAAAAGATTCAAAACATGTTCCTTAAAAAACGGCATAGCTTCCTCGTGGCATATAGTTTTAATCTTTCGGTAATTTCCCAGATACGTGGTCCAGAATTGAGAAGTCTTCCTAAGATCTTGGACACATTGGTGAAATTCAGCGTCCAGTTGCAACAGTTTACACGAGTCAGGATAATCCACTCCAGCGTCTTGAAACTCACAAATCGAGAGCAGAACGGCCAGCCTTTTTCTCATATTAGGACTAAGGCCCTCCACCCCACCTGAGGCACACTCTTCAATGACATCTTCAAGCGCTCTATGGGCACATTGAGACAAAATCACCTCCGTAGTAAGTTTCTCCGGAGTCTCGTGTTCCAAGAAAAAGCCGGCAGCAACGAAATTGAAAAAGAAGAAAAGAACGATCATGTTGCCTTAATAGTTCTCTTCCGATCTTCTCAACAGGGTGCATGTTTCATCAGAGTTTCAAGTAGTCCTCCTATATACTAGTGACAGAAAAGACAGAAAAGACGGAGAAGCCTATCAGCTCTCATTCCACATTCGATAGCTTGACTGAGATAATATGTAATTCTTGTTCCAAAGGAATACCTTCTCGCGTTTGCAGCCATTATCCACACAATGGGGATCACAACAAGTAAGCCCCGTCACTTCCATATAAAAGTATAACAGTTTTCTAGGATTTATTTCATTATCAAAAAAAATCGGCAAATTCATCTTTCGTTCACAATAACCTTTTTTCTCAATTATATATCATCACCGTTGATCCTTCCTCTCGACTAGCATATTTCACCAATGCGCACTAACTTAACGGTTTTCAACATCTCAACGTTTTGATGTCCAGACTCACCGGTTCCAGCCGTCTTCTCAGGCAGTTGGCTAACAAAAAGGAATCGGCCTTCCGTTTTACGCCGAATTTCCAGTTAGGTGATAGAAGACCCGAGGTTCTTGAAGCTATGATACCCGATAGACCAGATGTTTCAGATAGTCCAGTTTTACGGACGGCTGTTGTCAAGCCAGAAGACGTGTGTGACTTGGTGATCCAGCCTTCATTTAACGATCTTATTGTTACTGCATTCGCTGAAGGCTGCCACTTTTCTGGAGACCAGGATTACACGCTCACTTCGACGTCCTCGGTGAAAGGCTCCAAGCTTTGGTACGCCAATATCGCCAAGGAGTGGATGGCTGATTTTGAGGAGCTTCTACCTAACATAGAAGAGTTGAAAGAGGTTTCAGTGGAGGAGAGAAAGCTTGCATCCTCGTTTATTGATGAAGTTTCAAGAGCTCTTATAGCGGAAGCGTTTGCCAAAAGTCTGATTCTGTCCTACGCTGATTTACAGGAATTTGTAGCAAGCGTGCTGCAATACACTAGTCTTGAATGCACTGTGGAGTTTCTTCTTTCCCAAACTGCTTTCATCTCGGACGTGACTAACTTTGAACTCGTGGTTGGATATCTCAAACAAAACTTGGGTGCATTGGGCAGACAAAAACTCCCGGAGTTTGTTGATCTTATGATGGCCTTCGCCACCGAAGATAGTGTTCACAGAGTTCCTATTGCAGACTCCTTAATCCGTGAGCATATACTCGATTTGCACCCAGAACTTCTCGTTGAGCTTCCGCCCCATATTGTTAGCCAACTTGCTGACTTTGCAATTGCTAGAGATAGCCTCGACGATGCTAAAGAACTGATGAGTTTTTTGGTGACAGAACACAGAATGGCTCCTGCCAAACACACATTCGAACTGTTCATGGCTAAGTACTGTGTTGATGCTAGACGCAACGACAAGAACAAAGAGCAAGTTTTGAAAGACCTCACGTGCATCAAACCAATCTTGCATTTTTATGGCCTTAGCGCCGACTCGTTCGAGTTGCTATTGTCTCGGGTCATTGACAATTCATATGATTTGGCACATTTCGTGCGTTTGGCCCAGAAGAACTCGGCCGAGCTTGTCGCCGAATACACCGAACAAATTCTCCTCCGCTTACGCTACATTCACAAAAAGAGCCACAAGAGCGACATCAATAAAGCGGTGGAGACTACACAGTTTATGAGGCTCTTGGTGCATGACAATAAGGTCAAGATCGATGAACGGCTTGCATCGGTTTTGCGTCTGATTTGCAACGAGCACAAAATCGCTTACGACGAGCTTAAATTTTCCAACACATCGACCTAAATAAGTCCGAGAGCCAGAACATTTAATAAAATTACCTTTGGCGCAGGGTCTCTTATTCTCAGGGTTCTACCGGTTGTGGCTCGCGCGATTATTCGTCAGCCGTGTGGCTCAAGGACAGGATTTTGCAATCGTATTGCGTTATCACAATCAGGAGCTCCCAAGTCCAAGGACTCCACACCGGTAATGGAATATATATTGTAGCGTCTTTGCACACTATCTCTACTTGGACCAAAAACAGCAATGGGTAACTACTGGAAAGTCGCCGGTTCTGAAGTGAACGACCAACTCTATGTCAACGACCTCAAGGAGCAATACAGCTCCGGCAAGCTCGCTGATGCCAGTGAAGTTGAAACAGAGATCTCCAAAGTGAAATACCCCGAGTTTCTTCATAAAACAGAAGCAGAAGAAGCCGGTCTTTACAACAACCATGCCAACCCAGACCATGTCAAAAACGACAAGGGCCATTTGGGTGACCCCACCTTCAAGAACCTTTTCAAGGCTGGCCTGAAGTTCGAGAAGTTCGACTTGTCTCCCAACTTGGGTACCGAGATTGACGGAATCCAGCTCAGTGAATTGGATGACGCTGGAAAGAACGATTTGGCTTTATTCTTGGAGACCAGAGGCCTTGCAGTGTTCAGAAATCAGGATTTCAGAGACAAGGGTCCCGCTTTTGCCAAAAACTTTGGTAAGTACTTTGGTCCTTTGCACATTCATCCTGTTGCTTATTCTGCCAAAGACCACCCAGAGTTGTTTGTTACTTTCAGAAAGGCCGGTGGTCCATCCAGATGGGACCTGCAATTCAAGCACCAGACTGATGGTATCAGATGGCACTCTGATGTGAGTTTCGAGGAATACCCCTCCTCTTTCTCTTTCTTCGTTGCTTTGGAAGCTCCACCCTCTGGTGGTGACACTGTGTTTGTGGACTTGAGAGAAGCTTACAACAGATTGTCTCCACCATTGCAGAAGTTTTTCGAAACCTTGACCGCTGTCCACTCCAATGAATACCAGCAAAAGGGCGCTGCTCTCAGAAGTCAATTGGCCAAGGTCAAGAAGGTTTCTTACTCCGAACATCCTTTGGTGAGAACGCACCCAGTCACCGGACAAAAGAGTTTATTCTTCTCCAGAGGTTTCATCCAGAAGATTAAGGGCGTGAAGGAGTCCGAATCTGCCTTCATCTTAAATTTCTTGGAGGACCACTGTCTTAACAACCCAGAAATTCAAGTGAGAGCCAACCACAGGGGAACTGATTCCAGATCTGTGATCGCATGGGACAACAGATTTTTGGCTCACACTGCTACCTTGGATTTCCTTAACCACGAGACCACCGCTCGTCACCACTACAGAGTCACAGTTCTTGGTGAGAAGCCTTACTTGGAAGAGAAGAAGGTTGAGGATTCTGACTCCGATGGTGAGGACAAGCACCCAAGAGCCTACTAAAAATTGTTGATATAGTTTCTATTAAATGCCAGATAATGCTAAGTATCCATGCGCCGTAGCTCTATCAGCTCGACGATGTCGTGAGAGTCTATAGAGTGGTTGGTATTGAGTTGGCCAATTGTCTGATGTGTAGGGCTTTCGTGAAGAGAACTGGATCTGCGCTGACCTATTTCCTGAATAGGTTGTTGTCCAGGGCCTGAGCTGTAAAAACCGTTTGTGAAGACGTAGAAGCCGTCATCGGATGCTGAGTCATCAACCCAACGGGGCATTGTCCCGTTATTTCGCATATCATCGTTCTTGCCTCTATACTCCTCATCCAAATGTCTTCGAGAGGAAACTGACCGCTTGATAAAGCATAAAAGGGACGCACTTAACGCTAATAATGCAATCGGTATAACTTGGATCCAGCCCAAGATACTCATCCTCGGTATAAATAGGATTAGGTCAGCGAGGAACGCTAGGAGGGTCAGAAGAAAGGAAAGCGAGCTGATGAAGAGCATCGATGAGAAGTGCCGAAGCAAGCTCTTTCTAATTCTTTTTTGATTATCGTCAGTAGATTCTTGCTCTGCCCTCTCTGCCTTAATTTTCTTTCTCTGAGCTCGTTGAAAGATAATCCAGACTGGGGAGCCAGGGTACTGTTTATCGACGTGTGTGAGGATAACCACAAAAAAACATTCAAGAGTCAATAAACCAGTTAAAATGAATGCAACAACGTGGACAACCAAGAGCTTGGATATCAGATGAGTGGCACCAGACGGTAGGGAAACGGATGAAAAGAAGTTTTCTTGATACTCCTCGCCCTGATCTTGAAAAGCATATCCGTAGCTTTTAGTGGGGTATCCAATAGCAACATGAGAGCACTTAAGCCTCACATGATCACAAATGCCAAAAACACCGTAAGTAATGTTGTTGTACAGCGATAAGTGAAGATTGTAGTTAATCGCTGCACCTGTTATAGGGACCGATATGACCGGTAGTAGCTGCACAACAAAGCAGACGAAACATAGGCATCCTATGAAAAGAACACCAGTATGCATCGTGGCAGCCAAGTTATTTGTGATTTCAAAGTTATAGAAGTACTATCAGGTTGATTGGGTAGTCCATGTTTAATGAGGATTTTATGCATGATAGTCATGTGTGTTTGATCACGTGCATTTAGTGGTAACCCCGGATCATGACGGACGATAAGAAGCTTAAAGCCCACTTTATTGGTCACATTGTATGATACAGTGTTTTCATCAATTTGAGTAGTACATGAAAGCAATCTTCAATAAATACTTTTGCGTGTTTGTGGTATTGTGTCACAACGAGTCCGTTTCCTCATTATGGTGAAATCTTATCGAGTTCGATAGAAGTTCAATTTCAAAACAAAGTCAGAGGTGATGGTTACCACCTCTATTTTGATAAGTCTCTTCATTATTACAGTCGTAGACGATAACGTCAAGTCCTGCACGGCTGTGTCAAGCGCCTCGAGCCCTGCGCTATCTATAATTTCGGCTATTGTTAGATATGCCGAAGAACAAAGTCAAAAAACGCACCAATTCCTCGAAAGGCTGTCTCAGTTGTAAAAAGCTTAAAATCAAAGTACGCTTTTTGTTTCACGTTTTGGTTCTTCTCTAACCTTAGTGTAACGAATCACACCCTAAATGTGAATCGCAAAGGCGGCGTATGTACCCTGATGAGTTTCAACAAGCACAGCCTGAAATATTGATTCCGGAAGAAATTTTGCTTTCATATGCTGTTACGCGTCGCTCATCAATTCCCGAATCTTCAATGGTTTCTTACGGCCCCTTTAGAAGCATGTCTACCTGTCCTACTTGCAGAGATAAGCGTCTTCTGCGTTTATTCTCCTCGCCTGCTATCACGATATAAGCATTCCCTACACTACGTTCTACGTCAACAAGAGACATATGCATATTTGGACGCAGATCGTGCCCTTTCATTTCTCTGAATCTCCAGCACTCAAGCTGTGTATCTTAGCTGCGGGCTGTCTCTGGATGATACCTTTTATGAAGCTTCATGAAAATCCATGCGAGGGTCGAGATCTAGCTTACCCCAATAGCGAATGCAATGAGGACTGGAAGTTGGAAATAATGAGCGGCTATCTCCTGGATGCCCGATGTCTGACAAATGCTGCTATTCACCAGCTTCGTAACGACACTCACGGTGTAGGTCAATAAACCTCACAACTAGGTAGTATCATGACATCCAGTGCTATCCTCTATCGAATTGTCGGTCTATATCCTGGCTCGCTCATTCCCCTAGTTCATTTTCCAGGTCCGGGAGAAGAACCCAAAGTCGACTTCTTATCACACTCAATGAAGGTCCGTCTTCTTATCCTTGAACACTTCCGTCTTCTACCGGGGCTCGATGTCAGCGACTTGTTTCAGTTAGGTGAAATCAGGTTCATTCCACCTATGCGAGTCACCGTAATAGAGCAAATACGGGAGGAGCTCAACAGTCACTACAAAACGGCCTCATTTCTCGAAATCAACTCCAAACTAGCCGAAGAAATTGTTGTTATAAGGGATTCCCTTGTGGCGCTAGAGGAAATATGTACCTTGACCATCAAGTATAACTACCCGGTTCGCCTTTTCCAATGGCTTCTTTTTTGCCGGGTCGAATTTATTGAGCTTGTTCCTAATTTGCACTCCGGCTTCTATATATATATGCATGTCTCTGTATCAGGTACCCAAGCTACTTATTCGAAGACAACACGAATACCACGAAGTGTACTCCCCATTACCAGATTTTGACGAAAAAATGTTCGATGCCATTGTTATCAAGCGCAATTACACGGATAACGACTTCGCCAGCTTGAAGCTGTTTGACATTTGGTCACCGGACTTCGGTCTGTAGTGAGCCGCATGGATCCTGCTCTGCTGACAAGTTGCGAACTTCTGGTGCTATTTCCACGATGAAGCTCTTTACGAATTACATAGTTTTCGATCTTGATGGCACTTTGGTGAATTCCACTGATGCCGTGGAAGCTACTTGGAAGGAAACCGTTGACCAGCACAACCTTGAATATCCTGATCAACAGATCGACCTAGCGCAGTTTTTGGCTACTTCTCACGGTTCCAGAACGGTTGAAACTTTTGAAGAGTGTTTCCCGTACAAAGACAAATCCGTTGAGGCTATCAGACTGTTTGAATTGTCAATTGCCACAAAGTATGGCCATTTGGCAAAGGAGGTTCCTGGATCAACTGATGCCTTGAACAAACTCAATGCTCAGGCTCCAATGTCTTGGGCTATCTGCACGTCGGGTACCTATAAACTAGCCCATGGTTGGTTTCCAATTGTGTATAAGGATGTGACCAAGCCGCTGGTTTTCATTACTGCTGATGACGTCAGCCAGGGTAAGCCCAATCCGGAAGGGTACCTCAAGGCTGCAACTACATTGGCTGAGTTGAACGACAAGAAAGGAAAGACTGTCGTGTTTGAAGACGCTCCTACTGGTATTCGTGCTGGCGTCAACGCTGGTTTTACAGTGATTGGTATTGCTACTACATTTTCCAAAGCGATTTTGGAAGAGGCTGGTGCATCCTTCGTTGTGGAGGACTTCACCAAAGTCCATATGGATTTCACTGATGATGGCATTAACTTAGAATTAAAGACCCTATAGATATATATTAATCATCCTTGATCCCAAGATCCTCGAGCTCCTCGGTGAGTTTTGTTTGACGTGCCTTTTTGAGGTCATTATCTCTCTTCTTCTCTGTACGCGAGAACCTCTCAGCGTCAGTCAATGCATTCTGGCCATAGGTATCACCGCCCAAGATGAGCTCATCGTTGCCACCATACTTATCTGTGTATTTCGTGGTGGGCTCCTTAAGGACGCTTCTGATCTCAGGATTGTGAACAAGTTGGTCATGAAGACCGAAGCCGAAACACCATTTGAGGTGTAGAAGACGGAAGTACAAGAACCAACTGTTGATTGGAAGAGTCTTCGAGCGAGACAACTTGATGGTGGTTGTGCTCACACCCTCTTGCAGCAACTCAATGCCCTTGAGAGACTTCTTGTAAATCGCCTCCCTGGTCTCAGGATTCGTGTAATGCTGTATCGTGTTGGACAACTGACTGAAGACAGTAGCAGTTTCCTTCTTCTCCTTCTTTCCAACCTTCTTGGCGGTCATACCTGCAAGCCTGCTGCAGATTGCAAGCAACGCCTCCTGCTCGTAATATGGTGCATTGTAATTGAACTCATCGTCGGCGTCATCATCGTCCTCGGCTCCTTCTTCGTAAGTGTAAAGCTCGTAGCAAAGAGCAAGTGCCCTGCCTCCAGCCTTGGCGATGTCAATGTTGTGGTCGTTGTCGATTATCTCAACAAACTCTGTGGCGAGGGTGGTGAGAAGCTCATTGAGGTACTCGCCTCTCGGAAGGAGGGTCAAGAGACCAGCGACACCGTGGATAGCGGCAATAGCAATATTGGCTTCCGCCTGGAGGTTCGCCTCCTGCTCACTGACTAAACGCTTGTCTTCACTCTCGTCCATCAAAGTTGAGTATTCACGATCACCAGTCTTAATCTCATTAGAAAGCGTGACACTGCTTTGGACATAACCCTGAGCGAGCTCCATAAGCCACTTCACCTTGTCATCAACACCAAAGGCGGAATTGTCAGAATACAAGACTATGAGAAGAGCACAATAGCCGCTGATGACACCTGCCTTGTTCTCCTCGTTGACAGAAGCATTGGGTGGCTCCGAAATGAGAGCTTCTAATTTAGCGTGGAAGTCAACGCTAACAATCTCGCCAAAGTCCTCCAAATCACTGGCGAGTAAACCAATGATGGAACGGAATAAGAGAATAAACTCCGATGATGATCTGTACTCCTTCAAGTTGAGAAGCTTCACAAGCTCCAGGACTTTCTCTTCAGAGACGTAGTCCGGGGACCCTGCGTTTTCTTCATTGAAAACCACCAATGGCTTAATTACCACAAGCTTATAGAGTTGGGCCAAGAGCATTTCTCTTGACAGCGAGGAAACCTCGGAACGGGCCTTGCCAAGTGAGTCGATGATCTCGTTGACTGTGGTCGACTCCGACTGAATTCTCATCTTATTCATGGCGCTGACATGCTTCTCTCTGTGGTCCTGGGCATTGGCGACCATTGAATCTCTGTTTTCTGCATCGTCAAGCTCATTTTGTAGAATAATCGCTTGTAAGGACTCCAATTTTCTCGAGAGCAATTCCTCAATGCCATGGAAGTTCACATCCAAAGCACCATTTTCTTCGCCGTCTGGATTTGGGGTACGCACTCTGGAAGATGACCGAGAAGAAGCATTGGATGCTCCATCTCTTTGCAGGAATCTTGCTGCTAATCCGGTGGGTCTTGACATTGTAGCTTGATAAGCAAGAAAGCGTATTGGAGGAATGTCTCACATTTATGTGCAAGGTAGTCATGCTGGTGGTGCACGGGTGCTCATCTGCATTAAACAGGCCATTTCGAGATAGAATAAAGATACGGGGTGCATGGAATAGCGTGGTCACCCTAAGAAATATTCCATTCGGAAATAACAGTGGTGTGTATGGTAGCCATGTGGCTCATACTGTCATGCTAAAAAACAACTTCGGCCGGAAGGACGTAATGCTTCTCTCCGTTCTCCCGAACAGTCTCTCTGTTCACGTCTCTCGGGAGTGCCTTTCTCATATCAAAGCCGTCGAGTTCGTCGTCGGTGTGATTTCTATCAGTTGGGTAGTTCTGGCCGTAATAGCCAATGACTCGTCTGTAAACAGAATAGCCCAACTTCTCGTACAACTGCCGGGCCACGCTATTGGTTACTTTCACGAAAAGGTCAACAAAGAGTGTTTCGTAAGGCTGCACTGCCGTAATTCTTTCCAAATGCAAACAAAGGTCAGAGGCAAGTCCTAGTCTTCTGTAGTCTCTGCTTATGGTAACTGCAGTGATGTGTGTGTGCCACTCCTTTTTGGCAAGTTGACCCTCAGTCTTTCCCATCATATATCCGCTTATATTTGGAGCAAATTCAGGAGCCTCTTCCACCGACTTGAAGAAGAGGTCTGGCCACTGAGTAGCGTATTGGAAGTAGAACAGTAGATTGAAGTTCTCGGTGAAGGGGTCTAGATTCACTGGATTCAAGTCGAACAAGTCGTTCATCTCAAACGGTTTGATGGAAGTCATTTTACTTGATTCTTTGCTTCAATAACACTACTAGCCGGATCCTGAGGTTACTCGATTCACGTACTTTGGTCACGTGCGTTTTCCGCTATCTGAGAAATTTTCGTCTTCTCGGTAATCGTCATACGCACTGTCTGCCGGGTCACAACGGCGAAAAACAGAAACTATAGAAACTCTTTTTCTCCAACCCTACATCAAAAAACACAACAAAAAAATGTACGGAGGTCCAGGTGCTGAAATCCCAGAAGAGCAGAAGCAGTTGCAAGAGGAGATGTCCTATGCCACTTTGAAAACCGCTGGTGTTGTTGCTGGCGCCTTGTGGTTGACTCCAATTGTATTGCACTTCGTCAAGAAGCAGTTTTGAGTTTCTTATCCCATTTTTGCCTTCAAAGCCCTCATTGTACATACTTTATCAATACAACATGTATATCGTTGATCACGCTCCAAGTTACTCGTCTACTTCTAACTCGTGCAAGTCCTCTCTGAGCTTGTTGATCTTCCCAGCAAGGTTCATGAACTCGAATCTCTCGGCAATCCTCGAGGCCGCAAGCAAGGCCTTGTCGTTCTTGACAAGCTTGACAACGCTGAGTGCTTTGTTGAGCCTCAGGTCCTGGCATGCGTTGGCGAAGAGTTTGAGCAACGATTTGTCAAAGGCCACACTGTATCCATTCAACCTCTCAAGCAGCTCCTCCTGGTCATCAAGATCTGGAAGTGTCAGGTTTAGAAGTTTACCAAGCGTCGAAGCTCTCAAAAACTCTTCTTCTGGATCAACCTCGTTCAATTTCTCCATCTTTGATGCATGGTCGTCCCTCTCATCATCGATGTCAGCATCCTCGCTACCCTTCTTCAGTTTGAGATACTTGAAGCACTTAACTGGTAATTTAACCTCTAGTTCAAGAGGCAAGGGGAGTGGGAAGCCAGGGTATGCATCGTTATTCTTCAAAATCAAGCAGACAAACTTGTCTTCTGCGAGACCAAGAGGCCATGCTTTCCAGTTCTTTTTGGATTCAGTGATACCGTAGTCAGACACAACTTCACTGCAACTGAGGATCGGAATCCATCTAGCATTGCCAGGCTCTCTCCAATGTGACAATACCGTCAATGTATCATCAAAGCCTGCCACAATGCACGGATCACTGAACTCGTTGAAAAAGATTCCCTTGATCAATGGTGCATTTGACAGGTTTCTCAACACTATTGGAGCGCTTTGTTGCAAGAATTTGTAGTCTTCCCCAACATCGACTATGGAGTAGTTGAAGTTATCTTGGGAAGATTGGTGGATCACAAAGATGGTGGATATTTGGGACGAAATAAGCGTCACAATAGGTGACACCTTCATGAGGTTGATGCAAAGGCCATAGAGATTGAAAAATCTCAAGTAGCCAAGATTGGTTCCGACTGCAATCAATGAGTCACCGGAGCTTGTCAGAGTGGAACTGGTGAGGCAGAGTGATGTGATGTATTCATTTTTGAGCAAAGGAATCCGCCTTTCCCAAGAGTCATTAGTGGAGGTGTGATGCCTGTAGTAGATGTGACCACTGTGTTCGTCACCCCCCGCCTTGTGTCCAGAATTGCCCAACAAAATTCCTCTTTCATTCACCGAGCATAAGTCGTAGTTGAAGTAGTCGATGAAATGATAGTCCTTATTGCTTGTTCTGTCGAAAAAGGAAATAGTTATACTTTGTTGGCCATCTCTTGTCTCGGGGCTATCGCTCTTGACTGCCCAAACATATCCCACAGAATTCATGAATAAGTAACGTCTTTTGGTTGTGTAGTTGTTAGTTGATATCCATGGGGTGGATCCGGGAGTGTAGGGCTTGATATCAAGATCCACGGGTTTGGTTGGAGGAGGAGTTGCATGTTTAGTGCCATTCAGGAACCTCTGCCTTTTGCGTCTCTGATGTGTGTAATCATCGACACTTTTATTGTATAGATCCTCCTCCTCTTCCTCGTCATCTTCATCTTCGTCAATAATTCTTGAATCATCAAGACCATTGGCTCTTCTCTTCTCTGGAACATTGCCATTTACTTGTGGGACCTCTGATTCAGACTCGCTGGCTTCATCCAAGAATAAAGAGTCCACCTCTGATCTGGTCCGTGTAGGTTCTTCGTCGGGAATCAGAGGAGTGACCGAGACTGACCATAACTCACCGTTTGTTGTACCTACAAATGCCGTTCTTGCATTCCAAGCCAAACTCAAGGGTAAGCAGTCGAGTTCGCCCAACTTGTAGGTCTCGAGTAAATCACCAATATCAGTGTCAAAGAGTAGAAGCGATCCGTTTTTGTGGAGTGTGAGGAGGAACTTGTGGTTGGGTGAGACTGTGTATGCAATAAGATCATCCTGTGGGTGCTTGAACTCCCTCTTTTGCAGCAAGTCAGACCTATTGAAACTTTTGATCGTATTCTCTTTGCTAGGAACAAAAAGATATTCGCCGTTGACTAACCAGTGGGGCTTTGTAGGCACAATTTCGTGTTTATGTTCACCATTGAAATCAATTACATCGACAGAGGAATGCTTCTTTTCATGCATGGTCGATGAAAGCTTCTCCAAAAATTCGGGCTTTTCGTTCACCACGGACACCAATTGAATGTCTCCATTGGCGAGACCAACACTGATTAGTTCCCCAGCTGGATTGTATGAAATGCTCACCACTGAATCAGGTACGGGGATAGACGTCAGATTAAACTCGTTGGCACAGTCAATAATCACAAGATCATCAGCATCCCCGCCTGTCACAATCCTCTTGCCCTCGTTGATGTATGTACTATCCCTCAAAGGAAGATCGGTTTTGTAGATAACTTTGAAAGTCTCGTCTCCGCTAATTGGTTCCGACAATTCCATCATTGCAAGATGGCCTTCGGTATTCGTGAAGAGCACATTGTCACCAGAAGACGATATGGAAGTCAAGTTCTCGGGAATATCCAATGATAATGGTTCCAGATCAGGTAATTCAGGATCGAACACCTTGATTAAGCCATCACTATTACCAGCAATAAACCGACCGGACAGCTCGTGGTAATGGACGTATGAGTTACCATCAAGAAAGGCCGGAATCTTCACCAGCATCTCGATAATCTATAACGGTGAATTCGTGAAGCGTAGTATTTTGGCTCATCCACCGCGTCGGTTTCTGCCGCACGCGTGTTTTTGTCACGTGTAGCGACACCCATTCAGAGGTACTACTTGAGTATGTGAAGTGTCGGTTAAATGTCTTGTTTTGCTTCTTATGTCACTCTAGGTGGCCCATTTTTCAAGCTGTTCTAATCAAAGCAAATTCTCCTTGAATGCTGATGTTTGTCGCATTATCCATTTACGTAGAATTCTGGTCGCGCCAATGTCCCTCTTCAAAAGCATTCATATGATTTGAAAAAAGATATAAGAGCGGTATCAAAGTAATTTAAGGCTTCGTTGATGTGAACAATGGTGTGCTGAACCTCCTGCTAAATCGTGTGTTCATCACTATGCATAAAGACAGTCAATTGGTGAGAATCGTAACCCAACATTGGATCTCTCGTTCATTCAAGTTCTATAACTCATTCCCTACATCAAGTAATTACAAATGATTCTGAACTAAAAGTCTTCTCTCGTAACGATACTACTGCGATCTGTTGCTTCCAGGGACCACCTTGTACAACTCCGACATCCATCGGATATAATTTCCAGACGTGAGACCGGAGATTGTTCATAAACCAAATAAGTAAATGACCGTATTGTTTGTCAAAAAAGCTATTATTGGCTAGTGCTTCCCATTTTGTGGCTCGTTAATCATTGATCTGGGCGTCCTGTGTTTACCACGCGGGTGGCGCGTTATTTTGATTTCAACTCATACTACCCATTGACTCATCGCTATGTCTGATCACGTTGAAGACGACGAGGATGGCTTCGGTGGACCTTTGCTTATTGAACAGCTTGAAGGAAGTGGTATTTCAGCTGGAGATATCAAGAAGTTGAAGCTGGAAGGCTATCACACGGTGGAGAGCGTTGCGTACGCTCCAAAGAAGGCGTTACTCACGGTGAGAGGTATTTCGGAGGCAAAAGCAGACAAAATCAGCATTGAGTCTGCTAAGCTTGTGCCTATGGGCTTTACTACGGCTTCGGAATTCCACAGTAGAAGATCTGAGTTGATCTGTCTCACTACAGGTTCGAAGCAGCTAGACACTTTGCTTGGAGGCGGCGTTGAGACGGGCTCAATCACGGAGATTTTCGGCGAGTTCCGTACGGGAAAATCGCAGTTGTGTCATACTTTGGCGGTGACGTGTCAGTTGCCTATCGACATGGGTGGCGGTGAAGGTAAATGTCTTTACATTGACACCGAGGGTACATTCAGACCCGTGAGACTTGTGCTGATTGCCCAACGCTATGGCCTCAATCCAGATGACTGTCTTGATAATGTAGCGTACGCTAGGGCATATAACGCGGAGCACCAGTTCCAACTCTTGCACCAAGCGGCGCAGATGATGTCGGAATCCCGTTTCTCGTTGCTTGTGGTGGACTCCATCATGTCATTGTACCGTACAGATTACTCTGGAAGAGGTGAATTGTCGGCGAGACAAACGCATGTGGCAAAGTTCATGAGAACTTTGCAAAGGTTGGCAGACGAGTTCGGCATCGCGGTGGTTATTACTAACCAGGTTGTTGCGCAGGTTGACGGTATGGCAGGCATGTTCAATCCCGACCCCAAAAAGCCTATTGGTGGTAACATCATTGCCCACAGTTCCACGACCCGCTTGTCTTTCAAAAAGGGCAGAGGTGAGCAGCGTATCTGTAAGATCTACGATAGTCCTTGCTTGCCCGAGAGCGAGTGTGTCTTTGCAATTTACGAAGACGGTATTGGCGATCCAAAGACAGAAGAGGATGATTCATAAGCCGCGTGGAACAGCGCTGTGCCGCTCGCTGGGGTTGGTATCCTTGGGCTGTATCTGTGTGGGACACTTTGCCCAGCCATCGTGATCGCGACTCACTTGGCTGGTGCAAGGCATAAAATGACCCATTTGTTTCGTGCATGGGTCTCAGTTGTTGTTTTTGAGGCCCCTCTGCACCAGCCTGGGCTCTGTAAATGCTTAAGGTTTGGCTCGTTGCTTTTGCAGCAAAGGCGCCCGAACAGCTCCGTGTGACCCGCGTAGACCCTTGCTGGTTCAGGATTGAGCTAGTGAGCACAATGACCCGTTTAGCGTTTGTGCCAAAGTGCCAAAGCGTTATGCGCCGCACCCGCCTACCGCCGGTGCCGGAAGCCAAGACTTGCGGAAAGCCATGACAGTGACGAGCCCGAGGAAGAATAACAGCACTGAAAACCCCCAGTGCTACATATTAGAGTGTTTGACTAGTAGATTTTTTTCCGGACGCCATTTTATAGTCAGCCAAAAAAATTCAAAATTTATCCACTTGCTACTGTTCACCAAGTCTATCTAAACGATCACCTCCTAAAGTGCGTGCGGCGCTTTCCTTGTTAGTATCTTGTCCTGCATGCATAATTTTATCTTTTTCATCAGCGTCCGGGTAACCCGGTCTGGCATGCTCGTCAAGCCTTCGTGCCCCATATTCCTGACCTCGAAAATTTTTCTACATCCACGCAAGACCCGTGATCTACCATCAACCCGGCCTTCCAACAAGGACACTTTGATCTGACCGTCCCATACTCTTCTAGGCAGGTCTGATTCCCCCACGACCCTCCCCCCGAAACAAAAACCATACTCGGCTCCACAAATCCGCCAGTTACTGGAGCATGAAGTCCATACTACCTAAGCCTTCGTCTTCGGTGCTGACGCCTCTGCCCAATATGCTGAATAAAAGAAAATCTGTTCCTCAAGACTACACCTCCAAAAGGTCCAGGTCGACCTCGAGCCCTCCTCCTTCTGGCTTGTCTAAACCATCAACGATGGCTCTGCAAGCCTCCAAGCAGTCCAGACCCGTGACTCTGTGCACATTCTGTCGCCAGCACAAGATCAAGTGTAATGCTTCTGAGAATTACCCCAATCCTTGTACTCGTTGCAGTAAGATGGGTCTCAAGTGCGAGATTGATCCGCAGTTCAAGCCCAAGAAGGGTTCTCAGATCCAGATGTTGATTGGCGATGTCGAAGAGTTGAAGTCCAAGATCGAGATGCTCTCCAAGAACGAGCACTTGTTGACCCAGGCTTTGAACCAGCACAATCACTTTATGCTGCACAGCCTGACTTCTCCGACGTATCCGGCCTCTGCCAGACCTCCACTCCTGGCCAGAACGGTGCTGGGTCACAACACGCCAAATCTGGCAATTGATCAGTTTGCCGGTGGCCACTTCACCCCTCCTCCCGGTCCTAGTCTGGTACCTGCTCAGCCTGCGTTCAACGCTATAAACGATGCTACCGGCTCCGGCCAAGCCATAACCAACTTGTCTCAAATGCTTCAAAATTCGACGGATAACTCGCCAGCTACATTTGCTAGCGACACCCAAGGCAACTACACTCAGTCTCCTGAGGAACTCCCTCAGCGCGAGACGTATTCCGAGTTCATCTTGGGTGATGTGCGTTTGACCTTGGAGAAGGCAGATGAGCTTCATGACCGCTTCATGACCAAATTCCTTCCGTTCCTTCCTATCCTCACATCAGCGCTGGCCACTGAGCTATACACAAAGTCACAGTTGTTGTTCTGGACCGTCATGCTCACAGCGCTGCTTTCAGAGCCTGACCCTAGCTTGTACATGTCCTTGGCCACACTCATCAAGCAGTTGGCCATTGAAACCTGCTGGATCAGAACCCCTCGCTCAACCCACGTCGTGCAAGCTCTCATTATCCTTGCCATCTGGCCCCTCCCCAATGAAAAAGTTTTAGATGATGCTTCCTACCGTTTTGTGGGCTTGGCCAAAAACTTGTCTTTGCAGCTTGGTCTTCACAGAGGCGGAGAGTTTATTCAAGAGTTCAGCAGAACTCAAGTCAATCTTGGACCAAACTCTGATATTTGGAGAACGAGATCCTGGCTTGCTGTGTTCTTCTGCGACCAGTTTTGGTCCTCCGCCCTCGGCTTGCCTCCATCTATCAACACCACTGATTACTTGCTAGAGAATGCAAGAGTCGATCAATCTTTGCCGGCAAATTTTAGGTGTTTGATCTCCTTGTCCATTTTCCAATGTAAGCTTGTCAATGTGATGGGTATTTCCGTCACTAGATCTGACGGCTTACTTGAGCCTTCCAACCGTGCTGCTTCGCTCAATATTCTTGACAGAGAACTCGAGAGACTCAAATTCAAGCTAAACATCATGGAAGGCTCGGCCATTGAAATGTACTACTTGTACTTACGACTCATGATCTGCTGTTTCGCTTTCCTTCCTGGCACCCCAATCGAGGACCAGGTCAAGTACGTCAGCACGGCATACTTGTCTGCCACTAGAATCATCACCATCGCTTCCCAGCTCGTTAGCGTAAACTACATTTCGCTTATTGAGCTTCCCATCTACGTGAGACAAGCCATCACATACTCCGCTTTCATCCTTTTCAAGTTGCACTTGTCCCGCTACCTCATAGACAAATACGTTGACAGTGCTCGTCAATCCATCGTTACGGTGCATAGACTTTTCAGAAACACATTGTCCTCTTGGAAGGACTTGCAAAATGACCTTTCGAGAACGGCAAAAGTCTTGGAGAATTTGAACATCGTTCTTTACACGTATCCAGAGATTTTCTATGACGACGAAAGCACCAGCACAGAGGGCAGTATTATTAGCCGGATGCGTTCTCACTTGACTGCGTCTCTTTTCTACGACTTAGTTTGGTCAATCCATGAAGCCAGAAGAAGAACGCTACAGAACAAGGAAAACGGCGAAGAAGAAACAGTCAAGGTCAAGGAAGAGGAAGGTGTTAAAAAGCCACTTGCACTTCCCTTCTATAATCAAATTACCAAGGATGACTTCAAAGCCATGACCACCACTACACCCAATGGTACCACCATCACTACTTTGGTGCCAACCGACCAAGCACTCAACCAGGCCAAGCTCGAGAGCGATAACGGCTCCAAGAAGCCTATGGAGATCAATGGTATCCCTCTTGCTATGCTTGAGGCCACAGGAAGCACGAAGGATGTGGACAGCATCCGTTTCTCTAGCTTCGACGAGGCTAAATCTCTGAGAAACGAGGCCACTGACCCTGTGGAGAGAGTTGGCTTTGCAGCTGACTTGACGCAGGGCACTGAGTTCCTGCTTGAAGCCCAAAGCCAGCAACAGCAACCACTGGCAATCCTGGAAACACAGCCACAGATCGAACTGCAAGAAGTTTTGTCGCAACAAAACTCTCCAAACTACGATGGCCCCATGGACAGAGGAAACTTTTCTTACAATAATGGAATGGGGTCTGCAGGTATGGCAGACCAGCTCGATAACTTTTTCCAGCAACAATCTCACGGATGGCTCAACAACAACCACCAGGATGACGACTTCCTCGGTTGGATTGACGTGAATATGCTTCCCGAAAAATAGTCTTGTACATATTGCTAACGATCATGAGGAAACGAACTGAATACACTTGCTTACAAAAACCACCCCTGTAGAGCGCGTGACCGTGACCACGTGCAAACGCAACATCTGGACTCTCTTCCTTGTCCGGACTTCTTCACCCCAGCAATTGACCATGATTCAGAGCATTACCAGAATTGCCCCATTGACCAAGCAGTTCCTTAGACCTAGCGTCCAGGCTGCCAGACTCTACTCTTCTTTCAACCCTGCTGATCAGCCAAGAATCAGAATCGGCTCCACCGCTCCAGACTTCACAGCTGACACCACCAAGGGTAAGGTCAGTTTCCACGACTTTATTGAAAAGTCTAAGCAATGGACTATTTTCTTCTCCCACCCTGCTGACTTCACTCCTGTTTGTACCACTGAATTGGGTGCTTTCTCCAAGCTTGCTCCAGAGTTCAAGAACAGAAACACCACTCTCTTTGGCTTGTCCACTGAAGGTGTCGAGAGCCACAATGCCTGGATCAAGGACATTGAGGATGTCACTGGCGGTGACCCATTCAGCTTCCCCATCATCGCTGACCCATCCAAGGAGATTGCCTTCAAGTACGACATGGTGAGCCAGGACGATTTTGAGAAGCTCAAGGACAAAATGGTGCCTACTGTCAGATCCGTGTACATCATTGACCCATCCAAGAAGGTCAGATTGATCATGACTTACCCAGCCTCTACCGGCAGAAACTCTGCTGAGGTCTTGAGAGTTCTTGACGCTTTGCAGTTGACTGACTCCAAGGGTGTGGTTACTCCTATTGACTGGACAAAGGGAGACGATGTGATCATCCCACCAACCGTGTCTAACGAAGACGCCAAGACCAAGTTTGGTGACTTCAAGACCATCAAGCCATACCTCAGAACCACCAAGGACCCCCAGTAAATAAGCTTTACTACGTAAGTAATGAGACTTGTTTCTTGAATTGTCGCAGTAGTACCAATCAACGGTTTTCGCAGCCAAACAATAGACCGTTGAGGCATTGTGTGAGGCTCGTGTAGCCAAATTGGGATGTTGGTGTTGTAGATCTTTCTTGGCCGCTGCAGTTTGTTTCTGGCTTGTTTGTTTTCTTAGTCCCATTCGAAGTCTAGCTGGGCCAAGGCTATCTTCAACTTTCAATTCGGTATCTCACTGACTTTTGCAGAGTATATCTAAGCTCTCTTCTTTCTAAATTTATGAACTCGAATTGTTCTTTCCAAGTGTCTGTTCCAAGGTGTGTGGTTCTCTCATTATCGGAAGAGGTGTAGCCTTATGGCAGGCACGCTAGAATTATGCTGATGGCAATTGAAAGGGTTCAGAAAAAGACTTTTATCAACTTTTCAAAAATAAACGGGTCGACATTTTGTAATTAGTTATTAACTATATTATTAGAGTCTCCCTTTCTACATCCTTCAAGGTAAATTCGCAAAAAATGTAGGCGCGTCCCTCGTTTTCCAATAATGAAAAATCACAGTATGCCCTGAAAAAAAATGTAACAAATCTCCAAACTTACTAAAGCAAGGTAAATTCCCAGAACAAATATTAAGTCGCTTCGAAAACTCTATTTCCCTTCTATTGATTGTCTCTAGGCCACTGATATATTGGTCTGAAATGTGCGCTTGGGACGTTATTCGCGGTGACGATTTAGGACATATTACACGCGTCCCGCCGCATCCTCTTTTTCGGTTCTCGCTTTTTTCTACAACCAACTACATCTTTAATACCATATGTCCAACTTCGTGTCGTCTCCACGAAGCATCCCTTCAGATGCCGCAAGACTTCTAAATTCGTCCCATATCTCCTCCTCCTTGGGCAGATCCGCCAATTCGCCTCTGAGCAGTCAGCCTAATGTCCAATATAGTGATACACTGCAAGCCCAGACGGCCGCTAAGGAGAGGGAGATGAGAATGCCTGCTCTGATTAGAAGCGCCGTTGAAGTTCCCAAGGTTGTCGATGTCACCGGTGAAAAAGTTCGTGAATCGTTCGAGCAGTTCATCGAGGAGTTTGTCGACCAGGAAAGTGCCGATGATGAGTGGGGCGGAAAGGCATACTTGGCTCAAATTGAATCGATGAGAGTCTTTGAATACTCCACCTTGTACGTGGACTACCAGCATTTGGTGGGCAGAGAGAACGGTGTCTTGGCCACTGCTATTTTGGAACAGTACTACCGTTTCAACCCATTCTTGTTGAAGGGTTTGAGAAGACTTTTGAAGAGATACGCTCCCTCATTGCTCTACATGAGCTTGTTGGGAAATAACGACGCAAACGCCGAGGGCGCCGATACGGAGGCTGGCTCTTCAAGCACCTCGGGCGCCACGTCTAACGAGAGAGTCTTCCAGATCTCCTTCTTTAACTTGCCTGTCACCCACAGAATTCGTGACATCAGAACAGAGAAAATCGGCTCATTGATGGCTATTTCTGGTACCATTACGCGTACTTCTGAGGTTAGACCCGAATTGCACAAGGGTTCCTTCACCTGTGACATGTGTTCTGCTGTGGTGGATGGAGTGGAACAAATCTTCCGCTTCACCGAGCCCACTGCATGTCCCTCATGTCCTAACCAATCCTACTGGACGTTGAATGTCGCCAAGTCACAGTTCATCGACTGGCAAAAGTGTCGTATCCAAGAAAATTCCAATGAGATCCCTACAGGCTCTATGCCCAGAACATTAGACGTGATCTTGCGTGGTGAGGCCGTCGAGAAAGCAAAGCCCGGTGACAAGTGTAAGTTCACGGGTACAGAAATTGTCATCCCAGACGTCTCTCAATTGGGCTTGCCTGGCATTAAGGCTCAGTCCATCAGAGAAAGTACAGCCAACAACTCCGATTTCAACTCAGGTGTTTCTGGTTTGAGATCTCTTGGTGTGAGAGACCTTACCTATAAGCTTGCTTTCTACGCGTGTCACGTCAGCTCACTTGTCAACAAACCTTCCGACAATGGAAACAGTAATGAAGAGGAGCAGGGTCCTAATGACCAGGAAGTGTTCTTGAACTCGTTGTCTGACTCTGAGGTCACTCAGCTTAAGGATATGGTCAAAGATGAGCATGTCTACGACAAGCTTGTTCGTTCCGTCGCTCCTGCTGTCTTTGGTCACGAAACTATCAAAAAAGGTATTTTGTTGCAGATGCTTGGAGGTGTGCACAAGAAAACTGTTGATGGTATTAACTTGAGAGGTGATATTAATATCTGTGTCGTGGGTGACCCATCGACTTCGAAATCTCAGTTCTTGAAATACGTTTGTGGTTTCTCTCCAAGAGCAGTTTACACATCTGGTAAAGCTTCCTCGGCCGCTGGTTTGACAGCTGCCGTTGTTAAAGATGAAGAGAGTGGTGAGTACACCATTGAGGCCGGTGCCTTGATGTTGGCGGATAACGGAATTTGTGCTATTGATGAGTTCGACAAGATGGACCTTGTTGACCAAGTTGCTATTCACGAGGCTATGGAACAGCAGACTATTTCCATCGCAAAGGCTGGTATCCACGCTACTTTGAATGCTCGTACTTCCATCTTGGCTGCTGCTAACCCAATTGGTGGTCGTTACAACAGGAAGTTGGGCTTGCGTGCTAACTTGAACATGACTGCGCCAATCATGTCCAGATTCGACATGTTTTTCGTTGTCTTGGACGACTGTAACGAGAGAGTGGACACCCAATTGGCATCGCATATCGTTGATTTACACATGTTGAAGGACGATGCTATTGACCCACCGTTCTCTGCTGAGCAGTTGACAAGATACATCAAGTATGCTAAAACCTTCAAACCTCGCATGACCAAGGAAGCCAGGGACTTCTTGGTTGCCAAATATAAGGAGTTGAGAAGCGACGATGCCCAGGGTCTCGGAAGATCCTCATACAGAATTACAGTGAGACAGTTGGAATCGATGGTTAGATTGTCTGAAGCTATCGCTCGTGCCAACTGTACTGAAGAAATTACACCCACATTCGTTTCTGAAGCCTACGACTTGTTGCGTTCGTCTATCATCAGAGTCGAGATGGATGACATCCAGATTGACGACGATGATGCCGATGGAGAAACCATGGATATTGAAGATGATGACGCCAACCCTGAAGTGGAGGAAATTCGTGACGGACTTGAAACTTCGGTTACACGTAGGGCAAGAGATGCTCCTCGTTCCAGTATTTCCTACGACAGATACGTTGCCATGATGAACCTAATAGTGAAGAAGGTTTCGGATGATGATACTGCTGGAGGCAACGGTTTGACCAGAGATGAGATTGTCGACTGGTACTTGCATCAAAAGGAGGACGAGATCAACACTGAGCAAGAGTTCCATGCTGAAAGAGCTTTGGCATATAAGGTGTTGAAGAAGTTGGATAAGGACCGGATCTTGATGAGTGTCACGCAGAATCTCAACGAGGATGCTCTTCCCGAAGATGAATATGAGAGAGAGCAGCAGGGAAGCCGGACGGTTTACATTATCCACCCCAACTGTGCGATCATGGACTTTTTCGACAACCAGGCCCAGCCTGAGGAGCAGGAAACAGGAGAGGAGTAAAATGGCGTAATGACTTAATTTGTATACTATGTTCAATGTTGTATGTTCAGTTTTGTATAATGAGAGGCCGTCGTAACGTTAATGCTTTGTGTCGCCGTTCTTTTCGGCGTCGTTCTTTTCAAGGTTTTCTTCCAGCTTTCCGGATTTATCAAGCCTCCAGTCAGCAACAGAAATCAGACCAGCACAGTCTAAACAGTGTTCCACAAAATGCTTGGAAGTCTGGAACATTTTCTGGCAGCTGCGACACCAGCCTGGGTCAGAGCCAGGGTACATGTGCTCCTTGTCCTTGACATAATGGACAAGACGCAAGTGTCTCTTCAAGACATCTAATCTGTTGAAAGAGCCACCGTTTCTGTGGCAGGTTGGGTCGGTACGCCAGTAAGGGCAGTGGAACATGGGTTCCAGGTGAGATTTTTCATGTCTGCGCAAATCCGATTGTCTAGCAAAAGACCACTCGCAATCCTGGTAGGTACAGACATATGGCTTGGACGCATCTCTGGAGTCGCCATCCTTCTTGCCCTTTCTTGGGCCCTTGGTCAGTTTGGAAGGCGTCAAGGATTTGGGGTTGTACTTGGGCTTCAGCTGAGACTTGTTGCGGTAGACAGGATCTTTGAAGTACACAAAAGACTCGTCCTGCTGGGGCACCTCCGCGTGGCCATTGGAAGCTGTGGTGGCCGGCGTGCCCAGGGCTGGTGGAACAGCAGAGCTGGATCTAGAAAGCGGAGCTGTTGACTGCAAAGGTTGGGCGATCTGCGAAGGTAGCTGTTGGTACGAGGCCTGAGGCTGCTGGTACTGGTACAGGGAGAGCTGCAGCACCTGTTGCACAGGCTGTTGAGGCACCTGTTGGACTTGCTGAACCTGCTGGTACAGTTGCACGGGGATCAGAAGCAGCAGAGGGATGGTTTGCGGCAAGGCGTGCAGCAGCAGGGCCACGGGCTGTTGCAAAGGCTGCAGCGGCAAAGGCTGTTGTTGCAGCAAAGGTTGTTGTTGCAACGGTTGTTGTAAATGCTGTTGCAGCAGTAAAGGCTGCAGAAGCGGCTGCTGTAAAGAGATGGGCTGGGCCTGGGAGTATTGGTATGCGGTGAAAGGGTCCTGCTGGGACGAGTGGAAGTTGGGCATGGAGTATTTGTTGCCCATCAGGTAGACGTTGTTCAAGGACTGGCCATAATAGGGTTGGGTGTTGTAGTAGGAGGCCGAGGACATTTGCCCAGCGGGAGGATGGAGGCCTACGGCCTTTTGGGAGTACGGTAGGGGCAGGGCGTAGGTGGACTTGACGTCTTCTCTTCGGTCATTAGGCGAGGACATGTACTGGACGTTTTAACGAAGGACGCGCGGAAGAAGGTGTTGTGGATCTAGGAGATGGAGAAAAGCGATGAGCCGCTTGATGTGAGGTTCTGCGTATGTGTCGGCTTTTTGGGAGCGAATTCCTGCACCCAGCCGCGGGCGAGAAGATTTTCCACCAAAACGTCGCGGCTCGAGCCCCAGGCCTCAGGACCCCAGTGTTTTGGGAATGGGGTAAGGGCTGGGAGTTGGCTGGGGGTGATTCTCGGAGATGGGAGATGTCGTATAATTTCGTAAAATGGCCGACAGATCTGGTTTTCCCAAAACGTTGATCGTCTTCTGCAGAGCCGCTGTGCGTGCTGTTGCGGAGCACAAACGCCACGGCCCTCCGACCCAACGGTTGGACAAGGCCTGCGGCAGAAGCCAGGTTCCGCACCGGCGCTTGTGGCTGCAAATGCCTAGGGCTCGCGAGCCCTGATGAGATGGAGAGAGGAAGAATTGAGAGGGAGTTTGGTTTTTTTTTTTTTTTTTATCACTTTATTCTTCTCCTCTTCAATCTAGTAGGCCTCCCAAGGAGGGCAGTTTTCCCAGGTGATGACCGGATGTTGTGTGACTTTGAGGGTGGATAGGCCCACACCTTTTCAGGCAAGACCCGTAATTCGTGGGTCCCGTTGCTTATTTCTTTTTAAACGCCCGAGAACGCCAGGTAAACACACCAGCGCCGTGCCACGCTCGGACGCTGGCGTAATGGTTAGTTCTCGTTGCCAAGCCTAAGCATAACCCAGCTCATCACGAGGTTGCATTGACTACGGAAGGGTGATGTCAGCGGGGAGGCTCGAGCCACGGTGGTTATGGGCGTCTGGCTTTCTGGAAACGTTCGTTGTTTATTGTAGAAATCTGTGGTTGCAGAATCGAAGTCGTTGACAGCCCGTACTGGTTCGGGGTTCGGCGCGACGATAATTCCTTGGGCATTGTTAGTTCTTCGACTTGTGTCTTGTCAAAATGGCGCAAGAAGCGACTTATTTTCGGAGTCAGTGGGGGCCCGTGGCTGAAGTGAGAGAAATATAGAAGGTACAGCTTCCAGCGGGTGGTTTGTGGATACTGGTTTATCCGAGCCTCTGACGACTCCAACAGGGACGGTTTTTTTCAGAGCTTAGTTCCAAGCCCCTCGGCAGCCCCACACTAGCTTTTGCCTTTTTCACCAGCAACCATGGCGGCCTTTGTTTCAGTGCCTCGGGGATGAAGAAGCTTTAGCTTTAGAACTAGCCTTAGCTGAAGAAGTGAGCCAAGTAGGGCAAATGTCTTCTCAGTGCTTGGTCCTCTTCACTATGCCCATTCGTTTGGCTCCCATTACCTCCAGCCACGGGTTGTAGTCAACCTCAGAATTGACCGACTTTGAATCAACTTGCAAACCCTTGCTTGAAAAAGGTATGCACCCCAAAGTTAATCTGACAGCTGTTATCTACCGTTTGCTACTTAGGGCGCCTGAGCTACCCTCGTGTGAGTCTGTGCGAATGAACAAAAGCGGGTTTATGCTGATAAATCAGTGTTTTGTGATTTTTCTCCAAAATCAAGCGCAATCCTCTCAATTTCAACTAAAACGGCTTACGCATGGAAATTCGCTACTGTGAAAGGGTCCTCTACGTTAGTCATGGGGTAGTAATGCATTAGCAATCAGAGCGGCTCCTGCACCGGTAGCCCTATAAACCACCCCGGGGCCTGTCTGGGGTCGACGGTATAATACTCTTCTTCCCATGTCAGAAGTAAGTCTTTCACAAAAATGAGCTTTTTGCGTTTCATTCGTGGTTTTGCTAACACGCAGAAGAACAAAATTGAAATCCTCAAATTCGCCGATAAGGACGGTGCTTATCGCAGGTTGCCCTCCCAGTTCCGTAATGCCATCTCCAGGGAACCCAATGCTGAATTTCCTCCCGACTTGAACAGATACCACCTTTACGTCTCTTTTGCTTGTCCATGGGCCCATAGGGTGCTCATCACCAGAGCCTTGAAGGACTCGTTCAGGCATTGCCAGTTTCGGTTGTACACTGGCACATGGACGACAACGGATGGAGATTCCCCACAAAAGAGGAATTGCTGGGTCTCAAGAACGGCGACATCTCTGTGGGTACTGCTGAGCCAAATTATGGTTTCGAGAGATTGAAGGAGTTGTATTTCAAGGCTAACCCGGAATACAACGGCAGATTCACCGTTCCCGTCTTGTGGGACAAGCAGAAGGAGACAATTGTCAGCAACGAAAGTGCTGAAATCATCCGCATGCTCAATTCCGAATTTAACGACTTGTTGCCAGCAGACTATGCCCAGGTCGACTTGTACCCAGAGAACTTGCGGTCCAGGATCGACGAGATCAACGACTTGGTCTATGACAACATCAACAATGGTGTCTACAAGACCGGTTTCGCCACCTCTCAGGAAGTGTACGAGAAGGAGGTGAAGAATGTCTTTGCTCACTTGGACAAGGTGGAGCAGATTTTCAAGACCAACCAGGACAAGAACCACAATGACAAGTTTTTGACCGGAACAACCCTTACGGAAGCGGATGTTCGTTTGTTTACCACCATTGTGCGTTTCGACCCTGTGTACGTCCAGCACTTCAAGTGCAACATTGGCATGATCAGGCATCAGTACCCATACATCAACGACTGGTTACGTTTGCTATATTGGAAGATTCCAGCTTTCAAGGATCTGACCAACTTCGAACACATCAAGAAGCATTACACCAAGTCGCATAAGGCCATCAACCCACACGGAATCACTCCTGTGGGCCCTATTCCCGACGTCGAAATCGAGTAAGAACACAAATATTTAGTTCAACATGCCTTTCAATATGATATCCGACACCCGCGTAGAATTGTATTCGGACGCGCCCAAGTAGTGTCTTCAGAGTATTCAAGTAAAGCTAAAATCTCATCAGTCCATTTTCCTGCCCTATACACCTGAGCCTCAGGCACCACGCAGCAGGAACCAAATAGGCGCCCAGCCGTTCAAGATCGAGATCTGAGTGAGTAGCGAATAACAATAAAAAAAAAAAAATAAAGGCAAATTTTAAGCCAAAAATCATTGTTTCGCAGGAAAATAAAAATCAAGCTATTATTATTCTCTTTTAGCCACAATTCCCGATCCTGGCTCAATACAGGCGAGGTGCTTTGTCGTTAAGGTGTTGTGCCCGAGCGCTCGAAAACACGCGAATTTAGTTCACGACAAACATCAAACACTATGAGAGGTATGTCTTAAAGACAACACAGGGTGAAATTATAATCATAACTAACAGCAGATTACAAGATCGTCGTCTTAGGTGCTGGTGGTGTCGGTAAATCGTCCGTCACTGTCCAATTTGTACAAGGCGTGTATGTCGAGAGTTATGATCCCACGATCGAAGACTCCTACAGAAAACTGATTGAAGTGGACGGCAGAGCCTGTGATCTAGAAATCTTGGATACTGCTGGTGTGGCCCAGTTTACTGCCATGCGTGAATTGTACATCAAGTCGGGCAAGGGCTTCTTATTGGTATACTCAGTGACTGACGAAAACTCTTTGACAGAGTTGTTGGCTTTGAGAGAGCAGGTCCTCCGGATCAAGGACCTGGAGAACGTACCAATGGTGCTCATTGGTAACAAGAGCGACTTGGATGATGACAGGGTCTTGTCCATCGATGACGGTATCAAGGTCTCCCAACAGTGGGGACTGGTTCCCTTCTACGAAACGTCTGCAATGTATAAAACCAATGTTGACGAGGCATTCATAGACGTTGTGAGACAGATCATGCTCAAGGAGGCCCAGATTAGCGCAGAGAAGAAACAGCAGAAGGAGTTGCAGAAACAACAGGCGTTAGAGGGTGACAAGGGCGCCGCTGTTAACGGCGCCGGCATCGACAGTGAGTCCGTTCTCAAGAGAAATAGACAGTCAACGGCATCCAAGAAGTCAAAGAGCCACAGCAAGTGCTGCACCATCGTCTGATGGGGAAGTCAAGATTTAAAACTAGTATAAACGCTGCGTTGACCCCTATCTCAACTCAGCAATCTGGGACATAAGCCCATGAAAGCGACATAAAGTGATTCCTCGTGCTGCGCCTCGAGGCTTCGATAACGAGTAATCGTCAAAAGACATAATAAATGATAATTTCATGAACGAGAGCTGTGGGATATGATGAAGTAGACTCAGAGCGTTGGTAGATTAACGACTAGAGTATGTATAGGGAGAAATGGCTCTGTAGATTAAAGTATATGTCAATCGCTTGACTCAGCCACAGCATTTGCACCCATTCCCATTGACTCAACAGTCGTCAAAAGTGACTGCTCAACATTACAATCCCGAGATCATATGACACTAAAGCACTTAAGCTTTTGTAAGAAACAACAGCCTTAATTCTCGTATGAAAGTGTTATCATCTCACCCGAGTATCTGTATCGCAACGGCTGCCACTATGGATCGGCATCGGAATACCACAAGAAATTTAAGAATTATGAGATTAAAAACAAAAAAAAAAAAAAAAGCATTAAGCCCACAAAAAACGATAAAAAATCAACTTTTATATTGGCCCCTCTATAACTTTAGTCTCCCACCTGTGATCATACGGATGCACCGTGGCCGGTATACATCGATGCGTTACCGCATAACCTGGGGTTTTTAGTCGGACTTCTTTGATCACAAGCACATTCCTCATGTACGCTTTAGGACCGGTGGTCAACTTTGCTCCGGTCGAGTTCCAGCAGCGGCCTCCACGACGGCAGTATGTCCCCAAGCTGCAAGCAGAAGGGAACAACACGCTGGAAAACGTGCTTGATACAAATGAACGGCATAATGCTGGAGAACTTATAACATACATATTTCCCGACTTCAAGGCGGTCAGCTATTTCCAGAAAGATTTCATAGCACTTGATGAATTCCACGTTGCTGAGGAGACAGAGGCTCTGGGTTTCGAGATATACCTAGTTGACCAGTGGATACGAGGCAGAAAGATAGGTGGTGTCATTTCCGCGTATACCGGCAGTGCCGAAGCCAGGGTGAAAGTCATTAAGTTTACCATTCTACGAAAGCCCCTGAAACAGTATCCGGCTCGGTTCCAGGAGTACCTCAATGAGATGATGATGAACCATGCTACGTTCAAGAAGATGGAACCAGAGACAAACCTGTCCTCGCAGGACGAGACAATCGTCAATGAGTTTTTACTTGTTACCAGCTTAGAGGCGCTTCCTTCGAATTTGAATTTGATTCCTGTGACTGAAGGAGATACCAGACTTGTGGAGGAGCGCTTCGTCCTCAACTCCAATCTCAAAAAACTTAATTGCGGAGGTCGTTCCCTATCACTTGCAGCTCAAAATGTTTCTGCTGCATCAGAGGATAAGTTCAGGCAGATGTACAAACTCCTGGATGAGAGCGTGCCAATGAAGTTTGCTATTAGACAGTTGGTGAACCTTATACAAACTTGTTTGTTCTATTTTGATTTCCTTGATGCCAGATACTGCGATGGCCTTCTCTGTCAGAAAACGGAAGATGCGATCAATAATTGGTGGAGTTTAATTGGCTTGCCTCATTTCAATTTCAAGCCTAATCCAAAAAGCGGCATTCTTCCCTCCAAGTCCGTCGCAGCCATTCTAAGTCTCACATTGAGCGTTAGGTTGCGCTTACATTTGTATGGAGGCTGTGATGTTCCAAAAGATGTTTTTGATTTTGAAAACTTCATGCTCTCTATCGGTCAGTTTCAAAAGCAGGTCAAGATCGAGAAGAAGAGAAAGCTTGATTTGTTGACTCTTCTGCGCTTGTTTAATTTCACCAACCAGAAGTATCCCTCCGATAGTACTAAGCATACTGGAGATCTCTCCGGAGATGAACATGAGGACTTTTATGATCCGTACGTTGGAACATACGGTCCAAACAAAAGCACATCTCGATTTTCACAGAACTCTAAGGAAAACTCCTTATATAAGAGAAACCGACTTTATTACTCAAAGGAACTCAAGAAGCTTACAAACGTCGTCAAAAATACAGTGCAAGATCATATTATCGTCAGGGAGGACGACGACAACTTCTTCGATCCTTCATCAGCTGCTGGAGGAAAGATCAGAAACAAAATTGCATCAAAGCTTAGTGATCATGTGTCACCAAGTGATATCGAAACCTTAGATTTGGATCTTTTGGTTCGCAAGCATTTGTATGGCAAGACTCTCAAAGGACTTTGGTACGGGTCATCTCATCATGACGACCTCCCACAAAGAACTCTACATGTCGGCCATACAACACATCAAGATCGTCATGGCTCAACTTCAAGAAAGGGCTCGGATGACAACTCGAAATATAAGTTTATCAGTTTGAAACAAGCGATAACTTTGAACCAAAATGCTAGTGCATTCTCAAACGATCGCAACAAAAGAGGAAGTCGTATGAGATTCGGTTTCCAAGGAAGGAGGGGAAACGGTCTTGCCAAAAAAGACATGTTCGCCGACTTTGCTGCAACTGACAAGGCATCTCCGAGCAAGCAACATTTTAACGAATCATTGTTGGATGCTCAACTCAATCAGCTCGCAAATGGAGCAGACTACGAAGCTTGTAAGCAGGCAGTGGAGGAGTGTGCGCCAGAATCGTGTCAAAGAGATACCAAGGCTCTTCTCAATCGGCGTAATTCCTTCCCGATTGTTCATCCTGGGTCCGACTTGAATTTAAATACCATTGAATTTGTTCGAGAGGAGCGTGTCGAGCTAATCCACGAGATTATCGAAAGGAAGGAGACCCCTTTCAGAAGATCTCTTTCTGTGTCGTGCCTTGATGAACATCTTTTAAGGTACGAAAGACCGATTTCAGAGGAACAAGTTTGCATGAAATTCCTTCAACGATTGATGCAATTGGCCAAGTTAGAATGCTTGAAAGCTTCTCTCGATAGAACTGGGAACGACAAGGTGAGACGACTCTACAAACAGACTAATTTCGAGTTGGTGAAGCTTCAAAATGTCTACGCGCAGATGCAATCAAAGCATGAAAATATCGAAGATAACTATTCAGCGGTACTTGCCGGTCGTATGCGGGACATCACAGACAACATCGATAGAATGGCTTTCAGATCGCGAGACTTATTGAAAAAGATCAACGAGTTGGATGACAACACCAGGAAATTCGACTTCAACCTCAATAAGGGTAGTGTCCAGAAACTCGAGGACATTTCAGAGCACTTGATTCATAGCCCCAAGTTTCACAAGGTATTCAAAGACGATGAGGAACGTCGCAAGATCATTTTCAGTTTGACGGGCCGTGATTATGTCAAGAAGGAGGACAAGGAGTATGAGAATACCTATTGGGGCCTCCGCATTATCGTGACATATCTTTACGAGCTCATGGTCTTTGTACTCCAGGTCTTCAACTTTGACCGGTCGAAAATGGACTTGGACAGAATCAGGAAAATATACCGCAAGATTGATCCAAACAGGCGTTACATCGACAAGGTTTACAGGCTCGTGGGCCAGGAGCCCACCACGCCAACCACGCCCAGCGCAGAACAATAAGTTAAGCATTAGGTCTTCACCAACTTCTCGAAAGTGGTATTCAATACATTGATAGTTTCATTCAACAGCTTCTTGTAAGCCTCTGATTCTAGGGTTCCTTGTGCGGTGGAGATCCCTTGAAGCTTCCGAAGAGACTCTGTTTGAAGGTAGTCCAACACCCGAGAAGAGTTCTCCACGTTATCTTTCAAATCATTGATGGTTAAATCTTCAATAGAGCTTCTGTAGCCAGCACAGCGCTCCTCGAAAGCCGCTTCCTCGTTCTCTGTTTCGCTTTTTCTAGCCTCACATTGATCCACAACGGTACTGACAAGCAGTTGAGAATCAGCGATCATCTCCTGCAATTTCCCTCGAATGAAATCCTGTTGTTGCAAAGAAGCAACAAGCTGGATTCTGTTTTTCTCTAGCTCCTCGATAAGCGATTCCTCATCTAGCTCTTGAGCTTCCAGAGCAGGTTTCTCCTTCGAGAGTTCTTCGTAAGTCTCAGGCGAAACCAACTTTTTGGCAGATGCGGTCAAAGTCACAATTCTATCATCTAATTCTGTAATTTGGTCATTGAGCAAAGACACCAATGAAGGCAAATGCCTGGGATCTAGCTCCATATCGCTCTCATTGAAATCGGTTGCAACTATGCCCCAAGGCTGAGGTACGGGTGCGCAGTGCGAACAACACGGTCGCTAACCTTATAGCAGAGCTCGAGGCAACTAAGCTACGCCATTTAAAAGCACAAAATGGTGGCTATCACAGACGCTCATGACGACTTGATCCACGATGCCGTGCTCGACTACTACGGCAAGAGATTGGCCACTGCCTCGTCAGACAAGACGATCAAAATCTTTGACATTGAGGGCACTGACAGCCACAAGTTGGTGGAGACCTTAGTCGGCCACGATGGACCTATATGGCAGGTTGCTTGGGCCCATCCCAAGTTTGGCTCCATTTTGGCCTCGTGCTCGTACGATGGCAAAGCTATCATTTGGAAAGAACAGCCTGAAACACAGCAGTGGTCCATTATCGCTGAACACCTGATCCACCTGGCCTCCGTGAATTCTGTCTCGTGGGCTCCTCACGAATTGGGCGCTGTCTTGTTATGCACATCATCTGATGGTAAAGTTTCCGTCGTGGACTTCAACGACGATGGAACCACCTCGCATGTCATCTTCGACGCCCATGCCATTGGGGTGAACCTGGCTTCTTGGGCTCCACTTGGTGCCTCTGGAGCGAAGGACGCCAGTAACCAACAGCGAAGATTTGTGACTTGCGGCTCCGACAATTTAGCCAAGATTTGGAGATTCGACCAGGCGCTGGGCTCCTACGTCGAAGAGGCCAAATTGGCCGGTCATTCCGACTGGGTGAGAGACGTGGCATGGTCCCCCTCGATCTTGGTTCGCTCATACATCGCTACTGCCTCGCAAGACCGCACTGTGCTCATCTGGTCGCAGGATAATCAGGGTGTGTGGCAGAAGCAGCCGTTGACGCCAGAACCTTTCCCAGATGTGTGCTGGAGAGCCTCCTGGTCTTTGCTGGGAAACATCTTGGCTGTTTCGGGTGGCGACAACAAGGTCACGCTATGGAAGGAGAACTTGAAGGGCACATGGATGTCCGCTGGGGAAGTAGAGCAGTAGAGCAAAAATATCGGTATCACTTGATCTTTTGTAAAATGAAATTGCCGCATGTGGTGCTCATCATCTAATATACTTTATCTATAAAAGACGGGGACTATTGATGCAATTGGTTTTGTAACTGGAAGCTCACAACTCATTGATGGTAGCTGTGAAGATCTTCTGTACGTCCTTCGATGCTTCATTAGCACTCTCCAACACCTCGTCGTGTGAGGCCATACCATCATCCAAGGGCTTTGGGTTTTCTTCGAATGCACTAGGAGGCTTTTCACCTACACCAGCATTTGTGATAAGAGACAAGGCCAACACGTCCATGCCACTGTGACGAGCCACGATGACTTCGGGCACAGTAGACATACCAACAGCATCGCCTCCCAAAGTACGAATCATACGGACCTCCGCTCTCGACTCAAATGTGGGGCCTGCTGCAAAAAAATAGGTACCCTGGTAAATGGCACGAGTCACGCCCAACAGACTGGCTTTCTTGAAGAACAAGTGACGCAATTCGTGGCTGTAAGCGTCAGACAATGGCTGGAAACGAGGACCAAATTCGTCCAAGTTAGGACCCTTCAATGGGTGGAATCCAGCAAGGCCAGGGAAGTTGATGTGGTCCTCGATGATCATCAAGTCACCAGGCTTGAATTTGTCATTGACGCCTCCCGCAGCGTTGGTAACGACAACAGTCTTCACGTTCAAGAGCTTGGCTAATCTCACTGGGAATGTGGTTTCTTGGAAAGTGTAACCCTCGTAGAAGTGCAACCTTCCAACCATGCAGATAACTGGCACTTTGTTTTCACCAATTGTACCAAAGATGAGCTTTCCAGCATGACCAGGCACAGTTGATGTTTTGAAGCCAGGAATGTCACCGTAAGGAACCTCCAAACGTGGTTCTGGCGCTAACACATTGGCGATGCCTCCCAATCCAGATCCACAGATGATGAGTACTCTTGGGCTCACGATTGGTGTATCTTTGAATTGAGCGAGTTTTTCTTTAAGTGAGGAGGCCGCTTTGTCAAGCAAAGCCATGTAATCTTTGGGGGCAACTAAGGACATTGTAGTAGTTTATGAATTATTATTATCTGATCAATTTTAGCCAAGCCCGCAGTTGGTGGTGTGAGAATAGTATAGGGATGCAAAAAAGAAGCCCGATGCGGGGCTCGAACCCGCAACCTTTTGATTGACCTTAGAAGATTAAGAGTCAAATGCTCTACCGATTGAGCTAACCAGGCTGTTATTGTTGGACACAAATGCTGCCTCTATATATTCATTTAAATCTAGTCTCTGGAACTGGACTCGATATTTCAAAATTTTGAGTTTTGTAATAGTTTTAGCTTGCTTTCAGTATCATTATGTAAAATTTTGAGCCGATTTGGGCTAATATTCAGGTAACCAGGGTCCAAAGTATCATGCTACCTTCTTTACACCCTGATTCGGAAGAAAACTGGTAACGACCTCAGCGAAAATCTCTAGGAAAAGACTTAAAAGATATCCTATTGGAAACCGTCACAAAAGAGATGTGAGATGCCCAGTTTCAGGGCAGGAGGTATGGGATGAAGATTTCGTAAGAAGTTTTTCTACATCAAGTCTTAGTCGATTTGACTGAGTTTAAATGAGATATTTATATTATTAATGCATCACAAACCTTGAAGGCTTTGTTTCTCGTCAATCATGCCAATTTCACTATGGGGACTCGACTTGGATCCTTGTACGTATGACATCGTCGTATCATTCCTGACTGCTGTAGTCCCAGGAGATGAATTTTTGTTGAGCATGTCTCTGCTTTTGTTTGACAGATCATCATAGCTCGACAAAAGCGGAGATGACGGCATGTTCACTACAGCAGCTTTCTGGCCATCGAGCTTTGGCAGCGGCCTTCTGAGCGCATTGGAGTTATTCGAGGTGTCAGCAAGTGGTGTACGCAGCAGTACGGCGCCTGGTGTGTTTGCATCCTTTGGTGTCGGCTCACCAAAGAACTGAGACCAGTCCTGGTGATCTGGACTGGACCGCAGACTGAAGGATTTCATTATCATCTGGTCAAAATCGTGAATGTCGTCTTCAACAGTTGGCGGTTGATTTTCCTTGTCTTCGTCTTCATATAAATTTATGACACGAGTATTTGACTTCGTAGCCATAGCTGGAGGTGTGCTTTCTTTTTTGCTATTGGACTGAAGGTCTTGTGGAAGGTCGATATCCGTAAGAGGACCGCCAAAGGAATTCAACTGGTTCATGAAATCATTAAGATCCTGATAGTCGGACACGTCAGTCGGCGTACGCCCATTTGCCAGAGGCGTTGGTTGCTTGCTAAGGTTGACACCAGCATGACCCTTATTATTCTGGTTCTTGATAAATTCATTTATAGCCGATGGAGCATGCGTAGGAGTAGGAAACTTGTTGAGCTCCATCATAGCACTGGAAAAGGGAGAAGACTTGTCACGAGTAGCGTCCTCCTTGAGTTTGAGCTCCTTTTTATACTTCTGTTGTTGTAGATATTTCTTAACGACCGCTTCAGGGCGCATGAAGCCCTTGTTACGGAGGAAAAGGTAACAAGCATTACACAAGGGCCCAAACATACCATCGTAGAGCGACTTGTCGAACTTTTCAGCACGCTGGATGTTCAAATAGCTTGGATGAAACTTTGTCTCGAAGTATCTCCATGTTATGGAGTCATTCGCTGCGCAGTTTCTATTAATGCAAATGAGATCGTGATCGTGAGGTAGCTTCGTGCTCGGGATAGTGTGAGTCTTTTTGCTATCGAGATCTTCGGTGTCGGGAAGTGATTGAAATTGGGAGTGGTCGTTGTTCGGTATTATGGAGTTGGATTGATGCTTTTTCTCCTGTTGACCGGGCTTATAGGGTGGTTGTTGTGGCGTAAAGGGGGATGACGACGCGTCGTTTTGAGAATTGTAGTCCTCCTCGTCTTCATCCTCTTCATCTATGGGTCGGCTGTTCTCTTGATATTCAGTATCATCCGAGGCCTCGGACATGAGCTCCTCGTGAATTGGCGAGCTGATCATAGAATGCGAAGGGAAAACATTACTAACCATGGACCGGGTCTTCATGGCTCGCATGGGTTGTAAGCCGTTATCCACTGGAGTCTGGACCGTGGGTGTCAATGGCACGTTGGAGCGCCGTCTCTTTCTGGCAGGTTTGTCAATGATCTTGGCCAGCATGAACGGCGCCAGACTGAACCGTTCCTGGATGCTCTTGCTATCGTAACGCGACGGTACGTTCGACTTATCGGCGTTGATGATGTTGGAAATATGCTGATTAGGAGGATGGTAGAAGATTGGAAGTGACTTCGTCCTTGTAGCCTTGACGGCGGCTGAGGAGGCCATTTGCTGTTTGGCAGGCCTGCTTCTCCGCACAGGCGGCTGTGACTGCTGTGGGTATGATGGAGAAGCCTGGGAGGCCAGCTTCATCTTCTCCGGGTTGGGGCGTTGTTGTTGCTCCTCTGGGTGCTTCTCAATAACATTGAGTTTGAGGCGAATCTCCAAGGTCAACGAGGAGGAGTTTGCCTTATCGCCAAACAAAAAGGAGGCCAGCAAGTTTTGGCAGACACGGCCAGGCACGAGGTGTTGTTTACCTGACGAAAGCAAGGAGGACATGACACCATTGGCCACGAAGGGCTCGTCAGGCTGCTCGGTGATGTCTTTATAGTAAACCGCGTAGTCTTGGTCATGAAGACGAAAGTGCTCCGGAGACGATTTGAGGATTTGCTGAACACAATTCTTAAGGTCGAAGGCACCTAGGGTGACTAGGGCCTCCTCTTCGGTGGCCAGTTGCATTGGAATCTGGGCGACTTTCACCGAATACTGGTTTTTGGAACGAGACAAGAACACCGTCGGACTGTTGTCGAAGGAGTACAAGACCTTGACTTGCATCCGTCTGTAGAGCTGGTCCTCTGGAGTCATGGCCTTTTTAGTAAACGAATGTGGATGGCTGCTCCAGAAGAAAGGTGTTTCTCTAAACAAAAAAAAAAGTGACGTATAAACAAGACTTGACCACGGGACTCGCACACAGGGCGCAATGTTGTTAGGGCAGAGATCTTTCACCACAGGATGGAGAACATCGATTGCATGGTCGCACAACGCTCCCATGTAAACAACGCGACGCGAGGGAAGATGACGTATCGGAAATAGAAAAAGAAACGGGGAGACGAATACTATAAATAACTGGAAGCCTGCCACTTTAAATCTTGAAAGTGTTTTTGAAGTTTGGGGGCCAAAGGGGCCCTTCAGGTGGTGGGCCCTGGCCTTGTTTGTTTTGCAGCCATCGGTTTCGCGGTGTCTCGCGACTAGTATAGCGCGTACAGCAAACAGCCCCACGGCGCCTTAAGCGTGATTTGAGAGTTCCGCGGGATCCGAGCTGACATGCCCTTTGATGCGATTTGATAGGGCTTTCGGAAGCCTCTTTTTTGGCATGCCACTGAAATGTCTTACTGCGAGTGCCACAGTTGTTCTTTGTCGTTGGATATCATGATCTTTGATCGAAGGAGATTGTAGCTTTATTCCGCAACATCTACAATTTTTAGCTAACTCATTTCAATCGACCAATTTATGTATATGTCGTCTTCTATGTGATTCTTCACTTCATTGTGGTGGTTGCTGCCCCTGCTATGTACAATGTGGTGCGAGCATTTTGCAACCATTTCTGCAACCCACAAACGCTATGTGCGCCGGGCAAGAAGCATACATCACGCTAAACCAACAAGTTTTTTGACCTGCTGAAGGTTGCTTGTGGCTATTTCACGAGCCTTGTTGGTACCTAGGGCTGTAACTTCAGCCAAATAGGCACGGTCGCCAATCAACCGCTCGTACTCAGCTCGCTTGTCCTTGAACTCCTCCACGACAACCTCCGTAACGTAGTCCTTTAGTTGCTTGTGGTTTTCGATCCACGCCAAGTCCTTGACTGTCTGCTCTGTGCTTTTGTCGAGAATGCCGGAGATAATGCTTACCAAATTTGATACTCCTGGTCTGTTCACAGGGTCAAACGTAACGGGTCCTTGAACAGAGTCTGTGACAGCCTTACGGAACTTCTTCGCAATGACGTCTGGCTCGTCATTCACGTAAACTGATGAATTCTGATCAGGGTCACTTTTTGACATCTTTTTCTCTGGTGTTCTCAAACTTGCAATCTTCTTAGCCGGTGTGAGAAGCGTCTGGGGAAGATGGAAAAAGTTCCCGTAGGTGTGATTGAAAGTTGAAGCAATGTTGCGGCAAAGCTCCAAATGCTGGGCCTGGTCGTCGCCGACAGGCACATGGGTGGAGTTGTAGAGCAAGACATCAGCTGCTTGGAGAACAGGGTATATTAAGAGACCTGCTTTTGTCTGGCCCATCACCTTTTCTGTGTAGATGCTCTGGCTTTCGTTGATATTGGCCTTCAGCTTCCACTGAGTCATTCGGTTTAATGCTCCCATACTCGTCAAGCACACAAGGATCCAATTGAGTTCGGCGTGCTCTGGAATGCTCGACTGGTGAAAAATCACACATCTGTGCGGATCAAGACCCAGGGAAAGTAAACTGGCGATGGCGCCGTCCCTGTTCTCTCTAAGAGTGTTTGGCTCAGGCTGTATTGTCAAGGAGTGGAGATCCGCTGTTCCGAAGAAACAGCTCACTGATGGTGGGGCTTCATTCGCTATGTGCTTCCAGTTCTTGAGCGCACCCAAGTAGTTTCCTAGGTGGATCTTTCCAGTTGGTTGTATAAGTGAAAAGATTCTTGAGTCCGCTGGAAACTCACTTACCCTATCTATGCTCGCCACAGTGGCCTTGTTGCGCACGGCTCTAATTCCCGTTCTTAGCATTCAATAGGTGGTAATCTTTGATATCCATATCGCGCACTACTGGTCTACACTTTTGAGCTCGATGTTTTCTATTCTCCCGCTAATGACTGATGCTCAAAAACGGAAGTTGATGCTTTGTACATAAAAACTGCCCGCGGACCGCTTGCAAGTTGTGCCCACGGCCGTTATGCATTCGATCACCGCTTATTGTGCCCTTTGACGTACACCTTGTGCCTAGCTCACTCGAAATGACCAATCTCATGATCCAAATTAAACTCCCTTCAAAACGCTTCTAATTAGGATACCCTGATCGCCCTTGTTCTCTTCAGCAAGAAACCCGCCACTGGTATTATTGATTTCGATGCCGTATCCTTGTAGTCTCTTTTCAAGTTTCCGCCTCTGAAATTTTCTCCATCTATCTAACTTGGAATATTCGTGTACCCTGAATCCGAAGACTTTGGGTGTGTAAGTCTCCCGACTATGAACTGGAATGGCATGGGGAAGTTTTGGAAGAACATAGCAGGGAAAGATGTTCCAAAGTAAGCTCCATCGACGATAGCATGTCTGCCTGACTTCGGATTGTACAAGTCCTCACATTTAGCGCAATATAGTTTCACTGAGTTGATTCTGGCTGATCGCTCAACCCAACGGGAAGAAGTGGATGCAAGTGGCAATGAACTCGAGGGCAATATCCAAAATCACCGTTCTTATACTTCTCGAACATTTTGTTGAGGCCTCGCTGAGATAAGATGTATCTTGCGTGGATGAGACCGTATAGTATTCTTGCATTGTGTTCTAAAGCATCTCGATGTTCCTCAGGTTGATGCTCTATATCGGCCATGTCAGTAATGATATCCACCAACGTGGGAATCTTGCTCACCTCTTGGTTGAGGCCCGTCAAGTTGAAACGGTCCCGGATGTAGTCATCGTCTATATCACAGAAGTATTCGTTGCCTTTTATCCCTAAAAACAAGTCAATCCAATATTCAGAGAAGTCTGAGCTCGAGTCGGTGAGCTGGTCATTGCCATTTTCATGAATGGCTGCATGCGACATTTTAGATGCTCAATGTACGCAAAATATGCCTTGTGGGGTTCAGACTGGCTTCTCGATTATGTGGACTACGGGTCAAAGAAGTGTTTTTTGTACACTCGGACTTCACCCCTTGTATAACGGACCACTTTTTTCGGCCAAAAAGATGCCCAACTTGACGGTCATGAGGCAATATTATCGGTCAAGAGAGGTTCTGAATGTGAGTTGCAATATACATTTTTGAAAATTACAAGTATGAATCACCAAGGTGATGTAATCTGGAAGAAGTTCAAAAACCATTTGATCTCACGTGATTTATTATAGATAAGCGCCTGCGAAGAGACGGAGCCAACCAATGGAATTCAGGCGTGGTAATAAATAATGTGTAGAAAGGTGTTGCTTATTTGACTAATACTCGGCGGATTTGAATAAAAGTACAAATTGAGAGTATCTTTTTCAATTTTAAATGTAGACAACTTTTCCAAATGTACAAGAATCTTGTTGAAATTTTGCGAAAGCGGCAGTATTACTCAGGCTTGGCCAATTCTATGATTGTCTTGTACCCCTTAAAAATCAAGGAAGTAATTTTACAGTTAGTATTACTCGGAATAGAAAAGAAAGTGAAAAATTATATTGAAATATGTCCTTGACCACCCAAGAACTAAATTTGGAGGCTTATTTCGAAGAGGAAGCGTTAGCGGTGTCCAACTCAAGTGCAGGTTTGAGATACTCAACGTCCCTCATACTAGTGTGTTCATCTAACTGCCAAATCCAATGAAACTTTTGGTCCTTCCGCAATTGCTTCATGGAGGTGAAGTACACTCCGTGGATATTGACCTGTCAAGCAGATATGTTGCTACGACAGGAAATGACACTGATATCTGTGTCTGGGACTACTCTCAGCTATCTCGTCTTGAAGGTGTTTCTGAGGAGGAAATATCGAAAATCCAGCCCACACAAACAATCAAGATACACGAATCTCCCGTTAGGGTAGCGAGATGGTCGACGGTTCAGCCTGCGTACTTGGCTTCAGGTGATGTGAACGGCTTTGTATACCTCACCAACATAACGGATTTATCACATAAACTACTATATCCGTGGCCGCTGGCTAAAGACAAAGAAGCCGAAATTGCTGATATATCATGGTCTGCAGATCTGAGATTGTTATCATGGAGTACTAGTGATGGTAGAGTCCATATATACGATCTTGTCAAGGAAACATACCAGTCGCTCAACGAGACAACGGACGATGGAAGCAAGGGAAAGACAAGCTCCCAAAAAAGCATCGCATTCAATCACTCCAACAGCAATTTTGTCACCATGGGTCTCGATACATTCCTTCATGTGTACCAATATCACTACGACGCTTCGGACAATTATCAATTCAAATTGACCAACAAAATCTCAAAACTCATGAACAATAATCCAACAACCTTAATGGCAATACACTACGAAAGAATTTCGTGGTCGAGCGATGATGAATTCTTCTCAGTGCCCTCGGCAAGCAAACAGCACACGTCACTCATTTCACTCCTATCGAGATCTCAAGATTGGGAGCATAAAGTAAGCCTAGTTGGTCATGATGTCGATTGCGACGTAGTCAAGTTTAGCCCGCACATATTTCAGGCTAAAGAAGAGTCGAGTGAACCAGACGCTCACAATATCTATCATATCATTGCATCGGCTGGTTCTGACAAGACTTTGGCACTCTGGAATACCACAAAAGAATCACCCATTGCCGTTCTTCGAGAAGTATCTGAGAAACCAATAGTCGACATCTGCTGGGACAGAAATGGCCAACAACTTATTCTCGCTTCGCTCGATGGTCATCTCACTTTCGTCAAGTTTGATCCTCTCGAATTAGGAGAGCCCATCACAGAAGAAAGACTTCAGAAGCTCAAAGATACACAGAGGGCCTTCATCAAGCCCTTCTCCGCCAAAGATTCTGAAACTACAACCAAGCGTGGCCAAAAGTCTGGTTCCGATTTGATAGACCAAAAGGATTCCATAAAATTGGCTGACGCATTTGCTGAGCCAGTGAAAACCAAATCGGAAAAGAGGGTCACTTCTGCGAAGAAGAAGGAGGAGGAGAAAGAAGTCAACATTGCCCCAGAAGTTCAGGGTGATATCACTTCAGAAGTTTTGCTGAGCAACACTCCTGGACAAATTGATGACATTATGAGTACTGCAATGGGTGACAGAACAAAGGCATCCTCGTCGACCCCTTTAGCTAAGACAAAAACAACCGCAAAGGCTAAAAGCGAGACTTCAACACCGACAACCGCAAATCAAAAAACATCCACGAAGAATGGGAAAAAGCGTATACAGCCCATGCTCATATCGAATGGAAACGGACAGGCTGCTCAGTCAAGCACGCTCACCAAAAGCATAGGAGGTGATAATGAGTCGAGAGCATCTACCAAATCCTTAATGGAATTTGACAGACCGTCGTATGGCGTTTCTCAGGAGATTCATAAGGACAGCAAAAGAAATAGAAGTCAAGAGGATGGAGGCCCTGCTAAAAAAGCTAGGCGTGATCTTGAACCTATCAAATTCGTTGGCACCGCTGTACTTAATCCCAACACAGCCTTCGCCAAAGTGAGACTCTCAATACCAAAAGTCAGGATGTCTTTTCAATTATCATGCCGAACAGATGACAAGATGCTTTTAGATGTGAGAAATGGACAAGGAAACGAGAATGCCCCATCGAGGATCACTTGCTACAAGAATGAGCTGCCTATCTGGAGTGACTTTATTCCTAGATATATACAGCTTGCTACCGAGGGTAACAGTTTTTGGGCAGTTTGTACAGCAGACGGGCAAATTATCACTTACACACATGTTTCAGGCAAGCGTTTTCTTCCGCCAATGGTTCTCGGGTCTCCAATTGTCTTCCTAGAGAGCCATGGAGACTACCTTATGGCAGTGACAGCAATTGGTGAACTATATGTCTGGGACATGGGCCTGAAAAAGATACGACTTCACTCGCCTCTGTCGCTTGCATCCATTCTAGACTCTCATAGCAAGTTTCGTGAGGATACTTTGAGCAAGTCTGAAAATATCACAATGTGTTCAATCACTTCTAAAGGCATACCTTTGGTGACTCTTTCCAATGGTTCAGGCTATTTGTTCAACTCCGATATGGGCGTTTGGCAGACAGTTACAGAGGCCTGGTGGGCATTTGGCTCTCACTACTGGGATTCCATAGGCGACGATAAGGTTTCGTCCGAACCCCAAGCTTCGAAGATTTTACGGGCGGGCGACGAGTCCATCTTGGGTCTTCTCGAACATAAGACCAACGAGGAGATTATCAGGAAGAGTCGCGTGGGAAGAGGAAAGTACTTCAACAAAATCTCGAAGAATTTGATTATGAAAGAAGGATTTGAAAACCTCGAGAACACCATTTCGTTATCTCACATGGAGAATCGGATATTATGCAGCGAGCTTCTTGGAGAGTTCAAGGACTTCCATGACTTTTTAATCACCTACTGCAGAAGAGTTTGCGAATTAGGTCTCAAAGCCAAACTTTTTGAGCTTTGCGAGAAGCTTCTTGGTAATGGATCTATGGAAAACCCAGTGGAAGAGTCGCAGGTATGCGGCTACGACAGGAAAGAGCTACTCAAGGAGATCATATTTGCATGCGCACAGAACAGAGACGCCCAGAGGGTTCTCCAATATTTCAGCAAGCAATTAGGTTTAATCGAGGACGATTATTAATAATAGGCACGGAAATATACACAATCCAGTAACTCATCTTCTGTAGTTGGAGCATACAGGTGCAGGTCTCACAAACCTCTATCAAGCTTGAGTAATCCATGCAGATACCGTCCTCATGGTTTCTTTAATCAAATCAATCCCTGCTCACACAGATAAAGCATGGAGCGTCCATTCCCATAACACTTTGCCACTTTTGGCAACAGCCCTGAGTGACAAGACAAGTAAGATCTACAAGCTCTCGAGGCGGAAAAACTTTCCCCAGATCGCCAAACTTGAAGAGACTCACAAGAGATCCGTGAGGGCTGTCAACTTCAAACCCCATTTGACATCGACGGATACTCAGTTTATCGATCTTCCAGCGTTGGCTTGTGGCTCGTTCGATTCAACTATCTCTGTCTGGGGCATCGATGAACCAGAGGAGTTCTTGGATAATGAAGATGATATGGACGAGGAAGATGAAAGAGCAACAGAGGCCAGGAAGAGAAGAGAGGCCGACGTACTCACAAGCCCTACAAATGAGTGGAATCTTATGGCATTGATAGAGGGTCACGAAAATGAGATCAAATCGGTAGCATGGAACAAGACGGGGAGGTTTTTGGCGTCCTGTTCGAGAGACAAGACTGTGTGGATATGGGAGACGGATCCTGAAACATTAGAGGAGTTTGAATGTGTCTCTGTGTTGAGCGATCACGAGCATGATATCAAGCACATAACGTGGCACCCTGCTCAGAACATCCTAGCCAGCTCCTCATATGATGATACAATAAGGCTATATAAGCAGGACGATGACGACGAAGACTGGTCTTGCGTTGGATTGCTCAATGGCCACCAGGGAACTGTATGGTGCTCTGCCTTTGAAGATCCTCTGTCACCACTTGCATCAAATGACACTGTCAGACTTGTTTCCTGTTCTGATGATTCCACCGTTCGTATCTGGACCAGTGCCGCCCCAGAGGAGACAGAATCCTCAACGGGTTTACCTAGCTCAATTAAACACCACAGCGCAGAGATGCCCTGGGAGCTAGAGAAGACGCTTCCTCCTGTTCACAAGTATGCAATCTACTCTGTCGCCTGGTCCAAGTCTGGCAAAATTGCCAGTGCGGGTGCCGATGGTCAGATTGCTATCTACAAGTTTGATGGAAAAGATTGGCAGATTGATAGCGTTCAAAATGCTGCCCATGGGGTCTACGAGATCAATTGCCTCACATGGTGTTTCTTAGAGGATGGCAGCGAAGTGCTTGTCAGCGTTGGAGATGACGGACACGTGAACATATGGGAAGCATAACCATTAAAGGACTATAGAGATAAAAATAATAGACCCTAGGACTGCTAGAAGAATGATGAGACAACAGCACATACGCCCACTGGATCTTCTTTGGTACCTCTCAGCTTTCCGAAGCTCACCCGAGGCCCCTCTAGCATCGGCACTGTAGCTATTGATATTCTCTTCAATAGTATCGATCTGAAACAGTTGCTCCTGAATAATATCTTGTAGATTCGAGAAGATATCGTTGATTTCCTGTGTGTCCTGCGATATCTGTTGAATTTCTCGCTCTCTTTCTTCGATTAAAAGCGTTTGCTGCTCTAATTCCTCGGCATTGACTGGTTCATATTCGATCTGAATGCTTTGCTGCTGAGGCCCGGCACCCTGCTCCTCCACAGTTCGTTCCTCAATCTGATTTCCAGGAATTTTGGTTACAAACTGCTTTTGAAGTGCGGAGTATCTCTGTTGTAGACGGCGGTACTGTTGTAAACTGGAACGTATTAAGCTCACATGAATTCCTTCCTTTTGACGGAGATACCTTAATGCATCTGGGTCCTCATGATTGTCTTCACACCGGGTGAGGTAGTCATTCAACTCCTTGGCAAGATTGTTGATCTTTTTGAAGGACTCGGTACATTTTGTCGAGACTTCCAGAATCTCCTGTGGTACCTTCGAACTTTCAGAATCAACAGCGTCATTCCCACTATGTAGTAACTTCTCATACTGTCCTAGCAAGTTCCTCATAGACACTAGCTGGCTGTTGTTGATGTTGTGTAAATTGTTGTCTATAGCTTGAGATAGAGTCTCAAACTCAGGGAAATCCTTATAGTGGTTCGAAGAAGCATCGTTCTCGATATCGTCCTGGAAGGGGTTACTAAATGACATGGTAACTGACACCTCCGCCTACCTTATCGCAGTAGTAGCCGTAGTAGTTTCCGCACGTGACTTCGAAGGCTGTAACTCCAATACTCTTACTAATTTGCATTCGATCTAGTATAACTAGAGAGACTTGATTTTGCTTAAAAGCCCTGGTCATCAAGACACATGATGCTCAAGTTCACTATCGTATCGTCTACACTGATCTATACGTAATATCACATTAGATGGGCATCCTACTGTCCAGCAGAATTCTATCGTAAGTCTATAAGATTAGGCCTCCTCCTCTTCAAGCTTGGCAATGCAGTCAAGAGCAGCCATACAGCCGGTACCAGCAGAAGTAACGGCTTGTCTGTACTTCTTGTCCTGGACGTCACCAGCAGCGAAAACAAAAGGCTTGGAGGTGTTGGCGGTACCAGGCTCCGTCTTGATGTAGCCAGTGTCGTCGGTATCGAGCTGGTCAGCAAAGACGGAGGTGGCAGGAATGTGACCAATGGCGTAGAACAAACCGTTAACGGGGAGCTCGGACTTCTCGTTGGTCTTGTTGTTGACAATGTCAAGAGAGGTCAAGACCTTGCCGTCACCCTTGGCCTCAGTGGCGGAGGTGTTCCACAAGATCTCAATCTTCTCGTTCTTCTGAGCTCTCCTTTGCATGATGGTAGAAGCTCTCAAGACGTCTCTTCTGACGAGGAGGTACACCTTAGAGGCGTACTTGGTCAAGAACAAAGCCTCCTCACAGGCAGAGTCACCACCACCCACGACAGCCAAAGGCTTGTTTCTGAAAAGTGGCACAGCACCGTCACAGACAGCACAGGCAGAAATACCCTGCTGCCAGTACTTGTCCTCACCAGGAATGTGCATTCTCTTGGCAGAGGCACCGGTGGCGATGATAACAGCATCGGTGGTGATTGGCTCAGCGTCCTCGTTCCACTCAGTCCACAACTTGAATGGTCTCTGGGCCAAGTCGACCTTGGAGATGGTCTCGGTGATGATCTCAGTGCCGAATCTCTCGGACTGCTCTCTCATGGCCTCCATCAAGCCGGTACCGGAAATACCCTTGGGGAAACCGGGGAAGTTCTCAATGTCGGTGGTGGTAGTCAACTGACCGCCAGCAGCAATACCGTTGGCCAACATACCCTCGTACAAAGTGGGCTTGACCTCGGCACGAGACAAGTAAATGGCAGCAGTGTGAGCAGCAGGGCCGGAGCCGATGATAGTAACCTTGTGGTGGACCATTCTTCTAAATATTCTAATGTTGGACGTGATACTCATGGGTGGAAAACGGCGGCCTTTATATACTAATGGGCTGGGTGTCTAGCCGCGGCTGCATTGACAAATCGCACCGGCCATTCTGTTACTAACGCGCATGGGCCAGCTCAACCGACTCGGCTCACCCTAAAGGTAATTGCTAGGGATGGGCCGAAAATCGGGCGGGCACGGCTGAAGCAAATGTAAAAAAGTTTTTTATTTGGAAGTTGGATTTGTAATTTTTGGCGATCGGAAAAAGAAGGATTTTTGGTGGGTTGTGGGTGCAAATGGCCTGGTGCAGAGACTTCGTTGTCTCGCCAGATCTGCTTACACAAGCTCAGCTCTGGGCATCTCCAAGTGACAAGCAAGTCATTGTTGGAGGTGAGTGGCAAAAACGTTTTGATTTTTAGAGATCTACAACAAAGCGTTTCTATTTTTTTTTTTTTTTTTTTTTTTCGACTTTTCAGGGGAAGTTCGTTTTTTTGCTGACTCGTTTGGGCACCTTGTGGCCCGTGAGGGTCCAGGGCATCGCTCGCTTACGTCAGTGGGCTCATGACCCAGGCCCTGGCGCCACAGCACACTGCTGCTATAGAACTTGCAATAGACTATTTTGACAAAAAACAGCGGAAAAGTGTATTGTTTTCTAGCAACAATCTCTTGACCTCTTCGTTTCTATTATCGCTGCCTTTGTCAGACTTTCATATGATTTGGGCCTTGGCTACCAGGGCTACCGTGGCCTGCAGTGGAAACAATCTGGTGCCTGAGTAGAGGCATCTTGCAGAATGGCCCATTGCTCTCAGACCCTGGGCACCCGTCGGCTTATCTTCCTGCGTCCGAAGATCGCTGCATTGCCGAGTCGGTGGCCCGTTGAGGCTTTGACTTTCGCAGACCCATGCTTCAGCACCACAATGAGTCGTCTAGGAAAGGCACACCGGATGAACGTGAGGAAGTCTTTCTTTGACTGTTTTTGAGCAAGTTCTCGGCATTCAAACGGGTGCCCAATAATTATGCTTTGTAGTGCTCTTCATCAACTTTGCTGTGGAGTGGCAGTAGATGAGGTCAATGGCACAATGTCTGATATGTATCACGATAGCGATAACACGATCTACACAATCCATGAACATATGCGTACCATGGTCTTGGACCGCAATACTCGCGGAACCGCAGATTGACCGAACCGTCCCTAGCCGGTCCAGACATTGAGCATGTCTCTAACATTCCGATCGTTCACAAAAAGGGTTAGCGTTTCGTCGCTAACACAAAAGTGTTCATTTTCAGCCACTACCGCGCCGTCTGCTCAAGTACAAATTGTGTTATCACCGGACTGTGTTGGTACTTTGGATGTAGTAGCACATTGGTCATGAACCATTGTAGACCCTTCCGGCGAGTCTCTAGCCAAGCGTCTGAAAACCAGAGACGCAGAAGGCTGAAATTGTCTTTTGGCGGAAGCTGTGGTATCAGGTCCTTGGGAAAGGCCTCCACAAGCAGTGTTCTGAACTTTTCAATGTCACTGTACCGTTTGTAGAGCACAATCAGCGAGTGGGAAGCACCGTTTAAAACTATCCGTATAGACCAAACGACATATTGCGGTGCTGACTCGCCGGATATGATATGGTAGTCTCCCACAAGCACATCTGTAATTCTTGATGACTCGTTGAAATTGCTTGCTGAGGCGGTCCCGTCGGTTAGTTCGATGGGTACCGGCGCCACGGTATTGAGGTGAGTAAGTGATTCACCACGCTGGCGCATGTCGAAAATGCTATCTGATGCTGGAAGATGGAGGGTTTCTTTGTGGCCTTGGCTGGCTCCTGTATCATTTACTACATCTGTGCGGGCCATGATACTGTGCTAACTACAGGCACACTATGGAGTCTATAGCAAATAAGTATCCATACTGGAAGCGCGTGCTACATAAGTTCCAGGCACGGAGGGACATTCCCTTCAGAAAGAAGTTTTTCGTGGGCTATGATCTTAGTGGCAACACTTATTGGGAGTTTACCATTGATGGCAACATGGGTCGCTTACGGAGAAAGCTTGAACCTTTCCAGGAGTCCATCTTCAAAGTTGACCATTTCGAGAGCGTTCCCCCTCAGTGGCATCAATGGCTACGCCGTACGAGACACGATGCTCCATCTCTTCAGGAGCTTATGGATGATCAGATGAGACAGCAGAAGATGAAGATCTTGGCACAGCACGCAGATCAAAAGTGGCAGAACGAGAAACTCAGACTTGAAAATGAGAGCAGAACGAAGCTCCAGGCAGAGTTGGACAAGGCTGAAGCAGAGAACAAGAAGTTCGAGGAGGAGATCAACAGAGCCAAAGCCGCAGAAGCAGCAGCAGCAGAGAGAGCAGCAGAGAAAGGACCAGAGAGTGGAGAAAAAGCTGACCCATGGGCTGCTGCCGATGCACAGGCCAAGTCTAAGGAGTCTCCAATTGGCGCTGCATCAATCAAGCCCAGAAAGTAACATAATGTAAATAAGTGGGCCGCAGAGGTCATCAAAGAATAAATAGTTGGCATTTACCAGTCGTAACATTCCTTCCAAAGCTTTCATCGCCAACCGTCAATTGTCCTACACTACTACCGTTTTCATCATTGGGCCATCTATATTATGCAACTAATCTACACGCTGATTAACTATCAGCCAGCTGTTTACAAGAGCTTGAGCAACAACTGAGCACCTTTGTTGTCCTTGTCCTTCTTCAAGTCACCCTTCAACTTTTTCAATGCCTTGCTGAGGTTCTTGGCCTCCTTGTCGTCCTTGAGAGACAAGGCCTCATAAATAGCGAGAACGACAAAAGCACCCTGGCCAGAAACCCACTTGCTCAAGATGTCATCCTTCAAGATCTCCTTTGCGCATCTAGCAGCAAACTCAGAACCGAGGACGGGAAGTTTGGAATCAGAAACAGCGACAAGCTTCTTGCTTTCGTTGTCAAACTTGAACTCGTCACCATGGATCAAGGCCTTGAGAGATCTGGAAAAGAAAGGAGTCTTGTTAAGCAAATGGTGGTCCTCCAAGATGTCAGTCTTGAAAGTAATGTCGAAAATGGCATCCACGAGCTCAGCTCTTGAAGTGTTGATGGCTTCTTCATCAGATGGAGTAAGAAGAAGCTCAGTGATGAATTGCGCAGCCATATTGTTTGACAAGAGCTTAGTGAAAGTAGGCTCTGCGTCAGGCGACAATGTCGAAGACAAGGCCTTGTAGACCAAGGGCAAAGCCTTCAGCAACAACTCGGCTCTCCTCTGGTCCTGAGGCTTCTTCGTAGTTTTAGCGTATGCAAGTTTTTCGTATTTTAAGAGTTCCTCCTTGACCTTTGGAGCAAAGTACTTTCCGTCCAAGCCCTTGAGCAAATAAAGCAAAGGCCTTCTGGAAAACTTTTCTTGAATGAGTTCAGGCAAAAGCTCAGGGACAAAGAGCTCAGCACTGAACGACTTGTGAAGCAAAACGGTATCATCAACGGTCATGAACAAGGTGATCAAGACGGTGTTACCGTGCTCGTTTTTGATCAACTCCTTGGCGTGGTTTTTGAGCGATCTGATGATAACTTTTCTCTCCTTAGCATTAGCAAGAGCAAGAAGCAGAGAGGCAACCTCAGCACCTTCTTGTGTGTGAACCAACTCAGCAAACTGCTCGGCGAGCAACTCGATGAAGTCTCTGATTTGAGAATCATTCTTCTCTGGGTCTGCAACCAAAATCGAGACGTACTCTTTCATGGCAGCGTGCAAAATCTGGAAACCAGTGGAGCCCTTTTCAACAGAAGCAGCAATAGTACCGCTCAAGTTGGTGGAAATCAACTGTTTTTTCTCAGAAGATTCGTTCACAACGTCCAAGACAGTCTTGCCTTTACCAGAGTCCTTGAAAACAGCATATTCAGCTCCCCAGAACTCACGAATAATCTGCTGCTTCTGCTCAGCAGTAGAGTAGAGAACGAACAAGTCCTCCACGACGTAAGCACCCTCCTTGTGTCTCATGAGCTTACGCAACTTACCGTGAAGCTCGTTCACAATGAGACCTCTCGACTCCTTAGAGCCGTAATGCAAAAGCTTCACCAAAAGGTACTTACCGTAAGAGGAAGTAGCCAAATGATAGTAGTGGCCCTGAAGAGCCTTGACGATCTTGTCTCTTCTGTCCTTAGATGAGTACTTGACCAAGGTCTGAATGACACGGGAAGCGTCGTGCTTCATGACCAAGTCGTAGATGACATCGTGGGCCAATTCCCAGATCTCATCACACAACTTGTCTCTCACTTGCTTTGGAGGAGTAGGCTTCTTCACACGCAACTTCTCCCACAAGGCCTTAATGCGCTCCACCTCTGTTCCGGACTTTCTCTTGAGCTTTCTCTCGGCAAGCAACTTTCTCTGCTCAGCGTGCTGCTCGGCAGATGTCTTCTTGTTTGGATCAGCGGCCTTCTCTTCGTCCTCATCGTCCTCATCATCTTCAACATCCTTCTTCTCCTCGTCGAGCTCATCAAGTTCATCCAACTCGTCCAACTCGTCCAATTCGTCTTCCTCTTCTTTCATGTCCTCATCAGCTTCCAGGTCAGCCTCTGAGCTGGAGATATCACTGGAGTCGTCCTCACCTTCCTCAGCTGACTGATAGAAGGTGGCCTCGTTCTCTGAGGCACTCTCATCGCTCTCAGGAAGCGGCTGAGGCAGAAGCTTGGGTTTTTTGGAATCTTGTGCTTTAACGGCCTTAGCAGAACGCTTTGTGCCTTTACCCATGGTTCTTGATATTGTTAGCTGGAGGCGATGGGGCTAAATTGAAAAACTCCATACTGCGATGAGATCATGTGCCGGACCCCAGTCCGGCTGCACCAACGGCTTGAAATGGTCCCTACCGTCGGAATTCTTAAAATATCTCTGTTCAGATATTTTCGTATATATTATGAAAACAATGTAGAATCTAAATATGAGTTTGTGCAAGTGCAAGTCTTTTTCAATGTTCGAGTGAAGCGACAAATTCATCCATTGTAGCATTATGAGCCGTAGTCTAGCGAGACGTCAAATACTTTGCTTTCATTTTACCGCCAAATCTGAGGTCTTCGATCAAGAATTGACCTATGAGGTAAAGAATCAGGAGTAGTTTCGGCGACCACAAATGGCTCCAGATGATAGTATTGCATCTGCCTCCTGTGAGATAAGGTATCTTGTGTGAGGTGATATAATCCTCCCCTGAGAGCTGTACGGCTACAATTTGATAGACCATAAATTTGATTAATTTGAAAGATATGTGACATTACCTCATATCATATTGCGAGGCACCGCCAACTTTTGCCATCAAAAGACGTCTTTTAAAGCACCCCGTGAGATCCGCGCACCCAATGGCAATGCACTGTAATAAGCTATGTAGTACCACATCGATAGCAAGTGCTTTTTCTTCAATCAAGCCTGAAATTCAACAGCAGACATGCTTAGATTCGCCTCCGTTAGACTCCTTGCGCAAAGCGCCAGCAGAACTGGTTTCATGAGATCTGCAATGAGAACCAGCATTGCTCACTACAGCAACGGTACCCCAGTTACCGAGATCACTGACTTGGATCAATTTGCCAAATTCACAGATTCCGAGACCCCGTCCGTCATTGACTTCTATGCCACCTGGTGTGGTCCATGCAAGGCAATCTCTCCAATTTTCGACAAGTTGGCACACGCTATTCCAGAGGCTCAATTCGCTAGAGTTGATGTCGACATTGCTCACGAGGTTGCCCTTGCCAATGAAATCACCGCCATGCCTACTCTCAAGCTCTTCAAACAGGGCGAGGAGACAGGCAAAATTGTTGGCGCTGACCTTCAAAAGTTGATTCAGTTGATCCAGGAAAGCACTGGTGTGGACGTCAAGCAGAGAAAGCTCTAAGGGGTCAAGTTCAATAAAGAATATAAAAAACGACTTATGGTCTGTAGATGTGTCTTGGTGAAATTTGTCATCACACAAGTAACTGTCTTTGAGGTTCTCATACGAGAGGTTCATGCCGCCTCAAACATTGTATATTTGATTTGGGCGCCGTATTTCTCACACAAAAGCAACTAGACTCCAACTAGACTCTGATTGTAATCAAAGGCAACAAGTCCAAGTTTGCTTGTGTCTGAAAGCTGGGGCTCAATAGTGTTTCCTCGCCTGAGGTGAGGGCAATTATTGGTGCTGTACAATTGCACAGGGATAAGTTACTTAGCCAAAAGGCCAAGTTAAACATTTTCTATTCCTTATAATCAAATTTACAGCAATTCATTAAATTATCGTATTTGGACTTCTAAATTGTTCATTGCTTAACTACTGCACGTGACTCCAGTTCAACTATGTATTCAAAGTGGCGATCTCACTCACCAACACTACACGCCGAATCCACTAATAGCACATTATGGTATGTTACAATATATAATAGTGAATTGCTTTCAGGTTTACTAACATTTCAGGGACAAGGAGCATCTATGCCTGGCGGGGGCGACCCTGGCAAAAAGAAGGACGACAAGAAGAAGGAAAAGCCAAAGTACGAGCCTCCTGTGGAGTCCAAGTTCGGTAAAAAGAGAAGAAAGGGACCAGATACGGCAGTCAAATTACCTAGTGTCCATCCAAGTACGAGATGTAAATTGAAATTGTTGAAGTTGGAGAGAATTAAGGACCACTTGCTCTTAGAGGAGGAGTTCATTGCCAATCAGGAAGCATTCCAGCCCACTGAGGCTAAGCAGGCCGAAGAAAGAGAGAAGGTCGACGAGGTGAGAGGATACCCAATGTCCATTGGTACCTTAGAAGAAATCATAGACGATGACCATGGAATTGTCTCGACTACAGCAGGTTCCGAATACTATGTGTCCATCATGTCTTTTGTGGATAAAGGTCTTTTAGAGCCCGGTTGCTCTGTGCTTTTACACCATAAAACTGTCTCCATCGTCGGTGTTTTGCAAGATGATGCTGACCCTATGGTCTCTGTGATGAAATTGGACAAGTCGCCTACTGAGTCGTACTCTGATATCGGTGGTTTGGAGTCCCAGATCCAAGAAATCAAAGAAGCTGTCGAATTGCCTTTGACGCATCCAGAACTATACGAAGAGATGGGTATCAAACCTCCTAAGGGTGTGATTCTTTACGGTGCCCCAGGTACTGGTAAGACTCTTTTGGCAAAGGCTGTTGCCAATCAGACAAGTGCCACTTTCTTGAGAATCGTTGGTTCTGAGTTGATTCAAAAATATCTCGGAGATGGTCCAAGATTGTGTAGACAGATTTTCCAAATTGCTGGCGAGCTTGCACCATCGATTGTCTTCATTGATGAAATTGATGCTATCGGTTCCAAGAGATACGAATCTACTTCCGGTGGTGAAAGAGAAATTCAAAGAACGATGTTGGAGTTGTTGAATCAGTTAGATGGTTTCGACGACAGAGGCGACATCAAGGTCGTTATGGCCACCAACAAAATCGAGAGTTTGGACCCTGCATTGATTAGACCGGGAAGAATTGATCGTAAGATCTTGTTCGAGAATCCCGATTCTAACACCAAGAAGAAGATCTTGACCATCCACACATCTAAGATGAGCTTATCATCCGACGTCAACCTAGATGAGTTAGTCACCTCGAAGGACGAGTTGTCTGGTGCCGATATCAAGGCGATGTGCACGGAAGCAGGTTTGTTGGCATTGAGAGAGAGGAGAATGCAAGTCAAGGCCGAGGACTTTAAGACTGCGAAGGAGAGAGTACTCAAGAACAAGGTTGAAGAGAACCTCGAGGGCTTGTACTTGTAAAGGTGTATAATAAACAAAGTTACGACATCCGTATATGTATTAATTAGTCATCCGAGTTACGCATCATTCTGAGAATGAACAAAAAGAGGTTCAAGATATCCAAGTAGAGCTTGATGGCAGCGGGAACCTCGTCGTCAAGGTGCATGGACTTCATGATAATCTGAGTATCCACGACAATGTAAGCACTAAAGAGGATAGCGCCGAGCCCGGAGTAGACCATGTTGACAGTCTCCGATCCAGGGAAGAACATCATCACCAAGCCCCATCCGATAATTGCCCACAAGCCCATACCTAAGGCACCTTGCCAGCTTCTAAAGTCATATTTCGTTTGGAAAGCGAAGGCAGTTAATCCAACGAAAATCACACCAGTTGTAAGCGCAGCCTTTACGAGAACCTCAGACTTGTCCAAAGAACAACCTAAACCAACAATGTAAGCTTCACATAGGGTGAAACCCGCAAGTAGCATGAGATTTGTAGGGTAGGAGCGGGCCTTGATGTGGGCACCGATCATGAAACCAAAGGCACCGATGAAGGATACCCAGAAGAGCCATTGGTTATTCAAGCACCAATTTTGCACGGACAGGCTCAGTTTGATGAAGAAGCCCACAGCAACGGTAACAAGGATCTGCAAACACAAAATGGCATACACTTTTCTGATAAACATCTGACGAACTGGCAATTCACAAGCTGCCACGTTCAGGGAGTACTTGAAGTCATCAGGAATATTGTCACCATCGGTTCTAGCGCCCGAAGGTTCTCCGTATGGCGAGTTAGCCGTAGACGACTCATAAGCAGGAGGTTGAGTCTGTGGCTCCTGGGGTAACGTGGAGTAAGACATTGTGTTGAATTATGGCGAAGTAAACGGTTGCGAGATAAGTGAGAATGGGAGGCAAGGCAGATATATATATGCGCGCAGTCACGAAGTCCGGGGAAACATGGAGCGATTCTAGTACTTGGACATGATTTTAAATGACTAAATTGAATTTCGACAAGTTTGATTGCTATGATGAATTTTGTTGAAAAAAAGTCTATTTGTTGAAGAGCGATTCGAGAATGTCAGGTCTTCGGAGATTTGGTGGCAACGTTGCCTTCCGCTGCTAGGACGCTAGACGGTAGTATCCAGAAAAGGCAACTTTGCAGCGGCGAGAGCATGGCACTTTGTATCTAGCTTAACAGAATCCAGCACCAAAGAGGAGTTTCTTAGAGTTCAAAAAAGCGAAGACTTGTTTTGTTAGCATAGTTTTGCTCGATGTCTGCTATCTAACAGACATAGGAAATTAGTGAGGCAGGGACCTGAGAGTAGTTGAGAGATCACGCAGTTAATGAGTTAGTACAATGAAGACCAAATGTGGCTGTGCTACTTCTTTTACAAGGGGTAGATCTCTGAGATATAGCCTTTCGAGGTACAGTGAGTTTATGGACTGCTAATGTGATTGGGTGCAAATCTGTGATAAAACCCAATCAAGACCGATATCGAGCAGATAAAAGCCGATACAGAACTTTCTCTCAGATTACAGGAAGACAGATAAGTATGTTTGTGTCCAAATTGCAAATATGATAAACAACTGCCTGCTAAATAATACTGCGTTAAGCCACTCCCGTATATCTGCGTCATTACACCGAGCCACTGGTTTTTCCTATTGTTGATCCAGGTAGTTCACTTTGATGTCACCAATATTGCAGCTACAATGTATGTTTTCGGAAAACGGGTTCAAGACCCGCCATGCTTGTCTATAAATAAGTGTAGTTGTATCGTATCGTCGTGAAATTATGAGCGCCCATCAAGAGCTTCCAAAACCTGCCATTACCCATTACCAGGGGTAAAAGTTTGCAATGTAGGACCAGAAGTTACTTTTCCTCGAAAAGCTCATCAATGTTATCATTTTCCTCGTCACTGCCGTCTTCCTCTAGCTTCCGTTTCTGGCCCCTCTGGCCACCGATAATGATCTTCTCCTCACCATTATCTTCTTCCTCGGAATTCTCATCTTCCTTAGGCGGCTCTACCTTGCGGCCTGTTCTGAGCCGTAGCACTAGAGCATCCTTGAATGCTGCTGGTTTTCGACACATGGGGCAAAGACCAACACCACGTCTTCCGCGTGTCTGGCCCTGGGCCGAAGATGCTGAAATACTCTGCTGGAGACACTCCAAGCAGTAGACGTGTCCACAGAAGGTGGTGGTGGCGTTGGTGACCGTATCGAAGCAGATCGGGCACTCTGCCTCGTTGAGTTTTTTCACGACCTTGGGTGGCGCTTCGTTTATAAGCTCCTGAGTTCTCTTCCTAAACTCTAGAACCTGAACCTCATCGTCGTCCTCTTCGTCTGATGGGATGTTGATGACAAATGACATGAAGAAGAAGAGGTTATGCGAGTAATGTGTGTGTCTAATTCCGTGCAGGGCTGACGGAAAAAAGTGTGTTTTCTCTTGCTGCGCGAAACACAGCGAAGTCAGATTTGGCTGTCACGGCGAGAGGATGAGAGAACGGGGAGAAAATGAAGTATAACTCATGCACCACGCATATTTGGATCTGATCAGTGAAATTGGCCTCAAGAATCGCGGCGATCTTTCTACCCTCCTGAGGCCACAAAAAAAAAAAAAAAAAAAAAAAAAAAAAGTGGAGTCAATATCGAACCATCAGTTGAGGGTCGATAACCTTAAAGCCCGGTTTTGCCGAAGACCTTATCAACAGGCGCGTGTGGCTAGGGGGATCTTGTGGCTAGTGGGATTGTTCTTTGTTCGAATCAAAGCCTACCAGCGTTTTTTTCTCCTGCGGTCACGTCAAACGGCGCTCCTTGTTTTGGTATTACTCATTCTGTGGAATGTGGATGGCATGGTGAGGCTGGCGGAACCGGCTTCTTGGAAAACCCGAGATACCACGCCAGCCGTGCGGATCTGCACGAAAGCCACAATGTACGGTTCCGCCCGCTGTTTTTTTGTTCGTCCCATTCTTCACTTTTCTACCATTCTTCCATTTTTTTTTTCTTTGCCATTCTTGAAGCTTCTGTTTTCTCGTCTGTGGCAAGTGCATTATGGCGCAGGCGCAACTTACCGGTGCGCCCAGCGGCAGCAACAGCCATGTGGCTGCGAATGTCTCAACTCGGCGATTTGCTCGAGCAGTTCCGGCGACCACGAGAGAAAAAACAACATGTTTTTGAATAAACAACCGAGAAAATGCTTATTTTGCAGAATCTCGGATGTTTCTGCGAGAAATTGGCTCCTGTTTTCCCCATTCGACCGCAGCAGCACAGAATGGGTCGACGCAGGCGGAGCGGTGGGGTCTCTTTTTTACCTGGCGCCTGCCCAAGCAGACTTTCCTCGCGCCTGTTTCATGCAGCATGACCAGGCACAAGACAGCCAAGTCTTGAAAAGAGCAGAGCTTGGGAGCCCGCAAACGAAACAGAAAAAAAAAAAATAGAAACAACAAAGCAAAAAAGTTTTGAATTACAGGGAGGTGGGGGCGGGTGGTTGAAAAGTGCTTTTACAAGAAGCACAATAGAGCACAAAGCAGACTAACGTAGAAGCTGCGGCAGCAGCAGCAGTCTGATCGGCACGGCCTGGGTAGAAAAGCTAATTCGGTTGAGAGCTGCTGGTGGACTGGAGATAGGGCGCCTGCACCGCACTTGCCGTTTTCTCACTCCAGTCTCACCTTCGTCTCAGTCTCACTTTTTCTTTACTTACTGGTCCCCAGATTATAGGAATTAGCCATGTCGAGCCACCACGACCCGCTCTCCGTGGCGTTGCCTTACCAGTTTTCCAACCAGGACGACTTCCCCACGGAAATCGTTGCCCATCGTTTCCAGGCATGGCGCTACATCCTTAAGGACCTTATAGCGTACCTAAGGCAGTATGCCTCCGTGCAAGAAGAGATTTTACGGCAGCAGGCCCGTCTCCAGCAGGCTGTTGGTGCCTCTGCCGCCGTGGCATCGTCAACGCCGACTCTAGGCAGACCGCCCAAGGACAAACAATGGCAGGACGACCTCCAGGCGATCAACGAGTACTTCTTGCCCATTGGCAACGGCTCCATTCAAGATATCCCCACGATCCTCACGCGGTTCCATCAGCAAAACATCGAAAACGGCACCAAGACCTTGAAAGAGATCCAGCTGGTGGTGATCCCGCGGTTGGAGGACTTGCGCAAGGACCTTGTGCTCAAGATAAAGGAGATCCGCAAGTTGCAAAATGACTTCAAGAACACCTTGTCCAAAGATTTGCAAGACTCCAGCGCTCTTTTGAGCAAATTCAACCATGCCATCGAAATCGCCAACCGCCACGAGTTGTTGACCACCTCTGGCGAGCCCGTCCCTCATTCCCATGATTCCCACCACGAGCTCGATAGCTCCAAGCGTGACCCATACTTGGTCCGCCTTAAGCTCAAGGACCAGCTCAGCAGGCAGCTCAAGGAGGAGCGCTACCTCTACGACGCATATGAGAACTTGCAGCTGTCGTCCCAGAAACTAGAATCCATTGTTGTGCTGGAAGTACAGAACTGTCTCCTGATTTTCCTCAATTTGGTTCAAAACGAGCATTCCACGATTCCAGAGTTCTTGGTGCCTCGTCTCTCCGACGGCTTCCTTTCCAAGGAGTCCCTGTTTGAGTGGAACTCCTTCATTGATCGTAATTTGCCCAAGACGTCCACCATTTCTAAGAACCTCATGTCCGGTAAATTTATCGACTTGCTGTTCCCAGCTAGAAAATTGGCAGATCTTAATATTCCACACTTTGACTCGTTGGTCAACTTGCCTATTCGTGAGGGTGTTTTGGAGAGAAGGTCGAAGTTCTTGAACAAATACTCCAGTGGCTGGTACGTCTTGACCTGCAGTTATCTCCATGAGTTCAAAACGAACGACAGAAAGCGTGATCCACACCCTGTCATGTCTCTTGCATTAGATACTTGTTCAGTCGACAAGCATACAAAAAAGGATGACTCCAAGCTGTTGGGCTCTTACAAGTTCATCTTGTACTCCAAGCAGCAAAATGGTATCATTCATAGAGGCCATAACTGGTCTTTCAAATGCGGGACTTTCGAAGAGATGATCCTGTGGTACAACGACATCAAGCAATTGACACAATTGGCATCGCCTTCTGCTAGAGCAAAGGCCTTCAGCAAGGTACTCCAGGCGAAGAAGATTGAGGCTGGAGATAAGAAGATGTCAAGAGCCTCAAGTTTATTGTCCGCTCAGACTGGACCCGCTGCTCGTTCCGTCCGTTCCAATTATACCAATGCATCCAAGACTCGTCAACCTTTGAGTCCAGCACAATCTTTGCGTTCAAAGGCATTATCACAGACCGTATCGGCTACATCCACCGGTCAGAACCAGCGCTTGTCCTCGACATTCTCGCAGAAGAATTACCACCAGTCACCAAAGCTTTCAAACTTGATTAATAGTGACGGTACCATTGTGACTCCAGTCGATACACATCAGGCTGAAACCTTTAAAGACCACGAGCATGGAGACACAACCTTGGCAGGTCAATTGAGCCAATACGGTGACGAGCAAGACCATGATATCCAGCATGATCCTCAATTCGATCAATATTCTCAAGGGGGTCCTAAATCAGTGCCAATGCAAAATGGAACGCAAGGCACACCCCAGCAATTCATTCCGCAGAACTACCAGTACTATTTCAGTCAAGTAAACTCGCAACCTCAACAGTTTTATGACCCTGTTCTGCAACAGTTCTTCACAATCAATGCTATTCCTGTTCCGGATGCCTCTCAGGTACCATCATCGTCCTCGCAAGGCCCTACATCCACACAGCAGCTGCAAGCGGGGCGTACTCCAGTACAGGGGCAGCCCATGCCACAATATTTCCCACTGTCGCCTCAGGCCCAGCCCCAGGCTCAGTACTTTCCAGCATCACCCAATTTCCAGCCCCAGATTATTCAAACAGCAGCCACGCCTCAGCAAGGGCATCAGGCTGAGAACGGTAGAGTGAAGGCGGCATATGTGCCTCACTTTCCACAGCATTTTAACGAGCAGGCTCCCAGTGGATCTGGGGCCAACGCTCAAGGAAAGCCCAGCAATTTGCCTTATCCCACCAACTTGGAGCAGCATCCAGGCCAATCGAGACAAAATCTGACGACGTCCACTGGCTCTCTCACGGTGGCCAAAACGGTACCAGGTGCGTTCAAGACGGTTGATGAGAATCTCCACACGGATGATCAGATTTCTCAGGCCAACATCAGGTAATTTGTATGATTGTATGAAAATTTGTATGAATGTCATGTAATACTACAGTGAAAACTACAATGATCTCTGTCGAATGATTAATGTATGATATACAATGAGGTCGTGAGGGAGAATGAAGAATATGTCTTAAACCACCACACCGGAGTTGGAGGCGATTCTTGGCCACAAGTCAGCACACTCCTTGGCGACTGGACCAGTGATAGCAGAACCCTTCATCTCACCCTTAGGGTTGACAATGACACCAGCGTTGTCCTCGAAGTACAAGTAGGTACCGTCCTTTCTTCTCCATGGTCTAGCCTGTCTAACGACGATGGCTGGCATGACCTTCTTTCTCAACTCTGGCTTACCCTTCTTGACGGTAGCCATGACCATGTCACCAGCGGAAGCAGCTGGCAATCTGTTCAATCTAGCACCGAAACCCTTGACGGCAAGAATGTAAAGGTTTCTGGCACCAGAGTTGTCGCAACAGTTAACGACGGCGCCGACGGGCAAACCCAACTGTCTGTTAGTATATTGTTATGTTTGGCCAGCATGGAGGTAGCGTAGATTCTTCGTTCGTTGATGGAAGTATCGATTATGTATGGAAGGTTGGATTTTCACTAGACTTGGATGGATCGTATTGAATAATTTGCTGGAACTCGGGAATTGTCATGAAAGGTACATACAGACATACGGAACTTGTTACCGGAAGCACCAGAACCAGACATGTTTGATATAGATGTAGTTGGAGTGACTTCTGATTTTTTTTTCTAAGTGAGTGAGGCAGGGTAGTGCGAAAAATTTTTTGGTGAAGAGCCTGCACAGTGTCGAGAGCGAGGCCTAAGGCCCATAGTTAAGGCCTAGTGCGACCTAGGGCTGAAGCCCTATATGTAAACGTCGTCACATATATCAGTACAGTCGACCAACACGGGTACACCGAAGGTATGATGGGGATGTTTGGTCCAAACATGTTCTTTCCTAGCACGAAAGGGTGTTTACGGAATTGTACTTGAGGAAAGTCAAGTGCACAGCGTGTGAAATCGTAGCCACCTCGAAAGACAATAAACTACAGTCTGTGATCCCGATCTCAATTAAGAAGCCGTTTAGCGATGATAAGAATGACTGATTCGGGAACAAATTATCATTGCTTTTTCAAACCTTAGCTTTGATGGTTGCCCTATTGTAGATTGATCCTCGATTCATGTATAATCCTATTGCAAGCCCCGATGCCGCATATCAAACAAGGCTGCTAATCATCCTTTTTAAAACCTAAATCAAGGACTCAAATAAACGTCTATGATCATTTGGAAGAGGGTCAGTCTAGTTGTGATGGAACTATAGGCGATAAGCTCTCTCGCAGAATGGCTGCGAAAACCGGCCACGATAAGGAAGCACAAGGCAGCACTCCAAATGACACGAATGAAGGGTTACATCGTAACCTGGTGACCTCAAATACTTTCATCTATCTCTAAAAGCTCAATTGTGTCTCATTCCGGCCGTTCTGTCAATGCTACTGTTCATTGACATTATCACAGCACCCATCAACTACACATTGTAACTCGCTCATAAATCATTGAATATATAGGTATCATTGCTCTGCAACTATGTTGCTCTATAGCCCGTGCCGGCATTGTAGGGACTCACCTTTTGGTACGAATCATAACTGTCCGTAGGGTAGTATGCCGGTTGAGCTTGTGCCATGGGCTGGCTTCTAGGGTACATGTTGGCATTATGGTAAGGGTCTTGCATCTGGCGAGGCTGGGGTCTTCTGTTGCTGCGACTGCAACAGCAGCAGATGGCCTGAGCACAACTAAAGCCTAGGCAGCAGCATCTGAAAAGGGTAGTAAGAATACTGATGGCCACGATACAAGCAAGAACGATACCGACGATAGCGACAATCTTGCAGGTTGTGTTGTCCATACACGTGTCCCAGGACTTGAACGACTCAGCAGTCGATCTGACGTCTCTCCTGGAGAGACCCGAGACTATATCTTTGGGGCAGGTTGGAATGTACATCGGGTATTGGGAAAATGCGGGTGGTCGGGAAGAAAGGTTGGTGGAAAAGTAAGTTGTTGACTGTTTTGCAAAACAAAAATGCCTCGAATTCTTCAATGGCTAGCACCCGATCCGGAAATTCGTGTTTATATATTTTCTTGGACTGAGCCCCTGTGTTATTGTGGCATGGCTGATATCGCGATTAACGAGGCAGCGCGCATCAAGAAGGCACAGCCTGGAGTGCGTTAGTGAGGGTTATTTATAGGACGGCATAATGTTTTGGTCCAACCAGGCCTTTCTTCACCAGGGCCTAACCATAATATTTAATGGTGCATGACGAGGCACCGCAGTACGGCTGCGCCGAATCGGGTAATGTTGTGATTTGCAGCTCAGGGCTGTGACAGTCATGAGGCGTCGACCGTTATATATGCACTTAGCCGCTCGGGCTGGACTAGAGGGTAGGCTTTTTATAGAAAACCGTTTTGACAAACTGTTGATGCGAGCCAAAAGTTGTTGTCCGACAAATGGTAGATGACAAAGTGGGGCAGTGCAGTGTTCAGGGATGGAAGAACATAGACAGGAGTCCGAGAAATTGGCTCTGATTGCAGCCAGGCTGTTTCGTGGCGTAGATCCGATAGACATGCCAGGATTTAGTTGGCAACAAGGAGAAGGACAGGGACACATGAGTGGGCCTGAGTATGCAGCTAGGAGGAAAGCCTTTGATCTGATTTCAGATAATCCTAGGAAACAAGGCGTTTTTGCATCATAGAACCCGTCGTCGATTGGAGAAGCGGACTTGTACCTAATGATCTGAACCCAATGCCAGTGCCCACCTAAAACCACTTTTATCGGCTTCACAAGATCATCCAGCCGCATGATTCTGGGTTCCGGCCGATGCAAATCATGGAAGGAGTGATCTCGCTTTGCTATGTGGCTTGTGTCGGAGATCTAGCCGGCTGCGGTGAAGCTGAGGAAGATCATGAAGTCAAAAGTTAAATAACATTCCCAAGCCAGCATGTAGCCTTCCTTGGTAATAAGTTGTGATTCAGTGGTTGATTTTTAATCATAATAAAATAAAGCAAATATGCTTTTGACTTTGGGTGTTATCATAACATAATCTGTCGCCGATTGGTTGGTAAACTGTAATTCTCAAGTGTGACCATATCAGCGACTCTTCCCAAAGCAAATTGAAATTTTTGGAAAGCGAACTAGTGGAATTTCAGCTAATTGGAAAAACCATGTGCAATAGAGACATGACAAGAAACGACGTCATGGCGAGTAATGAAGGGACCACAAAGCACCGCGAATGACGTAGAAAGCTATACTAAAGCTACAAGACAATGGAACCAGGGCTCCATTCGCGACATTTCTCGAATGATCTTAGTAACACGATTGAATGGGCGACATGGTGTCACGAATCGAAGACGGTTGTCGAGGAATCACATGAATCAGATGATGCCATCGATCAATCTTAATAACGCATTCATGTTTGTTTTTTGGGTGTGCAAGGAGAAAGTCTGCTTGCCTAGAGCATAAGTCACTGCAGTGATTTGGATAAAAGTATAGACGATCTTTTAGGGGCTCGCATTTACGTCAGAGGAGTACAATAGAGCATCTCATTTGCCTTAAACCTAAAATTAGAACCACCAAGCAACAATGGTATCACGGACCTATCACAAACTCCCAGAACGCAAATTGAATGCTCTTGTATTCCGTGCTCGATGGAGCGCACTTTCCTCTTTGTTATAACCGCTAGAGGAGGAATCTTGCAGTGCCGAGACGCGCGGAAGTTTCCAGACTGCATGCGGGAACATTTCTAGAACAGGCACTGAACGCGGTCTGTTTGAGCTACAGAGGTGGAAGGAATGCTTGAATTCGTAGTATTAACCATGTAACACGCTAGGACGTGAGAATAGAAGTAAATAAAATTGAGTTAAAGAGCGATGTAGAACATTGAACTTATCGTGACTGGAACCGTAATCTATGCCTAGACAACCGTGAACGCCGCGTATGCCACAGGAGCGAGGCGGCACTTTGGGCTATTTGTTTGCCGCATGTTATGTGTTGACAACCTTCAAGGAGCCAGGGTTGCGTTGCACCATGTCGGGCAACGACCCGTTTGAAAGCCGTCGGCGCCCAAATTCCTCGGGCGGCCGTAAGAAGTCATTGTTCGGACCTTCCGGATCGTCACTGTGCCGTGCCTCGTAGTAGAAGGCCTCCTCGTTATTGGACGAATACGACTTGGTGGTGTTGGAGTTATTATGCGTGTGCCCACCTTGGGCAGCCGGAGCAGCGCCGGCCATAAATGGGTTTGGTGCCATCAGGTTGAACGATTTGTCGTTGGCACCGCCCATGTCGAAAAATTGCTCGTCATCATCGTCGTCGTTGTTGTCTCTGCGTCTCCACCAGCAGAAGAATAAGAATAATGCAGCAATGATAGCTACACCCGCAACACATCCAATGACAATACCTGCAATGCTGCCGCCGGACAAGGAATTTCCGCCTGAATCAGCCTGTCTGTGCTCTGGCAGTGCCGTGCCCGACAGGGAAGATGAGGATTCAGAGGGAGATGACCGGACGGTTGTGGTGATTTCGACGACGGAGGAGCCGCTACCGCTGGCGCTTGCCGTAGCTGTAGAAACAAATGTGCTTGTTTTGGCGTCATCTGAGGACGAGGAGGATGAATGCAGGGGCGGCGACGTTTCCGAAGTCGAGGAGGCGGCCGCAGACGAAGATGAGAAGGGCGTAGTCGAAGATGATGTTTCCGAGGAGCTGGAGGAGCTGGAGGAGCTGGAGGAGGAAGATGTCGTGGAGGATGTCGATGTTGATGAGGATGACGAAGACGACGACGAAGACGACGACGAGGACGAAGACGAGGACGACGACGAAGCGCCGAAAGTGGTGGCGTCGGCGTCGGCATTGACGTAGACATCGAAGTAGCCGTCACCACCACAGTTCTCCTTGTCGTAGCCCTGGCAGGGGGAGTCACAGCTTGAGCTGGAAACCAGGAGACTGTCGGCCGGGATAGCCAGACCGCAGTAGCACGACTTGCCGTCGATCAACGCAGCCACGGCCTTGCCCTCACAAGCCAGTTGGCAATGGCCCAGGGACTGGTACATGAATGAGTCCTCCTTGGACAAGTGGGACAGTAGGTCTGATTGGCGGAAACAGCCCAAGTTGGAAAAGCTGTCGGCGAGGGTGCCGGGGGCTACTAGTAGTAGCGCAAAAAGAAGGAGCATGGCGATATGAGGCCTGGAGCCCGGGGGAACGAATATGTGTGGGTTTGTTGGGAGGTGAAAAAGAAGAAGAAGAAACGGTGGGAGGTAATTGTCAAGGGCCTGAATGGTGTCAAGCCCGTGTGCACGCATGGCAGAGGCCGCAAAACAAAACAAAAATAGATGAACCAGACAGTGCAGGCGTGGCCCCAGCAGCAGGGCACGAAATTTAAGGGGAGAACGGTGGGTCTAAAAAATAAGGAGAGGCGATAAAGCAATTTGAGATTGTTATGGGTCGATCGAGGGCCATGTTCCACGATATTCGCCAATTCTTTGGGTTTGTTTGGATCAAGGATAAGAAGGCGTGCAGCCCGAGGATACGAGGCCAGATCGTGGCCGGTGGTAGAGCAAGCGCAAGAAAAAGGCACATTAGGCGAGATCAGGCCTCAGTCAGATTAGGGCCGAAGGGACAGAAAAAAAAAAATAAAAAAAATGTATGCCACAGGCGCGAGCCGATATAGGCGAGTCTGGATTGCTCTGCCAGGCGCAGGCCCCATACCCCAGGCGAACGATTGGCGTATACCGCGATTGAGCGATTTACACGGTGGATTTTTTGCAAAAGCTATGGATGACTGACGAGAGAATTGATTTGATCAAGAAGAGGCGACTTTTGATTTGCCCATTCGGCTACAATGGGCTTGTCCAGCTCCCACGGAATGGCTGCGAATTCGCCGCAACGGTGCGGTGGACCTGTGTTCCATGGCAGTGCGCCCGGAAGGTTCCAGTTGTCTGTTGAGGTCCCAGCAAACAATGGGTGGAAACTCTGGGCACAGTGAGCTGGGGCGGCTGAAGAAATGTAGAAAAAAAATAAGCGGAAAACTGTAGGAAGCGACAACGGCTGATTTGCTGAAGTAGCGTGGGCTTGGAAACATTTGCACCTCAAACGCCCGCGATCGCCCAAGCCGAGACACCTACAGGGGTGGCTCCGAAATCGGTTGGGATTTGATTTTCTCTTGTGTGACCCCTCAAAGTCCAGTTGCTGTGGCCCCTACCCACAAAGGCCTTCCGAAAAACTGTGACCCCATTCTTCGCCTGGTATATATTCCCGCCCAGAATCATGAGATCTCTTTGTCTGCCGCTGGGTTTCGCAGCCAGTCCTGCAGTGCGCCTCATCTTAGATGAAGAATTTTTTTTTCCCGCTCATTTCTTCTCTAAGGCCTCCCACCTGTTCACACCATTGGGGTTTCTCCAAAATTCGTGTGGACCCACGGTACCACTCTGTGGCGGGGGCCTCAGAGAAAAAAAAACCCTTTTCGCTAACAGCGGCCGAATCCCACGCGCCGTCGTTTGATAGTAGTGGGGCTTACATTTGAATCAGCGTAGTCACAGAGGGCTTTTGATGGCCACATCGGGCATCCAACGACTGCTGCCTTCAATTGAGCAGGTCAGAGTCTGGTGGCCTGCTTTCTGTCTCATTGACCTGCTCAAGCCACTCTCTTAACCAACCAACCAACCAACCAACCAACCAACCACCAACCAGCTTGATCTCTAGCATTCATCTCAAAAACCACTTCACGAAATCCTCTAATGAAGGAGTTCCATCGTCTTCAAGACCTCTTCATCAATTTCTGTTGTCCCGTTTTCAACTCTTCACTCTGTGTGCTACTAGCGTACTGCGCACTGGTACACACCATAATCAACTCCACTAATCTTCCCAAGCATGTCCCTTTCACCATCGGCTGTGCTGCTCATCGTGGAGAGACACAAGCAGGATCTTGAAACTTCTTCATCTTCAATTGCAGCAAATCCATTCCTACAAACCATCACTCTTCAACGAATCCAGAATGACCTTCCTCACCTACTACGTGCATTGAATGCCAACAAAGGAAACAAGCAACACGATTCAATCCAGGCTCAGCTCAATAGTCTATCAGCATTGGTTGACGAGCAAGATTACAAAATACAGAAAGCGATAGAGCGTCAGAATGCACAAAAGCAATCAAAGCTACCACAGCAAGCACTGTCAGTTGATCAATCCTCCTCTGATCTCACAACAAACGACAACACAGAGGAGGATTACGCATCCCTCAGGAAGAGGCTTTTGGCCGATGGCACATCTACATTTCTAGATGACCAAAATAAATCCGCAGATCAGATGAATGAGTACCACGAAACATTCCAAGAAGACATAATCAAGGACCTTTCAGGCCTCGCCTCTTCCCTCAAAAATTCCGCTTTTGCATTCTCCTCAAAGGTTACAGAGGACACCAAGGTGCTTAATGAGACCAGCGAAAACATGATGAAGAGTCTGTCATTAATGCAAACCGTCGGTACCAATCTTAATGGCTACTTGAACGAAAAGAGTGGCGGAAAGATCAGCATCTTTTTCCTCATCAAAATGATGATTCTCATTGTTGTCGTGTTCTTCATAGCTTTGGTGCTTATAAACTTCCTACCAAAGATGTGATCAGAAATTGAATTATAGTATATACCTTAGATGCTGTTCAACATGAGATTTCTAGCCTTGCGGCTGATGTAAAATATATTAGTCGTGAGCCATTAAACGGCTCTGCTTTTTCATTGGCTTGGATCCTTCGTGTTCTCGTCAACAAATTCAGTGTCAGAATTTGAGCTGTCGTCACTGGGCTGCGTCATGCTACTTGCAAACTGTGGCAAGTTCATGTTTTGGTTCACCTGCTGCTGGTTTTGGAATTGCCTAGGCAAGTTACCACATCTGTCTTTACCGAAATTGATCTTCAACTTTTTGTAGTCGTCGAAGGATTTGATGCCGTCAATAGCCTTGATGGCATTAGCAATGTTGACAAAGTTGATGAACGCGCAATTCTTCTCCTCGAGATAATTGATTTGCTCGATGTCACCAAACTTGGTGAAATCCTTCCTCAACTTCTTGGCGTTGTAGTACTCGAAATCGGTGATGTTACCAATGTAAATGTTTCTCAGCGCACCATTGGAGACAGCCAAAGACAAGGCGTTGGATAAAGGACCTGAGTGCTTTCCCCAGCCAACCTTGATTCTTCTGTTGTGAATAGTCAAGCCATGTAACTGGCACATAGCGAAAAATTGGGCAGCGGCGATCGGGTCGATGAATGTAATGAAGCAAACGTGTCTTTCACTCAAGAAACGGATACTTTGCAACAATCCACCCCTTACCACATTGCAAATCTCCTCGACAGAGGATTCCTGATGCAAATTACCCAAATAAACAGTTCTATTACCCAAGTTATTAGCGCCACCAGCTTGTGTGGCAATCTGTGCAGCAGCAGCAGACTGTTGCACCAATGCACTTGAAATGAACTCTCTATCGGCGGCAGTGACAACGTGCTCCATACCAGGAGCCAAACCTAAGTACTGTGCAGCGTTGTGCTGTTGCGTCTTGGTAATGAAGGCACACCTATCCTTACCGTAAAAGCATTTCTTGTCCAAGTATTTCTCCTTCAAAGGTAAGTTGGCAACGCACCTTATAGCACTCAAGATGGACAAAAAATGAATAAATGCAATACCCTTGTCTGGGATAACTTTAATGCAATCGATGACACCGAATGTAGACAAGTCCTCCCTCAACTCGTCTTCCAGGATGATTTCACCGGTAACAGGGTTGTTCAAGTTTCCAAGATAGACATTACGAGTTGCTCCATCCCTCTGGATAGCTTCCATCACAGCGGGCAAAATTGGTGCGTTCTTACCCCAACCGATACGAATATCGTTACCCTTAATATGGAGTTTCTTCAAAATGCAATCAGAATGGAACAACAATGCTGATTGCGCATCGATAAACGAGATGAATGCACAATTCTTGGAAGGTAATATCTTGACATTCTCCAAGATACCGCTTCTCACGTAATCTAACAACTCGTTGGGCTCGATGTCGCTCGGAATGTTACCCAAGTAAACCGTTCTGGAAGGAGCAACCTGCGTGGGCATGTTAGACCCGTTGTTGGGGGAAGGTGGTACGATACCTGCTTGGCCCGATCCACCAAGAAGAATCTCTCCACTGGGTGTCTGGGGAACATGACCAGCGTTACCGTCAACAAAAGGTGAGTGGCCGAAGTTTGACTCGCCAGGAAAGCCTCCAAGATTTAACTGCTCTTGCATCTGGCGGCTCAAGGCGGCATCTGCCGACAAAGGTTGGTGATTCGAGCCGTACGCGTGGGGGAGATCAGAGTCATCAAAAAAGTTGCTCTCTTCCACACCGTAGAGATCACCGTTGTTGAAGTGACCCGCATGAGGCAGGCGTTCTCTATCGTCATGGAAACCACCAAGGTTATCTGAGTGAGAGCCGAACTGATCATACTGAGCACCGGGGAGGAACTGATGCCGCTGTTCGTGCTGCTCCTGACCATGCAACTGACCGTTGGAGTCCAGTTGAGGGTAGTATTGGTAGTATGGTTGGCCCATATACTGCTGATGCATACCTTGATATGGGTTGTAGTATGACATTATGCGATGCTATGATATGACGAACGAAGGAATGGAAACACCAAGTATGAAAGCCCAAATGAAAGATGTTCGTAGAAATAAAAAGCCCACTGTAGCTGATTGATTATAAGATGATGTTTGTCCAGATGTCCAGTTGAAAAGAGTGAGATCGGGGTCTGATTCAAACTTCTTGACAAAGAAAAACAAGAATGTTATGGACGAAAGTGGCTGGCAGCGGGGAATGCAAGATTGAAATGGGGGCCGCCGGCTGTTGTGGACACAGATAATAAATAAAAAAATGGGGTGTCGAAATCACGGCAGTGTTCTGAGAACTGAAGATGAGTGTAGTTGCGTTGGAGAAAGGAAAGATCGTGAGGAAACTTTTTGGCCACAGGTTTCGCTGAAGAAAAAAAAAAAAAAAAAAAAAAAAAAAAAAATTAAAAAATAAAAAAAAAAAACTGCGACTCCTCGGACGTTTTTTTTCCCTTACGCTTACACTTGACAACGAACGGTCTAAATACACTACCGGTTGCAATTTACAAAACCTTGAGCTCATAGATTGGTACTTTGATTAAAACTCCGCCTTGAATCCCTGATTTGACTTGGCGCAGTGTACCGGTATTTCTTGACCTATGTGAAGGAGTATGTGTCCTCATGATGTTTTTCGCAACCACAGCCCAAACGTAGACAATTGGTGTTTGCAATCTTGTGACAGGTGATGATTCATCACCAATTAATATGAGCAGGTTTCATGAATTGTTTCTCAATCGCTGTAATCAGTCTCGCCCTCTTCCTCCTCGTCTTCGTCATTCACTTCTTCCACGGGCTGCGTCGTGCCTGACGTGCTGTCAAAGCCATCTTGCACGCTTGAATTCTCCTCACGCTTCACCTGAGTGTCGTTATCAGAATAGTCTGTGGCTTCTTCGGATTGCTCTGTGGCGCTTCCTTCCTCGACACTGGAATCCTTTTCTATGCTTTTAGTCTCCTCAAGGGAAGTGTCTTTCAAATTGTCATCAACTTCTTCTTTGATGAATTCAGGCTGCTCTTCTTCTCGTACAGACAATTCCACCTCCTCATCTTCTTGCTTTATGCTAGGCTGTTTTTGCTTCTTCTCCCTCCTTTGAGGCTCCTTTTTCACCGTTCTTCTCTTCTTGGCAGTGTCTTCCGAACCGGAGGAGCTACGCTTCTTGGAAGTTTTGGCTAGCTCCCTCTCTTGTTGCTTCTCTTCAAATGCTTTAAAGCCCTCGCCCTTGATGATCTCTTCAACTCTCACGCGATTTAAGTTGGTTCTGTTTTTCACCTCGAAGGTCTTGTTTAAATGTTTGATATCGTCTTCATCATTGCCCAGTAGTTCAAGAATTTTTTGTCGCTTAGCATTCAAAACCTGGTAAAATCGATCTTCAAGATCCCGTAGAATCGTGTTATAGTCGTCAGTGGTCTGCTTTATCTCCTCGTCTTTCGTTTTGGCATCTTCCCGCAATTTACGTAGCTCGTTCTCTGACGTCTCAATTCTTTTGACCAATTGAGTTATCTGATTAGACTGTAGCAGAACCCAATTTAGTATGTCTAGCTCACGTTTTGTTTCAATGTCCTGAGAATCTACCTCTCTAACCTGAGCTTGGAAAGAGCCGTACTCAACGCTCAATCTACCTTTCGAGCGAATCATGATTGTGAGTGTTGGCGGATCATCGGCCAAATCGCCATCAGTCAACTCTCCGGTTTTGCTGTTGTAGCTTTCCAGTGATTCGAGCTTCGCAGCGATCTCCACACTTTCTAGAGGTTCAACTCCAGTGTCTCCGGCCATCACGTCATCATTAAATAAACACTCGAATGTTTCAGTCCACAGCTTGTCGTCAATGTCTTTCTTCGACTTGCACCTTTTGACTTTGGTAGAACTCAAATCACTGCCATACATCCCTTCCTGACATGCAAAGAGCAACGAGTAGGATCTCTTGTCGTCTACTTCATGACTTTGTATCTTTATATGTAGCTGTGATGATTTTATAAACTGGTCAGTTTCTCTTTGATAAACGTCAAGAGGCACGGTGACAATTCGCCCTTCTAAAGCCATCCACTATGGTATCAAGTTTCATTTATAGATGCGCGAAACCCCAGATTTCGGCGCTAGAAAAAAGGGCACCATCCACAATAGATAAGTGCGAGGTTTTCGGGTGATGTTGCTTCTCTTATCAATTGTCTGACAGTAGCCTCGACACTCAAGCCTCCAGCATCCACTTTCTCCAAAACCGTGAGCACAGCAGCATTTGCTTCAGAACCGTCCTCTTGAGGTTCAGGAAGAGGAACTTTTGTATCATCTTGTAGTCTCTTTTTCCTTAGCGGTGAGATCGACCACAGATACAAAGGGTCCCATCTTAACGCATCAAGAATTGCGATGATATGCTCCTTGTGCTCTCTTAAAACTCTGAAAGTGTGTTCACACAGCTTGTCGAAGACCCCATGAACTCCTGTGAATCCAAACCCGTCCACAATATCTCTTGTAAGCCTGAAGGGAACTGTCTCGGGAATGGGGAGTCTTTTTCCTTGATCAAAGGCAACTCCAAGATCAATGTGCACTGGTTCGCCAGTCGTTTCCTCAAGCAATATGTTGTTGCAGTGTCTATCACCAAGACCTAATATATGGCCCACCATTGAGGATGATGCGATACCTCTAGTGAATTTTTGTCTGCTTTCGTACCAGTCGTCCGGAGTAACAAAATGGTCACTGAAGTACTGGTGAAGTACTGGATCAATTTTTGCGGTGACTGTCTCGTAGGTTTGAAGTCTTTCCTTCAAAGTCGAGCTTTGACAATCCTTCATCGCCTCCTTCGCTTTCTCGTACTTCAACTTGTCTTGTCTTTGATGATACGGCTTGATGACTTCGATGAGCGCCTTGGAGTTGGGGACAAATTCTATCACACCAGCTTTTGGTCCTAGTGGGATCGCCTTGTAAGTTCTGACATGTAGCTTTCGTTTTCTTGTCTCTCGGTCTCTTTCAAGGATTGTGTTCACTTTCTCGAAAACCTGTTCCATTGTTGCATCTTGCCTCAAATCATCAGTTCCGTATTTGAGAAGCATCTTGCGGCTGGAACCGTCTGACAAAGTGAATTTGGCAATCTTCGGCAAGCTGAGACCTGATGTTGCTATACTTACCTTGGGGTCGAAAGACACCATTCTTGGAATGTCCTTATAGCCATTTTTTGAAACAGGAATATTGAGCGTAGGAGGTGGGATTTCAGGCAAATCGTTAAGCCAGTATTGTCCAATCTCGAGTTTGTCGAGGTGCAAAGCACGTCCTCTCGAACTCTTATGTTTAGCGAGAATGGTTGACTCTTCACATAACTTTTCAATGGGATGAAGGATAGTTTTAGAGAACTCTTCGTCCTGGGCCATTAAGTTTTGCCTTATCTTTTCGGCTGCAGTGACCCTGAGAAGCATGGTATTGTTACCAGTGTCCTGTGCAACATCCTTATGGTATAATAATGAGATAAGCATGTAAAGTGTGTGAAACGGATGATCGAAGCAAAGCCTAATGATTAGCTGCTGAATGGAATACTGGAACTCATTAGCGTCACTTGAAAGGCGAGCCATCAATTGTGTAGACCATGAAAGTGCCTTATAGCTTGGGAGTAATTGAAGGTTTTGCTTTAGTGAAGCATGGAGCGGTTGGTAGGATGAAAGCTCAAGAAACAAGGATATAAAACGGTCCTCAATTTCTTGCCCCTCATCACTTGCGAGTAATGCGCTGAGATAAAATGTGGCACTTTTGCAACCAAATGTCATTGTAGTGTCTTCCAATGATTGTAGATCGATTGAGTCTGTAGCAACTTGCGCTTTGAGCCTGTTATAATACTTTTGAACTGATTTTCTTTCGCTTGGTGTGACGGCAGTCTTCCCGTAATGAGATTTGATTACCTCAATTTCATCCTTCTTTGCCTTTATGCGCAGCTTTAAATTACTTATCTGGGTTTTGAGAGCGCTGGCTTTGAACTGCTTCTCGCAAAATCTCGCTAAAAGCAGAAAGGACTTGAACCTTTGCAGCGAGTCATCAATTTCCGATAAGTTGCTCTCCATTGGTTCAACATACTGGCGTAATAAATTTTCACCGAGCTCCTCGCGAGAGTCCGCTAGCCACAATACTAAGTGAGAAACTATCATGCGATGGTCCAAGTGTAATAGATCTTGAGCTAATGAACCATTTGCCTCTTGTGAGACCAAGCTTTTAAGCATTGCAATCGGTGCAGTCGAATTTCCCTGCGTCCATAATGTCTGTGCAATTGAGAAAGAAACGAAATTGCGCGTGGTCTTCCAGTCAACCAACCCTGAAAGATGTGAAGTGTATTCATCCATGAGTACAGCTGAATTAAGCATTTTCTGAGAGTGGTTGTTCAACCTAGCAACTGCATTGTAAGTCAGAATCTCGTGAATGAGACCTTGCCAACATATACTTTGAGCCTCACTCGACTCCAATAGGGAACTTTTTGAAGACAGACCATCTATTCTCAATCTAAAGGCTTCTCTTCGACATAATAAGATGTTCTCCAGATTTTCAATATCAGCATCTTCAAACCAAGAAGACAAATGACTGAATTTGCGAATGTTGGTCAGAATTTCATCCTCTGTAGTCCTCAAGATATCGTCCACCTCTGTCAAAGAGGACAAAGTCACAAACCACCTCTGATACAATTGTCGATTAGAGCGGTGAGAAAGTTTTCCATCCGAGAATATCCTTTTTTGGAAAAAGGAATCACTTATTGCTTTATAAAGGCAATCTGAGGAATCCAGCAGTACTCGAAGACCCTTGAAATAATTATAAATAATCTCGTGGTCCGATTTGGGTTCCTCTGAAAGCGGTATGTTCCATTTGCTCAATTTCCAGCTCCATTCATAGCATCCTGTCTCGCCAGTAGTGTTCAGAGAGAACACCCTTGACATTCCCATCAAACCATCAGCAAGAAGAGACTTCGTTGTTGCACTATCGTCATTTGCCTCATTTCTCAAAGCTGCAGAGTCAAGGATAGCGAGATCGTTTCGCAAAATTTCAGAAGTTGACGCAATTCGCTTCAGCATATGGATAGTGTTGCTGAGAGTAGGCTCTTGGGGTACTCCGTAGAGCATATCAAGATCATCAATTGACTCATAAATGTTCAGGATGGATGTTCTCCATTTACCCCAATCAACTTTACTTCCCTTTCCTTGCGTTGCATCTTCGAGTAGTAGTAATGCAGTCATCGAGTGCTTGCTGTCTTTTAATACCAGGTAGATTTTTTCAAGGTTGAGTTTGGAATAGAGCCTTTGATAGATGCTTCCTTCATGTTTGGACCCCATTCGAACACAAATGACTATTCGAGCCAAAAGATCAAGGCCCCCAGCTCCTAAATGGACATCGCAACTGATCATGTTTTCTATGAGCGTCGAAATGATTGGTAGCGATTTCAGATCCAATAGGAAAAGGTAATAACACACTAGATGGGGTAAGCTTTCGGCTGCCAATTGAGGAAATTTCAAGACACAAATCGCAAATAGTGATGCAATGCTCGTATATCTTGCAATCTCTTGAAAGATGGCAAGCATAAGCTGACTGGACCATTCAGTGAATTCGTCAGCTATAACCCGCGACCTTAGAGATTCTATGACTTGTGAAAGGCCATCATTGCCATTCATCGGGTGACTCTTTTCTGAAACGATGAGAATAGATGAATGGAAATCCATTGGAATAAGGAAATCGCCGATATCGTCGACAAAAGCTTTGAAGTCAACAAACTTCTCACTGTCTGGTTTTCGAGCATCGAATTTCCATAGAAGTGCACTAAGAATGCATTCAGCAAATGCTTTTTCCGGGTAGCCACTCCCTCTCAGCATCTTCACTATCTGCTCAACAAAGAAGTTCATTGAGGAGCATTCGAGAAGAAAAATTTCGGAACTGGTTTTCTCGTACTCGGGCCTCTTGATCAACCCAGAAATGTCACCCTTTTTAGTGCAGTGCAAATAGTAAAAGCTTAGATACTTTGCAACCCAAATAGCAAACATGTTAGATTTCGTTTGCAGAAAATCAATATTCATAAAAAGCCTGACAACATCTTTTTCGGCTCGTTTGGGATTGGGGATCTGAGTGTCGTGGTAGAGTCGCGTCAAAAGTTCAATTATGCAATTCAGGATCTCCTCGGATGAGACCACTTCTGTAAGGTGTTGTAGAGTGGTCTCCAACTCATCAACATTTGCTGTCACTGATCCTCCAGAAAGTTTTATGGTACAGTTGCTAAATAGATTCGAGAATACTCCAAGCGAATTTGGTGAAAAGTGACACATGTGGGCTATTCTCTCGACGAAGGTTTTGAATAAGTCCTTCTTGTTTTCATCCATGAGTCGGTTGAATAGCTTGGCGACTATGAACATTGAATAGACTTGCCCAAAGGATCCCATGTCTTCAACTGAAATCTGTGAAATAAGCACATCAGCCTCGTGTGCTGCTTTGGAACCCACCAAGAGGGTGCAGATTTCAATGACCAAGGAAACGACGTTAGCATCTTTTAAACCTGATGGTACCTGGCTGATAACGAGCTTTATTTTGCGCAAAGCCATAAGTTGCAAATCTGGATCTTCATTTAGCACATCCCTACCCAACTGTCGAAGCATGAAATAACAAACCTTTGTTGTCCAGAATTCACCTTTTTCTGGAGACCAAAATTTTGAAATAAGGGCATCAATTAGGTCTATGCTTGAAACTGGTGTCACTGTGGCCCTCATAGAATTGTCTATACGAACCGAGGACATGAATAGATCCACAGTCGTCCTTTTAGACAAGACTTCACTTAAGACAATTTCTGACCCAGTATCGGTCATTCTGAGAGTTTCGAGAATTATAAGCAAAACCTTCTCCCTCATATAGCCCTTGTATAGGTTGTTGAGATACGGCAGAAGGGACTTAAAAATCTCATTCCTCACACCATCTGAAGTATAGGCCAAAGGAATAAGAATTGGTAAAGAATCGTAAAGCACATTTTGAATGTCATACCCCTTATACTTGGATACTTGCGATAACTGCGACATTATTTGTGAAGAGCTCCTTTGACTCTTGATCGCCATGCAAATTGAAACGATTTCTCTGTAGTTTTCAACAGCGAAAGCCTTGAAATCGATGTAGTCAAAGAGTTCGTATGGGAAAGTTTCTAGGGGTATATCATTATTCCACCATGACTTCAATAGCTCTATCCTCATTGATTGGAAAAGTTGTCGAAGTGAACATAAAGGAGAGCCCAGACACAACCTCGAGAGACCCAATTTTAAGTATGGTGCAAAAAAATCATACTTATGACATTCCAACAAGTTGAAAATTGCGGGTATTTTGATTTGAGTTGTTCCCGACGAAACTGTGGTGAAAAAGAAACAGTAGGCGGCTGCTCGCTCAACTGAAGCCTGAGGGTGGGGGAATGTCTCGAACAAAGTACGATAGAGCTCGAGTTGGTCGAATGAATTTATGCTGTCGAGATAAAGCCTTACAGAATCCAGTAAAGAAACTCTTAATGAATTCGACGAGGATAATAAGGCCCTATTAGCTGTCTCGGCGCCCAAACTCAATTCAAAATGAAAAGTGAGACATTCAAAAATCAAAGAAATGACATTGAAACGACAGCCTTCAATCAAGAACAACAGCTTCTCCTCACATTGTAGCAAAAATCCCAAAAGATCCGTGAAATCCTTGCGAAAGTCGGTCTCATCGTATCCATCAACTAATGGCAATAGATTTTTCAATACTTTGCTCGTAACAAACACTGTATCACTGGATCGGTCCATTTGATGTGACGACAACGGACCCTCACCAAGCATCCGGATTACTCTAACAGCTTCTTCGGAACTCATCTTGGAGATTAATGATGAATCACATAGGATTGAAATGCATTGAAGAGTTGTCGCCGGGTCGCAGACATCGAGGGCCGTGAGCATCTGAGCGATGTCACCATCAAATTTGACAAGAAAACGAATGTAAAGCGTCGTCGTTTCAGTCGCCAATTGGGGAAGTTGTGCTATGGGTGTTGCTTTACTTGAGCCGTTATTCAGAAACTCCTCCTCGAATTCGGTGTCATTGGAAACAGAGGAACCAGCTGTCTGGAATAAGGAATTGAGGCCAAACATGAAATGCTCGAGTTGTCGGAACACAAAAGGCTTATCAATTGCCAATGGCTGATTTAGGTCGGAAAGAAGAAGGAGCTTCATTATGATAGCATAATCCTCCTGAGAGGACAGGTTCATAAAAAGGCATCTCCAGAGTTTTTCGCAAGTCTCTTCAATTGCAGGAGGAATGATTTGTTCTCGAGCTCCAAAAGCCTCTTTGATGTGTGTTACGATCTCGGTCCAATGAAATAACCTGTCTATACGCTCGCTTCCAACCATGAGGCGAGAACTGATGAAATTGATTCGATCAAAGATAGAGGTTATCATGTCCGTATTACCATCACAAGGTAAAATCTTTGGTTCGTGAACAAGTCGTTTCAAGCTAACATTCTTTAGATCAAGAAATTTCTCGAAGTCAGAATCGTCTACTGCAGAACCCAAATAGAATTGCAGTCGATCTCTTTTGTCCAAGTCACCACTTTCGGAAGGCAAGTTTTGAACATCACTTCCCAGCAACCACAAAACGAAAGAACCTATCATTCGGGCGCGATTGGGCTCTGATTCGGTACGTGGGTTGGTGAGTGAAAGTTCATCGTTTAACTTGGATAGAAACCATCTTCCCGCTGCCCTATTGATAATTTCTGATTTAGCGTTAGTCAGCTTCGTCATTGACCAATGCAAAGCCCACCAGTAACGAAGTGCATCACAATGAAGAGAGCTTGGGCCATTGATTTCAGCCATTTCTAAAAGATTCCGTATTTGCGATCTTAAGCTGTGATCAATAAGACGGTAAAGACGGTCTGGATGGTATGAAAACAAAATAAAGCTAATTACACGACATGATAAGCGGGAATGATCATCCAGCTTTATCATCGGCGTGACAATTCTTATTATTTGATGCAACCGGCGAGTGATCATCTGATTGTCGTAACATCGAGCGAGCTCAAGTCTTCTGAGTATAGTGAAGATTCCTAAAAGACACCAGAACGTAAGGTCCCTATTGTTGAAGTATTTCAATAGCTGAGATAAGTAGTTGCAGTCCTCATCACCCGGGTTTACATCTTCGTCGAGATGAACATCGATGATGGTTGTTTCATCGTTATTCATGGTGACATCATTTTCCAGGTGCGATCTCTTTTTATCCAATTGTAGTGATTTATCAACAGTCTGAGAATCCTTTGTAAAAATGAGTAGTTGTAGCCCTAAAATCTGAAGTCTTACATCCTTGGAGAATCCAATCATATGTTTCAAGAGCGCATCCATACTTTCAAATGATTTGATATTGAGAACTGTGCCTTGAAGTTTCACTCTCTTAAGTTTACTTGAAAGAAAGCTTTGGTTAAAGTTGGAGTATGTCTCTTCCATGCAAAGGTTGTAGTATGCCACGATAAGTCTCACTGTGCCACGAAGAAGGAGCCATTGAACATCTTGTCCAGTCTTCAAACGAATTGACGCTAAGTCGAACCAGCTTTTGGCAGTTTCATTTTCCTCGAAATCTATGTCGCTTTCCAAAAGCTTGTTACTCAGGCCTGCTATTCTATCAAGAAGCGCCTGAGCAAGAACTCCAATATTGTATGTCGTGGATTCGCCTTGGTTTGTACTGGTGGGGAAGGGGTCCAGCCGCTTTCTGGTGGAACCCTCTTCCTCACTGGAATCCTCGACGAGATCGTTAGTGATAAGCTTAGGAAGAGAGTCAATGCTGAGGTATCTGTGAAAGCTTTCGAGGTTGATAAGAATAACGAACTGAGTTAAAATTCCATCCACCATTGTATGAGCGAAGTTGATCAATGGTTGAAGTGCTGTGTGAATCAATTTATGACAGAAATTAAAATCCTCGGATGCTAACGTGATCAAGAGCTTGTTGGTGACTTTCAATGCTTCGACGAGCACGGAGCTCTCGCGTTTGTTATAAATCTCGAACACATCGCTGAGAATCTTTCGTAATGGAACATAGAGCTTCAGCCTCTTGAGGGGTTCATATATATCTTGGGTGGCACCTCCAATAATGCAATGCAATGAACTTAGTAGATCAGTTAATAGGGACTCGTGAGAGAACTGGTAGTCATGATGCTCGTTGGTGTCTAATGCAGCAGTTAGCAGCCTGACCAAAAACTTGTAGCCTCGGTTCCAAGAGTCGATTGGTAAATGAGTAAGGAAAAACGGTTCCCTTAGAAGGCTTTGGAGGATCTTGGCGAAGTCAATGGCACAGGGTGCTAGAATGGAGTGTGTTTCTGGAAGGAAGAATGATGAAATCACGCTAGAAAAGAGGCTCGTGCAATGCTTGTATCGTAGTTGACCTCTTTTCAACGATTCTTCAAGGATATCCTTGAGCATGGTGGATGCTGTCAATAGACGTTGCTGGGTGGCTGAGGTTGGGTTGTTTCCATAGATGTCTCTTTCTATCTCGATGAGTTTGAGGATCCCTTCCAGAAGCACGACAAAGTGCCTCGGTGTGAGTTTGAGTTTTGCAACTGAAAAGGATCGTAGAAGTTGTAGTGAATCATTCCTTTGTTTGACTTTCTTCAGTTGAAGGGAATCGACTATCTTAGGTAGATCTAATGCAGACATGGCGAGAACACGCGTATCAAGCCAGCATGGGTGACGAGTAAAGTGGTTGAAGCTGTGATGCTAAACGCGTTTGATGCAAGGTCAATTTTAAGCTTTGGAGCTAGATTTGTGGTTTTTAGTGATCGAGTTTGATTTACTCAAAAGATGCAAACATCGCGTTTTCTGCGGCGTAAAGTTGATTTTATGCGATTTGTGCGTACTTTGTCTTGTTAAACCTCCCGGATTTATAGCTACAATAATCCAACAAAACCGTATTTAGAACTCTAAATTACATATCGATAATAACGAATGCTTCAGAATATGTCTATCTTCTAATTTGAGCAATTTGAATTAAAGAGGGCCTGTTTGTCCAAGTTTGCTCTTGATTCGAGGAAAGCATGCTATGAGCGTATGATAACGAGGCTGAAACTGAAACCTCAAGATCCAAAAAAAAGTTTTGCATTCTCACTGGCTTTCATATAGCTTTCATATACCTTGCTCTATGAACAGCAACGTCCTCTTAATTCTCGATTGATAACATAGAGGAGTTCATTCAACGACTTAGAAAATTTGAAACCGTCTCAAGCATCAAACTCTTTCAATAAAACATCTTACGCTTTCAAAACGTTATGGGTAATTTCTGAAGGGAACATCATTGTGAAGCCATTTCGGGCAATCTCCTGAGACATTTCGCAGCCGTTTTCGCAGCCAAAGCCAAGGTCCTGCCATCCTTAAAAGACCAAAAGCTTCCTCGTAATTTTGACAACTATGTCATCCAAAAAAGGCCAAATATTCCCTCAGTTCTCAGAATCCTACGAGCTCATCACCGACGAAAAATTGTCACCATGTTACTGTCGCCAATGCTTACGCTACTCTAGATGGAGGGATATCATGCACTACAACCTCGCCATTGGCACCGTTTCTCCGATTTTATGGATTGTCAACGTCGTCCTTATTGTCAACACTTTGGCTCAAACCAAAAAGTGTTCACATCACGGTTCCCTTTGCACCATTTTGGGGCATCTGCTTAGTGCACTTCTCATCTATTTAACAGTCGCAGCAGCAGGGTTGGTTTTCTGGAGGTACATCCGAGTCTAAACATCCGTCCCCACAGGGCGACTCCCGCGCCAGAGTCAGATAACGAGTCAGCCGAGCATATATATAACCCCAGATTTTTCCAGAGTTAGAGTCCACAACATGTTGCGTAGATTTTACTCGACCGGGTTGAGAAGAACCCCCTTGTACGAGAGCCACGTCAAGTACAATGCCAAGTTCGTGCCCTACGCTGGCTTCGAGATGCCCATCTTATACAAGAACCAGTCCCACATCGAGTCCCACAACTGGGTCCGGAGCAAAGTGGGATTGTTTGATGTCAGCCACATGTTGCAACACAACTTCGAGGGTCCTGATGCCGCTGCCCTTTTGCAGAAAATCACACCAATTGACTTGGCCAGCCTTCAGCCTTACACCTCGTCATTGACTGTGCTTCTTAACGAGAACGGTGGCATCATCGATGACACCATCGTCACCAAGCACCACGATGAGAAGTACTACGTTGTCACCAATGCCGGTTGCAGAGACAAGGATCTTGCCTTCATCAAGGAGGAGGCCAAGGCCTTTGGCAATGTGGATCACTCCACCTGGGAGGGCACCCTTTTGGCTATCCAGGGGCCAAAGGCACAGGAGATCTTGCAAAAGTACACCTCTGAGAGTTTGAAAGACCTCTACTTCGGAAACTCCAGGTACTTCAAGTTGAACAGCTTTGTCAATGACAAGGTTCACCTCGCAAGAACCGGTTACACGGGTGAGGACGGTTTCGAAATGAGCATCAAGGCTGACAACGAAGCCGAGGCCGAGCAGTCCAGACAATTCTTTGAATCCTTGATTGAGGAGCATCCTGACGTTGTGGCGCCAATTGGCTTGGCTGCCAGAGACTCCCTCAGATTGGAAGCTGGTATGTGTCTCTATGGCAACGAATTGTCCGAGGACATCACCCCTATCGAGGCCTCTCTTGCTTGGTTGATTCCAAAGTCCAGAAGAGAGCCTGCTACTGCTACGTTTAACGGTGCCAGCAAGATCTTGGAGCAGTTGAACAACAAGGGTTTGGTGACGAGGAGAAGAATCGGCGTTACCTCTAAGGGACCGGCGCCCAGAGGAGGAGCGAAAATCTACCACGATGGTAACGAGGTAGGGTACATCAGCTCGGGCTCATTGTCACCCACTTTGGGCCTGAACGTTGCCCAGAGTTACCTTGACAAGACCGTGAAGATCGGCAGCACGGTGCAACTCGACATTCGTGGCAAGTTGAGAGATGGTGTGGTGACAAAGCTCCCATTCGTACCCAACAACTTCTACAAGGGTTAGCTTTCACAGGGTAGGAATAAACGCCAGGAGAGACCTGTAGCCTCACAAGCGACGCGAGGCTCCCAATACATAATCCACAATTTACAACCAGGCACAAAGTAAACGCGAAATACAAAAATTACAAAAAAGCATTCTTTCCAACGTCCTCGTTTATTTGCAATTTCCACCCTTGACTCTTGTTGTAGAGGGGATCCAATTGGAGCTGTTCTACACGCTATTAAACGTATTTGGCTGCGAATTCCTACAGACCGTGGCTGACCGCGAAACGTTTAGGCGTATAGGCACCCCGATACACGGCGCCAAAACATCTATTAAATAGCATCATTTCCTACTTCCTGCTATCCACCAAACCATGTCTTCAAGAATTCCATTATCGCCAAGGAAAGAAAGTCTTCTTAATTCGAGAACACCTTCTCCAACCAAGTCTAACTCTCCTTCGGGCAAGAACAGCCCCACTAAAACCAACCCTTCCACGGCCCTGCTGGTCAGGTTGCCTAAGATTGGCGTTGACTTGACTCCCAGAAAAGCTTCCACTTTGGGATTCACCATATACGAAGATTCACCCGAGGAGGCCATGAGATATAAGGTGCAAACGCCTGAAGTTGCAAACGCCTCTGATGATAAGGAGAACATCTTGCAGCCCAAGAAGATGGAACCAAAACAGGCCCTCCGCCCAAGAAAGCCATTGGGAAACTTGAACGTAGACGACTTTCCAGGCTATGTCTCTGCCGTGGGCTCCATCAGAAGAGCTCCTATGAGGCTCCGTGAGTTGTACCACTCGAAAACATACAACAACGAGTCGAAGAGCTTGCACAAGTACAACCGCTTGCCAAGCTATATCACGCCACCTAGAAACTCGTTACAGAAGATTTTGTACTGCGGAGGCAACGATGAAGATGACATCGAGCGCAGACTCACGCTCAAACTGAGAGAATTGGCTCGTCGGAAACGCCTGATGTCTGTCGGCTTCAACAAGGGCAAACAGCATCTTGTCACGAAGAACCTGTTCAAGATTTCAACGTGATATACGTCCTAAGCTGTTCTATGAAAACATGATACCCCCTCACATGATACCCACACAAACCACACATAATACCCAAACACACACATGCATTTTTATATCATAATATAGATTAAACAAGATTATAATTCGGGAAAATATATCACCGTAAGTCTCCTTGTCTCATGAAGAGTGGTATCCACCTTATCTGGGACTGCAGAGGGCATGAAAAAAACCATGTTGGACGAATCCTCACTACCATTAACCACACACTATGTCCGTGCTTGAGGCCTTCAACAATCTCGATGTGGCCTCGGCCAGAGATGTTTCGGACCACGAGGCGATCTATGAAATTTCATACCAATATCTTAGCACTGCCGCTAATTTCAACCATTCTGTTTCATTCAAAAACTGTGTGGTTGCCTTGATCAAGATGGACAAGTACTACAAAGCTTTGGACTTGATTCTGAAAACAAACGAAGACGTCCTCAAGCAGTTTCCTTTGGAGGTTGCCTACGTTTACTACAAGGTTGGCGATTTGGAGAATGTCAGAGCAATTTACGAATCCTCCAGCAATGGCGACTCAGATGATACACTCAGCAGAGCCTTAAAGCATGTCTTGGCTCAGACTTTGTATCAAACAGGCCGTGTGGCTGAGGCTTTAAAAATCTATCATGAATTGATTGCTTCCCTCAAGTTCGACAGTGAGTTGGACTTGGCGTGTAATGAGAGAGCCATTATCTTCCAACTTGCGCTCCAGGATAACATCAGCGAACAGCCTCACTTCAACCTCCCTGCTTCAAAACAGAGCTACGACTACCACTTTAATGACGCCCTCATCGCATTGGCCAATGGTAACACTTCCAGAAGTTTAGAATTGTTGGAGCAGGCATTGGAGACATGCAACAACCAGAACAGTGACTGGCCAGAGGAGGATTTGGTTTTGGAGACCGCTCCAATTAAGTTGACCATTGCCTACATCTACCAAACCACCGGCAAGTCCATGGAGGCGCTTGAATTGTTGAACTCATTCGATGCAGTGGCTGTGTCTGACTTGTTGGTGAACGCCATTCTCAAGACCAACTACTATTCGGCCTTGCCTGCTCAGGAGAACCTCAACTTGACCCAGAGGTCCCTCAATTACAAATACTTATTGCATAACTTGAGACTCAAGTTGACCCGCTCTCAGTGGCTGGTCTTGTTGAAGAACCATTTACTTTTGTCATACCAGACGAACACACTCTCTAAAAACTCCAACTATATCCAAAACGCTTTTGCGAAAGAGTTTGCCCAAGAGTTTAGCGGCGACTTCTCGCCGTTGGCTTACAAGGTTCTTGTGAGATTGCACATTTCCTTGACAGACTTGACTAGTGAGGAGACTAATAAAGCCGTTGGCAGGAAGTTGAGCAAATTCCTCGCTGCCGAACTCGAGAAGAATGAAGTAACTGATATCATCATTGCCGGTGCTTTGCTCCTAGCATACGTGAACTCCAAGTTCGGCAATTTCGACCAATCTATTAACGTTCTAGAACGTATTGTGGCATTGGAACTCGCTTCTTCACAGGATGTCCAGCTACATGCTGGTGTTTTCGGTATTCTCATATCTTTGTACGAGATCCGTAACCCTAACAAGTTGGATGCATTATACTCTGAGTTGCTCAATAAGCTCGAAAGCGTCAAGGACCAAGTTAAGGAGAACGATGTTTTATACGACTTCTTCAAGGCTTTTGCGTTCAAGCTTTTGAACGTGAACCAAAAGGAACAAGCTCAAAAGGTTTTCGAATTCCTTGGTGAGGTTAAGCCAAACGATGCAGTGGTCTCCAGCATTCTTACCGGATCCACCGACAAGTTGAAGCCCGTGGAGGATTTGGAGTCCGGCCTTGAGGTTTCCAACCTCCTCGAGTTGAACGTCGAGACCTTGATTGTGAAGCAGGAATCTAGGTCCAGGAAATCGAATGCTTTCAAGAAGCATGATGATAAGGTCACAAAGAAGACGAGGAAGCCAAGACTCCCTACACTGAGAACATTGAAACCAGAGAACGAATTCGATCCAGAGAATGATTTGGACAAGGAGAGGTGGCTTCCTTTGAAGCTCAGATCGTATTACAAGCCATCTAAGAAAGATAAAAAGAAAGCCGGTGGACACCAGGGTGCTCTTGAATCATCACCAGCTCCTACGAGCGAACTGAAGAAGCTGAAGAAAAAGAAGAAGGGTAAGAAATAATGGAGCAACTTCTCTATTGTATCTATAAATTATCATGACCATTGAATAAAATGTAGAACTGATCAGCTGTTCAACGCCTCATCAGCCTTTCCTTTTGGCAGGGTTGGTTCCCTGACTTTTGTAACAGATGCCTCAGACTCGCTTTCCGGAACAGAGTCAGGGTCTGTCTTTGAATTGTAAAGAACAATACCGTTCTGGCGGGCAAAACCCTTCTCCTGCCTTTTGTAGAAGTAAAGAACCACGAATGTCCATATGGCCAAGCAAAAGGCACAAGCCGCTGTAAACGAGTAACCCTTAAGGTAACGAGGTGCTTCCTCGGTCTTCCAGACAATTACAGCCATCCACGCAGTAGATGCTTGTGCAAACATATTCATCACCACTAAAGTGACTGCTCTTCTTTGGGCGTCTCTCCTGCAAATGTCATTCATCCAAGAATATAGAACGGGAGCCATGGCCCAACCAAAGTATTAGAGACACCAGGCAAACCATTTGGCTCCTCTCGGGATGTCCCATACAGCTAGAAGAGCGTTACCTAGGAAGTTGAAGACTTGAGACAAAACAATAGCCAGCCATCTCAGATGGAAGAGATCGGCGTACATGCAAACAAGGAACAACCACACTATACCAAGACCAGGCGTCAATGCACTTTTAAATTGAACTTCGCCGTGGGTGTAGATACCAAGACTCTTGAGCCACAAAATGTAGGCACCAGATGAACCGTTGTTATTGTTCCAACAGAAGAAGTTCCAGATTGTCAAGACGTAAATTTCCCAGGACAAAAAGATTCTTTTCCAAACGTCTTTGGAGCAGAAGGACTGCCAAAGGTTGACCTTCGGTCTACCTCCCGTGTGGTTTTTCTTGAGATTACGACGGAGCAAGCGAATTTCGTCGTCTGTTAAAAAGATAGAGTAGCAGTCAGTGGGCGTACCAGGAAGCATGTAAAACCCAAGAATAGCCACCACCACGGAAATGATACCATCAATGATGAAGATCCATCTCCAAGCGGCGAGACCATGAACACCCTCAAAATGGTCCACGACACCACCCGAGATCAAACCAGAGGTCATGATACCAATGTACTGGCCAAAGTAGTAGACCATGGATCTTCTGGCGATCATCGAGGGATTATAAATGAAAGTTCCGAACAAGTATTGGAAGGCGAGGTACGCTGGTGCCTCTAAGGAGCCCACGAAGAATCTAATCGCCTTGAGCTGGGCAACAGTTTCGACCTTGTAGGTGAGCACGGTAAGAATAGCCCAAATGAGTTCAAGTCCAGGAAGCACATAGTTCAACGGAAGACTGTTCAAGCAAAACATGAATGGAATCTGGAAAACGATGTTACCCACGTTGAAAAGCACCTGCGTGTTCACCAAGTCATTTCCTTTCATGCCAATGTCTTCCTTGAGACCGGCAGTATAGGCGTTGTTGATATTCGATTGGTCCAAGTTTTTCACCCAGTAGGCAAGCATGGAGTAGAGTGTCAACAAAAGATCGATTTTCCACATGAGCTTTCTCTCTGCTGGAGTGTCATTCTCATCAAACCACTTGTACCACTTGTGCAGCAGTCGAGCCTTTTTGTTCAATCTGTATTCATACTCATCAAAGAATTTCCACCGAGGTCTGTTGGCCTCGTCACGATACTCCAAACCCTCCTCGTCCTCCACAAGGGCTTCTTTCTCGTAATCATCCTCTTGGAGCCCCACGACATCGGGTTCCTTGGCTGCAACCTCCTCGGGAAGGTCTTCATCCACTATTCTCCTGGTGGGAATAAACCCCCACTTCAAGTGACTGGCAGGCCCTTTGAGACACTCAAGCATTGCAAATTATCAAAAGATCTTTTAGATTTTGCAGATTCAGCGCCTTATATCTCATCCTGGTCTGCCACAATAAAATCTGCACGGCGGATATAATTAATTCATCGCTAGCACGTCATCTCATACCACATTTGAGCCGTGCATCGGCATATTCTTTTTGCAACGAATCATTTCTTCCTTGAAATAGTACAAAAATACATAAATTGATGTTTGTGGGACAAAACCATCTTCACTTTGCTAAACTGTGGCTCACCTTGATAACCTTATCAGGATAAGGCTGTGCAGCAGTCAGTAAGGCTATTCGCAGTCTATTTCGCGAGGCTGGCTAGCGAGTATCTTACGGCGATTTGACGCGAAGTCCGGCTTTAAATAACAGATCTAAGCGAGGCCGTTGAGAATATTTTTTACTTTCGTAATGTAGATTGTAGCATTGGAAGTGGGTATGCAAATGGGCTTGAACAATTTGTGGCTCTTTTTAAGTCCTATTGCAAGGATTCGTCCCGTCCGTTCCGAAAGGGGACCAGGGTTTCACAAATTTGACGTTCTCTTGGCACGCCACGGTCCACAGCTTGAGAGGTGAGGATCGAAAAATGCGATCACCTGGCGAGGAAGTGGTCGGTTATTGGATCTTCTCGATACCTGCCGAGGACTTCCTGCCAGAGAGTCAATTCCCTAACGAGTCCAAGCGCCTAGCTCCAATGATCCAAAATCCATAAACTGTTAGCAAATGCATAGCAAGAGGTCAAAAGCTGAATTTACAAGCCAAATCCATGAACGCCAAATTCACCGCTTAAGTGCTGTCCCACAGACGTCTAGACACCTTGGCGGCTCTGAGAGCAACGACCACGAGACATTTCTTACCACCCAAGCAAATTCTCAACATAAGCTTTTTTGACACATCTTCTCGGTTAAGTACTTAGCGACCCCTCGCTCAACGCCGAGACTTTCAAGTTGCTCTCGTCATCTGATGCCACGACAATAAGCAACACCCCAGCAATCAAGACCCTTACAAGAAAATTCATCGAGTTCAGCGCACCGAAGCCTGGAAATCATGAAACAAGCCTCTTACAACCAAATGCCCATTTGACTTCCAGAAGCGGACCCTGGCATTTCGCAGCCATTCTTTGACGATCTGACAAATCGGGTATCTGTCACCGAAGGCCGCTCGACGAGCAGCTCCAAAATTCAACCCTTTATTTTCATTGTGCTTGACCTAATTTTGAACAAAGACGTTACCCCGAACCTCGCTTATTGCTCGGTCATTCCATTATAGCTCTTTTTTTCTTATCGACCGACGGCTCGCTCGCACCTCCCTGTCTAGTACTGTTGGCGGCTTTCTCTGTGTAGTCTGGGGTGCGCTACCGGCCGTATTCACTTGCCATTCCTGGCAGGCATCAACCAACCTGGGGGTATCTATAAAAGCGTATGAGCATCCTGCTCCCCGGTATGCCAATCATAATATTTTCCAAACCATGAGCAAATTAGATAGAGTTAGAGAATTGACTTACGCTGACGTCCCCAAGGCCGCTAAGAACCTTCAGGAGTCCTTCTCCGAAGACGCCTTGGCCAGGCTTCTCACCAACCACATCAAAGACCCGGAGAAGAAGTACAAGATCGACATCTTGCTTTATGAGGCCTACCTTAGACAACACATAGCTAAAGGCGTTTGCCTTGGTATTGGAGAGACCTCCGATGGCTTCGAGACCGTGGCCGTCTGGTCTACACCTTCTTCAGTGGCTGATGGCTTAGAGAGCTTCCATACCTTGATGGCATCTGGATACGGCAAGCTATGGGAACACGCTGAACCAGAGGGCCAGGAGAAGATTTTTGAGGGCATGTTGCCCCTTTTGCACGACACAAGCGCCAGGATATTTGCTACTGATAAGAGATTCAGAGGCAAGGGCGTCTACACATTGGTATACTTGGGCTCTGTGGCCTCTGCCAGAGGAAAGGGTAATGTCAGAACGATGTTCGACTACATGTTCCAGAAATACATCGATGTGCCCAACTCGAACAACATTGCATACTTGGAAAGCTCGTCTCCTGACAACATTCCAATCTACAACCGCTTCGGCTTCCATTTCTACAAGGATATCACCTTGGGAGACAAGGATAAGCCAAACGCCAAGGAAGGCGATGATTACGCTGTCATGAACGTCATGGTCAGAGGCTCTTTCGGCAAGGACTGGACGGGCTCTGCCACCCCGGATTCTTTGCACAAATTATAAGTATCTAGTTTCTATATACAAGTTATTCGTCCAACGAGAGCACACTCTTCTGCGATGGGAGAGTGTTTTTTGCAAATTCAGCCTTAGCAGCCTCTCTCAAGCGGGCCAATTGGTACAGCGTCAAAGGCTTGACGACCTGGTCTGGGGAACGAAAGTGAATTTTCCAAAACCGAACTCACGATCGCTCATCTGGTTGAGCACATAGAGCTGGGATCTCACGTAGCCCACCAAGGCTTCAATGTGCCTCATGTCGGCGTCTGCGTTACCGGTGAAGATGTTTCTCCAGAGTGCAGCAGCCAAAGTAATATCATCTGTCATGAGCCCCTCATCGTAGGAAACGGTGGCACCCAAAAGCTGCTTGTGGAAATCTTTGAGGTATTTCTCGATAATCTTGTTCGATGCAATGTTCAACTCACCAGACATTCTCAACTCCATGTCTCTGAAAATTCTGTCCACCAACTTTTGCTGGTAGTTTCTACCATACTTGAATGGCAAAGCTCTCATTCTCACGGAGAGCATCCAGTAGTGCAAGGCGGTGATCTGGAAATGCTGAGCAAAACTCTTAGGTAGGCCCAAGGTCTCGTAAAAGAACCTTGCTGTGTCAGAGAGTGGCTCGTTAGGGTAGTACATACCTTGACGTTTACATTCACCGAAGTAGAAGGAACCAGCCACCGGACCAGCTCTGGACTTGTCCATGTCGATGTTAAACGTTTTCACCACCCACTGGCCGATGCTCTCTGACCAGCCGGACATCTTGTAGTGAGGATCACTTTCAATCTTGTTATCAGACAAAAATGGCTGCTTGCTGGTTGGCTGACGGACCTTGCCCTTGACTTCCGGGAGTACTTTTGGTAGATGGGAGTCTTGAGCCAACTTGGAGGGAGACTCTATGTTCTCCTTGTTTGCAAGAGGCGATGCCTGCTGAAGGCGGGCTGGCGAGGAGGTGGCCAACGCCCTGAGACCAAATTTGGCTTGAAGGGCCTTGGCAGCATGGGTCGACTGAAGCATGTTGTAGTTGAAAAAGTGGAGCTCTGATTTTCCTCAGGACTGCAGGGACATGCTACGATGAGAGGAGTAAGTGATGATGTAGTGGTTGGTACGGGGGATGGTTTTGAATTACTGGGTATAAGATGCAGATTCTACATATTTGTTTTGCTTGTAGTGGGAGTTTGAGGATCGGTTTTTGTACCCAAAGTGCTTGGGCTTCCCTTGGATGCGAGTGACATCACACCAACCATCGACAGATTGTCTCTTTTCACATTCAGCCGGAAAATTATCTCAAAACATCGTGGTATTCGTCTTAAATTTCAAAAAGCTATGACTATTTGAAAGGCCCTTGATATGCCTCTTTTTCGATCCCATGTATCCGTTCCTATGTTTTGCATACTAAGGAAGGATGCTGTTCACAGCATAGGTTCAGTATCCTAAAAGATTTCTTCAAATTAACTTGTCGTGTGAAATTCATTAGATTTTGTTGAAGATCATCAAAAACCACGGTTTTGGTCTCAATGGCCCTATTGGTGGTGTCATGATAGGTCCCACCTTGCGCAATTTGCAACCATTCGTAGGAGACCCCTCAAGCTCGCAAGTAAAGAAAAAGAGTCCGACATTACGGTCATCTTGTATTAACCTTAGTGGGCTCTCCAAATAACTCTGCTTTTGTTTCTAGCCATTCTCAGACTTCTACTTCCTCGGTAAGAGTGTCGCATACACTTACTACATAGAGAAGGTGACCACAGGACGTCAACTTTCTTGGACCAAATGTAAGAAATCGTTACCGTCGTGATATTTCAGGTCAATTGAGGATTACAAGAATACGTCATCAATACTAGTTCTTGATGATACTAAATGTTACTGGAAACTCTATACGTTGTACTGAAACCCACAATTATCACTACGGGCCAGTCCAAACATCATTGAACAACAAAAAATATCGATTTCATGAACAAATATTTTTTTTAAAATACTACTCAACTAAACCCCATCCATCTAAAATCCTAATGACACCTCCTAGCTGAATCAGCACTGTTGTGGTTGCGGGGCATGCATTACGGGTATTCCGCGCTACCTTTGTGGTTACTGGGCTCATATATATATTGCCAGGCATTTCCGGGTTGCCTTCTATACTTATCTATCTATGCATATGCACGCTCCTCAGGCGAAGGCCTTGTCGTAATCGGTGAAAACAAATCTGTATCTGACATCACCGTTGTCACATCTGCTCAAAGCAGTGTTGCAGCCTTCCTCAGAAATAGGAATCTTCTCGATCATTGGCTTAACACCCTTCTCGGCTGCCAACTTCAACATATCGAGAGCCTCAGTCTTGGAGCCCAAAAGCGAGGAACCGAAAGAGCCACCATTGGACAAGAAGGAGAATGGAGTGACCTCAAACTTATCCTTAGCTGGAGGCAAACCGACAGAGACGAAACGACCGTCAACCTTCAAGGTGTTAAGGTACTGATCCAAGACGAATCCATCCACACGGGAGGCACAGTTCAAGATCAAGTCGAATTTGTCGTGGTACTTGTCTGACCAGTCAGACTCCTCGGCGGTTGCAACGAAACCATCGACACCGAAAGTGCCAGCCTCCTTCTTCTTGGAAGAAGAACGGGAGAAGGCGTACACCTCCGCACCCAAAGCCTTGGCGAATTGAAGGGCCAAGTGACCCAAACCACCAATACCAACCACGGCAACGGTTGGGTTCTTGAGGTGGCCGATGTTTCTGACCAAAGGAGAGTAGACGGTCAAACCAGCACACATCAATGGAGCAGCCTCCTCGGACTCCAAGGCGTCAGGAATTGGGAAAACAAACTTCTCGTTGGCAATGGAGTGGGAAGAGTAACCGCCCTGGGTGACGTATCCGTCAGCGAAATTGTCCACACCATTGTAGGTTGGAACACCCTTGCCACAGTATTGTTCGTTGTCGTTGTCACAACGAGAACAAGCGCAGCACGAGTTACTGGCAGCACCCACACCGACACGCTGGCCAACCTTGACGTCCTTGACGTCATCACCAACGGCAATTACCTTACCGATGATCTCGTGGCCAACAACCAAGTCCTTTCTCTTGACAGGACCCCAGTTCTCCTGGGTGGCGTGGATATCGGTACCACAGAGACCACAGCAGATGTTCTCGAGAACCACGTCTGTGGGCTTGATCTCCTTACGTGGGTAGGAGACCAACTTTGGCTTGTTCCAGTTAGCCTGGCCGTCAACGGCGAAACCTTTGAAGTTGTCAGGGACAGATACAGTCATTACGGATTGATTCTTTGAAGAAATGAAATTTCAAGGTAATGCTACAGTATTTATACGTCCGGCGCGATGATGTTAATCTCTCACGTTGCGACGCTTGCGCTGCTTGATTACAAATTTCGCACGTACCCTCGGCAACCTGTCGGAAACGCTGCCTCTTTCTCGCTAAACGATTTGCCTCGATCAGGTGAAGTTTTCCGGTACTTCACTGCAGGGCGAAGGACCGTTAATTTGCAACCCGGGACCGTTATGTGTGAATTTACGTTGAAGAGAAGTTGGAATCCCACCTCGTGGGCCTCGAGAGTCCTGTTTGTCTTGGCTGGTAGGCAGACTTAAGAAAGCCCTAGAGGCCTTATCTTTGTCGAGGACGCACTGTTCACTAAGAAGCGAATAAGACACATCCTGCACACGCTTTTGCAAAAGAACAAGACGTCTAGCCTTATTAGTCATTGGTGGCCAAATTGTGACCGTCCTTTCTGTGTCCACTGGAGACGTTTTCGGCTTTAAGAAAGTGGCAAATGATGAGTAAGATATCAGTTCGCTAGCAGATCACGACGAGCCGTTCTCGGTGGCCGAATCCGGTTATGATGTCATGCAGCGTGTGGCACGGGCATTGCACTATTGGAAGCAATAATCTAGACGCTCTAAGGGCGGGCTAGATCAGACGGTGAAAGCTTCGATCTTCTCGGCCGTTTACATTGGCAGACTCGAAGGATGAGGATGTGCTTGGCCGTGGGAGTGAAAAGGAAGGCACACGTGTGGAGCTTCCATTTTTGTACCGACTACCATGTTTTGTCACTAGTTGGATGAAACTGTTTTTACATTCATCAAAAACACATTCATCCAAAAAAGAAAGTCAAGCTCACATTTGGTGAGACTGTTTCAGAGCAGTCTTGCAGCGCATGTCCTAGACACACCAGGTGAGCCGTTTTTTCTTTTTTTTTTTTTTTTTTTTTCTTAATACCAAATCTGTCCTTAGATCGAGCTATAACTTGATTACTAAATGTAAAACGGATCATACCATAAAATCTCTCTTGCTAAGCCAGTGTTAACTCCATCTTTGTGAATAGCATTGTTCCCCTCCCCGGTGATGGTGGGACCCACATTGTGCAGCGCAGCAGAGATTGGCGTTGACATTGGATTCTCAAAACAACGTCCAACTTTATAGCTAAAATCGTCGAAGGCAAATTAAATTAGCTTTTGAACTTTCTTTACATTTTTCAAATCTGGCCATATGCCATATTCCTGGGCATTTTAGGCCGCCCTCCTGCCGTAGACCGCCTTCGCAACTCCTTTATCGGACACAGATCGGTTGCAAAAAGTCACATAACTCAAGAAATGTCAATTATATAAACACCTCAATTAATATGCTTTTTACATCTACAATGCCCTGAAGTCTGTGCTTGTGACCAAGAGAAAACTAAAAAAATTCAAAAAGTTCAAAAAATTGTCCAAAAATTCAGGAAGAATTGGGTGCCGCGCTGCGGAAAAAGTATACGGATGGGTCCTCGAATTTTTTTTTTTTTTTTCGCGCCTCTTTAAACATGGCCAAATCCAGTTACGCACTTTCCCTTGCTTTTCCAGGTCACAGCAACTAGATGACATTACCGTAAAGACTTCAATTTTTTTCGATTTTTTTCAGATTGCTACACGTAATGGAGCGATAGTAGGCCCGTGCACCAATGCAGTCTGCAGATGGCTACGCCAACGCTGCGTCCCGCCTGGACCCGAGTTGCAGCCAAATCTTCGGTGCCCCAGAGAATAATAGTGAGTGCATACACAAAGATATATCGCCATTTGTGAATTTTAGTCCAGGAAAAAATTAACGAGAAACAACAACTCTAGGCCCCCACTGCCATAAATCACCTTCACCAGCCAAAGAAACTTTTGGATCACACAGATCATATTACTCCAGCGGCTGCAAATCGTATTGGGCATCTCACCGTTGACTTCCCCAGCCACAGCAACGTCAACGCAAAATGGTCTTATACAAAAGAAAACAGGTCCATTTCGTAAGGCCTCCCCCTGTGCCCAAGTATCTCGATACAGAAATCTACATCATTCCCCAGACGAAAGAGTGGTTTTATGAATATGACGACTACATCAAAAGACTCGACTACTACCATCGCCGAAAGTTTGTGTGTGAAATCACCGGTAATTCGTGTTTGACTTTCTTTGAAGCATATGATTCGGAGAATAAGGAGATCAAGGACGTTGAACGCAACTTTCCAGAGGCCCTTCGAGAGCATATCCTAAGGTTCCTCCAGTTCAACAGAATCTCTCGTTTGGACCAGCTCGTCGACAAAGTGTACCTGGTTTTCAAGAATGAGTACTTCCCAGGTGAGGTTATCTTCGTGAAAGTGCTCACAGGAAAGCCAGAAAACCCCGAAACTGGAGAAGCGCCTTCAGTGTCGTCCAGAAAGCAAAGAGGTACCATCAGAGAGAAAGTTCAGTATGCCAATCCTGACGACACTAAATACTTGGTCTCAATTATGACAGATGGCAGCCAAATCATCGCCACGAACAATCAAATCTCCCGTGACAGAAACCACTTCACCAAGTGGTTGATCAAGACTTTCGTGAAACTTTCTGTGACCCGCTCGCATAAGGTTGGTGCCCCATGGGTCGTGAAGCAGAAGTATGCTAAAAAGTACCGTATTCCACAAGAATACCCCGATGATTTGAAGTCATTTGCATCTACTACACCTAGTGGCGAGATTCTCTATGAAGAGGACCTTACGAAACTTAAGTCACCTACACCCCAGCTGACTCCAGAAATTGTCACATCCAAGCTGAAGAAGGCACCAAAGAACAAGTCCTTGAAGAAGAAGGCTACTTTGAATGCTGCTAAGGGCATGGAACACATCGAATTGATCACTGTTGATGAGATCAAGGAGCCTAAGCAGCTTGTCAAAGACGGACCTAGAAGAAGATTTGCACCTTATCATATTCCAGCATTGGTCCGTAAGGAGCTCGACGATCACGAGCTGCTTTCACTCTCTTCCATCCAGCCGTCGAAGAAGACCATGGTCAACGACCTCCAGCTCAGCTTCGATGTGCAAAGTGCAAAACCCATTCCTTCAGAGCTTCGTCTCCCAGAAAATGCAGAGCAGCTTCAGAAAGATGCAACCGAGCATCTCAATAAAGTTGTGGAGGAGGGACAGAGGGAGATGGATGACCAAATGGACACCAAGGAGAAAAATCCACAGCAGATCCTTGTTGAACAAAGAGTCGAGTCCATGAAGAAAGACCTTGCAGAATTGTCTACCGGTAGTCTTCGTTTCGTTCAAGAGGCGCTTGAGTGTTGGGCTTTTCTCAACATATATCATCTGGTCTTCAATCTAGATACATTCACTTTCGACGATTTCCTTTGCGCTTTGAGCTGGAACTCTGAACAGCTTGAAGAACACGGACGCTGCGAGCTTTTGGACGAAATCTGGTGTGCTGTACTTGGCGGCTTCATGTCCAATCAAATACCTACCGGCAAGGATGCAAACAGGGATGACTCCGACTACCTGAACTTATTCGGTCTACAGGTTACTCTTCCTCCGAAGACATCGCTTCTTAGGCCACAGGTGAAGCAGGGTGACATTGATGTCGACGACGATGAAGCCAGAGGCTCCGATAGCGAAGACGGAGGCAGGACTTTGAAAAGTGAGGACGAGGCTTCTGACAATGAATCCGAATCACCCAAGGCCAAGGGTAAACCCAATAGTAATGGATCTGCTAAAAAGTCTGATGGTGAGGAAGCAAATGGGTCCAGCAGCGAGAAGGAAGAGGACGAAGAGGATGAGAGTGATGAAGAGGAAGAACCAACTGATCACCTTGCGCATCAAGTGAAGAACTACAGAAGCACAAAGTGGCATGACAGACTCAGAAAGCGTAATTTCAAGGACGGTAATTGGCAAGTCATTCTCCTCGGAGTCTTATCGATGGTCGAGTACATCCCAGCATACGAGGAAACTATCAAATCTGTTTACAGAACGCTTGCTCCGATACTGATCCAGCCGGCGAATACTTCAACAGTTTTGAATCAATTTTACAGCTCGATGAGTCTTGACTTGCGAATCAAGACATTGCACATCTTGACCACGTTGTTGATCAACGGAACGTTAGTCAGAAGCTACATCGATGACTGTCTTGAGCAATCCACCTCCTTGAGGCGTACACGTCTTGATGTTATTCGTGATTATAGAGATGCATTGAGCACTGCAACCAAGGCTCACACCGCCATTTTTGAGAAACTCTTTGAGGCTTTCGACAATAACAACAATCCCGATTTATGGTCAGGATTCAACAGAAAGAAGCCAAGATTCCACACAAAGGGTTACACTCTAACTGAGTATGAGCAGTCTTTATATGACACTGACGAAGAGTTCAAGAGTACTTGGCAGCAAAGAGATGAATACATCGAGAAAATCAAGACTTTGAAAGAGGACTTGAAGAAGGTCGAAACTCGTCTCACCGAGATCGACTGTCAAAGGGTGCGTCTCCTCGGAAAGGATAGACATTTCAACAGGTATTGGTGGTTTGAAAACAATGGTTTACCAAACCTTCATTTCTCCAGTGGCATGGATGAAGAAGAAGATGGAGATCACGCAGACGCTGACGATTATGAAGTTGATGAGAAGGAAGAAGTACAGGAGGAGACTTATCTTATGGGAAGATTGTGGATTCAGGGACCAAGCGTTGCTGATGTGACTCTTAATCTTTTGCTGACCCCTAATGATATGAAAACCATTGCGGAGAACATTGTGGACGATAAAGGCCACTTAAAGAAGGAGGAGCTTAAAGACGAACCAGAAGGTATTGAAGTACACGACTTCCAGGATGGAGGCGCCCCAGTCAAGGTCATGAACTTTTCGAAGCTTCCTTCGAGCTACAGGGAATTGAGTGCCAAGTTTGGTGTTGAGTTTGATCAAAGTGAAATAAAGGTAAACGGAACACCAGTTATTGACCGGTTGGGTGCGCTTCCAGAGACACAAGACGCCAGCGATTTGGATCCTATGCATAGGAAATTGATCGAAGAAGCGCCATGCCCTCTCACAGCAGGCGTCGACTGGAGATACTATGATGATGAAGAAAGCATTGACAAGTTAATAAGTTGGCTCAATCCTTGGGGTGTTCGCGAGTCAAGCTTGAAAAAGGAACTAGTAAGAGTCAAGGATGCACTTCTCACAAGTATTGCAGCACGCAGAAAGGCGCTTTGGTTGGATGGTGTACCCAAGAATGAGAGCGAAGATATAAACACTCAAATTGGGGAAGTCGAAACCAGAATCGATCAGTTGAAGGATGGAAACCTAATTGATAAGTCTGATTTTGAAGATGAGTTGGTCAACGGTACTAAGAAGCGTACGAACAGGCAATCCTCAGGTCGCCCAAGCAAGCGTCAGAAGTCACCAGAAGAAACAATCAAATCTGGCTCGATAGAGGAGCTCAACGAACTTCACGCCAAATTGATTCACGACAAGCAAAACAAGAAAACAGAAAACCAAGTCACGAGAGTGCTTGAATGGGTCAATTCAAAGGCTAACGACGCCTTTGACAAGACGCTCTACGAAGGCGGTGACAAGGCTAAGCCTAAGCCTAAAAAATCACGCAAGTAAATTGCATATCAGTATAGACGATGCTTATGATGAAACATGTAAGATTACTATTAATGCGCTCTTCTCTTGTGAGCATTGTAGGATGAACCAGAATCGTCTCTCGGACGCTTTGAACGATCTCGTTCATCCCTAGTTTTTGTGACAAGCTCCTTGAGCTTTCTTTCCTTTTCCTCTTGCTCCTTTTGAGCCAACACCCTTCGTTCCTCATTTCTAATCTTGATCTCCTCACGAGCTTGTTCATCCGCATTCTCTAAGGCCAGCGCCAACAGACTGAACTTCTCGACATTAATGCTAGCATTCTCGGCAAGTTGACCACCACTGGCGGCTTCTTGTCTCTTTCGAAGTGAGATAGAGAATCCCTTGTTATTGCTCCAATTTGACACAACGGATGGAATGGCCCACTTGTCTTTGATTTCTTTAGTGACTTTCTCGGTGGGTGCCTTTTTAAGGAGTGGTGGGGGCGGAGAAGGATCCTGATGTCTATTCTTGCGTAGTTTATGCTTAGGAGGCAACATGGGATCTTCTTGGCGAGTAGTGATCTGAATGGTTCTTCCTCTTTGTTCTTCAGAATCGTCGAGCGATGGGGGAACATACGTAATTGTCTCGTCAGTAACTGTCTTTTGCTCCGTGCCGAGTTGTTGAGCCAAAAGTCGTTGCATGACCTCCCTGGTGCCTTCAAGACATTCCCTGAGGGATGGATCAGGACAAGTTTGTAAGCTGTATCTAGGAAAATGATGTTTCATGTATGGGTATTTCTTCTTCAAAGGAACAGTGTCCTCGTATGTCATCTGAGCTCTAGTTTGGCCACCTGTGGCTTCTAGGACTGACTTGGTATAGTCTTGCGATTTTGATAGTTTAAGGTCATTTGAACTCGGCGTGGGTGTGAAATTTTCTGACTCTACTATTAGAGCAGTGGAAACTGATTCAGGTTTTGGGAGAGTTACTCTGATGACTTCACCGTTGGAATGTACAGGCTTCGGTAGCCTTGAGCTGAACATGAAGAGTGGTTGATGTGAGATGCCAGTGCGCATCAAATGGTTGCAAATGAGTACCAAAGGTAGATGTCTATTATACACACAATTTTAAATCAATCCGTGATTTACAACTAGAAAGTGTCTATACCTCTAAAAAATGCCATACTTCTGACAAGCGGCGAAAACCGTCATCCACACCTTGCTGACTTGCACCTTCGTGATTTCATCTGGATCGATGTACGACTTGAACGAGGTCTCAGACACTGGTGGAGCGCCCTTCGAGGCGAACATATTCACAACAAGCATGTAAAGCCAGTTGGAGGCCTTAAGCTTGAGGGGAACGTGAATTTCTTCGTCCTTCTCGGTGAGGAAAGGAGATGCTTCGGAATCCACGGAAGTCAAATATGCTCTTTCCACATCGTTGACGAATTCAACCATCTTGTCAGGATGATCGGTGATGACACCGTATTCTCTGAGGCGGGCCTTCAGACCCACTGTAACGAGATATTCAAGCTGCACCCGATTGTTGACCGTCCAGGAGAACAACTTAAGACCCTCTGCCTTCAATGCCGGCAAGAACTTGGTGAGGAAATCCGTCGACCAAGTGCTGATATAAATGAGTGACACAGCCGTGCACTTGAAGTAGAATCTGTCGTTACCCAACTCTTCAACGTACTGGTTATAGCCGAGGAAACGCATAGATGTCTGCCATGCAACAGAAATATGGATGATGTCAAAGTGCTTGAAGCCATTGCGAGGACTGGTGCTTGAGAAAAAGTCATCAAACCAGTCGTCTTGGTTCAAGTACTTCAAGAAGCGTAAGTCCCACAAACCTAGCTGAATGCGGGGGAACCACCAGCTCAAGTCATTGTGGACCTCAAGCATATCTTGAACAAGAAGTTTCAAGATCTTTGGAGGATTGAGCTTCTTGATATCAAGCATGATCCTGTGTTTGGCGGGTGATTCTTCCAGACTATCGTATCTTTTGCCGGCTTCAACGAACCACCTTAGGAGCCCTTTGAAAGTGATGATCTTTTCGTTGCTGCCTATGATACGCAAATCCTTAATATCATCGTAGTAAGACTCCAAGATATTGAAATTCGTCTCGTTTCCGTCCTCATCGACAAACACCCTCTTCGTATTAACGTCATGCGAGATGACTAAAACGTCATCCTTGGTGGTCCAGACATCGGTTTCAAAAATTGTAGCGCCTGCTTTGAAGCATTTTTCGAATCCATAGAGGGTGTTTTCTGGATATTTACCCTTGAAGCCACGATGACCGGCAACTAGACAATCTGGGGAAGATAGCATTCTAAATTTGGGGTATTGCAACTGGTTAGATGGGCTTCGGTATTAGAGTCATTCAGCCACGCTTGGATGGGGATTTTTTTGGTGATAATTGAATAGCTTGCGGAGCAAAGCGAAATCGGATTTTAGCCGATTTTTTGTGTTTAAATAGTTTCGTGCCCTGTGCAGTTAAAATGCTGTGCATTACTGGCCCCACATGTTCTCGATTAATGAGAGTCACTACTATACATTCCCATCCAACCGGTCTGTGGCTGCTCCGACTTGTGTACAGGAGTGGCAGATTGGCACAATTCCTGGGCCGAGAAGCGAGGGATTTTGAGCGAAAAAAAGAAATTCAAGTGGGAAACATTGGCGATACCCCCTTGGGAAGCGGAGTATTTCCTGTTACAATAAATAAGTCAATAAAGGCAGACTGTCATACGTGCTGTTGCTTTTCTCCTTTCATCTGTCTTTTAGCAGATTCACGCAGTCCTATTCTAATTATTTGTTTCTTGGTAGGCCATCTTGGCTGTGACGTAGTTGCAAATGTGTGGATGCGGTTTTCGCAGCCATGAGTACATAAACACAACGCTCCACACCGTCCCTTTCTAGGCGCTCTCGTCAAGTCTTCTTCGGCATACCCGAAGTTCCCTGTCAGCACATCGAAAAAAAAAAAAATTTTCTTGCTTAGCCGAAAGACTTGTCGAAATTAAGAAGTTAGCCCAACGCGCTTAGAGTAACTGCGCTATAAGCTCTGTCGCGTAAGCTAAAGCTTCAGCTCGTTCTTTTCAACCACTTCCTTGATCAAGTGATACGCAACTGACACGTCTGTTGGCAAAATAATGCCCTCGGACAAAGTTTCTTCGTCCTCTATGTCGTCAATGAGCTTCTTGACGAATGATATATCAAACCAACGAGCATCAGCAAGCTCCTGGTCGTGATCTAACTGTATGACCTCGTTTTCACCATTGAAGTCGACTGTAGCGATGCACCCAATCATGAGATTACCGGGGAATGGCCAAGGCTGAGTCATCTGGATCCTAATATCACTGCACACCACACCCGTCTCTTCCCAGATTTCTCTCTTAGCTGCAACTTCGACGGTTTCGGATGGTTCCATAAAGCCGGCAGTACACGAATACATCTTGGAATAAGCGTACCGCTTGTTGAGAGATAAAAGAACCTTGCTCTTTTCTCTGTTCGTGATTGCTGTGATGACAACAGCATCAGTACGAGGGAACGACACGTTAGAAACCCTCGTGTTCCTAACGGGACAGACGTACTTTTTGTTGTCTCCCTCTCCAACAGTCTCTTCGTTGGTACACTTGAGTTTGCCGCCAGCATGAATTGGGATCACTTTCGACCCGCAGCCAGGACAGAAACGATTCCTTCCAAGCCAGTCGAAGTACATCTTGCCATGGCTAAACAATGAAGACTCGACTCCGGTGAAGCCCATTGTGTGCTTTCTCGAGTAGGAAAAGATCAAGTCATCTTTCGACACTGATGACTCAGAATCTAAGATATGTTGCTTCACTAGATCGGCAACTTCGGGGCATTGGTCAAGTCAACGCCAAAGAAGGGAATTCCAAAGTAGCGGCCTTGATGATCAAGATAGCATTCTGGGTCCTCGCATTTGAGTTGATGTAAATCGAGGCCCACACTCTCGTCTCTCATACCTAAGAAGAGGAACGTCGGCTTGCCATTATCACGCAAGGTTGGCAACTGATCCTTGTTGTCATTGCTCCAGCGCTCAACAACCTTCTTCCATTTTTCAGTGGCAAAAAGGCCTTTCTTTGTACCGGCGGTATTCTCATGAAGAAGCTGATTATCGCCATTGGTGAGTACGATCAATTTCTCTTTGGGAGCAGCCTTGTTCACTAAAGGATCGCCCTTCCAGTAGAAAATAAACCTTGTAGATGGATGAACGACAGCATTTGACACAAAATCCAGGTCTTCTCTTAAGAAGGACACTCGGTTGACGACTTCTTGTCCAAAGTACACTTCTCTTGCTCCAGCGTTAGGTATAGATGATTTGCGGGACGCAGTCATTTTGTAGTAATTCTGAGACTTTGATAAGACGGGTATAGACGTGGAAAAATACCGACTCTTGATGCTATGAAAACCAATGAGTGTCAGCCGACTAACAAATATGCTCAGCATATACTACGTCTTGAGATAAGCTGCGATAGTAGATACCGCGGGTTGGCTGCAATTCACGTGAAACAATCCTAAAGAAGAAATGTTCAAAAGCACACGCCAAGCGGGACTATACCACTTTCACTACAATTCGTGAGGCACATATTCTAGACTTTATAGAAATAATTGCCGATACAAAGCATGTTGTTTACCGCTGTGAAATGAGCCGATAGATGAGTAATAGCGCATTCAAGACAAAAAATGTCAAAATAAAAAAAAAAAAAAAAAAGAAAATGTTCAACCATTGAAAGAGGCGAGAAGGTAAATAAAGAAGAAGAAATGTCGGGAAAGCAGAAAATGACATTTGTTTCCAAACATCCTGTTGGCTTTAGCCGCAACCGCTATCCCATCGTTCTTCCCTGGTTGTATAGTCCATTTCGCTATGGTTGCAAAAGCGAGTGGATAAAGTTGTCCAGGGCATATTGCTACACCATTGAACCCAAAAGTTTCCTTATTATGTACAAGTCCTTGATGTTAGTAAATGCTTCAACGAATTGAAATGCAATCAGATAATAAAAATTCTTAGATCCTTTCCTCAATGAATTTAGGAAGTCAAGCGTTCGAAAATCAAGATTGTTCATCATGATGCAATGGAAGTAACATACCCTAACGTAACGCGTTAAATATAGTGAAATGTCGTGAAATGATAAGTATCATCTTCAACTGGATGTTAGTATCAAACTCTAGATTTGTGTGCTGTCAGAAGAGCGTTTCCTCACAAAGAATCGGAAGTCTAACGTCTAAAAAATGCTGATGTATCATCATAAGCAATTCGACTCACATACCACTTCAACCAATAGTCATGCCATGTTTGATTGCCCGTGGCAACCCCTTGATCCATGACTTTCTAGTCTTTTTATCGATGATGACAAACACTCTACCGGATTGCCTCATTCTTCCTGTTCTGCCCACACGATGTATCAAATCAACCGATGTTCTTGGAAGATCCATCAAAATGACATTCTTGATGCCTGAGAAGTTCAAACCTCTGGCTAACAAGTCTGTCGTCACGAGGACCTTAACGGAGCTTCCGTCAGGATCCTCTTCCTGCGGGATAGCCGGTTTGACAAAAGGCGCTATCTTTGCGGCTCTTTCATCTGCTGAATCCTTGCCAGTAACTCCAATGATATCACAATCCCGATGGCCGTACTTACTGACAATGGTATCCACCAAAGGCTCAACATCTTTCTTCTCGTTGACAAACACAACAATTCTTTTGACGTAGCCTTGTTCGGTACCGTCGTTGTGGATGGCGTACAATGCCTGTGCCAAGCACCTGGTCTTGGAGCCGTGATATGGAGGCTGCTGTGCATCGATGACCTTGACAACAATCTGTTTGGGAATTTTGTGAATCAGTGGTGTCACAATTCTCACCACAGAATTTTCATCTTTGAACATGCTGTTGATTGTCCGGTTGAATTCCTTTGGAATAGTAGCAGAGCACATGATTAAGTCCTTGAGTTTCGGGAACCGCTGTAATGTTCCCTTGGTATCAAGAACCCACAGCTTGTCCATCAAAGTGTCTGCTTCGTCGATTACACAATACTCGACACCACTGAAAAAGCGATATGGGCGAGGAATGTTCTCCAACTTGGCGAGACCTTGAATCTTCGATGGCGTAGTAATGAGAACATCAATTCGGCCTTCCTTGGCAATTTTGAAGAGCTTTTGATGTGAATCTCCAGAACTCCACTTGACCACTTTGAGATCCAAGTTCTTTTGATTCTCTGGTTGCAGAAAAAACGCCTTGTACTCAGCTGAGCGTCTGACTTTTTCGCTAACATCAGTCTCAATATCAAGCGGAATTTTTGCTCCTCTGAATGCTGTCTCGTGTACCTGATCCACTAACTCGTGAGTAGGAAGAAGGATTACAGATCTTATGATTTCCTGCTTCTTTGCCTCTTCTAAAAAGTGTTCACCCTGGTCGAACAAGGCCTTATCGTCCTCCTTCAACTTCGAGAATACAGAAGCCAAATAAGCCCAAGTTTTACCAGAACCGGTCTCTGCGGCAACCGTGAAAACTTTGAGTCTGCTTTGCTCGTTCTCCTTCATCAAGTCAGAAACAATCGACTGCTGAGCCTTATCCCGAGGCTTAGTCTTTCTAGCCTGGTTGATTCTTTTGATTGCAGCGATTTGTACCGGGGATGGCCGGATATCAAGTTGTTCTTTACCCTCAATATATGTGTTTTTGAGATTGTACTTCTCCTTGATCTCCTTGACCATGGCACTTCTGACCGTGGGAAAGATTCGTAGCGAATCAAAAGATTCAATCTGCTCGATTGCATTCTCCGACCTCTCCAAATGGCCCTTTTCGGGCTTGTGCAATGCAGAGAAGTTTCCAAAAGCAAAAAGCTTCGACTTTTTCTCTGTTGGTTTGGCATCGAGGGTTTTTGATTTTTGAGAATTGATCAATTGCTTCGGCTTCCTTCGTGATAAGTATCGTTGTATGACTTTAATAGCAGAAGCTCGTAGATGCTGCAGGTTTTGACATTGTGAAAACATATGATTTGTGTGGTTGTATGGAAAAACAGTGGGCAGAAACCCAAGGAGAAAATCTCAAAATTTTCCACTGCTTTGGTGATGCGATTCACACATCGTTCTGCAGAGAGCCATTAGGGCTTCATAAATGGCAACATCGACCACATAGAGAGTTTAAAAATGGAAAAAGAATGATGTAAGGCTTAGCAGCTTAGGTTTTTTGAGTAACTCATAGTGGATACCTCATTACACTCAAGAGGGATCATTTGCGAGTAGTTAGTCAAATTGAATACGGTTAACCTCTTCCTCGAAAAGATATCAACCAACAATACCCGACTTTACTACAGCTATGGGAAATAAAAATAAGCAAATGCACTTCTTTTCATTAAAAAGAATATTTTGGTCTTTCTTTTAGATTGAACGATTCGTTTTGGCTGCAATTGGAAAACGGCGCACGTGACTGAATTTCAACTTGAGAAAAAAATTCAGAACAGATCTAGCTCAACAGACGAAGCCATGTTGCCTGCCAGACAATCGTGGGGTCTTAGTGTCCACGCAAGGACGCTTTCATCCTATGCTCCATTGGCCCTGCTGAGAGAGACTCTCAGTAAGAAAGCCCGTCAGGCATTAAGAGAAGCCAGACAGCTGGCTAAGAAAGAAAAAACTCAACAGGGCAGGAAGAAGGTCAAGAAGGGAGGAATGACTCACCATTTTTTCAGAGATGCCGTCAGTGTGCTTCGATCTGAAAACAAAATTCAACCCTTGGAAAACTTGGGTGTCACCCCGCTTGAGGCAGGGGACATGGAGAATGAGAGCATAGTTTCTTACAACCAAGCCAGTCTTCCACTCTTGAAAGGCTTGAACGTTTTCAAAAGATACCAACATCATGAGCTTTTTGAAAGTCCAATTTCTGTTGTCTCGCTGAACACCAGATTGTTGTTGGACAATGTCTTGAATGATGCGAAGAACACCAAAGAGAACAGACATTTCCTTCGAGGTGAGAGAGGAGTGGGCAAATCCACGCTTCTCGCTCAAGCACATGCCCTTGCGTACTCAAAGTATAAGGGTGACGTTGTCATGTTGCATTTCGAGTCTCCAGAGAATATCGTGAATGGTACCTCCAATTATTTGTTCAACAAGGAGAAAGGCGTTTTCCAGCAGCCAATGTTCACGAAAAGATGGATAGGAAAGACCCGTTTTGTGAATGAAAAGGTTTTCAGAAAGATGCCTTTGACTAAGGATATCGAAGTGTCCACCGAGAAGTCTGCTTTCAAGTTGAAGAAGGACAGTAACACAGTTTATGATTTCCTCCTCAGAAGTCGTGACTTTGCTAAAGCCACATCTGCTTTTGACCTCTTATGGGAGCAGCTTCAACATCACTCAGAAAAGTTCCCAGTGATCTGCACAATCGATAACTTCAACGGCCTCATCTCGAAGCCTTTTACCGAGTATCGCCACACAAATTACACTCCCATCCACCTTACCGAATTTGAGATGGGTAACTACCTTCTTGACTTGGTTACAGGTGATCTCTCCTTCAAGAAGGGAGCTGTCATTGCATGCGACTCTAGCGCCCATGCCAATACAAAAACTCTCTCAGTGGGTTTGGGACTTGAGGAATATGACCCATACTCGAGAAAGGCAGAGTGCGACAAGATTATCGCTCAACGTCTTCTCAAAAACGGCAAGATCCCTGTTGTGAATGTCAAAAACCTCACACCTGAGGAAGCCCGTTCTTTGGTCCTGTTCTATGGCCAGGCTGGTGTTTTGAAGGTTAGAGACTACCCATACAAAGAGACTATTGCCATGCCAGAAGACACAAGCTCTGCGAGCCTGATGAAACTCGTGGGTGCTTTGCCACAAGTGATCGATGCTGAATACCAGTTTGAGAGACTCATTAAATCAACTTTCAACGTGTCCCAGGGTAACCCAGGTCACCTTCTTAAAGCAGCCGCTTTCGACTGCTGATGTACATAGATTCTAAAGATTAACGTATCAAAATTTGTCATATCTTACGTACTACAAGAAGTATCATTTCTAGAATCGTGACTTTATGCTAATATACAAGGGTAATGCACACCGATAGTTCGGCCAGGCACTACGTGAACAAAGTGTCCTCCTCTCTCAAGTACTCACCAATATCACCTTGTCTAAAAGCGACGATGGCAGTTGGTTGGAGACTCTTAGCCTCGGTGGTTGACTTAGCTGAAACACCAAACCCAAGAGGCACATCATGCATGGAGAACACAATAACACCGGCGTGTTCTGGAATATCGTCAGACATTCTTCCAATGTGAGCCTTCAAAACATGGTTTCCGTACAAGAAAGGCATCTCTCCATTGGGCTTGATCCACACCTTGTACTTAGCGTGTTGAGCCAAGTAGGTCAAGGATGTGATATGCAATCTGAACTTTCCTGTTTTCGTGAACTTTCCGAAACATGTACCAAGAGAGATGAGACGGTCTCTAGACACAGAAGTGGCGAACTTGGCGACAGCCTCTGAGACATAGTAGACTCTGTCCTTTTGTAGTCTGAAAACGTGAGGGTTCGTTGGGTTGTCGATCAAGAAGGAGATGTTTCTACCAATGTAATTGGCAAGCTTCTCGAAAACCACTTTGGTTTCTTCTTCCGTCAACGGCCTCATGATGTGGAATGTCTATGAGTTGATGGAGTTGATGGAGTCGATGGGATGCATGCGTAGTAGGTACTTTTTTTTTCAGGCATCGCCTGCACGTGACCTCATTTTGATGATAAGGAATTGCATTTGTAGATCAATTAATGGAGTTGGGAGCAGGCAAGAATGCTTGGAATAACAAAAAGACCACATTTCATTTGGATGAAATAAAGGAAGCAAATTTTGACCGAAATCAGGGCAACATCAATGCATCGACTTATCAAAACACCCGTGCACCACGGGATGCGATGCTGCCATAGATTTCTGTTCCTATGTCTGCCTCCAACCAATGTCGGCTGATCAAGTTTCTGAAGCCAAAAATGAAGCTGTTGTGGATACTTCTGAACACGTGGCCAAGAAGGCTAAGCTCGACGACGGCACTCCTGTCTCGGACGGCAGGGTTTCGAGAAGAGATAAGAACAAAACGTAGGTAAGTTGGAGATTTCATGCATCTGAAGACAAGCACTAACATATAGGGAATGGACTCCTCGTTTAGACGCCGATGGCAATCCAATGCCAAAGACTGAGAGGAAGCCAAAGAGAAAAGTGGCATGCATGCTTGGTTACTGTGGAACCGGTTATAATGGTATGCAAACCCAACCCGATCCCAAGTTGAAGACAATCGAAGATGTGCTCTTTAAAGCTTTTGCAGATGCTGGAGCTATTTCTGAGGAGAACTCCGATGACTTGAAAAAGAACTCATTCCAAAGAGCTGCAAGAACCGACAAGGGTGTACATGCAGCAGGTAACGTTGTGTCTTTGAAGCTCATCATTGAGGACCCCGACATTATCAGCAAGATCAATGCTGCTCTTCCTGAACAAATTAGAGTATGGGGAATTGAGAGAGTGAATCGCTCCTTTGACTGCAGAAAAATGTGTTCGTCGAGAGTTTACGAATATCTTCTACCCACTCATAGCTTGCTTCCTCCTAGACCACACTCAAGTCTTCTTCAACTCATTGAGGAGAGCAAGAAGGGAAATCCAGGTGTTTTGAGGGATGACCCAGAGCAGGCATGGTGGGATGCTACAAAGCAACGTATACTTGACGAGGGCATCACTGAAGAGGAACTTCGACTGGTTTTTGAGAAGAACGATTCTTCCCTGGAGGACAACATCAAATTGGACTATCTTACCGAAGATGGTGAGGTGACGGATTATGGGAAGTTAGTCAAGAAAGTAAGAGCTATCGAGAATACTTGCCGCAGTGAATATAGAGCGAGCGAGGAGAAGATTAATCTTTTCAGAGAAGCCATGAACCAGTATGTGGGGTCTCACAATTACCACAACTTCACGTTGGGAAAGAAGTTTCAAGATCCCAGCGCTCGCCGTTTTATGAAAAGCACTAGTGTCTCTGATCCTTTCATTATTGAAGGCAGTGAATGGATCTCGATCAAGATCCATGGCCAATCATTCATGTTGCATCAAATCAGAAAGATGATTTCTATGGCCTCCCTTGTGGTGAGAACTGGCTGTCCAGTCACTAGAATCACCGACTGTTTTGGACCAGCCAAGATCAACATTCCAAAGGCACCTGCTTTGGGCTTGTTACTAGAATGCCCAGTGTACGAGGCTTACAACAGTAAGCTTGAAGAGTTGGGTTACAATGGCATTGAATTCTCTGGATATCAGAAGGAGATGGACGCTTTCAAAATGAAACATATCTACGACAAAATCTATGCTGAAGAGCAGAACCAAAAAGTCTTCCAAGGATTCTTCGAATTCCTCGACAAGTTCAAGAACTCTGAGGCAAGAACAGGTGGCAGACATATCTTTGACTTTTTGGGTGCTGCTTTTAACAACGGCTTAGACAATCAGGAAAAGACGAAGAGGACAGACGCTGCCAATGATGACAAGAGCACTGAGTAAACTACGTGCCATATGTAATTATAAACGATGCATGCAATTACTTAAATTAAAGAATGTGAACAGTTCGGCACTGTACAGAATTAGAATGCTAATAATTTGAAAACATGGGTCAAAAGACTCGAGATGATTACTCTGGACCTCAAATCCAAGCTGGATTGGTGTTCGACCTAGACCCGCCTTGAGCATCACCTTGATCAAACGCTTGACCATGCATTCCTTCAGAATAGCGACCGCTTTGCAAATGAGACAGCGAGCGCATATGTTGCATCTTCCCAGCCTCGTTAAGAGCTTTCTGTTGGCTTGCGGTCATCTGTGGGATGGACTGCTGTGGAAGTGAAGAGGATGGAACCTGCCTTTGTAATGGCTGCGCTTGAGGAGGCTGCTGATGCTGCAGACTCTGTTGTTGCGAGTTACCGGATTGATGCTGTTGTTGTTGTGCTTGTTGTTGTTGGGACTGCTGTTGTTGCTGCTGCTGGTGGGGCTGCTGAGGTTGGTTCAGAGAGTTTTGGTTCTGCTCAATCTGACCGTCAGCGAGCTTGAATTGCTCTCTTTGCCTCTCCTGCTGGAACTTGTATAACGTCCAGTCAAACACATAGTCATATCTATAATTCTCTCTCTTGAATAAATCTCTGAAAAGTTTTCTCAAATATGGGTAGTCTGGCTTATCGTCAAACCTCAAGTTTTTGATGTATCTCATGTACTCCAAAAATTCCGCGGGGAGTCCTTTAGTCAAAACATCATTAGAAATAGTCATCTTCTTCTCCATGATCCTGTCGTACTTCTGCCTCTTGGTGGCGGCCTTCAAGCCTTGCCATGGCAAGGAGCCTCTGCAGAAGTATATTAAAACATAACCCAAACTCTCCAAGTCGTCTCTTCTAGACTGCTCGATACCCAAGTGAGTGTTGACGGATGCATATCTGGCAGTACCCGTCAAGTTCTTGTTCTCACGGTAAGGAATGTGGAGGTGAGTTCTAGGATCTCTGTATTTCTTTGCGAGACCAAAGTCAATAACATTGACTTGGGAGCCACGACGACCAATGCCCATCAAGAAGTTGTCAGGCTTGATGTCTCTGTGGATGAAGCATCTTGCGTGGATGTACTCTATTCTGCAAATGAGTTGGTCGGCCAACAACAACACTGTCTTGTAGGTGAACTTTCTATTACAGTAGTTGAAAAGATCCTCCAACGAAGGACCTAACAAGTCAATCACCATAGCGTTGTAGTCACACTCAGTGCCGTACCATCTCACAAATGGGATACCGACACCGCCTGATAAGGCCTTGTAGACCTTGGCCTCGTACTCCAACTGGGGATGTTTGGCCTTGACATTCTCCAATTTGATGGCCACTTCTTCGCCGGATATGATGTTGGTGCCCAAGTAGATGTCACCGAAGGATCCCAGGCCGATCTTGCGGCCAATACGATATTTCTTACCGACCCTCAAGTCCATCATTTTGCTTTCGTACTTGATCTGGTTCCCCGACACTTGATTATTCATAATACGTTACTGGCGGAGACTTGTGGAAGCCCGGGCGGTTGGAAATTTTTGGGGAAAAGTTGGCTTGGTGTATGTGACAACTTTAAGGAGGAAGTTGTATAGTTGCCAACGAAGGTTACGCACGGGTTGCTGGAGCGAAAAGAGTTGCTTTGGCGCCGCCAGACCGGTCCTAATTTAAGTTCTCTGGTGCTGAAATGGGTGGATACGGGGCTGACAGTATGCTGTGCAGCCTGACGAGGAGTTGTTGGGATTATATAGGATAGGTCGATTCGTCACAAACAGGAAAAAAATGGAAACACTCGGGATCATTAAGGAGAAAAAGAAACTGAGTATTGGCTCGCGCACGACCCTCGCCTTGCACGCCATGGCTGCGACAGTGTTCACCCTGGCACATTCCGAAATGGTCAATTGACACAAAGTTAAGAGGAATCTAAATTCCGACTTTTTTTACTCTTTTTACCAAGAAATCGTCATTGGCAATGCTTGGATCAATGGCATTCACGGCCAAGGCAGGTGCAAGGAGGGCTCTGGTTGCAAGGGTTAGCAGCATCTCGGGTATACACTCTATTCACAGTCTGGATTTCGCAGCCATCCCACCGCGGCTAAAGGCAAGCAAGCAACCCAGCCATGAGCTCATAATATGGACCTGGTCACAGTAGATCATCGAGAAGTCAGTCGGCAATGTGTTCTGTTACTATTTGTATTCCTTTTTTTTATTTGTTAAATTCATCTGATCCATTGGAAACCCTAGTTTAATTAACTCGGAGAAAAAAGCATCTTACCAGCTTCCAGACTAGCATTGTAGTTTACTCATTTGTTTTCTTGCAGTTTTTGTTCGCTCATCCACTTTGCATGGTTTTTGCAACCATGGCACACAGAACCGCAGATACCGCAAACTACGCATTAGCCACACCAAGAATTATAGAATGAAATTGGTCTGCGTCGGAAGTCCATGGTGTCAGCATGCGCCACAAGGCATCACAGCGCCCGAATTTTCCAGGCGTAGGGGCTAGGCCAATCCGCAATCTGTAGCTATGGATGTGCAAGCGTTTGGAGAAAATCAGAGTTCAAAATCCGCCCATCCCTGGCAGTGTCAAAGGCTACATGGTCGGACTCGTTTCTCCGCCTGTGGACCAATTCTCCAGACCTCCAGCCCCACTGCGCCAGCAAACTTTTACTGCCGCAAAGCATGTGCCCTGCAATCATGTTGAAATACCTAATGCTCGTTTATGCACTGGAAAGTTGCTGCGGCTTTTTCGGCTATCGACGATGGTCCTGCTTACGAAAAAGCCAAGTGGTTCGTCTGAAAAGGCAAATTTGTGCATTGTAGGTCACTTGCCATCGTTGATGCATCGGATGCTCGAGGTACATGGTCCGAAGGTGGACCTGCAATTGCAAGCGATGGATGAGGAGCCTTTCGTTTGCCTTGTGCTGTCAATTGGCACCTTAATCATGCCATTACATCATTTTCACGTTTCTATTACTGAAGAGCAACATTGCCGTTTGCAAAATCGGGAAAGTGTTGCTGTTATTTAAGGAAGCCAAGGGTAGCTGCAACGGTTAGTAGTCGCGATTAAGAGATGACGGTGCATCCCGTCCGACCGCTCCACAAAAGAGCTCGAGTTTTCTCGAACAAAGGCAATTGAGAGACGTGAACAATATTGGGACACAACAAATCAAGTATTGACCGTCCAAATGGGGAAACTCACTGGCAATGCTTCGCAAACGGCCCATCAACACCGATTCCACACTCAATCCCTACGTCAATGATTCAAATTAAAACATTACTATTAAGTCTTACGACAAACTAAACCATATACCCATGTTGGTGCCTGGGCGCCTACTTGGCCGCAATGGCCTCCTTGGTGGCGGCAACCTTATCCTCGGTCTGTTCACCGAGGGCCTTGGCAGCAGCCTGGACCTCGTCATTCACCTTCTCGACAGCAGGCAAATTGGCATCCTTAGACTCAGAGGCAGCAGCGGCAGCGGCAGAGGTGGCATCTTTAGAGGTGGTAGCGGCCTCCTCAGAAGCTGGTGCGGCGGCGGCAGTCTTGGCGGCGTCGGTGCTCAAGTTTGACTCCTTGGCCTCCTCAGCCGTCTCGGAGTCCGCAGTAGCGGCAGCGGCAGCAGGCTTTTCGGTCTTGTTCTTCTTGAACTTGCCGATCAAACGCTTAAGGAAGTCCTTCTTGTCGTTCTTGTAAGAGGAGTCCTTCACGTCCTTCTTGGCCTTCTCGCCCTGGGCAGCCTTCTCCTTGGTGGTGGTGGGGATATCGGCAGCGGCGTCCTTAGAGGCCTCGGTGGCCTTTGTGGCTTCACCCTCTGCATCGGCACCCGTGGTCTCTGCTGTCTCAGACACTTCCTTCGCAGCATTCTCGCCGTTCTCGGTGGCGGTGTTGGCGCCCTCCTTGGCCTCGGCCTCGACATTGTTGGTAGCCTCCTCGATATTCTTAGAGGCCTCTTCCTTGGCCTTGGTCTTGACAGCCTCCGAGTCTACCTCGTCCACAGCGGCGGAGTCTTTAGCCCCCTCGGCAGTGTCAACTGCCTCTGGAGCATCAGTCTTGCTAGACCCGTTGGCGGCGTTGCCATTGGGGTCGTTGATGAAAATTTTCGAACCTCTCTTAATCTTGTCCTTGAGTCCCATGGTTGTAGTACGGAGGAAAAAAAAAACCAGGTCACAGGGAGTGACAAGTATTTATAAAGGGTTTCTGTAGCTGCGGCAGGTGCAGGACCCACAACATGGCCAGCCCACAGTACGCGGCGCACCCTCAGCCGTGCCATACTGGAATGAAGATTTTTGGCATGATTTTGAATTTTGCATTTCGTTAGGTTACTTTCGAATTGACCTGTGGCCAACTTTCACGGCTTTTCAGGCGAACCTTAGACGATCGCTGCAGGGCGCCTCGAAGCTAGACTAACGTATGCTGGCGCGCCAGGCACAAACAAGCACAGGACAGGAAGGAGCCAGCCTACAAAGCCTCAATTACCGTTGTCAAGACGAACACAAAAATGAGAATGCCTGAGGAAAATAATAAAATAAAAAAGCGTGAGCGTGCCAGACGAAGGAGGGATCTTACAAGTTTCCCTCTTGGGCAAATCGGCAAGGAAAGCCCTAATTTAGCATCTGGGCAACTGCCGAGCCACGATGTCTCACAATTGTAATCACCGGATCTTGTTGTCCTTCCTAATTCGTGCCGGCGCCCGAGAACCGGAAAAAATCTGAAGCTTGTCATCTTTCCCAGCAACTGTTTTCTTCCGCTCCTCCTGCCTTGTTCGGCTCCATTGTGGCCCGCCCAAAGTACATTCCCTTGTTTCGCGACCGTTGGTCTGTCAAAGCCGGACGGCTCGGCTCGTGTATCTCAGGTGACTTTCACGCCGCACTGAAATCGTCCCACAAGTCACAATCATTTTGCAAGTTGAAATGGGGAACCAAAGGCACGGTCACGCTGCTGTGTAGATCATTGTGGTGGACAGGGCAGATAAGCTGAGGGGGTTTATCCGCTGCGGGGTGGAAGCGGGCATCGATTGTGATAAGCATGGATGACCATCTTACAATAACGAAGAATGAGATTGGCCGTGTATACCCAGCTTTTTATTTAGATGCCACATGTTCGTGCGGTATCGATAAATTAGCCATGCTGCTTGAAATGGAGACCTTTTGACGATGTTGAGTCTCGCCTGTGGTGGCTGCGATCAGCACACATGCTTCCACAACTACACCGCACAATTCTAGTCTTTTACCAAGTAAGCAAAGAGAAATAAAGGCGGCCCACTTGATACTTCCCTTCGGTAAATTACACGTTTCCAATTTTTCCATTTGTTGATGTCACGTGCCGAGACACATTTTTCACTCCGGACTTCTCTCACCTCTGGATCTGGCACTCATGAGCGGTATAAGCGCTAAAATCGAGGACCTCAGTCTTCTGCTGCCTCTTCTGATAAGCAATGCATTTTTGCCGGCTGCTTATGACCTTTCGTTGAATATAGACCACCAGAAGCCTAACTTCAAGGGTACCATCAAGATCAAGCTTGAGAAGAATACCGCATGCACCAATGCTTCTGAAAACTTCAGTTTTTCCTTGCATTCCAAAAACCTTGTTTTCCTTTCGGCAAATCTTTTGGTTGGGGAAGGTGCTCCCGTGAATTTGAGCATTTCAAACCTCAGGGATGCCCAGCTAGCCGTACTTTCATGCGACTCCCCGGTCAATGAGATCAATGGCCTGATTACCGTCGAAATCTCGTACTTGGGTTCTGTTCACAAGATACAGACATACAGAGATCAAACTTATGGCGTTTTCAGCACCAACTACTCAGACTCGTTGGAAGGACGTTCAGATAACTACATCATCGCAACTCATTCACAGCCGTATGGAGCCAGGACCATCTTCCCTTGTGTGGACGAGGTCAATGTGAGAGTTCCCATCAAACTTTCAATAACAACCCTCTCCAAGTTCAGGGCTTTCTCGAATTCGAGTATGTCGTCACAGTCTTACATAGATATGACTGACTTGGCTGTCTTCAACTTCCAAGAGACACCCCCAATGCCTACGTCTACATTCGGCTTCGTCATTGGTGATTTGGAAACTTTGGAAGGCAAAGCCGGTGACGTTCCGGTGAGCATTGCAACCACCAAGGGCGATTCCTCTCTTACCAAATATGCTCTTGATTGTGCAACTGCGCTTTTACCTGTGTTGGAAAAACTTTTCGGCGTGCCTTATCCTTTACCAAAACTTGACATCGTAACCTTGCCTTTCTTCAGCGAAGGCGCAATGGAGAACTGGGGTATGATTACTCTCATCAAGGAGAGTCTCTTCATCGTAGAGGATGCGTGTGTTGGTTTTCAAACGCGACAGCTCTTGGCTCATCAACTTACCCATCAATGGATCGGAAACCTTATGTCCTTTGATGACTTCAAGCAGATGTGGTTGACAGAGGCCTTCGCTACTTTTGTCGGAGACTATGCTCTCTCTTTGGCCAAGATTGAATCTGAAGACTACGAAAAGTATGATTTTAGAAAGTCAGAGCAGGTCGAGGCTCTCATGGATGAAGACTGTTTTTACGGACAGCCAATTCCCAGCTTGAGTGAGTATATGGCGAAGGTCAACACTAGCAACAAGGCCAAAACCGATTCCATTTTCGAGAAATCGTCGTATGAAAAAGGATTGGTTTTGCTCAACATGATTTCCACCATGTTTCAACTTGAGTTTAAGGCAGATAGCATTCAACCGTTCTTTGATCACTTTGCCAACGTACTCACCAAGTTCAAGTACAAGTCTGTCAAGCCTTTTGAGATGTGGACTTTGCTAAATGAATTTGTTACATTCGATCTTCCCACCTTCGTGCATTCCTGGGTCCAATATCCGGGGTTCCCTTGTTTGAGGGTTACTGCCGATGGCGAGGGTATAAAGGTCACTCAGAGCCGGTTTTTGTATGATGGCGATGTGGTGACATTAGGTCTCGAAAATGCCCCATTCAATGTTCCATTGGCAATAAGAGCCAAGAAAGAGGACGGACAGTCGATAAATATTAATGTCCTTCTTTCTGACAGATCTACCAAATTAGAGATCAAGCCAGAGCAGTTGATAAGCTTCAATTACAACAAGCAATTCTACTATAAGATTGTTTATGATTCAACCATCACTAAGCATCTCCTATCGAGAATTGAAACTAATGAGATGACCCCTCTTGAGGTCATCGGTCTCATCAACGACTACGGAAGAATTCTTGGACAGCCATTTCATGAAAGCGAGGCCGCTCTCTTTGGCAAATCTCAACTCACCACACTCACTTCAATCATCAATGTTCTTGCCTGCGGCTCATGGAAGATCAACTTTGATGTCCTCAAGATTGCACTCACATTCTTAGAGACGATCAACAACATCATGATCCATTTCAGTGAGTATTCGCAATTCAAGAAATGGATCGACGATGTCAGCTTCAAGCTTTTTGAAAAGATTGGCTCATGGGATGCTGTTACATCACCGGAATCTGAGGTCTACGATTCAACTGAATACGAGTGCAGAAACGTCATTCTTCAGCTTGCCTGCGAGAACCCCGCTGCTCAGGCGGTTGGAAAGCGCCTTTTCAAGAATTTAATCCACTCTGGTGTCGTCAAAAAATTCGTGCCTAGAGAGTTGTTCTCGAGTATGTTTAATGTGACGATGCACCTGGCAAACATGAGCGAGTACAAGCAGATCTTGGCTCTTGTCAAGAACTCCAATGTCTCGTACTTGAAACATACAAACGGCAATCCACAATTGCTTCAAACTGCTGCAGTGTCTTCCCTTGCATTCTGTTCTCAGAACGATCTCTTGAACAAAACGCTTCATTTTGTCGACTGCAACATCGACTCCAAGATGATCGAACTAGCTCTCATTGGTTTCAAATTCCAGTATGACACCAAGAAGAAGGAAATCCTCTGGGCATGGTACAAGGTAAACTACGACCAATGGGTTAAACGCTCACTTAGAAAAGGCTCTGATTGGGCCAAGCAGATTCACAAAGCCGTTACCAATATCACCAAAATGGTGCTCGGGGAAATCATGCAATACAAGAAGAAGGAGGTCCAAGACTTTGTGACATTGAAGGCCAAGCTGCTTCCGCCGCACGGCCTAGTTGAAGCCTGGGAGGAGGTTGAGGCAGAGAATGAGGAAAAAAGAGCCGTGGCCCAGTTTTACACAGATATGGTCGCAGATTTGTAAATATTTTATTGAAACTTTTGTACATAGGCAGCCCGCTGCTGGTCGTTAATCGTAAGAGATGGAGCTTGAACCCCGGTTTTGATTTGTGTGGTCAGTTCCTCAATTGAGGTTCCACCTGATGGGTTGGTTCCCCTTTTCCACAGCACTTAGTATCGAGTTCGCAATATGGTCGAACTGGTCGAGGTCAGTGGCTGTGAGCTTTGGTGGTGGGGCCAATTCACGAATAGTGTGTCTTCTAGAGATTGTCAGAAACATGATGTAGAGAATTCAAGACGAGATGGCGAGTTTATATATTTTGCACTGGGCTGGATTTCGCCATGCGACATGAGCGGCTAGCCCCGATCTAGGCCACCGCAGAAAAATGGCTAATGCGAGTAATATCTGCCATTTTCGCACCGAGAGCCTCGGCGTACACCTATCCACAGAACGGTATTTCTGATGAGAAGCGGCAATCTGCACTATCGACTAAATGGGAGGGTACGACTTTTGGCTTTTTCTGGGGCGGATTTATCAGCCCAGCGGGACCAGAAACTGGGCAAGTATCACCAGTGAAGCTGCAAAAACTACTTTCAATTGGCACAATAAGCTTTCGCTACTTTTAAGCGACTGCAAAAAACGGCGGGAAAAACCGATAGCATTTGCCCGTTCTCGCCTTCGCCTTCCGAGCTGGCTCTGCCGTTTTCTCACTAGACAACGGCGCCTGCCGGCGGACCTAGCCGAGCCTCCTACAGAAACTTTTTTTTTTTTTTCTTTTTTTATTTTTTCAAGTTTGCATGCTTCACAACGTTGTGTCAAAACGCTATCTGCTCCTTCCCCCTTTCCAAAGGAGAGGGGAGCGGCATCGACATCGGCGTGGCCTGGTCTACTTCAATTTGGTCCGCGATGCTGACTCCTATGGCTGCAATACCCTTTTTAGACCATCTAGACCACTAGTCTGCGAGGGCACCATCACGAGCTTTTCTCTGTCTCTCTTCCTCTTCCTCCTCGTCACGTCTCTTCAATTCCTCTTCGAGATCAAGGTTCTCTTGAATGTTCCAAAGTTCTCCATAGAGAGACCCTGGAGTCTCTATCAAGCTTTGATGAGTACCTTCCTCCTGAACTGCGCCTTGGTTCAAGACAATGATCTTGTCGCTGTCTGCAATGGTTCGAAGACGATGCGCGATGGAGACATTCGTCGAGCGCCCCTCAATGAAAACGCCTCGTAATGTCCTAAGTAAGGCTTGTTCCGTGTGTGTGTCTAGGGCACTTGTGGCTTCATCAAAGAATGTAATTGGAGCCCGTTTCAAAAGTAATCTTGCGATGGCCAACCTTTGCTTCTCTCCTCCAGAAATCATCAATCCTCGTTCTCCGACAATTGTCTCCATACCAGCTGGAAGTTCCTTGATGAGTGCATCAAGCCTCACCTTAGAGACCGCAGCCATGATCTCGTCGTTATGCGCGTCTAAGCGGCCGTAGCGAATATTTTCCAAAATCGTGTCGTTGAACAATGGCGTTTCTTGGGGTACCACTCCAATAGCTCGCCGGAGCGACTCGAGATCAACCTTGGAGATATCTTGGCCATCGATGAGAATGCGTCCCGAATTCACGTCGTAGAATCTAAAGACAAGCTTCAACACCGTGGATTTACCAGAACCTGAAGGGCCAACAATGGCGACCTTTTGACCCGGTGGAATGGTGAAGGAGGCATTCTTCAAGATGGGTCTGTCCGGGTGGTAACCAAAGGTAACATTCTCAAATTTGATCTCGCCCGGTCTTATTGGGTGCAAGCTAAGCTTTCCTGCGCCAGGGCTACTTTTCACCTTGATGTCGTAGTTCTGCAACTGGAAAAGATTCTCCATATCTAACAATGACTGCTTGAGCTCTCTATAGACCGATCCCAAGAAATTGAGCGGAACAGACAATTGGAATACGAGCTGGTTGATCAACACTAAATCACCAACACTCAAAGCCCCAGTGGCTACACCCTGACAGCCCATATACATCATGGCTGTGAGAGCCAGGGTGAAGATCATATTCTGGCCGGCGTTTAAAAATGCTAAGGAGGTGGCCACTTTGATCGAAGCATTCTGGTAATTGGTCAAGGATTTGTCGTATTTGGAACATTGATAGGCCTCATTGTTGAAATACTTCACGGATTCGTAATTGATCAACGAGTCCAAAGCCACAGACGCAGCTTGATTATCAGCGTTATTAGCTTGACGTCTGAATCCAGTTCTCCATGCGGTGGTTTTGATGGTGAAGACAGAATATCCGATCATCGTCATCAAAGTCACTGCAGCAAAAGAAAGACCGTAGTTGTATGTCAAAATACCACAAACGACACTGATTTCAAAGCTGATGGGAATGATATGAAATACCATGGCACTGAGAACATAACTTATACCTTTCGTGCCTCGATCTATAGCTCTGGTAAGACCACCAGTTTGACGAGATAAATGGAATTGCAAATCCATGTCTAGCAAGTGCTTGAATGTGTTGTTGGCGACTCTTTTGATGGCCAGCTGGGCGACAGAAGCAAAGATTGCATTTCTAAGTTCGCCAAACAAGACAGCACCAAATCTGGCACCACCATATGCTATGATCATAGTGCCCATGACGGTACCCAAGGTGCCCAATTGCTCAGACCAATCGACGTTCATTTCATCGATGATGGACTTGAAGAAGAAAGGCACTTGGACATTCAAAAGCTTGGACCCGATCAACAACAGCAAGGCGAGCACCACTCTGACTTTGAAACTAGGCTTGTTCTTGGGCCAGATAGTGACCAACAACGACTTGAGCATTTTGAATTGAGATGTGGAAATCTGACGACCAAAAAGGTACGTCGAAGAGTCTTTCTTTCCATTCTCGAATGCTCTCTTGGATGTGTGGAACCCTCTTGAGCAAATGTGGTGCAACCTAGGTCTCACCGATACTGTGGATCCTCTCGAGAAATGGTTTCCCACCGGTAGTTGCAGGCGCAAATTCGTAAGCGGGACTCTAGTTAATTGCCCCGAGGTCCTGAGGACTCCAGGCAGCCTCAAACGAAGCAAAGAACTAAGCATGCTAGGAAAAGTGCAACAGATCTGGTTTTAAGACCTAGTGGATCGCGATGTGGGTAGCCGAATTTCGCGGTTACAGTCGGGTGCGAAAACCGCTCAGCGTCCGGGGAACCTGAAGGGTAATAAACTGGCCAGTATTGTGTCAAATTTGGATTTAGAGATTTAATTAGCTCTCATTGTTTGGGTGGCAGTAGTTTTTGTCTCGAACTTTGGTTTTTGATGTTTTTACATTTTTTTATCGTACATGTATCCTTTATCTGCGAGATCGGCTTAATAAGCTCCAAAGAATGTAAAATGTGAAAATAATCTGAAAATTAAATAATGATATCGAGACTTATCACTCCACCTTTTCTTCGCCCACTTTCCCTAACTCATCAGCAAATATTCATTGGATGCTTCAAAAAAGTGGGGATAGCATGTAAATGTAACACTACATTAAACGCCTAACGCCTCACACTCAATCTCTTGTGATCATCTCTTGATTAATTTCACGTTATTGTCGTTACGTGTTCAAATTAGCAGCTCACTTCAATTTCTGTGGCCAAAATTTTGCAGCCAAAAGAAAAATTACACTCCTACAGCAATAACCAAATCCTTACATCGTATACCATTAATCTATAACCTGAATCTTTCGATAATCTTCTTTTAGTTCTCAGAGTTGGTCTTGGAAGAGTACTCTGCCTGCTTCACCAAGTTTTGAGGAGCATCCATTCTTGGCAACATCACCTCGATCATTCTGATCTTAGAGTTCTCGTTGAACTCTGGGTCGGTGAACAAGCCCTCAATCTCACCAACAGTGGTGACACGGTTGGTCTCATAGTTACGAGCCTTGAACAATGGCAAGAGACCCAAGTTGTCCCATGGCTGAATGTCGTTGTAGGTGGCAGTTTCACCGTGGATCAATCTCTCGATAGTGTAACCCTCGTTGTTCAAGACAAACAAGTATGGAGTGGTCTCCCACTTGACCATGGTGGAGATTTCCTGGACAGTCAACTGCAAGGAACCGTCACCAACAAACAAGATGACTCTCTTCTTAGGGTCAATTTCCTGAGCAGCCATCACAGCACCCAAGGTAGCACCAACGGTGAAACCAATAGAACCCCACAAGACCTGCGAGATACCAATGCACTTGTCTGGGAAGTAAGACTGGACAATACCAAAGGCAGAGGTACCGGTCTCAGTGATAACCACATCACCCTCTCTGAACCAAGAAGACAATCTAGACCACAACCATTCCTGGGAAATGGCCTCCTTCTGGCCTGGGGTGGCAATGGCTCTTCTCTGAGGAACTGGAGCAGGCTTGTAGCCAGCAACATGCGATGGGATCTGGGCCAACAACTGGTTAAGAGCCTCCTTCATCTGGACACCTGGGAAAGTGGCCTGTCTGATCTTGGTGTAATCAGAGTGGAACTCCACAATGTTCTTGGTCTTGTAGGAGTAGGAGAAGTGACCGGTGTTGAAGTCGGACAACAAAGCACCAATGGAAAGCACCAAGTCGGCGGACTCAACAGCTTCCTTCACATCTGGCTCAGAAAGAGAGCCAACGTAGACACCACCGAATCTTGGGTGAGACTCGTTCACAGCAGACTTACCCATAGGAGTAACGAACACTGGGAAGTTGGTGGAGTCAACCAAACGAGAAACCTCCTCTCTGCAGCTGTGTCTAGAAGCACAAGCATCGACCAAGATGATTGGGTTCTTGGCCTTGTCGACCAAGTCCAAAACGGTCTCAATGACCTCCTCCTGAGCATCAGGGTCGTTCTTCTTCAACGACAAGTCGATAGGAGTGTCCAACAAAGAAGCTGGAACAGTCAAGTCGACCAAGTTGGCTGGCAAACCAACGTAAACAGGTCTCTGGTGGACCCAAGCCTCTCTGATGCATCTGTCAATTTCACCTGGAGCGGAATTGATGTCAGAGAGGAAAGCAGTGGTCTGAGAAATGTTGTTGGACATTCTGTGGAACACAGTGAAGTCACCGTTACCCAAGGTGTGGTGCAACAACAACTGCTTGGCCTGAGACGAAATGGATGGAACACCAACAACGTGCAACATACCAACGTGCTCAGCGTAAGCACCACCGACACCGTTCAAAGCAGACAATTCACCAACACCGAAAGTGGTAACAAGACAGGCAAGACCCTTGACTCTCGAGTAACCATCAGCAGCGTAGGCGGCGTTCAACTCGTTGGCGTTACCGGCCCATCTCATTCCATCAACTTCATAGACTTTGTCCAAGAGATTCAAGTTGAAGTCACCTGGAAGACCAAAGATGGTCTGGACGGAAAGCTGGTTCAATCTTTCGAAAAGATATCTACCCAATGTAATTTCAGACATGACGATTTAGTGTTTTTTGTAAATGATGATGAGAAAAGAAGGCTGCTACGAAACGGCTGTCTACTTATACTTCTACCCCTCGGAGGAGTTCGGGTGGGTGTAGACGTGGTGGTGTGACGATAGTTTCCGTAGGCGCATAATTTGTTTGGGTTGCAACGCTTCAGGGCGGCGTAGGCGCATGCTCTCTGGCCACTTTGAGAAAATATGCGCTTATGTGTGCCGGTCTTACACCTCCGAGACATCGTAACTGGTTGAACGGACTCCGTGTTTTGACGACGCCGTCACGAACAGTGATTTTGCTAAGGGGCTGGTGGCAAAGTTGAGTAAGCTGTGAAATTCTATGTGAGATCCAGTTTCACCGATCAGGCCATGTTGCAGCGGACCTTAGACATTAAGGCAGCGAAGGGATCTGCATGGCGCCTCAGATGATGCCAAACGATGAAATTCGAGAAGGAGAGATCTAAAATAGGACAGGGGGTAGAAGGCGCCTTGCAGATCATTTCTTTTTCGCTGGCTTGAATCTGGCATTGCATTTGTATTGAATAAAGCTCTTTTACGATTACATTTAGATCAGACATAGTGCTTGACGGATCATTGAGGACCGCCGGGCTTCGAAAACAGGTCACCTAGATGCTTTACTGTGACATTCGTTCTCCCACTTTTGAAAACACTTCAAAAGTTTATGCTATTACACTTGTTAGCTCGAGCTTAACTCATGCACTTAGAGCACTTTGTCTACACCTATAATCGCATAAGAATGACCTCAACGGCTAGCCGAAATCAACAATCTGTTCTATGGAAAACTTACGATAATCAATTTCATGATTTTATTCCGAACCAATTTTAGCCTAGGCTTGCCGATTATTCGTGCTCCGATGTGGGTGCAAATGGGGGTATCTGGGGCGGGTAACCCCCATCACCTGAAATCCATGTGAAGAAAAACTCGTGACAACAACTTCTGTTTCTCAGTCTCAATCACGTTGTGATAATCACGTTCCGATAACACCCCGGTCTGCAAACATAGCGAAAGTTGCAGCCATTTTCAAAAGAACGCCACCAGTCTTAATTCAATTCTGGTCTGTTGCTGAACCATTGGTTCTAAATACATTGCTATCGTTGTTTATCCACTGACTCAGGGTAACCACAACAACCTCCTCACCAGTCGCCTGTCCACGTGAACACCATGGTAAACAAAAGAGAAAGCTCCAACTCTTACGTTGACGGTAACAAAAAAGTGAAGCTTGACAATGGCAAAAAAGAGGACATCGCCATTGACTCTGAATTGTTGGGCGACCAGTCCTCCTACACCAATTCGGGCAATCAAGATCAGAACGATGTGAAGGACGAGGAAGCGGCTGTCGCAGCTGCTGCTTCTTTGGTGTCTGAGGCTGATCCTGCCAATGCTGCAGCCGCTGCTTTGAGCCACCAACAGCAGTCCCATCACCACAATCATCATCACCAGCAGCAGCAACAACAACAGCAACAACAGCAGCTGCATGCCTTGCACCACAGAATGTACGAGAATGCCTATGGCTCTCTGGTGCACGCTGCTGCCAGCCAACAGCATCACAGACCCGACCTGACGATGTTGCAGCCTACCACTTTGCCTCCCGTTAACAACAGCAAGCCTCCTCATGGTTCTGACGAGTGGCACCGTGTCAGACGCGAAAACCACAAGGAAGTCGAGAGAAGAAGAAGAGACTCTATCAATGCTGGTATCAAGGACTTGGCCGCTTTGATTCCTACTCCTGACACTAACAAGGCTCAAATTTTGCAAAGAGCGGTGGAGTTTATCAAGAGGTTGAAGGAAAACGAAAACAACAACATTGAGAAGTGGACTTTGGAGAAGTTATTGACTGAACAAGCAGTCAGTGAATTGAACGCTTCCAATGAGAAGTTGAAGGCTGAGTTGGAGAGAGCCTACCGTGAAATCGACTCCTTGAGAAGACAGCTTGACGAGAAGCAGTAAACTTCTTTAAAATGTATTTGTACCATAGGCAACTTCCTATTCTGTTTTATTAATTTTTATGTGAACTACAAGATTTTCAAGCGTAATTTTAGAAGTGTCATGCAATTGATTTTTGAAGCGTTCTTCTTATGCAATGCGAGTAGCTTCAGCTACCCGATGTTATGATGTAAAATTGTCTGTCGTGTGAGTGGGCGAGTTGCCCTATTCTTGAGCTCACAAGTTATTCTTGCTGATGAATCAAATAACCTCAATTCTTTTCTTCCTCCTTTTGTTCAGAGTTTGGTTCACTTTTGTCATCCGACTTTTCGCCCTTCCCTGAATTAGCATCAGCATTATCTGGCTTCTCCTTATGGATCTCATCATTAGGAGCCTTCTCCGACTTTTCATCTGACTTCTCCTCTAACTTGTCTTCAGGCTTGTCTTCTCATTTGTCTTTTGGTTTCTCGTCGGATTTCTCATCGGACTTTTCTTCAGATTTGTTGGCGGCAGCATTTTCAACTTGGGTGTCCTTATTTTCAGCATCACTAGGCTTGGTTTTGATGTACTTCTCATACAAACCAATATATCTGTCTACCTCATCTTCGAAAGAAGTGTAGTCCAGAAGGAGACGGTACAAGAATGGCTCATATTTGAGTGGCTTGAATTCCTTTCCTTTCTGGATGAGAGGCTCGGTTGTTTTTCCAAAAAGTAACCTCATGATTTCGTTTTCATGGAAGGAAGTCATATCTCTCAGCGCCGCATACGCCATGAGGATCTCATCGTTGAGTAGAAGGTCCATGAGATCAGACTCACCAAGTTCGAGAAGGGTCGTCACCTCCCTGGAACTCAAGTCTCCATTAATATCAGGCTTGGTGAGACCCACCAGCTTCTCAGATGACTTTGCACCGTAATAGGTGTCCCACAGCTCTCTGGCTCTCAAGAAGTAACGCAAGTCGTCTTGATGAAGCCAAAGCCTGAGCTGCGGCATAAAGAGACGATGACTGAAAAACTTCTCTAGAAGGCCCTTCTTGTTGTATTCCGCAGTAAGAATTTCCGAATAACGCTTTGGGATGTATGCGACTTTGCCCTCAACGTATGACTTGATTAATGGCGAGAGCTCAGAAAGGCTCAGGAAATGCTTGTTACGACAGTTGTACAACTGAAGCTGATCGTTAATGTTGTATCTGTTTGACCCAGAGCTCACTTCATCCGGCAAGCCATCAGTGTATCTCTTTGGCGTAACGTCTTCACTTACTGCCAATGCAGTGATATCAATGTAGAGACCTGAGTCAATATCGATGAATCTGGCATCAATATTATTTTTACCGTTGCTGTGACCACGAACAGTGATGGAAGAGGTCACGTCAATAAAGTAACGACCAAAGCCATCCTTACCGTCTTCGACAACAAGCGACTGGTTGAAGTAGAGACCTAACTTGTGAAGACTCAGAAGAGGAACCTGCACATCAATGTCGTTGTCCCATGGAAATCCAATACCATTCCAGTACCAGGATAAAAGTGAGCCATGGGCCATCCATGTGGTGATACCTTGTTTACGACAGAAAGACAACCATGTACGGACCATTCTGTGCAAAGTAAGTTCCTGTTCTTCTGTGTTGATTTTCACACCGCCGAAGAATCTCCAATCATAGTGATCACCAATCACGGTGTTGAAGATTCTGGCCTCCAGGAAGTATTTGGGAGGATTATTCTGACTGGCAACGGAAAACTTAACCGAGTCGAGATAGTCTTTTTCCATTTTTGTGAGGGGAGAGGCCACGTTCTTCTCTTGAAGTTCTTTGATGATTGAAAATGGAGCCAGAACAAAATCCTTGTGCTCCAACTTGACCTGGTAGTCACTGATAACGCGATCAGTGAAACTAGGGACCTTCTTGTTCAAGAGCTTGAATTGCTCCACAGTGTTGATGTAGTTCTTACCCAGCAGAGCAATGTAGTGCTCAGGAATACCGTTGTGCAAAAGTTTCAGCTTCACACCTGTGGAGATGTTGTACGAGCCGTCGTCGGTCATAAAGATGATGCTGGCAGGGGGAGGAGCGTGTGTGTACATGTACGATCTTCCAGCCAACATTGCCATTTCAGGGGTCATTCTGCCTGGGTAAGACTTGACGTTGAAGCCCATTCTGAGATGATTGCCATCTCTGTGGTCGAAATTTAACTCGTCGTCCATGACACAGTATTCCTTAGGATCCAAAGCTTCGTGTTTGTTCACTTTGCCGTGCTTCTCTGCCTCGTTAGCCTCGGTTTCTCTTTGGTCAAGAAACTCACACGGCGTCTTCTCCTTGGCGAAGATGTACTCGTCAAGCACGGACATGTCCATCCAGTCAGCCCAATGGAAAGGCACTTTGACCCCCTTGGGCAGCTTGCCGGCTTGCATGTGGAGGTAGTAATAGTAACAGGCCAAAGTGAAGCGAGGATCGAACGGCTGGACGTCAGACCGGCTGGCGTCGTCCTCGTAGAAGTATGGTGGCATCTCTAGATCGGTCTGCTCTTTGGTGAGGGTGGTGTCGATCTTCCAAAAAGTATGCTCCAAGTCGTTATTCTGCCGATGGCGTACGAGCTTGGACACTTTTTTGTTGAAGTCCAGGTACATGTCGTTTTCCATGTTGGAGCTTTTCCATAGCGAAAGCGAGAGCAGATCCAAGTAGTTTGTTTCGGCGATAGACGGTATCAGCGCCAGGGTGAGCCAGAGGGACACCACGATCAAAAGACCGAGGACCACGGCGGCCTGAAGGGATTTTTTTCTGATGCTGACGAACATACGTCCGGAAAAGAGTGGGTGGTTGGTTTGAATTGTGAGATTGGGGGCTAAATTTGATAAGCCGCAGAGGTAGGCAAAAAAAGCAGCAAGGCGGTACTCCTCAGCTACGACCTCCGTACACGAAGATGGACCGGGCAACCTTTGGTTCACTTTTATTTTACAACGCTACAGTTTCCACGAAACTTCCCAAAAGTGCCTGATTGACGAGATAGTGTCATTTCGTGATGTCTTATGATCAAACACCACATTAGGGAAGCAGTCCAGTGATGGTGCGATGCTGCGAGGATAGCTGCGAATGCTTGGCCTCCCGAGATGTAGGCCGAAGCAGATCTCAGTATTTGCTTTTTTACATAGTATAGAAATCTGAAACCGGCGGCTGGAATCTTCCGACGGTGAAATCCAACCACTACTTATGTCACACGAGCCCAACAAGCCAGTGCAGACTTAGCCGCTGTGAACCATCTTGCGTGGCATTCAGCCGATTCAAGAAAAGATCCACGGGCCCTGAGTAAAATTTAAAACTAACAGAGTCTGGTCATTTCTTGAAGAAAGTGTGCCCTGAAACCACCACAACGGTTTACTGACAGGCTGTGTTTTCTTGTCATTGTGATTTTCCGTCCGGCATTGGTTGCGACAAAGGCGGTGCTACCAAGGTCAAAGTCCAGGATGTGCACCAAGCCGAGCTTCCCCACCCGAAAAAGTATAATTACACCGCAAGGCACGTCGCTTCAGAGAGGCTCTTTTTGAATTGAAACTCCAATTCATTCAATTTTTTACCTGGATCATGTACGAATGGCGAGTTTTTCACATTCGTGAACCGGACGGGGCAGGGATCCGCGCTGCTGGTTAGTACCACTGACTGTGCCTGCAGGGTTCTGGAAACACGACGTCAGCCGCGGCCAGCCCTACCACTCCAATACATTGTCCATAGACATTAGGCTTTTCGGTTCTTGATGTAGATTTTGTATTGATGTGTCTTTCAACGCGAGGACCTCTTGAAGAGGAGCCACGTGACCAGAACCAAGGCACCACCTGCGTCCTCGGTTCTGAGCCTTGGCCAAACCAGGCGTAAAGTGGCCAAAAAGCTTCAGGCACAGTGCATTTTTGAGTTTCAACGTTAAAGGAGAGGTTATTTATAGAAAAGTGTTCACGTCTCGTTGTTGCATCGGCTACGCTGGTGAGGCTGTAACTGGTGAAAACGCTCGTTTGCAGCCACTCTGACACGTCAAATCGAGCAAAGATGCAGCGGTGATGCGTGAATATGTCACTCAGGGCTGTGTCTCGGCAGCACAGACATAGTCCGTCAAGATTTAAATCACTGCCCTTGGTGGCTATGCAACCCCCTCAAGGAGGCTTTCACCGCAGTCGGTAATAGGGCGGCCAGGTACGGTGGAGTTCCGTAGTGATTTTTCAACAACGGGCTTGATTTGGTATTTGCGTAAACTTGACAATTTTTAGTGTGGATAGGCAGGTTGTTCAAGGCCAGCCAGCATACGTGAAATTTTCAAAAATTGCGGTCTTCCAGAATCCTTCATTTCACCACGCCCAGCCAGTCTCCAGAAAACTGTGCATGGCAACGCCCATAGAAGATGTATGGGCTACCATGGCTGCGGTTCGATTGGCCCAGTAGGTCCAGCTTGCTCCGGTAGCGTGCCACGTATTCACCACATCAATCCACGAGATCACTGCAAGAAACAACCCCTGAACACGCATGCGTCTTCGCTGGACCAGGTCAATTTCAACTGCTTTCGAGTAGACGGTGAACATTAGGAAAAATAGCGAGTACCAGGGGTGCACTTCTGGTGCTGCTTGTCTGGACCATCCCAGACATCAAACGATTTAGCCACAGAGAGCGAAAGCGTTAGTGCTACTAGGATGTAGGCAGGCAAGGACAACTTTGTTTTTGATTCTTGCATTGGAAATTATCGGCACCAGCTCTGCTCAACGGTATATGTTGGCAGTTATATGTCAAGGACGGTTGCGAAACCCCCATTGTCGAAGGATCCACGCCCGCCCCCTTGGCCTTGACAGGCGCTTCAGCCACTCGTTGGGGTAATAAGCATGGGGTATTATTTGGTGAATGACAGTAGTGGGGCGGCCACCATAGCCCAATGTATGTCGGGTTTCGCAATCAAGGAACCCCCGTGTGACTGGCTGTGCCCCTAACGGCTAAACCCTTTTTTTAGATGAGGCCAGGCTTTTTTAACGTTTGTTTTGCTAGCAGATCCCTGCGTTGCGGAATTGTTCTTTCGGAGACAACAAGGAGCGTTGGCGTTGGTGATGTATCCATGCATTTGCTTGGCGAGATCATGCTGATGCGGTGGTTCTAGGGGCGCTGGAAGTGGAATTTTTTGATGGATTCGTATAATTTGGGTTGAAATTGAGGCATTGGCATCTGTTGAATGGTCAACGAGGGCATAAAGCAGTGTGATACTTCTAACCAGCATGCTGATGAGATGAGCATTTCAACCTAGCGTGATACGCTCTTGATCAAACCACGATTCGGATATGGAAACTAAAAAAAGCTAGATAGTCTCACCCATCAATTAAGTGCTGCTGCGAGTATTAAATTTGATGTGGTGATCACCATCTCTTTGGGTCCTGTTACCGCCTTTGCGACATTGACCTCCAGTGGATTGCTGAAGGGACGAAAAGTAGCTAAATCTCCAATTGATGATGGTGCTGACGCTACAAAATGTCGTATTCCAAGCAATAACCGTCTGCTGGTTGCAGTGGGTCGTCTGACTGAAAACTATAACTTTCATGACTTCTGAAAGATCCATGCTAAAACTGCAATCCCCACATCCTCATAACCACAGAGAGTCTCCAAGATTCTGAATGTGATGCCCTCCTAAGTATACCGGGAGATAGTCGAAGCTACCATCACAAGGTTCCGCCCAGATTGCTCAATGAAATAAGACACATGCGCTTATCGCCCACATGCTCTTAATCTGTCGTCTCAAAGACCACGAAAGCTAGCTCATACAGCTGTCTTATCATCGCGGAGATCCCCGAGCTGTTTAAAAACTCATAATCACAGCGCTTATCTTATCAGTTTTCGCAGCCAATGACAGTGCGATTCAGCAGCCATCAAGAACGTGCAAAAACGGACCGAATTGTGAAATCGACCCAAAAAACGCCCGCAAACTCTTGTAGATCCCCTATATCAACGTATATTCAAAAAGAGCTTTATTTTGATCTCTTAGATGCCTGAAATCAATGCATGTTGCACGGCGTTCGTCTCGCTAAGGCTTGATAACAAATGCGCCGAGCAACAAATTACTCACTATGCTGGAACATCGCCCTGAACTGCATCAGTTTTGCACCTTTCACGTAATCCGTCTATATGCTTATCTTTTTCTGTACATTTAAATCACACAATCCCCAGTTTTTTGCACATCTCATTATTCAGTATGGATAAGCTCAGAACCGTTGGAAGGAAAGTATATCGCAAGATATCGACCAAGGATGGTTTCCTTGGTGACTACGATTATGCTTATCTTTTCGTTCCTGACCTACCGTTCACCAAGAGGGAGCCCAAGACACAGCCGTTTTTCGGCCTCAATTCAGAAATGCCCTTGTTCCTTGGGTTTCTTCTAGGACTCCAGCATTCTTTGGCCATGTTAGCTGGTGTGGTTACTCCCCCACTCATCATCTCCACAACGGCGAATCTTTCGCCATCATACTCTGAGTACTTGGTTTCCGCATCGTTGATCACCTCAGGGATCTTATCCATAATACAGATTACCCGTTTGCGTCTATGGAAGACCAACTACTTTGTTGGCACTGGTTTGCTCTCAGTGGTTGGTACTTCCTTCTCCACAATCACCATCGTGACAAAATCGATCCCCATGATGTATGACAGTGGCATTTGCGAGACCATTGACGGTGTCAAACAGCCTTGCATTGCAGGTTATGGCCATTTGTTAGCCACTGGTTCCATCTGTGGTCTTCTCAGTGTGCTTTTATCTTTCACGCCGTCCAAGGTGTTGAACAAGATCTTCCCTCCTATAGTCACCGGACCTGTGGTCCTTTTGATCGGAGTTCATCTCATTGAGTCCGGATTCCAGGACTGGGCAGGTGGATCCTCTTGTGTTGGTGATGTGTGTGGAAAAAAAGAATTGCCTTGGGGCTCAGCTGAGTTTATTGGCCTCGGATTTTTGGTTTACGTCACAATTGTCATTTCAGAAAAATTTGGATCCCCAATCATGAAATCGTGCGCCGTTATCGTGGGCTTGTTGGTCGGCTGTATTGTCGCTGCTGCCTGTGGCTACTTTTCTCATAGCGACATCGATGCTGCTCCAGCTGCCACTTTCTTGTGGGTCCATACTTTTCCCTTGAAGCTTTACGGACCAATTGTTCTTCCGTTTTTGGCGGTGTATATCGTCTGTGTCATGGAGGCTATTGGTGATATCACCGCTACTTGCGATGTTTCTAGATTAGACGTTGAGGGTGAAGTTTTTGATTCGAGAATCCAAGGTGGTGTTCTTGCGGACGGCCTCAATGGTATTCTTGCTGGCCTCATGACGGTTACCCCAATGTCTGTTTTTGCCCAGAATAATGGTGTCATTTCAATTACGAAGTGCGCCAACAGAACAGTCGGATACTGGGCCGTGTTTTTCCTTTTGATTATGGGGATTTTCAGCAAATTTGCTGCCGCCATTGTGTCCATTCCCAAAGCTGTTTTGGGCGGTATGACGTCGTTCCTCTTCACGTCTGTCGCCGTGAGCGGAATGAAAATCATCTGCTCTTCCGAGTTCACCAGAAGAGACAGATTTCTTCTTACAGCCTCGTTGCTTCCGGGCTTTGGAGCCACGCTCGTTCCTGACTGGTTCAGCTACGTGTTTACCTATCTGGGAGACAACTCCGGATTACAAGGTTTGCTCGATGCCATCGTGTTGCTTATGGAAACCGGTTTTGCATTGACTGGTGTGATTGGCGTGATCCTCAACCTCATTTTACCGCAAATGTCCGATGATGTAGAGGAACTCAATGAGGTTGTTTTGGAAACTGTGGGGTCGGCAGACCAACACGCATTGGAGGCTTACAGGTCCAAGGAAACCGCAATTTACGAGCTGCACGGTATCGACGAATCAAGCTCAAACAAAGAACGTGCCTAGACGGCCAAATGTATAATAGCATCGACCAATCAGCCAATCAAGCATCTTTCAATATCACATTCATGTTCCCCGGATTAGTGGCATGCAGGCTCTGTCAAAGTGGCTCTGGTTTCCGAGCAGGCTGCAGAAACTCCGAGGATGAGGAGGAAGTAATGATTTTATTAATTTGAAATATTCTTTCAAAATGCTGTAGACTAAAAAACTGTCACCGCTGCCACCTGCCTGATTTGGCCATATCCTCGGCTGCGTTTTTTTTTTTTGACTCCGGTCCGAGCGAAAAGTAGGCACCAGATTTCACCACATTGTGCGCACAGACCTCGGTTATCTATTCTTCATATAACTCTCAATGCGCTAACGATACTAGAGCATCTCAGCCAAGTTTTCACTCACTTCTTTTTTCTATATCTAGTTCGCTTTTGGCTGCTTTTTTCGACTAGACCTTTATTTTTTACTGTTCATCATGGAGATGCATGTGGCTCAAACCTTCACCAAGACGAAAAGTCCGCTTCCGTTATCGTTGTTGTTGCGTCTCAACGGATTGCTCAAAAAGTCCGTTTTTTCCAGAAAGTTTTACCAGGAGATCAACGACAAAGTCTTGAGCAAGTCCTCGTCTGTCGATGCGAACTTGTACTTCATCTGCTACTTCACCTTGTTGTTGAGCGCCATCTTAAACAACAAGCCCAAGATTGTCAAGTTCATCAATCAACAAAAAATCAATGTCATCAAGTTGATAAACCGCAACTTCAACACATCTTTCAGCACCGACGAAGCCATCAAGGAGAAGGTGAGTGCCTCCGTTGACTCCAAAACATACCAACTGAAACTTGCCGTTCATTTGAAGGCTATCTCGTCCTACATTGCTGATGTGAGAATCTTCAACCGTCTCACAGAGTCCATCAAGTACATGCCATGGATCATTGATGAGTTTGCTTCTATGACCAACCCTGCATCCGCAGTTCCTAAGTTTGACCGCATCATCAACTTCCTTCAATCCATCAACTGTCTTGTCTTGGAGCTTTTCGAGCATGCTGGATGGTTGACTGACCACAACTGGGTAGGAACAAGTGACAACGACGGCTGGTCCATGTTCACCTATGTCTGGTGTTCGAGAGTGTGGGGTGCTTACTTGGTGATTGAAGTTTTGGAACTTTTGAGAAGAACACCTTTTGCCAAGTGGGACAAGAACTGGCGCTTGGCCGTGTTCAAACAGGCTATTCAGCTTCCATTGGTCGTCCACTGGTCGCTTTATGAAGGCTGCTTGACTCCATTCTGGGTTGGTGTTTGTGGCAGTGGTGCCTCCTGGTGGGGCTTTAGAGATATGTGGAGCTCGATTGATTTGAGCTAGTCTCATGACAGCGAGGTTTGTCACATACAATTATTTATTCTTCTTCCAATACAAATTTATGATACATTACTTAGCCACGCCCACTGCCTTCGCATCGTTTCTCTCCAATTGTCTCGACCTGTCAAAGTACAAGTTGGGGTGGTTGATGTGAAGGTTCTCGTTCTTCCCTTGTAATTGCTGCTTGTGTGTGATCTCGAAGACACGAGTACAAGCAACAGTGTAGTCGTTCTTGTTGACGTCTTCGACAATGCCATTAATATCATGCTGATCTTGAATACCCATCTGACCCAATGTGTCCACCAACAGTTCAAGAGGCAAGTCCCTGTAAGGACAGCCATGGTACTCACCCTTCTGAGGCTTGGGCTTCAGTAGAATGGTAGCACAGTCCCAGGGCTTGTAGTTGATTCGGCCACCTTCCAAACCATATGTGTGTCTGACATTATACTTATATTCCTTGTTGAAAGTGTCCATGTTCATTTTGGAAGACTTGGTGAATTGGAAGGACCAGAACTTCATCGCTTCGTCCACATTGAGGCCAATGCCCTTAAGGAACAAACCAAGCTGTTGTCTTCCGTTGTACTTCAAGTGGGAATTTGTAACCAATGACTTCTGGAGATGGGAAGCACAAAGTGGGAAGTGCTTGGAAATTTGTGGAGTTGTCACTGATGAGGCGGTGATGTCAGATGCTTTTTCTGGGTCTCCAAAACTATCGTACTGAATGCTAGCAAAGTTACGAGACAAGTTATTGAGAAGAGGCAACAAGCGGTCGTCTTCTTCAAGTCTAGGAATTGCTTGGAAAGTCCGGAGGAGGGCCTGACTCAACAGCTCGGAGAAAACCACAGAAAGCAAGTTCACCTGCAAAGTAGAAGGGATATACGCGTATCCACGGCGAAGGAACACTTGCCTCAGTGACACTAAGTTGGGAACCTTTTCAAAAGGCAACTTTATGAAGCTCTCCTTATGACGAATATGTTGTCTAAGCTGCTCGGAGGTCAAGGAGAAGTTGGCGTCGCCAGAATTCTCAATGCTCAAGATGGTACGGATAACGGGCCCCGAAGCAGCGACTAATGAATCCATGATTTCAATCTTCTCCTCGTTCGAAATGTATTCCCACATCAATTTGTCGCTATACAATTTGGCGAACTCCAATTGCTCCTTTGGCTGAAGCATGTTGTAACGTATCTTAAATAACGTGGTTTCGTTCTTCAAGAACTTTTTTCTAAGCTCTTCTGTACGGCAGAAGACGAGACGCAACGTGTAGTGGGAGTAGTAGTCCTTCTTTCTTTCTGCAATGATCTGGGCATCTGAGCCAGAAGAAGGAGACGGGTTCAAAGGCAAAAACTTGAGTAAAAGCGGCTTCACGACCGTCTCAATATCTTTAAGCGGCTTGGATCTCGCTAAGCATGACTCGATTTCAATCAAGATCTTCAATCTGTCGATAGCCCAACTCTCAAACTCCTCCAAGGTGATCTCCTCAAGAGGAGGTAAGTCATAGAAGGATAACCTAGACGGGTAAACAGCTTTCGAAGACTCAGCAAATGAAGAAACTTCCTCGAAGTTCCTCCTTCCTGCTGTCCTTCTTTTGGTCTGTCTAAACATGAATTCGATGTAGTTGACGTGAAGAAAGAAGATACGCTTTGTTTAGATACGCGGGTGCGAAAATATGGGGCGCGTGGTTGCAAAATGCAGATGTGCTTGTGGTGCCATCACGAAGGTTCATGGAAGTATAATATAGCAAATCACGGTATCCTTCTTGAGACGACTCAAAAAAAGATCTAGACCATTGTGTAGTAGAATCTTGAAGATAGCAGTCATCTGTTGTATACTGAACACCCATCCACTCATCTTTGTGGTGAGCTATCTAATCGCGTTCACTACTAAGAATGGTAAGTGGTAAATTGAATAACAGTAGTATCCATGTTCTCGAAACTATTCTTTTAATGAAGCAGAATACAATATCCTAAATCCTTGCTGTACCAAGGGCTTGATCTGACTTTCATCATTGCACTATCTATCGACTATAGATACTTTTTCTGACCAAGACTGAACTATCGAATATAGTTCAGCAAGAAACAAAATTCTTATTATTTGTTATTTCTCAGGGAGAATAACTCTTCACATTATCTTGCTTAGGTTCGATTGTTAGGATATCCCTATGCCAGCTATTTTTGCAGCCATTGCGGCAACCCACTTAAGGCACTCGAAAAATTGTTAAACAGCCGAAACCCTCCAGTCTGTTCTTTGCTTGAACGCCGAGTTAAAAAGTGGATTTCATGTCCTCTGTATTTTACCAGCGGTTGGATACTTCCCTTCTGCTATCTGAAATGTCAAACCCCTGAATCCACCTGGACATCCAAGGAAGACTAGTCGGTATTTGAAAACAATGTCACATCAAAGCCTGATTAGTTTTCTCTAAAAATAATACATCTTCCTTCGATTTCGTTGATATTGGCGTATCTGATTCTGGTGGCCACACCCGTGCATCTGCCAGACGTGTCGGTGCAACCAGAAAAAAACTAGCTAACCTAAAACCACCTTCAACTACCGACAATGTCAGAAGTGTCAATCGACGCCACCGCCTTCCACAAAAGGTTGTCGATTCTCCAGACAAAATTGGCCTCTGAGGAGTTCAACTCAATCTCCTCCCTTCTATTCTTGGTGGGTGCCCGAGACGATGAGTCCACCTATAAGAAATCCACCATTCTTCAACTTTGGCTTTTGGGATATGAGTTTGCTCACACCGCCATCTTTATCACCCAGGATAAGTGCGTGATTCTTACTTCAGAAGGTAAGGCGAAACACTTGGGACACTTGAAAACGAAGCCAACTCCGAACTCCAGCGATGTGGAGATCTGGACCAGAACCAAGGACCAGGAGCACAATCGCAAGTTGTTCACCGATTTGGTGGCAAAACTCAAGGAATCACAGACTGACGACAAAAAGATCGGAACAATTGTGAAAGATCAATTCAAGGGTAAGTTCATCGATGAATGGAATGATGTCCTGAAGTCGGAGAACTTCGAGTTTACTGATGCAGCACTTTTGGTGTCTAAGAGTGTTGAAGTCAAAGATTCGGATGAACTCAACTCAACGAAGTTGGCGTCGAAGGCATCCGTTGTCATGATGGACTCGTTCACCAACGACATGATGGTGATTGTCGACGAAGATGTCAAGACCACCAATGTGGATATCTCGGATAAGCTCGACAGAAAGATCGACAGCTCCAAGTGGTACACAAAACTGGCTTTGGGAAAGAAGTTATTGCACAATGACAAGGACTTTGACCCGGAGCAAATCGACTGGTGCTACTCTCCTATTGTCCAAAGTGGTGGCGACTACGACTTGAAACCTAGTGCTTTGTCTTCCGAAAAGAGATTTGTTGGTGACGGTGTGATCATTGCTTCCGTGGGTTTGAGATATAAGAACTACTGCTCCAACATCGGCAGAACGTATTTGATTGACCCATCTGCTGAGGTCTCCGACAACTATGATTTCTTGTTAGAATTGCAGGAGCATATTACTAGTGAATTATTGAAGAGTGGTGCCTCAGCCAAGGACATCTTTGCTGGCGTCGTCAAGTTCGTTGAATCTAAAAAACCAGACTTGGCCTCTCACCTTACCAAGAACGCCGGTTGGTTGACTGGTCTTGAGTTTAGAGACTCAACCTTGGTGTTGAACGCCAAGAACGAAAGAAAATTGGTGGATGGTCAAGTGTTTTCATTGACAGTGGGATTCTCCAACTTAGTCGACTCTAAGGCTACTAACCCTAAATTGAAGAACTACTCGTTGCTTCTCACTGATACCGTGAGAGTTGGTGATGGCCAGTCTTTCATCTTGACCAACTATCAAAAGGCTAGAAAGGAAATTACTTTCAACTTGAAGGATGAGGACGAAAAGCCTGCGGTGAAGAAGGAAAACGGTGCCAAGAAGATCAAATCTGAGAAGGACCAGAGCATCGAGAAGAATCTCGCAGTGAATGAAAACCAATCAAGAGTTCTCAAGAATAAGTTACGTCATGAGTCTGCTGCAGCTGACGACACGAACGCTGAAAAGATTCGTCAAGAAGCTCAAAGAAAATTGCACGAAAAGAGACAACAGGAAGGTCTCGCAAGGTTTTCTCAAGCTGATGCTAATGACAATGCTGAGTTGAAGCCAGTGTTTAAGAAGTATGAGTCTTACGTCAGGGAGTCTCAAATTCCAAGCAGTGTCAGAGACTTGAAGATTCACATTGACTACAAGAACCACACAATCATTCTTCCAATCAATGGTAGACCTGTACCATTCCATATAAATGCCTTCAAGAATGGATCGCAAAATGAAGAAGGTGATCACACATATTTAAGATTGAATTTCAATTCCCCTGGTGCGGGTGGTAACATGAGCAAGAGGGCCGAGTTGCCTTACGAGGACTCCCCTGACCACCAATTTGTCAGATCCATCACTTTCAGATCTCGTGACCGTCAGCGTATTGTTGATGTGTATAAGGCGATCCAGGACTTGAAGAAGGACAGTGTCAAGAGAGAAGCTGAAAAGAAGCAGCTTGCTGACGTTGTGACTCAGGGCAATTTGATTGAGCTCAAGGGCTCGAGAATGAAGAAGTTGGAGCAAGTCTTTGTGAGACCAACGCCTGACACGAAAAAAATTGGTGGTGTTTTGCAGATCCACGAAAACGGTTTGAGATACCATTCTTCCGCGAGAAGCGATCACAGGATCGATGTCTTGTTTTCTAATGTCAAACACTTGTTCTTCCAGCCATGCAAGGATGAGTTAATTGTCATCATCCATTGTCATTTGAAGAACCCAATAATGGTGGGAAAGAGAAAGACCCTCGATATCCAGTTCTACCGTGAAGCCAGTGATATGGCTTTCGACGAAACCGGAGGACGTAAGAGAAAGTATAGATATGGTGATGAGGACGAGTTGCAACAAGAGCAGGAGGAGAGAAAGAGAAAGGCTCTCTTGGATAAGGAATTCAAAAATTTTGCTGAAATGATCAGCGATGCTTCCAATGGTATGCTTGACTTGGATATCCCATTCAGGGAATTGGGATTCTCCGGTGTGCCTTTCAGATCATCAGTGTTCTGTATGCCTACGAGAGATTGTTTGGTATCCTTAATTGATCCACCATACCTCGTTGTCACTTTGGAAGAGATTGAAATTGCCCACTTGGAGCGTGTGCAGTTTGGTTTGAAGAACTTCGATTTGGTATTCGTTTTCAAGGATTTCAGCAAGCCCGTGGTGCATATCAACACTATTCCAATGGAAGTGTTAGAAGATGTCAAGCATTGGTTGACCGACGTTGACATTCCATACAGTGAGGGACAAATGAACTTGAACTGGGGTGCCATCATGAAGCAGGTCTTGTCGGACCCTTACAGTTTCTTCTCTGACGGAGGCTGGCGTATCTTGACCGGTGATGGTGAGAGTGAAGACGAAGACTCTGAGGAAGAGGAATCAGAGTTTGAAGCTAGTGACGAAGATCCATCTGACGAGGAAGTTGACAGTGACGATGGAAGCGAGGACGCATACTCGTCTGATGGGTCTGGAAGCGCCAGTGGAGAGGAAGAAGAGGAAAGTGAAGGCGAAGACTGGGATGAGTTGGAGAGGAAGGCTGCCAGAGACGATAACAGACGCGGCAGGGAATAATTGATGCGGTAATGTACCATAATAAAGCTAACTATTGAGAGCGTTGTCAAGAAGGAGGCATAAAAATCCCTGGACCGTAGTAAGCGAACGTATCTCTGAATATCAACATCCATGAACAAAAAATATCAATTCAATGAGACCTCGAATGAGTGAATTCACGTATAACACGCGAAGCCTTTTTTCAAACTCTAAAATTGCATTTGCACTATATCCAACATTCCCTTCTTATTAGCTGCGCATATAGGCGTTTCGCAGCCAGATTGGGGGGTTCCCTTAAAAATTGCCCAAATTTTTTCCGGTACGATTATAAGAGATTTTTTTCAAATGTAGAAGAATTTCAATGTTGCTCTACTTGTATCTCAAGAACAACTGAGCCTTGCTGGCTAAGTGTTTAGAGGCGTGGATGTACGGGTGCGTATCTGGCAATGGCTGGGGATTTTCGTCGCTCACTATGTAGGTGTCGTTTTCTGTGAGAAATCAAAAAACGACTACGTCTACTCAAATTCATCAGATACAGACATAAATCAAAGCATGAGTGATAACACCGACGACTACTCATACGACTACGAGTACCTATACAAGATCGTTTTAATCGGTGACTCCGGTGTCGGTAAGAGTAACTTGTTATCGCGTTTCACTAGAGACGAATTCAACTTAGAGTCCCGTTCGACCATCGGAGTCGAGTTTGCCACAAGAACGTTGGAGATCGATGGCAAAAGAGTCAAGGCACAAATCTGGGATACCGCTGGCCAGGAGAGATACAGGGCCATCACGTCGGCATACTACAGAGGAGCTGTGGGTGCCTTGATTGTGTACGATATTTCCAAGACAGAATCGTACGAGTCTGTCTCTCGTTGGTTGAAGGAGTTGAAGGAGCATGCTGATGCCAACATCGTCATCGAGTTGGTTGGTAACAAACTGGACTTGGACCACTTGCGTGCGATCCCTACCGACGAGGCCAAGAGCTTTGCTACAGAGAACAGCCTTTTGTTCACAGAGGCTTCTGCCCTTTCTTCCGATAATGTGGACTTGTCTTTCCACCAGTTGTTGAAGAATATCTACGAGATGATCAGCAAACACCAGTTGGACACTGACGAGAAGATGCTGTCTGTCAAGCCATCGGGCGGACCTACCATCAGTTTGACTCCTGCTCCGCAGGAGAAGAAGAGTAAGAACAACTCCAACTGTTGTTAAGTGGGGAAATACTTTTATTGGGAGTCTGGAGCTCAAGAGTGAGCGATATATATTGTGCAAGCGATACAACAACAGTTTGGAAGCAGTACAGCTGCATGACTTGCACTGCCTTTGCTGTTACGTCTAAGCTATTTTCATTATACTAATGTACACGCAGAAGATAGAACCCTGTCTCTCTATGCTATCTAGATTACACTGCTGGTACCATAACGGTACGTTACTTCTTCGTAGGGCCTTGAAGTTTGGCTTTCTGACTGACCGGTACCTTCAAAGGCTTCGAAACACCCTTACCTTGTTTGAGTTGATTGAAACGTTTCTTCATGTCAGCTGTAGGGCCAGTCTGAATAGTGAATCCAACAACCTGCTCTCCTCTCAAGACAATGAGCCCCAAGAATCGTTTCTCCTCGGTAGCTTTAACTTGTCCCTCGGCTTTATTCTTCGCAAGCTCCTGATACAGCTTTTTAGTGACTCTGGCTTCCTCAGTGTCTGCGAGGACAAGGTTCATGTGTTTGTCGAACGCTAGGAGTTGGCCCACATAAGATCTGCCATCAATAGTCGTTACTTTGAGACGATAATGTATAAGATCGGCTAGCTTTGTGCTTTTATTGACTGTGAATGACATGGAAATGGATAACTAAGATGCACTGAGTAGTGAAGACTTGAGAATTGATAGTGCGAAAGTCGCAGGCTTGATGAGGAGGTAAACAGCGTAGTGGAGAACCACATATTGCGGAAGATTTATAAATTTGAGAAAGAATTTAACTAAATGTAGCTCATCAACTCATTTGAGCGATATTGAAAACCATTGTAAAAAAGTCTATTTTGGAATTCCCCATTTCTGTATCGAAGGGGACCTGTAGAGACGTACTACCCAGCTTGCTGATTTCTACAAAAACAACAGCTATCTGGATGAAGGCCCTGTAACAGTAATACTAGTGAAGAAATAATTTCATGATCTAGAAGTCGGTAAATAACGTTGATGGCTCCTATCACAGCGGTCTGACTCTCATAACGAAATCAGGAAACAAGCGCCTCAGTTTACGATCCAATGTGAAGATGGAAGTATCAGAATAAAGTTAACCGATGATACAAGTATGGAGAGTTCTTCTTCAGCACGCAGTCTTCCTTGAAGGCTAGATCTTGCACTTTTCCCTATCATTCCTGTTTCGGCCGAACCCGAAGGTGAAACCATCCACATCTATCAGCTAAGCATTTTTGGATTATCCATAAAGTTCAGTCATCTTTCTGAAACGCCAATTGAACCCGATTTTCCACTTCAGCCACGTCTTCTTGCATTGTCCTGAACGTTGCTGGGTATATAACCCGGCAGATTCGCAACTCGAAAAAAGCACGTAGGAACGCTCCAACAGCACATATTAACTCAATTGCCATGTCTGAGGAAGAAACCAAGCCTGTAGTTGAGGAAACCGAGAAGGCTCCAGAAACCACTGAAAAGGTTGAGGCCACTGAAGCCGCCGAGGCTCCCAAGGAGGAGAAATCTGAAGAAACTGAGGCGTCTGACAAGAAGAGAGAGCACGATGGAAAGGACAAGAAGAAGAAGAGAAGAAGAAGAAACTACGACGACGAGCCCCCTAAGGAGGAGGCCAAGTCCGAAGACGAAGATGACGAGAAGGACGTCGAGGGCGACGATGCTGAAGAGGAGAATGCCGAAGATGAGGAAGAGGACTTGTTGGAGATTGACGAGTCCAACATCATCACCGGGGGCCGCAGGACCAGAGGTAAGGTGATTGACTACCAAAAGGCCGCTGAGGAGAACGACATTCCCGAGGATGACGAGGAAGATGGAGAGTTCGAGGTCAAGGAAGAGGAAGTCAAGGAAGAGGCATAAGCAGTATGGAAGTGAAGATCATAGCAAACATCAAGGACTACTATAGATGATACGTAGCGTGTATAAGCTATAACAAAAAATCAAAAGCCAAAAAAAAAAAAAAAAAGTAGTATCGTATGGAACCCAAACATTCATGTCTCTACAAGACAGAACCATGAAGTCTATAATTTTAATAAACCAAGCATCACTGCGGACAAGAAGTCAATAATTACCCAAGCTGGTAGGTGATGCAAAAATAATCTGTGGAAAGAATCAAACGGAACAAGATTTCTCATAATGGATTTATCTTTTTTTCTTTTTTTTAATAAATTTTATAATGCTGAAAACACTTAACAGGACGCCATGTTGCAGGCGTAGTAAGGATTGTTGTAACCAAAGTAGTTAACGCCAGACATTGCTGGATCATGCTGGGGAACGTATTGGTACTGGGTCGGCGTGTAGGCCCAAATAGACAGCTGTGTTGGGTACAGCGGTCTGAAGTTGTAGTTCTGAGACCAAGATGGGTCTTGAGAATATTTTGGTGGTGTCATGTCCGAAGGAGACACATTGTAGCCAGACGAGATCGAAGACTGGTACAATGGCGAGGATGGAACGGGCGACGAGCTGTAGAAACCCTTCTCCGACGACAGCATTGGAGAGGCAGGCTGTTGGGCCTGAGACTGGGCTTGAGCCTGGGGCAGGTACTTGTCCAACCAGGTTCTCCAGCACTCCTCCAATGTGCGGATGTTGTCTCTAAACTTGACGACGTTCAACTGCCACTTGACTTCACGGAGCCAGGTGGCCTCTTCCTCGTTGATGACTTCGATCTGAAGGCCAGTAGCACCACACCATGATCTGTTAGTGAAGGTGTTGTCATCATTGAACTTGTTGGCCAACACCAAAGCGACGACCAACTTGACAAAGATCTCGTGCTCAGACAAGTATCCAAGTGGGGCCGACGAGAAGCGCTGGTTCATATACTCCAAAGCGATAATGATGGAGGACTTAGGCAAGCGAGTAGCATATAAAATGGAAACGGCCATCTTCTCAAAGTCCTTGGTAGGGTTCCTATTTTGGTTAAGCATGCCAAATGCACACCAGCAAAGGAAAGCTGCCATGTCGTTGGGCTCGTACTCCAAAACAGCGTTGATACCACCGGCAGCAGGAGCTGGGGCGGGAGCTGGGGCTGGGTTAGCCACGGGAGCTAAAGGTGGAGCAGCCAAAGGAGCCAAAGGAGCCTGGACAGGCATGTAAGGAGGAGGACCCTGGACCATAGGGTTCGAGTAGTAGCCGCCCATGCCCATAGACATTTGGGGCTGGTGGTGCTGGAAAGGCACCTGGTGCTGGTAAGGGCCCGGGACGGGCTTGTACTGGGAGTACTGGTAGCCCGAGTACAGAGACGAAGCTCTGTGGCCTTGAGTGCCGATATTCGACGAGTACATATTTGGAATCACTGGGATATCCGGAGCAAAGGGCAACAGGGCGAGGAACGAAGACTTAGTGAAAAGCTCGATTCTCGAAGATTAGCCTGTTGGGACTCTTTGGAGGGGATTCTGATTATTTGTCCCTTGGACTGACCAGGGAAAATAAGGAGAAAGGGGGTTGGGGGTTAAAAAACAAGAACGGAGTGCTGCTTCAGAGAGTGGCTAGTAAGCTCCGTGTGTTTTTTATGATTTGTGTTGGGGGTGGAAGAAAAAAGTGTTGTGCAAGACATCCAGCGATTTTCTCAGTTTTATTTCGAGGCCGTCCTGGAGGAAAAGAAAAAAAAAAAATGTCGAGTAAAAACATGAAGCTGAGCAGCCCATATGCAGGTGCTGCCGCATTACCCTTGGGCCTCACGAGCCGCCTTGGCAATAGGGGCACGGGCCTAATTACTGGAGATGGAGACAGAAAACAGATGAATGCCACTATCTTACAAGAAAAAAATAAGGTCCAGAATATAAAGAGGCTTTTTTTTGTTTTTCTTAAAACACCCTATAAATTTCCTTTTGGCGTTGCCGTGGCTCGGTTTTGCTGCGTAGTGCCGGCCTAGACGGACATCCAGGCGCCAAAATGCCAGCACAAAAAGCACAAAAGCGTGCGCCCCGGCATCACCAAAGGGCCCACGCACCGCCCAATGTTCATGCTCTTCGCTGACACACAACGAGCCGGCCCAGCCGTTTCCCCGAAATTTTTAAAGTTTTGAAAAACAATTTGTTGGTTGGATCCTTTTTGTTTTACTTTACGTTGTTTTCTTTTGCTACTTGTTGGTTCTGTGCTACGGCTTTCCTTTGTGAAGTCCTCCCTGGCATTGTCCATAGCCGTCTTTGCTGAGACTTTTCTTTTTCTGTGGGGCCTCACTCTAGACTGGCTCACTTGCTTGCGATGCCCAACACCGCCTGATGCCGTTTATCTTGGACAACCTTACCTCTCGTCAATCTTCTCACAATTTCTTTCTTTTTTGCTGCCGTAGCTTCTTTTGTTTGCCTCGTATCTCGCCATTCCCTTTGTGACCGCCTGCCCGGGCTCATTACGTATTACGCCCGACCTGCAGGAAACCATACCTGGGCTCCAGGGCCTCACACCAACAGCCAACCTAATTGCACTTTAAATCGTGCCACAGATTTTTGCATTGAACGGATTATTATCGGAGAAAGCGGTAGTCGTATGAACTCACGTGGTCATCTTAAGGCGGCCATGCTGTGTTTTATCGGATATAGAAAAGATTCGTGATTGGTTGCAAACGAGGCATGATCAGGTGGTGGAAGGAGTCAGGGGAGAGAAGGTCCTTCTGAGCGTAGTGATCGTGAAAATCTAATAACAAGGCATGACTCGTCCAGTGTAGTTATGGGCTCGGCGATGACATTTTTTATGACCACATTGTGTTGGGTGCAAATGGTGAATGTGTGACTCGTACATGTAGAGATTGCTGAGCTTGAATGTCTATACCTTCCTGATTCCCATACCTTCCTAATTAGAAATGTCCGGTAGAGAGAGCCAGGGGAAAGTCGGACCAAACCTTAATCAAATGACAAAGTACCGCTCTGGTATGCAAACACGAGCGGTACTGACTCACTTTCATGTATCGTTTCCCTCTCCTCTACATATCACTCTATCACGTAAGCCTACAACTCTGTAACCGTTGATCCTTTACCCATTCTATATTATCCATGCAGCTTATTCCTTCCGAACATGAAGAGGCTGCAACCCATCTTGCTTTGAGAAATTGAACACCGACCTGATCGGTGGAAGCGTCGTGCCACTGTCGGCTATACTCTCAGATGCCTTCTGCTTCTGCTTCTCCAACTCGCTAAACAAGTACGTCGAGTTCAAACCCTTCTCTGGCAAGTTCTGTGCTTGTAGTGGAGGGGAGTGAGACGGCGTCTGAAGTGGAGTCTCGTTTGGAGAGATTATGAAAGCAGGGTTACCCGTACGGGTTGTAGTGGCAGAGTGAGGCCTGGGTGGAGAATTCGTAAAGCTTCTGTCCACACTTGGAGTCATGTACAAGTTCACTGCCGACCCGGTTGGGGAGTTTGGCCTAGACTTCTTGACGGGCTGTGTGAACTCGAGGTTGAGTTGCGTCGAAGAAGATGGCTTCTTGATTCCCAGCTGGAGCAGGGCCGAGGGCGAGGTCACCTTGAGAGGGGTCATTCTTTGGAAAGAAGAGAGCGAGCTGCTCAAGTTTCCCAAATTACCCAGCGAGCTGCTAGTCTTGAGTTTGTTGAGCGAGCTGTTGGAGCCGAAAGCACGCAGCCTGTGGAAGTAATCGTTGAGGTTTGAGAACGAGGGCGTTTGATTCTGCTGAGACACGGGCTTCAAAGGATTGACTGACTTGGCGGTTTCGGGAGAATTCGTGGACGATGCAGCGGATGAGTTGGGCAGGGAGCCTGTGTTAGAGTTGCTAAACACTTGTGAAGTATTAGCAGCAGAGCCGATGGACACCAGACTGCTGGTCTTCCCGAGTGAGCCGGTCGAAGGAGACAACGCCTGGCCACCAAAGCGAGAGGCTAAAGGCTTTGCTATCTGGGCCATGCTCTTCTGGCCATATTGTGGAGAAGATTGCGTCTCGTTAGGCGAAGTCAGGTAATGGTTCACAGGAACCCCTGAACTGGCACGCCTTGTGGAACATGCTGAGCGACGTATTGTCCATCTTCGTAGGAAACTGGAACAGCGATTGCTTGTCCCGGAGGCACAGCATAGTGGCCCTGAACTTGCGGGAACTGCTGGATGCCCTGGATAGGCTGCATTCCCGGCTGAACAAAGTAAACTGGGTAGGCGCCTGGAGGGTAGTACTGAGGCTGCTGGCCATCGTATCCGACCGGAACAGATGCCATAGGGACACCGTTCATGGAAGATTGCTCCTTGGGGTCGGCCTGGCGGTACTTATTGGGTCTCTTTCGACCCGCCGGATTGTTATGGATCCTCAAGTGTCTCGTCAACTCGTCTGAACGAGAGAAACGTTTATTGCAACCTGGAAACGTGCAAGGGTGGGGCTTTTCACCCGTGTGGGTTCTGATGTGCCTCGTCTGATGCTCTAGCCTGTGGAAGGCCTTATCGCACATCGTGCACTTGTAAGGTCTGTCCTCCTTCTTCTTTTCCATGGTGGGAACGGAGTGTTGTGTTTGTGTTGAAAGCAGTATTAGCAGGTTAAGTGGTTGAAGTTGGGAAAAAGTCGGAGCCTCGAAAAAGAAATATTGTTGGCTGGGGCATTGTGGAGCGGTTCTATACAGAGGAGTGCGCAGCTGTAAGGTTACTACTGCGTATATGCAGGCCATCGCCTGGGGCCCGGAAAAACTTTTTCTGCCTCCCCGGAAAGCAAAGTCCGGTAGGCCCAGACGACCCCACGCCTTCTCTGCGGTTTGTGTCACACTTTTTCGGAAATTTCCCGGGCACCACAGTTTGTCGCGAGAAGGCAACTACTGTTATAAGGCCGGAACCACTTTCGGAAAGATATCGGAGTGACCTGCACCCGAAACTTTTATTCAACGATAAAGCTGAGCAATTTCGTCGTGGTGGGGCGTCACGCGGGCCTCTGCCGAGGAGCGGTGCCATTTGACAAGAAACGCTTGGCCTGGCTAATAAAAAAAAAACGCAGCACGCTTGATGAATATGCGCGGTCTGCATATAATCCCGTCATCGCCCGTTACGGAGGGGTGGTTTTTCCGGGAAATGCCCACAGGCTCCCCCACCTCCCCCCTCGATCCCCATCGCACTCGTGGTTATGTTCCCTATGGTTTTGGGGGTCCACTTTTTCACGCACCGCGCCTGCTTCCGCGAATTCTATATTTGAGTCATCGATGATTGACCACCAAGCTATTGTTGTTATTTTTTTTTTCGTTTTTCTCAGCTGCGAATGCAACGTTGCATGCAACCTCGAGCCATCTTACTCCACGTTTCTCCAGATCTCCCTACATGTCTTACATTTGCGTAACGTTACAACATTATGATATTTTTTTCCCCCATGGGACCGGGCCATCGGCGTTATATCTCCTGGTTAAAGTCGAGCCACTGGTCAAACCACTGGAGGTTACCCAAAAAGTTATCGTTACCGAAAGCGTCCGAGGCTGGCTGTGATGGCACTGTACCAGGTGACGACTCCTCGTTGACACTGCTCTTGCCATAATATTCCCGTTTGCTTTGGTCCTCCATGAGTTTCTCCAAATCGTCTTTTTTCTTTCTCTTCATCAAACCAAACTGCGAAAAGTACTGCTGGTTCACCTCAGCTGATCCAGGATCCGTGCCGTACTCTTCGATATCAGCTAGTGATTTTTGGAAGCTGAGTGACATGATTTTGTTTGTCATTTTAAACACCCAAATACATTCCTTCACCATCTTGAACCTCTCATGGAATACTAGCTTGCCCTTTTCATTCTTCACTGGCGAGTCCTGGTAGATGTTGAGCAAATTCATAGACTCCTTCATGAGCCGCCTGGACTCAACGAGGAACACACCCGCATTGATGAACACGAGACAGTTTATGCCCACATTGAACAACAAAAGTAGGTTGATGTACCATGGGGCGTAAAGGCAATTTGCGTTCTTGAGTTTGTTTAATAAATAAATCACTCCCTCGTTAGCTTCCACAACCTTTTCGATCTGCATTCCTTCTGAGGCAAGTCTCTTACCAAAGTAGCTGAAAAGGAGTTTGCCATGGATAGCCAATAATAAATCATAAAAATGAAGTTTCACGATGGCTTTCATCATATGTGATACAGTGCCCCCGCAGCCCTCATAAGGAAAGATATCATGTACATCATCGAAACCGTTTTCAGATAGCCATCCCTGTAATAAATAGATCTCCTTATTGATCTGCTGGGATTTGAGCAAGTCGTAATTGTCTGAACTGTTCGTGTGGAGGTAGTTAGATACTCGAGCAATATGAATCATAGCGAATGCCGGTAGCGTGATCCAATCGTCACCAGCAGACTCCTTCACAAAGTCAAAACTGGGGAATGGACGAATTATGTCAAACTCGTTCAAAGCCCGGTAGCGACCGGCTTGCAAAAAGATGATTCTATCGAAACAGTAGATGGAGAAGAAGATTCTCTTGGCCTTCAAAAGATCATAGGTGGAAACGTCTGCTGTAACTTTTCTGTCTCTGAACAAGCCCATGGAACGACACATACTGATGGCGTGACCAAAAGCTGAATTTGCGGCAGTTTGTCTGTGGGTGATACGCAAGTAGAGTGTCGCAAGTAGCCAGCACTGGATTAACTCAAACGATTCCCACTCAAAACTAAAAATCTGCAAGACCTTGTGTGAATACTTGAACAATTTTTCTTCTAAACGAAGCATTTCCATATTAGGGCCATCAGTGGCCATGAACTGCACGAAACGGTTACTCAAAGCATACACCAAGCAAAGCATGGCTTGAAAGAGAGCTGTAACGTTGGTGGAGCTCCTGAATTAGTCTGTTTGTTGAAAGCCACAATCTGCTCTCTAAACACAGTTTCGTGTAGAATGGCATAAAGTGGGTTAATTTCACGGAAGAAGAAATCAACATAGTGCGTTTTTGTCGCTTCATTGAGAAGTTTAATGTCTGGTAATTGCGGCAATGGCTCGGGCTTGAGGTAGTTGCATCCGGATAAGTTCCAGCCAAAATACTGAGTACGTGGGACAGTCACCTTCAGTTTTGCATCGGGATCAAGACCTTCGTACAATGCCTTGCACAATTCAATGACCAAAGCGTTTTGATGTCTTCTGCTTGACCTCCACTTGGACGCTGTATGACGCATCAAGTCTGCCACATCCGAGGTATCTGGGTTGATTCTACCAACGTTCTTGATATGCCCATTCAGGTGGTCAGAGAGTAAGTTCTCGAGGTAGTGCACTCGATTCTCTAAGTAAGCTGTGTATGATGGGTCGGAGTAGTTTTTCTGCACCACAGGCAACGCATGAGAGTGGTAATTAGGCGTTGATGGTGCATTAGCGTGTTTTTCACTGTGATTAGGAAACGGATCTGGTGAGAACGCAGATCTCAGCTTCTTTCTAGGAGGCGCCAGGTAGTCAGGAATAGACATTTCACTAGCTGGAGCAAGTCCGTCATGGCTTGCAGCGGAGGATGTTGAGACACCGGCCAAGTTGTTAGTGGCTGGTTGGCCTGCGGTTCTGAAAACACATTCGACGCTGTGTTTCACGCAGTTGGTACATGGCTGTGATCCGCTGCATTTGACCTTGTGTGTACGGCAACGATCACAGGCTTTGTTGACTCTAAGACGAGCCTTTTCTGGGCCACCGGGTGGAGGAACGGCATTAGTTTCACCGCCATTGGCATTGCCATTTGTATTAGTATTAGCGTTGGTGTGGACATTGGAATGGGGTTGGTGGGGCATGTCTGGGAAACCAGGAGTGGCATAACCTGGATTACCGGAATTATAATTATAAGCACCGTACGGAAGAGCAGGAGCTCCGTACATAACGTGGCCTAGAGGGCCTGGTCCTCCTGGAGTGGGTGCTTGTACTGGATGGGACACTTGTTGAGACACTGGGGTAGCGGAGGCCAGCCATGCTGAATGTTTTCTGTGGCCTAACGGTTGGAGTGACTTTTGGCTGGAGTATTGATTAAGTGGCGGGTAGGCGGTGTCGTAGGATTTCAAAGGAGGAAGACCATCGAAAGACTGGGGAACATCAGAGACCATGCTTTGTCTGTTTTCAGGGCCGATGCTTGGCTCCTTCAGGTCCTGGGGCTGTTTTTCGTCGACATCAGACATAATAGCAGCGGCGTGTCAGCATGAATGGGGAGGAAGAACGTTTTGTTGATTGAAGATTTCTTGGTCGCAGAGATGAAAAACACTAGTGCGTTTGCTGAGAAGCCGATTACGGAATTGGCGACCGAAGAGGACGGGACCGGGAGGATAAAGATCCGAAAGGTGGAACTTGTGGTGGAATGGGTTTGGGCTGATTTGGACGGCTGGTTTGGCTTGATGCTCAACGGTTGCAAAAAAGCTTCTTTGATTCGGGAGACGTCAAAAAGGCTGGTCCGACGGGCCGTGATTCGGATCAGATAAGCTGGTGCAGGAGGTGCCATTGACACAACGAGGATGGGTGCGAGGAGGAGGCCCAAGATACAGTGGGCCCTGGAAGCGGAAAAAAAAAAAAAAAAAAAAAAAAAAAAAAAAAAAAAAAAAAAAAAAAAAAAAAAAAAGGACCCTACTTATAATAATAGTAATAGACAGAAAAACCAAACTTTAGTATGATTTTTGGGAATGAGCGAGACGAAGTTGTTTTCTTAAAAAAAAAAAAAAAGTTTGTAGGATTCACTTTGGGTTGGCTTCAGGTTGGCTCCGGGTTGGCCAAATGTTAGTGCACTTAGGAGCCAATCAGAAAGACTTAGTCCAGAGCAGAGAAAGCTGGAAACTGGAAACTGGAATCCTGGAGAGAGCGGCCCGCACAGTTTCAGCGCGCCATCTCAAATTACACAACTTTTCTCAGGCCGTACTGCCTGCCTGGCCCGTTTTGGCCCATCCGCACCCATCTGTGCCTCCCTGGGGCCTGCGAGCACGCCTATTGGCTGCGGAAAAGTGGCCCCAGAGACGCTTCTGGCCTGGTGTGCGAATCTGATGGCTTACGGCTTGGGCACCGTTGGCTGGGCCAGATGGACATTCCGGAAACAGGGCCCAAAACGGAAAACGGGGCCCATTCCTTCGGCGCCTTCGGCGCCAGATCTCCCAGGCCTTTCGGTGCCACTGACGCTCGGCAAACGGCGATCGTGTCATTGGAGGTTATTTGTGGCAACAATGCAGTGGCCCAGTTGGGGCGAGCATCCACCATTCATGTCGGCCGTGTACAGTTTGGCTTTAGTCTCCAGGCTTAGTGCAGCTGCAGGGAGAGGTGCTGGGTTGGGAGAAAGCAATGCCAGACGAGCAGTGGGGCCTGTGACTAGGCCAGCCACATTCTCTGGTACCACGGGAGCGGTGACGTATCTGGGCGGGTGGAGCATGGAGATACGGGAGTACCATGAGATCGATGGGCTTAGGCGGAGGACGGAGGAAACCACCGAAAAACCCGGGGAACCCCATGTGTAACTACGACTCGATATTTTTAGTTTATTTTCTGTGAATTTCCCTTTTTCCCAAAAGAGCGGATTTTCGGTGCTTGTGCTTCGCTGTGGGCCTGACACCCCCTGGCCGATCAGATTTTCTGGATCGAATAGGAGACAATATGCTCGCAAACGACAAAGACACATTGTGAGGTGTGAGTTTCCACGGCCAGGGGTGAGGGAGGCGGTAGCCGCTTGGCGCCGAGGCGGCGGCGAAACGTTTCGTAATGGGAAGTGAAACCGGCATGATGCTCACTAGGACACAAAACAGGCCGCAGCGATGGTCAATGTTGCTAGCGCCCAGTGGGTTACATCATTTTGTCATCTTTGCAGCACAAAAGCAAAAAAAGCAGCACCTCGGGCCAAACCTTATGCCGTGGTCCGCCTGGCAGCTACAGAAGCGGATTAGAGTAGAGAGTGTTTTGTAGCAACTTTGATGATAAAAAAGTTTTAGTGGCAGAGGCCTAGTGCAGAGGCTAGAGGCCCAGCGATCCAGGTCGTTCGGATTTGCCGCCGCTGATGGAATTGGCCCGATCCGCGAGCCGCTCAGCGCTGGCGTCAACAAGGGAGTTTCAGGTCACGCGGTCGCACCAGACAAACAAAGCAGCGCAGCAAGGTGCCACGGAGTGAAACGAAGCCAGGGCAGAGCAGGCCGGCGGTAAGGGCCGGCGTTAGGGACCTGAGGCCGCTAACGAGGCAAGCACCGCAAGCAGGGTAAAGCAGAAGCAACTGAAAATAGCGGTAGCCCACGAAGCAGCGCAGCACAGGCAAAGGCGAAGGCAGCGGCAGAGGCCCAGGGTATGGAAATGGAGTGTTGAGACGGAAACGTCGGTGGCATTCTTTCCGGCTGCAAATGGGCATGTGCGTAAGCAGGCAGAGACAAGCGTAGAGGCGTCGTCCAATAAACCGCGGCGAGGGAGCAGGAGTGCGTGAAGGAAGCCAAGGCCGCCAGGAGGACAGCAGGGCGGTAGTAAACAAGCGACTTTCGCGGAACCCGGTGGAAGCCAGCCCGGCAGGGCAGGCGATGCGTTTAGGGACGGCGATGGATTGGGGGAGCTGATTTTACTACAGTAGTATTACCGTGGAGTGCTACTCCAGGCTACCCAGACTACTCCTAGCCCTCTTCGTAGTCTAGTCGTAGTCTTGTCGTAGCAGGCCGGCTCCAGTTGCTCAGGCCAGGCCGTCGTTAAGCCATGAACAATATCGCACCAATGCGGCAGTCGAGTGAGGGCTCGCGATATTCTTCACTCGCTTTGGCCATTCTGCTGCAGGCGCCCTTTCAGGCAGGCGCCAGGCAGATAGCCCCGGTCAGCAGCCCAGGCCGCCTCCAGACAGGCAGCGTTAAGAAGCCTCGATATGGTTTGGGCCCTCAGTGCATCTGTATTTTCTGCGATGATCTGATATAAGCCGGCCCACCCCACCACCTGGGCAAAGGCCCTGTTCTGTTCCAACTTCACTTTCCACTCTTTACTGCCGCATGTCCACGCTAGGCAACACCTACGTGGCCTGCTGCCTCCATATGCTCCAGGACCCGGCCTGTCCGCTCGTGGTTCCCGATCCTGCTGACTTTGTCCTGGTGCTCGATACCCTTGATCTCTCCCTGGCCAACCTCGCCTTGCTGATTGTGCTTTTGGCTAGGTACAAGGAGAACCTGGTGAACACCTTGCTGCTTGGCGACACCTCCGCCGTGGCAACCGCCTACTACGCTATGATTGCCTCCCTCGTGTTGGCCAACAAGTACATGAACGACCAGAGCTACACCTTGAAGACATGGCACTCCATCTTGGGCAAGTGCTCCCGCCTTGCGCCCTCGCTACCGTTTTTGAACCAGCTAGAAAGCCATTTCTTGAGCGCCCTCAACTTCCTGGTGTCTACAGCCCACGACCCTTCGCTCTGGACCGCTTTGCTCATTTGGACCCATACTGGCTTGCCCAGCTACGCTCGCAAGTTGAAGAGAACTACCCTGTTCCGCTCCCGCCGGTGCCGGCAGTGGCTCCAGTGGCTTCTGCTGCTGCTGCTGCTCCTCCTCCAACGGTGATGCCCACTCCGCCTACGTTCCCTTTTGCTCCTGTGGTGATGGCTCCCGTGGTGCTGCCCGCCTACTGCTTAGGGCAGCCTCATATGCATTGCACACCTGTGCCCACTCCGCCAACTGTGCCCCCAGCGATGCCCCGGGGCTACTCCCAGGCGTTTGAAGAGTACATGCCCATGACACCTATGCTGGTGGGCCGCAAACGCCGGAAGGTGGACGAGTGCCTTGTGCGCCAGCCCTGGACCGGCAAACACTACTGATGAATAACGAATTTGCATGATAGACTAAATGGATGAACGGGATTACTAGCTTTGTAGGCTGCTAAATTGTAGATTGAAGGCATTTTGCAGACAGTCCTGCAGACAGTCGCGGGCCCCCATCTGACTGCCGCTTTCCGCCTATCCATTTGCTGCCTCTTTGTGGCACTTACGTAGCTAGCCAAGACTAGGCCAGCGCCCACAGGTAAGCCTTGAGGTATTGCGCTTTTGATGTTTCAAATTTTGGCACTTTCCCAGAAATTCGTGGATCTTGCGTCAGCAATGTTTTGGCCCCTCCCTCCTTGCCACCACGTAAAATATTTTTGGAATATCTCATCCACACTGATGTATTTGGTGCTGCTGCGTTCTCAGCCGAAATGCTCTACGCATGGGGATTTGCTCAAGCCGGCTGCATTTGAGGTATAGCCGACGCCCCTGGCAACGAGTTTACGGAGCTGCAAACAAAAGAAAAAAAATCAACAATGCATAAAACGATAATTTTAAGATTTAATTTTTTTTCTTTTTTGCACCTTTTCGATTATTCTAAAAGCAGAAAGTGCAGGGAATCAGGTGGACCAAATATGCACTCATCCGTACGGCTCCCGAAATGTGCACGTACTTCTAAGCTCCCCTATCCAAATTCCATTTTTTTTTTTTTTTTTTTTTTTTTTTTTCGACCGGCATGCTCGGTGGACTGATGCTTTCAGGAGGCTAGGCTGGTCCTGCACCCATACGTAAATGCTGCTGGGCGTGAGGCCGCTGAAATGCACTGGTGCACATCCTCCGATCGCTAAATCCATATTCTTTTGGAGACGCCGGAACCTCGTATTGGGAAGTTCGACCACGTCTCTAATTTCTTCTTCTTTTGTGTGATTTTGAGTGTTTTGCGGGATCTCCCTTTTTTCCGCGTCTGGTTGCTTCCCAATCCTCATCGTATCCTTCTCTAGGAATTTTGCACCCAGTGCGACTCATCGCATCTCTGATACCATGTCCTTAGGAGAATGTACGGTGTGCCAGAAGGAGCAGGCTAAGTATCGGTGCCCGAAATGCCCGGTGAAATACTGCTCCTTGGTATGCTTCAAGAGCCCGTTACATTCACATGATATCGTTGAGGAAACGGCTGCTCCTCAGCGTCCTGAGAAGTCTGGGGAACCTGTGGAAGACGAAGAACCCAGCATAAACCAAAAGATCGCCAATGACCCAGTCATCCAAAGTCTTCTCAAATACAAAAGTCTCCAAGTTCACATTGCCGTTATCATCAAGCTCCTCACAGACTCCTCCATCACAAATGAGCCTTTGGCCGAAAATCGTAGGGAGATCGCCAACATGAGGTTATGTGATCTACGAATGGGCGGTGCTGAGGAGAACGAGCTTGTGGAAGAGTTTGTGTCGAGGGTAATAGAGTTGACAGGGTAGGTTTACAAGTGCTGAATGTGCAGACGTTTCTTGTATTTACTCAACCTCGCCCTGCCAGATATCTTGGTAACGAGCATTCAAGCTGCTCTTGGCCTTGTATCTGAATAGGTGACCTCCAATGTCCTTTTCCTCTGGCTCTGCAACCTTTATGGTCGCATCAAGCTCTTCGTGTTCAAGATGAGCGGTGTTGATGAAGACTTCATCCCCGTCTTTACCAGCTACAAGCACACAAGTCACCTGTTCTGCTGGCAATTTGAACACCTTCTCGACCTTGCCAGTCAAGTCGTATGCAATGGCTGTGGATGTGCCAAAAAGAGCCTGGTAGATACGATCATCTCCCGTAAAGTCTAATCCATCTGGGATGGGATCGCTACCCAGGAGAGCTGCATCCTTGGCCTCCTTGTTAGCTTCGAATGCCTTACGGAAATCAATGATAGGCTGCTTGTTGCTGACTGTCAAGTTCTCGTTATCAATGTCTAACGAATAAACCTGATGGGTAGGGGAGTCCGTCCAGTAAAGCTTCTTGACGTCTCTGCTGAACGCCAATCCATTGGAGATGCCTGTGTCTCTAAGCATGACTTTCACTTCTTTGGTCTTGTGGTCAATTCTGTACAACAAACCCTCGAACTTGAGTCCGTCTTCCTTGGTTCTGGGGAAATCGGTCATCACGCCGACCCACAAGTTGCCCAAAGGGTCAATGTTGGCATCGTTAGATCTCAAGCGGTGACGCTGTGTGTCGCTGAAAGGATACGTGACATACGGCTTGATGGTGCCAGTCAGGAAGTTTCCGACGGAAACTCCAGACTTCGTGCAAAGGAGAAAGCTATCGACGCTCTTAGTTTTGCAGATGGCACCGATTGACTCTCCAGGCTCGCTGAGTTTCAAAATCTGGTGTCTCTTCGCCAAATCATCGTCATCCAAAAATACTCTGTGTGCCTCAGCGCTAATGATGTCAACCCAAAGAAGCGTATTGTTCCTCACGTCATAAGTGAAACCTTCTGTGAGACGACCTCGGTAGGAGGGCAAGATTACCTAATGTTAGTCAATTCCATACTATCTTTTATAGACAACATACGTTCTCTTTCGTGAGTTCAATTATTTCAACCATGTGGTAAGCTTTGGGAAGCAAGTACTTAGGAGGTTTAAGTATGTATGTATCAGCGCGCCTGGCCTCCGAGCCCTGCCCACACCACTTTCCAGCAATAGTATGAAAATTTGAGTTCTGAAGATTGGAAAGATTTACTAATAATTCTTCTTTGTGGTGCAGGGTTACCTTTCATTGTGTAACTTCACCAGTGGGCATTGCATATTCATTACTCTGCCAACTTTCGCAACCTCTCGTCTGGTTTGAAGCCGAGCAATTGTACAACGCTTAAATAACAGGTTAGCCTGTAAACGGTGCTAATCCACGCTTAATGTTGTCCTTTGCAATTGTGGTTCGCTTCAAAATGAAACGTGCGCAAGAAGTGACCAGGCAATTGCGTTTCTATTAGATTCCCTTCACATGTTGCTCATGAATGTGATTCTTCACCTTGTCTTGCTAACGCTGACCACTCCCTAGCGAGTTCCAACATAGCTTGACTGTCGTTTGCGGCTCCCACCACCTCTATAGGTACTTGACTCTCGCTATTGTCTTTCCTCGATAAATGTCCCATATTAGTTTCCGTGATAACTCTTATCTCAAACTCTCCATTATTTTCCTTCTCAAGAAGCTCATGCCAGGTGAATAGAAGCAGATCCCATTTTCTCAGAAATGGGTTCACGTCAATGACAAAGACTTTGCTGTACGGCCTGGGCAAGTAGACATCGAGGATATAATCACGAAGCGGGAACTGCAGCTTGGAAAGGACATCGCTATGGAACTTTTTGATCGATTCCTTCAATTGTGGTATTAGTTCCTCGAGGTAAATATAATGTCCTGGGTCCCTTTGCGAGACTCCCAAAATCTTTTTGTCTTTAATGAAAATTCTGAACTCAAGAGCCGGGTTAAAATCGTTAATCCACTTCTTAACTACCAATTCTGGTTCAATATGCGGACCGTCCTCCTTATCTTCACATTCATCATACACATGGCCGTCAAGATCGTGTGCAATGTGATCGGATGCATTGAGAAGAAGATACACGTCGTTGACAGATGTGCATTGCAATGAATTGTTTATCAAGATCCACTTGGCATCCTTACCAGCTGTCCAGTTTGTCTTCACGAGTACCTTCCCGTATGAGTCCACGATCCCTTTGAGCTCTTGGTGGAAATCTTGAAAGTGTTCCAAGGGGTTCACGCTTTCGGTCTCCTCATCTTCCCAATCACTATATTCATTTTCTTCGTTTCGTTCAACAGTAGCGGTCGTGGGTAGCCTTATACTGTCTCCGCTGAGGTAATCAAGAAATGCCTGGGGTAGCGGCCTGAGAACTGTCGCTTCAGGAGCATGCAGTTTGAAATAAGGATACCAATTCAGGTATGAGCATTGATTTGTTTGAGCGCAGGTTAGACGTATTCTGTTGAATACGTGTGTTTCCTTCGTCATTGGTGTTGATAGTGGTTATTGATCTAGTAGGCAGCGATGTGGTGATGCACCTCCGTGCACCTCATAATGACTATAGCGGTTCATAATGATGAACCAATACGTAGAATAACAGATCTTGAAAGGCATTTATGAGAATTGTGAGGAGTAATTTCGGCTTGCAAGAGCACCTTATTTCGAGCAGCTCGGACTTACCATTGGGACATTGACAGACAACTACATCAGCAGCGAGAGATTTGAACAGTTGATTTTCCCATTTTAACAGCATAGTCGCTTTCTATTTCATAAGACCACCAAAGCTTGCCCGTTCGTAAAACGTTTGAAGTTTGTAAGTTCGTAAGTGGTACGTGTTTTTGTTGAACACAGAAAATCTGGGTATTTGCAACCATTTCGCACCAAGCACGAAGAATTATAAACGCGCCATCTTCGACAACAATTTGACTCAGCATTGCAAATTTTCGGCTCTTGAATTAAATTGACGTTCAACATCCATAATTTCAACTCCTAAAAAGTAGATATAATCATCGCCATAGTTAGGGTGCTATTCCCGTCTTCTTTGGTCTTGGCCTGCACACGTTGCTGGATCGAGAAAAAATCTCAGCCCTATACTTTCCAACTACACACCTCCAACAGTCCATATTCCCTAATCATGGCTGCTGCCCAAACCAAAAACCCGTCCAATGCGACATTTAAGGACAAGGAGAAGCCACAAGAGGTGAGAAAGTCCAACATTCTCGCTGCCAGGGCTGTGTCGGATGCCATCAGAACGTCCTTGGGTCCAAAAGGTATGGACAAGATGATCAAGACGAAGGATGGCAAGATCATCATCTCCAATGATGGTGCCACCATTTTGAAGCACATGGCTATTCTTCATCCAGCTGCTCGTATGTTGGTGGATTTGTCCGCTGCCCAGGATATCGAGGCAGGAGATGGTACCACTTCCGTGGCCATTTTGGCTGGTTCCCTCTTAGGTGCCGCTGAAAAATTGTTGAATAAGGGCATCCATCCAACCCTAGTTGGAGAGAGCTTCCAGAGAGCTGCTGCTCGCGTTTGTGAAGTTTACTTGGAGATGTCTCACAAGATCGATTTGAAGGACCGCGAGATCTTGATCAAGGCCGCTTCCACATCCTTGTCCTCGAAGATTGTTTCTCAACACTCATCTTTGTTGTCTCCACTCTCGGTTGATTCCGTCCTTAAGGTCATGAACGAGGGCCAGGACAACGTTGACTTGAACGATATCCGTCTTATTAAGAAAGTGGGTGGTACTATCGACGACACAGAGTTGGTCGATGGTGTAGTGCTCACGCAAAACGTTTTGAAGTCGGCTGGTGGTCCTTCTAGAATCGAGAAGGCTCGTATCGGTTTGATTCAATTCCAGTTGTCTCCACCCAAGCCTGACATGGAGAACAACGTCGTCGTCAACGACTACAGACAGATGGACAAGATCCTTAAAGAAGAAAGAGCATACTTGTTGAACATTTGCAAGAAGATCAAGAAGGCTAAGTGTAACGTTTTGTTGATTCAGAAATCTATCTTGAGAGACGCTGTTAACGACTTGGCCTTGCATTTCCTTGCCAAGCTCAATATCATGGTTGTCAAGGACATTGAGAGAGACGAGGTTGAGTTCTTGTCCAAGGCTACTGGATGTAAACCTATTGCTGACGTTGACAACTTCACCGAAGACAGATTGGGCTCTGCCGAGCTCGTTGAAGAGTTCGAATCTTCTGGCTCTAAGATCGTCAGAATCACAGGCGTGAACCAAAAGAACACTCGCCCAACCGTTTCTGTGGTTGTGCGTGGTGCCAACAACTTGGTTTTGGATGAGACTGAGAGATCGATCCACGATGCTCTCTGCGTTGTGAGATGTTTGGTGAAGGAGAAGGCTTTGATCGCCGGTGGTGGTGCTCCTGAAATTGAGGCATCGAGAGTTTTGTTCAAGGAGTCAAGCAAATTGAGTGGTGTGGAGCACTTTGTATACCAGGTCTTTGCCCAGGCTTTGGAGGTTATTCCAACTACGTTGGCTGAAAATGCCGGCTTGAACCCAATTAATGTGGTTACTGACTTGAGGAACAGACACGAGATGGGCGAGAAGAATGCTGGTATTTCTGTCAGAAGGTACGGTGCCTCTAACACATTCACTGAGAATGTGTTGCAGCCCGTCCTTGTGTCCACGAGCGCCATCACCTTGGCGGCTGAGACTGTGAAATCCATTTTACGTATAGACGATATCACTTTCAGCCGTTAAGCTTACTATACCTGCGATGAATCCTTAATGTACATATACAACTTGCGATCTTTGATGCAAAAGTGTAATCTATTAAACCAACTTGACCGAACGAGACATGCCCTTCTTGATACCGGTCTTCTCTCCCTGGTATGGACCGCGGTTGTTTTGATCGTAGACTTGTCTGACGGATTTGAGCTTCTTCTTGGCAGCGTCGTACTTCTTTCTCTTCTTGACTCTGGCGTTTCTGTTGTCGTTCTTTCTGTTCGGCGTAAGACCCTTGTTCTTGAGGATCTGGAAATTAAGAGCTCTCTTGCCATTCTCATCAGCCGTTTCGGCCAAATCGGCCAAATTACCATCTCTAGCAGCCTTCTTAGCATCATTATGAGCAGAGCGTCTAGCCTGCTTCTTGCTATCTCTGGCATTCTTCATGGTCTCGTAGTAGTCAGCACCATCCATGTCATTAATGTTGGTGACGTCTCTTTCGTCACCACTGTCTAGGTCATTACCATCCAAGTCATCGCCAATGCTGTCTTTGCCACCCAAACCTCTTTTACGAGCCTCCTCCATAAGCCTCTGTTGCCTTTCGAAGAGTCTCTCTTTGTATGGCAAATCGGCGTCACCAGCAAACTGTTCATCTGGGTCTCTTTTATTGGAAGCCTTGTTGATCTTGGCGGTGTAAAACCGTAATGATTTCTTACGACGGTTCTTCTCAAGAAGGTCGCCAGCGTCGATAGCACTCTGCTCGGAGTAATCTCCCAACGAAGCTGGAACATCTCTTGGAACACGTTTCTTGGATGCAATCTCGGTCTCTGGTTCTGTGGGGGGTTCTTCTTCACTGACCAGCTCTTCTTCTTCTTCTTCTTCCTCTGAATCTGTCAATACTGGCTGCTGTGGAGCATCGTCCTCGGATTCAACCTCATCTTCGACCTCATTGGTATCCTCGTCAGCCTGGAAAGGTGCCGTTTCTTCCATACTCAACTCATTGGCCTGTCTCCAGACTTCTCTGCTCAGAAGAATCAGCTCCATTACGGGGTCATCTTTCATGCTGGTGAACTTTTCAGAGCCGCCCAATCTCTCGGCGAGTAATGCAAAGTATGATGATATCGAGGCCAAGTAGGCACGTACTGCGACGAGTTTTGCTTCCACCAGGGCATTTGGCTGGGAGGTCTTCTCGAGCTCCTCCAAAGTAGGAGTAAGACTGTTGAATTCTTTGAGTAATGGCACAAATTCCGGAAATGAACCTGTCAAAAACTTATACTTTTCCTCGTCATCTAACAGATCCAAGTCCAAGTCCTCATCTTGAACCACGACATCCTTCGATTCTTGAGCGTCATGTTTCTGTGCTTTTTTAGACCAGTCTTCCATCATGTCTTCGTCCACGAAGTCATCCATGGCAAGGTCTTGTAAATGCTTCTTTTGTTGTCTGAGAGCTTCGGCGGCCATCTCATCGTCATCACTATCATCGTCCCCTCCGTAATAGTTCTTTTTCGAGCCCCAGCCCTCTGGATCGGAATCTTCCTCTTCCTCCTCGGCCTGTCCATCAATGTCATCCATATCGTCCTCCTCACTTTCTGAAGCCTCCTCGTTTCTAAGACCAAGAACCTCTTCCTCCGAATCTTCTGCTTCGGAGTCTTTTTGCTGAAGATAATCACCAGCTTGTTCTAGCAAAATCTTATCTCTGCCAGCGTCGAACTCATCGAGCTCATTGTCGGAGATGTCTGACATGGCGATAGTGAATGGATCTTACTGAGAGTGAGATCTAGTGATGCCTCATCGCTACTTTTTTGATAGTACTGCACCGAGGCCCCAAACTACTACACCTTATAGCAACATTGACAGGATAAATTAGATAAATAAAAGCGAAAAATTAATCATTTGCCGACGTTATTTACAGAGTGTTTATCTTGAAATGAAAGGTGGCCCAGATTAACGTAGACAACTCCTTCTTGAAAAGGTGTACGGGTGTTCCAATGCACCTCGATTGACATCTAGGTGTATCAGCTCTACATCTCTTTGTGATCTAGCTATGTCCAACAGACTAGATTCGCTCAATCCAAAGAAATCGGGTTCCAAGCCCGCACTCAAGTTCAAGCCCAAGGTGGTGGCAAGAAAATCAAAAGAAGATAGAGAGAAAAATGCTCCTATAGTGAAAACAGAAGAGAAACCAAGCCCACCACCAACTAGGGGACGTGGAGGTGCCAGAGGCCGTGGTAGAGGAAGAGGTGGAGCTTATGTGGGTACTCATTTAGTCTCATCAGGCCCATTAGCTTCGTCTGCCGTGGGCAGTGGTCCAGTCGCTACATCGAAAACAGGTTTGACTAGTGATAAGATCTACGGAGCTGGAGGCAAAGAGCAGTCTGATCCTTTACAAAACTTGAAGTTGAAGAGTCGAACCCAAAGTGATTCTGTTCAGGGCGAAGATTCCGATGACGAGGGTGGTCTCACGAAGATCAACATGAGTAAAGAGTACCAATTTGACGAAAGCGAGACAGTACTTTTCCCTGTGAGACCCTACAAAGATGAGGAGAAAGCTGCAGCTAAGGCAGCAATTCCCCTTTCATCCACTGTTTCAGCTTCCTCTTCTAGGGCACCTTCACGCACACCCAAACCTGAGTTGGTCAAGAGTGAATCGTCCGAAGACATCAAGATAGAAGCTACACCAGGCCCAGTTGCAGAACGTGTTGGTGACACAGTTGAAAATGATGAGCATGATAGGCTCATTGATGATCAACGTGCTATTGTTGACTTGGTCACAGGTAAATTTGCAGGACTTAAAGCTGAAGATTCAGGAGCAAGAGCGCCAGACAATTATTTCATGGTCCATCTACCCCAAATCAGCAAGGACAAGGAAAATGACGAGAAGATGGAAACTGATACGACAACCTCAAGCCTAGCTCTCCCTACGTTGGCGGACTTTCAGGGCCAAATTGGACAGCTCAACTTCCACAGATCGGGTAAGATCACTATGTCCATTGGAGCAAATACTACGCTAAATGTTGCTCAGGGTGTTCCTTCGAGCTTCCTTCAGGAGCTCTATGTCATCGAAGCTGCAGACAAACCGAAGGATGATGATGAAGAGGTTTTGGACGAAAGGGGCCAGAAAATCGCCGGCAATGTCCACAGATTGGGTGAAGTAACCGCGAAGCTAGTGGCAACTCCTGAAATTAGATAGCATACTTAATAAACACTGCATGAATGATAATCTTTTAAATCTATAGCGTGATATGTTTCGTTAATTATTGATCAACCTAGAGGTCAAAGCCTCCAAATCTTCCAAGGACTGTGGCTCATCGATCTCAACAACACCATCATCCCTATCATTGTTAGAGTTCTTGCTATTCTCGAACCACTTAGGCTTCTTCAGCTTGGGTTCCTCAACTTCCTCATCCAGTGACTCAAGATCTCTCTCGAGATCTGGCCCTCCGAGAGTAACCTGAACACCCTCATCGTCACTACTGTCATCTTCCTCCAACATTCTTCTCTCAGCTTCCTTCCGCTTTCTCTTCTTTTCTTGCCTCTTTGACTTTGCCAAAGCTTTGTCGGCAACATCGGCCTCGTTCATCATGTCAGTCTCTTTAGAAACGAACTCCTTCTTTTGGTCCTTGGCGTCACCCTTCTTTCTGAAATCTTCCTCATCCTCAAGTTCATAGATAGGGTGCGCTTCGCCTTCGTCATCGAAGACTAATTTCGTAGGAGTACCCTTGTCCTTGATGGACAACTTCTTAGAGAGAGCTTTCTTGGCGGCCCTCTTAGAAGCTGGTAGGCTTAGATCCGGAATTTCAGTATCTTTGATATCGTGATCGGTTCTCTTCACCTTCATGAAATCATCATCACTTTCCTCCTCAGCTTGGTCCTTTTCCTTTCTGATTTCAGTACCGGTCATATTGAGGTATTCCTTAGAGAGAACAGTCTGATTTTGTCTCTCAAACATTCTATCGTATTTTGTCCTGACCTTCTTTTTATCGTCCGACTTGACCTCGCCGTCCCTGTCAGCTTGCTCAAGCTCCATGAGTTGTCTCGACATATTCTTCTTCTCCTTATTACCTTCTCCTCCCTTAATTTTGATTTTGGGAGCACCAGGAAGACCCAATGACTCAGCAAACTTATCAGCAGGAAGGGATTCGACGTCGAAAACCTCTTTATCCTTCTGAACGTAAATGGAACGGTAGTATGAAATGAATGCACGTTGACCCAAATTCTTCATTTGGGGATCCTTGAAACAGAGAGATTGAAGCTGAGGCCGGATAGTCTTCTTGCTGTTCTTCTTTATGTTCATGTTTTTGATCTCAAGATCATTACTCTGAAGCCTTTTGAGCATAGCTTCCTCCTCGGATGGCATGAGCATAAGAAGAGACTTACCGGAACGCCCAAATCTTGCACAACGCCCGACACGGTGAACGTAGGTGGCAGCATCTTCGGGACAGTCAACCTGAATCACCCAATCAATGGCAGGAAAGTCCAATCCTCTCGCGACAATATCGGTAGCGAACAAGCACGCGTATTGAGCCTGAGAGAATTTCGTTGTGGTTTCCAATCTTGACGTTTGTTTGTGACGACCGTAAAGTCTCATCAAGGATATACCAGGTTGTAACGTCCTGAATGTTTCGTACGTATACTGAACTTGCTTCGAGGACGAAAAGAAAACAAGAATCTTGCTCTTGAGATGCGTTTTAATGAATGACCAGAGAACATCGAGCTTGTCCTCAAGGTTGATGCGAATGTAGTACTGATCTAAGGTATCAGGAGTTGCCGATACGCTAGCATCGGAAGAAACACCAATCTTTGTTGGGTTTGTAAGAGACAACCTTGCAAGATCTTTCACGCTGTCAGATTGAGTGGCGGAGAAAAGCAAGGTTTGTCTCTCTGGGGACAAATGTCCCAAAATGCTATCGATCTGTTTTCTGAAACCCATATCCAAACACCTATCAGCCTCGTCGAGAACAAGAATTTGTAGGTTGGAGGTTTCGATGCCAACAGATTGATTGAAATGCTGTGATATTCTGCCGGGGGTACCAACTAAGATGTTCATTCTACCGATTCTCTCTTTCTCAAATTGAACATCTTTTCCACCCGTCACCAAACCAGCAGAGAACGCGTTGTACTTTCCGATCTTTGTAAGAACTTCGAAGATCTGGACAGCCAACTCTCTGGTGGGTGAGACTATAAGAGCAGCCAAGCCGTCATACTCGGTGACATTATTGTGAATCAAACACTCAATCACAGGTATCAAGAATGCCAAAGTTTTACCAGATCCTGTTTTAGCAGTACCAATAATATCTTCACCCTTCAAGGCTGGAAGTATCGTTCTCTTTTGGATATCTGTCATGGAGACAAAGTTAGCTTCTCGAAGACCTTGAAGCGTAGCTTCTGTGATGGGGTAATCTTGGAACTGAGAGGTTTCCTTTGAATCCTCCGGCTGAAATTCCTCAATTCTCTTTTTGAGCAGAGTAAGCTCCTCTTCCTCAGTTTGACGCCTAGTCTTTCTATCAAGCTTTCTATTTTTCTTGTTTGCTTTGACCATGGTAGCTCTGGCTTCAACTTTCAAGATCTCAGTTGAGATGGGCATCTCCAGAAAAACCAACTGAAACACCCGTGCACCACACTAGGTCTAGAGGCTCTAGAAGTTCAAGATTTCAGCGTATTGAAGAGCCAAATCCCCATAGATGTCTAATTGGGCTGGGTCCATAACATCGAAGCAAAGGTTGCCGGATGGAATGTCGTACTTTTTAATGAGTTCATCGATAATTGCTTTCCGGTCTGTAGTATCAGATTTTGTATGGTCGTCTTCAATTTGAATCAAGAATCCCCGAAAATTTCCGTGAAGTGAAACATTGGCGGTTCTAATAGTGACATTTCCGTTCTCTAGTTCATAAATTTGCCCGCCATCACCTCTGATCGTTTGTCTTTGAGTCCACATACTTTGCATTCTGTGGCCCACCAAGAAATCAAACGAATCATTGAGACCAGACGTAGCGCCTTTGTGAAGGTGATCATTAGGAATAGCCAATTCAGCGTTTCCAGAAGATCCAAGTTCTTCCTGAACTATGTGACTCATGACTGTGGCATTCTTCTTGTTTATTAGAGTGACGCAGGAATCGTTCAAATATGAAGGGGACCAGGTGTACAAGAATTGTGATTCAGGAGCCGAATCGTGGGTTTCAGCAAGCTCTGGGGGTATGGAATAGATGTTATTCCTGAAGATCTTGAAGGTGAAGCTCCATTTACCTTTGAGTGTGGGAAGTCTGTTCGAGAGGATGTCGTGGAATTGAGTGATTGTGCCCGGCGTTGCCTTATGCACTAATAATACACTGATGTTAGCTGGAGGCGATATTGAATGGCTCGTTTACATACGCTGATACCATGGAGAAGTGTAGTAAATACTGTCAAGTTGACAATACTGCATGAGTTCGATAGTGAGTTTTGGCTGCGAGAAAGCAGGTAGGGTGGAATCAATTTGTGAAATACCTTGAACAAACTCAGAGATTTCAAATTTCTTGGCTTTAAAATAAATAAGTTCTCTGAAACTTCATTTCGTCTTAACTTTTCGTCGATAAAGCCTTCCATAAGCACCCGTAGTCGCCTATTGATCAATACAGCTTGAAGATTTCGTAAGTGGAGGAGTCAAGTCCAATTTGAACGAAGTCATTAGACAGAGGAGGAGCAAAAGAGAAAGAAATTACAGACTCTTTCTGTCAAACTGTCAACTCTTCGTTACATCTTCGACTCCACATATGGTCCACCAGTGCACCAGATTTGCACCCATCGCGAATTTCGATCTTAGATGCTCATCTCCAATTCAATGACCAATTCCACAGTATCAGAAGAGGGTATCTTCATTGGAGCTAATAGACAAGCCAATGTAGCAGACTACACAAACAACCTAGTTGCTTTTGGCGCTGGTTCCACTGTGGCTTTGTGGAACCCATTCAGCTCGAACAAGAAGGGTGTCTTCCATACTTTGAGAAAACATACTGCCGAGGTCACTTGTGTGAAATTTGTACCTGATTCCGATCTTCTCTTGTCAGCTGGTGAAGACGGTCAGATCAATATTTGGAAACAAAATGGTAATGCTTACGACGTCGTCAGTTCTTTAAATGAAGAGGGTGCATCTATTACTTGCACGAGTGTCCATGGTGAGTTCTTTGTTACAGGAAACTCTCTAGGGAAAGTGAACATATACAAGCTTAATGGCGGCAATGTTTCGTTGCACGAGGAGCTTACGGTGAAGTTCAACTTCTACCCCTTGACATTATGTGTGCACAAAATCGGTTCTGGTTACCTTCTCCTAGTAGGTGGAACAAATAGCTCACTCTTCGCTTACACATTCAGCAGCACTGATAAGGCTGAATTGGTGGCTACTATGACTGGTCATGAGGACTGGATCAAAGCTCTCGCTATTGTGAAGGATGGAGAAGATTACCTTTTAGCATCAGGCTCTCAGGACAGATACATTCGTCTTTGGAGACTTAAATTCAACGAGAACATTGATAATTCTGACGAGGATGTGAGAAAACTCACACTTCTTTCCAACAGACAGTACAAATTTTTCATTGGTGAGGACAAGTGTGCTTTTAGCTTCGATGCGTTGATCATGGGCCACGATGATTGGGTAAGTGGTTTGCAATGGCATCCACATTCTGAAAGGCTTCAACTTCTTTCCCTGACTGCCGACACAGCTTTAATGATATGGGAAATGGATTCTGAATCAGGTATTTGGGTTTGTCTGAGTCGACTTGGTGAAATGTCCATCAAGGGTGCTTCTACAGCGACAGGATCGTCTGGTGGATTTTGGTCTTGTCTTTGGGTTACCAACGAGCTGAATACCGAACAGCTCATCCTTGCAAACGGTAAAACGGGCGCAATTAGAGCATATAAACTGACAGACGAGGAGAACAAGATTTGGAACTCGGTCCTAGGTCTCTCTGGGCCAATTAAGGAGGTCAACGATACCGTTTGGTCGAAGGATGGAACCTACTGTTTTACCACATCGCTAGATCAAACTACCAGATTATTGGCCCCGTGGGTAAAGGGGAGACCCGCTGATAGTCAACATGACAAGACTTGGCATGAGTTTGCCAGACCTCAGATTCATGGTTACGATATGATCTGCCTCGACAACATCAATGCTTTCAAGTTTGTGTCTGGTGGAGACGAAAAAGTCTTGAGAGTTTTTGAAATGACCCAGTCTATCAACGATGTATTGCATAAGTTCTGTGACATCAAGTTGCAGGCAAATGAATCAGACGCCTTACCTGAAGCAGCAGCGTTGCCAGTATTAGGTTTATCCAACAAAGCAGCGAATGAGCAGCTTGAGGCTGGAGAGGCTCAACAAAGGGAGGAAGATTTCGAGGAAAACCAAGATGGACAAGCCGCCAAAGTTGATCCACTTGCGAACCTAGAGGGTCCACCTCTTGAAGACCATCTACAAAGACACACATTGTTCCCCGAAATCGAGAAACTCTATGGTCATGGATACGAAACAACGTGCTGTGCCACCTCACCCTCGGGAAATCTCATAGCGTCAGCATGTCGTTCGAACAATATCAAGCATTCTGTCATCAGAGTGTTCAATGTTGGAAAAGACTTCCAGCTACAGGAGGAGCCTTTGAAGGGCCACAACTTGACAATTACGAGTTTGGAGTTTTCTCCAGACGGACAATACTTGGTGGCCGTCTCTCGTGACAGACAGCTCTCTTTATGGAGGGTTGTCGATGAGGAGAATGCCAGAATAGAATTGGTTCAGCTCAACGAGAAGGCACATTCACGTATTGTGTGGGACTGCTCGTGGGCGCCAACAACCGCTTCCGGATCATTCTTTGTCACTGGTTCCAGAGACAGAAGCATCAAATTATGGAAAGTAACCGAATCCGGGGCTTCCATGTTAGCATCACTCAAGACTGGCGAGCCAGTCACCTCCATTGCATGTTTCCAACAAAGTCTTATCCACGATCGTCTCATCATAGCTGTTGGTCAGGAAAGCGGAAAAATCAGCATCTACTCAACACTGCTTGAAGAGAATCCTACACTTGTGCAAAGCATTGTCTTCGACGACGCTATCTTACCTGCTTCTAAGGTGTGCAAGCTCAGTTTCAGTAACAAAATATCTGACAACAAGCTTCTATTGGCCGTTGGAAGCAGCGATACGTCTGCTCGTATTTACGGCATTTCGACGGATGCTTTAAACTAAATTATTTATTTAAAGAATTGAAGAAACACCGTCCGGTGGTTTGCACCCGGTTGTGCACCTGGTTGCTGGGTCGCTCGGTTCTTGCACGCTGGCCATAGTGAGGAACAACATATTGAACAGATAAGTACACCAGAGATCCAATTGTAACATAGTCTAGTACACACCACACAATGGCTGAAAAGTATCCCGAAATAGACGTTGAAGCCAACGACCAGGAGCTCGGTGGCGACTTTTTGTCAAGAGAGAGCGAGCTCTTGGGTGACGAGTTCAAGACAGATCAGGATAAGGAAGTTCTTGAAGAAAGCGAGGGCGACGACGAAATCAATGATTTCAAGGAGCAATTCCCAGAGGTTGAGGGCTCTGCCAACGTCATTGCTCAACAGGAAGCTGAACAAGATGGTGAGGAGGAGGACGAATTCGAAGGTTTCGACTCGGCCCCTAGTGCAACCAAGGACTTGAGCGAATCCGAGCCTTTGAAGGAGTGGAAGGAGCGCAGAGATCTTGAGATTGAGGAGAGAGAAAAGGCCAACTCCAAGAAGAAGGAGGATATTATCAGCAAAGCTCAGCAGGGCATCGACGACTTCTACGACAACTACAACAACAAGAGAGAGCTGCACGCTAAAGACATTTTGAAGGAACAGGAAGAGTTCTTGGAGAAGAGAGACAAGTTCTTGTCTAGAGGCACCATGTGGGACCGTGTGAACGAGTTGATTTCCGAGGTGGGTGAGTTGCCTGAAGACGGTCGCGACAAGACCAGATTCAAGGGCTTGTTGAACAAGTTGAAGGGCAAGGAGAACGTGCCTGGTGCCGGTGGCTACACTGCTGAATAATTGGTCTGGACGAATTAGACCTGAAAAGTATCTGTCTAGATTTAATATAACATAAAGAAGATATTCATATGTTGGATCATTGTGATCCATCTATTAATTCATAATCCGATTAACAGCTCTGATGAGCGATTCTTTCTCAAGCCTCTGGCACTCCTTTTGGAGTGGATGCTTGAGAATATAGTCGTTGAGATTCATTAGGTTCCACACACCGTAGCAGAGAATGAATGCCTCGATTCTGTCCCAGTTAGGGATGTTTATGATAGAGAACCATCTGTGATTCTCTTTCACAATACGCCACTTTGACAAAATGATCAACCGTAGCAAGTACGAGTTGAGACTGTCGTAAAAGCCGGTACTGATTTGACGGATGTTTTGGGGTCTCCAGGTCGTCTCTGGTAACCGTAGTCTTGTATGAGCCTTAAAGACCCAAGACTCATGGTTGCAAAAGCAGAGACAAAACCAATGCTCTTGATATAATTCTTGACAAATGTCTTCATGTTGCCGAAGTAAATATCTCTGAGGAAGCCGACTCTAGTAAGCATTGGTGCCGTTAATGAAAGGAGGAACATCGCGACCAAGTTGGGCCCGTAGATGAAGTTAGCCATAGCATTCGCCTTATGCCCAACGAAGATTAAATAGTGACGAAGTAGGATCTTGATACGTGAAAAGTCAAACGCACCATTGGTTGCTTCGTAGTAGGTATCAATTACTCTGTTCTTGAAGGAAAGCAATGCATAGATTCCGAAAAGAACGACATTGTGCTTGACATAAGCCTGTAACAAACCGACCCAATGGACCAGCTGCGAGTTGACGCCAAGGCGGTAGTTCACCCAAATTGGATTGAGGATATAATTTTTGATTGACGCAGACAAGTACTTGTGGTTAAGCTTGTATCGCGTTGGAGTCAAGTAGTTTGATAAAAGCTGCCCAAAGATAACGGGATAGATAACATAATGCTTTCTAGTGTACACGTAGCGCACCCAAGACTTCTTCTTCATCTTATCAATACCAGTAGCCTTGGATAATGTAGGGTACACCGTGATCCTAGAACTGGGAGGGTTCAATTCACCAAAGTAAGCCGTGTAGAAATAGATCAGCCAGTAATCCTTAGGAATCTGTGGATTGTTTGCAACAGCCAGAAACAAGATTCCCACGGAGACCAAGTTGGCCAATTTGCGTGCCCTTCTGTCAACGGTTTCAGGGTCCTTGAGTCTTGTATGATCTCTGAGCCAATCATTGATGACGCTTCTGATGGTAGGGTTGAGCGAAAGGAAAGCTGTAAGCCTTATTGGGTTTTTTGCTCTTAGCAAAAGCAAGACAAGAATCCACTTCACCAGCTTACCCACCGAGGGATTTGGTGGGGCGTAAAGATATGAATCATCCATGAGGAAGATAAGAGTATTTGGATCGCGAAGGCTTGTATGGCGTGATTTTGATTTAAAATCGTGAGGCCTTCTTACTTCAGTTTTGTTGAGTTCACGCTTTGTTTTGAAAAGTCTTATCGGCGGTGATGCTGAGATTTTGTTTTCAAGATCACTCAAAACCGGCTTCTGTGGCGCCTAAACGCGAGAGATAAGGCTCTACGACTTGCTTACTTAGGCATATTCAGTTGAATCTAACTATTTTCATTTGATTCGAGAGAGTAAGATAATCTAATGCTCATATTGGCTTCCCCGTATTGTAGAATAGCCATCTTCCTGAGTCTACAATATGAGGATACACCCTGTGGCTTCTGTAAACAATAGGAGCGTGGTAGCGCGTTTTGCACCCACCAACAAATAAATGGAATTGACGACTCACAGCATAAAATTACAGGTGCTTAAAAGTTTGACTTGACTTTTTTTTAACACATTGATCTCAAAAGTTAATTTTCTGAGACCCTCCTAGCCGACTTTCTTGATCTCCTACTGAAGTTGGCGGTGCGCATCTGTCTACTTGTTAACGAAATCACCAACCTTGTCCTCAATGGAACCCCACATTAAGATGGAAACGCCACCTTCAAGGCCACTACTGATCACCCAAAGGAGCGTTACACGCTCTGGATCCATCAGATCAAAAGGCATCAACTTCAATACCGTGTCTCCAACGCCTGGTAGTCAAAAGACAAGAACTCAACCTCCCAGATCGATACCCAGGGAACATTCGACCTTGAAGTCAAGCTCAAGAGAAAACGGATCTCCAAATCCAGATCCTGCTTCTCTTATAGATCGCCCATTACCACTGTACCAGGAACTACGTAACTTGAACATCGATGATCAGCTACGGCTCTTGGCTCTGAAAGAGATGGCCGTTGTGGCCATAAACGATAGCATTAATACCTTGAAGCTGAAGCTTGATACCACACAAAAAGACCTTCAACAATTACGTCACGTCATTCAAAAATCATTGTACAAGGAGGTTCACAAGCACACGCAGAAGCGTCCATCAGCAACTCAGAATCACCCTACTCGGAGAGCCCAGAGGCAAACCTCGCCCGCTCCTGATCTTCATGATCATAATTCGACAATCTGGTCGAATCTTTCCAAACCCATCAGTTTCCTCCAGCAGTTGGATACAATGATTCAGAGTGAAATGGAAAAATCACTAGGGACCAACGAACCTGCTAAAGAAATTAGCGGACAACATGAACAGCATAAGCAGCATACACACAATGTAACCAATTCTTCAGAGGAGAAGTTACCTGTTAATCTTGATAAGTATTTCCCAGCATCACAAGATCATAAATACAGAGACACCGACGATATGTTTCACGCGGTCTCTTCTTCGCTATGGTCCTTTGTTAGCGAGGTTAAGACCAACATGATGTCTTCATTGGCAGATGAGCCCGAGCAGGAAGAGAAGAATGAACCTGACGGTAATGATGACACCATAAACCTCATAGATATGTCCGAACCGAGTTTCTCAAAGGACGAAGAGGAGGACAAGTTGGACTTGTCCATGTACTCATCAATGCGGCAGTCCAAGAAATAGCATTACGATTCATGAAATAGCTTCATATTACGAAGCATCATTAGCCCAATATCTATCAGTAGTATTTATTCCTCTCGGGAGGACTCACCTATTCTCCATCATGCAGCATAGATCTAATACTATGATCTACCCTGCAATCCCTTCACCACCTCAGATTGCTTCTGGTTCTCCAACTCCTTCTCAGAAATGTTTCCAAGAGAGCGCAAGTCCTTCAACAAGATATTCTTCAATTTGTCAAAGTAAACTTCTTGAAGCAAGTTACGGATATTGTACTCCGATTTTTCGATCAGCTGGCCCAAGTTGACCAAGTGGGCCCATTCAAGAGAACCACCTTCCGTACTAAGGCTCTGGGAGGATTCCAATTGTCTAGTCATGGTGCCTGCTAACGAAAGGCCCTTGTCAGATTTCGTGGTCAGCAAGTCCAAAATCACAGACGAGGTGATCTTATACGTGGCCAGATTAGCTCCTTCTGGAATGATCTCAAACACGTGGATCGAGTCCCACTTGGCCAAACCGTCCTCGGCCTCTTTTTTAAACAAGACGACACCAGCAAACCCTTCCTTCAAGCTGTCGGCACTTTCATCCTCAGCAGTGTCCCAAAGATACACTGAAGAGTAGCCACCATTCTCATAGTACAAGTCTCTATAGACGTCAAAGCTCTCGTTGGCCTTGATCTCCAACTCTCTCAAGACTGACGAAGGGTATGGTGACTCGTCATCCTCCGTGGGTGGATTGTACTTGTTGGAGAATGGGGATCTATACAGATCGCCATCTCTGTTGTAGTCACAGCACAAGAAGCTCTTGCCGGACTCCTTGCACTTGGCCAACTTCAATGGAGTGTCCACTGAGGACAACAAGTCCTGAGCTAATTCGGCGCCCTCTTCCGAATTGTCATGCTGGAGCAAGGTGCAAATAGAATTGAGGTTTTTCTCCACGTGTCTTGGGTCAAGACGACGTAAGAGATCTAAAGCAGCATCATATTTATCTTCCAGAGACATACTTAAAAGAGCATAGGTGTCTTGGATGTAGAATACTAGTTAAGGCGATGGTGCACGGGTGCGCGAATGGCTGCTTTATAAAAGCGAAGGTCGCTCATGATTCGGAGCTACTATTGAAATTCTCATTATGCAATCTTTTTATATTAAAACCCTTAACCTAAGTAATGTAACACGCAGAACTGAAACCTTCTATGCAATCTCTTACTGTGGCACGTACTCAACACCCAAACGAGGAGCGTTGATGATAATACCCATCAAAATACCAGACATGATACCGGCAACAGGCAAGGTGATAAACCAGCCCAAGTAGCACCAAGTCACCATTCTCCAGTTGACACCCTTGAGGTCCTTGTTGCACAAACCGACAAAGACGGTGGCACCAACGGCACACTGGGTAGTTGAAACAGGGATAGCCAACTGGGTAGCCATGACGACAGTGATCGCAGCACCAAACTCAATGGCGAAACCTCTAGATGGCGACTGCAAAATCAACTTGTTACCAAGAACACTCATGATCCTGTAACCGAAAGTCCAGAGACCAATGACCAAAGCGGCGGCAGTGAAACAAAGAATCCAGATTGGTGGAGTGTCAGTGATATCCTGGTCGTTCCACACAAGGAAGACGGTGGAAAGAGGGCCGGAAGCGTTAGCAATGTCGTTGGCACCGTGAGCAAAAGACATGGTACAGGCGGTAATGCACTGGAGCAAGGAGAAAAGGTACTCAACTCTGTTGTCGTAGAACTTGGACTTAGCATGCATGCCCTTCACGTTAGCAGCCAAAACACCCTTAGAGTTGGTCTGGATGGAGATAACGTCCTGGGTGAAACCGTGGGAGACAATGAGCCACAAAAGGTAAGGCCACTTCTTTGGACCAGCTTTGAGGAGCTTCCACCACTTCAGCCTAGTGGACTCCTCCTCCTTGATCTCAACGGAAGAAGAAGTGTCAAGAGAGTTGACAGACTCCTTGGTTGGGTTCTCCTTGTTGTCAGCTTCAGAAATGTCTTGGGCAGCACGCTCGACAATTCTACGACCTTCGTAGTAGTCGATGGTGATCTGGTGTCCCTCAGGCATTGGAGGAATCTGGTCCAAAGGCTTGAACCAGTAGACTGGGCCTCTGAAGACATCGTACCACTTGAGGGTCCAGTCGTTGTGGAGGATCTTTCTGCTGACCACTGGGAAAATGAAGATCATGTAAAGAACCATAGCGACACCACCAACACCGAAAATGGCACCGACGGTGGTACCGCCAGAGAGATCGTCCAAGTTCAAATTTGGAGAACCCTTCCAGAGAATCAACATGGTCAAAACACAGAAGGTGACGAAAACCAAAATTGGGATCAAGCACAAGGCGTTTCTGATGGATTTTCTCTCGTCCTTAATTTCCAAGACACCGAATTTGGCGATAAGGAAAACGATGGAGCCGAAGGCACCAGCGATACAAGGAGCAATAAACCAGGAGGCAACAATTTGAGCGAAACCCTCCCAGCCCCAAATAACGTGGTCGGCACCTCTAGAGGCGATACCAACACCAATGACAGCACCAATGATGGAGTGGGTAGTAGAAACAGGCATACCGATGGTGGTGGCGATGGACAACCAGATGGAAGAACCGACAAGAGCAATGGCCATTCCCAACATAAGAACAGTAGGGTCGTCCTCAAAAGCATCAACGGAAAGAATCTTCTTTCTCACAGTGTCAGAAACTCTGTTACCGACCAAGACGGCACCAAGAAACTCACAAATGGCAGCCAAAATCATGGCCTGCCAGTACTTCAAAGACCTCGAAGAGACCGAGGACGAGAAAGAGTTGGCAACATCGTTGGCACCAATGTTGAAGGCATCCAAGAAGGCAAAGATGATACCTATGGCGAGGATGTAGTCGAACTGGTGGTAAGCCATGGAAAGATTTGTTTTTTTCTTGTTGTTGAGAGACAGAGACAAGGGAGAGGAGCGGTTTTATATGATTTAATTAGGCACCACGAGGCCTAATAGCATCAAGAGTTTTTTTCTTAGCAGATGAACGGGTGCAAAATAGAATATGCTGTGCGGCCGAGCGTCTCACAATGGCGCCAACTGCACCGATTCCTTGGCACCTAATAACTCAACGGTCTTGGCAGCCCACGTTGTCGATGCTTCTGACATTCACTGGAGCACCCAGAATTGAAGCCGACCGCATAAGCAGAATTTTTGACGTGGATCCCGAATTTCTGTTTTCCACCTTTTCCCAGGCCCGTAATCTAGTGAATCTTGCAGGGCACGGCGCTATCAGTATCGTGAGACGCTACTGCAACAGTGAGCACGCGACCCACGTGGTAGGGTTCTTTGGCTGCGAAATAGAAAAAAAAAAAAGCTACCGCCAGCGGCTAATTGTGACGTCCTCGCACCAATTGCGCCTGGAGCCAGGGGTGATTCTGCTGCGCACACAGCTTTGGCGCCAGACTGAGATCCATGGCATTAGGGCGCAGACTTCGTGGGTTGGCCATTTGAAGCTTCCACGTGGGAATGGCTCTGAAGCGTAACATGAAGTTCAAGGCTGGGTCTTGTGGACTTAGGCCTCGGAGCGCGAGAGCTCCTACCGAAGCAATATGCTGTCATCGGGCGAGCGATAAGATTGAGCACCCCCCATGCCCGATAGTGCGCGGCCTGCTGCTGAAGCCCGCCACCGGGCATTTTCTACAAAGCCTTTTTGCTCTTTGGTTTTTCACGTTTTTACCTCAAACCAATGTAATTCAATTACGGCAGAAGGCTTGCGGAATGCTCTTACGGGCTTTGCCCTACGACCAATTACCGTGAACGGCTGAACCCATATGGATGAAAGAGCCTGATTGTTTTTTTCTGTGATCAGCGTATTCTCCTCAGGCCTTTGTTCAATCCCAGGTGTTTCCCCTGCTGATACGGTTAGCGCCGATACCCAGCCCCTTGGTCAAGGCAAAACACCCACGGGCTCCTTTGTTCGTGCCAAACCCATCGACTCAATTAGCGCTGCTTAAATTACCAGCTGTTTCTGCCGTTTCCATTCTGCCGCATCCCGTATTATAACTTGCCCGCTTAGCACGCTGCCCTAAAGACCAATCAGCCAATGCACGGGGTGACGCACAAACTCGTAATTACTCGATTTGTCCATTTTGTGTCAGCCGAGCGTTCGATGATTGACCGGTTCCCCGCGTCCCGACGGCTCTGTTTTATTTTGCCCGTTAGCCCATGGTCCACGTTTCCTGCGGCTTCTACTGCTGCTTCCACCTAATCTCGAGGCGTGGTGGTAATAAGTTGCGTCGCTCGTTTCGCATTTCCGGGGCTTTGCCTCGCTTAGCCCGCCGCTACTGCGAGTCTCGTAACAACCTGACATCTTTCGCCGTATCTACTCTACTATCTGAAGGCACTTCTGCGAAGGCATTGGGAAGTGTGGGTATTGCCCTCGGACCACTGGGACCATGTGGCTTGCCCAGTGCCTCGCAACCAAGCGCCAGGGGTTGCGATGTTTTAGTCAAATTTTGACATTCACATGGGGCCCAGCATTATGCCTGTAATTTAAATCACAAATCTGCCGATCTTCGCTTGGCTCTTGCTTGGTCTTTCGAAGATTGATCAGTGCATCTAGATGGCTGCGAATTGCTGTAAGCGTGGTCTCGCTTCAACAATCCAGAACAATAAGGTTTCGTGACCCTGGTCACGTGGATATGGAACCTTCCAGCCACTTCCCCAATTTTCTTGACATCCCCCTATCCTTCCAAAAATGAAGCATTCATTCTCGCGGTCCGTTTCTTCGTGTCTTTTCGATGTAAAAACCAGCCCCGGATGCTGGTCCACCGCTGTTCGGCCAATCTAAGAGCACCATTAGTAATATCGCGCGTCACGTGATGTGGGGTACTGTATGTCATTCACTCGCCGCAAGAAAATCTCGGAAGCGAGCTTCGGAGAAGTGTCTAACTACATTACTTATAAGCACCACATCGCAATTACACCCCAACGCACATCACCATGTTTCACAAAACTGCATTATCCAGACTCAGCAAGAGGTTACTCTCTTTCAAGACGTACCCAACCCCAAATCAGAATGCATTGAAGTTTGTTTCCCCTGAATGTGCAATTTCCCCCTTAGAAAATAAGACATTTGAGTTCGGCTCATCCCTCCAAGCCGTCCATTCTCCATTGGCTTTGAAACTTTTCAAGATCGCCGGCATCAAATCTGTTATGATTGGCCATGATTTCCTCACTGTTAACAAGCAAGATCACATTAACTGGGCCAACTTGCGTCCCGAGGTGACCGAATTGTTGGACGAGTTCCTCACAGCCAATGAAGAACCTACCATAACAAAGGAACTTTTGGAGTCCGAAGAAGATTCACTCGCCGCGAATGAAAACGATACTGAGATCGTTGCCATGATCAAGGAATTGATTGAGACCAGAATTAGACCCGCCATCCAAGATGACGGCGGAGATATCGAATACAAGGCATTCGACGAGGAAACTGGAACCGTTTTCTTGAAGCTTCAAGGAGCTTGCAAATCATGCTCCGCTTCGGAAGATACGCTCAAGGGTGGTATTGAGGCCATGTTGATGCACTACATTGAAGAAGTAAGAGAAGTTGTCCAGATCCTCGACCCTGAGGAGGAAATCGCAAACAAGGAGTTCGAAAGACTAGAACAAAAGCTCAAGGACAGAAAAGACACTTCTCCTCCCCCACCACCTCCATCCTTGTGAGCACCATCTATAGCATCAACCATTATTTATTAATCTGCATTCCTTACATGACCTTCCCGTAGCAATTTCATCTATTTATATTTTTGAAGAGAATCGAGAACCTGTTGCTTTATCATCGCCAACATCCGACTCTCTTCGTATCTCGAGTCCAATTCCTTCAATAAGCCGTCATCGACACATCCTTTACTGATAACGATTCTGACCTCTTCGAAGAAATTCTTCCTCCAGTTTTTCGTGAAGTTGTCCCATTCTCGGGAAACATGATTGAATCCTAAAACCCATCCCAATAAGCCAATCGCAAAAGCTGTATTGGCTTCAAGACCAACAAATAAGTATCCCAAAACTGACAAAACTGTTAAGGGAAGCTGGTAGTATATAAAGCCTAAAGCGAGGCAGCTGTATACCACTGGCTGGATTTCGTTGGCAATACGCTCGTTCACTAGCGTCCTCTTAAATGCTTTCAATGGATTCAAAACGCCAGTCTTATCAGAGTATGCTGCAAACTTTTGTTCTTGAAGCCTAGCAGTGAGTTGACCACGAACATAATTGTAGCTCTCTATACTTTTAGACATAAAGTTGGCCTGGAAAAAGTCTTTAAGCCAGTACTCCACATTGTCGTTCCTCCAATACAACATGTACCACCTGAGCTTCTTATCAAAAAACTCATTCGTTTTGGGAATTAAGGTCTTTTGGAGCTCTTCATGCATAGATGCACTGCACTCAACCAAACTGTTGAGCTTGAGGTCGTCATAGATTTGATTGATTTTTGTTTCTGACAATGTATTCCTGGCGATTTCAGTACAAATGACATGGAACATCCACGAGGTCAAGTTCTCGGTACGTAAATACCACAGTAGAAACTTTCTGACTTCAATAATGTTGCTTTCTTGTAATGCGTCGAAGTACTCTGATGCTGCTTTGGTGTCTTCTTTGAGGAACAACTCAATGCCTGCAAAAGCCTTTCTGGAATTAATTTTGATCGAGTGGTGAGTTACGGAATTTGACCTCTCGAAGGTTACGGGCGTCAGTTCGGCAGAATGTGGTGTGAACTCGGTGTTGTCGATGATAGTAAGCATTATCTTCTTCTGAACATGGCGAGGAAGATTGTCCATGAGCGTAGAGTATTCACTGGTGACATAAATGAAAAATTGGCAATTGTCAGTGAGCTTATGGACATCGCTTTCCCTGTTGATCTCTAGAAGAGCCAAACTGTTAGGTGTGGTACTCAGAGGTTCGAATACTTCTGGGTAGGTTCGTCTGAGCTCTGGAATTAACATTGGAGAGGGCACGTTATATTTCGTTACCGTGCGCTCGAAGGCCCCGGGAGGATGAACTCGCTGGGATCAGGGTCCTGAAGATGAATCAAGTTGTTCTTTTCTCTCGAACGATTTGCCAAAGGTCTAAACCACTTCTCGTTATTGGACGCCAATGGGTCCGCCAAAAGCGATTCTATGACACGAGAAGTTTTGCGAACCTCGTCCGACTCATATAGAAGTCCCACAAGGATCTTCTCCGATTTTGTTGTATTTCTGCGTAACCCAAGAACGATTGTATCGTGGAGTAAGTGACAGTGTCGTACGGATACCACCTGACGTACTTTTTGAGACCATCAGTAACAGATGTAATTGGCGATAGCTCTAGTTTGTTCGACGCAGACTCTGGTTTCTTAGCGGTGGATGTATTGAATCGTGAGGCAATTCTGGACGATCGCTTCCAGAGCCTGATGGGGAGCCGGGCCAGCCGTATGAACATAGCAATTGGCTAATTGTTTGTACTAATGAACGAATGGATTTTGCGTGAGCCGAATGTATATGATCAGGGCCTCAAGTGATCTCGATGTAGTAGTTGTCGCGAGAAGATCGGTCGCACCGAAATGCGGTTGATTGTGAGTGGACTGCAAAGGGTCCCCTAGTTAGCTAGCCGATTTTTTGATGAAAAGCTCAAATTACATCGTTTTCGTTATTCTCTAAATATCTGCAATTTGAAAATTCTAATCGTGTGTTTGTGTGCAAAGGAATACTTTATAATGTAAGGTAGATTTTGACCAATGGTTGCGAAATACTATGCGCTCCTCTGAATTTGACAAATTTCTACGATTTGTGGAATGGTCAGAAGTATTGCCTTAGTCAAGATTTGATGTTACATTGCATGAATTACACGCTTCAAACCTCACACTTAGGACAGTCGGGAAGGTATCAAATTAGAAGAGCCATAGCAAGCTTCATTTTCACCTCCGAACGGCACCAATAGAGAGCACACCATGTAATTGTAGAAACACACGCATGGAAACGCCTCGATCAAGCCACCTCGTGGAACCCCAACAAATTAAAGTAAAAAAAATCGTAGTGATGTATTTCTCATGGAGATATTTGCAAAGCACGTCAAACAGCCGTATATGCTCCCGATAGCACCCATATCTTTGTGGCTCCTACGACGCAGTCCACGCATGTGTCAGGGTGCAAAATCCGGGGTATTTCTAAAATCGGCTTCGTGAGAGCAGATTTCAATTACTTATCTACTCTTGGGAAAGAGCCAACAACTTTTAGGTCAAAAATGACCTATTGTTGTATCTTGAGGTGGGGTCGATAATCCTCGCTTATGCACCGTTCGTATGTTGATAACAGTGCGATTTGACGTACGGTCAACATTCGCAATAACTACTTCTTTTCATGCCTGTGCTTCCCAATGAGCGTCCAGGCCGCCTGGCTCTTCAGCAGGGCTGGGGGTTCTCAGCAAATACGCGTCTTTCATTGGTCCAGGTATAATGGTGTCCGTTGCATACATGGATCCCGGCAACTATTCCACGGCAGTTTCGTCAGGTGCTGATTACGAGTACAGTTTATTGATTATCATTTTCCTCAGCAACTTGTTCGCTGTTGTTTTGCAGTGCCTTTGTGTCAAGTTGGGTACCGTGACCGGACTCGATTTGGCGGAGATGTGCAGATTAAATTTGCCCTGGTGGCTCAACTTGTTTTTGTACGCCTGTGCTGAGATCGCCATTATCGCGACCGATTTGGCAGAAGTTGTGGGAACTGCTATCGCTTTAGAGATCCTTTTTGGCATTCCCTTGTTTATGGCGTTCTTATTACTGTTTTAGACGTGCTCATAATCTTGTTGGCTTATCACAAGGACGGAAACTTGCGTCAGACAAGAACATTCGAGATAATGGTTGCAATCTTGGTTGCTGCTACGTGCGTTTGTTTTGTTGTCGAGCTTTTCAAGTGTGACTTTGAGCCTGGTTCATTTGGCAAAATTGTCGAAGGTTTCTTGCCAGTGAATTTGGGTGTATTCACCGAGTCTCGGGCATTATTTTTAAGTTGTGGTATCGTTGGCAGTACTGTCATGCCACACTCATTATATCTTGGATCATCATTGGTTCAGTCCCGGTTGAAGCATTATGACATCACAAATGGCAACGTTGACGTCAACGACGAAGGCGAAATAAACCTACCAGCGGAGGAGCAAAACAACCATTTGGCTCCAGCCCAGAACAAATTCCTTGCAATGTCCGATGGATCCAGTCTCGCCAGGAAATATCGTCCTTCTCACGCTGCAATTAAGTATTGTTTGAATTACTCATATACTGAGTTGGTTCTCTCATTATTCATTATAGCAGTATTTGTCAACGCGTCGATATTGATTGTGGCAGGGTCCACCTTATACGGCAAGCCTGATGCTGATGACGCTGATTTGTTGTCCATCTACGAAATGTTGTCTCACTACATTTCTCCAGCCGCTGGTTTAATCTTTGCATTGTCCATGCTTTTTTCGGGACAAAGTGCTGGTATCGTGTGTACAATGGCAGGTCAGATCGTTTCAGAGGGATTCATCAACTGGTCCTTCAAGCCTTGGCTTCGTCGTATCATTACACGAGTTTTGGCGATCATCCCAGTGTTGATTGTCATCATTATTTTAGGTCGCGAGGGTGTGGCTACAATTATGAACTCGTCTCAGGTTGTTTTGAGTTTTATTCTTCCAGTCGTCAGTGCTCCGTTGATATGGTTCACTGCTAGCCGTAAGTATATGGCTGTCAGTGACATCAGATCTGGTCAAGCTGACGAGCAAACGGCGTTATTATCAGAAGGTGAGGAGGCGAGCGATTCTTCGCAAAAAGTTGTGTTTTTTGAGAATAGTAAGTGGTTGAATGTGGCAGCTATTGGCACATGGCTCATTATTACATTCTTGAACATCTATTTGGTGTACCTCTTTTCCATTGGTATTGAGGTTTAATTAAAATACATAGGGGGTGGTGGTTTTAGAAAAAGATAGACATTCACATGAAACCTTTCTTCTTTTTGTAGGGCCCTCTGATGCTAGCGAGTCTGCCAGTCTTGTTAATTGAGGAAGTGGATGAAGGCATGTGTCCCGGCAAAACACCTGGGATCTCGTTAAGTAGCACAGGCAACTCCTTGCTGAGAGTGTGAGGGAAAGCCTGGTCCTGACCGGCTTTGGACTGGAGAAGGAGGGTGAGAAGTTTGGTAATTTTCTTGTAAAGAACAACTTCTGCAACAGATGCATCGTGCTTCTTATTACCGCTCAGACGGTATCTTTCTTGACGCAACTTGTTGAGTCTGAGAATACTCAATGATATGACCTTTTGGATTTTTGCGGGCGATTTGAACTCTTCTTTTTCTCGTCTCAATTCAGCCAAGGCCACAACCTCTTCTGGTCTGTAGTATACAAGATTCTCAAGCTTGATGACATCCAGGCTTACATCTGAGTCATCCAATTCCAAACTGTCTTTTCCATTTGCGTCGATGGCAGCTGGTTGGTCGTCGAGAGGAGAGTCTTCTTCCATAGCTGTATCCTCCTTATTAGGCTGAGCTGCTGGGCGATCACCGTTCGATGGTGTGGTTCCAGAATACTTTTTCGTTATGTCATTTATCAACTTGACACCGAAATGATTGAACCACACGGAATTTCGAAGTGAAGCGCTGAGAACCGAGCTTCTCAGGTCAGTGGCCGGACCAAAAGATCTTATTGTATTGGACACCTTTTCAAAAGTTCTCAACTCGTTGTCAAAAGTTTCTTTCACAAGAGTAGACTCAACAGGCGGTTTCAATGCTCTTTGCTTATACACCAACCACTTGGGGGCCTCGACAGTATACCAATTTGGATGGAAGAAGCTATCCAATATTTGACCACCAAGCTGACCAGGGCCAGGCGGTTTGGCCACTGGGTTTCCGTAGTTCTTCAAAGTTTCCGAGTTGCTAGGAACGGTTTTGGTAGAACCAATGACCTTCGCCAACAGGTATGGATCAGGTACAATTGTGTTTCTAAGATCAAGAGCTGACTTTCCGATCAAACTGGAGAAGAGTGGTTGCGTTTTAATCTTAGGCTCGGGTGGTGATTGTGACGAGTATAAGCTGTGGTAGGCTGGAAGAGGTGGCTCCTCCACCTTGTTCATGTAAACAACAGTTTCACCGTTTGCAACATTGTAGCTGGAAGAAATTTTGTCAAAGTCCTCACGCAATACGTTAAGAACATCTTCCGGATCATCTTTGACGACTTCTTCATCCTCATTTGTGAGCCGGAGGCCCAAACGTCCAGTTTCCCTAATCAAGAGCTCTGTGGTGAACTTGTAGAAGTAATCAATGTTTTGGTATTCGCCAGTGCCAATTTCATGCTTGCTTATCTCTTGACTGGAAGCCACAGTTATATCATGATAGATTTGATAAGGGGAAGTGTACTGGCCTTGGTCTATTTTGTGCTTTATCGAGACTCTCTTTTCATCAGGGGTTTCATCTATGCGTTTTTGGAGTGACTCTAATATAAACTCAGGGGTTTCTTGGAAGAATGTCTCGGGAATGGACTCTTGTTGAATTATGGCTAGCGTATCAGCTTTTTCTAAAACCACAAAGAAATCTAATAGTAGTTTGGAGACGACTTGGAGTTAGTAAAAATGACAGAAGCATAACAGATACATATTTCATCAAAAGGAAATAAGAATCAGCCAATTTTTTGATGAGAAATTGTAGTCCGGGTTGTGTTCTCATTGTACATACTTTGATTATCGTTTTTCATGGTGCGGTAAACAAATGTAGACAGTTCCTGGTAAACGCTTTTTTTTTCTACTCACTTTTGGTGTTGATAATGCGTGTGCAGGAATTTGATTTGACTACACACTTCCTTATATACATGCAGGGAGCAGTTCGCCCTCTTACTCTTCGAATAAGAGTTTGATCTCCTCGATTCTTTGCTTTCTTCTTTCTTCCTCTTCAACTTCAACAGCTTCTCCCATCATACGCTTCCTTTCTTGAATGCGCAACATCTTGGTTTCTATACTGTTCTTCACAATAAAGCGTACAACCTTGACATTCTGAGCTTGACCGATTCGATGAATTCTGTCAATAGCCTGATCCTCAACACTTGGAGACCACCACGGGTCCATCATAAATGCGCGATTGGCGCAAGTTAAGTTGAGACCGACTCCCCCGCTTTCAACGACAAGAGGAGGACGACAATCTTTCCACTCATTTTACGCTCGGCCGTGAAGCTCAGCAAGATCTTTTCACGGTCGTTGACATTCAAACGACCATCGAATTTATAAACCTCGAAATCGTCGCCATTGTTGCTGATGACCTTCAACTCGTTTTCGATCAAGTCAAGATAACTGGAAAATTGTGAGAACACCACCACTTGCTCACCCGGAGCTTGATCCTTAAGGGCTATAAGATGACTTATGAGCGCCTCAATTTTTGAGGATGTTCTGTCTGGATCATAGTGGTAAAGCTGAAATTCATACTTTGCGCTCGGATCGTCCACTTGCTCGTTTGTGTGAAATCTAACCTCCTTCTTTTCCATCTCCTTATTTCTGCTTTTGAAGAGTCTGTATATCGAGATTGAGCCACGACAATCTGGGCAAAGCGGACTGTTACCATTGTTTGCCTGAAACTCTATGTGTTCTTTCAAGCAGTGGAAACAAAAACTATGGCCACATTCAGTGACTATCATCTCTCCAACACTTATCGGAGCTTGAGTACATATGGAGCACTCACTGTTCGGGATATCAATCCGCTTGTAGAGACCATACATCGTCTGCTTCATTTTCGTATCGCTCTCGAATCTCTCAGACAAATAGGGTTTTTCGAATTCCTCCAACTCACGAGCCCAAGTCTCATCGAGCTCATCACTTTTCGAAACGAGATCAGCATGGCAACAAATTTGCCGTAACCGCAAGATGTGTGTCAAGATCTGAGTATACTTCTTCAACAAATCACCGCTTTTGATACCATCCTTGAAAGACTGAAATGCTCTGGTTTTAAAAAAGTCATAAAAAAGTTGCTCTCTCTTACTGAAATCAAGCTCTTGCACAATGACTTCCTTCTCCGGGAGACTGATGAGAGGTTTGCCTTCTTTCAGTTTCATGTTCTTTGTACGCCTCAAAAATATCGGTTGCAAGATTGATTTGACCACGTCCAACGTTTGGTTGAACTTCTTTTGCTCAAAAGGTAAGGTCACAAACGTTTTCCAGTATGAGAAATTACTCCAAGGTTCAAGCTTCAAAAATTTGACAATGGAGAATATATCATCTAACCTGTTTACCACCGGGGTTCCAGTTAGTACCCATTTCCTTCTCAGCTCCAACTCATGAACAGACTTTGCCGTTTTGGTAGTCCTATTCCTGATTGTATGACCTTCGTCCAAAACGATTCTAAAATATTCAACAGAGAATAAACCCAACTTAGGGAGTTTGCCGTTTTCATCACGCGTTTTGTTGAAACGAGTCCACTCGTTCTGAACTGTGCCGTAAGTCGTCAAAACAACAATCGGTATATTGGTGGATCGTCCGCATAATGTCTGAGAGAAATCGGCCTGAACTGTATCACCATAGTAGATAAAGCACCTATGGTTCTTATTGTTGTTAGAACGGTCAAACTCGGCCTTCCACTGTGACAACAATGACATCGGAACAATAATCAAGGTCGTTTTGGATGCGTAACGAGGAGGCTCGAATTTAATTGCCTCTAGATCATAAGGAACGGAATGGATGAGAGACAAAGTCGAAATCGTCTTACCCAAGCCCATCTCATCAGCAAGGACTCCGCCCTTTAAGAAGCTCTTCATCATAGGTTTGTCAGTGGACATCTCGCCATTATACAAATTGGCGTAGAAAAACCCGTCCTCAGACAGGTTTTCAACCTCATTTGCAGGGTCTGTGGGCCACTTGAATTTGCTCCAAAGAGGGTTCGCCACACCTTCATCTTGACGAATTGCTTGACGCCTTTGCGTAGAAAACCCTTCGCCTTCACTTGTTGACAACGTCTCAAGAGTATCAATCTCTTTTTCTCTCGCCAACATCCATGAAAGTCCATGTTTTTGGTAAGGCCTGAGCTCCAACTTGAAATTCTCTTTTGGAGGCGTCGTTGACTCCGGCAAATCATCTAAATAATCTGAATGCTGATTGGCGGTATAAAAGTCTTTCAACTGATCAAGACTTAGTTCATCCATGGTGGCATTGGTAGAGGTGTCTTCAGGGGAGGCATCGTCATCGAGTACCACAAGTTCTTCAGCGGGCGGCAGATTTTCATCAAACGGAACAATATGTAACTTATCGAACAACTTTGCGATGGACTTTTGTTTGAGTCTTAAAGCTGCCTCAGCATCGGTTTCTTTTGAGTAGTTGAAACCGGCTCCCTTTGAAACTTTTCTTTTCTTTGACGGGGAAGCATCATCCACATCCTCACTACCAACGTACTTCTCATGATTGACAAAAGTATTATTATTGAGGAAACAGCGGACCAGAATGTAGAAAGGGTCACCTATGGAAATCCGTTTGCTCGTTTCCATCATCACTGCTGCTTCGAAGTGAGCTAAGTCGAGATCAATTAAAGGTGAGAGAATTCTGGTAACATCTTCCGGTAGACGGCCGATCTCTCTGTTGTCACTTCCTTCAGTGTATAATCGAATAACAGCTGAATCTCCAAACTTTGCCTGAACCTTTGAGGATCTTTTCATCTTGCTTGGTATAAGTCTCTTTATTACCAAGGGTTGCTTATAATTAAGACTGCGAAGGTATGGTCGCGTTGCCCAAGCTTCCAAATGAAGCGTCCCTATGTATTTCTTCCACAGGTTGGCCTTGATCTCCTCTTGATCTTGCTTCACTTGAGTTCTCATGCGTTCATAAAGCTCTTTGATTTCCTCGTTTCGTTCTTCTTTTACATCCTTTTCTTCCTTGACTTCCTCTTGCGTTGGAGTCGCGCCCAACTCCATACTGTTGAAGTACTCATTTGTTGCAAGCTGAATGTAGTTGGGTCTGTTGAAGTATTTTTGGTAAAGATGACGCAATGCCTTGTTGGAAGCATCGCCAATAACTGATTGTAGTTGACTTTTGAAAAGATCAAATCCGATTTGTGATAGTCTAGTTTCGGAGCCGTTTGAATCTTGCAGAGACGCTAGAGTCGTCTGCTCTTCGATAGGTTGACTCAGCAAGGTCACCGGAACTTGGGTCGTAGTCGTATCCTGGGTAGGCTGTGATGAACCGTTCTGCTGAGGCTCCTCAATCACCTCGACCACGTCCTCATCATCGTCTTCCTGAACAAAAAGGGACTCAGACGAGCCTTCGGGTGGCTCAACATGAACAGGTTCAGGTATGGAAGCTGTCCTTGGAGGAGGATTTGGACGGAAGAATCGGGGCTTCTCCATATTAGACATTCATTCGGATGGAGGCCTGAAGTGTCACTCGCCTTCGCGTCTCTGATATACCCCATATGCATGCTCGATGCGTTGCAACCATTGATCGCCTTCTTTATAGGAGAAGACACAGTGGGTTTAGAATTTGCTGATGAATGGAACCATTGTAATTATTTTTCTTGCACCAGTCTTTCACCTTGCTTGTGTTGACGAAAACATCTTCGGTGTCAGGGTCCTCTTCTAGGACACCCATATACTCCAATGCGAGTAGTGTATCCTCTTTCCGGAATCCCGTGTCGTTTCCAAGTTGCAGAAGAGTGACGTTATCTTTATGAGCTAAATCTGTGGTTATATGGGACGCCAACTTTTTGGACCAGAATCGTAGGTAACTGACCTTTCCGTATGGTGAGAGTGGGAACTCAGGACCCAGCCTTGCCATGTTTGGTGTCACCAGCGCGAGAGCATACAGAAATTCGATAAGGAGTTGCCCTAGATGGAGCCTCTGGTACGGTGGGAAAACACATATGCATGCGAGGTTGTTGTCAGCTTCCCAGGAATTGACTTCTCTGGAGAAAAAGCCCATTGGTTTGAAGTATTTGCGTAGCACCGATCCGGAGATGTCCTCATCCTGGGGATCGAAGCCGTAAAGAATGTAAAAGTCGAAGCAGTCGACGTTGTAGTAGACCGACTTGTCATCGAGGAAGAGCTTGCCAAAAAGCGAGAGATTTTGGCAGAAAAGCTCATGGGTGAACCCTCGAACATGCTTGATGAGGTACGGTGCTTTCGTATCTGAATAGACCAACCTTCCCAATGGCGGAAAAGGCTTTCGTAGAGGGCACAAAGTTCTGTGTAATGTCATCTTGCCCTCGTCTGCGGTGTATTTGAAGCAATGCACACACACATACAACTTGTCTAACCAAAGCTGCGAGTCCACTGCGGGTGTTTTTCTTCTTGAAGAGCCACTGACATGTATGCTGTCAATTCCTAGCTCTGAGTCGCCAGCTGAGTTGAAATACGCGCCGTTACCGTACCATGTTTCGAACTGATGCTCTCCCAAAACCACCAGTCCGATGTTTGGGGCACTTAGAACGCCGTATTCGTCGCTTCTTTTCAGTTTTGGATTATGCGAGCTTTTGCTGGAGGGCTTTGCTTCTAAGACTGGAGCCTCCACAACATCTACTGTGCTGTCGGCCGGCATCTATCGAGCGTGATGATGGTGTTGATGCGATGGATTGTATACCGCGAAGTATGTAGTGGAAGCTGAAGAGCGTGGTTGGAGAGGTAGGGATTGCGGATTATGTAAAAGGGTGATATCGCTCGGAAACAGGAAGTCAATATCTACGAGTTTGCTCAGGATTGAGCAATTTGTCGGGGTGAAATGTAGATGGGCTGCAGTTGTGGAATGGCTGCGAAAGAGGTATAAACAGTTTGGTGAGAAGTCGAAAACCTCGAGCTCTTGAATGTATTCATGAGGCGATCTCAAAAGTAAGGAAAATGCATTTTGTCCTGAAACAATAGGTTTGACGACTCGTGACGATGAACACCTGAAATCCATGTGGGCCCTTAGACTAAATACGGCTGCAATCTACACTTTCATTTCATTTCAGAAAAGCTTAAGAGCTAAAGACGCTGAAAGTACGTTTCAAAGTTTGCTAAGCGTATGCCCCAAGCAGTTTGCCCATTCTGACGCCATCAAACATGCACGATGCACGAACGCCGTCATACTGATATTTTCTGCATGTTCGAAAGAATTCTAGAAATTCGAAGATTTCCATCGAAAGCAAATTCTCGACTAAATCTTACATCATTTGTCAGCCGTGCGTGCTTTTTGCGCCATGCTGGAAGCACAAATCACTCAGGGCATAAGTCACTCACTCATGCGCCGCACAATTCACTCACCAGCTATATAAGAAGGTCCCATCCACCTGAAAATCTTCTGTATCAAAAACAAATACAAAAAAATACAATGACTCCAACCTCCAACTGCAAATGTTCCAGCTGCACCTGTGCTCAGTGCACCTGCTCCCAGGAGTCCTCTTGCAAATGCTAGATTAAATAGTTATAAAATTTATTGAGTGAAAGGTATTGTAGGATATACTTCTCTAACGCTTTTGCAATGTAGCTGCGCAAATTCAACGGTCACATTGTCAAATAAAGAATTAAGATAGATACCACTCATCTGTCAAGACCACAGACTCACCTTATCTGAGCGAATCAAGTTTAGCAGCCACTCTCAAATGGGTCCACAGATGGAAAATGGCAATGGGAGATCGACAGATGAACAAATCAGATTATATTGGAAAAACTCATAGACCAGCATTTCTAGAGCAAATTTGACGATTCCAAAATTATTTCTGTTGATGAAGCTTATAGGTCTTTCGTCTGACGTATACAGGTGTGTCGAGCTACCACTCTTGATATCGCGCAACGCGTTTCTGAAATATCCACAAGTACGATGCCACCAAAGGGTTGGAGAAAAAATGCCGAGGGAAAGTTCCCACAAGGCCACAAAGACAGCGAGTTTGTCTCCATAGACGAGATACTATTCCCAAAGTCTGTGATTCAAAAGCTTGCAAAAAACATTGTTCAGTCGGACGATGGAAACATGATCATCTCCAAGGACTCTTTAACAGCATTGCAAAGATCTGCCACGGTGTTTGTTTCCCACTTGATGTTCCATGCTAGACACATTGCTAAAAATGCAGACCGTAAAACGGTGAACTCGGCTGATATTTTGCAAGCATTGGAAAAGGCCGAGCTTATGGGCTTCGTTCCAGAGGTACAGCTGAAATTGGCTGCTTTTGAGCACAACGCAGAGATCAAGAAGAAGCAGAAAGCGGAGGCCAAGGCTGCTGGTATCGAAAATGACGAAGGTCCTTCGGCTAAGAAGTTAAAGGATAATTCGGAGAACAGTATAAGTGCTGACAAGAGAGAGCAAGAAGACGATGAGGAGCCCGAGAACGAAGATGACGACGATGACACCGAGGTAAACACCCAGGTCGAGGACGATGAGGATGAGAACCCTGAAGACGACGAAGGAGGCGGGGACCAGCGCTCTCAAAATCCTATTGCTTTGCTTAGCAAGGATGACCAGGAACTCGAAGGAGAGAAGAGCGACACAGACCATGCAGACACTACTGAAGCTCCCGAAGATGATGACGAGTAATGTTGACTATAAAAATCAACCTATTTAATGCCTGATGCAGTGGCCGAATAACGGAAACCCGCATTCGAAACCGATGAAAAAGTATAGCAAGAGCACAAATAATGACACACATACGATAACAAACTTGGCGTTGCTAAACCACATTTTTCGCTTGATGGCTTGTGCTTTCCGTTGGAAGACCAGAGAGGAGGAAGTGAGACGATCTGTTTGGTCCACAAGGGAATTGATTTTGTCTCCTCGATTCATGAGCTTGTTTATATTGTCGAGCATCAACAGACGCACCTCCCCCACCTCCTCATTTGCCAATAAAAGTTGGTTTGGTGTAATTACGTCTCCACTCAGTGGGCCTGACGCATCGCTATCATCGTCACCACGATTGATAGCACCATAGTTATACATGCGCTGATTCGATTCGTATTGCATCTCCTCAAATTTGATGATTTGCGTCATGTATAATTTGAATTCGCCTGGTTTACTTTTGCTTTGTTGCTCCAGGGCCGACTCGGCATTCTCCGCTATGGAGCTCATTTCGCTTCGAAACTCGAAGTACTTGTCCATAATCTTCTTGAGAATGGATAGAATAAGGGTTTTGTTCACATCATGATGCGCCAAAGTAACCACAGTGACAAGATCATTGCTACCATCAGGGTTGTGGAGAGTCTTTTTCATGAAGTATATCAAGAGGAAAGTCTTGGTGACTGCCCCACTGGTGTACACTGGAAACAGGCCTATAAGGGTCTTTGAGGAATTTATAAGCCCTAGCTCCAGCAGGACTAGCTCTGAGCAGTTCAAGTTACTGACGGAGTGCGCAAGCTTGACATTTTCAGTGGAGTATAGCGTTGACGAATTGAGCGTTAGCGTAGTGAAAATAACTGGTCATTAGTATTTGTTAGATCTAATTCGAAACGGCGTACATACGTTGTTTGTGGATATCCTTGTATGTCATGAGTAGTGGACTTTAAATTTTGTGGAGCTAATGGATTTGTTGATGTGGACTGCAGGAAATAGCAGCAGCGGATGCGCTTAAACGTCCGGAGTTTGATCGTAAGCAGCCCCACAGTGGGGAATAATAATCTAAAAATTTTAGCTTTTAACAGAACCGCCGGCTTCGTCAGTGAAGTGTAGTTTCCGTTACGTAAAGTGGAATTACACAACGATTCGACAAATGATTTCTCGAGGGAAGTAATGTAGAATGGGTTTGAGGCATATAAAGATTGGGTAGAGTTCGATTAAGCACTTCTCCAAATGAAGAACAAATTCGTTTTGTCTACAGCTTAACCGGGCATAGGAACTGATCAATTTCCTGTTTACCAGAATGCGCTTTAGAAAGTGCAAAGGAGATCATGAGTAGGATATGCCTCTCCCTCATTTGCTTCCTAAACCAGATGTAAGCTATGAATGCAATTGAGTGGAAATTTCATACATCAAGCAGAGAAACTGTTGCTCTTTATCTGTAAAATGTTCCTTGGCAGAGACCATCAATTTGCAACCATTTCGCGAGGGTCTCAAATATAGCACGTTGTCTTCAAATACCACACCATCGTCATCCGTAAAGAAATAGATTCACCTCAAAACTTCAATCTGATGTCACCATATGGGTGACCGATTTTTTACCAATTTGGAGCTGTTCCTTTCAAAAACGAATTATGAAGCCATTCACGTGATCTCATCGGTACTAAAAAATGGCGATGGGCTTATCCACAAGATCAGTCGAATCTGAACCAGCATGGGTAAATACAGAAAAAGGTTCAATGAAAAGGCTCGTGCTGGTATGCTTGCAAAGCAAGCTGCCTTAAAGAAGGCAAGACAGAAGCAATTCACTCGTCATTTAGACGATGGCACCGAGGATGCTGATGAGCCTAAAGACCTATTGCATACTGAGAGTAACCCCAATGCCGATATACTCAAGCCGATGACCGATGAAGAAAAGGCCGAAAGGAAAAGAAAACTTGCGGAGGCCTTATACACGGAAAACGAAAAAGAGGCAAAGTTGTCTCGAGCAAAGAGAAAGAGACTAGATAAGTACATCGAGCATCAGTTGAAGAGGGAAGAAAAGAAAGCCCTTCTCGAGAAGTTATCCGCAACCAAGATCGACACATCCCATTTAGCCCCATCGAAGCTTCTAGGTAAGGGAAAGCAGACCCGTAAAGAGGAGATGATTGAAGCCATAGACCTTGAGAGACAGGGAAGAGAAGACGATCACACCAAGGAAGTTTTGTATGAGACGCATGAGGCCAAGGATTGGTCTGACAAGCTGGATGAAGAAAACGATGTTAAGGAAGAGGAAGACGAGTTCCCATCAACGGAGACCAAATCCTCCTTCGTGGACTTCCGGCCCCAAAAGTTTGGTGGTTCAAGAATCGGATTTGGCTTCTCCAACATCACTAGAATTGAAAGCGACAAGCCAGCCAAGAAAAAGTATACATGGAGACTCAAGGTTGAGCAAGAAGAAAAAAAGAGAGCCAAAATTGAAGACGACAACGATTTCGTCAGCAGCGAGGACGAGGAAGCCGAGCTGGACGTCAACAGCAATGAAAATGTTGACGAACAGGATGTGGAATCTGATGATTCGGAGGCCCAAGACTCTGAGGATGATGATGTCCAGATCAAGGATGAATCTGGTGACGAAATCCAGGGCGAAGAGGAAGACGAGGGTACTTCCGAAAGCTCTGAACAAGGTAGCGAGGAGGAAGACGAGGAAGAGTCCAGTGAAGAAGATGAAAGTGAGCTTCCAAGATTGTTACAGAACAGACCAAAGCATTCCAAGGTGGCTGCTTCTTTCAAGGAATGGGCCGAGGAGCAGGTCAGAAAGCTTGAGGGCAGAACTGAGATGGTTCTTCCAGAACTCAAGAAAGAGACGCTTGACGAATACAGCAAGGGACTTCATGATGACAAGCCATTCTCAGACGACGAAAATGCTATACCTATTGACATGAACCTTAAACGAGAGGCCTTCTATGTCAACGTGAGCCGCCCACTTGAAATCCAGCAACTGCGTATGCAACTTCCAGTGTTTGGAGAAGAACATAGAATTATGGAAGCCGTTCACCATCATGATTGCATAGTTTTGTGTGGTGAGACAGGTTCGGGTAAAACCACGCAGGTTCCTCAATTCCTTTACGAAGCCGGTTTTGGAAATGTCGAATCAGACCTCTACCCTGGTATGATTGGTGTGACGCAACCGCGAAGAGTTGCAGCTGTATCCATGGCAAATCGTGTTGGATCGGAGTTGGGAGAAACTCACGGAAAGAGAGTGGGCTATCAAATCAGATTTGACACAACTATCAAAAATGAGGGTCAACCTGACGGCACAGCTCTCAAATTCATGACTGATGGTGTTCTTTTAAGAGAAATGATGCAAGACTTCCTCCTCACAAAGTACTCTGCATTGGTTATTGATGAAGCTCACGAGAGAAACATCAACACGGATATATTGATCGGCATGTTGAGTCGTATCGTCAAACTCCGAAGATCACGTAATAAGCCCCTTAAGCTTATTATCATGTCTGCTACGTTGAGAGTTTCGGATTTCTCTGAGAACAAGCAGCTTTTCTCCAGCCCGCCTCCAATTATTCAGGTTGATGCTCGTCAGTACCCAGTCTCAGTTCATTTCAACAAGAAAACTCAATTTGATTACTTGGATGAAGCGTTCAGAAAGACCTGCAAGATTCACAAGAGACTTCCACCGGGTGGCATATTGATATTCTTGACCGGTCAAAACGAAATTAACGGTCTTGTTAAGAAGTTGAGGAATGAGTTTCCCTTCAAGAAGGGTAAGAAACATTACCCCGACGATAACGGGGTCAGCTACAAGGCTAGTAACAATGTGGTACAGGAGGCGGAAGATGTTGATCTCGACATTGCTTTGAGAGGCAAGAAAGAATTCGATGGGTCAGAATCGGACTCTGCAGAGGACAGTGACGAGGAAGAAGGTTTTGAGGAGAAACCCGAACCGGGTCAGTCTGAGACTGACCCTCTTTATGTTCTTCCTCTTTACTCTACGCTTCCTACCGCACAGCAGATGAAAGTTTTCCAAGACCCACCAGAGGGAAGTCGAATGTGTATTGTTGCAACCAACGTTGCCGAGACTTCGCTTACTATTCCAGGAATTCGTTACGTTGTTGATTGTGGACGTGCCAAAGAGAGGAAGTATGACGAGGAAAACGGTGTTCAATCATTCGAAGTCGACTGGGTTTCCAAGGCATCAGCTGACCAGAGAGCTGGTAGAGCAGGAAGAACAGGACCTGGCCACTGTTACAGATTATTCTCTTCTGCTATCTATGAGGAATACTTCCCACAGTTCAGCAAGCCTGAAATTCTTAGAATGCCAGTGGAGAGTACAGTTCTCACGATGAAGAGTATGGGAATAGATCAGATAGTCAACTTTCCGTTCCCAACTCCACCAGATAGACTCGCATTGAAACAGGCCGAAAAGCTTCTTGTGATATTAGGAGCATTGGACAAGCAGAACAAGACTATCACTGAACTCGGCAAGACCATGTCTTTCTTCCCACTTAGTCCACGATTTGCAAAAATCCTCATCATCAGCAACCAATTGGAGTGCTTACCATATGTTATTGCAATTGTCTCCGCTTTATCTGTTGGCGATCCTTTCCTCGAAGAGCATGAGTTGGGATTAGGGAAGGAGGAAAAGCAAGACTCTGACGATGAAATTGAGACACAAGGAGATATCGAAAAGAAAAGAAAATTGAGGGGCAAGTTCCACAAGTCAAGAGCAGTTTTCTCAAAGCTTGATTCGTTTTCAGATGCCTTGAAGTTATTGAGTGCCGTCTGTGCTTTTGATCATGTACCACCGGCAAAGAAGTCGAACTTCCTCAGAGACCAATTCCTCAAACCCAAGGTTATGGAGGAGATCACAAAGCTCAGAAAACAGGTCACCACAATTGTGGCCAACAACACTTCGGCTGATACCATAGCAGAGAAACTAGACAATCATACACAGAAGCTAGGCGTCCCATCCAAGGAGCAGATTGCTGCAATCAAGCAATTCATAGCATCTGGATTTGTTGATCAAGTGGCCATTAGAAGTGATGCCATTGATGCTGAAATCAAGCTATCTAAGAAAGCCGCTGTTACTGCTGTTCCATATACTACCATGGGACACAAATTCGGACCAGAGGTTGACCCATACGTTTACATCCACCCCGGGTCCGTCATTGCATCGTCTGGAAAGACACCTCCACAGTACGTGATCTACCAACTGCTCAATATGAGCAGCAATACCACTGAAGGCAAGGTCACGAAGTTGAAATTGAAGGCATTGGTTGACATTTCAGGCAAGCAATTGGCCAATGTTGCAAAGGCTTCCTCGCTTATCACCTATTCGAAACCACTTGGCCATCCATACGGTCCCAAGAACATAACTGCCAGCAAGCGTGAATGTTATGTGGTTCCTAGGTATGGTGCTGCCATTGGTGATGGTGGTATTGGGTGGGATTTGCCCGTTATCAAAGTCACTCAAACTAAGAAGCATGGTCTGTGGATGACCGACTAAACATTCACGTGTACATTATAAGCGCAATATAATCTGCATCCAGGTGATCGTAATCAGTAGTTGGAAGATCGCTTCTACAAGTATAGGATGGAACCCTCGCAACGGATGAGCATGCTGAAGAGTGACTTAGAAACATCATTCTATATAACACCGATCTAAAGTTCGTTTTACCATTTTAGTTTTGATTTTCGATTCGAAAAATAATCTTTCGAAGTTTCCTCCTCAATTTGTTTGGCGTGTCTATTGTGGGTTCTGCTCAAGTTGCAACCATTGTGTGCATCACCTTTTTGTTTACCTTTTTCGAGCATCAACAACTTACACTACTAGAGATGGCTGGACGGCTGAGGGATGAGCGGCCCAAAAAAGCCAATGATGATTTCGAAGATGACTCTCTATTAATCCCAGAAAACGTCATAGACCAAGCATCACAGAGACTATTTCTTGTCTCCATCTTTGTGCTCATCCAATGCTGGAAAATCTACGACATACTATTAATCAAGGCGGACTCATTCTCCGCCCATATGGCATTGGATAGTGGAAGTACAGCACATGAACTGTTCACATCCCTTAATAACTTCACCTTTGTGTTGAAGTATGCAATAATAGATGGGTTCTTCCTATGGATGCTACCGGTGCTCAATGTGCCATTGCTAAGGTTTCTGCCCTTGGTGACACTACTACTGACCATTGTGGCCACTGCATTCACTTTTATGTTGGCTAGTGACTCAGCAATCCCGATTCTTTCGGGTGCATTTGTACCATTGTGGAATCTTGTCTTCCGCAACAAAGAGCTCACTATAGTCGGCGATTCGGTGAATCCACAGGCAGTCAGCGACATGAATGCACATTTCAAGGGTAGTTATACCATTCGCTACCTTCCTGAGCTGTCGGTGCATCTTAATCCTTTCCATTACGATCAGCTATGCTTGGAGGCCTCATCCAATGCCTATTCCACATTCCCTGCTTCCATTGATCTCCCAATTGAATTCAACACTACAACTGATATTGGATTCATGCAGATCCAGCATACATCTCCCTCGAAAGAGGTTTCGTACCTTGAGTACTCCGCTAGAGATGTCAATAAACTACTACGCAGAGATTACTCCCACCTCTCCAGCTATCCAGGCTACATATCCAAGGATGAGCGAGTATTCTATTTGGAAATTAACATCAAGAAACCTGGAACCTACAAAATCTCTAGAGTTACGGACAAGGAAGGGGCAGTTATTCGGTCATACAAATCTGAGTTCTCAGTTGCACATTGTCCAACATCTAAGTTCGTTTATCCTGGCCTTGATCGGACATACTCTCAGACCAACTGTATTGGTGAAAACCCGGGTGACATTGAATGGCCATTGCCGCTAGTCGAGTCCTACGGAGTGCTTCCTTTGCAAATTCAAATGGCTGCTGAAATTAACGGTAGGCACATAAGCACATTCAATGCCACTGTCACGGAGAGTACTGCCGACGAAGAGAAGACCATTACCAATGCCGTTAAGTTGACAAGAAATGCCCTTGAACAAGAAGTTCTCAAGCATCCCCAATCGTTCATTAAAGGTGCTCCGGGCTCTGTCAAATTTCATCTCTTGGGAGTAACTGACTACTTGGGTAACAGCAGAAAGTACAATCCATCATCATCAGATAAAGATGTGTTGTATTCTCTCAACCTTAACAGATCCCCCAAAGTTCACTTGATTGATCGCTTTCCAACCAAGCCCTTATTGGTGAATTCCACAAAGCGCATCTACTTCCAAGCTGAAAATGATGTATCGTATCCATTGACGCTCTTGGTACAGCATCAATCACATGGAGATGGAGGTACTATTGTAAACAAGACACACACCTTCACCGATGCAGCGGACTTCCGTAAGGGTATCGAGATACTGGACTCGGGATCCTACAGACTCATCGATGGGTTCGATAAGGCTTGTCCGTGTGACGTGGTTGCAGAACCACTCATTGTGACGACACCAGATCCTCCTAAAGTACAGATTGCAGGAAACCCGATTACAGATAAATGTGTTGGTGACATTGGTCTTGAATTTGATGTCAAATTCAGCGGTATGGCACCTTTCAAGTTGATGTATCAGGTTTTCAAGAATGAAACTGGTAGACTTAAGCCTGTCCTTAATGACAGAGGATTGGCGACGCATACCAAAACTACTTCCGATGAAAACCTCAAGTTCCAGTATCAGCCGAAGAGAGAAGGAAGTTATGTCGTGGTTTTCAAAGAATTGAAAGATGCGTACTATCAACTGCCGGCAATACCTATTGATGAAAAATCCAACACCTTCACCATATACTCCAGGCAACGCTCGGCACTCTCTTTATTGGCTGATTCCGTCTCCAAGGAAATACATCTCTGTAAGGGAGAAAACGCCCAAATCCCATTATCGTTCAGTGGCAACCCTCCATTCTCATTTGGTTACCAAATTACTGACAAGGCTACTAAAAAGGTAGTGACTCAAGACAAGATCTCCAGTTTGGGCGCCGAGACTTTCGAGATTGTGACGCCAAACTTTGAGAAAGGCGGTGAATTTGAGGTGGATCTCCTCGACGTTAGGGATTCGCTAGACTGCCCAGTTGAAATCCTTGGCCAAGGCACGGTGACAATTAAAGCTAGACAATATGTCCCAGAGGTTCAAATCACCCGTGATGAATCCTTCAAAATTGTGGAGGGTGACTCTGTCCAGATCCCGTTCAGTTACAGGCATATATCGAGTTCTCCTGCTAAGAAGCTTGAGTTAGCTGTTCAAAACCTATATGACGCCGACGATATCAAAAATATCTCCATCACTGCTAGAGACACTATAACGGTAAAGGAGGAGGGAATCTACAGGATAAACTCTTTCAAGGACGAGAAATGCCCCGGTGTTGTTAAAAATGCAAAGTCCTCGGTGAAAGTCACATACTATCCGAAGCCTAACCTCACATTTACCACCGACGAAGACAATCTTCTCAAGCAGCATTTTGATGGTGAGCATTCACTTCATTTGAAACTGGTTTGTCAGAATGGTAACTTGGCTATCAAACCACAAATCGAGGGTTCTGGGCCCTTCGAAGCCAAACACAGAATAGAGTATCCTGACGGTAAAGTTCTCAGTGGCATCGTTCCAATGCTGAAGGAGATTATTAATTTACCCACTGACCAAAAAGGCAATTATGAGCACGCCTTCACCGAAGTGTATGACCGTCTTTACACGGAACGTGTATTATCCAGACTTGATTATCACCAAACTCCATCGACTATTCGCTACTCCGTGCTCCCTAATCCATCTCTCAAGATTGGAAAAGAGCTGCTGCATATCCAGATCTGCGAATCGAAGGTGAAGAATGTGGATCAGATTTCTATTACTCTTCCAGTTGAATTCAAAGGTACGGCGCCTTTTTCTGTCAGTGGCTCCATCAGACACACAAACACTGACAAATTCGAGAAGTTTGAGATAAACGACATTGTTGACAACTACGTTGACCTTGGAAAAGTCAAATTTAGCGGTGCCGAATTGGCGGATATTCTCACAATTGGGGATCATCTTGTCATCTTTGACAGTGTCTCTGATGGTAATACCTGCAAGAATGTCAACATTCGTTCCCAAAATTCAGTTGCAATTTCAGTGACGAAGGTACCCGAGATCAGAAAGGAGAGTCTTAGACCGTATTACTGTGTTGGTGACCACGTCTTGTATAAATTGCACGGAATCTCGCCGTTCGTGGTTTATTATAGTTTCAATGATCAGAGCAGAAAAGCCGAGGTGGGCCATGACTTCCAAAGGTTGGCGGCGAAGCCTGGAGAGCTTTCTATTGTTGCTTTACAAGACGCTTCCGTCAGCCGTTGTTTGGTGAACTACACGAAAATTCCCGAAAAATACGAAGAGCTCAAGTTGCAAATCTATGCTCTCCCATCCGTCGAAATCAGTCACGGTGGGATTATCATTGAAAAGTTACATGAAGGAGACCAAGCTGAAATTTCCTTCAAGTTCACCGGAGTTCCTCCGTTTGAGGTAACTTATGTGAGAACTGTTGGTGATGACGTGGGGGCGCACAAGAGAAGAAGCGGTCCCAAAAAGCCTGGTAAGCGCAGAAAGGTGGTGGATAGCAAGACTATCAAGGACATCTGGGATTATGAGCATACCGAGATCGTCAGTCTAGAAGGTACCTATGACGCCATCCGTGTCAAGGATGCTTACTGCCAGGCCGTTAGAGATGTCGAAGAACTTCTCTAGTGTATAATAGAATGTATGCTCTAGCGTTTCGTCAATTTGTCGATGACCTCTGCTGCTTTTTTCTGGTCCACCATGCTCCGAGCATCCTGAAGAAGAGTTGAGGTCTTCTTGTCCTTCACTGGTGATTTTTCCGCCTGCTCGACGTACAAATTCTGAATTTGTTGGGCAAGCTTTAGGTCTTTTCGAGTAACCTGGTTTCCAGCATCGTGGGTCGTGATACTGAGATTCACCTTATTGTAGGTAGTCGTCACTGTGGGATGATGCTTTTGGCTGTGAGCTAATTGAGCAACGCCATTGAGGAATTGCCACGTTTTGGCGAAATTTCTGAACTTATAGTTACTCTCTAGAGAAGATTCCACCCCCACAGAGCCAGACTTCGATATGAGTTCCCATGACCCAGCAGGTTCCAGTTTGTTAATAGAGCTCAAATGCTCTGAGATATGAAGGTTATCCAAAGCCTTCTGTAACGTTCTTGCTGTCGATCTCATGATGACCAGTAAGCGTAAGTAGTAGGTGTATCGGCCCGATTGTGGAGATGCAGGTCTCTCATAGTTTAGCACCGAGACTCACATTCAACTCCAACAATAAACTACAGGCTTCACCGAGTGATTATAGATGGTCTCGGCGGTTTTCATCCTCCATTGGCCAGACTCAGATGTGGAGTACCTGCGGTGTGAACTCCTATTACATAGAATCTACTACAATGATATACACGATCCACATGCTGTGGTCCAACGGTTCTACCATCTTTATACCAAAATGCAACCTGAAGAAAGGACGCCGTTCATATTCGACTTCGATATGACCTACATGCTCTTGTGGGGTGAAAATGACCTTATTATCATGGCCGCAGCTCGGGCGAACGTCAATGCCTTACTGACCGTTACGTTTTTGCATGAGCTACATGAGATCCTAGTCCGTTATTTCGAGGTTCTGAAGCGACAAGATCTGGAGGGTGAAAACGGAACTCAAATCGAGGATGATGGCTTAACCCGAGAGAAGATAGTGGACAATCATTCGCTCGTGTACGAGCTACTAGATGAGTGCATGGACTTCGGCATCGTGCAACTCACAGACTACAATATCTTGAAGGAGTACATCAAGACTCAAATCAACCGGCCACAAAGTGGCAAGTATGAACACGGCTCAGAACTGGAATCGAGCTCAGATGACGAATTCAGGGTCAGGCGACGCTCCGCCAAAACCGAACATAAGACCAAGAAGAACAAAAAAGAGCACAAGTCGACGCACAATCTCGCTGACAAGACCGATATTCTCAATAACACACAAGCTAATTTCATCAACAGCTCAATTGTGCGTACTCAAGCGCTGGCTATCAGTTGGCGACCCAAGGGCATATTCTACGCGAAGAACGAGATCTACATCGATATTATTGAGAGATGCAACTTCCTATTTGATCTTGAGACCAACTCCGTGAAAAACAATGACATATCAGGTGTTTGCGAAGTCAAATCTTATCTATCGGGAATGCCAGTGTGTCGACTTGGTCTCAATGAGCGTTACATATCTCAGGTCGAGTACGATACTGAACTCGAAGGCGGTGAAGAGGAGGAAGAGGAGCAACGACATGAGACACCTGAACAAGAAGAAAATCTCATACAGCCCTCGGAAAGCGTCGATAACCTAGACACTGACTCCATCACCTCAGCAAGGTCAGACCCCCAACCCGAGAAGCGACTCAAGGTACCCATCTCCAACGTGTCATTCCACCAGTGCGTTGAGCTCTCTTCAGTCTACAAAAACAATCTCATTCATTTCACTCCTCCGGACGACAAATTCACTCTTTTTTCATACAATGTCGCCCAGCTGAGGAGAAAAGAAAAAAAGCCGCTCGTGATGATCGAGCCCATCTTCAAAATCATCAAATCAGAGGGGAAACTTCAAATATTATGCTCTCTCAAGACAGCATACAAGAAAAGATTGCATTGCAAGCCCCTTATCGTCCGAATCCCTATCTCACCAATACTATTCAATTTGGACGGCAAGGGTGATGGTAATCTTCGATACAAAGCTGAACTAGGTGAGGCGCTGTTCGAAGTCGACTCTTCTACATTAACATGGACGCTTCCTGACGTCCCTGGGTCTAAACTGGTTGTGCGGCTCATGGCCGAATTCGCCATCGAAAATGCCCAGGACCTCAAGGAAAGTGATTTCACAACTGCGTTCTACCTGCTTCCAAAAGCCCCTGATGCAGAGGTCCCAGAGGAAACTACAGCCGATGAACTCAACAAGTACTACGGCGTTGGAGGGAAATCATCATCCGTTTTCGATGACTTACAGAAGAATGCCAAAAATTTCAACAAATATCGGGATATTCACATTGAGTTTTCTTTGCCCCTCTTGACGTATTCTGGCCTTCGAATCAAGTATCTCAGTGTTCAGGAAGACACTCTTAAGTATACGTGCTTCCCATGGGTCCGGTATCTCACGGAGGTGCGTTCAAGCTTATCAAAAAATCGCGGCACCCAGCATAGCGAATACCGCTTTAGACTATCGCCTAAATGTTTTGAAATAATTTCCTAAAAAATGGAAGTATATATATTAACAGTCAAGCAAGAGAAAGTTTATTCTCTCCATGACTGTACCATTTTTTCATAAACAGAATGGCTGACCCCTCCGACTAGCTATGTGACCTTATCTCGGATCTCATTTCCGCATAGGGATGCGGCCTATCTCTCGGGTTATCTCTCGGCTGTCACTCTGTTATCGCACATTCTATTAAAAAAGAGATGTGAAATCCGGGGTTGCTTATTTGTGCGAATCTGGTGCAATCTTCCCACTCTCGAATATGGTAGCCAAAGTGGGTACAGTTGGTACTGGTTCAGATCCGAAGCCCATAGTGGAGATCTCCAAACCAGTCAAGAAGGGACAGACAAAGTCCCGTAATGGCTGCATCACCTGTAAGCAGCGAAGAACAAAATGTGATGAGACTAAACCCACCTGCTTGAAATGTGCTAAAAAGAATATCGAATGCGGAGGCTACCCATCCAGTTACAGATGGGTCAACCCAGAGTTCCCACCTGCTGTACCATCCAAAAGACGACAGTCACTGTCTGTCTTGCCAAAAATGACACCTCGGTCAAATGAAAATCAGTTTAAAGCAGCTCTAGAAAGTGCTGCCGTGTCTGTGGTTGGCAAGTCTCTCAAAGACCTAGAAGCTGAAAAGTCTCACAGACAACCCGCCGTGAAGAAATTGCGTCGCAGCTGGAGTCTATCAGACGTCGATAATGACGAGGATGCTAATCAAGAGAAACCTCATAATAGCCTTGTCGAGTTCAGATCTCGGATCAAGAGCGATTGTCCACCTAGCAGGACCATCCCCGAGGAACCTAGCTCAGAGCTGCAGAGCTTACCAATGGTACCAAGCTCATCCGATCAGATGTCTTCTGTTCTCTCAGAATCGGTGGTAGGAGACGATTCTTCTCCGTCTGTTGGTGAAACACCATTCAACAAAGAGTCCATGGCTGACCTCAATTTAACACCATCACTTTCAGCCCTTATGCATCAGATATTTGACCCATCCGTGGAAAAGCCCAGTCTAGGTGAACCTTATTCCGATCCATCCTTTAGCCCGTTGGAGCTCAATGTTCCTCAAATGGACGAACTATCCTCAATGAAGTCAGAATCAATCTCTAAACACCCAGATAGCTTCCGTCAGAACACTGGTTTAACACTTTCCGATCAGAGTTTGACTCATACCTCAGAGCAGGAACACATCCTTGGCTTGTACGCGAATCATACCTCAGGAATCCTCTCCATCAAATGTGGGCAGAATGAGAATCCTTGGAACATCTTGTATGTACCATTAGCCAGAGAATACGGTTTTGTATTCAATTCCATCGCATCAATGACACTATTCCATCTCGCTGGAAATGCAAAAGTTCCGTCGGAACGTGGTAACTTACGATCTAAAGGGTGCTTTTATATGAAAAAGTGTATCCTCGAACTTGCAGCGGGACTCAAAAGTGTTGAGGAGGATGCAGATCAATCATCCTTGCCCCCTGATGTTGCGTTGATGACATGCCTCAACTTGGCGATTAGTGAATCTTGGGATACTCACACTTCAAGCGGAATAGCTCATCTCAAAGGTGCTAGAAGCTTGATTCACAAAGTCTTGTCAGTCATAAAAGACTACATGGGTAGGCGTGAGGCGCTGCCTGCCGCTAGCCCAGCTGATGCTCAAATACGAAAAAAGCTCAAGCTTGTGGATGATCACGATTGGCAACACATCGAAGAGGGTTGTGTGTCATTGCGTGAGAACAACAATCAGCAACCTGACTTCATCGTCCCGAAAAATCTTCAGTTGATTTTCAACAAGTGGATTTACCTTCATGTTCTTTCACAGATGACAGTACAATCTGGGCAAGATGAGAGAGGCATTGATCTCGTTGCAACTATCACCAGCATAATCCATTCCACTCATAAAAAGAAGATAAAGCAAGAACAAGACCTGATGTTGGAAAAGAAGGATTCGCCCACGCATTCTGAGACTGAGCTGAATTCTAGTGGTAATTTTGGGGGCTTCTTCGAGGACTTCAACTGCTCATTTCTGAACAGCGATCTTATTGATCCTTTACTAGGGTGTGCACAGTCTCTCTTTCTGATCATGGGCAAGGTTGCAAGCTTGATTTCACAGGTGAGAAAAGAGAAAGAGAGACTGCCAAAGACAGTTCGTAACTCCCTCAACAACATCGGCAAAGCCTCTGAACTAAGACAAAAGCTTCTAGCCTGGAAGCCAGAGGTTGCCACCAGTGGATTTGCAGGACATACCGGAGTTGGTGGTGAATCGTGGGATGTCCATTCGTGTATCACCACGGCAGAAGCATACAGAACAGCCACCCTTTTGTATTTACACCAGGCTGTTCCTGAGATCCCTCTGCTGCCATCACATCAACTCGCAGAGAAGATCTTTGTGCTTCTTGCTACCGTTCCTACCTCCTCTAATCTCCACATTATCCATATATTCCCCTTGCTTGTGAGCTCTTGTGAGGCTATGCCCGGCGAAGAACGCCGTTGGTGCGAGAGCCGTTGGGCTTTTCTTTCTGAGCGTCTCTGGATCGGAAATGTTGATCGCGCTTTCGAAGTTGTCAAGGAAGTTTGGAGAAGAAAAGATGAGAATACAAGAAAGAAGAGAAGGGAATTGGAGGAGTCCACCATCACCGTGCAGCGAGTATGTGACGATCTGCACCGGCTTGCCTCCGAGATCAACGGACTAATGGCTGCACTGCTTGATTCAGACGCAGAACAGAGCATCTGTAGTCGAACACATTGGAACCTGGTGATGAAGGAATGGGAGTGGGAAGTGTTCCTTGGTTAAATATGACCTATCTACCGGCGCAACGGAAATGGCTGCGAAAACCCCAATCTGTAGTACGCAATCACCTGCACAATATCAGCTACCTATATAGCCTTCTGACTCTTTCTTGCCACATCCATCTGCCATGTTTCGTGCAATCTATAGAAGAATGAGTACCCGTGGCAGTCTGCTAATTTCTGATCCTTTGAGGCCAGATCGAATTACAAAGTCTCAGGCAGACAGCCTGTTTCCTAAACCCAGGTTTGTCTCTTTTGATCTCTGGGGTACACTTTACACGCCTAGACGTCCGATTCCTGAACTGTACCATGAAATCTCAAGCAAGGAGTTTAAGATTGAAAAGTCCTTGGAGAGCATCAAAGAGGAATTCCCAGCTTTGCATAACCAAATGCTCGAGGAATTCCCCAATTATGGCAAATACAGCGATGAGATCGAAAACAGCAACGACTGGTGGCTGGAGCTTATCGTGAAGCTATACGGACTTCCGCACTATTCCAAAGATGAAAAGTCGGCTCAATTGTGCAACAGGCTTTTGGATTACTTTTCTTCCGCTGAAGCCTACAAGTTGTATGACGATGTCAAGCCAGTGCTTGAGAAACTTAACAAGAACAATATCAAGTTGATTGCCGCGAGCAACTCTGACGATCGGTGTTTTCCAATCATGAAGGCGCTTGGAATTGACAAGTACTTTGCCAACCCACACGTCTACATCTCGTACGATTTGGGCACCGAAAAGCCAGAAAGAGGCTTTTTCCGTTCCATTGCCTCGGAGCTCTACAGCATAGACAAGGCCAAAGAGCCAAAGCTCGGCATGCAAGAGTTTCTAGAGAGCCTGTGGCATGTTGGCGACAGCTATGAGAAGGACTTTGTCGGAGCAGTGAAAGCTGGCTGGAACGGTGTGCTTGTGGACAGGGGAAGAACCAGTGTTTTCTTCAGAAATGGCCCTCAGCAGAAGCAGGTTAGCAACGATTGCTTTGAGGCCCAGGCTACAGAGACTTTGGATAGCGATGAATTGGTGATGGTGGCTAACAACAGAGTTGCTGTGAGCTCTTTGTACGAGATCCCTAGGCTTTTTCAGCTAGACTGATCCGATGCAAGATGGCGTGGTTCTTGATGATCTTCGATATTAAAAGCCAACTCATTTTTAAAAATGTTACGCTCACTGACGGGACTCTGCCTTGGCTATGATGTACCCATGCTGATAATGGCTGCGAACCCTTAAGCCAGTTCCCATGGCAATCGCCCCATAGCATTCCCGCCAGCCCGTACCACGTAAATCCACTCCATGGTCACATAAATAAATCAGCAAGAACCATCCCAAGAATAAATGGCACCTTTTTTTCGTAGGCTTGTCGCCTTGGCATCACCGTGGGCTGTGTGGAGGGACCTGCATCGCTGCCCCAGCATAGCCAAAGTACGTCGCGCTATCAACTATTTTTACCTGATCCACCCATCTTTCCCAGTAGCAGAAACATGAAGTGGTGGCTTTTCCCCTTCCTGCTTTTCCTGGCCGTTTGGGCCATGGAGCTCGATCCAGACAGTCTCGACAGTGTCTGTGAAGCAGCCGAGCATATTGTGCAAGGTCAAATTAACTACTACGAAGGTCTCTCGTACGGTGGAACCGTTGGTGGGTTCGTTGCGCCTTACTACTGGTGGCATGCCGGAGAAGTGTTTGGCGGTTGGGTTGACTACTGGCACTTTTGTAAGCCTGACAACGAGACTTTTGAGAAGATCTTGTCTGATGCCATGTTGCACCAGGCGGGGTCCAAATGGGACTACATGCCCAGCAACCAGAGTATGACTGAGGGTAACGATGACCAGGGTATCTGGGGATTGGCGCTTTTGCAAGCTGCCGAGAGAAACTTCACCGACCACGAGGACCACTCCTGGTTGTCGTTGGCGCAGGCCATTTACAACCAGATGCTGTCTCGTTGGGACGACACTACATGTAACGGTGGTTTGAGATGGCAGATTTTCACCTGGAACTCCGGTTACAACTACAAGAACTCCATCAGTAACGGTTGTTTCTTCCATATTGCCGCTCGTTTGTACCGTTATACTGACGATGACAGATACCTTAAGGAGGCCGAGAAGATCTGGGACTGGATGTGGGGCGTTGGTTTCATGAAGTACAAGGAAGAGAATGATGACTTTATCATCTACGATGGTGCCGATGACCAGACTAACTGCACTGACTTGACTGTCCACAGATGGTCCTATATCTACGGTGTGTTCCTTGGAGGTTGTGCTTACCTCTACAACGCCACTGGCGATGACATCTGGAAGGAAAGAGTAGAGGAAATTTTGGTGGCCACTGATGACTACTTTTACAACAACTCCATCTTGATTGAGAAGACATGTGCCCCATGGGGCAGGTGTAACACTGACCAGCGTTTCTTCCTCGCTCTTCTCACAAGAAACATGGGTTTGACCGCCACTTTGATCCCATCAATGCACGACCACATCAGAGACAAGATGTTGAAGAAGAGTGCTGTCGCCGCGGCGCAGTCGTGCTCTGGTGGTGACGATGGCGTTACTTGTGGCCAGAACTGGAACTACAACGGCTGGGACGGTAAGTTTGGTTTGGGTGAACAAACCAACGCTTTGGAAACAATCATGACAATGATCACTACCGACCACGTGCCATACACTGCGGACACAGGTGGACTGTCAAAATCAGTCCCGGACTCCGGCAATCATTCCACCACATCGGTGAACAATAACGTTTTCGATGTGGCCACCAAAGATAGAGCTGGCGCGGCAGTGTTGACGGCAGTGGTGTTGGGCTTGACGTTGTCGGGAGGTGTTTGGATGTTATTTTAAATCCCAGCAAGCATTTATGTATTCATGAACAAAAAAATTCGGTAGTACCTCGGTGGGTGTAGGAGCAATCTGCTAATGTCTCACACGCATCGCGCCATATCGCAACCACATAGAATTCGACCTCCACATCAAAAATGGTGTTATCGCAAGTTATCAACCAGCTAGCGAACCCAAATACTTATAGCAATAGAAGACGACGTCTCTATATTCCTCCGTCCACGAACTATCCCTCTTCTCATATGGTGGAGGTGATGACCAGAGATCGTTCCTATCACTAGATGAGCTGAGTTCGTTTTTCATGGGTCAGGATGACGGGAGTGACGTTGCATCTATCAGCTCATCCCGATCCCTTCCGTCCACCCTCAGCTCATTGCCTACATCTGAGGATCAGGAGTCCTTCCATTCCTGGCTTCAAGAAGAGCACGCTAGAAGATACTCAGCTATAAACGACAATGAGTCCCAGGAACGCCGTTCTTATGGCTCCCGTCTGTCTAGACCATCAACGAAAACAGGAGGCGCTCTAGTTGGCATCGAAGATTTTGGAAGACTAAGAACCACGAATTCCCGAGAGGGCCGGATGCTTCTCAGGTACTCGCTTCCACTTATAGTGACATTCGTTCTTGAGCACTTTTTCTCCATTGTTTGCTTACTTGTGGTGGGCCACTTGGGTAAGAATGAGCTTGCAGCGGTATCTCTAGGTTCCATGACGTCCACCATCTCGTTGGCCATTTTTGAGGGCATTGCAACTGCCTTAGATACGTTGTGTCCTCAGGCTTATGGCGCAGGGAACCTAGAGATGGTCTCTGTTCATGTTCAACGGTGCATGATGTTCTCCATGCTTGTCTTTATTCCTGTTGCATTGTTCTGGTGGAATTGTCATTACCTTTTGCGTTATGTGATCCAGGAGCAGCAGGTGCTCGAGCTCACCACATTATTCCTCCGTATCTTCATTCTTGGAGGACCTCCTTACATCTTTTTCGAATGTTTTAAACGTTTTTTGCAAGCTCAAGGCATCTTTGAGGCTGGTACTGGAGTCTTGTTTGTCAGTGCACCTCTCAATATTGCCCTTTCGTGGTTCCTTGTCTGGAACAAGACTTACGGCATTGGCTACGCCGGAGCGCCTATTGCAACTGTCATCAACTTTTGGGTGATGGATATTTTGCTCGTCATGTACACAATCTTCATCGACGGAAAGCAATGCTGGAATGGGTTCTGCTCAATAGCAGACCTCTTTCGTAAATGGGGTCAGCTATCGCATTTGGCTATTCCGGGTATAGTCATGCTTGAGTCTGAATACGTGGCATACGAAATCATGACCCTTTTCGCCCTGTATTTCGGCACTGTTGAATTGGCGGCACAGAGTGCCGTGGGGTCGATAGCCTCTCTCACTTATATGGTTCCATTTGCAGTGAGCATTGCTGCGTCAACTCGTATTGCTAACTTTATTGGTGGCCAGAACATTTTCTCTGCCAAAAAGGCAACAAACACAAGTCTCGTATTTGGATTAGTCGTCGCCTGCCTAAATGGCCTCGTACTCTGGAGTGCAAAGGGATTTATCGCAGGCCTTTTCACGAAGGACGAAGAGGTTGTGGAGCTTATCAAGCGGCTTTTGAACCCGCTTGTGTCGGTGTTGCAAATCTTTGACGGTGTAGCTTCAGTGGCAAGTGGTGTGCTCCGGGCTCAAGGTCAACAAAAAATTGGTGGTGTTATCAACTTTCTTTCATACTACGCGTTTGGCTTGCCATTGGCGCTTGTGCTTTGCAAGACCCTTGATCTCAAGCTTTTCGGCTTGTGGATAGGTATAGGCAGCGGCATGGTGCTTATCAGTCTAAGCGAAACTATATTCATCCTCTTATGTGACTGGGAGGCTATCATGATGAAAGCTGGTCTTATGATAGAAACAGACTCTGATTCAGATATGTGAAGATGAGATCTATCGCTTTCCATTGCTTGTCTCGAATCTTGAGTCAACTTGTCGCAAGTCCATATACAACAAGCGAACGCGTCAACCTTTTTGAGATTCACAGATAGACCGTGTGCTTAATTTTCCATCCGCCAATAGCGGCCCCGCCTGAAAAAATTACATTTTCCACTGCTACGGTTCGTGCCAATATTTAAGCGATGTGACTTCACCTTCCCCATTCGGTGCGCAGATCCTGTGCACCCGATTGATTCAATCGGTATGTACCGTCTCAGCATTATCTTATCTTTGACACTTATCTGAGCGCTGACTAGGCGGTCTTACATCAAAAGATGACTACTATAATAAGGCGGCCCTTGTAGCCGTCGCTCTAATAGTCTTTCATTTTATTCAAAAACATATTTGAAGCAAAGATGTCGATTTCCACCGGCGATACCAAAAAGAATAATGTCTCTACGAAAATAAATCGTCTGTCATCCAGGACACTGTCTGTTGGAGTGGGTGATGTTCACGAAGTCATCTCTCCACTTCAAGGAAAAGGCTTCAACTATGAAGAAGCTCGTGCCAATTTGGCTTTTGTAGAAGAGACTGGTTACAAGCCAGAGTTGAGAAGAAACTTTTCTACGCTAGCTTTGTTGGGATGTGGGTTTGGCCTCACGAATTCTTGGTGTGGTATCTCGGGATCTTTAGTGACTGGCATCTCTTCAGGCGGTCCCATGATGATTGTCTACGGTATTTTGATCATCACTTGTGTTTCCATGTGTATCGCTGTGACGCTATCGGAGCTTGCTAGTGCTATGCCAAATGCTGGTGGTCAATATTACTGGACGATGAAATTGGCACCCAGAAAATATGCACCTATGGCTTCATATATGTGTGGTGCTTTTGCCTGGGCTGGTTCCGTGTTCACAAGTGCCTCAGTCACCATCACGCTAGCATCTGCTATTGTGGGTACCTATTATCTTGGTGCCGGCAAAACAGAAGCACCCCCAAGATGGACCGTTTTTATCACTTACGAGATCTTGAACTTCTTGATGATTTTCTTCAACTTGTACGAAAAGCCTCTCCCGATGATCTCCCAGATGGCTTTGTACGTCTCATTGGTTTCTTTCGTGGTCATCACGATCGTTGTCCTCGCAAAAAGTTCTGGACATTATCAAAATGCAAAGTTTGTCTTTGTTGAGTTCAATAATGGTACAGGCTGGTCCTCTTCCGGTATTGCGTTCATCGTTGGTTTGATCAACCCTAACTGGTCCTTCAGTTGTCTTGATGCAGCTACACATTTGGCCGAAGAAACTCTCTCTCCCGAAACTGATATCCCAAAGGCCATCATTGGCACTGTTATCATCGGCTTTCTCACATCATTCATCTATGTGATCTCGATGTTCTTCTCCATCAGGAATCTTAAGGAGATTCTTGACTCCAACACCGGTGTGCCAATTTTGGATATATTTTACCAGGCGTTGGGAAGTCGTGGTGGTGCCATCGTCTTGGTGTGCTTTTTCCTACTTACTCTTGTTGGCTGCAACATTGCATCTCACACTTGGCAAGCTAGATTGGGCTGGTCCTTTGCAAGAGACAATGGATTGCCAGGTTCCCGTTACTGGTCAAAGGTGTCAAGGACCGGTGTTCCAGTGAACGTTCATCTCATGTCTTGCGGCTGGTGTGCCATCATTGGTTGCATTTACATGGCATCCACTACCGCTTACAATGCAGTTGTCATTGGCTGTATCTCCTTCCTTTTGATTTCCTACTCGATTCCTGTCGTTTTTATGTTGCATAAGGGCAGAAAGAATATCAAGCATGGACCTTTCTGGCTCGGCAAATTCGGACTTGTCTGCAACGTTGTCGTTGTTTCATGGACTGTGTTTGCGGTGGTCTTCTACAGTCTTCCTCCTCAAATGCCTGTAACAGCAGGAAACATGAACTATGTTTGTGCTGTTATTGTTGCTTACACGTTGTATACTATCATTTACTGGTTTGCTCGTGGCAAGAAGAAGTTCACAACAATCGAAGAGAGAGAAGAAATGATCCCACAGTTGACTCAGATTGTCTCTCAGGAATTGATTGACGCGGAGTACGCAAAAATGGAGATGTAAATAAAATAATTTTGGGCATTTAATTATCTAGGTACAGACAAGTCCATGTAGGCTGTGTTCTATTTCTTTGAATCTCTTCTGGTCTTGATGGCATCAGCCAACGTCTGCAACAAGAATTCCGTGTCGTCGAAACCAATGCAGGCATCGGTGATGGAGCAACCGTATTTCAAAGCGTCCTTTCCACCTTGCTCAGCGGGTGGCACGTCTTGTCTGCCCTCAACAATGTTGGACTCAACCATCAAACCACAAATCTGGTCCTCACCCTCGGAGATCTGTCTAGCCACCTCAGCGGCCACAAGGGGCTGGTTTTTGTGGTTCTTGTTGGAGTTTCCGTGTGAACAGTCAACCATGATTCTGGCACTAGGACTGTCTGGGTTCACGACCTTGGCCTTGGCCAAAGCGTCTTTCGTGTCCTGGACGGACTTGGCATCGTAATTCGTGCCATGTTTACCACCTCTCAAAATAACGAAGCAATCTTTGTTACCTTCGGTGCCCACGATCAGAACGATACCTGGTTTCGTAACACTTAGGAAGTGGTGTGGATGCGACGCAGCTCTCAAGGCGTCAATGGCAACACCGAGAGTACCGTCAGTACCATTCTTGAACCCGACAGGGAATGACAAACCGGAAGCCAATTCTCTGTGCAACTGCGACTCGGTGGTTCTGGCACCGATGGCACCGACACTGAACAAATCAGACAAGAATTGTGGGGAGATGGTGTCCAACATCTCACCGGCAATGGGCAACTTCTCAGTCAACTCGACGAACATGTTTCTGGCGATCCTGAGACCCTTGTTGATCTGGAAAGAACCGTCGATATCGGGGTCGTTAATCAAACCCTTCCAGCCCACGGTAGTTCTGGGCTTCTCAAGGTAGGCTCTCATGACAATATGAAGCTCTCCCTTGTGCTTTTCAGCGAGCTTCTGCAATCTGTCAGCGTAGTCGAGAGCTGCTTTTGGGTCATGGATCGAGCAAGGACCAATGACAACGATGAGCCTGTCATCTTTACCATTCAATATGTTACAAGCGTCCTCTCTACCTTTCAAGATGATGTCTTTACACTTGTCGGAAAGTGGGAACTCATGTTGTAACAAGTCTGGGGGAGATAAAGGGTCGTAACCACGAACTGAAGGTTAGTCATTTTGTTGAAGTGATAATTTTCACTCATCGTGGGGTAATCGTGAGTCAGAATTAAACATACTTCTCCAATCCTCCATACGGGATCTGTCGCCGACGTGTTCGTTTTGGATGAACATGATGCTGATGGGTGTTAATCCGTAAAAGTGTTTCTTGCCGGATAAAAAAAAAGTTTTTGGAAACCCAGGACCCTGCTTGAACTCTTAAGTACTCGCACCCAGCATGAAAGAACCTTGACTCATATGCACGCCTCGGACTTTTTCTGCATGAAACACCTCCATATCTTGAGCTGCAAATGCCCAAAGAAGACAAAAAGAGACAATTTTCATCAAGAATTACTACTCTAATATTCAACCCCACGCTGTTTATTTAAATCCTAAGCTCTTCTTACCAATTGACCATCGCTGATTCGCCCGTATCCTGCCCTCGAGGCTCGCTCACTGTGTGCACTACTTAATGAGTAACAGGTGATACTAGTATGAATCATACTGCGCGCCTCATGCCTTAGCGAAGAAATACACATAACCACAATTAACCACGTCAGCCAAATTAGTGCTCTGACATTTTACCACCTTCTCGTCGTTGAACAAAATCCAATCTCCGTCATGCTTGACAAATACGACGTAGTGCCCTGTGTGAGGCGAATTACCCTTGTGGCATATGACAGCCTTCAATTCATAGGATGCCGCATGAGGCTCGTCTTCGTTCTTGAGTAATGCATCCTTCAATTCCTCTGCCTCTTTTTGCACATTAACAACGGGCTTGGTGTCCTCAATAATTCCGTTATCGTCCGGATTGTTGAAGAGCCATTCCACTGCAACATTTACGTCATTTCCATTCACGACAAGGGCCTTCTTGGCAAGCTGGGCAGTGAATCCCATGGCCACAAGATTATCAATAGCGTCCAGATCAGGTTCGCCGGACCCCGCAGTATTTGTCTGTGCTGTCTCTGCGGGATTAAATGGGGCATCTATATCAGCGTCCTCCATGTGAGCGAAGATCCAGTTCATGGCGTCCTCGGCATTCTTGTTGCCGGTGTTGTAGAGACCCTTGATGCATCTCACATCAGGGAATCCCATGCTCAAAAGCTGAGCAAAAGCTTCTTCGTTCGGGGTGAACTCGGCTCCACCCTCCAGTGCGCTACTCTTCTCAACTCTTTTCTCATCACCCTGAAACTTTGGTGCAGCGAATGCCGAAAGATCAATCTGCTCAGGCAACGTGATCGGAACGTCAACTTTAACAGGAACCCAGTTTTCAAGTTGAATTCTCTGGGCATTGACAATGAGATTATCTGGATAGGTAGCAAAGCCTGTCTGCTTGATTGCTGTAGTATTCTTTCCACAATTGTCACACTGGTAGCCATCAATTTGCTCAGAGCCGAGAGAGTTGGAGAAACAATCACTCATGTTCACCTCTTTGTACTGCTTCTCACCATTTTCATCCTCTCCCACTACTTCGGCATTCAAGGCGACTGAGATGTTATCGACAAGCTCTTCCGATGAAGTGCCTGTCTTACACTCAGTGCACAACAATTTGCTCCCCAACAAGAACTTGAATTGTTGATTTAAACTTAACCCAAATTCTTTGTCGAGCTTGTCGAGGAGGTAGAGTAGAAATTCGTTCGCATCTTGTTGCTTGTTAGTCTTGAACTCGTAGTGGTCTGCACCGATATGGCTTTTGAAAGCTGAGGGCTTCAAGCCAAGCTGATAGTCATCCCCTTTAATTCATTGGGTCTGGAGTATCTTCCAGAATGAAGACCATCGTATAGCTTAATCATCTGGGACCTCAAGTCCGTGGCGGATCTTTCACCAGCTTGTCAAAGTCCATGTCCGCAAAGAAAGAACGGTAGCTAGGAAAGCTAAAAAGTGCCTGGAGAGTGGAATTGAGGTAACAGGAGTTACCCAAGTTTTGTAAACCGGTCAAGCCTGGGCCGTACACTGGAGTGAGGAGTTCACCATCTTGGCCATCCAAATTGAATTGCCAGTTCATGTTTCTGTCGAGGTTCAACTCCACTAAGTTCTTTTCTGTTTTCACAGCGGTACCCAAGTCGATGCCAAAGTTGAGAAGCTTCTCACCTAGCTGTGGTACTTTCACTTCATCGTTACATTTGTAGCAGTAACAATCGCAATTATCCTCATCTTCAGCCGAGAGCGAACCGAGCTTAACAGCGACAGAGTGCCCAGTATCCTCATAATGCTTCAAGGCATGCGAGTTGCCCTTGAGGTCAGATCCAAACTGTTCACGCCCGCAACCCACAGCACCACATGTAAAGCAGAGCCACAAGTTCTCTTCGAGGTCGCACATGGAGCACTTCTTGAGGTCGATTGTATTCTTCTCGGCGACTATGTTGCTGGAGTGCTCACATGGGTATACCTCGTTTTCCCAAGCCTTGATCTCGTCGTTCTTCTCCGCTGAGTTGGCAGTGAGAATCAGGTTGGCGAGCAGCCTAACCGGCTCAGGCGACTCCTCGATGCTTGCAGACTGATCTAATGGTGCGACGTACACATTTGTGAATATGTCGTAGATGTCTGTCTCCTTCTGTTCCTGGACCTCGAGCTTGGGCTGCTTAGTCTTAGAGCCGTTCTCGTCCTCCTCTTCTTTTTTGGCCCGCTCGCTCTCGGGTTTCAACTTTTTCACAATATTCACATACAACGGATGACGCTGCTCGGCGTAGTGTTCCAGCGTATAGTTCTTCTGGGGAGCTCTTGCAAACGCCTGGAAGCAAGACATGCACACATCTAGGCCCAACTCATTATTCTCTGGGGTGTCGAAAGAATACATGCAATCATCTTTGTAAACCTTAGTACCCGGAGGAACAGATTTAGTAAACGATGACCCTGTTGTGGCGATGTAGTCTGTGACAGACATTATTATCAGCCAAATCTAGGAAGAATAGGTGAAGGCAATCGAATGGACTGCAGGAACTGCGATCTGGGGTCCTCTGATGCCGTGATAGAGGGCATGCAATCTTCAGAAATTATGAAGATTTGACTTAAATTTATCCAAGTCTCGAAGTGTAATTAGTGTTTAAAAGGAATGCAATGCCAATTTCTTTCATTTTACGATTTTGAGGTGACAGCGATTTACACTGCCACGCTGATTTGCAGCCTCTATAGATTCGCGTGATAGAATGGCAAAAAGAGAGCGATCTTACAAACCTATTTTTGTAACAGGCGTTGTCATACTCATCCTCCTACTATCAATTGTAACCCCAGTTTGCGTCAAAACCATGAGAAACAACAGCGAATCCTCAAATCAATCCATTGTATCCGGAATTTACTTCTCGAACTGGTCAGTGTACGGTGCTAAACACTTTCCTAGTGCCTTGGACTCCAAGAACCTCAGCCATGTCTTCTATGCTTTCATGAAGATTGACGGCTCTTCTGGTGAGGTCACCTACTCAGATGAATGGGCCGACGTCCAGATGCCAATTGACAACAAGGAAGGTGCCTTGGGCCTGTTTGCAGCCATCAAAAAGGACAATCGTGAGTTGAAGTTGTTAATGTCAATTGGCGGGTGGGGCACCTCTGCCCAGTTCACTCAAATCGCAAGCGACGAAGCGAAGCTCCTGAAGTTCGTCGAATCTTCTGTTGCACTTGTTGAAAAGCACAATCTCGATGGTGTTGATATTGATTGGGAGTACCCCACGAACGCCCAGGAAGGCCGTCAGTTGGTTAACTTGCTCCAGCGCTTGAGAAAGAAGTTGGACAAATTGCATGGCGGATTACTTTTGACTATTGCATCTCCGGCTAGTGAGGATCACAGCCAGTACATCGACTTCCCTGCTACAGACAAGCTTGTTAACTATTGGAATGTTATGGCCTATGATTTTGCAGGTTCTGGCTGGTCCCAGAAGACAGGCTACCATTCCAACTTGTACGGCGACAATGGTGACACTAGTTTGAACGTGGATCAAATTGTGAGTTACTACGCTAGCCGTGTGGACTCCAAAAAGATCATCTTGGGCATGCCTTTGTATGGCCGTACGTTTAGTAAACCAGCTGAGCCCAAGGTGGGTGTCGAGTTCTCCAAGGAAGCTAGCGGTGATGGCACTTTGAACTATGGTGAAATCAATGCCAATGACGAAAATTTTGACAAAGATAGAGTCGCTGCTTATGCGTACAGCAAGAGCGAGAATTTGCTTGTCACTTACGACAATCAGCAAAGTGCATCAGCAAAGGCAGACTACGTCAAAGATAGGAAGTTGGGTGGCGGGTTCTGGTGGGACTCAAAGGGTGAGTCCAAGGATAAAGATAGAAAATTGGTTGGTAAGTTTGTCGACGCTCTTGGCGGTTCCGGAGTGTTGGACAAGTCTAAAAACTGGGTATAGAAAAAGGTAGAGAATGAAAGTTTGATTAGCGTTTTATCATAACTGTTTTTACTTCTAGATACAACCTCACAGATACGACGAATCTATGCAAAGGAACGGGGTTGCTCACAAAATGGAGTCCATTCTCGCAAACACACTCAACACGGCAGCCACCAACTCTAACTGCAACTCTGTGGCCGAGCTCTGCTCAATCTCCTTGTTCACCTCCGAGGGCAAGTTGATGCTGAGCCCCAAGGGACTAGGTCCACCTTTAAGATTGAATGGGTAATCGCTGTAGTCGTTCAACAACTCATCAGCGCGAGAGAAGGCGTGGTCTCTCTTGTCATAGTTCAATGTCATCAATACGTTTTCCAAAACGTTGGCAGCGTAGGCGCCACACACCAAGGCAATTGTTCTCAAGTAACGCAACGAGGTGTCAGCAGGAAAGTGGTCGTTGCTTAAAGAGTCCAAGTCCGCGGTCTTTTGCGTCAAAATGTTCAAGACTCTGTTTCTGATGTGCTCCTTGGACATTTTATCGGCAACCGGGTGGGTGGCCATGTCGAACAAGAAGAAGTTCTTGCGTTCCGTTCTCAACACACCCTTGTCGACCAAGCCCTTGGCTAGTCTTTCTCTCACCTGCTTCAATTGGTATGAAATCTTCATCAAGTTCCAGGTCTCGCCCGATAACAAGTCGATCCAGTTTGACACAGACAAGTGGCCCTCATCATTCTTCATTATCTTGAGAGCCTCGTCTAACAACACCTCACCGGTGGGGTCCGTGTCGATAACCTCGACTAGACGATCACTGAGCTCAAATCTTCTTCTGGCGGGGTCGTTGACCAAAGTGATCTTCCCTCTGAACGTCAATTCCAATAAGATGCAACCCCGGAGCGCATATGATATGTTGTCATTCCAGAACGACAAGTAGCCCTCCTTGTCCTTGAGCCCCATCAACAAAACTTCCTCCATGAGCGTCAAGAAAGGCACCTTCAAGGCACGGCGGTCAACAATGTCTCTGTCGTCCACGCCGATCTTGTGGTCTGGAGTTCTGTCTCTGGACACATCGTCCTCGTCAAACAGGTCCGACCTTCTTGCCGCTGTGGGCGTGACCAGCTTGGCTCCACGGCGCTTCTGCAAAACAGACGACATTCTCTATGTGTTGGTTGTGATTGGCAGCGTTTTATGTACTGGTGATAATCCTCGAACCGCCAGTCCGCTTTTTCCCTGTCGGTTTTTTTTCTTTATTTTGTGCGCTCCATACACCTGACAATATGGACAGCCCGGCAGGGCCTGGGAACTATTAAAGTGCGTGAGGCTGGGACATGGCAAGAAACAAAAATAATTACTACTTCGTCAAGCTTTGGTTTGATTTGCCTAGCCAGTCATTTGTCGTAGTTCGTAGTCGTCAACGTGGATGTCTCCCAGGAAAGGCAACGCAACACGAAGTCTACAGCCTACAATCGAAAAACTTTCCTTCTCGTCTGTTTTGAGAGCCCCCTACAAATTTTTCAGAAAGACTCTCAGAAGTGTTCTTGTGGCTCTTGGGGGTGCAAATGCTTGGCTGCTTTGGCTGCGAACTCGGACACGGCTGGCCAGCGTTGTGCGAATACAGCCCTACTGGGCTCATTGTGTTAGATAGGGAGCAGATTGGCAGAGGCAATTTCGGAAAAAGGTAAGATTTTGTGAAACGCTAGAAGCTCTTTTCGGAGTTGGGGTGGTTTGGGCTCGTTTTGATGGTCAGTGAAGGAAATGTTGCTGTCTGGTACCGATGCAATACATTCTGGATTAGCCGAGCAGCTTATAGTGAAAGACAGTCACGAGCACGGGTGGACCAACTTTGCGTCATTGAACAGTTTTGCAATCACTTGGTCCAATTGAATCAAATCGACAAGACCTTGAAGCTGCTAAACTTTCAATTACATCAAGTTACCACCTCATGGGTCCCACAGTATGGGGATACAGGTCTGGGGCACACATGGTATCACAAAGTTGTGAAAGTTGTTTCAGAAGCAAAGCTTTGCAAAACCCACGTAAAGGCAGATTTTGAGACAAGAGCTCAGCGAGCAGGAAAGTCCACCTCTAAAATCCATCTTCAATCCTACTGCCCTCATAACCTGTCTCGCTAAAACACCTGCCATGGCTGCAAACCACCAAACACCCCAAAACCATACTGATTTCTTAACCCACATTCTACTTCAACACCGAAACACCTTAAAATCGTAGTCGTTCCAGCATATCCCAAACATCCATGTTTCCCCTTTTTCATTACCCCAGATGTACTGTTTATCTCCTGGGAGGCCTGGGCGCGCTGCACATCAACCGATATCAAATCCATCAACCTAGCCAAACACCAAGAGGCAATGGCGTCTCGGCATATTTCCTACGATACACATCTGCTATCTTTCACCAATGACAGTGATAATCAGCTGGTAAACGACGACTTTGTCTCGTTTCCCACGCTACCGGATCCAGAGCAGACCGCAAACCGTTCCTTCTCGAAGATTATCACCAAAACACTCCGGAAGGTCACCAACAACGCTTCCAATTTGGTCCATACATATGCCTCGCCGCGCCACCATACCGAGGCTCCTGATTTACCGACGGACCCGTCGGACTCCAGCATATATCACGAGCATTCGGCTCCGGAGAGCCCGACTAAGAGAACTCCGGCTGAGCCCAGACTGAAGCTTCAGAGCTCCGCAGCTTCGTTTCGTTCTGACCAAGATGATCATGCTCTGAAGGCTTCAAGGGCATTGCTGGACCTGGGACTTCTGGACTCGCCATCTTCCACACAGAATACGCCACGAAATGATCCTTCTAGCCGAAAAACCACTAATGGTTCGTGGAAAACTCACTCAGCATCGAAGTCAAACCTTCTTACTCCTGCATCACCCGCCTCTGTCAAGAGAGCTGAAAGCATTCATGGCTACTCTCCTGGTCGAGACCAGGCTCCTTCCTTGTTCAGAATGAACTCAGACCTTCATCCTCGAGTCATGTCAGACAACAAGTCACTCCGCATCTCCACAATGGGCATTACGAAGCAAAACTTACCAGTCGTGACTCAAAGCGACGTGAATGTGCAAAATACAGAGGGTGAGCCTGTTACCTCGAGGCCGGTGCTGATCCGTCTGGGCATCAAACCCCAAGTAACTCCTAAGAATGGGTCGCCATCTTTCAAAAGTGATACCAAAGCGCTACAAAACAGAATATCCTCCATTTTCAACAATCTCCCTAATGACATTGAGCTCTCGGATGATTCCGCATCTGACATCGAGACCATCAATAACGACAGCATATCGGCCTCGCCAATGGCCCAAAGATCATCGCCTAGGCAGCCTGTTTTAATCAGCAACTCCGAACCATCACCTGCAAAACAGGACCGTCAAGCCTTACAGGCCAAAACTCCACAATCACCGCCCTCATCTGCATCTACCCAAATCAATAAGACCCCATCAATGACTCGAAAAATATCCGCCAATTTATCATCGTCCATATTGGATAGTGCTAAGAGCATCATCAACAATAACATCACCGGGAAAGCCTCTTCTTCAAGTTCTATCATCGGTTCCATGAGTGATATGAGAAAAAGGAGGAAGAAGAAACGGATGGCCCGTAAACTCTCTGATAACCCATTGAAGAATGGTGGAATTCCAAAGAAATACTGGATGAACGACTCATTCGTGTCTGACTGTTTGAACTGCTTCAAGGCCTTCTCCGCATTCAGAAGGAAACATCATTGCCGCTTCTGTGGCCAGATTTTCTGCTCGAGCTGTACATTATTTATATCCTACAGTCAGTACAAGCATGAAAAGAAGAAAAACTCACTGTCAAAGGAGCCTAAAGTTTTTAATGACAAGCTTCGAGTCTGCAAACCATGTTACAGCGATGTGATTGTTTATCTAAGCGACGACTCACTGAGCTCTTCTGAAGAAGATGCGATTGACAATTTCTTCAATGAAGACTCTGATAACCAATTTGCAAGCCTCAAGGTACCAGAGCATCCCCTTGTGAGATATAGATCCATGTCGGTTACCTCCAGGCGGGACAGCGTTACGACAGAGTCTTTGGCACTGACAGGTCAGCTAGGACCTAAAGCGGAGAATCTTTCACTGAGTGGAACACCTACTGTGAACTCCACAAAGGAACCAAGCCAAAGAAGTTCTGATGTGACTTCATACAAGCATGCTCCCCAGATGGCAATCCCCACTACTAGGACCGGCGAGGCCATAGAGATACCTGTCTCTCGAAGCCCATTCACTAATGGTGCTTTGCCTGTCAAAAAGAATTTGGCCGCGTTGGCCATGCGAAATGCAGCTAATAACTCGGGATCAGTCAACTCTCTTGAGCCCGAAGAGGAAGCATTGACAGCTTGGTTTTCCCCGTATCATGACGTTCAGGATACAGCTACAGAAGTTGTTCGTCCGAACAGTCTTGAAAATCTTGGCAAGCTATACAATTCATTTTTGCATCGAAACCCTTATAGGCTTACCCGATCTACATCGGAGAGAGTCGCCAGGCCTAGTGCACTACTCAAGCGAAGAGCTGGATTTGAATCAGAGAGAGATGATGACAATGAAAGCGAAAACGAGGATGAAAAGGTGATGTCGCTCTACACTTCACTCAACAACGAGAAGCATGCCAAAGATCCACGGCTCTCACTGTCTCCCAGGGCAAAGTCGATAAGTCAGTCCATGTCACTGGTTCCTACTCTTCACGAATTTCCCGCCATGGGCGTAAGTGACAAATATATCCCGACGCATATTAGCTTTGGAAACCAGACCATCGATGAGCCAGGTCCGAATTTTGGCATTAACGCTAACAAGAACCGCTCGGATCATCGATCATCTGAAAGAGCAAAAGCTTCGCTTAATCGTATGCGACAAAAGAGAATGAACAAGTTGAGGAACAAGCATGATTTCACAAGAAGCACACTCAAGCTCCCTCAACTTGAGACAACTGCAGAAAGTGGGCGTCCTTCCCTATCCAGTCCTCACACAACTCCGACTTCTCCCACCCCTCTTGGCCCTAGCTTGGTATCCGAACCGAGGAACTCAAGTCTGAGTGGAATTCAGTTTGCAAGGCCTGAAGGTTTCTTCGATTTCACAACGGGGTCACCACTCGCTCACAAAGGCTTGGAAGAGAAAACAACGACGAGCGAGCCATTTCAGCTTGAAGGTATGGATTGTGGTGTGGATGATATGCACGTCAATGATAATGAGCTCATTGGGTATTTCGGTGGCCTTTTACCGTCGATCGATAGGGTTTACGATAGTTTCATGCAGAAACTTCTACAACAATCGTTGGCTGATTGTGACATTGCCGATCCAAATGATCAAAAACGATGGGCAAAGCACTCTTTCAAGCCCTCAAGATGGTGTATCAACTCAAAATCAGTGACACACTCGATATAAAGCAATACGTCAAGTTTAAAAAGATCTCTGGAGGAACCATTGAAGATACACACGTTGTTGATGGTTTGTTTATCACCAAAAATATTGATTCAAAACGTATGCAACTGAGAATCGAAAATCCGAGGATTGCGTTGCTCATGTTCCCATTGGAATACCTCAAGCATAAGGAACAGTTCATTAGTTTGAGAATCGTTAATTCCCAACAAACAGTCTATATTGGAAATCTCGTTTCACGCTTGATTTCACTTGAACCAGATATTATTGTCGTGGGTGATAGCGTCTGCGGATTGGCATTGAAGCTTTTAGAGGAAGCTAATGTTACAGTGCTCTCCAACGTGAAGCCCCAAGTAATCGAGCGTGTCTCCAGATATACGAGAGGCGATATCTTTTCTACCGTCAACGACCTATTTTTCAAAAAAGGCTCTCTTGGTTCATGTGGTTTATTCGAAGTCAAGAAGTTTGTACAAGAGGATACTGTCAAAACATACTCATTCTTTACTGGCTGCGATACGCAATACGGATTCACCATCTGTTTACGTGGTAGCGACAGCGAATCCTTAAGCGGTGCTAAGTACACAACAGAGACACTTACACCTGCCCTATGGAATGCCAAATTTGAAAAGAGCTTTTTCCTTACACTTGCATTGGCGTTTCTGGAAATCAAAACGCGGCCCGGAAAAGAGACGTTGACTCTCTTGGAGCAGAGTCTAACTGATGCGAGAAATCTTGGGAACGAGTCCGTCAATGCTTGCATCAGTTCCATCGAACACTATGGAATTACCAATTACATCCGACTTTTTACAGAAAGATACTTGAGTGTATCACCATCTGTCAACTTTGGTCTTCCATGCGTCTTACTCAATGTGGTTAATGCCTTCGTGAGGTACATTGACTTCGCTTGTTTCAACCACAAGATCCAACTGACCGATGATCCAGAGTCTTTTGAGGTAGACTGGCTCACAAAGGCTAGAATTGATATTGATCCAAAGCGGTTCAATGGCTTTGAAGATATCATTGAAGTTCTTCGCTATGTCTGCAAAGATCGCACCATGAGTCTCTTGGAGGACTTCAATAGTAGGATGAGAAACTGGTCAAACAGTATCAAGTACAATTCATACCAGCTATACCCCATCTTCCACAGGAGTATCCATGTCCTTTATTCAACTGTGTCTATCAAACATGCTACACCGTGCACAGGACCGGTTGTTGTTGTTATTGATTACCACACAGATAACGATAAATGTCTTGGTGTATTCCTTGACCAAGCCCTTCTGGAATCTGCAAAAGTTTGCGAAGATTGCAACGAGCTTCTTCTCGATCATTACAAGACGTATGTCCATGACAACGCTAAGGTGGATTTAATTATTGAAAGGTTGGATAACTCCTCTCATGCTCAGAATTTCAAGGGCAAGGATGAGCGTATCATGTGGAGTCATTGCCCTGATTGTAACTATTCGACACCAATTTCTTACATGAACGATGAAGTCTACTATCTTTCACTCGGAAAGTTTTTCGAGCTCTCATTCTGGTCTGATGGGGTCACCCATGAAGGTCCATGCTCGCATGATTACTTCAAAAAACATGTAAAATATTTTGGTTACAATGACATTGTGATTCGGATGGAGTATTCGAAGATCGAGACCTATGAAGTTGTGGTTCCCAGAAAACGATTAGAATCGACTCTCGAAACGGACATCAGACTCAAGATAGAATCGTTCGAGCGCATTAGCAAGAAGATGAACGACTTTTTCCAGAGTATCTCTGACAGACTCAACAGGGTCAAAATTGACACCGTCGAGAAAGCTGAAGCTGGATACCAGAGAGTTGAGGAGCTCAAGAGCCAGGTTGCCGAGCAGCTTGAAATGCTTTCGTCGCGTTTGCTTCATTTGTACGAGGAGACTTTACCAACAAACTATGTTCTGATGAATGCAATTCAGCGTGATTTGCAGGACATAGTTGTTGCATGGGATTCTGAGTTCAATCAATTTGAATCAGATTTCTTGCCAACCGAAAATGAGATAAACAAAATCACGCAATCCCATCTTCGAAACTTTTTGATCGATAAATTGGATTATGATGGGTCTGAAAAGCAGAAGTCAGAGAAAGCAAGAGCTGATGAACAAAATAAGAATAGGAGTGGTGCAAACAGCTCTGATAGTAACCTGAGAGCGTCACCAGAATCAATCAAGGGTTCGAATCAAATTCAACCGAAGAGGCCCGTACCAAATTTGAATAAGTTCAGGGTTCCTTCCGCTGTTATTGAAGACAAGATTTCACAAATTCAACAGTCATTCGAGAATGACAACAAGCTTTCGCTCAAGTCTCCAGAAAAGTCTTGTGCTAACTCTATCAACAGTGATTCGCCTGATACCACTACTGTTCAAAATCCTAAGAAGGTGCAAGATTTGACTAATTACTTCAACCAAATGACACTCGAATTCCAGAGACAGAGGGAAGAGGCATTGGAGAAGAAGTCTTACAAGTATAAAACCTTACCTATCGTCAACTCCCTGCCTATAGTTGAAATCTATGGTAATATTGAGGATGTGGTGGATGTGAACCAAGACTCCAGACGAAACCGAATGATCCGCAACGACTCAGGCTCAACTGTGCCTAAGCTGCCCGACGAAAGCTTCCGAGCCAATCCCATGCAAGAACAAGCCATAAGCCAGGTGTTGGCAGACGCTGGCTCTCAGGATAAAAAGGTCGTGGACAGAAAAGAAGAGCAGAAACTTTTGGTGGAGCAGAATAAGAAGTTAATGGAAGAGATGAACAAATCAGCCAAGGAGTCGGGAGCAAAACAGAAGCTTGAGATACCGCAACCGGAGCGAAACTCTTTGCTCAAGTCCCTTATGAACTATTGGGCTGATAGATCTGCCACGTTGTGGGACCCTCTTGACTATCCGTTCGATGTCACAGAACACACTTTTGCTGATTCTGATGTTATCGTGAGAGAGGATGAGCCCAGTTCGCTCGTTGCTTTCTGTCTCTCATCCAGTGTCTACAAACAGAAAATCCAGGACATGGCACTGTCCACAGATGATGGTGAACTGGAGGCCACACAAAATGATGCATACCAGAAAAAAGCAGAACAGTTCACCAAGATTGAGAAGAAGTTCAAGAAGAACTTTGGCACTTCCAACAGGCAGATGAGTGAATTGGAGAAGACCATGGTTAAGACCAAGACCAACCATTTGAAGTATCAATTCGCTGATGGCTCGACCATGCTTTCTTGCAAAATCTTCCATAGCGAGCAGTTCGAAGCCTTCAGAAAAGCTTGCGGGTTGGATAAGTCGTTCATTCAGAGTTTGTCTCGGTGTATCAAGTGGAACTCAAAGGGAGGAAAAAGTGGGTCTAACTTCTTGAAGACATTGGACAACCGGTACATTGTCAAGGAGCTTCTGAAGTCGGAATTGGAGTCTTTTGTCTCAATTGCTCCATTTTACTTCAAGTACATTTCCCAGTCCACCTTCAACACGTTGACCACAGCAATTGCAAAGATATTTGGATTCTATCAGATCGAAATCAAAAACTCTGTCTCCGGCAAATCGTTCAAAATGGACTTCTTAATCATGGAGAATCTCTTCTACAATTGCAAGTGTTCTCGGATCTTTGATCTTAAGGGCTCCATGAGGAACAGACATGTGCAACAGACAGGTAAAGAGAACGAGGTTTTACTCGACGAGAATATGATTGAGTACATTTACGAAAGTCCTGTGTTTGTGAAGGAGCAACTGAAGAAGTTGTTGCGTGGGTCCTTATTCAACGACACTTCGTTCCTTTCCGCTATGGACGTGATGGACTACTCATTAGTTGTTGGAATTGACGACAATACCCAGAAGCTCTACGTTGGTATTATCGATTGGCTTCGAACATTTACTTGGGACAAAAAAGTGGAGAACTGGGTCAAGGGCAGCACACTTGTGGGTAAAAAGGGCAAGGACCCTACGATTGTTACGCCTAAACAGTACCGTATCCGTTTCCGGGAGGCTATGGACCGCTACATTCTTGAGGTTCCAGACATTTGGTACGAGGGCAAGTCCAATTGAGCAAGAGCAAGCTTCGGCACTGACTCTTAACTTGGCGTCTTTGGATAGGAGATCAGAAATGGCCCCAGACCACAGTGTGGTGCAGGATCCAGCAGCCGTTCGCGAGGATATGATAAGACAAGCAGGAGCGAGCTCCTGTCCATGTTTACGTGAGACACCCCAATTTTTTCGACGTCGCATTTTTTTTAAAAAAATAGCGTTAAGCCTTGACCCTTGACCTGTTTTGCCGAAAGATGAAATTGAGAGTCGTGGGCCGAATTTTTGGCTGGATACAAACCCGGCGGAGCGTCTTACTGCAAAAAGTGTTAAAGGGCATTTTTGTGAACCCTGCCGCGCGGCCCTGTTTGCCCACCTCCTCTACGTTTGGCTGGGGAGTGCAGGCGCAAGTCCTGTCAAGACTCAGGCGTTAGCCGTGGCGGTTGCCGCGCCAGTCTGACCCCCTATGTTTGGGGACTTTTTATCGTCGAGGGCGCGGCTTCGATCTGCAAAAATAAATTCGTCTTCTGCCCTTCTTCTTTTACTATCGTTGAGGTTCGCCAGTCAAACTCAATTTTGTTTGCAATTCCAATAAATCTTAGTTCCCCAGGCACGCCTCTTTCCCAAAATGGTGGTGTTTTCCATAGGCGCTGCCCTAACACTCCTCATAACCTTGGTGTTCCTTATCTTGGGCAATATCAGTGCTCCTGTAACCACGGCCATGAAGCTTGCCGTTCATGAGGATTACACTTACGGCATCTTTGGTTTTTGTCGTGAGGGCGTGTGTCCTAAGGGCTCTTATCCCATTGAGTTTGGTGACATTGACAGTGCCGCTGGCTGGTTGTTCACGAATGACACCAGAAATTCCTTGTCCAAGGCCTTCATCGTGGCACCCATTGCTGCTGGATTGGTCTTCTTTGCCTTGATCTTTACGTTTGTTCTGATTTTCGTCGACACTACTGTGGTTGTGATTTTGGCTCTCGTGCTTGCAGTTCTTGGTTTCCTCGCCCTGGCTGTGATTGCAATCATGGTGATCCTTGTGTTCCATCCATTCGTCGCCTGGACAGGCTGGCTCTTGGTTGCTGCCGCCGCGTTGGCGCTTTTGGTTATCCCAATGTTGATCCTCTCGATTCGCGTGCATCCTCAACGTGAGGACGAGGAGGACGACGAAAACGAGTCCAAGAGCAACTTTGTCGCCTACAACAAGATTGACAGCAACGGAAACCTGGGATTTGCAGGTCCAGCTATCGGCGGTGTGCGTCCACAGCCTGCTTACACGTTCAACAATCTTCAAAGAGACACTACCAACGATGATGAGAGCTCTTTCATGAAAGATTCGTCCTACAGAGGTACCACTCGTGGATACACTGCCAAAGATGATTCGCTGACGAGTTTGTACGACTCACAGCCTCGGACTGCGAACGACGTGACTAAGCCTGGTCTCACCAACTTCGCCAATGGCAGTGGCAGCTATTACGAAGATGCCAGTGTAAACATCAACAATGGTCCCAGCACGCCCGTGTCGGCGAAGCAAAAAATGGCACCCACATTTGTGCCTAATGTGGCTGTGAAGTCGGACGAGAACGGTAGAACCAATGAAGCTGGCTTGCCCTACCCAGCCTCGGAGCGTGGTTCTGTAGCGCTCAACCTGCAGAAGTACGGTGTTTTTGATCATCACCCTAACGTTGAGGGCCACCAACCTTTCACTGAGTTGGGCGACGAGCTGCCCGAGCATCAGGATTTGGACAATGACGATGGTTCTGACTTCACCAGCATCTCGCAGAGACAGCCCAACGTGGGTTACAACCAGCCGGGAACAGGTGTAGTCGCGCCCATTAACGCTTCTGCACCACCAGGTGCCGGCTATCGCCCTGCCGCACAGCAGGCTAACCATCCTCATCAACCGCAGCCTCAGCAGCAGTATCCAAACGTTTCTCAGTACCAACCACACTATCAGCAAACTTACCAGCAGGGCTTCCAACCGCCATCCCAGCAACTGTCATACTACGGCTCCGACGCGCATCAGAGTCGAGGCGCTGCTTACCAGGGCCACTACAGCTCTGGCGGGGGCGGCTATGCACAGGCTAGACCGTCTAAGCCGTCCGTGTCCGACAACGTCTTGACCAACAATCCAGACTTTGCAGTCGGAGGCATGGCAAAGCGTAAACAATACGGAAACCCAGCTTACAACAGATTTGGTGGACAGCCTGCGCAACGCCCTGGCAACAGACCACCTAGAGACGGACCTTACGGCATGATCTAGGTATCCTTCTTCGGGATGCATAGACAGTGACTACATTCAAACTTGAAACTTTGTTCTATTAGTTTGGTTTTGCATTCGCTGTGCTGGGCGCGGTGGTGAACCCGGGCGCCTTCACCGGGAGGCGCCTGGCATTGTACTAGTATTTCCTTATAGATAAACCGATTTCGAATGAACGATACTTGATTCAATCTCTCAATTGGCCTTCAGGCTTTACATTTGGCAGCGGCCTCTCTGGTGGTTTGTCGGATCCTGAATTGCCCCCTCCTGGCTTTTCGACAACCTTCGTCAGTCCGTGTGGCTTCACCACAATCACTATGAACAAGACCAAAACAATCAAACTCAAAAGAAAAATGATCTTGCATTTGGTGGTCCTCTTTTGGTAAACCTGCGCCTTAAGCAACTCTTTATCGGACGATTTGAGATCTTCGGCAGTTCTTGATATATTGTAATCAATACGGTCCAACATACTGCCTTGATCCACTATGAGGGTTTCCATTTCCTTGAAGATGGTGGAGATTTCGAGAATTCCCATAGCTAATTTGGAAATCTCACGCTCGCGCTGCGCTAATATTTGGGAATTGGGGTTGTTTTGAATTTGAGTTTGTGCTTGCTGGAGTACCATCTTGGAGTAGTCTTCGATATGCTTGGAGTCTTCTTCGTCAAGTGCGACCGTGGAGGAGTTTCCTGACGATAGGAGCCTGTCGGTCTCGGCATCATCATCGTCCTTCAAAAATTTGATGTAGTTATTTTGCAAGTTTCTGTAAATGAGTGAGCTGTCTTGGATCTTCAAGGCGTATGTCTTTTTGTAGTTTTCAATGATGGAAAGCTCGTCCTGAGTGTAGTCAAGCTTAAGGCGCTGGAAATTCTTTTGTAGAAACTCAAATTTCTTTATAAGCACGTAACAGTTCTCGAATAGCTTGGTTGTGTCGTAATTGAGGTCCTCGATTCTTGTCTCTAAGCGTTGTTTCTCGTTGTCTCTGGTTATTAGGAGCTTCTTGTAGAGCGAGCTCAATTCGTTAGTCTTGGTCTTGATTGTGGCCAAGTTCTCGTCCAATCCATTGGAAATATCAAAGATCGAAGGCGCTATTGGCTTCATCTCGATCTCTTCCGGAGCTGAATCCTTGTATTGTGGTTTCCTCAGTTGATTTGATGACACCCTTCTGGATCCCATGAGGCCCTCCTCTTCCTCTGCTAGGGCCACAAAACGAGAATCTGCATTTTGCTGCCGCCTGGGAATTGTCCTTCTGTACGATAAGTACAAATTGGTTCTGTCTCTGAACATGGCTTTTGATGATGGTGTTCAAAGCGATAACATTGTTGCGGAGTGCACGCTGGCGAGCATTACGAGGCACTGGTTGGGTGCAAAGTGGACCGGCTTTTGGGGAAAAAGAGAATTTTGAACTTCTTGAATTTTGCCATTCGTTCGGGATTTGTAGTTTAATTGCTATTGGAGATTTCTGTCAGTTGATTAGTTGGACTTATCATGGAGTGCTGTGCGTGGTGCTAACACCTACTCAGATCTACCACCCAAGGTCAAATCTCTATCAGCGTGTATTGTTTTCTATGGCGTACTTTTTCCTTTAAATCTAGTGTTGTAATAAATAGGGCTACATTGGCGTCATGGAGAAGGTAGCAGTGCCTCTGGACCGTCTCAGCGACTGACGGGTTACACCCTCATTCAGCATGTTCGACAAACTTGTGCTGGACACATCTCTGGAAGAAGAAGGAGACAGCTTGTTGGAAGAATTGCGTGATGAGCCCTTAAGGTTGAATGAGCTGCCTGCTCGGCTTAGAATTCCCTTGTTTCTCGAGCCAGGTGTCAGTCCCACTGGTGTCGTGGATCTAGAGGTGTTCTCCCCAAATCGCCTGTTCACTTCATCAAAGTTGATGTTGGACCCTGGCTGTGGGGGCTGGTAAGCAGGTGATAACGTATCTTGAACATCTCCACGAATGGCCTCGTGATAACTTGGCACTCTGCCCATCTCTTCCGAATCGAGGTTACTGTCCGAGTTCACACGGGAAAGATGAACTGGAGGTGTCATGAGGCCTGGACTCTGAACTTGGTTGTTATGAACACCGCCAGGAGTACTCAAGAGGGAGTTGCTGCCGCTGTAGCTGCCGTATCCATGAGAAAGTTGGTGATGTAGAGCAGGTCTTCTGTTGAAATAGTCACCGCCTTCCTGATCACCATCCATTGTGAATACAGCTCTCTCACGAGATGCTGGTGACAGCATGGTGTTACCATCAAGGCTTTCCTGTAACTGTCTCTGAACACTAAGCTGTCTCAAGTTTTCTGTCAATTGAGCTGTATCAATACTGCTCATGCTGAACTGCAGCACGTCGGTAGAACGAGATCTGGGCGTCGATGCTCCAGATGTCATGGGAGAGTCCATGGGAGACACGTCTGACCACAACTTGTCATAGACATGCTGCTCATACATGGGTGGTGCCACAAGTCCGGTGAATGAAGAATAGGAGTGAGGGTTCGAGCGAAGCGTTTCGTCAGACTGATTCTCACTGGCCTGACGTGCATCGGCCTCGTATTGTTGTAAATTGGTCAAGGAAGTGTTGTGTGGGTCACTGGAGAAGAGCACCTCTTCGTCGTTTTCAGTGTACTCTTGTGGATCTTGAGCATCACTGTTCTCCTCGGTTCTGGCTCTCACAGTAACGAAGGGCGAGATAAAAATCTGCACAGGCAAAGAAGCTCTCAATTCTGATGTATGTCCGTCAGGATTACACAACCCAATATTGAATTTGAGTTTGTGTCTAACCTTAAGATGCGTCTGGATGTCACAGTCCTGAGTACACTTTGACAAACTGGGAGGGATGCGGAGGAAAGTGTCTATCTCCCATTTGTCCAACTGGAAGTTTTCGTCCGCTTGCTGCATGGGTATGATCTTTTCGCAAACGATTCTTTCGTCAGTATGTGGTGGGGGGAGGTACCCGACGTAGGAATAGAGCTCAACTAATGAGATTCTGATCTCGCCAAGCCGCAAGCCTTTGAGTAGGGGTACCAACATGAGGGATATTGGCGTGCCTGAGCCAACTGCAATGGCTTTACTAGGCACATTCAAAGAGTACTCAACCTTTTTGGGCCATGTGTTGTCGACAGCAACAGTCTCTGAGAGCTCTACAGAGTCTGTAGTCAATGTTCTGACAACTCTGACATGCTTTTTGGCCACCATAGGGTGGTGGAACTTGCCCCTGTCGATAGTCGATTCAAGTTTGTAGACAAGGCTTGCACCTGGAAGACCCTCGATCGACTCGGGCATGTCGCCGGGCAAAATAGCGCTGAATGGAAACTCGTAGTTGCCCTGAACAAGCACATGGTTGCCTCTTGGGGTCAAATTCGAGGTGGATGAGCTTGAAGAATTTCCGTTATGACCAGACAGACTGTGAGACAATGATGATGAGGACATCGAACGGAAAGTCATGCCCAAACTCTTCAATGATGTGGATGAAGCTTTCGACTTGACAGGGCTTCTGGCGAGCCCGTTTGGCGGACTGTTTGGAGACTGGCCAGAGAAGCCCTGGGAGCCGCTTCCGTTTGAGTTTTCATACATGTTGTTCAAGTATTTTGTGATTTCAGCAGGATCCCAGACGTACTCGTAGACCTTCTTCTCGAACCTAGCCGGCTTAGGGACGGTGCCTCGGGTGTCGGTGTACTTCAAGCGAAGGGTACCATATAATCGGAGGGTGATCTTCTTCAAGGAGATGGGTTCGTTCACAGAAAGCACGATTTTGCCGCTGATGAAGGTGGAAGCAGCATTGTGCTCCGAACCCTTGAGTAGGAGGACATCATGCTGGCAGTTTTTTAACCTGATATCGAACAAGGCAGTCAGCCTGGACGACTTCTGCTTCGGCATGATGCAAGATGGGTGTTACAGCACGAGGGGGGAGGTCCACAGTAGGTTGGTGGAACAATATGTTAATGAGTTATATCAGAGAATTGGGCCACCCTTTTTTCTCTATACACCTTACAGCGATAAACGCATTATTTCTTTTTGGCGCGGTAGCGCAGATGAGCGCAATAAAAGCAACATGCTGTCAAACGACAGGTTTTCCCGAGCAGACCCACGGAAGCCCCGTGACTCATTTCTATATTCAGCAAAAGGCCCCCGAAGCCAACCTACACCGTTATATAGTAGTCGGATCCACCCAAACAGGCCGCAGGCGACAATCTCGGGCTTTAAGATCCGCGATGTGGTATCGACATGACCATCACGTGCGGCGACGTTGTGTTTCGAACTCTGGCTGGGTTTCGCTCTAGGGCCTATTTTCCCGAGCCGGGTGCATACACCGCGTTCGCTTAGGTCTGGTAGCATAACCAGTTTGATCTAGTGCAAGCAGGGCTGGACACGAACAAGAAAAAATAATTTGCAAATAGCAAAATTCGTGTGCATCTTGGCCCAGAAATGGCAAATCTGTGACAAGACAAGGCCAGGGCTTCGACAAGGCCAGGGGTCTTTTGCTCTTGCGCATTGGGGCTGTGAATGAGGCGGCGGTAGGAGGGCCGATAAAGCTTTTTTTTCTTTTTTTTCAGGCAACCATCTCACGATTGTCGGTCAGTAGGAGGGATCTGCTGAGCAGCCGTGCTGGCGCTATGACTCGCCTACGCAAGTTCAGCCTCTGGTTTCGGACAAAAGCAACATTCCCGGCTCACGTCGTTCGTAACAACGTACATGGTTGTTCGCTGCCAAAAACGGACTCCAAACGGCGCACTCTGCGTAAGCAGTTGTTAAGCCAGCCATTCGCACCAGGATTTCGCAGCCATTCCAGCGCCAGTAGCCACCACCATCGGCGATGGTTGTTCGAAGAAAACTCATTCTTCGATCAGAAAAACAAAAAAATAGGTCAAAGAAAAATGAACTCTCGAAAGCATGTGCACTTGTCGGCCCATTGTGGGCCTGCCCCTGCTAAGATTCTCGTCAAGCAGACCCTGCTGGAAGGTGGCTGGCTCGCACTCTCCAACTGGCAAGACAGCTCAATTCGTCAGGCACCCCTGCCCAAGGATGTTCGTACGCAGCAGCCGCCGCTTGTCATTTCAAGAGCCACCAGCTTTTTCTTTCCCTTTTCGCTCCCGTCGCCCCTGACGTCTTCCCCTGGGCCTGTCAGTATAAAACCTCCTCGCGGTGCCGCCTATTCTCATCGTCTGCTGGGTCCGCACACTTCCCACACCATAGACGTTTAGACCCTCCCTTCCGGTCCTCAGCCGCCCCGGCTCCCCAGTCCCACTTCCTACTCGGTCCAACTCACGACATTCCTTTACCATGGCCCAGGCCTCCCCGAGTAGAACCCCAGTGCTGCCAGACAGATGCCTCAAGAGAGCCCGTCTGCTGCGATCTCCTCCTACAACGCCTACTCCGGTGTTTCGCCTGTTTTCGCTGGGCAGCGTGGCGAGAAGACGAAACCGCTACCGCTTGGCGTCGCCCGGTCCAGAGAGCGACCCGGTGCTGCAACTCAGCGACCTGGAGTTCCAGTTCAGCACACCCTCTTGCCTGGATGCCTCCGACTCAGAGTCGCTTCCGGAGCTTGTCGAAGACCTGTCGACGCCCAGCACGCTCCAGAGCCCGGCCACGCCGTTCCGCCCGAAAGTGTCGTACTTTGACAATTTCGAGCTGCCCTTAAAAAGGCTTTCTCTGGCCCGGCATTGACTCCACGGTTCGTTGATCCACCTTTTTCGCAGCCATTCCTGCCGCCAGCACAACCAGCATTTTCACTGCAGCAGGTTTCGCAGCCTGTTTCGCAGCCATCCATATTCGACATCCCGAGTTGGTCCACAAAATCATCGTTTACGCCGATGCCCAAAACACAGTGGTGCCGAGGGAAAAGACCCCCGTGTGCCGCAAACCACTCTCATACCGCCACGCCTTGCTAGTGCACGGCAACGAGAAAGCCGCCCACCTCGCCATGCAAGGTGCATACCTAGACGAGCCCACGCCTGAAAACACCCTGAACGTGCTCCATACATGCCTCCTCGTTAATAAGCTTTTCCACAGAGTCGCCAAGGAGGTGCTTGGCGAGAAGCTTTTCTTCACTGATGAGCGCACTTTCGGCAAGTTCATTGATCCAGCCAAACCCCAGCACTTTTACGACGGCATGTCCCCAAAAACCTTGGTACTTTCCAAGATGTTCTATCTTCGCCAGGCTCACTTCGCGCTGGTTTGTGAAAAATTGGACTTATCCAGGCTCGAGTGGCTCGAGCTCTACATGTGCCCTAAAGTCGCACCCACCGTCTCTTTTTTGCAACCGTCCCTCAAGACATTGATTGTCACTGGGTCCAAGGCACTAGACGACTTTGCCCTTGTGGAGGTGGCCCAACGCTGCCCAAACCTCCAAGTTTTGGATGTCAGGGCCTGTGAAAACGTCACCGACCACGGCATCTACAGCATAGGCCAGAAGTGCAAGAACCTCACCACCCTCAACCTCGGCCGCAAAAAAAGAGGCCATTTAATTACCGACCACAGTGTCTGTGCTGTGGCCGTCAACAACCCCAGATTGACCACTGTGGGTGTAGCCGGGTGCTACATCACCGATCGTTCAATTTGGCAACTCACTCTCACCTGTGGAAAGCGCTTGCAGAGGCTTTCCTTGAATAACTGTCCCTACGTTAGCGACCAGCTGGTGCCGGTAGTGCTCCACCACAACTTGTTGCAGAATCTCACTGTGCTCGAGATCCGGTTCGTCAGTAGAATTACAAACTTTGAGCCAATAATCGCCTACAAGAGACGCCAGGCTGCTCGTGGTGTCAATGTGCTTGTTGAAACCTGCGAAGAGCTCTTTGTGCGCATGAGGGACCAGGCCAAGAACATGGACCGGGTCATTCTGGAGCGAGTTGTGAGAGACATCAGCGAATGGGCTAACGGAAAAGACGACGACATGGCAGCCGCAGACCTTCTCAGAACCAGAAGTGTCGGCTCGCGTATCATAGCATAAGCATAGTATGGCATGAACCATTGTAGACGAGAGTGCCATTGTTTTCCAGGCCGGTCACCCGACAGGTCTTGTGAAAGCGGGCAATTAACGAAAATTTCTTCAAAGCGGCTGGTTTTTTCAGTGACATCTCACATGGAGTGAGGACTCTGCCGCAGTGGCTGCGAAATTCCCCAGTCCCAACGGTCCCGTATACACCTGTCAAACCTCTCCACATTTCGAGCCATCGACATGCGCAAATTCAAAATTCAAAACGATCTGGGCCTTGAAGCATAATGAAGTCCATAACCTCCCGCCTTTCCTTTCTTTCTTTCTCTATTGGCTGGCCTGTTCTTTGTTAGCCCACCGAAGCATTTCTGCATAGACGCCGCGGGCATTGTGTTTTTTGTCTCTCTCTTTCAGGCCAGGCGCGCCAGGGTCCATATCTCCTTCAAACAGCCTTCTTTCAATCGCTTAGCAACGGCTCAACCCAAGGTTCGTCCTCCAGCCTTACGACTCCTTTTAATCAGGCTTACCCTTCACAAATCCAATAGACTTTTCCATCTCGCGATGTCACTTCCACTATTAGGCAAGGCACCGCCGGAATCCTCTGCTATGCCTATTATGGCAAGCACCGATTCACTCACCATGGATCTTGTGAACACTAGAACGTTGCTGGAATCAACGGATTCGATCACGGCATCAACTTACTCGAACCTGCCCGTGTCTCCGCCCTAGATCACGACAAACACTTGACTCTGCATCCATCCAAGTTGGACCTCATAGACCACACAACACTTACATCGCTACCGCTTCCTCCGCCTCCAGCCCGTTCCAGACTCAAAAGAGGCCACCTGGCACCCTTGTGTCAGACTACATCAAAAAAGCTTTCGAGAGACCCCAGTGGCTCGCTTAACGAGACGCTCCTTGAGGAACCAGACATTGCTGACGTGACAATAACATCTGAGTACGTGGATGAGACTTTTGAAGACTCTGAGGACCTTATCGTCTTGGTCGAAGACTACATGGCCTCTCACGACATTGGCAGGCAGTTGGATAGGAAGAAGTCGCTCCTCTCGTTTAAGAAGCGTCTACACGGTGACCGCGGTTCCGTGAATTCCGACCAGTCTCCCAGTAAAAGACTTGAATTGACCGAAGCAAGAGATCACGAGAACTTGGAAGCTATCTTTGGAAGAATCCCCGGAACAGACCGTCTCAAACACTGCTGTCTATGTGACCGTCCCCTATACGAAATCAGCTCCATCCTCGGCAACAGTGAATCCGTACGCAGAGGAAACTGCAAATCAAATCAGCTTTGTGACGAGTTCGTCTGCTGGGACTGCGTCGACGTCTACGAACTATTTTTGAGCGAACTTGGCGAGATGGAAGCTCATGACGAGCAGGCCAAAGTCGAATCCACAAAGCGCCTTATGGACATTTTTACCAGCATCAAAGACAACTCTCAACCTCCCCCTACTGACAGTTCGAAAAACTTCTCCACTGGTCTAATAGAACAGCTTCATCACTTGAGTGATGTTGCAACGCTGGAAGAGAAGGAGCCAGACTGGCTCGTAACGCTCAAACACAAGCTAAGGTGGAGATGGCGTATAAATGGGCTTTTGCCAAACCCATTTAGTCAGAGTCTGGTTAAGCAGACCTGATCGTCATATCCATCCCAGTCCCACATTGGGCCACCCGTACACCACTAGCATATACATAATGACTTACGATTTATACCATCACCTAACGCATCATGATCTTTTCCACCGTAAGACTAGGCAGCAAGGCTGGCCAAAAGTTCATGAGTCTTGAGGAATTCCTACTACGCCAGAGAATCTTACAAACATACAGAGGACTCATGCGTCTAATATATAAAAGCCATGAAAAGAAGGAACTTGCGAAGTTCGCCAGAGAAGAGTTCCACTTGAACAAGCATGAGACAGATCTAGCTCATAGAAAGTACCTTCTTCTGACTGGAGAAGCCCGCATTAATGAGATGAGCAAGCTTCTTGGGCTCAATGCTAATTTCTGAGAGTCTAAAGTTTCAAGGTAGAGAGCTTGAGTGCGTCCTTGATAGACTCAAACTGGTCGCTCACAAACTCCTGGTCAAGTTGCAAGCTCAGTGTTATATCAGTCAGTAACTGGGGTGCATTGCTCACAATCTTGACCATTTCAACTTGCATTTCCCCAGCAGCTTTAGAGATAGCCTTATCGCGCACCAATATCTGGGTGATCTTAATAAGCTCAAATGTGTCCAATAGTATACGATGACGCTCCACAGAAATCTCGGGGACTTTTTGAATGTAGCTGTTGTTGATCTTCTTCATGTCAAGATTCTTCACAAGGAACTTTGTAAGCAGCTCCTTGTCTTTCACATCGTTCAACTTTGACAACTTGAAAATTGTGATATAAAGCTTGACAAGATGTTTCTCAAAGTCACTGAGTTGTGAAAGATACGTTGCATTGCTAGTCCACTTGTTGTAGAGCTTGATGAGTTTTTCACACTCGGCTTCATCCTTCTCGGCAATAAGCATCTCCTTGAGGTAGTTCAACTTCACATATTCGGTAGCCTTCTGCTTTTCATAATTAAAAAGATCGAGCTGAGGAAGATCGACGCCTAAATTGTACTCCGATTTGAAGTCTCTGTTATCCTTCAAGACAAAATCATCGCTGAGAATAATAGCCTTTGAATCCCTCATCTGTCTGTAGAAGTAGTTGTAGTAGTCATTGCCAACCATGCGAGATGTCTTGAGAATTCGAAGTATCAACAAGTGTCTCAGTAATGAGTTCTTGAGACGCTTGCCGAAATCGTAAGAGTCCTCAGCTTTTGTATACAAGTTGTCCTGGAAACACTTATGAACAAAAGGGCCAACTTCGGAGTCTGCAGTCATGTAGAACCTGTAGATGTTGATGAGCTCCCCTAGGTTCCCCATGGAGGGTAGCAAATCGAGCTTATAAGAGAGTGTATCATGTTGAATCATCTTGATCTTTAGGCTCTTGTGTACTTTGAGTGCAGCAGGTGCAGCATTAATTGCGGTGTAAAGATTGAGAAGCCATACCTTGACTTTGTAGTTCTCCGCATCTTTAGCGCTGTAGTTCTCAAGTGTTATGATATGCTTGACGATGTTATTAGTGGAGGGATCGGCACGCAAAGATTCAATCATCTTCACCAATTGCAAGTCGATCAACTCTGGGTTCTCAAATTTCGAGAACTGTTCGTTCTCAAGATCGATCTTTTTTAAATGAAGCAAGATTTTAGATGCATTCAGAAGGGCAGTTGCTTCATTTGATGTGAGCGACGACTTGGTCGAGAGATCCTCGTAGTCAGCTGTGACGGTTTGTATTGTGCTTTCAGGAAGCTCGAAGGTGAGGAGATCAGATGCACCTGAAGGTTTGGCATGAAACTTTTTGTAGAATGCATCAATGGCCAGTTCCTGGTCAAGACCGTATGTAGTTGCCAAGTAAACGTTGGCAAAATAAGAGTTTCTGCTGTCAAGCTGAATGAGGCTGGCGAGTTCATCGTGCGGTTTGTCTAGTTTGTGGGCAGAATTGATCAAGTACTTCCAGGTAGTGTAGTCATTGAAGTTTTGCTTGAACAATAGATCATAGGCCTCCAGGTAGAGCTGCTCCCAGTTAGCAGACTTCTCGAGGGAGTCAAGGTACAAGAGAACAAGCTCTAATTCCCTGTGCTTCAATGGCTGGAGGAGCTTCACAACCTCCTCGAACTTTTCTTGAACATGCAAGATTTTGGCTTGGACGAAAACTTCCTGGTTGGTCTCGTGTGGAGCCAACTTATCGGCCATGCCGGTTGCCAAACCAAGGTAAAGGGCCTTTTCCTTCTCGGTTCCTCGACCACTGAGAAGATAACATGCAAATGCCGCTCTGTATCCAAAATCTCTATTCAGCTTGAAGTTCTTCAGCAACTGCATGGACGCTTTCTGAACGCCGGCGGTATCGTAGTTACCCAATGCTTTCTCGAAGTAGGCCTCGATCAATTCTTTCGTAGGGTATTTCTTGACGGCGTTATCATACAATTGGTTCGCCTCTTTCGCCAAGCCCAACTTCAAATACAAGTCATAGAGCACGGATAACGCTTGTCTATCACTTGGTGTCTTCAGCGCTAGCTCTTTGCTTTGGGCGATCGACTGTGCAACCTTGCCTTGGGCATAGAGAAGGTAGCAGTTCAACGCCCAGAAGTACGATTTATTAGGAAATCGCTTGAGAAGACGCTCCAACTCTAGCTTGGCCAGCGACAAGCGGCCTTCCTGGATCGCTGCTAGCACGTCCGATTCGCCCATGGTGTTGGAAATGAAAAAGAGCGCACTGCATCGTCAAGAGGAAGTAGGAAGTGGAACGAGCCCGAGATCTGGTCTACGAGAAATTTTAAAAACCGATTTCATATCTCAAGGAGAAGAGATTTTTCATAGATTTTTCTTTTTTACGTTTATTCGACCCCTGTTGATGTGGGGATGCGTGGGCTGACTGTAAGGTTTCCGGTGCGCCCCAGTTATAGCGAGCCACTTACAAAACCAAGAGAAATCCAAAAAGACAATAGTGGACAATGTCCCCAATTTGGTCGATTTGTGGAAGAACGTCACGGGGATTGCAGTCGCACAAGACCAGCCTTGCTACTTTTTCATAAAATACCAAAATAGTGTTCATCTCCGACAGGGACCAATTCCGAGACATCATCGGCTTCGGCCCGGCCCCATCGACCCTGCCTACACCATCACCACCAAGCCGACCCAACCCAGATCAGGGAACCCCTCAAAGATAAGCCACCGTACGAGGGGCCCAGGCGGCATTCTCCGTTCCGAACTCGCCGAACTCGCCGATCCCGCTGAACCCGCCCGCCAGAACCCCCTTCTTCAGAACTGGACCGATTTCTCGGTATTCATTTTCGTAAAGTCCCAACCTCGTTGTGGCCTTCCGTGGCCGTTGACGTATCTGCTGCCGCGGTGGGGCCGGCACACGATGCCTTTTGATTATGGCCACACGGATACACAAGAAATTACCGGCTGTTGGGTGCCGTAGAATTAGCCCACGTTTTCTGCGCGCAGAAGCGACTCGCTTCTAGGGCTTCCTTGCTCCGATCCTACCGTCATGCATTTTTGAAGCCCACTTTTCGTGCGTGGGGCTAGATAGTCGGGTTCAATTGACCATCCCTGGATTTTTTGCCGTCTTGCAAATGATACCCATCTGTAATTTTCACAATCATCTAATTCTAGAAGAGGGTGATTTCTGGGCTTGGCTGGGCGGACTGCGAGGGGTACTGTGAACCCGCACAAGACATGGAGCCGTTTTGGGACTCTGGGGGCGAATGCGGACTACCAGCGGAATCCTCATGTGTGGCAGTGCAAAACGATGATTATGTCCTTAAAAATGCAAAACGCTGATTCCCGCCGTGTGGGCCGTTGCTCTTTGCCTTTTGCCTTTTGCCTTCACATGCTTTGCATTTGTGATGCGCCCCAGATCTGTGGCTCGTCACCCCGGAAGGCGCTATCTGGCTGCAAATGCTCGTACTGTTTTTCCGTGCTTGCCCTCCTTGGCCCAATTCCACCTCATCGACGAACCCAACGTTTTCTGCTTTTCTTAGTACAACAAACAAAGATGCTATTTTTCACCTTAAGCCTGGATCTTCGGCGTTGTCACCTCACCTCGTACCTAATTACCGTTGTGCTTCCTTGCGGTCATGTCATCGAAAGCCCCACATTACTCCCACAACTTAGTCCACCCAGCACGTAGTCGCCTCTTCAGCTACACATATTTACAGCCCAATCGCATAACATAGCTCTCCCTAACGCCTCAGCAGTAAATTATGTAGGTGGATCGCCGGAGACGCTTGGCTTCAGTTTCGCACCTAAGCCAGCCAACCATATTCACATCATCAAACCACCGTCCAGTTGGTGCAGTCGTCCATACCAGTCCTTTTGTTGAGTCATGAGTAGTAGTCGCCAAGCTTGACGGACGGTGACTTCATCCGAGGGCGTGTTAACGCGATAAGCGAAAAATGCAACCAGCCCTATTCGTCGCTGCGATAAGAACAGGCATAGTGGCCAGCGCCTAGATCATCTGTGCAGCACAGCTGTCTCAACCTACCCGTGACCAGCCATTGTGGTACAGGGCAATCTCATTGTCGAAGTTGGGCGTCCGTGGGGCCGTGATGGGGTGACCGCATCAGCTTACAATTTTGCAAAATCACATCAACAGAGTCGCTGGAGAACCCCGAAAGCCAAGTTGTTCCGGTACCTCGAGGGAGGGGCAGGCCGAGGGGCCCTGGCTAAGAAATCCGAGAAGCTGGTGCCAAGAGTGTGCCATGCAGGCCTGGCGTAGACTCCCAGATATTGGCACCACCGCGGACGCCTTGGGTGTTGCTGTGCAATTACAGTAGAACTGCACACAGTGCGGGGGCACCCACTATTACACACACACTCAGGGCCACACCACAAGAATCTCGTCGTTTTTCCGGTCCGTCCAAGAAAGGCTTATGTGGTACCAACTACTGCACCTAGACCTGGACCCGGGGTCTTGAAAAAAAAAAAAAAAATAAAATACGGTACTCGCCGCGCAAAACTCTGCTTTATCTGTATAAGAATGACCTGCACTACAACGCCGTGCACGCCTGCAATTTGATCTCAGATGCGCTGCAGCAACCGCCAGCCGTTCACTGGAATTATCACCATCTTGTGCAATCTCTCACGGGAATATCACCATGTCTTATGGACTAAAAAAATTCGGTTCCTTTCGCCTCGATGGATGCACCACCCCGTCATGTCGGCTCTCCGCCCCACGTTTCTCTGCAGTGCAGGCCCACAATCTGTGGGCATAGTTCGCTGATTCTTGGCTGTATCTTGGCTGCAGCATTTTTCTTAAGCACCATTGCTGCACCAGACCCACATATTTCTTTTCTAAGGTGCCGCTTGCCCAGTATATATAGTGCCCCAGTCCTGCCCCGGATAGAGGGTTAATGTTTTGTAGTTTCATCTTTCCTTTCCTTTCCCCTGTCTAACCTACCCTTAAGACAAACATTTGCATCACTTCTCATCATGTCCTCCTCATCCGTGGACTACAATGAGAAGAATAACACTCATAAGGAGCAACTGAGAAACGATACTGATGACTCGGGTTCCACCGCTGTCTCCGATACCTCCCTTCTACCTTATAGACTCCCCTACGCCAAGGTTGCGTCCCAGTTTGGCACCAGCATTGACGAGGGGTTAACCACCGCCCAGCATGCCGACCTTTTGAAGAAGTTTGGCCTCAACAATTTGGGCGAAGGCGACAAAGTATCCTACACCAAATGTCTTGCCCACCAGGTCTTCAACGCCATGATCATGGTTTTGATCATTTCTATGATCATCGCCTTGGCCATTCGTGACTGGATTTCCGGTGGTGTCATTGGTGCCGTCGTTTTCATTAACATTTCCATTGGTTTTGTCCAAGAGGTCAAGGCCGAAAAGACAATGGGTTCTTTGAGATCCTTGTCTTCTCCATCTGCTAGAGTTACCCGTTCCGGTGATGAATTTGATATTCCTGCCGAAGAAGTTGTCCCCGGTGACATTGTCCATGTCAAGGTCGGTGACACTGTTCCCGCTGATTTGAGATTGGTTGAAACCATGAACTTGGAAACCGATGAGGCTCTTTTGACTGGTGAGTCCTTGCCTGTTGCTAAGAACCAAGATGAGGTTTACGCCGACCCTAAGCAGTATGTCCCAGTTGGTGACAGACTTAACATGGTTTTCTCCTCTTCTATTGTTGCCAAGGGCAGAGGTGTCGGTATTGCCGTCGCCACTGGTTTGGACACTGAAATTGGTCAAATCGCCCAGTCTTTGAAGGGTGACTCCGGTATTGTTAGAAAGGTTGACAAGTCCGGTGACAAGTCGCCAGGTGCCAAGGAGTACTCTAAGGCTGCTTTTGGTACTATTTGGGACATTGTTGGTAACTTTTTGGGTGTCACCGTTGGTACTCCCTTGCAGAGAAAGTTGTCCTGGTTGGCTATTTTCTTGTTCTGGGTCGCTGTTATCTTTGCCATCGTCGTTATGGCCACTCAGGAGATGAATGTCAACAGAGAAGTCGCCATTTACGCTATTTGTGTTGCCCTTTCCATGATTCCTTCCGCTTTGATTGTTGTCTTGACTATTACTATGGCCGTCGGTGCCCAGATCATGGTTTCCAAGAACGTTATTGTTAGAAAACTTGACTCTTTGGAGGCCTTGGGTGGTATCAACGATATCTGTTCCGACAAGACCGGTACTTTGACCCAGGGTAGAATGGTTGCCAAGAGAGTGTGGGTTCCATCTGTGGGAACCTTCTCTATGGAGAACTCTAACGAAGCTTTCAACCCTACTGAGGGTGACTTGGCTTTCACTCAGTACTCTCCAAAGTACATCAAGGAGACTGACGAGGAAATTGACTTTTTGCCTATGGACAGATCTAAGCCTGACTCTTTTGCTGAAAACTTCAAGAAGTGGTTGAATGTCGCTACTTTGGCCAACATTGCTTCCGTCCACCAATCTAAGGACGAAGGCTCTGGTGAGTTGGTCTGGAAGGCTCACGGTGACGCTACTGAAATTGCTATCCAGGTCTTCTGTTGCAGAGTTGGTTTCGGCAGAGAGGAATACTCCAAGGAGTTCAAGCACATCGAGGAATACCCATTCGACTCTTCCATCAAGAGAATGTCTTCTATCTGGCAAATGGGCAACGAGACCAAGATTTTCACTAAGGGTGCCGTCGAAAGAGTCATTCGTAAGTGTACCAAGTGGACTGGCAACACTGAAGAGAAGACTGACACTGACAAGCTTATTGACTTGACTGAAGAGGACATCGCTCTGATTGAAGCTAACATGGACGCTTTGTCCTCCCAGGGTTTGCGTGTCTTGGCTTTTGCCTCCAGAGACTTTGACTCTTCTAAAGACAAGCTTGAAGACAGAGACGCTATTGAGGACAACTTGGTTTTCCACGGTTTGGTTGGTATTTACGACCCTCCAAGATTGGAGACTGCTCCATCTGTTAAGTTGTGTCACAAGGCTGGTATTAACGTTCACATGGTCACCGGTGATCACCCATCTACTGCTAAGGCCATTGCTCAGGAAGTCGGAATCTTGCCCCACAACTTGTACCATTACTCTGAAGAGGTGGTCAAGGCCATGTGTATGACTGCTAGTGAGTTCGATGAATTGACTGATGACCAAATCGATGAATTGCCTGTCTTGCCTTTGGTTATCGCCCGTTGTGCTCCTCAGACTAAGGTGAGAATGATTAACGCTTTGCACCGTCGTGAGAAGTTCTGTGCTATGACTGGTGATGGTGTCAACGACTCTCCATCTTTGAAGAAGGCTGATGTTGGTATTGCTATGGGTCAAAACGGTTCCGATGTTGCCAAGGACGCTTCTGATATTGTGTTGACTGACGACAACTTCGCTTCGATCTTGCACGCTATCGAGGAAGGTCGTAGAATGGCTGCTAACATTCAAAAGTTTATCTTGCAGCTTTTGGCCGAGAACGTTGCCCAGGCTATTTACTTGATGGTTGGTTTGGCTTTCCAGGATGTGGATGGCCTTTCTGTGTTCCCATTGTCTCCTGTTGAGGTCTTGTGGATTTTGGTTGTTACTTCTTGTTTCCCAGCCATGGGTTTGGGTCAGGAGAAGGCTGCAGACGATATCTTGGACCAACCTCCAAACCGTCACATTTTCACCAAGGAAATTATCATTGACATGCTTGCCCTCGGTCTTTTCATGGCTATCTCGTGTATGCTTTCGTTCGTCGTCGTTGTCTTCGGTGACGGTGATGGTGAGTTGGGTCGTAACTGTAACAACAGTGGTGGTGAGAACTGTGGCTTGGTCTTCAGAGGCAGATCTGCCTCTTTCGCTACCATGACCTGGTGTGCCCTTGTCCTCGCTTGGGAGTGTATTCACCCAACCAACTCCTTGTTATACATGAGACAAGACACTGACAACCCTTGGTGGAAGCAGACTGCCATCGACCTCTGGGACAACCAGTTCTTGTTCTGGTCCGTCATCGGTGGTTTCGTGACTGTGTTCCCTGTCGTTTACATTCCAGTCATCAATGACAAGGTCTTCCTCCATGACCCAATCGGTTGGGAATGGGGTTTGTCAGTCGCGTGTGTTCTTTTCTTCTTCGTCGCCGCTGAGGCATGGAAGTGGGGTAAGAGAGTCTACAAGAGAAAGTGGAGCCCTAAGGTCAAGAATCCAGAATACGAGTTGGAGAGAAACGACCCATTCAAGAGGTACGCTTCCTTCTCGAGACAAAACACCATGGACCCAGATATGCTTGCTTAAGCTTTCACTTCCATTAGACATGTCTTTACGTTTTAAGTTATTTGGGTTGGCATGCGCTGGTTTATCGCGTGTGAAATTTTAGGTTTATTCATTATTACAGCCGTCATAGTAATTCATCATTCGTTTATTGCGAGCATTACATATATATACCCGCTTAGATAACGACACATTACAATAAAGATTTTTAATTTACCTTTTTGCCTCTACTGGGCCAATTGCTTCTATTCTACTATATATACATCAACGCAAATCTTGGTTCTTCACTTCGAAATGACCGCCCAAATGCTCAGTGACCCCAAATTTCTGGATGATACCCTCCTTTGTAGACTTGTCCACATCTACCACTGTAATTGATGTGTTGAAAGGAACTTTCAAGTTTTCTTCCTTAAGGCCCTCTCCCAAACTGTAACCCTTGGCGTTGTATAAGTGGTTAGAGAACGAGGTAATTACACCACCGTGTGTACAGACCAAAACGTTAGTGTAGTCTTCAGCTTCTGCTTTCTTCACCAAAAGATCCCATTCTTCTTGAACACGACACCTTAGTTCATGTTCCTTTTCTCCCATTTGTTTGAACTGAGTTCCGTATTTCTCCTTGGCATCGACAATGTTCATGCCTTGAACTGGTCCCATCATACGCTCTCTCATATTTGGCGTGACTCTAACAAGATCTTTTGTCAAATGTGGGTTGTTCTGCAAGATATCCTTGATGGTGCTGATACACCGACACAAGTCTGAGGTCACGCAGTAATCGAATTTATAATCTTCTAGGTAGTGGGCTACTTTGGCTGCCTGTTCCTTTCCGGTTTCGTCTATGTCTATATCAAGGTGTCCCTGGATGACCTTTTTGGAGTTATATTCTGTACGCCCGTGACGGACGACGAAGATACGGACTTTGGAGGGGTCCTCGTTGGGCTTGGTTTCTCGAGTCATGAAGAGAAGTAGGTGAAAGTTAGCCAAGCATCGTTCCATTAATTAAGTGAAAATCCTGCATATTACATAAAAGATAAGCCCGAGTCCCTAAGCGTTATCTAGGGCCGGCGGTAGAGCAAAAATCCTGATTTCACACCCACCTTCGTGTACAAGAGCTGTGCTCTGTGATTTTCAAACTGCGTGCTCCAGTAGCACTTGGGACAGTTAAGGCGATCCGCCTCCTTGTATCCAAACTCAATCAACGCCCTTCCAACTCCCTTGAGCCGAGAGGCCGAGCTCACGTACAAGTCGTTCAAGTATAAAGCGTTCTCGACGGTCCAAGTGTTGCGGTGAGTCAAATAGTTGATGAACCCGATAATTTTGCCAGTATCATCCACGGCAACGGCGGAATATACTGGCTCGTTTTCGTCAAGGAATCTGTTGAAGGTCGTCTCTGTAGCCTCATCGGTAACTCTGTCTAGCGCATTGTAGAACTTCAAGTAAGAATCCTCTGGTGCATTCCACAATGCTTTCCACAGCGCTTTATCGCCCGCTTCGATTGGTCTGATTGAAAATGACATGCTCGTCAATATAGGTGTGTGGCTAGCGCAATTATATACATATTGGCTGCGAAACCCGCTAAGACTCACTCCGTTATGCCATCGGGGTAAACGCGGGGTTATGACTCAGGGTCCAGACAGCACTGCTATTTTTTGACTGAAGTCAGAATTAGAAGGCCGCCACTGTCCATCCCATCTTTTCACATGTCTCGCCCCAATCGATGGTCAAAAGTCCGTCTGGATTGGCGATCCAGATCTGCTCCACAATGTGCCTGACATTGTGAACATTAAACACTTTGTAGTAGGTTTGCAAACGTGTGAACTTATGTCTGAGCTCAATACGGTCCATTTCCTTGTAACAGGCGAGGCCGCAAAGGAGCATTATCTTCGTAACGGCGGCTCTGAGATCGCATTCAATGAGTACGTCTAGTAGCTTGAATGTTTCCAAAAGAACGCCTTGTACCTCCGGGGTTCTAGGAGGGAGATCTCTGATATACATAAGCACATAAAGCTTGCATGTGTTTCTGAAGGCCTCGAAAAGTGTGTGATGGTTGTGGAGTTGACTAGGTTCGATAAAGCATTCTTGGTTCTTGCGAGGCTTGCAGGCTTCGACTTTTGCCCAGAGTCGTTTCCCATGTTTTTCAGTTTCTTTGTAGTGTTGGAGACGACGGCTGTTGAGGAGATTTATATCGATGGAAGGGTCGTGGGCGACATTCTTACTGTCTTCTTTGAGGGTTCTCCTGACGGACGATAAAACGGAATAGGCTTGTAGAATTTCACAGAGCACCAAGAAGATCAGGTGCATACAGCCCTGGAGAGGATCGATTCCATAGGTGAAGTCGGTTTCATCTTTGAAAGGCGAGCCATACTCTTCGGCAGTAAGCAAAGTGCCATGTTTGAGCGACTCGGACGACATAACGTCATTGTAGTGAAGGTTGGAGATGACCCATTTGGCACTGTTGGAATAGTTCATTTTGGCCAAAAAGTTCTTTGTTGAGCCGAAGCCACGGATGAGCTCACCACACTTGCGGTGATGGTGAACCCATTCCTTGGTGTCACCTGAGCAAACGCCGATACCGGCTGCGTTCAAGTGGAAACATATTAGGTTGAATTTGTCTTGATCGTCGAGCACTTTGTTTGAATAGAACCGTTGCAAGGAGAGGTCTGCTTCGTGCATTCTTGACTTGAGGCTTGCTGAGTTGGGCCCATCGACGAATAATGCACCCCATGCTGCAAGAAGCCGTAGCACGCTTTCGTCACGGTACGAAACGCCTGTGAAGGTCGAGGCGAAGTGGTTTTGGCAGGATTTGGGGGAGATGCAGATGCGATGGATTATTTCGTTGTGGAAGAAGTACACAAGCTGGTAGCCTCTTTCGTCGAGAATCAACCGGAAAGGATCGATAGGCTCCACGAGGGTATTTGGCTGCATGGCCTTTTGCTTGTTGAGGGGCACGAGGCTGTAGTCTTGATTGGGGAACTCAGTTTCAGTGGGGTGGCCTTTGGATCCCGGGGAAAGAAACAAGAACTCGTCAAACTCGGCGGGTCCGTGCTCAGGCTCGAGCTTAACCGGCACTTTTGAGTCTAAAACAGCCTCGATAGGCTCGTCCATGGGTGCTATTGATGTCTCTGGCAGTATTTCACCCGACCCCGATGAGACTGGAGCATCCTCGGAGATGCCCTGGAGAGAGGTCCTCGACTTGATCTGGGCCAGGTCCAGGTACACACACTGGATGCCTCTTGTTGTACATAGGCCACAGCTGGGCCGCTGCTCGTCACACTTCTTCTTTCTCATTCGACAGCACAAGCAGCCCGTCTTGGATCGGGTTCTCTTGGGCTTCCCCGTGACGGTGGAGATGTTGGCCTGGTTGAGGTCGTCTGCGGACCGCACCACGATCTGCTTCAAGGAGTTGGCCTGGAGCGTGGTGTACATGGTTTGAGGTGTTTACAGATGGAGAAGATGGTTTAGATATAATTGTAGGAGCCGTTGGGAGGGTGCCTGCACCTGGCCAGCATCCACGCAGCGGGTGAAGTCGTCGTGCAGGCTGTCACCCGGATGGTCCATCGAAACGGGCCCTTAGAGCGGCTCAAAATGTGCCAAACTCGCCAACCAACTTGGGTCATGGTGGTTTTGGAGGTAGTTTTTTTATTCGACCGCCGTATCCCGTCGTATCGTCCATACCTCCAGGGTTCCCCAAGTCTTGGCACCAGAGGGCTGAGGCAGCGCAGGCTGGCCAGCTTCGCCGCAGTCCAGTACACTGGGGAATCTTCGATGCCCCTGGCCGCGATTAAGCGAGCTTGTCTGTGGAAACATCCACAAAAACCATAGACGGAAAAGGCGGCTGCGGTCTGGAGGCGCAGAAATCGTTGCTTTGCTGCGGTAGGAATACGGTGGCGGCGCCGGCAAAGCGGGTGCAGTCGTAGGAAGCCGCTTCCGGGAAGGTTCTGCCTGAGCAATTCTCTTGACTAAAAAACTCTAGCGCCGTGCGTCGTCTTTTGCAAACCACCCTCTCGCTGACTCAGCTCGCCAAAACATGCTCCAAGGGTCCTGGAGACCCTGGATTTTGCAACCAGCCTCACTAGATGTAGGAATTTAGGGGATGGCTCGGGGATGGCCATTGTGCCGAGTCCAACAATGTTCTTTGTGCTCGTAATACCTCGAGGTATGGAACGAGTCATGAGTCAGCCATCACCCTGGGTTTGTGTAACTTGACGCTTTGCTCTAGCGATCTGGTCGCACCTTCGGGGTCACTGCCGTTGCAGATCAAAGCCCCTTGAGTCTGGTAGTAGGTTGGTTTCGTGGATAAGATTGGCTGGATTGGTTTTTCCGTGGGGAAGCCGCTGCGCCGTGAACAATGGCCTCGCGCCAGTGCATCCACTCTCGGATAAACTTCCCTTGGCTTTGCTCCAGTCGAGAAGTGTCACAAGAATGGTTTTTGACGCTACGTTTTTCCGGCCGGACCGGACCACGCTTTTCGAGACATACGCTACGATCTTCCAGGGTATCCAAAAAGTAACACTCCGGTTATGAGCAGTGGAGGCCCGAAGTTCCATGCTCATCAGAGCAGCAAACCATGCAGCCCAATACGAGCCGTGGTGGGACTTTCGGGCCGAACGATCCAAAAAAGATCTATATGTGTTGTGGTGGTACCTAACTTTACTTTGGTGTAATGTCCTTCAGTAGGCCGTCTCATCACTGTTGGGGCGCGACCCAGATATCAAATACCCCACAACGGCCTAGAGGCACAAAGTGGAAAGACGTTCAGAATTACTACAGACATGAGCGAAACCAAGAAACGTGGCAAGTACGGCAGACCCTGTGACTTGTGCTCCTCAAGAAGAGTCCGGTGTGTTTTCCCCGAAGGCTCTGAACGGTGCCAGAGCTGTATCAACCAAAATACACAATGCACACAAAACAGAATTCGAAAGAAGTCCGGGCCAAAGGCAAGAAGGGTTCCAGAGGATTCGCCTCAATCGTTGCTCTACACGCCTTTGGCGGATACTCGGTTGGACTTTACCACTCCGAGACCGATTCCTATGGACGAGTCTTATACTGAGAGAATGGACCCCTATATGGCCAGAATATCTCTAGATAAATTGATTGCGTATCTTCAGGTCTATCAAACGTGGTTTTACGGCTACTGGCCGGTGCTCTCGGTGGCAGAGATCATCTCGAAAATCACGAACTCCAATCTGATGAGTGAATCCATACACTCGATCAGATTGACAGAAAGAAACGTCTTTTACTACAGTCTAGCGTGCTCCGTTTGTGCTGCTATAGCCACTCAAATGACCTTTGTTTCGGTGAAAGATAGACTCGTCAATGATGCCTTCAGCTGTCTGGACACAGAGTACGCCGACGAGGCCAAACGGGCTAGGAACTTGTTTGATTACACAAGTAATCCAAACGTCGAGACTCTTCTCTCATCCTTCTTCCTCTACGCTCATTACACGAATCGCGAGGGCAAAACTAACCAGGCGATCATACACTTGAGGGAAGCCATATCGGTGTCCCAGCTCTTGGGATTTCACAACCAAGCCACCTACCAAAACAAGTCGGTGGCAGAAAAACATCGTTGGCAAAAAATCTATTATACCTTGCTTGTCACTGAACGGTTTGTATCATTCGAGGACGCAATGCCTGTTATTCTTGATCCAACGATTGCATTACCGCTGCTTGAAAATGAGGAGTATCCGAGTCTATTGGTCGGGTTCATTGAGCTTGTCAAGGTCTTTTCCGTTCCTCATAAGCACATTTTTGAAGAAGTTCATATGAAAGGCGGCAACCAAAACATCAAGGCATTCAGAGACTATCTCCAAAATCACGACAATGCCCAAAAAACCAGGTGTATTCTTGAAGTCCAATCACAGCTCGACCAACCCCTAGACCAAACAACGAAGGCGTCTGATTCGCAAAAGCTCAACATTTACCTTTCTCGTTCTTGGATCCAAGCAATTGCCTGGCATATCACATTTGAAAACGGACTACTCACATATTCGTCGGAACAATCAACCAACTGCCTAGCAAAGGATTTTCCCATAAAAATAGCCAGGGATTTCTTAGCGTCAACAAAGGACCTTCCTGCTGTGGCATTCGAGGCGAATGGCCCCGGAGTGTGCATCAAGCTACTCGAAATAGCCAACTCGCTTGTATTTGCCGTGCCAGGTTCGTATAGCAAATCGATTTTGGCGGATAGTCTAAATTCGATCTTTATGCTTGCAAATCAATTCAAAAATCATATTACGCTACCAATGGATGTTTACCACAAGGTGGTCGGAAAAATCTCTTCATTCTCCACCCATGTTGAAAGACCCTTGTCCCTCGAATCTCCGGCTACAGCTGCCATTCAAGAATTGTTTGACGAAGATGACATAGAAGAACAAAGCGGCTCCTGTCTCGGAAGCTCAGAACTTCTGCCCACAGACAGAAATCCCTCATTTACGCAGCTTTACAAGCAACTGGGCGCAGCATATCCTCAGGCGATGGTGAACGCCTTGAGTGGTAATTCAAGCCAGGACGAAAATGCCGTCTTGGCGAACAACGATCTATTCGAAAGCTCCCCTTCATTATCACATTTCATGCACCCTCCATGAAGTCTATTAATGGGAGATGTTAGCGCCGTATTGAGAAGAAATTTCCCTTTGTTCCAATTCCACTGACGTGGGGGATGTGTTGAGAAGTGCACTTGGCAAGAAATCTGACGAAATCGCTCATAGACTTCTCCGATACCGCTCCGGATCAATGTCCACAGATATTATCCCAGGGTTGCATAATTTGCGGCTCTCAAAAGCTGCAAATGGAAGCGAGTGGGGTGATCGAGTGCGTAAATCTCGTAAAAATATTTTGAAACATTACGAAAAACCCAACATGCGACAGCAGTCCGGCATCAATCATTTCCAAATTGGCTTCTCTTGATAGTGGGGGAGGCGGGGCCGAACGGCGCGCCAAAGTCCAGGAATCGGGGAAACGCAAGAACTCGCAATAATTGGATCTCTCTGTGCTTGAAACGCGGGCGGTTAAACCTCACAGATTGCTTTTTCAATGTTTTCGAGACTATGTCCTTGGGGCCTTCCCCGTGTTTTCGCCGAATTTACGAGGCTGTCATTGCCGCACGCACACAGCTCGCAAACCTTAGATTTTCCGAGAATCTAAGTCTCAAGCCTCCATGACTATCCCTTCAATTTTATAACACACACCTTGACTCAATATAATGAGTCAAACTTTACAATGGATGCCTCGAAGTTTTGCCCGCTGTTGGCTTTGTCTTGCATTCTTCCGTACATTGTGAAGGCTTCAAGCGGGACCCGCGTTCGGAATTTCTCCGGCATTCTTGCATCAGAGAACATTGCCCGTATAGACTACCCCATACTCACTATAGCCGCCCCTGCTTTGGCGTCTCAGGTCACATAGCGGGGCGCTTGTTGCCCCACATCCGCTTCCGTGTCATGGGAGTTGCAGCAGCTAAAGATGTATAAATTCAAAAAGTCCGCTGGCTGGTTTTGATCTTTATCAAAATTTGATCTAACTGAATATGACTGACCACGTTGAAGATGTTAAGAAGCCTGAGTTGACGACTCACATCACCGACAAGGATGACAAGGAATCGACTGAGTCTATGGACGTCTATGCCCAAGAGTACATGTCCAAGTTTTTGGATATCTCTAACAACGCTAAGGAGAATGATAGCAAGGAGAAAAATATGTCTCTTAAGGAAGGTATCAAGACCTTTCCAAAGGCTGCTATGTGGTCTGTGATTTTGTCTTCAGCTATTGTCATGGAGGGATACGATCTCAACCTTATCAATTCGTTTTATACATTTCCCAGTTTCGTCAGATCATTTGGTGAATACTATCCAGAGAGTGACAGATGGGAGATTCCTGCTCGGTGGCAGACTGGTCTCAGTATGGCTGTCAACTGCGGTCAAGTCCTTGGTTTATTTATCGTTGGTTTCGTTTCTGAAAGATTGGGATACAGAAAGACTATGATCTCGTCTTTGCTTTTGGTGACTGCTTTGATTTTTATCGTATTCTTCGCTCAAAATATTACAATGTTGCTTATCGGTGAGATTTTGCTTGGTTTACCATGGGGTGCATTCCAGGCCATAACTTTGTCTTATGCTTCTGAGGTTTGTCCAACTGTCTTGCGTTTGTACTTGACAACCTATGTTAATGTCTGTTGGGTCATTGGCCAGTTGATCTCTTCTGCTGTGTTGAGAGGCCTTGTCAACTCTGATATTACTGACTCCTGGAAAATCCCATTCGGCCTTCAGTGGGTCTGGCCTGTTCCCATCGCCATTGGTGTATACTTCGCTCCCGAATCGCCTTGGTGGTTGGTGAAAAAGGGTAGATACAATGAGGCAAAGCATTCGCTCGAAAGATTGTTGACTGAAAATGAACACTTGCCAGACAAGCTGGTCATGTCGCAAGCTATGGTGGACAAAATAAAGTTGACAATTAAGGAAGAAGAGGCGATCAGTGCTGGTGTGTCTTTCAAAGACTGCTTCAAGAAAAAGAACATCAGAAGAACAAGAATCTCGTGTTTAACATGGTTGATGCAAAATATCACCGGTTCCGCTTTCATGGGATATTCCACTTACTTCTACTTGCAAGCAGGTTTATCCACGTCAATGTCTTTTACGTTCTCAATTATTCAGTATGTTTTGGGTATCATCGGAACTTTGGTCGCCTGGTTCACATCCCAGAAGCTTGGTCGTTACGACTTATACTTCAACGGTATGATTTTGCAGTTCCTTCTCTTAGTCACAACTGGTATCCTCGGCTGCTTCCCAAGTGATGCTACTTCATGGGTGTTGGCTCTTTGCTTTTGGTGTTCACTTTCGTTTATGACTCCGGAGTTGGTCCAATCACTTATTGTTTGGTGACGGAGATGCCATCGGCTAGCTTGAGAACCAAGACTGTTATCTTGGCTAGAAATTGTTATAATATTGCTGGTATTATTATTGCCATCATCATGCCCTACATGTTGAACCCAACAGCTTGGAACTGGAAAGCAAAGACTGGTTTCTTCTGGGCTGGTTTTGCCTTCTTGGCTTGTGTTTGGTGTTACTTGGACATGCCAGAAACCAAAAACAGAACTTTTGCAGAATTGGACCATTTGTTCGAAAAAGGAGTTCCAGCTAGAAAGTTCAAGCTGACTAACGCTGATATCTTCGATGTTGATGAAATGATGGGTAAACTTGGTGATGACGCAGTTAGAGACATAATTGAGTCTAACCGTCTTGAGAACAGCACTATTGAAAAGGTTTAAAATAAAAATTCACAGCTGAGCACGCAAGCAAGTCTCACTAATGCTCGCGAGCGAGCTCTTTTCAGTTCTTACAAAATATCATTAGTTGTTCAAATAAAGTTAAATGTAAAAAAAACGTATTCATTGAAAGGTAAGGAGTGGCCGGCGACATTTAACTGATCTTCCTCGACTAGTTGTTCTTGTCACCATGATGTGCGATGCAAGTGGTTAAGGAGCAGCCAATTATTCGTCTTCGATATCTGTCTCGAGGTCACACATAGACCGGCAATTTGGACAGTAAAATTGAGGATAGCTCTTGATAATGATGGGTCGTATGCACTTGTAGTGCCATGAATGTGAACAGGGACTTATAAATAGCGCTTGACAAGGCTCGAGCTTGAGAAGACAGATAGCACATTCAGAGAGCTCGGAGTTGCCATCGTCCTTGTCCGATTCAAGACCCAAACGTTTCATCTTCTTGTGAATGTCCAAGTTAAATTGGTTCACCTTGCGCTGCCAGCTTCTGTTAAACTCACAACGCATCTTTACGCATCTGTAAACTTCTTCAGTTCCGCCTCTGTAGTCCAAACCCAACTGGACAATGTCACCGTCTATTAGCGGCCAGAGCGTCAGCTCTTGGGATGCCTGAGATAAGCGTACGTTATTAAGGAAGGTACCTGACGATGACTTGCAGTCCTTGAGGAACCACGATCCGTCTTCATTGCACTGGAACATGGCGTGGGTACGAGACACCACTTTAGACTTGAAGACGATAGGTGCTGAAGAGCCCTGCGGGCATGAGCAGCACTTTTGTTCTTCTCGGTGTATCTGCCGATGGAGATCAGCTCCTTGGGCTTGATTCGGCGAATCATGGGTGAAAAGTAGAGACCAGTGTTGGAGGTCAGATGGTCGATGATAGGGGTCAAACGAACGGAATAAAAGCCGTCCTTGTCCTTTCCAGTAGCATCTTCTTCCTTTATAGCCTCGGCCTCGGCAGTCTCCTCGGAGATGATGGGCTGGCTGCGCACCATAGTGTCTTGACGGGCCAAGAAGGGATGCTGGGCCTGGTTTTCGCTCAGCGAGTTAGAGGATCCAGCGGAATTGTTCAAGTCAGCAGAGGCATCGGTAAACCCGTTGAGGTTGGCGATGGTGGGACTGTTAGACATGAAGTAGTGGGTTTGTGGAGGTGGATGCGAATGCGTATGCGAGTGGGGATGCGAGTCTGTTTGGTTATGGGAATGCAGGTGGCCGGCGTGAGTGTCCAGGGAAGTCAGGTTGGAGTGAGAGCCTCTGATGGTGTTGGAAAGGGAGCTGAGGAAGGACAAGCCGAAGGAGGGACGTCTGGCCAACCCAGATTGTTGAGGTCTTGTAGGGGAGTTCTACTGGCAGCTGAGGCGGGCGGAGCTGCCGGAACAGCGGAGCCTGAACCGGAGAAATCCCCTGAGGAGGCTCCTGATGAAGCTCCGGACGAACCTAGTGATTGTGCGCCTTGTTGTTGTGATGCCTGCGGCTCAACCGTCTGATTAGTGGCTGCGAGGGAACCAGAGCCGGAGCGCTGGATCTGTGCTGGGCCTGTTGACGATGCGGAGACCGGGACGGGAGCTGTAGAGTTTGGTTCAGCAGAGTTGCCGCCATTTAAACCAGTTCCTGTGGCCGTTCTGTCCTCCAGGCTGGTCAGGTTATTCTGGGTATCATGAGGGTAGGGCACCAGAGGTCCGCTGTTGGAGCGTAGGCCAAAAGGAGGAGGGCTGTTAGCATCTCGAGAGGCTTCGTGGATCTCTGGGGAAGACGTCACGGGAGGGTTGCTAGGCAGCCCCGGAGCCAGGTTATCGGATGAAAGCGGCGACCTGTCGCTGGACTTTGAAAGTGTCCTTACTGGGGTCAGGCTTGCCACAGCGACGGAATCAGTCATTATATTTGGGAAATAGCAAGAACCGCAGAGCAGCTGGAAAAGAACAAGTGGTTGTGGTAAGCAGCCGAGTGAGGTAATTAAAGGGAGGGCCAAAAAAATACACAGAAAAAATGTGACACAGCAAATAGACAGGCCATTCCCAAGTCAGGCAAAACACCGAATTCCACAGATTCCGAGCATAATGAGATCAGGCCCGGATCTGCTGCCGCTTGTGACTACAAATGATGTTTTTTGAATTTTGAATTTTTGCCGAAATCCCTCCTCCCTGTCTTTATCTTTCTTTGGTAGCAGCCAAGAATGCGTAGGCACCGCACCTGACCGTCGTGAGACAGTGCGATCTGGGCGGCTGATGGCTGTTTCGGGACGATATTAATATCGTTGTGATCGTCAGAATTAGGAGAAGAAGAATATCGAGTTTGTTTAAGCGTAGCATGTAAGTCTTGGGTCTTACACGGAGTTCCCGTTTATCGGCTCCTCGCATCGGGCTTCGTATGCGCCCGTCTCTTCCCCAGCGCAAGCCACCTGCCTTTCTAGGCGAGCACCCAGGGCTCCCCACATCACATTTTGCACCCACTGCCCAACGGAAAATATAATGTGAGAAAAACGAGCAAAGCATCTGAAGACTGATGGAAGGCTAAATTTTAACGAAATTTTACAAGTAACTTCTAAAGTTCGGTTTATTTGATACTTTCATCGTGGCATAGGGCACGGAGGTCAGCCAACATGCTGGCTATACGTATAGACGGGTAAACAGCCGTGCTGCTTGATGTAGCTCGTGAAGCATGAGTTATTGTGTCAGATCCGACCTCCGAGGCATCATCAACGAATGTCCCCTGAAACAATTTCGTGACCGTGCCTCGTCGCGTCTGGGCCTTTGTATATCAGCTCAGATATGCTCACAAGATCCTTCGAAACCTTAATGTTTCCTTTAGCACGAGTTTCTTGTGATCCAAGGAAAACAGGCTTTTTGTAGTACATCTCACGATCTCTCCTAGTAGTTGGATTTCTCGCTGACTAGACGCAAGAGCAACTGCTGCAACTGGTCACGACCCTTCGGACTTTCCCAGATCTTGTGTCCACTGTTTTCGGCGACTACCCACTCCAACAGGCGATCACTTATCTTCACCATGTCTCGCTGCCACTTGCCCCAGTTGAGCGAGTTCTTGATCATAAAGTCCGACAGGATCACTGCCAAAGGAACCAGCTGGACATTTGCGTTCTGCACCTCGTTGAACGATAAGATCGAGGCAGTGACTTGTTCCTGAAGTCTTGCACGAAGGTACTTGGGGCTGTAGACCATGTCTCTGCCGAACACTCTGCTCTTGGACGAGTACCTCTGTGGGTGGAAGAACCAGTGAAGGTTTCTCACTATTCCCAAAGGCGACACAATACCACGGAGCCAGACTTTGAAGCCCTGCCAGGAGTCCATGAGCTCTAGAATATCCTTGAACACCTTCCTGCTCTCGTTCTTCTTGTTGCTTCCGCTGAATGGGAAGTGTTTGAGTAAGTCCTCGTGCCAACTATCGACGAGGAAAAGCGAATGAATCTGGCCCCTGTTTCTCAGAGCAAACACCCTGGAGTAAAGTCCGCCTTCATCAAAGCCCACAGCCAGGAAAGGTCCCTCGATCTTCTCGGACCGGAGTGCCTCCATGAGGTACTCGACGATAATGGAGATCGAAACTGGCAGAGGGGCGCTATCAGAGAAGGCATAGCCGGGTCTATCCCAAACACAGAATCTCTCGATTTTGTTCATTTGGTAAAGCTCCTGAACCCACTCCTGAAACACCTCTGAGGAGGTCTGCTGGCCGCCTTCGATAAGCAAAACAGGCTGCTTAGCCTTGGATGGATCGTCCTTCTCCCCGTCCTTTTCGGCCATCGGAGCGTGAACATCACCGTAGCAGGCCAAGTGGACCTTGAATTGGCCCTCGTTAACGGGGATCATCTTGCCCCATGGCTTCTCGTGAGAGTCGAATCCCTCAAGCCAGACGGAGAGCGAGATACACCAAATCACCCACAACAAAAACAACTTGACCGAGATCTTGATGAGCATAATCAAGAGTTCCGAGACCGATCTTCTCTTCTCGACCCTTCCGGTGTACCTGATCTCCTGCTGTGCCTTTCCACGCTCTACTGACCAGTCAGCAAAGCAGTTCAAGGCGATATTGAGAAGTGTCCAGAGCCAGAGGAGGTTTCCAAAAGCACCCAGCTGGCCACGGAGGTATGGAACGCTGAGCAACACTATCAAGTCAACAAACACTAAGCCACAACTAACGTAGCCTAGCAACCTTTCATAGTACGCAGGTACGGCAAAACACCAGAGCGTCACGGCACCGGTCAATATGTTCAACAAGGCCAAGTCAAAGTCAAGCGGTGACTTGCCCCGGCGATTGAAGAAGGGTATCGAGATGAAGTCCGAAACAACCACCAAGAATAGTACGAGTCCATTCACTGCAAGCACTGCAAAAAGAACCAGTCTCAAAACAGCAATCCGGCGCAAGTTCAAGGGCAGCACAATTGGGTCATCGGGGTCCACATAGCGTCTGCTGGAGATCAATGGCTCTCTTTCAAGGTCAGCACTAGAAGACCCACGCTCCTCTTCGGAAGGTCTATCTGGGGAAGCCTGACGTTTAGGCGATTGTGGCTGTTCCTCCTGAGAGGCAGCAACAGAGTCCGGCATCGCTCAATCGAATTATCAGAAAAGCACTAATATATGTCTGTTTAGGGGACTAGCAATCTAGCAAGGACCAGGCGTCACGTGCACTGGGTGCAAAGAAAGGTGGAGGTCTATCACGCGCTGGCTATCGCATTGCATTGACGTCTTATCGTATAATCACCAATGTCACTAATAACCATCGGGTCCACTTCTGAAAGTGATGGTGTTACTTACTATGATGTCAACATCACATTGCCATTGAGGGCTCTCACAGTCTCGAAAAGATACTCTGACTTTGGCAATTTGCTCAAACTGTTGTGTGAGGACTTGGGGATATCCCTGGGAGAGTTTCCATACCAACTTCCTCCAAAAGGGTCCTTTTTCACAAGCAAGGCTAAGCTTGTCAACGAAAGAAGATTCAGCTTGTCTGAGTTCTTGAATAGTGTCGTTCGTGACAGAGACCTCCAGAACAGACCAGCTGTCCACAGTTTTCTCCAGTTGCCTTCAAACTTCAAGTTCACCCCTGCCATGTTTGAGGAAGAAGGCATCAGTGACTCCAAATTCCTAATTGATGAATTGCCCGAGGAGATCGATAACAGCCAGTGGCTCAAGTACCTACGTCAGGTTAAATCTGCACTCGCTGAGCTCCCCAGAGGAGGCGATATAGCCTCGAGATCGGCAGCCAGAGAGCATGTCAACAAGTACATTCAACCCAATATTCAGAAATTGGCCTCGGCTCTCTCGCTGCTCAATCTGAGTGGCGCCATTGACTCGTCTCAGTTCAGCCAGAGGACTTCCTCACTCAGGGAACTCCTGAATGAAACTGAGAGGTTGATTTTTAAAAGAGATGTGGCGGCCAAGAAGGATGACTCTCCTCATTACGCTTTCAGTAAGAAGCAAAAGGATCCTGCGAAGGAAACCAGCTCCACGGCTGATTTGGATAATAGTCAGCTTCTCCAACAACAGCAGCAGATCCATAAAGACCAGGATCAGGAGGTCGAGCAGCTCAGGAAAATAATCGCTCGTCAGCGAGAGATTGGAGAGACGATAGGCAGAGAGGTTGAGGAGCAAAGCGAGATGCTCGATCGCTTCAACGACGAAGTTGATGCATCATCGGACAAGATGAAGGATGCCAGAGCTAGGGCGAAGAAAGTCACCTCTTGAGTGACTCGATTCAATGTGCTACGAGCAGAGCTTTCCCATGTGGTTGCCGTCTTTAATGAAAATGGTGAACACATCTTTAATCCGAAGAACTCAATCAACAAAAGCTTTCAAAATTCTCGGAAATTGATGATACCAATCAAAATTCGAGGAACAATGGCTCCTCGGCTGGCATGTCGCTCAAGCCCTACCACCAGGCGCGAGAGCGCGACTATATAAGGCGCTCTTTTGTCGATGAGTAAAAATACTACCCTTTTTTCACTCCAAAATGTATGTTACCCGTTTGCAGTAAGAAGATGATAAACAACTCGCCTATATCGAGAATTCATGAGAATTAAAAGTTTAACACCAAGATCTACGCTGAACTGCTCTAAATTTCTATTATGGTACTAACCGTTAGTATAGCTGAGGATGAGCCTGCTTTAAAACCTGGCCCCATTTCTCAATGCCCTCTTTTATTTCTTCTTCTTCAAGCAAGGCAACGCACAAACGAGCGCCTACCTTGTTCCAGCCAAGGCTGTCTCCCTCGACCTCGAAGTTGCCGCCTGCTGCAATCACGACGTTGTGTTCTTTTTGAAGCTTGGATAAAATCTCGGCGATATCCACGTCTGGTGCCTCAATCTCCACCCAGACGAAGTAGCCGCCGTTACCACCATAATACTTTGTATACTTGGCTGGAAGGGCTTCGTCCAAAGCTTTCTTAAGAGTCACAGCTCTACTCTTGTATGTCTTCTTGTAGTGCTCAATCGTGTCGTCAAGCGTGCCATCTTCGATGAAATGCTGAACGACGACTGAATTCAATTGACCAGGAGTACCTCCTGACTTGTTGGCGCCAGTCCCCGACAACTGAAGTGCCAAAGTCGGTGTGGCTGTTTCCTGCCAGCCCACACGAAGTCCTGGAGCGATGATCTTGGAGAAGGAAGAGTTGGAGACGGTGTTACCGAACTTCCATCCTTCTGGAAGGGTGTCTTCATCAATCTGACTGAGCTTTCTGACTGGCGGCTTGCCCTCATAATTGAGATGGTCGTACACATCGTCAGAGAGAAGAAGCAAGTCATGCTTTCTTGCAAGTTCAACAAGCTTGGTTCTCGTGGCCTCCGCGTAAGTGAGGCCACCAGGGTTCGAGAAGGTTGGTACCAAGTACATCACGTATCTGTATTGTTTCCTGACACCCCTGCCTGTTGGATCTGGGAAGATGTTGATCTCCTTGTCACCAACAGGCTTAAGGCCATGTTTTTCGTCCAACTCCGTCAATTTCTTTTCCAAGTATTCAATGTCTATGTCGAACTCACCACCGGGTGTCTCTCGGACAGCGGTCATTTTGTTTTCGAATCCGGCGTCAATAAACGCATAATTGATCAAGAAGTAGGTAGGCAGGACCACAAATGCTTGTAGAGTTGTCTCTGTGTTGGTAGTCGCCAAAAGAATATTCTGTGATCCATATGAGGATCCTCCAGTCAAGTTGATTTGGTCTGGATGTAATGAGGTTCTTCCAAACTGCTTGTTTACCCAACGAGCCACACTTTCTCTTGCCGTCAAATTTCCGAGGTCAGTTCCATACTGAAGAGGATGACGGTTCTCGGGATCAGACTCATAGTCCGTGTGGGCTGTTTCGCTAATGACTTTGGCAAAAGCTTCCGAAAGTGCCCTCTTGGGCAAAAGATCAAGGGTTGGGTGGCCCTTGAAGAAGTTGATCTGCTTTGGCATAAAGAAAGTAGTCTTATCTAAGTACCGCGGAATTTGTGCGGAGAGCTGGAGAAGTAATGACCTAAAAAGACGGCCAATTGACGATGGAGAAGAAATTCGATTATTTCATTTAAGCTCGTTCATTATTTAGCATCTTATTTCAACCGAATATCCTTATTTCTCATAAGACGTTTGGAAGTGCAATTAAGTCGATTGAGTTGTCATGGCTGCAAAAGTGGATCGTTTTCCAAGATTATTTGGATTTTAGCAAATTAAATTGTCACAATCACATCGTGACTGATTCTCGGTTCTGAAGTCATTTGTATAAATATTTTATTATTACAATGTTAAATATACTACAATAGATAATTGACAAAGGCTCATGAATCCTCACAGAATATGCAAACTGAGAACCATTACTTCGACCCACCAGGTTCTGAATGACAACGTTAATTCAAATGAGATACAAAACAAAAAAAAAAAAAAAAAAAAAAAACAGAGAAAACAGATACAATTTACGAAATTTATGCTCCAAAATATTTTTATTACAGTACCATTATATGCTTTCCCTCCTCCTCTAGATATTTGCACCCATTCATTGAATGCTGTTCCAAGTAAGTAGACACTAAATCTCCGACCAATTATTACTGCAGTACCCACGGATAATGAAAGCTACTAGCTAAACTAGCTTTATCAATAATATTCATAGAGAAACCGGTTTTTGGGTTCCCCAGACTGTTCTGGTGTACAGGTGCCCGCTGCCCAATTACCTTCGCACAAAAACTTTTTATAAAGCATAACCATACTAAAGTCCATCAATTACGAAAAATAATGGTGACTGCGGCCGGTGTGATTCTCAGTACCATTCTTGGTGCTTCGGCCAGAAGGCTCCAAGTTCAGCTTGTGGGCAAGCAATTCGGCAGAACCTGGGACAGAGTTCCAGGTTACGTCTTGTCGATTGGTGCCTTCTTGGGAGGCTACGCCATTTGTGACCACTTTGTTGAGAGAAATAGACACTTATTGAACAGAAGATTGGCCCAGTTGCGTGAACAGAGGGCTCAAGTCGATGCATTCCACGAGTTTGACGTGGAGGGCGACCACAGAATCACTGCGTCTAAGAGAACCAGGAAGTTCTTTGAGTTGTTCGACAAATACGGTCAGGACTACAAATAAGCTCACAAACGTCATCCCATTACTTTCACTTTTGTATTCGTATAGTTGCATCACCACTAATATAAGAACGTGGCCCTTAGCATGTCTAGATGTATTATAGTAGTACAGAGCCTCTTCACTCTTCGTCAGCTTTATCGTCGCCAAGGTCATCGTCGTCTTCGTCGTCATCCTCGCTCACAGAGTCATCGCCGTCGCTGCCTTCGCTAGCCGACGCATCCATATCGCTGTCGTCCTCCTCACCTTCCTCAACACCACCGGTGTAGGTTCCATCTTCTTCCTCGTCGTCACTATCGCCACCAGCTTCGGCTTCCTGTAGGGCAGGCTCAACAACATCAGTTTCTTTATTTTCGGTTTGCTTCTCACGCAACTTGGCATCAAACGAGTTATCTTGAATCTTCATTCTTCTCACGAAATCATCGATTTCCTGGTACGATTGCTGGTCGATCATACTGAATTCAAGAACCTTATCCTCACCGTCGGCGCTGGCGATAGTCACCAACATGTTGAATGTGAAACGGGTGATGTCCTTATAGGAAATATCTCTGATGGTCGAAAATTCTATGAGAAGAACAGGCTTTTTGAAACCAAAAATCATAAAGGCGGTCTCCTCGTTGGTATTGAGAAGGAGAAGACTGCCTTCTTTGGAGCCGTTGTAAGCACTAGCCGCCACGAAGTCGCAAATGTTGTTACCCTTAGTTGAGATGGCGATAGCGGTATCAGCGTTGAACTTCAAAGTGTTCTGCATTGGTCTGGCCAAGGGCATAAAATTATGAAGCTCAATACCACATAATCCAAATTGCCTTTGCAAGAAGAATATGATTTGCTCATTGATGGGCTTTATAGCGTCGCCCTCAGAATCATCCTCACCAACCTGGTGCTCCGCATGAGGAGGCACCTTGCCATCTTCAATAAGTTGTTTTTTAATGACGTCTAGGTTAATGTTGCAGATGATAGGGTCATTTTTGGCGTCGAAAGCAGCGTGATCGTTGAGCCAGAGACACAACATAGCCGTATCTTTCTTCGACAGCACAGTGGAATGGCCCAAAATAGGAGCAAGCATGCAAAGCTTGATTGCCGATTTGAGACTCGTAACCGACATTTCGGGAGTCTGAGTTGCTATGTTGACGATCGAAAGCACTGGATGCGGGACATTGTCTGGCGAGATGAGCAAATGGAATAGAAGGTTGTACTTTCTTCTTATTGGGGAGCCAAAGGACAAGTTTGTCAACTGAAAAATGATTTCTTGTGGATTCACAGGGCCGGTAAATTTGACATGGTGTGGGTTGGGCTGGCCGTTGTTAGCGGAAGGTAACTCTCTAGGTTTGCGCTGAGGAGTTTTCCTCTTTTTGGGGCTGGTCAAGTGCTCGTAGAGCTCATCAAGAATGTCCTGGCTCGAAGGCTGAGCTGTTACAAGTTGGTTGATCTTGATCTGCAACGCAGTCGGTAAAGTGTCGACCCACGACATGGTGACCTTCAGCTTGTTATGGTGTAACGCGAAGTAGGTGGTAGGAGATTGAAGTTCGCATACACCTTAGGATGGAGCTGGCCGAGACAAAGCGGGTTTCTCTTCACGAGAAAAACTCCCGTATTTTGACCATGTTTCCAAGCTGGGCCTCCAAGCTTCTTCGGCAGCGTCGCTACGTAGAGAAAATATATGAGTATATGGCTGGGTTCGAGGAGGACTTGGACGAGCTCAAGCTGGATATAGAGAGGTTTGATAAAGAAGGGAAGCTATTTGAAAAGAGCGATGTTGTTCTAGATCTGAACAAGTCGATTCTTCTAACGTATGCCTTTGGTGACATGTACACGAAGGCATTGGCATTAGCTACAGGTGGAAATATCCGGGCAGATGTGCTTGGAGAAGGCGTTGATTTGGAAAATGCTGTGGAGGAGTATTTCAAGGGAAAACTGGAGAAAACCTCTCCACCTATATTCATCAGGGTCTACAATGAGACGGTGATGGAGGAGGTGCCTGAGAAGGAGACGAACCGGTGGCTTGAGCTACGGCGGATGCTAGCCGAAGTTGGGCTCACTTTGAAGCTTGACACGAAGACAGTTGAGCTTTCGGGGGAAAGTCCAAAAGAAGAAGAAAGAAGATGGCCACAGGGAGAGTTTGTCACTGTGGATCCATACAACTGGTTCTGTTCGAGCGAAGAGTTTCTCGAGGAATTTCCCCCAACAGGTGCAGAAATTCCAGCTGAAGACATCATCAAAGACTACGAAAGAAACGACGATAACGGCCTATTATTAGACTTTCTTCTGAAGCGTCTGCCCAAAGTCCCCGTCGACCCTCTTCCAATTTGCACCCAATTGTTAGCGGTGCTCCTTGCTGCCTATAACTACGAAATTGTACCTATTCGAAAAGAGAAGGTGAAGGAAACATGGCAAATCCTTGAGGCTCTAAGCATCAGCTAGCGTGGAAGAGCTGGTCGTCAGTTGATGCTCCGTTCATGCGCTCGGTGAACAGAAATCACGCATTGCCAGAAACAACAACTATAAGCTCCAGGCAAAAGTATCTCATTACAAATGAGGAAGTCTCAAAGTCCACCAAAAAGCAATGACTCACACCGCTTAGGATCTACAGTGAAGAATCTACTCACTTTTTTCAGACGCCTTGCTTAAATCATGTCTCAGGTCCTCGGGCTCGCGACATATCTATCGTGTGAACCACAAAAAAGTTTGTTTGGGCCCGTAATCCGGCGGCCATGACAAGATAGAATTAATTTCAATCATCACGAATAGAGTAATACAATTTGTGGATTTGAACTAATCTTAAAGGCCAAAACTTTCTTGAAGAGTGTGCTCTTCTTTGGCGTTTCGGGCGATCCTGCCTATGTACTCATTTTTTTTGGCTAATTTTTTTCTGTTCGTTCAACCTATTCCGCTAACTTCTCAACGTACACCACCTTTATCCCGCTTCCTTTAACCTGAAGCTCCTAATTGTCCATATATAACAGCTAAGCACACTTTCATCGCTTAGATTCCACCCTTGCATTTCAACTTATCACCGAAGTTCACCCATATTATTTCGGTCTTTATGAATCACTAACGGACCCTACACTAGTCCCGAGCCAAAGTAAGAATCAGCAGCATTATGTCCACATCGAAAGTCACCACGCCGTCATCATCCAAGGCTTCGACCAAAAAGGACGGTTCTGCTCCTCGCCAGAGCCGTTTCAGAGGCGACGTTCCTGCCTTCAACCCAACAGGCCAGTCGCCATTCGTTTTGGCACAACAATATCAAACTCCGCCCCAGGCATTTCCACAGCAGCAGCAGCCTTACCAGCAGCATCCCCAGATGATGTACGGTGGCCAAGTGCCGGGCGCATACATGCAATACATGGGCTACCCTGAGTACATGATGGGGTACCCATACTATCCCATGCCAACGACGCCATTCCCACAGCCATACATGGCGCCACATATGAACAGCATGAACGGCATGAACGGTTATATGCCCCAAACAACAATCCAAAACAGAAGAAGTTTTCCAAGGGCCACAATGCATACAATAATAGTCATAATAATCACCACAGTCATTACGCCGACGCTCCCGTCGAGGATCCTTATGGACAGCCCGCCAAAGTCAATGATCCTTACACGGCCCGCTCGGAGCTCCCCAGACAGACGCATATCCTCCTCAGCAGGCACCAGAACCAGCCTCTACACTCTCTGAAGAGACTCCTCCCACCACACAAGTCATAGAACAGGAGGAGACCAAGCAGACCGAAGTTGAAGAGCCAAAGCCCAAAAAGGAGGAGTCCGTGCCTGTCGGAACCTTCCCACTTCTATTTAGCACTTCTCATGAGGAATACTCCAGTGCTAGATCCGAGGCCGCCAGCGAAAAGAAGAATCTACTTGCATCTAAACTCGGTCGTGTGCAAAAGTACGTTCAACAACAGAAGACCCAATCGGGTGGCCTTGCCAATCTAATCATCAACAAGAACGCTACTTTCACTGTCCTCGACCACAGCACCGGTAAATCTGCCACCCAGCTTATATACCCCGCAGAACTTGCCAACTCTGAGTCCGCTGACCAAGAACAACCTAATAATGATAACGACCTGAACGACGCAACGACAAGACCATCGAACTGGGCCTCTGTGCTTCAGAGCACAGCTACCAAAAAGGTTTCCAAGAAGACCGCATCAGCATCCAAGACCACTCAAGCTGCTGTCGAGAGTAAGTCTGCCTCTCCAACACCATCTATAAACAACGGACCGCAAGCCCTTGGGTTGTTGCTGTTGAAGATGTTGTTTGAGCCCGAATTCTCCTTGAACTCTTACCCATCGTATTCTATCAATCCAAGGGGATTGACGAATACGGGTAACATCTGTTACATGAATGCTGTGCTCCAATGTCTCATGTTCTGCGAGCCTTTCAACAAGCTTATTCGTTACGTTGATGAGCACGCTGTCGGCTCTCTTGATAAGACCTCCCAGCAGCCTATTGTCGATGCGACCATTAATTTCATTAAAGACTTTTTGAAGCTCACAACCCAAAATGGTTCTAACGGCAGCAACGGCACACTCAATAGCCATGGCATTGTCGTCGGTCGGCCGCTTTCTCCAGAGGTGCTTTACCAGAAGCTTGTGGAGAACACTAAGTTTAAGCACCTCAAATGGGGTCAGCAAGAAGATGCGGAGGAGTTTTTGACGTACTTCTTGGACGGTCTTCACGAGGATTTTGTTCGTGCAGAGGCTACAGTTCCAACTACACAGGTTGATGAGCTTATAGACTTTTGCCAGCAAAAGCTTAATGACAGTGCAAGCAAGCAGAACGTTAAAAGCAAAATTAAGACTGCTTATCGCGTCACCAAGCAGTCACTCAACCACGGCGAGGAAATGGAAGCCCTGGATGAGGAAGAAGAGACAAACGGATGGTCAGAGGTCGGCAGCGGGAAACGGGTTTCCAAAAAGCGGGTCGTCGATGTTGAACCATCACCCATTACCCTGATTTTTGGCGGCAGGTTCCGCAGTGTGTTGACCATACCAAAGGGCAAGGAGTCCCAGTCTATCACGGTCGATCCTTTCAGATGTATGCTGGTTGACATCTCCCAGAAGGACGTGACCACCATAGAAGATGCATTGTGGAATCTGCATCAAATTGAAAAGATTCCGTTCAAGATCGACGCTGAGCGTGAGGTTACTGCCAAGAAGCAAACATTCATTGACCAGCTTCCAAAAGTGTTGCTTCTCCAGCTTAAGAGATTTGCATACCAGCAGGAGGCAGACAACCTGAGCAGAGAGGGCTCCGCTGAGCCCAACGGCAAGGAGTCGGTGAGCTACGGCACCATCGAAAAGGTGATGAAGGACGTCAAATTCGACTTGGACTTGGAAATTCCACCCGAGTGTCTTTCGTCAACGCTTCGCTCTGCCGACCCTAAGCCCGCCTACAAACTCGTGGGCGTAATCTATCACCACGGCCGCAACGCTGAGGGCGGCCATTACACGTGCGACGTATACCGAAATGGCATCGCCGAGACGTCGACGGCGAGCGAGAAGAAGTGGTTGCGCATCGACGACACATCGGTGGAGGCGATTTCGTCCGACGCTGTGGTGGAAACCCCGAGGCCAAGGACAAGAGTGCGTACATTTTGATGTACCAGAGGAAATGAGATGAAGGAAGAGTCTCGGGGCCACATGAATAGAGTACATAAACAGCAAAGAAACGAAATTCTCAGGCCCCGGCGCCCATTGTTGCGCCGGTGTAAAAATAATTGGCTGCAAGTCCATCGGCATGCCAAAACAGTGGAGAGACCCACAGTAGGGGTCCAACTGAGCATTGCGGGACCGCCACAGCCAGATACTAAACAAGCTGCACAGCGGCCAAAAACAGATAAGGGGCATTGCCGACTGAGGAAGTGAGATACCTCGAAAGCTTAAGTCAGCAGCACAGCGTGTTTATGTATTAACGAAAGCAGACGCTGCTGGCTGCAAAGAAGTCTAAAGTGTGAGACACTATGTGGATGTACGTCGACTGTGGCTGACAGGTTTCCGCACAGGCTTGACAAGCCGGTGCAGGGAAGCCGTAGAGAGGCTAAACGGAAAACTGTGGGCAATTCCAGGATGCTAAAAAAAAAAAAAAATACAAAAGTGTAATGCCCAAAAGGGAAGGGCAGCATCCAGACGTTCAACTATATAAACCGGGCGGGCGCCGGTCTTGTGGCTCTCCATATCGTCTCAACTTTCTTTCGCTATGCAATTGACTAACATCGCTGCCGCTGCTGCTATTGCCGGTGTCGCTGCCGCCAACAATGTCACCATCACCACTAACGTTGTGGTGACTGACTACACAACCTACTGTCCTGAGCCCACCCACGTTGTTTTCAACAACAAGACCATCACCGTCACCGAGGCCACCACCTTGACTGTCACTGGTCCTGTCACGATTCCAACCACCGTTATTTCTCAGAAGCCTACTCCAGGTGTTCCAGCTCCTGAGACCACTGCTCCTCACCAGCACCCATCTTCCGCTGCCGAGACCACCACCAAGCCAGGCCACACTGCTCCACACTCGTCTGTGGCTGGTGAGTCTACTCCAGGTGCTTCTCAGCCAAGCTCTGTCGCTCACGTCTCTACTATTGAGAACAACGCCGGCAGAGTCGCTGCTGGTGCCGCTGCTGGTTTGGCTGCCATCGCCGCCGCTCTCGTTTGATTAATTTCTCTTTAGCTTACCCTCTTCTTTCGCTTAACAACTAATAAATGGATTTCGCTACACACGCCGTAAGCTCTACTTTTGCTCAGGAAAGTCCTTCTGGGCCCTCACCACCGGGGTGTAGGGATGGATCACAACATTATCAAAGTCCCACACGTCCTCTTTGGCATAGACGTCGTTCTTCAAGAAGTCAATGACATCCGCCTTCTTTTCTGCTGCAATTGTAAACGCAGAACCAGCAAATTGGCTCCGTTCCTCGTCCTTGAACACTGGACCAGCGCTGGTGATAGTACCGCTTTGGAACGGCTTGGGGATACCCTGGAAATGCGTGGGTCTAAACTTGAGCCGCTGGTTGATAGGCTTATCGTAGATAATCACAAGCCACTCGAGTTTCTTCAATGCTTTACTCATGGTAGGAAGATGTTGTGGCTGAAATTTTCCGCCCCGCATTTGAGCTTTCCCAAACCTAATTTGCATAACCCTGGTACTCCATCTGGAAAGTGGTCCAGAGTTTAAAGTTCAAAATGAACAATTGAACAACGGCTCCTCGGGAGCTCTTGCCACCTGCTTTTCCACAGACGTCATCTGCGCCGTTTTTGTGGATGGTGCGAGACTTGCTCTTGCTTGGATCCTTATAATGGAGCCGTTCGCAATCTTCTCATCACTCAACCATGCTTGCCGGAAGACGTGCTATTGTTACTGGTGCCTCGAGAGGCATCGGGTTGGCGATTTCCAAAGGTTTAGCCGAATTGGGCGCCTCCATAACCTTGTTGGCCCGAGACTCTGACGCAATGTACGACAACGTGAAAAACTTAGCCAGACAGGAATACCAGGAGCACAAGTTTGTGACTTACAATCTTTTGGACTTGGCCCATGGAAAGGAGCCCGAGAATCACAGTTTCTTGTTGGAGGCCTTGAATGAGTCCTCCATTCTCGTCAATTGCGCCGGCACAACAACCAATACCCTCTTGGCTAGAGCTCCAGAGCGGTCCATCATCGACACCATCGACACAAACCTTGTGGCGCCGATCATTCTCAGCAAGTTGGCGATCAAACCATTCACAAAGATTGGCAAGCTGCAGAAGCTGAAGCCGGTCATCGTCAATGTTTCCTCGGTGCTTTCCTTCACCGGCTTTAGCAGCCCAGGAACCACGGTCTATGCAGCCCTGAAAGCTGGTCTTTTGGGTTTCACCAAGTCGCTTGCCAATGAGTTGCGGGGATCCATTCGTATCAATTCCGTTTTGCCTGCTTTGGTTAAGGAAACCGACATGGGGAAGAAGGCTCCAGCAGGAAACAGCTTCCCTGTCATCCAGATGAAGGATGCTGTCGACAATGCCATTGAGCTTGTGACGGACGAGTCTTTGAACGGCCAGTTACTCATTGCTGACGGAAAGGGACATCGGTTCTTAGAGCCTGCCAAGTAGACAATTTTTTATTTATTATAGGTCATATAGCTCCCATGCAACGTGATCAATGTCCATATCTCCAAGCACCAGGTCTTCTCTGAAGAAGTGTTTAAAAAGAGCTTTCGATAGCTTGTAGCCTTGAGGGTTTTCAAGGTCCCGAAACCAGACAAGAAATTCGATTACCTCGTTGTACTCGCAATTGTGTGCCATTAATGTCCCCAAACTACGACTGACCTCGGTGATTTTGGCCCCATTGACGTCATATAGTTCAGGTTTGTCGAGATAATAGGCATGCAAAATTTGTGCGTTGGTTTGAAATGCTAGAATGCGGTGGTGGATGTTTTTGAAATCTTCCAACACCAATTCAACGCTTCGGCTCTTCAGCGAGACACCCTCGAGGTAACGAACCGCCCGAATGCAATGCTTCAACATGTAGTCGACGGTGTTTTCTACAGCGTCAAATATATCCTCATTTCCACCATCAAATGAATTGAAGACACAGTCTCCACTCAAGGAAAGCCAAGTTCGTAGGAACTCAGTGAAGTCATTGAGCGAGGCTCGGAATACCATTAGTGATGCAGATGACGTGGACGCCGAGTCTAAGCTTTTCTTGAACAAACTGATGATCTGTGCTAGAATTGACGTCAAGATGAAAGTGTTATGCGGGTGTTGGGGATTCAGTTGAAGTGTATCATAAATATGCTGTAAGTCGATTCCGTCAGTGAGAAAAAGCCGATCTGTCTTGGCGAGGATTTCAATGAATATGCTATCGTATGACTGAAAGCGTTTGTTGCTGGCATCCATGGTGGTGAGCTTGCAAAGTTCACATAATCGTCTCCAATAGCCGATGTTGTGGAAGAGCCAGAAAACAGGAAGGCTGGGATCGTGCTGAGCCACTTCAGTTGTCAACTCAGATACCTCTCGCTGATCTATATCGACTGACAGAAATAAAAAGAACTCGTAGAGAAGGGTTCTCAGAAGAGAATATAGCTTTTGCTCATGAAGCCAATGTACCAAGACTGGCAAAAGGCAGTAAAAGATCGTCCGCAGATTGAATACCAACAAGTGTATAAGGTAGCCATAGAGTAAGTCCGTGCGATGAGTCTCCATCACGGATTCCGGCTCCATCGTGAGCCAATCGTCTATGTCGTCTGAGAGTTCATCATGGTACTTTTGTAGGTATTTCGGGAGAGTATCAGCATCGAACAAAGCGGTTTTGCTTAGTCTGTAATGAGAGCTTTTGGTCCCTAGTGTGATGCACTTACCTAGTTTGTATGATGCTAGGCTGGATAATTTGGGAATTCTGCTATTCAGTGAGGTTTGCAGCCATGCGAGTATGATGTTCTTGAAAATAACAAAGATTTCCTTATACGCCTGGTGCAATTCAGGACTTAGGTAAGGCTTCAAGTATAGTAGCCGGTCATCAGAGGTTGCTGGACTGATGAAACTGAGTGACTTTCCGTGGTTTCTCTGCACAATATCAAAGCTTTCAATATCAAGATCAAACTTGGATGGGTACTTGATGTAAATGTCTGTAAGGGCAGCGATCTTGGAAATGAGCGGACGGATCATCCGCTTGCATCGTAGTATGCTTAAGTTCTCATTTGCAGGCTGGCGTTTGCCCATTTTATAACATTACATGTATGTGTATGGACAGAAAGTGTCAATCCAGTTAGATACATAGCGCGAATGAGGTACACCTAGATCTCAGCTTACTCCTCAACATGATCATATTAAAGTGGGCCGCCTTGGCGGGATTGGTAGCATCCCTGGATATCCTAGGAGTGAAGCCCGAAGATCAGCATCTATATAAGGCTGACAATGGAAAATGGGCATGTCTCCTGGACCCCTCTATAGTGCTTGACCATAGTCAGATCAACGACGATATCTGTGACTGTCCCGATGGGTCAGACGAGCCAGGCACTGCTGCATGCTCCCACTTGAGAGATAGAAGTCATGGTTTTTACTGTGCCAATGAGGGTTTCTTCCCAAGTTACATTGAAAACTTCAAGGTCAACGACGGCGTCTGCGATTACGAAATCTGTTGCGACGGCTCTGACGAATGGGCCAGTGGCAAGTGTCCTAACAAGTGTGATGAAGTGAAGCAAAAGTTTGACAGTTTTGTTCAAACACGGAAGGCCGACATCGACAAGGCATTGAGAATTCGTGATCAGTATGTGAGGAAGGCTGAACGCGCCAAGGCCACTGTCGTCCAGCAATTGGAGCAAATCCAAGAGGAGATAGCCGTTCTCGAAGGACAGCTTGAAAAGGAGAACAGGAGGCTTGCTGATGCAAAGAAGCGTGCTGAACAAGGCTCAGAGGATGAAGGTACGGTGAAGAAAATCTCAGAGTTAACCACGCAGCTTCAAAGCTACATCAAAGACTCAATTGCTTCTGAAAAAAGAAGCAAGTCAACTATCAACAAACTCGAGGGTCTCTTGAATGACTTGGTGGAGAATTATAACCCGAACTACAACGATGCCAGTGTGAAGCAGTGCGTCAATCAGTTCAGAGAATACATTACTGGTAAGGAGGAAGAACCCGAAAAGTCTTCGTTCTCAATAGAGCTGTTTACTGAGAAGTTGAGGAGCCTCAAACCTCCTAGCTTGAATCCACAAGATTACATTTCCATCGAACCTACATTCGACAACATGTTGCATCACTACTTCACGAAATTCGTCAACACATTCAAGCCAAAGACCGAGGAGCACGAGAAGAAGGAGGAAAAGCCTAGCGGTCCCGTCAGCAATAAAGAGATCACCAGCATCGAGAAGTCTATCGAAAAGTTGGAGAAGGAATTACACTCCAAAAAATCAGAGGCCTCAATCTACGAAGACAATGTGAACAAGGTCTTCGGCAAAGACGACATTCTCAGAGCTGTCGAAAAAGAATGGGTCAATCGCAAGATTGGCGAATACAACTACAAGATTGGATATCTAGACTCCATTTACCAAGACAATACACTCGTGGGGCGTTTGACCGGTGTGACAGGCTCAACGTTGCATTTTGAGCACGGAGTCAAATGCTGGAATGGTCCACATAGATCAGCCTATGTGGATATGGTATGCGCTGCCGACAGCAGGATTGTTTCTGTCAGCGAACCCGAGAAGTGCCAATACAAATTCTTGTTGGAAACTCCTATTGTTTGTGAAGCAATGAGCGAGGAGGATATTGCCAGGGAATTCAAACTTGACCCATCTGAGCTCTGAAAATAAATCAATCGAATGTGATTTTCTTACCCGTAAACTTGACCGCCTTCATCTTTTCGTCAGCAATCTTCTTGGCCTCCCAAGAAGGATGCATCTTCTGGCTTGTAGCAGGCTGAGGCTTCTTCTCCACCTTCTGTGCCAGTTTGTTGGCCTCCTCTGCTTCTCTAGCGAGACGGGCTTTCATTTCTCTCTTTCTTTGTCTTTCCTCGAATTCCTGTTGTCTCTGTTCTCTCTCATTAAGAAGCCTTTGCTTCTCCTTCTGAACGTGATTAGCCTTCTTACCGTATTTCTGCTCCCAGATCTTTTGTCTAGCTCTCTGACCTCTTCTGTTCTTCCTTGTAGTGGTTGCTTCCTTCACAACCTTATCGTTATCCACATCGTCTTCATCATCGGAACCTCCCGAGTAGTAGCCAGTGGCCAATGAAGGCAATTTGAGTTTCTTTTCTTGCTCCTTCTTTTCCGCCTTTTCCTTCTTCTTCAATTCCTTCAACTTCTTCTTCTGGGCTTTCTCATCCAACTCGTTCTCACTTTCCTCAGAGGGCTCCTCGTCTGTGATTTCATTGTAATCCACATTGGGGTCAACTTCAAAGTCGCCTTCTCCATCAGAACCAGCGACCAAGTTGTCGTAGGCAGCATACTTTTCGAAAGCTTCCTCTGCATCCATTTCTGCGTCTGAGCCACTTGCGACATCTTCCTCTTCACTACCGGCATCACTTTCCTCTTCACTTTCAGAGTCACTGTCACTTTCACTTTCACTTTCACTGTCACTGTCATTATCATCATCGCTATCGTCCTTGCCCACCTTCTTACCTGTAGAGGCAGATCTTGTATTCTTCTCATCCACAGTCAAATCACCTCTGACCTTCCTGAACGACCAGTCAATCTCCTCTATGAGCTTCTTCATATCTTTGGCATTCCAAAGCTTGGAGATGTAGCCGTTGGCGATCTTGTCGTCCTGACAGTGGTCAATGAAGAATCGGCTAGGATTTGAGGGATTCTTCTTGTTGAGGATTTTGTCTTTGATATCTTCGGGAAGATAACTAGGCGGCGAGCTTTTCAATTCTTTGGTATTGAGTACAGCGGCAACGAATATTTTGACAAGCTTAGCTTCCACCATGTAGTTCACAGTCGAGGCAGAATTGAGTAAGCTCCGAAGAGACTTGTGGGTGTCGTTCTTCCAAGCACGCAGATCAGTTTTCATCTTCTTGAGAACCTCACGATGAAGTTTGAGAAATGATCCATGGAACTTCTTCTCGAACAAGTCTTTCTTGAGAGCATGGATCTGTTTATGTGCCTCTTCTCTCGTCTGGGGTAGCTTCTTCAAGAGCTTGGCGTTTTTACGGGCATTCAAAAGCTTTTTGGTGGATTGTAACCTTGGAGTAGTTTTGAAAAACTTGGTTTCTATGAGATCGAGCTTCCATAGCTCGTTTTTGTTCTGCTTCATGGTAGTACCGAGAGATGCGAGATGAGCATCGACTATTTTCGCACCCACCTTGGTCTACAATATTCCTGGAGAACACCACTAAAGAATCTTGGAGAAATAATATTCTTTGGTTCTTTCCAACCCACTTAGAATCCTATACTAAGCACAATAACTTCTGATTTCATCGTAACTTTCAACCTGGTAATCAACTTTTCACTCTGGCGGGCTTCTCCAGATAATACTGCGAACTTCAACTACATGAGCTCAACTGAGGTGGCCACAGGGCAGACGCCCAAAAGACAGAAAAGAGCCAAGAAAGAGAAGAAGGTTTCGCCCAACAGGTGTGAATACTTCTTGGAGCAAAAGAAGCGCCAGTGTGCCATGCAGCGAAAGAAGGGCCACAAGTTCTGCTCTGAGCATATGGTGCACGATGATTCCACTACAGCTTCTGAGGTCAAGGGTGAGAGAGTTCCTTGTCCGCTAGATCCGAAGCATACCGTATGGCTTCACGACTTGGAGTTTCATTTGAAGAAATGCAACGCCAAACCCAAGGAGAAGCATGACCCTTGGTACGTGAAGAACTATAATACGAAGTACGGAGACGAGGAGGTGGAGAAAAGCGACGTCAAACTGCCTGGTCCCGAGGATTTCCAAAAGGTAATTCCCATCATCAAAGCTTATCAAGAAAGACACAGTCCTCTTCGTCATAAGAACAGTTCTCATCCCGGCTTGGATTCCTGGCTCGATGGAAAAGAGAACCAGAAGCATATAATCCAGCAGCTGTCTTTGGTGGGAAACATGAAGGAGAATGGACTTCTCTCCACCTCGGCTTTCTATATGGAATTTGGATGCGGCAAGGCCGAATTGTCCAGGGCGGTCAATGCATGCAATATCCATGATTCCAAAGAGCTCCAAGAAAGCTATGGTTTTGGGCTCATAGACAGAGGCACTAACCGTATGAAGATGGATAGCAAGATTATCAAGGACTGCGAGGAAATGAAGATCGAGCAGATGCCAAAGATTAAGCGATCTAGAATAGACATTGAGCATCTTCATCTCGACAATTTCCTCGAGAGCGAGAAACCACAGGAGGTCGTTTGCATTTCCAAGCACCTCTGTGGAGTTGCTACAGATCTTACACTCAAGCTGCTCTTGCATTCATCGCTTCTACAAAACGGCAACTTTCACGGATTACTAGTGGCTATGTGCTGCCGTCATATATGTCACTACAACCAGTTACTCCCTGACTCAAGAAGCTATCTTGCAGAGAGTGGGATCACCAACGAACAAGATTTCATCACTCTCAGAAGAATTGTTACCTGGGCAGTCTGTGGAAAAAGAGAAGATGGTCCTAACGATGATACTACGCTACTGGCTAGCGAAAAGGAAAGCCTAGGACTCGCTGCAAGAAGAATGATAGACGAGAGCAGGGTCTACGCTGCTCAAAAGGCCATGCCTGGTTACAACGTGGAGCTCTTCACGTACACAGACAAGGCCATCACGTTGGAGAATTCGTGCATCTGCATTACAAAAAAGTAAACGGTTCCACCGATTAATATATTTGCTAATTAAACAACCAAAGAAACAAATACGCTTAGATCTTGGTCTCCTTGACACCGTGCTTCCACACAGCGATGAAAGGAGTGGTACCGTCCTCACGGTAGTTCAACAAGACAATCATGGCATCTGGGTCCATAGACTCACCAGTGAAGAACTCCCAGTCGTTGAAAGAGCCAATGATCTTCTTGACGTAAGCCTGGGCACCCTTCTCGAAAACCTCAACCTGGTCTGGAGCGTTCTCGGACAAGTGAGCCTTGACCTGCTTCATGTAACCCTTGATGTAGGTCAAGAAAGACTTCTTGTCGAAAGAGGTCTGCTGCAATCTGAAGGAGTGGACAACGTTGTTGACGGTCTCAACACCCTCCTCGACGTCATCAGCACCACCCTCAGCGGAAGGGTTGGCACCAATGTCGACATCACCACCGCTCTTGATCTTGATCATGGAACAGTCGGCCTCCAAAACGACACCGTCAACTTCCTTGATGTCGTAAGCGTCGGACAACAACTCGTCGTTAGAGATAATGTCAGTGTAGATCAACATTTTACTGGGGTCGGTTTTGTAGATGCAGCTTTAAAACTGGAAATGCGGTAGTTATATACTCGTGGAAAATTTTCTGTATAGGCGCGGCCACGTGAGATGGAAGGGTTACCCGGCAGCGATGGGCATATGCTACGGACTGAGTTTCGGTTGAACCCGAAGGGGCAACATTTAAATAGCCCAATTCTACAGTCAATTTGTGTCTTTATCGAGTAATTAGGTTGATTAAGCGGCAATTAGCCAGTGGTTTAGCGTAGCTTGAATGCACGCGAGATGCCCTTAAGACACAGGCAGACGCACCTTTTTCGCAGCCAGCCTCGCCTTGTTTTCTAGAGATTATGCAAATTCGCCAGCAAATGCCCGTCCGATCCAGCTCTTGATGCGGTCAAAAACGACGTTATTACCGTTGTGAAAACGGATCAGGTGGTCCGAGTCAGGGAATACCATGAAGTCGAAATTCTCCACGCCAGCGAGGTTGAAGTCGTCGATGAGGCTGAGACTGTTCTGGAAATGGACATTATCATCCCCAGAGCCATGCATCACTAAGAAGCGCTTCACATCTTTGAAGTTAGTCATGTTGTAGATGCTAGCGCTTTCGTAACCACTGGGGTTCTCTTGTGGGGTTCTCAAGTATCTCTCCGTGTAGATAGAGTCGTATAGTCTCCACTTTGTCACTGGAGCGACTGAGACACCGTAAGAAAAGACATGATCAACATTGTCCGTCTCCAACGTCTTCAAGGTCAAGAAGCCTCCGTAGGACCAGCCCCAGATGGCAATTCTGCTGGAATCGACGTATGGCTTCTTTGCCCAAATCGATGCTGCAGCAATCTGATCAATTGGCTCGTAATGACCCAATCTATCACGCACAATAAATTTGAATCTAGAGCCCAATTTGGAATTGTTAGTGTTGTAACCAGTGCCTCTTCCATCGACCGTCACCACAACAGCATCGAGTTCAGAGGCAATAGCTTCGCTGAAGCCGACGTCGAAGGTCTTGGTCACAGTCTGCGAGCCAGGCCCACCGTAAACGAAAAACAACACTGGGTACTTTTTAGAAGGATCGAACTGGCGTGGTTTTGTTTCCTTTGCATTGGCCAAAATATCCCCACCAGTGACCTCGTCAATACCCAAGTTAACCAGGAAATACGTTGTTTGCGGAACGTCATATGCCTCGAGATTCACCGAGATTTCATGGTTGTTTTCAATCTCTTGTACTGTCTCTTTGGAGTGAAGGTCAATTAAGTTTTGATAAGGAACGGATGGACCCTGGTTGGAGACTAAGGCAAATCTGGCACCAGATGAGAAGGAGGCACCAAACCAGCCTTCAGCACTAACATCAGTGACATTCTTGATGCTAGGTTGTTTTTGCGAGTGGATGGCATCGGTGAGACTGACGGAATAGATGTGCCTCTCAACCGAAGACTTCTTGGTGGCCAGGAAGTAAATCTCGTTGTTCAGGAAGTCGAAAACATTGGTCAAGACCTCCCATTGTCCGCTTGTAAGTAGCTTGCCTTCGGAAGATTCAGGTGGAGAAAAGTAGGCCAAGTGATTGTAGCCCTCATGCACAATGAGATCAATATAACCATCATGTTTGATACCGGCAGACTCATTGCGAGGGACATAGATAGCATTTGAAGTGACTTCGAACCAAGAGTCCTTGGCATGATGCTTTCTAACAAGCTCTCCCTTCGAATCGTCAGTGTTCACCAAAAATACCTCCAACTCGTCACTTGCCCTGTTGCTAGTCTTGACCAAAAGATAGTCGTCAGAGACCCACAAAACCTCAGTTATGAGTTTGTCGTCAAAGGAAGTGTTAAGCTCGGCAATCCTTGCCTTCTCGGGCGCAAATTCAGCCCGAGCTTCAAGGTTGTAGAGAACCAAATCAACCTTTGGATTAGGATAGCCCGGCTTGGGGTACTTGATGTTGACAAGCTCTGGATATTCCTCAAACCCATCTTGAACATAGTAGGGAATGGGGAAGTCAGGAACTTCACTGTCATTGAACTTCAAGAAGCCCAACTTGTCACCTTGAGGGGACCACCACAATACGATGTCTGATGCGAAAACTTCTTCTTCATAGACCCAGTCAGGCTTTCCGTAGAAGGTCTGTTCACCTCCGTCGTAAGTAACTTGTATGATGTCTCCCTGAATGAGGTCCTTGATGAAGACATTGTTCTCATAAATGAATGCAATTTTGTCGGAAGTAGGCGCCCACGAAGTGACAGCTACCCTGTCCTCCGTGTTGAACAACGGCGATATAGACTGAGTCTTGACATCGAGCACCCAGTAGATAGCAAAAGATGAGTGTCTCCAGCTTTTAATCGTCTCGGTTTTGAGAACAGCTCTTGTGAGGTCTGGAGAAGCCACCAATGCATCGATGTCATACGTCTCACCATTGTAAGTGAACGAGCTACCCTCATGGAGAACATAATGGAAGTCTGAATCCAAGATGCTTTTCACAACGTAGGTAGTATTATCTCCTTGCTTGTCTTCGAGCAAGTATGTACCCTGGTCGTGGGTGGCGGACTCCGGAGCCAGAATCCACTGTAGGTTTTTGAATTGTGGACGGAACTTGCCTTCTCTAATATGCTCCAAAGTAAGTGGGATTTTGCCAGTCTGGCCGTGGGAGTTCCCTTTAGTGAGAAGTGGCGGTGAGTCGAAAAAATGTGGAGTCTTCAGTTCATTAAAGGTGACGCTATTATGCGCCGAAAAATTGTCAACGGCATTGATCAAGAAGCCAGAACCCCAGATTATAGCTGCTATTAGCAGTAGTATGAAAGCTAGTGTTCGAAGGGTTCTTTCTTTCCTCAGCTTGAAGTGCTCCCCATGGTATGGCGACTTCTCGGAGATGAAGTACTCCTTTTCAAAAGTCTCCGAAGACATGGGCTTTAGTGGAAATAATAAAACAGGTTTGTGAATTGAATATATGTAATGAAGAAGATGGGGAACTCGTATTAATCCTTGATTCTGAAGCCTCGCGCAGAGAAATGTTTAAGGTACGGCATATAAGCCTGTGAACGGCACCACACCTGGGTGGCTCTGCAATCGAAAAAAACCTCAGAGTGGCTTGCTGACTGTTTACCTGCATGACGTCAGTCTACGTTGGCTGCGAAAAACCTGGATCTCTATTAAAGCTAAGTATAGTAATGCATGGGTAGAAATTTTGAAACGACACGTCTCGTAAAAAGTTTTGGGTCATAAATTTTCAGAAGACTAGAGCGCAAGTCTTCGTTCGTCATCGTCGTTGTACGTCACAGGTGTGGTCACAATCTCGCTCAACACCTCAGTGCTGAACTCAGTTATGATTTGACGTAAATTAGTTCTCTTGATAGGCTTGGAGAGGAAGCCAGACATGCCGGAACTCAAACACTCCTTCACGTTACTCTCATCTGCAAATGCAGTGAGAGCAATAATTGGTTTGCGGAACTTGAGATTGTTCCTGATAAGCTTGGTGGCTGTCAAACCATCCATCTTGGGCATCTGCACATCCATAAAAACAATATTGAAAAACTCGCCAGTGTCGTAAGAGTTCTTGATACAATCCACTGCCTCAACACCATTGCTTGCCATGGTGATGTTCTCAAATCCTTCAAGACGAAGCATTCTTCTTATGACCTCTTGATTGACTGAATTGTCCTCGGCAACCAATATTCTGAGGTGAGTCAAATCATCAAGAATACTGGTCTTGCTCTTGCTGTGCTCAGCTGTTCCTGTCGAGGAAAGGTGGCTGTTGTGTCTCTGAGGAAGGCTAATATGTAAGCTGCGCTTCAGAGGAGATGCGGGACTAGTTACAGATCCATTTCCGCTTGGCGATAATGTTGCCTTGCTTGGGGATGATTCTGAAATCTCTGGCGTACTAGCAACGTCCTTTGGCTCACTTGGTGTTTCGGTCACATCGAAAGCAACCTTCTTGTTCACCTTCGAATCTGGGTTGAAGACATCGTTGCTAAACTCCTCCATTTCTTCCTCTGGAACAACTATTTCGCCATTTTGAGGGAGTGGTACCGTGAAAGTGAAGGTCGATCCTTGTCCAATTGTGGATTTTAAAGTCAAAGTACCCTTCATCATCTTTGCCAATTGACGACAAATAGACAAACCAAGACCCGTACCACCATAACTTCTTGAAAGAGTTTGATCGCCCTGAATAAATGGCTCAAACACCTTCTCTTGCAATGCTGGTTCGATACCAGATCCAGTATCTCTCACTTCAATCTGAAGAACCCATGAACGTGGGACGTAAAGCTTTCTCATCCTGTAAATCTTATCGTTCTTGACAAGCTCACTGTTAGATATGAAGCCAGTGACAGACATGTGGTGCAGGTCACGATTACTAGCGTGCTTCTCCAAATTACCATCCATTGATCGAGTCGCAGTGTGCTGAAGGCCATTGGATGGAAATGGCTCAACAGTCGATGAGTTGTCCTTTCGAGCTGTATCCTCCGTCGATGCAGACTTTTCAACCTCTGCTTCGTGAACACCGCTGGATTTGAGAGACTTGACCGAAGCCAGAGAGGTGCTCTTCTGAAGTGGCGACGATTTCTCCATCGCATCAATTGGAGTTTTCAGTCCGTTTTGTTGTTCACCAGAGCTGCTGTTAACTGATGTAGCAGGTGACACCAGTGGCCGAGTTCGAGGCGTGTCCGGTAATGACTTGTTATTGTTAAACTGTGAGTTGAAAATTGCATTTTCGTACTCTGCAGTGGAAAGCGTCACGATACTCTGGGCGTCGTCATCATCTTTTTGCTTAGTTTGCGTGGGCTTCGTTTCCGACTCATTTTTTTTAAGCGAAAAGAAACCGTTGGCGCTAGTCTGAGACGTACGACGCTGACTTGCTGTTGTTGACAGATGCTTCGTAAGTGGTGGCATCTCACTTGGAGTCAGCAAAAATTCATCCCTCTTAACGTAGACTCTCTCATAATCAACAGCTTGAGAGCGCTCGTGATCATATTCACCTAAAAGTTTAAATGTGACATCAACTGAGCCATCAACCGGTGTAAACTTCAAACTGTTCGACACAAGATTCATCACCACTTGAATAATTCTGTTTGAGTCTCCGTAAAGGATAAGCTTTCTCAAGATGTTTGGACGTAAGCTGATGTTCAAGTTAACACGTTGGTCAAGTGCTAGCTTACCGAAAATGGATTTGATTTGGTAAAGGATCTCCAAAACCTGGAAGTTGGATTTTTCAAGCTTCGAACGGTTCAATGTGTTCTTAGAATACGTCAAAAGTTCTGTCAAGATATGCAAAAGGAGTTCACCAGATCTATGGATTAATTTGAGGGAGTCATGAATCAGCAGTGGATCGTTGTCGTCCATGGCAATGGAGGTCATACCCAAAATACCATTAAGAGGTGTTCTGAGCTCATGCGAAATGTTGGCGATAAAAATTGTTTTAGACTCGTTAGCGGCTTCAGCTTCGATCTTAGATGCCTCAAGTTCCTTGGTTCTCATCTTCACACGGTCTTCGAGATGCGAGTACTGCTTCTCGAGTTCCTCAGTCATGATATTGAATGCGTCAGACAATTCTGTCAACTCATCTTTGAAGAGCTTTTTGGATGGAGGTATACGATCAGGAAGACGAATGCCGGTGGAGAATGCAGTAGATCCAGATGTCACTGAATTGACGGAGTTTCTCTTTGAGATTGGGGCCTTTTCTATGTTGCCTTCTGGATCAGGCGAAGGGTCGATAGGTGCATCATCGTCATTGTGTGTACTTGAACCATCGCCGTAAGGATTACTGCCGTAACCACCCGTGCCACCACCGCCACCCTTCTTGCCTTTTCTTGATCTTGTGATGGCTTCCGTAGCATTTTTAAGGCGAGTGATCGGGGCCACGAACCAAACTGCAAGTGGGAATGTTATTAGACACATGAATGCACCAATACCAATGACGACACCGATCATAATGTTCTGAAGCTTTTTCATTGGACTTTGGAAAGTAGATCTTCGTTGTTCTATCATCACAGTCCAATAGTTATGGGCGTCGACGTTCATGGTGCCGTATCCCGCTGCAACACGAGTGTTATCTAGCGACTTTGCATTCTGAACGACACCCTGCTGATTGACTATTGCTTCTTTTACAGCATCTGATGAGTCTATCGGATAGAATCGATTAGCTTGCATGGTTGTTTCGCCTTCTACCGGGAATAGTAGCTCGAAACCAATCGCGTGCCGTCCTATACCAGCAACAGTTTCGTTCTGGTAGTAGGCCTTGATCAAGGAGACTGAGTATTTGTTATCACCCAGCAGTGTATAGTACAGTAGGGAGGTCTTGATCATTTCTGCGTTTGCAATAACGGTAAGGTAACCAGCCACAGCTGCGGATTCTAGGATAATGGACGTATTGGAGTACACCGGTAGCGTTATACCTATGAAGTATGTAGCATTCGTGGATGTGTCATTCGGTAGAGGGCCGGTGAAGTATGCATTTGTGATGGGAGGGTTTGTGTCGGACGCTTGGTTTCTGTTGTCCATAACAGCAGAGGGATACTTGTGTTTTCCGCCAAGGCATAGAGCACAGAATCGAGAGCCGACGAGACGTTTGTGTTATTATTTCGTGATTCTGCCACGATGTTGGAGTTCAAGTCGTACAACGCCGCCAGGGCGAACATCTCTGACGACGATAAAAACAGATCTAGAGCGACCTGAGCATCGCCAAAGATGTCCCTCGAATTGTTGCCCGCTCTGTAGTTCAGCAAGGGCTCGCTGACTCCATCCTTTGTGGATAGCCAGTAGGTCTGGTAGAATAGATACTGGATGGACTGCTGGACTTGAGTGTTTTTGATCTGGGCGATAACCTCCAACCTCTCAGCACGCAAAGACGCCAAATTACCCAGGAAATAGACACCGGCGACCAAGGCGAGGATAAGAAGGGAGAAAAGCGACGAAAAACCCACAAGGATGATGAGCTGGGGTCTAATCCCGATCTTGAGTCTTCTCCTTTTACCGTCTCGCTTCATGTTTATCGGGCCATCAACCAGGGATGAAAAGTGGGGGCAGGAAGAAAAGCCGAGATGCCAGTATTAATATGAAGCAGGAGCGGAGCGCAGGCTGGGTGTATGGGTGGATTCTTTGAGTTGAGGTATTTGGTGTACTTCGTTGGAGAAGACAGGGATGAGGGTTCGGTATATCGTCAAGCTAGGTGAAAATAGATCCTGGGCTTAGGCACACACGGCGGCACGCAGGACGTAGCGAAACCTAGCGGGCGAAAAAAAGTATGAGGAGAGTTAGGAAGGAATTAAGATTTGAAGAGAAAAAGAAAAACAAAGAGACGAAATTTTGAACCAGGCTTGGGAACATCGATGCATTGGCGAGGTGAACGCACCAGTGGTCCGATCGCCCAGAGATTTGCCTCACCTGTCAACACCCTCGGTCAGGTGGCATTCCTTCAGGTGGCATTCCAGGCATTTCTTCAGGAGGCATTTCAGGCATTTCTTCAGGACGCATTTCAGGCATTTCTTCAGGAGGCATTTCTTCATTCGGAGATCATCCCGCTGCTTCATCGCAAATGTAAAAGGTCTTTGTGTGATGAAGTCTGCTCTTGTAGATGTACTAAAATGGAACATGGAATATTTTGAGCAGGCGTACTGAAGAGATGTACATTGTGGCTAGTGCGGGCCCGAGAGTGGAGACCCTCTATGACGTAAAAGCAGATGGAAAAGAAAAAAAAGCCAAAGAAGCCTGGTGGCTAGGGTGGCTGAGGCTTTCAGCCTCGGGTCTCGGCTAGGGCTAAAAAAAGCATGCAACCCTGGGGGCACGAGAAAATGGCGAACAATACGTTGGTTGCACATTGTTGTCAGAGCACTTTTTTTTTTTTTTTTCCTGAAATTGGCCCCGCGGCGTACCATTACCTAATTATCGGCTATGCGACCGTTTCGGTTCCAGGGTACCAGGCTCCGAACCGCCTCCGAAATCGAGTTGATTGGGTAAAACCAAATTACTGTCGCTTAACTTCTTTGATAATGTTCCAAAACGTCCTCTCGTTTTTCAGCCAGATGGCAAAGCCAAGGGAATGTGGAGACTCGCTCGCTTAATATATAGCCTAGACAGGCAGGCCGCTGCACCCTAAGCGATGCCTCGCAGGTTTAAGCTTCGTCAGGCACTGGGAAACACAGCCGAAACAAGCCATAAACCATATTTCAAGAAAACCGGGCCGTGCAGCAACTCGGCTTTGAAACGAAGAAAATAGCGTTATTTTAGTTGTAGACGTAGGATGACGACAGCTGCGATGGCCACCACCATGCCCCCAATAATCGAAGCAATTTCCCCAATTACTTTTGCCCATATAAACCTAGTATGTCCCTTCCGGCGTTCCCCGTTACCCTCCAGTACCCGCCGGCAGTGTACAATGGCAGTAGTCGTCTTCGTTTTCTTAGCCGAGCCGCGCTGCTCGGACCGCTGTATAGGTTCTCACCGTGTGTATATCTTCTCACCGTTTTCCTGCCAAAACATCGTCATCCCACCAACATGCTTTTCTTGGGGCTCTTCTGTTGTGCCTTCAGGCCGTCGTGGGAACGACGACGTCGGCGCCAAGGACCGCCACAACAACCTCTTCTGCAAAAGGGGACCCCGTCATCACCGTTCCGCTAGCTGCACCAAGTGGAGACAGGTTCTACAATGCCTATGTCAGTGATGTGGCGGTGAGACTCGACTTGTTGCAACCCGACTTGTGGATCCCAGATCCAAACTACCAGCTGTACTGTGACCGCAGTAACAGCTCGAACGCAACGGCGACCTTGTCGTGCAACTCAGACGTTACCTCCAGATACGGCGTCTTGTACGAGGATTTCACTACAACCTACACCGACTCAGAAGGCACCGCCACGGTTACGGTGGACATGTTGGAGCGCCTGGAGAACTACGTCTCCATACCGTACCCAAACGGCATCGTTGCCGATGGCGAGGTGGCTATGGCAGACCTCTACTTCGTGGACTCCCAGGAGGAGGTCTTCCCGTTGGATCTGTTCAACTTCATTTACGTTAACGACACCAATATGATGGCGGGCGGCCTCGGCTTGGCCAACAACCCCAGAGGAACCGGCATCTTGAACTACCTCTACAACGCCGAAATGATCGAGAGCCGCGGTTACTCTGCTTTCCTTCTGGAGGACGACGTGGACGACGACGCCTACGGTGAGCTTTTGCTTGGCGGTGTCGACCGCTCCATGTTCACGGGTGATTTAGTATCGTTCCCCGTGTTGCCCTACGAGGGCTTGGACTCTGGTTCGACTCTCCCCACAGTCCTCTTGACTGACCTTAAAGTGGTCAACGCCAACACTTCTCAGTCGGTGTCGCTTCTCTCGGGCAACTCTGAACCTGTGCTCCTCGACCCTCGCATGTCCTTCAATTTCCTCCCGTTGGACGTCATCATCAGACTAGCCCTTCAAACAAATGCATTTTATAACAAGGAGCGAGGCGAGTGGATAGTCAAATGCTCCGATGTCGAGGATTCCGACGCAGAATTCCACTACAACTTCGGTCCTTTAACCATAAAGGCGCCTTTGTCGTCTTTCCTCTACGGTAGTCTGAACGACACCGGTTTGAGGTTCTCCAGTGGCTCAAAGGCTTGTCTTCTCAATGTGAACCCCTCGTCATACCTCGGCTACAGTTGCTTGGGTCTTCCATTCTTGACGAATGCTTACTTTGTGATGGACAACGACGGAGGCAACATCGCCCTCGCCAACAAGAACACAGACCACAAAGTTGGCGCTCATCTTTACACAGACATCAAAACAACCACCTCGGACTACCTGTCAGGGTCATCCACTTCTTCAAGCCTACCCTCTCTTAATCCTTCTGCATCATTCATCAAGTCAGGCAGCATACCATGGGCTACGAAAGTAAACTCCACCCAAACGGTGACAATGACATTTGGCTCAGCAAACTCCACAGCCGCAGAGGCCATCATGACGCGATACTCCCAAGCATCCATTATCTCTGGTGAGGTCATCGTGACAAGGGAACCTTCATCAACCGTGGGTCCAACCACACACATATCGTCAGACTCGTTGTCATCCTCCGCTGCTGCAGGCCCAGGCATAGTACACTGGGAGCACGGAAACAACGAAAAGACACTAATCTACTCTACGATTTTAATGTTCGGCTTTTTAGGGGGTTAATTATCTGATGAATGCTTATATCAATGCTGCTTGAGCTCAATCGCTTCGCTGCCGGACTGGAGACCAAGCTCCTCGGGGTTGAGGCTGGAAGGGACGTGTACCCGTTACCGTTCTCTTTGGCCGAAGCCTCTGTCTCTTGGTATCTATAATAATTGTACCATAGTATATCAAAAAATGTTATCACCAAACCAACGCAGTTGATTGCACTTAATCTGTCTCCGAATAGAATCAGGCCAAGCATGATTGTGAGTAGCTCCTTGAAGATACCTGCAATAGACAAGGTGAGGACCTGGGCGACAGACAAGAGCTTGAACTCACATAGCGTCATCATGAACGCCAACAAGCCAGGAACTACCATCAACCCGAGTACCCCAAGAACACCGTGAATGGCCCAGATTGGCAGAGACACAAATGAGGACCAGCGCTCCACAAAGATGGCGGCAATAAATAGAATCACAATCATCGATGGTGAAATGTAAAAGATTGTCAGAATAGGATGTTTCGTGTAGTCGTTCTTCTTGAGTAACAATTGCGTGAAAGACCAACGCAAGCCAGAGATGGCAGAGGCAGCCATCACAAGCACTATGCCCACTGGGTCGTGATCATCGGCCAAGGCGTCAGACTCTGCAGACTCCGGCTTTTGAGTCATCATCATGACAGACCCTGTCATCACGACAACAATAATGATCAAGCGCCAATTGAAGCGCTCCAAACGAAATATTAGACCAAAGATCAACACGAATATAAGACTCGATGTCTTGAGCATTGTATATAGCGACAAGGAGATGAAGCTGATGGACAAGTTACTCAAGCCAATGTCGCCTGCTGAGGCAAATCCACAGGGGAGAATCTGACGGGCATAATGACCTGGCGATATGGCCAAGGTGTTCCAGAAGCCTTGTGTGCTGGCGTTGACGGTTGGACGAAGCATGGGACGAAAATAAAGCACCAAAGCAGACAAGCAAAATAGGCACAGCTGGTGGAAGGCCGTGACGAAAAGAGGGAACTTGAAATCAAGCCCGCTGCCAAACATCCACTTGTTATAGACCAGAATCAGCATGGAGAAGAAGTACCATCCTGCAATATATAGCAAGGTGGGGCTCTGGGAGTCCGAGACCAGGAGGCGTCGGTCGGCCATAATGAAAGAAGATGAATAGATGGAGTGGGATCAGGTCCCTGAAAGCTGTAGAATAGTGCTGGTATACGCGAGATTTATCAGATTGAGCCGCCCGGAACAGGTAAATGTCGAGGTGCCTACAACGGTGAGGTGGACACGTGATATCAAGAACAACGCAACATCTCCAGGGAATGTTCGGTGGAAAAATGGGTTAGGTTTAGAGAACGGCGAATAAAAGTAATCCTTCTCTATCGGCCCCGCCGTGGGACAGATGCTGCCGTACGTCAGAATCGATGCTTAGCGACTCTTGGCCTTTGTTGTGAACGGTGCGGGTAGTCTCCTCGTATAGTTTTCACGTTCACGTAACAACGTGATTGGAGGGTTGCAGAGAAGTCAGAAAAGCAAATTGAGAGTGTTGCCATTATTGGGAGTCAGAGTTAGGGTGTGGTTGGGTGCGGTAGCCGAGGATGCATGGCTGCAAAGAGGGCAGCGGATTGATCGGACCGAGCTGCGGACCAATCGGAGTCTACAGGGGCCAGCCGTGGTTAGAAGCACATGTGTACAGCATTACTTCGGGATTTTGGATTGTGAGTGTTGAGTTAGATTTAGGGTGGCATGGCTGCAAAATGGGCAGTATAGCGGTGCACCAGGAGAGGCTTCCTCGTTTAGATTGAGAGGAGCGTAGAGCTGTAGGAGGGCTCAGATCCACACGAGGCGGGTTTTGTGTCATTTCAAGGGTCTCGAAGGACCACCATCTTGACGGTAATAAATTCGAAAACCATGTCTTCTGTGCTTGCTGCGGACTGATGCACAGTGATGCAGCCTGTTGCATTTCCACAGAGAGGGTGCCATACGATGTAGGTGAGCAGTCTACTATATGGAGATAGGTGGCAGGGAGTCGATCTGAAGTGACAAGGAGACAATTGGATTCAGGTACGACTAGATCAGTTGAGGCTGATAAGCGGAGTAATTGCTGGGGCACTGCCCGAGACAAGCCTCCCACATGGCCCCATTGTCCATGGACTCCATTCGTAAGGCCCTTGCCCGGCAATTTCACTGGGGCCACTTAAAATTTACACTCCTTGAAACGAACGCGGAGCTGTGGAGAGGTCAATTACATGAAAGCTCTGTTGGTCCCCTAACAATCGGTACCCTGAGGTAATTGGCCCTGCCCTAGGTGCCCACGAGCCTAGAAGCTGAACCCAGACTACTCGGCGGCCCCGCGCCTTCGATCTCGATCTGCCTCTCTTCCCGCTAATCTGGAAAAATGAGAAAATCTCAGATCCTTAAACTCCACCACTCCATGGTCCACGGCTGCGAAACACAAAGCAACCCGCAGCGGGGATTCCTCACAGAAGATGCCTAATCTGTACATGCGCAGCGACATTGTTCCCTGCCCGACCTGAGCTGGCGATAAATCAGTCAGTTTGAGGACCAATTCGACCACTGAGTTTTATAATTTTTCTCCATGCTGATCCAACCGCAAAGTTCCGTGCTCAGCCTTTTCCTTCGCACCCAAGCCTACTCGCCCGACAACAACCAAACAGTACCATTTTTCCACTCCCAAAGCCAAATATTGTAAACTCCAGTCGTTCGGCTGCCTTCCCTCGTAAATTGTGAGAAATGTAGTCTCCCTCTCGCTACCCTTCTCTTGCATACGGTTGCTATTTATATTTGCACCGACGCCGTGGGGGCCTGCAGGCGCCTTCTCTGACAGGATCTATCATCTATACAACCACCAAAAGACCCTCCCACATCCCCATGAGCCTTGACGATCCGCTGTCCCTTTTGGCCATACAAAAGGCGTATTTTGCCCAGCGGCTCAAGGAGATCACCTCCATAGGTGGTCTATTCGCTTTGGTGCTCGATAAGCAAACAGAGGCCTTGCTCCTCAGGCTATTCTCCAAGGACGCCTTGCTTCGAATCGTCACCACCATTGACCAGATCGACGCCCCTCGTAAACTCCAGCTGTTTCTCCAGGCCATTTATTTGGTCGATCCGCTGGTCTACAATCTCAATTGCATTTTGGCTGATGTCAAGGTCAACAGATACAAGATGGGCCACGGGTTATTTATACCCTTTTCCCAATGGGAAACTGAGAGTTTGCGGTACTTCCAGTCAGCCAAGTTCATGGGCAACCCGGAAGTCATGAGCTACTTTGGCGGCGACGGCTCCACCGCCTGCTTCGTCCAGGCTTCCATGTATCCCTTGGAGTCCAAGGTGTTTCTCACCAACAATGTCCCTTACAACTCCATGCCTGTGTACTTCAACGACAACTGCAGTGAAATGGTGTTGCCCCAGATCCGCAAGGCCGCCAAAGCCATTGTGAACGCCATCATCGTGGCCGAAGAGTACCCACTCATACGTTTCTACGCCCTGCCTAAGGCGACCCACCAGGCAGCCCGTTTGCCTGAACTTATTGCTGACGAGGTCCAGCGTCAACTAGACGACTACCTCCGTGCCAACACAGACTATCCACCCAAAGCCACGCTAGAGAAGCCCAGAGCCATTCTTCTAGTGACGGATCGTTCCATGGACTTGTTCGCACCTCTCTTGCACGAGTTCTCCTACCAAGCCATGGCAATGGACATTGTGGAGAGTTTGGAGAGGGAGTGTGTCTACAGGTACGAGGCGGAAAACGAAAAGGGTGAACAGCAGGAAATGAAGTCTGACTTGGACGCAGAAGATGACGACCTCTGGATCTCGCTCCGTCATCTGCATATCATCGAGGCCTCCGAGTTGATCATCAACCGCATCAATGACCTTATCAAGAACAATCCAATGATGGTCGATCGTAGCAAGGCCAAGACCTCTTCTGACTTGATGTACGTCGTCGCCCACTTACATGGCTTCGATGAGGAGCGTCGCCAGGTCACCTTGCACAAGACACTTATCGACGAAATTTTGGATATTAATGCGTCCAGAAAATTGGCTGAGTTTGCTGCTGACTTTGAACAGACTTGCTGTGCAGAGGGAACCTCTTTCGAAGGTATCCACAACAAAAAGTTGCATGAAGACTTGATCGTCTTGCTCGCCCGTGAGGACTTGCACGTCAACGACAAGATGAGACTCGTTCTTATTTACGGGCTCTACAGAGGCGGTCTCGCCGAGTCTGACTTTGTCAAACTCGCCAAATTTATTGGTGTCAAGAACACGCAGATTGTCTCCCTTGTGCTGAGATGCTTCTACAACCTCCACAAGCTTGACTTCCCTATTGTCAAGAAGTCTGTCAAGGACAAGAAAGTTGAGCGTCAGTTTTTCCACACCATCAATAATGAAGGCACCTACAACACGTCGAGATTCGCACCGGGTCTAAAAAGAGTGCTTTACAATGCTGCCAAGTACGAATTGGATGAGGACTGGTTTCCTTACTTCCGTGACAAGCCCATTGCCGAGGATGTGCCCAAGGGCAACGGTCTCAACTCAGGCTTGGACAAGACTAGTTCGGTCAGAAACCCTAGAGTTAAGGCATCCTGGGCACCCTCGGGCTCCAGGCACGGTGCTACGCCCAGGAATAATAAGAACAAACAGCGCATCTTCTGCTATGTTGCGGGTGGTGTAACATACTCAGAAATGAGACTGGTCTACGAGCTCTCGCAGGCGCTTGACAAGGATATCTACTTGGGTTCTGAGTCCGTTCTCAAGCCTAGAGATTTCTTAATTGGACTCCAGAACATCGATGGAGTGAAGCAGCCGGAGCAGCTTGATATTCCACTTTACGATGAAGTGACTAGACCTCGGACGCGGGCGCCCTCGTATTTGTTCGATGTGCCAAAACCTCCCTCTCAGCAGCCATCTTCTACGCTGTCGCGTACACCCTCGGCACCATCAACTCAAAGCATGAAACAACTGCCACAGCAATTGGCCCAATCCGGATTTGGCTCTTCTAGCCCCAATCCCGAATTGCCTCCAGACACAATTGGAGCGAACACGCCGCTGCACTATCAGAAACGGACTAGTCAGTACAGTACGGATCTAAGCGGAGAAAACCGCGCTAAAGAGAAAAAGCCGTCCAGATTGAAGAGGTTGTTCAAATAAGCCAAGACCCCGAAGACCTTGGTGGCCGTACTCGGAGGAACGGCTCTAACATCTGTCGGGGATTTTGCGGCCGTTTAATAAGGCTTTTCTAGGAATTGCCATCAAAATTGTAACTTTTTATTTCCAAACCCAATGGAATTATAGGTACGAAGCACCAATACACCCTTAACAAACAGCTTATGTTTCATTTAAACACAAGGTTGTGTTCTCTTTTTATTTTTTTCCTCTTCATCAATTTGCTCGTGATATATCGGAATATTGAGCCGTTCGAAGCGCTGGTAGTGCAGAGGTGCTACGATGCGCAGATAGCGAGATTACTAAGGCAAAAAAGGTTGCACAACTTCTGAAGGCCGCAACACCACTTATCTGCTTTGTTTCCAGGATCTAGCAAATTTGAACCATGGAACAGGTGGAATACCTAGAAGGAGCGATTTTGCCCAATGTCTTGGACGGGCTTGCCAAGTTGCCGTCCTTTGGTGAAAATTCCACGTCTCTGGCGCAGTCGCTTTATCAAGTGGCATCTCATGGAAACCACTCCCTGCCATATTTCCCAGGTCCCACGTCCTGGCTGTCTTGTCGATGTGCTGACGGATGGGGTCCCCTTTCCTCAAGATACAATGACTTGACTCCATGCTTTTTGCAAGGCATCTTGTACGTCCTTGCCGGGGTGCTCATGGTAACGGTCAGTTCCAAGCAGCTTTACCAGTTGTACCACAGAAAAATTACCTCGGGCAACAAGGCCAACTTGACTTACTACACTAGACTTGGACTCACGGTATTGCATTTTGCGTTCTCCGTGACGCTATTCCTTTCCTACCTGGAGCCATTCGATATCATCAAGCTTGGCTTGCTCTTGAACATTGCATCCCTAGTGCTAGCTTTCGGTCTCCATTTTCTTGAGCACTTCAAGGCCACCATTTCGTCTGGCGTTTTGCTTTTCTACTGGCTTTTCCAGGTGTTCTTCAACCTTGGCAGAATCATCAACTTGAATTTGAGACACGAGAAGCTGAACAACTTCTTTGCCATTTCGATCTTGGCCACCATCAACGCATTCATCGTGCTTCTCCTTGAGAACTACTTCCCTCCGCTCTCCAGCCAGCCGTACGCTAAGCAACTTAGTATTGCTCCATACGATAAGGCGAACATCTTCTCCCGTATTGCGTTCAACTGGATGGCCCCATTGATGAGGAAAGGTTTTTACCAGTTCTTGACTGAGAAGGACTTGCCATTCTTGCCATCTGAACTCAAGTCTGGTACAGCTGCCGATAAGTTCTACCACTACTGGAACGCTAAACCAAACCCATCTTTGTTCTTCACTTTAGCCAAGGCTTTCGGTGTGCCCTTCTTGATTGGCGGTGTATTCAAAGGTCTTCAAGATGTCCTTGCTTTCTCCCAACCTCAATTGCTTAGACTTTTGATCAGCTTTGTCAATCAGTACTCCGACTCCTTGGATATCGGTGAGCCAATTCCGCTCACCAAGGGATTGATGATTGCAGTTGGTATGTTCCTTGTTTCAGTGGTCCAGACCGCTTTCTTGCATCAATACTTCCAGCGTGCTTTTGACTTGGGAATGAAGATCAAATCGTCAATGATTTCAGTCATCTATAATAAGGCTCTTGTGTTGTCAAATGAAACGAAACAGCAGTCCAACACAGGTGACATCGTGAACTTGATGTCTGTTGACACCCAGAGATTACAAGATTTAGTGCAGAACTTGCAAATTATTTGGTCTGGTCCATTCCAGATCATCTTGTGTTTGTATTCTTTGCACGGCTTGTTGGGTAACAGTATGTGGGCAGGTGTGTTCATCATGGTGATCATGATTCCACTTAACGCTGTTATTGCCAAGACAATGAAGAACTTGCAGAAGACCCAAATGAAGTACAAGGATGCTAGATCCAGATTGATTAGTGAGATCTTGAACAACATCAAGTCGCTTAAGTTGTACGGTTGGGAAGCCCCATACATGGAGAAGCTCAGCTTTGTCAGAAATGAGCAAGAATTGGGCAACTTGAGACGTATGGGTTTGTTTGGCTCTCTTTCGACTTCGTCTTGGAGTATGACTCCCGTCTTGGTCAGTTGTTCCACTTTCGCTTTGTTCGTCATTAACAATCCTGACAAGACCTTGTCGACCGATATTGTCTTCCCAGCATTGTCGTTGTTCAACTTGTTGTCTTTCCCATTGGCTGTCGTCCCAATGGTGATCACTAACATTGTTGAGTCTCAAGTCGCCATCTCGAGATTGACAAAATTCTTGAACGGTAGCGAGTTGCAGGCCAACGCTGTCACAAACCTTCCAAAGGCAACCTCTATTGGTGATGTCGCTGTTTCCATCAAGAATGGTACTTTCTTGTGGTCTAAACAGAAGGGTGAGGAGTCTTACAAGGTTGCCTTGTCCAACATAAATTTGTCGGTCAAGAAGGGTGAATTAGATTGTATTGTTGGTAAGGTTGGTTCCGGTAAATCATCGATCATCCAATCTCTTTTGGGAGATTTGTACAAGCTTGATGGTGAAGTAAAGGTCCGTGGTAAGGTTGCTTACGTTTCACAGGTTCCTTGGATTGTCAATGGCACAGTCAAGGAAAACATTTTGTTTGGTCATAAGGAAGATCCTGAATTCTACCATAAGGTTTTGAAAGCATGTGCGCTTACCGTTGACTTGAAGATCTTGCCAAAGGGTGATAAGACCGAGGTTGGTGAAAAGGGTATCTCCTTGTCTGGTGGTCAGAAGGCGAGACTTGCATTGGCCAGAGCCGTCTATGCTAGAGCTGATGTCTACTTGTTAGATGACCCATTGTCTGCCGTTGATGAGCACGTTGGAAGACACTTGATTGACAATGTCTTGGGTCCTAATGGTCTCTTGAAGTCCAAGTGTAAGGTTTTGGCAACCAATGCTATTCACGTGTTGTCTATTGCTGACAACATGCACATGGTAAAGGATGGCACTCTTGTTGAACAGGGTACTTACTTGGAGATCATGTCACAGGAGAGAAGTCAATTGCGCCAGCTCATTCTCTCCTTTGGTTCAAAGAGGGGCGATGACTCCACTGTTCCATCTTCCTCCGCTGCATCAGTCAGAAACTCCGATTTGGAAGATATCAAAGACACTGACAACCTCGCTAGTTCTGAGAACACTTCCGACTCTGAAATTCGGAGTTTGAGAAGAGCTTCGGACGCTACTTTGATCACAGATGAGGAGCGCTTGCTTCGTCTGGCTGATGATGACGATGAAGAGGAAGATGAGGACACCAAGGCTAGAAAAGAGCAGTATCAGCAGGGTAAGGTCAAATGGGATGTCTACAGACAGTATGCTAAAGCATGTGGCCCATTCAACGTTATTATCTTCTTGGCTTCCACAATTGTCTCGATGACCTTCAATGTGAGCTCCAATGTTTGGTTGAAGCACTGGTCTGAGGTCAACACAGAGAAAGGTTACAATCCTGCCTTGGTCAAGTACTTAGGTATCTACTTTCTTTTGGGATTCTTGTATTCTGCGAGTATGATGTCCCAGATGATTATCATGTGGATTTTGTGTACCATTCATGGATCGAGGAAGATGCATAATGATATGGCAGCCAGTGTTTTGAGAGCCCCTATGTCATTCTTTGAGACGACTCCAATTGGCAGAGTCTTGAATAGATTCTCCAATGACATCTACAAGATCGATGAGATCTTGGGTCGTGTTTTTGCCATGTTCTTCACCAATTCGGCTAGAGTTTTGTTCACCATCCTTGTCATCTGTTACTCCACATGGCAATTTATCTTTATTGCTGCTCCATTGGGAATTTTGTACGTTTATTACCAGCAATACTACTTGAAGACCTCAAGAGAGTTGCGTCGTTTGGACTCTGTGTCGAGATCTCCAATCTTTGCCAACTTCCAGGAATCTTTGAATGGTGTCTCAATCATTCGTGCTTATGGCCAGGTTGAGAGATTTAAGTTCTTGAACCAGGCAAGAATTGATAAGAACATGAGAGCATACCATCCCTCAGTGAATGCTAACAGATGGTTGGCTGTGAGACTTGAGTTTTTGGGTTCCGTCATCATTTTGGCATCCTCTGGATTGGCTATTTTGACTTTGAAGTCGAGCGGTATCAGTGCTGGTTTGGTTGGTTTGTCTGTTTCTTACGCTTTGCAGATTACTCAGTCCTTGAACTGGATTGTGAGAATGACGGTTGAAGTTGAGACAAACATCGTGTCTGTTGAGAGAGTGCTCGAATATTCTGAGTTAACTCCCGAGGCTCCAGAGATTATTGAGAATAATAGACCACCAGCCTCGTGGCCCGACAAGGGTGAGGTTATCTTCAATAACTACTCCACAAGATATAGACCAGAATTGGACTTGGTGTTGAAGAATATCAACCTTAAGGTGAAGCCACATGAAAAGATTGGAATTGTTGGAAGAACAGGCGCAGGTAAGTCTTCTTTGACTCTTGCTTTGTTCAGAATCATCGAGGCTGCCGAGGGAAATATTGACATCGATGGCCTTGATACAAGCAAGCTTGGTTTGCAAGATTTGAGACATAAACTCTCTATTATTCCACAAGATGCACAAGTCTTCGAAGGTACTATCAGAGAGAACTTGGATCCATCAAAATCCTTCACCGACGAGAACATTTGGAAGGCTTTGGAATTATCTCATTTGAAGGACCATGTCCTCAAGATGTACAATGAGAGAGGTGAAGACGATAAGGACATGAAGGACGGTTTGGATGTCAAGATGACAGAAGGTGGCTCCAATTTGTCTGTTGGTCAAAGACAATTGATGTGTCTCGCAAGAGCATTGCTCATCCCATCTCATATTCTTGTTTTGGATGAGGCCACAGCAGCTGTTGACGTTGAGACAGACCGTGTGTTGCAAGAAACCATCAGGAATGAGTTCAAGGACAGGACTATCTTGACGATCGCCCACAGATTGAACACTATCATGGATTCCGACAGAATTGTTGTTCTTGAGCAAGGAGAAGTTGCTGAGTTTGATACTCCAGAGAACTTGTTGAAGAATAAGGACTCCTTATTTTATGCCTTGTCTAAGCAAGGCGGTCTTGTCGATGAAGAAGAGGAGACAGAAAAGGCCGAGTGATTAGATATATATCAAAAATGCTATTTAATGTGCTTATTAATGTTCACTTCTTTTTCTCAAAGAGTTGATATAGTACAAGGGATAGAATTGGTCGCGACCATCCACCTCACAAGGCGAGGCATCAGTTATGAGATTCAGAACATTCGTTTTTCTTGGGTGCAAAGTACTTGCGTCGTCAAACTCGTAGACTCCGACTATTGAACTGTCACTCTCAACGTCAAGAGCAGCATAGATCTTGCCGTTAGCGCAAGTAAAGTCTACCAAAGTGCTTTTGGTAGTAAGAGTTTGCTTGTGTGTGATTGACATGTCGGGTCCAATGATGAAGGTGAGTAAGCAGTTGGTTTGTTCGCAAAGAACGGCAAGAATATCTTGTTCTCCTTGCCTAAAGGTCTCAATTTTTGCGATGGAAATCTCCTTTTTCAGGTCCTCTGTTCTAAACCTTTCGGGTGGGAGATGATTATCGTTCAAGAATGGTTCGACGAATTCACGAAGTTCGATATCTGTGAGCTGTTCCCCTGTGTACCAATTCCACAATACGAGGAAATCATCACCGCCACCACTTATGAGAATATCATTATTGAAGTCAGGGACATGCAAGCTGGAAACAAACTCTCTGTGTCCAAATAACCACTGCTTAGCCACATAGGATTTAGGAAAGTTTGTCACTCTGATGTGCTCGTCACGATCACCAGTCAAGATATACTGCTTGCCCTCGTGCTTCGCCACGAGAACATCACTCAACATAGAGACATGACCGAGAATTGGTTGTAAAGTTTTCTCATCCACAGACTCATTGTCGTCAATCAGAATGTTGTAGACATCACCAAATTTGTCTGCCACAATCAACTGCGAGTCGTCAAAGGTTGTAGCAATTGCGCAAGGTCTCTTGGGAAAGACTTGCCTCTTCACCAATGATATACAGTTGTCTTGTGAGTGGTTAATTTTGAAGATCACGGCAGCCTTGTCACTGTCGGTGGTTCCGATTATATACTTCTCATTTCTTGACAAGGTTAAGGAACGAATATAGTTGTAGATCGGAGGGGCTCCGGGACCTGGCACGGGGACCTTTGGTTCCTTCTTGTTTGTCTTCGCTTTCTTCGCAGGTTGTTCATCCTTCTTGAGCTTGTTCTCCTGAACGTCCTGCAACTTCACATCATCGGTCCAAGATCCTATGAGAGCACCATCCGTCAAGCGGAACACAAGAAGGCTGTTTTTGACTGTAGCAAAAAGATGCTCGCCGGATTTGTCCGACGTAAGTTTTTGGAAAGGGTGCTTCATTTCGGGTTGGAGATCTTACAGACGAAGGAGGTTGTTCTGTACTTTTTCAGGTAGTCCCTCATCTATCCTGCACACTCACCATACTCGGCAGACGCATTTTGCAGCCATTCGATGAATCAGCTTTTAGCTCCCCAGCTCCATGGAAACTTCTTTGGTGTAGATTGCTTAGCAGATTTTTCTTCACCTGCCTCCTCCTCATCGGGAATGAATTTTTGTGGTTTCCTTGAGTTCGAAAAATACTCATTCGCTTTCTCGGTAAGAGAAGGTGCCGTCTGCTTATTGAAACTAGCGAAGAAGTTACCAATGCCCGATTGAGAGGACTCTTTGGAGTTGATGGCCATATGAAGTGGGTCGTGAAAGTTGAAAATAAAATCGTCACAAAGTGCATCCCAAATTTTGTAATTCTTTGTGCTCAACCAGGCCTCGACAAAGGCTTCGTTGAATGTCTTGAGGCTACCATAATGTCTGTTCACAGTTACGTCGAATCCTGGAGGTGCCGATTTGAACTTGTTCATATACTGGTGGAACCTCATTGTCGAAAGAAGACTGCGAATGTAGTCTTCAAATTGATATCTGATGAAATCGTCGCTTCCAACAAACGCATCCACATCAGTGCTAGAGTTCGTGAGTCCTTGAATAAACCTCTTGTCGTAATGAGAAAGCAGAAGTTCTTCGCTTTTTCCGCAAGGATAAGAGAGCTGACATGTGTCTAAGTTGACAACTAAGTCAATCTTGTAGTGTGCAGCTTGGTTGAGAATCAACATATTTGAACAGCCCACCATGAACGAGGATGAATTGAGCTCGTCGAATTGTTGCAAAGGAAGATAAGGATTCCAAAAACATCCCTTGGTGTTAAATACTTGCAATGGGAGACCGAAAAACCGCGCCATTGACAGTCTATCATTAGTCTTTAAAGAAGTCGGTCTAGTCAATGGCGAGTGCTTCTCAGTGTAGTCGCTCAACGGACAGCCAGAAAGGTCGAGATGATGATGAAGATCTGGTATCAATGCAATGAGGTTATTTTGAAATTGCGTCAAAAGCTCTAAGTTGTTGTTTGAATAGACGAGAACTCGCTTTTCAAGCAAGAGAGCCTTGAGGATAATGAGCAAACTGGATTTGTAGGTGAGAAGAATATTGCGAAGGTTGAGGTTGACGAAGAACTCGTCCTCCTTTTCGTTCTTTTTATTCTCCAAAAGAGCCACATCCTCGGGAATCTGTGGTTTCAACGTCAGTTCGTCTTCGACAAGCTTGAAAGTGCTGTTCAAATTGTCAAAAAGATGCTCCAAAAGGTCCGTATTAGTGAAGTTGGTCTGTTGAAAGTATGAATGGGTGATGATGGAGAGTTTCTCTTTGATCTTGGTAAATATAGGCTGTTTCCGTGTGATGACCACAACAGCCTTCTGCACGATGGAACGAGTAATGTCCTTATTTCTCTCAAGCTCTTCGGAAGAAAGATCCGCAGTTTTGACCTGACGAACGCATGAACAGCCAAAAAGCGTCTCTAGGTGGTTTGGGTTTCCCGTGAACTGCTCAAAGTCTAGCTGGTCGTCTAAAGAGACTGACTTCTCAAAATCATAGATAAGATTAAAGTTTGAAAAGGTCTCTTCGAACAAATGCGACCCATCAGGGAGCGCCTGGAACGAGAGGTTCTTGAAAAGCTTTTCATGCAAGTTGTAGTCAGCGTGGTAGTTCAGCTTCCACCACTGCACCTCTGGGCCTCTAACGTGGTGGAAATCCACAAGACACAATGCAAATATCATATCGTCTAGTTTCGACAAGTCACTTTCAGCTTTGCGTCTTGGAGATTGCACGATCGGAAGGTTCCTCACATGCACAGACAGCCTCCTGGACGACTTACTGTTCCTTCTGGGTGTAGAGGGCTGGGATTCGGAGTCCACGGAATCAGGAGCGACAAAGGAGAGGCCCTGATTGTGATCCGGCTCGGTAATGGGCCTAGAGTTCAGCCCTAGTCTCATGGGTCTGCAAACAAAGTCGTCAGTCAGCAACAGAGCCGAGTTCGTATTGGTGGTGGTTGGGATCAGGGAGTCGGATTGGGGTCTTGATCGCGAGCCGTCGGAGCGACCCAGCTGGGATTGTGTTCTATGTATTGACAGATCCGGACGCTTCAGGATCCTTAGGGGCCTGAGCGAGAACTCAATGTCTTCAGTGTTACTCATGGTGGTTCAAGTGAGACATCAAGAAAAAGATGGGGTCTATCTCCACGCAGGCCGTTGCAGGGACACAATACAGAGGCGGAAGAGATTAATTTTTTTGTCAGTTGTTTACGAGGTATTCGTGATGTCAATTTATCAGTTATTGGATCAGAAAAATTTGTTTTACATTTCGAGGGATCGGTGGCTTGTTGAATGAGTGCTGGCTGCCAAGGCCAGCGGTGAGCATAGTCTGATATGGTAGGTGGGGCCGTGAAGGCCCATTGTCGTATATAGAGTAGGTTTAGGGAAATGCGTGTTCACTGAGATTTCTTGCAATGGAGTCGATTGAGCCGGAAAAATAACTACTTTTCTTCTGTATCTCAATTGGTATGATGGTGCCGCCTCGGAGTTGTTGAGGCTGAAGTGCAGATGGGTGCAAACGGCTGAACCAGGCGAGTGCAGAGTAGGTCAAATAGCCAACGGTTAGAGATTTAATAGAATCTTTATCATTCATGTTGAAACGCCGTATCTTTTGTTTGCACCCTCCGAGAAAGTTACATCTCCGAGATCAAGCGACTAACCCTAAATGCAACCTTAGCGAGTCGTGTGGACTAGCCTCAGGCCAGTCGATCTGACTAAAATGTAGACTGAGAGAAAATCATACGTGACTGTTTTTATTAGATTTCCAAGCCACCATGTACCCCTTATCCTCCACGCCCAAATTGCACAATTTACAGTATCTCCATAGGAAGTACCGTAGACGTCCCCTAACCTCCCTGCCTTTCTCAGCACCCTGTCAGCCATGCAGCACCGTGGCTGGATCTAGACCTCTATATCATAAAGTCAGACTTTCTCGCTCTTACCGCCTTTGCATGCAATTGGCTTGGTTCTACGATAGTTGCTCTCATTGTAGGCTCGGCCGGATCCTGAAAAGGATGCACCATTACAAAGCCGGTATGACGTTAGTTTGCAATCAGGGTGCGATTTTCACCCTAGCAAGTAAAATGCGCCCAACAAACACGAATCCTACCAAAGCACACCAACACTTATAGAAATTTAGGCATTTTAATAGCTCAATTGATGACATCTCATTCTCTTCAGTTTACCGAGATACCCGAACTCGACATCATCGGCTTTCTCCGGTTGCTCTCACGTGGATCTGTCAACTCGGCCCCGTCCACTCCTTGCATAAATCCCCACTATATAAGGACAATACTTTCCCCATCCACAATTCCACCATACTCACATAATTTACTATGACTCTTTCTCAAGGTGACAAGTTCCCATCCGGTTTCGAATTCAACTACGTGCCAATTGAGCTCGAGACGCTCAACCAGGACGACGGTCTTGCCTGTGGCAAACCATTGGGCTTGGGCTTGGACGGCTTGCTCGAGAAGAATCAGGGTGGCAATGTGCTTTTCGTTGCCGTTCCAGGTGCCTTCACCCCAACTTGCACGGAGAACCACATTCCTCCAATTTTGGAGCACTTGAAGGAGTTGAAGTCCAAGAAGAACATCACCACTGCGGTGTTCTTGAGTGCCAACGACCCATTCGTCATCAACGCCTGGGGTAAATTGCTCTTGAAGCAGCAGAAGATCAGTGCCTCGGATGACTTGCCAAAGATCATCTTTGCTTCTGACCCCAATGCTGCCTTCTCGCAGAAGAACGGACTTTCCTTGGACTTGACCGATGCTGGCCTCGGAGTCAGAACCAACAGATACGCATTGATTGCCAATGCTGACTCCAAGACATTGTCCTACCTCGGAGTCGAGTCCGAGCCTGGTGTTACGGTCTCTGGCTACGATGGTATTTCATCTGCCAAGTTGTAAATTTTATGAATAAAAACATGCCTTCTCCATGCTTAAATGAAATGTGGATCTTGTAATTCTAAAATTGCCTACTCTACAGGTTCAATTGATAGCGTAATTCATCTCATTGCTTACAACTCACCGGAAGCGTCAATGGTGACCTTGGCGGAGGTGGCACCGGAGTTGGAACCGTAGCTCTCAACCTTCTTGACAACGTCAAAACCGTCGGTGACCTCACCGAAGACAACGTGCTTACCGTCCAACCATGGGCATGGAACGGTGGTAATGAAGAACTGGGAGCCGTTGGTGTTTGGACCAGCGTTGGCCATGGACAACAAACCAGGTCTGTCGTGCTTCTTGGAGAAGTTCTCGTCAGCGAACTTCTCACCGTAGATGGACTTACCACCGGTACCGTTACCTCTGGTGAAGTCACCACCCTGCAACATGAATTGAGGGATCACTCTGTGGAAAGCAGACTGGGCGTAACCGAAACCCTGCTCACCAGTGCACAAAGCTCTGAAGTTCTCGGCAGTCTTTGGCACAACGTCGTTGTACAACTTGAAGCTGATTCTGCCGAGCTTGTCGCCGTTGGCGGAGACATCGAAGTAGACCTGGGACATTTTTATTTTTTGGTTGGTAAGAAAAAAATAGGGTTAGTTTTTTTTCCTGGCGAAATTGGGACTGCGTGCGGGTCAGGTGGTATTTATACTGAAAAGCTCCAGTGCCTCTTTTGTTGGCTGTCCTTCTGTGCGCTTCCAGTGGGATGGATATGACGACAGGCCTGGGCAATTGTGCAGGAATGGATTAATTACACCCGTGCACCTGGCCCAGGCCCCCATATCATTTCAGCGAAAGGTACGAAGCAAATGATGACAGCAATTGAACAATTTGTCCTGCACTTAAGCCGGTGACACCACGTCCATTTCATTTGGGATAGCTGGAGCATCCTGATTGGCTCAAAACTGGCCACCCTGTAAACAAATCTCACCTCCTGAACCCAGCACTCAGCCGATTTGGGTGCTTTGTTGCGAAAGGCCGCTTGAAAGTCGTCAATATATGCAGGAGATTCCACTCTGGGCTTCTCCGCGCCCAGGCCTCGAGCTGTGTGCTAAAATTGTATCTGGCCTTTTATACAGATCCGTTGATGGTACTATAAGACGGGCTAAAGCCGAGGCAATGGTGCCTTGGATTTTGTAATCTCTGGAGATTTGGTAAATTTTGAAAAGTTTGAGTAGATTTGAACGACAAGATTGAGGGGTACCCCAGGGCTTAAGCTTAATGGCAGCCCTATGCACTGCCAGCGTATGATGTAGTTCAATTGAGATAATGATGAGCTGGCATAATTAATGTGCAAATGTGGTCATGTTACAATCAATTGAGTCATTTGCCAGAAGTTGGACAGATTGTCTGATAATCGTAACACAACTCTTGATACTAATATCTTGGACAATGTGACTCGAATGATGAGAACCATCGAGCCAGCAATTTTGAAAACTGGCCCTTTTCAAAAACTTCAACGATGCAACGGACTTTTGTACTTATATTGAAAATCGGTAGATTATCTCTTGGAAAAGCAATACTCCTTCCTACCGTGATCGGAGGGCTAAAGAATCTCACAATTCTTGAGAAAATACTTTCGAGATGCCATCTAGTCCTTCTGACATCACTAAAGCACCTGGTCAACGTCGTCCAGCAAAATTTAGTAATCTGTAACAGATGGCAACTGTCCTGGACGCTGAAGGCCTCGAGGCCAGATTTCAAGTATCGCCGAACAACAAGTTGAGAGGCTAAAAGCAAAAACCATGAATTCTTTATGGCTCGTAGTTTCGACGCTCAACCAGACTTTTTGCCTTGTAACAGGGGGTTAGTTTGAAATGGCGGCATAAATGGAAACGAAAAAGAAAACCACTCTGATAAATGTCTTTCTCCAAAGATGAAATCTCCACACATTGTCATTTGGAAACCACAACACTCTTTTCAACAACCAGCCCGGCTAAATCCAGTCGAATTCCGCCCTCATGAAGCCGACTGGCCCTGGTAAAACGTTAAAGCTTTTTTCAAGACGGAACCAGCGTTTCCATTGTTTCAAACTCTTCAACAAGCAACTCCAACAATCCCCAAACCCCTGGCGGCGGCCCTACGAACCTAAAGCACATACCACACGAAATATAAGGTCAAGGTTGGAAGAGATCGCCAAATGTGTCACTGGAGAATTCAGCCAAGAGCAGCGAAAGAGAAGATTAAAAACACTCCGATCGCAGGCGGCAACAATTAGCTTTTGTGATCGACAGAAGGGATAAACCTTAAACCGGGTTTTCACCGCAAAAAGCCAGCATCCACGGACTATCAAGCAATTTACTCACCAGCTTCACAAAAAAAAAAAACCACAGGTCAGGTAGCCTCCTCAAATGGGGAAATTCCGGCAGCTGAGGCGAAGGTCATGAACGGCTGCTGCGCCAGGTAACGGCGGGAACGGCGTGCTGGACCCAAAAGGCTAACCTAGACACGGTGAATTTGCAGCAATTGGAGAAAGCCACATACGACGGCCGTGCAGAAGACATGCCTCAGACGCGGGCTTAGATGGAGAGAATGATCGCCGGGCGCAAGCTTAAGTGAAAGTCAAACGGGCTCCAATGCCCCCTCAACAATGTCAAAAACAACGTTTTTAGTTTAAAAAATATCGCTTCCCGAAAAAAATATTCAGCCATGTTGTAGCGCTTGACCTATTACAACGTGATGACGAGCAGCCGAAACGGAGATGACGTGCGGCTGCCCACTAGCCGAAAAACCTCTCTCAGAGGCGCTTGTGTCAAAGGGCGCAGCATCGCTTAACATTGACAGCAAGGCGCATGCGACCGGGAAGACCCCCGCGCTCAGGAGAAGCCCCTAAATAATAACTTTAAACGCAAAAAAGCACAGAGTTTAAAAAACAGTAACTACTGGCACCCGAAAATAGACTTGCGCCGCTTCCCTCGTATCCCGCGCCTATTTGCTGCAACAGCTGCGCCTGCATTGTACCCACCCGAAGCTAAGATATAAGAAGGACAGCTCCATCGAGAAAATAGCCTACCACCATTTTTTTAAAGGCCCACCTGCAACTTTTCGCCCTCATCTGTGGAGGCTTGCCAACGTCGTAATTCGCGCTCATATTGTGCTTAGTACCCAGCAGCCACCTGCCTCAGCCCCGTGGGCATTGTCTTAGCTGTCAACTGATCCATCGCGCATATCGATTCCACGTGGGGACCTTTTAAAAGCACCCTGTTTCCCTGCCTGTGCTTCCCGACATCCTTCTTTTCAAAAATACCATCACCATACTGACGTTCCAATGTTCCACAAACAAAAGGCGCTAGCGGCCTGCTCCCCGCTGCTTGCCTCTGCTGCATGGCTATTAGACGCTGTCTTCTGCTCCGTTTTGCACAACCCATGGCTAGCTTGTCTCTTGACCTTGGGCCTGTTCCTACGGTTGCAGTATAGCCAGGTTTCGGCGGCCTGGGCCATGGACGAAATGTCGTATTTTGACACAGACGACTACCTCCTCGACGTTTTCCACAATATCGTCAATCTTGTCTTCATACTTCGGTTTGCCATGTCGCTGCAAAGCTTGACCCGGAGAACCAACCTCCTCGTCGAAACGACACTTCTAGTGCTTCAGGAGTTCGGCGTCGTGGTGCTCCTTTTCTATCCAAAATACTCCTTGTTGTACTCCGACATCTCCGTGGTGCTCAGGGTCTTCATCTGGTGGCAGGTCTTGTGCCCCTACATCGTGCTAATTTTCAATGTTGTCGACTCCAACAAGGACGAAATGTCTGAAAAGGGCCTAGTGCCCAAGTTGCCTGCCTCAAACCTCCTCACAGTGATTGTCGAGACAAACAACAATATGCTCCCTGTGTTCATGGCTCACTCATTTGCTACCATCAACTTCGACTTCCCCTTCCACGACGGCCTTACACTTCCCCTCGTGTACCATGTGGGCGTCATCAGCATCAAATTTTACATCATCTGCCGTTTCATCTTATATGAGCTTGTGGTGGTGGTATTCAACATCGCAAACCTCAAGTCCTTTGCTGAACTTTACACACCAGTGCAAATCGGAAACACCAGGAAGCTGTGGTTCCACGCTTTCTCACGCTTCACTCCTTCAATTCTTCTTCTCACTACTTTCATTTGCATCTTGTCTGACGTGGGCATCATCATGCTTTCCAAGTATGGCTCCTAGGCATCTATAGATTCTAATACAGGGCATGGCGGTTCCAGGCGCTTCGTAGGCTTGCCAGTAATTTTACAGCACTCTCCTCGTCCCCACTGGAGCTGCTGTTTCTGCTGATACTCGAGGCTGTGCCGACAAATCCCTCGAAATCGGTTTCTGCAGCACGAGCTAAGGCCTCATGCTTGCGTCGGTCAAAAGACTCAAGGAGGCGGGTCTCTTTCAGGAGAAGCTCATCATCCACAGCAACATCGGTGGCGTCCTTGAGCAATGCTATCAGCCTTGTTTCATCGGCCAACACATCTATCACTTGTGGTGGTTCCAACTGTGGTCTCTTCTGCTTTGAGACAGTCCACCAGTCGAGGCCTTCAGGATCTTCAGTTTCGCTTTTATCTCCCTCGAGCTCGACTCCATCTTCGTCTAAAATCGCTCCGTAGGCACCCTCTTCCACAACTTCATCCGGGTACTCAAAGGACGCCTCTTTTTCCTGGGGAACAATTACGCCATGCAACTCCCGAGGAGTAAAGTCCTCCCAATCCGGCGCTTCTGCGGGTGGCCCATCTGTAACGAGGCGCAAGGATGATTGTAACCCTGCCCAATAATTTTCGAGCACGCCACTTTTCCAATATCTCTCATCCACTTTCCCTGACTTCGGCGCCTCGCAAATCCGGGACTCTCTAACAGCATTCCAGATGTCGCCGGGTGTTACTTTGATCGCCTGCTCGTCCCGGGAACTGCAGCCTTTGTTCATCAACAAAGACGCAATAATTTTTTTAGTTGTAAGACTAGCGATCTCTTCAAAATAAACCAAAGACGGAAACAACAAACGTGGAGTCGGCTTCCGATCCTGAACCATTGTGACTTGATTACCTCGGTAGATCTTGCTCACTTTGAATGCGTTGTTCACATCGAGAAGCGGGAAGTTCTCGCCTAACTCATCCTCCAGTTTTTTGGTATAGTCCTTCATTGCCTTCGATTCCCGCTTTCCACGGTCCACATCTAACCGGCCCTGTCTGTCAGCAATATGGATGCTTTGCTCCTCTTCATATTCCACCCATTCGTCGCTCATTTCGTATGCAATTGGGATATTCCTTTGATCGATCCCCCTGGTATTGTCATTATATCATATTCATGTCGTAGAAGCCTCGTGGGATCCCGTTGATCCTCTATGATATGAACGGAGTGTGTTTCACAGATTTGTTGGTCTCGTAGCTCACGCTTGAGGAGCTCGTAGTATGCTAATATTTCGCCCGTGCTTTTGGACAGTAAATGATCCAGGAAGTCTTCGACCCTGTGAATAGTGAATCTGGCGAGACAACTAAAAAAGATTTCCTTCTCATCTGCGGTCCAATAAGTTCCTGACTTCAAGCTATCAAAGAGATCTTCGTGAGAGTTCAGCTGATCAGCATGCCCATTAATCTCGTCAGTGGAACCTTCGACCTTTACTGGTCGGTAATATGCTCGTTCGGTAGTTACCACGCTGTCTTCAAGTTTTCGTTTCTTTGATTTCGGTAGCTCCAAGTACTCTAGACTGAAGAAGTTGTCGACAGATGAGTTGTATAGATCGACATAACCCCAGTCTCCTCTGAATGCTCTATCTGATTTCCCGCTAGTTTTCAAAGCAGAAGTTTGAGAGCTAGCTACCAGACTTTCTTTTGTTTCCTCTGTAGCTGGAGTGTCTTGATCATCATTAGTTGATAATGATGGCTTCAACCCATCGCGTTGATCCTGAGGGTCTGTCAGCTGCTGAACATTTTCAAAACTCTCTTTCTGATATGTGGATTCTCCTTTATTTCTCGGTAGTTCTTCAGGAGGTCCCTGCATCCACTGGCAGTTGTGTTTGAAGATGAGTAGTTGGTGATTGATGAGATCTTCCTGTACAATGATGGAGTATCTACAATTTTACTACGGAGTGATTTAAGGATTGTACATTAAGCGAGTGACAGGATAGAGGGTGTTCAATCTTAAAAAAGTAGTGCAATGACGTGTCGTCGTACCATGCCGTAGCATTGGCTTGGGGAGTGTCCATTCGATCAACGGCGCGTTGATCTCACGGAGCAAATGTGCGATGGGTGTAGGTAAGAAGCCAAAGCTTCGTAATGTTTGATCATGAATGCTATTGAAGAGAGGAGTCCTCCATCTTTGCCTCAAGAGAGGTTAACTCTTTGGAGTCTCTGGAGTCCCTAGAATGCGACGATTGTCTGTCCAGCGTGACCGCTGGCGACTCCGCCGTGTGTGCATCCTCAAAGTCCGTATCTTCCCAGTCGCTATCGTCTTCTGGATTCTTGACGTTCTGGAGAACTCGTGGTATGAACGGTTTGGGCTCGTCCTGGATGCTCTCCTCCTCAGGGGCACAGATCTCCACGTAACCCTCGGGAACAAGCCCATTTTCGCCCAGATCTGGGTCCTCCGCTACCAACCAGCCCTGTCCGTGTCTATAAGAAATCCAGATGACCTGGCCCACTCTGAGAGCCACCTCGTTGTCATTTTCGGGTTCGAAGTCAAAGAGCGCAACAGCTTTGCAATTTATCTCCTCTGGCCCTAGCGTGTCGTCGTCATCATACTCTGTTTGCCCAAAATCATGAAGATCCAGGTCCTCGCTGCTAGATATCAGTGATCGCTGGCTGGTAGGGTAATTGTTCAAATGTAGAGGGTGAGACTCCGGGTAGGCGTAGTCTTTTGTGGTTGTGTTTGGCGGGCAAAGTATGTCTGGAGGCATGCTTCCAATTTATGTTATGACGGAAAGATGAAAGCTTGAAGGATTGTTGATATCACGAGATCTAAAGAAAAGTAGTTGTAGAGGGAAGGGAAGAGCGGTACGCGACAGTAGCTATCCGCAGGAGCCCACCACCCAGCAGATATAAATATCCCATTTGCCCAACAATATGGAGCAAAAACAAAAATTCTTCTTCTTCGCTCCTCTTGAGCTTCTTTATCGTTTTGGAACTCCGGGCGCCGAGGCACCTGTGTTGGGCGTTCGAACCTTCCTAATATAGAACAAAAACCGCACAACGGTCAGACCCGAGAATGGTGCCAGAAGGGGATCCTGCTGGAAGCGTTAAGCAGCCCAGGTGACGTGGTATGTTTTACCAGTCGAAGATTGTAAGACCCTGTTTGCAGCAACATGCGTGGGCGACGAAACACAAAGGCATCGTCGGTGCGTTATGCTCACAAGATTGTTATTTTATATTCCCTGCTTGGTGCCTTTGGCCCGATCCATTTCTGCAATGAAATTACTTTTGATTTTCTATACATTGGCCAAACTCTAATTTGTGTATGCGCCTAGGTCGCTTTGACTTTGAGGCGGCAATCTACAGACATTGATGCACTTGCCATTGCGAGTCGATTCATGCACCTTATGACAACTCGTCTATGCTGCTGCAAGTCGTCTACGAGGCTCGGCAGGGTGGTATCTGCTGAGACCCTGACAAATCTACCTTTGCATAGGCGATATCGATGTTACACGAGGTGCCTAAAAAACGAAGGAATCACGTACGTGTGGTAAAATGTAGCATGCCATGCAGAAACAAGCAAGCTTGTTGTTTTGGGTAGTTTACTTGGGAATACAATGGTAAGCTAGTCTTTATCTTAGGCTTTAGCTCTATTCCTCGGACTTAAGCCCGCGAGACGAGGTCAGATCTAGATCGAGGCTGAGACACAAATAAGCTTTTTGGGGTCATGCTACGTTTAACTTCTTGCAGGTTGCTTAATCTGGTGAAAGAGCGGCGATCCTGTGCTTGTAGTGTACCTTTTTTGTGGTTCAGAGAGTGTAATAACGCAATTGTGCTGAGTCACGGAAGCGGAAGAGGAAGGGAAAGGGAGTACTGGGATTGGGGTAGTTTACTTTTTTTGAGGCTGTTCCAGTGTTCGTGCCTTGAGTTCGACTATCTTGAAAATCATAATTTGAGAAAAACCGAAACACCCTCGAGCAATTCTCTTGAGGGTCTGCCGTTTTTAACTTTAAACATTGTATAAAGAGAAGCCCTTTATTGAATTGTTCCTCGGGTCATTGTGACTTTTCCCAGATCTGAGACTTTCGAGATCTCGAGTTAGTCCCTCATTAGTCAACATCACCACAATGCCAATTTAGCAATTATCATTCTAAGGTAACAACTTCAGCCATTTTAAAAATATCATAGAATCAAAAGATCCGTCTTCGCTTGCTTGACTTTCACCACCCTGGGTCTTCGAAATCTCCTGCACATCTAGGCATCTACAGCGCTCTTCACCAACTACTACTCTTTCAATGGATCCAGCAGAAGAGCAGCAGCAGGAGCTCGAGGTGCTTCAGTCCATCTACCCAGATGAACTTGAAATTCTCTCTGATACGCATTTCACAATCACTTTGAATTTGGAGACGAAGTCGGATAGAAATCACTCAACTGTGTTGGATGTCAAGTACACCCCAACATACCCTGAAGAAGTACCCAAATTGGAGGTCAAAGTCGAGAGCGAAGAGCTTCCGGTGCCTTCCGATGATGAAGAGGACGACGAAGATAAATCAAAGTTGGTTCACCTCTCAGAACAGATAGAGCTCGGAAAGTTGGATGCCACTTCTCTTACGAAAAGAGTGGAAGAGGAGGCTGAAATGAATGTGGGTATGCCCTCTGTTTTTGCATTGGCAGCATTGCTTAAAGATGAAGCTGAGGCCTTGTTTCAGGCCAAGTTGGATGCTGCCCAGAAGAAGTATGAAGATGAGCTACTAGCCAAGGAAGCTGAGGAACAGAAGAAGTTCTTTGGTACGCCAGTGAACAAGGAGTCATATTCTGAATGGCGTAATAAATTCAGAGCCGAGATGCAAATCGAACAGAAGGATAGACAAAGGTTTGATAAGATGCATAACGGTAAGATGACAGGCAGAGAGATATTTGAAAAAGGCTTGGCGGGCAACGAGGAAGACGAGATCGAAGATGTGGTCGAGTCCGTTCAAAAAGTTGCAGTCAACTAGAGATGATGTTGTATTTCTATGTACGCTACGTTGAGACCTGAGTTCACTCGAGATTCGAGATCCACTGCCAGACCTTCATGACATCCCATGGATTTCAATTAATGATGCCTTGACGTTTGTGTTACGATCCACACGCCGGCTGACCGCCTCCCAGAGTCTCATTTTGCGGGCCAAGTTTCTTTCTTCGTTAAGAATAAGGTCCCGGAGTTGTATAGATCCAATATAAGCAGGCATGTTGGAGTCACGAGCCTGCCTGGCTTGTCTTTTGAGGTTTCTCAAAACCTCGTTGTAGAGAGTTTCCACGCGGTGGGCATGGAGCTTGGACTGGCGGTAATTGGCATGTGCGACGAAAGATGCAATGACAACCACGCCAATAGCAAACAAATGTGGAATATGGCTCACAATTAACTCTAACATGTGATTAGAGAGATGGCACATCAACGAGATGTGTGATAAGGACGTTGATCGAAAAATCGTGTCCGGGGCTTCCGCCTCACCAACAGTGTCAGAATCGACACTTGAGGAACGAAGGTGATGAGCTGATCGTTTGACCTAGAATGTTAGTAAATTTCGAATTTCGAGACCGCGTTAGGTCTTAAATAGTTGCAACTTGCCTTACCGTTATCTCCGGTTCTTTCTCCAACTCAACAACCGAACGTTTCCACAAATCTTCAAACTCCTCCTCTGTGATATATGGGGCTTTGAGTGCAAGCAAAAGATCATGCAATTCATTGACCTCAATGCCCGCTTCAAAGTTGTCAACTGCCGTCAGGCCGCATTGAATATTAGCGTTACGAGCCCTTAACAAGTCAAGAGCCTCGTCTATCATGAGTTCGACTTTCTCAGCTTTCTTTGTGTCTGGAATGCATTTCTTGGCTCTTGGGTCAAACACCGGCCAATATTGATAGTACCATGGCTTTGACTCGACAAAGTCCTCATAACATCCCAACTCTAGATGCGTGAAGCACCTCGCATGCTGCGGGCATGGAACGCACGATGGTTTGAAATTATTGTCAAGGTAAGTGCCAAGTTTAGAAATTAATGCCGGAGTGTCGGATTGCTGTGGAACTGTTGGTTTGTCAATTTCATGCCCACAGTAGCCGATGAGAATTGTTTGCTCTCTATACCAGTAGCCAAACATAGCAAAGCCAATTAACAAAATCCAGAGACCAATAAACAGTAAGGTTGTGGCCAATGATGGGGAATTGCGTTTTTGGTTCCTGACTCTCGATGCAAGTGACTTTTCGTCAGCGGTCTCTTCTTCGTCCTCAATGTCAGTATCAGCTTCTTCGTCACTTGGAGCAGCTGTTTGCTCCTCGGTTTCTGTTGCAGAGGATGGAACGTCTTTATCGAGATCATCGAGAAGAGACCCTCTGTCTGAGGCCAAACGCCTCTCAGGGATGATAATTGGCCGACGAGGGGTGATGCTTCTCCTACCCTTGGGCTTTGGTTTCACGCCATTGATGTCCACGCCTAGTAGCTTAGCAAGCTCTGCATCTTTTCTCTCTTTGGTGAGTTCCAGATCCTGGCTGTCGTGGCGTTTGAGTCTGGAGAGGGCAGCGTCGAATCCTGTGGCGTCGTCAACAAGCTCATTTTTTAAAGATTCATTGAACTTGTCCTCAGAGTCTTCACGAGAAACGTCAGTGGTAGAGTCAAGAATAGGGTCAAGAACTGGGCGGTGAACCTCCTGCTTGATATCAGTCTCGACTTTAGGAGACACAGGCTCTGGCGCTTTGGTTGGGGTGGATTTGGCAACGCTCTCCTCTAAGTCCAGATTGACGGACTTGGAAATGTCGGGAGACGTCGAAGCTTTGGGTTGTTTCTTCGATGATACCTTGCGCTTGGTGGTTTTGACAGGAGCGGGCAGTGGCGTTGTTTTGGCCTTTTTGGGCTTTGGACTAAAGATGACAGTGTCTGAATCGGAGTCCATGTCGACCTGGAAGAGGTTGCCCTTTTCTGGGGTCTTCTTGGGCTCATCAAACACGCTTGATTTTCTTTTCTTCAGTTTCTTGGAGGGTGGCGAGGAGCCGAACGGGCTTTTGGTTGGTTTGGGTGTTTTCTGAAGGGAGTTGTCAGACTCGTCGATTGAGGTCTTGGAGGCATCTGGACTCACCTCTTCCTTGTTATAATCTTTCACGCCTTCGTCTTCTTCAGCCTTGACGTGCTTCTTCGACGTCTTTCTCTTTGTCTTCTTCTTTGGTTTCACTTCTGGAGACGCCTCATCAATCTCGATGATCTCAACGGAGTCCTTGGTATCGTTGGCATTCAGGGTATTAGCAGGAGCCTCAGAATGGCCCTCTTTTGATGAATTCTTATTGCCAATGCTCTCGTTGAAGATCTCCACGAGTTCTTTCTTCTTTGCGGCAGAGGGAAACACAATGTCGTTTTCGCGTAGAATCTCCCGCAATTGGGCCACCTTGACCTTGGACGGATCAAAGTCTGCAGTTAGTAAATGATCATAAGTATTAGACCGTCTGGACTTACCTTCCTGGAGATATTCCTTGTCCATGATGGGGCGACAGTTGATGATGTTTGTTTTGATTTCGCAGTCGCTTAGTGGCGTGCAGGCCGGCGTCGAGGGGGTCACCAGTTCAAGGGCAAGGCACCAAAATTTTGCCAGAATAAATGGCACAGGCGAATCAGGGGCGGCGGTTTTGGCAGTGGATTTTTTTCTCTGGCGAATTCGAAGAGGTTCGTATTTTCGCCTCCCGCCTGGCCTGCTGCAAGAGATCGCAAGCGAAGGCAAACGGCTGCGAAAGCGAGACTGCCACCGAAGCCCGCAAGGGCAAGGGAGACATGGTTCAGCCTGGACTAAACGAGAAAGGCACGGCACCGACAATGGTGGCAGAATAATGGGAACAAAAAGAAGCAGCACATTCCCCCGGGAGAGTGGCAGACAATGGTCGGGAGGCTTTTCGGAGGTTATTTCAGGGCAGTGTACCTGATGCGGGCACTCTGGAGAAAAGAGAGATTGCCGTGGAGATCCGGAAATAGTGCCGAGTGCGGATGGGCCGCAGATTTGCAGATTGGCGAAAAGCGGGATCGTCAAGCGCACGATCAAAGCGTTAGACAGAGAATGCCCAGTGGGATTTACCCATTCCAGGAAAGAGCTAATTTCAATTGCGAGCTTAGCCTAATGCAAGTGCATGACCGGCGGCCCGTCCATCACAAGCCGCACCCCACCAAGGTACGACAGCGCGGAAGCCTAGACGGCTGCTTCCGTGGAGCAGATCTGACAATCAGGCAGGAGACGAAGCCGATGGACAAGGCGGGAGGACAATAGGCGAGAACAAAGCGAGGACTGGGGCCGCGCGAGTTGGCGGGACTACAGCACCAAGAGGAGTGGACTGGGAAGTTTTTTAAAAGTTGTCTAGAAGTCAGTGCTGGACTGTTTCAGGAAGGGTGCGCAGAGATCGACGGAAGCTAAAGCTCGATCTACGATGCTCCAGTTAGCGGAGGAATTTTAGCTCGGGCCAGATAATATCGAGCGGAGCACATTTGCGTGTTTTACGTAAGATAGGAGGCCCTCGGCAGGCCCTGGTTGTGAGAATTACCTTGTCGAGGCGCCCTGTTCCACACGCACTCCGGCAGCGGCAGCGACCCACTACGGCAGCACATGCGACGAAGGAGCTAGGGCACAAAGCTCTCTGGCCACAAAGAGAAGTGCCAGTTACACCGATTGGGAATGAAGACGGAAGATGGAAATTGGAAATCAAAAAATGTCAACAAATGAGATACCTTCCTCGTTGGGCCAACGCAAACAGTACTGCGTCGATGCCCCTGTTCGCTTCGGTCGCCGAGATGTCATGGGTTTTTCGCCGAGGTTTTGTGGGTTTGCCGCTCCGCAGCTGAATCCTTCGGTGCTTCGTGCAGGCCGCAGGCGTGCAGTGTCTGTGACGAATTCCAACTGCACCGTTCCGGCAGGCCCACCACTTGCTGGCTACGGGTGGAACAATTAGGGTTGGGTTAGTTGTCGATGGAGGGAATACGGTTTCGTTGGAGGGGCTTTTCTGATTTGGAGGGAATCGACAGTGTAGCCGGTTTTTTGTTGGCCCCATCGGGCAACCACGGCCCGCTGCCTGAGCCGCTGGGGCCTGCTCGTAACTCAGATGAACGAAGCTTTTCACGCTGTTTGCAGCGCGGGTGCAGCGATTAGCCCTCTGTGCGCGGTTTAGGCCCTGGCTCAGGAGCACTCTCGCTTCCGCGCCAGCGTGGGGCCGTCCTGCCTGCCGCCCGGCTTTGTGACATCGGAGGGTGCCCTTTTGTGCCAGGTTGCCGCATTTACGCACAAAATGGGAGCCCTGACTTAGGAGGCGAGGCAGAAACGACAAAGACAGGGTGGGCTTTGGTCATGTGGATTTCGCGAGCCTTCCGTTGGCTGAGCTTGACTAAGGGCTTCTGATGCTCGGCAGGATGCCCGCGCGCAAGCCCCACCCTCCAGGTAACTATACCCTGGCACCGCATCAGCCGGTAACTATACCCTGGTGGAACGACTCTTGAAATTGGCCCGCGGGCTCCATTCACTTTCCATCTTTTTTACGAAGGCGTTTAAGCTGTGAATTGCATGCAAGTTTGACTTGCATGGTGGCAAACTTAATTTCAGTCACTCGGGCCTACCGCTTGGCTGTTTGCGGGTGCCGCCTGGCGCCGGTTTTAGTTGTGCTTGGGGTGCCAGGCGAGCAGTGCTAAGTTGGCGCGGCTCCCGGGTCAAGAGGAAGCCGGCCGTGGCACCAGGGGAATCGGGGCGAAGCTTCCACAAAAACACACAAATCAGGGCTCTCGGAGATAATACCAAGCGGCGCAGACAGGAGAGCCTCCGAGTTATTTTCCATTTTTGTGGCCAACTCTAAATTCTATTTCGTGACTGCCCGGCTGACTTAGGCTCTGTCGCAGCAGATGCAAATCCGCTCCACGTCAGCGCAGCGACTTGGCACCACCACATGATCGCTTCGCACCGACAGCCCATGTTAGGGGCACTTCCACCGAAAAAGCCAAGGACTTGTTAAATAAAACGGGTCATTTTTAGGCCATCGCTAAATCAGCCGATTCTGGTTGGCCTGGCCTAGGCACGGCGGCTCCTACTGCTCACAAAAGTCGCTGCGCCAGTGCTCTAACGCTTTGTGCCTCTCGCCAGCGGGTATTGCACCTTCGGTGCTGCCGTCTGGCCAGGTGACAATCCAGCAACCTGCCAGTTAATGGCCCGCACGCGAATTTGTCATTCGCTTGTCTCACCTATGTTTTGAATGATGCATGATGCCAGCGTCCTCTAACTGGCCGCCCTGGTGTTGTTGGCATCTTCGCTGGGGGTCAGGGCGTAAGCGCAAAAAAGGCCTATTGTCCCTGGAATGCCTCTGCTCGCTTCGAGAATGCGGACTGTGTCGCTGCAGCATCTCTCAAAAAAGTCAAACAGACTCTCAGACCGGCAGACAAGGCAGGTTTGGCTTTGGCCCATTTCTCTCAATTTTTTTTTTTTTTCTGGCCCACGCTATTTTGCATTTCGCGCCGCACCGCTCGATGCTCCATGCATGCGCATCTTCTGTCGGCACTGCGTGGGTTTGTTATTTTCGCCATGCACCGGCAGCTCCACCTGTATTCGGCCGCATGCACGAGCTGCGTGCTCGGTCGCTGGAATCTGGCCCCATGCAGTCATCTGAACACCCTCGGCCACTTCAGCCTCCCAATCCAGCCCTCTCCTTCACACACACGCCCAAAGCTTCCCTTGTATACCCTACCTAAGCCTCACCCTTGTTATTCTCGCTCGGCAGCCTCCACCTTGCCCGATCGGCAGCACCCTCGCTTGCCCGAGACGGTTGCAGCATGCGTCAGGCAATAGCGCATCTTCGCCAAATCATGTAACCCACCACATTTGCATGCAGGCCATGCATTCTCTTGCTATCTGACTATATATTTCGCTCTTTTCCGGCCCTGTCTTCGATACCCCATACTAAATCTCACAATCCAATAAGTCGTCGGCACCGCCCGTCTATGTCCCTGCTATTGTTATGCCTAAGCTTCCGTCGGTCTCCGAGTTGATGGTGGGAGCCCAGCTCTCCTCGGTGCTAGACCGCTCCTCAACCCATCCTCAAACAAGACAACTGGCCCTGAGTCCTCGTCTGGCTGTGCCAGTATCGCCTCATGACAAATGGCCTTCTCAAGATCACGCTCCTCCACCTCCGCCTCCCGTGCCTGCCACTTTGCCCCATCCTCGCTCCAGAAACACTTCCTTCCTGGGCCACCCTTCCAGACAAACGGACTACTTCCTGCCAGTCCACCTCCCGCCTCCTCCTCAGCACCCGGGACTCTCACATCTGCTGCTGTACGAGCAGCCGGCCGAATCGCCATTACACGTGTCGCCTCAGTCACAACCTGCGCCGCCTCTGGCTCCTCCGCTGGCGCCACTTCCACAGGCGACTCCTCAAATCCAGCTGCTTCCGCCTCCACAAGCTCCGCAGCGCCCACAAACCCTCCAGCAACAGCATCACCTGCACCCGCAGGCACAACAGGTCCAGCCGCAACCGCAGGCTGTTCCCCAGCATCTTCAGCATCAGCATCAGCATCAGCATCCCCAGGCTCAGCAGCATCCTCAAGCCCCACAAGGCCCTCTCCCGCAGGGCGGGTACGGGCCCATGGTGCCGATGTATCCGATGCCAAATTACTACGGGCTTCCTCCACTTGTGCCTGTGGTGCCTCAATACAAGCCGTACCCACGCGAGGCTGACCAAAACAACGCCCTCGTGAACAAGCGCCGGGTGATCAAAAGACGTACTCGCACGGGGTGCCTCACTTGTCGTAAGCGGCGCATCAAGTGTGACGAGCGTAAACCGCACTGTTACAACTGCGAGCGGTCCAAAAAGCTCTGTTTGGGCTACGAAATGGTGCCGCAGCAGGCCAAGCGCCGCAACCTGGACAATCTGGGTAAGGACAAGGACCGCCGCCTGCTGGTGTACGATCTCATGTAAAGCGTGTGCTAAAAATTCCCGCCCTTGCAAGGGCCCTCAGACGCTGGCGTCTGTGGTGCCGGATCAGCAAATCGCTAGCAACCACTGGCGAAGGTGTGCTCCTGCACAGTGCATCGGTGCCTGAGCTGTTACTGCAGTCGGCTGCACCAGTGCGCGAGGGGTGGGTGGGTGTGTGGGTGGCGACGGGTGTCGCACCCGCAGCCGTCCGCATTTGTTTCAGCCTCGAAAGATGAAACTGCGTCTACGTCTGCTGTCAGCGTGACCAAGGCAACCAAACCTACTGACTGCTGTCTGATCTAACTATGGCCAGTTTGCGCACTTGGGTATGCCGGCTGGCGGATCGCTGCACCGTTCGTTGTCGCACCGCTCGCGCACCACGCATCCAGACGCACATAGACGCACCCACCCTCTAGCCACCTCCCTATTGTCTGGCTTGTCGAGTTATTGTCTCCAGTGTGACAATCACTGCACCATCTTTCACCGGGGTGCGCTTGCCGAATTCTCGTCATTTGCGCTCAGTTCCAGCCAGCGGCCGCCCGCTTCAAAGAAACGGCAAGATTTCCCGCGCCCGCCTGACTTTCCCGCGGCACCTATCCTGGGCGCTTCCCCCTTGGGTAGACACTGTCAACTTTTGACCCGCTCGTTGTCTCCTCAACAGTAAGGCAGCGCCCATCGTATTGGGACCCGCTTTGGTCCACTACGGGTGGTTCTGGCCCATGGCCCCAAGCCTGGTGCTCTCTTAATTTTATTTTATTTTTTTTATTTCTAATTCTTCATGGGTAGTGTCTGCCCACTTTGCCGGGCGAGACCTCGCCTATCTTACGTCTCGTTAATCTCACCTGCCTCTGGCTGCCCGCATGGCTTGAGCCGGGTGCATACCAACCGATTCCCGCCCTCGCCCACTTACACCGGAACGCAGCATGCCCCAGACTTAAAATACACACTGCAAACAATTACACCGTTTTATTTCTCCTCCACTGCCACAAATTCCACTGCCACAGCCGTTCGCTCCATCCGAAGCTAGCGGCGTCTGATTGTTTAAGCGAGTTTGCGTTAGCCGACTTTAGCCTGACGCACCTCGCTAGCCGAGGAAACGTCAAGCCCTGCCGTCTAAAAAACTAACTTTAACCTGGCTTGCTTATGCCTCCCGTATCGGCCTTGTTACATTTCCGTTGCTTTGCTTCGTCTAATTTTTGTGTCCAGGCCGGGTGTCCTAACCGTTGCTGCTTCTTTTTCCGTCTCGCTTACCTCGCTTGCAGAAGCTTATTTCGCACATGGACCAGGCAAAAGTACGTCCGTGCAAGCACTGCCTGATGATTTTTTCTTGTTTTTCGCTTTCTCGCCAGACCGTGGCAAGTCTGCCCTCCGTATTATTGAGGCGGTTTACGAGCCATGGCGTCTGCACTGTTGGCAAAGCAGAACAGAAAAAAAAATTCTTGCTAATGGCCCAACAACCCAACAGATGTTTAGCACCCCAGCAGTTGTCATAATTTCCTTGTCTCGGGCTTCCACCCTGCCGGCATCTGTACGCCTGGGCTGATATCTCAGAGATAAGAAACACATGATCATGGAGTTGCCGCCGTCCCCTCAACCAGCAAGTGACCTTTTCATTTTTTTTTTCTTTTTGGTGCCCGCTGGCTCGGGCTTTTCCGAAATAAGAGCCGTTGTTGGGCTCCTCCAAGAAAAGTCCTCCGCAAGGGTTATCTATTCTCCATGCGGGTGGCCTGCTAAAGTCTCTTTTTGTTCTTCCGCATAACAAGGTTGCAGGGGTTTCGAGGCGGCACTCGACCTGTCAACGACGCCAAGCCGGAGCTGCTGCTGGCTCGACAATGGTAAGTCTGATCGCTGGCGGAGGGTAATAATTTTTCACCAAGAACAGTTTGTTTGCTGTTGCTGGGCAGTAAATCCCGAGTCTTCAATTCTGCAGAAAAAAAAATTATTTGCAACCATGATTTTCCTAGCATAAATACGACGCCAGTCAATCCAAATTTAATCCACCATCCTACAATTTCCTTCTCGTCCTTTTATTACCATGCTAACCCCATGCTAAACCTTCTCCATCTCTTGCACAACATAGTCAAGCACATACGTCTGCTCAACCAACTCGTCGAGTCTCTGGTAGTGCCTTTCGTTGTACGGAATAACCTGCTCCACGATCTTTCGAATGGCGCCGTTGTCCATGTCAAGCTGAGCAACAATCACAGCCAACACCTTCTGTGCTATCTCAAACTGCTTGAAGTTGATATTCCAGTCCCTGACTCTTTTGAGAAGCGCCTCCATCTGCTCCCCTTGCAACGTCCTCATTGTTTCCTCAAGCTCCTTCAGTCCCACGGCCAGCTCGGGATCTTGGTTTGCTCCAATAGCCGCCTTCACCACATTGTACAATCTCATCAGATGCTCCAACGTGAGTGCAAGCAAAAAGGCGTTGCTCCAGTCGCTGCGGTTGATGTAGTTGCTCAACTGCTGTTCCTGTTCGACTCTCTCTTTTTGCTGCTGCTCTTGTTCTAGAAGAAACTCGTCTGTACGGTCTCTCCAAAGACTCATGTGGCCATCAGCATCGGCAGTGACCATCTGTAGACCATCTTCCTTGATATCAGCAGCCCAGATACGGTTGCTGTGGTTGTCCAAAGTGGCGACACACTCAGACTCCTTGACGTCCCACAACTTCACCAAACCGTCTGCTCCAGTGGTGACGATTTGCTTGCTCTTGTTGATAAAACGGCTTCGTTGCACGGCGTTGGTATGGCCTTCAAGCGTCTTTGTGCACGTGTAGTCGACCAACGACCAGACTCTGGCGGTTTTGTCTCCAGAAGCTGTGGTAATGAGTTTGTCGTACTGGCAGAAACTGATATCCCAAAGTCCACGCTTGTGACCCTTGAGAACACCAACAGTTTCGCCGGACTCTAAGTCCCAGACTTTGCCGAGTTTGTCGAAAGAAGCAGTGGCAAAAAGCTCGTCGTTGGGTGCGACAGCAACGCAGTTGATATCTTTGTCGTGAGCTCTTCTGGTGTATTCACTGGTTTTCATCGTGGAGCCTGCCTCCTTAGGCACACGCCATTTTTTGACGGTTAAATCAGAAGATGCCGTGATGATGAAAGCGGGAATTATGTTGATGCTCTTCGGGAGAGCACAGCCGGTAACGGCTCCAGCGTGACCGGTGAAAACAGCATATGAAGAAAAAGACTCTGCCTCGTCGCTCCACGCCCAGAGCCTTGCCAGGTTGTCTTTGCTTCCCGTGAGAATCCATTTTCCGTCCTCGGAAACGTCTATGCAATTAAGAAGGTCGGTGTGGCCTTCGAGAAGGTGTACGTCAAGAGGAGCACTGAGGTCCACCACACGCAAGGCTGGTGCATTGGTGGCCATGGCAACAAGCTCCATGTTGGGACCGGCATAGCGAAGATCAGCAATGATTCCGTGGTTACCGGCAACTCGCCTCGTGATGGGAATCACGGCAGCACCGTTTTCAACATACATGTCCTCGAGGGACATTTCCACCATCGTCTGATCAGACACCACCATCCAAAGACGGGTGTTTTCGTTTGTGTGGACGACTTCAATGGCCATGAGCTCTTCAGACGTTTCCAACGGTTTGGGCGAACCTCCAAGCGGCTTACCCGAAGCAATGTCCCAAAGCTTCACCTGGTTCTCTGAGCCTGCAGTGTAAAAAACATCCTCTCCCAGCGGAAGCTGAGTGAAACCGCAGCATTCGACCTGATGCCTCACGGTCACGGTATTCACAACCTTACGCAAGTTGTCTGTGTTGTAGAAGACCACCACGGCGTCTCTTCCACCGGTGATGAACTGCGATCCGTCTGGCGAGAACGCAAGGCCTCTCACGGCGCCCGAGTGCTCCTGGTGAGTCGAAATGCATTTTCTTTTAACCAAATCCCATACTTTTGATGTGCCCATGGTGTCTCCCAGCGCTAACATCCACTTGGACGAGTGAAGCTCGCCGTAGAAGCACAAGGAGCAGATGATGGTGCCGTGACCTTTAAGCGAATGGGTCACGTACCCGCCTTCAACGTCCCACACTGTGACAACTCCGTCTGTGGAGCCAAATGCAAAAAGTGACGAGGTCTCGTCGGCAGTAGCGATGTATACTGGAGCAGAGAGCTTAGTCTGTTTTGTGATTTCACCGCTTTCGACATTGTACACTCGAAGCTGCTGGGATTGGGAAATAACTGCGAGATGGGCTCCGTCAGGTGTGATTGCAAGGGCTGTGACAAGTTCTCCGTCACCTTCTAGGGTGTGGAGCGTGATGTTTCTGTTCAAGTCGGTCACCACGACATCCTCATTAAGCGGCGTGGCGACGATGGATCCGTCCAGGGAAAACGCCGCTGCCGTGGCCCCGACGTAAAACGGCTCTATATCTTTGGCCCGTATGCTCTTTTGATGGGTTCGGCCATTACGGATTTCTCGATGTGGTACTTTTTCAACTTGATGCGATGCCTGCGATGCCTATGTATGTGTGCGTACAGTACCAACTGGTGGGACCTACTACAGTGGGGGAGAGAAGATAACTGGTATGGGCATTAACAGGGTAATTTTTTTGAATTAAGAGATTAGGAAAATGGCAAATGGCGGTCATGAAGCTTTTTGGGCTTAAAGCTTTGAAAGGCGGTGTTCTTGCTCGGCTGCAAAATAGATGAGTTCTGGGCATAGTAACTGGACCGGCCTGAAAAAAGACATTTCGTGATTTCAAGAGTATTGTTTGTAGCAAAACTAAACAACTAACGCTTCAATTCATAAGAATCAACTTTGTATTTCACAGTTCCCAGTTGAACTTGTGTCCTCATCCGGTGAGAAAATGTGGAACCTCATCCCATCTCAACGACAAACGTTGGAGCACTGTAAAAAAAATGGAGAGCCATTCCTTAAAGTAATGTCAAGCGCCTGAATGCAATCTAGCCACAACTAAATGGAAAAAAGAAAGCCCGATGCGGGGCTCGAACCCGCAACCTTTTGATTGACCTTAGAAGATTAAGAGTCAAATGCTCTACCGATTGAGCTAACCAGGCTTCGTTGATTACAAACCAATAGTGGTCTTTTATGTCGTAATAAACCAAAAGCCGTACAAATTTTCGAAATTTTCCATATTTTCATTTTGTTTTGTCTTCCGTTACACTAACTCATCTCGCTCGCCGAATTTGAGCCTCAGCGGCCCAAAATTGCCCGATTTGTGTGCGTTTATTATATTCTTTAATCTAAGTCGTCTATGCCCCTTCAGCTATCTCTATTCCCATTAACTTGGCGGTATCCCTCATGTACTGGTCAATGTAGTCCTCAATACCTTCGCCCCTGCCACCATACCGGTCACCGGTCACGATCTGCCTGATTCTGAAGAGCCAAAATATAACATCACTGAGGAAGAGCGAAACCTTCACCTTCAATAACTGAATCCATGGACCGGGGTGGCGAAGGGAAAATGTTCTCTCCTCTGCAAGAGTTTTTAATGCGCAATTTGTGAAAAGATTGATTCTGTTGACTGGACTTCCCATAGTCTGGTTCAAGTTTTGCATCATTCTCATCGAACGCAGAAGGAATAGCATCTGTAACGGAAACTTCGTCTCATCTCCAAGAAAGCTTTTGATAAGATCGTAAGAGCTCGTATTTCTCGCGATAAAGTCTTTTGGAGGCGGCTTGAGCTGGACCATGGTTGTCAAGATCTGTGGGTCGCCAATGCCCCATGAATGTGCTATCTCCTCCATCTTTCTCTTATCGTAAAGAAATAAGCTTTCCCATATAGTGCAATACTCCTTTCTGAATTTGTCCGGAAGCGTAACGTACAATCCGTGATCCAAGATGACTAACTCTTGCTTCCCGTTATGTATTCTGGCCATGAGATTGCCAGGATGGGGATCTGAATGGCAAAACCCGTAGTTGAACACCTGTCTTCCAAAGATTTGAACATACTGCTTCATCATAGTGGTGATGTCGAGTTTCGCATCTATCAACTTTTGCTTATCGGCGAGAGAGATGCCATCTATCCACTCCGTGACGAGAATCAGCCCTCTAGTGTAGTCGTCGTAGTTTTTTGGAATATAAATATTCAACGAATCCATTGCTGGATCTTGTGCTAGAAGGCCTGAGAGCTTTGCAGCGTTCGCTGACTCGTGCCTAAAGTCAGATTCCTTCACCAATTGGTCCGAAACATACTGGGTAAAGAATGTCAACGGGAGATCAAAAATCTTTGAATACACCCACGACATTGCTCTGTAAATGGCCAAATCAACGTTGATCTGCTTGGCGATGTAAGGATGCTGGACTTTCACGGCCACTTCCTGCTGTTCCTTTTTCAATTTTGCTTTATGAACCTGGGCAATCGATGCCGATGCCATTGGCTTACGGTCGAACTGCTCAAAGATGTCCTTTTCGTAATTCTCGCCAAGTTGCCGCCTGAGCGTTCTGTCTATCTCCGCCCAAGGGTCCTCGGGAGCAGCGTCGTACAAATTGATGAAACGCTTTTGGTATGCCAATGGGAACACAGTTCCGTTGTTGGCAATTGCCTGACCAAGCTTGATGTAAAGGCCCTTGTTGGCCGAGAGCATCTGGAGAAGCTTCTCAGATGCCTCCTCGTGGAGATCGTCTATCTTCTCGTATTTCTTTGCATTGACTCCGTATTGGTAAGCAATCCATAAAAGCACATAAACTGCACGAGCTGAACGTTGCAAAAGTGACAGATAAAAGTACTCGTCAATGCCGTAAACAAGCACAGAGGCTCCAGTGGCGGCAGCTATGATCTTGAATGATTTGGGTGTTTTAGCCTTGCTACCAGTAGCATAGGTTCTTTGGAATGATCGGCTGAATGCAATTCGTCTTGTGTGCCGAAGAGCGCCTTGACGGTATATCCCGTGGCATCCTCGAAGGCCTAGCATGATGTAGAAGTAGTTGATAGAGTTGTTCAGTGTCATTGCATATAGCCTGTGATAGTAGCAACAAAGTACGGCGTATCTGGCGGTTTTTGTGATTTTGAAAAACCGTCGAGCATGTGAAAGTAGTTTCAAGAGAAGTTGAAAAGATCATTGGGCAACATCGATTGGGTCTTTATGTTGGTGCTTTTCAGCTTTACAAAATTGAGCTGTTCTGATTCGCACCCCAGAAGTCAGAGCTTTATGCGAGTGTTTGCCAAAACCACACCTACCCCACAAACCTAATAAAACGATTTACGTAAAATCAGCAAAATCTTCAAAAGCCACCTTACCGAATCCAATAAACAAGCCGATCCCTCAAATTCCCATTTTTAATTCCCCCTTGACTGCACCACACGCTTGGATCAATTGAGTTCTCTGGATACCTCGGCGCGAAAAAATCAAACAAGAACTACGTCTAATCCACCCCAATGTTCAGATTGGCATCCACCACGCTCCGCTCGGCCGCTCGTCGTTACCTGACTGCTCCTGCTGCTCCTGTGACTCCAACCAAGAAGGTCGGTGCTTTCAGAGGTGGCTTTGTTGGTTTCTTCTTTGGTGTCCTGGTAGCTGGCACTGCTTCCTACTACTACATGATCGAGGCGTACAACAAGAACACCCAGATTGTCATGACGGACGTGCTCAGCTTGAAAGAGTCCTTGAATGCCTTGGAGAAGCACGTGCGTACGTTGGACGAACAGAAAAAGTAGACCAGGAGAGGTCCATATATTCTATATACATCATTTCGTGATTATGCAATTGTAGGTTTAGAGGGTGTTGATGAACTCAAGCACCCTGTCGAGAAGCTGGTCGAACTCCTTCCGGCCTGTTTCGGCGGCGTGGTCGCCAACAAACCTGATCTCTATGCGTTTACCTCCTAGGCTGCCTCCCTCAACCACAGACACATGGACCATCTGCTCTGTGCCGTCTTCCTGGGGCAATTCAACGGCAATTTCCCGTCTATAAGATACGTTGAGGTAATGATAACGGACAGTCTTGCCGTTGATGACAAGGTCAATAGTAGGTGCTATCGACGTGGGTGCTCTTCCACTGTAGTCAAGAGTGGACTTTTCGAGGAAGTCAACCACACCGGGCTGGCTGGAGAAGCGCAGGTATCTGTCGATGGTGGAATCCAATGTTTGGCTAATTGATTGGCCTTCAGTATCTGCGTCCTCTTGCTCTTCGAGTATTCTTCCCGTCATTTGGCAGCTGATCTTGATGTCACTTTTGGCATCTGGCAAGCAAACAAGACTGGAATTTTCGCCCTCCACTGAAACAATCTGTAAGGTGTCAACATCAGGCATGAGATTGGCCTTAAGCTGCACCCACATTTCAACTGGCGGATATTCCATGGCCTTGTCAGTCTCCAGCGATGCAACGAAAGGTGATGGAGTAAACTTGAACTGAAGGCTGTACATGTGAGGATCCCTGTAGCTTGGGCTGGATGAGTCGTTTGCACGCATAGAAATGATCTTGTCGTGAGCCAACATGACATTAGAGTTGAAGAGCACCAGCTTATGCTTTTGTTCCAGGGTGGCCGAAGGCACAATGTTCTTCTTGTTGGTGGGTATCTCAAACAACACATTTCCTAGCGTCACCGTGAAGAGCTTGGGGTCTAGATTATCTGCCGCCACTCCTGGCAACGACTGTTTGTACTTGAAGTCTGTGAGCTCTTTGTACAATTGATCCCGTTGTTCTTTAGAAAGAGACACGTGAGACGTTTGCTCAGAAGCCTGTGGTTGCGTAGCTTCGTTCGATTCGCTTCCGAAACCGAGGCTTTCTAGAAGATCCCATCCTTTGCTGTCACTCTGCTTCTCTGCAGCGGCTTTTAAGGAAAGTTTGTTGTCTTCGTCTCGCCACGTTTCATCATACAAGTCAATTTTGGAAAGCGACTCATCAGAGAATTTGGCAAGCTCGTCGAGAAGGAGTTGGCTTGGTTTCTGATCTTTCTTTTCTAGGACATATAAATCCTTCGACCTATCCTTCCAAGCTAACAGATCGTCCTGCTTGAAAGGAAGGAACTGGTGTGGCCCTTCGGGCAAATGCAAAAACTCCTTAGTATGAAGATTGTAGTTAAGGAGCCATAAAAGAAGGCGCTTGGTTCGTTTGAGCTGATTCTTATTAAGCGCATAGAGCTCGTACTTGTCGTTGTTGAGCGGATCAAAATAGACTTCTGTATTGCTGCTAACTTCTGCAACATTGAAGTGACCGTGCTGTTTGAGAGCCAATTTTTTGACCACAGAGAGGTCGATCTCTTCCATATGAGCGCCCTCCAAATCCGAAGTCAAATTGATCTTGGCATTTTCAACCTGCTCTGGTGTGCCTGTGAGTAGGAGCTTTTTGGACTCGCTGTCGAATTCGATCTTAGAAACAGCGCTTCTGATGTGTCTGAGGATGAGGCCATGCGACAGGAGAAGGAGGAACATTTCGTACCGCGTTAAGGGTACACTTTCAGTGACGAGCAAGTCATCTATAGACATTTCCTTGACGTTTGTAGTCCAGATCTTTTCCAAAATGAAGGAGGCCAATTTCTGCTTCGTACCTGCTTTGAGTCCCTTGAGAGACCCATGTTTCTTGAGGATGTATTCCTGTAACTGCAGGGCCTTGAACCCCTTGCAAATATCACTCACGACAGCCGCTTTCTTACCAATGCTAATATCTGCACTCGATGGTTTGAAGAGCTCGATGGACTCCATGAGTGACTCTTTGCTGGATGTGGGTGGTTTGATTTTGATGGCATCATCGTCAAGGAGTTTCATCATTTGCCGAGGGGTCTGGCGTCTGCCTTTGCGATTGACCTCCTGAACATACTTACTGTACTTTTTGTCCTTGGTCTGTTCTGGGCTAAGAATGAGGATCCGCTTTCTGGCCTTCGGTAGGTTTTGAGTTTCTTTGGAGTAGGGCACATCTTTGAGCGCCTTGTGTACGAAAGAGGGGTATCGTGACAGATTCCGTGCGACTAGGCCAGTGGAGAAGTAGCGAATGGGAGTGCTCCACGGCATGCTGGTAAGGCCTTTCTTGATGGTGGATGGGTCTCAGGATGAGCTGAAAAACCATAGTTCATGATGCACGTGCAGTTCACGTGGCACGTCATGTGACGCGCGTGATACGAATTGTGGCTCCAGGGCATAACCACCACCGTCTCAGGCCACTGATCGGTTAACTACACCCTGTTTATGGAATCAGGCGTTGATAAAAAAAGCCAAACATTTTGTGGTTTGATTTTTCGATTTTGTGGGTACCCGCGTTTTATTTCTGGCACGGCCTCACGACAGTATACGGCAGTTGCCAGCGGAGCCAGTTTTGAGAGTCAGGCAGCCCCGCAGGTCAGTCAGCACAAAATCGCATTTATGAGGAAAACTGAAGCGAGGACGAAGGCCGTTGAACTTTTTGGAAGGAGAGAATTTTTTATTTCAGTTATTGCTACGGAAACCAGAAGTTGCTCAAATTCAGATAGTAATAGAAAAAGAAAACCAGGAGCAAGGCCCAAAGGCTGCTTGGGCTATTTGACTCTTTCTCGGATGGGGAGAAAAATAGCGAGCCATCAGGCGAGGCTGCCCCACCGCTTGAGCCCCAAAAAACGGTCTGTTTTGAGAACACCCAGTGCTCCTGCCCCGGAGTTCCTGCCCAAAAGTTAACGATCCAAAACTACCATGTTCGTAACCGATGACATTCCGGTTTTTTTTTTTTATTGTCTAAGAAACCCCATTGTGCTGACTCCGGCACTTCCTTGTTCTTTCATTTGTCCAGACAAGACTGTGTTCAGGCAGTCATTGTAGGTTATTGTGAGAAGTTTCGGGCGGGCCGGTTACAATAGGTGAAGCACGCTGCTCAGGTACCCTTGGCACTACTGCCGTGGCTCTTATCAGCAAGCGCAAATCGACAAAGCGGTACAGCCGGGTGGTTCAATTTTTTTTTTTTCATTTTTTGAAGTTATGGAGCTCACTTGCTTACTCTTTCCTTTTGTGATCGTCTCCTTTCTTAAAGTTGCTCCCTCTAGTGCCGGGTCTCTTTTTTTTTTTTTTTCGCAGAGCTTCGATGCCCGGCGGATACCCATAGGGCATAATACAGCGAGGGAAAAAACAGCGAAAGCGACAGCGACAGCGGCATCCCGCTAAAAAATAAGAGAACAAAAAGGGAAATCCAAAACTTACACGGAAACAATAACCAGAGAAAATTCCCAAACTTATTTCTGCAGATTTCAAATCAACCGGTGGTGCCGAGTGAGTTGTCTCCAGGGGTTGCTCCACCCTGCTTATCTCTACCGGTTTGCAGCTCCCGTTTCTTTTCCGCACGGCATCGCAGGCTATCTTCGGCCTGACCGGTCGGTCAAAACCTCCGCTTCACCTTGTGCCACAGTAAAAATTTGTTACAGGTTCTTCTTTCCTACCTTCACTATGATCATACCCCACCTCTTGTATTTTTTCCCCCTAGCCACAAACGGCTCCATCGTGGCGCTTTCCCTTGCCTGTAGGAGAAAACGGCTTTTCGACTTTGACATGTCGCCGAGAGCCACCTGCAGGGCCACAAAGCATGACCCACAGAAGGTCAGCGTTGGCGATAAGCGACCCTGGTCTATGTGCCGTCTGGCCCCATAGTCAACGGCATCAGCCCTCGCGGAGTTTTTCCTTCATGCGCGCTGCTCGCCATGCCATACCTTATCAGGCCGCTCGCTGTGTCTCACCTTATGGGTTTGCAGCCAGCTATAAAAGGCGGGTTCCCCCATTGTACCTGCTTTTTTTATAGCATATTTTCGATAAACCTATAATATATACAAATGATCAACCCACTCCGGCAGACCCGTGTCCCTCTTCGCTTGCCCCTTCGCTTGCAAGCTTTGCCTCTACGCCAGGCTAGAGCTTTCCACAGCTCCCCCAACAAGAACAACCTCGCCAGAGTCACTTCCGAGTCTCAACAAACCCAGCAGCCACAGGTGCCTGCTCAGGAGTTGCAAAAGGCTGTTCCTTTGACTCCTCCATCCTTCGCTCACCTCAAGGATTTCTCCGTTGGAGAGTTGTTCTCCTTCATGACTATTGGTGCCGTTGCATCCCACAAGTCTCTTTTGAACTTGGCCATCAAGGCTTTCCCTTTCGTGCCTATGCCTGTGATCAAGGCTTTGGTCTACAACATCTACTGCGGTGGCGAGAACATCGAAGAAGTTAAGCAGACCGGCGCTAGATTGGCTGAAAGAGGCATCAACAACATGATGCTTTCTTTGACTATCGAAGCCTGCAACGGTAACGACAACATCGACCCTGACTTCATTGTTCAGCAGACCCAGCACTCTGTTGACGAAATCTTAATCCCTCACACTATCTCCATGCTTGAGACTTCCGGCAAGGATGTCAACTCTGTTCCTCCTGGATATGTCGCTTTGAAGCCTACTGGATTTGTCAAGAACGCCGCTGCCGTCTTGAAGAACTTCGACCAGCCAGAGTACAAGGCTGAATTCGAGGACTTGGTTTCTAAGGTCTCTGCCATCTGCCAGACCATTTACGACTCCAACCAGAGATTGGCCCAGTTGTACCCATCCAGAGTCGCTCCTTTCGCTGTCGGTGTTATTGACGCCGAGAAGCACGAGCTCCAGGAGGGTGTTTACGAGCTTCAGAGAAGATTGTACCAGCAGTTCAACAAGTTGGACGCTCCTGTTTCCGTGGTTGGCACTTTGCAAATGTACTTGTCTGAGTCTTCTGACCTTTTGGCTAAGGAGGAGAAGTTGGCCAACGAGAACAACTACAGATTGGGCTTGAAGTTGGTCAGAGGCGCCTACATTCACTCTGAAAAGGACCGTGCCACCGTCATCCACAAGACCAAGGAAGACACCGACATGAACTACGACCAGGGTATCTCCTACTGCATTGACTCTATCTTGGCCCACCAGGGTAACGAGTCTACTATTGGCCACTTGGTGGTTGCTTCTCACAACGCTGAATCTATGAAGTTGGCTACTCAGAAGACCTACCAGAGTGAGTTCTCTATTGGTAACAAGAACAAGGCCAACATCTGCTTAGGCCAGTTGTTGGGCATGGCCGACTCTGTCACTCACGACCTTATCTCCAACGACAAGGTCGACAACATCATCAAGTACGTTCCATGGGGCCCACCAAAGGAGACCAAGGAGTACTTGTTGAGAAGATTGGAGGAGAACGGCGATGCCGTCAAAAACGACAACGGCATTCCTTTGGTCAAAGCAGCTATTCTGACCATGTTCAGAAAGATCTTTGCTTAGACGCAATTTATTATATAACGACGTAATGCATTATAGACTTTATAAACTCACAAATCCGTAGGCAGTTGGCCGCCAGACGAATCCGCTTATTGTACATTGCACCACCCATTCCCAATCAATAATTCCGAACTTCGCCAGCTCAGCAGGACCATTTGATTTACATGCCTTCTCGATCTCCCGTTGACTGTTATCAAGCACCAAGAAATTCATGTCCTTATTTTCAGCGATGTGGGATTTGAGGTGGGTTTCATTATTGAACGCCTGTAGGGTTTGAGCCCCAAAAGCGTGGAATATAAATTCACACATTCGAAGTGTCTGTTTGTCTTGTCTTTTTTGGAAAATTAAAACATTCAAAGTTGCCATTAGGTCCGAGTTATTGTTAAACTGGTCATTTAGACCAACACCATTCTCGAGATTCAGCCGGAAGCGAAAAACATCTTGACTCTTTAGATTCTTTGTGTGGAAGGATTGACCTGCCGGTAGAAGGAAAGCCAGCCAATTTTCAAGAATATCCTGATCCTCGATGGCTTGTTCAATGAAATTGTCTGCCAATATCGGCCAGCCAAGTGCCAAGGCTTGAAGATATTTGGCACTTCTTGAGTGCCCATCGGAGAGAAATGCCCCAAAGCTGATACCAAGAAATTTTTGCAGCCTGATTCGGAGATGGTATGAGCTGCTTACTTCAAAAGAAACAAGATCTCTGATCTCAGAATCGTAGACTAGCCCTCCTCGGTCTTCTATTATTTTCTTCAAAGTAGTTTTGCGCTCTGGAGCCATGGAAGTGATGAAGAATACACGGCCACCGAAAATAGGTGCAAGCCTATAGGATTCGCTTCGTTCTGGTTTGGCCTTCCTAGGGCTTTTAGTCTTTGGCTCAAGAACTGGTTCAGAATTTTCTGTTTCCTGTGATGAGTCCAGCAGTTGAAGTAAAGGCTGTATGGCCCCATAGTCTCGCTGTACTAGATCGACACCCTCATACAATAATTGAAACCGCAGCTGATGCACTGCCCAATCATCAGGTTCCATATAGCAAGTGGATAAGCTTACTGTGAGTTCACCTCCGTTGGCCACATTGTGTTTTCCTTTCTTCGATAAGTGGAGGGTGTCAAAACCACGCACACATCTAAAAGCAGCCTCATCCGTTATCGTCATTCTCGTGACGACATATTCGGAGGGGGCCATGAACGTCCGTAGATTATCGCCGATTCTCACGTCAAGGACAAAGAGGTCTGTATTTTTCATCTCCTTTTGGCACCAGTCATAAAACTCAACTAAAGTGTGAAGTGGGTCAATGGGCCGAAGTACCCTTGCTGGGTAGTATCTGAATTGGAAATACGCCCAAACGCCTCGGTCGTTCTCAAGATGTTCAACTGCTAGTGTTGCCAGGTCCTCTTCTGTGATAGCATCAAGCTCCGCCGTCTGAGACTGAGAGCCTGCAATATGGTTGATTCTCCTTTTCTTCGGTAGATTAATATGCTCGCGGCTCTCGTCAACCTCCGGCAGCATAGGAATATCTTCCGACAGCTTTTGTCGGAGAATGTCCAAATCAAGACCACTCACATCCTGCGAGATATCCTCAAGGTCAGATGAAGACTGGCTCCATGTTTTCCTGACCGTAAGACTGCTACCAGCAGGGGTTTGCGAGGAAGATTGGCTCCACGATGTTTTTCTCGGTATCAGTAAATGTTTTCTTCTCTCCTCCAGTTCGTCTGCTTGCGTCTTCTTAAGCTTGTGTTTGAAGAGACTGTCCTCATAGAAAATGCCGTTGAAATGCTCGTCCTTGTCATCGTTGCTGATGATACTAAGATCGTGTTCCCTCTGCAGCAGAATGCCGTCGTTGTCTTTCTGACTACTCAGTAGCACAGGCTTGCAACTTAAATCAACTGGTTCTTTCCCAGGCAGAAACACCTCCTCCTGAGTGTTCAACACCTGAGTAGTAGGCTCCTGCTCTCTTTGCACCGGCGAAAGCACCATGGTAGTCGTATGTTCTTCGGTGTATTCTGAATCATTGGCCCTTGGAGAACTCGTAACTTGCGTACTGGCGTAGCCGCTCACCACCTGTGTGATTGGCTGTGTGCTTTCCCAAACTGAGTTTCTTCTGCCTATGACCTGGGTGGCGTCGTCCAGAGGAATAGGAGCAATTCGTTGTGTATCGTCTGTGTGGCCATTGACGTTTGGCCTGATTACTTGGGTATCACCGAGATCGACTTGATGCCCAATCACTTGAGTGTCCCCTAGCTCGACAGGGGCCTTCTCGTTCAGCGTCTCGATATGTTCACTTCCAATAACTTGTGTGTCTTTGGCATAGCTATCACTGGCACTTCGCTGTAGTAAACTCGGCGTACTATGCTGTGGCGTAGATTCGATATTAGGCATGCTTTGTAGGTGTCGTACTGGAGAATGTGACTCATCCTGAGACTGTTGGGAGTATGTTTTGAGTGTACCAAAGAGGGGACTCGTCTGGACCTCTTTCGATAGATCGGTGCTTCTATCAGCTTGAGTCGCCGTATCATTGGTACCTGGAATTATATCATCTGAGCTGGCCTTGGGCCCATTGTCTTCCTCATACTCAGTGGCGAAAACAAGGCTGTTATTGTGCTGTGATTCGCCGTATGCTTCCTCAGGCATAACATCAGCTAGTGATTATCAGTGCGCGGTTGTAGGTTGAGTTTGGTGATAGTACTGGGGTAGTGAGGATGGAGCAGTCTCGTCAAGAATGATTTCTGGAGAATTTATAAAAGATTGATAAAGGTGGATTAGCCACTGCAAGAGATAAGCAAACGATTGTGAATATCGAACGAAACTCAAGTGCACTCTATCTTGGCGTGGGGTATCAGAACAACTGAAGATCTGAGGGTCTAACTACATACTTATTTCGAAGAAACAGCGGGTTAGTCTCGAACTCTACTCGAGACCTTACCCCTACAACAGTCTACATACTCCGTTAACACAACAATAATCATTTATATAAATACCCTCAATCCACATCGGGTGTGACGATGTGCGTCGTAGATAGAATTACGAGACGGAACCATAGTTCTTAGTCGTCACACATTAAATCTATATGATACAATTATTCGGCAAGCTATTGGTATTGCTGCCTTCCGCCTTGCTCCGCCTGTTGCAACAACAGGAGAAGCGCCTGTGGGTTCTGATTCATTTGAGGGTTTTGATTGACCAACGTTGAAAGATAGTGGAGCTGGTCTTGGGAGAGATCCTGCGGGATCTGTGGTTGTCCGTGATGCTGTGGTACTTGTGGCAAGTGTGGAGCTGGTTGCTGAATGCCAGAGCCAGAACCTCCACCAAGCTTCAGCAAAATGGAATTAAGGTCCACCTGTGGAGGTGGTTGGGCAATTCTGGGTGCGCTTTCGGAAGGAGACTTCTTGAGAATACTCTTGCCAACGGGGATGTAATCCTTTTTGACAACAAACACAGCATACAAGCCCTCCTGTTCCTGGACTTTGGCGAAGTTCAAGTATTCAGGAACATTGTTGCCGTTCAAGGCGAAAACATAGGCGTCTTTGACACAAGCAGCCCGGTTAGACAAGACACCGACCTTATTCTTGTGGAGTAAGTAGTCATACAATTTGTTGAACTCAGCTTCTCTGTCTCTTGGATTGAGCTTCACCACGTACAAATCCCTCGAAGACGTGATCTTTCCAAGATATGGATCAGCTTTAGCACGATCCAAACGACCTTCGATATCGTACTTGGATCGTTCCAACAACTCCTTGCACACACGGATCACACGATTGTGGAAGCTCACTGTGACATTATCCTTTGGTTTTTCGTATTTTGTACACGAGATGAATTCTGCTTTTGCAGTAAAAGCCGCAAAGTCAGGGAAGATAATCTCTCCGTTCCAGAAGTTGACGGGCATCGTAGGCGGAAGCTTCACTTCTGGTTTCTTTGGAATAGACGAAGGCAGTTGCTTTGGAGCTGGTGGAGGAGAGGGACCCTTCAAGATGAAATCAAGCTCGTCGTCGCTGAGGTCATCTTTCTTATTTTCAGGCTCTTCAGTCTTCTCCTCATGCTCCTCCTCCTTCTCATCATCATCATCGTCTGCCAAATGGTACATCTTTGGCGCCAGCGGGTCGGTCTTGATAGTAGTTTCTCTCGGAGTGGGTGACTCTTCTTTGAAGTTGCGGTGGTCCACGGTTCGGGCCATGATAGAAATGTCCTCGGCATCCAGAGGGTTGTTGCTGATTTCGACAATTTCCTCACCCTTATGAGTACGGCGGATTCTTTGACTCAGAGGATCATCAACAGTAAGCACAGAGCGTCTGATCGACTCCTGGCGAACCTTCTCAGCGTATTCCTTCAAGTCACGGTCGATCTCCTCTGGTGGCTTGGATACAGCATCTGGAAACGTAAGCGAACCATCAGCAAGTTTTGCTGCCACAGCCTCTTTCTTCACGAGCGCCATTACGCTTCTACTCTTGTCTATGTATTTCTTATTTGGCGTCTGCCCGGACCATTGGAATATGGCTTCCTCTAGCCCACGGGCGATAGAATCCGCATCAAACTTGCCAAGTTTGGCCACCACATTCCTTAACGCCTTTTCAACGCTCTCTCTTGTTTTCGTCGCTGGATTAGGCTTGACAGCCTTCTTCACGGGTATCTTCCGTTCCACTCGTCTTCTCACTGGAGCTTCTTGCTCAGGTGAGTCACACCGGTTACACTGGTAATTTTCTGGGATCAGCGTTTCCGACCGGTATCCCATACACTTGGCATGTTGCCATGTATGACAGTCATCACATTCGATCATGGTTCCTCCACGATCAGTGTCCTCATTGTAGTTATCCTGAGTAGTACCGCATGGATCACATCTCACGTCGCCTTCGTAGTCATTTCCGTCACTGTCGGCCTTGAAATCATCCTCACTCTCGGAAGCCTGCTGATATTCTGAATCTTGTTTTTGCCTCTTCGCTGGGTGCTCGTCTTCTTGAGGTTTGTAGTACACATCAAACAGGTCTCTGCCCGTATGCTGGCCCTTATTCTGCCTAGATGAACGGCGCGGCTCTTCTTCCATTACGGCTACGAGAGGGGACGGTTACTGGGATGGTAAAAAAAAGGTTCGTTGGTGTATCTTTTTGTTTGATCCTTTGATTTTTTTAGTGGGGCTACGCCTTATATGCCGTACCGCCAGCCAGAATTTTGCAACCACTCCGATGTCTACTCCATGTTTCCAAAACTATTCATATTCCTATAAACCCTTGATTAATGCCATGAAATCTCTGTCCTCTCCCATAACCTCTTCGGCATCTGTGAGCACGTTCGCACTAAATAATCCAGATTTAGTGTGACGGTACCCCTCTGACGCTGCTTCCATTGCCGATGCCCGTCTCCTTTTCGCTTTTGAAACACTGCTGTCTGGCAGATCGTGTCCCGTGTCGTTACTTTGGCTGGCTCTCCTTTCTTTCTTACGGCGGCCAGTGCCAAAGTCGTTCTTTATGCGAAAATTGACAATAGGCTCATGGACAGTGTGAGGCTGGTGCAAATGCGACTTGTTACGGAAGGCTCCAAGAGGCACCTTCTTCTTGCTGTTGTTGAAATCTCTCCAGATACGGATGTCGTTTTCGTCATCATTGTCCAACTCGCTGATATTGAGCAACTCTTCGAGTTCAATAGCAGAGTCCTCATGCTCATTATTTCCAAGACTGATGGACTTCCAGCCTTTCGTCCTTGGGTTCTTCTGTGTATTCTGGCCGCTCTTCAATGTTCTCGTAGAGAGACCATCAATGATGCCAAAAGGTTTGCTTTCGATAGCCACCCAAGTTCCAAGGACTGGAGGTCTGTAGTCCGCAGTCTTGGACGACAACACTTCCTTGGCCATCTTGCTTCCATTCTGGTTCTTGCCAGATTTGGGAAGCGACGTGTCGACATCCGTAGACTCACCACTGTCGTATTCCTGATCTGACAATGGCTCAAGGCTAAACTCACGGTCGTAGGTTGCCTCACGGGTTTCTTTCTCCTGGCGCAAGATCTCTTCGAGAATGAGCTGCTCCTCAACATCCACGGGTTCAGCGTTGACGTCAGCATCGGCCTCGCTGTCAGAGCTCAAGAAGTAATTCCACAAGTAAGAATCGTCTTCTTCTTCACTGTCAAGCGGACCTCTAGGCTTCTTCCGTTTCTTGTGACTGGATTTCTTGCGTTTTTCAGGACTCACTGACTTACTCACAGGGCCGTCCAATGTGTCGGCATCATTCTTCAAATCCAGAAGACTGCTTTCAGACTCCTTGCTATCCGTCTCAAAAAGAGGGGCGTCGAATTCCATGAGATCCATGAAGTCAACTTCATCCTCGTCTTCATCATCCTCAATATAACCGTCGAGGGTATCAGACTTGGAGTTGTCTCCAGCATTGTCGTACTCAGTCACCTTATCCTGGAAAGTCGGCTGTCCAATGCCTTTAGCAAAGTCGGACTTACCTGGCTCATCTTGAATTTCATTCTCGTCATCGAAGCCGTTCATCTCAAACTCGTTTACCAAATACTTCTCCTCTTCCTCCAAGAAAGGGTCCATGGTCTCATCCTCATTAACAGAGCTAACCAGTCTCTGTCTCGATCTTGATGAGTCAATGTCCTGAGGATTACCTGTGATAAACTCCTCAATATCGTTGTCGGCTTGCAAGGTGGCCAAAAGATCGTTATCATCGAACTCGTAGTCATCATCGGACTGGAGTTCATCATCCTTGATCTTGGGCACGTCAATAATGGGTTCGTCGAATTGGAAATTAAGATTGTAAGATTGTTTGTCACCTAGGTCTTGAGTGACCTCTTCTCCAACATCCTCTTCTTCGGGCTGTGCTGGCTTTATGACATTAAGTGGGTCTTCCTGATCACTATCATCTTCAATAGCAGATTCGTTAGCGGCGTCGTCAAAGTCGAACTTGAAGTTGATACTGTCCGGTAAGGGTAGCTCGGACTGTCTTCTGTAATCGGACTTTCGCCTCTTCTTGTCCTTGGCGTTTTGCTGTTTCTGTAATGCCTTGATCGCTTTGAGAGATTTGTGGGATTTAGCATTAGCTCGCCTTTCAGCCTGAAGTTGAACAAAGTCGACCTCGGAGTCATCGGATGACGACACCGACGAGTTGTCCTCCTCATCCTCAGAGTCGGAATTTGACTCAGAATTGCTATTCGAATGGCCCCTGTCCATCATCGAGTAGATCCCTGTTAAACCGACAGACGAATTATCATCGTCCTCTACGTCATCGCTGAGGTCATCATCCTTATCGGATTCAAAGACCTGAGCATACGAAGCTTTGGGTCCTTTCTTGGGGGCTCTCTTTTTGGCGGCCTTCGATGGCGCTTTGGTTCTCCTAGGCAATTTGGCATTTTGGAAAAATACCGATCCTTTCCTCAGTGCAGACTGTTCGTCCTTTTCGGACATCGCGGTTAGCGAGGACTCCGAATCCGAATCGGAATGCTTCCTAGTCTCTTCGCTGTATTCGGAAGAGGAAGAACTGACAATGCTGAATCGTCTATCTCTCTTGTATGGCAAATTCTTGATATTCTTGCCCCCGTAATTCGGGGCTTGTACATTTTTGGGTTCAGTTTCTGGGATACCCCAGATTTCTTCGTTGTTGTTTTCGGCATTTCACACTGTTCCTAATGATATCTAAGAGCGTATGAGTGGTTTTTTGTTGTATGTGAAGAAACTGGTTAACATGCTTTGGGAAATGTATAAAACCGGGAGTCGAGTATAAAATGAGAACCCAGGGGGAGTTGATCCTGAGACTTGGGCTCGAAAAAGCTGCAATAAAAACTTGTTTTTGCAAATATATGAGCAAATTGAGATTTGGATTGCTTAAATCAGGCAACCTGTGTGTTTAAATGAAGAACTGTGTGATGAAAATGTACCAGATTGAGGCGATGAGGTAAATTTCACGATATGTGAGGTCGAGTGCAGGAGAAGGACCACAGTTTAGGAGGGGCTTTTAGGGGACACCTAAAGAGGGGAGCGATTAAAACTTTTTAGTTGCTTCCCACCGAGCCTTTAAAATGTAAGGTTTTTTCTATAAGCGTTATATTTAGATGACGGCTCCGGGGGTGCAGTTAGGCTTCTAACGCAAGCTAGAGCTGAGCAGGCGTTATTGGTATACAATAAAACCAAAGACTTTCAGATTGACCGAATCACCCTCCATAACCTCTATAGATTCAAGTTGCATCGACCGTTTCTGTGGTTGTTACAGTGCAGCTACTCACACATGTGCGTCGGTATTGTAAGTAAGACATTGTGCGCAATGGGATAAAAGGAGTAGTGGTTATGGTGCCAAATCGGGGGCATTTTACTGGCTGGATCCGAGATGCTTAACCGTATGCATCTAGGAACAAGGTCCTGTGGTGGGGTGTTGGTTGACTGCAATACCTGATCGTGGTTATCAGGTCCACAGTGGTTGCGAAATGGAAAACGCAATAGGGACGATTTCCCCGAGGGGAGTTTGGGCCTGAAAATTTCGCTCAGTGCAACAAGAGAGGATGGAGTTTCTAGAAATCATTGTTGTTCACTGATGGCCGATTCAAGATCAAAGCTTGTCTCGAAGTAGCTTTCGGTTGGTGGCTTCATGATTAGTCGTGTGATCAATTGACACTAGGCTGTCTGTGTTATTAAGTACGAAAGAGACTCTGACGAGTGAACGAGATTTTAGGACGGCAAAGCAATTGGTTGTCATGAAACGTGCATGAAATGAATAGTGGCATTTTCTTAGATTGGCAGATTAGAAGGGCCCCAACAATGTAAAAAGGGCACAATGGCGACGATGATTTGGCATATCGTGTTCTTTTTCGTCAATGCATCTGATTCTAAGGAGAGTATGAAAGTTTTGCGTCTGGTCGATCACTTGGCGAATGAGTTCAATGACAATACCGTTCATTCTGTGGACTCCCTATCCCCTCGTACCTTGTGGAAGCGGGATCAGCACGCCATGTTCTCGAATCACATATTGTTTCAAACGCAAATTCTCAAAGTTATGAAGATTTCGTACCATATGCTTAGACTTGGGTTGTTCGTTGGGTATTGTACTTGTGCAATTTTGGTAGTATCGCCAATTTTGACACTTTCACGTAGAAGGTGTCAAACAATGCACAATTCCTATTTTGCGACTAATCCTAAAGTTTACTATTTAAAAATAGAAACACGTACTTGAATTAGACATGCAAAAAATGACAGCCAGCCCTAGCTCGATTTCAAAAACATGTCCACCATACATGCCTTCTTTACGTTTCAATAGCACTTGCAGATAGCTTTCCCAACAATGGATGTTAGCTGATGCGATGGCTGCGAAAACGTACTGCTAGCGATGAGCCCAAATGATCTAAGTGGTGTCTTTGTCATTTTCTTTGCCTTATCCATAATTTAGCAGTTAGACTTCTTTCGAACAATACCTAACATCCACAGAGCCCAAATCATGTACCACATACGTAGATCAACCATCCGCAACCAGCATACCTTGAGAATGTGCACGGGGAACTTTTCTCAATGCATCAGATCGAGAAAGCTCAAAAGCCACTGTCCACTCTCCAAACTCACCAAGCAAAACCTTCTGCTTCATTTCCTCTCAAATAAACTTAAACTTTATCTTTGCCGTGTGAACGCCTTTTTTACCTTCCCTTCTCTGCCGAAGCGTGGTCCCTGCCTGCAGAGGACGCGAATATGTTCCTTAGCCCTGTCAATCTGAAAAAGAACCACCGACCACCATGTCTGTTTTGAACACACGCAACCTCCGCGTGATAGTGGCGGCTTTTGTCGTCTTCACTGTGGTGACGTACTTTGCCGTGTCAGCTGGCCACTATACAGAGTCTGCTGCCAGGGTGAAGCCTCCTGCCAACTCGGATCTCTTGGAAGCTGGAAACACCTTGCAAGGTTCTGCTCACAAGGGCGTGGAGGCGCCTTACAAGGCCAGTCCTAATGTCCAGGGAAATAAGGCCGACAAGCTTGATGCCGAAAAGCCAGCAGAGAAGCCAGTGGATAAGCCAGTCGCCGATGCATCTCCAGAGAAGCCAGTGGCTGATAAACCAGCTGCTGATAAGCCCGTGGAAATTCCAGCAGAGAAGCCTCAAAAGGGTGCCTCTGGAGCTTGTGAACAGACCGACTACGTGATCATGATCGACGCTGGATCCAGTGGATCTCGTGTCCACGTGTACTCCTTTGACACCTGTGTGTCTCCTCCAAGAGTGCTCAACGAGGAGTTCAAGATGCTCAAACCAGGTCTTTCTTCTTTTGACACTGATACCAAGGGTGCTGCTGCCTCGTTGGACCCCTTGTTGGAGGTGGCATTAAACACCGTCCCTAAGGACAAGCAGTCTTGTACCCCAGTGGCAGTTAAGGCCACAGCTGGTCTTAGAATGTTGGGAGCTGAGAAATCGGACGCCATTTTGAAGGAGGTTCGTAACCACTTGACCAAGGACTATCCTTTCGCCGTTGTGGAAGGAGATGGTATCTCCATTATGGACGGTAAGGACGAGGGTGTTTACGCCTGGGTCACTACCAACTACCTTTTGGGTAACATCGGCTCCTCCGAGAAGCTTCCTACCGCCGCTGTTTTTGACCTTGGCGGTGGTTCTACACAGATTGTTTTCGAGCCTGAGTTCAGTGATGCCAACGATGTGTTGGCCGAGGGTGACCACAAATACAAGTTCACTTTCGGTGATAGAGACTTTGAGCTTTACCAATTCTCCCACTTGGGCTACGGCTTGATGGAAGGAAGAAATAAGGTCAACGCTGCTGTCATCAAGGCCGCCAAGGACACCACCTTAACGAAACACCCATCCAAGGCTGCCGCCAAGGAAGCCACCGCTGCATCCACCCTCATGAATCCCTGCATTCCTCCTGGTATTTCGGCCAAAGACATTTTGGTTCAGGCTTCTGAGGACGAGTTCTACAAGGTGAACTTCGAGGGTCCTAGCGAGCCTTCCGCTGCGAGATGTAGATTCTTCGCCGAAGAGGTGTTGAACATGGAGGCAGAGTGTAAGCAGAAGCCTTGTTCCTTCAACGGTGTGTACCAGCCCTCGCTTGTCAAGGCTTTCCATAAAACCTCTGACATGTTCGTCTTCTCCTTCTTCTACGACAGAACCAACCCCTTGAGCTTCCCAAGCTCCTTCACCGTTGAAGAATTGAGAGATTTGACCTCCGCTGTTTGTAAGGGTCTGAGCACTTGGAAGACCATTTTCCAGACCGAGGAATTGCAGCAGCTCAACGAGGAGCCTCAGTGGTGTCTTGACTTGTCCTTCATCTCAGCCATGCTCCACACAGGTTACAATATCCCCTTGAATAGAGAGTTGAGGACAGCTAGAAAGATTGCTGACAACGAAATCGGTTGGTGTCTTGGAGCATCGTTGCCATTGTTAGACCCCAAGACCGGCAACTGGAAGTGCCGTATACTGGAGACCAAGTAAGTCTCATTATATAATTATTGTTACGTCTACGTAATACCCACAAAATTTCAGCTTTTCAAATTATCGAAATGTAATCTTGAATTGTTTTTTCCATCTGTCTATGACTTCAGTCGAACTAGACAGGCCGTATCGCACTGTGGGTGCACATGTCTATAACCGACCATACCGCACAATATCTTGAACAACAAGGAACAGAAAGATCCATCACGACTTCGGAACATAAAGATTAAGCTCTTTTTCCGCTTCACTCAAGGTTGTTAACTGTTGATTGTCATCACAATTAGTTTCTTGTTTGAGCATTACAGATGCCTAATAAACCAAGAAGAACCTCCTCTCTTGGACATCACATCCATAAAACGAGACTGTCACTGGCGAGCCAGGATAGACGAGATGCTCGTCTTGGAGAAGGAGGCCAAACAACCCAGATGCTCAAGAAGTTTGGCTCTGAGGAATTGAAAGAAGTTCGTTCACACACTGACTTAGCCAGAACCGCTAATGGTGTTCGTATGCTCACCAAGAACATTGCTAAGGCTACAATCCAGCTTCATGTGAAGGCTATCATGATTGTGACGAAAGCCAGAGACAATTCTTTGATCTATTTGACGCGAGAGGTTGTTGAATGGCTCTTCACCAGAAATGAAGATATCACGGTATATGTGGACGCTAATCTCAAACATCTGACGAGGTTCAGCTCGTCCTCCATTCTCAAGACATACCCGAAAGCCCAGCACTTGTTGAAATACTGGAACAAGGATCTCGTCAAGAGAAAGCCAGAAGGCTTTGATTTGGTTATTACGCTAGGTGGTGACGGTACGGTCTTGTATGTCCTGAATTTGTTTCAGAGAATTGTCCCCCCAGTCATGTCGTTTGCTCTAGGTTCCCTCGGGTTCTTGACAAACTTCAAGTTTGACCAGTTCAAGCAAAGAATGACCACTGTGCTCGACACAGGTGTCAGAGCATACATGAGAATGAGGTTCACCTGTCGAATCCACCGTTATGACGGAACATTAATATGCGAGCAGCAAGTATTGAACGAGCTCGTTGTCGACAGAGGCCCATCTCCATATGTTACCAACCTAGAGCTCTATGGAGACGGCTCGCTTCTTACCGTTGCACAAGCCGATGGCTTGATCATTGCCACTCCAACAGGCTCTACTGCGTACTCACTTTCAGCTGGCGGCTCTCTTGTCCACCCCGGCGTCAGTGCTATTCTGGTCACTCCAATCTGTCCACACACACTTTCCTTTAGACCAATCTTACTCCCAGACGGCATGTTTCTCAAGTTAAAGGTTCCAGCCGAAAGCAGAGCATCCGCATGGGCATCTTTCGACGGTAAGGTTCGCACGGAGCTCAACAAGGGAGATTATGTCACGGTTCAGGCAAGCGCTTTCCCATTTCCCACGGTCAGACTGTCGAAGACGGAATATTTCGACTCAGTGAGCCGAAATCTTAATTGGAATGTTCGTGAGAAACAGAGGCCGTTCTCTCACTTCCTCACGGGTAAAAACAAGTCCGAGTTCGAGCAACATCAGCGTAATAGCGTTCAGACCAGCGACGGCCATCGCCTTTCAGAATTGGCCATCAATGATAGCGATGAGTTTGATATTGATTGGTCTGACGATAGTAAGGATGAACTGTCCGAAGATCAACTGCTGCAGCTAGAGCTTGACTTCAAGAAGGATTCGAGAAAGAATGACGCAGAAGGAACGCAAACGGATGAGGAAATGCTAGATTATAATTTGGTCGAGCCATTTGTTCCACTGCCAGGCAACGAAATACGGACTCCCACGGGTCACAATTACAATGACGACAGAGAGTGCTACACTCATCCCAACGCTACCATTCTGTTATACGGTGATTCGTCTGGCGGGTCTGATGAAACTGAACATTCGTGAACGATGCTTAGAAATGACTGATTGATTTATATCTGGTGTTATAGTAAAGAGATGTCATTGGGTATCCAGAAGCCTGGTAAAGCGTTTCGCAACCGTTAGCAAGGAAAAAAAAAGAAACCAAATTAGACCAACTAGCACGCGCGAGCAGGGCAACGTCACGTGATCGAGTCGCTTATCTTGAAACATCTTCGCTTGGCTCCACCGTGAGTACTTGCTTGGATTTGATTTTTCGTGAAAGGGTGTTGAATAATCAATCTTGGCTGAAGCTTATCCTTCAAAAAGCTTTATTCCATAGTAAGGGGGCGATATCTGGAAAAAGAATATGTCTCACGTGACCGAGAAAATTTTATCAAAAAGCAATACGCAGGGAATACAAAAGTAGAAGATCATCCGCTAATTTTTTTTCTTACTCACATTTGAATAACAACTAGTATATTCAACATGACTGACCTAGCACAGGATATGAACAAACTCTCTGTTAACGGCAACGGCGCCCCTGCTGGCCAGAACGGCTCGGCCCAGGGTAACGGCGCTGACAAGCCAAAGAAGAGTCAATACGTTCCTCCCCATTTGAGAAACAGACCTCAAGGCCAAAGCAGAAGCTTCGGTGGCAACGACTTTGGTGGTTCTGGTGGCCGCAGCTTCGGTGGAAGCCGCGGTGGCTCCGGTTTTGGTGGTTCTGGTTTCGGTGGCGGCTCTGGATTCGGAGGCGGTCGCCGTGGTGGATTTGCCGGCAGAGACAACAGACCAAACCCACGTTCCGGCCAGGGCCGTTGGGCCGATGGCAAGCACGAGCCTTCTCCTCGTAACGAAAGAATCGAGGTCGACTTGTTTGGTTTGCCAGAGGAAGGTGTCCAGTCCTCTGGTATCAACTTTGACAATTATGACGACATCCCCGTGGAGGCCTCTGGTGATGATGTGCCTGATGCCATCACCTCCTTCACTGCCCCTCCTTTGGACGAGCTTATGGTTGAAAACATCACCATGTCCAGATTCACCAAGCCTACTCCAGTTCAGAAATACTCTGTGCCTATCGTGACTAACGGCAGAGACTTGATGGCTTGTGCCCAGACTGGTTCCGGTAAGACTGGTGGTTTCTTGTTCCCAGTCTTGTCCGAGTGTTACAAGAACGGTCCTCTCCCAGTCCCAGAGACTGCTGGCGCCTTCTCTTTCAACAAGGTCTACCCAACCGTTTTGATCATGGCCCCAACCAGAGAGTTGGTTTCCCAGATCTTCGATGAGGCCAAGAAGTTCTGTTACAGATCTTGGGTTCGTCCCGCCGTTGCCTACGGTGGTGTTGACATTGGTCAGCAGATGAGAACCTTGCAAAGAGGTTGCGACTTGTTGGTTGCTGCCCCAGGTCGTTTGACCGATATGTTGGAGAGAGGCCGTGTCTCCTTGGCCAACGTCAAGTACTTGATTTTGGATGAGGCCGACAGAATGTTGGACATGGGTTTCGAACCACAGATTAGACATATTGTTCAGGAGTGTGACATGCCTGACGTGCAAGACAGACAAACCTTGATGTTCTCTGCCACCTTCCCAAGAAACATCCAGATGTTGGCCAGAGACTTTTTGAAGGAATACATTTTCTTGTCTGTCGGTAGAGTGGGTTCTACCTCCGCCAACATTACCCAGAAGGTGTTGCTTGTCGAAGACGACGAGAAGAGATCTGTGATCTTGGACTTGTTGTCTGCTGCTGACAATGGCTTGACCATCGTGTTTACCGAAACCAAGAGAATGGCTGACTACTTGGCCGACTTCTTGTACGACCAAGGCTTCCCCGCCACCGCCATTCACGGTAACAGAACCCAGTACGAGAGAGAGAAGGCTCTTTCAGCTTTCAAAAACGGTACTGCCCCTATCTTGGTCGCCACCGCCGTCGCTGCCAGAGGTTTGGACATTCCTAACGTTCAGCACGTCATCAACTACGACTTGCCTACTGACATTGACGATTATGTTCACAGAATCGGTCGTACCGGTCGTGCTGGTAACGTTGGTATTGCCACTTCTTTCTTCAACAGAAACAACAAGATCATTGTCAAGGACATGATCTCTCTTTTGACCGAGGCCAACCAGGAGATTCCTGACTTCCTTGTCAAGATCTCCAGAGAGTCTTCCTACGGTCGCGGCGGTGGCCGTGGTGGTAGATCCGGTGGTTTCGGCGGTAGATCCGGCGCCACTAGAGACTTCAGAAGACAAGGTGGTGGCTTCGGTGGAAGCGGTGGCTTCGGTGGTTCCAGTTACGGTAATGACTTTGGCAACTCCAGGTCCCTGGGCTACTCCTCCAACTACGGTAACCAGAACCAGAGCACTTCCTGGTGGTAAGCCGGTGGTTGTTGAGGTGATATCACTTCGCATAGTTTGTTTTTTTGTCGTTTTACTGTTTTATCTTTGCATTTTTTTACAAATAATCGATCTTGCTGGTTTCGCCCGCCCACCTTGACAGTGGAGCGAGGTTTATTATGGTTGTCTGAATCTTACACAGAAGAGATGAAAGGAAAAATTTTTAATCCACAAATGGGATGAGAAGGACGCTTTTTTTCTTCTTCACTTACACGGCTGACGGGTGTCACAGTACCCGTTGTTCGTTCTCAATTTTTTTATCTTGTTGACTTTTGTTGTTCGCAGATCATGTTCTTTGGAGTTTACGCTTGCAGTTTGGTTTCAATTCGGTTGTGTTTGGCATTTTAACTTCACAAGAATGTGTATTATTACTACTATTATTTACATGGGCAAAGCGAAAGAAGATGGGATAAAAAAATTATACTCAAAATTCAAAAGGGAAAAAATCTCCTTACAACAGGGCGGCCATGGTGGCGGCCCAGGTTTCCTTCACTCGTTTTTCGCTTTACATGGAATTTTATTTATCGGATTTAGACATTGTGGTTATTATATAGAGAGTATTATTTATATGAAAATGCAGCAATTTGTGCACCCTTGGCAGTGTCCTGTCAGCCTTGCGCCAAGCCCTTCCAATGGAAGTCGCTATTGTTCAACGCATGGGCTGTAACGCGTTTAAACGTTGAAATTTTATCCTTTGCTGTTGAATGAAAATTGTAGATGTGTCACAAGATTTATGCTTTGTGAATTACCCTATATAGATGACTACATCAGGTACGACCTTCCCTCACGGCTGAAACACGTCGGCCTTGCAGCTGAACTATACGGCGTTCTCGAGAATGTTATGATATTTCAAAAAACTTCGAAATTTAAACAAAAAAGTCGTATACATTAGATTGCTGATCCACCGGGTTCTTTTTTCAGAAGGCGGGAGTCAGTTTAGCCGCTCGAGCGACTATTCACAGCCTCGACCTTTTCGCAGCCACGGTGCCGATTAAACCGTTCAAGCTAAGATTTACCAAACCACAATTCTGATTTCTTGAAAACTAGTCTTTAAATACCCATTCAACATCTCTTTTATAGAAAATCCCGTAGATCCATCTTTTGGTGCTCGTCTACCCACCTGGATCGGTGTGCACATCGCTGCGCCAGTTTTCATCAACTACACTTCTTCATGAACACCCCCAAAAAGCTAAGAGCCGCTATGGTGGCGGTAGCGGTGGTGTATTTCGTGGCGGTGTTTTTCGGGAGCCTAACGCCGGGACATCCTAAAACATATACAGAGCACAACTCGAGTGGCCTTAATGCTCAACGAAAGCAGGAACAGAACGTGAACTGGAAGCAGCACGCCGAAGATATCCACACCAACAATATCAACAGACTTCCCACGTCGGCAACGGTAAGGCAGCAATTGAGTTTCCAGTTTCCGTACGAGCCTCGGAAAGGTTTTCAAAAGAACATATGGCAGACGTGGAAGGTTGGTGTTGAGCATGGAGCATTCCCTACCAAGTACAAGCGGTTCCAGATAGGCTGGGAGGAGAAGAATCCCGGCTACAAGCACTACGTGATTGCAGACGATCAGTGTGATTTGTTGATCAACGATTTGTACGAGTCTGTTCCTGACGTGAAGAAAGCATGGAACCTGATGCCCAAGAGCATTCTCAAGGCTGATTTCTTCAGGTACCTCATATTGTACGCCAGAGGCGGAGTTTACTCGGACATCGACACCACGGCGCTCAAGCCCATCGATCTGTGGCTTTCGGCAAACGAAACTGTCTTTGGCCAGCCCAACACTGCAGGTCTTGTGGTGGGCATCGAAGCAGACCCTGACCGGCCTGATTGGGCAGAATGGTACGCTCGTAGGATTCAGTTCTGCCAGTGGACCATTCAGGCCAAAGCTGGCCACCCGCAGTTGCGTGAGTTGATTGCATCAATTACGGAGATTACTCTCACGAGACAGAAAAAGGGGCAGCTTCATAAGGTGTTGGGCAAGGACGAGGGCGGCGACATCATGAACTGGACAGGTCCTGGAATTTGGACTGACCTGGTTTTCGAGTACTTGAACAACTTGGCACAGCCGCAGAAGAATAGAGATGAGGGTGTGGTGGAGACTCTTGTTGACTGGAAAATGTTCACCGGACTTCAAAAGCCACGTATTGTCGACGACGTGATGGTTCTTCCAATCACAAGTTTTTCGCCCGATGTTGACCAAATGGGTGCCAAATCTAGCAACCACGAGCTCGCCTACGCAAAGCACATGTTCCTGGGCTCGTGGAAGAATGATTGAATGACAGAGTGGTAATGAATGTGATGGAAAGGTAGCGTCAATGAATCTGATCCATGTCTATGGGCGGATCGCATGACCTTCTGGTGTTAATGAGGGTCTTAGAGACTGGTAGACATGGAAGACTGTTTTTTTCGTGGGCTTACGTCATGGAAGCTACATCAGCTTCCAAAGATATTCTGAAATCCAGCCACTCCTCATGACCGCACCATAGCACGATCTACAACTTGTAACATAGCCGGGGCACACCATGCCCTCCACATCTACAAAACTATATTGCATTTACATCTCACCATTGTTGTAGATATCTGGCCGACTTATCGAACCAGGTAAACCATATGGTGCTTGTCTCACGTCATACTTCGACCCATCCCAGCACCACTGAAACCTTATTTCTAGTGGTGGGCCAATTTGCAGCATGGCTCCATCTGGAGCAACATTCCTACTACTCACACTGAATCCTGCGGAGATCCATGCACTGTAGTCCACCACAAGCCTCACGGAATCCCATAAAAATCTGAGCGGCTAATTCACAACTGCATTTCAAAATATCTCCATATTGCCCCAAAGGTATTTCTCGTATGACGCTTATGTGAGCAAGCAGCCTCATGGCCTGCATCCCAGCCAGGGACGGATCTGGAGCCCGTACAAGAACTCCGGTGCCAATTATTGAAAACACCTACTATGCTAAAACCAGCTTTAGTCATTGTGGACCTTCAAAAAGACTTTCTTCCAGGCGGTGCCTTGGGAGTGCCCGAGGGTGACCAGGTTGTGCCCAAGATTGAGACTATGCTCAACCTTGAAAAGTTCCCATGGCTGGCCGTGGTGATCACCCAGGACTGGCACCCCAAGGACCATTGCCTGTTTGCACTGAGACACAATGCTGAACCATTCACAGAGATTGAGTTTGAACATCCTTGCGGGGAGAAGAATAGCAAAACAGGTGAAGTCAAGAAACACCCACAGACGGTCTGGCCCGATCATTGTATCCAAGAAACACCAGGAGCCGACATTGAGCCCAGAATCTTGGATAAATTTGGCAATTCCGTGGCCAAGATTGTACCTACGGCTGTTGTCAGGAAAGGGTACCTCAAAGACCGTGAATACTACCTGTGCTTCAGCGACTGCTGGAAAGTGCACCACACAGAGATTGAAGACTTCTTGATGGAGCAGAATGTCACCGATGTGGTCTTTGTGGGCTTGGCCTACGACTTCTGTGTTCTACATTCCGCTTGTGATGCCCTGAACTCAGGGTTCAACACATATGTGGTGAAGGACTGCTGCAAGAGCGTCTTTGCAGACCGTGCCGAAGAGACAGAAAGGGCCTACAAGGCTTCCAATGTAAGTATCGTGAATCTTCGTGAGCTAGTGAAAGCCATTTCGGCTTGAGTGTTTTCTATGCACCGAGCTGAGCTCGGAGTATAGCTTTCTGCCGTTCAAGGAGCATTCTTTTGACATCCTCGTTAGTGGGAAAATCAGGGTCGTTCTCAAGAGCAACATCCTCCGCTGGATATATCTGCTTACCAAGAGCGGCATTGATCTGACCCTGGATATACTGTTCATCGGCAACGATGGGCTCTCCAAACTGAAAAGACCCGTAATAGTCCAAAGGCACGTACGGCTTCTCGGTCTTCTCCGGCAGCTGCTCCTTTTTCAGCACCTCCGGAAGCTCCCGAGCACGACCATAGTAACGCACACCATCAACGTATATACCCTGGCTTTTTGAAAACTTGATGTAGTCGTTTCCTCCAAGATTCTTGATGTGGTGTTCCCACGCACGCTTCTCCCGATGTAGCTTGTTCAATTCATCGTTAAGAGAGCGTATTTCACCGAGATTAAGGCTCGGATCACTAATGTCGGTGAGTTTCACCGAGATCTCTGTCATCACAGTCTGCCTCCATCTTTCAGCTTGCGGTAGCGACTCCACCTTTTGAACATATTTAGGCCGAAGCAGGGGATTGCTTTCTAGAACACCGGCCTCTCTTTCCTGTTGAGCATAGTATCTATGAAGTGTGCTCTGGTTCTTCTCCTTGTTTCTGGACATGTAGAGATGAGTTTCGCAGTCTGGAATATCAACACTGATAGCCTCGTTACAAATGCTCATCACCATAACCCAAAATACAACAAATTCATTCGTTTTTTCCATTACCCTATATGCTAGTTTACATGCCTCTGAACTGGTTTTTACCTGCGCTTCTTCTGCCGGCAAAACGCTGCTTGGTTCTACCCTTCTTCGTCTCATCCACCTCCTCGTCCTCATCGGTTCTGAACTTGGGCTTCTTCTCCTTCTTTGGCTTGAAAGTCATCTCCATCTCGCCCTTTCCGTGACGACGCAGTCTTGAATCGTCACTCTTCTTGTTCTTCGTCACCTTTTCAAGTCTGCTGACCTGCTTGTCGAAAGTCTCTGCATTTCTAGCCTCCGTCTCGTTTTGAGTCACGGCCTTCATGTCATTCATGAACCTCTCAGTCTCCTTTTGACGCTCCTTGCGCTCTCTCAACTTGTTGATCTCCTTGGCAACCTTCTCACCTCTGCGTTTCACAGCTTCAGGGTCCTCTTCAGCTTCGCTTTCCTCGCTCTCTTCACTCTCGGACTCCTCCTGAACACCATTCATTCTCTCTTCATCAGACTCCTCGGCAGCAGTCAAACCACGAGGACGCTCAGTGGAAGTAACGTCCTTAGTAGACCGCACAGGGTTGAGCTGCTTGTACTCGTAAGATTCTTCGTTGACGGCAAACTCGGGGTTTTCGAACAATTCGGCAAAACGGTCGTCGGTAGCAACATCCTTTCCTTCCAACTTCTCGTGCAAGTTCTTGTTGACCTTGACCTTGCTCTTGGTGACAGCACCAGTCGATCTGATACGAGACTCTCTCTCCTTTTCGATCTTCTTTCTGATATCTCTTTCTCTCTGGTCTCTGTACGAGTTGGGGTTGGCAATCAAATTGACCTTCTCGTACAACTCAGTATTGATGAAATAACCATGCATGTAAGATCTCAAGACTCCAGATCCAATCAAGTGGCCCAAGTTCAACTTGGCCACGTCGTCTCTGGTGATGAATCTGTAGTTGGAGTAGACCGCATCCGTTGGCTTCTCCTCGAGCTCTTCGGTGATGTTGTCCAAGAAAGAGCACCACTTTGGCGCCGGACCGAGATGTGGAATGTAAAAAGCATGCATTGGCATACCTTCATTGGCCATGAAGAACATACCACTTTCTTTGACGTATGCAACATCGTTGATATCAACACTAGGCTCCATCGAGGTGTAAGGCTTACCGTCGAATCTGCTCCAGATCTTGGCGATTCTCTTGTCTGATGTGAGGATCTTGTCGGAGTCATTAGAATTTTCATCAATCCAGATGATCTTGTTCACATCAAATCCGTAACCCTGCTCCTTGACCACAGAAGGTGTCGATGTTCTAAGATCGTAAATCAATGCTTTACCTGTCGAGGTACCACATGCAAAGTTCAAACCATCGTTACGGAAAGATGCGGCTGTAACTTGTAGTGAGTCGCCAAGATGCTCATTGACGAAAAGCTTAGCAGCACGCTGCCTACTTCTAGGGTCCCAAAACTCCACAGTTCCTTCTTCTAGAGCTGCAGCCACGAGACCATGCACGGGATTGATATCAACTTGATTGACTCCTTCCTCGGTATCCAAAACATATGGATTGAGGAAACGGCCCTGTTCAAGATTGAGTCTGTAGATTTCGTTGCCTGAAGCTCCCACTAGCAAATCGCAGTTTGTCTTGTTGAATGCTAACGAACGACCAAACTTCGGTATTCTCGTTTTGTAATGGATACCGCCCTTGGTGTGAAACTCTATAGATCTATCGTTTTGGAGGTGGATTGACTTTGTCCAGTCATTGGAAAGAATCGTGAAATCCACGTTCTCAGAATCAGTGTGTCTGTCAAACTTCAAGGACAAGTTCAGGAAATCGTATAAATGGATTTGTGGCTTATACGTTCCCGTGGCCATGACGTATTGGCCATCAGGAGTGACCTTAATCTTATTGGATGCTTCGCTAAATTCGAAATCTTGGATAAGCTCCACACGGTTCATATAATCGGCATCTCTTTTGAGATCTCTCTTTCTCTTTTTGGCAATCCAGTCTGGCAACGAACGAGATACGTTCGATCCTGCCACCTGGTACACCGAGACATTACCAGCCGAAGTGGACTTTAAGACCATGGTGAATACTACGTCTGTATGAGATGATCATCGCCTGAAAAAATACGTAGGACCGCTTGGTGCGCGTGCAGGATTCTAGCTGTTTCCGTACTATCGCGCTCATTTTTTGCAGCCAAATTGAGGGTGGTGAGACTGGCATCATTTCTTCTTCGAAATTTCTGAGCTTTTCTTGGCCACAGATCCACCTCCTGGAGATTTGATAGAAGCACCCGCGCTTTCTGCGTTGAGGAACTCGTATTCTCCTCGAGGCACAGAAACCAACTGACACCCTTCTATATCCCACTCAATGATACTGCTGGTACTTGGGTAAGACACTTTCCCGTCATCGAACGTAGCATACAATGGTACCAAAGCAGATTTTACCAAATCTTCACAGTCGCCGAGCTCGACCTTTTCGACGAGCATATCTAAGGTCTGCAATATCACGGGCGACAAGGCGATGTCGCTGTAGCATACATCATTCGCCATATTGAACAAAGTGACCCAAAAGACTTCACCTTCCAAATTGGCCTCTTCTGTGGTATGCTTTCTGCAGAACAACAAAAGCTTGTTCAATGACTCAATGCAATCCCTCCTAATCAAGGCATTCAATGGCAACCCTTCAGTCGAGTCGAGAGCTACCGTGGCTGCAATGATACTCGCAACTACTTTCTCAACACGGTAGGTTGTCAACTTATCATTGAGACTTGAGGCTAACCCCTCTTGCTTTGTAACTTCACGAATCTCATAGGTCGCCACGATGCTGGCTGCACGTATAAGGCATCCCAAAGAAGAGACCAACGATCCCAACATCAAAACAGGGCCCAAGTGCTCGAGTTCAGGAGCCGCAGGTGGCATGTTGCTACCTGCTGGCAAGTAGCTGTTTAATTTGGGGTAGGGTGGAAGTGTGGAGTAGTTGAAGATATTTTGGAAAAGAGGGACCTGATCGAACATCTCTCCAAACTGAATACCTATGTTCCGGCTGACCAAATAAATAGCATCGCATAAAGTGGCGAGAAGGGACATGCTCCGAGCCCTGGAATTGTGCAATTTGTACAAGCCAGTGGTATTGTGGAAAGCTAAGGCCTCGATTCTCTCTGAAGCAAGTTCAACACACTTGTAAAGAACGGGGAAGCTGGAGAAGTTGAACTTGGCACCATGACACAACAAGCTACTGATGAAGAAAGGAGGATCATCGATAGCCAGATCGAAGGACACTGACTGCGCTTGGTAGTGCTTCTCTATAATGGTTAACGCTCCAGGCGCCAGTCCCCTCAAAGCCAAGTACACCAAATAAGGCCTTTCCAAAATATAGGCTGAGATACGTCTGGCAGCTTTATTTTCAGGAAGGTCGTTGGTTTTACCGGCGGCAGTAAGAATCTCACCAGTTGCCCTGGCAGAATGCAAGATGCACAAGGTCCCCACATCGCCAATGTCGTCACGAAGAACAAGCTGTGCCAATTTTGTCAAGTTCACCGTAGACCCAGCCTTGGATTCCTTGGCGTATTTGGAGCTAATGGAGCCGGCCGGCACGTCCGTGTCCAACTCCTCCACATCTTTTCTGGGCACTAATCCCACCGCCTGTAAGATTTCAGGTAAGCTCTCCACAAAACAGGTAATGAAAGCTAGGTTCTCGTTCAAAGTAAGCTCGGGCTGGCCAGCACAATGGTTCCAGACTGAGGAGATGGCGCCTACGCTGGATAGCCTCTCGCCACGGAGAAGCAGATTCCACTCTGGGGGCACCCCCTCCCGAAAGCGCTTCACCAAGCCCTCAAAAAGCTTATTATCGGCAATGTGGGCCACAAGTAACTTAACAAAAGCCGAAACGAACGAAGCGGGAGCCTTTCTAGGAAGGAGGCAAGCCATAGACTCCAAGATAGAGGCAATGACAACAAGCTTTGGTTCTGGAATGCTTAACGCTATAGCCACGTCTCTGGCGGTGAGGCAGGCTTGGGAAGTCAAAGTTTCACAATGGCTGTTTTCCTCGAAAGGATCGAGCATTAAGTTTTCCTTGGGGATCTTGTTAACAGAAGTCATTTTAGAATAAAAAACGATACAGAGGTCAGAGGGTCAGGGGTAAGTTGTTTCAGAGGTGTTACACCGAAGGAGGTGTTTTTTGCAGGTCCAAAATAATAATTTGTCTCGAGGGTATATAAGCAGGGTTCTGCCCGCAGCCGACGCCTTCGAAACGGTACACTTTTCTTATCCACCAGCGCCAGCTGGTCTACCCTAGTTTTTGTTATTTTTTGCTTTTCCTTTTTAACTTTGTCTGACTCCACGCTTACCGTGGACTGCCGATAAAGCTTATCGCAAAAGTGATCGGAGTGGATCTGCAGAGCAGGATCCAGAAGCAAGCGAGGCCTCATCGGAACACGAGGCTTTCCATATCTGCTACTTTCTCCACAAGGCGGCCTTCCCCACGGTCTGTATGCAAGGGCTCTGGATTGTTCGAGGTTGGTCAGGTACAGTGCGGCTCTTTAGTTCGTGCAGACCCTGGTCGTAATTCGGCGCACAGGTTGGGTACCAGGCGCAAGAGGACTGACCAAAAAAAAATGACAAGTGGAAGAGAAAAGAAAGCCTAGTCAAGGAAAGTTCCGTGCACCAGCAACAGCCAGATACTTCCAGTATCAGCCTCCTCCAGAGCCTAAAGCTTATCTTTGTTTCGACCAGCAGAGGTGGAGTCATGCACTGGAGTGGCCAGATGGATCTGAGCTGGTGCGGCATGCTTGGTGTCAAGAGCTGCATCTCTCTGCGCATCGGCCAAAAAGATCCACATCCACCTCGGGCCTTATACACTCCGGCCCCACTCTAATAGAGGCTGAAGTGCGTTTGTTGTGGCCAGAGTTTACCCGGCTGGACATGTCGAGTCTGCTAGGTCATGCAGGCCCTTTACCAGCTTGCAAGATATAAAGAGCTTGCGTTTCCCCGTGTCTTTTGGAAATACTTCACCGATGAACTACGACTACTCTCTCGAGGCATCCTTCCAGTCCGCTAGACGCTCCTCCTCCATCCCCGAAGACGGTTCGGCCTTATCGCCATCTCTGTCCGAGGGAACTCGGAGCAGCGGCTCCTTTATCGATCTTGACGATATCACCAAGGAGTTCCAGCGTTACCAGAGAATGTTGTCGTCGGCATCGTCTGCTACCGAAAGGCAGATCGGACTTCGCGAGATTCTCGACTCCGCTCGCGCAGATCCGGGCATTAGATGCTCTTCCACCCCCAGGCTGTCTCAAGTTCACTTGCCTCCCACCTCGGAGTCCATCATCAAAGACCACGCCCGGCAGATGGAGAGAAGATGCAGCGTCTAGACATTAGAGCATCCGATCAGACAGTTGATCAAGGACATTTGATCTCTACAGTTGATCATTACAGTACAGTTGACGGCTACCTTACAGTTGATCGCTACCTTACAGTTGATCTGTATATATTCTTCACTTCCTAATTACATACTTAATGAAATCCTTCATAGACCTGGCATGTAATCTTTGTATTAGTTGAGTTGTGAGTCGAGGTTAGCCAACTGCTTCAACACAGCACTCTTGGCAGTACCGCCGATGGCAGTTCTTCTCTCCACACTGGCCTCAAAGTCAAATGTGCTCAAGACATCCTCACCGAAACGAGTGTCGATCTTTTGCAACTGCTCAAGGGACAATTTGTCGATACCTGGCAATTTGAGGTCCTCGGCAGTTCTGACACATTCACCAGAAATGTGGTGGGTTTCTCTAAATGGAACTCCTTTTCTAACTAAGTAGTCTGCCAAGTCAGTGGCCAACATGTCCATAGTCAAGGCACCCTCCATGTTCTCCTTGTTGATCTTCAACGTGGAGATGACACCAGTAGCGATAAGGATAGAATGTTCGGTGGTGGTGAGGGCATCAAAAAGTGGCTCCTTATCTTCTTGCATGTCCTTGTTGTAGGTGGAAGGAATCGACTTCAAAGACATCATGAAACCAGACAAGGCACCGAAAGTACGACCGCACTTGCCTCTCAAAAGCTCAAGCGAGTCAGGGTTCTTCTTCTGTGGCATCAAAGAAGAGCCAGTGGAGTATGCATCAGCCAACTGGACAAAGCCAAATTCGGCAGAGGAGTAAATGATCAAATCCTCAGAGAAACGAGAAATGTGGTTCATGAACAAGGAAGACCAGAAGAGCGTCTCCACGACAAAGTCACGGTCAGACACAGCAGCCAAGGAGTTGCCAATGACGCCTTGGAAGCCCAAGCCTTCAGCCAAATACTCTCTGTCAATGCCGTATGGATGACCAGCCAAGGCACCAGCACCCAAAGGCGACTGGTTGGCTCTTTCGATGATCTGCTTCAATCTATTGTAGTCCTCCGTGAAATACGTAGCGTACATCGACAACCAATGGGCCCATCTGATTGGCTGGGCACGCTGGAGGTGGGTGTAGCCAGGCATCAAGACGTCGATCTCAGTCTCTGCTCTCTTCAAGATCGCCTTGATGAAGGTGCCCAAGAACTCCAAAAGCTTGGTGAGGTTCTCTCTGACGTAGATTCTCATGTCAGTGGCAACCTGGTCGTTTCTGGATCTACCAGTGTGGACCTTTCCGGCAATGTGCTTGCCGATAATCTCACCAAGTCTTCTCTCATTGGCGGTGTGGATATCCTCGTCACCTGGCTTTTCCACAAACTTCTCGTTCTTCCATTCCTCTCTGATAACTTCCAAACCCTTGTGGATTTCCTGCAATTCAGAGTCGTTGATCAATCCCAACTTGTTCAAGCCCTCAGTGTAGACCTTGGTGCCTGTCAAGTCGGCATCGTACATTCTTTTATCGTAAGGAAGAGAAGCATTGTAAAGGTCCATCAAAGGGTCAGTGGCACCGGTGAAACGGCCACCCCACAATTTGGCTTCAGCTGGTTTTTCAGACATGGTGAAAAGACTAAGTGGTCAACGATAGGAATGTGTCATAGTTGTGCGCAGGAATGGTTGCAAAATGCGATAGTAATCTACAGGCGAGTACATATGGACATTAATTAGACTATGGCTTACATCTGCCGGTGAATCTAGGGTACAAGGAGCAGTCTCTGACAGTGTATCTGTCACACAACCAGGCCAAGATTCTCTCGGTACCCAAACCGTAACCACCGTGTGGGCAGGTACCGTACTTTCTGAGGTCGGTGAACCAGTAGTATGGAGCTGGGTCGAGGTTCTCTCTCTTGAGAGCAGCCATCAACTCATCGTAGTCATCAATTCTCATAGAGCCACCGGTGATCTCACCGACGTTTGGCATCAACACGTCGACAGACTCGGTCACTCTTGGGTCGTCAGCGCACTTCTTCATGTAGAAAGACTTGATCTCGACTGGGAAACGAGTCAACAAGATTGGCACGTTCAAAGTGTCAGTCATCTTACGCTCAGCAGCTTCTGCAATGTCGTCACCGAACTTGAACTTCTCGCCGTCCTCGTTAGGAATGCCGTGTTCGTTCAACCACTCCAAGGCATGGTTGTACTCCATTCTCTTGAATGGTAGCGTAGGTGGCTGGAAGTTAGGGTTCAACTTCTTGATCAAAGGACCAACGACTGGGTCCTCCACAAGAGCTTTGGTGACGGAGACGAAAAGTCTCTCCAAGTGGTTCAACATGTCGTCGAAAGTAAGGAAAGCCAACTCGGACTCAATATGCGTGTACTCAGACAAGTGTCTTCTGGTGTGGGACTTCTCGGCACGGAAGGACTCCTGGACACAGTAGACGTCTCCAAGAGATGGCAAACAGGTCTCCAAGTACAACTGAGAAGATTGAGTCAAGTAAGCCTCCTCGCCGTAGTAGTCCAACTTGAACAAAGTGGAGCCACCCTCCACCTGAGTCTGGACCATGCATGGGGGAGTGACCTCCAAAAGACCCTCCTCATCGAAGAACTTTCTGATAGCGCTGAGAAGAGCAGCTCTGACTCTCAATACACTGGACAAGGTCTCGCCTCTCATGGTCAAATGTCTCTGGTCCAACAACAAGGATGGGTCAGCGTTCTCCTGAACCTTGTTGGTGAAAGCGTCCTCGCCAGAAGGAGCCAAGCCGTAGACCTCGTAGTAGTCGGCCTTCAATTCAACACCATCTGGGGCGGTCTTACCCTCAGGCAACTTCTCAATGACACCCTTGATAGTAACGGTAGATTCCAAGGTCAACTCCTGGGTAATTCTGGCCTTGGCCAAGTCCCCAGTCAAGACTGTCTGCAAGTAGCCGGTACCGTCTCTCAAGGTGATGAATGCAACGCCCTTCTGGGATCTGAAACGGTGCACCCAGCCGCTGACCACCACACGCTGGTCAATGTTGTCCTGGACGGATCTCAATTTGATCTTCTTGGCCTCAGGCAAGGACTTGTCCTCCTCGATCTTGATCAAGTCCAACTCGGCCAATTTCTTAGCAGCCTCCTCGTCCTTGAGTTTCTGCTCCTCGGCCTGCTTGGCCTGTTTTTCGGCCTTCTTTTTCAAGCCGTCAGCACCTTTCTTAGCCTTCTTCAAGGCAGAAGCGGAGATTTCAGCATATTCGAACTCCTCTGAGTCATCTTTCTGCTTGTAGACGAGCACGGTGGCCTCTGGAGCCTTGTAAACAGCAAAAGCTGGTGTCTGGAAAGGCTGGTCTTGGGAGCCGGCCGCGTCGACGTCGCTGCCGCTCTTTTCGTTGACGTAGACTTTGGACATTTAATGTTCTATGGGTTCCGAATAGGGCCTAAGTGAATTTTTTTGAAGCGCGGTCGTGCACCTACAGATCGTCTGTGGTTGTTCTACTTCTGAAGGATATGGGGTTTAAAAAAGATTTAAGAAGGGTATTTATCCTTCAATTTGGAGAAGACGTATGTTGGTTTGCTCTTTGTTGACTCATCGTTCCATGCGCATGTCAATGTGTCGAGTTGCAGAAACACGAGAATTGACACAGTGAAAAATACAATTTGCAGATGCCAGCTCATCTTGACCTAAAGGTGAACAGCCGGAAGCTTCATCGAATATATAAACTCAAAATAATATGCGTAGCTGGAGATCTCCAACCTGAAACTCAGCTTCGCCTTGAGTCATACTTGTCAGTGTGTGGAATGGCTGCGAAAAGAGCCAGATACTCACACAAAACCAAAGCACAATGAAGGCAGTACAACTAATTTTTTTTTTTTTTATAATTCGTTTCGGCTGTAAACAGATCGCTTAATTGCGAAGCGTGTGTCTGGCTGTTTTTGCCCGGTGACCTTCAGTAATGCATCCTGCCTGTCATCACCATCTAGCGTTAGAAGCCTTGACCCACCTCCTCATCGCCTTTTGGTCATCCTTAAATGAGTAGCAACAGAAAAGTATTATGAAATTTCACATACATTAGAAGTGACTTGCTGCTGCCTTTTGTGAACAATAGAGACCCGCCTCATGAGCACAATTGAACGCATCGTAAATCATCACCAAGTGTACCGCAACTACCTCAGTTCTCCTACAACCTACACTCCCTTTTCTCATCACACGACGTCAACACTTATCTCAAAAGCTGCCAAACAGCATGTGTTTTTTCTTGTGCTGCGGCTCCTCCTTCTTTTCCAATCAGTGCCACGTTCTCGGTTGTTTGTGTTTTTAACCCGATACACGTCGGGATTCCTTTCTCTCCTTGCTGCATTGTCTACTGCGCATGCTGCCCATCATCCGTGGCTCCGTGGCCCCTGACTTAACTTTTGTGGATAATGAAGGGCAAATCCGGTGTTGTTCACTTTGGCCATTTACGAAAACCAAAACCCCAACCTCACCGTTCACTCACATCCTTCCCTCGCCTCGGTTGACCCTGTGACTGCGTGACTGCGAATGGGTCAATGACAGATTTTAAAAAAACCTCTCAAATCTAAAGCAAAGCATATCATCAGAATCTCTACAAGTTACTCTCTGCGAAAATCAATGCATGATGCAAAAATCGCCCTTTTGCCGGCAGTGTGACTGCTCCGGGATCTCGCTAGCACCTGCCCTACACATTTCAAACACAGAATCACCGATTGGCTGGAAAACGGTGACGGTCTTTATTTCCAGAGCGTTGCATGGTTTTAAAAAAGATCGGCGTGCCAAAGGAGAAAGTCTTGTTTGTTTTGCGAAATTATTCTAGTCGTGCAACATTTTCATCCACAACGGTTTCCTTTATCAGTCGCCAGCAGCTGCCTCGCACTTTTTTTTCCGCACTTCCTCATCTCCAGTGATCTTGGGCAAATTTTTCCAACACAACAACCAAAAATTCTCTCCAAAGACAACATATCCCAGCCAGCGCACAACTTCATGGCTCTCGAACAATCTTTGGCTGCGCTCTCCATTGCCGCTGTGGCGGCTGAGCTGGCCATCCCAACGAAAACCTTGGTTCTCAAGCCCAAGACTGCTAAACTGGCTACCCCAGTTCCTGTGGTTGTCTTTGCTTTGCAAGCCACTCCTACTCCCAACGCCACTATTGCCAAGGCTGCTGGTGTGAAGGAGCCTCGTATGGCCAACAACGAATTGATTGCCGAGTTTTTCAACTCCACCGCAAAGGAAGTGTCAATTGCTAACTTGCACAAGGACTTGGCTGGTAAGGTCAAATTGGTTTTGGATGCTGGCATTGCCCATGCCTCGGACTCTGTCAAGCTTGAATTGGCCACCGAGTCCGCTAGAGTCAGTGTGGCTGCCAAGGACATCAACGCTTACCTCGACTCCACTGGAATTGAGATTATCAAGGTGGATTTCCTTTCCGAGGCCACCGCCTCTCCTGCTGCTGCTCCTGTGGCTACTGCCACCTCTAGAAAGGAGGTTTTGAAGAGAGAGAAGGAGGCTGCTAAGTTGGAGGATGCCAAGTTGATCGGTATCACCGTCGACAAGGCCAAGGACTTTTCCTCTTGGTACTCCCAGATTGTCACCAAGGGTGAGATGTTGGACTACTACGATGTTTCTGGCTGTTACATCTTGAGACCCAACTCTTTCTTTGTTTGGGAGGAGATCCAGAACTGGTTCAACGCCCACATCAAGAAACTCGGTGTCAAGAACGCCTATTTCCCAATGTTCGTTTCCTCCAAGGTTCTCGAAAGAGAGAAGGACCACATTGAGGGCTTTGCTCCTGAGGTTGCCTGGGTCACCAGAGCCGGTCTGTCCGAATTGGACGAGCACATCGCCATTAGACCCACCTCCGAAACCGTCATGTACCCTTACTACGCTAAGTGGATCCGTTCCCACCGTGACTTGCCATTGAGATTGAACCAGTGGAACTCCGTGGTCAGATGGGAGTTCAAGCACCCACAGCCTTTCTTGAGAACCAGAGAGTTCTTGTGGCAGGAGGGTCACACCGCCCACTTGACCAAGGAAGGCGCTACCGAGGAAGTTGACCAGATTTTGGAGCTTTACAAGCGTATCTACGAGGAGTTGTTGGCTGTTCCTGTCGTCAAGGGTAAGAAGACGGAGAACGAGAAGTTCGCCGGCGCCAACTACACCACCACCGTGGAGGGCTTCATTGCTGCTACCGGTAGAGGTATCCAGGGTGCCACCTCTCACCACTTGGGAACCAACTTTTCCAAGATGTTCAACATCTCCGTAGAGAACCCCGAGGGTCCCGACAAGCCCCGTGTCAATGCATTCCAGAACTCCTGGGGCTTGTCCACTAGAGTCATTGGTGTCATGATCATGACCCATTCTGACAATAGAGGTTTGGTGTTGCCTCCTAGAGTCGCCCAGACTCAGGTTGTCGTTGTTCCTGTTGGCTTGACCACCAAGTCCACCAAGGAGCAGCGTGAGACCATCAACAAGGGCGCCAAGGACATTGAGCAGAAATTGTTTGATGCCGACGTTCGTGTTACTGGTGACTACAGAGACAATTACTCCCCAGGTTGGAAGTTCGCCGACTGGGAGTTGAAGGGTGTCCCATTGCGTGTCGAGTTCGGTCCTAAGGACCAGGCTGCTGGCCAGGTTCTTGCCGTGAGACGTGATACGGGTGCCAAGTTCAACGTGAAGTTGGACGAGTTGCAAACCAGAATTCCTGAAATCTTGGAGATCATCCAAAAGGAATTGTTGGAGAAGGCTCGTAAGGACTTTGACGACCACCGTGTGATTGTCGAGGAATGGAAGGACTTTGTCCCAACTTTGAACAACAAGAACGTCATTTTGTCTCCTTGGTGTGGTGTCCCTGAGTGTGAGGACGATATCAAGGATTCTTCTGCATCAACTGGTGAGGAGGGAGAAGAAGTGGACGACAGAGCACCATCCATGGGTGCCAAGTCGTTGTGCATCCCCGGTCACCAGCCTCCTTTGAAGCCAGGACAATTGTGTGTTAGATGCACACGTAAGGCTGTCACTTATTGCATGTTTGGCAGATCTTACTAACTGTAATTAGGTCATGGATTTTGGGGTGGAGTTATGAGTCATAGGTTTTTCTTACTAATTTAATTGTATTATCGGTACTGGTCCCAGAACAGGGACGAGGACAAACTAGCCACGCTTGCCTCCGCAACCACTGTTTTTCCATGGGAATCGAGATCCAAATAGTATACACTGTCTAGCTGGAGTGTAGTTTTCACGTATTCCCAAACCTTGTGGTAGTTCTTGCCAACTTGATCATACGTGTGAGAATCGTCTGAAAGGCAGAACTTGCCGCCCGCCAGTTTGATCAACAAACCAACGTCTTTCTTAGGATAAGGCAGGTCCCAACCTTTACGAATGGCAGCTGAATTGAGCTCGAAAATTCCGCCATATGAGACGACAAACTCGACGTTTCGCTTAATTAACAGCCACACATCCGGCCATTCTTTTTCAAGATTCACCTCAGATAGCGTCTTGCCCGTAGTTGGGTCCAAGTCGTCGACTCTGAAGAGTCTGATTAAATCAATGTGACCCACAACGTCAGGCTTTAACATCGTCAAGACTTTGTATTGTAGCTCATAATATTCCTTGTATAACTGTCTTGTAGTGCCTCCACAAGCCTCACGAGCTTCTCTCCATCTCTCCTCATTGAAATCAATGGGGATACCTTTAACAAAGTGCACTGAGCCAACGCACATATCTATCAGCGGTCTGTACTTCTCCACTGCTTTGATGTGATCCTCATCAATACCTTCGACTTCTAGACCAATGAGTATTTTGAAACCATCAACCGCGTTTTCTCGTTTCTTGATTTCAGCAGCATGTTCGAGATACTTATCGAATCTGTCGTCCAAACTTGTAGTTGTCATGCCCTTATCGAGCTCCTCTGGGTATAGGTACCGGTCTTGCAACCGAGGCATATGTTCTGTGAGACAAAACTGAACAAAGCCTTTATCCTTGGCCGTCTGAATCATGGTTTCTAGTGAACCCGAAGCATGTTCAACATAGTCACCGCTATGGGAATGATGGGAATACATGTGGTTATTAGCGGGTAGTTGATGGCTCTGCACCTAGACAACCATAACTTCGCAGACTCGATTGTGGCATCGAAATGCGCTAATGGGAATGGAGCAAACGTAATATTGACTGTAGGGGTGTTTCACGAGAAAAAGTGGATTTGATGATTTTTGGTTGTTTCAAATTTAGAGATATTTGTTACAAGACATTTGGGGTTTTGATACTAGCATTGGTGTATCCATGATACTGCAAGGTTTTCAACTTTAACGCGCATGTTGACATTTCATGAAAAATTAAGAATCACACCTTATAATTAATAACGACATTGCCCAAGTAACAAAAACCATATTTATGAGTAATTTGATGTCAAATAAATCCACACGAGGACGAAATAAACCAAAGACACTTAAATCCTTTTTAAACAGGCTTGTTCTATATCCCCGACCTGCATGAGCAGCCAACATAGTAGCTGTGAATCTACATGCGTAGTACAATAAGCAGAGATGAGGCTTCTACCGAACTCAACCTTGCTGAGACTGGTTCGGTTCGTGCAACACAAAGCAAACTTATCTTCCCTCAATCCTACCATCAGGGAAATTTTGAATAACCCTCCAGATACGAATTCAGTTGTCACAGTCAATGGACACATCAAATCGTTAAGAACATCGAAAAATGTGGGTTTCATAGATATCTCTGATGGTCTGAGCTCAGATACACTTAATGTGGTGTTTCCAAAGCCTGATACTGTGCTCGAGAAGCAGCATTTCAAAGTTGGCCAGAGCTTGTCTGTTACCGGAAAGTGGATTGAGTCTCGTGGTAAGCAAAAGTATGAGCTCCAATTCGATGTTGATGAGTCACATCATAAACTCTCTATCGTTGGAAACGTTCCTGATGATTTTCCAATCCAAAAGAAGACACATTCCTTACAATTTTTGAGAAGTCTACCGACATTGAGACACAGAACGACTGGCTTGGCCTCTGTTTTACGGTTTAGATCTTTGGTTGAATCAAAATTAATCGAGTATTTTGATAAAAACAGCTTCGTGAAAGTTTCTCCTCCGTTGATCACATCTTCTGATTGTGAAGGTGCTGGTGAGCAATTCAAAGTCGAACAGTTGAATAAAACTGCTGGCGAGTTCTTCGGTAAACCCGCTTATTTGACGGTTTCAACCCAGCTCCATTTAGAAATTCTTGCACACTCGCTCAACAGAGTATGGACATTGACGCCCTGCTTTCGTGCCGAAGATTCCAATACCAATAGACACCTCAGTGAGTTTTGGATGCTAGAGGCTGAAGTTTCTTACGTGACTCATGTGCAACAACTCACTACTTTGGTAGAGAATATGATTCGTCATACCGCACAAGCCATAAGGGATGAAGGTCTGGGGTATTCCGATTTGCTAAAAGCCAGATTCAGCAAAGAGGAAGCTGCCAAAGTGGAGCAAAGGTGGGATTCAGTTTTGCTGCTGCAACAATGGCCTTCTATTACCTATACAGAGGCCGTTGAAATCATAAACCAAGTCAAATGCAAAGGCAGGCTGAAGGGCCGTTTGGAATGGGGTGACTCAATCCTGACTGAGAATGAAAAATGGCTAGCGGGTACTCATTTCCAATCACCTGTATTTGTCACTGACTATCCATCAGAGCAGAAGCCATTCTACATGCCAAAATCTCATGAAAGCGTCTATGACGCAGACAGACCAACCGTGGCCTGTTTTGATCTCATTATGCCGGAGATAGGTGAACTCGTGGGAGGATCTATGAGAGAGCTGGACCACGATAAGCTTCTCGCTGAAATGAAAAACAGAAATATGAACTATGTCGACATGGAATGGTACCTCTCGGCTACCTTGAACGGATCAGTACCCCACGGTGGTTTCGGCATGGGTTTTGAGAGGCTCATTGCTTACCTTGGAGCCATGGACAATATCAGGGATGTTTCTGCATTTCCTAGAGCACCCGAATTATGCCCCTGCTAATATCTATGTATTGGCTGCAAAATTCTTGTATATACTGATAAATCGGTTGCTAAGCGGGTGGTTAGCGTGCGCGCACCACGAGCCTGAAAAGTTTTTGGCTGTGAGTATCACTCTCTTGCTTTAGCTACCCATATATCTATAAAAACACATAACATAATGGATCAGTTGAACGTCAAAGAACAGCAAGAGTTCCAGAAAGTCGTGGAGCAGAAGCAAATGAAGGACTTCATGAGACTTTACTCCAACTTGGTCTCTAGATGTTTCGATGACTGTGTCAACGACTTCACCTCCGCCAACTTGACCACCAAGGAGTCTAGCTGTATCGAGAAGTGTTCCGAGAAGTTCTTGAAGCACTCCGAGAGAGTTGGCCAGAGATTCCAGGAGCAAAAGTATGTACTTTGAGAAAATTGCCACCTTAGAATGATACTAACAAACAGCGCTATGTTGATGCAAAACATGCAGAGAAACTAGTCTTGACCATTGACTGAATGAAGAAATGACGTTCGGCCTTGTGCCAATTGTATATATTTAACGCAAGCACAATATCAGCAAACGAATGCAACATGTAGACATGGAGATTACACTCGTGAAACCGTGAAGAACCTTAGTGAACTGAGATATGAAAACCAATCATTTCGGAAGATTTGATTGCCGTTTCGAATCTTAATCTCCTTTCTATCTTTTCTTGGACATTCAAAGTAGAACTAAATCAGACTCAAATGCACAGTGAGGTGCGCATCAAACTGAAGAACTAGTACTCATGGACTCAATATCAACAAACCAAATGCACCATATATTGGTAGCACATGTGGTCAACAGTATAGTGAGCACGTCACATATCAAAAATGACGCTGTCGACTGTGAATTAACAAAGTTTTTGTCCACGTTAAACAAGCTCTTGAAAGACTACCAGAAGACATTTGACCTAGACGACAAGCTGGAGATGATCGGAAGCGACAACCTACGAACCATAATAAGCGAAACAGACTTCAAGCACATTCTCAATGTCCACGAGGACTCCGTCAAAATCGATGCCACGCCGCATAAGTTCCAAACTACACTTTCTAATATCCTAGTCAACACCGCATTGAGCTATAGTGATACCTTGACGCTGGAGGTCAATCAGCTAACGGAGAAATACCATAATACAGATGAGAATGCCATGGAAGAACCTACAGAACCACCGCAAACAGAAGTCAAACAGGAACTCCCAACTTCTGAGGTACCGGCCGAGGATAAAATGGAAGTTGATGAGTCTCCACAGGTGGAGCAAGTTCCAGAGTCCACCACTGAAGCTCAAACCGCAAGTGAACAGAACAAGGAACCAGAGAAGCCCACAGAGCCAGTCAACGAAGCCGACACCACAAAGGTCGAGGGAAAACTGATTCAAGAAGAAACGAACGCTTCAATCGAGACCAACCAGGAGCCTGCTTCAACTGCCTCAGAAAAGCAAGAGGATAAAGAAGAGGAAAGTGCTGGTGGAGATGATGCCAAGGAGCCAGAGGAACAGGAGCAGGCTGAAGCTCCTACTGAGGCCGAGGCCGTGACCGAGGCGTACGAACAGGAGCATGTGGATGACAAGGTCGAGGAAGAAGAAAGTAAAGAAGAAGAGAAGTCTCCGGAAGCGGAAGCTGAAGAGGACGAAAGTGAGGCTCCAAAAGTTGAGGAACCTCCGCCAGCTGTTGCTACCCCTGAACTTACTCAAGATGAAAACACTGCAGAGGAACACGAGGCAACTCCTAAGAGATCTGAACTCATAAAGGAGGAATCCAGAAAGCGTTCTCTATCACCACTGGTGGCAAGTCAAAAACACAAGCGTTTCCAGAATATTGCAGTCAACCTTGTCAAAACTATAGAAGAGCATCGCTTCTCCTCACCGTTCTTGACTCCAGTCAATGCGAAAGAATACGAACAGGTTATATACGAGCCTAAAGACCTCAAAAGTATTCTCAAAGCCATACGGCAGAAGGATGTCCAAGCATACGAAACAGTCAAGGAGTTGGAGAGAGACATCATGCTCATGTTCGCAAATTGTGTGATGTACAATAAGTCAAACACGCATTTGGTGGAGATGGCCATTCAAATGAAGAATGATGTCCGAAAAACATTCAAAATGTTCGAAGATGCAGAATCAGGAATTTAAAGCAATACAGTTTATCTATTATATCCAAATTAAATTGATGACATAGGTCGTAAAGACATCGTAAGGTACAGTTTATGACTAAAATTGTGGTTTAACCACTCAGGATCTCTTGAAGAAAGATGGGACGGTCTTCATGAAGAACTTCACGAATGGATCGTCATCGTAGTTGTTGACAACAATGATGTCCTTGTCCTCATTGTTGTTACCCTTCTCACCAACAACATCACCATCAGCCTCATCCAAAGACTGGACAGAGAGCAACTTGTGGTTTCTCAAGAGGAGAGCTGCAACCAACAATGGAACACACAAACAGATTGCAGCAATACACATCTTTCTCTGGACCTGGGCGTAAGCCATGGCAACGGCTCTTCTTGGAGCACTGCCCCATGCGTGCTCAGGGTACCATTCAATAGGGTTAGCATATGCTTCAGATGCCAAAGAAGTATCGACACCCAAGTCTTGCATTTTGCTAACGATGGTATCGTACATAAGCTGTGTCCAGATGGCGCCAGAGATACTGTTTCCGATAGCGGAACCAATGTTGTAAGTAGCCAAGTAAAGGGAAAGGACAACAGCCATGTACTCATGGTTAGTACAAGTTTGGATGGAAAGCTGAGTGGTGTAAGTGAAGAAACCAGCACCGAAACCCATAACACAGAAAGCACCAATAATACCGTCCTTGACTCTCTCGGCGTTGATACCGTCATTGGAACCTCTGTAGTGGTAAAGAAGACCGGTAGCAAGGAACCAAGTGGCACAACCGAAGACAATGAAAGGCTTGGTTCTTCTGACAAGCACGAGCACGAAACCAAGCAAAGGACCAACAACGACAGAAACGAAGGAGTACAAGGAGGTGATTCTGCTGGCAGCCTTGTCCGAAGTGTTCATACCGACAAGCAAGACAGTGTACATGTAGTCGTTTGGCAAAGTCCAAATAAGGTTGACCAACAGGGCAATAATAAGTGATGCCCAGACACCACGGTCCTTGAGAAGCTTGAAAGGAACGATTGGGAACCTGGCAAACTTCATTTCCCAGATGATGAAGAATGGGATGAGAACAACACCAATGACCAAAGGCACAATGGTGGAGGCCTTTTGCCAAGTGCTTTGCTCACCACCAGCAAGAGTGAAAGGAACCAAGATGAAACCGAAAACACAAATGATGAAAAGGATACCAACGACATCAAGAATCCAGAACAAGTCAGTAAGCTCCCAGCAGACCCACTTGGTGGTGCCCCAAATCTTAGCGGGCCATCTCTTGTAGAAACGCATGGTAGCGTAGTCGGCAGACTTCTCAACGTAAGCACGGTAGAATCTGTTGTTTTCAATACGGTAGTCTTCCTCCTCCTGGCAAACCTGAATCCACTCAGGAGTGTTGCCAGCCAAGATTCTCATGTGGATCAAACAAGCCAAAAATGGAACACATGCCAATGGAAAGATGAAAGCCCACATACCGATACCGAAGTTCCAGGAATACTTACGGTTGAAGTCGGCAATGACATCACCACCAACCCAGGTGTTGATGATAAATGGCAAAGCTGGAACGAAGGAAGCAAACAATCTCCAGTTCAAGTTGGACAAATCGGCCAAGAAGACCTCCAACATAAGAATGATACCAGAGTAACCAATCTGGTAAAGGACAGAGCCACCGGCGAAACGCTGAACATCAAAAGCCTGGGAGGAAATGACAGTACCAACGGCGTAGAAGACGACGGAAACAAGCACCAATTCAATACGACCGAAGGTATCGGACATTCTGGCGTAAGTTGGCTGAGAAGCAGCAGCAACCACAGTCTTGATAACATTGACAGTAGAAAGAAGCGAGTGTTGGGAGTAGGAAGACTGGGCATTGGTCTGCAAAATATTTCTGACAGTACCATCCAAACCGTAGGTATAAGCAACAAGGAATACGGTGAAGTAGGCAAGACCGATCCAGAAAGGACCCGTGTACTGGGCACACAAGATCTCAGATTTTCTAACACCAAAGGACTTGGCGGTAGAATTGAAGATCTTCAGCTTGGTGGTATCATGTCTCTCGACAGAGTTTCTGTCCTCGTCGCTCAAGTGCTTGTCCTCATCGCTCAAGTGTTTGTCCTCGTAACTCAAGCGCTTGGACTCGTCACTGGAAGGAGCGTTCTTGGTTTGAATAGCGTCCATGATGCAGATGAGAGCTGAAAAAAAAAGAACCGAAGGAGGGGGAGGGCTCAGTGGCTTGCCTTTATACCGTGAGCTCGTTCGATCAAAAAGATAAAGAAGGGATGAGCGGAGCAGAGGATGCAAAATCTCTCAGCGGTTAGGTGCATGACACATGCACGCTCCTGCGGATTAGAGACAGGAGCCTGCGCCTGGCGATGCATTATTTGCTGCTTCACCAATATAATGAACATTTTGGGGTTCTTGACATATGCTGTATACAGACTGACAGCGGCCAGACCTCCGTCGTTCGGAGCACTACGAGGTGAGGGGAGGATTCTTGGTTTTTCTTTCATTGCAGAAAATTGAAAAATTGAACTCAATGGCATCTTCATCTGTGGATTTCTTTTTTCGTTGACTACTTTTACGAAAGGCAATGGCGGCTAAAGCAAAGCCCGAAAGGCGTTTCTTTTTGGCTGTTACCGCATTGACTCACGCAGATAATCTAGATAGACAGAAAAAAGACGGCGGCTATATGCAGTCGCACAAACCGTTTACTTCGAATGCCTTGAATCTTATATGAGGCCGGTAAGGCTGTAATTGGCTCAAATTGACGCTAGGGCGGATCTTAGCTCACTGCACGATCCCATCGCCGTAAGCTAGTATTGTGAAGCTTGGCCGGAAAGGGTATTGTTGGTTGCCGGTTCTGCACATCGAGGTGGCAGGATAAAATTCTTAGCTCGTTTTGCGGATCGGGTACCACTTGAGCGTGCCGAACCGAGGGGGAAAGCTTGGCGCGAAACTACAATATTCTAGAGTAATGAGAAGAGACGATAGTGGTGAAGACCTTCGAATTGAGCCATACGTTCAAAAGTTGAAAGAGCAAAAGAGGGATCTAAATTATCCGAAAAAACCTCCGACGGGGAAAAAAAAAAAAAAAAAAAAAAAACCAACCCGCAGAAGCGGGCAAAACGCTTGGCTGCCAAAGCCGCCGCATTCTCCAACGGTATACCTAATTGGTTGCTGAGCCGACAAGTAGGTGGAGTTAGATCGCTTAGATAGCAAGCACACTTGAAACAAGACGACATGCGAGCAGGGCTTACACGGCGTCTTTCGATTTATTTTTTTGAAGCAATACGAGAAACAATTACTTCAAGTCACAAAAAGACAGCAGTGAGGCTCACTTGTCGTTTTGGTCTTGGTAACGCCTAGTCTGCGCCACAGTCTATTTTGCAGCACCGCCGTCACACACCGCTTTTCACACTGCGATGCCATTAGATCCTCAGCATAAACGTGCGCTCAGCCCAGCAAGCAAAATCTACCCTTTGCTGCCGTATTTTTCCTTTTTCTATATATTTAAGCCAGGATGCACTAGTTTCAGGAACACAGCCGTGTGTAAGGCCCGACCTCGGACTTGATCTCAAAGCTGATGTGCCATCAAGGTGCTTTTACGGTTGCCAAGGTCCCACCAGCTGTATACATTGCGTCTGGTATCAAGTACGTCAAGACATTCTGACATGGATGCATGGAACTTCGCCTGGTGAAGACCGCCTTGCCTGGTAAGCGCCCAGTAAGCGCCCGGTAAGCGCTTCCACCACTTAGCCGAGATGCCATCAAACGCAGCCACTCTTGGATCAGACCGTTCTCGTCTATGCTTGTGGCGTGACGTGTTTCCGAGAGTCTTGCCGTGAACAATCTCTTGCCTCATCTCTTTGTTTAAACTCTGCAGGGTTCACACAAAACAGGGCTTTTCTTTTTCTCTCCAGCCGTCATGAAAAATCGTGCCTGTGTTGCCGCATGAGGCTTGTGAATTGTGTTTAGCCAATGGGCTTGATGTTGGAAGCGTCTGTGGTATGCTGCAAGGGTGGAGTAGCTGGTACACCGCCAGTGCTTCCATGTTACGCCGTCAAGAGCACCGCCCTTCTTTGAACAATAAACTTTGACTTTGGGGCTTTGGGCGGGACCCACTCCCGCCGATGCCGCTTCCTTACCAAGTTTTTGTCTTCACATGGATTGCCGTCGAAACTTTAACAAACCATTGTGTTTTTTTCAATGGAGGCTTTTCTTGATCCCTCCTTTGCCCTCATTTAGCCTTTATGGCTCGGCTGGAGAGTTAGACCGGCCAAGAGCCCTCATTATCTTGGAGACACTCTCGAACAATGTAGGCACATCTGGCCTCCGAAAGACCCTCGCTCTGAACCTGCTGTAGATGCTCCTAATCAAGGGCCCATTTTCGGCGACACTTCGAGGTGGGGTTCCGGAGAGGCTGATCTGGCCGGTTGAGAGGTTTTCCTGAGAAGGCCGTTGAAATGCAGATTTTCAATCAAGTTTTCAACAAGAATGGTGCTCACAGGAACATGAATGTGACTTTTGGTATTCGTGTAAATTGTATGTTTTGAATCAAGGCTTTCTCCAATGACTCGTCAATCCTGTCTGTCAATGAAGTTGACCTTCGTTAACCGACACTGACGATAAACTGTCGATGACGAGTAGCAACAGATGATCAAAATGGCTTGCTCTTCATGATATTTCTCGTTGAAAACGGGAGTTATTTTGTGGTTTATAACATTATACTCGAGAAAACGAGGACATTCGAGTTACTAATGACTAGTTGTAAGTTATGATTTACAGGGTTGAAGCACATTCTGAAGACCATAAGTTCATGACGAAATCCTTTGAGATAGCTCTGTGGGCATAACCCGGTTTTGAAACGCCCTCTTCGTCCTAAAAATTGGCTGCCTCGAGAGCAGGAAGGCCTTTTCAAGTAAAGGTTTCAGTTCTGGAGTACGAACTTGACTAAAGGGGCAACTAGTGGCAATGTGAACGGCACTCGTACCGTTTCATTGCGTGAACTGCCGCCAACCTCTATCATACTTGCTGGTATCATTGATCCTCGCCGCAATGGACCTCGAGGAAACTCTTCATAACTGGCTCGATCAATTTATCAGTGTCAATAAGACCAGCAGTGTTTTATGAAACAACCCTATCAATCATAGTGTAAACAGTTGGCCACAAAAACCATCAAAGGACGAACGAAAATTGTCACTGATTGCAGATCAATCTTATACTCAGCTGAATGAGGAATGATAATGCTATTGAATCGAATTGAACAGATCTCTCCGCAAGAAGGATTGCTTAGCATTCCGATCAGCACCATCCAACGACTTCCATTCTTCAATATGATCTAAGAAAAATTTACTTCGAAATTAGGAGAGAAGGAAATGTCAGGTTCATACTATGAAATTTCCATTGCCCGATTTGAGCCGATGTCCGTCGTCCCCTCCAATCACACCCCTCAAGCCAATACCTTCCTGAAGCTCACTTCCTTGACTAATGAAATTAGTCAGCATCTTTTCGCTCAGCCTGTTCCGAATTTAGCTATCCAATCGGTGAAGTTGTTGGGTTGTCGTGAGATGATGGCACAGCCGTATAAGCACAGGTTGCAGTCAACTACGGAGAACTAGACGAAGAAGATGACAAAGATTCAGATCAGGATCAGCATGGAAGACCCGAGAGAAATTGCCGTACGGCTACCAGGCGCAGTACCTAAGCTTGGCCTGGCCAAGTACTCACGTCATACCTTGATGATCTTGACCAGCCATTTGGCATATTATTTCTTGCCCCAAATGATCTAAAAAATAATTTTGACAGACTACAGAAGCTGTTTCCAGTGTCACGAAAACATTAAAAGAAATGCAGTTTCTCCTCAGCACAGCCTTCCCACACACGGCGTTGCCAGGGTCTGTGTCGAAGATATCGGACTTCTTCGTAAGAGTGCACCATTTGAGAACTGCAAAGAACAATAGGCGGGTGGCTCGCCCAGTCAGCTGGTTCACAACCGGTCGCTTAAGAAAAAGCCTTGGGCCAAATCTAAGACACGTACGAAACTGGCTGGCTTTCAACGTCATCACCGTTGGCGATTTGCGAGGCGTTGGAGATCGTTGATCTCTAAGATAGTCAGATTGTGGAGGAGGCTTTCGCACCTTCGGAGCATCAACGGCCTTTTTGCGTATATGCATCCGCTAGCGAGGAATCAGGCAATTGTGATGCCCAGGAAAACCTCGCGACCGTGGTGACAACAACAAATCTGTTGGGTAAAGTTGAAATTTAAAAATGGAAACTTCCAATTCTCAGGATTATGTGGTGAAGCAAATGACATCACTTCATTTTGTTTCCCTGGAATGTTCGGCAGGGTGTGTGGAATGGACCCTACTAAGCTTAGTGAAGGCAGAATGAACCAGCACTAGTCTTGGTGGTGCTGCACTAAAGTAGTCCAACGGCTTGGGCCGCTGCGGGTTTGGCACTGTGTGCAGTATTTGACACCAAAACTAGCCAAAATGCGGTTTAGGTGCAAGCACACCTTGCTAGATTCAGCGCGAACCAGCGTCTAAGCAGGGTTTTGCAGCCAAAGGTTGCAAAACAATCGGAACCCTATACAGCGGCTGGTGGCTGCCAGCCGCCTGCTTGACATAAATAAAGTCGACTTCGTCGCAAATCGCAACAGTCAAAAGCAAATTCACTCTTTACCTTTTCGGTTTCACTTTCGCTTAACTTACCCTAGTCTTTCTTTAAGATGCAATTGCGGAACTTAGTCTGGCAGTTGCCACTCCTCTTGAGGGCTGTTTCCGCCCAGCAAGAAGAGGAGGAGCCTCAAGTTACTGTCACACAAACCAACTATGTCACTCCCTACTGTTTCCAGCAGCATCTCAAATCATACACCAACGATGAGAACCATACCACAGGTATCCCTTTGGTGATTGTCTACGCCAACCCAGAGGACCCAATTCCTTCTGAAGACGCTGGCTTTGCTCCAGCTCCTGGTATTGTCGGTGCTTTCACGAGTACCACCGAAACTCCACATGTCACTGCTGCTCCTGGTCTGAATTCTGGTCTGAATTCTGGTTCGCTGAAATCAAGAAGCTCTCTGAAGGCTACCATCGGCAACAAGCCCTTGACCACCACCTCAGAAAAAAACCAGTGTACTGTCTGCCAGACCGTGTCTTTGATTGAGTCTGCCCTGATTACCTTCTCCACCATTGTCTACACTGCGAACACTACTCAGCCAATTACTGTGCTGAGTCTGTCCTCCAACGGTATTCCATCTGCCACTGGATCTGATCCTTTGATCACCGCTTCCACTGTCAGTGGCAGCTCCAGCATCACTCATAGTGCTTCATGGGATGTCTCTCTGGTTTACAATGCCTCTGACTCCACTTACGGTCAAAGCCTTCCATCAGACACTTACGCTAGCAACACCAGCTCTTCTTCGACTAGAGCTAGCTTGTCTCTGGCTCCATTGCACTCCAGCTACTTCGTCACCTCCACCCTTAGCGCTGAATCGGCTTCTGTGTCTAGTGCTCCACTTACTAGTGCTCAAAACACCTCTACCGTGGCTGCCGTACTTAATACCGAGTCTTCTGGCTATCCAAAGTACTCGAACTTTTCGTCCTCCTACCCTGCCAGTGCTGTGGTTTCCGGAAGTGACCTCTACAGCAGCGAGGCTTCTAGCAGCGACTTCAGCAGCGACTTCAGCAGCGACTTCAGCAGCGACTTCAGCAGTGAGGCCTCCAGCTCGCTTTTGTCTAGCAGCATCTTGAGTTCCGTTGCTTCCTCCTCGTTTGCTTCCTCATCTTTGAGCGAATCATCGACGGTTTCTTCGAGCTCCGACGTGGCTGGTGCTTCCGAAAACGACTACCTCACCATTCGTTCTGTTCCAACCTGTCACAGTGTTTCTGACCTTTTCCAGGAAATTGACACTGCTAACCCATCCAAGTACTACAAGGACGGCGAGTTGCCTGTTGACATTCCTGACGGAATTGACACCAGCTCTCCTATTGGCACCAACTCCTTCTACGCCAACTTGTTCTTGGGTGACCAGAGCAGCATGGTCTGGACTTATCCTTACGGTTTCTACTGGGCTAAGGACTCCAAGTATGGTATTGCCGTTCAGCACACTGACCCAGACAAGCGTGTCTTTGGTGACAAGAACGACAATGGTGCTGCTTCTTACTACTACAACCCTATTTTGCTTGGAGAGATTATTTTCTCTTCCACCAGAAACTCTAAGAGCAACAACTACTTGAGCGTGACTGACATGACTTCAATGTCCGCCAACGTCAGACTTTCCCCAGACTCCGTGAGCAGCAAAAACTACGTTGAGATGCCTCTTGTCCACGGAATGGGTTTCGCTACTGCCATCTACCACGGTGACTTGAAGGCTCGTTTGGCTACGATCTACGCTTTCCAGTCGATTGTTAAGGAAACCGTTGCATCTTCTAACGATAAGGTGATCAAGTACAGAGTTTCCTTAAACCTGGGTGCCGAATGGTTGGTCTTTGTTACCTTGCCTTCTAAAGACTCTGACTTCAAGCTTGAGATTGACGGCAGTGACTTGGTTGCCAACAAGAACGTGGATGGTCTTATTATCCAAGCTGCTTTTGCTCCTTCTGACTCTGTTTCAGACAACTACTACTACGAATCTGCCGGTCTGTACGTCACTACTGCTCAGGTGAAGGGATCCATTCAGTGTACCTCTGCCAGCTACAAGTTTGACTACACTACCAAGGGTTCTTCCATTGCCAACAAGCCAATTGTGTTTGCTCTTCCTCACCACTTGCAGACTTTGGATGCTAGTGTCACTTCTCAGAGCACTGGTATTCAGCTTGAGTCTACTGTGAAGGGTACCATGGTTGGTTTCTTGACTGACGAGCTTTCCTTCAGTGAGACCATCAACAACCAGATCCAGTTCTTGCCTTGGGTTGATGGAATGGGCACCAGCGCCAGATACTCCTCTGATCAGCTTAAGCTCATCCACAAGACTGCTATCAAGGAGATCTCCAATGTGGACATTCCCCTGACTATCCTTTCTGTCAAGTCCACCTACTCCATGGGTAAGCTTGCTGACAAATACGCCTACATCTTGTACGTTCTTAACGACATTGTCAAGGATGAGGAAGCTGCCAAGTCATTGTTGGAGTCCTTGCAGAAGTACTACTCCACCTGGTTCAAGAACACTGACGTGGGCTTCCCATTGATGCACGACACTAAGTTTGGTGGCGTTACCAGTACTGCCAACAATGACGGTGACACTGGTGCTGACTTTGGCTCTGGTTTCTACAACGACCACCACTTCCACTATGGTTACCACATCCACGCTGCCGCTATCATCGGTCACGTTGACAAGCAGCTTGGTGGTACCTGGGCTGAAGACAACAAGGAGCAGGTTAACATGTTGATCAGAGATGTTGCCAACCCAAGCACCAAGGATACTTACTTCCCAGTCTTCAGACTGTTTGACTGGTTCCAGGGCCATTCCTGGGCTAAGGGTTTGTTTGCCAGTGGAGATGGTAAGGACGAGGAGTCGTCATCTGAGGACTACCACTGCTACTACGGTATGAAATTGTGGGGTAACGTCATTGATGACAATGCCATGGAGGCCCGTGGTGACTTGATCTTGAAGATCATGAGCAGAGCCATGAACTCGTACATGCTCTACTCTGACGACAACGACGTGCAACCAGCTTCGATTATTCCTAACAAGGTCTCTGGTATTCTTTTCGACAACAAGATTGCCTACGCCACCTACTTTGGTGACAACACTGAGTACATCCATGGTATCCACATGTTGCCAATCACTCCAGCTTCTGGTTTGATCAGAGGAGCTAGCTACGTCAAGCAAGAATGGGAAGACGTTCTTTCTGGTATCATTGACTCCGTCAACTCTGGCTGGACAGGTATCCTCCGTCTTAACCAAGCCCTTTATGACGGTGAAAAGTCCTACGACTTCTTCTCCTCTGACGACTTCACAAAGGCATATTTGGATGACGGTCAGAGTCGAACATGGTCTTTGGCCTTCTCTGCCGCCGTGGCTAATGGTGTTTAATGGCGTCTTTTATCTTCTTCACTTCGTAATGTTTTTAGTCTTCTGTCTATATGAGAAATGAAATAATGGTTTTCTCGGCTATTGCTAGGGTGCGTCCTAAGCAAAATACCTAAAACAAGTAAAACCAACTTTCTTGTATTCTTTGGAGAGCTAGAACACTCAAAACCTTTTGCAAATTCAATCTCATATTCTAGGCTGGTGCTGTGCTGATTAGTCTGTTACTGATAGCTACAATGTACTTGTTACCTGTTGTATATTGACCCATTTGTGACCCCCAGAACAAAATAGATAGAACGGCTCGACTATAAAAAAAATATAAAAAGCAATTAAAAGCAATTAAAAGCAAGCGAAATCTCTGTCTGTAGACTGTCTCTCGACTCGTTGCATGTGTTATCGTGTGTGTGTGTGCATCTTCACGCAACGAGACTAGTAGACAGCTTAGAGAGCAGTGGTTTTCTCGTTTGCGGTAACCTTCTCTCTTTCCTCGACGGCTTTGTTGGCGATAGACTCATTCGACTCTTCCTCGTTGTTTTCGAAGCCCTCATTCCTGACTCTGTTGAACAATTCTTCTTGCTCGGCCTTGCTCAACTCATTCTTCTTCTTACCCTTGATGTGGTACATTGGGTTCAAGGATCTCAAAGTCAAGCTCTTACAGAATGGCAAGTGACCGGTCTTCTCCTCGTACATCATCAAGCCAAGAGTGATGATCACAGCAATCCAGTAGACGTTGTAGGAGATAACGGAGCCGTAAGTGGCAGAGTTTTGCCAACCCAAAAGGGAGTTGAACACATCCCAACCATTATCAGTCTCTGGGTTGCAACAGTTGACGTGCCAGACAGACTTGCTGATATCGTAGGTACCTGGACCACTGCCATTCTCGGATGCATCACCACCAGTCTTCTGGTTGTAGACGTAAGTCTCAAAGAACCAAACACCTCTGGAAAGAAGACCAGCAGCAATAAGGTACAAGATGCAAGTGGAGATGATCAAGAAAATCTGCAAGGACACGTTGGAACCCCAGTAGTACAAGAGGACACCGACAAGAATACCAGCAATCAAACCGGTGATGACAGGAATAGGGAAAGATGTGGCTGGAGAACTCAAACCAACACCACCAACGAAGACAATGGCTTCCAAACCTTCTCTCAAACAGGTGATGAAAGGCAAGATGAACAAGGCGTACCTCTTAGCCCATTGACCAAGACTGAAACGGCCCTTCTTCTCCTTCTTGACAAGAGCTTGAGCCAACTTAACTCTCCACTTCTCCTTCATCTTGTTGATACGCAACATGGCAATACCCATCATAGAAATCAAGACAGTAGCGATGATACAGAAGATACCTTCCCACAAGTCTTCGGAGGAGGCCCAGATATCTTTACCCAACGAGTAGAAAGCACCAATGAAAGCGCAACCAAGAATCAAACAGATTACGACTCCTAGAATCGCCCCTAGCCAGACTTGTCGCTTAAGCTTCTTGTAGACGGCAGGGTCGTCAGTGGAGCCACCAAGGCCTTGCTTCAAGAAAGCCAAAAGCACAGAGACAACCACAACAGCTTCCAAGGTCTCTCTGAAGACAACAAAGAAAATTTGTACGTTGAAAACGTCAACCATCTTCGGTAATTAACTCGGCCGTGGTACCTTAGAGGAGGTATGGAAAGGAGGTTAAAAAAATGGGAATGGGGGTAGAGAAAAAAAAAAGAAAATCAATAAAGCACCGGCGGGAGGAGATGATTATATATGCAACCGGAGCAGAACCGGCATTCGTCGTGGATTTGAAGCCCATCTTTAGTTCAAAATGTGCAAAAGCCACGGCTGCAATTCCCAGTTCTGTGCCTGTCTAGGGGGTTCTCATCCTGCATCGTGTCCACTGCAGCACCATGTCAACGTCTCGTATAAAGCTTGCCCACCAATGGCAGAGAGTTGAAAAAGACGCACGCGAAGATGTTCCTGAAAATGCTTCTCTGAAATGCGCAGAAAAACAGGCTCTGATATGGTGTCAGAGGGCGGTGGCTGCGATTTCTCAATCCTTTGAATTCGGCAAGGTTCGTCGTAAGTTGAAACTGCGAGAATCATGATCCTTTTCCATGCGATCTTTGACCGATATCGGAAGGAATATGATGTTGATCGCCTGCCAGACAACATGCAAGCTTGGTGCATGACAGCACTGATGAAATTCTTGGCATGTCAAAAACACCGTATTTTAACTGTCAAACTTGGGTGACAGGTTCCACAATTCTCGTGGATTGGGTCGGCGAAGAAAGGAAAAAAGAAGATTTCTGGTACACCGAAATAAGCGATACTCACCAGGAAAGTCGCTTGCTGCTGAAAGCCCTTTCGGGTTATATATTACCATTTCAGCCTCGTTAGCCCATATTGTGTCACTGGCCGCCCCATTCCATTTGCGGCATGGCTCTGCGGCACCCTTCACTCATTGGCTAATTGGTACCCGTTAACTCTTGCTATGCATCAGATTATTGACACAAATTCTCCAAAAAAAAAAAAAAAAAAAAAAAAAAAAAAAAGATCGTTACAATAAGAGGGGCTCTATTGTACCATTACGATCGGCTGGGGGACGATGAAAATATCACCCCATAGTCTAGTCCCTTGACAAATTTGCCCACGGCGCTTTGGTTTGACCCCTTGATGCCACTTTTTACTATCTTACTATCTAGACAGATATTTTTGCTTGGCACGCTCTACATGTTAATCAGATAAATCTACCTACAATTTCAAGCTTCTGATGCTGCATCCATCTGCCGTCGTCGGCGCATGCGCATTATGTACCATTTTTATATTTGTCCTCTGCACGGACCAACTGGCTAGATGAGCTCTTACGATAAAAATAAAGACTCAAGGCCAACCCCTTTGAACCTACTTTCGACAACCACTTTCTTCGTTCCCAACGCTTACATTGTCGCTCTCGGATAACTTGATGGGCTCGTGCATCTGCGGTGCATATGTCAATTTAATTGCTCGGGGCGTAGTCTGTATGGATGCATAGCCAGTAGCACGTCGTGAAATACGCTTACCTGGTTCGCTCTCTGAAAACCGGGCCGGCTTTCTTCGCGAAACCGTGAAATTATAGCCAGCGATTCGAGTGATTCGTGAAAGAGCCCCTGAACGGCCTGAAGGCCCGTAATTTCGAATATGCGCCTTGCCTTCTCTTGATTTCTTAACGATTAGCCGGCCCTGATCCCGTAAGCCCGATTTGAGTGTGGCGTGGTTCTCTGCTGTAAAGGTATAGCCAATGGAAGCCCTTTGGAAATTGCCCATGCTTGATGGCACTATAATCGCATCCATTGACCGTTTGGCTTTTCTAGATAGTGAAACATCAAAATCTCCTTTACTGAAAATTTCAGACTAATCGTGAGTCACCTAGCGGATTTCTGAACTGGATGTCAAATTCTACTCGAACATTTTCAAGACTGCTGTGATTGACTCCGGCCGAGATACACTTTTCGCAGTCAAGTGTCTACAGCAGTAGCCTCCCACGTATGAGCGATAGCGACGAATAATCTCATTTAATTGTACCATAAGTGATAATCTTTGATCTTTAATTCTCTTTTCAATGTATTTGGGCTGCCAGGGCTGATCGTTGGGTCGTTCATCAGCTCTTGAACTAGGTGTCTGCCTGCAGAGGAGTTGATGTGGGGTGAATCTTGACTTCCACTGGGAAGATCAAATCATTCAAAAACAAAAATTCTCATGATCCCGATTATCAAAACTTCTCCCTTCTACTGATCGCCAGTGTCCCTAGATTGAAGCCATTGTACCCGATCAACTCACACCAGTACCTCAGCCGAATATGCCTTTAGAGATTTCCTCAACCGAGCTGAATCATCAGCAAGACATGTCGCTTAAGTACCTCGACTCGGCAAGAAAAATTCTTTGCATAGGCAGAAACTATGCTGCTCATATCAAGGAGCTCAACAACATGCCTCCATTGCAGCCGTTTTTCTTCCTTAAGCCATCTTCCTCAGTCTTGCGTCCTAACAACGGTCCATTCTTGGTTCCAAAAGGTACAAAAGTTCACCACGAAGTTGAATTGGCCTTCACTTTGAACAAGACACTCAAAAATTTGCCTGCCACTTTTTCCCACGAGGAGGCTTTGGATGCAATTGAAGGTTATGCATTGACAATTGATATGACCGCCAGAAATGTTCAGGATGAGGCTAAGAAGAAGGGTTTGCCCTGGTCAATTGGCAAAGGCTTTGACACCTTCCTTCCTGTGTCAGGTTTCATCCCAAAACTGCAGATTCCAGACCCTTACAAGGTTCGCTTACAGCTTGCTATCAATGGTGAAACCAAGCAAGATGACCTCACCGATTTGATGATATTCCCTATTCACAAAATATTGAGCACCATGTCATCCATCATGACCCTTGAGAAGGGCGACCTCATTCTCACTGGTACTCCTAAAGGCGTTGGCCTCGTGAGTCCCGGTGATCATGTCCAGGCCACTTTGAGTGTTGATGATAGGGTATTGGAGACTATTGACATCAATGCGGAGCAAAAAGATGGCCCATATGAGTTCAAAGAAACCTAAACAAAGATTCCCTCTTTGGGCGGGACGTACTGTCTTAGAACAACACGAGCCTCATTAAAGACTTTGTGGGAATGTTCATCCATGGAATAGCTCTGCGCGTAAACTACCTGCTTTATGCCGCTTTGCACAATCTTAATGGAACAGGTCAAACACGGACAGGTGTTGCAATAAAGTATGGAGTTCTCGCCGGCAATTCTGTCCCTGCCGGCTTCAAGTAATGCATTTTCTTCCGCGTGTAAGCATAAGCATGTAGATAAGGCTGCACCGCTGCCTTGACCTTTGTTACATCTGGGGCACCCTCCTTCATTGCAGTTAGTGAGGTGGCGAGGTGTGCCGTTATATCCTGTTGCCACAACTCTATTATCCTTGACAATCACACAGCCGACCCTGCGCTTCATACAGTTGGATCTCAATGCAGCCAAATCAGCTAAACGCATGAAGTAAGCGTCCCAAGTTGGCCGAAGACGTTCTTGATTAAGAAGGTCTAGTTCGCTAAGCTTGATATATAGGTCCTTTAGCGACGTGGAGGTGTTGATGACTTTGATGTGCGCTTGATTGTTGATCTCAATTAGTGGGTTGGAAGCATTGAAAAGTAGATCATCCGACTGCTCTATGAACAGGCTTCGGCTAAGAGCTTGAGTGCCCATTTTGAGTTCGTGCCTTTGGAATCGCAAGTTCAATGGGGCATCTATCGAAAGATGAAGAAAGAACGGCCTCTTTTGGAGGGCCTTTAGCATTTCATCGTCGTCGATGTGGGAAAGAACAAAGTTAGAACGCCAGTTTTCTGTAACATGATCTAATAGCGAACCAAATGACTCAAAGATCATTTGCCCCAGGTCTGACGATGTCTGCTTGAGTTTGGTGTTCCCATTGGACCCATTTTCTGTAGTGTGGCCATTTTGAACGGCTCTAGTCTCACTGCTGGCATTTATAGAAACAAGCGTGAATCCTTGAAAAGATAGATATCTAACAACCTCCGACTTGCCCGCTGAAAGGGTACCGGATACAGCGATGAACATGGTGATACGCGTAGAGTATTAAGATTAAAGCGCGACTCATCAGAGATGGTCCGAACAAAGAAGACCTTATAACATTTCATCAAAAAGACTCTTCAATCCTTTTATTGAGAATAGTGGAGTTTCTTAGAACCTGGATAATACTGTTTAATTTTAATTATTTTTTTTTTTTTTTTTTTTTTTTTTGTGACATATTTTGCTATTTTAGGGAAGAACGAGTTCAGTAATTCTCAGTAATTCGAATATACAGTGGTGTTTTTGCAAAATAGTACTATCAGACCTACATTTCGGAAATTGATCTTTTTCATCGCAAAGATAATCAAACTTTCCATGATCTTTCAACCACTCTTAAAAAGAAAAATACTCTTCAGAAAAACACAATGTTCATTTTATTGGCTGATTTTGCATTGGGGTGCTTCAATCTGCAAGTCAATCACTACCTACACCTTGCGTTCGCGATACTCGTATACTATATAGTCTTATCAGATCATTTCGCCTTCCAATCGCTACGATGAATTTTACCATAATTCTCCAAATATTGGTACTTTTCTGTGTACTGGGTCTTGCGGGCAAGACGCCAGTCAGACAGGGAGGGTACTGTTCCATGTATGACAATTGCGGGAAGAAGTCGATCTTCGGTTCTCTGATTCCCTGTCCTTCCAACCAACGTGCCGTGAAGCCTTCTGACGAAGCCAAGGAACTTTTGGCTCAGATATGCGGAAGTGACTTCCTCACAAACGACGGCGTTTGCTGCTCTTATGATCAATTGGTCAACTTGGAGCTGAACCTCAAGAAGGCTGAACCGTTGATAAGTTCATGTCCTGCTTGCCGCAAGAACTTCTTTGACTTCTTTTGCAAGTTCACTTGCTCCCTGACCAATCCACCTTTGTTGAGATTGTCGAAACAACTGAAGCAATCGACACCAAGAAAGAGATTGTCTCGGAGTTGACCATCTTTACTGATCCGGACTATGCATCGGACTTTTTCGACTCTTGCAAGAATATCAAATTTTCAGCATCTAATAGCTACGCTATGGACCTTATTGGTGGCGGTGCTAAAAATTACTCACAGTTTTTGAAGTTCTTGGGGACGAGAAACCGCTTTTAGGTGGATCACCTTTCCAAATCAACTTTCAGTATCTGTTGGCTGATAACAAGGATAATGGGTTGAAGCTCAATTCCGGCGAAATGAAGGCATGTGATGATGAAGTCTACAAATGCGCTTGTTCTGACTGCCCTACGTCCTGTCCAAAGCTTCCAAAGTTTCGTAGACTTGATAGACAATGCCACGTTGGTCACTTACCGTGCTTTTCGTTCGCTGTCATCATGGTTTGGATAATAATCATTTTGATAATTGGCGTCTACCACATGCACATTGCCAGACAAAGGCGACACCAAATTGAGCAGTGGAACAGATTGATTGGAGGGGAAGAGCACCACACACACACTCATGATGACAGCCCCATGATTGACACCCACATCAGTCCAAAGAACAAGAATGTATCTTTACCGTCACAAAAATGGCAGTCGTTCCGTGAGAGTGTCGTTATCGGACTTGAGAGGTCTTTCACCCAGATTGGGTACCACTGTGCCAAGTTCCCAGCGATAACCATATCTGCAAGTATTCTTTTGGTAATCTTATGTGGCAGTGGTCTTTCGCGGTTGACATGGGAGACAGAGCCTGTCAAGTTATGGGTCAGTCCTAACGAGCCCGCGTTGCACAACAAACAATACTTCGAGGATACATTTGGCGAGTGGTATAGAATTGAACAACTCTTCATCGCTAGTTCAGAGAAGGAGAAGGCAGTGCTTTCTTGGGAAAATGTGCAATGGTGGTTCGAGAAGGAGCTTGAGCTCTACACCCTTAGAGATTCCAAGAATAAGCTGATCAGCCTCGAGGAGTTTTGCTTCAAGCCATTGGGCGATTCGTGCGCTATTGAGTCATTCCCTCAATATTTTGGTGGTGAAATCGGGTTCTTGAATGAGAACAACTGGCAGAAGCAAATTTCTTCCTGCGCCGAGAGCCCTGTTGAGTGTTTACCACCCTTTCAGCAACCCTTGAACAAAAATCTACTTTTTTCTCTGAGTGAAGTTTTGGAGTCAGAGGCTTTTGTTGTCACAATTCTTCTCGAGAGTAACTCAAGCAGTCAAGATTATCAGTTGAGAGTGACGGAGTATGAACATTCATTACAGAAGTGGATTAAAGGTTTGCAAGCAGAACGCCCCGATTTGAAGATCTCTTATAGTACTGAAAGCTCACTAGAAGAAGAGCTCAATCAGTCAACCAACACGGATGTCAAGATCGTCGTAATCTCATACTTGGTGATGTTTTTGTATGCGTCCCTCGCTCTTGGTGGCAAAATTCCCAAGAGTTTAAACCTCAAGACACTTATTAGAACGAGGTTTTTGTTGGGCTTGAGTGGCATTATTATCATTCTCCTATCAGTGGTCTCGGCCGCAGGCGTGTTCGCTTACTTGGGTGTGAAATCCACCTTGATTATTGCTGAAGTGATTCCATTCCTAGTCTTGGCTATTGGTGTCGATAACATCTTTTTAATTGTTCATGAATTACATTGCATCACAGAAAAGTTGCCTGAAGTCGATGTTGAGGATAGAATATCCCAGGCGTTGGGTAAGATAGGCCCATCCTGCTTCATCAGCGCTGGCTTACAAGTTATGATGTTTTTGCTTGCGACAAGCGTCCAAATGCCAGCGGTGAGAAACTTTGCGTTCTATTCCGCTGGTGCTGTTGGTATCAACTTTTTGTTGCAAATGTCAGCTTTTATTTCTCTCCTTTCTTTGGATCAACGCAGACTTGAGAGCAATCGGGTTGACTGCATCCCATGGGTACAGCTTGATCATCAAGTTGCACTCGATCAACAGGAGTTTACTGTTGATCATATCGAGTATGATTTCTCAACATACATTCGCAAAAGCTATGCACCTTGGTTACTCAAGCCTTCAAACAAGAGGAAGATACTTTCTGTGTTTTTGGTTTGGCTCGGTATCTCATTATGTTTGCTACCTGGTATTGAGTTGGGCCTTGATCAAAAGATCGCCCTTCCATCGAGTTCATATCTTGTTGACTATTTCGAGAGCGTCTACAAATATTTGAACGTAGGACCACCGGTCTTCTTTGTTGTTAAAGATCTTGACGTGACGAACAGAGAGGAACAACAGGCTCTCTGTGGCAAATTTTCAACTTGCAACGAATTTTCACTTGCAAATATCTTGGAACAGGAATTTAAAAGATCGGAAGTCTCAACTATCGCAGAGCCCGCTTCTAACTGGTTAGACGATTTCCTCAATTGGCTTAACCCAGCTCTTGATCAGTGCTGCAGATTCAAAAAGTCAGCCTTTGGGGAAGAGTTTTGCTCACCCACAGCACCAGAACGTCAATGTGAGCCGTGCTATACCAATCACAACCCACCTTATAACAGTACTATGGAAGGATTGCCTCAAGGTAAGGAGTTCATGAAGTTCTTTAGACAATGGATTACAGAGCCTAGCGATCCATGTCCATTGGGAGGAAAAGCGACCTATTCCAACTCGCTTAAGTACAACTCTAGTAAGGTCGAGGCAAGCTACTTCCGCACTAGCCATACCCCAATGAGGTCCCAAAAAGACTTCATAGTGGGCTTCAAAAACTCGATTAGAATCGTGAACGAGGTCAAAAAATATATCGGGGCAAGATCGACGTCTTCGCTTTTTCGCCATTCTACGTGTTCTTCGTCCAATATCGAACGATAATTTCACTCACGTTTACAACGCTTGCAACCGCCGCGGCTATTATATGGTTTGTCAGTACACTTCTCTTGGGCCTGTTCCGCACAGCAACAATTTTGGTTGTAACGGTTACAATTGTACTTGCCAATATTGGAGGCGTAATGGCATTATGGTCAATTTCATTGAACGCTGTCAGTTTAGTGAACTTAATCATATGCCTCGGTCTCGCCGTGGAATTCACCGTGCATATCGCGCGGGCATATTTGACAGCCGACGAAGAAGAAGAAGACGAAGTTTACGACAGCTTCATGAACAATGAAGCTCAATTCTTACAAGATAAAAGAGCTTCACTGGCATTTAAAGCTTTGAGCCTGGTCGGAGGATCTGTGCTTGGCGGTATTACAATTACCAAATTTATTGGCATCAGTGTGCTTGCTTTCACAAGGTCTAAGATATTTGAGGTGTACTACTTTAGAATGTGGCTATCCTTGGTAGTCATTGCAGCCACACATTCCCTCATATTGTTGCCAATATTGCTTAGTATCTTCGGCGACATATAAGTCACTAGACCAAGGATAGTAGGCCTAAAATATCGGAGGGGTTAAGATGTGCGCCAAAAAGACCTTACATCAAATGGGCTTAGACGAAAATTGATTCATTCACGTTTTGCAGAGCAAAGTTGCACGGCGGAACCGAAGGAAGGTCGCAGTGTTATGCAGCGTTTCGCTGTTTTGGTGCGGACTATCGCTCGATTAGGAAAATGCTGCTAGCAATCTGCGATTCACTGTGCGTTGCTCTCGTCTCAACATAGAGATGGAAACGTGACCATTAAGGCCCCGTCAGTCACCCTGCAGGACAAAATTCTCAATGTATGGGCAATGTTTTTCTTTCCTCTTTCAAGCCCGAAGCGTTGAAAGTACTACAATAGTAGCAACAAGTGCTTGCGAAGTTATCCATCAACATGTCTTTTTCTTACACCTTCAAATGGTATGTTTTCTGCACAAAATTATTGCAATTGATCTAAAGCGATTATAGATTAAATGCCAAAGCTACATTCTTTTGCCGGTACCTCAAATTATGGGGGCAATTGATGACTTGCACCAATTGACGATGAGGGGCCCAGAATTTGGGATGGACCATTCAAGAATGTCTGCCCCTTCATGATTACTAGCAATGTGCTCTGCGCTTCTATATTGCCACACTTCTTATGATACTAACGCCACAGGCCAAGCGGTCCAAATGAAGTCATTGTGACCGGTACTTTTGATAACTGGTCTAAATCATACTCGTTGGTGAAGCAAGCCGACGGCTCTTTTGAATTGAATGTTCCGCTTGACAGAAGCAGCGAAGTTCTCTACAAGTATGTCGTCGACGGAGACTGGACTACCAGTAAAGACCAAAAGACTACGAGCGACTCCTCCGGCCACACCAACAATGTCTTAGAACCTGTGAAGGCCAAGGACTACAAAGGTACAACCTCTAGAATTCCAGAGGCTGGAGGTATTGGCGCCGCAGTAGCACAAGGCTCTTCTGCCACTGCATCCTCTCATGCCGGTGATAAGGACCTCAAGACTACCGTTTTGCCATCCTCAGAGGGCAAGCAGACTACATTGGGTGAGCCAGGTATCTTTGTCCCACAAGCCAAGGATACCGAGGCTTTGGCCGCCTTCGAGAATGTCAGAAACGTTGACCCTAAGACATTGAATGAACCTAAGGATGACGAAAAGTTCACCAAAGAATTGACCCCTGAGGAGAAGAAGAAGCAGAAGAAGAAGTTGAAGAAGACGCAGTACAAGCTTCGTAAGAAGCAGCAGAAACAGGCTGCAGGCGGTGCTGCTGTCGGAGCCGCTGGTGGTGCTGCTGCTGGTGGCGCTGCTGCTGGTGGTGCTGCTGCTGGCAGTGCTGGTTCTAAAGCCACCACCGGAGAAGACAATGACCAGGATAACGACCAGTCTGAGGACTCTGAGTACGAGAAGTCTCCTGAGCCTGAAGCCGTAGAGGCTACAGTTACTGGAACCATCCTTGGTGCAGTTGGCGGTGCTGCCACAGCTGGTGCTGGCGGTGCTCTTGTTGGTGCCCTTGGAGGTGCCTCCGCTGGTCAGGCTGCTCACAACTACTCTAGTTCTCATTCTGAGGATGCCAGCACAACCACTAAAACTGAGGAAACAGAGGCTCCACAGACATTGGACCCTGGTAGACAAGCCCTTAACATTCCAGGCAGCATTGCTGGTGTCGACAAGGTTCCAACTCGTGACGACGACAACTTAGCGACAAAGACAAAGACTCTTGACACTTTGACGTCTTCTGAGTACGTTGACTCTAAGGATGAGGATGCTCCTGATAGCTCCAATGCTGCTGTGGGCGGCGCTGCTGTTGGCGGCGCTGCTGTCGGCGCAATTCCAGAGGACAAGAAGGCCGAGGCGACTACTCAGGATGGCCTCTCCAAGCAGAATGAAAACACCGAAGAATACCCAGTCAAGGGTGACTTGACTCAAGCTGGCGCCGCTGCTGTCCCCGTCACTGCTGTTTACGAGGACAAGAAGTCTGCTCAGAATGGCGCCGATAAGCCATCAACTGAGGATGCTCTTAAGAAGCAGAAAGAGAACACCGAACTGTACCCAGCTAAGGATGACTTGACCACCGCTGGTGCTGCTGCTGTTCCTGTCGCTGCTGTGTATGCGGACAAGAAGACAGACGGTGGTGCATCGCAAGTTGAGCCCTTGGACAGTGACAAGCTTGCAAAGAGCATAGAGGATAAAACCGATTTCCCCGAAGACCCACAAGCCAAGGAGGCTGAGGACAAAGATAAGAAGCACGATGCAGCTGTAGTGGGAGCTGGAGCTGCAGCTGGTGTCGCAGCTGGTGCCGTTGGTGGTACCGCAGCCTCTCGTGGAGCTGGTGCTGCCCCTGCTAAGGAAACTACCGAGCCAGCCGTTCCAGTACAGCCTGTATCTCAGGAGAAGGCTGCTCCCGTTTCCAAGGCTGCGGAGCCCAAGGTTGACGCTCCCGTGGCCTCCAAGGATGGCTCTGAGGTGCCTGGTGTGTTCGGCAGCGGTTCCGCTGTGACACCAGAGGTTGGTCCTAAGGAGGTCAGCGCAAAGGAAGTCGACGCCGCTCCAGTAACAAGAAGCAATGATCACAGATACGACAGCGAGGACGAGATCATCATTGCACAAGGTGGTGAAAGCGTTAAGCAAGTCGAGAAGAGAATCCAGGAGTGGGAAGGAGATGTCAGTGTTGAACAGATCCAACCATCTCCATCCGAGGCAAGAAGATTGGCCGAGGAGGCTCATCTCCTGAAGCAGGCCCAGCTTGCCGCTGAGAGAGGTCAAGAAGTGGCCAGTCCATCTAACCCACCTGCTGGTCCAGTGAAGGCAGACAAGAAGTCCCCCAAGAAGGCAGAGAAGGCTCCTAATGCAGCTCAGCAACATGCAACCAAGACCAAGAAGGGCATTCTTTCGAAGCTCAAGAAAATCTTCAAGTAAGCAGATTTTGTGCTGGCGCTATCTTTCTAGTTATTTTTTTTCGCATTGGTACCAAACTTCAAACATGTTGAATGATCTTTTTTTACCGCTCCATGTCAACCATACATCCCTTAATACTATATAGCTTAATTGTACTATTTTGCCATAATTATTGAGCCCTACAAACGGTGGCTCTCCAAAGTCGTTGTACTATTGTAGAAGTTTACATTCGTGACAAATCGATAAATTCACTATGTGCCGCCCGGCAAAACTACAGATGCGTATGTGCTGTATCCGATTTCTTATATGCTATAATACATTTTCCCTGTTGAACTATTGGGCTAGCGTCAGCTAGCGGGCCTCGAACTGAACCATTCTTCTGGTTCTGGCCTTGTAAATGACTCTGTGGCCACACTCCTTACATCTGATGGCATCGCTCTTGCCCAAAGAAAAAGAGGCACCGCACTGAGCACAGTTGTACTTGACACCCAAAGACTTGCTGGTGATGTGACCATGGGCAGCAGCAGCGATCGACGAAGGGGCACTGAAGGCCTCTCTCTGAGGTGACGACATGACTTGTGTGGATGAGGAGGTCGATGGAGGAGACGTTTTTTTGCGAAGACTCTGAGGAAGGTTGGTTTTGCTTTTGTGCCGGACCATCAATAGAATCCCACATCAACAACACCAGACCGATTCGAAAATATCTGGGACAGACTTCCTCCTGTGAATGCTTTGTGATTCCGCTAGGTATCTCTGCTCGTGCAAGTATGAGTCGGTGAGATCTCTCGGTGAAGGTGGCGACGCTTTACAATCTAGTCATATTGGTGCCTTATACTTCTGTCCCCAGTGCCAGGCCATAAAATGTGACGAATGCAGCAATATCAAGATCCGGAGTAAGTATTGCATCCGTTGCATGGTGGATTATACCGAGAATGCCGGCCAGACTCGGTGCCTGAAAAATTGCTTTGAGTGCCCCAAATGTATGAGTCCTGTTGATGTCAGAAGCAGTGATGAAGTTTGCGACGAGGGCAGGGGGAAAAGGTTCTTTTTCAATTGCGTATACTGCAGTTTTGAATACAAAACGAAAGTTATCACCAGGCCGTCGCCGCTACAGCAGATTTTAAAGAAGGAACTTCCAGATCAGCATGCAAAGACGGTTGCGAAATACTCGGCCATGTACCAATTGAACAATCAAACAAAGAGGATTGATAAAGTAAGTCTATCGCATATACAGAGACTCGCCGCAATGAAGATAAAAGAGGTGGCCACAGACAATAATCATGAGACCACGATATCTCAGAATGGCCCTTTAGATATCATGGGTGCGGTGCCTGAGTATCGTCAACAGCCCAAGGGAACAAAATTGGCATACAAGCATAGTATCAGCTGCGGTGAATGCCGATACGAGCTTGTTTCCCCTGTGGCCGATGCCAAGCTGATCAAAATACTAGCGAAGCACTACGCTGGCGACATTCTTCCAAACTTGGCCGCAACTTACATTACAGGGAAAGATGACGACCAGGATGATATATCCTGCTCCCTCAGCATAATCAATAACCTTTCTTCAAGCATAAACGTCGTTGTATCTATTTATGGTAAGGTACCGGCATCTCTCAACGAGGAGGACATCAACGTCTCGCTACCGGTGTCGAGTGTGAGCATCCGAGGGAAACGAGATAAGATTGATACGATTGATACGATACCCACGGCCTTTTTGGGTTCGAAAACGAAAGCAGCGCAGGCTCAGCAGGTGCTAAGACGCCGCCCTACAGACCCAGTAGAATACGGTGCCAATTGGGCCTCGATCCCATTCACCATCTCACTCAAAGAAGGTGCAGCACTACCTGAGTTACAAAGAATCCCATTTCATGTGGAGGTGGAGACAAAACTCCCGGAAGCCTGGAAGCTGTTCAGTGCAAGGCGAGGCTTACGCTTCAAGTACTGGGCAATCGCAGAGCTCCGCCATTCTGATGCATTGAATCAAAAAACAGGTAATGACAACTAAGATCTAAAAGTCAAGAACAAGTACTCCCGCCACAGCTCTTAGATGCCGCGTATCTAGCGTACTTGCACTTGAAGTAGGCGGCTGTTCCTCCTGCTCGGGCAATTCCACATCCTCCTCCTCCACTGAGGTATCACCAAACTGATCAACATTTTGCAGGGACTGAGTTGCCTGTACGACATTGTCAATACCATCGATGGCGGTTGGTGGTTCTTCTTCAAGTCTCACATCATTCGCTCTCACTATGGCTTCTTTGATAAAAAGGCGCATATATTCTGTGGAAAGCGCGACGGTGGAAGCTGTGATTCTCGTATCTGGTTTTTGAAATGCAACGTCGTGAAACACGCGTGCCACAAGTTCAGGCGACACCGACATGAAGTGGTTGCAAAATAAAGATTGATACGCGAATGTGTGGAGCCTGAAGAGGTGAGCATAGGTGCCGATCGCACGTGACTAGACCGCTACGGCTTGACCCACACCTACTCCACCTTATTCATCTCAGCAACCCACAATGGTGGAAATCACCCAAACAGCATCTCCGACCTCTTCCCTTGTGAGTCTTATAAAGACTATATCAGGAGCAGGCCTTTTGTCGATTCCGTATGCATTTTCGACCGATGGCTTGATCGCTGGTGTTCTCATTATCGCCCTTGCTGGTATTACCTCAGGCTACGGCTTGTTCTTGCAGGTTTATGTATCGAAATACGTTCCTGCTGGCCATGCAACATTCTTTAATTTGTGCTCCATCACTTATCCTACGCTCAGTGTGGTATTTGATTTCGCTATCGCAACCCAGTGTTTCGGCTGTGCTATATCCTATTTGGTCTTGATAGGTGATTTGATGCCAACCATCATTACTTCAGTACCATTCGTCAGCCTGGACCATTACAAGCAGTTCTGGATATTGGTTTCAGCTGTTTTATGTGTCCCACTTTCGTTCCTCCGAAACTTGGACTCCTTGAAGTACACCTCGGTGCTCGGACTTACTGCCATTGGGTACATGGCGCTCCTAGTAGTCGTTCACTTCTTGATCGGAGATGTTCCAGAGTCATACAAAGGTGGAATTGTCCTTTTCCCTGATTCGGCTACCAAGGTTTTTTCCACCTTCTCAATTGTCGTGTTCGCCTTCACTGGCCACCAAAATATGTTCTCAATTATAAACGAGGCTAAGAATAAGTCGCTTTCATCCCTCAGCACCCTAGTTAACCTTGCTATTGCAATCCTGGCAGTGCTTTTCATTATCATTGGCGTCGCAGGCTATTTAACCTTCGGTGATCTTGTCAATGGTAACATCATCTTGCTGTATCCAAGCGCATTTTCAACGACCGTGGGGAGATTCTGTATCGTCTTCATGGTGGTATTTTCATTCCCCTTGATGATCCATCCAGCTAGAATATCTGTCAACAACATCTACTTCTGGGTTTTGGTCAACGTGCTAGGTAGAAAGCCAGACGAGCCAGCTGAGGACCAGGACGCACTTTTGCACCCAACCGAGGAGCGTGATGAAACCGCTCCTCTCATACCAAATTCAAAAGCTTATATCGTTCCGTTCCCCGACTCCACCTTTTACAGTATTACAGTGGTCTTGCTCTTGGTGGGTTACACAGCTGCAGTGAGCATTAAATCTTTTGCACTTGTTCTTGCAGTCGTGGGAGCGACCGGTTCCACAGCTATATCATTCATCTTGCCAGGTCTTTTCGGCTACAAATTGATTGGGTCGGAATCCGATGACCCTAGCAAGCTCGAGCAAACGCTCAAGAACCTTGGTCTAGTTCTTTCAGTTTGGGGTTTCATGGTGATGGTCGTTTGCCTTTATTCCAGTTTGGCATTGTAGGGCCAAGTGATGTTCATATAAATATATAGATTCATGTCGATTAATTCTGGATGGAGATTTTTATGTCCTGTGCCACTTTCTCAGAGACGTCTTCGTCGGTCGTTTCTGGTGTTTCTGTCTCGACCTGATCAGCCTCTTCCTCTTCCACCTCTACATCGGAATCATCCTCATCACTTCTAACATCATCTGCGCTATCGCCATGTATGACTTTGTTCAAAACCTTTAAGATTGCCAACATCCAGAGGCAGGTGATGATCTGCAAACCACCAAGAAGTGCCAAGAAAACATTTACGACGGTCGTGGTCCAGCACCTCTTCTGATCAAGACCAGGGATGCACTGACTGTCGAACATCAAATCTCTAGCCTTAACCCATGCATGGTAGTAAAGGTAGTTGTAAACACCATGGCGCAACGCAACCCAAGAAACGAGGAAAAGAACGAACATCGCGTCGCAGGTGCGCTGCCATCCGGAGTATTTCAAAACTTTAGCAGTCGACAAGAAAATGTCGACAGAATCCATAATCATCAAAATCATGTTACCAATTCTGTTGTAGTAATAATAGTAAGAGCCCAAGACCAACGCGACCGTGATGATGTGGTGGCTGAACATTTGGAAATGGTCTTTCCGCTTCTTTTCGATGTTGAGCACAACAATCTGTTGTAACCAAAAGGCAATAGACACAAGGTAGTATTTTTTGAATAGCGATGGCATACGGTAGTGTGGCCAGCCGATGTATAGGTTATCAAGGCTGTGCCAGTGGGGGAATGGCGGTAGATGTATAAGCCAAATGCAAACGAGAAGCAGTAATAGGTCACAGCCCAACTTTGTTCAGCAAACCGCATCTTTGCCTTCTTCGAATGGATATTACAGATGTATTTAGCGAATGGAGTGAACGCCCATTGCATGAGGACAGATCTGAAGAAGGTAAGTAACACCACCCAGGTCACCACGTAGTAGCCGTCGTCGAGGCCGATGTCGTATATATTCTGTGACCCTTCTCTTTCGATGAAATATTGTAGATGGAAGAACTTCTGTGTATAATGTGTGACATTCGGAGCAAACCGAGTGCTGAATAAATGTGTCAAATGAAGGCCCACGAGAAAGTTCCTCGAGAGTGGAATTTGGTTTTTGTCGATCACCTCCTGCCACGAGGAGGAATACTGGGACGCCATGGCCGCTGTGATTATGTTTTGTTAAAGGCTGTAATAAAAATGGTGTACCCAGATCGATGGTTCTGACAGGTGGGCGATGGGGAAGAATTGATAGATGGAAGCTGATGAAAACGCGAAGTAAATTCTATTCTGAGGAGGGAGCAGCCAGTGGTGGGGAACGGCTATTGTCGACTGCAGAAACAAAGAATTAAACGTACAGACGAGTTTTTCGAGCTGTAAGTAATTTGGGACAATTATTTCGGTTTATGGGGTCCCCTTCGGTTTTGTGTCAAATTGAGACTAAACTTTTTTTACCCGTCGGTGGTACAGCCTTGAGCGCCCTTTGCCCTAAAAGGCACTTTCACGCCTGGAGTGCATAAGGTAAGCTTTATCATTGACTGTAGGAACCGGAACCAAGCGCAACCCAACCAAACTGGTTCTAGTCTCTGTCGCCTACCGGCTAAGTAACATTTGCTGAAGTGCCTTTCTCACATGATTTTCGTTGTAGCGATCCCACGCAATGTATAAATTTACCATCTCTTGCATTGCCTCAACCATCTCATCTAAATTAACATGCGAGTAGTTGAAAAAATTCATGAATCGGTCGATTTTGACCGTATCCTCATCTAGCCTCAGATCAGGCAAGTTGCCTCCAGAGGTGGTCTGAATGTCCACATCGCCTCCCGCGTTAAGAGTCATGAGATCATCTAGATGCATAGCGGAAGACTTGTCGTCCTGTGCCTGATTCCCGACGGGCCCGGCGGCACTTCTGATGGCATTAAGGTTCTTCTTAAGAACAACTGTTATATAAATCGCCGCCATAGCTATCACATGGGGCGGGAAAAGGAGGTGCAAGTCGGTGATGTAGCTGTCGTTTATGAGGGACCACAGATGCTGGAGCTCGTCGTCTGTAAGGGTGAATCCGAAATGTGTGCTGTTGTCTGTTAGAAAGTCTCTGATTTGTAGAAGCAGCTTATATGGGTGGTGCAATATTAGGTACAGCTCCATCTCTTCGATGAGGTAGAACTCGAATTCGGCTAGTTTCGTAACGTCGTGAGGAATGTACTCGGGCCAGAGGTTTCTTGCCTCCAGTACTATCAATCGTAAATGCTGTGGGCACTCTTCTATCTTACATGCCACGTAGAGACATGTGGTGACTAGTAGGTAGGCGTTCACTTCCTTCAACAGAACCCTGGTTAGGAACCGAAAGAGGTACACTTCGGCGGATGCCAATGCAACTTGACGAACATTCAAGCGTCGTCCAAGCTTTACCACTAACGTATGAAGGTATATTCGCATGTTCACATCGTAAACGATCTGTGGATTCTCTTTGATCAATCCACTCTGAACCATCTTCTTCTCCAAGAGCACTAGTTTCCTCCTGCTCTCCATGAGACCTTCTCGTGTGAGTTGCCACTTACTTCGCTGTGAAGAGGACCAGTAATCGGCTGACATATTTGGTAGTGACGGTGTGCGGTTCTAGTATAGGATAGTCGATGTCTTCGACGTGGTAATGCGATTAGTGCGCTTTCGGTTATCGAGCCGCTCCACCGAATGACCAAGAATAGACGGACCTGTGGCGTGCTCGTAACATTGAAGAGTTTATGAAACTACGAGAATCTAAATTTGGGTATTCGAACGCCGTGTCGGCGAAGTCATGTCGTACAGCTCAATTGCCTTATCCATAGATGTACGGTACTTCTACGAACGGTGGGGTTGACATCGGCCATACCAAAAGCTTGATGCCTTCAAATGAAATCTCTTGCTTTATTCCACACAATGACAACCTCACATCTCTCCACACTCCTCAATGACCACGTCCTCGATGGGCAGGTCGTTCTTGGTTCGCGTCAGGTTGAGCTTATCAACAACACTGAACCCCTCAATGACCCTACCAAATACGACATGCTTTCCATTTAAGTGTGGTGCATCTTGTGTGCAAACGAAGAATTGACACCCATTCGTGTTTGGCCCGGAATTGGCCATGGAGACACTATACTTCTTGTGGTCAAATGGGAAACCCTCATCTTCAAAAGAGCTACCTCCGTAAATGTTGACAGACCCAGTTCCATTACCTCTTTCAAAGTCTCCACCCTGGATCATGAAGTCCTTGATTATTCGGTGGAATTTGCTGCCTTTGTAACCTATTGGTCTTCCACCTCGTTGAAACTCTCCGGTGCAAAACTGGCGAAAGTTCTCTGAAGTTCTGTCATTAGTACCCTAATTCTGTGATAAAAGAATGAAACACGTACTTGGGTAGCTTGTCATGAAATAACTCTATCTTTATACGCCCGAGGGACGAACCTATTGTTAGTCGTGATCAGACACTTGCATCATGAAACATACTCCCCTGGACAACCTAACATTAGTAATCGATTGGATAAAAGATCAATATCTAACAAACATCAAGAAACACGATTGGATTGGCCATCAAATTCGGAGATGAGTGGACCACACGTTGTGAACGTCACGCACCAGTACATCTTTTCCCCATATCTCGAGATAGTCAGGCCAACCTTCACCACCTCAAAAATCAGCCTTCCACTATGCCTCCCCCACAAAAAAACTATCATACTGCTGCTCCAGATACAGCCACAGCAATTGACCGGACTCATGGCGACTTTCCTGTAGCTGGGGACTCCGATGAAGAAGTATACTTCAAGACGCATAAAGAGCCCTCGTACTTGAGTGAGATCGAAGAGCAAACCAGACAATTCGTCCAATACCACAAAGAAAAGACAGGCAAAAGAATTGCTTTGGTTACCTCTGGTGGAACTACCGTACCTTTAGAGAACAACACTGTTCGCTTCATAGACAACTTTAGTGCTGGAACAAGAGGTGCTACCTCAGCTGAATACTTTTTGGAAAATGGATATGCCGTGATATTCTTACACAGAGAGTTTTCTTTGCTTCCTTACTCGAGACATTACAGTCATACAACCAACTGTTTCTTGGATTACATGATTGAAAAGGACAACAAGGTCGAGATCAACCCCGAGTTTGCAGACCAGATGCTTTTGGTCTTGAGAAAGTATCAAGAAGCTCAAAGCAGCAACTCGCTCTTTTTGGTTCCTTTCACAACCGTCAATCAGTACTTGTATACCTTGAAGTCAATGTCCACAATCTTGCAGCTGTTAGGCACCAAGGCATTGTTCTATCTTGCTGCCGCTGTGTCTGACTTTTTCTTACCATCGTCGAGAATGCCTCAACACAAAATTCAAGCACAGCCCAGTGGTAAACTTGTGGTTGATTTGGAGCAAGTTCCTAAGTTTTTGAGAAGATTGGTCGACTCTTGGGCTCCACAGGCTATGATTGTCTCTTTTAAGCTAGAGACAGACAACTCAATTTTGCTCAAGAAGGCAAGTGACGCGTTATCCCGCTATCAGCACCAGCTTGTCATTGGAAACTTGTTGCAGTCAAGAAAAAGTGAGGTTGTGATTGTTACTCCAGACGGCCAGCAAGACTGGATCAAGTTAACGGACGAGGAGAAACAAAAGAAGGTTGAAATAGAGTCGCTCATCATACCAGCAGTGAGAGAGAAGCACGATGCTTGGATGAAGGAATGGGAACAAAGTAGTAAAAACTGAGTGATAGTATATACATTGTATTATAGATGCTCGTTACAAGAATGATACGCCAACACCGTACTGGATGCCTTTACGGACCTGGTCGTTCGCGTGGGCAAATATGGGCAATCCAAAGTTTAGCTCAAAGCGGGCCATCGGATGGTTGTAGAGTATACCAAACCCAGCGCTAAGGGAATAGCCAGTCGAGAAGAGCTTGACAATATCCTTGGTGGTATTGGAAGAGTTGATCGAGGCCAACTTACCAAAGTTTATGTAGTTGATGATCTTGAAGTTAGTGTCCTTTGGAGTTTTGGGTATATGGCTGAGTAAAGAGATGCCACCGTTGAAGAAGCAATCTCCGCCCACTGATGAATTTTGGTCCTTTGGACCGAGACCGTTAAGTGAGAAGGAGCGAACGTCGTTGGGGCCTCCAATGTGGAAACGATCGAGGATATTCGTCTTCAGTTTGTCACCGTTGAGGAGTAAACCAGCCTTGTTAGAAAAAATGAGTGAGTGATTTTGACCTAGGCCTAGCGCCAGTTGTCCTTCCCATTGGAATTTGGTGAACTTCACATTGTTGAATCCGAAAAGGCCACTGTATTCCACGCCTAGTCTTGCTAGATTGCCTCTCGTAGGACCAATTCTATTGTCTCGAGAGTCATAAGAGGCACCCATAGTAACTGATGATTTAAAAGTGTCCTTCAGCTGAGTAAGAACCTCGAGAGAACGAGACCCGTGGTTACTGAGTGCTCTCCAGGAGTTCTCCCAAGCAACATCAAGATTCAAGTTCGAGTCATATCGCGTATTGATGCGTGTCACTATACCCTTGGTTTGAACGCTACTTTGAATCCATTCTAGCTTTCTCGTGTTTATGAATGCCAGGGTATCCCAAAGATAGTCAGCGCGATTGAAAACCGGTTGCGAGTAGTTGAGAAGATATGACGATGGTGTTTTAGTACCAGTGACAGCATCGAAGACGAGTGTTTCAGCACCACCAAAGATATTCTTGAGTCTGAATTGGATGTAACCATCACCTTCTCCATTGCCAATATTTGTTCCCGTCTTTGTAAAGAAGCGCTTCTGAGGAACAACGTTGAAAACAGGGACCATATCGATTGTAAGCGGGGATTTATTATTCCACATCTTTTTCGGGAGCTGATGTAAACCTATCATAGATTGCTCTAGTATATCGTGTTTCATAAACAGAGTATGCACTTGTTCCAAACTGTTTAGAAAGTCGGCTAAGCTCATCACGTTCCCTCTGAGAAGCGGACTAAGCTGAGTTTGCAAAAACGAGTCTCTAAAGTATTGGGAGTTTGTCACCTGGACATTGCGTAATTTGACTGGGATTGTCGAGTTTTCTTTAAAGAGTTCCTCGAGGTAGCTTTTGCTTTGGTCCATCATCATCTGCTGTTTTGAAGCCATAAGCTTTTGAAGCTCCTTCTCTTCATTGGATAGATTCAAATCTTTGCCCTCGTCAGCACCCACCGAGATCCTATCTATCATGGACTCCTCATGATCTAGCGACATCTTGGTGGTAGTAGTTTGAAAAAGTTGATAAAAGCGCTTGTGCGGCTACCGCGTATGCACCACAATAGACTACTAATACTACAAACGAAATGCTCTGTTTCTTGTATTGACTTTTGGGTATTGAGCCAGCAGATTTCTAGCTCGTGAATCAATCTGGGGGTGAAATGGCAACCTGTGGAACGTTATTGTACTGATGGCTCAAACTAGACGGACTGAGGTAGTCACCGCTCGGTAGTTGAATTCCCGAAGCATTACCATTTCCTGCCCGTCTTTCTCTTTCATCCTCCTCCACGAGCGATCGGATACATTCTTTACCTGACTCTGTCTGGAAATGCCTTCTGAGGGCGTCGGCTCTAGCAAACTTTCTGCCGCAGCCATACGGAGTACCGTCCTTGAGGGTACCCTTGCACTGGAATTTCTTCTCACCTGAATGGAGATCTTCGTGACGTTTTCTATCATGTTGCCTAGCAAAGGCTTTTCCGCAGACACTGCAAGTGAATGGACGCTCGTCGGTATGCGTTCGCAAATGTGATTTCAAATTATATGGCCTGGTGAACCTCTTGTCGCACAAATGACACGCATATAGCGAGGGATGCTTCTGGGTCCGTCTAGTAGATTGGGTGGTCAGTGCAAGTTCCAACATCTTCTCACGAGAAGACACCGCGTTATCTCCAGTGTCAGCAGATTCCTCATCGTCGATCTCCTCACTTGAATAACCAGAATTATTTGGTGATCGCAGTCTAGAGTGAGCCTTTATTGAGTGAGCCTTCTGGCGGCCACGCTTGAGGTTTTGAAATTCATCGGGCTTCAAGAGGCCGTTAGGATCATTCTCTGACATTGGGCTCGTGGGTGTTGCTTGTGGACTGGTATAAGATGGGCTGGAAAGATTTCCCAGTGGTTTAAGACTGTTTCCGGCCGAGACCTGCTGACCAGGTGAGTTCTGAACTGAAGAAGTGTGCGACGAGTTGCTGAACAACGAAGGTGTTTTCGCAGCCACGATATCAGGTGCCTGTTGAATCAGAATTTTGATCTCTTTTTGTTCATGGCCGTTGTTGTCAGGCTGAATATTCTCGGTATAGTTCATGAGGTTGTTTTCTGTAAGTCGATCGTATTGGTTCTCGTAAGTGCCGTCTTCACAGTTGATTTGAGGAACTTGCATGTACAGCGGATTGCTGACAGGTTGATTTATAGACTGCTGGAGTTGCTGAATATGGTGGGACTGCTGCGGCATTGTAGACTGTTGCGGCATTGTAGAATGTTGCGCTGACATATTGTACAAGTTTGTTGATGAGATGGACTCGCCCAAAAATATTTCCGAATCAAACGAGTTTCCTGAACCTCGACCATTTGCGGCTGGCTCGAGATAATTCTGATTCAAATTTTGCGGTCTCGTGTCCGAGTAAGCATCACTGAAGTGAGACATGGCGTCTTGATAGGGAGAGCCTGGATTCAGGGAATACTCAGAATATAATGAGTGTGACGAGTAGGTATCTGGACTTCTTGGATTAAGAAAAGATGACGCAGGCACGTTGTTAGGGGAAAGTAAATCCAGGGCATTCTGCGATGAGCTGACGTTAACATTTAAGGAAGGTGGGAGGTCGAGGCCGGAAGGGCTGTGATGTAGGGAGTTTGTCACGCCGTTGTCCTGAGACAAGTTGATGTTGACGTTTTGCACAAACGAGTCGTGCTGCTTTCCCTGAAGCGGATTAGCGTTGTTTACCAAGACAGGTGAGTCTGTTAGCATACTGGAGGAGCTGTTGAACATATCTTTCGAGAGTACCGAGGTTGGGGACGCTATGTTCAAGGAGGACTCAAAGTGCGGTGGTGACAAGTTGAGCATGTCATAGAGCTCCTCCTCTTCCCGTTTGACGACGTTCAGAGACATAACGAGTTGTGGGAAGAACGTTTTGCGGTTGTGTATTCTTGAAAACGGGTAAGGGAGATGGGTCACGTGATGGACTTTGAGGAAACCCCGGAATAGCAGCAGGAGGTAGTGGTAAAACCGGAAGTTTGGTAGGGCGAAAACAGGGTAGAGCTATAGTGGAAATTCTGGAAAAAAACTCTCGAGGGGTTATGTGTGTAGTGTATTGGGAGGGACGCCGGAGAAGAAAAAAAAAAAACAGTTCTCACCGAGTACGCTGAAGTCCCCGATTATATGGAGTACAGCATGCGGAGGGAGTGTGGACCAATGAAGGAAGGCTTAGAGAGTCTGACAGAGTTGATTCAGCTGACGGCTGCGAGAGACAATCAACGAATTGGCGTTTGCTGATAAACATGCTGCGGCTGGCGTGCCTCAACTCTCGAGGACATCCGGGCAACATACGGAGTTGTTCTTAACTTGTCCGATGGATCTTGTTCAGCCGCGGCACCCCTAATTCGGTAAGGACCCCGTTAAGAATCCTTTGTGAAAAAAAGTCTTGGAACCTCAGCAAAAATTCGGTTGCAGAGAAAGTACTTGAAAAATGCCGTGACGGCCGTTAGCCGCCCAAGATCTCCCTGATTGTGTTTCGAAAAAATGCCTCTCGTGCGCCGAGGCAGTGCTGCGGTGACCCAAAACGGTGGAAAACGCACGCCAGCCGCCTCTGCCTCACACTTTGACGTCGACAACAACGTGCCACACGTCTGGCGCAAAAGTTTTAACTTTTTCAAGATGAGTCACATTCCCCTTGAAATACTCTTGTAATTCTCTTTTTAGCGATTCAAAGTCGTTTTTGTGGACATTCTCATGGACATGAACAATGGCATTTTCGCACCCGAGTGTGGTGACCACCTGCCAACCCTGCCTCAGCAGAGGAAGGAGCCCCAAATTATAATGTGATATGGTGATGCCGAGGCCACCAAGACGGCGTACCGAATTTTCGTTCGATTCATGAAAAATAAACGCTTTGGTTCCGTTGGTAATTTCAGTTGTGTAAGTATCTGACGTGAAGGCATCTCCAGGTCTCACTAGCCTATATTTGCAACCATTTTTAGTGAGACCCCTTAGTAGACCTTCTATGGACCAAGGATTGATTTCCCAGCAAAAAACCGTGGCTCCGAGGGCGAGATAGGAAAAGGTAAAGTATCCTATACCAGCATATAGGTCAACCACATTTTGGCCCAGAAGGTCCCCAAACCCTAGAACCCTTTTCTTCTCTGTGATGTTTCCTCGTGAGAACATAGTGTAGCGGGGTGCCCATTCTTGAGCAATTCCGTTTTGGTTTGCCGTACACCAAAATGCCTCATCAAAATCCTGTTGAGTTGGGTTATTGTATTTCTGGTCGTCAGGAGTCGGCCCAAAGTCTCCGTATATCGGTACCAAGTCAAAGGGTCTGCGCATCACATCGGACTCGATGATTGGCTGGTTTACCGCAAAATGTGTGTATCCAGCAAAGAATGTTTTCAGAAGGTGCTCAAATAACTTAGATTTGCCGCTTGTCTCAAAGTATGCATCCCACTCTGGGGTGCTGAACAGATCACCTGTGAAAAGCACCATGGGTGGATACAACGACCATTTCTTCGGGAGATTTTTCAATAAATAGGAATCAGATCCTATCACATCCAGCACAGCACCTTGTAGACCTCCAACAGGGGCAGTGCCTGTGTCGTCGAAAACCTCAATGGCGTCTTGGAAATCACTTAGTAGAGCGCTCATCTCAGCCATGGACCCTGAGGAATATAGACAAGCAACTCCATCTAATCTTGTGATTTTCCTCCTCTTGTCAAACACATTTGTCTCCTCAAGAATGCTCTTGATCTTCTTGATCTGCAGAGGCGCCTTCACAAGAATCTTAGAACCCATGCTGGTTTTAGTATAAGCGCTAAACTGTGTTCGCGTCGCGGAATACTGCCAGCCCTGTCCAGTTGTAGAAACCAGAAGAGGAATAAGTAGATGAATTAGTGAAGATTTGAATTTTCGAGATGAAGTGAATCTTGATTTTGGCGGACCTTGTAGATTGAATTTACTGCAGAGCGTGTCGCCGAAACGCACCAAAAAAAAGTTTAAAAATCTGAGACCAGTATTTTTCTCAACTACTTCCAGTTCCTGAAATCACAGGCCTCAATTGCCATTGTCCACTGGCTTGAGGCGACCCGAACGGTGAAATCCTTATCACATCCAATTCGTGAAGAGCCCGAACTCGGTATATTTCAGCCATTGTTATCCATAATCTCCACAACAGATCCAGTATTTTCAACACCATGTCCGAACAACAAAACCACATACCCCAAGCGCCGACAATAGAGGCCACAACTTCCGATCTTACCACGCAAAAGGCATCTGAACAAAAAGCAGAGTTCTCTAATTCACCAAAATCTACCACCTCTACCCCAAACAGTCAGAAACAATCACAGTACAATGCAGCCAGTGCCACCAATGGAGGTCGAGAGATTTCCAAGAAGATTCTATATGTGGGAGGCTTAGTGAAGTCCGTTGAAGAGACTGAGCTAAAGGAGTTGTTTGGCACTGGTGACGTGTTTTCGGTCAAGATATTGAATGACAAAAACAAGCCCGACCTCAACTATGCATTTATAGAATTCCACGACGAATCAGGTGCCGAAAAAGGATTGACCTCCATGAATGGAAAGGCTCTTCATGACAACGAGCTCAGGATCAATTATGCATTCCAATCAGCCACCTTTTCCACTGCTCAGAACCCGGAACAACCAGTCTACAACATCTTTGTCGGTGATTTGTCCCCTGAAGTTGATGATGAAGCCTTGCAAAAATGTTTCTCCGTATTCAACTCCCTAAAGCTGGCTCACGTAATGTGGGATATGCAAACTTCAAGATCCCGAGGGTACGGTTTCGTTACTTTCAGCACGCTATCGGATGCTGAGTTGGCTTTACTGACTATGAACGGAAAACCTCTCAGTGGAAGAAACATAAGATGCAATTGGGCCAGTCATAAGCAGAACAACAAAGGCGGCCATCCCCATTCGAACAATAATATGCGGCACGACAACCACCCACCTGCTAACTACAACAACTACAACAATTATAACAACCACAACAGGGGACCCCGCCAATATCGTGGCTACCAAAGTCCAAATCCAATTTTAAATGGAAACGGTCACACAAATGGCCATATGCCTCAACCATTCGAGCCATCGCCCTTTCCAATGGCTCTGCCGCAGATCTCAGATGGCTCACCGATGTTTGGCGGTCCTGCTATTAATGGCGCTGTCATGTCCCCTCAGTCTTACGACATCGTTCTAAGACAAACGCCATCTTGGCAAACCACAGTGTATTTGGGCAATATTGCTCACTTTACTCAGCAAGACGATCTAATCCCATTGCTACAAAACTTCGGCTTCATCGTTGATTTCAAGTTTCACCCCGAAAAGGGGTGCGCATTTGTCAAGTATGACACCCACGAAAGGGCTGCCTTGGCTATTGTACAGTTGACTGGCTTTTCTGTCAATGGTAGGGCATTGAAATGTGGGTGGGGCAAGAGCCGTGGCCCTCCACAAGGTCAGTACCAGAATTTCAACCGTAATGGTCCCCCAATTTATCAAAGACGTTAATAGTAAATGACGATGACGTACGCTTAAATACTTTTGAAAGTCTTCTATCAGTAAATGGTGTGTTGCCTTCTTCGCATACAATACCTTCCTACAAGTTCTTCTGTGTCCTATCAAAAAAAAAAATCTGACCAGTGCGCCGTCAGCAATTCATCATTTGGCAAATCTTTCCAAACAAAGCTTTGATTTTGTCATTCATCCCGTGAAAACAGCATAGCCAACTTGCGCTTATCCTGAAGTAACACAAGACTCCATTCTGTTGAAGTCTTCACCTTCTTGTCATTGTCCAGCAGTACCCCATCCTCTGCTGTATGAGCGAAAGTATCCGACTAGTGTTGATTTCTACTATTTTACTTTGTCTCATATCCCCGCTCCTAGCATTCGACAAGTTGTCTTATCAGCAGTTTCTTGAGAATCACGTCTCCGGGAAGATCTCCCTCATTTCCTCGATCGCCAAACGAAACAAGGGTGCCACCACAGCCATCGCCATATTAGCAGCATCCGTCGCTATTTTTTTCCCACTTGCGTTCAACGTTCCCCAAATCTTAAATAAAGTGCTAAGCTCAATGAACTCAAACTACAGATTCTTATCCTCCACTGGCTTTGGTTCCCGTTTCGGTGGCTCGGGTACGTCCTCCAGCTCCCGGGAGACTCTTTTTGCTATGAAAAATGGTGGTGAACTAGGTGGTATCAGCAATGACGGCAATACGTGCTTCATGAACTCCGTCATTCAATCGTTGGCATCGTCAAAGCAACTCACACAATTCATCGACAGAAATATCAACACAGAAGTACAGCTCATGGCTGATGCCAACATTCCAGTTTCTCGCATGAGCCAGCTCCGCACAAACTTGGTTTTTACTAGAGCTCTCAAGAAGTTGCTCGACGATGTAAATGGTGCCTATGGCTCGAGGGGTAAGGAATTCAGCACGAGAGGTTTACTTAATAAGATGCCTAATGGCCCTAAACAGAACTTCTTTACTGGATACAGTCAGGAAGATGCCCAGGAATTCTACCAGCTCGTGATGAGAATCGTCGAGAAAGAGTACAAAAGTATTTCGAAGTCCAGAGAGGCTACACCCGAGCCTGAATCTGAGAGTGAACTGAAGGATGACCTGGTGAAGTTTATCGATTCGAAACTTCTCACCAGGCTACCATTTGGATGCGATAACCTCGGCAAACTCGGAAACGTTTACGTTCCTGCTCATCAAGTCGATCCAAACATACCTGACAGCGAGGGTAAGGTCCTCCCTCTTGAGCTCGTCACTCCAGTTGATGGTGTCTCCGCCGAACGAATTGGATGTCTTACCTGCGGTGAGGTCGGAGGTATTCGCTACTCCGTGTTGAGTGGTTTGAGTTTGAACTTACCTTACGATGCCTCAAGCTATAGCAACTTCACCTTGCACCAACTTCTCAATGAGTGGAGCAAACCTGAAATGATCGATGAAGTGAACTGTAATAGATGTGGCTTGATGCAGACGAAGGAATTCCTCTCTGACAGCATCAAGAGTAACTCAAATGAGCGTTTGAGTGCTGATTTCCAGAAGCGTATCAGTGAGATTGACGACGAACTCGCCAAAGACCACATCTCTGATGAGGTTTTCGAACGTCTCACTACTAAGAGCATGATCAGAAAAACGACGAAAACTAAACAGGCCCTTTTGAGCAGACCTCCGCCATTACTTTGCATCCACATCAATCGTTCCGTATTTGACCCACGCACTTATATGATTGTTAAAAATTCCAAAACGGTGAGGTTCCCTTTCAAGCTTGATCTTAATCCATATGTCGCTGAGCCAAAGGATGTCAACATGGATGCTAGACTTCCATTCAGAAAGCAAGACTCCACATACAATGGCACCTCCAACGAGCTTCATTCTGAAGATGAGAAAGAAGCTCCACAGCCTAACTCAGATGTACCTCATCTGGCTAATCCAGATCTTCTATACAACCTTAAGGCGGTAATTTCTCACTACGGTACTCACAATTATGGTCACTACATTTGCTACAGGAAATACCGTGGCACTTGGTGGAGAATTAGTGATGAATCGGTCTACGTTGTGAATGAGGCAGAAGTATTGAGCTCCCAGGGAACTTTTATGTTATTCTATGAGTGGGATGATCAGGTGGTCGAAAACTTGGTACAGCTCGACGATGAGGAGCTAGAAAAAGAAGCCGATGCATCTGAGGTTCAGAATAATAAGCTCGATGACTCTCAAAATATAGATGAGTCGCTGCTGTCACTGTCTGATGAGGAGGACGAGGGCGACGTCATGGACGAGCTCAAGATAGAGAAGTCAAACTCCCACGAATCAGCTACCAGCGATGGAGCCGTCGATGCTACAGCTAAAAATGTTGAAGATGCAACGTCGTCTCAGGATCAATACCGCTTGGGCGAAGAAAGAGCCTTCCACGTTTAATATCCTTAATATAGTCGAATAGATCTCCACGCATAGAACCAAATCTCACGCGCGATGCTCATCGTAAAAATCAAGAACTATACGTTATGGCCAAAAAGCCCAAGAACAAGCAGATTGTTGGAAAGGGGCTCAAAGGTGCGCTACTGAAGCACTTTGTCAATGAGCAATTGAAGCAAAATAGACAACAAGCCGTCAAGGAAGCCATCACAAAAAAAGCTGATAAAGAGAAGTCTATCAAGAGTGGTAGGAGCAAAGGCTCTAAGAAACAGCAGCATCATATTAAGGCTTTAGTGCCATTTAATCGTGATGAAACGCTTCTACTAGTTGGGGAAGGCGATTTCTCTTTTGCCAGCTCACTTGTCAGAAATCACCTCATTAATCCAGAAAATCTAATCGCAACCAGCTACGATTCCGAGGAGGAAATCAAGTCCAAGTATCCAGGAGCCGAAGATCATCTACTATATTTGAAAAATGAGGGGTCCAGGGTCCTACATCAAGTCGATGCCACCAACATCCCATTTGCATTGAAGCTAGTCAACGCTAATCGCAAGAAAACGGGAACCAAGTTGTTCACGCCATACAAAAAACTAAACCATGTGATGTTCAATTTTCCACACACCGGCCGCGGAATGAAAGACGTGGATAGAAACATCAGAGACCATCAGAAGTTGGTGTTGGGCTACTTTAAGAGTGCTCACGAATTGCTTGATATGGCGAACCAGACGGCTAGTAATGACCTCGGTGGGTATGCAGAGTCGCAAAACGAAACGAGAGCAGATGTTATTCTCTCCCTATTTGAAGGTGAGCCGTATATTTCTTGGGGTGTGAAAGCTCTTGCAAGGAGCGAAGGACTTTTAGTCAACCAGTCAGGCAAGTTTGAATGGTCGGCTTTCGAGGGATATCATCATAAAAGGACTAATGGTATTCGAGACACGACAAAGCCAGCTGCCGAGCGTGATGCAAGGATCTATATTTTTGACCTCAAGGATCCCAAAACTCCTGACAAAAAGAAAATTAACAAGCAGAGGGGAAAGCCCATCAATGATAGCGATAGTGACGATGATTAGGCCGGGAATACTCTAACACAATCATCTATCAGGAACACTTCTCGTGTGAGAGGGTCCATGAGCTGATTGTTCCTGACTAACTCTAAGCCTAGTGTTCCTGTCGCTTCAAGCATCTTCTTAGTCGGGTTGAGTAGCTTTTCAAACGGATAGATATTGCCGTTTGGAAGTTTGAAGGGATTGTTCAAGATGCTTGTGAGTAATTGTGCATAAGGTAGGTTCAGACTTAAATGGAATAGTTCGGGGGAACAGACGGGACACTGGTTAATCTTTTTCAAGAGCTTGTAGTAATAATTCGGCCCGCGAAGCGATAAGTCACGCCAACTGCTGACTTCAAGCTTTTCATTTTTGTGAGTTTTGAAAATTGTGTTTTCGTCGTTGCAATAACATGACTTCGTTTTAAGACTCGAAAGACCAGCTGACAATAGGACCAACAATGGATAGGTCTTTGGAATGCCGTAAATTTTTGTAAAGTCTTCGGTGAAGCATTTTGAAAGTCCTCTCCAACGTTCCTCGGACATCAATGCATTATACTTGGAATATCTCGATGAAAGTTCTTTGCTAGGACCTCCGTTTTCGCTAGAATAGGCGTCTAGACACATCGACACATACACAAGCGGGGCGCCAACTTTTGTGAGTCTCTTATGATTTTTTTCAAAATTGATAAGATCATCGCCCAGGTAATTCTTGATATTACCGTAAGGTGCGAGATAGGTTTTGCAATATGAAATTGCCTCCAGTGCTTGCCCGGTCTCAATCATTGACAAATATTTACAATAATGAATTTCAAATTGCAAATTAGAGCTCAATTTCTTCAAAGAGTTCTTGTTGTCGTTGTACCACGCAGCAATTAGCTCTAGATCGTGATCCATGTTGATAGACAAGAAGACCTTGTTGAAGCTTTCATAGACGTCATGGTCCACCAACTTTGTGATGTCATACTCGAACGTTGGCGCAAGACCCTTCATGAGCTCACTTCCAAGGTTCTTATCTTTCCTTGTGTTTGACTTCAACAAGTAATCAATAATCAAAAGGTTCGTCTCTCCTCTATACCAACTGATGAGTTTCTCGTTGTGAAGATCTAGTAGCTTATCGTCTTCATCGGTATGCTTATCTTCATTTGAGGAGGTATGATCTAATGTGAAGTTTTTCAAAGCACTGATGTGCTTGGCTCTGGTAGTCAATCTCGTTCTGTAGTCCTCGTCATTATGTATTGCTATTGCGAGTTTCTTTTGGTATGCCTCGAAAGTTTTGATGAGCTTTCGTATTATCAGGAGTTTCTCTTCCTTGGTAAGATTAGGATTCTTCTTTATGTTGCTGATTTCCTCTGAGACCAGCTTCTTCAGCTTCTCCACAAGTTTCTGGATCGTTTTGAAGTTCTTCTTGATAAGCTCAGACGGAACAGTGAATTGAACCTGACGCGTCTGAACGCTGAAGTTCACGGTCGGCTCACTCATTTAGTAGCCTACTGATAATTGTGGATTTCCTTGGATCGAGTGGTAAAGTGGTGGTTTCTACGACCGCTCCCTGCCACTTACATACAGTGCCGCCACCTCGTTATCAGCACAACATGGCATGATGGTATCAATGAAGGAGGAAAAAGAATGTAAAAAGGGGATAAAAACTATCAAGCAGTATTTTACCTTGGTAAGGAGAGTAGCATTTCTCAAATGATTCGATGCTAAAATGTACTGGGAAGTAACAATTGACTAGATGTGCTCGCTATCCTTAGTGGCTGCGAATTCTCCACATCAGACTTCTTCCTCATCTGCAACAGTGAATGCGCTTGTGCCCTCATGCCTAAAATCATCATTAGCGTCTCGAAGCTCGTATGAGTCGGATACTTCATAGTCAGGTACAACAGTGTATGCAAATTTTCGAAGTCCTACTAGGAGCAAAACTTTGTTCACCGCCATTTTTCCAGCGCTCACGATATCATGGCGTCCCTTCCTGCCTAACATGAGTACGATGATCACCAATACCATCAACATGAAAATAAGGCTTCCATAAAATCTGTGAGTCTTCAAGTACCACTTCAGCTCGTAAGGATGTGATGCATAGTCATACTCGTAGTCAAAAACGGTATACTTCGTCCCGGGCTTTTCAGGAGAATACAACGGTCTTGGAAATGATTCCAATGATTCAGCACCAAATTGATAGGCGTCTTCTCTCGCAGTATAATAGTAACCAGGTCTTTTTAAGAGATTGTCTGAACTGCCCGTTTTCTCAATAGTGTAGTTATTGAATGCTTGTACATATTCATCGTTAGAATAAAGCAAAGCTCTTCCAAGAGTCCAAGAGAATGACAGTCCACCCATTTTCTCCACAAGTTGTAGGGATTTGAATTTGTCATCCTTTTGCGGACCTTCATCAATTCCAATACGAGGGAAACCGAGTCCCACATGCAAGAAGTTTAGAATCCACGATGATTTGAAGCAAAGTTGAGCAAGTTCCTCCTCCTTGATTCTTTCATCTTTGTCGCGTAAGTTATTTCTCTCAATCATCTCCTTAAACGAACGAGTACACCACTGCGACGTTGCTGAATACATTTTCAAGTAGTCGTACTTCTCGGATTTGTCTCTTTCAAAGTTTCCGTAAGATGATAAAGCATTGATGGCGTCCCAATATCCACTCACACCGATGAAATGGTTTACATCAAAGTCGAAAGCGGGAATCAACTCGTCGAGCAAGCAGGAGCTCACCTTATCTGTCAGACCTAGCTTAAGGCAGCTTGGTGACTTACCCGTATGGTGAGTAGAAGATTCTATAACAGGGAAGATGGAAGTTAAGCATTCTTCAAAATTCGAATCACCAGTAAAATCAACATAATTATGATTCACGAGTTCTTTGGTTGTGTAGCCCTTTGGTAAACATGGGTCTGTCAACGGAGTTCTGAAGTAGTTTGTCAGTTCGGGAATATCATTAGCTTTCTTGTAGTTCTCCACTAGGATAGAACGGTACCTGCTTTGTGCCTGAAACATGCCGAAACCTAAGAAGGAATCTGAAAAGATGTCAAACTCTTTTATCTCGGGCGGCTGGAATGCTCCAATATTTTGATGTCCCTGATTCTTCTCTTTCTTCTTTTCGCTTCGAAGAGGTAGCTTGCCAAGAGATAATTTGTATAAGTTGTTTTCGTGTTCCTTGGATTCAGTACTGTTAGGTTGGAATACCACCTGGGTCGACGCCCCACCCATATCTAGTAGGCCATACGTGTTGTGTTCCTTGCCGTGAGCATGTTCTTCTGGCCAGTCAAATGCTCCGATAAGATAGTTTATTGAGAGCCATCCGTACAAGCCCTCGATGTCTCCATCAATAATATTGACATGAGACTTGCAGTGGGGAACATAGAAGTCAGAGTTAGTCTGAAGGTATTCACAGACATTTTCTAGGATGGGTTGTTGTTCTTTCGGAGGAAGGAGCCTCATTCCTGCCGTGGCATGCAAAAAGATGGGTGTTCTATGATGTTCCGATTTCGGAACAATAGCACTCGCATAAGAAAGAAGGTATCGAAGGTGACGTTTTCCTACCTTCTGTGGGCTCTGATTGAATGACGAGAGCCCTGGTTGGATTTTCTTGTGCCAAAGCTTGTCCAGGTATATGGAGGGGAAGTTCACCGGTTTGGGCTTCTCCTCCAGGTTGTTCTCGTCGTCAGAGTCATCTGGATCAGCCCCCAACATCAGTTCATGAACCAAATTCACCTTTGAGCTATTCTGCAAATCTAACCCGGCTTCTAGGGCATGCTTGGGGTTGAGCCAGTTGTAGACATAAACTCTGGAACCCTTGGACCCAGCGTCGATCATGACCAAATAGTCATAGGGTATTTTATCCTTGGAAACCAAGGGCCCGGGCTTTAATGTAAACTTTTTCTTTCGCTTATCTAGACCCATGGTTATCGGCGCAGTTAGGCGCGTTGGATGATAGAGTAGCGATTAGATGGCTGATGTCGCGAGCCACGAATGCAACAATGTCGGACCATTTCTCGTCAAGATATTCAGTGCAGATTAGATGGAATGTTGGTGGCCATTTAGAATAAACCTTTCATGGATGAGAGAGACCCAATTCAGCCAACTTAACTAAAAGGTGTAGACCAAGATTGCTTTCGACTTTGAGTCTTGCGGCAGTTGAAGCATTGCTTAAGGGATATTTGTCTGGCTACAAATCTTGATAAGTTGAAGAAAAGCCAAGAGAAAATGAAGATCTTGAATTTTTCGGGTTACCGACATAACGTTAAAATGGCTGCGAAAATCAAGATCCTCCGCCTTTGTCGAGCATAAACTAAGAAATAACGTCACCATTCGTTCATTGTCAAAGAAAATTGCACAATCTTACGGTAGACTTTAAACTGTATCCAACACCTGCCATTTTCGTAGAGAATTGCCTGTATACCACAAGCTTGGCTCAATCTCCGAGCTGTGCTAAGCCGCTCTTATAGCTCAAGGAAGTCTAACGGCATACATAGTGGCGTGATCGGTCTCCACACAAGATCTGCAAAACGACTCCAGCAGCGGGATTCAGAAATTTGACAATCTTCATCAGACCACCTTATCTCCGGATCATTCGACCTATTGAAGAACGGAATTTGTCTATGATTCACGGCACTGTACACCATCACTTATAAAGCGCTCGATTTCTCCACAAAATCTCAACAATGCCACACTATGTTATCGTAGGGTATGTTCAAAATTGCAGTATCCCAGAATATAAGCTAACAGCAGCGCCGGTATCATCGGCCACTACACGGCTTACAAGCTTCTCGAGCAGAATGTGCACCCCAAGGACATCTCAATCATCGGAGAGTTTCTTCCAGGTGACGAGTCCATAAAGTATACCTCCCCATATGCTGGTGGTAACTTTTCATGTATCACCGGGGATGATCCTCAGACTTTGGCTTTTGACGAAATGACATACAAGGAATTGGGAAGATTGCAGCATTTCTTGGGCGGCTATAAATGCGGATTGGACAGGGTAAAGTCTACTGAGTACTGGGACACACGTCCCTCGGATGAAAAATTGAACTCGTTGGAGTCCTACCTTTACGATTTGTCATTCATTCCAAGTAACTATTTGCCAGATGGTGTGGAGTACGGAATCGAATTCATTACGTGGAATTTCAACTGTCCAAAGTTTCTTGTCAATTTCCAGAACTTCTTGGTGAGCCAAGGGGTGACATTTGAACGCAAGAGGCTCGATAATATTCGTGATGCTTTTGTTGACGGCACCAAAGTTGTTTTTAATTGCACTGGTCTCGGTTCAAGACAACTCGGAGGAGTTAATGATCCCAAGAGCATTCCATACAGAGGTCAGGTGGTGGTAATCAAGGCCCCACACATTCAAGAAAATGTCATGAGATGGGGTAACGACAAACCAACCTACATTATAAAAAGGCCAAATTCCAACGATCAATTGATTCTAGGAGGCTACTTGCAAAAAAATGACTGGACTCCAGACACCTTCCGCGATCAGACACTCGACATCTTACAGAGAACCACCAAGTTATACCCCAAAATCCTTGAGGACAATCGCAAGGGCAACCGGATCGAAGATCTCGAGATCCTCAGAGTCGTAGCCGGCTTGCGTCCTGGAAGAGAAGGTGGGGTTCGCATTGAGAAGGAATTTGTGAGTGCTGATAAGGTGTTAGTTCATAACTACGGTGCAGCCGGATACGGGTATCAGGCAGGGCTCGGTATGGCAGATAAGGCAGTTCTGCTAGCCCTTGGCCACCTGAAGCTTTGAAACTGGCCGATTACCGTGTATATAACTATAAATAAGACATGAAAAGGGGACATGAAAAAGGACCTGGGCCCTATAAATCGTAATCGTAAGAAGAGTGGTATCTTCTGTTCATCAGACAATGACGCACTTGTCTTGCTTGGGCACTTCGGGATTCTGGATCTTTTCAATCAGATCAACCAATGCCTCGAACGACTTGCTTATGTTGATATTATCACGCACCGAAGTCTCCAAGAAAGCACAGTTGTACTTCCGCGCAAGCGCCTCGCCTTCATTCGTCTCCACTTGCCTTTGAAAGTTTAGATCGCATTTGTTGCCGACAAGAACCATGGGCATGGAGTCTGCCCCTATGGAATTTAGGATCTTATCCCTTATCACGTCCACCAACTCGAACGACTGTCTGGAAGTAACCAGGTACACTAGCAAGTAACCATGGATACCGACCAAGTGCTTCTCGTTCATGATCAGAAATTCATCTTGACCTGCTGTATCCAAAATCTCGATGGCGTAGTCTTGGTTCTTGTAGCTGATGACCTTGGAGAACTGGTTTTCGATGGTTGGATAGTAGGACTCGACAAAGTGGTCTTCGACAAAGCGCACCGTCATCGACAGCTTGCCGACCGAACGTGACCCAACCACTGCAATCTTTCTTGCCTTGACCATGACTATGCAAACAGGACTCTACTGGAGCGAAAACTTGTAGTAGAAGGTGAGAAGTCTGCCAGAAGCCTGCACAGCATTTTGAGAGGAATGGTGACTGGTATGATAGATAAAGCACTCCGCGCTTGCCTTGAACCTCGTGAGCGCTCCCTAGAACCTTTTATCTTTGCTGTACTTATTAGTTTCGAAGTGTCACTATTTTTTCTTTTCAAAATGTATTAATTCGTAAATAAATCACAACGACCATTTGAGGACCTCCAAACTGGTGGCCACAATGAAAATGGTTGTTGGGAGTGTCAAGATCACGTAACCCCAGAAAAGCACACCGGCCATTTCTTTCTGGTAAATGTCGTTGAGCTGGGTGATCTGCGATAACTGGATCGCTGGTGGTGACACCGTGAGAATGAATGCGACAATCAAGAAGATAGGATCGTCGAGAATCGAAGTGTTGATGAACTTCACGCAGAGGGCAATCAATGGAAGCATTACCAACGACGGAAGGATCATTCTCGACATCAATGAAGCAACCACAATACGCTTGTAGTGAAGCGAGGCCGGAGGAATGTCGGCCGATGGATAGAGATTTGAACCCAACACAATCAAGATGAGCGGAATCGATACAGAGCCAAGATTTTCAATCGACTTGGTCAAGGTGTTCCTCACAAAGCTGTCTTCCTGGAAGAATAGCTTCTGAAGAGATCCAACAGACGCAATAAGTACGGAGACAAGCATCGAATAGAGAGGAGGGTTCATGAATGCAAAGAAGCTGGCCACTGGTTTCCAGTTGATAAAACTGTGCCGTTTTCTTCTGATGATGTTGCCGTGCACCTCGTGCCCGGGCTTCTGCACTAGACTGGAATCGTCCGAGTCTGATGGGGGAGCCATGGTGGGAAAGTCGGCAGCAAGCGTCGTTGCGGGCGATACATCTTCGATGGAGCCCTCATCTCTATCAGTGCCTGAGTGCTGACGTTCCATGTCGGCTCCCAAGGGCCTAACTTCGCCGCTGGTGATGGCGTCATCAAGTTCTTGCGGAGTACGCTTTCTTAGAAGCTTGTTGTAACCCAAGACCAACGCAAAATCTGGCCCAATTGCTGGAAGATAAGGAGGTACAACATACCTCTGGAGGCGACCTTATCAGGCGTGTCATCCTCCATTCTGTCCCACAAAAGGTCAGGCAATGAGTAGGCCAAAGTCATGGTCAAGGAGACAGGCAAGGAGTTTGAGTTGCCAAAGACAGCCATGGCAGTAACAAAGTCAGACTCAGCAACATTGAGTACCATCAAATGAGACATGACCCTGGAGAAGAAATATGACGTTGCTGTGGACACGGCATAGAACACAGGGATGATGAAAATGTCGAGCACTTTGTCAACAGACAAGGATGGAGCAAGCTTGGTGAAAACCAAACACGGAGTGAACAACTCCACGTTCAACTGGGAGAGCATTCTCTGCCCAGTGGTGCCCAAAAGCTGGGACTTAGCGACAAAAAACCCTGCTAGACATACGATGACGACTTCTAGGACAGCCTGAAGAGTCAAGAAGGAAATGCCGGCAAATGATAGCTCTTGCGGAGATGAGACAATACGTCGAGCAAGGCCGTAGTCGGAAGATAGCCCCATTAATTCACAAGATCTAGGGTAGGGTCGTATACGGGTTTTTATGAAAGAGTTATATGATTCCGCAAAAATTGCTGTGTGGCGCTGCGGGTTTCTATGATAAGGCGTGCATGGGAAAACCGGCTGCAGTGGATTGGGACCACTGACCTAGCGGTTATATTTCTTGTGCATGCATTGTGTCGCTGCATCTGGCTCGCCTTGTCACCAGCACAGCCTCGTGGAAAGGAGAGCTCCGCAGAATTGGGGATTTAAAGCGTGCGAGTTCAAGCCATTATAGGGGATGCCTGCTCGGTTGGAAAACGTGGGTGCAGCCTTATTTCGGCTCGGCTATGTGTCTGCAGGACTATCCGACTTGACAGGCATTATAATTCGTTCCGGCCATGGAGCGTCTGTGAATGGCTGCATTTTGAAATTTCGCAGAGGTGTAGCGGGCAAAAACCTCCTATTCTCCTCTTCTCGAATGGTTTCAATACCACGCCGTACGCTGTCACCGATGCAGGGTTTTAGCCGAGGTGCTACGAATGCCTCGGTGACAAATCCGGGCCCCATGTTTTAAGCCCCGTCATTGGTAGCATCATGAATAGCCTCTAAGAGCAACGACTCCCGACTTCTCTGTACAAGAACAGTGCTGTGTGGTTTACGGATGTGGATTTGACGTTCTGCCTTCTCTCGACTTTCATAAACTTTGTCTCAGATGACAAGACGACATTCTCAATCGTTCGACTCCCCGATGGCAGTAGGCTTAGCGTAAGCGATAGGGATGACGCTGCGGCGGACTGTAATGTGAGTGAGGTTAGTTTAGGTTTCTGCTCCGTTTGAAACACGTTATGAGAACAATATTTGTGGGGGAAGAAAACATCAGATTGAGTAATTGGACATCACGACTTCAGGCGCAAACATGGTTCGTGGTGATCCACGTCTCGAAAAGCCTACCAGCTAATGTATCTCTTTTTAATTCGCTGAGTTCGAAATAATTAGTCACACCTGTTCGGACAGGGCCGTGTTTACAAAGACATCTTCAGTATCACACGCTCAGTGGGTTGCATCCTACTTGGTTTACGTCTATGGTCACACTTTCTTGTTTGACTTCGTACTTGTACGCAATCAGATATAATTGAGTCATAATTGTGGCTGACCAATTGATGAAGAAGAAACCAGCAGGCCATTAGGCTCTTCTGCTCCTGTTGATAATAATGAGAGGTTCCTATGTATTGCAGCTGTGTATGTGTTTATGCCCAAGGAAGCACTTTTTGGAGCTTTTCTCATACTTCAAATATATACTTCGGAACTTACGATACTAACAAAATAAAAAACGCAAAATAATGAATTTAGCCCAATTTGGCCAGAAAAGGCTCAAATGATTCCACATCTATTTTCCATCTTTCGGAGCAAGCGGTTTCGCGCTTGGATCCCTTCTGTTGCGTGTTGTGTACAGTACATCCACATCAAAACAAACCCACACCTTAACGTCATCTGCCACTAACATTTACCAAAACTCGGCCTATAATATGCCTTTTTCAGGCCTGCTACCGCTGGAATCGCTGCCTCCACCATGGTACAAGCAGCGGCTTCCAGATTCAGACAATGACGATCATCCCGACTCCTCCACAAGCCATGAATTTCTTGCTGGCGCCTCCACTCCACTACACGTGAATCCATCTAAACTGGTGATGATGATCTCGCCCATGAAAAAGCTCGATAAGCTACATTTGACCCAAGGGGAGTTGGGGCCAATCGAGGCCTCTGATGATGAAGAAAATAGCCTGGCTTGTGCCGGTAATCAGACCATATTGACTGACTACAGCAGTGATCTGGACCTTGAAGAAAGACCCCCTCCCATGTTTGTTCGCAAAAGAAAGCACGATTCCTCACTGGACATGATTATAACGCCTGCTTTCAATTATGTCAAGATCAAATCCTCGGACCTACCTACTTCTAGAGACTCGTTCGTGGATCAAAACTCATGCGAGTCTCTCCTGAAGATCAGTTTCTCTACGTCATACTCGACTCCATGCCCGATACAGCCTAGAAAGAAGCTCAAGTTAAAGGATGACTCAACGCCCTCACATCCCCTGCGTCTCAAGAAGCCTTTACTCAACCTCTCCTGCTCAACGAAGGTTTCTGCTGGTTCAGAGCCTCTCATAGACAAACTCAACAACGCGGGCGATGAGGACTCCTTTGGGGATAACTCAGTTGAGGAAGAACCTGAACGCAACCCTGCTCAATCCACTCCGATAAGTCAGTCAACTCCAGCCAATTCGCGTGCCCCTTCGCCGTTCACAGAGGATACTTCTGGCAGTGTTAATGGATTCTCCTTCGTCAAACCTATCCCAGACATCCCATTCAAGTACGAGACTCCCCAGACCCGTCCAACTTCTGCATATCCATCCTTCAACCCTTCGCAACAGCTCAAGAATGCCTATAACAATAATGATTTTGCCGAAGCCACAGGCGGGAAGTACGAGGTAGTCGGAAAATTTCCTATGTCTGCTGCTGGATTGATGGATGAGGGAGATGAAGATCTTCATGTCGGGGACAAACGTATCAATGATCCTTACCTTCAAGCCCCAATGGACACCCCGAAGTTGAGGATGGCGACAAAGTTAGCACTCGAGACGCTTACCTCTCCAGCAACGACAAATTACCCTTACTTTTGCATTTTGAGTGTGAGCTTTCTAAACAAGAAATGCTTGACCTCATTCAGGATTCTAAATCCGTTTCTGCATTTTACGACTATATTTCGGAGCCCAACACATTGATGACGTTACTCAAGAAAGAGCGTCTCCGCTGGCACCCTGATAAGTGGGTTTCCCGTTACGAATCCTCTCAGTTTGACGAGGAAGTAATCCGGAGTTTAAGTCAAGTCATCAATGCTCTTATAGAAACCTCATAGATTAATGTCCTTGTCATGATTACATATTTTGGCCCTACACTTAATGTAACTATTCCTTTTCTATTACATAATTACAGCAGCATCAGCTGTCGGCTTTGTCGTTGGGCGTGGCTGCACTGCTGCCCATTGTGGTGTCAACTTCTTCATTTTTGTCCTGGTCTGGCTTCTGAGATTCTTCGTCTATCTCAATGTCTTCCTCTAGGTCTTCTTCGGCATCACCGGCCTCAGCCTCCTCTTCCTCGACTTCTTCTTCCTCCTCTTCTTCCTCTTCCTCTTCTTCCTCTTCTTCGTCCTCATCGACCTGTTGTTCAGGGGGTATTCATCAGCATTTCCATCCTCACTGTCCCAGACAATGTTGAACCTCGTCACACGAGGCTTTTCTGCCAAAATGTTCCTGACAACATGCTCAACTTGAACCTTAGCAGGTGGATTTTCTCTTAGCTCCTCAGAGTCGTACTCATTATTGACGTAGTAACCAACACGGACAAATTCCCTACCCGCGTATGAACAACTTAACAATATCACCGTCACACTGACCAACTCACTTGCAGGAATCAATTCTGGGGAGGGAGGGTCTGCTTGAAACAAGAATTTGTTAATTCCAACCGGCACAGGGCCCACGAGGATGGAATCAAGTTCTTGATCGTGATCTAGCGAGCGTGAACTACCCACATACGTAAGTTTCCACTCCAAGTCTTCCTTCAAAGGCTCCAAACACTCGAAAGTTATTTCAAATTCATATGGATCTGAAAATTTAGCTGGATTATTCAACACCTCAATTCCAAGCAAGGAAACAATGGACATGTTTAGAAATGGGCTGTGGGTGTTGCGATTTCTATTCGTTTTTCTGAAGCTCCATATTATCCTTCTGACGCGTACTCACAGGTGCAGGAATATGATAATTCTTCGAAACCTACCATTCATTGGAAGGACCAGTAAAGAGGTTGTCTAGATTTTGTGTGAACTCTTAGAGATAGTCTAGGTTTGATTTTTCAATATTGTCTGTCATACGACCCTTTTTCCCCTCTTGAATGCTTGGAAGGAGGCTTCTTTGCATTAAATTCTTGGAATAGCTGTTAAGTTGCAATTGTTTGAAGACAGCTCCCTTTATACTGCCAGTGAAATCTTAAATTCGATCAAAAGAGACGTTGTTTTGGAGTATGCTGCTATATCGAAAGCTTTGATGTTCTTATACACCCGTACACCATTCGGTAATAGACGCTATGAGTCGAGAGATTGGATTGATTCTCTCAAGACAGGCATGGCATCTACGAACACAGAGGCCACGTCGGCTTCTTCTGGAAGTAACGACAGTTCCAACAAAGACATTAGTTTGATACCGCAAGAAGTAGACGATACGGATTACGGCAAGGTGTATGAAGAACTTCAACTGCATTTTCATGAGGTATACACGGTTTCACAGAGGTTGGCGGTTACAGAGAAGGCACAACGTCAAACGCTATATAGCTATCGACGTAAAATCGATGCTTTGCTTGACTACATGGCTGAGCTTGAGGGCCGTGATGAAGAGCCAATCGAACAACCATTAGATCTAGATTCTAGACGAATCGAAGAGATCCTTCAAAAGAAGCCCGAATTGAAACTGACACTTGAACCTCTACTTCAAATTGCACAGAATGAACTACCAGCCAACATCAAGTTTAAAAAGTCATACAACGCTAATTTGGCAGTGGACGAACTGATACCTGACATTCGTCAGGACGAACTAGATACAGTTGAGGTCAACCCGCAAGAAACTGAAATGTGGGTTCGCCGCAATTATCCTCACTTGGTCGTCTCCAAGTTTAAACCTGTTGAAATCCGAGGCAAGGATGTTAGGGAATACAATGACCCTAACCTGCTGGCACCCAAAAAGAAGAGAAGGACGAACAGCAGAGATCAGTGATGCTAGGTCTATAATATGCGAATATTTACTTACGGCCACTAGTGCCGCGCTTGCTCCGTTTCACGAGTGTTTCCATAATCTTCACTGTATCAAAAAGACCGAAGATGAAGTTTCTCGTCTTGTATTTGAACTTGCCCTTGTCCACCAAACGGATAGTTTTAAGGAAGAAGATAGGGCTTTCAAAAATCTCACCATAATTCAGCTTGATCGAGTTTAGCTCCTTCGTGGCTTTTCTTTCAATCTTTCCTAGGACTGAGCTTAAGTGATTGATCAAGCTCAAAGCCTTGTCATCCAACTTTTGGTTTGTCTGTAACCCTAAACCATCATCGGCATCGAGATCAAGTTGTTGGTTTGCCCATAGTTCATCGCCATGATTACCAAAAAGGGAGATATAGGTGGAATCTTCATATGGATTGAGGACTTCAAGGTTGAACAAATCCTCACCTCGCATAGACTCTGGATATGCTAAGTAAAGCGGGTCCAGGGGCTCCGATTATCTATCGAAATCCATTTCATATCATCAAGCATTTCTATGCCCTCATTCGTAGCTGCCATTTTTCCGAGTTGATGAAAAGCAATGCCTCGAATTTGCCATTCTCTAGAGTTTTGATAAAGCAGATGCATCAACTCAATGACATGGTCACTCCTCATACTGGATTGTAGAGGGGTCTAGAATTTGAATACCATACTTGGACGATGCAATCTCTCCAAGTATCCAAAGGTATTGTTTGAGTCTCATCAACATGTACTCTTCCTCATCCTCTGCAGTTTTGATGTTTAGCGTTTCAGACAATGTCTCCTTCGTATGAGCGAAGGACAAGTCGCTTCGGGCATGCAATCTGTTCGGTGAGTCTAACTTATACAGATCGTCGCTCTCGTCGCTCCCGATACTATTTGTTTTGCTGCTACTTGATTCAACAGCTGCAGGTCTGGTTTGAGAATAAAGGAAGTCGGGCGCCTTGGTGGTCACAGGTTGATCTTCAATCAAACGGAGTTTTTGAACAATGAAGAACGTTTTGTTGATTATGTCGTCGAGAAGAGCTCTTTGGCTGTTGAAATAAATGAAGCCCTCTTCAGTACTGAGTAGGTAATAGAAGAAATGATGGCAGTTGATGTCTCGCGTGTTCCTGACACGCTGAAGTATGCTTGAGAATGGGTAAAGGTACATTTTCAAGGTTCCCTCGATATTTTCCAAGTATTCGAAGCTCTGCAAGCTTCGGGTCGTCAAAAGGAGGTGACGTTGAATGAGACCGTTTTCATGTAGCAATCTAAATCCTGTAGTGGTAGTGCAAAACAACAAAAGAAGCTCTTTACCTTTCGAATGTCTTGACAATACTAATGTGGAAGGTCTCATATCGATGAATAAATTGATGCGAGATATGTTTCCCTTGACCACATAATAGTCATAAAGATACGATACCACAAGTGCGACAACAGCCTTACTTTCGTCATATAAAAGATTTGCAAGACTCCGAATCACATAGTCGTGGCAACCTTCTACCTTGAGAAGCTTTGGAATCACATTTTCGAGTGTGAACAACTTTGTACCTTCGTTGGATATCGTTAGGACCTTTGAAAGAAGTATTCTCAACGGGCTGTCTAAAACAAAATTAAGGTTGTTCAACAAATTGAAAAGGAGATGCACGTTTGAGTTACTCTCAGCATTACCATCGATGATGTCGCTTATGAGCTGGAAAAACTGCCATTCTTCTAGGATCATTAGACCCTTATTGCTAGCAGAAAGCACGCCAACAAACTTGACGTAGCCGATACTGAGAGTTGTTTCGAGCTTCTTGGTGGACAAAATTGGCTCTTCGGCCTTGATACCGCTATTAGGACTCACTTGAGCGAAAATTTCCGCTAACTGAGGCATGAGCTTGTTGGACGCTAGGTACTCGAATCCAGCTTCATGGTGGAGCAATGCCTCGATGAGTTGACAGCCAACAAGAATTACGCGTTTTGGGTGCTTAAGTTTGTAGCTGTCGTCAGGACGAAGAGGTGCTCGACTGAAACGATACTTGAAAGGTCTAAAAAAGGACATGAGATATCTCAAAACCTTGGGATACTTTTCCTGGATGTCAAAAAATCTCTTCTGGTCTCTAAGCGGTCCCTGACAAAGATGTGACATTTGTGCCCAGTCCCAGTCCTCGAAATCTTTCAGATTTAGTATCCTTGTTCTTGAAATAAGGGTTTTGAGTGTAGCATCATCCATTTTCACCCGATTTTGGATGATCATATCTTTAACATGAGATTTGACTTCACCTCGCTTTCTCTCAGTCATAACGGTTTTCATCTGCTCTTTCGCCGCACTTTCGATTTTGTAGATTGACGTTAAAGAAAGGGATTTTTTGTAGGCCTCCGAAAGTTGTTCCTGAACAAATTCCCTCGGTAATAACTCCATTGATAATCTGAGAATGTTTGTCAAGAGAAACGTAGCTTTCGATGATACACTCTCGTCGTTGTTTTTATCAATGATGTCAAAAATCAAGGGAACGACACCGCAACTGAGGAGAACCTGGAGTATCAAGCCTTGGTAATGTGAAATGACAGTTTTCTCGAAGCTATTTGGCGGTATATCCAAATACTGATGGTCAAGTTCGTCGACCAATTCACCGCCAGGGCTCAAGAATACATGCATGCTAGTGATTAGATCAAAAATGGAGGAGTCCTCAAGCCATGGAAGTGCCTGAATTCGGAGCACATCGAGCAACAAATCCATAATGATGTTGCGAACCTTGTTACTCTTTCCCTTGAGCTTGGATATGATTATTCGAATGGCCTCGAAATTGTTATGAGAAAAGCATATGATGCCGGTCCAACACTTGAGAAAGACCGATATAAGGAATGTAACTTTGAGTGCTCTGTTATAAAACTTTCGGCTGTTGGACAGCTTACTTTCGTCGTCCTCATCCACGAGTGAATACACTGAGGTGAGCGATGTTAGATCTAAGCCGTTTCGAAGGAATAGTCTAGCCTCTGGTTTGTCTAGGATTGACATAAATACCACGAGACATGAAGTAGCGATATCTGAAGCACCATTGATAATGAGAGACATCATTAAACGGAGGCCACCACCATGGAAGACGATGTGAGGTTTGAGCACAGCTATTTCGCAGATTGTCTCGATGCATAATTTAGTGAATGAAGTGGGTATAGCAAACTGATCATTTTGTGGTACTGGGGCTCCTGCGTTAATATTCCCGTCTTCCTCGCTGTCGTGCTCGATTATCGCTACCAATGCCTTGATCACACCTACCGAGATAAAGTTGGCGCCATCAGACACATTGAGAAACTCACGGATCAATTTGAGGGCCTCCTGTTTTTCTAGTAGCGGACAGGGGACTGAGAGGGACACGATAATGGATATTAGGATTTTCAGCTGGACCATTAACAAGATTGAGTCCAGAGAGGCTATAGAGTAGCGGAGCACTCTGTAAGCGGCACACCGTAGTTGTGGGGCCGGGTGGTAGAACATGAACTGAATTCTATTCACGACCATATCTATGGCCATATCATGTTTTAACGAAGGGGTGTCTTGGAGAAGCTCCACTAGCTGGTTACACTTGGTTATCACCAAGTAAACATCGTCTTTCTCGCGAACAGACAAATTTTGGAGAATTTCAGTGAAAGTCCAGGATGCAGCTTCCACGTTTTGCTCGGGTGAATTTTTCTGACGGAAGTTTTCTAACCTCTGGTGGGGTCCTTTGGAGCTTTCTATGGAGCTGATGTTGAGGCTGTCGAGGGTATAGGAACGTATTCTGGATTCGTTAGATGGTGAAAACGATGCCTTATCGAGTGGGTCAGGCGAGAAGGACGCTAATGGCGACCGGCCTGGCGGCTGGTCTTCAGATGGCATTTGGGATGCTGTTTATGGAGAAAGACCCGGTTGTAATGGTGGGTCGCGCACGTGACGAAGTATGCTTCTCGGGGACCATTACGATAGACGATTCTAGTTTGGCGAGAGACTCCGTGGATTAAAAGGGACAATTGGGGGTTGGATATGAGTTCGTAGGAAGGTGTCCGCTTTGAGGTCTGTTTTTTTTTTTTTTTTTTTTGCGTTGAAAAGATGCTGGTGATGATAATCGTAAGTGGTAGTCCATACTGGCAGCTGGCTGCGAAATACGTTTTTTCATTACCCGTGCGTTAGACGTGAATTGAGGCATGAATGCATAGCGATAAGAAGTATTGGTGAAGTTGAAGAGGTGGTTTGGTGAAAACAGCTCCCTCGAGCTAGGTCAAGGGCAAGAGCAAAAGTGAAGTGGAAAAGTAGTTTAAAGAACATCGGAAGAAGTATGCCCAGCAACAGCCGAAAATGCACCTGTTGAGGCTTCGACCATAAATGACAGGCACCCCAGGTAAGCCTCACTCAACCGTGTATTTTTTAAATCCAGGAATCAACAGTTTAAGCCTAAAAGGTTAAATCCATGTTCGACTTTCTGCTCCCTACCATACAACCGGTGGCACCTGCACTATCGGCACCCCATGGACTAAAAAGGCAAGAGAGCCAAGAGTATTGCGTTTGAATCGATCACACTCCATGAAACTCAATTGCTTCTATCTCACGTAAGGCTGAGTCAATTGCGGCTTCCCTCAACTCATCGGTAGGGGATGCGAAACTTGCAGTGCCACACCGCAAAACACAATACACTGAGATCGGGAAATTCTCGAGATATACAAACAAAGAGTAACTTCAGCCACAAAGGATTAAGCGGAAGGCGGATATTGAGGCAGGATTTAACGGGCCGGAGTTTCTACAGACACACTTGACGACATGAAAAATTGCAGAAAGGCCCCCCATGTAGACATTTGCGGCACCCAGGATATTCCTCTTTCCAGACCCTCGTTTCGATACTTTCGGCCTTGGCCGAGAGGGGTCAAGGAAGGATGCATGCCCCACTACACAAGAGTTAAACTTTTTCGTTACCGTGTCGCTAGCACAACGGCACCAATCAGAAACGCCATTTTGCCCTTGTTGCTGGACCATGCTCAAGGACCAATTATCGGCGCGAGCTCGATAGCAAAACGACGCAGCACAGTGACCACATGACATCATGGGCAGGCGGACCAAAAAGAAAAAAAAATAAAAAAGCACAATACCAATGCCTTCTGAAAACCAAGATCAATCAATTGAATTAAAAACGTGTGAAAGCACAGGGGGTCAGGGCTGGCCAATAAGGGTGGCTGAAATACAACGGTCACGGAAAGTTTGATTGTGGTTAGCTGCGAAAACAAAGTTGCCGTTCGAGAGGCATTGGCGTGATCGGGTGGAGACTGCAACCTGCAATCTGGCGTTGGGGCGGCGTTTGCGACATTGCAACCGCCAGTCACCGGAAGGGCATACTTGCGCGACATTGTAGCGACCTTCTTCGACCCTTGGTCAGCGACATTGTTGCCTGTGACCACTCCATCTATCCGAAAGCACCAGGATTGATGGGGAGTAATCGGCTATTTACTAAAAAAAAAAAATCCATGTTCATCAATCGTAATACCTGATGGCCTCTAAAATACCCCTAATTTTCTTATGTTACCTGCGACGGATGGGTGCTTATGTAAGCCCCGCATTCACCAGGCCGCTCTCTATTCCTCGCTTTTTCCCCAAAATTGGTGTTTCATCTCCTTCTCCTTACCACCCCCGAGTCCACCTTCTTATCACTTCTGCTTCCATTTTTCGAACGCCGGCTCCCACCATCGCCGACCGTCCTATTTTGTTCAGTTCTTTTCCATATTTCCTCAGCTTCTTCCCGATTGCCGTTTCGCTGGAACAAGCGTGAAATCCCGGTGCCATCCAGAATAGAGAATTCCCGTTAAACCACAGACTCACCGACACCGTCGCTGATTCTCCCTTTTTGTTTTGCTCCTGAAACAAGCACCAGCCCGGTTTTCTGACCCCGGCTAAGCATATTTCTCTACTTTGTTGCATCCACAACAAAATCAGCCCGGTTCATGGCTCTTTTCCACACATCTGCCGAAAACAATCAGCCACCAAATGGCGGCAAAAGGAGATTGTCGATGTTCTCCTTTGGCAGTCTGAATGCTACACCTCAAGCAAAGGATGTGAACTTGTCGACGTCACCAAATTCGTCTCAGTCTAAGGCTCCTCCGGTTTCTTCCGAAGCCGAAGCCGAGTCTGTTACTCTGAGGCCAACAAAGCCTCTGGTTTCTACCACCAGCAGCACTACTAATCTTCCCCCAAAAGTGTTGTCCAAGTCTCCAGGCCCCAATTCGCCCACCATGTCGGGCTCGAAAAACACTCAGTTGGGCTCGCCTGTCTGCTCGCCTTTGTTCGAGTCAGACTCCTCACTGGAGGCCCCAAGCCGTGACATCTTCGAGAGATCAGTTCAAGACTTGAGTGGGCAGGTCAAAAACGAGGATTGTATTCCTCCCGCCTTGGATGCGTCAGCTCACATTTTGACGGACAAGCAAACAAACTTGGACGAGGTGGAGATGGTTTACTCTAATCGCAGAAACTCATCGGTCATTGGATTAAACATGGCGTTGGGCAGACCCTACACTCCTTCCCGCAAGAACAGTGTCATTTCCATGTCCCACTGCAACCCTTCAAACACCTCAGCGAACCCAGCTGCAAGCTTGAAGGACTACAATCCAAGCATTGGCGGCTCCCAGTCTTCATTGACGAACGGCCCCCCACAATCCCCAGTCTCTCCTCCAAAATTGAAGAGTTCTAGGTCGTCGGTCTCCTTCTACTCGTACGCTGACATGATCAATAGCGACGAGTGTGCTCGTAGACCCTCGATGAAGCACTCAATGAGTCACGGCATGGCTCCCACAGTCAACCGCAAAATGAGTGTTGCTTCGAATCATTCTATCACGTCCAACCCTTTGTCCTGCAACACTGGTGCTGCGTGCGGCATGAATGCTTCTAATGTTGGTAGCGCTAGCAACATGTCCTCGTTCTCTTTGAACAAAGGATCAAGAAAGTTGGCATCCACTAGCGCTTTGCCTCAGTCTCAATTGACAAAGCAACTCTCGCAGAGAGAGAATCGTCTGCCATCATCTGGCGTTCCCTCTAGACAAGCTTCAAAGAAGGGCCAGAGCAAGTTGAACAACTTCATGATCAGCCCAGAATCCAGCGAGTCGGAGGATCAGGATGTTTACTATCCTGCTGCCTCTAACTCTCCTGCTACCGTTCAGAGAAGAACATCTGTGGTGTCGGATGGCTCAAACGCTAACGGGATAATGAAAGTTTGGTGTCTTCGTCAGTTGGCGAATGCATTCGACAATGTACTACTGACATTGTGGGGCTCAACTAAGGTTGCCCGAGGTTAAGGTTAGCTTCGACTTTGAGGTAATCCGTTACCTAGGAGAATAGTATAAACGGAAAAAGAAATTGACAAGAAGTTACTACGGTGGTTGCATAGACATTCTTGCCTTTGCAAGTTGTGGAGGTGTGCTATGCAAACTTTATTTCTTCAGAGATCCTTTTCAAAGTGGATTCCAGTGGTCACGGTGCTTATCAGACTGTAACGTATGCCAGTTGCTTGTGCCATAGATCACTATTGGTGTGTATTCTAGTTATATTGTTATTTGCTTGATTGTAGCTCACCTTGCTGATCGAGCTCGTTCACTCTTGTGAGTTACCTCCTTCAACAAAACTCCACTGAAAGACCCGCTTAATCAGCCAAGTAGTTTTTCCTGTTGGCAGTTCTGACAAAGCGTCTCGTCTTCCACTCAACATCGGCATCCTTATTGTCAAGAAGTCCGAGCCTGAGCTCATGAAGTCTCATTTCAAATCTAGGGCCCACTTCACTAAGCTCTACACCATCTTTCGTCTTTACGAAAACATGATGCCTGACGCTGATGAAGTCGTCGTTATTGATGAAAGTAATCACTCTAGAGCTGTCCTTCTTCGCTCCAGGGGGAACAAATGCTTGAGAATCTTCACCACACGCTGACCTAATACAGTAGAAAAGTTTTCAAAAATAAGATGTGGGTATACTTCGGAAATGTTACCAATGTTTGGTAAATCGTGTCTCAATTTGACGTTATGCAATGTGAAAACAGCTGATGGCCCATGTGGGAAATGCGATACAGTAAGGGAAGTGGGGACACCTCTGTGCTCATGAAGAACGATGAGATCGTTTATATTAGCTCTTGAACACAGCTTCACGAGATCTGGAATGACATAGGTACCTCTGTTTAGCTTCATAGAGTTGGGAAACATTAACTTGATCTCTTTGGAGAATTGTAGTAACTTGGCAGATGGATTCCTCGAAGTAGTAACAATGATCTTGGGATCGTTGATACCACTCATGGCGGAGTATTCGTCGTCGATGTCGACTTGTTCACTTTCATCATATCTGAAATTCTTGTGAAGCTCTGTGTCTTCACTAAGCTCTTTAGAGAGAGGCTTTCCCGATGCAAGTGCTGCCTTGAGTTTTTGTCTCTTCTCAAGTTGGGCAGTTTCCTGAAGCTCCAAGGACTTTTTGTAAAGGTATTCTCTTCTTTCTCTGGCCTGTCTCCTGATCATGATGTAGATGTTATAAAAGTGAGGATGTCTTTTTCATGCATCTCATCTCTAAGTGATGCGCACTGTATACAAAAGGTATGTTGATTCTATCCCTGTAAATCTTATAATACAAAACTATAAATTCTTCAGCCTAGGCCCCTTTTCGATTTGAGGGACCCTCCATTTCAAATTCTTCCGGCTCCAATCTTGTTGGAGCGGGGAAAAGAGAGTTTCTACGGTATGACGCCGCGGTTCGAGTGATCGCCCTAGTGAGTCCACGAACTGCCCCAGATACACCTTCCTCGCGGAAAGTGTCCCTTGTAGGAGCTGATTCCAATGTTGTAGCACGCTGAATTGCATGATGTTCTTGCACTCTGTCTCTGCGACGCATATGCTTGTCGGGCAACATGATGGCTCTGTCAAGCGAGTAGGGTAAACCTCTGTGACGACCTCTTATCATCATGGCAATAATAACTAATTTGGAAATAGTCGTGAACTTATACGTGAGCGACTGGTTCACGTTTGGGTAGCCCAAGGATAACCCGACGGTACCATAGGCACTTACCACTTCGAACATGACTGCGAAGACACTAAACCGAAGATCATCAGCCTGCAACTTCCCACCTTCTGCAATGCAGATGATGAATAAGCCCAAGAACACAAACCACAAGTCGAAAGACAATTGATGTCTCAAATGTGTGCCAATGAAGTTCTTGGGCGTGGAATCCGGATCTTCTGCATCTTCTGCCGCCTTCAAATATATACCCAATGACTGTTCTTCATAAACGTTGGTTCTTCTGATGGAAATAGCCAAAGGAAGCACGGAAATGTACATCATAATCATATAACTGACTTGAACAGCAGGATGCAATTGTGACAAATCAATGCAGCTAAATCCAGCTGTACGCGTACTGAAAGCTTGGAATAATCCATCAAGTACCCTGAGTCCTTTAGGAGTTGAGCTCAACGAGTCATTATTCAAATCCAAAATGACAAAAAGAACCAAATCCACAGCATTCAAAACAACTAAAATCAGGAAAAGCCACCAGGTAGGAACCGAAGGAAAGAGAAGAGTGAAGCATCTTCTTGGATGATCTAAAAGGAAGCCCAAGGACTCTTTGAACAATGACATCGGTCTGGCAATTTTGAAGAGTAACCAAATCAAAAAACGAAGTAAGACAGGAAAGCCAGTATTTCCGATCACAATAAAAAATGAGCAAACAATCAAAACGTATGGTGACTCATTGAAGCTGGACATCGAGTTTGGTGTGATTGTGAGTCCTAAATCATTAAATGTTGATTGAGCGGTGAAAAAGGCCCACCAAATAGGAGAAAATCCAAATGTTCTCATCTCAGCAGCCTTGCTCTCGTCAACTTTGATGAATCCAATAAGCATGCAAAAGGCCATGGCATGAAAACCGATATAGTATACGGCCAAGATTTTGAACAATAACTTGACAGCTCTGTACTCAACCCCGCCAAGCTCATTCTTTTGTTCTTCTGTGAGATGCACGAATGTAGAATTTCTTCCCACTGTGGGTGTCCACGAAAGATAGTTTGTGCTCATCTGCCGAGTTAATCGATTGTCATCCTCCAGTTCATCCAGCTCTTCGTCTGAGTCATCTCTGGTTGCGCCATCAGCACTTGGAGTGTTTCTCAAAGTGTTGGAGCTTGAGATCAAAAGAGGAGTTCTCCACCTTCTAATTGCTTTCCTTCTATGTGCCTTTCTTTCGCGAGGAACCTTTTCAGGCTCAGAAAACTTGGTCACACGATTAGAAGGGACTGCAGTCTCCATATGATTACCAGGGCCGGCTTTTGGGCCTGCTTGCCTTGGATCTAAGGCGCCATCATCCTCGTCATCTGTATCGATGATGGCTTGGCTGTTGTCTGTGAGATTGGCTCTGTAATCAATATCATCGTCAATGTCCTCATCTTCATCTTCATCATTATCGATTATATCATCGTCGTCGTCATCTTCATCGTCACCGCCGACGACATCATCATCGACATCATCATCATCATCATCATCGTCGTCATCATCATCATCGTCATCTTCATCGTCATCTTCATCGTCATCGTCATCGTCATCTTCGTCATCGAATGACTCATCGTGATCGAGATTACCGCTCAAATATGCGTTGTCGTAGCGAGCATGCAAGTCAATATCGTCATCACTCAAGTCCAGATTATCCAATTGAGCTTGGTCGTCACTATTTTCAACGGCATCGACAAACTTAAGAGTACTCTTTTTCTCTTTGCTCTGGTCATGAGTCTCGCTATCAATGGAAACATTGTCAGCGTCTTCATCGACTGGCTTCTTCGAACCCTTCTTCGATCTCCTACCAGAGGAGCTATTCAGAATGGTCCGTTTGAGTTTCTCCCAGTTGCCCCTTCTTCTTCCTCTTCGAAGCCTCCATTTCTTTGAGCTTCGAGGAGAAAATGATAACAGATGCTTTCGCGTGAAAATAGGAGTGTTCTTATCTCTCTCAATTTCCTTTGGAGACTTGATGACCAAGACATCCTCGTCAGCAAAACTTAGTTTTCTAGTGTGCTTGTTCTGCAAAATGGCGATCGATTTATACATGTCGGATGGCTCAACCTCTTCTCTTCTTTTTGACGGATGCGGTAGGTTATCAAAACGAATGGCATGGTCGGCAGGCTTCGGACTGGAGGCAACGTTTACTGCGTTTGTCTTTTCATTGATGCGTGATGATGCTGGAGAGGAGCTAGAGGACACCTCTTTTTGTGGCAGGCTTTGCTGTTCCAAGCCAAGCTCTTGATTTGTGGCTGTATTCATTCTTGTCGAGTCCTTTGTATTTGAACGAGCTGCTAACGTAGCGCTCTTTCTCATTTTGTGATCTAGCTTCGAGGATTCCTTGATATTGTCAAACTGGCGTTCAAACCAGAAGAGACGAATGCAAAGCAAGGAGCTATGGATGAAGATTGGTGTGCACAACGTGGTGAATATGTAAACGAATATCTGCTGCAGAAGCCGTAGTTCGTTCAAGTTGACAGTGTTCAAACCAGCCTGAGTGGCGGCACCCGACATGAGAAACAAGATGTCAATGTATGCAAAATTGGCAATTGGATATACAATTACCGACCCTAAGAAGGCCATGAAAATGATGTAGAAGTAGTGGGCCGCTCTGAAGTTGGGAATAACCACCTTCAAGTAGGGATGAACGGCCAGTGCCACAGCCTGAATGGTGTCTCGGAGCATGTGGCCTGCGGACTTGCCATGTTTGTCTGTAAAGATGTTTCGGAGCCCTTGGTAGGCTCGACTTATTGAGGCCATCGTGGGTAATGAAAGTCGGGCAGGAAATGCTGGGGGAACAGCGACAGCACCAGCGACAGCTAGACTGAAGTTGTGGAAAGGAAAGCGCAAATAGCACGCTGACTCAGTGGAATTTCGGCGGAAGGGTCTGAAGTAAGATGAAGTTCTCAGATGATATAGCGGCTTTTATTGTATTAATTTTTCCCTTGTCTCATTCGCAGTGACACAAGGCGCACGCAGGATGCTGCCATTCACTTGTATATAGTCGGAGCTGGAGCGGCGCACTCCTCGAACTTCCTTATTCATGCAATCTATAGTCTATTCATATATGAGATTTACTTATAAAGGGCTTTACCACTTTGGCTCGTCCTTTTGCAATTCGATGACCTTATCGAGCTCTTCTTGAGTACGGTGACCATACTTCACCAAAGACTTCATTCTCATGGTCTCTCCGTAGAAAATAAGAATAAAGTTGCATCCCAGAGCAGCAAACAATACAAAAGCACTGATGGTACAGGTCCAGCCGACACCAATGTTCTCGATACTTCTCAAACAGGTACCGGAAGCAACAGCAGCGGCCAAGTATCTGGAAAAGTAGGAAGATGCGACACCATCACCGTGGAGCTCTGGGACTGAATCCACACAGTATGTGTTACTGGCAGGGAAAGCAATCGTCTGAGCGAGACCACTGAGGAACATGAAAATGATTGGCACAGCCATACCTCCAACAGCTTTATCAACGGTCCAGCCGTAGATGAGAATGCAGCCGGGGTAATAGAACGTCAAGGACATCACCATCTGTCTGAGTCTGTCCTCGGGCACTCTTCTGCCTCTCTTCTTGATCCACTTCTTAACAGTACTGTCTGCAAGGCGCCCACCGAAGAAAGAGCCGATCAAGTAACCCACACCAGGTGCCAAGTAGAACAAACCAGAGTACAAAGGCAGCTCCAAGTCAAATCTCGGGTTCAACACATAACGAATGGGTGTGAGCAACGAGTACATGTTGTACACCATAGCAATAACAATGAATCCATCAAGCGACAAAGTAGGGTACTTCAAGGCTCCCACGATACGAAGAGGGTTGAACCAAACAAAAACGAATTTTTTGTTGGGCTCCACCTTGCGGGCCTCCTCGAGAAGAATAGAGTGCTTGGTTTTATAGGATGTTTCCGGAAGCAAGAAGATGCCAAGTGCAAGGATGACACCGCCCAAGCCGGCCATGACCCAGAAAATCACTCTCCATGAAGTCCAGTTTACAATAATACCACCAATGACACCGCCGATAGAAGTACCGGTTTGAGCACCAGTAACAATCCAGGACATTTGGCGACCACGCTCACTTGGAATATAGCAGTCTCCAATAATGTGAGCACCGACACTGAAAAAGGCGGTAGCGAAAAGGGCAGTCAAAGCTCTGAAAATATAGAACATGGCCAAGTTGACTGACACTGCAACCAACACAGTGCACACACAGTAGGCAATGCAGCAGCTGATAAAACAAAATCTTCTTCCGTAAATGTCTGAGATTGGCGAGAAGATACATGGTGACAAGGACATAAAAACACAGTAAACAGCAGCGGAGATGTTAATCACCTCACCGGTGGTGTTGAAACGCTCGGCAATCTCAGGCACGGCTGGCAAGAAAGCGAGACCGGACAATGGAGACAAGAAGCATGCAGCAGAAACGATGAATACAAAGAAGCCTTTCTTTTTCAGCGAGAAACGATCGAACTTGGGGTCTTTCGAGATACTGTAAACCGACTGAGCGTCTGACTCTTTTTCGGCACCAGTACCAATATCTTCTTCGTTAGGACGACCCTGGGTAGCCGCCGAGGCATACGATTTAATTCTCGATAACTCTCTGGAGATTGCGTCATCAGCGACGTGTGAGATGGGCACTTGCTCGTTGTAGGCAACGACCTCGGGGAAAGACTCGGTTCCAGACTGGGCACCACTCGACAGCGACGACGACAGACTCACTTGGTGGACCGAGACTTCTTTGGAGTCCTTGTGGTCCTTCTCAACACTATTGGAGTGATTGTGGTTAGGAGCGCTCATTTTGGTGAATACCGATTCGAAGTTTAGGGTTAGAGCTTTCTAAAAATCGATCTGGGAGGTACAATGCTGCCTTTATATATTCGTGATTACGCCATGGCGGCCCCGAACATCGCACCTTTGATAACACAGTTTGCAACCAGGTTCGAAGCCCGTGCGTTGGATCAGACGTACAATATTGCGCATCTGCCCCATGCACCAGCGGTCCCTCCTGGTAAACCGCAGGGAATGGCGAATCCGATTAAACTGCTGTCCTCTTTTGCGGTATTTCGCTACACCACAGCCACATAGTGCCTGGTACCTTGCGCCTTGCCCCTGATGCTGTTTCCCCTGACTTTGTTGGTGCTAAATCGACTTCTTAGCTTTGTCCCCTTGCAGACATCGTGGGTCCCGGAACAATTTCTCGGCGAATGTGACAATCAATTCCACCAAATATGTCAAACCGGCACGTTGCGCCCAAGAGGCAATGCTGTCCTGCGTTTCCACCCTGAGTTTGCTGGAAGCATAATCTAGCAGGGCCAAGAAATTATCCACCGTTGGGAAGAAGATTTTGTCAGATAACTCTTCTGCGGTTAGACCTACCTATCCGCGGCGCATTGTCATGCGGCTATTTTTCCGCCAACGGCCCCCCTCACTTCCCCATGTGGTTGACAGGCGGCCCATGTAAAGTTAAGCGCTAGCTTCCTAGACTTTCCTTGATTTTGGTATACTCCAGTGGTGAAGCTTAAAGGGGGTGTGAGGCTATGGCAACTATAACCTTTGTCCGAAAAACTGCAGCAAAGAGAGATGCCTTTGTGCTGTTTACATACAATGGTGGTTATTGCGGTTCCCAGCGTCGTACTCTAGATCTATCGCAAAATTAAAGCTACTTCTACAGAATGTGAAACAATCCCGGAACCTTGCTCATCAAGAAAAGGGTATATCAGATATACAGCCTCTCACCTACCTTCCAAGGGCGCAATTCACAAATAACCCCGACAGCTTGCAGCTGCAAGGGCCATGATGGAATGCCTGGCCTTGATCAACCACAAGTATCGGATTAACTCGGGCTGGCCATTCGATACTGCAAGGTTCGTTTTACCGTTCTCCTTGAGGTTTTGTGTACTTTTGGCGTCGCCCAAAGTTACTGATAATACGATTTTTAGACACTTTCGAACAATGCCAAGGGAATCCCTATCTACTCGAGGACGGTTGGGTTGCAAGAATTCTTGGTTTGAATCACCCTTCGCCAATTACTGCCTCGAGCTAAAATTGCTCTCACACTGCCTCGACTCCGCCAGGATCAAACCCTTAGCGCTTCTCTGAAGGCTTGGCTAACATGCGCTTGAGGTACCTCTCAGGTCGAGTGTGGCTTCAAGACCTCAGCCTACAAAACAGTTTTTTGTCAACACCCGGTTCGCTGGAAATGCTGACAACATTTCCGTAAACTCCGGGAAGGGATTGCAAGAAAGGCCTTGTCTACTCTTATGATTTATGCGAAACAAGTGATCCTTATGCTTGATGATTATTTGACCGCAACTAATCTTCGAATAATGATTGAGGGATGTCCATTATAACCACTACTGCACATTTGGCCACAATAGCTAATCCTTACCAACCACGTTGGTCTTGCTCTCGGAAGAACTACATAGTATGAACGGATCAGTCTGCTTCGATAGAAACGTGGGCTGGAGAGACAAACATGATGATTTCGCGAGACGATCATTAGCTGAAATATTTTATAACTATATATCAATAGTATCCTCTCATTACCCCTGGAGCTGCTTCGTTTCGGGCTCTCAAGAGCTCTCATGTGGTTCCAGACCAAGATGAAGTTGCGCTTATCACTACTGCGGACAAATTAATCCGCGGCTAGACCATTTGACCGTACCAATTTCAGGCTTCGCCTCGGTAAATGTTGTCAAAAGGTCGGAAGAATTTGCTCATGTTTAGATGTTCAACATATTGTGGTTATTGTTATGATACACTTCAGCTTCCCAAGGGATACTCGTTTAAAGTAGCCTTACGTGAGCCACAACGGTCTGCACTGGTTATGCAAGTGATTTGCGCGTAACGCACGTCACCATGCACTGTCTTTCGGGCGTTATCGGATAAAGTATTACCTCCCAAACATTAGCAAAAAGCACCAAGTACGAGGAAAATAGTGTGCACCCGCAAACAACTAGGTGACACGAGATGATTAAGATTTCCAGGAACTTGTGATGTTGCTTGGGTAAAATCAAGATTGGGAAAGTTGAAGATAGCGATAAGAAACTGCGCATTCCAATTGCACATGAACTGTCAAGCTGCAGCCTTCTACTGGCTCGTTTGATATTTACAAGCCAACGGAACCGAAAACAGACTATTTGTTGACAGCCCGAAGCATCCCACTTTGATGGGACTCCGTTACGGAATTCACTAATTTTATTTTTTAGAATGTAACTCAGTGCTCTCAATGCATAACTGCTAAACGTCTCAGGGAACAAACCACTGACCTGTTATCGGTGCCGTTCGCTTTAGAGGCACCATCACCAATAGTTGCTATCTCGTGTGACACGAAGTCATCGAGGATCAGCGGTTTGATATTAATTGCAATTCTTCTATTGGGCAAGCAATAAACCTTCCAGGTTTCTTTCCCAGAAATTGGGCTTGGCATCAGTCAAATTCCCAATGATTGCTGAAATCCATGGTTCTGATTGTGGTAATAGCCAATAACCACCTCGTCGGACTTCGTAAATGTATATTTCAAGTTTGACTCGCGCCCGTCAGTCGCCTGGCAGTTTTCGGCATTTACTCCAAACTCGTACATGCGCCCAATTATCCGACAGGGGAGTTGAGGACATGTGATGGGTTCTTTTGCAGCCGTCATTCTCGTCTATGCGCGGAAAATCTCGAAGAGGGATCAACGTCCGAATTCGGAGCGGCTGAGGCGAGATCCACCACTGGCTAAGGATCAGCAAATATGCATAGAAGGTCGGTTTCAAATCATCTAGATCGGTCGAGAATTTCTTAGCATAAATTACTTGATCAGATATAAGGAAAAGAAGATCAACAGGTCTGCGCGGTATTTGAGGCAATGAGGGCAGGAAGCTGTTGCTATTTTCGTTTCATACTAAACGTACAAGTCGCCTAGCTCGCACATACCAAAATGTAAGGTGTTCAGCTGGGTTGAGTTCCAGACTCGCGAGTTGTCATTGTATTAAGCTGTCATTTCGACGTCTCGCCTCTCGGGAAACTGCTCTCTGAATTACCGACAGTTCCTTATGTGGTCTTCTTTGGGCAAGAACCACTGTGATCGGCCTTTGTCAGCCACGAAATTTGCGACCACGGAGGACCTGTCATACACTACGATTTGCGTAGTAACCGGAAGAAAGCAATTCTGTTTTCTTTCAATTGATTCCCCTTTCTCTCGGCGACATGTGTATACTTTGCCTCTTGAAGCTTTCAGGAGTCTATGGAGCAATTTGCTGTGTAGTGACCTGTACCATCATCAGCTGGATCAACTCATGAGTCACTTATCTTTTGCTTTTTGGAACTGTCGCTCCTGTGTCAGGAAAGAGGTACTTTATCAAGATTTTAGGTAATTTAAATGTTAGTTAGATTCAGGCTTCCAATTGAACTGGAGCAAAGATTTCCGATTCGAAGTGGGAGGCACAATGAGTCAGAGACTTGTGTTCGCGTAGTACACATAATATGACAAACATGTAACAAAATGAGAACCGTGCATCGTTACGAAGCAACAAGATTCCACTTTTGTGAATTTCACGGCCAGGAAAGAGATGTGACACTTCCAACAATTTAAGCTCTACACCGATTTGAATAGGGTTTTCCATTCAAACAGATGAACACAGTAAAAGGAAAAACCAAATGCCAGGAATACCATCGGAATCAGAGGCTGTAACTTACGTTCTTCAGCACCACAAAGACTAAAAATTTAGCATAGTACAAGGGCGTTTGGCTGCTTCGTATGACCTAAGCAAAAGTGCATTTCTTCACACCAGCTCATCGGCAAAACCGTTAGTGGCGGACTACCGCTGACTCTGCCGCCATCGCATTCTGTATGTAAGAGTCGGACAAAGATCGCACAGCGTTTAATCAGCCGTCTCATATAACACAATAGATGATTTCTTATCATCTGGAGCTGTAGATCGTCCCTGAAAAATTCCAAAACTCAATTGCCTAAGCTTTTTCTGCCGAATATAACCCCATCGAGAATTAGGGCGGCCTTGGGTTACGGGCCATATGTAGTAACTACGGCACAGAGGCTGCAACTACCATTACGCTTGCCCTCGGAAGAGGGAGCACGTGACTACAATAGTAGTGAAGACGCGCTGGCCGAGGGAATGAGCCCCCGGAAAGCCTGAAAAATTTTCCCGGCCCTCGCGTTATAAATACTACCCTCCATCGCACTCTGCTTCTTTCTTCCTTCTCCTTCTTCTCCTCTCCTCTCCTCCTCTCAACGAGCTCAGTTCCAGACAGATCGCTGTTCTTAAATTTGATTGTTACAATCCCCCAGTAACTATTGAAGTATGTTCCTGCGACCGGGCTGACCTTTGAGAGGAGACTTTTAGACTAATTGTTAGTTGTTTGTCTCGTAGCTCAATGTCGCCCTCTTTATCGCCCTCATTGTGTGTTTTGTGCCCTCAGGCCCTGTTTATGCAATTCCTTCATATCAAGACCGAATCTGGGCCACATCCTCATCGCATCGCGCAGTTACTAACCTCTCCAGTTACGGCTCTTTGGCTTTTAACGTTTCATCGCAGCAGATCCCCCATCGTCGCTGTTTACCTTTTAAATTCATTTTTCATTTGTTAAATCCAGAGTCAAGATGGCTAAATTGTCTGCTCCCATTTCTCCCCCAATGGAGTCGACTGGCGACCGTTTGATGACCTTGCAAACCAAGGACGGTGTTGCCTTGCAAGGTTACTCCTTCGGTGCCCCCGTTCCCGCCAGCGGTGAGGTTGTTTTCCAGACCGGTATGGTTGGTTACCCAGAATCTGTTACAGACCCTTCTTACGAGGGCC